TCCAAATCCCCGGGAACCCTTCGAATCGATCGTTCGAGTTTAATCCGGGTTACAAAAGCCGTAAAGTACCGAGGGAAGAAAAACGTAACCGAAGGAACAAGAACCTAGGTACTCTTTTTCCCTTTCATTTGATTTGCGGCAGCCATTTTGTGACACCGGTTTGGAGAAGCTGATAATGTAAAACTCGTCATAGGATCGGCTCGTACCTATGTAGGCTTTTGGGAGCCTTACTTTGTAAGAGACATCTAATGCATCAAGAATTCTGACATATCGTGAGTCAGCACCCATTTTACACCACAAAGGCAACCAATTATCCCCGAACCGATTGGTGTTACATAGCCATCGGTCTCTTTCTCCAAATACTAATTGTTAATTCTATTCATTGGTACTAGGGAACGTAATCATTAAGATTAAGTACTGAAATTCGCCGGCGGTGAAGAAAACTAGATACTGAACAGAACCTAATTCGGACGCCGTAGGGCTTGGACCGTCGAATTTCCACATGGAACCCTAGCAAGTAAGCCAAGGTTATGGTTGACGACAAAGAATCCCGGCAGCAGGCAGGGTAGGGAAACAACATTAACACGTTCCAAGGCCCATCGTACCAACAGCAAGGAGTCTGTGGATAGACCCCCAGTAGAAATCTTATAATCCGAGGAAGCATTACCTATTTAAAACAAGGTATGGCGACTAGTGATGACTTGGCTTTTGAACCTATTATCAACGCATTTATCTTTATTTCTTCTATTCTACTTATGAAGCGCGTGTTGGCAGGTTGGTGGCGCCAGCAAGCGGACAAACATGAGGAGAGTTTTTGCTTACCGCTAAAACGTTTGGTTGGATGTACTTCTTGAGATGCACAAATGCGACCGACCGACCGACCGACCGCTAGATAGGTGCGCCCCTTTATGGAGCGTCATATTACACAAAGCGGCACAGCTCGCAACCTGTCAGCTTTGTGTAACAAGATGTAACCATTAAAAGACCGTCTTGTATTCTAATTGGCGCGGCATCTTTCTACGGAAGGCATGTGTTAGGTAGATTATGTAGACCTTCGGTCACAAGAGTCGATATGTAGTCGATAATGTACAGGCATGTATGTAGGTATGCGCATGTCAGAGCTTCTTTTTTACTCCAAAAATTTTGTCCGTTGTCCGATATGGATTCAGAGCCTTGTCGACGGAGACTAAATCGACAGCAAGATGTTGATCTTAGGTCCTCCCCCGCCCGGTCCTCTTTTTTCTCTTTTCTTTTTAGATCCTTTCTACCTACCTATGATTCGTAAGAATATGAGCACCACCCCACACACCGATACTTCACATAATCTTATTCAGACGCCGCCTCGCTTATAACCACTAGTAGTTATCTGCTGGTAAGTAGCCGGCTGACCGCTGAAAATTGACCGTAGCCCACCGGTAGGCATTTGTTCTTTTTCGCATTCTGTGCTCCATTAGTCCATTCTAGGCATCGCTTGCGGCATCTTGCCAATACATCGTACGGATAGCCTATAAGACATAACGCACAGGCGGCAAAAAGCATAAGTCGAAGCATGGACCAAGGAACTGCGATTGCTGGTCGCCTGGTAAGCTAAGTGCTTCCAATATTCCTACTCGAACTTTGCCTGCCAGACTATAGCGAGTCAACGAGGACCTTTTTATCACATGTCACAGTCGGCGCGATGTGATATTTCTTTGATAGGCAAAATACATCCTAGTCATATAGCGACGAGGAGGCCTCTAGAGCAGATGACGTGATGTCAATATCATGAAGTTAATCCCATATTATTCCATCGTCATATCCGTTGATTGTCACCGTCACCCCCTTTCAGCCCACTTAGGGAATTGGAGACTACCGGGATTAAGACAATATCGGAAGCGATGGAAATGAAAAAGGATAACACCGAACCCTCTAATATTGTGATAAATCGTTTCAATACCTACCTGGATACGTATACGGAATACGATATGTATATTTGCCCTTGTATTTGCATCTCGCGGGGCCGATGACAAGATGGGATCTGCTTCCTAGCTTACGCTTATTTTTCTGCTTTATTCCTACCTGGGTATTTTTCTTTTTTCTAGGTACTTTTTCTGCCCCCAAAAAATCCCTAATCCAAGTTCCGAAGCCATGCAACCCACCCCTCGAACGATGGAGAAGCTTAAGCTTAATTCAAGGACAAGGGATTTCGTCGAATCAGAGACGTTGACGAGGGCGCCACTTATGTCCTATTCGTCCTAGTGCCGTCCCCCTCCCTTGAATAGTAAAACAGCAAAATGCAAAGGGGGGGGTGGCCCAACGCCGAGCCCTTGGTTTACAGAGCTTGGCTCTCCATTCTTACTTGCCATAGTAGGTTTCCGGCTCATGCTTAGCTCTAGAGAAAGAAGCTCGAGAAAATCTCGGCAGAGAGCCAAGCCCAATACATACCTACATAGTAGTAACAACAAATACAACAAATAACAACGCACAGATGCAAATATACTACGAACCGATTCCTATTGGAGCAAGCCAAGTTCCCCCGCCAAGCCCACCTTATTCTAACAGCAAAGACTTACCCTGTGTCATGTGCTGACGCGGCCCTCTTCGGTGATACTCAGAGTCGCCAGACTGTTGTTGGTGGTGATTGTCGGACCGGACGGTAGATAATACAGTAAGGTGGTAGCTTATTAAATCGTTCGCAAAACTCCCTTCGGATTGGCAAGGCTTTTTTGGGGGGTTGCCTATCTCGAGCCTAAACTAATGGGGCCCATATCTCCGTGAGGTGGAACATCGTATACCACCATCAAAAAACCTGTCTTCCGTACTATACCGCAGATTCCACGGTGAAATGGAGAAATACCCACTGGCGATCGCATCCATCGGTATGGGGTCGCCGGGGTCAGATGTATAGAAAAACATATAGCGCGCTGTAGGAATTGCCTCGCTACCGATGAAAACGACGACAGGCAAGGTGAATGAGAGAGATTAGGTGTCATGTTGAGCGACACGATCGTGGACTACTGCACTGTATATGATATGATATGATTGATGATGTATGGGTAACGAAACCTGTGCCGCAGACTCGCTGCTCACTATATTTTCGTAATTAGTTCGCAACATGCATACCAATACGGATCGCCCAACGACGTAATTTTAGTGCAGAGCCAAGAAATGTCAAGAAAATGCCAAGCTTCTGGATGTGTAACTCAGAAACGATTTTGAGCAGCCAAGCTGAATTTACCTAAGTGAATATAATGTATTTCGCCCAGCAATAAAGCCCAGGCCCTAAGAGTGGAATCAATGGGCTGATCAGGATCTGGTTCACACATCGGCCAAGATAAAAGAGAAAAATTCCTGTACCCCGGATATACTTCACACGTGAATCGTATCTTGGGTACACACAGATTCGTACGTGTAGGCAAGCGTCCCTCATCCGGCCGAGCGCTTCATCAGCTGCTTCTTAGGAAAACCGATAAACACCCCTCCCCTCATTCTTCCTTCTTTACCCTTCCCGATGACGAATCGTCAAACATGATAGCGGCTTTGTTACCTAATGCAGTAGCTTGGCGGCATCTTGCGTGTGTGATCTTTTTCGCGACATTCGAACCCCCACCGTTGTTACCAAGTAGGTAACTGTAGATAGACGACAGACATACTATACCCCCCCGCCACCGACTAACGAGGTAGGTTAGGACGACACGGTGATAATGATAAATGTGACGGAGAAAGACGGGAAAAAAGCTCCTCCCGAAGATGGACGAGAAGGAATCTGCCGATTGCGAGCTTATTTTTTTGTTTTTCTTTTTTGCCCTCGTTTTTAAGAATCTTTGCGCCGGGAATTACGCCGCAGCCCGATGTTACCCCCTACAATAAACCTAGCCTGCCCAAATAAAGGCCAGTTTCTTGGCGGAGACGGTTAAGGCTGCCTGCCCGCATGCTGCATTCTATCGCGATGAAACCAACGGGCTTCGAGGGGTAATTGGGGTTGGAGGAAAAAGTACTCTGGGTCGTGGGGCGAAAAGGTTAACTGCATTCATGGCTGACAGAGCAGCCTCCTAATGGGCCATGGCTAGCCACCTTCGACATTTCTTGCATTAGATGAAACGTCAATATGGCCTAGAGATTGACTATGCCCCCAATCCGTCCTTGCCGGCATAACGTGGGTACATCCTCGCAAAGCCCGAACGGCACGTATTGCGTCGTCGTGGTAATAAACCGATTGCTACGCCGTAGAAACGGCCGAGCCGCGAGCGAAATTCCCTTGACTAGGGCCGGTCAGCGCTTGCGGGAAGCGCGATCACCAATCCATCTAGATGTTTGCAGGTATCTCGAGACTTGAAGCTTGTATTAGAGACGCGTCAAGAAGTCCGTCAGAGATCCGGTCACACAAGGTGCGCCAGCTACGGAAAAGGCTCTTCATAATTTACTTGTATTGGACGCCGCTCCCTTTCGGCCGTACCAATGATGGCCTGGTAAATTACAACCTGTACCCACCAAGACGGGAGCTTGAAATATAACAGGCTCTAAGGAAGGCAAGGTCTCTTGCTGGCGGGATAAGGAGGCATGGTTGTTCGGACGGGACAGCAACCTAGAGTAGGAAGTGTATGACTAGATTCACACACTTGTGGATCTTTCACAAGGAAAATCTCTCACCTGTTGTACATCTCCGGAGCGCTTTGCGATATTATTCACCGATCGGAATTGAGGTTGGAGTGCTTGTGACGCGATAGGCGATTAATCCAACTGCCGAGTCGTAGAGAGTTTCATGACCGAGTTCGATGATCTATTGCCACTGGAGTAGAGTGCAGTGTGCGAAAAGAGCTTCAAGCCTGAAGTCGGAATAGGCCTTGAATACCGTTTGGGTGGTTCCTCAGCCTGTATAAGGTTATCGCCACAGTTTACACTACGTAGTTGCTATCTAATGACAATTGAGAATTCATTGCTATTTAGACAAGCCCCCCCTGTCATAGGCTAGCGGGCGTGTTTGGTGAACTCTTGCCCCTGAAGCGGCCCGAGGTTTAGGCTCGTAGGTCGCTGGGCAGCATCCTGTAGAAGATGCCTTAGCTTTGCTCTGACACACGTGAAGCGTGGATGAAGCAACACAAGAGCAATATGTCGTGTTTAGGACCTGTCAAAACTAGCCTCAGACTTTGATTCTGTCCTCGTGAACTTCAAACCAATGCACAACAGACGCCACAAAGCTTATTTGGTAGTTCAGTCTGAATCAATATCACGTTGTGCGAGGGTATCACAAGACACTCCCCACGTCCCAGAGAAGTAAGCATTAACGAGCACGGCATGTCCGCTTTCATACTGTATTCAGCAATCACATCGGCCGTACCAGCGGGGGAACGCGGAAGTGTCGTGTATTGTTTGGACTCCGGAGAGATAGCATATCAGTCGATCGAAGCCTAAACCAAACCCTCCGTGGGGAGGACAACCCCAGCGCCGTAGATCAACGTACCAGTTAAGGTTATTCTCAGGGGGTTGCGACCGCTCGGTGGTGTTATTTGGGGATGTGCTTGGGGCTATCCCGTGTGTATGCATGGATTCTAATAGGTTTTCTAGTCGATGCTCACGCATTGACCCGCCGGCAATTTCGCAGAAATCCGGCACGACTAGGTCGAAGCATGCAACCGTCCTACCAGGTAGGGATTTATCGCAGTCATCCGTATTAGCTTTCATGTAGAAAGCTTTAATACCTCGCGGGTAGTTTGTGACGAATACGGGGCTATGTCCATTGCCCACCTTCATTGCAATGTATTTTTCATGTTCCGTACGAAGATCCTCACCCCATACAGGACTATGAACAAACGAGGTATCAGCAAGTTTCAATAACTCGATAGCCTCTGTGTAGGTAATCCGCGGCCAGTCTTTTCGCATGAAACCCTCCCAACGTTGGGATACCTGTTCAGCAACAGCCAAATCTGAGGTGCGTTCGCCCGTTCGTGTCAAGAGCTCATCCTTAATCCTCGAATCGGCCAAGTCCGTGCAGATATGTCTTAACATATCTTCCACGAGGTCCATAACGGAATCTAAACCATCGGTAAAGCTCATTTCTGCCTCCAGCATGTAGAATTCGCTAAGATGACGCGGGGTATCACTCTGCTCCGCACGAAAGGTTGGAGACAATGTCCAGACGTTGCCGAGGGCCTGGGATAGAGCTTCTAGATGCAACTGGCCTGACACAGTCGTATATACAGGGCGACGGAAGAAAGATTTGGGTGTCTCAGATTTGGAAGGGGATGATGAATGATCGCCAGCCGACACGTGGAAAACTTCACCAGCACCCTCGCAATCTGATGAGGTGAGAATTGGCGTATGAGTCTGTATATATTGGCGATTACTAAAGAATTTAGTTAAAGATGCGATTATCTCGGAACGAAATCGTAGGACAGCTGAGTTGAATGGTATCCTTGGGCGAAGATGGGGTAAAGTCCTTAGATACTCTGGGGTCTGATATTTTTTCTGTATAGGAAATGTCTAAAGTATCGTCAGCCATAACATACAGAATACTTGTTCTGAATTGAACTGACCTTAGAATCAGATGGTCCTAAAACCGTAGCTCTTTCAACCTGTAGCTCATGGCTTTGACCACGACCCTGGGATGGAATCCAAGACCCATGTAGTCGGACAGCTGCCCCGATATTTAGACTATTGAATACACAATTAACAATGATAAACCCCAGATAAGTTGAATCAATTTTGGGAGTCTCACTCCTCTGCTTGATCAGCAGGTACTACAGCTTGGAGTGATTCAACGCAGGAACCATCGCCAAGGGACACAAAAGAATGTCGTTTCTGTGCACGGACAGATCGAACGAAACCGTCGATCTTTACATCTGAGACAGCCTCATGAGGCTTAAAATCGAGGAATCCGGCGATAGACGTCGGGTTTGTGGAAATGAAGGCGCGTGATATTCGTTGTGATGAGAGCTTCAGGGGTCTCCTGAGTGACGCTCCTCGAAGAAGCGGTAGAATAGGATTCATCTCATGTGGGTTTTATGAGATTATTATGAGATTTTCGGTGGAATCAAGTGACATAGAGTCATTCGAGAACATCATAAGCACATAATGATTAATTGGAAGGTCGTATATTGTGTGGTTCAGTTTATAGTAACTGAGAGGAAATTTGATGTTGAAGTTGATTCATAGAAATAAAAAAATACATCGAGAAATACATCGACAACGGAACGGAGTTATCGGAGTCGGAAATTCCTCGGGATAAGAGGGTGATAAGCTTATCTGATTGTCCATCTCCGGAATTCCGGTTAATCCTACTCCGAATGAAGTAAAGCATCCATTTCGGTGCATAACCATGCATAAGTTAATGTAATATTCATAAATGAATTCTTAAAAGGGGTAAATCTATTAACAATATCATTATTTTTTCTTATTCCTACACCTCTTACCGCTGTACTCGTAGCGAAGCCGTCCATCGTTCCACCAGATATAACTCACACATATTCCGAAGCGGCTATTTTCTCATCTTATATGGATGAGGTTTAACTATTTAAGCGACGAAAGAATCCAAGGACTAGGTACCTCATATCTACCTAGGTATACTTAGGTGGAGTTACCTAGTACCGGGCATGAACACGAACGAAAGACATCAACGATCTATATACAGCAGGTCACTTTAATCCTCGAAGTAGATGCCCGATACTTCACCGCATAAAGCATTGTGACATATCAGACCTGCCTCATAGGAAATGTAGGTACCTACATAACTTAGCAGTATGCACTCAATCTTAGACCAGTCGCGGAGACAACCGGATAAGTCTCGCCTGTACCCGGTGATGCCGTCGAGGCGGCGTTCCCGCGTTTGCTTCTGCAGCTGAATTGCTGATCCTATTTCTCGTACCAATCATTTTTGAGAGTTGTGACTCGTCTTCCCTAGCCTATCCAGCATCTGATGTTGTGAAGGGAATATCCCCAATCTTTGATACCGCCTTGGTAGATGTAGTTGTCCCAAAACGTTGTAACTCCCTTCCATTCGCAATCCCCAACCTGCAGTATGACGACTCAGTAAGTTCGCCCATCCGTTCAATTGCTTGGCTTCACCAGGGTCTTGCGATGCTGCACGCCTAGGAGTACCAGATCTGTCCGACTTCGGTTATCTGCAGTGCGCCCTGATCTTCGACTGGAACAGCGATTCCATATACCTGGGAGCCGAGCTGTGCCACAGAGATAAGATGTCTAATTCTCCTCACCCCCCAAACTGCTGGAATACCATGTAGGGAAAGACGACTGCGCGGAAACGCGTTAGTGGATTATATTATGGAAATCGAACCTTTTAACCTATTGTCTGAATTCTTCTCATCTCAATGTCTAGGACATAGTGGGCTCCAGAGGAGCAATCATCCTATATTGGTAGCACAGACTCTCTCCCAGCACCTGGCCGTGACTAGGTCTAGCCATGACGGGGACATTCCTAATATCTGGACGAGCATGACTCCCTGCCTACCTACTCATCTAAAATAGTCAACGTAAATGAATGGAGTAGCCGTATCTCATCCTAGTTCCTATAAAGTGATATCGAGACCCAGCTGTCTGGATGGTTTTATTTATCATTGTTGATTAGCCAGTCAATTGTTTAGGTTCATATCACGACTGGTCAAATTGTTCATAATGCCTTCTTCAAAGCCCAAGCCTTCTGAAGTCGCCGCTGAGACGAAACGGCACTACATTCCCGTGATAAGGAAGGAATATGCGCACCAGTGGCCGACTCACTCTTTCTTATACCAACAACCGTTAGCACAGATCCCTCTTCAGAGTTCCATGAGCGGATACGCTCCGTCCCCTCCTGATTTCTGTAAGGATTGCCAAATGCTCCTATCTTACTCTAGCTAATGTTCTATCTATCTAGTTGTCTGCCCTGGAGACCCCGTTGATTTCGCCATAGATTGGAAGGAGAAGGTTAGTGTCAGAATACCGTTTATATGCGCGGCAAACGACAAGCGAGCTGGCGGTGACTGGGAGACTGGAGTAGTACGCATCCTTACTCACTCTTTTGCTATTTACGATATACTTACAACTACAATATAGGTAGGCTACGAAGAACGTCTCTGCCGACGCAGCACCCTTTCCGCCGCCCTCGCCACGCCAGGTCCAGGGTCACAAGTAGAGAGCAACTACCCGATCCCATCGGAAGGGGGCATCTACTCCGAATACGTAGTCGTATTTCGAGGACCGCACGACCAGTACAAGAAGCTAGACCAATGGCATGACCTACCTGTGGTCTCGATGCCAGCGGCGCGATGGCCGAAACTTAGCCACGGCGGTGCTAAGTATGCGTTCCCGCTGGAGCGCGAGATGGTGCGCAACAAGATCCGCGCTGCCCTACGTATCTGCGTGTACCACGAGCACCGGTCCGTCGTCGTCGGAGACTTTGGGCTGGGTAACGGCCACCGCAACCCACCCCAGGAGCTCGCTGAGCTTTGGCGCGAGGTCTTCCTCTACGATCCCGATATCCGTGGCCGTTTTGACTACGTCGCGTTTGTCTTCGAGGACCAGTACCAGAGCACGGCTAAGTTGATCCTCGACGACATAGCTAAGAAGAGCAAGGGTGGTTCCAGTAGTCACAGTCATAGCCACGGCCATAGTCATGGTCACGGACACCATTCCAGCAGCTCCAAGGGGAAATCCAAGGCTTCTGCCAGCAGCTCGAATTCAAGCTCTGGTAGTAGTTCCTCGGCAACGGCGCCGAGCGACTATGAGATTTTCTCTCGAGTCTTCGACCCCAACGAGATCCAAGGTGTCATGAGTCGGCCGGATCCGAGATATGGTATTTCTATGCTTACGTCGTAAGGAAGGAGAGCCAGAGCCGCGGGTCGAGAAGGTTGAGGCCCTCGTACGTCATTACACAGCATCGAAGGTTATACGGAAAACCCATGTGGATAGAATGGACCCGACGGTTTGGTCATGGGTACCGGGACTCCCAATCCTTTTGTTTTAATCGTTCATTAAGTTGTGCTTACTCGAGGACTGCTGTGTGAGGGTTATCTGCTTGAGCAAAAATTGAGTTATTGTGTATTTTGTATGGTATGCTCTCTACTTCTTATCATGTAATGATAGTGTTTTTTTGGATTGTAAAAGCTTCATGCGATTTTACACGTTTCAATTACAATGGTGCTACTCTTTTATAATATGTTAATGGCGTTGCTACGCTTTCTACTAGGGTTATGATATTCAAGTTCAGGTACACAACTATGTCATTAAGCATGTTCGGTTGTATTTTTCGGTTCTATTTTACCTAGACACTATCCGGGTTCCCATCCACCGTTGCGGCTGGCTTTCTTGCTTCGTCCTTAAACCCTGAATACCCCCCTGAAATAAAATTTCGCTAATTTGATCGATATGATATCTCGATATCACAGGGGTAAGAGCCCTGTAATTAGGATGTCAATGTGATCTATCATGAAGCTTAGGTCACATGAGCCCCCTGTAATGCGCGGTACAGTATCTCGTACGGCGTTCGAACCGAGATAGGAGCTCGAGGAGTGACAGAAATGGTTTGTACTGGTTACAGAACTGGAGTTGTCCTCATTCCACGCAGAACCCCCGGGTGCCAATCAGACCTCGTATACATCATTATTGCGTTATGCTGTGAGCTTTCCTCGAATGAAACCGGTGTGGACATCATGCTGTAGTATTTTCTTTTTCTTCGTCGGCCAGCCTGCAGCTACCGTAACGCTCTAGGTCTAGCGTGTTATATCGCATGGCTTATAGGATATTTCGCCTATACATGACATACGAGGGAGCCTTTGGTTAGTCTCTACCCAAGGAAACGACCAGAATCTTGGAACTTGCATGCATGTGCATACGAGACCTACGGGTAGGGAAGTTGGCAACACGGTTATACGGAATCGAATTACTCAGGCCACAAAAAAAAAAGAAAAGAAACGATCGAATATGATTTGTGCGGAAACAAGAAGTATCTTCCCCTAAATCATGTAAGGCATAGAGCTAATTCGCGCACGACGGACTGATGGGTGTTTCCCTAAAGGAGGGTTGTGTTAGCTCCGTGTGAGGTCTCATTTAATGCCCTAGCTTCCTAGGACCGTTGTAAATGTCTGTTCGCGTCAGATAGGCGAGCTTGATCAGAACCTTGGAAATATTGGTGTTTCAGCTACTTAGAAAATAATGGCCTGGTCTTATATGATTCTAGGGTTATGCTTCCGCGGCGAGAAGAGATATAGTGTTCAAATGTCCATTTGTATACTGAGTCGGCACCTGAGTCCAGCTCACTGAGAGAGGAGAGCTAGCTAGGTAGTTATTGTAGGTACCTAGTATAGGAGACCCGTTAGGTACCAATCTCGTTTTCTACTTAGGTACCTGCCCAATAGCGAAGGTTGGGGGTTCCTGTAGGCTGCCGGGTCGCGGACAAGCAGTACCTGAACCCTGAAGTCCTAGCGTGCCTGAGTGGTACCCCGAAACCTGTGATTACGCCTTGAACCTGTCGCGAGAGGAACTTTAAAGTGGTCATAAAGTGAGATTCCGGTACGGAACTCAAGCTTCTAGCGGTACCTTGATGCTGCAAGTAACCGAGCCCATAGACATGTAGGCTATTTCAACCTAAAACCAAGGCCCGCGAGGTGGATGTGATAGCTAGAAAGGAGGGAATAAATTGGTGTCTAGGAGGAAGAGGGTTTGTTTTGTTTTCTTGGGGAATAGCTCGAAGCAACGGCCCGGATGTGGCGTCTAAAAGGGCATGGGATACGAAGTTTACTAGCCATTTATTGGTTCGAAAGGGCCATGTTTCTGTTTACCACATGCAAAGTAGAGGCGGGTTGTAGCATCTCCGTCCCGTGTTATCAATACCATGAGTACCTAGGATTTAAGGGCACATAAATCTTCATTTGGCGGAATGTTCTCAAAGGGTGCCTGCAGAGCGAGTAAATGGCTTGGGGAATGGAATAGATCGGATGCCTGACCACCTAATGTAAGGGTTTATGAGGCTGACCAGAGCTGATCTGGTTCGACAGAGGCGATTAATCAACCCGTAGCGTTGTTTACTAGGTGATCCCGACTCCCCCACGCACGATGCCATTGTGGCTGGCTGCTTGTACGATGATTAAACTTGAATTATACGGCGAAGACGTCCACTGACAGTGCTTATGCATGCTTCCTTGAAACATATAGATCAAGGTCAACTGACTTTAGCGACAAAGTGCTCATTTTACCTCATTAAATCCGTATCGGCACAATGCGTATTGTAAATAAATAGCACACCATCAAGTCATGATCAAGGCTGAATCCGTTCACTAAACTATACATGACTCAATGATCGGCCGCAAACACCCTGGTCCGAATCAGTCCACGAATAAAATGGGGTTCGTAGCCGTTATTTGTTGTTGAAACGGACTGAAGCAGTCGGCTATTTTCAAATGTCTCGGGTTTTACTTCCGTTGGGATTTGTTTGCTGTGATTATAGGCGAGATGCAGAGATGGAAATGATTTCGGCCGAGTTGGGGTCCTCTCAACTTTAGCTAGGATTAACATGTAGGCAATTGATTGACGAGATAATTTTGCGGAAGGCTAAAGAAAAATATTGCTGGCCCCTACATTGGCATTTCTTATTTGGGTAGGTTGGGAGACACAGGGTTAGATTAGCAGCACCAAACATCGAAAAATATGGGTCGATCGTTTGGCGTTTGGGACGGGAGATATGCAATTGTCTCCATTTATGGGGAAGGTGATCTGTTGCCGATACAGTGGAATCTGGAGATGGGCTGGTCGGATAGACGTGCCGTAGATATGGAGCGGCTTCTCCTAAATTCTCTCTGTTCAAGATCTAGTCTGTGTCCGAGTGCCAGGTCTTCGGGTCGAGGCTATCTGTACATGTACTTACTCCCGTCAATGGTATTTTACCAGTACTGTGGTCTCAATCCCTGGAATGTTGATGCTAGGGAACTATGCTCTTCACCTTCTTTTCGTCTTTGCCCAGCCAACTACGCCATAATATATTAGTAACAGGCTTCGGCCTATCACGGAGAAAAGCGAGTTCATAATTGACATACCTCGAGTTGCACACCTTTATGTATGTGCACCAACCAGTCTACATAACTTTGTGCCTCGTTGTTGCGATCCTCAATTAACATCCTTGCGAACTCGTATTCAGCTCCATCAATACCTTGCCTTGCCAATTGAATCGTTAATGCCTTAGAACCGCGCATAGTCTTGAGGAATTCGATTATATTCCGGACTTGAGCGTTAAGATGTGTCTGTAGAACTGGCAGGGAAGAGCTGTATGGATCGAGTTGGTTGAGGCTATCCTTGCCCTCTCCGAAAAGATCCACCAGTAGGTTAGGCGAGGTTTGGGAATGGAACCATAGTAGGCACTGTTGTCCGTTATCTACCAGATATACTCCACCTGGTTCAACTCGGCTGAATGATGTACGGATCGCCGGTGGCACTTTCAAGTAGCCTGTTTGCTCATCGGGGAATCCATCATCTGGATTCAAGTTGTGAATGGGGATCATCCTGGGGTAAAGATAGAGACTGAGCTCCGCGGCACCTATTGACCTGATCATACGCATTTCGTGTACTCTCCGATCGGATGTCTCATTCCCTCCCTTGAATGCTCGGCTCTTGATAAGCCCAAGCATGTACATAGCGAACTCCTTCAGCTTTTCTGGCATGACAAGCTGTCCTGGGGGATGAGATTGGGACGAGAAGTTCTTGCGATATCCTGCTAGGACGTCGATGGTCTTCTCTGTTAAACCTAGCCTTATGTCCTTTAGGGTGGTAGACGTTGAGGCGAGTTTAGAAGCCGCATCTTTGGCAATAATTGTGTAAACAGCGTCTTGATCCACAAATTTCATACACTCGCGAGGGTTATCGCTAATACTGGCGATCACATTGCAACACCTTACTCGACGTTGGCCAGAGGCTGTCGTGTATAGTAAAGCGGATTGGAAGTGAGCGTCGAGTTTCGAATCGAGCTTTCCATCATATCCAAACGTAACGCCCACGGCTTTGTCAGCATCTATAACCCCTATTTCAAGATCGGCTCCGAAGGTATGTTGTATGAAGTTGCCGTGGTAAGCTGATATTTGGAGGCCATTGGAACACCGGACTTTCATTAATGCTTGATAACCTGTTTCCCTTGTAACCGTGTGCTTGATTTCAAGGGAAAGCTTAGCATTATCGCGGCCGACCACAAAATTGGGGTAGTAAAAGGTTTCTCCACCTGTGGTAGACGAAACATGACCTTGGTATAGTTAGCTAACATTAATGATGCTGGGCTTCTCCTGTCCACTTACCGATGGTAGCTATGTCCAAATATCCACCAGAGGGTGCAGCTAGGAAGAAGTCAACACCAACACCGGCTGCGACCATTTTTTCGGCGACTTTTCTCCACGCAGGATGTTCGGTAGTGAAAAGTTTCTTATCGATTTCACCTCCTGGATACTTCCCGTCGTCTCTCATAAAAAGCCGACCGGGGCCCCAAGTAGGCAAAGCGGATAACGAACATACAATCTTTCCTCCAGTAAGTTCAAGCGCAGCTAAACACGAGGACAATGTCGGCAATAGAGCAGGTTCCGGATTTTTAATATCTGCGAAAAGGGTCGGCAATCGTGTAAGTAGTGATGTGATTACAGCTTTAGATTCGTAAGGGTCAACGAAGAGCCCATCACTGAGTGGTACGAAGGGGTCTTCAATATCTGGCATGATCATCATTTGTGCTTGTTCTAGGGCGGGCTAAACAATCATTAGCGATATTCTCCTTATAAGAAGATCGTCATGGAACTCACATTGCAGTTATAGAAATGGATATCCTTATCGTATGTAACGAATCCAACTTTGGCACCAAGCGGAACTCGTCGTTTCGGTTCACCATTCTCGTCTATTTCTTCGCTCTCTTCAGGGGCGTAAAGCGCAGCAAGGATTCCTTCACAAAAAGCTTCCAAAAACCCCTTATTATATGACTCCTGAGTAACGTCAATCGCAAATAACCAGTGAAGACCCGTGGGATCCTTCGTCCAATACTCCTTAGGTACCGTAAATTCGACAGTTCCCCTTGTAAGTTCTGGTCGCTGATCCCTGTCCACTCTTACTCCTTGGGGTGTTGTCGCGCAAAAATACTCCGAGGGGGTATCATTGGGGTATGTACAGAGATTGCACACAAATTTGCTCCCCCCGGAACGGAACATCATAAATGGATTGATATAGGCTCGGCATCTTCGACATCTTGGTGGTCCAACATCCCCAAAGTCAAGCACAGGAACCTCCATCTCGCCAGGCTGGAGACGAGCTAGAGGCTGTAAGACAAGTCCTAGGGGTAAGCCAGTGCTATTTAAACCTTCCGAATTCGCTGGTATACTGTTCATTGTTAATCGAGTAAATTTGGGCGAGGAATTGCCTTGGTCATAGGCAACGAAGGACACGACGGCGGGAGGAGGTACATGACGCTCGAAAGTGGGATATACGTTGCTGAGGTAGTACTGTTGTGGCATGTCTCTGGACACTGGCACACTCGGAATATCGTCTGGTGATACCTGTCCTCCACCCGAAGCTGGTACAAACGTCGGCGCTTGACCTTGATCTATCGGGCCGTTTCTTGCAGCGAACTCGGCGGGGGTCGCAGGGGCGGCGGGGTGGAAAGGCGCATTGACGGGTGCTGGAAATTGGTTCGGCGTAGCAGGTTGTCCGATGAATTGCCCACCTACTTGCGCAGAAGGATCTGCATTCAAGAAAGCTGTAGCTGGTGTACCTGCTGGTGGTATACCGTTATATGGTTGGGAAGAACCAGGGGGCGCCTCGACAGCATGGAATACGTGTCGATCCTTCTTCTTTCTGCGTGCTGTATGTTGTCCATCTCCTAGCGACATTCCTGCCATCTGCGAGGCAAGACCGCCATCTTGCGGGGGTGCAAAGCCGGGTGCAGCAGCTGGTGAAGGCCCCCCAGGCCCGGGTGGGGGTGGGCTTCCATAGTATTGCTGATTTTGGGGTGCGGGAGAACCGTAACCGACACCTTGTTGATAGGGATTTTGAGCAACGGGGGGTTGAAATTGAGGAGGGGCAGGTTGGCTCGTTCGATTAGGATCGTTAGGATCGATTTGCTCGCCTTGCCCTAAGGAATGATACATGGAATAGTCCGCCATGATGGGGGATTGTTGACAACGTAGTTGGGTATCTCTTCGTAAACTGAATTCGTAAATTATCGTTACACCGTGCTATACCTCGTATACCTCAAGGTGTAGACAGGATTCGGTTCGGGATTCGGCAAATCATAAGGGTCGAATATCTTCCATGGTCTAGGTATTCGGTATATAGGAGAAGACGCGTAGATGTAAATTCGAGATCGTGATAGTGGGAGACTGTTCACAGGTTACATGTATTGAATTACAGAAATGTTGTCACTTTTGGTATCGTATCGCTTTTGTGGCCACTTTTTGATTTTGACATCTGAAATCAAAGCCAAGATAGAGCGATGCATGGAACACAGTCAGGGGTCATAATGTATTGGATGGAGGGTTCAATTGAAGGTGTAGAATTATTAGAATTATGGAATTGACACGATATCATTCCGGGGATTATCCGGTTATCTTCCTCCTTTCCTTCCCCGATAATCAGGCCTAGACCCCGTTATAGGTACCCACTGCCTAGGTAATGGAAGCCACCATTCAAATTTTACAAGGTTAAATGGCGCGCCTCGTGGCTCGTGCAGCGCTTACCTTAATCGACGCTCAGGGCTAGGAGCTACCAAATCTGCGCTAGAGAATGTAGGTCCTTAGAACCTTAGTAGAAGGTAATTCCCGAGCCCGTCATGATACGCGACTCTTTCATTCTTTTTTTACAACTACACCATTTTCAACCCTCAACGTCTTTAAACTAATTGATCGCGCAAATCTATTACGGCCAATAAATACAACCATAAAATTATCGCATTTGGTAGAACTTTACTTCTGAACCATTTAGTATGATGACGTAGCGATGTTTACCTTCAGCTCATTACAGGGGGCGCTGTCGGAGTCATCCGCGTCGCAATCCATACTTGAGCTAGATGGAGGCATAAAGGTCTTGGTCGATGTTGGTTGGGATGAGTCTTTTGATGTCGCAAAGTTAAAAGAACTAGAGAAGTATGATTATTCAACTATTCTCATTCATGATGCTAGTATTTTCATGGTAACTAATTCATGATGACATTAGACAAGTCCCGACACTTTCTCTTATTCTTCTCACGCATGCCACGACAAACCACATCGCCGCTTTCGCGCATTGCTGCAAGCACTTCCCTCTCTTCACCAGGATCCCCGTTTACGCGACATCACCTATCATCGCCTTAGGCCGTACTTTACTTCAAGATCTTTATTCCTCGACTCCTCTTGCCGCTACGACTATTCCATCAAGTTCCCTTGATGAGGCTTCATACGCGACCCAACAATCCTCCGATATCCTCTTACAAGCGCCCACCCCCGAAGAAATCGCAACCTATTTCTCACTCATCCACCCTTTAAAATACTCGCAACCGCACCAACCTCTAGGATCGCCGTTTTCTCCTCCCTTAAATGGTCTAACAATTACCGCATACAACTCCGGTCGCACACTTGGAGGAACTATATGGCACATACAACACGGACTGGAGTCTATCGTGTATGCCGTAGATTGGAATCAAGGACGTGAAAATGTGTACGCGGGAGCAGCTTGGTTGGGCGGTGCCGGAGGTGGAGGCTCGGAAATCATCGAACAGCTTCGAAAGCCGACAGCTTTGGTCTGTAGTAGTAGGGGCGGCGAGAAAACTTCGATTGCCGGAGGTCGAAGTAAGCGAGATGAACAGTTACTAAACAAGGTGAAATCCTGTGTCGCAAGAGGAGGAACCGTTTTGATACCCATTGATTCAAGTGCTCGTGTGTTGGAGCTGGCATATTTGATGGATCACGCATGGCGCGCGGATACGACTACGGGCGAGGGCCATTTCAAATCCGCTAAACTCTACCTTGCAAGTCGCAATATTCATAGTACTATGAAATATGCGCGTAGCATGCTCGAGTGGATGGACGATAGTATCGTCCGGGAATTTGAGGCTGTTGTCGATGGCTCTAGGAAAGTTAACGGCACAGCGGATGCGGCAAAATCTGGCAAGGAAGCCGGTCCATTTGATTTCAAGTTTCTAAAGCTTCTCGACAGACAAGGTCAAATCGACAAGGTATTCGGCGCCGGGACTGAAGAGGATACCCCAACTAGCAGGGTTATTCTTGCGAGCGATTCGACTCTAGAATGGGGCTTCTCGAAGGATGTACTAAGGCGCATTGCACAAGACCCGAAGAACATGGTCATCTTGACCGAATATCCCTCTTTGGCGTCAGAAACGCAACCATCTCTAGCAAGGTGTCTTTGGACGTGGTGGAAAGACAGTCAGGAACGTGCCGGCGACAATGTGAATGGCGAAACTAAACACGAAATTGAATTTATTAATGCGAAGAGGCAGGCTTTGGAGGGTAACGACCTAGCAAGATACCAGCAATGGCTTGCACAGCAACGTCAGCTTCAGACCACCCTTCGGAGTACAGGAGCCGACGCACTTGAAGCGGCTGGGGATGTGGGTGACGAAGCTTCGGAATCCGAGTCTGAATCGGAAGATTCCGATAACGAGCAACAAGGCAGAGCGTTAAATGTTGCGACTACGATGGGGCAAGCAAGTAGGAAAAAGGCCGCACTCACGGACGAAGATCTCGGTATCAACGTACTATTGAAGAAAAAGGGCGTCTACGATTTCGATGTTAAGAACAAGAAGGGCCGAGATAGGATGTTTCCGCACCCAGTCCGTCGAAAGCGGGGTGACGACTATGGCGAACTTATTCGACCTGAGGACTTCCTCAGAGCGGAAGAGAGAGATGATAACGACGGCCAAGATTTAGCACAAATGGGTAGTGACGACCAGGAGAAGCTTGGGAAGAAGCGGAAATGGGATAACGCCGCAGGCTCCGCTAAGAACCAGGGCCTAGGACCGTCAAAGCGACCCAATCTTACGCGAAGTGTTACCGACGACTTCGAAATCGCAGTATCCGATGGACCTGTTGAAGACGAACTCGATGGAATCCCTGATGATCTTGATGAGACAAGTATGGGGCCTTCGAAATTGGTTTTTACGAAAGAGACTATTGCCGTCAACCTCGAAGTCGAGTTTATCGATCTTAGTGGTGTCCATGACAAGCGAAGTTTGCACATGTTGATTCCCTTGATTCAACCCCGGAAACTTGTTCTCATTGGTGGAACCGGGGGAGAGACCTTAACGCTCGCTTCAGATTGCAAGAAGCTATTAGCGGAGGGCTCCGTCAGCGTCTACACGCCGAGTATAGGTGTGGCAATTGACGCGAGCGTGGATACAAACGCTTGGGTGGTGAAACTTGCCCCCGCCCTTGTTAAACAGCTTAAATGGCAGAACGTCCGCGGCTTAAGCATCGCAACGGTTACGGGTCAGTTGCTTGCAGTTCAGAGGGAACTAGCGGCACGCCAAGAGGAAGAAGCAGCCAACAAGCGACTCAAAACCGAAGATTCAGAAGAACATGCAAATGTTCCACCAGCGAAGGATATTCCCACAGAACCTACATTAGACATTCTTCCCACTAACATGGCATCGGCGACGCGATCCGTCGCTCAGCCTCTACACGTTGGAGATTTGAGGTTAGCGGATTTGCGAAAAGCAATGCAACAATCGGGCCACACGGCAGAGTTTAGAGGTGAAGGAACATTACTTATCGATGGGTCAGTGGTGGTGCGGAAAACTACAGCAGGTCGTATTGATGTCGAGAGTATCGGTCTACCGACGGACGGGGGTCCGGCTACTCAGCTTGGTGGTACATTCTACGCGGTCAAAAGGACTATCTATGAGAGTCTGGCTGTAGTTGCCGGTGCTTAAGCGAATGAGGGGCATTTTCGCGGACATGTACTACTATGTGGAATTGAATACCAAACCGAGTTCGCAGATACACCAAAAGCCATCCTCTAATGCATCATATCGATAGAACCTATTAGCGTATCAAAATGCTTCTAATTGCAAATGTATTCGGACTTGGATATGAATGTGATTGTTTAATGGCCCTTAGTCCATGCTAACACTGATGACCATTTGTCAAGCTACTAAATAAACTCTTCGAGGCAGTTCTATCAAATTCCCAGATAGGTCTTCGTGAGCTTGTCGGTACAGGACTCCGAAATAGGAAAACTTCGTTCAACTTCAAATTACCGTAGACCACGCAGGCGACTTACGTAACTCCTCGTGTAAGTACCACGAGCAAACCATTTGATATACCGACGATAGTGCGGGTTACTTAAAACTGGTAAAAAATTGTGGGGGAAATGTGTACAGAATCGACAATTCTGGCGCTATTCTTGTGATCCTGGCTACATGTCCACCAAGGTACTCATCCTTGAGGAATGTCTATATGAATAGGAACTGCGCCAGAGCCGCATGTACCGCATCTTTCCCATCTTGTGATTTTCTTCCATAATACAATTCCAATTCTCAGAAAATACGGATTTCCCAAGCGTCTTCAAGAAAAGTGAAGGGAGTTTATTACCACCTTTTGTTCTTTCGCTAGGATTGTCGTACCTCCTCGGACATCCGGACTATCTACTGATGCAAGTAGGTGACACCATACTATGACAAAGCGGCAAGATAATACCCCGCAACGGTTGGTATCGGAAGTTCTTGCTTTTCCAATCATTCTAATATTCCTACAGGTAGCTGCTGAAACAGGGAATCTCATTGGAATAGATATTTGACGCGGTCGCCTTGATAGACAACAAATATACTCGAATAATTTCCAATAACATCACCTTCCAAATAGGACGGCATATCGATCAAGGCCCTGACGGGGTTGAGAGGTGCCATTCGACGCGATGCAGGCTGTTGGGAGGGGCAGTGCTGAATACAGCTCCAAAAAATGAGGCGTTCCCGTACCTGCCGATCGAGGATGCTAGATGATCGACCAACGTTTGATCGCAGATGTCAACATTAACGGCTATCGGCGAACATAAAACCAATCGCTTATCCTACGTAACCCACAAGGAGCGCCTTCAAATCATCGATAGGTTAACGGGAAGACGGGAGTACTAGCGAGAAAGCTTGAAAGGCTCGGCGATGGTAGCTTGGCGTAAAATAAGAAGACGGGAAAGCTAGTCTAAACAAGCAGGTGGTAACATCAACGGATGTTGTATTAAGCTTGAGGCTCGATCAAGTCTAAGGGCAGCCGGGACTTGAGGTGACCAGGATATCGATGACATACGACTCCAGATTTTCGAAGAACCTTATAATGCTTCCCCGGCTGGGCTAATAATTCGAGCGGTTAGAAACTTCCACGAGTCAGTTATCTGCGATACGCCAAGGGAAAAGATCGCCAAACAAGAAGGTCAAATTTGAGGATAGTGACTACAACTGGTAACCCGACAAATTGGTATACTTCGAATATAAAAGGAAAAAAAAGAGGCGATCCTGACGACATTAGGAAGGTCTAGTGAATATGCACGAAAATCCCCGAGATCGTTAGTATAATAGGAGGTGTATACTTGGAGATTATGAAAATCGTCAGTCGCATGACATCGAATCTTGGCTTCTTGATTTGCAATTCAGCTCGTCCAAAGATCAGGACATACTCCCTAAGGGGACTGATAAGCATATTAAATGCCAAGATTATCGGCATTCCAGAACCCTGCGCCCCCTGTTTTTCAGATTTACTGTTGCGCGGGTCGCAATGATACCCAAGATAGTGACCCCAACCAACTTTCTCCTCCCTCACTACCGGGTAAATGCTATAGATATCTGCCGTACGGAGAAGGCCGCATTCTTCACCGTACTCTCGAGATCCAGTCGATAACGCAATGCGATGACGACTGAATGAGAGCGAAAATTGCTGTTCTCGAGTGGGAGGTTATTTTTGTGTTAAATAGGGGTTACAATTGAAGTACATATGGCAGTATATTCCGCGGTTCCGTGGTAAGTTCCGACGAATCGGCCGTTTTAAAAGGGATACTGAAGAAAACTGCTATCTTCCTCCCGTCGAGGCTCTATGAAGGTCTCCTTCCGAAGTTGGCAAACGGCTTGTTATCGCCCTTCTCCCCGAGCGCGTTCCTGCAGCATCGCCTCCATGGGTTTGACAGTTGGGTGTATGCCACATCAATATGTCTTTGCCTGAATGAGGATGTACTAGTAATTGGTTAGATTGATTATGCTGACGACTCGACGCGGCGTAGCTTCAAGAAGCGCGTTGTTGTCTATAGCTGTGACGGGTCATATCGCCGCCGAGAGTATGATTCCATTCGCTTGGCGCCCAGGTTTCGGTGGACTTGAAGATACGATTCTCTGTTACCTTACTTCGCAGTTTCCCAAATGTGCAGAGAGAATCGTTCTAGAAACATATCTTAGTCGAATTTACACAATTTGGTATCGTGGGTTATATCTAGGTAGTGTCGGAATTGCCCATCCGTTGGCTATAAAGGGACGCCGTCTGCTCTCCTGAACTTTGAAGAATTTCATCAGCAAGTAGCCTGAACAGAATCACTGGCTACCGTATGTTCTAAATAACTTCAAAACCTTTTCATCAAGATGAAGTTCACCGTCGGTCTTTCTTTCCTCGCCGCACTGGCCAGTGCTGTATCGGTCGATCTGACCAAGCGCGACTCCCCTCTCGATGTCAAACTTGAGATGGTTGGCAACACCGCCGTTAAGGCTAGCATTACTAACACGTATGTATAATATTTCTCCCCATGTGTGCTCCCGAAAAGTCAGTTCTGTCCAGACCCGGGGTCAAAAAATTGAAAACTGATATTTCTTGTACTCGAAAAATCGTCGAGACAGGATTTTGGTGAATTCGATCACCAACCAGAAACATAGCTAACTTTAGGTTTCTAGGGGCGCCATTGACGTGAAGGTCTTCAAGACGGGTACTTTCCTAGATGAGAATACTCCCACCGAGAAGGTTGAGATTTTCCAAGCTGGTAAGTTGCCACAGATAAATCTAATGTTACTTATATAAAAATGGTATTAGTTAATATATATACCAGGAAATAAGCTCCAGTTCGATGGAATTCGTCTCCGCATTATGACCAGTGGACTCAGTGAGGAGGCTTTCCGGATCATCGCTGCTGGTGAGACTGTGGAGGCTACGTTCGATGTTGGTCAGGTCTACGACCTCAGTGCCGGCGGCAAGTATGATGTTGTCTCCAAGGGCGCCCTTAGTTATGCCGAGGTCAACACCACCGACCTTGCTGGCGTCTACTCTATCGCCGGTAGCTCCGTTACCGCCGAAGTCGATGGTGTTGCTGCGAGGGATGTTCGCCGTCGATTCCATGCTAAACGTATCGACGTACAACAGGACTGTACAGGCTCGAAGCTCAGCTCTACTAACACTGCCGTCAATAATTGTCGTTCCCTGGCCTCTGCAGCATCAACTGCAGCATCTTCTGGCTCGTCCACCAGGTTTACCGAATTTTTCAAGACGACTTCTAGTTCGACTCGTAGCACTGTAGCAAGCGTCTTCACTAAGGTTGCTAGCGAGTGCGGAAGCACCTCAAGCGGCGTTTCCGACCTGTACTGCACCGACGTATACAGCTCGTGTTCCTCAAATGTCTTGGCTTACACGCTCCCGTCAGCTTCATTCATGGTTAATTGCAACCTATACTACACAGCGCTGCCTGCTCTGACCAGCACATGCTACGCCCAGGACCAGGCTACCACCACCCTCCATGAAACCACCCACCTGACTCAAAGTAAGCTTTTACCAGTCTCAGCACTCAAAGAACTCATAAACTAACAAATAAAGTCGCCGGCACCGAAGACCTTGGATACGGTTACGACGCTGCGACCAGACTAACGACAAATCAGGCTCTTAACAACGCAGACACGTACGCAATCTTCGCAAATAGTGTGTTCAATAATTGCTAAACGATATCCTCGTGTTGTGATCATGAGGATTTGGCTCGGGTATTTGAAGTTTCATCACTGTCGGGAGGCGTTGAGCTATATTCAATACCAAGCTACCTAGGTATTTATTAGCGGTCTATTCATACGAAGCAGTATTATGACATGTCAGAAAGGGGGGCTAGCTTTGTATGTATACGAGTACCTCTGCACTAGTAACTTGTAGGCTCTTGAATAATAACAGCTACTATCCTTGGCCCGATGACGGTTGAACTTGTTGAGCCATTTTCGATAGCTAGTGATTTATGTGATCTGGTCTGTTGGGATGGCCTCGATTCAGGGGTAAGTCGTTGTGTACGTACCCAAAGTATATTTAATGTTCGTCCTTCAATCTAAGTTCTAGCTGCTACCATGAAATGACGTAAGTTGAATGCCCCCGATTTAGACTTTCCTCGCTATGGGAAGTACGTACCGCTCTTACTCAATAAAACATTATGGGACCATAAGGTATCAATGAGGTGGTCGTCAGCGTTGTTAACGTACCTACCAGGTACCTAGGTAGGTTGTATTTTTCAACATCTCTATACCTACCCAGGTAGGTAGGGATCTACCTAGGGAGCCAAGAACCGCACTGCTTTCAGAGGCGTAATTTCTGACTACGACTACCTCGATGATTTATAGGCAGCAAGTTCGCGGAAACATCCAACCTTTTTTTTTTCCTGAGAGAAAAAAAAGGAAGAGAAGAAAGAAGACCAAGAAGGCAAATAAGAAAAGTAGTAAGAATAAAGCCAACTACCTAGGTATCTTAGGCGTGGGCGTTTAGATCATGTACTTGCTTTTTTGGCCAGCATTGGTGATTTTTTATTGGGAACTCGTAGTAATCTATCTTTGAGTATCGGTATGCGTATTGAAAAACAAATAGGCAAAGGTGTATTGATCCATCCTAGGCCACTCCTAAATCCAGATTTATAAGGCACAGATCCCCGAACGCCTCAGTGCAATGCAATTACGTAACCCCTGTGGCACGTATCCCTGTAGTATTTCCCACGCAGCTGTGCACGATTACCATCCATCATCTCCCTCGTCTTCAGAAGCGCCTATAAAGCTCGGGAACTCATCTTCATCCCCAACCTCGTCATCTTGGAGCTCGGCACCGTCCTCCTCAGAGCTGGTGTTTTCCTTCGACACTTCGGTATTAGAACTCCGATCTGACATTGTCGAGACCGAGTCCTGCTCGAGATACCCCTGGCGTGACTGGCTTATGATCTCCAACAAAGACTTTGGTTTAGGCTCTTCGTCTTCGTCGTCATTATCGCCTTCGTCCTCATCTTCAGATACAACTCGACGGCGCTTGTAGCGCGATGATGTCTTAGCTCTCTTTTTTTCTTCTTTTTCCTTTTCTTCCCTTTCTCCTTCTTTCTCTTCCTCTTCTTCGTTGTCTTCTTCGTCATCTGAAGATACAATGCGACGCTTGCGTCGGTTAATCTTCCGTGTAGGTCCTTCATCGGAATTGTCTTGTTCCGGTTCACTGTTATGACTTGGGGACTCAGGCTCGAGACTAGAAAAGTTGCCAACTTCCTGGGAACCATTTCCTAAAAGGAGCTCAGGATCTTCGTCTTGGATAGGAGAAAATCCATCAAAAACGGATTCATTGTCCTCGATACCAGATTGCACCACCAAATCGTCATCCTCAGATTGATCCTCGTCACTACCAATCGTCGCATCATCTATACCCTCACTTTCGTACTCATCCTCAACGTCAGATTCTTCTTCAGAATCATCGGAACCTGAATCTAGGGCATCTCCAGCAGCCACCGCCGCTTGCATCTTCTCAAGGCGGGGAATGTCTTCACCAGAAACTTCGATAAGAGGATAAATAGGCTGCTTAGAATACCAAGCAATAGGATGGATGTCGTCCAGGGAGTTCTCTGGCCAGTGATCCCCTGGCCAACAGTACACAATCTCTATTTCGTTGATTATGCCTTGATACTCCTCATTTTCACGATGATAGAACGTATTAGTCAAATTGGAAGCGCACCATTTTAGCTCGGTGATTGGCAGGCCATAGGATTGGAAACATTGGAATAGACGGGGCATTAGTGTCTCATCCTCCCAGTGCCAGTTGAGGGGGTTCTCGTTGAAAGCGACAAGACTAGGGCACTTAAGATTAAACCAGCAAGCCTCTATCTGTTTAGGTGTGGCGACTTCGAGAAGAATTATATCTGTATTATCGCGGTAACGGATGAGGCCGCGTTCATTAGTCATCTCTAAGGTATTAGGATAGAAAGGTAAGGCGAGTTGTCGACACTCGCTATTAATGGACATAATAGTTCTGGCTGGTTTTGTTTGAGATGCGAGGAGGGCGCTGTCAGAAATCTCGTCAGGACTGTATGCCCGAAGCGCGAATACTCTTGCTTTTGCCTTCATGAGTGGATCGAAATATTCCCAGATAAGTGTGCGAAGTTCTTGTGGCAATTTATTGTACCCAGGTAGATACAATGGTTCAGCGGTATCTAATAAGAAATCATCATAATCTTCGGATTGATCATCAGATTCTATGGCTTCCATATCCAGGAGTCCGTTGGCGTCTGAAATATCAGATCGATCGGAGTCGGATTCACCAGGGCTGTCATTTTCATCGGATGCGACGCGGTCTTCAATATCAGATTCCTCCGACATGGTGGCGATCATTCCGTATGGTTGGAAGCTGACTCTGATGATAGAAACGTGAAATAATGAGAGCTTATGATACTTCAAGTGCTAAGTTACGCAACTAGAACGGCGCAAGATGGTATATCAAAGCGCGTATGTGCAGAGGTGTAGGTGGATGAAAAGAAGAATGATGAAAGGGTTGAGATTTGTTGGTGACGAGAACGTTACAAGGGTTAGAGCTACTAAAATCGTTACCTAGGTACCTTCCTCACCCATGTTATGTACCTACCACAGTCCGCTCTAAGTTAGCGTAGGGGTAGCATTAGCGCCGCATAGCCGAATTAGGATAGCTCTCTGATGTACATTCCTTCCAATTTCAGGGTAGCGATAAGGGCGATAACGACGAGAGATAAATGAACGGAACTTCTAAGGCTTCCAGCGATCTGCCTATTTTTATCCTCTTTATCTTCATTCTTTCACGGGGAAAAAATAAAATTATGGCATTATCTTGATTCGCGTTGGTTGGGTACCCAGGCACTAGGTAACTTATTAATACGATATCGATTGAAATCATCGAGCACTCATTCTATGCTAAGTGAACCTACAATCAATACCATATAAGAAGCTCAATTTATCTGTGGCATTGTTATGCCTGGTATCACTAATTAAAAGTAAAGACGCCTGCGAACTCCTATGCTGTAGCATCATGCAAATCCGCCTATGCGCGCATTCATAAAGCATTCCATCTCCAGCTTACCAGCTAGGATCCAACCAGTATTCCTGTCCCCGAACGCCCGTCCTTGAGATGTTGCCCCTAATTTAGTTCGATGTTCCTCTGCTGCTTCGGGAAAACCTGCTACTACTACTACGAGAACTTCGTTTTCGCGGCACGGAATCTCGATCCTGAGTCTCTTGCGGCTGTTGGGTGAGTCCCAACTCTCGCTCTTGCGCTAGCTCCCGTTGTTTCTTGTCTCTTATCAAGAAACAGCGCAGGATGCACAAATAGAGGCTCGTATTTGTCGCAAAATCCGTGTTCCACGTATCCCAATCCTCGCGATCGGCTTGTCGGCGGTAACCATCAGCTAGGAGTACGAAACGCGCGAGGTGACCAGAAAGGTCCCATTCCTTTTGTCTCTCGGCACTAGCACGCGTCCATTGCGATGCGCGCGTGTCGCCCTGCTTCACTCCTTGCAGGCTCCAGAACAGCGCGCCGGCTGCATACGGTGGCTTCTCTACGGCTGCGAGTGCCTTACTCCCGCAACGGTAGATCCGCACGAATTCGGTTCCTAATTCTAATATCTGGCGTGTGCTGACGAATTCCTTTAGTGCTGTTGAGTCGACGCCCTTGAATTGCTTTGCGACATCCTCGAGAGCGTTGGAAATTTCATGCCACAGAGCTCCGGAACGGGACTCAGCCCACTGCGGAAGGATTAGTAATTTTCTAGTGATTTTGGAGAGCAAACAATTTTGAATTTATAGAATTGTGAGTTTTTACTCCTCCGAGGAGGCAATGGATTGATAATAGTCTCGGGTGTTACTTACCTCCTTTCCGACACTCTTGTTCCATCTTGTTGATGATAAAGATATACCTCTGCGCGAAGAACTGCCGTCTGAATTATTGGACCTGTGGCGCTTAATTTTGGACTCCCATGGTTCTAGAAGTACAGGACTGCGCGGGCGTGTTTCGTCTACTTCAAGTCGCTCGATGTGCTTTTGAAAAGTTGAGACGGTTTCTCGGGCGTGACGCATGTCTGCCATCGGGTTTACTTCTGGCGTATCTTCCGCCATCTTATTATGATGGTCGCGATACATCACGAAAGAATATCGGGAAGGCATGTGTGTGAATGTCCGGAATGCAAAGGAGTAGAGATGGGAGGAAATAAAAAAGGGGGTTTAGGAAATAACCAAATCACTCAATCCGAGCGGCTTGTGCAAAGGTTTCCTACTCGTCCAAGCTCAAGGCGCGCAAAGATTGTTACCCTTTTTAAAGATGTAAATAGATAACGAGGCAGTAAGGATAAAAAGAGTGCGAGGTTGCAAACTTACGCAGTGACCAGTCGAATTATCTAATTGTCCCAAGGCAATTAAGGGTGTAGGTAGTTCTGCTCTTGAACTGGGACTGACTGACTGACTGACACCCGAACACGTGGATTTTTTTGGAATCACCTTAGAGAGCAAATACCTACAAGAGAAAAAAAAAATTAAACAATTGCCTTGTCATACTTAGATATATACTATTTAGATAGATAAAGGCATTCTTTTAACACAATCATGAAGTGGCACGTGAATCCTGCTTTGTCTGTCCACTAGAGCGTACCTTCTCTCCTCTCTTTTTGCTGACTGATTGTCCCACTATCGTAAGAAAGTACCCAAGTAAACTTGGTCTAATGCACCGTCTTTCATTAAGCTTTGGCGCCTCACAGGAAATTTTGAAGGGAAGTGCGACTCTTTTTTCCTCTCCATATTTGGGTTTATTGTTTCTTTGTGCCTTTGTCTGACCATGTAACTAGTTTGCACTAGTGTTTGTAGGGCAGAGCCACTGTAGCATGTACCTAACAGCCCCGCCGACAGCGACCGAACCACCTAACGCACGTAATAAAATCATCGTTCGTCGACGACATAGTCTTAAATGCCCTATCGCCTACAATTAATGGGGGAATTATTCGCCTCGATGAATCATACTTAAGTAATAGAGGGTTAGATGTTATAATGGTGGTCCTAATTGGGAAGTTTACAGATCAAGTCCCTTTTTCATCCAAGTTTACTCCTCGCCGTCCGTGGCCTCTCCTCATCCTCAGTCACACGAGCTTTACCACGGTGTCCTCTATCATCGTTATCACCATCACCTGTCGTCCGATTATCTAACAAAACCCATAACCCAAAAACGATAGCGGTAGCAGGTAAAGTAAAGGCCCAATAAACCCAGAAATTGTTTTGAATCACGGGACCATTAGTGGCCTGCCAATCCAGCGAGGGCACCGAGAAAAGCGCTGCGATGAAAGTTGCGGGTAGGAACGCCATTGTCATGACTGCTACTGTCTTCATTGAGGAGCTATCACGCTTGGATGCTTCTGCGATACGTCGGCTTGCGTCGGCTAGCTCGGCGTGGGTTGCAGAATCTTCGTGCGTTAGGAGGGTGAAGAGCTACCGGTGAGGTTGCTGTTAGTATGGCCGTTTTATAAGACATACGGATTTCTGGCTTGACAAAGTATCGGAAAGAGAACGGGTTTTCAAGATGGATTGAAAAGGACCTTACCACAGCAGACAAACGCTCAGCACGCTCCTTCAAATATCCCAAATACTCTTGCGACGCATGCATGCGCCTCTTGAGCGAGGGTATCGCAGCTGCTAATTTCTGCGTGCTATCCTCACCCCACTGTTCTTCGATCCCTATCACTGCATTCTCGACGATGAAATTCAGCACCGAATCCAGGAAGCGAAAATGGCGTTGGTTATTCGTGATATGGTTCAACACCTCGCCGGTTTCCTTGATAAAACCTGATATCCGTACCATACCCATGCGCTCCACAATACCCCCCGAGATCGTGTCGTGGTACCCTGTGTCCCGTTCCATAAGCCGTACTGCGTGTGCTCGGTAGGAATTGTCCAAGTCTGAGTTGCAGCATGCGCTAAGAGCTGCGACGTAGCCGAGGAGAAAGGGCGAGCGCACATGTCCGCAGTGCCGTCGGAGAACATGAAGAAACCAGGCCATTGGCATGTCTGGCGCGGGAATCATGTCCTCGACGGGAGCGCGCCATCGTAAGATCCACAGCGCGTATGTTTGCAGTCGTTTGGGGTCAAAAGTCCATACTAGCACAAAGCTAGATGTGCCAATGTAGTATGTATCAAGGCCCTTCTTCTCTTCTCCTTCCTCTTCCTCTTCCTCTTCCTCCTTCTCCTTCTCCTTCTCCTCGTCTTTCTCTGCTTGTTCTTCTATATCTTCCTTTTTCTCCCTCTTATACTCGTCTTCGTAAAACACCGGATATCCCGTATCAGCCGGCGAAGATGTCGAGGGAAAGTAATGAAAGCCGTCGTACTCGTTGCGCAGAAGCCATAATGCCGCCGGGTTCATTCCCATCGCATCGATGAGGTCGAGGAAGACATGCTTGGCGACCCACAAGGAGGGGTAGTAATTGGACCAGGTCTCCAGCCGACTATCGAGAGTAACGAGCTTGAGCGAAGCCAATGGTTTTTCTCCTACCGGTGTTGTGCTACCGCTTGAAATGCTGCCATCACTGCTCCTCGGTCCATTTCTGAAAAATGCGCCTAGGTTCTCGATTTTTATGAAATTCTCGTCGTATCTTGCCGGTGTTGCGGGAAATAGGTTTACGGTAATCGCGCGATGCTCGGCATTAGGTCCGAGACTTGAGTCGCCGTATCGCTGGGAACCTTCGAATGTCTCGCGGGCTAGTTGCGCGAACTCATCCATAGCGATGACGGCGCGGTAGACTTAAGAGGAGGGGGCTTCATTTGCGTAGTATCATAACTACATACCTACCTACCTACCGCTGATTACACAGTACAGTAATTCATAACAGCGAAAGAAATGATACACGCAGAGACGATATATAATTAGAATCGATCGCGATTATTATGCAGTGAGAAGCTTGAAGCTGGGCGATTGAGGGAGCGGCAAGCTGCTCATGTCATGAGCGATCTTCGGTGCTGAAGGATGAGAGGCGGCAGGGGTTGAAACTGGGTGGCGGCCTCCCGTGGTTACAATCCGCTGCGAATTACCGCATCCTTATCATTGAAGAGTCGTATCCATTGATATTAATAGCTACGAAATACTCCAGTATACACACATGTACTTCTGATTTTGGCATGAATCGAAGAGAAATAAGGTGTATACTTAGATACGAACGAGAGGCAGCAACCTTAAGCTGATAAAAAGCAAAATAAATACACGGTCTATATGATGACTTGCTTCGTGCATTATTTCTCTCTTTGGTATATATAGAGACGATCGCGGGGAATGTAAACCCTCATCCGATAGGTCATATAAAAAAAGAAACGATCGCAAAAATAGAAAAAGAAATGCATCAGCCGCGAATCGAACGCGGGGCCCATCGATGGCAACGATGGATTTTACCACTCTATTAGATTTTGGTTAGTTGGTGTTGAAGACATTGAGCTGGACGAGGAATTACTCACAAACCACTGATGCGTCCGTTTGACGATGAAAATTTTTGCGGTATTTTGCTATATTATTACCCAGCAGTGGGTGAGACATCGGCGTATTTCTGATTGGTTCGTCTTCATAGCGACTGGAGATATCGCTAGTTCAACCAATGGCCCAGAGAGAGACTCTTAATTGTGTAGTACGAGAAGCCATCTTGTAATTATAAGTCCGAAGCCCGTCCAAAAGTAATTCTTGTGGAAATTACATAGTGTCATGCTGTAGAGTTGTAAAAATACCTCCAGGTACATATATTGTCCGTCCCCCAAGTAGGTACCTTGTATCTAGATACCTAGTATGTATCCTAATTCCCACCCTTCACTTCGACACGAACCTTCCAAATATGTCGACCTTTCTCATCGCGTCCAAGGTCTTCCAAATCAGTATCTCCGCCGTCTTCTAACCTGACAACGCGTTCTTCGCCGACTGGAAGTACTACAGTAATATCATTTTTCAACCATAAGGGCTCAAATTTACCCTCCTTCAGAAGCTCCACCTTAACGCGAATCTCGTTACTTGACACACCATACGCGATGCTAACCTCGCAAGCATCGGCCTTCTCAGCCAGACTTACGCCATCATCTTCAAGCCATGAGTAGTGGAACCATTGCGTCTCAGTTCGAACAGTCGAATTCTCTATTTTCAAATGCTCATTCCCATACCCGGTGGGGCAGTGGGGATACCGGACGATTGCTGGGGGGAATATCTCCACTCCACGATAGTTATCTTTTTCCATACCAGGGAACTCTGGGTCCTCATCTGCGATACATGTAGTCGGCTTCGACTTTCCGATAGGGACTGCAGAGCCAATACGTGCGATTACGGGGATTGAGGTGTACCATTCTGAAGAGATTTCGTGCCATTTGCCAGCTTCGAGATATTGGTATGGCGCTGAGAGATTCAAATACCCCGGATCATCGTCATTACGCTTCGGAAGATAGACACGTGCGCTCGAAACACCAGGCTCATAGACGCCCGAGATGAGTAGGGAATCTCCAAACCAATATTGTGTATCCCCTTGAAGAATCTTCTTGGACCAAACTTCGGGGTCTGACTCGTAACCCCAGCCAGTCCATCGCTGAGGAGGAATCGCTTCACGATGAGATCGCAGAATGCCAGCATACGTATACGGAACCAACTCATACCTACGCTTAATAGTGTTTCGAATAATTGGCTCCACGGATGGATACTGCCATGGCTCGATGACTTCGCCAATAAGATTATCGTCGGGGTTGGTTTTATAACAATTAATGGCGAAGCGTGGAGAGTGAACGCCAAGTTGTATCCAACGAACGAGAAGCTCTGGCGTTGGTTGGGGACCTTCGAAGCCGCCGATATCATGGCCGTAGCACTTGAACAGTGAGATTGGGGGATTTCGCATCTGAGGGGATTGATTTCAAACTTACTTGGATTAAGGAGAATCCCGCGTTCAAAGCCAACGAATTAGCTCCCTTCATCCCTTCCCAGCTCGTCACATTATCGCCGCTCCATGAGCTGGCGCAATATCTCATGGTTCCCGCCGTTGCGCTACGGGTGAGGACAAAAGGGCGGACCCCAGGCTCGGATTCAAGCGTCGCATCGTGAGAACTCTTACCATTGAGCTCAGTATTCAATGCTCGACCCCACAATCCAATATGATTTCGGGTTTCACCTGGGGGTATATCAACGGTTTCAAGTGCACATTCCCAGCTGTCATTGGGAATATTGTACTCATTGTTATCATTCCACATAACATCGATTCCGACCTTTTTGAGGTCCTTGACTCCGTTATACCACCAATTGTACCCTGCTTTGGATGTGAAGTCGAGGTGGCTACCTTCTCCACTCTCTCCTCCTCCCGCACTCCAAAGTCGTGTAACAGCGGTAGTCTTGGTGTCTGGATCCTTGAAGAAAGCTCCGATCCGCGATAGTTCCGTATAGGCTGGATGATTCGCCAAGACGTACGGTTTAACATTTGCCAATAGACGGACTCCATGTTTATGGCATTCGCGTGTGAATTCCCGAGGGTCTGGGAAGCGGTGCCGGTTCCAAGTGAACACATTTCTCGTCTTAGGCACCGTTTCAGCTACAGTGTATCCGGAACTCATTTGGAAAGCAGAACACGGCATCCCATGTAATTCGGCATTTTTGATGAAGTTGAGGATCGAATCGCATGCTCTTGGCGAGTCTTCCATGCTATATTTCATTCCGCCGCCGACATATCCCATCATGTAGCGAGGTACAAGCAACGGGAAACCAACAAGCTCGGCGTAGGATCGTACAATCTCGGCGACCGTCTTCCCAACAATGATGTATTCTTCCAACCCGCCATGGGCCTGTCGATATACCTTGAAGTGGCCCCACATGCCATCAAGTTCGGAGCCAATAGCCCATGTCGACCGAGCATGAGAGGTTGAGAAGATACCGACGCAGCCTTCGGGAGTGACTTTAATCAACAGAGGGATATGCTTATACAATGGATCTGTGCGATATGCATCGTACCCAAATGTATCGCTTGCCGTGATGCTGAAACCACGTCCGCTCAAGTTCATCGGTGCTGCTTTCTCTCCTAGACCGACATATAGGCTATCCGTCTTGTAGGTCAGATAGTGGGAAACTCCGGTGCCATCAATGGCATACGACCTAAAGTCCAGGTCCCGATGAATTGGTTTCGATTGGCCATCCAGGAAAAGGGATATAACTGGCGTGTTAGACCAGTCAATATCGATCTTGGTGTCCCCGATCTTGATTGTCTGCGAATGTCTTTCCGCATCAATGTTGACTTCAGGGTTGATGCTCCCGAAGGTAGGTTCTGGACGGTTTGCACTGGGATGTATCGGAAGCACATGCTTGGATGTAGTGAATGTGGTGCGAAATACGTTCGGACGCAATGCTTCGAAGCCAAAGTGACATATTTCGCCATCATTTCTACCGGCAGAGACGAGAGCTAGAGAAGGGGTCTTCGATCCAGTCTCTTGTTGAGCATCCAACACATAGTGCTTCGGTACGCGTTCATATTGCTGAAACATGGTTTATATAAAGTGAAAGAAAAATAAGCAAAGATTTCTTCGAGGCTACTATGCTAACCACCACAGCTCTACCAAGGATCAATGAGGGGTATAAAGGTAGAATTACAAGAGCAAGAGGTCGAGGTAAGGGACTTAGTTGTATGCAAGCAATTACACATGCATTTGCCCAAGCAGTTGCCACAACTTTGAATGGTTATAGAGTTAATATGTTAGGTATCTCGGTTACTCTTACCTTAGTATTCGCCGGTTTCTACCTGGATGGGCAAATTTGAGTTACAATGGCCTAGAGAGCTCCTTTCAAGTTTCCCTTTCGGGGGAATCGGAGAGGGGGCGACTATCCCGCGGGATGGAGCGACTTCCATTATTACTATCTGTTGGAGAATCGCGAGCTATGCAAGCTAGAATATTCCTTCACGTGCATGACTTTATGCATTAGGTACGCACATAGTCATGCTTCAAAACTGGAAGGGATATATGTGGGTCGCTAAACGCTTAGAACATGGGAACTCCACGATGTATCGTTGAATAAGACTTGTTACTTCGCCATCGTGGTATCGGTAATTGGAGCTAAAGCCTGAGGCTGTTAAGTACCGGCGCCAATCATAGACGCAAATGGACCAGGTTGGTGCTCCTCGGGCACAGATAGGCCGGTAAAGACAGTCAAACTGTTGCGCATCGCCACAAGTCCGGGCGCCGGACGTTGCGAGCGAAGCTACTTTAGTGCAACATAAGAATTTCTAAACGAATGTGCGCCCAAATCCTCTTACACTGAAAGCCTAGCGTATAATCCAATGCCGAGCCCGAAATAGGAACAAGCAAGGACGTCGAAGAAGAAGGGCTGCGATACGTAATTCGGAGAATAAACCGCCTAGAGCCAAATACAGTCACATATAGTACGTCCTAAGCGCCCAGGATGTCGCAAGTATAATTTGTACACGCATTATAAAGTCACCCCATCAGACATCAATATTCATCGTATCCAGAAAATTCTATTAATCAATTCTATAAGAAAGGATGAAATGTTAGAGAATTCTATTCAAGAGAGGGAACTGGGTACCGAGGTACGAATTACTTAGTTCCGACCCCGCCGAGCTACCCCGCAATCTGCTATACTGTCCTCTCCTTCCTCACGGAGACGGCTCCGTTCTATGTTGTGTGATTCAATGCGGCACGGGGCTGGCTCGGCCCGGAATTTATTTGAGGAAGTCACAGTGGGATAGCGGCCGCTGTGCTACGATGAGATTCAGCACCCCTATTCTGCTTGACCAACTGGATGAGATCAGGATTCATCAAGAATCTTGCGTAACACCACACCTGATATGACCTTATGTAAATCCAAACGGAATTATAGAAGATCATTAACTACCCTCCCAACCGTATCTCCCGTATAAGTTTTCATATCAGGCAATCCAGGACTTCTCTCCCGCCTCGACGAATTACTAGTATAGATGGAATTCCTTCCAAGTGTCTGTAGCATATGTTGTATTCCAGGCGGAGAACTGCGATACCTCATTCCGCATACTCGGGACTTCCCCGCATAGTCCCGCAAGGTGAACTCAAGGTCTCCTCCGTACTGCGACAAGGCGTTTTGATTCATTCGTAGCGGACAGAGAAAAATATTATGAGAACCTCTAAATGTAATAGTCCCTAGATGGGGGAAGCTTTCTTTTCCCAGCAGGGCGAAAAAGGGTTCCCAGTCAGTCCGAGTGCGGTATAGTGTAAGCGACTCTAGGCTATCTTTAAAACGGAGAATAGCGCTCGAGAATATTTCTGGTGAAAGCGGCCTCCAGGCACTTAGCTCAAGATGCTTGACGGCGGGGACTGTTGGCGATTCGGCTATTCGCTGGAGAAGTTGATTGACAACTTGTGAAAGGACACATTTTAAGATTAATGTTCGAAGATTCACCGCTTCTAGAACGAGATTCGACGTTATTTTCGCTAATGCGATGCCCGGCTGCCACCAAAAATTTATGTGTTGTATGTGGGACCACGATGACCGAAAAGGCGCTGACTTGACAGTATCAAATAATAGGTGGGCATGTTTAAACGCTTGGATATTTCGAACATAGATGTTGAAGGTTTTGATGCGAAGACGAGCAAGCACTAGGAACATAAAATTAACTGTGTACAGGGCAGAGAACCCATCTTGGATTGTGCAATCGTCATAATAATCGGTGACAGTGATTTCATCGCAGTTGGGGAAGGAAGCTAGGAGATCTTGTGCATCTTTCGCGGATGGCAATGCTGGATTTAGAAAGCCAAATTCGGCATATTGCTTTTCGTTGCCAATGCCAACTTTTATATGGCGTACGCTTTCTCGTAGTAACGGGTGATGCGCGATGTCTGCGACTCTAGGAAGAGATTCCGGTATGAACTTCAACAGAATGGTTCCAAACCAAGCTCTGCCGAATACCCTATAAGTTGCATTGTTGAGTCTTCGGCTAACAAGGCGCAGAGTCAGAAGATCTGCTCGATCCTCTAAAGAAAATGCTATGTGTTCTATGAGTTCGGTGCTCAACCGTTCAAGCATAATGTCGATAAACAGTTCAAGTTGAATAATCGATTGAATATTGCGAAGAGACCTATGTACCTACCTTAAGTAGGTACATAGGTATGCACGTTAATAAGGCGTAGCATCATGCGGCAATCACTAAAATTGCTCTAATTAGCCCCGAATCCTTGATCCGCGCCGCAACTCTGAAGGGCACCGGGAAGCCGAATCAATCTAATCCACGGCGTTTGACTCCACAGAAGAAAACGCAGAAGTAGATTTTAGAGGAGTCGGTGGATAGCAATCGGTCAATTTTGGTTCATTTGACTTGGAAGTCCAGACCTGAACTGTATGGCGCTTTTGAAACCTTTACTTAGGGCCTTCCCCCACGCGTTAAAAGGAATTCAATCATCGCAAGATCAATTTTTCCTGAATAAAACATATGATTTAGTAAGGTTTTTTTTCTCACCGGGGATAAAGTCTACATACTTTCTTTTCGTGGTTTTTAGATAAAATATCCATATAGTTTAGACAGTATGGCCCGAATGAAGAATGGTAACTCCTGCGTCATCCCAATGCCAATAGGACATTCTTGGGCTCGTCTACATTATATGTTATCATCATAGGTATGATAACATATAATGTCAATCCCTTGTCGTTAAGTTCCATTTAGCTTGTTCTAGGTAGAATAAACTATTTTGCTGTTGACTTCAAAATCACAAAGTTATTTTCAAGAAATTTTAAATCTGCCATATATGCGTCATACAAGGTTCATGAGGGGCTGAAGCTATCAGCCAGGTGCTGCTGGAACGCTTCATATGAACCTTAGAGGTATGCGATCGTAACATTGGTAAGGTGGGCCAAACATCACTATTGTTGACACCAACCCTTTGAACATTGAAAGAACATAAGCACGAATTATTGACTATAAACAACATGGTTGTTTGGGAACACGATATGAGTTATTGGGGACATTTAATTTAGCAGACGCGCCTCGTAATGATATTTTCGACTTGGAGCAAACTAAGACTATTTTTTTTTCACACTGAAAATCACTATCGTTCAAATATCTAGGTATGTATATTAATTAGGTGGTTGGCTTAAGCACAGAGCAAAATAGGTTCGTTATTCCAATCCCGCGATTCTGAAAGATCACCAAGTGTCCAAGCCGAAGGTAAAATAGCAATGATCGTTTTCCTCACACTATTTTTCGCCACTTTCGGACTTGCGTGGATTCTGGTCGCCGTTGACGCCTACAACTCCTGGAAAAAAGGTGATCCCGACCTCGAGCGCGGTGATGTTGCAGCTAATGAAGAAGCTGGTATTGAAATGAGGGACGTCGTCAATAATGATAACAACGACGACAACGATAAGGGCAAGGGTATTGCTATCCCTTCGCCTCCATTAACTCCGACGACATATCGGAGTTCGATTGCTGATTTTAGGAAATTGACTGGTGTCACGGGTAAGCCGTAGCGTACCTAGTAATTATATATAATTTATTTTCACTCTATTGTTCCTACAGGTGTTTTGTTCTTGGACAAAGCTCACATTATGGGTGACGTAATAGGTAAATCCACTGACTGAAATGTACCGTGACTTGAGTTAATCGCGCTTCATATGATGCATACCTAGAGCGCTTAAAACCATTTGTTTAGCAAAAAATCCTACCTAGGTACCTACATACCAACGTCAATGCCCCATCAAACTAAGATGATGCCTCCTGCGCGGCCGAAAATGTGTGAAAGCTCCCCGTAGCCCTCGGATACACTACCTTCGCCTCTTTCGTCCCATTCACTCCATTAACCCCATTTACACTTTCCACCGCACGAACTACACCCCCGAAGAACTCGTCATCTTCGTCAACATCATCCGGGACGCCCCAACCTCCACCTCCGGGAGTATGTATGACGCATCGATCGCCCTCCTTCATATCGACTTGGCCCCTAGATCCAATGTTAATCCAGCGCTCATTGCCGTCCTCCTGTTTCTGAACCCAGAAATTGGCGCCCGATGCGCCGGGCTCGCCACCCATCATGCCGTAGGGTCGGTGAACGCGTCGCTCGGTGATGAGACCGTATGTAAGAGGGTATCGGCACTCCCAATCTCTGACGATACCGCAGCCACCATTGAATTTGCCACGACCGCCGCTACCCTTACGTATAGAAAATTCGCGGACTAGGACGGGGTATCGCTTTTCGATGATTTCGATATCGGTCGTACGCTATAGAAAAACATGGTTAGCAAATGTATCGAATATTTTAACAGTGGTGATTGGGCTGGAGGGTAAACTAACAGTATTGGTCATGTGGATTTGTACGGCACTAGCACCATGCCAAGTCGGACCAGCGCCCTCACCACCGCAGATAGTCTCGCCATAGCTGAAGCCAAAGCCACTCTGGGGCTCACCCGACTCGTCTTTGCAGTTGCCGAAAAATCCGAAGCAGTTCATACAACCTTGAGATCCTGACGCAGCTCGGAATGCGTTGAGTAGCAAGTCGACTAGACGCTGAGAGGTGAGCGTGTTGCCACAGCAGACTGCTGGGCCCTCGGAAGGATTAAGGAAACAGTTCTTGGGGAGGATGACTTTCGTAGGTGCGAGACAGCCTTGGTTAAGCGGAATATCCGAGCCGATTAGGAGTCGTAGTGTGTAGATAAGTGCGGAGTAGGTGATCGCCGGCGGTGCGTTCATGTTCGACAGCATTTCGCATGATGTCCCGGTGAAATCGAACGTTCCGAAGCCATCTTCGTCTATAGTGATCGCGACTTGCATCATAGACCCATTGTCTAGGAATTGCTTCGCCTTGAGCGGCTTCGATCCATATTTCTTGTAAGCGGACTTTAGATAACCTCGGACGGCGACCTCGGCGTTCTCTTGAATCTTTGACATATAAAAGTGAACGGTGTGTTTTCCATACTCTTCCATTAAAGCCTTGATAAGGTTGCTTCCCTTGGTGTTTGCGGCCACCTGCGCCTTTAGATCCGACCTATGGGTGGGTTAGCTGGTGTTAACGCGACGATTAAATTAATTGAACTCACAAGTTGTCGGCCAACCGTCTTGAGCCACTACAATTGGGGTGGTTCCCAGGTTCCAGAAGGATCTTGACAATACCCTCTTCATCGAAGTGATTATCACGAACCAAGAAGAATGACCTGATAGCAGCACCTTCTTGCCATAGCTCGGTAGAATCACTAGTTAGATGTAAGCGATGTAATAGTGGAAGAAGAAGAAGAAAAGGTTTGCACTGACGGTGGCATAGAGTTACCACGGAATCCACCGATATCGAGATGGTGGCCTCTACTGGCGCAGAAGAAGCAGATTGTTTTGTTATCTGTATCGAAAACGGGTGTGATGACCGTAATATCTGAGCTTGTCAATATGGCTGCTAAAGTTATCATTAAAATTGGACTCACCTGGAAGATGGGTTCCACCGCTCTCAGGATGGTTAGACACTAGTACATCGCCAGGTCGAAGCTTTCCTAGGTGGAGGTTGTGCTGATACTTGACAGCATACGACATGCTACCCTGCGAGATATTAGAATAACGAGATCTAGGTGGAAATGGGTGAAGCTTACAAGATGAACTGGTACGTGGGGCGCATTTGCGACTAACTCGCCGTCTGGGCTGAATATAGCACATGAGAAATCCAGGCGTTCCTTGATGTTGATGGAGATACTGGTCTTCTGTAGAGTCCTGCCCATTTGCTCCGCGATGCTCATAAATCCTATTCATTTAATTAGTAATTTGAAAGTAAGGAGATTAGATCGAATTATCTTACGATGGCCAAAAATGGACAGCTTGATGGGGTCTACTACCAGCTCTTGTTCCTCTTGGGGCTGTTGCGGCTTCTCATCGACTAAATCGACAACGACGTGCGAGGTCAGAATCCGCGCTTGAGAGCCAGGAACGACTACTATAGTTTGAGTGTTGTCAATAATTATTGCTGGTCCGGCTACAATGCTACTAGGCGTAAGTGTATTCAATTGGAAGACCTTTGTGTCTTGTAGACCGCCTTCAGCGAAGTAGGTTTGTGTCTGTTAGATGTTAGCATCACACATTCTGACTGAATCCATATATGCCGAATTCATGGGTGAAATCTTACCGTTCTGTCTTCGCCATCACCGACTTCCGAGAATGCATGGAGCCTTAGCTCCTTCACCAACTTTGAGTTATCCTGGCTAACCTCTGTGGATTTGCCAACACCTCGAACTCGTACATCGTCGATATGAACTTTCTTATCCTTAGGGAAGATGAAAGATAACTCTCTTAGATGCTCTTTTTCGAGCGCCGATCTCCAGTCTCCGTCAACAGGAGATAGGATCATAAAATTGGTATCTGTGCCGGCATATCTGAGGTTTAGGTATTCTTCGTGTACGATTGAATCGTTCTGGATTCCTTGTGTGAGGAGTCCTTCAGTGACCTTTGCTTTAAGGTCCTTCGTTCGAGCCATTAACCTTGGGAGGGATTCCTCGGACAGGATTTCGGAGCTTGGCTCTTGGGCTTCCTGGACAACCTCTGCTAACGCCATTCCATATGCCGAGAGTATACTGGAGTATTTGTGGATAACTATTCTCTTAATGCCCAGCTTCTTAGCGATTTCGCAGGCATGTTGACCACCAGCACCTCCAAATGTCGCAAGGTTGTGTTGCGCAGTTTCGAACCCACGAGCTTCCGTAAGTGCGCGAATGGGACGACTCATCGACTCGTTGGCTACGTCGATGAAGCCGTGCGCGACCTCAACTGGGGTCATAGAACGACCTGTGTCCTTATTGATTTGCGCCGTAAGCTCCTCAAACTTCTTCACTACAATCTCGACGTCTAGAGGAAGATCCTCAGTTTCGCCGAAGATCTTAGGGAAATAATCCGGTATTATCCTTCCAAGGAACAGATTTGCGTCGGTGACCTTTAAGAATACTGTAAGCAATAGTCCACTTACGAACCGATGAAGTCAATGGCGGGGATGTAACTTACCGTGAGCGGTCCTCCTTTCCTATATGAAGCCGGACCTGGATGCGCTCCAGCTGAATCGGGACCGACTTTAAACAGACCATCCTTCCAGAATAACATAGAGCCACCTCCAGCAGCTACAGTATTAATATCAAGCTGCGGAGATTGAATGGAAACACCAGCAGTAGTAGTCTCGAAAACGTGTTCGAATGATCCACCATAACGTGAAACGTCTGTGCTGGTACCACCCATGTCAAACCCTACGATAGGAGAATTCCCATCATATGAAGTTCGCGCATGGCCAACAACACCACCGGCCGGTCCGCTAAGAATTCCCTTCAAACCGTTGAAGTTCTTGTGACTTACTAGACCACCATCGGATTGCATGAACTCGCACGAAACGCCATCGAGGTTACCGTCGGCAAAGACTTTAGCGAATCCGGATACGTAGCGGACGATCTCGGGCGTAAGATACGCGTCAGCGGAAGCGGAGCTACCACGCGAGATCATCTTGATCATATTCGCGCCAACCGAAGATGACGTCGATACATGAGTGAATCCGATCTCCTTTGCGATCTCCGCGATGCGATTCTCGTGTGTTGGGTAGATATACGAGTGTGCTAAACATATAGCTAGCGTCTCGATACCCTCGGCCTTAAGCTTGTTAAGTTTTTCTCGTACTTCCGCCTCATCTAGAGGTCGTATTATACGGAGGATGTCGCCGGTGATGGCCTTTACGAGGACACCGGGGACCTCCTCCAGTGGTGGTCGGCTGTCTTTTGTGACATCTTCGTCGAATTCCTCGACGGTGATGCGCTCAGAGACTTCAACCACTGTCTCGTAGAGAAGTTCCGGTTTCTTGATGCCGAGTTCAAATAACTTCGGTCTTGACTGGTAGCCAATTTCTAATAAGTCGCGAAAACCTTGGTTCACGACGAACGCGTGTCTTGTTCCTTTTCTTTCCAGTAAGGCTGTGGTGGGTCAGTGCGTCGGCCTTCAAAAATGATAAGATCGGATACTCACCATTTGTGGCGACAGTCGTTCCCATCCGAATCGAATGGATTAAATCTTTGGGGATCGGGGTCCCTCTAGGAATCTGCTGGCCGGAGATACTTTCAAGTACCCGACGGATACCTTCTGCCGGCGCATCGTCATAGCTACTAGGATCAACGGACAATAGTTTCAGGACTATGTCTTCCCGTCCTGGCACAGCGGCAAAAACATCTGTGAAGGTGCCACCTCGGTCTTAAAGGAAATTAGCTGCAAGCCACTTGTAACACGAATATAATTTTACTAACCAATGGCAAATTTCACGCTCTTGGGCTCAACTGCTAAGGGAAGTGATCCGACAGCCATCTTGACTTGGTGTGTGTCTGAATTCGGTGAGCTGCTGCTCTGAATGAGACACGGATGCCGATAAGCCTGAGGAAACCCGTGTTAATATACGAGACACCATCACGAAGGAAAAGGAATGATGATCCGGCACCGGAGCCGTGTCGACGACCGGCGACATGAACCCGATGATTTGGGCCGTCGTTTCGAGATGCCAACAAGCTGCCGACATATCAGCTGATGGACTTCGAATTACACTACTACGTATTGTCGTAGCTTGAGATGGGGATGGCCGATCCGTCCCTTTGGAGTTGTCCCCATTATCTGGGCGATCCCCAGTCGTTTAGTGGAGTCCAGCAAATCATTTCCCCGCAGATACAGCACAGTATGAAGAGATACCGAATTCGTACGCGTCCTCGGAGACTAATGCACGTCGATTCGAGTTCCTCGTTTTTTTTTTTCAGACCAAATCACGGGTCAATTCCGATACGTCTTGACCAATCATATTCACAATCTCCCCTGAATTACCTACCCCAATAGGCACCTATAATGTCGTGGACTTAAAGCTAAGTGTAGGAAGGTATCCACTGTATCTCCAGGGGGCTATCAGGTTGAGCTTCGTACCGAGGGTCTGGAAAATGCAGATGCGTATCAGACCATCACTATCTATCTCTGCGCCCAGATATGCTATTGTATAGGGCCATGAAGATAATTGACGAATTCTATCCGAATCAAGTTAAATCGTCGCGGAGGATACTAAGTGTCAGGTTTCTCGAACGCGTCGTGTCCTTTTTTAAACTGCTAAGATAACTGTTCCTGGTATAGACTACTTTTCAAAGCATGTGGAGTCTTGCAGGGAACCGGTAGCTTGGGGGCTTCGAAGCCTGGGTTGTGGTGGTGACACCAACCCCAGACTGATAAGCCCCAAGTGCCGTCAAGCGTAGGTTGATCCTGTCTATAAAGTCCTGGGAAATGAATGAGGTACCCACGGAGTAGAGACGCGTTAGATATTCGCAAGTCACAGAGTTCGTTTTTTTGGTAATTTGATTCTACTCATTACTTTATATAATGTCCTCGGATATCAAACGCGACGACTTTCTGCAGCCGGCCACCTCAGCTGTGGTCGGCGAGTCATCCAAGATTGATGATCGGGAGTTGGATGAGGCCGCAAAGTACCTCGCGAATCATGAAGAATTTGGCCCGATGACTCCAGAGCAGGAGAAGGCGATTGTAAAAAAGATTGACTCTTGGATGATTCCTTTGGTAAGCTCCATTCAATGAATATTTATTACTTGCGTTCAAGTTACACTCCTGAGTTGCAATTGCGACACGAGTCTGTAAAATAACCTTACCCCTTTTAGTTGGTGTTCACCGCGACCCTCTCCGCCGTCGACAAAGTAGAAATAGGGACAGCCTCCTTATATGGGTTCCAAAAGGATAATGGCATGGTTGGCCAACAATATAGCTGGCTTGGTAGCATCCTTCCATTGGGTGTAAGTGGACAGCACCCCAACTATTGAATATCATCGCTTATCTTTCTGGAGACTTTGATTGGGTTGATTCCAGCTTCATGGCTTGTACAACGAGTGCCCGCTGGGAAACTTCTCGCGGTCGGCTCCTTGTTATGGTCGATTTGCACCTTGATGTACGCGGCGTGCCGAACCTGGTCCGGCTTCATGGGCCTGCGATTCTTGCTAGGTTTCCTCGAAGCCGTTTCAACGCCATGTTTCACAGTGCTCGTTGCGTCGTTTTACAAGAAGGAAGAGCAACCACCTAGGAACGGAAGTAGGTACTGAATATATCCAGCCTAGTGGGTTTCCCTAACATTTTCCAGTCATCTTCGCATACTTCTCGTCAATCTTCAACGGCTTTTTCGCCTGGGTTATCGGATACATTCCTGCATCCGCTCCATTGCTGAAATGGCAGTACCTCTATCTCTTAACGGGGTCGATCAACGTGGTCTATTCGATATTCTTATGGTTTGTCTTGCCGGACAGCCCCATGAATGCGTTTTTCTTTACACCGGAGCAAAAATATCATGCTACAAGGCGACTCGCGGCGAATCGAACTGGTATCGCCAACAGGGTGTGGAAGTGGGATCAAGTCTGGGAAGCACTGATTGACCCGAGGGTATGGCTGATCGTCTTATTCAACATTACCATCAACATCCCCAACGGTGGGCTCCAAGCGTTCGGATCGATCATTATCAACAATTTAGGGTATAGCCCCCTTGTTTCTAGCCTGCTCACGATGCCATTCGGTATTTTGGCTACTGGTGGCGCTTGGGCCTTTGGATATCTCGCAGCGAAGTGGCACAACAGGCGAGCACTAACTGCCTCGCTTGCTTTATTGCTTCCCATTTTTGGAACCGCCTTGGTATACGGATTACCACGGACCAACGTTGCCGCTCAAATGGTGGGATTGTATTTTATGTACTTTTATTGGCGTAAGTTTTGTGCCCCACGAATGTTGACCTGGTGTACTGACTGGCAATAGCCCCATACGTTGTTGGCATATCCCTTATTCAGGCAAATACTGCTGGTAGTAAGTGACTACCTACTCTTACATCAGTTAACAGTGTTCAACTTTTTTTTGGAGGCAGATACTAACATTCATCATTGCAGTGACGAAGAAGGCCGTCTCATACAGTATGGTCACTATAGGTTATGCGGCCGGAAACCTGATCGGACCCCAGACTTTTAGAAGCAACGAAGCGCCCAAATACGTGAGCAGTGTTATAGCTATGTTGGTATGTTATTGCGCGTGTATGCTTATCCTGCTGGCATATTGGGTCTTCGGAGCCTGGGAAAACAAGCGAAGGGACCGCAAGTTCGGTAAACCAGAGGAAGTACACGAAGGCACCGCTGATGGGTTCATCGACGAGACTGACATAAAACAAACTGGCTTCCGTTATACTACCTAGAGGCTTTGTACGACTGGTACAAAATTGACGCCGAGAGAAGACGGGCGATGTTGAGTGTATGTTGGCGATAGGGACAGAATTTATTAGACAATAGGAGCAATAATTCATGCCAAACTGATAGCACCATGTCTCCTTCCTTGCAGGATATTCCATCCTCTCGACTCACGAGGCCGTAAATCTCGTGATTTCCAGACATCTTCGATGATTAATCGAGCTTTCTTGACACTAGCTAGTTGCCTCGTCTGTTGAAGAGCGACGAGCCGACCTAGAATGAGCTTTCTCTCTTCGTCGCATTCCGGGCGGATACCCAATGTTGCTACAATAAAAAGGGGCCAAAGGCCTGTGTGGGTACGTAGAGAAATTTCGGGAACGAGCGCCAAGATTTGCTGAGTTATTGATACCATGTGTGGGTCATGGGGCGAGGCACCGTCTATCCTGGAATAAAGATATAACAGAGCCGCGAGTCTTTTCACTTCTGCGATAACGGCAAATTCGGATTTGGATGATTTGAACTCTTCTGGAACTTCTTGACGTAGTTGATGAAGGAGTTTCTCAACATCATCTCGGCGTTGCTGTATTGCGGGCGGAAGTTGGTCTTGATGTGATTGTCCAATCAATGAGCAGCCCATTTGATTTATCTCAGAGATTAAGATAAGTAAATCCCTTGAACATCCGGTCAAAGCTAGGATAGTTGATTTATCCACTTTGTTACACATTTCGGCGACCATCTCGGAGGTTTCCGTAACTGTACCCCCTGTCGCGGCCAAAATGTCGTGTGAGACGAAGTAGGTCACGGCGAAATAAAGAAGAGCTTCTTGTTCGGCGCTTAAGTGGCCCAAGTCCTCCAAACGAGAGGAAAGAAAGGTTCGCGCGAAATCAGCATGCACTGTCCATGAATCCGAACAATCCTTTGAGATCTTTGGTAATCAATTAGTATAATTCCTCGCTTATGATACTAGGGGGGTTATTCAGACTAACCTCAAAAAAGGTCAACATAATAGTCGACGCAATGACTTGATCCTTCGAAGTCTCGTAACCCACGTTGCGTGTTTCTCCAGAAGCTAGTTGTGTAATTTGAGATCTTAAGAGGCGCAATGCCTTAGCTCTGTGAAGCCATGTTACTTGGTTGTATTCGCTCCGGCCAATACTTTGCAACTGGTTTGCAGCTACTGCTAGTATGCATTGGAAGAGCGGCCCCTCTTGGGAACAAGCCGCCATCTTCAATATAATATCCCGATAAGGGTTAAAATTAGGGTCAATGACAATTCGTGTAGTCATGGACTCAGTAAAGTAGCTCCAGAGATAATTCTCAGCTTCCCCTAGGCGGAACGGGGAGAGATATTGCGGATACGGATACTCAAGGTCCTCGGGTAAAGAATAAGACTGGCTGATCTCCGGTGCGATCTGAGGGCTATCCGGATTGAAGTCGGCTTGGCTCGTGTTGAGAAACATCCAACTTTGGATAGAGATTAAAAGGTCCTCGGGTAGCCGTCGTGAAAGAGTGTCATCACATTCAGGTAGAATTGCATCTTGCCAGTTCAACCTGGTTTCATATCGGCAGGTGAAGCCTAATCGTCGGCAATGGCCACATATAGGACGTTGCTCCGGACATTTGACTCGTCGCTCTAAAATCGTGTTATGAGTTATGAGTTGCGGATTCAAGGTGAGTGCTGTTGATGTGGTATCTCACCTCGGCATTTTCGGCAGCCACTCCGTGTTCGCAACTCGCCTTTCGTACGAGGTCTCATGGTTCTTTGGATACAGACAGGGGTAGAAGATGATCAACAATAGTATGAGGTTGACTTCAGGTTGATGCGATGTTGATGCACGTACTACCGGCTTCTATGCATAATATCCTTATTCTTCGGCGAAGTTGCCACTTTGTCAGCCTAGAGTCCAGACCGATGCTGAGAAAGGAGGGGGAAGAGTCGTGAAGTCTGGGCAACTCCATAGACGCGACTCCACTCGTCGCGTGTGTCCTCCATTAGGGACAGCTAGTTGTAGGAGATAGGCGAGACTCGACCCCGGCTCTACCTATCTTGGAGGGAGGGCATGAATTTCTCCAACTGAGCTTGCGTGGGAGCATTGGTAGCCATTGGTAGGGTTGTTATCAGGGAAGATAGGAGAGTGGAGTGGAGTGTCCAGCTGGAGGAAGATAAGAAGATAACCTAGGTACCTTGGTACGTTTGGTACGACTCCAACCTCCGCAATTATTTATGTAATTTCTCCAACTCCGTCCCGACGCACCGTATGTACCTAAGTAGTGAACAAGGATCAAAGTGTCAGGGGTATCCCTTAAACTAAACTCTTCTCCACTTCCCCGCGATATCATCTTCAGGGCAATCCATGTGTTCCTAATGCACGTCGCTTGCCGTTGCCTTGTCATCAAATTAGTTCATCATTATTAACAATCAATTCTTCGACCCGCCCAGTCTTCACCAAAACAACTACATAACACATGATCTCTTGTCCAAGATCGTGAGAGGATGGACCGAAACCGCTCCGATGAAAGGCCTCCGTAGGCCAATTCCTATCAATGAAGCGAGCGTAAAAGACACAAGTATTCCGAAATGAAGGTGTAGTCTTACTCTTGATGGCTACTATCGTCATCACAATATTTCTTAGTCAATGCCACTAGCCACCGAAGTCATGGACAAGCAAACTTCAATCCTCATTCTAGGTGCCGGGACCTTCGGCCTATCGACAGCTTATCACCTCGCCAAAGCTGGGTATACCAACGTGACTGTGCTAGAGAAGTCTCCGACCTTCCCTCCCGAACTCTCCGCCGGCAATGATTTGAACAAGATCCTACGAGCCGAGTATGAGGACCCCTTCTATGCCGAGCTAGCTCTAGAGGCTATGGCTGCTTGGAAGTCTCCCCTCTTCGCCCCTTACTACCACGAGACGGGATATCTCCTGTGCAATTCATCTGCCGCCCCAGAAAAGTCAAAAAAGTCCCTTCAGAAGTCACTTAACTCCATACAAAATCGTCCGGCATTTAGGGGCAAGATCACACCTGTCATATCGCGCGAAGATATCCGCAGAGTTGCTCCCGTCTTTGACGGCCCCATGCAATGGAAGGGTTATTTCAATAGCTTCGCGGGGTACGCTTCCGCGGCCGATGCTATGACGGCGGTGTATTCAGCATGTACCGCACTCGGCGTGACGATACATCTCGACTCAGCAGTTAAAACTCTAACCTACTCCAAGGGCGAGGTGTGTGCCGGTGCAGTAACCACCAGCGGCAAGCACTACAGCGCCTCAACAACCATCCTCGCCCTCGGTGCATCTCTAGGTTCTATCCTCCCTCAAATCAAGCGCCAAGTCATCCCCCGGGCCTCTCCTGTGGCACACATCCAGCTCACCACGGAAGAAGCAGCAAAATTGCGCGGCATTCCCGTCACATACGCGCGCGACCTAGGGTTCTTCTTTGAACCAGACCGCCGCACCAATTTGTTGAAGATTTGCCCCGCGATGGCGGGGTACACCAATTATAACACATCATCCGGATTATCGCTTCCGGCCGAAGATAACGCGTTTATCCCCGCGCGCGATGAAAAGACGATTAGGCGATTGTTGCGGGAGACGCTACCCGCACTGGCGGATAGGCCGTTGATAGACCGGCACATTTGCTGGTGCGCGGATACTGCCGATAGCGAGTACGTCATTGATTTTGTACCAGGGAAGAAACGTTTGGCTGTGGTGACGGGTGACTCAGCCCACGCGTTTAAGATGCTGCCAATTGTTGGAAAGTGGGTGAAAGATGTGTTGGAAAAGGGACAGCAGGAAAATAAACGATGGCGTTGGAAAGAAGGCAATGACGCAGAGGTGGATGTCAGCTGGAGAGTTGGTAAGAGTACGGATTTCAGGGATGTCAAGGAGATACGAAGGGATTCGGACGTCGTCAGAGCGAAACTATGAGATTTGGTATTCGAATTCAGAGATAAGTATTGTCAAGCGCATCCCGAAGTACGAACGATGTGATCATGGCTCAATTGTTGTTCAATAGCGCGACAGCATAGCGCCCGTCATGCGATACACCACCGAACAATACCAACAGGCTGGTTATTCTAGTTCATCCGACAACAGTAGTTGTATGATAAGATATGACAGAACAGCAAGTACCTAGGTATTATCCAACGTCCAATACAGATACCTAGGTAGTGAATTACTTGCACTTAATTATTCCATAGGACCTTATTGGCTGAGAATGTTTGCTTGAGTCATGACTTTATCACGAGGTGGTCTTAGCGGAGTGCATAGTCGCAGAATGTAGTAGACTATGTACTGTGACATAGGAGTTAACTAGCTGCTATAGTCAACGTGTAGAGATAAACAACCGGCAAATATTGGAATATCCATATGTTCATTCCTTACATGTTTGAATAAATACAGTCGTCCTTTCCATTGTTCTTTTTCTTCTTGATTTTTCAACAGAAGTTCTCTGGCTTTAATATATGCGATAAGCCCTTTAATTTTCGCTCACTGACATTGAATATATTTAATACAATTGACCGTCGATGGATACATATTTAATCACGCCGTTTAAGCACTTGCGAGCCAAATTTTCTCGGTAGGCATAGTTACACCTAGGTCAATTCATCTCATTTGATCCTCTCCAGTCTGGTATGTTGACCTCAACCATTATTCGCAAAACCATCTATGATACTAATAATTCTCAGAGGAACAACCACAATGAAAACTAGAATAAATAATTCGACAGTTCGCTCGTCCCCACGTATTGATGATGGGTAAGTGCTTCTGCTTTCCCTTCTCTCCTTCAACAAGGGGGCTTCTTCCTCTTAGTCGCCCTTCACCCTAGTTTTTTCTTCCTTTTTTTTTTTTTAGAAAAATACACAATACGTAATGGAATATTTTATTAACCCGAGACATTAAGGTACGACCATTTAATGGACATCCTCGCCGAGATGCGCAGCCAAGGCGTCGCAGTTCCCCCTGTACTCCGTAAGCGTCACAAAGCCATACTTCAATAGCGCACAATACTAACGACAAATCTGCAGGTAATCTTACGGTACAGTTGCTGAAAGAAGCTAAGGAGGCGCAGGATGAGACTAAGCACCTCATCAGTAAATACACCCACCTACAAGCCGAACACACGCAACTGGCGCTAGAATTCAACCACTACTGCGAGGACGATAATAAAGGATGGCAAGATAAATCCAAGGAATCGCTGTGTGACGACATGCGGCGATCCGTTGATGCAGCGAATGCCTCCAGTCATAAGTCCCGAGAGGAGACGAAGCGCATGTTCACCGAGCACCTCGTCATGACGAATGAGTTAGCTACTCTGCGAGCGGAGGTAGCCCAGCTGAGGAAGGAGAACGAAGAGCTGAAGGAGAAGAATAATTGAGGGGTTACACGCCCTCTAGCCATGGCGGACATCGTTCCCCCGGATGTGGGAAGCCAGCTCGACAGTGGTGGTGTGCTGACCATCCATTCCAGGGGTCTCGGAAGACGATATGCAGGGTTTTGGCCAATTTTTATTGTCGCAAGACTTCTTAATACTGTATATTTACTCCTTCCGTGTTAGAATACGTCTTTGATTTCACAGCTACGCGTTACGGGTTTTTTCATGGGAATGAATAACGACAGCTACCCCCAACTTTCGGACTTTTTGACTTAGTAAGGCAACTTGTGATGTGAAAAGAGCATAGAATTCAGTCGGGATTAATTTACAGGCCTATCGAGGTACGTACCTAAGGGACCTCTCAGAGTTATGAAAGTTATACAACTAATATATTGGAAATGTGTAGGTTAGTACGCTAGATTCTTCCGCAAATTTGTTTAACAGTTTTGAACTTGAAATAGCTAATACTCCTACAGCCAAGGAATTAATTGATTACTATCTCGGAGAAAAAAAAGATGTGTTGTTGTATCACTCGAACCCAACCGTAACCACAACTAAGGGCGCACGGCTTTCTTATCTTACAACATGGAGAGGAAAAATATCAAATGATAAAATAGAAAGAAGAAGAAGAAAGGAGCCCATTTTTTTTAATTTTTTATTTTTTTGTTGGGGGTCACCCAGTTGTTTGCCCCCGCCAGCCGCCCTGGAAGGTAAACACCAGGCCCCGAAGGGGACCAGCAACCATGGTGTATATTGAGAAGTGGTGAGGTCGGTAACTCTACCACTGTACCATGGGCCCCTGTTAGGGCGACGGACTCGAACTTTTTTTCAAATAAGTAATGTAATCTTGCCTTCGTTAGTACCTTCCATCTTCTAGGTACCTAGGTAATTTCTATGTCTGCTGCTATTAGAGAAGGAACGTTAGATTAAAGCATGAATCATGCCTTCCTCACCTCTGGAGACTATACGGCACCTTGAAACATAGCTCACCTTGCCTTAACGATGTCATTGGCCGATTTCATGGTAACGGTGTGGCCCTGACGCACACAGATTTGTGTTAATTATGCAAACTGATACATTTTATGATACTCGCTCTACTCGTAGCACCTCTACGGCGCGCAGGACCAGTAAAGCTATCTATAACTCCCGCAGTTTTCGCCCCGGAGAAGCTAAATCATCCATGTTGGATTTAGATATATAGGTACGCAAAGGGGGTCCATGTGCCCACAATAGGGGAAAGATTTCTTATATAGTAGTACTTCACAATATCATCGAGTCGTCGGAACTACGAAAAGCAAAGATTAATCGATTAGTATGCTTCCTTTTGCTCTAATACAAACCTAGTAAATAGAAAGGCATTGAGGTCCAATAAGGTGGCTCAACCTTCCGAGTGGAAGCTGATATAAGAGTTCCTCTTGTACCTATCTAATGTACTTTTAGGTACACTTTGGTAGTATTTAATACGTGCTGCTCGCCTTAAATTCGTACATGGTCGCTTCACTTCATAAGATCTATTTTCCTTGGGCGGATATTAGAACCTAAATATCGTAAGAGTAGCATTGTGACCTAAGAGTTTATTGGCTAAACTAATATAATATTCCAACAAGCCTCTTAAGGCACACTATGGTCCAGATATCCTATCACCTAAGAAGCTACGTATGACGAAGGCAAGGGAGGTAGTTAATCTATTAAGGAGAAGGTAAGGGATGCCTTATTACAGTCCCAAGTAGGTACACGAAATATGAAATATGATATAAATGTAAGCTTAAATTTTAAACGCCATGGCTTAGAGTACTATAGTAAACATATCGGAATATTTAGGATTTCTACTCGGGTAGTATCTTATAAAATCGTGGTTTTGCCACGTCGTAGAAATATTTATACCTGATATTTTCTTCAGCAGTCTGCCTATCATTAAGGGCTGTCTTGAATAAGATTAGATCACGCGTTTTATTCATACAAGCAATAGCATGACGCTCTCACTATTCAGCCTCAAAATTTAGCCATATCTCCACTTTCCGCAATTTATTTATCCTTAAATCTAGAATGCCAGACAGTCGGGTTCCTTGGGTTTACCTAAGGATATACGTCATACCTGGAAGCGATATTTCCTATGCCATGTGAAAGCTGTAGTCGAGCCCCTCATGCCAGGATTGCTACTACCCATTGGCGTGTTCCCCTCCAGTTGGTCCCCCGTTCGCGTTAGGCGGTACCAAATAGAATGCAGAAAACTTCGAATCTAAGGACTATGGGGCTTAGGCAAAGCCCAAGGGCTAGAGGGCCTATCGTACTTCATTTATCGTGTTGTGATTAGGCTTTGACGCAGGTATCCTACAGTCACTGCAGAGATAGCCATTTATAGTAATACACGAGGGCATCAGATGAATAATTTCGTCGCGGCGCCTTAGGCAGTGCGCAGGACCAAGAAATATGCCAATGATTGAAATAGAGATCCTAATGAATATCAATATATGTGGCCAAATATTCTGTCAATAATTGTGCTTACAGTGGCCCAGGCTCAACGCCACCCGAGAGAATGTGGACATGAGGGAATTTGCTTTTGAGGGACGCTACCTCAACCTCCTTTATATACTTTAGATAGGTAGGTAGTAATATCAGAGGCGCGGACCACATTTACCTCGGTACTTGCGTTAACTAGCGGTTTGTACCTCTTTATATATCATGTATAGTTCCCTCGCTTAGTACAGCCATGAGATGAAACCGGTAACCTCGGCGACCTGCAGTACCAAAATATATAAAAATTTCACTATTTTATTGAAACCTTTTGTTAATTACCAACTGATTTATTTTCCGGCGTGCCCGTTTGTAATATTTGCGCCCGAAGTAATTAGATATTACCTACCTAGGTTAGTGCTTAGGCTTTTAGGGGGACTTTATTATTAGAGCATCTACTTGGGGTTTCTATTGTCTTTTGATTGATAATTGTGATCATATTTGGTTTCGGGTAGGGGTGTGTCCCACATTCATGGGTACATGTCTTACCCCTACCTAGGTACCTACCTACATGTAGGAAGCTACCTAGGTAGAAAGAACCCTATGCCTTTTTAACCGGCTTCGCTTCCACCCCTGAATTTGATATCGTCCTCGCACCTAGGTCTTTGAAGGAATCAATTCCAGCTAGAATAACTTATTTCCTTGTGTAGGCCTGCCCGTTTTACTTAAAGTTGATTGGTTATTGAAAGCCAATCATAACCAATATCGAGAAGCTGGCGGACTAAGAAAAACCCCGAAGATCACACCGAGCCAACGTCACAATCCCGCAAAACATCGAGGCGATTCCCTCAAAGCTGGTTCTGTGGCCTAGCCGATTTGATCCATTGCATGATTGCTCATGGTTAGTTGTAACCCGCTTGATAAGATCAGCTTGAGAGGATCACGTGCTGAGTTCCATGATATTGCTAGCCAAGAAAGCGCTGGGTATGGATCTGGAGTTGTGTGAGTTGTGAATTTGGAGTATGCCCAGCTCCATGAATATCTGAAGTTATTAACGCTTAGTAGTGCTCCTGCGGCCACCCAAGAATGAATATCCACATCGAGCCATGCGAGAATTGTGGGACCCCAAGATGCGCATACTGTAGGGTCGACAAGATTCAAGTCAGGAGTTGAAAAGGGAAACTCGGATGCGACCCCCGCGGCCAAGCGCACCAGTCGTATTCTTTTCTATTCGTTTAAGGAGTTAGGGCTAGAAAGGTTCAACATAAATTTGGATATCACCGATACATAACATGTTGGTGTTCCGAGCAATGTGAAAGGGATCATGTAGTTGTGCTAACCCGCAACATCGGCAGAATATCGTCGAGGGACCAGGACCAGGGTAGAATATGGCGCATAGAAGAGAGAAAGATGTTTTTACCATACGAAGCATCGTCGGAACTGATGTGAATTTAACTTATCTTTCGATGCCGTAGTTCCCGGCTGGGACCTATGTTAACCCTTCTAGTTGTCGAAGTTCAATATCTTCTAGGTCCTTATCCTTAATCCCCAGTCGGCGGCGCACTCTCCGGATTCTCTCCCTGAGCGAATCCCAACCCACGAGCGACCCCAAGGCGACCCATATCACTATACCATACTGAGTTAGCAGTTGTCACTTTGACTCTGTTTAGTGGACCGGCATGCTGCTCACGAATTTCCAAGATAGCGACCCAGGCCAGCAGAGCCCACGGGCTTGGCTTGATTGGAATATAACCTTCTTGAGTGCTAAGAAGGCTAGAAGCTAGCGTTAGTGGAAGAACGAGCTAAAATTGCAAGAAGTCAGCTATTGTCCCGCAAGGATGGACTGCTTGTTTAAATACAAATGTGATCCAAGTAAGAACTTTCAAGTCCATTGCTGTCCTTTGCTGCAATAGAGCAGATTCGTTATTTTCGTGAGCAATACGGAGATTAACCTATCTTTATTCAGCCACGGCCGTCATCCAATCGCTAAATGGGGCCCGAACTTACATCGCGAGACATGTCCTCACAGAGACAATCCATGATATGATTGAGTTTGGGCAGGAGACGTCCTAGGTCTTTGAACTCCAGGTCTACAGCGCCGAGAGACTTAACAAGCCTATCCGAACGCTCGGGATCAGCAGCCGACGTAAAGTAATTCATGCCGGTTTTACGGAATTCTTCCCATTCCTCTGTGTATTGCTTCAGAGGACCAATAAGCTTCCTCAGGAACTCAACGCTGCGACGCATCCACTCTTGGAGTTCCTCCCGTAGCTGGGATCGTTGTCTATCGGCATCCGCACGGGCTTTTTGGTCGTTAGCCCTACGTAATGCTTCTGTCAAACTTGTTTTAGTCCAATAGTCATTCCTCTATTGCTTCATTAGCATCCACACAAGCCTTCTTAACCCTTCTTGAATACCTGGCTAGTTACGCCAAAGCAGGCATCGAATTGAAGTACTTACGTATGTCTTAATAGCCTCGTCTATAGCTTCGAAAAGTTGTTGCCATTCCTTCTTCACCTTCCGCATGCGAATTTCAAGGACTATGAGAACATATTCCCTTGGATCGCGGGGTAAACTGCCTGGGGGCAATTTTCCAGCCGTGAAAGGATCCGACTCGAACCCTGAGCTCCTGTCCTCATGATATCCTCTGATGCTCTCGGATTCTTCCTCCGTCTCGAAGTATAAGTCGTTAAAAAGGTAGACCGACCATGAGGAAGAATTAGACCCACAAACCAAGCAGGAAAGCCGAGCATCGTATACGTATTCCGTTAAACTGTTGTCTACCTTGGTGCCCATTGTCCGAAGGAACGATATATCTTGATAGCCTCTTAGCGTACCGTTGCCATTGGGAGCCTGTCGATTATCCATTTGCGGTAATCGGTGCCGACGTAATGGAAAATAAGGTAGATGAAATTCCAGTGAGAAAATCGGAAAACCAATATGCTATAACGAATATATTAGATAAACTGATACTATGATGACCGTATTAAAAGGAGATAACACACATGTATCTTGGCATTTATCAACGGATCGAATTTTAAATGGTTGAAGATGAATTCGCCGAGGATGGCAACCAGTCGATTGGAGGTGGTAGCTGCAAGAGCCACAACGGACCAGCGATTCAAGTTCGCGATATAACTGTGGTTTATCAGCCATCGACCAAGGAACTTCGGGCGCTAACAATCCCTACATCTCTGTTTCTGGCTTCCCAATTTGATTGGTCGCTTCCTTCCTATGCTAGCATATAACTATGTTAGCTCAGTCGAAGTTAGGTATAAAAGCTTGTCACGTACATGAATACGCCCCTTGTGTATATACGTTAGACCTTTTCTCACTTTCTTCGGTTTTATTAACGCTTGATAGAGGTCCCGCGCCGTCAAGCCACCGCTGTCGTTTAGTAATGCGGTACGCTCTGTAGTTCCACCTAAATCCTGCTGCAGGTTGTGGAGCTCCGCACCTTTACAAAATTTCACCACCAAGTCAGTAGCAGTGTTGCAAGAGTCGTTCTCATCAAAAACCTGCATAAAACGACTTATGAGGCCCGAATCGACATCCTGTTCGTCTCTCACATAGTCAAATGGTTCATCAAGTCGATCGCTCACTCTTCTTTGCGAATCAAATTTTGGATCCCAGTGATAAAGTGGTTGGGAGACGGTAGTCCCTTGGTACGAAGCCATATTGCTTGGTGATTGTGCAAGGCTCACGAGCAAGTTCCATGTTCTCCACCTATGAAGGAAATATGCTCTTGAACCCGGTTTCTGGTATCTGGGCTGAATGGAAGGCCACCGCTGAGTATATGATAACTTTAAGTACCATGTTGAATGCAGGCTCTGCCATCCCAAAATGCATATTCGTCCCAACTCTTAAAATCTCTTGTCGTGGTCCAATAGTAGGTTAAGGAATGGCATGCATCCGGGAAGGACAGTGGTGAAGTACAACGAGAAGCTACATAATACCATCCGACTGTCTACCTAGTACCTAGGTAGGTAATCCGATCCGACGGGATGCACATCTTCTCTGACCGAAAAAATTAGGGCAGGCGTATTCAATGATTTGCTTTTGGTACTGTCTCACCTCTGGCTGCTTCGTTGGCACCGCTACCTCGATGATATCGAGTCGGATCGTCAATATTTCATGTTCAGCTCTACTCTTACCCGAGCAGCAGGGTTATCAGTACATAGCCACCTGAAGGCGGCCCAATATAAGGCCATAGCATCGGGTAGGATCCCATATCAGCCCCTGTATTTCCAGGGCGAAAATATATAGAAATGATCTCATGCTATGGCTTCGACGCAAACTTACTCGCTGTCAGAACTTATAGCCCTATTCCTACTAAAGCAGGCAGGCAGGCAACATAGACTAATCCACCCGAACTGACGGTTTAGAAAAACGTCACGTGTAGCTGTCGTAATAGGGGGTTGGGATACAAGTTTTGTCGCCTATGTTATGCACTAAACGTTTCATTGGGGGGTAGGTAGGTAGCAATTGGGGCATCCTATAAAAAGCCAACTCCCCAATCGCCAAGAGCAAACGAGATGTGTGTCGTCTTACGAAGCTCCAAATGATGCCCGATAGGCAGAATATACCTGCCCAACATTTAGACCACTACGGTTGGATCGAAACCCGCATGCGATATCCACGTTGATAGTAAAAGGATCCATTCCTCTAGTTAGCTTGAAATGGGCTCCCTCTTCTACATACCTCGGGCGTAATCTGCATCTCCACACGATGACCACATATTCCATTGACGGTCTCGAGGCTCTCCTCGGAGAACTCGGTGTAAATGTACCGATACCTAGCTTCATCGAATCGGAAGTCTTACGGAGACCTATTGATATATATCGAAGTTACCTGGCAGATACAGCTTCAAAAGTGCTCGAATGTGACGCATATCTCGCATACGAGGCTATACAAAGTGCAAACATCAAAGACAACAGCGACCTAACACTCGTCTTACCGAAGCTCAAATTGAGAAGCGACAAACCAAAGGATCTCGCTAGAGAGGCGTTTATTAAGGTGATACATAGACAGCATGCCCGCACACCGAGTTAAAGCTCATTCATTCGCGATCCATAGTTTTCGTCGACGCCCTTGTTCCAGTTACCGCTACCGGATGGCGTTCATCTACGATTCGTCTTCTCGACCTCGACACTGCCTCGACTCATCCTTTCGTACATTGACGATCGCATGGAACAATATGGTCGAGTCGGACTATTGGGCGATCAAACAAAGACTTCCGCCAATGGTATTCCAAAGAAAGCGGTCATAGAATTCTCGTCCCCGAACCTCGCAACCGAGTTCAACTCCTCCCACCTTCGGAGCACAATACTCGGGGCGCAAATTGCAAATTTGTACGAAAGCGCAGGATGGGATGTGGTTAGAATGAACTTTCTAGGTGATTGGGGGAAAGAAATCGGGTTACTTGGCGTTGGTTGGAACAAATTCGGCTCTGAGGAGGCTTTCCAATCAAACCCCATGGGGCACCTGTATGAGGTATACGAAAAGATTAGCGAACAATTCAAACCTGAAAAGGATGCCAGTCGCAAAGCGCGCGACGAAGGTCGCGGTACAGCTGAAATTGAAGGAAAGGGAATATTTGCTGAACGAGATGGCTTTTCTAAGAGGATGGAGGATGGCGAGCCGGATGAGGTCAACTTCTGGAAACGAATCCGAGACGCCACAATCGCCTATTACACCGACACATACGAACGTCTCAATATCAAATTCGATGAATTTTCTGGTGAGTCCCAGGTCAGTCCAGAATCTATTGCAGAAGTCGAGTCCGTCCTCAAGGAAAAGGGGATCTATCAAGAAAGTGATGGTTCTTGGATTATCGACTTCAGCAAGCACGGACCGAAGAGCCTGGGCGTCTCTGTACTGCGGGGTAGAACGGGCAGCACATCCTACTTACTCCGAGACATCGCTGCTGTGCTTGATCGCAATAAAAAGTATTCATTCGATAAAATGGTCTACGTCGTCGCAGCCGACCAAGACGTCCATTTCCAGAAAGTCTTCCAGGCTCTCAGATACATGGGTCATGATGAATTAGCGACGAAACTTGAACATGTAAGCTTTGGAAAAGTACAAGGCTTATCACAACAGCTTGGCGAAGTCCACCTACTCAGCGATATCCTGGACTCGTCAATCAAGCAGATGTCAGAGGCACTTAGCTCTGACCAAAATGACCATCCAGGGATAGACAACTCCGATAAATCGGCCGAGATACTCGGAATCACGTCTTTGATTGCCCAGTACTGCGGTTCCAGCAAAAGAACTACCGGTTACAACATCGGTACCAAGAAACTAGTTTCATTCGAGGGCGAAACAGGGACAACTTTACAACTATGCTATGCAAAGATCAGCGAGTCAGATACGGATGAAGCAGTGCTGGCTAACGTTGACTACACACACTTGCAGGATGACCTTTGGACAGAAGTCATTCGGGTCATAGCCCAATACCCTGACGTCGTTGACGTGGCATTTAGAAGCCATGAGCCATCTGCGGTACTAGCATATTTATTCCGCCTAAGTGAAGAGCTTGGTAATTGCCTAGAAGAAGAGGAGGAGGAAGATGACAACGGCGAAGGTGATAACGGCGAGAATGGTGGCAGCGGCAACGATAATCACGCAGCAGACTCTAGAGATCCACCCGAGGCCATCCTAGCTCAGGCTGTTCTATATAAACACGCGCGACAAGTACTAAAGAACGGGATGGCAATCCTCGGGATAACTCCAGTGGTCTGATCGAGGCAACGAGGTGACCTTTTGAGGGTATAGTCTAGGTACACTTGCTCATTAGGATCTACACTGTGCTCAACTAGACCTCGGTACGATTAATTTTGGTAATGATATCAAAATATTGGCGTAAGTCTCGCAGAGATAAAGGTAAGAACTCTTTTATTATTGCATGCAATGTTATTCTGTGAGAGCGCTTGAAATTGGGGTTAAAGACGATCACAATTGGGTCAACAAAGAGAGCCACAGGCCCTGCACAGTTACTGGCAAATACCCCTAAGAACGGTGGCTTATTTGGATTTTTACTGGATACCCTGCCCTGTACACAGAGCCACTTAGAAGGCTAAGACACGAATTCGTGCAACAAATTTTGTTATGGAGAATACAATCGCTTGACAAAGAGTAAGTACAAGTATTATATTTAGCAACTTTATCATTTATTATATATTACTTAACGAGATATCGTCTAGATATCAAACCAAGCGCTAGAACGTAGTGAAACCCTGGTGTGGTACAAGCCCCTCCAACGCCAATATTCAGAATTCATTCGCTTAGGATGACTTACTATTACCAGTTTCTCCCAACTTCTCAACCGCGGTATCCGGCGAATCGGGATCATCTAGGTCGGAATCGGACATTGATTCCAAATGCGTGGAAGCCTTGCCAGCTACAGGTATACCTATTGCCTTTAGGACACCACGCATGTTCTTTTTCAAGGGCATAGCTTTCGCCATTGAGACATCAGCGGCAACGGAGCTCTGAGCCTCGATATCGTCTTCTACAGGAGCTCCAACAATGAATACCTCGGGTTCTGTATAGTTATCTTCGCTAGCCCGTTCCTGCTTTCCGTGAGTGGGGTCAGCCCGATTGAGGAGGACGTTCGGATGTATGGAGGCCGCCATTCTGCCCAACTCAAGATCCATAAGCTTACTGTGCTGACGGCGGAATTCCCACTCCCAATCGATAGGAGGAATGGCATCGCTAGCGTTGAGATCAAATGAGTCTCTGTTGATTCCGGCGGAAATAGTATCGACATCGTCCTCATCTTGAATACCAAACTGCTCTGCGAATTGTTCTTGTCCGTTCGCTTGCTCGTTCTTCGCACTCTGCTTACGGAAGGATGCCAAGTATAGTATTACTGCTGTAATGAACATGACACTGACACATACAACAGTCACAATCGCAACAACGTTCCAGCTACACGGCTCATCTCGCTGAACAAGGCGAGAGGAAGTACTGTTGCGTTCGCTGAGGGTTGGAACGCCCGTTGCTTCTGCCACGGGCCACCATCTAGGTATCACACCCGAAGCGATAGAACCCGAACCGGATGCAATGTAGGCCGCCATATTTACATATACTGGTCTAAATATTGTCAATCCTCAAATGAAACGAGGAATTTGTTGATTCATATAAACATGAATTGTCAATGGAAATTTCCTGTCGCAACCTACTTACTTTTATGCGCGTCGTTTGATTATTGTTTGAACAATCGCTATGTTATGAATCCATTGTCGCCTAACAATGCTCCGTATGACAATACACATGAATATCGGAGCAATGCCCTATCTTTGTCCTAGTCGAGCAAAGCGACTATGTCCTGGACAAAACCTGTGTTAAGAGTCATGCTACTAATTTCTAGGTAGATGTAGTGGAGGCACGATTGGTTTCTGTCAGTCATTTCAGCTAGCCTACGTACTAAATTGTCCTACAGCTCTAGCCGGCGACTTTTCGCCCTATAGAGATGAGTCATCTCACAAATATGAGGGAGAGCTGGAAATTTATATAAGGCTTTAGAGAATACTCATTCCTAGAGTAACACAAGACACGCCTTGTATGAAATTCAAACCCGGCTGTTGTCATCATGGATATCTCGTGGGAACACGTGGAGACTACCCTCCCATCTCTCCCACTTCCTCCCATCTCTCAACGTCAACCGATTACTACGGAGCGACTCGTGATTCGACCTATGCGAGAAGATGATCTCGAGGGATACTTTGAGCTACGCCGTCAACCAGAAGCGATGCTGGGCACCGCACTCGGCAAGCCTGATAGTGACATCGACGAATCTCGACAAGCTATGAAAGTCTTCTTGCCAGAAAATGAGGAAAAGTCATTCCTATTCGGGGTTTTCCTCAAGTCTACAGGCGAACTCATTGGCGAGGGTGGCGTGCATAATATGAAACCTTCATATTGCAGCTGGCCAGAAATTGGGTACAAGTTCAAGAAAGAGTTCTGGGGTCAGGCATACGGGACTGAGTTCCTAAAGGCATTTATCATCGCTTGGTGGAAGATACCACGTAGCACCGCAGGCAGCCACCGGGTCTGTTCTCCGTCGGTTCAGAGGGCAGGGAATGTAGCCGCGGAACAATTATTTGCTTTGGTGGTTGAGGATAACATTGGAAGTCGGAAGCTACTAGAGAAGCTCGGATTTGTAGAATTTTTATCATCGACGGAGCCGGATACGCAGGTGCATCGGTTAGGTCAACCAGTGACGTTGATAGGATATCGTCTCTCTGCACCAGAGTCCAGTGGGAAATGAGTGTTCCAGTCTCATGGAATTATATGAGAAGATAATAAGTACCTACATTAGGTACCTAGGTACTTATAGTGACGGAACGGAGCTCGGAGATTACGGATCGCGCCGGTGAATGGACTCGGGTATCGAGATCAAGGATGTAGTTTCCGTTTTCTCAAATACGGTACGCTAGGCTAAATTAAGTAATTACCTTGAGGGAAGGAAGCTGTGATACGGTCGCGCAATGGTTGCAGGATCTGACGTAGAGCCCCTCCATCCTTATTCTTTTTCTCTTTACTTACAAATAAAATTGCGAACTTCTTCAATATAACTCCTTAGGCATACATCTATAGCTCTGTATTTTGGTATCCTCTTTATTTCCCTCTTTGACAGTTTACCTACATAAATATTCATCCGATGTTCCCGAAACTATAACTATTAATTTGACTCATGGTCTCTCTTACATAGCCCTAGCTTGAGTCCTTACCTAACAATCCCTTCCTCCGAGAGCCTACGCGCCAACTATCCACACGACCCTATACGATCCAACAGTCCACGATGATTAAACCCCCAATCATATCACCATGATTGTAAGAGTAGTCTCTCGGGCTACCGCCACCTATCCGAACTGCCTGGGCCTGAATAGATACCAATTAAGCCCATGGATCTCATCACCTTCACGAAGCAGCACGCGAGTATTCACGACATCCCAATGTCTCTTACGAACCCCACAACCCGGCCCTCCGCAGGGCGCGAAGACAGCGCCAAATGCGCAACCGAATACGACGAAGTTAATTCCGAATCCCCCGAAGAAGCCGGCGAGTGCGCAGAAAGACCCTCTTGCTACCGATGAGAAGAGCGCGCAAGAGCAGCGCAGGGCTGATTGGACTATAATGAAAGAGATGGCTCATTACCTGTGGCCCAAAGATAGCGTGAGCACCAAATTGCGCGTATCGCTGGCTGTGGCGCTTCTTATCGGGGCTAAGGTGCTGAATGTGCAAGTACCTTTCTACTTCAAGAGCATTGTGGATGCCATGAATATCGATGTGGGGGCTACAGGCGGCACTGCTGCCATGATCGCGGGAAGTATGATTGTGGCATACGGCGCAACACGAATAGGGGCCACTGTATTCCAAGAACTGCGAAACGCCGTATTCGCTTCCGTGGCGCAGAAGGCTATAAGAAAAGTTGCTTGCAACGTCTTTGACCACTTGCTACGCCTCGACTTGAGCTTCCACCTTTCCAAACAGACTGGTGCCCTGACGAGGGCTATCGACCGAGGTACCAAGGGCATTAGTTTCCTACTTACCAGCATGGTCTTTCACATATTCCCGACAGCACTGGAAATTGGCATGGTTTGCGGTATTCTAACATGGCAATACGGCGCGAAATATGCCGCCATAACGGCCGTCACTATGACTGCGTACACTGCTTTTACAATATGGACCACTGCCTGGAGAACTAAATTCAGAAGACAGGCTAACGCTGCGGACAACAAGGCTTCAACAGTACAAGTTGACTCCTTGCTCAACTACGAAGCTGTAAAATACTTCAACAATGAAAAGTTCGAAGTCGCTCGATACGACAAGGCGTTGACTGAGTATGAGAGAAGCTCCATTAAAGTCGCAACATCTTTAGCCTTCCTAAACAGTGGCCAAAACATTATCTTCTCAAGTGCTCTAACAGCTATGATGTACCTCGCCGCCAACGGCGTAGCAAGTGGCTCTTTAACTGTCGGTGACTTGGTTATGGTCAATCAGCTCGTCTTCCAGCTCTCCGTACCTCTAAACTTCTTAGGCTCGGTGTACCGAGAACTCAGGCAATCTCTTCTTGACATGGAGACATTGTTTAACTTACAAAAGGTGAATGTTAGCATTAAGGAGCTCCCCGATGCGAAAGCACTGGCACTCTCAAAGGGCGGCGAGATCAAATTTGAGAATGTCAACTTTGGATATAATGCGGATCGGTCCATTCTTCGAGATCTTACCATGACAATACCCGCGGGTAAGAAAGTCGCTATCGTAGGACCAAGTGGATGCGGAAAGTCCACGTTACTGAAACTTCTTTTCCGATACTACGACGTCGACAACGGGCGCATTCTTATCGATGACCAAGATGTTCGCCATGTTACACTCGAATCGTTGCGAAAATCGATTGGCGTTGTTCCACAAGATACCCCTCTATTCAATAACACGGTGGGACATAACATCAAATATGGCGATATGTCAGCACCTGAATCGAAAGTCATAGCTGCTGCGAAACGCGCTCATATCCACGATATCATCTCGAGTTGGCCTACCGGATACGAGACTAAAGTCGGTGAGAGGGGTATGATGATTAGTGGAGGGGAGAAGCAACGTCTTGCAGTTTCTCGATTATTATTGAAAGATCCCCCTCTATTATTCTTCGACGAGGCCACCAGTGCGCTAGACACGCACACCGAACAGGCGCTTATGCAGAACATCAACAGTATCCTTCGAGAAAAGGCGAGGACAAGTGTTTTCGTGGCCCATCGATTGCGGACTATTTATGACGCTGATTTGATTATTGTGCTGAAAGAGGGAAGAGTCGCCGAACAGGGTACGCATAAGGAGCTGATTGACCGTGGAGGCTTGTACTCGGAACTCTGGAGTGGTAAGTAGTCACAAAAGCTTGGGCACGTTTCCGGACATTTTACTAATTGATATTGTGTGTAGCACAAGAAACGCTGTTTGATGCCGATGGGGCGGAAAGAGAAGGGGCAGTTAGCGACGAAGTGAACCCCGAAACGAGTTCTAATAAAGAACAACCCCGACGATAATGGCTTTATGAACCACACGTAAGCTTTGGAAGGATGAAGCTCCAATCCCAAGAGCGTAGTCCCACCGATGAGGCTGCTTTTGAAAATGCGCCCAACTGCGATATGAAGGTATCACCTGCGGTGAACATGTACGATGGTTAGAGGGTTAATTGGCTATTGTGTAGATCTCAATAACATAAAAAGGATCACAACTCAAATCAACAGTTGTGGGTATGTTCAGGCTTTAAGACCTCTATTTGGAACTTTTATCAACTCTGTGATGCTCATACCCCATTTCCCGCATGGGAAAGACTTTAGCCCAGAGTCAAGCGTTTAAGTAAACTCTAATGACTTTTGAACCATTTTGATAATCAGAATTTGAATAATCGTGAGAGGATATCACAAGGTCTCTCAAAGTAGCAAATAGCACTACACCCATCCTCGGCATTGCGATATAAGCGAGCGCATCTAGCCAATACCCATAATGTCTAACCGGCAGTACCCGATTAAACCAATCTGCAAGCCACCGCAAATATATTCGTAAAAGTGCAGTTCATCGGGTTCTTTGGCGTACTCCGAACTTAGTCTATACCTTACAAGCACGTCCTCATGATGCGTCGAGGGTTACATCACACGGTTACGTATCCCTGTCCGCTTACCTCTTAGCTCAGGTGTCAGTTTTCCCAGACCTTGGCCTAGATAACCTTCCTATCCCAGCTTTCTTCTACGTAAGTAGCCAATGACCGACTTTCTATACCCGGAGAATTATATTATAGGAATTATAGATATGGGTAGGTCGCTATACTATTATATATTACATGGCTTGCTGTCGATTACGTTTGTCCCATCACGGGCAACACACCGTTCCGTTTAGAAGTAGGTCATGCGGTCTTTGTACATAGACGTTTGTGGCAGATAGGCGAACGCTCGTGCTCAAACGAAGCGCAACCCGCGCACGGGTAGATAAAATAGTTACGATCTAGACTCCGAGCGGTAGTTATTCTGAAATGCGTATATTTCATCTCGTAGTACCTCCAGCATGTCTCCTTGACCTTTCTATTCTCTTCTTTCTCTTCTTGGTCGTAACGTCCTAAACTTGGTTCATGATGAGGGTATCTTGGCTTTTCGTAACAATATGCGCCGGCGTCTTCACCTCGGCTCTCGGACGGTACGTAGGAAGACGAGCAGATGTGCCGACTGTGGATCTGGGATACGAGATTCACCAAGGTTCTGTTAATGTAAGTTACTTGTATCTATTTTATGTTATGGTACATGTTGGATACACGCACCCCATTTTCACATAATACGCTTAACACCTACCGGGGGAAGTCACTGACTGGTTGTAGACCACTGGCGACTACTACATCTTTAGGAATATCCCATACGCACAGCAACCGGTCGGCGATTTGCGTTTTAGGAAGCCTGTCGCAATAAAGGATTCAGGCCAGGAGATCAACAATGGAACTGCCGACGGAGATGCTGTTGTCATGTGCCCACAGGCATACCCACAATGGGCTATCAATCTAATGGCGGAACGCGGTGGAGTCAGCAACGATGCGATGGCAGATTTACTCAACAATCAAGCTGGGCAGACAGAGGCTTGTCTAGTGCTTGATGTCTATGTGCCAATTGAAATTTTCAATGATGGTCCAGCTGCCGACGGTAAAAATCCACATCCTTCCGGTACGATTAGTGGCAACTAACAAGTATTGTAGCTTCGGTCCTGGTATGGGTCCATGGGGGTGGCTTCACATTCGGATCCAAGACCCTTTATGGGAACCCAGCCGGCATCATAGCTAGGTCGCGACGTGACGGGGAGCAGGGTATCATCGTGATAGCAATCAATTACCGTCTAGGCATGTTCGGCTGGTTATCCGGCAATGACACCACGCCGAACCTAGGATTATATGATCAACGCCTCGCGTTCGAATGGGTTCAGGAGTACATCGCGTTGTTCGGTGGTAACGCGGAGAAAGTAACGGCCATGGGCGAAAGCGCAGGCGCTTCGAGCATCGTCCACCATATCACCGCATACGGCGGGGAACAACCGGCCCCATTCAAGTCGGCAATCCCGCAGTCCCCCGCGTTCCAATTTAATATCAACTTCACCGAGAATTACGATAAGACTCTGGCAGAAGCGACAAGGCAGGCTAATACAGCTATTGATAGCGTGAAGGATCTGAGCAAGTTATCGACTGACTTGCTTCGTACCATCAACCAAGCAACCGTGACGACGGCGCCGACTGGAACCTTCGGTTTCGGACCCGGACCTGACGGCACATATGTGGTAGCCATACCGCAGGTACAGCTATATCAAGGCAAATTCGACTTAGCCGTAGATGTAAGCAGCAGTCTTCCTTTCTCTTACCTCACAAGTTTAAGCAACGCGACCGAACTAACATCGCACTATCAGCTCCTCATAAGCCACACAGCCAACGAGTCCGTCTCTTTCACACCGTCCAATATCCTCACCTCCGCCGACGTAGAATCCTATGTCCGCACCAGTCTCCCTGAAGCCTCCGACGACACCATACACACGCTTCTCACAGACCCAACATTATACCCAGACATCCTAGGCAGCGCCGACTACCCATGGACAACCGAATTCGAGCGAGCCGCGCGTCTAAGTTCGGATATCGGATTTGCGTGTACGGCGCGGTATCTATCACTCGCACGCGATAACGAAACTTTCGATTACCTATTCGCGTACCCGCCGGGTTGGCACGCGGACGATGTACCGTACGTATTTTACGACGGCGACATGACGACGTTGGATGATGGGTATCCAGTGAACGCGGCGCTAGCGTATCAATTACAAGATTACATCGTCGCGTTTGCGCGAGAGGGGGATCCGAATATAGGACTTGAAGGTACGGCTGTGGAATTCCCGGTGTATGGACCAAAGGCGAGGATATTGGAGTTGGGATCTGATGGCGTCAAAGAAAGGGGCGATGACTTGAGTGCCGTGAGATGCGAGTGGATACAAAAAGCTATGGTTGATGGAAAGTTGTGAGCGTAGTTTTTGAATACCTATAATCATATTATTTTATTACGATGGCTGGGAAGAAAGACGACGAGATCCATGTCAACTTCAAGAGGACTACCTCTCTTGATGAATTCAATATGATACTTACATATTAGCGTTAACTATTCTTCTATACGGAAGATATTCTGCTATCCGTACAATCCTACAAAAGCCGAAACTGTTTGTCATCGCTGTTCGGCAATATGAATCCTTCACTTGTGACTTTCAGCACCCGTACAACATAACTGGATCGTCTTCAATTGTTCGTGGTAGCTCTACTACTATGTCGGACGTGGTGGGTTGGGCATTCACGACCCTGTGGGCTGCGCTGGCTGTTCTCGTGATTTACTTATTTCGAGTAAACCAGCTTCTCAGCCAGACACCAGCCGAGGTCCGGAAGCTTTCGGGTTCGCGCTGGACAGAGAACCAACTCAAGGAAACCTATCAGAAATTACAGGAGAAGCCAATTGACTATACAGATAAGCTACCGCCAAAATTGGAGCGTCGATACGTCGTCACCGGTGGTTCTGGTGAGTGAATTCACCCAATCTTCGATTCCGTATATCAAGCACAATGGCTACCGAATATTAAACATACTGCTTAGGACTTGTCGGTGGCTTCATAGTGCTTCAGTTATTAGCTCGTGGCAACCTACCTGAGAGCATCCGAATCATCGATATTCGAAAGACTGAGCGCAATGACATGCGCAGTGGACCCGCAACGAAGGTTGAATTCGTGCAGACGGACATCACTTCGCTTGATTCTGTTGAAGCAGCCTTTGGACGCCCGTGGCACTCCTCCGTAGCTCATCTACCCCTCACTGTGTTCCACACGGCTGCTGTTATCCTAGCTTCCGAGCGGTCTAAATATCATTATGCCTTCCCGGAAGCCGTCAATGTGAAAGGTACGAAAAACGTACTTGCGGCGGCGCGAAGAGCGGGCGCGGATATCTTTAGCTCTACCTCGTCCGGTTCTATCTCTATCCGGCCCGTAGAACCGTGGGTTGCGCCTTGGGAACGTTCTGCGCGACACTTTTGGCAGATTTTAGATACGAAGGATTTCTATGCGCCACTAAGAAAACGTGAGGGATACTTCGCCAACTACCCCGCTTCGAAAGCGGTGGCGGAGAGACATGTGTGCGAAGCAAGCGAGACACAGTTTCGCACAGGTTGCATTCGTCCTGCGAATGGCGTTTACGGAAACCCAACGGATAATACCGTCGGTGACCCTCTAAGTCGAGAAGTTCTGCCAACGTGAGTCTCCCGCCGATCGATCATATTTTGCATCATGTATGGAAACGCTTATACAAGAACCAATAGTTGGGTGCCCCATATCGTGCAGAGTTTCGTACATGGCGCTAATGTTGCTATTGCCCATCTGCACCACGAGGCGGTCCTCGCTCAACCTTGGCCAGAGAGTGCCAGGTACGCGGGTCGACCGTTCGTGGTTACGGATCCGAATCCACCAATAACATATAACGATCTGTATACGGCGATTGGGACACTTTCAGTGCATCAGTTTCGGACTATTAAGGTGCAGCCTGTTGTCATTCTCTTGCTCGCCCATGCGGTTGAAATTTATGGCGAGTTACCTTACAAGTACCCATTTTTACGCAAGGTATTGCCTGAGCTGAAAGGCGATATCCGACATCTCAAGCCGGGGATTTTCTCAATCTGTACACATCTGGTCGCATCCAACGAAGAGATTGGGAAACCCATTTCTCAAGGTGGGCTTGGGTACACCGGTGTAATCACCACGTTAGAGGGTATGGTGTTAGAAATTCTGGAATGGAATAATGAACACGTGAACGATGTCAAAACTCGCAAACCATACACGACATCAATTTCGTTGGCGGAACAGATCCAGAAATTGTGGGCGGTAAGTGGCAGCCATGTCTCGAGTTGACACCGAATCTGTAAGATGCATTATTCTAGAAACAATTCATGTCAGCCCGTTTGCATATCAATACCTTTCTAAGATGTATTTAACTCTTGAATGATACTAGTTTTAAATGAACATGACCGATTGGTGATGAGATCTAATCATGATCTATCTGTGCGGTGGCTTTGCATGTATCGACGTCCGAGAGTTGTTACCGAATTGGATGATTTTGATTTATGCGCATAGATGTTGAGATGCAGATGAGATGATGTGCTTCTTTGAAATCCCACATCAACCTTTGAGTTAGAATTACTGTAAGGATTAACACAATAGTTAACATTCTTTGAGATGACAGACCCGAATTATTAACTTTTACATTTTACTCTAAGTGGAATAAGAGGTGGATGTAAGTTACCGATGACAGAACCTTCGGTACGTATGTGGAGTTCCTTATGTCATTCCAAGTGGAGGTATTTCCAAAGGTACCTAGGTAGGTACAACTCGATATGTACTCGTGTGTAGTTGCCGTATAATTGTGCCACTTCTTAAATTAGTGTTTTTATGAACCAGTCGGACTTTTTATTCAATCAATACAAACGATATGATAGACATTAAGCAAGATTGAATAATATGGTACTGTAAGATCCAATACATTCTTTCATTAAACACTTACGTATGTACATATGATACACATGTTCGATCAAAGGTGGCTGTGTATCACGAGACTATGTTATGCATCTTGAGTAACCCCAGATTCCCTTTTTCATGGAGGTGAATTCTTTCTTCGCGTTCCTGACAATCCCAACCCAATTCTTTCTTTCCCGACCCCCTTCGCTAGACTTAACAAATCGAGATGCATCCATGGATCTTGTTCTTTCCCAATGGTGTGAATAGTGTACAGCGGCCCTTGCCTGAAACGTGGTCTGCCCCTGCATTGGTTAGTAGCCGCTTAATCCTAATGGGTAAAGCCTTATGCACGTCGGATAGGTCGATAGACTTATCAGGGTAATCAAGGTGGGACGATGTGGGGATTCATGCTGGAACGAATGTTCATTCTCACGCTAACACCGGGAACGCTCTAGCTTTGGTAAGAAGCGCCCCATTTCCCGCCCTGTTCGCGTGCCTATTAGCGGCCGGCTCAGTGGCTAAACAGGCTAGACACTGCTACATGCTGCGTGGTTTAGGGGGGAAAGGCCAAAGTGTAGGTACGCTAAATTCAGGTAGTCTTAGCGGGTTCTTAGCTAATTGTAGCTGAACCTTGGTTCTAATGGTTCCAATGGCTCCAACGTTGGAGTCCACTGGATCACCGCCGGTCTTCTTTCTCTCTTCTCTAATATTGTAATAAGACTTTCTCTTTCTTCCCCTGTCAATGATCTTTTTCTTCTGCCTCTTCTCCCCCAACCCAACCTCCCATTCCTATCCTTTCCTAGGTTAGCTATAATACGAGTAACATAACCGGAGAACACAGGATTGTTCCCATTCATTCGTTTATACAAACGGGTAGATTCCGAATCCACCGAGAGGAACATATCGATCGGTTTTCATACACACTCCGTTCTCTACTTCACAAGACTCACGCTTTATACCTACATAATAAAAGACGTTGGGACCAAGCCGTGTCACTGGCTCTCCTATAATTTGGACCAAGTCATAATAGTATCTGGACGCTACGCCCCATACTCAATTACTCGAAAGTAAAGAGGTTGGAACAACGCAAGTCACGATGCCGAGCCTTATCGAAAAAATCCAAGCCAAGATCGAGATCTTCCGACTCGAACAGCGGTACACGCGCAACCGCCACCGGCGCTCCGCTTTCATCAGCAATGCTATCTATGTTGATGGCGAATACATCTACCAGACACCCAATACTACCGGCTCTTCCACCAACAGCAGCAACTCCGCTTCTTCGAGCGCCGCCTCATCACCTATAGAAGAGAACAGGCGTCACAGTGTTGTTATCGAGCCAGAGACTCGAACACCTACACAGAAGAAGCGATTAAGCAGATTCTCATCCATGCCCGGTTTCGGATCTTCAGCGAAAAACAACACCGGCCGAGATTGGAGACCAAACGAAGTTGACGTAAGCGAAGTGCGGTGATCGGCATATATTGCCCTCGAATCGTCAATCGTCCCAACAAAAGGGGAAATAAGAGAAATTAAGAGAAGACAATGCTAGGCTGGTGTATATGGTGTATTGGGTCTTTGCTGAAGAATTGCTTCTATTTGGATATACCAATGAGAGATTGTGGCTCTATCCACGACATACCCTCGCGGGTTCTCACGACAGTCGTTCTTGGCGCATTTTCTTGCTGTGTATCATCAAGCACGGGGTATCATTAGAACCTCAATTGTGCTGGAGCATTTCGGTAAAAGGGGTGGCGCTCTGATACGAATTTTTCAAATGTATATATTATCGTTTTGACGACCAGGGACAAATGAAACGTTATTCACAAAGCACACGACACTCGTTTTCGTTCTTGGAAGATTCTAATATTGCTTTTAATTTTACTACACCGTATTCCTGGTGGTTTAGCTAAGTCGGTGTCTCAATTGTCATTCCATAGGTAGTCTTCAGCGTAGTCTAAGACAATAAGTTAAACAATGACGTTCGAAGTCATCAAAATGTATCTACTAGAAGAGATCTCATTGCAACGGTACAAGTCCAAGCTTCTTTGCCTTTCAGGAAGGAGGGTTGAAGTATTTCCCAATTGGGTACAATTGAAAATCCTCCTGACCACACGTGGCTCCATACCGGTACTATACCCCCTTTTATATCCCGACACTCAATCTGAAGTCAGGCTAAATATATCACTTTCGACGGCTTGCAACGTTCAGGGTGTTTGTTAACATGATTTCGGTAACCGGTAGGATTGCATGTATTTGAAAAAATTAAGCCTATGATTCTAGAATAGGGGCTTGACTACGCTCGTGTTCATCCACCTCCAAGCATGCAAATGACGTTCCTTCAGCCTCTCGATCCTTCGCTTCTGTCGATAAGATTGCTGATCCTTCGTCGCCTACCAGACATCGGCGGGGTCACCTTCAGAAAAGTCAATAAAACTAGTGATGTTCTCAAGTACAATGTTGTTACATATTTATACATATTGGAACAGCCATGCTATATGATATAACTTCCAATTGACAACCTATAAATCTATACCTAGTTCCCAGCCCATGGTATAACCCTCCTCTATATCCTGAAGCCCAGTTCAAGTTGAGCCGCAAACCGGGCGGCGTTGTCGCCTTCTTCCGTCTTGTCTCATTGTTTCCACGTTTAGACCTAGTTGCTCGTCACCAGTCTATTTCAATCAGATAATTCGACATTTAAGCGTCTTCGGTCTCGTTCGTGTGCGAGCGCGCTCCAATGATTCCTCTCCTAAGTTTGGGGGCTGAATTGAATGTTAGCTGAAATTTCTTGGAGTGGTCAGTTTGGAGTAACCTACAGGATGATCGCTTCTCATTCTCAGCATCGGTGCAGTTCATATCTGCTCGTGCAACTATCGAATCATTAATCGCCAATTCAATTTGAGATCAGGCTAGATTAACAAAAACATACCCAAAGATCGAGCCGCATTCTCGTCTGAAGAGTTAGCGTTCGCATGGTTTCGCGCAAACACTATTTCCATTAGTTGGCCAATTCAACAACACTATTCGGTGAGTGTTAAACATACGAAGAGCGCGAGCCTTGTTCTCTGCAGCGGTTTCAGTTGAGTTTGCGTGGTTTCTTGCCTCTATTGAAGGGGTTAGCATCTTCTCAGGTAGCGTATGCTAAATATTTGTACCTAAAGATCGAGCGGCATTCTCGGTTTCGTTCGAGGCTCTGCTGTTTACCCTAATTCTGGGTACTAGCTCTAGTGCTCTGGCTGTGATATCCACGGCTATGAGTATAATTAGCGACTATCTCCAATATAATCTAAGACGATGAGTTAGGAACATACGCGTTGATAGAAGCGATCTCCTCTCGTTGTGGAATGTTGGTGTGCCCGCGACGAAAGAGCCAGCGGTGGCTAGGAAGAAAAGGATGGCGCCGAAGTTCTTCATGGTGTCTGATTATGTAGTGACTGGTTGAATTTTTGGGTATTTGAGCTGATAGGGGACGTCCTGGTCCTGCGGTACTAGATGACTACACGAATCTGGGTCAGTGACCCAAAGTGAAGCAGATCAACCCGATAAACTCACATCAAGGTGGTTTCTGGCTATGCAACGCAAGAATGCAAACAAAAATGGTAGTGGCAGAATGGAATATCTTGAGAACTACAGAACCAATTTTCTAAGACGACTAAAGGGAGTTAATATACACAACGATCAATGAGCAACGCAAACCCAGCCACGAGAAAATATTATGGAGATATTGTGATCGCCCATCGTCAGTACATCCTCTATGATCAATTGAGATAGGGAGGTTCCTGGGATAGAACAGACCCTCTTATCTTCCAAACATCGGGTCGGCCAGGTCGCGTAGACTTGGCAGCCACGAAGCGTTTCGACGTTCGTTTATCTTCTACCGACTCGTGGGGGGGTTGTAACTCAGCCGCAGTGTATGATATCGCTGTGTTATCCTTGCGTGCTGCATGCGCGCGGTCGCGGATCTACTTTTTTCTTACCTCGCCCGTGGTATAGAGCTTAACTCAACGCTGTGACAGGACGACATCAGACGAACGAGGAGCCGCAACGTTGGTTCCCTCCCGCTCCGCGGCGGGTCGTGGGGCGGGCGACCCGGTGGTGTTTCCCCTAGGCGCTGACCCATCCGCGTTCAACTACCTTATCAGGAGAGAACGGCACAAATTCGCTGCTCGTTGGCTCACGATCAACGTACATCAAACCGGACCGGTCCACAGCGCAAAACTTTCCTGATAACTCAGTGGTGGGTGATCATCGGTGAGAGGAAATCGAAGGGGGCAGTGTTGTGACATGATCGGCTTGTCTATCATTGCTGATCGCTCTAATTGGTGGTTATCAACAACCATTCTCAGCCTCTTACTCGCTATCTGCTTATCAATGACTCCCTACTGAGTTGGCTAATTGGATATAAATCAAAGCAGTTGAATTGACTAGAACTGAAGGGAGGCTGGGGATAGTTCTGGTTTCTGAGTATGAGTTGTTCAACAATAAGTGCTGCGTTTATTTGATTTGTGGGAAAATGGAAATGTCTCAATCCCTTTTAAACTGTGGCGTAATGCAGGTGTATTTTTGCGTGTCACAAACCTTACGTGGTATTTTACAACCGTTTGAACCGTTTAACATGATGCTGTTCTTGTCATAAAACCGCAAGTAATACCTCTTTAGAGAATCGTCTCAGCCCTATGCGACTACTCTGATACAGTGATAAGCATGTAAAAATGGATTCATGACGTCAATTTAATCTTCAGATCTTCTCGTTTATGAAACTGAAACAATGCTTGTTAAAGAGGAGGAAAGAGGCACTTAATAAGGGGAGAAACATAGAACGGCGGAGTAAAGTTTGGGACCGTCTGTGCTGTGCCTCTATGTGGAATTCCGTTTTCCTCTCCCTCCTACCACCCCAGCCATTTCCATTCTTTCATTCTTCATTTTTTTCCACCCCAAAACACAACACCAACTAATTTCACATGCGAATTCGAAAACCCCAACTTCAAAATTCATAAGGCGATGATATAATAGGCCCAATTAATAGGAAACAAATCTATTATACCAATCCCCCCACCCTCTGACCGAAACCTTGATAGTACAGCATGTCCTCACGAGGCTACGGAGATTTATTCAGAATGCAGCGGATTCGATTCAGCTCACACCTGGGTAATCAAGGATGGACACATAATGAATGGGACATATTACTAATCCGAATCCTGCCGCGTGTATCTGTTTCATTCCCCCGCATGCTTTTCTTCAATTCGTTGTGGATGAAAACGCAGTTGGATCTGACGATGTGTAACGACTACTGACCCTTTGAGTGAAGCTAATGCGTATGGTTGTAACGAATACCATCTGACGAGTGTTTACCTGAGTTCATTGACGTCTTTTCCAAATCTACTCAATCAAATAGTAAGGACGAGATCCAACCACATGGCGAAGCGTTTCTTTCGAACTCTTGGGCGGTCGCGTAAGCAGGAAGATGATTTAGACTCCGACAGTGGACATTCGTTTACGGAGAGAAGGGCTGCCTTACGTAGTACGAATTTTTCGGGGGATGAGCTCTACTCAGAAGAAGATTCAATCTACGAGCCATTAAATATCTCCAAATTCGAAACCCGATTCTTGAAAGTTATTCGAATCCCACGTAATCCCACCAAACGCATGAGTTTCGAGATAGAGAAGTTCTCCCTCTCCCGTCCACCAAATTACCTCACCTTATCCTACTGCTGGGGCGATATAACTCATCTATCGTCTATTAGGGTGAGTGGGAACAAAGTTTATATCTCGAAGAATCTGGAATCTGCCCTTCGCCATTCGGGGTTTGAGCCTGGGGATTATATTTGGGCTGATGCTATTTGTATTAACCAAGATGACGACAACGAGAAGGCTCACCAAATTGGACTCATGGGTCATATTTATTCAAAAGCTCAAGAAACAGCAGTTTGGTTGGGCGAAGAAAGCCGAGATACACCACACGCCTATGATCTCATTACCGAAATCCAAGCTCTCGCCAGTAATTCTCATATGAACTTTATCCCGAGCGATGAGTTTGCATCGGCTCTTCGAGATACGTATTATCCTATACGTTCGCTCCGTGGTCTCTATGAGCTTTTAACGAGGCCCTACTGGGAGCGCGTATGGATTATACAGGAGATAGCAAAGTCTCAAAAGGTTAAAGTGAGATGTGGCACTTACTGTTTTGATTTAGCCGCTCTGTTAGCAATTTCCGAGCATGTGGACGACTTATCCAAGCATAACCACACCCTAATTTCTGCCATCCAAGAGTTCCGAGAACAGGAAATTAGCGCGCAACGAGGAGGTCTACGTATGCCCTTGCTACAAGCATTGATAAGAAGCCGTCATTCTCTTGCGACCAACCCTCGCGATAAAGTCTATGCTCTGCTCAACTTGACTAGAGATGGTAACGACTTAATCCCAATGCCATCATATACCGAGTCTGCCGGAGAAATATTTAGGGATCTCACGATGACGTTTCGCCGCTCGCCATATGCGATGGAATCCATAATATTATCACCATGGGTCCCTTTGGTGACAAAATCCAAGGCACACTCTTGGGCCGTTGATTGGGCAGATCTCGCGTTCAACATACCACCTTGGTTGGCATCAAACATATCTACCAGGTATATTGCACGTTCAGGAGAAGAACCAAATAAACTGCTTGAATTCTCAAAAGAATTAAGAGTTCGAGTAAAGCAGCTCGTCAAAATAGAGTCTATCAGCGATGCTTCGATGGCGTATGCGGTCCAGCAACAAGTGCCGGTAGAAAAAGCACCTAGTATCATGATCTCGTTCTGCTCCACGTTATGGGGTACATTCTTCTCGAAAACCCCCAAGGTTCCCCATGCTGAGCTTGTATGGGCGTTGGTCTACATAATAGCATATGATCGCTCTCAGACGAATTGGGATTCACGCCGTAGAGCGGCCCACACCCAAGATGTCATAAAACAATTAAGCTGGCTCATAGTTGACTCGTTCCCTTTAGCAATATGGGCGAGGGAATGCCTCAGCAACAGAACAGCTTTCTTCAGAGAATTGGCCAGCACAATGCCAACAGAAGATGCGAGAACGTTCTACTCACTTAGAGATGAGCATGGTATGCAGTCTACTGGGATCTCCTTAAGTGACAAGATTTCCCCTTTAAATCCCCTCCATGAACTGTCAGTGGGTGCCATGCACGTCTGGGATGAGCTCTTATCGAGTCTCGACATGAGACCTGAATACGGGTTCCAGTTTGCTATATGTAATGGAGGTGACGTCGTTCTTGTGCCCTACGCAGCAAGAGAAGAAGACCGGATATATCAGGTCCACGGTTGCCATTTGCCTGTAATCCTACGGAAGAATTTCTTCATAGGAGAGGCTTGTATTGGCATAGATTCTGATGGCCATTGGATCGCGGCTCGGGACTATCCACGGACTGCAGAGGCAGATACGACGAAATATCTATACCTGCGACTCCGGAGAGGGACAGATGATGACTGAAGCTAATCTAATATGTTAATTTCCTTGCATAATTGTATATCCAACTACGTACCTTCAAACTATTTCCTAGGCTTGGTGGAGTAGTTGCGACCTGAGTGTCTACCTGTCTTTGCTCGAGATACATCTTCCTAGAACCAAATTACCAACCTATGCGTGTAGCAAGCATGAAATGCAAGTTGACTGGCGAGACGTCAGTCATAGAAGGGGTGTGTGAAAAAGATGCATAAGTAATTCCTCATACAATTAGTCATCGTAATACTTAGGTAAGGGAGCTTCTACCTATCGTGTAAGGACGAGTCCATCACCGGGCATTAAATGAGTTTATGAAGGGCCGATTAATTGTTTCGGGCATTACTTCAAATGGTCATCTTCTAGGTAATCTGAAGATCTGACACGAAAAATGATGTCGTTACCAAATCTCCAGACGAGCCGCCAGAAGAGCTGACATACACCTGAAGGCGAATGAGAGTTCACGGAGCAGACGCTATACCGTATTAGGAAAACAATCTATGGTGCTTTAGCTTGATTCTTGTTTATGCGGTGCAACCTGAAATAAGAGATATGTACCGGCGCATACACTGTGCTGAACTGGCCTCGCGACTAAGGAGATATCTTACGTCCGGCCCTTTTTTTTTTTAGGGAAGTCTTCTATGTTTGTGACGTAAATATATTGGTACGGTAATAGAAAAGAGAAAGAAAAAAAAAACAAAGAAAAAAGATGCTGAATCATCGAATGTGTAACAATCAGACTACCTAGCTACATAGAGTCAAACGGTCATTTAGATACAAAAGCAACAAAGATCACGGACGGCACGGGTCGTTCGGGTAATTTTCCTAAAGCAAGTAACGTAGGCGGCTCCATTCCAATTGGAGCGTTAGCACCTTCGTTACCTAGACATAGAATTCGTCATCTAACCCGCTATCACGGGTCACTCAGGACTAACATCATGACTTGTAGCGCCCCTCATCTTCATTTAAGTGGCCGAAGCTCCACAACTTCAAGCAAGCTTTCTTCAACTTCGTCCCATCCAACCGCCCAAACTCCGTTCGCCCCTAACGCGAAAAATCCGTAAATTTACTATCCTAGGTAGCCTATTAAGTCCTATTTCGCGTCCGGCGACAAGAGCATACAGCACTGTCTCAGCCTTCGTGGGGGCCAAGTTATCTCCATACTCCGAAGCCGAGTTTTGGACTTGACTAAGTATATTAACTAACCTGCCTCAACAACGTCCAGCTCTGATCTAAGTAGGTCTAGTATCGAGCTTCAACAAGCAAAGGGGTTTCACTACTTATACTTTCAACTAGTCGGATAAATCCCACCTATCCCTTACATACCTACAATTCTTGCACAGCATATATCTACCAACTCGTAGATATATACCTCAAACCTCATCCCATACCTCCTAAGTAACACAAAACAACCCCAAAAATGGCACCCCTCTACAAAAAGGCCCTCGTCATCGGCGCCACATCGGGCATCGGACAAGCCTTCGCCTCGAAGCTACACAAAGACGGCACATCCGTCATAGTGACAGGGCGGCGTCGCGAGCGTCTCGACGCCTTCGCGTCATCACACCCCGGTTCCTCATCCGCAGTCCTAGACATCACACAGCTTTCCTCGATCCCGTCCTTCGTCAGCACCATCACAAAAGAGCACCCGGATCTCGATTGCGTGATCCTAAACGCAGGAATCCAACGCCGGTTCGAGTTCTCCCAACCTGAAAGTGTGGATCTGACCACCTTCGATGACGAGTTCACCACAAACTACATTTCCTTCGTACATTTCGTCGTCGCCTTTCTACCCTTTCTGCAGGGGCTCAGTAAGCAGGGGAAAGAAACACATATCGTGTTCGTGAGCACATCGCTCGCTCTGCTCCCTACACTAGTCCGCTGCCCCGGGTACTGCGCGAGTAAAGCCGCGCTGCACAGTTGGATCACCACCGTGCGCCAACAGTTAATCGATGCGGGGTACGCTAATATCAAACTGACCGAAGTCTTTCCGCCCGCCGTGCAGACCGAGTTGCATGATACCAAGCACCAGCCCGACTTGGTGAATGGTGGAGATTTGGGTATGCCGTTGGATCAGTTCATCGATGCTATGTACGCGGGCTTGGAGAAAGGTGATCAGCAATTCGCTGTGGGACCTGCTCAGCAATTCCTTGAGGAAGGCGGTTTTGAGGCGCAGAGGGTTAAGGCGTTCCAGCATGGACATCTGGTGACTATGGGTGCTGTGGGCAAGTTCTTGAAGAATGCGAACTAGGTTACTTACCAGTATGTCTTGGAATTAGTATAGGTATGTGGAAATGAATGAATAAAATGGTTTCCTTAATAGGTAATAATATTCATAGATTACATGGCGTACGCAGGGACGCAATAAATACTATGTTTTATGACCACCGAACACCCCTTTTATGTGATCGATCATCTCTCTCTAATAGAAAGTACACACAAGTTACCGTAACGCCGAGCGCCTAACAACTATCCGGTACGCCTGCGTGGCTGAACAATCGAGTCTAAATGTCATAAGTCATTTCAAAAGAAACCCCCACACATTAGAAGTCGGGTGGATCTACAACATCTGCAGCATCACGGATCTTTTGCGAGATATCCTCAAGCTATAGAGCGAGTTAGCATATCTGGGTTCGTGCTTGCTTCCACTAGTATTGTAACATAGGGAGTGGAATGGAGAAGAGAAGACTTACGTGTTCTTCGCTGAAGATGGAAAAGTGGTGACCGTCAATATCAACGATTTCCTTAATAAAGTTGCCATTCTCTTGGACGTACTTGTCCCAACCTAGGAGGCGGAGGTCTCTAGTGTAGTCGACAAATGATCCGTTGGGATTCCTGTTAACGAACTCCTTGGCGCGTAGCAGAATGGTAGGTGGAACGCGCAAGTTATCCTCGGTCCAGCGAGGCAACTCCCATTCCTTAACCATCATACGGGCGTGGGTCATGTTGAGGTCGACCTTATCCTTCAGTTTCATGGTCTTGGATTGCTCAGGGGTTAGTACCACGTGGTCGGAAGGCAGCGGGCCCCGGATTTCTGTTAGCGTCTTGGGGTACACCGTGTCGATCATGATGATGCCAAGCACACGGAATTTGGGAGCAGAGAGCGCGCTCATTCCACTAGCAGCGCTGCTGTCGCTGTCAGTACTATTGCGGCGACTGCTACTGCTCCGGCTGCTACCACGACTGCTGCCATTGCGCGCTGCTAGGGCGATCCGATGTGCCATCTCCAAAGATAAGTGTCCACCCAGCGACCAGCCTGTAATTGCATGTTAATACAAATTTCATTCGTATGTGAAAATGGGTCAATACATACCGCCTAGAATGATGTCACCGCCTTCAGGTTTAGCCTTGGCGAGAAGGTCAACGTAATGAGCAGCCATCTCGGCGATGCCACCGTCCCACCAGCCGCCCTTGTGTAGGTGAGCATTCTCAATACCCCACAATGGGCGGTCAATGTTGTCTAACAGGTGGTAATTGAAGGTAGTACCACCACCATCGTGGATAAGGAACAATGGCGCCGGTGGTTTGGACAACAGAGATGTGTGCTCCGGTGCTTCATCGTAGATGAGCGCGGGATTCGCAAATGCGTCGTAAATAGTACCAGGCATTTTGTGTGAGTTGAGAATGTGGGGTTAGGTAGGTGAATTAAGGAAGAGGAGTAAAGGTGAAGGTACAAAGTGTTGGTGGTTGTAGTAAGCAACCCTTTGAGGTGAACGGATGGATGAGTGAGACAAGTGAGTGAATTAATGAAACGTCAATAGCTGTTGGCTTGGTATTGTGAGAAAGATTGATTATGTTCTCTTCTTCCTCGGCTGTTGATTCATCTACTCATTCATCCGTCCAAAAGGTTAGGCAAACAGATAAGAAAGTAGGTAAGTTAGGATCAATCATCGAAATCCAAATTGTAATCCTTTTTGTCTATAGAAAACAGATGGTCGTGTCTGTGACTACAACTTGTAAGCGGACCTGACAAGGAACAAATAGGGCGGAGAAGCCGATGAAGCCCCGGTGGTTGGCGGATCGGAGAAACAGGAAACGAAGGACACCAAGTAACGAGTTTGATTGGGAAGTGAGGCTGATGAAGGTTTTGGGTTTTTGGGGTGATGTTCAAGGCTTACTCGGAAAGGTTATCCGACTCTATTATGCACCTCTTGAGTTTATTTTCTTGGAGACTAGAAGTAAGGGACGAAAAAAAAAGGAAGTAGTTCCCCTGGGGAGGATAAAAGTTTGTGTGACATCCAACATGTGGCCTTATTTATTAGTCGTATTGCGTTGATTTACCCTATATACAAGTGTACATATGCGCATGTTGTATACACGTGAAGCTACTGCCGTCGATGAATTTGGTGAATGCAAGGGTCCCTACCCACATAATTGGTACAACTTAGGAAACTATCTAAAAAGGTACTTAGGTACATGCATATGTAATGTTGCAGATAAGGCCCTGTAGCCAATCGAAAACCTGCATATGCACCTCTAGAGAAGGAATACATGACCTGGAATGTTCCAAGGTTCCATTCAGCAAATCCCATACACAATTTTTGAAGGGTCGTCACAAGTAAATACATAATTGTTAACCGAGGACCCCTCATTGGAAAGAAGCGCCCAGGCTGATATCCATGGATAGAATTTTACTCAAACGTTAAAAGAAGTTGGAAGTCCCCTCTGTTCCTTCTGTTGATAACGCAAATCCAGTCAATCCGTACGATTTACAGGAAAGAAGTATCATCATCCCGCATAATTATCCCAGCCAGCCCAAGTGTAATTGCGTCAAGTATTTACATGTACCCCCGTTTTTTAAGGCCCGCATTTTGCGGTGCTGGGTAAGGAGAGACTGCCCAGGCAGCCAGGTGCCCAGGTGCTGCCGGGACAGGGTACAAAGTGGAGGTACTCGATCGTCGGTACCTCTCCCTCGGCGCCTAAACATATGACACACATAGGTACCCCCGTAGGTACATGCATCAATGACATGATGTTGCGTATTGAAGCCCAACGTGATGAGAGAAGATCGTACGCCGAAAAGGAGTGATCGTACAACTTGAATAAGTCGTTATCGAATCATACAAGATGGAAAGTTCCACCCGGAATATTTTTTTTTTTTTACCATGTGGCTTTTCTATTAGGAACATCTTAGACCCGTCCGACTTGGCTTCCCTTTTTGAACGCCAGGTACCTGGAATACCTAGGTACTTACTACCTAGTTCGGAGTTACGGGTCCACGGACCTTAAATCTTTACTAAAAATAGGCAAGCACCTACGCAATATGATGTTGTTTAGTTCATAATAATAACGTGAGACGGCGAGCTTAGTCGAGCTTAAAACCAAATATTGAAATAGCCATTTTTACTTATGGAGTCGTATGTCTAAAATATCCAGAAAGCCAGACCGATATTTCGAATTCAATGCGGAATTGTTGGGCATTTGTGGGAATATCGCGTTCGAAAAGGGGCACATAGGTGAAAAAAACGCGAGAAACTCCGAAGGCTGCATAAATATTGAGACATGCTTACTGTATGTGTAACACACCTTTATTGTTATCTTCCTTCATTTCATTATTGCCTTTCATTTTATCCCAAGCTCCGACAATTTATCCTATCCTCCATTACCTAATTCTCGAAGTCGGATGGCTTTAGCAGTTGGTCGTCCAGTAACTTCCCCATATGCGTCTTGTCGATACTTTCGCAATTGCGTCGGATCTTCGTATGAAGCTCTTTGAAGAACGCGACTGGGCTGTTCCGCAGCCCTGACTCACCGCCGACTCTTCCCTGGCTATCCCGGAGGATGAACCCATCAGCTGCAATCTCTTCTCCCTCGCCTGGTACGTCCCAGCTAATCCCTAGGAACTTACACGCGTCTACGTACTGCTCGAATGAATCGAAGTACAGCTGTCCCGCGAACAGATTCAGCTCAGTGATGAGACGCGGGGGTATATGACGCGTGTTCAGTCGCTCGGGTACCGTGTATAGGTCTAGAGCATCCAGTCGACGATATCCCAGATTCGCTCTCGGCGCATATAAGTGCAGCGCGACAATCTTGGACCTCATGATTGTCGGTAAGAGCTTTTGTGCTTCGAATGGGCTGATGACCATCATATGCTCCACAGTGGATGGAGAACCAGCAGTCAATATCCATTGTATGGGGCGTTGATACAAGTCCATTTTGTCCGATAGGCCACTGCGCATGATTGTACACATAAAGTCGGCTGACACCAATAGGCCTGGGCGGAATTGAGATACGTCGAAGTGAGAAGATGCTCCAGTTTCGCGTAACGCCAAGAATGCAGGTTTGTATCCTGTAGTTTTGGTAACAATAGTGCCTGAGCATGCGAAGGTACTAACGTCGCTGTGAATACTATGCGGGGCTGGTGTCGCTGGGGGCGGTTTTTGGTCTTCCCTTTCCTGCTCGATCTCTGGGGACAGTTCCCTCTCTTCCTCTTCTTGGAGCGCCGCGGCCTCGAGTTTCAGATCCTTGAATTCATTGCAACGCAGGGAAATCGGATCCGAAGCGTCTCCATTCGCCGATGCGTCCGAATCGTTCGTGTCTTGTCTCACATGGGGTCGATACCTGTATTCCAATGTGCGAGCCTCCTCTTCGAGGTATTCCTGAGCGAGGTTGCTGCTGAATTCAATTGTTCCATTTGATTGGGCCTTGGCCCACGTCTCCATGTGTTGCTCATGTCTTCGGCCCTGAGATGCCCATAATGCCATGCTGCGGTGGATATCATGCCAAGTTTCGCCGATCGCCCAAGCCAAAATGTCCAAGACCGTGATCTCATGATCGGCGGGCAGTCCTCCGTGCGCTTGGATCTTTTTCTGGATCTCAGCTGGCACACAAAATACAACCGATTGGCCTTCCCCCAACATTCTCATTCGCATACAAGCTAATCGATGTTAGATGACTATCCGGCTGTATAGAAACATATGAAATTGACATACCTTGGACTAATCTGTCCTTTGTTAAATTCGCACCTAGAGTGACTGCTGCACGATAATCTTTGGGCAGCTTTAAGTCGGTCCCTCTCGTGTGAGCCTCATCGAGGAACACTAAGCAGACATCCAGCTGTGAAGCGAAGGGAGATGACTGAAAAGGCTCGTGGTAACCCTTTCGATCCAGGACACAGATTTCATCGTTGTCATCAAAGAAGATAGCAGCTTGGATTTGTGCATTATCAGAAGTCTTTTCTAGCCATGTCTTCGCAACCCCGATATTGTCAAGCTCAAGTATCTGGGCTCCCACGTCCAATATCACGCGAGTCGGCGGATCCATCTGGGTTATAGTGTCAAGCAGCATTTCGGCGATGGTTCCGACCATCTCTCCGCGAGACGGCATGAGCTCAACACAATTTTCGGGTTGGAGTAAATTCTCTAATACCAAGGCGTTGGTATGCTTCTGGGCGTCGGGGTCTGGCTGCTCAACACCAAGGGGGAGTACCTTGCGCGAGTCGTTGGTACCGCTAAATCCTGTAGTCGGGTGCGTTTTGACTTCGCCGATGTCCCAGCCCGATGCTGAGAGCTTATGCGGAAATTCTTTCATCTCCTTTGGGAAGACAATGTGCGCCAAGAAGTAATCAATGACGCTTTTGGCATACCGGAAATGTTTGAAGACTTGTTGGATACATTCATTATCTTCAAGGTTGATACCAGTCAATTGCCGATGGCCGTTGGATAGACCTTTCGCATCCTTTAGCCAAGCCTGGTATTCCAATTCCGCCTGATCGGATCTGAGAAGATGGGAAAATACTTGGAATAGTTCCTCATCGGTAAGTCCGCCATAATAATAACTCAGCGATGTGAGGATAATGACGACGTCTGGGTGGCTAAACTCAGATCGAGGTGAAGGGCTGTCCTTAGCCCTGTACGGTACTGCTAGTTTGGTAGCCGGCTGTCTGTTAGGGTCAAGACCATAGTCAACCCTCCATCGTTTGTTCCCAAAAGCGAACATTAAGACCCCGCCAGCGATAAGGCCCCGCAGCAACAGAAGATTCTGGCTGACGCTCGCCCAGAAACCGTTTGGATCCTTATCCTCAACCAGCTCGATAACAGCTGCTTCTGGTTCAATGTCAGAGATATATGTGCGCACGGCTTGACGGATGCGTTCCGACTGTCTTGTGATCGGAAACCCATTCAAACCCGTTGCACAAATTCGCTCTGTAACCTCGGAAAAAATCCGGTCTGCAGCATCTGCTTGGAGGATTCGAGTCATGGGAAAATATCCAGGCGACTGGGTGTCAACTTCGAGCGAACTTGGCAACTCTGGGGAAACTTCTGAGACGACCTCCCTAATTATGTCCAGGACCTGTTGGATACAGACCCATCTCTCAGGACTGTGTTCAGTGGGCCTTTGTGTACCCATTGTATACACCAGCTCGAATTTGACGCTGAAATTTTCATCGCTTTCGTCGACAATATCTCTAGTGCATGCATTGAGGACACCTTGGCTTTTCACCAAAGCCCGACCGACCTGCTCCTTTCCTGTCAAGATACATTCGATGCCCATAAGCTTGAAAGAAAGGATGTGTTCCGGTTGGACTAGGAAAACGCCGCCATTTTCCTTGCAGTCCTCGAACAGTTTATTCATTGCCCGTACTTCCTCATGCCCGACTTTTATGGCGCGAGAGAACGGCATGTGGTAAACACGTCGGTCTAGCAAGCCTCCAAGCTTTGAAACCAGCATTTGGTACATTTGCTTGGATTGTGGCTTCCCCACGACCACCCGGACTAACCTCTGGCCGTCTGCAAGAGCTGCTGCAACCATGGGTACAATAACCGACGACTTTCCTTCCCCCATATTCAGTTGCATAACCGCATTCTTGCCCCTATCGGGGTTTATCATGCTGGCCGCGATTTGCTCTTGGACTGGTCGGATCATGATGTCACTTTCTATTTCCAGAAGTAGTGACTCTGGTTGGTCCCGAGGCTGCCAGTTGTGACCGGGGTTGCGAAGCTCGTTAATAAGTGCAGACGGATTTCGAACCATTCTCAGAGCACGAATCGCCCGTTGTAACTGAGAGACAGCCACCCCATATCGGACCAGACAATTTTTCCAATCCTTTGAGAGTTTTTGCCCATAGCTTCGAGATAGGCCCTGTAAGAAAAAGATTGGGGAGAGCCTTGGCCAATGTGGAAAAGTAGCTGACTGGGCTCGGACATCAGCCCCAACCGCTCCGAGTATGATATCGCGAATTTCATCGACTAAAGCCTGGCAGCGATCCCGGTGAAGAGACAGAATTTCTCCTATTTCCTGCGTATCTGATGCTAAGGAGTACTCCTTCTTCCAGCCCTGCAACGACTGGACACTACTATCGAGGTCGTTCACATAGCTTTCTTCATAACCTGATCGCGCCGCCGCCGCGAGTCTTTCCAACAAACGGGGGAGACGAGGTTTCCGTTCACTTCCGCTGTTTAAAGGCGATAATATGTGTTCCATGCTGTCTTCTTCAGGCGGTAACTTCACTGGGGCCTCACATGAGAATATATCATCGCCGCTAACAAATCCAGGTTCATTGGGGGAACTCTCGAGCGGGACCAATGGTGAATATCGCGGGATCTCAATGGGGAAGATAATCTGAGGGATTGTGTTGCCAATATACCGAAGATATGTGAGGAATCTACTGTTATCAAAGCGCGGTTTGAAATAAGCATGTGCCCGCGTCATGGCAGCATTCATGTCGATATACCTGTCCCATTCAACAGGACCCCTGTTAATGGGGCGGGATGGGCTGCTGCAGGGCCATTGATCTATCAGAGCGTCTGATAGGGTGTCGATCACCGTCTTCTGGTTATCCTGGAATCTTTGCGACCGCCGAAATTCATAATCGTATTCCGGCTCTCCATATTTCATGGGTAGTGCTGCTTCTGGACTCTGGTCCCAGTCGAAACATTCATCTCCAAGGAGTCTTCGCAATTCGTAACGGTGAATATCCGAACCAAGATTCAACTTAAAGACAGAACCAGGAGGCGCAAAGATAGAACACATTCCGATGTCCACAAAGAACGAAGCCAGGACTTGAATAATAGTCACATCGACATTTTTAGCGAAAGAAAGCGTAGTAAGCCATAGCATCACTTGGAACTTGTTAGGCTTCATCGAACTTGGATCGCTCAAAACCTGTTGGAGGCGGATCCAATCTTCCGAGACGTCCTCGGCCCATTCCAGAAGCAACCTAGAGTCGTAATTCAGTGAAGATAACTGAAAACTATGTCTAGGTCTGTTTTTTAGTTCTCCCTTTGCGTATGTATCAACAAACTCCCAAATATATTCGGCCAGGTCTTGATTTGGGAGCGCTTCGTAGAGGCTGAACTGCCCTTGGAGGATCACGTTACACATGGCAAAGGACAAAGATGCCTGCGCTGGATATTGCTTACGATCTCTAGACTGGTATGCCCTATCATGGTCGGTAGTATGTTTCTCAGCACCGAAGCCGGAGACACGGAACGTCGACGAGCGAATGAGGTCTCGGCGTAGCAAGGTTTGATTGACATTGTGTAGAAGAGGTGGATCGACATATGATTCCATATAGAGGAACTTTGACTCCTCGGCTTGGTCAAATATTGAGCGTACAATTTGGTAGAATTGACCGTGTTGAGCTAAGAAGCCGAGCTGTGGCGACCAGCTTACTGTCTGCATCTCCTGTTTGTCGGCTGGGTAGTAAACCCTCTCCGGAGTAAGTGCAGCTATTTCTGCTAACAAGTCGAAATTTTCTTTTGTAAGAGACTTGAAAGATCGAACTGCGGCAGAGTCCAAAATGGATAGGGCTTGTTCGGTCCCTGTCTTTCCAGTTAGAGGGTCGGGCAAGGGGAAAGAGGTTAAGGCATGGAGATACGATATCAACAACCTACTCTGCAGGCTACTATTGTTAATAAGCCTGCCAAGCAAGTTGTCAATCTCGTAGACATGGATCTTAGTGTCTGGACACGTCTCAATAGAAACATGCACGTGTTGGTCAGTCTTGTCGAACCCGATATTCCCACTCGGGAGAATAACCTTGCGCCGGTCTTGATCGTTATCGCCTTTAAGTACAAGCTTGCTGCGAAGTCCAACAAGAGTTTCGATAGACTGGTCTTCATCAACCGACATCCCACGGAACTGACGAGAAGAAACTTTCGATTCTCCTTCTTTCAAACGGAACCCTAGCTTTAGTCTAGGCAGTTCAATGTCGAGGGTGGAGCCACGAAGGATAATGTGCGTCCACTGTTGTTCCTCGAGGAGGCTTAGAATTTTATATACCTCTCTGGCTGTTGGGCTGTTATTACAGATGAGGTACGAGTCATCCTTAACTAATTTCCAGGCAGGTCCTGAAGAAACTAGTCTCCAATTATGTTTCGAGTGCGTCCACGGAAGCTCCCGGGGGCAAAACTCCAAGTATCCATTGGTTTTATTATACCAATGAACAAAGTCCTCAACGAATATCGTTGGTAATAACCTCTGTAAAACATATCGAGGGACTAATTCGTATACTAGGCCTTCGTTCACAGCCCGAAGGAGCATGTCCCTTCTCGGGTGGTCCATCCCGAAGTCTAGTTCGTGACCGCTAAATGGTTTCTGGCAAGAGAAACGCATTCCAGGGACAGAACTCGGTACAACTTCTAGAACCGACTTGCCAAATAAGGTTGAATATATGGAATCTCTCTCGTATTCTCTAGGTAATCGACTCAAAGGACTGCCGTTAACAAGGAGCTCGCCTGTTAGTAAGCTGAAATTAATTACCAGTTGTCTATCTCCACTTTCATTCTCGGGTATCGAACGGCCCTCGAGCCAATGATGATAAGGGTTAGGCAGAACCACCCACTTATTGACCGGGCGGAATGCAGTCCAAGTTTCTTTTATGGCATCATCTAAAGCTGAGCTATTCTCGACGAGAATTTCATTGGCAAGGATGGCGAATCCTCGGTACCCAAGCCGCTCCCAGCGCCTCTGCATGATTTCAGTGAGACTTTCGCTTTTCTTTGGGATATAGAGTAATCCATCCTGAATGGTAATGAAACATCTTATCATCTTGCATGCTTCCTCTTGTGAAGCTAAAACGGTACGGAGGTAGATATCGTCGATTTCGAAGGTATCCACACAGATTAACCCAATTTTGGCAATTTTCAATCGCAAGTCAGCTCGTATGTCATCATCTGTGGTGCGTTGGACTTGATCTTCCAGGGTCTTGATCCATTTCAAGGCGATATCACGAACCAATATGAGGAGAACGAGACATCCCTGTCCAATATCTGCCGATGGTGTCAAGGAGAGAAGCCGTCTTGTTATGGAAACGAAGATGCCCAGAGCTCGAAAGGATTGCCAATTCTCTTTGACCCTGTCAATTGCCTTGCCTAGGCCGCCTAGTAGAGCTTCAGCGAAATGTATATCATTGAGTATTTCATGACCATCTCTTAGAACACCTAGTTCATCGTTACGGCTACGAGGACCAGCCTGGAAAATTATTTGTGAGATAAAGAGAGCGGTCTCTTCCTTTTTAAAGTCGACACTGGGCATTTCGAGCTGCACTAAGACATTCTGCCATTGGATTAAGCATCCTAATGGAAGGACCGCAAGTGCCTTGTATTCCTCCAAAGATATGCCATTGGGGCAGGCAGACTGGGTGGCTATGACCTGATTTGGCATTGGACCATCTGGTGTTGCGGCCGGGCGATGGAGGAACTGCTGTAGCGATTTATTTTCGGCTAGCTGTCTTGGTAAGGAGTATGTGCATAGCTTTGGGATGTTCATTGTAGGTGAGATGGATGCCGAAAAACAATCACTTGTATAGTCAAAATACTGAAGACGCAAAGCGTTTGCGTAACAGACGCTGTCCTCAGAATGTCTGGCGATGGTTTTCATCCGACGATGCGTCCCCAACTCAGGCTTTACTTCTGATAATAAGCCTATCCGCTGCCTCGAATCGAACTCACGGAAGTTGTCCTCCAGGCTTGCGTAAAACAGTTCATAACGCGCTCGCGGTTTATTCTCGGCGCTGTATACCGACTTGAACACATCTAAAACTATGAACACAAGTGTGTCACGCCAGTGACCAAACGAAGGAGGTACTTGCAACTCGAAGACGGCCGACTTAGCGTCGAGCTCATCTTCAGGCAACGGCCACTCGTGAATTCGTATAGTCAAGGCTTTCGCCTCTCGGTTGAGCCTACATTTTAGGCAATTATTGCGGCAGGAATTGAAAGCTACGCCTTTGGAATTGACCCTCGCCACCATACTGTGTGACATTTGGTTGGCACGTTGGGTCTTCTCGTGGTATTCATTTTTTTTCTGTTGAAACTCTTCACGCTTTGCGTCTCTTTCCGATTCTGCCCGGCTTTCGATCCTTGCCTTTAGTTCCTGATGTTCGAAAGACTGGTTGAAATACCGCACAGAAAAGCAGTCAGCACTACCAAAGTGGTAGAGAACCTCGGACATGTGGAATCCGGCGCGGGATACACGACTCGCCAAATATTCCTCAACATTCTTCAGTCTTATCATCTGTTCCCTCATCGGCAAGTTAAGGTTCTGCAAGGTCTCTATCGGAATCTCCGGTTTGTACTCTCGCAACAAGCTGCAGATCTTCACTGCTGATCTATCGGATGCAACCCAGAGCTCAAGAATAGTAAGAATCATAATGGATGTCAACTCAGGGTTGTCTTCGTAGTGCGCAAGAGCTTCCTTGTGGTATTTCTCTATCGCTCGCCTCAAAACGCCACATGTTGCTGGGTGAGCGGATTTGGATCTTATCCAACCCCCCAAGGATGAGGCAACCCAATGCTCAAAAATTGCTAGCTTATATGTCATGGGGGTATCATCTGACATCATAGAAAGATCGGGAAGCATATCAGCCCTGTAATTGTCTAAAGGACAGTTTCCGAGGAATTCAAAAGGCTTGTTGTTCCTTCCGCGTCGCTCTATGGAATTAATGAATATCTTTAGTTCGGGAAATGTCATGGTTGTATCGTCCTTAAATTTTAGACTCTGGAGGGCTTTAAACGTCTTGACAGGATTGTCCAGTTCCATTATCCGAGACCACCGCTTTTGGAGTATATTGCTAGTCACTGATAGAATGGAGTCTATGAACGTGGCTATCCTCCGAGGGACAACTCCGAAAAGCTTCTGGTATCGACGAGATACCTTGGCACTCATGGCTGATAAGACTTCACTCGCGGGGCCTATTTCATTCGCCCGTCCCAGAATGTAGGCCATGAAAAATAACATGTACACCTTATAGGTTTGACCAGAATAACCGACCCGCGTCTCTGCTTCTGAGAATTCAAGTTGCAGGGTCACACGTATGAACATCCAAAGGGCTGATCGGTGAAAAGGGAGCTTGGTATTTTGCCAAAATACCTCTTCGCGGGTGTTCTTCCAAATGCTCACAACCTCCACTTGCTCGCCTACAGATAGTAGGAAAGAAGAAAGGAGTTGGGTTACCATCTTTGGATGTGTAGTGTCCCGATCTTCGTCTTGTAGCCGGCCGTTCTTTCTTACTTGAGGCTTCGTACCGTGGGCTTCTTGGAAACTCATTTTCGCAAGTGTACCGGCTAACGTAGCACGGAATTGACAGGATCGGAAGGTTTCCATAGGTATTTTTATAGCGGAGCCTGGGAAGATTCGGCGTAATCCCCCTTTAGTAGACATCACGTCGCGATTAAGAGCGGAAAGCTCGAACATCTTGACGATAACAGCCTCGCCGGATCTTACAAAGATTACGCCGCAGTTTTGAACTCGAACATGGAGCGGAATCGTGACATCTAATGAAATATGTGGTAAGCCGATTGGATTCCCAAACATGGTGAGATACTAACCTTGATTCTGAATGGATTCGAAAGCATTTAGAAGCTGTTCTTCGTTGATTTGGGATGTATCTCCAAGTTGAAAATCGTGAGTTTGATATAGGCGTTCCATCGTAGCATGCGCTGAGTCGGCCATGCTGGATTGACTTTCTTGTACATAACCTCTAAATGCCGAAAGAGAGTCAATGATGGCCTGTAGCAAGGCCTCTTCATTCTTTACGTCATAGTCATCTTTCTGAGGTAGGAGCGGAGGAAGAAAAACATGATGGAAAATGTAGCGGATCTCCTTAGCGGATAGGTTGATGGGTTGGATTTGGGGAATGGATGCCATCTTTACGGTAGCCCTTATGTGGGAGCACAGTGTTGGAAGGGGGGGAGGTTCAACAATGTCGGTTTGGAGAAATATAAGTATAAGTGTGGGTGGTTTGATGAAGTACTTCAATGACTAGGGAAAAAAAAAGTAAGGTAATAAACCTGGTGGGTGGGAAATAGTTGAAAGTCGTTGCTAGGTAATCGTCAAGCACTTAGATTTATGTGTGTATTTCTCTGTTTAGGAAGTCGTGCAGCCAGTAGTAGGCTAGGCACCCACTGAGGTAGGAGGAATACACGCACGCCACGGTACGATAAAACAGGTCAAAGCTTGGTGTATTTATTGTTTGCAGGTAACCGGCCTAGATGCATTTCGCAGCTTTAAGTGGCGGCTTTCATGTTTGAAAATCACCTAAGTCCAACGGACCTGTAGGCATACTGATATAGAATAAAAAGAAAGCAATCATGGGGGCGTGGATGAATTCATACACGAATATGACGGGTTGGTTTCGAATCTCACTGGAGGCCTACTGTTACACCTTCTATCACTTTTTGAGTTGTTCGGGCACCAACAGCCGTAGCCTCAAATGATATATGATATTCCCCCAAGACAGTCAACCGGCGTGCAGACTCCTGACTTTCCTTTCCTAGGTACAGTCATGATGAATACCTAGAAATGGGCGTTTGATTAGCCCCACGTGTACCGATATTGAGGCCATTATGACAAGTCGGCGGCGAAATGAATCACTCTGGGCTGCACACAATTACAACTCTGGCATTTCTCGTGGGGAATTTGCAATCTGTAAAGATTAGCCATTCCATTTAAGAGAAACAACCATTCAACATCTGGTTAGCCAAATAACTATTGTATTGATAATATGAAATGTAGAATCCGAGAAAGAAAGTAAAAAATTGTCGTAACAAAAGGGTTTGATGTAAGGCTGCGGGTGGCGGGTACTCTTCCAGGTTTCCATCAGATGCGGCCCGAGCCCGTCTTCCGTGGGGGTAGGTTGCTGTTTCTTCTTTCCAGGCGCTTAGACAAGACCCCCCGGACCATGTTAATCTACATACATAAGTATCTCAGTTTTGGGAGGCCCCCGAGATGAATGAGCCTTGCAAACGTATTCCATAACGCGGTGTGGCTGGACAGCTGGTACTTTCAAGCAGACGGTGATACTTTGGATTTCCAAGGTTCTGGAAAGGAGAATAATCCAATGTGGTATGGACTATCACATATGGATCCTGATGCCGTTTGTATGCCTAAATTGAATAAATATGTAATACATGTATGTGTCTAGCCGCAAGTTTCCGTCTTGTGATATGGAAATGGAGGTTAGGAGGGAGGTTCCGTTTTGGGCCTGTTGGTGTCTTCGTACATAATGTGTATTTACTAGGGTATGCCTGCGAGCTTTGAAAGGATATTGAGTCTTAGCTCGGTACTTAGGTACATTTATTGTAGTTTTACACTTGCCGACGTACTTGAATTCCGATTGGCCAATTGGCATATTTGTGGAACTTAGGTATTTATCCCTGTCTCAAATCCGTTCGTCCTGAACGATCGGCCCCAGTGCCTCCAGCGCTAACACCATCGCCAATTTCTCCACTTACATACACATCTGCCACGCGACCTGGATCCCTCGACGCGCGAACAATCATTCTTTCGGCGATTGTGTCGGTGCGATAATTCTATTCTTAGAATTAAGCATCGCGCATCCTATTTGGTATAGTCAACCGCATTTGATATCTAACACCTATTGAATCTGATTGCCCCTACCGATTCGATCTAATGGCGCCGACGAAAGAGGATCTAAAGACGCTTCTTCGCGACGGAGTTCGCGCCTTTGTTGCCGAACGCGGATCGGATCAAGTCACTACGAACAGTGTCCGCCAATATGTCGAAGAGAAGAATGGACTCGAGAAGGGATTTTTCCGAACGTCAGAGTGGAAAGATTCTAGCAAAGACATTATCCAAGACTCTTTCGTGAGTGCTTCTACTTTACCTTCTAGTCACCCCCACTTCGCGGAATTATCTAATATGATATACAGAACCAACTAGGAGCCGACGAAGAGGAATCTGCGTCGTCCCCGGTAGCTAAGGTTAAGCCAGAACCAAAGAACGGCGTCAAGCGACAATCGAGTGACGACCTAACCCCCTCGCCAAAGCGCCAGAAGAAAACATCGCGCGCTACCTCGTCTAAGAAAGCCAAGTCTAAGAAAGAAGAATCCGAGTCAGAACTGAGCGACTTAGGCAGCCTAAGCGACCCCAAGGAGCCAGCGAAAGCAGCCCCGAAGAAAGCGACTACAAAGAAAGCCGCCAAGAAAGAAGACTCGGACTCTGAATTAAGCGATCTCGTTTCATCCGAACAGGAATCCAAGAAAGCTGCTCCCAAGAAAGCCGCGTCGCGTCGCAAATCCAAGAAAGAGGAGACGGAGTCTGAGTTGAGCGATTTAAGCGACTCGGAAGAGAAGCCTAAGAACAAGAAGAAGGTCCCGAAGAAAGCCGCACCCCGCCGCAAGTCTAAGAATGGTGTCAAGGATGAAGCAGATAGTGACGTAGAGAAGGTTACGACGACGAAGCGAAAACGTCAAGCACCTATCAAGAAGCAGAAAGCTAAGGACACCAAGGTGGAATCTGATAGCGAGGATGATTTGGCCGACGGGGAGAAAGGAACGGCGAAGGATGAAGTGGATGAAGACCTTGATGGTGGTGTCAAGTCTAAGACAAGCCCGGAAACGAAGGACAAGAGTAAGACAGAGGAGTCAGACGAAGACTCAAAGCCCAAGGAGTTAGATGGTGAAGATAGCAAAGCGGCAAAGGCCGATGACTCAGGTTCCGAATTGTCGTCTCTTATAGACGAGCCGATCCCCAAGAAGCGCAAATCCAAGGGAGCGAAGGGAGCTCCCAAGCCGAAGCAAACGAAAGAGCCGTCCGGAGATGAAGCGGAAATTAAGAAGTTGCAAGGACAACTAGTCAAGTGTGGAGTTCGCAAGATTTGGGGGATCGAGCTGAAGAAGTACGGCGACAACAGTCGAGCCAAGATCAGACATCTGAAGGAGATGCTTCGAGACATCGGAATCGAGAGTCGCTTTTCTGAAGCAAAAGCAAAGGAGATCAAGGAGAAACGAGAACTTATGGCTGACCTAGAAGCCGTCACCGAGATGAATCGCAACTGGGGTACTGGGGCCGGTCGCGGTCGTGCTTCGAGAAGCCAGTCTACTAAGAAGCCATCGAAGGAGATTGAAGACGAAGAAGATGATGTCATGGATGACGTTGATGACAATGGGGACGAGGAAGAAGAGGAGGAAGTCAAGGCAAACCCGCGAGTATCGAAAAGGATGGCCGATCTGGCTTTTCTTGGAAGCGACAGCGAGTCAGATTAAGCAGTCAGGCACGGTTTGCAGGATGATGAAAGGTCTGTCAATTCTAAGCTTGCTATGAAGATGTTGGCGATGATCTGGAGCAATGTTTCGCTTTCATACCCCCTAATTATTTACTGGCATTCATCCTTTGAGCTATGAGACTGAAGACAGCAACCGAGCTCATGAATAATACTGCATTGTAAAACTAGTACATGTTAGCTTAGCTATCAGGGAAGAGTAGCAGGTGGCATTTCTGCGACTTACGGCCCTGCGTGATACTTCTCTTTCTTCGTCATCTGATCGTGCCTCGATGAAGAGTCGACGGAGATTTGGGAAGTTTGCCTAATTTAATAAGTACATAATGAGCTTGTTGTTCCATGAATTACCTCGTCACGGTGGAAAGTAGATATGGTCTCAACTCACCATGTGGAATGAAACAGGCAGTTAATACCAAGGTTACCACCAAATCGGGTTAATTTGAGCCTACATGTGTAGAAAGCTAGATCCTCGAGTTCTTTTTGATTGATATCCACAGGTTGATGAATTGAGCCAGTAGAATAAGTACCTCGGTACCTATAAGATATCTTATCAACGATTGCGTTATCGGATATTGGCGTGGCTTCAGTTTCAGCCACATTAAAACAGGGTAGTCGTAGCCCTTCTTAACAGGGGGGTCGATTTGAATGGGTACCTGCTGTACATTACAATTCAGTACCTAATTCTTTCAACATAACACCTTTCTACTGCTCTTTTATACAATACGGTATACGATATAGGCGAACATCTTCAACAAGGGCTTTTGTGAAGGATTTAAGGTCGATGCACTCCTAATAGCCCTGAAAGGGCCCCCTTAATTCCCCCCAATTATCACTACTCCCCCCCGACTTTCGACTCCCATAACATCACAAAATGTCGGCGGTCAGTCGCATTCGCGGCGCTTTCGCCGTACCTAGGAAAGGCGAAACATTCGAGTTGCGAGCTGGCCTGGTATCTCAATATGCGTGGGAAAGGAAAGAATCCATCCAGAAGACGATTATGGCTATGACGTTGGGCAAAGACGTGTCACAACTATTCCCCGATGTGCTGAAGAACATAGCAACTGCCGACCTAGACCAGAAGAAGCTGGTTTATCTGTATTTGATGTAAGTTAACTGCATGGGCTTCAGAAAGCGCTTCGAAATTCATTATATCAGTGGCCTAACCCGACGAATAGGAACTACGCAAAATCACATCCCGACCTATGTATTCTCGCGGTGAACACCTTCGTCCAAGATGCAGAAGATCCGAACCCTCTCATAAGAGCACTCGCTATTAGAACGATGGGTTGTATTCGAGTAGATAAGATGGTCGATTACATGGAGGAACCTCTGCGAAAAACGTTACGAGACGAATCACCCTATGTTCGGAAAACAGCCGCCATTTGTGTTGCGAAATTGTTCGACTTGAACCCCTCAATGTGTATAGAAAACGGATTCCTCGAAATACTCCAAGAAATGATTGGAGATCCTAACCCCATGGTCGTTGCGAACTCGGTACAAGCACTTGCGGAAATAGCTGAGACGGCACCGGAGACGAGAGCATTGGTGATTACGCCGGCGACACTCAAGAAATTGCTTATGGCGCTAAATGAGTGTACCGAATGGGGTAGAGTGACGATCCTTTCAACGCTGGCAGATTACCCACCCCAAGATGTTAAGGAGTCGGAACATATTTGCGAACGAGTAGCGCCGCAATTCCAACACGTGAATCCTAGTGTCGTGCTCGCCGCCGTCAAAGTTGTATTCATTCACATGAAGCTCATCAACGCTGATTTAGTCCGACAATATCTGAAGAAGATGGCACCTCCCCTAGGTTAGTGTTCTCTGGTCTTTATCCGTTGAAGTCCGTCGCTGATGATGTATGTATAGTCACCCTTGTTGCATCCGCCCCCGAAGTTCAATACGTTGCGTTACGAAACATCGATCTACTCCTACAGGCCAAGCCCGATATCCTAAGCAAAGAACTAAGAGTGTTCTTCTGCAAGTACAACGATCCACCGTATGTCAAACTACAGAAACTCGAGATTATGGTGAGGATAGCGAACGAGAAGAACTACGAACAATTACTAGCTGAATTGAAGGAGTATGCATTGGAAGTGGACATGGACTTTGTTCGAAGGGCCGTCAAAGCCATCGGGCAAGTTGCGATTAAGATCGAGGGTGCTAGCGAGAAATGCGTCAATGCATTATTGGATTTGATTGCTACTAAGGTGAACTACGTCGTCCAAGAAGTTATTGTCGTCATCAAGGATATCCTCAGAAAATACCCCGGCTACGAAGGTGTTATTCCGACGCTTTGCAACCACATCGACGAGTTGGATGAACCTAACGCCAGAGGTTCGTTAATATGGATTGTCGGCGAGTATGCGGAGAAGATCAACAATGCGGATGAGATATTGGCCAGTTTTGTGGACGGTTTCATGGAAGAATTTACGCAAACACAATTGCAAATTTTGACGGCGGTGGTCAAATTGTTCTTAAAAAAGCCAAGCAATGGTCAGGGGCTAGTACAAAAGGTTCTACAGGCAGCAACAGCAGAAAACGACAACCCGGATATTCGAGATCGAGCGTATGTATACTGGCGACTTCTGTCAGGGGATCTTGATGTTGCAAAGGTATTGTATTTCCGAACTCCATTCCTCGGTCGCCAATCTAACGAGTATTAGAATATTGTCCTGTCGCAAAAGCCAGCCATCACGACCACAATGACGAGCTTACCCGCTACTCTACTGGAGCAACTTCTTGGCGAACTCTCAACATTGGCGTCGGTTTACCACAAGCCACCAGAGTCATTTGTCGGAAAAGGACGATTTGGTGCCGACGAGATCCAACGAGCAGCCATTCAAGAACAGCGGCAGAACGCAGCCGAAAACCCTATTGCGGCTTCGGTTGCTGCTGCTGGTCAAAATGGAGCACCCGCGCAGAGCAACATCGAAAACCTATTGGATATCGACTTCGACGGCGCTGCGCCGGCATCGCAAGAACAAAACTCGGCGTCGGCTACACCGGATCGTGTGGCCAGCCCAGCTGGCGGAGCTGCTCCGTCGGGTGGAATGGCGGATATGATGGGTTTGTTCGATGCTCCACCGCCGCAACAAAATAACTTTGCCAGCGCTCCCGCTGCTAGTGGTAGTGGTAGTGATGTAAATGACCTTATGAACGGATTCGGGGGATTAGATTTGAGCGGATCGAGCCAGCCCCCGCCAGCGTCGGTACAACTTGGTCATGTGGGAGGAAGCACGGAGCAGAAGCAGGGCGGGAACAACGAGGACCTCCTAGGCCTCTTCTAGGCGAAGCGGGACCAAGAACCTCGAAGAATGGTAACCCGGAACCCCTGGGCGGATGAACGTCGAGAGAAGAGCAAAGACAATTTGCTTGATCTCTAAGAAAGCGCACTTTGAATGGTGTCACGAAACTGATGGAGTATATGGCAGAAAGAGAAAGGGGGTGACCCTTTTGCTAGATGGATGACTTATGGAAAAAGCATCGGTATATTCAGACGAGGATAAGGGACAAAAGCTTAGCTTAGTAGATGAGAAATTATGATATGAGGACATATTCTCGCCTGACTGATGTGCTTCCTCATGTGCTTTATGCTCACATCCTGATCAAAGTTATATTCGCCTTGGTATAATCATCTTCTCTCCCCTCTCCTCGCTTGCCTCCCCACAACGGGCACTTATTTCATTCCGAGGAGTATTCGCCTTTTTGGGATATACCCAAAATCATCTCTACTAGATCGCGACGGCCTCCCGTCTTTCTTTTCCGTAGATCATGTATATCTTGCGCAACAGTCCAATCATCCTCTCAAGCATCAACACCCTGCACCTGCCCCCTCACCGTCCCATCCAACGGCGGTCCATCATCGTTCTTAGAAGCCTTGTCGCGCTCCCATTCATCTGGTGTCTGACACTTGGCGCTCCAAGCGTGGATAGCTGCGATTTCATCGCGCAATGCTGCGTTTACGGCGCGGTGTCGTTTTAGGCTTGATTGGCCGCCGAATTGGGGGGATACGATTAGGGATGTGAAGGATTGGCCACAGCCGCCTAGGAGAATAGGAGGGTTAGTTGGTTTGGATTTTGAGCGGTGGGATTTGGAGGTATGAGGGAAACGGGTTGGCGCATGGAATGGGAGATGGATATGCAACGCACCGGACATATCGGTGACTTCGACGTGGATTGCCTTCAAGCGCTCGGTTAGTGCCGCTTTGAGCGACGCTTCTGTGATCGTGGCCTCGGCCATGTTCGTATCGGTCGGGTTTATTCGGTTCGTACCGGATGATTGCATGATTGATTGTCTCTTTTATTGTGTTGAATTGGCGTAGCTATATGTTGCTAGTTCACCTGTGTAATTGTGCGCACGTAGTGATAGAGAAATAAAGACTGGAGGTTATGTAAAGTATAGACCGCAAAGGTGAAGATAGTGTACTTGTATTAATTAATAAGGAAGTACTTTACATAAAGACTGCCCCGCGATGATGAAATTGGATCTCGGGTCGTACCAAGCAGATAACTCCGATGGTGGGGTTGAGTGGGCTGCTGTGGCTGGAGCTCTTGAGGCGCAAGCTACAATTACTGTACCTGAACTCTCGTACGACCATGTGAAGTTATTTCCTAATTTACCCAATTCGATAGCATTTGCTGGTGACTTAGAGACCGCTTCACTAGGATTCAGATCAGTTAAGGTCCAAATGCGATGTCAATTTGGCGACAGACGAATATTCTGAATTTGTTGCCAAACCGGATCTCTAATTCCGCCTCACATCGTCTTTTTCACTTTTATCGAATTAGAAGATCGAGACCATCCACCAATTTCACCAGCGCCAGCAAACGTAGTCAAGTATTACTACAAAACAGAATCATAAACCCCAGGATATCTGTGACTACTAGACGACAAGACCGAAGCTTCAGTACATCCAAAACCATGGCGGCACCACCCGTGACTAATCTCACGGATGCGGTGGTCGCTGCAATGAAGACGCTGTCAGTAACCCATTTCTCCTCAAAGGCTTAGATCTTATTATGAGCTAACGTGGATTGCAGGTTCCCTGAAGAGCTAGCTGATAAGGCATGGGACAACACAGGATGTGAGATGAGTTTTAATGCTTAGGTATAATTCGTGTTTTTAATCATGATACTAATGATAAAATAGTGCTTCTCGACCAAGCGCCACTGCCACCATCATCGAATCCTGAAAAAGGGTTTGGCGGCACGGTTCTTCTTACGAATGATTTAACGTCTGCGGTAGTTGACGAGGCACTGGAGGAAGGGGCAAAGATGATTGTTTGCTATCGTGCGAGTTCCTCTCCCTTGTCGGACATAAACCTTGGTAACTGACGTCACATAGACCCCGTCATTTTCAGACCTTTGAAATCTCTTACTACCAAGGACCCCATGCAAACTCTTCTCCTCCGCCTAGTTGCCGAGAGGATCTCCGTCTATTGCCCTCACACGGCCATGGATGCCGCGAGTGGAGGCTTGAACGACTGGCTTTGTGATATTCTGCTAGATGGGGAACATCAAGTGAAGCGAACTGTCGTCCAGCCTATCTCTCGACCTTTACCTGAAGGACACCAGGGCACTGGCTACGGACGGTCATTTGAGCTGGCCCATCCCACCACCTTACAGACTCTTCTTAAGCGACTCTCGATTGGTGTGGGTGATCAACGTTATATAATGGTCGCCCTGCCGCCCGCGCTAAGAGATCTCACCAAAACGCATGAAATTTCAAAGGTAGCTGTCTGCGCTGGCTCAGGATCTGATGTCCTGAGGGATACGGATGCACAAGTCCTCGTGACTGGGGAAATGGCTCACCACTATGCACTTCGACACACCCAGCTAGGTCAGATCGTCGTCACCGTCTTCCACAGCAACTCGGAACGAAAATACTTGGAAACAAGACTAAAACCTATGTTGGAGGTCGAATTAGAGACAACTTTGTACGGAGACACTCGTGTGATCGTCAGTAAGGCGGATCGCGATCCCTTTGAGATAATCGATGTTAGCGGTTTAGCTTAAGGAATTCCAACTTGCTGCCCGGACCCATCGGTATGGCAATTAAGATGGCACGTTCCCTCGTCACCTAACGTGTCTCGGCGGAAGAACCTAGGGCAACTTGTCGTAGGTCGTGGGCCTTCAATGCGGGAATTTGTCAATCGTAGAATACTCAGTCATCATGAGGCTTTCGAATCCAAATCCCGCCAACTACCTTTGCTCGGCTCGCCTTCAAGAGCTGCATCACCATCCTCTATACAGGCTTCCACGTCAGGACCACCAATACCTTGTTCCTTCCAAACCAATAGAAGTCTTCGCGGCATTTTCCAAGCTTGTCTCGCATCCTCTAGTCGCCCTTCGCTCACAAGTGCTCGTATTCTGTCCGGGGCGTCTAGAACCTCGATAGCTAGCTGTTTCGTCCGTGCCTTCCTTCGACGTACTTCCTCCGCTTCAGCCTTAGCCGTATCAGGGGGTGGAACCGATTTTCGTAGCGAGTCGCGTATTGCAGAGGCTTGGGAGTATATCTGAGCAATTGCTGGGTCGAGCGTAGAAGCCATTGGATTTAATGGATCCATATTCGTTCTCATCTTGTATATCCGTTAGCACCCCATAATTCTCCCATAATGTATACCTATTCGGCTTTCGGGGCGGAAGAGCAAAGAGCACTAACCTTTCGTATCGTCTCCGTAGCTGTGATTAACTTGCTATAATTATCGTAGACTAGCGCTTTTTTCTCGGCGTCCAACGCCCTCGTCTCGCCCAAAACACGTGTGTATAATCGTAGCAGCTCCTCCATACCATTCTCAGCTAGGGCCTTCTTCACAAAGGTATCCGCATCAAAACCCTCCTTATCCATCTCACCAGGCGGCACCTCTGAGTATTGTTCCTGTCCAGGTTCACCCGATGTTTCACCAAACGGGTCTGTTACCGCGACTTGTGGTGGCTGCTGTTTTTTTAGGTTATAATATTCGCGCAGTGCGGCGCGGTTTCGCCTCGTTCCGGTATTCGTATTCGGAGCCGCTACATTGTTGCTGCCTACATTCGGGTTCGGTGATCCAATGGGCGATCGCGAGGAATCGAGACTGGGTCGTGTGGATGAGGTTGGTGTCGTGCCGCCGGCTTGGTATGAACTCGTGCGTCGAGGGGGGTCACGGGGGGAAGCTATTGTTGACATTTTGTCGCTTTATATAGGTTTCTCTATAGGGTCTTTATTTTAGGAGTAGCAATTTGCGGAGGGTAGAAGGGCAGCTCTTCGATATAGGAGTAGGTATTGTTGTGAGGTCGAAGTTTACAGATTACAGCTTTCCAGTTATGTTAGCGAAAGGTTTAGCGCTTGTTTAGCTGCCGATCTCTCGCGGTTATAGCGTGCAAAGCCACTGTGGCGGGAGCTCTTTGTTCTTGCTCGTTGATTTAACCTCGACCCAGCACGCTGGATTGGAACACTTTCTACATCTCGGATATGCAATCCAACTTAAACTATAACTACTATGCCTCTCTTTGGAAAGAGTGATCGAAATATTTTATTAGTACGTTATAAGATGCTGTTACTTACATAATTTGTTTCTGAAAAGGAATGACTTTTCAAGAATGAACTTTCGCATGAAACAGACTATCACCCGACGCCCACTATGAGTTCGGATCTTCCAGCGCAAATACGCGCCAGCCTACAAGGCCAGGGGCTACCCACCCCATCTCTAGCCTGGATTCGGGGCGCCATGCCCAACCGGAACCCACAACCACCGCTACAAGTCCTAGTAGCTACAGTGAAAACCCGCCTATTAGCAGCGGACCTCACCACGCCAGGGCTTCTAGAACCAGCCGCAGCTTTTCCGGCCAACATCAGCAACCCAGAGACCAAAGAAACCAAGTTGTCTCAAGAAATTCCAGTACAAATTCTAGATATCGAAAACTTGTCAAAAAGCAAATGGGAACAAGTCGAAGAAATCGAGGCTATTGCCCGCGGCGAGCAGACTAGAGGCCGTGAAGTTATTCGATTACCTACTACTAATGAAGACGACGAAAATGCAAATGGAGTCGCTAGTGAGGGTGCACCGCCGCCGGCTACTGCGAGGACTGCAGCTATCAATGCTAATATAGCGAATGCGGCGGCTGCGGCGAGGAATGCTACACATCGCCTTGTGCTGCAGGACTGTCGGGGACAAAAAGTCCACGGGCTAGAGTTGCGGCGGGTGGATCGTTTAGGCGTTGGTATAGCGTGTATTGGGGAGAAGATAGTGCTGAAGCGCGGAGCGACGGTCGCCCGCGGGGTGGTGCTGTTAGAGCCTACGATGTGCGCTGTGCTAGGTGGGAAGGTGGATGCTTGGCACCGCGCGTGGGTGGACGGTAGGCTGGAAAGGTTGAAGGAGGCAGTGGGTGCTGATGTGCGTGGCTAGATGGCATAATTCACTATAACTAGGGAGGGCTGTAGGTGCTCGATCAACTAGAAATCAGTTAAAGCATAGGTGCTGGATCAGTGGGTAAATAGAGGCATACCCTCTGTGCCTACTACCTACCTAGGTAGGTAGGTCCTTGGAGACACCTAGTTCACTCACTGTCTCAGGGGCAAATATAGCGCAATTAGGTACTATCATTAGTACCTAAGCCCTGAATAATACTACATTAGAATTCCAGTGCTTTATATCATACGAATGGACACCAAAGGAGGTACCTATTATTAATGACGAATAATTGTGAGGGTCTACGGTTACGAGACGACGAATAGGCGCCTCATACCCTACTCAGAGTATGAAGAATCCTCAATTGTCTCAATGCACTGCCAGTCACATAAGCTAAGCTGAACTATCACAGCCTCTCATAATTTAACACAGCATGTAAGATTTCTAAATATAGCCATTCCATGTGTCTTCACGATACTCAAGCAACCAATCATAGAATATCTCATTTCGTCACGGTAAAAAATCACATAGTAAAGTAGGACTACCGTGAGGTTGGGATATTATATCGTCAATATTAATATCGAGAAAAGAAGCAAGAAGTTTCCCCTTCTTCTTGTTTTTATTTTAATATCTCCTCGGTTCGGCAGGGGTGAGTCCGTTTAGAGCACTTAGCGGCCCTAGCGGCCCATAAAAACCGGACCCAGCGGGCGGGTATCAGTGGATCCTTCCTTAATTCTGGGTGCTTACTTCTAATGTTCTTAGCGTTACCCGACGCGTTCGAGTGCATTAACTCCACGGACTTATTCGATTCCTCATACAACTTAACTTTCTGTCTATCCTCCATCAACGTCTTATGTGACAACTTTTCAAGACAATTTATTTAGCCTCATTTTTACATTCACTCGTTTAGTCGCGCGATATAGTTCTCTTAGCCTTCTTGCTTCTTAGTTGACAAGCCACTTATGTCAATGAAACGTGGCTGATTCTCGCGTTTCACGAGTTGCCATGATCGTCAGAAGTATTGCATAGAACCCCGATCTCAGAAGACTATGTCCGTCAGACAATCTTCGGCATCCACGGGTTTGCCTTTCGTAGGCTCTATTTCTCGATGGGCTAGGAATAATCTCCAAACGCGGGATGACGACCGAGCTTTGTTAGAAGATGATCCCCTAAGCATTCCACTTGAAAGCCGCGATCCCGATCAAGATTCGGTTCCCCTAAGACTAGGGATAGGAGCCAGCCAACGCCACTTCAACGCATCGAAGCGGAGTAGGCCATGCCAACTCGCCATTTTTATTACCATCTTCGCGGGATTGTTATTAGCAATAACGTTGCCGCGTCGACACCCCGCTCCGGTTGATCGTAGCTTATTACCGTGTGGTAACGCGAGATATTCAGTCAATGACGTAGGTTGTCACCATACTACAAGAAGAAGCTGCTCCTAACGGTATATCCAAGCACACATGCTACCGAGGCAACTTTCTGTGCCCCGTTATTGACCGAAAGCGAACGTTACAGTGCGGCACTGATTGCTATCTCCCTCAGGAGTTTTCGTTGGTGTTCTTCAAATATGTAACTAATAACCATACTAACAACTCCAAGGTGCAATGACGGTAAACTAGTCCATCTCAGCTCTGAATTGGGCGGAAAGCCGCCGTCCAAGGATGTTAGTCGAGAGTCGTGTACCCCGAGTTATCTACACTTAAGCGATCCTCCATACAAAAACTACTTTATGTCCGATTGTAGTGGTGCAAGCCAGATCGTTGTAACTAGTCCCCTAACTGATAGTGACCTTAACACCATTAGTCCCAGGCTCCTCGTAAGATATATTTCATCTCTCTCCACCCCTCTAACGAACGCTTGTGAGACTAACGCGTCCCAGGTCGCTTGGCCAGCTGGAAACAGCGGGATTGCGACGTTCTTTACACCGGAAAATGGCGCCAACGGGACACTGGCCATACAGCTTGAAAATATTTCTGGCACTAATCGTACTCTAGACCCGCTCGTTGGCGGTGTCACCGGCGTCTTATCTTTCAACTCATCCGCGGTACTAGACTTAGCAATTTTAGGGAGCATTCGGACGATACGCGAATTTGTAGAAGGGCCGAGCACACTAACTCCTAAAATCCAAGACGCCATTCAAATACAACAGCTACCCGACGGAGATGTACAACTAAGCCGCATGTGGTTCGACAATACAACCGAGACATTCTTGACAATACATAGCTCTAGTGAGACAACGATCTCCATTCAGAATGGACAACCCCACTTCACCCCGGGTTCTTACACCTTCAATGCTTGGACCAGTTACCCGCAGCTTGACCAGCTTGGAGCGATGGAAGTCATCAATCCTGCGTCACAATCCGTCATCACTCAAGACCCAGAAGATGTGGATTCGCTTGCTTTTCTCTCGTACAGCTCGAAAGTACTCGCTGGAGCTTGGAGGTTCCTCACTTACTTCGGTCGCGACAGTCTAATTTCGCTTCTTCTCCTGCGACCCATTCTTAGTGAGGGCGATGGTGGAGCAATCGAGGCCATCCTCGGGGCTGCTATTGAACGAATAGATCCGAACGATGGTAGTGTATGCCACGAGGAGACCATCGGTGACTATGCGACATACCTGAATGGACAACAGGGAATCAGCAGTACAGATCCTCAGTGTGACTACAAGATGGTAGATACCGATTTCTTCCTTCCGATTGCCATCAACGAATATTTCACCAATTCCACGGTCGGTAAGTCGCGTCGTGGCGCATTCTTCGCTAAGAATGCGACCTTCCTTCCCTCTAGCCGGGGGTCCACATATGAGAATCTTACTCTTGCTACTGCGGAGAAGATAATGAACATTACCGCCAACTTTGAGAAATCCCCCACAAACGAAAATCTTATCCGCCTTAAAGATGGACAGAACGTGGGGCAATGGCGGGACAGTGGTAACGGTTTAGGCGGTGGACGTATACCATACGACGTAAACACGGCACTAGTTCCTGCTGCTCTTAAGTCAATCGCATCGTTATCTAGCAATGGTTTCTTTCCTTCACACCCCTATTGGAGCACAGTCGCTAGCAAACGTGCTACTTTCTGGGAGGACAATACCCTTGCTCTATTCCAGGTCAACATCACGGTGGACAAAGCACGAGGTCTCGTCGAGAGCTACGTCAACCAAACAGGCTTCCCAGGGAAGGTTAACACGTCCGACTTGAACTCATCGGTCGTATTCCACGGTCTCGCTCTCGACGGTCAGGATCATACACCCATTGTAAAGGTCATGAACACCGACGACTGCTTTCGGCTTTTCCTTCTCAACAGTACCAATCAGACTCAACATTCCGCTTTCCTCTCTCAGGTAGCCGACAACATCTTACGGCCATTCCCTCTCGGTCTATCGAGTAGCGTCGGGCTTTTCATCGCTAATCCGGCGTACGGGGATGGATCTGTGGATGCGAACGAGTTCACAGCAAACGCGTATCACGGCACAGTGGTTTGGAGTTGGCAACTTGCGATGATGGCAGCCGGGTTGGAAAGGCAACTCGGACGGTGCGAATACGAGGATCTTCCGTTTTGCAAAGATTCTGAATTACATGGGCGTGTTCTGAATGCGTACAACCATTTATGGGACCTGATCGCCGCCAATCGTGAGCATCTCAGCAGCGAGGTGTGGAGTTGGATTTACAGAGATAACGACTTTCAGTACACACCTTTAGGCGCTCTACCACCCCAAGAGGGACAGAGTCCAGTCGGTTCGTAGAAGCTCGGACCATTCATTCAAGATCCGGAGGCAGCCAGCTAACTCGTGTTGCAGAAAGCGATATTCGACAACTTTGGAGCCTAGCCTTCTTGGCGGTGAAGAGGAATGATGCATTCGGATTATCCTAAGTCTTAATTTCAAGGTTGTATGCAGCGACTTGGATATTGCAAATGAAGTTAGGCAAGGTATATTTTGCGATTTTCCCCGTCTTCTCTCGGGTCAGCGCACTAGTCGGGCGTCCGTCGTTGAGAGGAACTAGGCAGAGGCGGACGCACGTCCTGTTATCACCATAACCAACATAATTTACACCTCATTTCATAATTTCATAGATTGGCACAACAACTGCGGTCGAGTGGAGCTCTACCAACATTATGGTCATGTGGCATAGCTAATACTGACTTTATAGGATGATAAAATTATTCAAGAGTCAAACAACCTTGATTTGTATGAATCAAGTTTATGATTTTGAATTGGACAATCTTGGGAAGCGAAATATTATTACAGGGATTTTTGCCGTAGGTACCTGCAGGATTTAATGAGGGCTCTATTAACTGCTGACGGCTGACCACCACAGAAGGCCCCCCAAATGTGACCCTCGCTCAACGAAAAGACCACCCGACCTAGACTCTGATACCAAAATTTCATTTTTACGCACAATTTGAGCCGGGGCTTCAATGGGTTGCATCCAGGTATGTTTCAGGTCGGAGAATGAACTATTACAAGATTCCGGGCAATAATTTCATAATTTCCCTAGCATATTTTACCTATGCCAATCTCGTACTGATGCACAATGGACTAGTCTCTCGTTTCAGGTCCAGCTTTTTATTTCACAGCCGGCAATCCAAATTAAACCCTGCCGGCCGATTTGCCTCCCGGACCGAACCCAGGTCACCGGCCATTCCAAGTATCAGGCTGTCGTAACGAAATTCACGTTTAAATAAATCAGCAAATTGATGGGCTCTGCAACGATCTTATAACGGATTACTCAGAAAATTCAGCTTAAAAGGGCTAGCATGTACTGCGACTCTACTACGTATCGTGTCATCTACGGTACACCGTCTACTCCGGTACCTTACTGAGAACACAGGCACCTGAAATAAGGCTGAGGGACGATCTCTGCCTTGGCGAACCATTCCCCTTGCAGATATGTACCTAGCTACTCCCAAATCCAAAGCCGTGCAGGCTACAAGGTTCTTAACACTATTAACTAATCTTATATACATATCGCCCCATGCTCTATCTAGAGGAACACGTCAATTATAGACACGCCCCCCTCCCCCCTTACCTAAGTACAATAAGTCGCTGCAGGTACTACCAAATTGTTTTTAGCTTCGTGTCAAGAGATATCATTATGGATATCATAACTAAACCGGATATGGGGACATGCACATCACCACCCCTACCCACTCTCCGAGTTCCCGGAGGGTGATGTCGACTTAATTTGTGCCTGGCAACAGATCTCAGCTGATCATCTCGACCCAGTACGAGAATACTTGAAATCTAGTCCCTCCTCTTCCATACCAGGGGCTGGTATCGCTTACGGTAGTATGGTCAGTTCGTTCCCCGTACCGTCGTCCCCAACTTCGTTTTGCGCTAGAATGTTCAACACACCTCTCCAAGGCACCGCCCCAAATAACTCAATGGAAGGCGTGGGGTCGCATCTACAGATACTCCCGTTAGCCGTTAACGATTTCTACGGTGGCTCCCGTCGGGGCCAACAGGTACCATTGACATGAAGGTGTTCTCACTAGAGTAGATTCCTTCGCCCATAAATACAGCTTGCCGCCGTCCACCTCGATGATTTCGACTTGCTTGGTTCCGTACACCTTCAAGGACATTTACTCTACAGTTCTATCTTACCAAGACAGTCTCCAGAAATAATACTCCCCATTACAAGCTTAAAATCCTCCCGGATTATACCCCTTCAGCTCTCTTATTATCCTCTCCCCGCTCTAGGCCCGTGCCGCACTCCTATATACCGTCAGATCCTCCCCAACTCAGCTTCCAACGTTCTCACTATCTTATCAATTCAATATGGCTAACGGAACATCTTCTGTCGGCATGAACCTAGACTCTTGCTCGTCTAACCCGTGAGTCATCCTAAGCAACATATACTACTAAGCCTACAGCTAATTAAAATCTCTACCAGACACACATCAACTCCCGCCACGTCTCCCGAAGACGACGCCAAAATGCTAAGTCACCGTCTTTCCTCGGCAACGCAGACCGCACAAAGCAATGTCACCGACCGCCTCCTATGCGGCGGATCCTACGACCACGAAGGAAATATGAAAGCACGAATCGACGTCCTTACAAGCCAGATCGGTACCACTGCGACGACGACCAATGGCACAGGTTCTTCCTAGTAGCTACGACGCTGAACCGGAAACGTCTCAACGATTAGTCAAGATACACACGCCGAAACGATGTATGGAATTGCCTCAATTCTTAGCGAGGATCCAGTTCCATGTTTAGGACAGGACAGGCAGCTGTCAATGGAATTGCAAAAGATGGGGACTTCATTAAATTTCAATATTGTCTTAATAAATCAGGAACCGGACTTCCTGATAGCCGTCTCGTTTCTTTTCTGCTTTGAGGAGGAAGAATTCGGGATTTCTTTTCACTGGGCAATGTTTCTTGGCGATTCAATGTATAACACTCATGTATGGATTTCAGACACAGGTTTAATGTTCTTGGATGTATACCCCTCTAGTTAATCCCCATCATCGAAATATACATCGTTGTACTACTACAATATGTAGATTCGCTCGCTCTCGCTCCCAGTGGTAGATGAATACAGCCGTGGCTGGCCCGTTCTCGGATGTAAGATCGCGTAATATTCAATAAAGCACAGCCTCATGCGAAAAGAAAGCAGCATAGCACCGCCTCTACCTAAACCTAGTCCCCACACATCAGATCTTCATAGACCCTGTGCTCCACGTGCAATGACGGGGTCAAAGGTGATGTGCCAGATCAAGACCCAGCGATCTTGTCGCTATCACAAATAGAGAGTCCGTGGTTCAAAACTGAATTTGGTCATACCTACCAAGTGCGCGTTGTACGATCGGACTGACCGGCGCACTGTAGCAGTTACCACATAAATCAGGCTAGCAAACCGGGCCAATGGGTGCCCTTTCGCTCACACCATCAAATGAATATGAAGAAAAAGTCCTATTCAGTACAATTCCAGTAACAATACCATGCGGCTCACTCGTACCAAAGTTCTGAGACACTCTCGTCCGACGGCTTTCACGTGGAGGGCCATTCTGGGGCCGTTACCATTGCTACCCATTAAGCGTACCAGTTTTCATTTGCCGATTAAAGTAGCACCTTTCATCATCCATTTTTATTCATTTTTGTGCTCTTTTCTAAGTCAATACAACCCACCTAAGCTTGTCGCCGAAACCTGATGACGTTTCTGGACCTCCCCTTTTCTCCTAATCGGATTGTTCTACGGAATACAAGGGTATTGTTACATTGCACCCCTACCTAAGTAATAAACTGAATTACATCGGATCGTGACCAAGCAATTTTTACAGATCTTGGTTAAGCCTATTCTTCTACCGAATACCTAGGTACCCTGAAACACAAAGAATCCGTATTAAGATAGTGGAAATGATCCTACCCCGGAACTTTGCGGTGGAGGTAGAGGTCTAACGAATCAGCTTAAGACATTCCGACCCTCGCTATGCATAGCGAGCCGTGGTGGGCTAGCAATCCCTGAAACCCTCGCATCAGTACCCTGTACTACACGTGGCGGCCATGCTCAAGTGCAAGGGTCACAGCCAGTCAAGGCCAGGGTATTGTTATGCGAAAGATTGTCGGGTCGTAAAAAACTTCCATTATTCTATATTCCATTCGGGGTTTCTCTATAGGGTTGTTCTCTCCGACCCGTCTCACCAGAACGCCTTCCTTCTGCATTGCAGAACATATACATACACACACAAACACGTACGTACTACATACTTAGGTACCTAATCAGGTACATACAATGTAACACGCATTCAATCCTTTATATACGTATGTAATATACGTATTCCGTGCAGAAACGGTGACACAGCTGCACTGTGCCTCGTTCCAGAAGGTGTCACTACAAAACTTCTGGGCATACCCAATTCCGATCTCACCCGGCGCTAGCAAATGCGTTTTAGAGTATAGTCAACGGCGATCTCTCATGTCATCACCGCGATAGCAACACCTGAGACGCCACTCGTGTCTTTAGAAATGTTCATCTTACGGGGGCGTATTACTATTCATGTCTCTCATGCCAGGGCTCATGGTACTGCATATGTATGTCTCTACTGACCTGACACCTAGCGGCAGACTAATGCAGCAGGTAGTATATCGTGTGCGTTATTTATGTAAGGCCAAGCACATCAGATTATGTAGTATAGAAACATGATACCCCAATAGGCGAAAAGCGCATGCTACCTATTCCCTCCCCCCCTCTACACCGGACCACTCCCATTGATTAAAAATTTCATACCATAGGTTACTAATTCTTCGCGCGGCCGGCTCCCGAGCCTAAGAAACCAGAGCCTCAGGGGAAGCTCTACCCCTGATTCTCTAATCCCTACACCACGCGGCGGCTATGCAAGTACCCGTCCATCTATCGACAAGGGTTACTACCTATTTCATCTATATACATCTGCCAACCATACCTGTGTTCTTACGTGCTACTGTTGTACAGCGCAGCGTTTAGGAGACAAGAAAATTTCCCAGCCGTTTACTTTAGCGCCAGCCCGCACAGCTAGATATCAAACCTCGCAGCGCCACAACAAGGCGCTTGTATGTTTATTAACACGACACATGGCTTTCCGCCAATCAGCCCTAAATTCCTCTTCCTTTCCAAAATAGGATCACCCGCGACACCGCCTCCCCCACTACCACTACCACCATCTTCTTTTTCCTTCTCGGCTCGCGTAAACGCGTAGGTACTTAGGTAAGTGCGTATGTAAGTACGTAGTAAGCTATTTCCCCGGGGAAAAGACTCCTTGTCGCGGCTCTTACCCCTTCTGGTACCGACTTCTCCACGGACAAGATAGGGAGTGCCGTCCGCAGGCGGCGACGCTACTGGGATATTGCAACCTCGATCCCGTAGAGTATCAGGCCTAATGCATAATTCCCCGGCCGCCCCATGAGTTCCCCAAGAAAATGTTATTTTCAAACTTGGACGGCCGGTTATGTAACATCGTTTTTAGTTGCCATTTTTCAATTGTCCTTGATCTTTCTATATGTCCGCGCTTCTATTCTGTCGACTAAGATTCTCTCGGCGTGTCCGGCCAAGGCAGATTTGATCTCGTATTGGTCGCACACATACATACACATTGCATGTATATGCACATCTATCACCAGTGCACAGCATTAGCAATGGGAATATACCCTCCCTTTCACGCGCGGCGTTACCGATACGTCGGTAGTCCGAGGCTCTATGACGCACGTGGCAGCAGCCTCTGGAAGCTCCAAGAATCTCGCAGCATTACACAAGATTTATGCTCGCAGATAAATGCCTTTCTATGCTTCTACTATAACATAATAGTCAGCTAGGTAACTACATAATCCATAGCGTTCAAGAAGCGAGAAGAAACAACTTTGGTTTCTACAAATATTCTTGGGCATGAACGTTAGCCAAACCTTCAACACATCATGTCATGTCTCAGTTCCGGACATAATTCCGCAGCCAAGTAAAATATGTAACGGCGGCCCTCGGAATTCCGTTTAATTCAGTCCTACCATGGTATTTTAGTATATGTAAGTCCAAAAAGTTTCAAGTTTGGAACTATAGTCCGAGCATATAACATAAGGATTACATGGTCCTTATCAATACCAACGCCAATCTATGACGCAAGGAGAGGAAGGCTTCTAATAGGTTAGCCCTACATAACAAATATATTAATCGTATGACTTAATCGACGGCTAGGGTGGATCAATTTCCCCCAAAAGCCATTCGAGGCGGCTTACATTGGATTCATTTCCACTGGGGACCAATATGAGGTGAGAAGCCAATAATGTGGGAGCGACAACAATTGCAACGATACGCAGACATGGTAAGACAGAAACGTTTCATTCTCGTTAAGGCGCTAATATGACTTACATCCACAGCCCTAATTTGCATATTGTAGTTTATGCTTTGTATACCTGGGTATATTTACTAACTTCAACCTTTGCTTTATAGAAATTTGAAACTATAACAAACTACCTCGTGGCTATGAAGTATACATATTGTTGTAATAGTTACGGAATGATTTAATTAACTACCTTAGGTATGGCTCTTCCTATTCCATAGTAAGCCTAGAGCCTCTAAGCTTACTAGGTACTGATCATATCAGTCAGGTTACTCCGTGACGTGTACACGAAATCCATTTAACACGATCTACCAACGGCTAGTTTGTTTGAGTGGTCTCCGCGGGAACCGATCAAACCCCTAAAGGTAAAGATCGATATAATCCCAAGTCTGAAGTAATATCATAAGTACACCAAGCCTAACATTTTTTCGGCGATCCTATAGGCTATTATCGCCCAATTGATCTGCATCTGTCCGTACCTCGCTCATAAGAGCCGCATTCCGGACCGGCAAGGTTGATATGCCCTTGCCGATAATTATCAAATCCAACTACCTACCACGGATATTTACTCGAGTGGGCAAGAAATGAAGCCGATATGATATAAGGAGCCGAAATACTATTAATAGCTGAGGAATGGGATGTTTAGACTTCTTACGTGATTTAGCACCTAATAAACTTTGTACGTATTTACAAAATCAAATCTGTTATCAAAATTTCCCAATGAAAGGAAACTATAGTCATTCTTGACTTTGTGTAACATTCATCATATTCTATTCAAAACAGGGTTCCATCGTTGGCTTTCTAGCTCTCCGCACTATACCTAGATAGCTCTCATATTACGCGTATGATAGGATCCTCGGGGACCTTGATATGGCGGTGAAGACAATATTTTGTTACCTTCCTCTTTCGTTACGAGACTTTGAAGTACCGTCCCCGAGTAGCTAGTGTTACCTACGACTTCTATAACTCGACAAAAGTACAATTATCTGCTTGGATCTGCTTGGATACTGGTTCTTTCCACTCCACCCCGCTCCGCCCTATATAAAAAATTTGACTTCTTATATGTTACACAAGCAATTAAGAGAGGCAATTTTATGTCTCTCACCTAAGCCCCCAACATGCCAATCAGCGAAAGTCCCTTGCTTGCATTTGCCATACCGGGGAAGTGGCTTTTCTTGAGCCCCATGAAACTATTCAGTAATGAGCAAGACCCTTTGCTGATAGGGCCAGGAACGAGAAACACTATACTTAGGTTCGAGTTCAATATCTAAGGAATCAAGAGGATGCGTAGATTTATGATGTGATGAAGACAAATATAGATACGTACCTATCTACCTTCCATTTCCATCTCACGTTTAGCCCCCAACTCCTATTCCAATTCCTTATTCGAAACACATCATGGGTTTAACCCCAGCTCTACTTAGAGATATTCTGACGCCAGCAACTACGAATCATCACTACTACCTCTCCGAACCAAGACTTCACCTCTACCGTTCTATCTGCCGACCTATCTGCAGACATAAGTTGTCTAAGACAGCGTACCTGCCTACGCCTCACACGAGCAAGGGTAAGGAAGAGGGTGCGCCACACTCAATCGTCAACCAACATGCATATCAGTCAGCATTCTTATTCTTATCCTTATTCTTAAAATGTCTCCTGCGTGCATACTGCATATGTATTATAACCTAGCACAACACCACCTGACGTAGAATGCGAAGGAAAGCAAACCGAACAGGGGGAGTAAAAAACACCGAATGAGTGGTCCATCCCATCCCGTCCCCACTTCCTTCCGGCGCTGTGCTGCGGCGGGCATGGGCAGCGTGCTTACCACGTGCATACATCTATATCCCCGAAGCGTACTTTCCTTTACTACCCCCCTCCGTACCTGCCCACTTTCGTCAAACACATAAGTGCTTCCTTCCTTACCTAGTCGAGGCACTAACCCCCAAGAACTCGGTACCGCGCCAAGCCCATTGGATCCCAAATTTATCGCCCCGTATTCCGGACCCCGATCCCCGCTTCGGCCCCGGGGCGCATCTTTAAATCGGCAAGAGAAAATATTTTTTTTCTTGTTTCCAAAATTCCCGTGCATACATGCACGCTACCATTATAAACCCGAAACACACCACATCACAGATCGCTTAGAAAAAAAACTTCTATAATAAGTCCCGAAGTTCAAATCCCTAATATTTCTACTAAATCTATATCTCCGAGATATCACCCGCGGCACCTGAAACCGGCCCCCGATCTGATTCATCTACCTTAATTTTTCTTCTTCTAATTATTCTTCCTCTGCCGTGTTTCTAGCCCCAATCTAACTTTTAGGGATTTATGTTGCGACGCGGTAAGATGCGGGGCGTGCGCATCTCGTCTTTTCTCTACTCATCTATATGAGGTGATATAACTAGTGGCTGGATATAACTGGGAATAGCATCGTCAAATTTGACCACACGGAAGCTACCTTCTTCATTTAATCTAGTTCAACGGGGGCCTAATGTCAGTGGATTCCTTGGATGCTGAACAGCTGTTAACTACCTGGTAATAATTACCGTGTCTATGTATATAACCTACCTACACGATAGCTAGTCAGATGAATAACTCCTCCTGAAAGCCAAATATGACAGATCAAGTCTGTCTCGGAGCGGCACAGTTCCGCCCCGCTGTAAATCCGCCTACGTGTGTACTAAACTCAGGATCGTATTCGCGTAGCCGCATCCGTAATAAGATCATATCATGTTCGGATCCCGGGAAATTTGGTCTCTGTTCCTCTTGCTCGCTTTTTGAAGCTCGTCTCGGCGGACGGAAATCGACCGTGATAGTGGTAGATGTGATGTATGCATATATGAATGAATCCTCTAGATCGAGTCCCAACAACCTAGCGCCACGCTTATCTATGTTCCTCCATGTCTCTAAATATAATCATAACTTCGACTTCACCAGTCATTCGGGCACGTGTCCCTCTAAACCGGCGACAGTCGCTAGGTTGACTTGACTGAGTTGCTCATGAGCCTCACCGCTCAGACCAACTCCGGCAAGAAGGGCAATGGCCTCGACCACATCCTCCGGCTCTAGCATATGCCATTTAGCGAGAGTAACCTTCGTACTTGCCCCAATAGTAACGGTGAAGACGTGCTTGCTCTCAACTTGAGTGCCGCTGAGACCATTCAAAGCTCGAAACATGTCCTCATCGGTAAAATCATCACCCATACATAGAACAAAATCTAACTTTTCTTCCTTGCCCTTTCCACCCTGCGAGGTAGGCTTCCCAGATGCAGAAATGTGTGTCATATCGGAGTTATAGTCGTTGACTAGGCGTTTAGCGATTTCACCCTTATTGATGAATGTTGGTCGCACTTCAAGATTAGCTTTACCTTTCATTACGTCCACGTCCCACTTCTTAACGACTGTAGCTTCTAGTTCCTTGTGTAACGCTTGAGATGAGTGTAACCCTTGTTCAGGATCGGCTTGGCGGTAATGCCAGGTCAGTGCGCAACGCTTGCGCTCAATGAATGAACCTACTAATGTTAGTGAATCGTGCTATAGTGTTGTAGAAAACGAATATGACTTACCAGGCACGCGATCGGTATATTTCTGGAAGATTTCAACCACATCTGCCTGCCAGCTCATATCTAGCTTCTCCGCCAAGTTCTCCCAATTATCGCTGCCTGGATGTCTGATGAAACTTCCATGCTCAGCACTGAAACCGAGTTCCGAAATATGACCTAGGTGTTGTTGTAGGAATTCTTGATCTCTGCCAGAAATAATCCACACCGCATTCTGGTGATCCGCTGCTAGTGCTTTCAATGTTTGAATCACACGCTCTGAGGGAATGGCAGCTTGGGGATCTCTAACAATAGGCGTGAGTGTGCCATCATAGTCGAACATAAAAAGTCGCTTATTAGCTTCGCGGTATCGCTTTAGCATGGCCGTGCGGTCTAATAATGGTGTGACATTCTGGTTCTTGGTGGATGCTAGCGTGCCCACGAGCTTCCGTAAGAATTTAGCAATCCAGCTCTGGACGTTCTGTGTGGTGACATGCTGGTAGAGACTCGACTGCATGGCAAGACGCTTTTCGGCGGACATGGTGAGTGCGTTGTGGATTTGGTGGGCAACATCGGTGAGGTCCCATGGATTTATATGAATCGCATCGCGCAAGCTACCCGCAGTCCCGCTAAACTCCGAAAGGATAAGCGGGCCATGCGTGTCGCGCTGACACACAACATATTCTAAACTAGTCGTGTTCATTCCATCTCGGACCGAGGTGATCAGGCCAATGTCTGCCGCTCGCAGCAATGCGAAATACTCTTCCGCCGATAGATATTGCGGGTAATGTTGCACCGGCGAAAACCCGAGACTACCATACGTTCCGTTAATCCTCATTACTAACTCATTAACTCTACTAGCCACCTTGTTCTCCGGCTCTTCTCCCCCTTCTTCAATGGTGTTTGGCGAGGTGACTTGGATTAACACCACCTTTTCTCGCCAATCGGGGTAGAGTTCAAGGAACCTCTCGAATGCCATGAGCTTTTGAGCGACGCCGCGCACGCTGTCCAGTCGATCACGTCCTACAATGATCTGCTTGCCCTTGTAAAGTTCCTTAAGAGCGTCGTACATCTCCGACACGTCTTGAGTCCAGGCCATTTGTTCCACCTTGGTCACATCGATGCCGATGGGGAATACGCCGACTTCCACTCGGGCGCCGTACGCATCGACGCCAACGGAGTCTGAGGGGAAATCAAGAATACGAGTACAACAGCTCGCGAAATGACGCGAATAGCTGTATGACTGGAAACCGACGAGATTCGCACCAAGCATACCCTCAAGAACCTCTTTTCTCCGCGGCAAACACCTTAAAAATTCGCTGCTAGGGAATGGACAATGGAGAAAGAATGAGATATACATGTTAGGAATTCGCTGTCGCAACATGCTAGGGAGCAATAGGAGATAATAGTCATGAATAACCACAATATCTCCTGGCTTGTAAATCTCAATAATCTTATTGGCGAATTTCAAGTTGGTGCGGAAGTAGTCGGCCCATTCAATGCGCTCCGACCGACCATCATTAGGTTCATGTTGCTTGTAGTGGAATAGCGGATATATCGTGTGTTCGGCATACCGCCTCCATCGCGCTTGGTCGTTTAATGTTATGCCGTCGTCGCTTGTCTCCGTATCATCGGCAAGCCATACTGGAACTGTCTTAATGCGCTTGTCATGAGCAAGTTGCTGCTCTAGTTTCGCTTGGTGCTCTTGCGGAATCCATAGACCGTCGACCTCAGGCGGTGTTGGAGGCGTTTCTCCGTCTAGCGGAATCGGGGCAGAAAGATGGCTCAAGCCAGGAATATTAGCGGTGGTATCGGGGATAATGTCCGACGCGGATAATGTGTCTGAGGGTGATTCGATTTCACCCGTCCATGCAACTACGGTGTGATTCCACGGTGCTTCATCGGATGAAAGGTAGGAAAACGAATCGATAAGAGCCGATTGACCGCGGCGATAGCCCAATTCCTGCCTGGTATTAGTATTGCGACTATTGAATCCACCAGAACCAGGTTATACTAACCCATTCACCGCTTTTATGGTATTTCAAGGAGTGAGGGGTCGTAAAAGTAACCGAGATAATGTTACCGCTGAGCGCTAGATCAGGGGCGGCAGCTTTAATTTCCGAGATACTCTCTCTGCGCCCCTTCAACGATACGCTCATTCGCCGTAGCACCTCATGATCTGAGGTAGCACCTTTTACTAGGTCTGAAGGAGATATTGCCTCGGCGTACGATTGTGTTTGAGGCGCATTGGCAAAACTACTGTTCCCCTGCTTTATAGGGTCCTTCGCGAAATAATTCGGGCTAGGGGTTTTGGTAGAGTCACCGCTCATTCGTGACAGGTAGGTCGTGGATTGTATGCCCGGAGTTACGGGGACCCGCGTAACGGATTTTCGCTCATGAGGCGGGAGATCGGGCGATTCTTGGGAATCGCTTTCGGCGATGGATTCGCGAGGGGAAAAAGACATCTGCTCGGCCTCTTTGACGGGAATATTTGCGATAGTACCCTCAGCTTCTTGCTTGTTGTCTGCCATTGCTATCTTAGCTTTCTTTCTTTATGTATACTGGAACTCGATCGCAATGGAATGTCGGTGAAGATAGGTTAACGAATTAGATGGGACGAAGGCAAGTCAATGAAGAAGCGCGGGGGTTTTAAGGGAGTAATTGGTAGAAGGGAAACGTCAGCGATAGCGGTGACCTATGGCAATTAGACGACGAAGGACAGCACCGGTGGGCTGTTAAGGATAGGAAGGACAACGTAAATAGATCGGGTAGACATAGCCAGGTTCAAATACGGGTGATATGGTGGGTGAGGTAGATAGGGGAAGGTATTGAGGTATGTATAGGGATGTATAGTGTATAATAATCTATGAAGAAGGCTAGAACGGCGTAGGCTCATAGCGGGGCACTCATCGTCGTTGCGATTATTGGTTTATTCTAGTTTAGGTAGGATAGGTGGGGCATAGAAATAGAATGATACCTGGTTCTGGCTCTGGTTCGCCTGGTTTCGCGGTAGAGGGGAACGTCAACTGCAGTCGATGCAACCTGGAGGTTTTGCTCCTGAGCCGATGTGGGTTACCTTACGACTGACAAGCTTTGGATGCGCCAAAACGGTCGTAGGGAAGATACTCGTAACTTCAACTGATCTCGGTCTTTTTCTTTTGTCCCCAGAAAGGTCCAATGGATTTGTCTGTGTCGTTCCGACTGCGGTATTATGTAGGTCTTCCTGTTCGTGGGTGTATGGATATATGTATGTATCTATATGTATGTGGTAGAAAGTGGGCAGATCAGGTACAAAATAGAAAAAAAGGTGGGCCTATTATGAATGAATGAAATGAATAATGTACTCAATTAAAGAGAGAAGAATACGTAGAACTACGCTTCATACAAATAATTAAACAAGGACCAACCTATTGTGGTTCGGCACAGGAATAACACCACGGATTGGTAAATGGCGCTAGAAAGATGTAAAGGACCTGTCAGGTATATTGTAAAATAAGGTAGGTGATGATGATAGATTGGTGGGGTAGAAGTTGTGAGCCTGTGACGCTAGCACATGCTGAAAGACCAGGCCAGGAAGAGATTTTGGGAAAAACATCATAGACATGGAAGAAATAGAACGACATAGAAAAGTATTGGCTAGGCCAACCCCGGTCCTCGTGGTATTAGTCTAAAGGTACGTACCTGCCAGTTAATGACGTAGTAGTCATGTAACGCCTTAGCAAAAAATAGCCTAAATGTGACTTCAAAAGTAAGCAGATGGGAAACGCCGAGGGTATTACATGTACTTAGATCAATGTCTTTTACGTTCAAACGTTGGAAAGTACAGGCGTTGTGGGGGAAAGAGCGCACGATATTGACAACCGAAAACATGGAATTTAGTGGTCGAACGGACTTTCGGTTATCCCCACTAGGAAAGAATACTACTAATCATGGTTTCTTAGTGGACGCTGCACATGTGTGTAAGAGGTAAATTATTAGTACCGCGGTACATTCATAAGCATTATCAATTCCATCACGATTGGGCGTTGCTAATAGGACTTAATCGTTGTTAACTACCTTATGTACATAGGTAACGGCTTAGCGACTTCATTCAAACGCCTTACTAAACCGTTATCGGATGTAAGGTTAGAAAGCCACATGCTTTTTAACTCACTTCTCCATATAGAACTCTTCCGTCGGTATCTTCTACAAATATCCATTGGATGTATGGGATGCAGGATGAAATATTGTCTTGACGCCCGAACATCAAAAAGCCTTATGGGTTCAAGACCGGCCCATGTTTCTCGACTTGCAGGTTGTATCAAACGGCCCGTTTTTAGGTCAATGAATGCGACACGCCTTTCCGACGAAGACTAACCCCAAGTACCTATATATTGCATTGTCGAACGATTATCGACTACTACCTTAACCAGGGGTGGAATTCCCATGCCGACGAATATTCTAGATGAGGCATAAATGCGAATTGACTTCACTTCGAATAGACTCCGTCAAGTCGGCAACATTGCGCAATTTAGTATGAGGGATTAGATTTTGTCGTTGTTGTATAAGGGTATTCACGGCCCGGTATCCCCCATGACGCAGTCCACAACGGTCGGGAGGGTGCACATCAAGTGCTTCACCATTTTGAACATCGATGGTTGGATATTATTGCGAAACGCATTATTATCTGGAACTGAGTCTGGCGCGATTGGAGCAAGCTAGTTTGAAATGTCTGCATCCATGCGGTTCATCTTCCGAGATTTCCAACGACAGCACTGACCATGACCGCGACCTCGCGATCCCAACTACCGCTCTTTTCTGTATCACCCTTCAGAGCTTTCCCTTTAGTAGCTGTGATTGTACTCGGGGGCTGACTACCCCTAATAACGCATTCCCTAATCGCTTCCCCGACACTATTGCGGTTTGTCTTTAGGGTACGAGCTGAAACACCGCCACGGTTTACTATCTCCTGAACCCGCGTTGCTAAGCTGCTCGCCATAGTTCTCCAGAAGTAGGATGCGAGCGAGCCGGTTTCAAGGTACGTCAGTAGCGGTTGTAAGAGGTTGGATTTGTCAGAAGCCGCATGCTTATGCACTGGTAAAAGCGGGTGAGTTGGCGCATTCGTTGTAGCGAGGATAATCTCGAGGGCAATGATATTTTGACATCGCGCCGAGGCCTCTGCTAAAGTCCGATCTAATGACGGTAATGTGGCAAGTGATCTTGCGAGTGATGCGATAGAGCTCTGCAAGGCGTTGCGCAGATAGACCTCAAGGGATTGGAGGAGTAGCTGGGGAGTCCATTTATCGGGCTTCGTACTAGATACCGGTGATAATAGGTAGAGTGTGACGGCGGCCGATATTATTCGCGCCTTGGCTTCTTCACTTTGTGCGAAGGTAGATGTCCCTGAAGCAGAACCGATACTGAATTCCCGTACGATTTGGTCTGAAGTATTTCTAACGGACCTTTCAATAGGTGTTATAACTGAGTCTTGTAAACTCTTGATGGCGTTGACTCTGTCGAGTCCATGTCCTTCTTCACCTGGTGCCTTCTTATCGAGTACTTCTCGTAGCGATAAGAGAGTATGCGCGCATCGTACCAGTGCTCTATGATCTTCTTTTCTATTACCGCTACCCGTAGTGCTAGTCCCAGAGTTTGTTATCTCCGTATGTTGAATCTCAAGCTGGCGACCCAATTGAAGGCAGCGCCCGACAGATCTTCCTAGTTTTAAGGTCTGCCATAACCGAGCAGCAACTTGGCGCACTTCATCCGCCTCGGCATGTTTTTGTATAACTTCTTTTTCTAGTTGCTTGTAACTTTCATTCAGGCTCTTAACCTGATTATCAACTTCCGATATTATTCTCCCGCTCGCATCGGTTTGTTCTTTGGTATATGTAAGAAGTGGGATGGCAGAACGGGTTGTGAGGAGGTCGATGTGAGAATCAACTTCTTGGGAATCGAATAGGACCTTAGATAACGGCGTGGACAGGTCGAGTGGGGTGTCATTCGGGTTATTCGTAGCAAGGACGAGGCTATTAGCGAAGGACGATGGACTGAAACTCGGATCGAGGAAGGCTTCATAGTCGACATACGACGCATCCTCATCTTCGTTAGTCGCCATCTGCACGATTAGCACAATTGAGACACATCAGAAGTCTCAATTGCTACTCTTCTCCTTAAACCCACCGAATAGAGCAAATGTTCGCTAATATGTACCTAGGTACGTTGGGTCAGAAGCTTTTAGATGGATGTATTGTTGAAATTCAATTTCCACAATAATATCAGTGCCCCACCAAAGTTAAGACAATCTCAAGCCACATAAATTCTAATGTCGAGCCGAGCCACGAGAGCCACACCTATGACGTACATTTTACCCTACAAAACTCCAATCTCCGATTGATTTGCTCATTCACGTTTCATCCACCAATCAACAATTACATGGCTTTGAATATGGGAAGCTCTCGTTGAATTTAATCTTTTACAAGAGTGACTAAAGGTCAATATGTCGAATGAGTCTGATCTCAAGCCCTAATTCATTACAAAAATTCGTTATCCATCATAAGTTTTCCATCGTACACTTGTTACCTCTAATCCAATCTCACCGCCCACATTAGATACCATAGCTCTTAAATGCACCATCATTGCCCTGCTTAGTTGCGCCACCTGCGCCAGTAACACCACCAACAGTGCTACCGACCGAGTTTGTGACACCACCGACAGTGTTGCCAACACCTTCCGTTGTTTGGCCTACGGCATTTCCAACTCCCTTGGTTGTTGAGTTAAGGCCCTTTCCGAGTCCTTCGGTTGTGCTGCCTACAGCGCTGCCGACGCCTCCGAGGAGACCGCCTTGGCCCTTAGCCTTCTCGCCGCCTGTGAGGACATTGTCGACTCCGCCGACTAGACCACCAAGAAGACCGCCGTTTTGGTTCGACATTGTGGATTGTAGTTGTGGTAATTGTTGATTTGTATGAGATGTGTTTTGAAGAGGTGAGAATTTGGTTTCTCCCGTAGTAACTTGTTATTTTGGTATGTGGATGTCTAACTATCTATGTTTCCGATATAATCTGGTTTCAACACCATCTCTTATAAATTGTCGAAGAGGCTTTGTTTGAACTCGAAATCCATAAGATATGATGTAATATTCCAGCGCAAGGGATCATTCTCAACGAGTACAAAACGCCACATGAACGCATACTTCCTGTGGCTTGCGTCAGATCAATGGATTGGTGTGGCTAGAAACAAGTTTCTATCCCCTTCTTGCCTAACCCCAGAACCGGGGTTCCGTTTCCTACGGACCAGTCGCGGTCCAAAAAATCCCGCCTGCAGTTTGGGTAATCTTTTGGAAACTTGTTCGATTCGTTGAATTGGATCTGTAGGCCCCTAGCCGCACTAATCATCCTAGTATCCGGCGGCCAAGACCGTGCTGTAATTGGCGTCATCTCATGGAGAGATTCATCAGCGATCGGTAGATCGGGTCGCATCGTGTGCAAGAGTTAAAAGAAATCAAATCCTTGTAAGAAGTGACGTCGTTTCTTCCAAGCGGCATCTGGTTGGCGACCCGACAATCTAACAGTGGTCTGAGGTTCCGCTCCCATGGGTCTTAGATCGTTCTCGACTTACAAGCTCGGATAGCCCCAAATTTACTAACCATATATGACGCAAAGGCATGCGTCCTAGCTACCTAGGTACGCGACTAATGCTCCATCTATATCAAAACATCTTCATTTGCCAAAACTTCGCAGCGAGTCTCATGCACCGCAGATGGGATCTGTGGATTTCCGGAGTCCGGAGTTAGTTGTGTCCGTCACAGTTACAGCGTATGTAAGTCGACTGGTATTGGCGAGTAGGAACAGGGCCATACGAGTCAAAATAAACAACTACGCCTTGGTATTCTAGCGTTACGAATCAGATCGTAATACCGCACGCGCAAGACAGCCACAATTAGACCGCCTAATGAGTCGACATGTTGTTTTTAGGACTCATGGACGAATAAAATGCCATATTAACCACCCGACTAGGTTACACATCGATTCCAACGAATAGTCCCGATGAACGCAACGTAACATAGTATTCCATTACTCGAACGCCCCGATCTCAATAAACAAATACGAACTCCTCATTCTGCAAGTCAGTCAGATTCTCAAACGCCCGTTCGCCCGGCCTCTCCACCTCCTCACCCCCAGTCGCTTCCGCCGTAGCAGCATTGATTTCTTCCCGCGCTGCTACTTCTTTCGCGGAGTCTAAGCTCGTATCAACGATTATGGCGCTCTTTCCCATAGCCACGCGCCTCTTCGCGTGGCCCGCATTTAGGAGTCGTAGATATGCGGTTGTAAGGCCAGAAAGCACAATAATAGCAACGTAGAGCGCGAGATTCGAGCGAAGACCCCGGGAATAGCCCGGTGCTTCGGTCTGCGTGTAGAGAAGCGGGCCAATTACGTTACCGACGGATTGGCCGATGAAGAGTACGGCGTTCGTGCATTTCCGCTTAGTGTCACCGGCGGTATTTTGTGAGGCCCAGGAGTAAATAAGCGGGGCTATGTACAGTTAATAACGATATCAAGGCTAGATTAGATAGAAATAACTTACTTATTCCTGGGTAGACCGAGATTAGGTAATATCCAACTAAAAGGGGTGCTCTGGAAGATACATCTCGTGGAAGTACCATTAGCATCACACACCCTGCTATTGGTGGTAGGCAGAGACCCGCGATGACGGGACCCTTCATCTTGATTTTCTGGGCGAGGAAAGCCCCACCAACAGTGGCTACAAGCTGGACGAATCCGAAAGGAATGTTGAAGAGAATAGTTTGGAATTGGTCAAAGCCGAAAGTCGAGACGATCAAGGGCCCGAAGGTTGAAATTCCACCAGATGGGATACTGATAGAGAACAACAGCGCAAACCAGAACCAGGATTTAGGGTCAAGCATGGTCTCCTTGAAGTGATCATTACGCCATTCGCGCGATATAACGCCCATCTGGTTCATGCGCAGTCGTTCAACAGCGATTATTTTGTCGTGGTCATTGAGGAACTTTGCTTCTATCGGCGAATCCGGCATAAACGCCAGCATAACGAAACTGTTACCTACATCAGCCACTCCTGAAGCCGCTTCCAGTGTCCATCATTTCATACCTAAATGCAACAGTGATTACCCCAAAGAACATAAATATAATCTATAATAGATAATTAGTATCATTTGAACTATATATAAAGATAGGGGTATTAATTACCTGATAAGATCGGAGACGCGATGAAATGTGACCCAAGCCATAGGTAATCAAGCTGCCAAACTTTGATATTATGAGTTCTTATCACAATTCATTCATGGGGTACTTGGATATCAATTCAACATACCATATTCGTAATTCCATTCATAGCACTAAGTTTTGAAGTTAGAATTATCTCGATTGATGTCTTCGCAATAGAATTTTCACAATACTTACTACCAGTAACTAGTCCTAACCGTCTGTTCCCGTCTCCTCCACCACATCTGCGTAATCGCAACAAAGCTAGGCGCGACTGAAGCTTCAAAGACACCAAGGAAGAAACGTGTGGTGATAAGACCCCCAAAGTTATGCGCAGCGGCCATACAGGCGAGCGAAATACCCCAGAATAGTACCATAATACTGGTGAACTTGGCGATGGGCAGACGCACCAGCAACCAAGCCAGCGGCGGCTGCATAACAAGCTGGGCGAGATACACAATACTGCCCAGCCAGCTATACTGGTCGCCCACCAACTTCGTGTCGGTAAGCAGTCCGAACACAGATGAGTACGCTAGTGTCGCCTTATCCAATCCCTGAAGGAAGTACACCGTCAACATAATAGGCAAGATGACGGCGTCAATCCGCCGTAGCACACGCGCTGATTCTGCGGGCGTCACAACAATCCGTTGCCCCGCAGCATTCTTAGATAAGAACGAGCCGGCAATATCCCTTCCGCCTCCATCATCATCACCACCGCCATCGCGTGACTGCTGAGTCGGCGCATTTTCAATTTCCGCTGTCTCACCCGTGCGGGCTCCCATGATGACTATTGCGAAAATGTCGGAAAAGTCTTCCTTGCCGACGATTGAACCGAGCCTTGCTCAATTAAGTATCTTGAAGGATCGGGGTAGTATGTCGTGCAACTAGAATCTGGGGTAAGCAGTGAGGAGAACCCTTGTAAGTAAGGGCCTTGGTCTCGTCGGCGCTGTGAATGGCGATGTAACTTTGGGTAGAATCGCTATCCAGGTTCTCCGCACCCGGCTTTCCCTCAAGCAGTCAAGGCAAAGTCGCACACACTTATCACGGGTTGTTAAGGTTAAAAATGGGCAATATCGACCAATTGATGTCTTGGTTCGCATGAGATTGGCATCATGTGCGCTGTTAACCTCGGTGTTTTTGTAGGCGAAGGGTCGAGTTACTTTGACCTTGGTATTCGAGACATCGGTGGTACTTTCGTGAGATACAAACGTGAGCCATGGATGGACAGGTAGGTCCTACCTACCTGTTCTTTCATCGTCGCGCATGCATGTTACGCTGAAGGGAACAAACAACGCTTTGTTCTGACATTTGACACTAATGCTTGAGTCTTATCAATGTGTTTGGTAAGAAAAAAGCCCGCATCTGGAACCTGTCAGCTCAAATGTCAATTGTATGGAGAAATGTTATTATGGCGTAGATAGTAGCTATGTAACTTACAAGTCCGAACGATCACCTTCTGTTAGGATGAGCCTTAAAGTAGATACATTATTAGCAAGGATATATATTTTAAGTGATACTAGTCGCAATGGATACTACTAGTTTTAATCATAAGCCAACAAGTTAGAGGCACCTTGTTGGGTAGGTATCGTATTGTAATAGGCTGTATATTACCTCATAGGGTATGGTGTCATGTCATTTGTATTCCTGTCTATCTAACTCTCTAAGGTAAGAGATCAGCTCCGAGGAGTAGGTCTTAAATAGTAAGACCTACACCACCAGCTGTGGCTCCAACCCTAGTCACGTGCTACACGTGACAATGATTCACACACATTATACCATAGCGAAGAGTTGTGTCCAGATAGACATCGTGCCATATATTTAAGTCCGTAGATACTAGTTACGTTTGTGATTGTATTGTTCAATGTTGCCGTCGTTTCGTTGTCGTTGTCGTCGTTACCGTCGTCGTAGAAACTAAGGGACGATTGCGAGGATTTTGGCTGGTGATGGCTCTTGGTGTTGCACAGACAGATCGAATGTTTCAGCATGGAAATATTAAGCCTATTAATAATAGACAGTTCGCGTTTGTGTCATTTGAGTCATTACTATGCCATAGTTAAGAATTAGTAACACTGAATTGCGTCTTTTCACATGTTAAAATACCTAGGTACATAACTTTAATAAGCAGATAAAGTCAATCAGATTTAAGGTGCAAAGTTTAATTGAAAGTTACTAGGCGGGTTTTTAATAAGCTTATTTTCTGTTCCGCAATAGCCGAGCCAAATTAAGTTGTGTGACGTCGACCCGCAGCCTAATCCTTGATATGTATCTGCAAGCTCCCGCAACTCCCGCAATATCCGTTTCTCCCCCTTCCGAGACTTTTGATCTTCTTCAAACATTACAATTGGTACGATGAACTCCCCAAAACGGAAACGTGCACATTTGGCATGCAAGCCCTGTAGAGAGCGCAAAAGAAAATGTGACGGACGTCACCCCTGCATCACCTGTACAGAATGGGGTTATGATTGCTATTACGAAACTTCTACTCGGCGAAGAACGCCACGGGCTACAGGACAAGCCACGACGGCATCCCCAGCAAGACCTCTGTCTGAACAACTAAGCAATCTTCCGGCAAGCACCACAGAATCCGAGCATTATGGGTTGAATCGTGATATGGAGGCTAATTCAGGTGCGGCCTTCGTCCGGAAACTTGGCCTTCGAATTGACCCTACGAATGCGCCCAGGCTCAGCCTCTTTGCATGGAACCTTGGATCACGACAATTATCTACACCGCTAAATGCCGGTAGCACAGCCCTACCCATTGTGGAAATTACCTCACTTGAGCATATGAAATCTTTAGCTCAAGTTTACTTTGATAAGGTGGACCCGTGCTATGGATTCATCAACCGTCCTCAGTTCTTTGAGCGGTTAGACATACGCTGGAATTCGTCTGAAACACCAAATTTGTATGACAGTATTTTAGCTGGCGTCGCGGCAATCGGATGTTTGTTTTCTCAACGAAACGTTACGGTCACCGAAGTACATCTAGTCCGGTCGGCTTATGCAAGTCTAGACAACCACCAACTCCTCGGGCCACCCTCAATAGACCTTCTGATCGGTTGGACACTCCGATCGATCTATCTTCGGATAACAGACTCGCCGCATTCCACATGGATAGCTAGTTCCACCTTGATGCACCTTGTCGAAGCTTCAGGGCTTCATTCCGAGTCACCGGCGTCAGTCCTTCTCCCTAGCGCGCAATGCGATCCTGATACTAGAAGGAGGCTTGTTGGCGTCGCACGACATATCAATACTTGGACATCCTTTGACTTAGGACTCTCCTTGGTCTCGTTCCAAAAAGATGAAATGCCATTACCGCCGTCGTCAAAGCCGGGTGATTATACCGATGAGATCTTAGGCCTACTGCCAATAGCGGTCAGTTTGCACCCTGGTAGGTTGAAGGATGAGACGGATCTCACGTCAACGCTTTTTAAGGTCCTGTCTAGAACACATACTGAACCACCTTCAGTTATGGCCCAGTGCAACACGGTGCTTTGTATTATCCGACGTATACATACCCAAAATCTTGACATGTCATCTGGCCGCACCGACCAGGTACTTGATCTCTTCAAGAAGGGACTTAGCTGCGCGCGTAGTCTAGTAGCGAGCTGTTCCCCATGGCATCAAGCCGCCAACGTACCTTTTCAAATTGTGTGCGTCCTTCTCGTAATGGACACACGCTCGTCGCTCTCCATGCTTCCGGAGGCAATGCAGACCTTGAGTCTAATCACTAGTACCTACGACACCGAAACTATGCGAGAGGCATATGGTACAGCTTGCCTCTTAGTTTTGTTGCACCAGCAGCGAAGGAAATCTGATATAGCCATTTTTGGAGAGGCCCTTAACGTCCATCAGCAAGAACGAAATCCTATCGTTGCGCTACCACCGCCACCCAACTACAGCTCCCAAGATTCCTCATGGCTTGAAGCACTTGTCGCCGACTTTCCAGGCTTGGAAAGGGTGGACCTAGATCAGTTCTTGAATATGGACATGACTGGCAATGCTCTCTTGGGCGGACCTGAATAATTGCGTTTTTCTTATCTTCTGTGTACATTTAACTTCCCGCACAAAATCAATCCGCTCGGAATAGTTGCGGTAATTAGAGATATTGCTATTTTAATATTCATTAGAAACCTACAATCCGATACCAATGTTTTCATTTCCAATACCTATTAAGACGGGTTCTAAATTGATAATCGACGGACAGGAACACGTTAACGGCGTTATTTTCGGGTTCGGATAGTGTAAGCGGCGTAGCGCGGAAGAGGCGGGTATTGCGGGATCTGGATCAACTAACCTCCCTAGCTATAGGCATTGACAAACCAACCCTCTTCAATGACATATCTTTGTACGCCTTATCTCGTGTATCCCATTCTAAGACACGTCAGGAACATCTCATCGGAAATGACTTCCTTGTGTTCACTTCACATGTATGATCCGGAGATCTTAGACAATATATACTGAGGCATGTATGCTCATCTGCAAATGCTCTAAAAAGGCATGAGATCCTCGCTATCTTTTGGAACGAAGCAAACAAGATCCTCCCACTTCGCAATGCCGAACCAAGCAAACGCGCACGAGAAGCTGTCCATGGGGCTGGGAAAGCCAATCCCACCACCCCTTGCCGATCCGAAGGATTACATCGTCGAGTTTGATGAAGATGACCCTACGCATCCATATAACTGGAAGACTTCTACCAAGTACGTCGACACCCAATATGCAGCTTGGTAGTATCAGGGACTGACCATGCATCCTTCCAAATAGACTCTACACCTCTATCCTAGTGTGTACCGGCACGTTCGTCGCGGCGCTTGCAAGTGCCATCTTTGCCCCCGGGGCAAAAGCCGCGAGCAAAGAATTCGGCGTCAGCTCCGAAGTTGGGACTCTCGGAACGGCTTTATTCGTACTTGGCTTCGCGTCCGGCCCGTTGCTCTGGGCGCCTTACTCCGAGCTACAAGGGAGGAGATGGCCCTTGACTATCGGCATGTTAGCTGGCGGCATATTCACCGTTGCTTCTGCTGTGGCGAAAGATATCCAGACATTGATCATCTGCCGCTTCTTCGCTGGGGTATTCGCTGCGTGCCAATACACTGTGGTTCCAGGATTACTGTCCGATATCTATGACAACACATATAGAGGTGTCGCAAACTCGGTATACGCTTTGGCGGTTTTCGGGGCGCCTATCATGGCACCGATTATAGGCGGGTTCATCAATGCTAGTTCTTTAGGCTGGCGATGGACTCTGTATATCCCGGCGATTTTAAGTTTTGTGAATGGAGGCATCTCGTTATTCTTCCTGCGCGAGACGTATGCGCCATGTATCCTTTCCGCCAAGGCCGCTGTTCTTCGCCGCCAGACGGGCAACTGGGCTATCCGTGCCCGACATGAGTTGATTGAGTTGAATATGAGACACTTGTTTGAGAAGTACTTCTCGCGGCCGGTGAGAATGTTGATAACGGAGCCGATTATACTGCTCGTATCTCTCTACATGGCGTTTATCTATGGGCTGGTGTATTGCCTGTTAGGCGCTTACCCTTATGTATTTGGTAAGTTTTCTAGTTCATTGGTGGTATAGCAGATCATGTTAACCAAATTGCAGAGGAGATATACGGCATTTCTCCAGGACTTAGCGATCTTCCTTTCCTCGGTCTCCTGCTCGGACAAGTCCTGGCTGTAGCGTTTGTCCTTACACTACATCCGTCTTGGGTGAAGAAGCTAGCCAACCATGACGGAAAAGCGCCCGTCCCTGAATGGCGACTGCGACCTACTCTGTTTGGAGCGCCGATTTTCGCAATTGGCCTTTTCTGGTAAGTGAACTATTAGGCCACGTTCCGAAGGATTAGTATTGACAACTTACTCTTTATATAGGTTTGGCTGGACTGGGTTTACCCCTAAAATCCACTGGGCATTCCCCACCGTCGCGGGTATCTTCATCGGATTCGGGAATGTCGCGGTGTTCCTACCGTGTTTTAATTACATCGTAGACGCCTATTTGCCGCTGTAAGCCTCGCTTAGAATCCATCAAGTTACTTGCGTTGAAAACTAATCTTGTTATAGAGCCGCTTCTGCCGTCGCCGCCAATATCATGACGCGTTCCGCTGTCGCCGCGGGATTCCCGCTATTTTCTAGACAAATGTTCCAAAACATGGGCGTACAGTGGGCTGGAACTCTGCTCGGTGGTTTGGCTGCTATTATGATTCCAATTCCTTATCTATTCAGAATTTACGGCCCATGGTTGAGAGGGAAGAGCAAGATCCTCCACTAGTTGAAACTGTATAGCAAAAACTCAATAAACTCTTGAGAGGAAGGAAAAGGAGTGTGCGGCAATATCATAGAGATTTTAATCTGGCAACTGGTGGGCTTCGTCAAATCGCATGATTCAGTCACAACGCCTTTAGACAAGGATAATGAGTTTGTTTCTAGAGGGTTGAACCATCTATCTGGTTCACCCGATGCGGCGCATTGCCATTATTTGGGTTTATGGGAGTCTAGACCGGTTTATTTGCCGGCAATACAAACTATTAATGTCTTTTGCTAGGAGCATGTTGAAAAACGAAGAACGAACCATCATCATGCACAGCGAGCGAGAAACGAAATTACATAGTGGCAGATGTACTGTATACCGTTGCGCTTCTGCAAGCCATCACGCCTCTCATCCGCATCGGGCACAGATTATCGTTTAGAAACGCCACCATTTCGGGCTTCATCAATTCGATGACGCCAGTGGCAGTCATACCACGAAAAATTCTCCTTTTCGATGGTACGTAACATTCATCTTAGAGGCTGTCCTGTGTTACGCGGAAGAGTATGGACAAAAAACGTCTAGTACTTTAATAACTAGAAGTGATTGCTTACTGATAAACACAAGGCCATATAAATGATGAGATTTACTATGACGACATAAAATATGGGAAAATGCAGGTACAATCTAAAAAAGCGAATAGGATGGCGATAATATCATACAAACTTGGAATGTTGAATAAGATATTATTTTTAGTAATAACGTAACGTGGCTATAGTCAAGTTAATATATCAGACACGGCAATTGAGGTTACGTCCCGTCTTTACCTTCATCTTGGCTCTTATAAATTAAGTCAACATTCAATTAAACACCAGCGGCCTTCATTTCCACCTGAGTGAATGCCGTAAATTCTTGTCTCCGAAAGTTTTTAACCGGTCTGTATATTAAAGCGAGTGCCGGCGTTTCAAGATGCAGTGACCCGTGAACAAAATTACGGCTGTCGCTAGTACGAGGGAATCCTCCGCTAGAAGTCCGGTAGACTTGAAAGCCGGGTGCCGAGATACCATTAGGAGGGTACATTATTTATGTCTTTTAGTGATATCGCTTCACTAGAAAAATTTCCTTTTGTTTTGTTTTTCCAGCCTTTACTATAATATGCTATTGATCTAGACTGGTAATATAATATGAGCTTTTTTTCGCTAGGCGAGGCACGGACGGTTATAGGAAATTAGATGTCTCTCCTGCGTCAGCCGTTTTGCATGATGAGCTCAAATTACTGATTTTATTTTACTGACTCGTGTTTACATGTTGCGATATTCGGCTATTATGTGTGTGGTAAGCAAGGAGGCATCGAGAGTGCATAGCTCATTTAATTTTGTGATTTTTACTATTTACCTATGTTTATTTTGATGTAGGATGGACATACAAGCAGGTTTGTTTTTGAGAATTTGTAGAATAACCCCTTACCGCCGACAGGCGCCCATTGTCCATTAGGCATCAAGCACTGTCCTCCCGATTTTTTCACTATAGAACATGCTGATATTGTCAAATCCTAGCAAATTATTACAGCATCTAATCATAATGTGCCCGACTACACGGCAAGATCTAGCGTAATCTCGTGCAGTTCGTATTAATTGTGGCTTTCCCCTGCAGAGAGGAACAAGGATGAGTTACCGATTGGGCAACGATAGAGTGAACTAGCTCCGGGGTTCCCCACACCAAGAAACGCTCTAAAGAGGAAAGGCTTTGTGATGCACGTTGGGTTGGGAGAGGGGAAGACAGACAGTTGGAGTAGGGGGGGTGGTATGTACCCTAAGTACTCAATATATGCGGTGTGCTGGTACGTCAAGAGGTCACTCTCGCCCTACAAGACCTACATATGTAAGTACCGTTATACAAGGTAGTACACAGATCAGCTTGAATAGCTCGGCTCCCCCACAGGATTCTATGCCGAAAATTCTCCAAATTTCTGCATCCCTCAATATGCCGTGCATGGAGGTCCCGCTCACTGCGCCGGCGGGCGGTCAGATCACCAGTCGAATTCTTCGTTATCGGGTCACGCGGTATTATGTTTGCGCCGTGTTGTCTACCAGGGAAGATAGAGGAGAGAGAGCCTAGCCAACGCATTGGAGTGTCAGCTTGCAGGGTCGTAGGGTCACATTGCTTCACTACAGGGAGCTAAAACGTCCTCAGACCTGGGCTGGTAGGGGTGGTAGAGAAGTGGAATCTCAATAGATGATGTCGTGGAATGCTAGGATTCTAGCCTGCTTCTCCCACCCTAGTCAACATCACGAGAGACATATATGAAGCTCATCGTGCCCATTACGCCCGGGTCCAAAAATGGCGTCCCCATACACATCCCCCCAAACCAAAATATCTCCCTTCGGGTCCCTGCTCGGATCATCCCGAGACTCTCGGCGCTCCAATGGCTACGATAAAGGCTGCTGTCCTTCTCGTGCTATGTCAGCTCTACTGTCTCGTAGTCGCCGTTGACTCTACTGTCGAATTATCTTGCAACAGATATTCTGGCTACAGTACACCTAACGGCGTCTCCCAATGGCTTGGTATCCGGTATGCCGCGCCGCCAGTCGGTGACCTAAGGTTCGAGCCTCCGCAGGATCCACCATGCAGCAAAGCAACACAAGATGCGACTCAGGTATGTGTGTTTCCGAGCACAGCTGACAATGGACTTTCCTATCTGGAACATTTCGCTGAAACCTTTTTTTCTTGATAACAGCACGGCAAAGTCTGTCTGTCCACTGACGACTCTCCGCCAAGCGATACTACAGCGGAGGATTGCCTGTTTCTTGACGTGTACGCGCCGACGAAAGCGACGCCGAAATCCAAGTTGCCAGTCTACTTTTTTATTCATGGCGGGGGTTTTAACACGGATAGTAACCCCAACATGAATGGGTCAGGCCTGATTAAAGCGAGTGACTACAATATTGTCGTCGTCACCATCAACTACCGCGTGGGTCCATATGGATTTATCACTGATGGCGATAAGATCAAGCCCAATAATGGACTGCGCGACCAGAGAAAGGCGCTTCAATGGGTGAACCAAAACATTAAGCAATTTGGTGGCGACCCTGGCCACGTGGTAATAGGCGGCGATTCAGCTGGTGCTGCAAGTGTCAGTCTTCAAATGATCGCCTATGGAGGCAAGGACAGCGGTCTGTTCCATGGAGCCGCGGCCGAATCCGTTTCTTTCGCGCCAGTACTTACGGTAAACGAAAGCCAGTATCAATACGATAATTTTACGGCTACTGCTGGATGTTCTGGACCCAATTCACTCGCCTGCATGCGGAATAAGACGGTCTACGAGCTTCAGGCCGCCAATCACGGCGTACCTTATCCCGGTCAGAAAAAGGCGCCGCTATACATGTGGAATCCAGTTCTCGATTACGATATAATACGGGATCACACATACGACGAATTCACCAACGGGAATTTCGTAAAGATCCCCTCAATCTTCGGCGACGATACCAACGGCGGAACCGTTTTCACGCCACAGAACACGTCGACAATCGAGGAGAGCCATGAATTCATGCTCGACCAATTCCCATACTTAACTCCGGAGCAGCTGTTGAAGCTCGACCTCATGTACCCGAATCCCAACACCACGTGCCCGAACACCGGCTGCTATTGGCGACAAGTATCCAATGTCTACGGAGACATGCGGTATGCTTGTCCTACACTGTATATCAACGGCGCTCTGATGCAACACGGTGTTTCTGGGTCGTATAGCTATCGATACAATGTCGAAGATCCGGATCAAGTGGCCCAAGGCTACGGCGTACCTCATACCGCAGAGTTAGTCGCGGTCTGGGGACCTCAAAACACGGACGGCGACCCGCCAAAGAGCTACCTGAGCAACGGTACGAATGTTGACGTGATCCCGGTTATCCAAGCCTACTGGACCAGTTTTATCCGAACATTCGACCCCAATACATTCCGACACCCTGGTTCGGCGACATGGGAAAAATTCAACCAGGCAAAACAAAACCGGTTACTGTTCGAGAATGGTGGGAAGACGACTATGGAGACAGTGGGTCTTGACATGCAGGCTCACTGCAAGTATTTTGCCAGCATCGGCGTTGACAATCACCAATAAGGGGCATTCCAATTACGGAGTATTTTGGTTCGGGGATTACTCTCGTTCGGTGTGACATTCATTGGGGATTGGAAAACCATGGTAAACAAGCTACCACAATATCTTGCGGATTCAGATTTTATTTCTAGATGTATTTACTTCACGATACCCATATCTTTGTGAGTAGAGGGCGTTACGGAACGGCAAATATAAACCGCAATACAGTTATACACTTGCTATAACCTGTCTACCAATGTGTCTAGTATTAGTATCATACATCCATGCTGAGAATAGCTTAATCGCTGCAGTATCCCTCAGTGTTCACCAACTGCTCTAGGCTGACTACAACCGCCTGTACCGCCGAGAAATCCCCAAATGTGCCTTGACTAGTACGTAACTTCGTCTAATCACATATCCTTCGTCATTTTTTCGAATAGGAACAGGATATAGACCTGTCAATCGTCCCCGCTATCTCCATAAGCCCATGTGTGGGTTCTAGGCGGTCGTTCGGGTATCGGTACGTACTTATAGGGGGTAACTTCTATATATATATAGTAATATGGTATGTGTGAGAATCTCAATCGAAGATCAACCGGCGAAAATCGGACATTCATCTTAGAAGATTGCGCAATGCTGATGTTGATCCGATTTAGAGCTACCTACCTAGGTACCTAGGTAGTGTAAAATCGTTTCGGCCCCCTCCCGAACAAGGCGCATATGTTTGACGATATTCACACCTAATACACTCGTTTTCTTAGTCCAGTTGGTTGCCTCTGGATCCCTGGAACATCTAAATTGTCAAATTACCATCCGAAACCCTTGAAGTCTTAGCACTTCGTCAAAACTTGCTCTGCCGTCCTCGCTACCAGGGGGTCATGGGCGTCACGGTTTCAGCCCGGCTTGGCAGGCAGGCAGGCACAACGTAGATCATCCAATGACCTGGGTGATCGACTTAGTATCCATATTTTAAAGATTAATTACAAGATTCTGAAGTTAATCTAGGTACTATTGATAAGTTCATGTGTGGATCGGAATAACCTCATAGTTCGATCGTGTGATCACTCGTCTTCTACTTTGTGCGGTAACCACTTGCGTACCACGTAAGCGCTTAGAGTTTAGAAAGTTACATTTCGCAGCTGAGTTAAATATTCGTCTCGTGTTATCTATTATAATTATATATGTATTAACCTTTATTATTATTTAGTTTGGGCCCTCCTTTTACAACTACCATACACCTGCCTTCATCCCACGGAAATAGGACAATTAGTACCCTAGGTTACCATTAGCTTCAAGTATGGCTTGATTCTAACTTTCCATATGGCTCACTTGAAAACATTTAAATTCTCTCTTCTCTTCATAGAATAACAAAACGCATTTAAACCCATCACTCGTTCAACATTTCACGATAACATCATCTAGTCTCCCATTCATCCATAATTCATTACCTACCTAAGTACCTATATAAAAACACAAGAGCAATCATGATAATTATCATTTCGAATATCACACTTTATCGTCGTATGACTTGGTCTTCAACACCCAACAACCATGTAGGCACGATACTGCCATCGTTTACGTTTAAGATAATTTACGAAAAGAGATCGCTCGTCATTTACATTTATCACGGAAAGGTTATCGTTTGGGTTTTTTTTTTTTTTCCCTCGTTAGTATGAGCTGAGGAGCTTTACTATTAGAACCATATTCCCAACAACGTCCTAGGCTTGGGCAGGGATGGCCTCTATAGAAGATACGGCGAGCAAATGATAGTTGGCGGCCGACATAACTGTGAAGGCCGAATTGGCGACGATAGGGGCTGAATGATGATGAGGACGATGATAATCAAGTTTGGAATGTCTCTGGTCCTATGCATCGAATTTCCGCACAGCCTCTACCGCGCAATCATGGCGCGTAAGACGTCTGGAGTATTCCTTTATGGTGATGATGATGTTGTATTGATTGAGGCGGCAGTATACTTATAATATCGTTCGTTATACGTTTGGAGTTCGGCAAGGATGCTTGTGTGGCAAGAGGGCCCAAGTGAGTACTACGGGTCTGAGACAAGGGAAGCGGGAGGGTTCCAATTTGTAAGTATATCAAATCCTAGTGATTGGGTTAGGCGCGTACATGTATTCATCGCGCGATATTGTTCTGATCTTCTTGAGGTTAGCATTGTGTTAGTTCGTATTTTGAAGCGGTATGTACCTACCTAGGTAGGTAGGTATCGATTTTGGGGCCTGGAAGCCTCCAACACGACCTTATTCATGAACACGTCTCGTGGTATAATTTGAATGTGGTTGGAAATTGATCTAATTCAGTATTGCAATTGTCCCGTTTGAATCATGATGTAGGGTTAGTTTCACGATGCCCATTCCCTCCAAAACTTGGTCGCTCCGCCGCTGAGCATAGTGTTCCTCGGCTTAATTCGCGTAAGTGCCATGCACCAGGTAAATTGCCCATACCCTAGGTATCTCCAGAAGAACGAGAAGAACTGAAATACCAGAAAAATGAGGTTTCTTCCCCTACACCTTGATGAACTCAAAAGCAGTCCCCTCCGCCTGCACCAGCTTCTGGCCGTCCTCTCCGATCGTCATCTTTGAGAGACCCTGAACAGTCAACGACGAAAGAATGTAACCACCATCCGGGTGTCTCCTCGCGCAGAAATACTCGTGCGTCTTGTGATGCTTGACCTGGGAGATAAAGGAACCCATGCTATCATGACCTATGTAAGTGCCGTGAACGGGATCGCAAAAGCCTAGCCATCCATTCTTTTCGACACAGATCCAGTGATATCCTCCCTGATCGCCCATATGCTCCTCCATTCGAAGCTCTCCACGCACGAGAGTAACCTGTCGTCCTGACGCTGGGTCCCGGATGATGAATGTGTGACCGGGCCATGGCACATCCTCCTTTTGTGGTGGCGGTGGTGGAGAGCGACGGTCACTGAGAGTCTCATCCGTTGCCGTTGTATGTGTTGGAGTTATATCGCCTGTGACGGACGAACTGGTCATAATCGTATCAACTTCACCCAAGAGACAACTCAGTCTCGCCTGGATTTCTAGTAGCTCCAATCGAGCCGACTTCAATTCGATATCCATTCTTATATTTCATCGCTTTGATAATTGAGCAGAGAACTGAATATGGCCGGAAGTTGGTGGCTAAAATCCGTTTGCAATAAAGAGGGGAGGCCAGCAAACTAATTAGGTGTTTGATGCCTGATATTGGACCTGTGCCACGCCAACTTTCGACCATGGCCTCGCTGTGGCTGCTCTGTCACATATCATTTGTGACGGTAACATGGTCCTAGCGGGCTTTTGCAGATGCGGGAAACCCCACGTACCCAGAGACATGAATAGGAGCTACGATGTCTCCTTTGCAAAGAAAAGAAGGCCGCAATGTATGCGTATAGGTATGTACTTTTTAATAAGAATATATTAATGGCTGGCAGTAGAATCACTTCATTACATATTTCGCGCGAATAGACAACTTAGCTAGAAATTGGCATCGAATCGGCAATAAAGAGGATGGCCCGTTGCATCATGAGAAGTATCATATTTGATACGCGCTACCTAGGTACAAATCCGTTCAATTCTTATAATGACGGACTTTGGGGGGGTAAGGCTATGTACCTATTATTTTCTTGAAGGAATCGTGTGGCTTGAGGCGTTATGGAGTAGTTTCGCTTTTATTCTACAATATTGGATGATCCGCGACCAACCGGACTATCTAGAGAAACGCCACAATGCAGGTAAACTGCATACATGAGCCAATGGCGCCTGTAAAAATCCCTCAGTGAATTTCTTCCCGGCTTTTGTCTTATAAGCTGCCTTTCATTTGAGCTATCCGTCTCTTGGTATCATTTCGAAAATATTCCTCCATTTCTTGCAAGTGTACCATGGTTCCCCTAATACTATCATCCCAATTTATTGGTTCGCCGCAGTAGTCAAGGACGTGAGGAACATTGTTAACGGGTAAGCCTCCGGGAAATTCCGAATAGGTAGTATAGGCGGTACTAGCCATAACGGCTTGAGCCTGAGTCTGTGGTAAGTTTTCCTCAATCCTAGTTGAGTATTGTGGCTCTTTGGGTTGTCTAGGTGTGGCTGCAGACGCAAGCGGTTGGTCGTTAGTTTCATGTTGAATTTCAGTGAACCATATCCCGACCCGCGCGTCCTGTGATGTTGTGCGATCGGGACGCTCTTGGAAATTGTTGAGTGTGATTCGTGGATCGAGCTGAGTACCCATATAATCAGGACAAGGGACAGCCCAAAGACTATCTGTAGCGCCGTAGTTATAGCCCAACCCCTCTAATGAATCAGTACATAATTGGGGGTCAAACTGGGGCCTGGCAGGGGGCAAAAGATGTGTGTTGCCACCAGCTGGTTGAGACAAGGTACGACCTTGCCATTCTTCGTTTTTCTGGTTCACTAAGTCCATTTTGTTGGCTATGCTTATTTAGCAATAGATTAGAATTCGTAATCCATAAAGCGGAGAGTTAAACCTAGGGGCCTGTAATATATAGAGCGCCACGACTGTACTGGTACGGGTATGCTATTGTGATGTAATGTTGAAGATCTTCGTGGTTGTCGGAGGCAGTTCTGGTCCAATCAAAGGTTCAATTGGGCATTGATATAAGATTCAATGATGGAATAAATCCAATTCATATCGAGCCGCTACGCTCAGATAATTTTATACCATCAAAAATTGCCACGGTCCATAATCGTACATCGAATCGTCCTATGAAGCGATTGTGTTAGGTAATTCTTGTAACTCTTTTGCTGGTTACACGAATTTCAGATGACATATCTGCGATGCGACCTAAGTTGCTACAAAGTACACCTAGGTATGAGAAATGTCCCGTTCACATACACTATATGGCTGTTTAGTACGAAGAGATAGACTATACCTAATAAGGCCAATCCCAGTTATCTGATGGCCTAGCCAGGAAACATAGACAGAAACATATTTGTGAAAGGGGATAACCTTTGTATCTGTTGAGGCAAATGAATAATCCGACTTGGCTTATTCGATAAGAAAATATCTTTGAGATCTTTCTATGTAAATTACAACATATGGAGAAGAAGAAGGCGTATATAATGATCGAAGATACTAACCGGAGCTTGCTTAATAGAGTATTTAAATCCAGACAAAGCAGATCCTGAACGTATCGCGATTTAACGCTCTGATCCTCCCACAATCCAGCTTGTGGACATCCCTGTAAAACATATATAGCAACTAACAAATATCACAGCCTTTTCCAGCAGTGTGAAGATCCTGGCTCGTTTTGATAATTACGCAATGCCCGGCCCAGTATCGAGTCGGGTGCTCGCTAGAATCGATTGCCTGCCATGCTCCAGCAAGTCCAAGGAAAGCGGATGTACGAAATTCCTATGCAGCTATGTTTAAATGGCAACCTTCACGAGTAGCGTGCATCTTGAAGTATTTGAGATCAGAAAATAATGGTACTGCCGGCCCTGTAACCAATGGAAATCATCAAAATGTTGCGGGGTCTCACCGACAAGATCGACTCCCCCCTTTTTAGAACCACTCCCGCTCTCGATTGATAGTCGCCACATTGATACCTATCAGAGCACACGTGGGCGCATTCAATCGAGCACTATGACCGGCCATAGCCGATTTACCGATACTCCTTCATAGGATAAAATCTCGGCACTAGGTGAACCGACATGGGTAATTTTGAATCACCTATGACATCGACTGGAGTGCGCTCTGAGCGTCCTATGCCAGCAACGTCCCCATCAACATCAATTTCGCCTTTGACATCACGATGACATCTTTCTCACCCAACTCCGCAAACGATAACCGCGGCGGCGAGGTGAAGAACCTCAGAAGTAAGCAATGCCAGGTGGCAGACACCTCAAATTTCGGCTCTACAGCCGGCATCCCACAAGTCGCTCATGGTCTCCCGGGCGCTTTGGATCCCTATGATGCTGTATGTTATATAAGCCTTCGCCCACATTAATCCATGCAAGCCCAACGCTCATCGTAAGGTCGTTTGATTTTAGGCCGGTCAATTTTTTGCAGTCTACGGTGACATGCAAAGTTTGGGAACCCAGCTCGAATATCTGGACCAGTTCCAGAGCTCAACCAAAACCTATACTCCATCCGACCTACTCCCTAACTCGTTTCCCCGAAGCCAGTCCGAAACTTCGGGTCTATCCCAAGCCCAGTCTCGTAATTCGACCGGGACAAACCTTTGCGCTCTGACAGGTTCAAAAGCGAAGCGTTCTCGCGAGCGCAACCGCGTCGCCGCGCGGAAGTGTCGACAGAAGGCGAAGGTTAATACGAACGAACTCCGGGAACGCGAGAGGATAGAAAGTCAGCGGAACCAGCTCCTATCGAACTGTGTTGTCTCTCTTCGGGGTGAGGTTATCAACCTCAAGAGTGAGATTCTCCGCCATAGCGATTGCAACAGTAAAGTGATACGAGATTATATCCAGAAGGCAGCTTGCGATATAAGCTCCGACGATGTTTGAAAGGGATGGGTAAGTTATGACCACATTAAGAATGGATGTGTATGATTTTGATATATTTAGCAGTGCCAATAAAATATATCGAATCTGAATGTCGCAAATTGGAATGAACGCGAGCTCGGAGAAGAGCCATCGATACCTCTCCTTGTCGTTTTAATTCTCGACGATTCTTTGAATTTGTCGTTGTCCGCTCCCTACGCCTCTATTCGGCCACCATAACTGGTGATATCTCCCATGCTCAGTTGATGCGCCGCCAGCAGTATCTATTAATACCAATAAGCTATCACACCGTCGTTTCGATACACCCTGTGTCTAGGGCTTCGGAGGTTTGATTTGGTTGTCGAGTACACAGTGCACCCATTTTTACTACCCTAATCACGTACGCCACGCTAAAATCTTCCCGATGATTATGTGTGAGGCGGCGTTCATAGGGTTGGCGCTGTGACTCGACTGAAAATCAAATATGCAGGTTTGTTGGTTCTGTTTAGGCGATTCCTTTTCACCGAATTCGGATACACTGTTGATGGAAAAGACGGGCAACTGAAGGTTTCACCGCATGAGCGGAGATGATATTTTGGCAAACGTGAAAATAAGTGTCCGTAATAACGCCACAATGCAGTGGTAGTAGGATTAGCTACATTGAATTGGTATGTCTTAGTTGGCTCGGGACGGAGCAGAATAATAAAAATTGGCGGTCGAAATTTGTTATGGATGAAGAACCTATTTTATATAAAGAGGTGAAATATGTACGTCAGAATCACGACAATAGTAAACAATACCTACCTAGGTACCTAGGTAGGTACACAGGTTGAAATCATGATCCCACCTCCATTGGCGCCGGGGCCCATTCCACTTACATCTATGGATGACGTCGTACTCGACTTGAGCGGCGAAGAGGTTGACGGTGCTTAGGTAATTTCAAATAAAAAGGGGTTGTCTAGGCACAACATAGAAAAATAGTTTCCGAATTTTCTTCTTGAGAATTTCTCTTGGGGGAGGAATGGGAGTTTAGAAACGGAACACCTCAGGTTACACGGACACATTACCATAACTTGTAACTACTTTTTACCGTATATTTTCTCTCTGTACGTCACTGCCTCTGTTCTACCTCTCTTTTTTCTTGTTCATTAATTATGAAGTATCTCTCTTTGAATTTAAACAGAATGAAATCCCCCATTTGATAAAGTGATTTGTTGAAAAGTTTAGAAATACATACGGAAGGGGAGAGGTAAGTGACCATAGTCTTAAAGGAATTCCATTCTGAAAAGCAAAACCCATGTACATAGCTACCTAGGTAGGTACCTAAGATACCTAGTCCTTGGTTTAATTGGATCTGTCGGGTACTCTAAGCCATTTTAGGTATCACACATATGTACGTAGAGGACCCCCACACAGCCACCCGCATAGAGCTATGCTATTTCGCATCCCCTACTCTCTAGATTCTCCCCTTTTCCCTTTACAAACATTATTATGAGATAATACCTACATCGCCAGCATCTGCAGCCAGCCCAGCACCGTATATTGAAGCTTTAATTGTGCGATCATGGATGTCTTTGAATTAATCTAGTACTTATAAACTTATGTTGCCTCATTGAACCCTTAATTATTGGCCGCCAAGAAATGCCATGCAGGAAATTCCATAGAAATTCGCACCATGGCTGTATTCAGTGTAAGTCAAGGCGGGTGAAGGTTCGTAAGACATTCGCGATCTGGGCCTTGGCGGGATACCCCTAACTTGATGAATAGTGTGACCAAGAGCAGCCAACATGCGCAAGATGTCGAAGCAAAGGACGAGCCTGCACTTACAGGCATCTTACATCGTCGTACAATCCATTTGGGGGTCATGACATTGCTGACACGACTTCCCTGCGATCACCATCAGCGCCGCTGTCGTCACACACGGCTTTGACCTCAACTCAAGCTGCTTCATCTCCGGCATTGACAATTCTCCCACTATACAAGACCCCACTAGCATTAGATCCTATAACGGAGCAACTGATATACCACTATGACGCCGAAGTTTCATCTATTTTCACTTCACCCGACGTCCAAGTAGAAGTGCTATCATGTTTACATGATGCCGTAGCTCGCCATTCATTTGAGTATCCCTATGTATACCATGCTATGTTGACGGTTTCGGCACTCCATCTTGTCTCTCATGCACGTACCTTGGAGGCCGCCTCTCAGACCCGTTCGCCACATCTAGTTACGGCCTTATCACATAAAGCATCCGCGTTGGAAACGCTCAGATCAACAGTCAATTCAATAACCCCTATAACTTGTGAACCAGCATTGATAGCCTCGGGTCTCCTTACAGTATGCGCTTTCGCCTCGCTTCGCGCTGGCGTGGTCACAGATACCATTGATCTGCTCGCCCAAATCATGACTTTATACAGAGGATCAGTAGCCATCTTCCGACTTGGCAGGCTAGTTCTCTGTGCCGTTCCAGGCGCTACAATACCTGCATTGAGGCAATCCGTCCTCAGCGCCACAGCAGGAGAGAAATCGTGGCCAAGCGCCGAAGCAGCAGTTAACAAAGTGTTGGCTCGGATTTCAGAGCTTGGCGATGATTACGACGATGCCAAGCAAAGGAAACAGTCTCTGCTCGATGCGGGATTCAAGCTGAAGACGGCTTTAAGACGTGCCGCCGGAGCGATAGGCAATTACAACGTGGCTTGCATGTGGCTTGCGATGGTCCATCCTACGTTCAACGAGAGCATCGTTGCCCGGGATCCTCTAGGACTCATCCTCGTTTCTCATTGGGTGGTCACTTTAAAATACGTGAAGCATCTCTGGTGGGTCCAGGGCTGGCCCGAACAAATTGCTCAGGCCGTGTGGCAAGAAGTCGGGGAACGACATCCAGACTTGATGCAGTGGGTCTTCGAGGAAATCAACAAAAAATCGGAGGATGAACTTGATGGATACCTAATCCTCAAGGGGAGCTGACCCCCCATTTTATTCAAGATGCTGGTTTTCAGTAGTAAACCAGCCATCCAGGAAAACCCCGTCGGACCCGTCGGGCACCCAAGCTGAGTCCTACACCTACCTACCTAGGTACGCAAAAAGCAATACGCTGCAAATGAAATGAGTGGTGGTCGCACAACAGCGTCAATCCCCCCCCCCTCTTCCTCCAGCCACCGGATAGGGGATGGCTTTGCCGCGCTCGACGCTCGCAGATTCAGGTACTCCCACGGAATATCGCAACCAAGGAAATTCTTATCTTTTTCGCGTACAAGATAGCGCTAGACTATACCGATCCACCTATTCTTAGAGAGGTTTTTGTCCAACCACCGTAGCAATCTTGCCCTGATGCACCACAACCCCCTGTTCCGTCTCGCCAACAGCCTTCGCAAACAACCCCACCCACGATTCCCTCGTCAGAGGTGCATCCGGTTGCTGAGCTTTAGGCGGGAAAAACACACTGAGTTCCTCCCAGACAATAAGGTAATCCTCAGTCCAAGCCTTCAAATCCTACTTTCGCGTGTCGGTCTCCTTTAGGTGGACCTCCTGAAAGCCGTTCCGCTTTACATGTTGGTCAAGTTCACCCATAATCTCGAATTTCGCACCCCCTGCTTTCCCACCCGCTTTTAATATCTGAACGATGGAAAAGAAGAGGATCGGTATCTATAGAAGCGACCGTGCTCGAGAAGGCTTGGATGTGGACGACATCGTAGGCGTCTACCAAGTCCTCCGGCAACGGCCTGGCGAGGATGTTCAGCGTCTTCAACGTAACCGACTCCGGGAGGAAAGGTGGAGCGGGGAAATTGACTGGGTTGATGTCATAGCCGTCCAACTTGGTGGATATACCTTTGATTGAGAGCTCGCGGTCTAAATCGCTGGGCCAGATGCCGTTACCACAGGCAAGGTCGGTGGCTTTCAATTGCGTAGAGCCCCTGGCAGACGCTTGATTACGCGGTTCTAGGAAATAGCGAGGGGCATTATAAATAAATGGAGACGAGCTGACGTCCTGAAGTTCCTTGCTAGTGCTGCCCAGTACGTTGGGGAGTCATATTTCTCGGTATCGGCGAAAGATTTTCTTTGGGGCCATATAGCGATATCTAAAATATTCGCGAGTTCTACAAGATAAACGGATAATTCACGCGGTAAGAAAATCCAACACAAGAGTTCGGAGTACCTCACTATAGGACATGTGTCATGCTTAATATACCTACGTAAGATAAATTCGGGACCCATAGCCGCCCGAACCTCGAGAGATGTCACAATTCAACAAATACAGTGAGTGCAGACGCCATAACAAGGGATATGAAATCAATGCTAGGGGGACTAATATCCATCACGCATGCATCTAGCCAGACGGAAGCTTTCCTCGGGTTTTGGTAAACAGTATTTATTTGCTAGTCTAGGGATAAGTCGCTGGCGTAATCTTAAGTCTAAGAATCCTTCACAATTTTACCAGTCTTCAGTTAATAGCCGGCTCGTTTCATCTATCATCTCGTCGAAAATAGGTTTAATACCTCTACGAAGCCAGCCACGACCGTTCGGAAAACCAACTTCATTACCTTAACAGGATTCAGACTCTCTGCCATAGAGGTGCCGTCGTCGCTTTTGCGGGAACGTGGTCTAAAATGCCAATCCTCACCCTTTGACTCTCGTTCCCTTGCTTCTCTTTCCCGTCGTATTTCCGCTCGCTTCCTCTCGATTTCTTCAGTCTGTCTTTGCAGAAATCTGTCGGTACATTCAATGACATGGGGGATCTTTGCACCCAAGTGTAAATCATAAATGCATCGGTCTTGAGTCAGAAGAAATTTATAGGCTTCGTTGATCCCCTGCATTTTCGTTTCTGCTGCTTCTTTGAGGTTTTCTGGAAGTTTGTCGGGGTGGTTCGATCTCACCTGCTTGCGGTATCCAGCCTTAATCTCTTGCTCTGTTGCGAATAGGGGGACCTCGAGGATCTCATAGCGGTTTGGACCCTGTGGTTTCGGCTCGAACCGTTCCGGTTGGGTAAAATTTGGGACACCTGGTAAGAGAAAAACGAAAAGGTAGAACTGGAAGGTGGCGGCGAGAAGCAAGAAACCAAATAGGGTGCTGAGAAGTATTTTCCAGAAACCCATCTTTGCAGATGCTGTGTTATGGTTTGGTAAGTAGTACAGGATTCTTTAAATGACTTAACGAAGTCGGTAAATACGTACCTGATCCTTCAAGAATTATATGAAAGAGTTTGGCTTTAGAGATGATTATAAACTAACTACGAGACATCCAATCATAAAACCGGCGATTACCTACAAATATATACTAGGAATTACAAGAAAACAAATCGCATATTCGCAAACATGCAGTCTCTTAGAAATCCGTCAACTTGTTCGAACATAGAATATACGCTGCCTTTCATGACTCAACTGATCCTGTTTTACATCAAGAAAAGCGTGGAAGTCGTTGAATTTGGTTCCCCTTTGTCATACGAACCAAATACTTAGGCAGCCAACGACCAAAGAAATAAATAATCTAGAGGCGTATTTCGAAGAGCTGCCTAGGTAATTCTGAGATACTTGTGGTTTGCAGTGATTACCTAGGTAGATTCTTCAAGATTTCATGTACCCTTTCTGGTGTAATTCGGTAATAAATGAAGCAGATATCTAATATCCTTAGGTAGTACATGATATAAATTATATATCTGTTAGTTAGCAGCTAGGTAGCAATGAAGTTGAATGAATATTTAATGGGCTTGAGGCTACCAACAAAGAGAATAGGTACCTGGATAAATACCTCGAGAAGTGTGATCTTGGGTTACCAAACAAGGGAGTTGTGATGCCTCCCTCCAAATCATGGTGTGTTACAGTGGTCCAACCAACCCTCATTTTCTGATTATTCGTATTCGTATGGAATTTGCTTTTTGATATTTCCCTAGCTAATATTACTCGTCTAGAAAGCTTTTAACTCCTTACCTAGGTACTTATGTGGGGTTATCACATATCAAGTTGCCCTTGCTTCATTCTAAGCCTTATACACCGACAGCACTCTTAAACTACTATGCGACTCTGGGTATTGGTTTTGTCATCTTATTCGACATGGATGTGTTTCTACTTGGAGCGTAGATGAAAGAGGCTCAAAGAAGTACCTTGTTGAGGACAAGGGTATACCCCACCTATGCTCGGCGCGTTGGTACTAGGTAGGCATTGAATGAGGCACAGCACACACTAGATTCTCGGGTTTGATGAGGGCTACATATCTACACCGTAAATTGTTGGTTAGCCCGAAGCTAAGTGCACGGTCTCGACTCTTCCAACGTACAATATAAACCATTTCGATTTCCTTGTCTTTGCTCTGTCCCCAGCTTGAGATCTACTTAGTCCTAAGATACGGGTTTCTGGGCTGAGAGGGGCAATTACACGTTCAGGATAATCTGCCACGATGTGGCCCTTCTCTCCATACCCCGAACACGCGCCTTCCGAGGTTAACGGGAAAGAATATGACTACATAATAGTAGGAGGTAAGTAAACGGCCTCATTTGGAGGGTTACACTAACTCCGGGCGTCTAGGCGGAACCGCCGGTTGCGTTCTCGCATCACGCTTGTCGGAAGATCCCCATGTCTCGGTACTCGTTCTGGATAAGGGCCACGTCAAGGACAACATGATTTCGCGGATACCGCTAGTAAGCCAGAATTTACACATGAGCGACCCGCTGCAAATCCGGGCTGATCGCTGGTCGGAACCTATCCCCGGCGTTAACGGGAGGAAGACGCATCTTTGGGGTGTTGAGGGTATCGGCGGTAATTCGCGGGTGAATGCTATGTTATGGACGAGAGGATCGCCGGGGGATTACGCGGCGTGGTCTGAGATGGGTTTTGGTGATTGGGGTTGGGAGCAAGTCGAACCGTATTTTCGCAAGATTGAGAACGCAGTCTCACATCCCAACTCCAAGTCCAGGGGGCATAATGGTAAGTCTAGAAAACCATTCGCTCTGGTTGGGGATATGAATCCATGATGCATGAATGGCTAACAGCTGCACGATAAGGACCTGTTCAACTACGTTAAAATCCCTGCAAGTTCAAATGGGGCCCCTAGTATGTAATTCCTCCCGGTGAGATCTTTCACCCATGGATTCTATGCTGATGCACGTTGCAGTATCGCGAAGGCTTCCGAAAAGGCGGGCTTGCCGATTTCCCAAGATTGTAACGACCCATCCGCGCCAGCTATGGGTTACTTCTACTTAGATGCCACCATCAAAGAACGCGGCGAAAGGAATTCCGCATACAAGACTTACTTAAGCAGAGACGTGGCTCTCCAGAGGCGTGGGCGCCTTACTGTTTGCACTGGCACAGTTGCATCGCATCTAGAGCTCAATGCTCAAACAGGTGTTGTCAGCGGTGTCCACATCCGGTCATCCGAAAAACAAGGAAAGGATCAAGGTCGCGAGTATTTCGTGAAGGCGAAACGAGAAGTCATCCTCTGCTCCGGCGCATTGTGCAGGCCCCAACTCCTAATGTTAAGCGGAATCGAACCCAAAGGCACGGCGGAAAATCTAGGCATCCCTCTTGTTAAAGAACTACCAGCGGTGGGCGCCACACTTTCCGACCATTACAGTTTCCCCGTCCAACTCGAAGTACCCAAAGAAGAAACGCTTCATATCCTGGAATCCGTATGGGCAATCTGGTATTTCTTGCTTTGGATTTCGTTCGGGAAGGGGTTGATGGCGTATACATGTTGTCTAGGGACCATTTTCCTCCAAACTAGGGCTATCGATCGAAAGACCATGCAAATACAAGCTCGCGACGAAAACGGCGCAGATAACCAGGACGCATCGCAGTCGCGCAACGTTCCAGATATAGAGATCATGATCCTGCCTAGCCATTGCCTGGAACCAGCTGTCCCGGGGCACACCTTTTTCACCTTATATCCTACTGTAGTTCAACCATATGGCACGGGTCACATTGAGCTAGTCGGCAAAGATCCACTTACCCATCCTCGGGTAACGCACCCCTTATTCAGCGACGAACGGGATGTCGCAGTGGCTCGAATCGCGGTACGGTTTACTATGAAGTTAGCTGAGGAATTTTAGAATTCGGGTTATCCGTACCCTGCACCAATCGGTTTTGCTCCCGGCAATAATCCAGATCTCTTAAATGAGTGGGAAGAGCTTTATAAAGCTAGTAAGACAATACCAGACGCCGAGCCAAGAAAAGGCGCGGAAAAGATCGTCAAGTTGAGCGGTAATGGAGGCCGGAACAAAACTTGGAAGAATGTCACAGACGACGAAATCGACGATTACACGAGAAGAATCAGCCAGACGAGTCTACACTATTCGCGCACGTGTCCGATGTCTAAGGATGAGAAGACCGGGGTCGTAGATCAACAACTTCGTGTGCATGGATTCAAGAATTTGAGGATCGCAGACGCCAGTGTATTCCCTAGAATCACTAGTGGCCATACTATGGCGCCGACCATAATGGTTGCCGAGAGGTGCGCAGATTTCGTCAAGGGTTTTTGGGGTAGGCAAAAGTCAGAGTAAACAGAGGTCAGCATGTTAGATAGAGCTTGGACATAGGACGCAAGTGAGGTTGAGATATAAGCCAAGCGAATGTATTTAAATCGTAACCTTGTAATCCCTTAGAATATCACTTCCAATCATAAGAGAAACAAATTACTTCTCTAGCTTCGCATGCCGCGATTTCGATTACAAGAAATTGAATTTAAGCCTTTGCGACCATCCCAAGGATTGCCTCTTCGACCTCCTTAGGGTTGGTAGCGTTTAAGAAATGGGCACCGCCGTCAATCAAGTCAAGCTTAGCTTCCTTGGAGGCCGTGAATAGTTTGATCTGTTCCTTCTGGACAACCGAGCCGTACACCGGCTCATTGACTCCCTAAAAGATGGTTAATTACAACGAACAAGACAAGGAGGAAGATGATGACTTACCTGTAACCAGTGAACAGGGCACTTGATATCTCCCAACCTAAGGAGCAACCCATCTCTCTCCGCCAAGTTAATGACAGACATCCTAAGCTTCTTGCGTCCCTCATCGCCAGCGTAAACACTCTTGAGTATCTGAGTCCAAGTACCAACAGTCACATCAGTAGCCGCAGCCCCGAAGCCCAGCCCCATCACGGGCTGGATCCAATCGTCACCGACGACGAAATCCGGGGTTGGCGTAGAGCTGCTCCACTTCTGAAGAAACGGTCCGACGATGGGGAAAGGATCCCTATTGATAACAGGCAAGTCGCCATTCGTCAGTCTAATAGCCTGTTGGTTGTACCACCGTTACACTAAAATCGGGAAGAAGACACGCCAGTGGTGAGGGGCGGCTTAGCAACTTACCAGCACCCTTTCGAGCGCGAGTCAGCAGACTCGCTGTCCATAGACGAGCCGAGGATAATAACACCTTGAATCTATTGATCGTGAGTTACTACCTTGATGACGCACCGCGGGGGCCACCCGGTGTAGATACTCACTCTTTCTGGTGCCAACAGCGCGGTTCTAACTGCAATCCATCCGCCCTGGCTAGTCCCCAGTGAGAACGCTTTCGATACACCTAACGCCTGCGCAGCCTGCAGTGTAACGAGCGCCGAGTCCCAGTAGGTGAAGTGTTCGACGGATGTAGACGTAGCGCCATGACCGAGGGGTTCGATAGCTACCAAGTTCGCCGCGGCAGTCAACTTTGGGTTGGTAAGCTCCGCATTATAGAGGTCGACGGTAGTAGTCAGCGAGTTAATCAAGATGAATGTCGGCTTCGAAGGATCGATCTTGCCGTTCGAGATCTTGTAGCCGACTTGCGCGTCAAGGTGCGGGACTCGAACCGTTTGTGTGGGAGCCATGATGGAAATGATTATGTTGGGTGTCTGTGGAATAGAGGCAATTTAGGATGGGCAGGGCAACTAGCTAGCTAGATTTTGTATTCCGAAGCTGTGTGGGTTGTACAGGACAGCTCAGAGAACTATCCGGGTGGTAGTACCGGCAGATGGGTAGCCCGAAGGTTCCCTTTGATCTTAAATACCGAATAGGGTCAAAGGTCTTTGGCTGTATCTCGTGACTTCTGATCTTTCCTTTGATCGTACATACCAACTAGTGGCACAACAAAAAGCAATAACTGTATGTCGGGATTACTGCACGGAGTTGAAGTGACACAAAGTGTTTAGGGTCAGGGTTGACATAGAAAGATACCTAAACTTGTGACTAAAGATCCACACTTCGCCCATGAATGCTAGCTCATGCGATCGATCGGCAATGGATAACCTAGGTATGTTAGCTAGAGTATCTACTTACGTATGTACTTATCTAAATACTTAGATACCTAGGTAAGTAAGAGATACCCCGTCAATTCATTGTCGCTATGTGATAGCTTAGGTAGTTAAGTAGCTATCATCGACGCGTATTTGTTTGTCTCGGAAGGAATCGGCTTAGGATTGAAGTATATACCTGCGTTATTTTACCCCTTTCTCGGCTTTAATCTCTTTCTGAGCTTGGGCATTGATTTGTATCGCTTCCTTCAACTTGGCGACCACCTCTGGTTGACCGCCAAAAGCAATGAGGAGCTTCTCGTCGAGCTCTTTTTCGGTGGTTACCAAGCTCTTAGCGCCTCGTTTACCACTTCTAGCTCCGTTGGTTAGTGTTCCCCACCTCTGAGTAAATGCGTAAATGCTTTGCCGCAATAATTCATCCAACTTCTCGTTTGCGTCTTGCTCCGGCTGAGCTGGAGCTTTAGCTTGTATTGCCTTGCCATTTGTGGCAGGAGAGGTACCGACAACCGATGACCATAGACCAAGGGACAAAGAGCCACCAAGGACACCGCGGAATAGACCCAGCCAATTTTGAGGACTGAGAGCGTCCCAAATCCGGCCAAAATGTTGCATTGCTGCTGGATGTGACCTGACATCGCCGATTTCAAGTGATACCAGCCCATTTTTGAGAATAAGAAGGTTCTTGATCATAAATAAGTCAGGATCGGGATCGGGAATGGCTGCTTTGTTAGCCCTCAGACGAGACTCGGCACGTTGCATGGCAAGAATGGTCTGGTTAATAATTCGAAAGACAACCGCGCTCGACTATTGAATTGGGTTAATTCCTTGAGACTCAAAATGGGGAAAATCATAGATATCACTCACACTTCGTTCCTTTGGCATAGCTTGATCGTACATGGCCAAGAGTTCAAGGGCGCGCTTCGTTATTGGGTGGGTATTGGATGATGCGACACCATTTACGACTGGTGCAATCTTAAGGGAATCTGGTGGAATTGGAGCCTTTGATATAGACTTTGTTACTTCAGCGTCGAAAGCGCTATCGGTAAAAGGCCAGAGGTGCTCAATAAGCAATCGCGCAGTGAGATCATGGCAGTGAATCGAATATTGAGTTTCCTCTTCATCGTATTCCAGCAAAAGATATTCGTTCGTAATCCATCCGAGAAGATTACAGACTGTCTGAAGCTCACTTGTTTGAAGAACCGATTGTAATGTTGTTGCGACCGGGGCAATATTCGCAGCGTTGACCAATGCTTTTTGGTGAGTTTTCAAAGCCGCATAGGCGGACTGAGGGTCAACATTGTATTGGGGTTCAATAGAAAATATTTTGCCAAATAAACTAGCTTCATCATAAGATCGCTCATAGCATTGCTTGATGAAATTGCGACAAGCTGTTTCTGCATTACTTTCCTTGACGTCTTTCTTGAAAACTTCAAGATCATGTTGAGTCATGGGACGTAAATCGCGATCCCTGACATCCGAATATGATGAGAATATATTTAAAGCAGTATTGGAGTAGTAGTCAAAGCTTTGTTCAAGAATCGGGTTTCCCAGCTGATCATAGCAGCTGCGAATAACACGCTGGGCATTTGCTACTAAACCATCTACTTCAAGCACAGTCTCCTCAAATCGGCCGTAAGCAAGTGCATGCCTAGCGGATTCAGATTGCGTAGCCGCGATTTGTTTCGATATTTCCGAAGAGACCCGCTCCAGATGACCAGTAAAGCCAACTTCAAGCAGGTGAAGAGCCTTAGTGAGTAGAGATTGGTATCTTGCCAGATATGATTCAGCATCCCGGTAGTCAGGCTAGTACAAGTTAGTAAGAACGCCCAGAAGCAGAGATTCCAAGAACTAAAACTAACGTGCTTTATCATAAACTCGATACAAGCATCAAGATTCGTTAAAATCTCGCCGAAATTATCGTGGTTTACTAATCGACTAGCCCCCGGGGCATTCAACCTTCTCGTAACACCATCGAGGTAGGCATAATAATGCAAATCGGTGCCGACCTCATCGGCCAATTTCTGTAATCGCTTCTGTTCCGATAAGAGATCGTCACATTGGGCTTGAAAAGAGGACGTTTGTGACTCTACAGCGCGGAAAGAGTCTGCTAAAGAGGTCAATAAATCCAAGGCCCCATTCGCATCGCTTATAAGTGTATCTAGATGGCGTTCAGTCATTTCTAATTGGTCTCGATATAGTCTGCGTCCCTGTTAGTGGCCATGTCGCTAGTTTGTTTGGTATGGGGGTGTCGTACAAATATTCCTGTTGGCTAGCCTCGATCAATTCGGTATCGAGAGATTCGGACTGGGGTATATTTCGGGTTTGAACATCGTTTTCGAGTTTATCTACCATCAACGCATCTAAACTCCTGTCCTTAGTCTTCTTCCTCCTCTTCTTTGCAGCAGCATCTTTAGAGAGCTGCGCACGAACGACATGGTAGAAATCGGAGTATGACTTGGCTCTTCGACTTAAAGTTGCTTCGGGAGGATCAATTGATGTTTCGGGTTCTTCGAATAATTGTTCAAGTGGTTCGACTACATCGGGTTGCTTATTTCCCTAGATTGATTCTTAGCATCATCTTCAGAATATCATAGCTGAATGATTCAACTGACATTGGGTTGTTGAAGGAGGGATTCTCTTCTTCTATGTCCTGAAGTTTGTGGTATAGAAGGATTTCTCTTATGAGTATGATCCGGCACGAAGTTGTACCAAGAATCTTCGTACATGGTTTTATCATAGGTCACCGAGGAAAGGTGAGGCTATAAGTTGTTCTTTTCACGAAAGCATTGGATTTCTACAACAACGTCAGTGCATGAATTGAATAAAGGTACCCGCCAAACTATGTATCCCAGCCGCTTAGGTAATTTAGCTAGTCACGGCCTAATTTTAGCCGTGACCCGACCGATAAGATACTGGAACCAATTAAGTATAGGTACATGAAATCACCCCTCCACCCCCCGCACATGTAGGACATTCTATACCTAGGCAGCTAGGCAGCAGAGTTTGCTGAATCTTCCCTAAAATTTAGCTGAGGTATTCCACTAGAGTATCCATTTCATCCAGTCTTAGTGGCAACAAACTATAGTGGGGCCCACTTAGTTAGAGCCGGCTCACCTGCTAAACAGAATCCCCCCCTCCCCCTCAGCAAAACCACTACGCCTTATAGACGTAAAAAAGCGATCAAGAAATCATCCAATGAAGGTGACATCACAACCTAATTTCAGGTGAAGGTCCCATAGCTCAGTTGGTTAGAGCGTCGTACTAATGTTAATCCGATTCAGGGTTTATATCAAGTAAATGCGAAGGCCGGCGGTTCGAGCCCGCCTGGGACCATTCCTTTTGCTTTTTTTATATTTTCAATGTGTCTTTTTCTTTTTCCCCTCTCTTCCTGCACGAAACTTTCTAGTGTTACTCTTATTTCGATTGCCTATTTTCCATGTTCAATACATGTAACTTAAAGATAAGCTCGAAAGTTAACCTAACGCCGCCACCTGATGTTTGGGGGTTATGGAACAGCAATTTAACTTAATCTTGATCCCATGAACATAACATCATCATAGGCGGATAACCCAAAGGGAATAACCATGTGTAGTAAGCTAGCAGTTCACGTCATAGTGTGCATATACTCAACAGATAGGATTGGTTCACTCGTACGATTAAACTCTACAGGCCAGTGTATTATTCCGCTGATATTATTAAGAATTTCATATAGGCTTTCTTTTTTCTTCTTTGCCCACATGCAGGTATAAATAAGTGGTTCCCCTCCTCCAAATTTTACCTGAAACCCCTAGAGTTACTACAGACAACGTCAACCATTAACCGGGTTGTATACTCTTGTTCATGAGGCAACCCATTTCACCAAATTGCGCGACAGCTCCTGAAACTTATAGTCGGCTTAGAAAAGCCATCGCTCTAAGTGTTGTCTCCGGTCTTATGGAGAGCGGCCTCACGCTCACTCTGGCCTGATGGCGGGCCGGGAACAAATTGACAACGCCACGCACAGGATGCTGATGGGCCATCTAAGACTCCCGAGCAATAGGGCCGTTCGCTGACTCGAACGACGTTGATCACACATGCCAGTACTCCAAAGCCCTGCATTCGTCCATATCGTAAAGAATTTTCAAAGCAGTTCATCACGTTATTGATCGAACCAGATAAAGGCAGTTAGGACGTCGCCAGAAGAGATATACAAGTCGAGCACCACCACGAGGACCCTAATGGAATGACACCATTGCAAGGAATTGTCGGATTAGCACCTCAAGTATATGGACCTGGAAGTCGAGGAATCTATTGAAATGGGCGGCTCTCGGGACACTGATGGAGGAGATACGGGGGAAACCAGAGGATAGTGATACCAGGTTTGGCGTTCTACCTACTTGAGGACCCTGTCGAAGCTGGAGCCGATCTCCAAAACATGTGCCCTATTACAGAATTCCTCATAGATGTTGGCTAAACGCCTTTACACGTCATCTGCAGAAGATTCGAGAAATTTGAAGCTATTGCGACACACCTAGTAAAACTTGGAGCAGATATCAATGCTCTAGACACGGGGAATTAAAGCATGCCGATAATACCGGGTTAGTGGTTAAATCGAGGTTTGGGTCCGATTTCTATTAGGCCTATTGTGTATAAACGAAGAGCTACTACTCGTATGTATGCGTATTGTAATTGACATGGAATATTCGTTCTTCTTCCCTTATATGGTTATCTACGCTACAATGACCCATATTATCCTTCTTCCAGAACTACTCACTAAAGCTCTTAGCTTTACCATAGTCAATTAATATGCTGGGCCGATCGAAGCCCACATTGTTAGGTAACCTTCGAGTTCACAACAAAAGCGAACTCTTAAGGTGCAAGATATCCTACCTAAACCTTAATGCGGTACGAATACATCGCTCTAGGACATGCAAAACTCCCTTCAGCTCGATTTCTTCATAGGAGGGACATTCCTTGGAGGCGCGATCGAGAATCCATAAGGGCGAGTATCAGGGTAAGGTATAGCCCCATTTGTCGGGGTAAGTATTTTAACGCGACGGCGGCTACCTAGGCTACGCGCATTTGATCTAGATCTTGTTTTCTTTCGATTTGTCGGTGGAAGCGTATTTGGCTGGCATTTTAGCCACGGCATGGCCTTGTCGAAGACAGCCTTGGTTTCAGCGTCCTTGGGAGGCATGACCTGACTTTCGGTGGTATACTTCTGAGTGCTTGATCCCTCAAAGGTTCTTGCCTAGGTGGAGATAAAATCACGGAGCTCTTCGTATGCCCTCGCGTCTCTAGTTATAAGAACGAGCACTTACGACAATAGGGTACGACCTGGGTAAGTGCCTACTAACGAATAGTCGATCCCGCTATTCCTACAATCAAGAGGATAATTGGGGAGCCGACAGTGCCCCGTATTAATACGATTAGACCAACATGCGCAATGCTATACAGTTCTTTTCTTTATCCAAATTTTAGAATATTGTTCAATGGGATTGTGCCTTCATCAAAAGGGTTTCGTAGAATATTCGAGCAAGAAAGAGTGAAACTAAAGACAATCGCTTGTTGAAAATGCATTATAGCCGTATTTTGTCGTCTTCCTGGTGGGTGTTGGTAGCCTGCGTATGCCAGTGTTTCGAATTGTGGCATCGGAAGAAAGGGCGAAGTGCGCAAAGAAGCCCGCAGTATTGAGTGACTCGCTAAATATTTGCTACCATTTCCTCTAGGCAATGATTAGGTATTCCCATATTGGCTTCGATCCCTAAATGAGCCAAGACGAATATTAGACCTCGAAATGACCATCATAACTTACTTGAGCATATACACCATGATTTTCTCGCTGACGCCCATGAACGTACCTACCAAAATGGACCTTCCCGGCTCTATCAACCCAGCCGTCAAGGGCGCAATGCTGCTTGCTGGAACAGCGGAACGACCAAACCACGACTCTCCCTGAAAAGGGACCCTCCCGAAAGGTCAATCTTTTCTCACAAAATTTCACTCCCTCGAACCTTATCCGAACAAGCACGAGTTTTCCAAAGGTCTTGCGTCGTCCCTGGCTTGGAGAAGTCTAGAGAGTGCACTATCTGGCAGTCCCGAGCCCGAAGGCAAACATGGCACAATAGAGCGTCTGTTACACTGCTTGATATTTGACGTCACAAATGTTAGAGCAGCTTGCTTCGTATATCGGTCGTTTATTTAAACCCGGGTCCCTCATCGTTAAGTTAGATCGCATAGTTAGAGGGTGACGCCAATATCAGAGAACAATTATGCTGTCGCCTATTCATTCCAGGGCGTAGTAGTTGTGAGTGAATAAGTAAAAGTAATAACGGTCACTGCTCGTGGTTTCTTAGTGATAAATAGATCTAATATCCCTGTTGGAGAAGCTATATCTTAGTGGAAGCAGGTACTTCTAGGCTACTCGGGTACTTACATGCAAGGATAGGAGGAGGTAGACTTGGTCGTACTTAACTGGCTGGGTCGATTTACAGGTACCTGAGCGGGTAGCGTTACGCTGTACCTGACTGGGTTATCAAGGTTATCAGGGTCCTCGGGGTCTAAATTTAAAGTTAGCGGTAGATTGGTGGTTGGCGGATAGCGGCAGAGCCCCTGGGAAGGAGGCCTGCCTGCGGCCTACCTACCCTATCAGCGCCGTAGGCAGCACGCTATTGTTAAAGGGAAGGCACCAACAGGCTATAGATAGCACGTGTACATTAAACACTGTGCGGGGTTCTTTTAGATACCTAGATCTTTTTCTTGTCGGCGAACTGTGGATTTCCTGTTACTCTCCTAAAACATCATTCACTCCCTCTCTCGATCCATCCCCGCCCCCCCTCTAAAGTCGCCGTTAGCCCCAGGTAAAAGAACCGGGCTGTAACTAAATTTATCCTTTTGATAATTCTCCCGTTCCGTCTCTCATTTTTTTCACACATTCATTTCGAAACATAATAGGCTTCGAAAGCCAAATAAAGACGTTCAGACGTATCTCTTGCGACGTCGTTTATGCGGTGTACAAGACAAGATAGGAGAACTTCTTTTTATTCATCGTATTCGTTCTATCCATACTGCCATACTAGGGGGCATACATGATACATACCTAGGTACATAAGGGAAGACCATACCCTTACATGAACACCTTACATGGATAAAAGTACCTCTACCTCTTATGGTCGGCGAACAGACATAATCGATCTAGGTACAGTATATCCAGTGCGAAGTACCAGGTACGTACAAATAAAAAAGATCCATCATGCATGCGTCGCATCCGAGGCACATGTAAATCCGGTCGTGACCTTTCCAGATCATTCATTGTATTGCCAAAGACATGCATCCATTGACGACCCACACTCTTATTTAATTATCTACCCCTGCCCAGTCATCTCCTAAACCCAGGTTCGCGGTAATTCGTCATTCTCGAGAAGGAGGAAGCGCAGAAGCAGAGGCAGAGGCAAAGAAAGCTGAAGCTGAAGCAGCCGCATTGACACCGGACATATCTCATCTCACTTCACTTCACTTCACTTCACCTTACTCCTTTAATATTATGTTATATATGATATATACTTTTGATATGTATTAACAATGACTACAGATAAGTCTAAGTCTGAGTCTGGTCTACACTGACAAGTGCGCATGGTCAAAGTCTTTGCGACGCAGGACTAGCTCGACTTTGCCTCTCGTCTTGTCTTGTGTCAACTGCGCTACGCTGCGCATCGCCGACCACGTGCCAGTGTGAGTGAGTGAGTTCGTGGCCAAACTACGCTGAGCTGCGCCCTCTATTTAATACTTTTGTATTTTAAGTCATCGGCGACACCTTACCCATAACGGCGATATCATTCATTCATTTTCTTCTTCCCCTCCTACTTTACACCCACACGCACCATCGCCGATCTACACGAGACCCCATACTCGCACACGCCGTCGCCCTCATTATTCCCAAAGGCGGGTCTTATCCATTGTACGCGACCCATCGCCGACTCGATCACAGTCGTCATATCCGCCGTCCTTCCCGACTTGCTGGTTTAGACCCGCCTGTCGCCAGTCGACACCTGCCCACAATGGATCAATTCTCTGCACGTTTTCGTCGCCCTAGGCGTACCACAGCCGCACCTGCAACTCCCCCCATGGGCAACCGAACTGGCTCGCCCCCGGACAGATCCTCTTCAGAACGGAAACTTGCTGCTTTCAATCAACAACACGAACAAAGAGAACAACCACCCCAACTTACAATTTCTACCACCAACCATACATCCAACAATAATAACAACAACACCTGTTCACCTCGAACTGGTCTTTCATCTAAGTCACCTCTATCAGCCAAGTCACCCTTTCGAGGTTTCCACTTCCGACACTCTAATAAACGTGCTCGATCTCCCGCCTCCGCCACGTTACCCGTAGCCAGTTCACCAGCTATTACAACTCCCAGTGGGATTGAATACGAAAAATTAACACCAATTTCGATGCAGTCAATGCAATCAATGGAGAGTCAGGACGAAATGGGCGCCCCTCAGGGCCAGCCCAAGCCGAAAATTCCGGCTTTTCTCAATCTAACTCCGAATGGTATGTTCTCTTACTTTTACTACCAGCGCACTAATATTTCTTATTCTATCTGATATTTACTTATCGTCTACTTATGTATGCTAACCATTCCCGCTCTGGTCGCAGAGATCGAGTCGAAGTTCCAGGACCTCAACTGGGCTGAGCGTTTACGCCTACAATCGTCCTGGTTGAACCCATCGCCCAATGCTCAATTTGCGCGCATCAATTCCATGGAGGCTAAGTCCCTCGACCGATACGCGAACATCCAGCCATGGGCCAACAACCGTGTTAAGCTACAGGTCCCTGATGGCCAGCTTGATTACATCAACGCATCGCCCATCGTCCTTCATTCTCCTATCGATCCCGAAGGCAAGCCACCTCACCGTTACATCGCTATGCAGGGACCCAAGGTTGCAACCATGGAACACGTCTGGCGAATGGTGGCAGAACAGCTACAAAGCCCTGCCGTGATCGTCATGTTGACCGAGACGCATGAGGGCGGGATGGAGAAGTGTTACCCTTACTTCCCCCGAGTCACTGATCATGAGCCGTGGGAGATAGGAGAGGAAGACGAGTTCGGCGATGGTTTCCACGCCCAACTCAAATGTGACAGTATCGAAGAGCACGCTAACGGCGCCATTGAGGTACGCAAGCTCATTCTTCATGTTGAGGGACGTGAGGAAGACATGATAGTTTGGCATCTTCTTTACCGCAAGTGGCCCGATTTCGGCGTTCCGGCCATCCAGGACATTGATAGCTTTTTCGAATTGATGCGCCTTTCCCGAGAGAAGAATGCGAGCGTCGACAACCCTCGCATTATTCATTGTTCCGCCGGTGTCGGACGAAGTGGAACGTTCATTGCTCTTGAGCATCTTATCCGCGAGATCGACACGGGCGATCTAGACCGTTTTGAGACGGAAGAAGTTAAGGACAAGCATAATACTAAGGGCAAGGACTCCGGAGACGGAGACGATGAGGACGATGAAGAAGTCGATCTGGGTAAAGATGATATCATCTACAAGACTGTCAACGCGCTCCGAGAGCAGCGCAAGCAGATGGTCCAAGCCGAGTCACAGTACCTATTTATCTACCAGGTTTTGCGCAAGCTTTGGTTGGAGAAGCATGGACTCGCGGAAGCAGACATTGAGGAACCTGCGGCTAAGAGGTTGGAAGTCGATAATGACCCTTTCATCTAAAGTCTCAGGAAATTAACTTGGTCAAGATAAAAAAAAACCGCTCGAGACGATATATACACCACCACCACCACACGATTCCACACAGCATTGCATCGGCGTTTCTAGGGGCATATACGGCTTGGCATTTTGCCTTCTTTCTTTATCACCTTTAATCATTCGACGAGTTCAGATTATTTGACATTCCGACATACGGCCCATTCTTCAGGCATCAGGTTTCGGTACATAGGAAAACACGATACGGTTGCATTGGAAGTACTATTATGCATGCATGGCACGGCGTCTTTTTTTCGTCACCACACCCGAGGATCTGGGTATTAGGCCCACAGTATCAGGTGGCACAGGGACATAAGGGAACATACACTGCAGAGAAAAGTTTTACAGAGGTTTACGAATTCAGGGGATGTTTTTCATTTCGAGATACCCATTATTATAGCTACTGGCATCAACTTTGCCAAAGCATTTTTGCTACATTGTACTTGTAAGACTTGATAGTTACCGAACGGCCTGCCTAGGTAGAGCCATAATGAGGCACCTGCCAATGCACATTGCGTCACAAGACTTGGCGATCTTCCAATTGTGATACATCACCGATGTCGTAATTTTTCTATATACTCTTAATAATCCGGCTGCAGCTTACCCCGCCTCACATGTCAGCCCTGTAAATATCCATGATACCTACAGGGAACTATCCGCAAACAAGGGATGGTATAGGTCAAAGCATCTAGAGGACTTACACAGTAATAACCTAAATTACTATCCCCTTGTACTTGAACGGCACGTTCGGGGAGCTAATCAGTATAAAATTAGGGGCTTAGGACTATACACCATCTATTACTAGTTCCTCTAAGGCCAGACTACGTATCATATCAGACTTACAATCGGATACCAGCTAGAACAATTATATCAGCCCAGCATGGCAGTCAGACAAGACCTCGTCGCACTCGGCAAGAAATTAGTGGAACAAGGTCCTGTCAAGACCCTGCACACACCCCGCCGCGTGCGCATTCTCTATAACGGGGTCTACATCGCAGATACCACATCTGCTGTCTATGTCTGGGAACACGAATACTATCCGTACTTTTACGTACCGAAGAGTTCCGTTAAGGAGGGTGTTCTTCATCCCTCACAACACTCAAATGACGCCGCGTTCCAGACAGCGACGCTGAGAGTTGGGGATAGAAGCACGGATAGAGTCCTAATATTCGCGGATAAGGGAATTGCGGAGAAGGGCAAAGAGTTAGAGGGATTAGTGAGGTTTGAATTCGGTGCCGTGGATGCTTGGTTTGAGGAAGATACTCCGATTTACGTGCATCCGAAAGATCCCTTTCGCCGCGTTGATGTTTTGCACTCGACACGGCCAATTGAGGTCCATGTAAACGGGATTGTGGTCGCGAAGGCGGAATCTTCGTTCCATCTCTACGAAACTGGCTTGCCGTGTAGGTACTATCTCCCACCCACGGCAGTCGATCGGAAGTTATTGAGGGAGAGCGATATGGCGACTGCGTGTCCGTATAAGGGGATTGCGAGTTACTTTGATCTGGTGTTGGATGATGGGGATAAGGACAGGTTTAAGGATTTGATATGGTGGTATAGAAGCCCGAATCTCGAGTGCGCGCAGATTGCGGGGGCCCTGTGCTTTTACCATGAGAAAGAGGAGGTGGAGATTTTGCTTGATGGGGAGGTGGTTAGGAAGCCGAAGACGCCTTGGTCTTGAAGAGGAGCTTGGTGGTTAGGTATGTCTTTCGAGAGATGTTTACGTTCATTGGCGGATATTTGTTTCGGATTGTTTACTTGTTGAAGGTTATGGGATTTCATCTTTATTTCGGACGGATTATTTGGGAGGACGGCGGGCTAGGGTCAAAAATAATGGTTGGGTCCAGAATGAAAACCCCCTTCTCCTTTTACAGCAATACTTTGCGTTTCGAAATCCATGGTTATCACATGAAGGCATTTCGAAGACTGAATCGTAAGTTCACTCGATCCTAGAAATTTTATCTTGTACGAGATGCCTCCATCATCCCCTGGTCTGAGCAAATACCGTTGTATCGGGACGGTGGAGCATCATCACTCCACTCGTCTGATGTCGATCGATCCTGTTAGTCACAGTTTTTTCCCCAGGAACAATTTACTCGAAACGGCTAACACAGACATGAGCCCACCGGGTGCCGGTGCATCTCGGGGGACCTCAATCAACAATTTAATTCCACAAATGAAGTCTTAATGAATCCATCATTGAAAGCGGGCAAGATTCGCCGTGGTGCGCTTAAGATCCCCGGTCTGAAGGGGTCCCCCGGATCATCCTACTACTAGACGGCGATCATACCTATTGTCCTATCATATCATTCGTATTGGCACCAGATTCATCTCAAACTATATTCTAGAAGAACACTCTGTCCATTGATCTCAGGCACGAAGCAGAATCCAGCAAACAGTTCGCAGCAGGTAGGGTCGTAGCCATATAATGGATCCCCGACGACGATCCCATACAGGCAGGTCTTCATTCAAACCTAACCTTCAATCATAAAGTCTGCAGTAGCCCACGGGAAGCTATGGGGTTTGCTTTCCAAATCCAGGGTCTATACCGTCTTGGCAGGAGAATCGCCAAGAGCAGCTTGAACCCATTCCCAGGAGAAACTCCACTAATTACGATGAAGATCTCGTGTTGTTGATGGTAGAGGACTTCGTGTATATGTAGGAAGGTTGATGCGTTGATTTGGAGCGGATATTCCCGTTTTTCATCATCGGTGACTTCTCTGACGCCAACGATTTTCTCGTATTCACTCGTTCTTTTAGCTCAGTTCGCGACTTACTACGATAACTATCGCAATAATGCAATTCACCACCGTCCTTGCGCTCCTCAGCGCCTCCGCTGCTATCGCGACCCCCACGTCCGGCTCTCTTACCAAACGCGCGAACTTCCCGATCCCGGCCTCTAAGGGAACTGTCACGTACAGCAAAGTGCAGACGATCCCAGCCGGGCAGCCATTTGACGGTGGCCTGAAGACTTACGGGCGAGGCGTGAAATGCACGGGACAAGCTGAGGGCGGCGACTCAGACGCCGTTTTCATACTTGAGGATGGCGCTACGTTGAAGAACGCCATTATTGGCGCGGACCAAATCGAAGGTGTCCACTGCAAGGGCGCGTGTACGATTGAAAATGTCTGGTGGTCAGCTGTATGCGAAGATGCGCTCAGCATCAAGGGCGATGGAAATGCTAGCGTTCTCGGCGGGTGAGTTACCAATGTTGTGTTACTATTATGAGGACTTGGTCAAATGAGTATAGAAAAGGAGAAGAGACTAATAGATGATATAGTGGCGCTACCGGTGCAGAAGACAAGGTCATCCAGCACAACGGCCTCGGAACCGTTACCATTGACGGCTTCACTGTCGTCGACTTCGGCAAGCTATACCGATCGTGCGGAAACTGCAAGATTATGGGACAGCGCAACGTTGTGGTTAAGAACGTTAAGGCCTACGATGGCAAGACGCTAGTTGGTATCAACTCGAACAAGGGCGATATTGCTACTATTTCGAGCAGTTGCGCTACTTCTGTCAAGAAGATCTGTGTTGTAAGTTCTTTCTATGATCCTATCTGTTTAGCTATTGTAGTCTAGTTAAAGGGGTTGGGGGTCAACTTGCTGACATAACTCTACTATTAGGAGTACGAGGGCACTACACCCGGTAATGAACCTAAGGAAATTGGCTCTGGCCCGAGTGATCACTGCAAGTACACCACTGTCAATGCTTGCTGATGGGAAGTTCTGGAGACAAGATTTAGTACGGAGGCATTCTCTCAGCTGCTCTAGTCTCCGTGGATAACTCAACGGCCAAGGGTTCGCGGGACACCTAGGTATCCACGAGAGGACAGAACAGGCATATTGCGAGTTTGTTTCATCGGTGCGTGTTGAATGCCTTCTTCTTGTACATATGAATATTTTCGAAATCATACATGGATCAAGCTAGTACATAACCAAGCACATATATCGTTACAATTTGACGTCTAGGTGAAGCCGAATATCGACAATGGATAACAACCTAACTCTAATGATAGGTATCAGGGTAGACACCTAGGTCTAGACCATTCACCGTAAAAGTAGCCAATAAGATGAGAGGTAACGACTGCCGTAGGCTAGCCCGAAGGCAAGGTGTAACCTTAGGTAAACTTGGGTAAACCTCGAGCTCTAATAGGAGATGATAATGAGATACGCCGTATTGACATGCTGCGCGATCATCTTACGATTTAGTCTACGTAATGTATACACGAAGGTGGTAACTCCTAGTCTACCTGGGTACATCGTCTCAAGTTGAGCCCCTTTTGAGCACAAGCCTCCTCGCAGACCAGCCCTCTAAAAGTTCGTCTACAAATCAGAGGTTGGATATCCAGGTAGAGTAGGTTGTTCGCGCCAACGAAACGGCTATAGTTTGAAAGTCGGTATCGGAAGTTTTCTCCAACATCTGAGAGTGTTGAGTGTTGGTGTGGTGACGCGTGTTGCTTGCTACATGAGATGGACGTTAGTATTCCCGTCACATAGTGCACTGTAGGCTATACAGATTTAGGCAAGACTTAGAAAGGACGAAATTGTTGAAGATCGTGATGAAGTTGAACTTTGGGACCTAAAACCTCCAGCCGTCTTGGAACTTCTATTATAAAATTACTGTGTATGATGCTACATCAGTATCCAATGCAGGTGACAAATGCAAGACGCGTAAATCATATTTGAGAGGACCGTGGAATTGACGTCTACGGTAAGAAGCTATAGACGTATACGGTTTCATAGAGCGAGCTAAATGTATAGAAAATAGCAATACTAGTGCGCTTTTAGATAACGGCCAAAGGTGTGAAGCCAATGGTACGAGCGAGACTATAGCGGTAGCATTTATGTAGTGAGACGGTGCTTGGCATCGCGGTCTAGAAAAAGGACTATAGCTTGTCTATCTTGGTTTATACATAGGAGAATATAATTGACGTGCATTAAATGTCCCCTTGGAGGTTCCATAACAAGCTAAATTAGTCGTTTTGCAAAGTCGCAGCGTTCCTAATCCGTCATACCGTTTCCAAAACGAGACATGATCGTGTCGTATTTTGTAATTTCATACGTAATGGTACCTTTAGGGGCTCATTGGATTAAGATCGAGATTATAGTCCATCGGACTGATACGGATTTTATAACACATGGGTGTTTCCAGATTCGTCCTTATGTAGCACAGGGCCTACTTTAGGCTAAATAGTAGGAACAGTAAGGAAGCTTGGAGATGTTCGAGGCTTCCATTGAAAGGGACGTAAATGACACGACGATCCAAATACTCACGACGTCATTGGATGAGCTGTGCTAGCTGGGTCTAATAATAATGGTTCACCAGATCTTCAGACGTAGTCTGAGGACCGTGGGTCGGATATCAAAGCGGGCGGAGATAGCGGGAGAAGTATCCGAACCGGCTGAGGTCGGTTGTTCAGAAACCCTGAGCTCACGGCCCGGAGAAAGAGGACCCAAAGACCTGGAATAGAAGGTGCTTGTTATTGAAGTTTGAAGATCACCCTGTCTTTAGCAGGTGATGACGAAGGAGTACATGAAAGTGAGCGGGAGATGTGCATAGACGAATGCATGCATCGAGCCGCGCCGTAATTTTAGGGTTGAGAGTGTACGGACGTAAACACGGACGCTTTGTGGGTTTCTTTTCTGTGACTAGCCGTGATAGTCGGGATGATCGAGAGACAATTTTGGCCCTACACGTCACAGCGGGACGGGACGGCTCGCTATGCAAGTCAAGTCAGTCTTGTACTACGAACCCTTAGATTTAGATATAGCAATGAAATGAAGTAATAGGTATGAACATACACATCATGGATCTGGAGGAAGAAGACAAGACGAAGACGTCAAGCGAGAAACGAGAAGCGAGAGTGTGATCTCTGAAACCATTGTTTCCTGATGCGATGGTTACATCCTGTCCCGCGGTAACATATACGCACGTGTGTCCGTACCGCTTAATGCACCCCGGACCCCGTGAAGATTGCCTAAATTTTAAAAGAGCTGCCCCCCGGACCACGCACTGACGGGAGGCCGGGTCAACGATGAGATGAACCTAACCTGAGGCGAAGAGGGTTAACCGAGCTGGACGCATTGATAATTGTATGTTGGTACGCAGCATGTTACTAGCGTGAGGGTTCCCGTCATGAGACCCTTGGAGTTACGACGACAAACCGGCTATTTAATGTAAGGTGGTTTTTGACACACTCCAAGGTGCTTCCATCGCTACGTTAACTGTAAGCACGCCAGAATCGTCCCGAAGTTAGGATACATTGGGTTCATAGGTTCAGGGCTACATACAAGAAAGAAGACAGACGAGATTAGAATCCTGGATCCCTGAGGGGCCATGCGCCGATCTAGGTACGCACGGGCACACTCGTCCGGTGAGGTCACATTTGATTAGCTTGATAAAACTTATTCTAGTAGAATTAGTTTTAACGCTTTTAAGAGACCGGTGAACGGGATGTTGTGGATAGATAAGGTGAGGGTAGACAACTCGGCGTACACTACTGTACGATCCATGTAACAACATAGAACGGTGTAAGGGGTTAGGAGGTGGGCAAACCAATGAAGGTGAAGTGTCAAGTAAGATCGTCCACCACCTTGCTTTACGGATATGGCATTTGGGATAGAGAAAAAATAAATCCCATAGAATGAAGGCACTTACCAAGCGTTGTGTCATCGGTGGGTACGAGAAATTATCGCGTACAGTGTATGTTGAGACCAGAAACCTCCAATTAAAATATAGACCGAGACCGAGGATCGTAAGCTTGTGTTACTTGAGTTGTAGGTGTAATTCCTTTAATGCTATTGGTGGTATGTCACTGAGCGTGGTAGCTCAATCTTTGTGCCGTGTGGGACGGGAAAAAGAGAACTAGCTGAATTCCTTGTTAGCTAGAATTATTAGCAGGATGTGCGGTGATCCCGAACATTCCGAGGGTAGAACCAGTCGGGCCCTTTGTCGCGACGGAATATATACCTAGCGCATGGAAGCCAGGGGCTAGACAAGAGGCTAAGGGCGGAAATGAGTGTTTGGTGTGTTTTTTCATGTATGTCAGAGTGTCGGATGCGCTGTAATTTTGTTTAAAGGTCTGCTAATCGACGTAGCAGTAGTGGCAGTAGTGACGGTAGTAGTAGTAGCGGCAGTTGAGATCTCTCAAAGCTGCACGGGTAATTAATCGACCACACGTCGCTGAATATAGAAAGCATGTGAAGGGTCTGACATGCATCATGTATGTGCACGTAAATGTAAGCAGGAGGCTCGCTTAATAAATTAACTGGGATCTAGACAGAGTGATGTAATGATAAGGAAGGTGAACAAGTTAGGTGACGACGGGCTTCTGTAATATCCCGTCAGAATACGATAGAATCGAAAATTGTTGAGTGGGCTGATGAGTACCTCTGCTGAAATATAGCAATAATAAAACACAAAAGGACCGCGACAGAGCCGCCAGCTGCTGGCTGATAGCGAGTAGTTCGGAAACTATTACCAAGCAATTTGACGTGCTGACACTTAAGACGGGTCTCACGTTGACAGTTCAATGCCGCGTTCCGATTTGTTGAATGTGTAGGATTCATTTATTGATTCTGATGAGAAGAGAGAATGTCGTGCACGCCTCCAACCCAAAGTCACCTGAATGTGTCGAATTAGGCGATGGAGGTGATGGTGGCCCTAGGTCAAAACTCCGGTCTTGAAGAATACTTTCTGCCAATGTATTGCCTCCGACCACGATCTGGGGATGTTTGGTTTGGTTTCCTGTTCGAGAGATTTGACGTTTGATCTTGACTCCGAGTTCCCTGTCGTGGACAAGATGATCTTCCGACTGAATGTTCTCCGAGCTTGAATATCGGTCTGGTTCATACGTACCTGTCAGACATTTACCATGTATGTAAGTAGTCAGTCTAGGTATTTTCCCCTTGGATATACTAGTACTAGTGACGCCAAATGTTACCCAAGGAAAATGAATGTACATAGGAGACGATATCCGAGGGCCAAGATGAATTGGCCAATTACAGTCAACGGTTATAATCTTCGGTGGATACTAATGATGCGACTCCCGTACAGTCCCCGTCGAAGCCCCCTGTTACTGTTGATTGAACGTTTTTGTCTGGTGTAGAATAGGATCATGTATAAATCTTCTGTCAAGGCCTTGCCTTTTCTTACTGCACTCGAGGCTCTTGTCGGTGTATAGAAAGGCGCAGCTAGACGTGAGTAGTTTAATACCTCTGTTTTTATTCGCTCATTCTTGCGTGTCGGATGTTTGGTTCTTGTTGCTCAATCCGAGTTTGCCTTGTTCACATGCACTTTGCGCTTTTTCTCGAGTCAGGTCTTGGAGTTTCAACTGTGTCGGCAAACTCCCTCGATCTCCATTTTATTAAAAATATCTTTTGTGCCAAGGATTGAGAATTCGACCGAGATCTGCCCCGGTTCTCCCAACGGGGTCGGCAAACTTGCACACACACATACACACAAACATACGGTAATTGGTACGTGCATACGTAATTCCCGAGGAACCCCTAACATCGTAATTAATAGGTAGATGATATTTGGGAAGACTTGGATGATAGCTAGTTCTTGAACAAATAATTAGCTTAAGGATCCGGTTGAATTTGCTAACACAAGCTCACTTATCTAGGCGCAAGGGGGGAGCTCGCTCGTAGGACGATAGAAAAGAGAGAAATCCTTCCTATTTCTGATTTAATTGTCGCAACCCTGGTCTAGGCCGACACGCGACAAGTGGGCCAAACAACCTGGTTAATAATAGGTGAGCACCGTCTCGTCGGTGTGGCAGTCCCGCATCTGCATGCCATGACTGGGTGTTCCTAGCCAGCCCAGCAGCAGCCCAGGTCTTGCATGCCATTCTAGTGGTTCTTCTAGAAGACCAACCCTCGCCCGGCTGGAGTATCCGGGAACGCGAACTAGGAACGATTAAGGTAGTATCGACCACACCAGCGAATCTTCCCTCCGCAACCAAGCAACCAAAGAACCAGAGAACCCAAGACCCGGCATTACCACGTCGTAGTGGTCCTACTAGTCGGCTAGGTCTGATTTTCTGGAGCGCAGTGCAGCGCAGGTTAAAGTTGCAGCGGCAAAGGTCGTAATACAATTAATAAATAAAAGGCACACAACCCCATTGGTGACGAATCCGAGACCGACCTCACGAACTGCTGCTGCTGTCGTTGTTGCTTATTAGCATTGTTGTTACTGATGGTTGTTGGTAACGTTGGTAAGTTGTTTTTTTCTTTCTTTTTCTTTTGAAAAATAAAATATTTAAAAGAATTAAACAATTGTATTTTTAAAATTTTAATCCGAGCTGACCTGAGGTCATCGATCAAGTAGGGAAAGAAAGAAGGCGAAACTAATAAAGAATAGAGAAAGACCTACCCGACGAACTATGTGCGACTTTCCCAGTTAAGACGCCTATACTAATAATTCTTGGTCTTACCTGCCTCGCTTTGGCATTGCTATACCAACCAATCGACCAACCGTATTGCTTGAATTTCTAAGGGAGCATTGAAGGCAACAGCTCACAAAATTGTATAATCCATCCACTACTGTACGTATCATGGTCTGATTTGATTCAATCTAACCTACATGAACTTAACTCACCTCATAACCTTACCTCACTTACAATGTACTGCACTGTACCTGATCTGTACCTATCACATTCATGTAATTTACATGTATTTTGACTTCGTCTGGAGTTGACGATTTAATTTCTCTTTTACTCACGACTTTTCCTTTTTGGTGTTGACTTATACCCACCACCAATTAATTCACCCCTCCTTCTTCCTCCCACTCTCACATTCCAACAATTCCCGAATCACAAATCAACAACATCCTTTTTTTCCCGCTGCAGCTTTCTCTCTCTCTAGTATTTGCTCATCACAATTTCCTAATAAAAACTCGTCAAAAGGTACCTTTTCTCTTCCTCAATACTCCGATCATCACTCCTCGCGCATGACCTCCTACCTAACCTACTACTAAAAACCTGGATTGCAAAAAAGTTGGAGGTCAGCTTCGCAGCTCCTAGCGCTATTTGTTTTCCCGCCAATCCGTGAAAGGCTTCCTTTGCGACCGCCCTGGGTAGCGAACCAACCAGAACGAAACACAAGGATCAATATTGCAGGACCAAGAGCCGATTGGTGACATATTTGCTGTCTCTTGTCATCCTGCGCCGCATTTGCTTGGATTCTGGCTCGTGATTGACTGCATTACCACTGCGCGCACACATATACAATACAATATACAGCAACTGGAAGAGAGATAGAGAGGGGGAGGAACCAAAAAGGGTAGTGCAGCACAAGTACATTTCGGGTTTCGCATCCATTTCCTGGAACTGGCAACCACCGACGTAGCCGCATACGCACGCAGACGCAGACGCAGACGCAGACGCAGACGCAGCCGCAAGCACAAAGCACCAAGCACACAAGAGGATCCGGAGGGGAAGACCTAACGAGGAGTGACCTACCTACCAACCGCCCCGTGTTCGTCTCCTTGTCCTATCGTTGAATTTATGAGATAATACTTTTGAGTATTGTAACAAAAGTTCCTTGCTTGGCTGGCTTGGATAGGTGACGGAAGCCAGGGCAGGACGCGGGACGGGCGTGGGTGGGAGATTGGGATATTTGGGGGTCACTGTCAGGTCGCAGGTTGCAGGTCGGGATCGGTAACAAGCCGCTGAAGAATAATACGATAACCCCGCGGTACAACGATCCACCAAAAAGCTGTGCTGCCCTGTGCTGTGCGCTGTGTGTGTGTGCTAAGCTTGGACTTGGGACTTGGGTTGGAGTGAAACGTCATGACGTCCATAGTAAGTGCATCGTCATCCTCTCTTTTTTATTTTAGGGGTTTTTTTTTTATTCTCTCTCCCCACCCCTTCTTCCCGCGTCGTGCCCGGCCAACGGTTCGTTCAACTTTGATCGTGATTCTTACTCCATGTTCGCGTCACGCGTCTTGTCTTGTCATCCCATCCCATCATTCAAATTTACTTTGCGCAAAGGAGATTAGTTACAATCAGCCCAGCCAGCACCATCCATCCATTTCCCACTAGTCTGGCCTGCATACCTCTGCTAGTTTCGGGCTTCTGGTTTGTTTTTTCCCCTTCCAACTGGAGAATCCATACTTTGCTATGTCCCGTCCCACACACCCTTATACTTCCACCACTCAATCCTCTTTTCCCCCTCCCTAACCCTCCCTAACCCTCCTGGTCAAACCCCTTCACCGCTTCGCCTTTCCAGACCACCCCAGAAGCCTCGTGTCCCCCCACACTCTTTCATCTCATCAGCCCCCCAGCCCCAGGTCTTACTTAGCGTACCTAGTGTACTTTGACTGCTTATGTTAGACGGTCCCCCTATTCCCATCACGACGGCACGGAGCGAAGCGATGTGCCGCTACGCCCCAAGTCAGCCAAGTGTCGACCTTGATTGGTACGGTGTTATGAATGTCGCAGATGCCCAAGTTACCAACTTGAAATTGGACTCACCTTCCTTTTCCCCCCTTGCGCGACAGTGACGTTTCTGTTCCCAAAGTCTCGCAGCTTCGTCTTATTCGCCTTACGAGAAATACTCCCCTCCTCTCATCTCCTTCCTGTTTGCCTCTTAAGACTTACTCATCTTCCACCCTCCCTTGTCTTTCCGACCGATTCCTTCTCTCAAAGCTTTGACCCCCACTTACTGCTCGATTTATTATGGCCTTCCCCAACATTGCGAGTGCCTCATTATCCTAATATAGTCGCGACATGCTGGTTTAGCACGTGTATTCTACCGCATCACATCTTTTCCAACCCAAATAAAATCTGTCGACCATGACGGTTTCTCCCAAACCGGCGATATTGCCCTTGCTAACCCACATCCAGCTATGTCTGGCGCACTACTGCGATCTACATGGTCCGACACCTCTCATGGTCACCGAAGGTTTACCAGTACCATGTGGACAATGTTGCGATGAGATTGCCGAGCCGATACGGCCGCAAACAAGTACTGCTGCGCATGGCGCACCCGTTGCTGTTACTGATGCTCTCCGAAAAATGACCATTGGAGCTCCGCGCAGCTCTTCTACCCCTGCGACCGAGCAAGAAGCGCAAACACACCGCGCATCATTACTACGAACATCAAAACTCGGTCCCAGCACTACGGCCCAACCCGTTACAGCTGCATCACCTACCACAGCTTCAGCTATCCAAACTCCGCCGCAAAGTCCCCGAAATGCACCCGAAAGCTTCCCTGAAACAAATGGCAAGGGTGGTTTACGGCGAGACTCGAGTTTTCGCCGAACTTACGACGATTATGTTACCAAAAAAGCGAATCCATGCCAGAATTGTGCTTTAACACTCCCCAAACGACAGGAGTCGAAGAGCGCCAAGGAGAATGCGAACGCAAGCTCGGATTCTAAATCTGATCAACGGGGTCCTACACTACGTACACGCGCACCTTACGCTCGCGTTTACGGAGGCAATGGAGAGCTCAGTCCGCCAAGCTCGAGCCCACAATCTTCATATCCTTCCGATACGGAAGAAGATCTTTCACCGAGGGATGGCAAACGCTCTACTTCCCGGCGTCGGCCTACCACCTCGACTTCGCATTCCAGCGTATCGTCTCGATCCAGTGTAACACAGCACACGCATTACCTGGATTATACATCTACTCATGAACCTGTCGTCCCAGCTACGTACTCTATAGTTCGTGCTTCCTGCTTACGAACTCTTTCTTTTGAAACTCTTCCACGACGACCCGAAACCTCGCAGTCTATACCATCACTTTCATCGCCTTTACCTGGCATCCCATCCTCGTTCCAGCCACCACCTATTAACCACGGCCCTGGCTACATTACCACAGCACCAAACCCACAATCTGCTGCAAATGGCGGCCCGATCTTCTTTGGTGATCCTCTAGCAGGCTACACGACAGCGTACATATTTCGAATTCCTGATGTGCACGCCCGTGGCCGCAAGAGGGTTTATGCGTTTCTGGCGCTTAGTACGCACCGTGAACGCCTTGCCATGAAGACCTTTAGCTTCATTTCCGCTGCGTTCCGGGATCTGGCAAACTGGATCCAAGAACTTGCCGAGGCGGAAGCTGAAAGGGAGCGTGAACGGGAGGAAGCCAATAGTCCGGTCGCTGCGCTGAATGCGGCCTACGGCCATGGCGGATTCGGCGGCGATGGTCCACGTGACAGTGGCATTGGTCTGGGCCTTGGAGGTGGATTTGGGGGCGCGAATTCGGACCGCGACCGAGATCGAGCCAACGACACAAGCAGCTTCCTAACCGGTGGCGCCCGCGGCGGATTTGTACAGCGCATGGGCGGGTCTATGGGTCCTGGTGGATTTGCGCCGAAAGCTCGCGGACTGGCTGAGCTGGTGGGCCTTCCTGACTTCTTCATTGAGCTGCACTCTCGTTTCGTCCAACTATTATTAGAATTGGGTGTTGTACTCTCTTCTTGAATCAGGCTGGAAACCGATCACGCGCCATAAGCAACGTAAGTCATGGCGCTGCTTAATTTGTATTCCGCGAGCGACTTGAACAACTATTACGCAGTCATGTGCTCCCACGAACACGGAGGTGACATCGCGATGGAGGATATACCCAATTTATCGTGTGGAGGAAATACCCTAGCAAGCGTTTTTTGAACTGCTTTGCAATTACTTGAGCTGTTGGTCATGGTGGTCCCCTACTAGAACTCTTGACATCCATGATACCCTCAAGTCGAATTGAAGCGTACGTTGTCCGCGCCCACTTTAGTTAATTCCCGCTTTTTTTCGTTCTTTCTTCGACGAAGATACCCATTTTGTATTACTATTTTTGTCCGCCCTTTTCATCTGCTCGATTCGAGGAGGTTTTGTATTTTTTAATAGGGAGCCTATCGCTTGAGGTTACTGTTGTCGGGTGTGTTGCAGTTGCATGGCATCTTCGGAAGTAAAACGGCGTATAAATCAAAAGGCCGGAAAGGGGGAGGGGGGTTAATGCATACTAGGAGGGTGAGGAAAGGAATGAAAGGAAGGCAAGCCGCATAGAGAAGAAAGGTAGAGGGGCTCACGCGACTTGAAGCAACGACTTGGACGACGAGGACACAACCATATGATATATGGTACTATACGTCCGGTGTATTATGTTATGAAAACATGATTTTCCCTTTGAGAGCCTCGCGGTTTTTATTTTATTTATTCTATTCCTGGACGGGTTCTAGATGGAATAGGTATGGGCTACCTACCATAGATAGAGAAGGGGTACGGTTAGACAAATATGAATTTTTTAGTTTACAACGCCATGAGCAGTTTCTCAAATGCTGTAAGCCATTGATCACTTAATTGTTTTGGGAAAGCATATATATGATGATTACCGTCTTGATTGTATTGGTATGATGATACAGTTTTACACTAGGCCTATTCCTATGCTGGGCATTCAGAAGGCCATTACTATCTCCATCGAATCTCTATTGGCAATGCTAGGATGTACCCGAGACAAGCAAAACTAGCCATGAGACCTCCCTTCTGACTCGTCGCCCAGGTCCCCCGAAAATCCATATCATGCCAAAGATTCCTTCTCCTGCCGTCCTTTCGTCCTGTCTATTTGTAGAAGTCAAACTTGTTATCATCAGTAGTACCCTTGACCTGGCTGGAGTAAGCATCCTCAAGATCGACCTGGATGATATTATATCTGTTCTTGCGAACAGCGCGGAGACCAGCTTCTTGCATAATAGCAGCAATCACAGCACCGCTAAGAGGATCGTTACGAACAATCAAACTATCGAGGTCGACTTCGGGCGCGAGACTCATCTTGCTAGCAATGGTAGTGAAGATAAGACGACGTTCACGGCGATCGCGGAGACTGGGGAACTCGATCTTTCGGTCGAGACGACCGGGACGTAGTAAAGCTGGGTCGAGGGTATCAGCACGGTTGGTCGCCATGATGACCTTGACGTTGGAGGTCTGGTCGAAACCGTCCATCTGATTTAGAAGCTCGAGCAAAATACGCTGGACTTCGCGATCAGCACCGGTTTGAGCATCGAAACGCTTGGTGGCGATGGCGTCAATCTCATCGATAAAGATGATGGCGGGTGAGTTCTCGCGCGCCATACGGAAGACGTCGCGGACCATGCGGGGACCTTCACCCAGGTACTTCTGGACGAACTCGGAACCGACGACGCGGATGAAGTTGGCAGTTGTGGAGTTGGCGACGGCCTTGACTAGCATAGTCTTTCCGGTACCGGGAGGACCGTAGAGTAGGACACCGCGCGGCGGGTCGATACCGATTTGCTTGTACAGATCGAAGTGTGTCAAGGGTAATTCGACAGCTTCGCGGATCTCCTGCTTCTGCATATCTAGACCACCAACGTCGGCGTAGGTAACGTCGGGCTTCTCGTCGGCGCCAAGCATGGCGATGGAGGAGTCGGCCTCCGGGGGTAGGATGTCGACGAGGGCATTGGAATGGCGGTGCAAGGCGACGGAGGATGAAGGCTTGAGCTTCTCGCGGTCGAGGGTCGAGAGGATGCGGACGACGTAGTTGGATCCTGTGCTAGATTGAACTATGCCGGTGCTAATGGTAGTGATGTTAGATCTTGTCGCGAACGTTACATGCGAATATTTAGTTGACCGTTGAAACTTACTTTTGGTCGATAGCTTCCATAAATTGACCAATAACTAACGGTACACTCTGGATTCTCTTGATTTCTTCTTGCGCTCGAACAAGCTCACGTTTTAAGCTCCTATCATTGGAAGTGTTAGTGTTAAAATGGAATAAAGAATAACGGCAATTAGACATATCCCTACCTTTGCTCATCCTTGATGTATTCCTCCTGCAGTTGGATGTATTCCAAATGTCTCTGTAGCTTTTTTAATACAGCATATTCGTCTCCTCCTTGTGCCGGTATGCCCTCGATGCTCTCGACATTAGGGATAGTGGATGGGATGGGCTTGTTGTGTGGTGCCACACTGTTGGCCGGGTTTTCTACCAGAACGTCGCCCATTGTCGCGACTCGAATGGTAGAATTATTTCGTTAACGGGCAAAAAGGATTGTTCGTGCGCAGTTTAATGGTAATCTAGAATTCAGTAGAGACGCGACGTTATTGTTTTAGTTTGTGATTGATGATGAAGATGGTGAAAATTTAAAAAGTCAATGGATGATGATGGAAGTCGAGTTCGTTCTTGCTCCAGTGTTACGTTTTCCCTTTACAGCAGTCGTAGCTTGGTTGGTCGCTGCTTACCATACCAACCTAATAAGTTCCGGGTGCCGACCACGCCAGCCTTGTAGCCTTGAGCAAGCTTCTAATGTGGCTACCGCCAAGCCAGATATCATAGGCTAACCCAATTATGGCAAGTACAGGATTAATAGATTCTCCGTTTTCCATCTTACGCTAAACTGCCCCCACAGCCCCATAATCCCGGCATCTTTTGCATCTTCGTTGTTCCATTCGATGATATCAAAGCCTAGAACTCTTTGCATGACTATCACCTGATTGGCTATTAATTCACCAGCATCTGCAAGTTCAAGGCGAAATAGCCCCATCTTTGAGGATAACCGCCAACCACTCATCGTAAAGAACGTACATTATCAGCCTGCCAGCCTACAAAAGATCGGCTTCCGGCATCGCCCGACTGGACTGGCGCCTTGGCCTAGATTTATTCACTCTCTGTGTTACCTTCAATACTAAAGTATGTACACAGTTTGATGCTGCTGTGATGAAGTACTAATGGTAAATTGAAGTATATTGAGCATTGAATGTTCTTCTCTTCAATTCCTATGATTATCCTATTGGACCGACATATTATTTCGAGACTACAATACCTTTCTTCCTAAAACTCGACCGATATAGGTACGTCCGATAAATCATTCCAGACTGAGAAGGCCGGAATCGCAGTGGCCAAAAAGGTAAGGAGGAACCTATTTAAGAGCTTATTTTCATTCCTATTCCTTCCTATGTACTACAAGTATATGTTGGTATGCACATACTTATACATAGAAAAACGTGCTACTACAGTACGGTGAATCCTATTGCACGGAGTATTTGACCCACATAGTACGATACGCATATGCGATATACCCCGCACAGTGCTAGTGCTCTAACCGGATTGGAGTAACCAGCCATCCAATCAACCAATCACATTCAATCACGCTTTAGGAGGTTCAAGGGTCCCTCACCCCGAATGTGTCATCATACCTACCCGGCTTCGCACTGGGTAATCGGAGTCTCCTCCCAACAGTCATTCACCTTAACCTTTTAAACTTACACCACATCTCTATCAGATTAGGTACCTGGAGTACATTCGATCATACAGTATTTAATTTTCGATTTATTAAACAGTGCTGTGCATCCATACAACACATAGCACAGCAGCAGCGAGCCTGTCTCTTCTCTTGTTCCCACATTCAATGCAAGGTGCTGGTGCTTTAGCTGGTTGTCCAACCTCTACTTTACGTTACTGTATGTACATTACGGAGAGCAGGCAACTTCCCTCTCTCTTGTATGTAATTTGTACTTACATTTCAATCTCAGCACCTGACTTGATCGACTTTCTTTCGTCCCTTTTTAAAAACCTTGTGCAAATCACCGATACTCAATACTTCTCACCCCCCAAAACATCACAACATCTTCTTCTACCTCGTCGTTGCTTGCTGTGCGGGAGTTGACGTGAAGAGTAGTTCCTTTTTCTCTCTATCACTCACTTATTTACTCTCTAACTCTCTTAACTCTTCTTTTTACCTTGTCGCTTGTAACAAACCACCGCTAGCGTTGTCGCCTTACTATTTTATTATTGTTCCGGATTTCGTCTAGATAGCTGTCTCTATTGACCACACCGCCGCTAATACAATCCGATTTCTTGGGAGTCTTCCGTGAAGAAAAGAAATCCTTCCTAAATTCTGTTGGTCATAATGTCTTCCACAACTACTACAATTACTATCCCGACTTCGCGGGCCCCGGCTGCGGCCTATGGCCAATCTCCCAAGGCTAGCGGTAGCTCCTCTTCCTCATATTCGAGCTCCCCGCAAACGCCTGGTCCCAGTGAGGCCTCGTCTGAACAATCAGCACGCAAGCCGAAATCGTTCCACCAACGCCGACCGAGCTTATTGAGTATGTTTTGCTTTCCCCAGTATATCGTCATCCGGGTCAGCGGGACCTTGATGGCGTTTTCTTATCATGGCTGTAGACTTACATGCTATCTATCTAGGCTCCGCATTTTGCAAAGACGAGTGCACAGTGATTAACATCGGAGAGCCGGATGGTATTCCTCGATTGGTTAGTGATTCCTAATGCTGCAATCATCCTGCTGTTGGGCCGGGCCGTCTTACTAATATCTTCCGTTGTAGATTTCTTACCTTGCTTCAAGCCAAGGCTTTGCATGGAACCCCGAGCTATTCGTCCCGTCTTATGTCGATGTCGACTACGTCCCCCTCGAGAACCGTCGAGAACCCGTACACGAGATCCGACTCAGCGACGAAGAGATCAAGGAGATGTTACCGCAATACTGAAACCCTACACAATAGCTCCTCCTAGAAGGGGAGTTTGCCTTCGATACCGGCCGTGGTCAGACTTCCATGAGATCGTCTTTTTCTTCCTAGATTACCAATAACCCTCACGAGAATACCTTTGCCATTTTCATAAATACACAATACTTTCGGCGTCTGGATTCGGACTATGACTCAACTGCCTGGATGGATTGTGGATAACGATCTCGGCATTTCCTATTGCGCGGCGCGGCTTGGGGGAATTCAATATCATACGCATCGATACGAGCTTTTACGGAAACATTGATATCATTTCATGGTAGGCCCAATACTTCAAGTGGGCATCGGAGTTGTCACAGGGATTTCCTGGGCTTTGTTTTTGTATGATTACATGAAGATTACACGAATATTTTAACCTGGGGTTGCGGCGTTGGGATTCCCCTTGCAGGTTGCTTATTAGGTGTCTATGGAACGATTCTTTCCTCGACTTTGATTCTTTCGGGTTCCTTTTTTTCGAGATGAGGCAGTGAGTTTTTATTGTTGGTAGACGGGCATTACTTTTCCCAACTTCATACATAATAGAGAGACTGCACACAAGATATGGGAGACTTGATAACGCATGTGACTTTACTGCCTTCTTACCATTGACCTTATCGTGATATGCTTTCCTACAAATGATGCACATACAATCGCCATGTGGCGGTCAGACTAGCCCAGCCATTCTATAAGTTTTTGGGTAGCAAATCCAATGCCGAGAGGAAGGCAAACCAAACAAACTACAGAGCTAAGACTACATAGTAAGGTACTTAGTGAAACATTTACCGAGGAGCTCCACGTGGACTACCGAGGTCGAAAATAGGTATTATATCATTATATCATTGGAATTTATGACAACACAGAATTCCTGAGACATTGCGAACTCTACTTTTAGCAGTAAACGAGACAATCATGGAGTTTGATCCGGTCCCATTATGAAGAGTCCATATTTCTTTTTATGATAGTAAGGATAGTCGGGCTACCTCCTTAGCTGCTGGCTGCCTAGGTCAGAAGTAACCCAACGGGATGGGGCGTGGTGCATACCGGCATATAAGTTGCATGTACGTAGGGACGTACCTACATTACCTTTACGTATACACGTACAGATAGAGTAAGAGTAAGAAGTACTATAAATCTCGCACGGTGTAACTAATCGAAAGTGTAATTGTAACTATTAATTGAAGCCATAGTACATATGTAATATGGCAGTGGGTTGTCAAACTTCATCCCACTTTTTTACCCCACGAATTGCGTTATCGGATCCTCTTCACCTAACCTTAAAAGGGGCGCTGGTGCTAGGATGGAAAATCGCTAAACGCGATCAATACAGTACGTCCCATACGGTATTTAACAACCCTTACCCCCCCCTAATCGGCTACGGCTAGAGCGCTTGTGGCTAAGCGGGGTTCACTTGTATTAATTATCAAACCTGGTATTTAACATGTATGGATCCAATATCACTCACTGTGTGAGTTGCAATGTTACGAGGCGAACGTAGGGTAACGTCTTGCGACATCCAATTTAGAACTACCTACTTAAATGGTTAGATTGCCTCGTTGTGAGGTTTCCATTTGCGGGTTATACTGTACGAGGTTATATCGTGTGTAACTTGATACGGTAATGGGATATCCACTTTGGGTTGTTGGCATTCAATGGATATGCAGGAGAAAAGCGAGGGAGTCTGTTAACGATATAAGAAGCTGTTGACACCACCAGTATACAATGCTTTATAACTAATTTCTCATCCACCTCCAGTTGTCAAGTTGATATATCATTTCAAACTAAATAATAGCGGTAATTGATGGATTGATGGATCAGTGTGGAAATCTTCACATGCATTCGTGATGATACTTTCACCTTTAGGATACTTAATATCGAGATGTTTCATAGCCACGTGTACAGCTAGATGAATTTCTCCATCTGCGGGTGGTATCAAGTGATGAAACTCGAAGGAAGTTTTAGCCTTTCTTTTCAAGTCACTCTTCTATCTCGACAGATCATCATGCCGAACAGTAGTACTAGTTGATGGATGTGCTAAACCGGCATATGTCATATTAGCGTCAGACTAGAGTGCCCCATAGACAGTCAGATTTAGGCGGGTTGATAACTGTAATAGTATAGCCAAGAAAGGGATTATCGTATTGTTAGCGTGTACGGAACAAAAGGATAGTATTCCCATTCGTGAGCATAGAATAGAATCAACTCGATCGAGCAATAGTAGGAAGTCTATTTGTAAACGGGGACTTATTCTAACTTTACCTAGTGTCTGGAGTCAATTAATTGTCACTGGAAACAGCAGGGCGGACATTTCAGCTTTAGCTTTTCAGTGCATGTGTACCTAGGTATGTACACATGCATACAAGGATATTAGTAAGGTATATGCATTGGAGTGTATAACCTCCGATTGGTTTATATCCCAACCTCTTCGACCCACCACCCAGGTTTAAATCTTCATACTACCAAGGTTCAATTGCGGTTCAGTTTTGTTGAAAATACAAATTTACTCCCAATCTAGATACCTAATCCTACACTATTTTTACGACGACCTCAACCTGACACGAACGTACAAATGGATCGATCGAAGTCGTTAGGTCGAAAATAAAATAGCGGTGAAAAAACATCGAAATCGCATTCGCTTCTCACAAAGTTGGGCACGGAAAAAGAAGAAGGATGGTAGTCGCCAAGACGCACACGGCCACTCGCATCTAGATGCGACAGAACCTCTCCCCCTTTTTTTTTTCTTCGAGCCCAAAGAAAAATCCACATCGTGAAGATCTTCCGGATTGGCCGTCTGTTGCATCACGATGCATTACATCCGTCTCCTACGTCCAGCTAAATTTGATGCGTCAGACCGCAGGAGACCACTTGTCTCGCTCCTCGTTACCGTTACCACGGATCTGGGCGACTCCTTCCTGTACACGAACGAGCCCGTAGACCTGGTTGTGTCTGCTGATGACGCGGTGGGGACCTCGATCCTGTCACACGAGTCGGAGGGCCAGCCGTATCGATGGACGGCGGGTATGCGGGTTCTTGATATCAAAGTCCCCGTTAAGTCGCATTTGAAGAAGGGCGATGTCACGTGTACCATCAATATACAACAGGTTACGCGGCCTAAGTCGTTCGGGGCTTTGAGAAGTGACTTTGTACTTCCGTGGGGTATTCGTAAAGGCTCGACGGCGGTTGATGGGCTCATAATGCCGGTTTCTGTGCACTTGGTGGCCGGTGTCTGCGAACCCGTTTCCGTGCGACCGCTCCAATTAAATACCGGGTATTTACCTAGTGATCAGCTAAACGTCGAACTCGAGGAAGATATTGGTGAGAGTATCGCTCGCCATATATGGGATGCTGGCGTAGTAACGGCTTGTTTCCTAGCCGGCGCCTGTAAAATTGAATACATCCGTAACGCTCTACCCATAAGCAAAGATACGTTTAATGTCTTGGAGCTTGGCAGCGGTGTCGGTATCCTTGGAATCACCTTGGCACGCATTATCGAGAGGGCCGCTGCGATTCAGGGTAAGACGCTTAGCGAAGCCACTATATTGCTGACGGACCTTGAAGAGGCCGAAGAGCGTGCTCGGTCGAATATCGCTAGAACTGAAGCAACGCTCTCCTGCGATGACGGTGATGGATCCGTAGTGACTCTTCAATATGAGAACCTAGACTGGGATGAAGGGAAACACGGCCGATTTGGCCCACTTGTCTCTGCCCGTCCGTGGGATCTAGTTATTCTCAGCGATTGCACGTATAACGTCGACTCCTTGCCGGCTCTTATTGGAACGCTGAGTGCTCTTCACACGTCAAATCTTAATCATATGGATGCCGAGAAAGATGCAAAAACTTCGGTTATGCTGGCGACGAAACCTCGCCACTCGTCTGAGCAAGCTTTGTTTGGATTACTAGACGCTGATGGATGGCGATATAGTGTCCTTAGAAGTATTCCGCTACCGAAGCTCGGCGAAGAGGGTGAGGTTGTTGATATCTATTCTTTAGAGAAGGGCGCACCGTAATGGTTTGTATGAGCCTGTTATGGATTTCCTTACGCTCTTTCAATGGCTTCTTAGCCAGTGCCACTCGCTAGGATCGAACATTTTGGCTATTTAGCTTGTGGTGTTTCGGGCTAGCAGATCGACACTTGGGGGATCAGACGGAGATCATGCTCTGGGCATTGTGTACGCCCAGATTCCGCGTCAAATACGCCCCGGAATGAATTAGTGAAGTACGTCGACCCCGATAGACTAGATCCTGGGCGATGCGTCGAGTACGATCGTCGGGTACGATTTTTCGGTCTAAAAATGATACTCAAGATTCCAAGGGGAGCACAACACCATTAAAGCGAGAAGGGAAAGCTTAGTAATGATCCTATGCCGAATAACCGTGTGTTGGTAACTATTATGGCGAACCCCCTTTTGATATCTCCCCTTCCAAGAACTAGCGCCTGTTCCCCACGAAGCGGTCAGGTCCATGTGCGACTGTCCAACCACACCGCTTTATACACCCACATCTTTGAGAGATTAGAACTGCTTGCAAGTTGTGATTTTCTCGTGGCTCTAAAATGTGTGCATTGCATGAAGAAACGCGCAGAGGAGGCCGTGCTTTAGTTCGGGGGCGTCGAAGGCTTCATAATTAGAACATGAAACGCAGTCGTTTATACCACTCAGGTAAGAGTACTGATCGGGTCTATATAAAATTAGGTACGTAAGGTATTAATGTAGTGGTGGATATTTTTGAATATCTCCAAAGCCCTAGAATCAAGATTGGGACATCGGTTTATCTTAGGTAGTACTTAACCACCAGTTCTACCTGGGTAGCTATCCTGAAATACTTCGATCTAAGATAGCATTAGAGGCCGTCTGACTATAAAATCGAATTCAAAGTTTTATTTAACGATCCTCTTAGATAATGCGAACTGTGAATTTCCACGGTGATGGTGTATACGAATTAATTGGATATTGCAATAAGATGACATTACGAAGTATTTTGTAAAAAAGCGAGTTTGCCCCTCCAAGCGCCAATAAGAGTGGACCATTTTCCGTCGCATACAAAGTAAACATTTACAATCTTGATGAACAATGAATTCTGACTCTTGACATCGCAACTAAACGAATTCATTAATTAGTCACTTTCACAGAAGATACAAACCTAAGAGGAATACCGGATCTGCAGCGCCAAGTTATTTCAGTCGAGTGCATCACACAATTCCCATTCTAAGGACCATTCTTCACGAAGGCGACACGACGAACTTATTCACATAGACCAGCATCGCCCTCCGTCCCACCAATCAATCTCATTACCAAACTGCATCTACAGAGGGCATCAAAGACGAATCGCAATGGGGGACTCGGCGGCGCATCGAAAGATTGAGTTGCAGACGCCAGAAGACCTTGCATTCCTACTCGCGAATGTGCGACGCGCTGCGGCTGCGCGCTTGGATGAAGCGTTTCCGCCCGTAGAGGGAGCGGGTAGCGGCGGAGAGGGAGATGAGTTACGGACGAGGATTGAAGAGCTTGTTAATGAAGTAAGTTCTTTTTTCTTATTTCTTATTTGGCTGCATTTTCATTTCCATGCATTGGCGGTTTTCGATATTCTTCACTCTTGAGTCTTGGCGCGTGAACAAGTTACCCATGTACGAGCAATTCGAGGTGAACATTCATGCCTAGTTTTCCCAATTGGGAGACTAAGAATTGGAAAGTGTGGTATATAAGTTGGTTTGGATTACTGGTCTAGTACATACGACCATAGGATCTGGAAAACTCGGGATCCCGTCCGCTCTCCCATAGATAAGCCAGATACCGCCGGATCAGTAGTTGGGTCGGTGACGACCAGCGAATCCCCGGTGTTGTATGTTTTTGCTTTTTGCTTTTTTTTATGCATTCCTCTTTAACATTTATTTTCATATTACATATTTGTCAAGCTTGATCTTGATATTTTTCATACTCATTCTTTTTTCTATTTCATTATCTCATCCTTACTAACCCCCCTTAGTACATAACCAAAACATTCACCTTAGCAGCCCCCAACCTCTCCATCAACGGTCTTCCCGTGGACGCACAACACTTCCTCTCCGGCAACTCAACATCTTCCGATCCCCTACAACCAGAAGAAGTCTACGAACCCTTCGACGCACGCAAGCGCGCCCGCGTCGAGGACCTAACGCGCGAGGAAGAAGATTTACTCCGGGACATCGCCGCGCTCAAAAAATCCGTTCCCCAGACCGCGGCATCGGCGTGGGCGGACGCTGCGCGGAAGTCCGTGGTTGAAGATGAACAGGCATTGGCCGCGGTTAACGAGCGGATTAACGCCGGTAGTAGTGGTCAAGGGGTAGAAAATGAGGGAACGCTGCTTGGGGACGTGGGGAAGGGGTTGGAGAGACAAGGGGATGTCGAGGAGAGCTATGAGGATGCGATTCGTGGGTTGGGTAAGTTGAAGCGTGAGATGCCGTCCGTGGTGGCGCGCATGGAGAGGGCGAGGAGTGCTGGGGAGTATGTTGTTACGGAGCGGTGAGGGGGAAGCAGGAATCGGTGTACCTTTTGTGAGGTGGTGGGGGAATAAAGGGGGAGGCATGGAAATGATAGTCCCTGGTTGTTGCTACGATCATTAGGTGGGACTAACCCCCTATTTAAGATCGGCGCGAAGGTATTGGTACGATAGAGAAAAGGAATACGAGATATGACTCTATGCTGCAAGCTGGAACAAGTCTCGGAGATGGTTATGAGGTTATTGCGTACATAATTGACTAGGCTTTAACAGAAGTACCTAGTTGCTAAGAAATAGGCTTTAAGGGTAAAGGCCGAGCATTTACTAAATTCGATGTATCATGTAGCAAGGTGATGGATGGTGCCTCATAATGACATTAGTCAGGTCACTGAGTCCATCGTGTAAGGCCACGGTTCACTTTTCATGCAATGAAAACATCAGATCAAATGCGATAGCCCGGAAACCGGGGACGAAAATGCAATGTTATCATATCAGTGTCTGAAATGCCTGACAATTTTGTAGAAAAAATGGCCACATAGTTGTTAATACCCACGACGGCTAGACATCATATGCCGTGTCGTCAATAGGGTAAAAAAGAAAAAACTTGAGCTTGTGAGATTTTTGGCCCGGGATGATTCATAGTAAAGAGAAAAAGAGATCGACCGGATGAAAAGACGGAAAACGTCCGCGGCCTACTCTTCTTCTCTTCCTCACATGCCCTGGTTCATCTCTTATCTATTCGGAAACCACCTACACCTCACTATACTCCCCGCTCCACCTGAACTTTATGCTAGCTTCCCGTTTTGTATACAGTGGGACCCTGATATAGATATGCGTTTTTTTTTTTTCTACGCGGCAGCCGGGGCAGGTGCTGTGGCATCAGCTCCCTCGACGGCAGTTCCAGAACCAGCAGCGGCACCTGCACCAGTACCAATTTCTGTCGGTTTGTTCTCGATTGCATCACCCTCCTTCTGCCACCAGGCGGGCTTGGCGAACTCAGCATCGCACCAGGGACCGGCGTTGCTGAAATCACAACCACCCTCGCACTGGCACGTGCCACCAAACTCCTTGGGCAAGTTCTCAGCAGGGATTTGGCTTAGAAGCTCCTTCTGGTAGTTGCCGCCCAAAACGTGGATCTTCTCAACGGTAACCGGGTCAAGAAGGGGACGGACCATACGCCATACACCCGTGAAGAGCCAGCTCGTGTTGATGAGGTACATGCGGCCGAGACGCTCGGGGTAGTAGTTCTGACTCATACCAGAAGCTTCCTGGATATAACCGAAAACTTGGCGCGCGTTGCTGAAACCAACGCCGTTGAAGTCCATGATCGTGCAAGATGTCTCGAGGAGCTGGCCAGCCTTGCGCGAGCAAGCGGGTAATCGAGGGTCTGCCATCTTCTCGTATTCGACAGCCAAGTTGATCAACATGTGCTCGTATTCGATGCCTTCGTTCTTCATGGCGGTGAGATCGATCTTGCCGAGTTGTTCGATGTAAACTGGTCGTCCGTCCTTAGAATATCTATGTCAGCACAGACTTCGAGCTAGTGGGGTTAGGTTCTCGTACCTTATCCGTCTTGTGGTAGTATTGGGGATAGAACTTAGAGACCTTCTTCTTGAAGGAGCCATCCCGGTCCCATTTGCCTATCTCCTCATCAAGGTCGATAGTTCGGCCGTCGATCTTCAGGGGTTGCCCGGCGTATAACATGGTCTTCCGCCATTTTTCACAATCAACGAACCTTGTTGCTCAGTTAGTTTATCGATCCTAGCTAATTTCCCTGGTTTCTATAACAATATTTCCAACAGGGCTCGGAATCGCTCACATTTTCTTCGATAGGTTGACATCGAACTTTCGAGCTCGTAGGAAACGTAACTATCCCCCGAAGAAGCTGTTAGCGGTGTCGATATTCCTATATATGGTATTTTCCCACGCTACTCTTTCATCTTATCTGTTGCAAGACACATACCAACGTCAAGGTATCCAATCTCTTAGTATATCCTTCACTCTCGAGTAGCATACGTAGTTGATGAACCTGAGCCTGTTGGGCTTCGGTCAAGTGGCCTGGGTGGCCGGATTTGGCTACCGGGGCGGTAGTAGGGAAGTCATAGTGGTCGTACTTGGGATCGAGCTCCATGGTCAGTGGCGGTAGATGCGTCGATTTCTTTCGAAATCGAGCAGGATAGAGATATGGTTTCCCGGTTGGTCGATATATCTATCTCAAATACAAGAGTTAGGATGTGAAGAAGTTGGTGTACTATAAGTGACGGTGAAGAGTGACAAGAGGAGAAACAACAAAAAAGTTGATCTAGTTTCTAGAAATGTTTTGGGGATTGGAGGTCGTTGGGATGGGAGATTATGTAGGTGGATAAGTGGCTCGTTGTCCTACAAATGTGGTAATTGAGAGTCGTGGGGCTTCCTAAAGTGGCTTTTTTCTTCTTACCAGATTATATGAATGACTAGGACTTCGTTATAGTGGTAAAAACGTAGACCAATTTGTGGTGTTGTATAAATGTACCTTAGAATAATATATGGAGGTACGAAGGTTGTATGGGTTTGTTCGTACACTACAACAAAAAGAATTGGATAATAAAAAAAAAAAGTGGCGGCGAGTTAGATTGCGGGCATGCCCAGGTGGGACATCGTCATTGGTGCAGCAGCGGTGAGATCTAGGGGACCCAAACTCTATTATCATGCTGAAAGGTCGCCTGTCCTCTTACGTAATACAAGGGTCCCGTTCCCCTCATGTACTTCCCCAGCCACTAACCCCTACGTAAGTACATTCTGGGTACGACGCAACGTATTTTCTGTCATTCGCGCTTCATACAACCAATCCGGGCCATTTCAAATAGTTCAGGTATAACTTTATAGATTTAGATGAAATAATGCGAGTAATGAATTATCATAGCTCCCAGCTTCAATTCGACTAGTTCCTTAAACAGAACTCTATTACTATTGCGTCATGGTTAGTAAGAAGATTGCACGTACAATAAGAAGCGAAGCCATATTCACGTGCATTCGTATTACTCTATCATTGATTCGAGGCGTAGTAAATTGCCTAGCAGGTGGCTTCATCACATGCTGTGAATATGACGATGCCTGGCGCAGTCATGTAGCCTAGCTATACCCAACCAGTCAACTTGGTAGCGTAATCCTTCAACCGTTCGGTTGCTCATCGCCATCTCCGGCTTCCTTTCCTTTACGCTCCTCGTCAACTTTTTCTTTTCGTTTCTGGACGATATCCCAGTTGTACACTCGTGCTATCGCAACCTCCATGGTCTATTCGGTATTAGTTGGTCTCAAATTCAACCCAGGTGAGCATAGACAAGTCGCTTACCGTAATCTGTTCTCGGAGAAAGTCAAGGTCCTCTTCGCAGTTAGCATAGCTTTGCTTAGCAGCCGATAGCTTGGATGTGAGGAGTGTCTGAGCTTCGTCGATAGGGTATGCCAGCATAACGTTCGCCTAGATAACAATTCCCGTCAGTCTAAGTATTTTCGACGGTCAATATTATAACATACGCCGAGCCATAGGTACACCTCATCTGTAGGTGGTATCGAAGCTTTCGCGTACAAGGTGTCGTTCAGTTCAAAGGTCGTCTCGATCGGATCAGATTCCTCCTAGTAGACAGTCAGTCGATGACTTGTATCAAGCTGTTATTCGGACAGCATACCGTTCTCGTCTTCAGGAACTTGACAGTCTCGAGGGTCTTCTCAATATCGGGCATCTTATCCTTCAATCCAGCCACTCTTCTCTGTAGATTCAGTTCCATGAATTGGTATTTACTATGTTCGAGTTTCGATCAGCCATGGGTTCGGTCGCCACGAGATTAATATGCTGACGTACGAGATCATCTCCTGGAAGCTTCGTAGGGTAGCTTGGACATCGTCTCTCGAAGTAATGTAGTCCTCGACCTTGTCAACAAACGGCGCGTAGGGGATACCTCGTGGGTTCGAAGGCGCAGCGTCCTTTCTGCGTCGCAAATGCAATGTCAGTAGCAGTTTACACAGGATTGGGAGTTTTGTTTATCATCGTACTGGACCGCTGGCTCTTTGCCTTTAGCTGACATATTGTAGGTGTGTCATGCGGTGCTTTTTTAATACATCGCAAGGAGTGTCGAATCCAAGAATATGGGGATGCAAAGCGCCGAACAACACCGACGGGTCCAATGTGAATGAATGTTTGTGCCTGGAACGCCGCACCGAAGCTCCAATAGAAAAAAAATTAAGTTATAGAGAGCATGGGCCATTAAAGGCGGGGGGAGCTCACCTAGGTGAAGGAGGGGCACATTCGGTACGTATCCATCCATTATCATCCGTTGTACCTGCCACGCTCCCCTCCGTTTATTAACGTTAACGGGTACTGTACGAAACGCGCTAATCTGTATCTCGGCTACGTACCTACGTTTAAAATTGAACTCGCCGATGCAGCTTCCAACTCGTATTTTCCTCTTGAAATCTACAGAAGGTATTTCTATTTTTAATAGAGTTTTATAATCTACATTAATGTGTATAGTTTAAAAAGGAGCTTATCAATAATCTTTTATTTATTTCTGCAATAATTACGCAACTTGCAACGTTCATTGGTTCAACGACACATCTTGAGGACGCGTTACACGGATGTAACTATTTAGGATAGTGGACGGATAGAAGCGTTTATGAGATGTGATATACAACGTTGCTCTTATAATTGAATGAGCTGAGAGGGTATAAGGTGTTTATATCTTCCCCGCTCCTCCCAAAACCGTTATACTATCACCGAGGAGCTGTATGAACCATCATTGTTTAATCTAATTCAAAATGGGACAAGGACCATCACAAGAAGTTTATCTTGAGACTAGAGTTGAAAATCCTCCAGATGGAAGAGAGCCCCAAGGGCTTGCTCTCATAGCTCATGGTAGGCTTGGCGGAAACTTCGACCAACCACCAGTTCGTCTTCTTGCCGATTATCTCAGAGACAAGAGACAGCTAAGAGTAGTGACTTGGAATGCCCGCGGGATAGGCCAAAGCGGTGGTGGTAATGAGTGGACGGACTTCAGTACTTGGATAGGAGATCCTGGGATAGATGATTACCGTGTATTGTCCCCCCTTAAGTCCATTACCCTGTCTACAAATGACGTGCTTGACTAATATAACCTTGTTACTCATAGCGAATGTTGCGGGAGTCTATGGATAGGTTCGTTCAGGATTATCCCCATATCCAGGGGGCCCAACTCTTCATATGTGTAGGATTGTTCCATACTCTCAGCCATTGACTAGAGGCTAACAAAACTCAGGGCTACTCGGCAGGCGCCATCTTCGCCGGCTGTAGCCGTCCATTTCCATGGTTCTCTCAATTCCGGCCAGCGCATTACATCTTGGTATCATACCCAGTAGAGTTAAATCCCCTCATCGGGATTCATAAGTCGGGTTCATACTTCCGCTCCGTGGAAGCTTTGGTACAGGGTTGGGGATGGGAAAACCTACCCCATGAGTTCAATGGCAAGGAACCGGATGTATCTGGAGTGCTTACGGTAACTGGTCAGCACGAAGCGATGTTCTATGGTATGTGGACCGGGATTCTCGGCAGCAAGAATGCACGAGGTGTATTGACACAGGTTGTTGTAGATGGTGCTGGACATGCGTGGGATGATAAAGCATACCGGATTCCTGAGGAAGTCGACAGGTGGTTGTCTAGGTTTTGAAGAGTCGAATTATGAAGTGTAACACCTATCTTGACTTATCTAAGCTATATAGAATACCTAAATACTGGTGATGCCAGCTCGCTCTATTGATAGGGGAGATCCAGTGGTCTAGCCCTTCCCTATTTCAGCGAATTTAGGCAACCTTCCGCTCCTATTCCAACCAATCCAGTGGCCATCCTGCGCCGCTCTTGGCTTTGTAGAGACTTCTATACCACAGGTGCTTAGCATTTTGAAGCCCATTTCACCCCGCCGCGCGCCCACCTATCCAATTAATTGACGAAAAACCATAGGATTAATACAACATTACGTATCTCAGAAGAGAGAGCCGGGCCCTAACACCTGAGTCGCATTTAGGGACAACATACTATGACGGAGACCCAAAACTCGGAACTGCTTACTTATGAGGCAGTCAAAGCAGGTGGTCAAAGGGTTGTCCCATCGATGGATTTTTTGCGACTTCGCTGGTTCTTCAAAGGTTCAATAGAGGTATCCATCCATGTGCTCGAAGATGCCACGGACTCAACCTCAGCCCAAACGCCTTACCAGATAACAGTGGCAACGAGTACTCCAGACGGTCAGGCAATTCAACAGGTCCAGCAACACGTTATATCATCCTCGAGTATATCCGATCTACCTATCTCTTCCATCGAAGTAAGGCTAGCAGACCTTAATTACTGGGAGGAACGGTGGGAAGACGCGCATCGGCCTGAAGAAAGCTGTTCTGCGATCTGGATTGACGACGGCCCAGAAGGCGAACGCAAAGCGATTCAATGTTGTGGCGAAGATCGACCTTACCTAAATAGCCCCATTCCATCATTGACAGTGAAAGCTAGTAAGGAACCGAAGCCATTCGTTACCATCCATGATTTCATCACAGCGGTGCACCCTTGGATGAGTGCGCTTGAAGATGACATCCGTCACTCAAGGGGTGTTATTAGAGGAACACCCGTGCCTAAAAAGGCAAATCTGTTCGTACATAACTCGTCACTGAGTCCATTAAGAACTATAGATGACCTGGGACAGAGCCCTGCGACTGTGGCATACGGTCGGAGGAATGTGGCTGCGATGACTACTAGGATCAGGGACGGTACGTCACCCGCTTAGCTAGGTCTCCAGGTTGGCGGCATTTCAGCTAAAGAAAGCCGATGGGCCTTGAATATCTCCAGGCGGGTATCAATTACTCCGGAAAGGAGGTAGGCTCCCGCGTGTAAGCCAGTGGCGCTTCTTGTGCGCTGTCAGAAGCTTCAAATAACATCTCAAATCCCGATGTGCCCCATCTGAAACATGTTGGTCCTAGTATTTTGAGGGCGTAGCCGCGCCGCAATAATCCTTCTCTGTGTGAAGAAGGTATGATCATCGTAGGAGCTTCTAAATCTTCATCGCTAGTATGCTCCTGTTACTAAGGTCGGGCATGATCGGGCAGTCGGGCAAGATTGCACGATTTTCTGCAAAAGAACCCTGACTTATTGAGATCGCCCACAATAAAACATGCAAATTCGGCCAACTGCCTATGTCTCGATCCGAGACATTCCAATCAATTTTGATGAAGAAAAATTGAATTACTCGCAATGATTGGTTTATAGGAGCTAAAAGGGCCGTCTCTGTTCCTTGATCTTACAGCAATGATCGTCACCAAGATTTGAACCAAGCTTTAGTATCCCCGAGCAATGACCAACCACCTCGGCACGGGATCGCTCGGATTTATCGTATTACGATAACATCTAGTGTAGCCTCACTCCTCCACCTCCCCAGATTTTTCGGCTTTTGACACTTCCGATTCTTGCCACCTGTAAAATTTACCCTACCAGCCTACCTTCCTATGTGGGGAGAAGTTATTTTTCATATACCTTATTAAGGATGAAATATATTGATGTGGCCCGTTTGATAATCTCCTGATTACCATGGCAGCTATTCATGAAAGTTATTCAGGGGCAGATTAGTTGAAGACCCGACAGTCTGGGAGCCCAGCCTTGGCTCTGAAAACAAGCAAACGGTACGGGTCGTCATACAAGGATGGGGTGCGGGGAGGATTCCACTCCAGATTATTTTAGATAACATCCCAAATCGAGTTCGGATAGGGGATTTGAGAATACCGTTTGCGGTACTGTGCTGTTGGTTTGTAGTGGTGGCGCCACCTACGTAACTACTGCCCTGGAATTTGATACCTAGGCACCTCGGGTATCTCGGCACTTTTACAATATTGTTGGTTACACGACCTATGTGCGTGGAGTTCATTTTTGCAACTAGGCTGCTAGATGGCATGGTACCCGGGTACTTGTTCTGCGAAGAAGCTTAGTAGAGACAACGTTTCAAAATTTATGGTATCTAATAGGTATCTATGATGTTTGGTTGTTTGCCCGTGAGTGCTCTGTAGCCAAGGTATCTGGATTGTTTTCCTCAAATCCGAAATTCCAGATTTTACCCCCTATCATATCCCCGTAGGCCGCTCTGTAAACCCCATGGCTACTACGACCGCCAACATGCTGCATCACGACTGGTGTCAGCGCCCAGCGCAATGAACCTGCCGCATCTGCGTACTCTTCTATAAAGCTATCGATTGGAACTTCTGACCACCTATTTTGACGAAAATGTGGCATTAATTCGTTTGCCACAGTGGAATGTGGAAATACGAGACCCTGGCTGCAGCACGCGTTCTCGGTCATTTGGTGTACGCCTTCCGGGAGCGGCAGCATGCAATTCCCTCCAGCAGCGAAGAATAGGGTGATTAGGAGCGGCATGAAGACAAGCACCGTTAAGAGAAACACAGACCGTGTTAGGTATAGTCGAGCCGCGGGAACATACCGCCGGGTTAAAAATAGGACGCATACAACGCTGACGGTAGCCGCTAAAGACCATCCTAGGTATGTCATCCAGGACTCTGAATTCCAGCCAAGGAGGCCTTCGTAGTAGAATAGACGTAGGTATAAGACTGTTTCACTAAGTTAGGTTATGCTGAATAGACATCGCATGGCGAACCCATGGAGATGCTAATGAACTCACAATCCGTGTGTCCTGTTGACCATGACTTGGTCGTCGCCACATCTAATGCTTGTAGAGTTCGGTGCCGCCACCCGTCTAAGAATACCACATCGTCCTCTACAATTAAATTGTAGGGTGCTCCAGTCTTCTCGCATTCTTCCATCACGACTGAAAAGTCGAACTTGATCTTGGTTCCGTGTGTTTTGTTGTGCTCTATGGCCGTGGCAAGGGCCATTCGTTCTGGATAATCATCGTACGAAGGGAGGACGTCGGCCATGTTGGTGAGCCATGGTTCTCCATAGTCTGCGTGTTTTTTCTGGTCGGCGTGGGCAAGAAGCACAACGAAGCGAAGACCGGCTCTCTCTTCCGCACTTAGGCCATGTTGAAGAGAGCCCAATGTCGATTTCAAGTACGAGATACCGTCTCGATGCACCGAGGGAATCCCTACGCAGAGTTCGGGCGGGCTCCTCTGACTTCCATGCCCCGTTTGCCCTGCTCCTACTTGGTCCGCATATTGTACAGCCTCCTGTATTCGATGCGCCGAATATTTTGGGGCGTGTGCTCGCTCAGTCTGGAAGAACTTGGATGTTGGGTCTTTCCAACATGTTGACCGAATATATCCAACGAGCCAAGCGTACTGTAGTGGTAAACAGTCGTTAATATGTGGTATTCCGGCTCGGCTTCCTTCTATCAAACAATAGGTTCGCCTTGGGATACATTGTGATTACCAAGTAATTAAATGAAATAACTACTACTTACAATAAACAAAAAGCCTAGACATAGACCTATATTTGGATGCATACTTTGCCTTATTCAACGAATGGTTTTCATGGGGGCGAATTAATTTGGCAGTTCTGATGCCAAGAAATTGATTCAGGCAGGATGCGAACATCCATTAGGTATGAAATAGTTTAGTAAAGGAAAGGGACTTCTGTTGTTGAAGGGAGAAGTGTTAAATCACACGAAGACATAGAAAAGAGCATCATCATATTGGAAAACCTGGTAGTGGATGCATAGCCATTTGGAGTTTGGGATTTGGTCACAAAAGTTCCCTTTCCAAATTCCCTCCATGGGTTATATTATTATGTTGTTACTATGTATACTTTGCTTTTATGTGTTGGGACTTGACCGGTCTGCGACTGGCCACTACGGCCTGTCATCATGTGGCTGATGAGGCCCTCCGCATGCAGCATGACAACGAATACTAGAAGTGATCGGCGGCGCCAAAAGCGCGGATGATTCGGTGTTGGCCTGTTGAATGAACGTAGACTTCTGTAAGCAAGGGACAACCATGAAAGAAGATTGAATACGTTCGGTAGCCCGCATTGAGCTCATCGGCTTATTGGTGCGGCGTAGTCAATTCAAAAGCATTTCGTGTTACGCACCATATTAAAAGCAACAGCTACCTCATTTTTAGTACCCTCCTGAGCTCATTTCATTCTTTACATGAGTTCACTGTAAAATTCTTTGTTTTGACCCCTCAGCTCTTTACAACCCTGCAAGCTTGTGGCTGATTTTAAATCCTTCGTTAGTAATACGGTAGTAGGCCCATAACAACTTTAGAATGTTTTAGTTAATTCTAGGCGGACAATCAGACAATAAGGGAGAGATCATCAATTAGGTGAACACTTTACGAGCCGTCCAGTAAGCCCACCTGTACTATAACGGATTACAGGGGTTGTTTACGAGCTCCGAGTAAAGGGTTATCGAGCGAGTTTCCTGTAAAAGCAAAGATAATCCGGGAATGAACAGCGAGGAGCTACTTATGCCCGGTAAAATATACAAATCCTACCTAGGTTGGTATTAATATTTGAGAAGGCTATTGTCAGCTTAGGTAGTGACCTACTTAGGCTCTGCTATACCATGAACGACCTCATATAGTTAACATATTTATCAGGTGGTTGTTAATATTTTTATACCTTGTTTAGGTAGAGTTGTAGTTATATTGCTAACAGTTATGATACTTTTTGTCTCCTTTTAAACTTTGACGAATTGATTAATATAACATTATTCGACACGTCCAAGGCTCGACGAAAGAATCCACGAAGTTGCACTTTCAGGTAGAACACTTTCAGGTAGTACCACCAGGATTTAGACCGAATTTTCAGATTTTCTCGGGCGCATATGAAAAGAGAAAGGATCTACTCTTCAGCGGAGTTGTTGCCTCAATTGAACATGAGGTTTCTGACTCTCGGGAGCGACATCAATATGAGTATGTACTAAATAGCCTCGTGCGGCTGGAGGGGAAGTGCGGGAAGAGATATGTTGGTAAACAACATTGATTATCTCTTTTCCCAATATTGCTAATATCAATTGACTTGTAGAAGTTGTCCAGGTAAGCTGTTGGGTCTTACTCATGAAGAAGCATTTACATAAGCAATTACCATGGTAATGGCTTAAACTGGTGTAACGCCAGCATCACCAACAAGGTGCATAACGCCCGACTCCTTTCAGACTCAATGCTGTTGGAATCTAAGTAGGTACCTACGTGGTACTGAGGTATGAGGGATATGTCATCGATGAAGCTTGTAAACCTTGTCAAAACTGCATTTTGATAAGGAATCGCTTTGGTGGCGGCGGGGAATAGCCGCTGGTAATCCATCGTTACTGTGGTGGGAATCATGGCTTCGGCTTCAATGATGTTCGAATAAAGCCATAATCATTTAGGATCAAGTAAGATGAACCATCCTGTGATGCAGCCCATTACGGCAAGGTAGCCAGCTAGTTTTAGGAGAAGTTCTTCTCGCCAAGAGAGGTGTATCAATAGCGAAAGAGCACAATATCTCGAATATAAAAGAGACCTATTCGACCCGATGGTTGTGCTCTTCTCTATCACATTAAAGCACACACCGGAAGCCAGCAAGCTAGCCCAATACCTCAGCATCAACACCTACTTCAAATTGAAGTTAAAACAACCATCATTCAAAATGTTTTTCACCAAGACCCTCGCTCTCCTCATCGCGGCCGCCGCTCCTCTAAGCCTTGCCGCCCCAGCAAACGGAACAGAGATCCAGGCTGACTTCTGGGCTCAGTTCTGTGATGATACATCCTGCTCTCAGAACTGTGGAGAGTCAGTCAAGGTTTCCGACCCCGGCTGCCTTAACGAAGGCGGCCGTAAGTCTATCCTATTCCACGGCGATGAAAATGATGGCGACTATGCCTTCGTAGTCTCGTCGGGTGGGAATTGCCCTTGCCAAAGCACGTGCACATCGGTTCCCCACAATACAAACTGCTGGGACATCAGCCAGTACTCAGGCGATCAATCTTTCCGCTTCGTCGGTGGAAGCTGCGGCTCAAACAACTGCTAAGCATTCACGACAAGGCCGTATATCTGCGCACTAGCTATTAGGAATTAGCAATCATAGTAGTCGCAGAATTCTTTCCGGAGGATATATACATTTCAGATGGATGGAGGGTCATGTGCAGAGGTTCATAGTCAAAAGTTATATGGTAATTCGGAGGACCTTCAACAGTATCCCCTGGGTATCCCCTCCCTAGGTACCTAGCTAGAATCTATTGATTAGATTCCCACCAACTTGATTTAAGTCTCATTTCCAAAATGGTATAATATGTTATGAAATTCCGCTTTCCGTTTTAGGCATTGGAAGTGACACACACTCTCGGATCGGTGCCGAATCCCCACTTTTTAAGGGACCGGCTACCCGGTCCACGGTAAGTTCCTTTCCTTCTAGATGTAGGGAAGTACCTAGTACATCGCACCGCTTAGTCTTTAGTCAAATATGATGTTATTTATATTCGAAATTGCAACATATATATGCAGTTCTTCGCTTAAAAGTCGACTTTTAATCCTATAATTTTCGTGACCATTCTTTTACAATGAAACATCCGAGATCTTCCATCCACCCGGACACAACTTCTGGAATACCTGCTGAGGATCGTACTTAGCGGCCACATCCTTCATCTTTTTCACGTTATCGGCTCCATAGCTCGAGAGAACATTTTGCGACTTGTCTGCATAATTCATGTAGTTCCATTCGGTTAATCCATCGACCGAAGCCGCATATTGTTTTACGGTTTCAACACACGCGCTCAATTTCGCATAGGCGAAGGCCAGCTGTTCTGGTGTCTTCATCATAGTTGAAATCTGAAACAGAATACAGTTTTCCTTGTTCCGTTCGATGCCCAGAACGTTGCCTCCAGATGCGAGGGAGTTTTGGGCAAATAGGGTCGGGACTGGTTGGAAGATGCATTGCGTAAGGAAGTCGCCATCGGGGACGTGAGCCTTCAACTCTTCAACCATACTGCTGTGTACCTCGGAAGCCTTAGCCATGATACGTCTATCATTCTTAAAGCACAAGGTAAACCATGCATCACTGGCATGAGATTAGTTGAGTTAGGCGCAGAGGGGCGGAAACATCGTCATCTCATGTCACTTACTGGTATTTAGGTGGTAATGTCATGTCAGTTGACATGTTGAAAATAGTGGTAGGCTTGACGGTATCCGCGATTTTCGGCAGCTTAGCCCAGTGCTCGTATGCAGGGCCGTTCTCAACCCCCCGCGTGTCCAGCACAGCTGTAGATGCAACATTGTCTTTGAAATCGGGAAAATAGCCAAGGACCACTATGAGGTTGCTGTCTCGATACTGTGGTACGTCCTCCGTGAAGTTCCAAGTTACATCGATGAGTTGGGGTATCGCTTCTTTTGGGCTGACAGCGACACCACCCCAAACTTGGGAACAGGGTACGGTCTTTATGGTGAAGTTGGTTACAATACCGAAATTATTGGATCCACCCTTTAGAGCCTGGAATAGATCCGAATGGTTGTCCTTGTCTGCCGTGATAATGCGACCGTCCGCCAGTACGATCTGATAAGCAACGACGTTGTCGCATGCCCAACCATATCGTGATGTGAACCACGAATTACCCCCACCAAGGATAAAGCCCCCAACGCCAACATTTCCCTCTCTGCTACCCACGGCTGCGAGCCCATGTTTAGCTAATTCTTGATATACGTTCTTAAATCTTCCCCCGGCGCCAATTGTCACTGTTTTCGCATCATTGCCTAGGTAGTTCTTGTCCATAAGGCCGAGATCAATCGTTACACCACCAGTGATGTTATTAGTTCCTACCCCTGGAGAATGTCCGCCACCACGGATAGCGAATTTCTCCTGGGCAGCTACCAAAACATTCAATGTTTGAGAAACCTCATCGGGAGTCTTTGGTTGAACGATGCAGATAGGCCCTAACTTGGCAGTTTTCGACCAGTATGACTCCTCGCGGGATACATAGTCGGGGTCCGTAGGTGTCAGGACGTGCAGTCCGGCCTCGATCAATGAAGTCACTACAGGATATGATGGTTTGGGTATTATAGATGCCATGACATAGATATGGTGAAAGTGACAATTTTGTAAGATTTAGCAGAAATAAGATATGATGTGTAGTAACACAAATGATTTAATTCCCCTCGCAGTCATAAGTTTTCAACTCAGCTTTCCCATTGTGGTGGTCCACGCTACTATGCGGCGCATCCGCATATACCGTAACGCCACCCAATAACTAGACAACTGCATGTACACCGTCTCCCGATTTTCGCCCATACTGTCGCACAAACATCATATCCGAGACGTAAGTTCCCACCAACATGCCGACGGGCGCAGGACTTTCTGACCACCTCGCGATTCAATGCCTGTTTCATTTATGATCACAATTACATTTGTGATGAATGAAGAAAAAAACTCTGCATTTCCCCTTTTCTGATGCACACAACCAATTAGCAACTTCAAGCGCACCATCCTCGACACTAAGAACATTTCAAAATGTATACCTAGTAATATTAGAATGGTAGTTCTTTTGTGTTACATACTTGTCCTTCGATTGTGTTGATTAAATGCCATCACAATACAAAATAGATCCTAGCAGAACCCATCAATGAGAGATGTCATAATGCTATCCCAGGTTGGTAGAATGAAGCATCGGCCTCATATGCCGGGTCTACATGATTCCTATCATTAAGCTCAATATAGCGATGCGTAGTGATTTCAATATTGCGGGAGTTGTTCGTGGAATGCGATTTATTCGAGGACGGAGTGTTCTTGGTCGTGAAATTAGACAGTGTGCCTTGCATTCTCGGGTACACCGTAGAATTCTGAACGAAGCCAAGCCAGAACGACCGAAGCGCGGGGGCGCAACCGACTATAATAGCAATACAGCATTCAAGACACCTTTTCGATCATTAGTTATGAGTGAATTTCAATCGTAGAGGCGTGGGGGCACTGGTTTGCTTACGTGCAAAGCATTGCGATGGTCATAGCCGATGGGCCGCCAAGAAGTTGACTCTGGTAGTATAGGGAAATGATGGCGGTGGCGATGGCCCTGCGTATAGTCAATAGGCCGCCCTCAGACGATGTATAATTGAATCTGGGAACGTACAGCAAACCGATCAGGAATACGATAGCAACTCCAATTCTTTTCGAAAGCGGAAGGTTTAGACCTGTGATTGTTGGGATAGGCAGACCTAGAATGACAATATCGGTTGCGATGGCCGTGGCGCACCGCCAGATGCTGGTGGGGAACGTGCTTCTTTGACAGTTCACGAGGAAGGCATCGTCTATGGGTTTTCCCCTTGGGTCGCAAGGTATACTCGCATATATCGTGGCTGCAAGGTAAAGTGCCGCCGTAATTGCGAGAGTTGCATAGGATGTGACGCGCAACCACTTCTTGATGTTGAAGACTCGTGTGTAGAATACGAGGATAGGCGTCTTGGCGAAATACATGGCCAAACCAGCCGTAACGAGACACCCGACAGATACCTAGAGTTCTATTAGGGTATCAGTACGCTTTGGTAGGGATATGTCACTTAAGCTGGTGATGTGCTCAATTGTCGTCGTTTTGGCGTTGAAGGCTAATTTTGGTCAATAATTTAGTCTAGATACAAGAATTTCCTGTCACCTACACTGATTCATTAAAGATGACGTTGCCGAGTAACTAGCCAGGCAGATAAGGGCAATGGCGGAGAGATCTTAGAACCAAAACATTTAGCACGGGAATAATATAACGGGAGTCATTTACTCACAGTCATCCGTCCCTATGCTTTTACTGATGCGATAGTTAGTACCAAGGCGGATGGCCACAAAAATGCTAGTAACAACATTGATGGTAATTTGAGCGGCAACGTATGATTTTGGGGACACGCTGGTTGGTTCAAGGAACGAGTCCATATCGAGCTAGAAGGGGCCGATAGTGATTGGGAATATAAATGTAATTGAGCTACTATTTAGCTAGATGGTGCTAATTAATGAATTATAGTCTGGTTTCCCCTAGATCTTACTTCCTAAGTAAATACCACTCACATACTCACCTATTCCTCCTCGCCTTCGTGTCTTAGGAACGGCTCGTTGGGGCCCTATCTTAGTCACGACGCCACGCTGCATATCGACTCCCTAACAAGGTGTCATTGACCGAAACGGCGTAATTTGTTGAAACAGTCAAGGTGGTCCAAAAAGCTTATTCGTAAATCAAATCCCGTTGCCCATAACCCTTTTTCAGCCGAGAACGAGATGACCTACCTTAGTCATAGTACGTAATGAAATACCCCAGAAACCTCAGGAGGTGTGGAAAGGAAAAGCTATGGGGATGAGGGAGAGGGCTTTGCTTGGAAGAATTGTTAGGAAAAAATCATTACTCCGTACGTTATTTGTGTAACCACACCAAGGGATGACGACGTCCATGTAGCATTGGCAACGCACACTGTGCCCCCTGACCAATTATATCTCACAGCCCCCTAGAGATTAGGTATGTTGTAATGATAACGAGCCAATAGACCGACCTATATCCATACTCTCCCGTCCGATCGGTAACTGTCACGGTGATAGGAGCACTGGTCTGTATATAGCTCACCGCTCATGTAGGAGCGGAGCTCCTGCTTCTCTTCTTAATTCATACCGTTCATCATGCAGTAGCTCCACCTCAACGTGATAGTAACACAAAACGCAATAATAAAAAGCAAGTTCCAACCGCGCATGACAAGAGAAGGAATAGTCGTTGAATATCCGGCTTATAATTACCACCAGTTATCTTAACAAGTCAAGTAAGTATTTAACTTAAAATCGGGCTCAGTTAAGTTGATATGCCCTTTTTTAGGGTCATAGGATGTATTCTCTTTCGTACGTGCGCTTGAGATAATACTCCGAACAATTCTCTCATTGGTTAGACCTCGTTAGATCGCGACTATGGATTTAGCGGTGCTGTGTCAATATTCGTGGCATAGTGTCATTTCGCTAATGGTATTCACCAAGCTCCTATGTAGTTACAAAGACTTTTCAATCCAATTTCCTTAGTTAACTTACTAGAAGAGAACTACACATATTAGTCATGATCCACTCAGGGGCAGCTCACCATCTAGTCTCTTCGTGACCCAGCTCCAAAATGACCGCTATCATTTTCGATCCGAATCGGGCTTCGTGCCCCTGATATAACAGCTGTGGATCAAGTTTCTAGGTTTTTTTTTTTTTTTGGAAGCGATAGAAGTACGTCTTCTATTCTTTCTATATAGTTTGACTTTCTTCTCCCACGAATTAATTTTCCTGCCAAGCATCATTCTCCTAATAAACACCTAGCATCTCTACAACGGCTAATCTCTACCAGCGATCTTTAACGCTTGTCGCATGTTTACTCACAATGGCATCCGCTCGCGAACGAGTCTTGGGCATTACTGAGCTCCACGAGTTAGTCCTCAGAAATCTCCCGCCTTCAGATCTCTTGCTAAACGTACCACGGGTATCAAAGGGATGGAAAAATATCATCGATACATCTCCCAGGATCCAGCAAATGCTATTTCTAAGAGGGGTCCTCCGGTCGATCCCTACCCACGCGCCTCCATCTACTGACCGATATGTTAAGAATACAATCGTAGCACGCGCTTTTACGTTCTTTCGCGAGGCTAACTCCGTCGTCGCGAATAGGCACTACTACACACATCCAAACGACCCGGCGGCGAATGAAGCAGAGAAGAGACCGTTATTATTTAGCGCCAATGATGATGAATTTAGACGACGATGGTCGACGAAGCGTGCTAGTTGGCGAAAGATGTTGGTTTCACAGCCTCCAATCACAAAGATTCACTGGACAATTACACGACAGGATGAACCTCACCTTTCTGGACAACCTGGGACATTAGCCACCTTCACATTCGAAGATGGTTTACGGGTTGGTGACCTTTGGGGCCTGAAGGCTGTTTAGGATACACTTCCTTCGACTGGCCTGGTACTAAAGAAGAACCCGAGCCCCCACGTAAAGTTGATAATGAGTCAATGACCCAATACCGGGCTAGGTGGTCAGCTAAGCAAGGGTCAAGGGCGAGATTTCGGTATCAATGATGGTGCCTCCCGGAGCTAACCCTTTAACCGGCGGAGATTTGATGAAATACCATCGAAACCTCACCAGATTGGAGCGGGCGATGCGCGAAGTAGACGAAAATGGAGTGGAGACAGACAAATATGTCACACGGGATTTGGACGGCAGTTCAGCAATAAACGAATTCATACATGCGGCCCAGCGTGAAATAGAAGATCACAGTTGGATTTTCCAAGATGATATGCCGATACAGATGATATAATGCTAGGGATACGGGGCAAAGATGGGAAGGGTACCTGCAGCATCAGAGATGTGTCCGTTTGAGCCAACTCGGGCCTATTTATGACAGATGTTGTGGTGTTTATCGTGTTTCGTAGCACTTGGAAGCACTTTTGGAACAGATCCCTAGAAATCATAGAATCTTTCGCTATGGAATGGAATAGTACCTCGTATCTCGAAGCGGCCGCAGGACATAATAGATAAAATATTGAACTTGATTCCCACTTTCGCCATCGTTTCTGTGATAGCAGTCTTGACACCCCCTCCTAAGACAAATAAGATAATGAATTTTCTTACTGTGCGCCAGCTTACCAGCTGTTTAAGATCGTGTCTAGTCAATTGCTGTCCCTCGTCTAGGTCGTACTTTGTGCAAGCCTCTCAATAAAAAGGCATAATGCCTTCATGGCACTAGGTACCAATCATAGTACTACTAAAGCTACCACTAATTAAATCATTTTCTTTCCGTATTGGATTGGATATTGGTACTTACATTACGATACCAGACACAAGGCCATTTTGCACGCCGGTAATAATTCCCAGATGTCTCGTCGCGACATACTTTGGTAACGTGGTCGTAAGTATCAGGATCCATAGCATGAAACCATGCATGGGTTGGGTTGATCTTTCCAGGACCATGCTTGTAGTAGATCGGAATGTCGCGCTGATATGTGGCTACTAGGCACACTGAGTTCCCTGCGCCGTCGGGCCAATGCTTGCTTAGGCTTACTTCGCTGCCATTTCTTGCGAATCTATAGTGATTGCTATACCTATGCGGAGATTGGCAGTTATCCTGGGTTCTGGCAAAGAAAGTGTAGAAATCCGATCCTCCTCGCGTCCGGTTTCGTAGAGAAGGCAGGAACATTCATCGGGGTCAAAACAAACCATCTCTGGCAGTAGGCTAGAGGGGGTCAAGGGAAAGTAAATGCTAGCCGGTCCTTGTCGATACTGATAGAAGAGAGACCTCAGCTTCGAAGTAGATACTTTCCACCCGGGGTAACAGTAAAAGCGTCGAGACCGCTATGGGGTTGCCACTTTAAATTGAGAACCACCACATCGTCTAAGGGGCGTCCGCCGGATTTTAAGCGAGCTTGTGGCCAAGTCGGGGCCCCATCAGTAGTGCAGTAGGTATCATGGCTAGGATCGTGACATTCAATCAGGAAATTGTCGAAGCAAGCTTGCCAGTCCCCAGGCCTCTTTCTCTGCCAGAGAGCGATATGAGATTTAATGGTAGCCCAAGTGATATGGATGTGCTCGCAAAGTTGTACGGCCCCTTCGTGATCTATACACTTTCGGTCCTGTTTGCCGACATCCAAGTTGGAAGGGGAAAAAGACAATAGGACGTGATCCATGCGACAAGCATTGCAGAATAGCTGGTCCTCGGGCAATATGGGGGTGAACTTACAGCGTATCTCACTTCTATAATTAATCTTTTCGGGATGATCTTTGCACTTGTCGCACATCAAGTCTCTCTGTAGGCGCTTGCGGAGTTGGTGATATAAGTCTGGGTTATGCCTCGGTAGATTCTCAGTACTCAGAATTTTTTTATTTATGGCTTTGCAAATATCGTGATCATATATTATGCGCCTAAATGTTCTCGAGACACATCGCAGGCAATAGAAAGATAGTATATCGCCGCTCGAGTAGTGGATGATGAGGCATAAAAGCTCTTCTGGAAGTCTACAGAGTAGATTGTGCTTGTTGTTATAGACTTGGGCTGCTATCCAGGGATCCATGGTACGTTGAAGTTCACTTAGAGTGGTCAACATTTTGAGGCGTTGTTTCTCGCGTTGCTCCTCTTGGTGTTCCTCTTGGTGTTCTTGGTGTTCTTCTTTCTGTTTCTCTTGTTGTTCCTCCGGTTGTTCTTCCTGTTGTTCTTCCTGTTGTTCTTCCTGTTGTTCTTCCTGTTGTTCTTCCTGTTGTTCTTCCTGTTGTTCTTCCTGTTGTTCTTCCTGTTGTTCTTCGTGCTGTTCCTCCTGTTGCTCCTCCTGTGGTTCCTCTCGGTCTAGCTCGCTCGGTATTGAATCCTGCAGCTGCTTCTGGTATATTTCTTCCTATATTGGTTCATTTTCTTGTTCCTCACGGTCCACCTGGTATCGACATGGACATAACTTTTGAATCCATCGTATAAAACGAGACATTTTGAATAAGCATGTGGCTAGTAAATGTAAATGCTCCCAGCGCAAATGTGTGAGTGAACACCTGCCATCTGTAATTGATGCTTAATAGTTAATCAGAGATGTATTTATACTTAATAATTAGATACCTCGTCTCAAGATGTGGTATGACATTTAACAAACCCTAATTTCAAAAACGGGTACTCGGATCAAATATCATGAGAAAAGGTTTCTTGAAGCAGTCAAACATCCTTGATACTAAATCTTGCACCAATGTCTCCACGATAGGAATGGATATTCGGCTTAATTCTTCTCATTTACTTTCGATCTTGCCGTGATATGTCTATGTACAGAGTGTGCCCTAATTGTTTATTAGGTAACCCCCATATTAAGCTTCATTAAGTTTACCGGTCTATATGAGGGATTCTAATAAGAAATCTAATAGTAATACAGGATGTAGAATAAAATGTTTAACAGAGAACTAGGGAACACCTAAGTGTCTATGCCGTAGGCTTCCAGCTTATTCGGCCGTAGCGAACAACGGCGAGTTGGGTTGGCATACAGTGTCTGGCTTCGGCAAGGTTCCCTCGAGGAAGTAGTTTTGGATAAAGTTGTTGGTGCAGTTTGACGGTTGAGTGAGAGAAAGATGCTGCAAAAATAATTAGCTCTAACGCGGCGGAAAGAAAAGGGGGGAATGTAAAAAGGGGGTAGGGGATACTCACGCCATGACCATCATGCGTCAACAATACACTACCCTCGAAGCCCGAGCTCATATTCTTAGCGGAAACAAGAGGAGTCACGGGGTCATAGCTGTTTCCAACGAATAGCAAGGGGTTCTTGGTCTTAACCTGGAAATCACCCTCGTACCGCTCCGCAGCCTCAAACTTCCACTGTGCGCACGGCATCATGTAGTAGCCCCAAGCGAAGTCCCAGAACCACTTGCTGGTCTGGCGGTACTGCTCCATGACAGCCGCGAGGTCTTCAATATTGTCCGTTCGCTGTTTCTTATCGCCGCATCGGATACCCAAGACAGCTTGGTCCTGCGACGGAATGCCACCGTCGAGCAGGCGGTTCACGTATGCGTCGTACTTGCCCTCGAGAATGTCGGCGAGAGCGCGAGATAGGGAGGGCCAATCGGAGGGCCTATACATGGTGATATAGATATGTCCGACGAAACCCGAGTAGTCGAGCACGGCCGAGCCGTTGTACGCCGGTGGGCTGTCGCGGAACATTTTCCAAAGCGAGTCCATAGCTGCCTCTAATTCCTCGTAAGTTCGGTTCTTGGCCAGAGGGCAGTTTTCAGGTTTCGCGATGCAGCCCCGCATAAATTCCTCCCAGATGCCGTCGGCTGATGCGACCATCTCTGGTTCACCACTGTAACCTGTCAGTACAAATTTTCCGGATTTCTGCTATATTACACAGGGGGTGCAGGATAGACATACTAAGAGTTGTAGTACTCGTGCGAGTTCATTACGCCATCAAGCACAACTTTGTCCACCCTATCGGGGAACATAGCCGCAACAGTCGCGCCCATCGCCGTACCTCCAGAAATGCCTTGGCGAATTCGTCAGCTTATCGTCACATCCAGATTCAGATCTCATCGCAATCGTGAACTTACCCCAGTATCTCAGCATACCATCCTCGCCAAGTGCATCGACGATGGACATCATATCCCTAGCAGCGAATGCCATACCGACGAAATTACCAGTTTCTTTCTGTTGAAGGTAGCACTGATCTGCGATAATCTCGCTTTCAGCCCATAGTTTGCCCACGGCTGTATCCGCGGCCCCGGCTCGTGTTTGGCCCATGGCGGCGTAGTAGTTTGTCGTGTCATTGGGCCAGCATGAGAATCGGATGGTTTGACCGGTTCCTCTGTTAGATCAGTTGTCAGAATATTCGTCGCTGGGTTTTTATTTTATTTTCCTTTCTTTTTTTTAAAGGAAAAAGAAGAAAAGGAGAAAAAAAAATGTCTTACCTCGGATCCCAACTAACTAAATCATGGTAACCTCCGGTTGTCCTGTGCGACGTTAATCAATACTGTTACAAGTTACACAAGCATAAGGCAAGACCACTTACGGTGCCATCAGGCCAGCATAATCAAGCATGCTATTCAACCCATCTTGTCCTGGACCGCCGAAGTTAAGTAAGATACTCCCACGCTTCGGGCCTTTTGTAGCCGGATACTTGATAAGGTCAAGGGTGAGAGTCTTGTTCGAAGTCTTATCGGTGTAGTCGAGGGGAACGGGTAGTTTGGCGCATTGTACGGGGAGAGTGGTGTTTAATTTGCAAGGACCCCATTTGATGCCGGTGTCATAATCGCGTTTGTGGATGCTCACCGCGCTGGCTCCGGCGGCGAGCGATGCGAGTGAAATGAGAGCTTTAGACGATACCATTTTGAACTTGTATGTCTATCGAGAAGTTGTTGTGTGATGCAGAACCCAAAACCAAGCTATTAGTGAGTCCTCAACATCTTATATAACACCACCAGTCCTATGTAGGCAAAAGCCAAGGCCCAACTCATCACCGCAACCTCCCTACGTAACACTCCTGCATTACAGCCTCATCTCCAGCTCCAGGCTGAGCGCTCCATATTCTGGGGAAAACCAAGCCATGACACGCCGAATCGAATACGTCGACCAATCACATCCCCCCAAGTTGAAAATAATATCCTAATCGGGAATACGGCGTATCTGCGATTGGATCCTATCCCCGCCGATCTTGCCCCTACCCATCAGCCCTACGCCTAGCTATACCTTTCCGCTCCCGCTTGGCAAGGTAGCTCGCAATTCCCACTACCATCATAATGCAGACTTGGCAAAGAGGCTGTAACCAGTTCGCTAACCTGAATTCGGATGAAATATTCGAGTTTCGTGGCTCAAGATTGGTGTTCGAGAAAACGGGATGGAATATGACGTATAATGATTGACATGAAAGGGCTTGTCAGGCATACTAGGACGACTGAGCCTTGATAACCTTATGAAATATTCGGGCAACGATTATCATTACATTCCTATAATAATTTTAAAGTTAAAGTTAATCAGAAACATAAGAAACAATACGGTCGCATATGTACGGCGTATAGCAATACGCGGAAATTTTCCGCAGGGCATCGAATTCCTTGTCTTCCGCTCTGATTGTGGTAGAATTAATTGGGGCGTCAATATTTATTTATAGGTAATTTCGTCAATATTTTGCTTTCTCCCTCTCTTATTTTCCTTTTTCTTATTCGTATCCTTTTTTTTTTTTTTTTTTTTTTTTTCGAGAAAAAAAAAAAGGAGTTGTTACTTCGCCTGAGAAACAACCCCAACCCATTCATTCTCTAGGGTGGTATTGATGTCTTATACTACGATACTCAAATTATTTTCTAGGGGTCCGAATTAAACCTGATTGAATTAGGCGTGTCTCAGATGTTGTGCATTGTGGATAAACATGACCCCCATCTCAGCTATCAAGCGAATCGTACATCACCAAATCACGAAACCAACGTCGAAGAACCAATCTGTTTAATCAATCATAAAATTGCAGTATCAATTGTTTTTAACAGCCAAGTAATTAAGCCCAGCACTATCAGGTCTTTCAATCAATCAAATCATTTCAAATCAAAGCTAAACAGTCCATGCCCTGCTCATTCCCATATCGCTCCCGTACCTAGGTATGTATGCCCATCCAACGTAGGTAATTGATATCATGAGAAAGCATGGAAAACATCGGCTATTGTACGCCGGCCAAAAATCAACATCATCAATTGGATGAAGAAACGTTATAAAGCAAAAAAAAAAAAAAAACAAGTCTATCATAACACACTTCCTTTCGTCAGGTAGGTTTCAAGTAGGTGGATACAAGTGGATGGGTAGGGTAGGTAGATAAATAAAACAATTGCCGTAATTGGTGATAAAGTTCCGATAAACTCGCTCGTTAAATCAAGGGGTCATAATTTCATCAATCTTCCTCGATGCTACTATTGTAACCACTAGGAGCACCGCCGGCAGTAGCTGCGGAACTTCCTGTAGTCATCCTAGATATTTCGGAGGCTCCCCCGCGACGGCCCCGTCGAAGCTCACTTACATCGGGAAGCTCATCGACGTTTTCGGGAGATATGCTGCCGCTGGCATCGTAGGGATGACCATCGTCGGAATGTTCGTCTTCTTCATCATTTCCAGACAAATCAACATCCGAGCTTGGATCGTCCTCAACAATAGCTCGCCGGCTCATCAAGCTCTCCGAAGAGTCGTCATCCGGGGTCTCATCGTCATCCTCGAGGTCCGAATCGCCAGCGGTGAAATAGAAGGTAGGTGGAGGTAGAGGTACAGGAGGTAGTCGACGAATCCTCCCCGCTAGGTATTCGATCTGAATTGGATGTGCGCTAATATCGGTAATCTGACTCGGTACTGGCGACCGAGTTGACATGGAAGCTAACTTCTGAATAATAGAGTCGGTAGTGATTCTAGAGTCTGTGGTCTCTTGACTTGGGTGGTCGATAAGCTTCGGTCGCGTTGTCGGGATTTCTTCATTGTCGTCATCATCGTCATCTTCGTCATCTTCAGAGCCACTGTTGTCATTATAAGGTACACACTTCGGCCGCCTTGTTGACACAACAAAGACGAAGTGATCTTCGGGATATACGCCTCCAAGGCCGCTTGCTTCGAGGTTCAATAAAGAAGTGTGTTGATTGCTATTTGACCAGGAGAAGTCGGCGTCTATGTCATCGTCCGTCTCACCGGAAGTCAAATCTGGAGGATCGACGTCGGCATCATCTTCATCGAGATCCATTCGCGAATTACGGGCATCGTGGGATTCCCTAGTGCTGCTCAGGGGTCTGAAAGGGAGTGACGATCCTGACGTAGAGCGGCTGAATTGGGGGCGGGTATTGCCGAGGCTGATGGGGCCCTGACCCCCCTGGTTACCCGATGAGGTCATATCGTACGTGGCGGGAGAGATTTCCCCCTCGCCAAAATCTCCCGAAAGGTCCGTGCAGAAGGGTGCCCCGCTGTAATAGATGATTGCACCGTCGCGACGGCGCTTACGCTGTGACACCCCCGATACACCACTTTGACCCCAACGGGAATTCATCCCCAAATTGCTCTCTTCTGGCGGGCCGTATGACGAACCCGTTTCGTCCCCGCCTGACGGCTGTTCGTCGGATGATGATGTTTGGTGGTGCACAAACAAAGGTTTGTAGTGGAAATTCTCGGATGAATTCGAGTCCTGCACGCCGAGACCAAATTTCGAAGGCTTGTGCGCTATGACATCATTTCCAGACGCCTGCGTTTTTTGTTTTTTCCTCTGCTCCTGATCGTTCGATCCGTCCGTGTCGTCACTTGATTGGTTGCGCTGCGAGTAGCTACCGCTGTCGCTGCTAAACTTAGTACCTTCGACCCCACCGCGCCAACGGATCTTGCGTCCATCTGGCGACAGCTGGAATTTCATGCTTCTCTCTGACACCGCGTTGCGAATGAAGGCCGGCGTCACATTGAGTATATGCAGCTGTGCCAAATTGCACAGCAGATTGAGATACACCCAACCTTCCGCATCTGGCGACACATCCCTTGCAGAGAACTGTTTCTGAGATTCCGGTGCGACCAGTCCCAGATGACGTATATAGTCCATGTTCTCTGATGGTACCTGTCTGCGGTCAGGGTCCAAGTCGCGTGGCCTTGTTGGACGCTGTTCGGGCGGTGGCATTGCTGTTTGTTGCGGTGAAGTATTGTTGCCATTTCCACCCGCCCCCACGTGTCCGCTACCACTACCACTGCCACCCCCATTACCGTGGTCCCTTGAATCTGTCTGATCGCCATTCGAATGGGAATTCGACTGCGAGTGTGAATTCGATGCAGATCCATTGTCGCGTGAGCTACTATCTTTGCGTCTTAAATTTCGCGGTCGGATTTGAGCCTCTCGAATCTCATTGGTAGGTACAGTTTTCTCGTCCGTGTTCTCCATTTGAACATCCTCGACGATAGGCTCGGGGACTAGAGGTAATGGAATGTGCTCAACTGGATCACCCATTTTACCTGTGAATAGATGCTCAAGCCTCTTGACTACGAGTTTCTTCTTATCCTTCTCTGTCATAACTGTAGGGCGTGGCCATAGACCCTCGGGAATATCTCGTAAATAGTTCTCAATTTTCTGCTCAGACCGTTGGCGCGCAGCTTTAGCTTGACCAGGTAGCGACGGTACAGAGGAGCTTGGGCCTGTCGACATGGATGCATATGCCGAGTCGACCGGCCTTGAGTTGGATCCCGATGATGAGGATGCATGTTTAGACGAGTGAATATTCTTGGCCTTACTAGAGGTCTTCTTTCGGCTTGAAGAGCCGCCGGGGCTTGAGCTGTCTAGACTCGTCGTGAAATCTCGAAGAGTTGCTTCCAACTCTCGCTTCCTCCTGCTAGACAGACCGTGAACCTTGACTTCAAACAATTTCTCTTTGCGCATGGAGTCGGGTCCCATCTGTTTATACTTCCTTAATTCTTCTTTTAGACGTTTGTTCTCGACGGTCAAGTCGTCGATTACGGATCTGAATTCATCGTTGGAGGAATCTAACCCGACGCGAACACCTGGAACGCGGCTCTGTATAAATTCGTATGCTGGGCTTTGCGACGATATTCCGTATTTCGCTGCTACCTCTTCATTAGACGATTCCGTCTCTTTTTGGTAGAAGGGTGGATCGAGGTCCATTGCCCTCATATCCGTGTTGTCCATCGCATTTTTGTTAGATGCCTCGAACCAGTTCTTCGCACTCTGACCAGTTTCGTTACTTTCCCCCGACGAGTTCCTCCGGGCCGCAGAGTGACCCCCTGGAGGGGAAACACCTCTTGCCCTTCCTAAGCTTATTGATTTCTGGGCCGCTGTTCGTCTCGGGTTCTTGAATGTGATCGGGGGTGGTGGGGGCTCGGAGGCCGCTGGCGCATTTTTCGGGTCCGGCATGATGGTCGCATCGACTGCTAGATACCCCCTTTACCCTTCGTTTACTGGTAAATAAAATACGGAAAACCAAATTTCTCAATTAAATCATATGAACGTGTGGGAAAGGCCCAACAATAACAACATAATCAGTTGTCAACGGAAAGATAAGACTATTATAAATCACCCAATCAGTTAGCAGCGGCAACGTAGAAAAAAAATAATAGGAGAAGATTTAACAGAATTGGTGGCGTCTGGTAAAAAAAGCAGTTGAAAAATTGGGTGTAGTATTATTATTATTAGGTAGGTAGACAGGTAGGTTAGGTAGCTAAAGGAGGGTGGGCAGCGCTGTACGTTTTTGGCCGCTCACGGAGACGCAGGCTGCGCGCATATTATTACAGCAGGTAGATGTGGTGGTGAGTGACATGAATGGGTCGATAAGTACCAGCTATAGTAGGGAAAGGTACAGCTCAGAATGCGATAGAAGCCTCTGCGAGATGTCATTGAGATGCAGGCATACCATAACCGAAAGGGGGTTGGACTGTGTGAAAAGTGAATAATGTAACGTCATACCTGCGGTAAAAGTTGTGCCCTGAGTTGGCGAAGCCGGGCTGGGTTCGTATTGGTATTGGCGTGTAAGTATTGGCGGAGGTTTAGTGATTTTTGGTATATTGTCGAACAGGATCGGGTGGATTGGCCACCCGGGTAGACCTTGTAGACCTTGTAGACCTGGGTAGATCGAAAGAGGGAACAAACAGTATAGCTCCTGTTTGTACAGTATGTAGGGGTTGGGGGGTGTCGACAGGATTGTACAGATTGTATGGTTGAGATGGGATGTGAGTATGTACGTATGGTGGTATTTTATGTATGTAGTATGTAGGTATGTATGCGCAGGGTAGGTTGAGGTGTGGTGGTAGAGCTCCGACAAGTAATATTGGTAAAAGGTGATAATGATAAAAATAGGGAGATCCCTAGATTGGTCGATAGGTAGGGTAATAGGGTATGTAAGTAGGGATCAGACCGATCGTGGGAAGATGGTGGTGGTAGTAATGATGGTAGCAGTGGTGGTGGTGCTGCTGCGACTACTGCTGGTGATGCTAAGGAGGTGGAGTGTGAGTAGTAGTAGCATTTACCGAACAGTTTTTCAAATGAAAAAAAAAAAAAAAAAAAAAAAATGAGTTAAAAAGTGTAAATGGCCTCAAATGTGATAGTTGATCAAAAAACGGTATAATGGGTTTATTAGCAATTGAAAATAATTAAAGACGGTAGACCCTCACTTTTTGCTTCCTTGGTCGTTAAGGAAAGAAATAAAAAGGTACGGCACGGAAACAATATGTATGAGGAAAATACCAAACCGCATCGAGATTCAATACGAAAGTCGACGGAGGCGACTAGGGCTCAAGGAAATTCCCCCTTGAACCCTTTCGCCGCCGGTTCGATTTCCTTTCTCAGATTTGGTAAGTGATTTGACAGTTCTCACCCGATGCACTTGAACTTGTACGGACCTGGGGATCGAGCGTAACGACCTCGCATCGCACAATTTACTCTGCAGAACCCTACACGTACCATGTACCTATGTCGATCTAGGGGTCCTCTGCTTATTTGGGTACCGGGGGGGCTAGACCAGCTCTTGACCAGCCCCGACCAGTTTGGTGTTCAGTCGATTCCTACTGGGGGGGCGTGAAGGCGTGAGAGTAGAAGAAATGCTGACCAATTGTGGGTGAAAAGATGGAGAGGGGGGTGAATTGAGAACCCGATTTGTGGATAAGGGAACAAACTTGGCACCCCCCAAGGTTCGAAGCCAAAAGGCCAAAGTTAGGTACATACATATGTACGTACTTATATGTATGGGTGCATGTACGGTAGGTGCGGTAGGTACACTCCAACAACTAAACAGCCAGTTAAGCCCCGAATTCTAGTGGTTAATAGGTAATAGGCGAGCGGCATACAGCGATGGATATAGTGGACCCAGGCCTAAGAGAAGAAGAAAAAAAAAAGCGCAATGCATCTGGAAAGTAACTTCCTACCTTGCAACGTTAGCTGAGCAGTCGTACGATTGGTGACCAAAAAAGGGTAAGCGTATATACTCTACCTAACCCACCCTGGAGGTGCGGTGCTGCCGATCTGAGATTTGCAGGGTCATCGCGATGAGAGCTGATGATTGGGTGGGTCGGTGGAATCCCGACAAAGAACCGGCCTTCTCGTCTAATTGGCCCATTTATTCTTCCCATATACTTACATGTAGGTACCCATTATTATAGGTATATATGTATATATGTAGACTATACGTAACATGTCTGCGTGTATATTATCCGTCATCTTACCTCTAATCTTCGACCTCTTTCCATTTCACGTATGCGATCACCGTGATGGTGTTAAGGTGTCAGGGCCCCCATCAGGTGATTCTACTAATATCATACATCTGCTACCGACCATTACCATACCTACCGACCTCCCAGAACTTATGCTAAAGGTGTGCGGGTGTTCTGGTTGTTCCCCCGACTGACCACCTTGACCACCTAGTCATAGTTAGCATTGTTCCGAGAGATCGCTCAGGCAAAGGGGGAAACACCCCTAGTCAAGATCTAACAGACACTGTCAGAAGGCCACGTCTTCGTATCTCCAAACCAAAGGAAATCGAAACTATGAAGTAACTTCTGGAATGGTTATCTCGATTCAGCAAGTTGCTGTTGTTTTTCGGCTTAGGGCCTTTTTCCTATTTTGTCATGACGTTGCTTTCCGGTTGCGTGTTAGTATCGTGATAGTTGCACTGACCACCTAACATAACATCTGGAATTCGGTATTTGTTTTTACTAGTATATGCCGAGTGGATTTACGCTCGATCTCAGATTTCGAGAATTCATTGAATGTTCATAGCATTTTCGTTGCTATCATGTGTTTATTATTATTCTCTTTTCCTTGGGATGTCTTAGTCGGCTTGGCGAGGATTGTCCCTAAGCCGGGGTCTCTGCATTGTCACGATATTAAACTAGCAGACCCACCGGTGGTGACACCAAAAATCCCATTTTCAGCCGTGGGAAATTGGAAAATACCATTCCAACTTTCCCTTTTTTTTGACCCTATTCACAACCGGGACGGCGTCTTGATCGTCAGGGACGAATATTCCTCCGTCTTTAGCCAACTTTGCCACCCACGCGAGATACACATGGATGGCCACATCGTTCAATATACTAAGTAGTAATTGAGTGGGGCTCAAAATTACAGGGATCATCAACTATTTCGAATGTACACATGTACAAGTTATAGTGGTTTTCTAAGGCACCGACACAAACCCTCATGCCATGCATGACCTATAAACTAGACACTACGTCATAATCTTTACTCAATAGAAATAGCCGGATTTGGTACATCCACCTACGTATTCTCCGACCTTCTTCCCTTTTTGTCTTAACTAAGTATAACCAACCAATCAGGACTCAGATATAGATACACACACATACTGTTTACCTTTCCAGGTAGGTACACGAAATTGATGTTAGGAATGATTATTGATGAGGACTATCATATGATCTTTCAACTCTTTTTGAGATGAGCGAATGGGTTTACATAATGTTTAGAGGTTTGCTGGGATTGTCAGATCTTAAAGTGCCTCATCCTTCCTCCCTTCCAAGTGCAGTTCCCCTCATTCCAAACCTGCTAACTAAATAGCGACTAACTCACACGGCCTCCTCGGCGCATATGACGATGTCGCTATTTAGCTATTGACTAAGACAATACTACCTACCTAACTGGGTAGGCAAGCAATATCGTGTTTTTCCCCAACTAATCCATCTAAGCTTCCGGTTTCACTTCTTAGCAGCAGCAGCCTCCTCCGCCACCTTAACCAACTTCGGTATCCACTCGCTCGTATACAAACTATCCGCAAACTCCAAAATATCATCAATACAACTCCCATCCTCACTAACCGTGAAGATCCATATATACTCATTCTCATACAGGCCCGCAGTTGTCTCGGCGCGCGACTTCAAGTGCATCGCGACCTTCCGAGAGACGTCATCAATTAACGGCTCCTCTCCTTCGACAAGCCCTATGTGAAATGTGCGAACGATCGGTCGCATCAAATTCACGAAATTCACCCAGTCGGTGTTGGTCTGGGGAGGCGTTTTCAGCGTAGCGGGGCACTCGCGATGGAGACATGAGGGGCTGCGGTGCCGCACGACTGATTCTGGTGTGAATTCGTTGAAGGCTTCTAGGAAGACGTCGGTCGCCTTGAGAAGCTGTTCGCGAGTGAGTGGCGACATGTTTTTTCTGGAGCTTTCGGTGGTGAGTTTTTTGTTTGCGACGGTATATGCTCCCTTGATTCTGGGTTTTTGTTGCTCTCCGTCATTATATGATACTAGATTGGCATCATCCTAGTTTATATATCCCCTTTTCTCCTCACCGATCTTATTCCGCTTGAGGTCTATACCCACTTCGCATTGTTCTGAGCCGCTCCTTTGCTTTAGGTAGTCAAACGAAAGGTTGGTGTTAGCTGCACGAATCCCTAGTTGCAGTGCGATACTACGTCGACATCAATTTAATTGGTTATATCGTGAATCTCCTTAGAATCAAGCGGATTAGCGAGCTAATCTTGCCGATTAAAATTACTTCAAGTTCGCAAAGTTGGCACGCAGATAGCCCAGAGCTGCTATAATATGTCTCGATGAACCACTACTTTATTACCATTCCTGCCCCAACATTCATTGTATATTAGGTACCCAAGCAGGTTTACCTTGGTTAAGGATAAGAGGGTAACATCAGGACTTGCTGCCCGGGATGAGAATAACTTTTCAGCTGAGTTACCTACCTAGGTAGGTAGAGTCGACCAGTAAAGCCCGAACGCCGTGTGTATTCTAACCTCGTTCCCATGCATCCTACCCAAGGATGTGTCAGTGTCGTTGTGTTAGCCAATATACCTAATCCCCCTACATCGTCATCAGAATTCAGAGTGGTTTGCCAATGCGAAAATTTCTCCATCGCTGAATTCCAGCTCTGCGGGTTCTTCCAAACACATCTGGGTAGCATCGGACTACGGCATAGTGTCACTTATACCAGATGGTTGCCCTTCAAAACGAAAAACCGACGGATCCGGGAACGTGTTTAGGAGCGCAGAGGTTGAATGCTGTGATGGAGAGGCCTGGTTATTCTGGTTCGCGGGGAGTGCGCTTTCGTCAGGCGGATTGAACCCGTAGTCAAGTCCTGTGGTGCTGTCCATAGCAACATATCCAGCACCCGAAGAATGAGGAATACTCAGGTTTGCGATACCCTCACTTGCCCCCCCGTGTAATACGCTTATACCCGCATTCACTTGCGACGAAAGACCGCCGTCAAAGTCGAGATCAAACTCGCGATTACTTGGATTAGGTAAGTCGAATTCATCGGAAGGCTCATCGTTGTTGCTTTTGTTATATTTATTAATAATTCTCGGTAACGCATCTTCGAATAGACGTCGCGAGAAAGCTATAATCTCATCATCGTGGAGCGCTAATTCGGGCGAAATATGTTCTCGCGCCTTCCGCTCTACAATATCGAGTCCTGTCGTCATCATGAAATCTTCCAATAAAAGGAGTTCACGAGATAGATCACTGTCCAGATATGGAGAAGCTGGGGGGGTTTCGTCGTCGAAGAGTGTTTTCCAGATTTCATACCATTGCTTCTGTTTTGAGAGGTCCTTATTGGATCGACGTTGAAGCAGATTTAGCCTTTCTGGGGATATCCCTATGATATTCATTTTGGGGCGCGAAGAGCACTGCCGATTTTGAACATGACTCTCAAAATTACACTGTTTGCGGAATGTCTCCCAGCACGTAGGGCAGTACAGTGACGGCGCGTGGTCGCGGCGGAAGTGCTGCTTTACCCTAGAAATATCTCTTAGGATATTTTTACAGTGGTATGTCGAAGGTTTCCATTTAGCAAACGGACAGGCCCAACAGACCCTTTCTTGCTCGAAGGGTTAGGACGATGCTTTTTGGTGGGGGGAAGATTATCTCCATCTTCTTGTCTTTTATCATTACAACGTTTCCCTTTAAGCTGGCTCGAATTATTAGAGCCCTTGTAACTCCCTTCTCCCTTTTGGCTACCTATGGGGTCTTGTGGATTCGATGTAGCGTTTCCCGGTTGCGCTGTCTCGGGATTTTCCTTGAACCGAGGAGAATAAGTATTGAAGTAGAAATCCAATAATTCGTCTAATATCAACGATGAAAAGGGTTGAAGAAGGGCTATAATATTTCTTTCATCCTCAAATTTACTTTGGGTTGCCGAGTCATATTCGGACCGAGAGTGGCTCTGAAGCAATGTCTCGGTTATTGATCCAATCCCTACATATGGTTCATCTCTCATTGCTTGGGGCGTAAAATGCCCAATCCCTTCCCGTGGTTCATCTCCCGTTGCTTGGGGCGCAAAATGCTTATTCGTGCTACCAGTCGGAGGAAGTGTATTTCTAATGGGGGTTTGTTCCTTCTCGCACCCGGATTTTCCTGGAGGAATGTTGAGAGCGAGCGAATTGTGTGTTTCCTTCTCCATCTTCGGGAAAGACATATCTAGAAGATAGGACCTGGGAGTAGATCTGGGGAGAATTAGAAGAGAAGGTATTAACGGTTTAAAAGGGCCCTAAACTATACAATGTCACCTAGACGTATCGCACATTTGTGTTAAGCAGCCTAGTGTTGAAATTTGGTACCTAGGTACATGTAAGATGGGGGATCCAATGGTACCTCATCTCCGCCCTTAAGCGAGTATAACCTCAAACTCAAACTCTCCCATCAAAAGCGCATACTCATCCCGAGTCTTCGGGCCACACGAACCACTCCCAAGTCCATGATGCACCCCATCAAGTCTCAACACCACATTCTCCGCCCTCTTCCTACGTAGCTCATAAGGATGTTTCGCAGCTTCCACATCAGCGGCACGGTAATGCGACGCATTAAAATCGAACGACTTCACCTTCTTCTCCGGAGCGTTTAAGTCCGCGAATGTAGCGGTAATGGACTCGCCTCCAGCGTCTGTGAATTTAACCCACCGCGTATCCGTCCGATTGCCGCTTTCTTGTGGGTATTCGTAGTCGGTCCAAAGTTCGGATACTTCCGCGACTTGGTATATACCCGTGCGCTGCGAGAGTTTCTTGTCCCGGTAGCTCTCGCCGGGACCGCGGCCGTACCAAGTCACTGCCGGCGGTGCGTCGCCGGCGCTTCGTCCAGCCCAACTACTCGGTAGCTCCATGGTGAGGCCTATGCGCGGCAGTGTGCGAGGTAAGTTCTGTCCCTTCGGAGTACCCTTCACGCGGATCGCAAGAGTACCCGATGCGTGGAATGTGTAAGTGAAGTCTAGGTCGATGGACCATGAGAGAACTGGTGGGGCAAACCGTTGCTGTACATGGATGACAAAAGTAGTCCCATCAGATTCAAGATTCCATGTGCAGCCGCGGGTATAAGACTTTGCGAGATGTAGCAATCGATTTTTCCAGTCACTTCCGTCTTGTGGCGCGTCATTATCTGTTGGGGCTCGGTAAGCGGTAAACTCGGGACTAGTGGCTAAGAATTCGGTGGAATTTTTCCTGAATGAGCGCAACTTGCCGTGAACCGGCGAGAATGTCCATGATGTGTTTGCGGAGTTAATGGCCAGAAGATTTGGGGACTCGATAATAGTCACTTTGTCCCTGGGCTCAGCTTGGGCTATGGGGGAGAGAGTAGGGTCATTTATGGAAATCTCTTCAAAGGCGACCTCGAACCCTGCAGGAAGAGATAGTGTTGCGGTACGTTGGCGGAAGGACAATTGTAGTATGCCCTCCCCAGTTAAATAATCGGGTGGGAGAGGAAGCGCCAGCTCGGTTGTTTGGCCTGGCCCCACCCCAGAAGGAATCTCAATGCCGCCGGCATGAGATGTTGGCTTGCCTCCATCTAGCACCACATAATTGCATTTTAGATGATTGAGGTTAATGAAGTCGTACCGATTGATGATAGTCGCGCTCCGCGATGTGTGCGAAATGACCTTGACTGGTTCGAGTCCCTTTTTATACTCAATCAATCCGGGTGTTGGTGTATGATCGGAATGCAGCACCCCATCCATGATAAAGTTGCTGTCATTTGGGACATCGCCAAAATCACCCCCATACGCATAAAATTCGTCGCCAGTTTCCTTGTCCTTCGTTAAAAGGCCATGGTTCGCCCATTCCCAAACAAAGCCACCCTGGAGCTTTGAATATTCGTAGAAGGCATCAATGTACTCCTTGATATTCCCTGGACCGTTGCCCATAGCATGAATAAACTCGCACAGAACTAGAGGCTTGGATTTGGAGTCGTCTTTTGCGAAGTTCACGATGATTTCGATCGGCGGATACATCATAGAATACATATCCATAGTTCCGGCGTGTATATCGGCCTCATAGTGGACCGGTCGACTATCATCGTATGATTTGATCCAATTATACATTGACTCGTGGTTCCGACCGAAGAAAGCTTCATTTCCTAAGGACCAGATGATGACAGAGGGGTGAAGTTGGTCGCGACGAACCAATTGCTTGGCACGGTCTACATAGGCTTCCTCCCAAACAGGATTGTCTGATGTCCATTTGGCTGCATCATTTCGAGTTAAGAGCTGTCGCTCGCGGAAAGGGAGAACTCGATCTGCAGGAGATAGCGCGGCGTCGCCTGTACGGGTCAGAAATGGGTAGGACAACATCGATTGCGAACGTTGAACTCACAAATAGACTCAAACCCATGACATTCAAGATCGGCTTCGTCCATAACCCAAAACTACGTAGAATCAGTACCCATAAACGCAAGAGCTGAGGTATCGTGAACACTTACGCCTAATTCATCAGCAAGGTCATATAGCCGAACATCGCTTGGCTGATGGCAAGTTCGGATAGCGTTGATGTTGTGGGTTTTCATGAGTAGTAGATCCTGTTTCATAAATTCAGAAGGAACGGCTCGTCCAAGCTTGGGGTGGTGCTCATGTCGATTGGCACCTTTCAGGACAATTCGTTGGCCATTGACCTTGATGAGTCCATCCTTCATCTCCACTTGTCGGAAGCCTATGCGATGAGCAACGTAGCTTGTATCATTCAACGAGACCATCAGATGATAGAGCGTAGGTGTTTCCGCCGTCCATTTCAGGGGATTTTCTACAGGGAGAGAAAAATCGACTTTCCCTTGAGATGCCTCGGATGCGTTCGTGGCAACGATTTCGCTTTTTGATGGGTCGTAGAGATTGACTCGAATTTTAGCTGGGCCAGTAGCATTTACTCGAATCTTGAGGTCGGCATTGACGTATTGAGCATCTAACTTCGTCTGCACGAATAAATCCTCAATACGCGAATCAGCTGGAAACCCAAGAAGATAAACATCCCGGTAGCTGTTGAGACTGATTAGCTTAATCCATGATGTCTGGTTGAGGAACCCACATTCCGCTCATCCTCCATTGGTCCTACGAAGTGAGGTGTTAGTAGAAAAGATTCAATTGCGATACGCTAAAGGGGTAGAATTTACCTGGTCCTCGATATATGTTCCGTCGCAATATTGATAAACCCGAATCGCGATGGTATTTTCAACTGTATCGTCTACAACTTCCGTAATGTCAAACTCGGACGGGTTCCGCGACCCCTGATGATATCCAATCTCCTTCCCATTCACCCATACGTGGAAAGCAGAATCTACGCCCTCGAATCTCAATCGAAGTTGACAACCTTTGAGCGCATCAGGAACTGTAAATTTTCTCACGTATGACCCTGTCTCGTTCTCCTCGAATGGGACATTAGGTGGGTCAACTGGGATCGGGAAATTGACGTTCGTATAGTGAGGCCCCTTTCCATATCCGTTCAGCTGCCACATATTCGGCACCGTCACGTCGTCCCATCCCTCTGTGTTAAAGGCCTTATCCTCGAAACCATCAGGCGCTTCGAATGGGTTTGCGGCGAGATTGAACTTCCAAGTTCCCGAGAGGCAGTAAGTGTTGGATTTATTGATATCATAGGTCAAGGCATCTCGAGGAGAGTTGTAAGTGTAGAAGTTGGTTCTTGGAGAAAGAGTGTTCCTATGAAGAACGCTAAGATTATTCCAATCCGGTTGAGCCGCCGGGTGAGCATTGGATGGAGACATGGTCAGTGTAGGTTGGCGACCAGATTGCATGTTCCACAACGTAGACTAGTGAAATCACCAATGATTGATTGTGAGGCTCTTTGTGTGAGGTTGGTTTAGCACGAGAAAAATAGGGATACCTATAGCTTCCGTGTGGCCCTTAACGTACTAACTAGCTTGGGGAATTTGTGATGAGGGGAAACTAGGCGGACAACCGGGAAGAGATCCGTCGCTTAACACTCGTGCCTATGAAAGTTGTCGGACTATGGGGCGAACAACTCAGCCACCGTTCCCTCAATTAGGTACCTATAGAATGGGCTTCGTTGCAGTTAGTTAAAGGGTTAACAAATGAGTGGTGTTGATCTAATGTCACCCCTATTCAAAAATTTAGGGGTCCAGTGCGGGGAAGCATATACCAAGAGGCGAATCATGATAAATTTACCTGTATGTAGTCACATTCGTCTAGTAAAAAAGCATCATGACGTACATAATGGATAACTTCGGGAAAGATAACATACCTTCTGTGTACTTGGGTAGCTTTGGTGATTGAGTATTGTGCTCGGTTGAAGTTCACCCCGAAACTAGACTCCATACATGTCGCTTCGAAGTAGCACTGCATCCGAGGAAAGCTATAACCTAGGGGTTAGATATGGTTACATATACTGTTGTAGATTGAGAAGGGGGTATCTATATAGATCCAAAAAACGATCGGAGTACCTGATGCTCCAACCAAGCATCTTCGGCCGTGACCTAATCCTACTCCATACCCCATCCCACCGCGTTATACTATACATCCAGGCGTAGATCCAGGGAAATGTTCCTGTATGGGTCGCTTTTACGTGCCAGAATAAACTGCTGTTACGAAGCGACCGCACTCTACTCGTTGCTCAACGCTGACTTTTCTTCCTGTGCCGCCCTCGCCGAGTCTTACAGTCGTTCTTGGTGTGATTTGAAACCTATGGTGTTCGCCTTTTCGCCCCTTCTCTGCATCGCCTTCCCCACCATCTAGGGGGTCAATATAGGTCGGTAGTGAGAGATTGTTTCTTTTTCCGGTGCCTAGTTGATAATGTTCATTTCCACCCCAGAATAAGATATCTGCACCCCAGTTGGTGTCGTTATTTGTGTTAATTTCTGATGTATCAACAGATGTTACGTTGTCCATCACAGCAGCAGCGTGCGTATTTCCAGCACTCAGCCGCGCCAAGCGAATCGGGATTACCGAATTCGTGTTTTCATCCCACTCGTAGAGTCCCGAGAGAGATTTGATCTTGGAAGGCCCGAGCGACACATGTGTCCATTTGCCTGTCCCTAAGCTACCCCAAATGCCGGAGCCGCAAGCCCAAGTATCAGCCGTTACTCGACCTAAATCTCTGATCGAGTTCGCATCTTCCTTTATCCCCGCAATTCGTTTCGCGTCTACCGTGAAGAAAGAATTTGCCCCACCAGCAGCGATAGACGTCACTCGCGGTTGTAGATTTGAACCACCATAAATCTTATTGAATGGAAGTGGAATCGGAGCATCAACAAATGGGAATTGCGGTTCCACCTCGAATCCTAGCTGGCCTGACGTGTTGTCACCAAAGACAAAAACGCGACCATCGCTATCAAGTGCTAGAGAATGGTAATCCCCAGCCGCAACCTTCGAAATCTTGAATCCTTTTAAACTTAAGATCTCATGTGGCTCATCGTAGGGGCCTTTAGGTCGCGTGGCCCAGGTTAAACCTGGTATACCCATTTGACCTTTGGAAGGAAAATCGGATGTACTAGAAGCAGCGGCGAAGACCCGCCCGGACGTCGTAAGAAGAAGTGCATGCTCTAACCCACTAGCAATATCAACAACGCTTTCGCCCCATCCCAAGTTCCGGGGTTTCAATTGGCGGTAGTTGACAGTTTCTGGTCTAGACCAAAAGGAAAGCCAGGATGACTGTTGTGATTTCTCGCCAGCAGTTTGATCAGTCCCCGATACGGGTACCGAATAAACGGTCCCATTCTTGCCAAGAGCAATGATGCGATCTCGTGAAATAGCAATCTTGACGAGATCCTTACCCTTTAGCGTTTCGGCGGGCAAAGGATTCGCCTGTGAAAATGCTACACCCCACTGTACAAGATCGCCTTTTTCTGTCACGGCAGCCCCAAATTCGCGATCAAGCTTAATGTCTCGCAGAAGTTGCCCATCAAAGTATGATATCCTTCGCGGTGTCTTCACGAGGCTATCTGTCGAGTCGGGTGCGGCAACTCGACCCGAATTGGAGCCCCAAGCATATACACCCGGATTCTCCCAGCTCTTTTTTACTTGGAGGTGTTGACTACTAATCAGGTCTCTATTATCTTCCTTCGACTCGGGGACGGGACGGGCTTTTTCGTATTCGAGAACCGCTTCGCGTGGCTTCGGGGCCTCTTTGGTTAAGGTCGGGTATAATACAACGGCACTCCCAGCTGCTAAAGCGACCAACATGCCACTTAGGAATCGCCCAGCACCTCCACGTCTGCGTCCAGCCTCATCGGTCCCCTTCGATGTACTACTATATCTTACACATTGGCGAATATTCGGAGTTACGGAGCTGAGTGAAGGGCGCAGGAATTGCGAAGTCCGACGCAGTGCGACCCGACGGGCGATCATTGTCGGAAAGATGTGCAGGACTCGGAATCGTCACTGGGCGTGGGAGAAAGGTATATGTATATATTTCGAGATTGCTGGAGGAAGCGCGTATAGGGACTTTTAATCCATGGTCAATACTTCCACTGGACAAGTGAAAAGACAAGCTGATCACGTTGGTGGAGTTGAAAGAAAAAGAATGCAACTGATGCGTAGAAAAAGTTGAATGAGATAGAAATGGTGAGGTCATCCAATCAAAACCGAGCTAAAATAATATGAATGCGGGACAGGAGCTTAATCTAATATTCCAGCTATCCGATTGGTTGGACGTCTTCAACCCCACCAACTATTAGTGTCTTATAAGTGGGTCAATCTATCTCCAAAGTCCGGACTCTTAACAATTTCAATACCTACCAACTTCAACAATCTAACAAAATTACATCACCGAATCTCCAAGCTTCATATTTCACCATGCATATCTTTACTATATGGGAGAAGATATCGTCAATATCATTAATATCATCAAATCGAATGCTTGAATCGTCTAGAGGCTTCCTAGATACATGATGGCTCATACTGTTCGGAAACCATACCTACCTAGGTACTAAAGCAAGACCAAATCATCGCAGCAATGAGACCAACCATACATAAAGACAAGTCGCTCACCACCACTATCATAACCAAATTTTGATAGTAGCTCTACGAAGCGCAACTAGTATATGAGTAGCGACGACGACATCGACAGTGCAGATGGTCCAATTCGTCGAAATGCAGAGGCACATGTCGAGAGCGACAACTAGCTGATGTTCATGAGTGAGATAAACTAGACCCAGTCAGCTCCAACCCCAGCACCATTTTCGCCAAGTAGGACCATCGACGGCCGTCCATACATATCGCCAACGTTTTAGAAACCATAGTCTCACAAAATTCAAGATGTTTTTTACGGCAAGTCAGATATGACAAATAAAGCGTGGACCATCTCCATACGAGTCTTGAGTCGACAACTTTAAAGTACGTCCATCCCTAGAATTCTCGAGTAGTAGCAATCGGTAGATCAACAAATATGATTTCGGAAACGCTGTGGATGTTAATTTAAAGGGTATCGTAAGTTTAATTTCGAATTCTTTGCTACTTCGCTGACGCACGCAATACCCACCAAACTGAGTGTGAAGGTGTTTGTGAAGTTGAATACCATAATGGGTCGTGTAGTAGGTAGATGGAAAGTTGAACTCCACCTTGCCACCTAACTGTGACATTTATTTATAGGGCGTATTACGGGTCTTAGACTACTATACAGATGGAGATCGAGGTAGTATCTCGGCTCGGATCCTCTTACTTCTTCGGAGTCTTGGCTCGATGCTCTACTATGAAGGATTGGAATCGTTCGTGGTGACCCCTGGGCTCATCTTCGCGTGGCGCGTGAGGACGAGCCCAAGACTCTGGCTCGCATAGATTCGGGCCCCTAATTGGGTCGTGATACGTATTGCAATTTTCGGTTTATTGCAGGAAGGGACACAGCGTGGCTTGGATAGCTCCAACACAGTAAAATCCAAGATATAACGCTATATTTCGCAATATAGAATCCAGTCAGCGATGTCTTGGAAAGACAAAATATTCGAGCAGGATCATCTAGGATTCGTGACCTCCGAAGGCAATGAGGAAATATTACCACATATACCGCCTCTTTACCTAGGTGCTCAGGGACTTCAAAGTGAACGCCAGTGTCAATTTTGAGTGCCGTAACGTGAGAAATAGACTCAATACTGAGCTAACCTTCCAGTTGGCCATATAAGATACTCCATTAGAAGCGAAAATTTAGTAGGAAGTTTTTAGAATTGATTCTCATCGCGTCGTGTTAGCAAATTACCACCCCGGTGCCCCGCGATGCACTGCAAGTATATTCTAGGAAATCCAAGGATTCCATTTCTTGGCATATTACATTAAACAAACTTTACTATAGTACTAGGGTTAGAGTCAGCTTCTTCGCTCTTTGAATGCGGATTAGGCAAGTAGTACACGCAAGGAAGCACGTAAGGGAGCACGCAAAGAGCACACGAAATTTCATACATGAGGAGTTTAGCCAGTGTCGACGAAGCCGAAATTCGCATTTAACTCCGTTGAGCGTGGCCAATTCTATTAGATGTATGATAGAGCGGAGGTTTACTACTAATCGTTGACGAGATCAAAAGTATGCGGGAGGCATTATGCAGGGACTTCAGCTATGCCGGAGTAGAGTAGCACAATTAGGAAGCTTGCTAATTGAAATTGGTAGGTACTCAACCAATCCATTCACTTATTAGCTTCCGTTTAAGGCTATGATCCGCATCTACCGAGCGTGTTAGTACCGGATCAGAGATCATTACTGTGTTGACCTCTTGGCACTGATTGGGCGGACTCTAGAGTTATACTTAGTAATATACGTGCAGTGCTACCGTCAAGCCCATCTCGGTTGTAAGCTTCACTAAGCTCCGAGAATCCAGCTCGAAGGTTAGCGAATTATTCGGTATTAAGTGGGCTGGATCTGGTAGGGTCTGAAATAGGTCCGTTGCGGTCACAATAGTAATCTCAATACCACCTAAGAGCGGCTTTGGCGATATATTATATCCCGGTCCAATCAAACGGCTCGCCTTACTCCCCTCACTCAGCTCTCCCATACTTACTAATTCAAGGACTGTATTACAGCCGTCACAACTTCTCTTACTATGTTGTGAACTTTTCGTCCAATGCGCTCCTTGGAATCTTGTGCTCTCAGGGGTTAGTTAGACGTGACACAGGCATTCCTAGCTTACGGGTAACAACGACAATGTGCCGCGTTACTACGGGACCGTCTTCGGAAATGTCGATGAACCAAACTTTGATTTGGAGCTCAACATTATGTTTGCCGCATTGTTGTTTGCGCCGTTAAGGGCTTCCCGTGCTCAAGAGGAAGTGTATATATAGAGTGTCAAGCCGCGTTGTTTCTTGGACTCGATCAGACTACACAACCACAACAGTCAATAGTCAACAGATCAGCAAAGCTCAACAACAACAGTCTTCGCACTAGTCATCAATATGCTGTTCCCTCAGAGCATCAGTCTGCTGCTTGCCAGCTCGATCGGCCTTGCATCCGCGAGTGCCATCGCTCAATTCCCCAGACCACACCCCAACCCCAAGGCCGTTGGCGTTCCGGTTCTAGGCAACAAGCCCTACCCGAACACCACGATCGCGGGTGTTACCGTTATCGACACCCCTGTTGTCCGTGCTGCCATTGAGTTCACTCGCAACCACAGCACCGAGGCCGTCTTCAAGCACCAGATCCGCTCATGGATCTTCGGATCTCTCATCATTGCCGGTAACGAGACTCTCAAGAACACTGTCGACATCGAAGTCCAAGCTGTGGCTGCTATTCTCCACGATCTAGGCTGGGACCAGACCCCCAACTCTGAGGTCACGACCCACGACCACCGATTCGAGGTCGACGGTGCCATTGCCTCCCGCAAGTTCCTCGCCCAGTACGGTGGTGAGAACTTTGACGCTCGCCGAACTCAGCTAGTTTGGGATGCTATTGCCCTCCACACGACCCGCACGATCGGTTACTACAAGGAGGACGAGGTCCGCCTTACCAGTGAAGGTATCTCCGTCGACTACGATGGTCTTAAGCCTGGTGTTACCAACGAGACTTACCACGCGATCCTCGACCAATACCCCAACTTTGACTTGAAGGAGGCTACCAACGACACCTTCATCTTCATCTGTGCTACCAAGCCCGACATCACCTACGGTAAGTTTCCGTCAATAGGGGGTGATATATATATCAATACTAATGAGATTCACAGACACTCAGCTGCAGGCGTGGGGTGAGCGTTACCTCTCCAACTACTCCACCAAGGGCAACCTCAGAATCGACAAGATCTTCGAGAACTTGTAAATAAAGTTCACATGCTGTACAAGACTGTTAGGAGTAGTGGGGTGATGTTGACTGGTGTTGTTGGTGTTGCGGGCGGTGAGAAGCGGTGTTGAGGTGAGGGCCAATAAAGTTGATATTGTCTGGGTTTCGTATATATCAAAAGAACTGGGAGCGGTTATCTCGGACCTTCACTTTATAGATGTCGAGACAAGTACCTATTGATCTAATCAATTTGACATTTTTTCTTCTTTATTTTGCTTGAGCCAAGTCTAAGGTTTCCTAATCATGAAATAACTAGGATAATACATGCGATTCTGTGCCGCAAGTTCTAGTCGCTATTTGGCAGGTAATGGTTGTCGGGGTGAGAACCCCTACAGAACCCACGGCGCTATGACTCTTCCCCCCTTCTTCTTGGATGGGCTTCTAAGACTAACGATTAAATCGCTTAAGAATAACCATTGAGGATGTCGTTTTCAAGGTTCCTATTTTTCATGAAATGCACGAACTCTTTGTCTGGAAATTTGTTAGCTACAACCCATCTAAACGCACAAGAAACACTTACAACTCAGCTTCCCTTCACCATCGACATTGTTAATCAATTGGTCGACTTCGGCGTCACTAACTGGATCTCCTAATCCAGACATCAATTGTCGGAATTGACTTTGGCTAATTGAGCTGTTGAGTGATGGGTCAAACTGTTTCCAAGCTTTGGAATAGTCTGCATCCTCATCTGGTGGCGGATAGGGCTGCCCAGTCATCATAGTAATGAATTCTGTCGTATTGTTAGCTAACTGGGCCACCATATAATATTTAATAGCGGAAGAACGGTGGGGGGTAGATTTACCGTTGAAATTGATAGTTCCATCGCCATCAAGGTCAACTTCCTTAACAATTTGCTCTACCTCTTCCTTACTTGGTGGTTTGCCTGGGCTCTGGGACATCACTTTCGCGAATTCCTCGACGCTAATATTGCCTAAAAACATCGTTAGTACACAACGACTTGCCCACAATACGGGCTAAAACACTAACCGCCCTTGTCTGTGTCCTGAATATTGAAGTTAGATATGATTTCGAGACTTCGCATGACAAATGCTGAGTTACTTACATATGAATCGAAGAGATCCTTGAAGACTTGGATCTCCTCCGGTGATAGTTTTCTAGCCTAGCCATTTTGAATTAGCCGTGGTCTAGTAAGGCGTTCGATTCTAAATGTTAAGTTTACCATCTTGATATTTAGTCGGATGTTTAAGAAATATATAACGATATATTCATGAATTGGATGATTATTCGAAAAGGGCGAGATGACGCGACGCTTGCGCCGAAGTCACCAGAGAGTTGAATATATATAGAGACGTGTTACATATGGAAATTCGGCAGCGCTCGGATATCGGTTACCTGCTTGAAACCAACCTCCTGTTCCAGACTAGGAGATCGGGGTGGATCGATACAAGCTTGACACGGTCTGCAAATCAGTTCGAGTGTGGTTGATCCACAATTATCACTTACATTTCCCCTGGGGAACCCCTAGTACGGTTCGGCATCCCTGCTCAAAACCAACTTGTGAATGGGGTCATAGGTTACAGATATTGGTTAGCAATTAGGAGAAATTCATATTGAGCTTCTCCCATTATTTATTCGCGCTTTCCTTTCCTCTCTTTCAGATACGACATCTATTCTGCCAGAGATTAGTCTTATATAGAAAAGTAAGAATAATTCATCATCAAACTTATAATATGAAGTTATAAACACGTATATCGTTCAAGGCTCAGAATCGAATATATGGATATTGGGATATTAGAGCCGATACTTGAATAATACGGCTTATTAAGGTATTCTTTTGGATATACTGGCTTTCCGGGGACATGTAATAATAAAGAGCCAAGAGTGTGCTTACATGATCAGAGACGAGCACGGATGACATTAATCGTAATAATCAATCTTCAAGCCATGGATCTTTCAATTGAGAAAGCATCAATTGTTTAATGGTTCGTGGAACTTAGAGAGTAACCGAGGAAGACACAATATCAACTGCTGCCTGAGAATTTCTACTGAGCAATCGCTACTTCTTTCCTTGGGGGTACGGTTTCACTTATTATGCCAATTGCTTACCTGCCGTTGCCGGGAGCGTTGAAGTGGGGTCTATAGATATCGTCACTTTGATCAGCGACTTGTGTAACCCAACGCTTTCTTTATCAAATTGTTTCCCCTTAAAATGTACCCAGAGAGCCAATAGAATACTCAATCAGCTTAGAGCCTGCTTCTTATAGTGGTCTTAGGCTGACCTACTTTTGATGAGGCATTGGGGTCTAGGAATATAAGTGGTCGGCTAAAGCGGACCGTAAGCAAGAACTTCCTGTCGTGTAACATTATAAGAGGTATTGGGATCCAACACATGCATTGGAACGCCTATTATATGTTCACAGCGCGTCACTATGTATCTTCAGCGAGCATATCCTTGCTGTAAGTTAACTGGAGCGCAGAAAAAGATGAGCCTGTTAAAAGGTCCACTGCTGCCGCTACTTCTATATACTTTTTCCCGTTTGCATTTGTGTGACCCGTAGGTATTGTATCCAATTCTACTTCATCACAATGCATATATTAAGGCAAGCTACCTCGACAGGAACCGGCGCGTCGCCAACAGGTTCAAGTTTGCCTGCTGCTTGCTACGACCCGTGTAGTAAGTATACACGAACATCTCGTCCTCTGTCATCCATACCAACCTGTAGACAGACAATGCATATCTCGAATACCAACGTGTGGGGAAAAACTCGTCAACATTATGTGCGAGCGGCTCGGCATTCCAGAGTTACGTCGGAGCATGCAAGAGTTGTATTGGCGATGCGAACCTGGATAACAGTAACTTAAAAAGTATCCTCGAATATTGTGATGCGGTGGACCCAGCATCCTCAATTTCCAGCACTCCAGGCGCGACGGCGACAGCAAGTTCGGACTCAGTTAGGTATACAACGCTATCAACTGTATCCCCGAGGTGAGCAATACCCAATGTGTGCCTACCCAGTATAAAATAGCTAGCTAACTTCTAAGTAGTACGTTTCTCACTAATCGTATCGTATGGAATTGTTTCTAATTATACAGCAGTTGACATAGTGTCCGATGGAGTTACAATGACATGGTGGCAGTCAATCCAATTGACTGTATTCGCACCAATCCCATCAACGGGGATCATCGAGTCTACAGCGACAGCCAACGGAGAAACACATGTTGTTACATTCACGACAACCTTTGCTCAACTACCAAGCGGCTTGACAGAAGCCATAATTAGCGGGACTACAAGTAGTAAGTGCCACCAAGGCACCTCTCATATCCTCAGGGAAGGCTCCAGGACGGAAGCTCGCTACACCCGCTCAGTGATGTCGCTAACTCTTCGTAGCGACAAGTACAAGTGGTCCACCTTCAAATACTCCATCTCCAGCCGCGCCCGGCCCAGAACAAACACAGGTTTCTAGCCGTGCTTGGATTGCTGGTCCCGTCGTAGGCAGCGTAGCTGGGGTGTTACTTATCGCATTAGGGGGGTTATTCCTTTGGCGTCGTGGGCGTAAGCAGCGCCAAATAAGAACGGACAACGAGTTACACGGAAATACTGTGAAAACAGAGATGGACGCCCCGAATCGCCCACAAGAACTAGACACAGCCAGTATTAGAGCAGCTCAACCCACCTCACCACAGGAACTCGCAGCAGATGGACGATAGGTGAGATATAAGTAGGTATTGTTCCTGGGAAAAGACTGGAATATGTCGGATAGAAGGAGAACGAAAAGAACAACGTGATCTCTGTATTCATGACATGTACAAAGCAAGGTAATGCTACTCGCCCCAATGTCTAGTATTAGCCATATAGTAAGCCAAAATATACCCCGACAACAAAATAATAATCCAAGTGGCTGATATTATTAGGTTTCGGCTTCGTGATTCGGATGAGACCCAGGCTGATCGACTACTCAACGTAAGAGGCGGGGGAGAGAAGTGAAGGCACAAGAGAGAAAGAAACACGGCAGGCAACAAGATAACCGTGAATAGGTGGCTACTCCCACCGCGTAGTTGAGCTTGAGAAATTTGAAGATACAACTAAAACCAATGTCTTTCATAAGCAGTAGACAGAGGCTATGACTGAACGCGGCTCTTCAGGCCGGCATTTTAATACACCACGATGAAACCTAACGCGGGGAGCCGAGATTGATTTGAATTTAGACGATTTGAATCCTCTTCAGCGTCAGGTTACATTGAACCTTGCCAACTCTCTTGGCTGCCCCTATATCGAGTTCCAATTAGCCGGTACCAAGCTCCGATCCACTTAAATGGACAAGCCTGTATTTCCACGTTATCTATAAGATATACGTCGGTATCCAGCTTCGGTTTCGTGTTTATACCCGTAGGTGTTTATAAATACTTGTGCATCGATGAGATTTGAACTTTACTTCAACTTGTAGAGTTTGTTCTAACGATCGAGCTTGTACTTCGAACTCTCTTGTTAGTTCTCAGCTCAGACAAAATGCGTAACGCGATGCTGTCCAGTATCTTAGGCGTTGTGTTTCTGTCATCGACGGCACATGCGGCCTTGACGCAGGTAACCGGCTGGGGCGAAAACCCGACTAGTCTGGATATGGCGGCCTATATCCCTTCGAAGTTGGCCGAGAAGCCTGCGATTATACTCGCCGTACGATACTCCTAATCGTTCGGCTTGGAAACTTGACTGACAAGCATAGCTACACTACTGTGGCGGAACAGGGCAGGCGTACTATCAAATGGCAAATTACGACAGCTATGCCGACAAACAAGGTTTCATCGTCGTTTACCCATCTACCAAGAAGGACAATAACTGTTGGGTAAGTCTATAATATGACACAATTTGATTATCAGAAAAGAGCAATCGACTAAGATAGTGTTATTGCAGGATGTTGCTTCCGAGAAGACCCTTACCAATAACGGCGGGGGTGACAGCACCGGCCTCGTCAACATGGTCAAGTACTTGATCGGGAAGTACAACGCGGACCCCGCTAAAGTCTACGCCACTGGCTCGTCTTCGGGTTGCATGATGACCAATGTGCTTCTCGCTGTGTACCCCGACGTTTTCGCTGCCGGTTCTTGCTACTCTGGTGTTGCGGCCGGCTGCTTAGCAGGCTCTCCTGGTTCAAGCCCCCAGAGCGCCGATCCCAAGTGTGCTAGCGGCGAGAACGTCAAGACAGGCGAAGAATGGGCCCAGCAAGTAAAGAGCATGTATCCCGGCTTCAGCGGGTCATACCCTCGCATGCAGACATTTCACGGCACGGCCGACCACTTCGTCGAATACAAGAACCTGGCTGAACAGCTCAAGGAGTGGTCGGCTCTCCTCGGAGTTGAGTTCACCAAGAACGTTACTAACACCCCCCAGTCCGGATACACGCAGATGGTGTACGGCGATGGTACCAAGTTGGTTGGATATTCTGCTGCGAATGTTGGTCACACCGTGCCTGTGCATCCTCAGCTCGATGTGGATTGGTTCGGACTGGCATAAATGCGGCCCTTTCCCTAGACCTTCTCGTATCATTTGATTAAAAATCCGATATGGGGGCGGGGGTTGACTCGGTGATGTGCAGAGCTAGTAGCATCCTGTGAGAAATTAATTAAGCATCGTTTTCTGAAATCGTTGATATAAGAATCATCGCCTATTCTTGGCCGGTTAAATGAAAATTTCCTAAAACAGCAAATGACTTTGGATGCCAGTAGAAGGGTAACTTACACTAAACCCACCTGGGAGTTTCCTTAATAATCAGGTGCTGGTTACGTAAGAAAGGGACAGCTCCGAAAGTTTCCTTTATGTCGGGTGTGGATATTACATAATTAGCCTTATATAATCCGGGGTAAATGCCCTAGGTCGTAGATAGATGACTAACCCTGGCCAAAAGCAAATAACCTGACATAAGCAAAGCATCATTGACATTTCCTTCCCATCATTTCATACCAACACAACGCGATGAAACATGAGGTATTCGCACCAAATTTATTTCGACCCGATATTATGAAGAGTAATAGTGGGGGAGTGTAAAAGAAGATAGTAATTCGCCGCATCCTGGACTCACGATGTCCAGCCCAGCTAAGAAGCGAAAGCTAAACAACAATGGCTCTAAATCATCTGCATTGCCTTCTAGAGGTTTAGAATACTTCTTTTCTAAGCAGAAACAGAATAATGATTCGGATAAGGAAGCACGCCAAGGCAAAATGGCTAGTCATTCACCGTCGCTACCAGATCGTGTTCATGAGATGACAGATGAAGAACTGGCGCGAAAGCTCCAGGCTGAGTGGGATAGAGAAGCGGAAATCGCGGGACATGGATCCGGAACTCCGGCAGCTCCCACAACTTCGGACTTTCGTAATACTCCGAGTTCTACTGAAGCTGTAGCTACACCTGTGGAAGCCACAAACACTGTATTCGAAGCGACGAAAACCAATGATAAGGGCAAGGGCACTTTATCCTTGCAATCTGTCGCTGCCGCCGTAGATACTGTCTCGGAAACGATACCCTTCGACGAGAGCCCCCTGACATTCGATCCTTCCAAATATGTTCCTCAACTTCAGGAGCATTGGGAAAGCGAGGGAGGGAATGCATCATATGCACTCTTAACGCGCTGCTTCGTGCTTGTCAATAGTACATCTAGTCGGATCAAGATAGTGGATACCCTAGTCAATTGCCTCCGTGTTCTCATAGAAGGGGATCCGAAGAGTTTGCTCCCAGCGGTAAGTTACCTAGGCACACAATCATATGTTACACCGCCGGGCGCTGTGCTAATTTCGTCAAATAGGTGTGGCTCGCTACCAACTCAATTTCACCACCATACATCTCGCTAGAGCTCGGACTCGGCGGGTCAGCTATTTCCAAAGCGCTTAAAAATGTCTGTGGTTTGGATGGTCGATCACTAAAAGCTATCTATGATAAATATGGTGATGCGGGTGATGTAGCCTTCGAGGCAAAGAAAAAGCAAAGTTTCACGTTGCGCAAACCTAAGCCATTGACTATTAAGGGCGTTTACCAATCTCTTATTAAAGTGGCCAACAGTCAGGGACAAGGTAGCAATGAGGTGAAGCAACGGATTGTGGACCGACTACTCCAAGATGCGCGGGGTGGCGAGGAAAGCCGCTATGTTGTTCGTACGCTGTGCCAACACCTACGCATTGGCGCGGTAAAGACTACGATGCTGATCGCGCTATCGCGAGCATTTCTACTTTCGCGACCGCCTGGAGCGGGCTTTCCATTGAGATCTGTGGATGAGCTCTTGAAATTGAAAAAGGAAGAGCTTGCGGAAGTATGGAGTAGAGCCGAGGAAATCGTCAAGGCATGTTTTGCGAGACGTCCTAATTACAACGATCTCATCCCCGCTATGCTTGAAATAGGGGTATGCGACGAATTGTTGGTCAGATGCGATTTGACGCTGCATATTCCGCTGAGGCCCATGCTTGGAAGTATTACAAGGGATCTATCCGAGATGCTCACGAAACTTCAAGGAAGAGATTTCGCGTGCGAATTCAAGTACGACGGACAGCGCGCGCAAGTTCATTGCGACGAGAAGGGAAAAGTATCGATATTTTCACGGCACCTTGAAGTAATGACCGACAAGTATCCGGACCTTGTGGAATTAGTCCCCAAAATTCGCGGCGAGGGTGTCGGTAGCTTCATTATGGAAGGCGAAGTCGTTGCCGTGGATCACGAAACAGGGGAATTAAAGAATTTCCAGACTCTTACGAATCGTGCACGCAAGGATGTCGCGATAGGAAGTATCACGATTGATGTCTGCTTATTTGCGTTTGATCTTATGTATCTCAATGGCCAACCGCTACTCGACCGACCGTTTCGCGAGCGAAGGTCATTATTACGGTCGCTTTTTACAGAGATACCACATCATTTCACGCGGGTCAAGAATATTGACGCTACATCGCAAGATTCTGAAGTCGTGCTCGATTTTTTCAAACAGGCGACCGATAGCAAATGCGAAGGCATCATGGTTAAGATTCTCGATAATCTCATAGATCTACTAGCACCAAACGAAGCTGCAGAGGATCTAAACCAGACAGCGCAAGGGCCGGAAGAAAGTGAAACCCTTACCCTGCCGACAAAATCCAAGGGCAAGAAAAGAAAAGGGAAAGTCAAGAACACCACAGCTAACGGAAGCAATGAAGAAAAGAAACCATCATCAAGGCGGAAACCGTTGCTTGCTACCTACGAACCTGACAAACGGCTGGACTCGTGGCTTAAAGTCAAGAAGGATTATAGTAGTTCCTTTGACACACTAGACCTAGTACCCGTCGCCGGCTGGCACGGGCAGGGTCGCAAAGCTAAATGGTGGTCGCCTATTCTCATGGCCGTGCGCAATGATGCGACGGGTTCTCTGGAGGTCGTTTGTAAATGCATTTCCGGGTTCACCGATGTATTTTACAAGGCCAATAAGAAATTCTACGACGACGGTTCTGGCGAAGAACCACCCGAGGAGGGTGTCTCAGATGGAGCTGAGGAAAAAGACGAAGATGACGATGGGGCGGATGATGATTCTAGTAAGAGATACAAGAACGTTCGCAGGACGAAACCGAGTTTTATTGAATACTCCGGTCCGGAACCAGATGTTTGGTTCGAGCCGCAGGAAGTCTGGGAAATGGCGTTTGCCGACATTACCCTATCCCCAACATACACAGCAGCCATTGGTTTAGTCAGCCAAGATCGAGGATTGAGTCTACGATTCCCGAGATTCCTGAAGAAGCGCGAGGATAAAGGCATCGAAGAAGCTAGTACATGTGAATTTCTAGCCGGACTGTACAGGAAACAGGAAGCTAAAGCACCTGCTGCGCCAGCAAAAGAGGAAGCTGAAGAAGGCGATGATGAAGAGTTATGAATGACCATTTCCATTCAGTTCTTTATTAAGAGCAACTCATTACATGCGGCTTTGATCTCAATTGGTCAGCCGCGAGCTACGCATTACTATTACTACAGCGTAAATTACTCCTTCCACGCTTTGTACACGATACGGGCTCCGTATTTCTCGCCCTTCTTAAGGATGACCTGGCTCCTCCAGTCGTCAACGTTGATAGCGTTAACGTATCGACTAGGCTCCACACAGAAGCCACTACGGGATCCGCGTGCGGGCGCACCACCTACGGCTGGTACGTCGATCCACTTGCCGGTATAGAATTGGAAGGCTGGTTCTGTGCTTAGAACCTCCAAATGGACCTTGCTTCCAGGGTGGTGAGCCGAAACGAGCTTAGTGAGAGGCAGAGCTCTTGTGTCTATCGGCACAGAGCTGGGGGACGATGAAGGATCGACAATAAAGCAGTCATCGAAGTCTGGGTCTTGAGCGCCGAGGGCGAAAGGGGTGGTTGTCGCGACTTTTGAGTATGTTGTCGGGCCGGAAGTTGGGATTCCCCATTCGCTGAGAGGGAGGTATGAGTTGGTGGCGAGTTGGACGACGGTTCCTTCGATACTCGGACCGCCCGAAAGATTGAAGTACCTGTTCGCGTTGGTGTTAGTGATTCCTCGCGTATTCAATTCTCTCTTTTGGTTAGGTGGTCGTACGAGTGGTTTGTCATGTTGACGACTGTCTCCTCTGCACCCCCTACGAGTTCGGCCTCGTATTCTTGGCTAAGAACTGTGACTTCCTTTCCGTTCTCAACAACCTTGCCAGCCGTATAGTACACCTTGACAAGAACCTCGCCGGGGAACCCTTCATCTCCGTCTTCGCTCGTCAATGTGAACTCGACCGTCTCTCCTCCCTTGAGCTCGCCTTCGATTCCGGGGACATTCTTGCGTACACCCACGGGGTTCGGTCCTTTCCATACACGCTTGCCCCAACCTACGTTTCCACCGTGTAGCGTATTGGGTCCATTGTTAGCAACGAAGCTGTAGGATTTGCCTCCGTTGAGGGACTCGACTTTGGCGTCCGAGATACGATTCGCAACACGACCAATGGTGGCACCGAAGTGGGGGCTGTTGTGTGAAGCGTAGAGTTCTTGAGTTGGGAAACCTTGTACGATATCGATGCCTCCGACTTTAAAGGATTGGATAATAGCTCCGAGAGGGAGGAAGGAGATCTCGTCGGCCATGATAATCGATTGTATTCAACTGTTGTTGTCACTCGTATTATCGTAGGATGTGTAGGTTAGCTAGACGTTTAGAGGATGGGCTTTCGGACTCAAGGAGGGATGGAAGCTACATAAGTAATTAGAATTGGAATGCTCGGTTTCAATGGCACGAACATCTGATTCATGTATTCAGGCTATATATGAATGTTCACGAGACAGGTGACGTGTGTGGAGAGGAGAAAAAAGAGAGAGGAGAGTTCAGAAACATCTGCTAACTAAGCTACAAGTTACCTAGAGCATCATGAGATGGTGGGGTAGTACCGGTATGGCGGGGTAATTTCATGGTGTAACATGTCGGTCTCGGTGGTAAACGCGGATTATAGATTCCGTTTACCTCATCATTCCACCGAGGTAGCTGCGACATCTTCCCCTTCGACCTAGCTAGGTAACTACCTAAATAAATGGACTAATAGGAAAGAAGAAGCATCCACGACCCAATTCTTTGAATACAGATATTGAGGCGTCTAATCGGAACTAACTTCAAGCTAACGTCAATTTTAATTGGATACCTGCATGTGGGTAAAGATCGTCAACGCCAGATGTACCTACTTTATCCTAGCGTATAGCTTGACACGTGTGTAAGAAGCTACCTTGGGGGATTTGGGTACCTCATTTCTTAGGTCAATTGGCATCTTAATATTGTGACATTGGTGTTCCAACGAAAATCCACCACGACGAAAAAGAAACAGTAAGAACAAAAACACACGCATAGATGTTCATACGTGGATAATAATTTTTCAGGTTTCTGATATTAAGAATGAAATTATCAACAAGGACCCTAGGTAATTCTTAATCCACGTTCAAATCAACAACCTGGATGGCGAAATTGATAAGGGTGTCTTGTCGGTCAGCTACCACTAACCGTTGTCCATTACAACATCTCCGAGCCAATCGTTGCCCTAGCACAGCTAGCCCTATGAAACTCACTCTACTCAACTTCCAAGGTTCTTTCCTATTAGGCAAGAAACCGACCCGACACATTCTAAGCAAGCACAACACTCAGCAAACGCACTCACGCTAGCATCCGTACTTGCCTGGATTTCTTGACTTGCGTGGCGGCACACCCACGTGGAGGTATTGGGGTACTTGCCTAGTAACATCGAATTGCAGGAGTCATCCCGTGGCCACTTTGTATAGGTGTTTAACCATTCTCGCTAATTCTTTCAATTCACCCTCGTACTTTCCACCTAAGAAGGTCACTATCATTGTTTCGCAGTTGAATGGGGGAAAGGACGATATAATATCTAAATTTCGACACTTCAATACTTCAACACTTCTTCTCCCAGCAGGACCCATCTATTTATTTATTTACTTGTCATCACACTCAAACAATCCAACGTACTCACAAATGGATGTTCAATTCTACCTCTTCTAAGCTCATCCTTCGAGCATCATAATATTCGAGTTTAGCTATATTTTAGTATTTCGCAATTTCTGCGATCCCCAAAGAGCTGATCATGGCTGAGTCGTCACCGCTAAAAGCAACACCTAAGCGCAAACGGGACGATGTAATCACTGAACAACGTATCTTCAACAACTCTTCTCCCAGCAATTACGGCTTACCTAGAACCAACTTTTCTTTCCAAGCACCAATCCTCAGACCAGTCGAGAACCCTCGCAATGAAGCCCACGAGGATGGTAATAGTAGCCCTCGAAGCAAGGTTGCTCAGAAGTTCCAAGAACTGGCCCTAGAAAGTGGGGGCGGGGTAAATCACAACAAAGACAGGGCCGATGGAACAGTCGTGCTGGGAACCGAAAACGACGAGGCTAGCCCCGAGAGCCCAAGATTCTCACCGGAGCTCCCCGTATTCGACTTTGATGGCGGTAATAGTAGTAGCAGCAGTTCGTCTGCCGATGACATGCAGCTTGACGAAGATGACGGCGTATCACGGAAGCGAGTCAAGTTACCCGACTTGCCCGACTGCCGAGAAATTGGCGAGATCGGCCTAAATGGACAGCCAGATTCAACTCGTGCAATTCCATTCCAACCTAATGGGTCTGTTCATTTCGCGTTACAGTCGGCTGTAGATCCTGCTATTGTGAGAACAACCAAGAATGGAAATTTCGGCCGTTTGCAGAAGTCCTACCCATCGATTAATCGTCTGTCGGACTCTAAATCACGTAGTCGAAAGCGAGCTGGTACGCCTCCTTTAGCGAAACGTAATAACAAATCGACAGAGCCTACGCCCGACGAAGAACCTATTGTTATCGACCCTATTCGTGCTGCACTTACTTGGCATGAAGATGAAATTACTGTTTATGATCCTGAGGATAAAGACGATGACGGTACTGGTATCAACGGTATAGGCTTTAGACCGACTCCTGCTATAGCATACGCCCGTGCTCAGAAGCGAAGACAACAACTCGCTGAATACAAGAAACGTGAGGAGAGTGAAGCTAGAGCGAAGAGGAGCCAACGCCGCCGACAACAATTCGGGAATGCTGGGGGGTTGGAGAGAAAGCATTCTATTGTGCGAGTGCATTTCTCGGAGGCGGAGCCAACAACCGTAGTCACAAACTGATGCTGGCGTACATCCCCCATTATGTGGCACTGAATCCCACTCCTGCGAATTAAGGCGTTACATGGTCACGATTGGTAATGACGGTGTGTTAAGGCGTTTGTTGGGTTTTGGCGCAGATCACGGCAGAAAAATGGTCGATGATGAGAACCCGACCTTTCGTTTAAGATAACATTTGATTTTTCCTTATGTTTATTGATTTTTTTTTATTTTTTTTTGGAAGATATGCCTAACTGAAGGCTTGACACTGTCGCGGGCCACACTCTACTGAAGCCAATGCTGCCTGATTAAATAGAAACCATGGGTATGTCTGGAGTGTCTCAAGGTTGACACAAGTAGGATGTTATACCCCCATATTGATAATGTACAGTAGCAGCTACAGTATCCCTTCAAAGGTCCGTGGGTTAAATAGGCTCACCAAAATTTAAACCAACTTTTCTTTGTAGCAGCAGCTTCTTGCTTCGCCTTTTCCTCCGCTTCTCGCTTTAACCTTGCTGCTTCTTCTGCTTGTGATTTCTTTTCGGCTTGTTTCTTATCAATAACTTCGACTATTCGCGCCATTGCGACTCGTTCGTTCGCTCGTTGTGCCCGACAATATTCCCATTGGACTATAGAACCTAGAAAAAATGCACCAAATGCCCAATTCGCCGCCTTTGGTATTCGTCCTGGTGGGCTAGAGTTAGTGAGCTGTGCATTGAGAGGAAGCCGCGTATTTGAAGCCTAGATGGTTGTAGGTTGAGTTATGTACCTCCTACTATATATCTACCCATACCAACCGCCGCACCCGCCCCAATACCCGTCATAAGACCTTGCCGCGCGCATGGTATTTTGTGTACGCTAAGGAAATCGTTCGGTTTTATCGATTGTAAGCCGTCCGTTATCGTGGGTTGCGAAGAGCTTTTCTGCCCCTCAGCAACGGCTCCATCTGCCTGGCCTTCGGTCTTGGGACTTGGAAATATTTCGTATATCTGTGGCTTCTTGACGTGGTCGGGCGGTGCCGTGGCCCCTGGTGGAGGACCGCGTAGTTTGGGTTGTTCGTTGTCGTTTTGCGCCATCGTGGGATGAGCGCTGCGAAAATGTTGCTTGGGAGCTTGGACTTTAAATGATTTTGTATGGTTCGATCTTCGTGCGACTGGATTGGATTGGCTATGACGCTGTCATGCAGGCCCCATATTAAATAAGTACCTAAGTACTTATTCGTCTAAAAGACACATGTACTTAATAAGGAACTAACGATTAAGCACTTCTATGTATCAATCGAAGCACTTTAAAAACGCGACTAGAATTAAACGCGAAAGACTAAAACGCGTTTCGTGTTTTAATACGTGACAGGGGTTTTCTTTACTGGTTGATAGCGTTTATCAATCCTTTTCTGTTACAACTTAAGTCAATATTGGCATTCTATGGTAGTACATCTTTCTATACCAACTTTTAAGAAGTTTAATTAAGTAAATCGACCGAATATTCGTCGTTACCAATGCAGGCCCTCGCATTTGATGTTCTACGCACACACGGTCTCTAACCAAATTACATCTAAACCTTTCCTTAAGGGCGTCTTCGAAGGCGACCCCTTCCTACTGAATTCGACATGCCTAATACATCTTTACGACGTCCTCAAAAGGGCTATGCTCGCCGAGGTGGCAAGCAAGCTTACCATGGAGGGAATCGGACTCGAACGTTCGCTGCCTCGACTACGCGCACCGAGGCCACATCCGCGGACGAGAAAGCAGAACGAACGTTACTAGCACAGCAAATTGACGAGTCAATGGGTTTTGCCAGATATGAATCAGGTCGAAGAAAAGAGGGTTGGCTTGTAAATGTTCAGCCGACAACCGTAGCGCTCGACGACGACCGAAGTCCTGGTGGCAGAGCAGCATTGGACTGCTACTTCATCGAGGAAGACGGCCAAACATTCAAAGCTACTATCGAGTATGAGCCATACTTCGTAATTGCATGCCGAAGAGGAAGGGAAAGCGAGGTCGAGGAATGGCTGAAACGTGTACCCGGCGGCGGCGTTGTACGTAGTGTCAAGCGAGTCGAGAAAGAAGATTTATCTATGCCGAACCATCTTCTCGGCTATAGAAGAACATTCCTCGAGCTACGGTTTAGAAATGTACAGGATTTAATGACTGCGAGGAGGGATATCATGCCCATAGCGGAGAAGAACAAGAAGTCGATGGGCACGGTTGATGTTTATGCAGAGGTTGCTTCGTGGGTACCCCTATTTTCGAAGTGGTGGTATGCATCAATGGCTGAGCGCTAATCTACTGAGTAGCGAACAAGCAGGATTCGACCTTTTTGATGATTCACGAGACGACGATAGACGACATAATGCTTCATTTGCGGACGCTAGCGACTACATTGTTGATATTAGAGAGTACGACGTTCCGTACCATGTAAGAGTAATGATAGATATGGGTGAGTTTATGCTCCTGGCCCCTTTTCAAGATTATACTAATAGACATTTAGACATCCGAGCAGGAAAATGGTATTTCGTGGAAGTAAAGCACGGTGTCACTACGATGACCCTTAATGAAGAACACATCGTTCAAGCAGACCCCGTAGTAATGGCTTTCGATATCGAAACGACCAAAGCCCCCCTGAAATTCCCCGACGCCGCGATAGATCAGATTATGATGATGTCGTATATGATCGACGGACAAGGTTTTCTTATAACGAACCGAGAGATGGTCTCGGAAGACATTGCTGATTTCGAATACACCCCGAAACCCGAATACCCTGGACCGTTTATGATTTTTAACGAACCCAATGAGAAGGCCGTGATAGAGCGATTCTTCTCCCATGTAAAGGAAGCACGACCGACAGTCATTGCGACTTATAACGGTGACTTTTTCGATTGGCCGTTTGTGGAGGCAAGAGCGAGTATCAATGGTATTGATATGTACCGCGAGATAGGGTGGAAGAAAGATAGCGAGGATATCTACAAGTGCACATATGGCGTCCATATGGATTGTTTAGCATGGGTCAACCGAGATTCTTACTTACCACAGGGAAGTCGAGGTTTAAAAGCAGTTACAGTTGCTAAACTAGGTTACGACCCTGACGAACTCGATCCCGAACTCATGACACCGTATGCGAACGAGAGACCCCAGACCTTGGCAGAATACTCAGTTTCTGATGCCGTTGCTACCTACTATCTCTACATGAAGTACATCCATCCCTTCATCTTCTCGTTATGTACTATTTTGCCTCTTGGAGGTGATGATGTGCTGCGAAAGGGAACGGGTACTCTATGTGAGATGTTGTTGATGGTGCAAGCATACCAGCACGAGATCATATTACCGAATAAACACATGTCGCCCAAAGAATCATTCTGGGATGGGCACTTACTAGAAGCTGAGACCTACGTTGGTGGTCACGTCGAGAGTATCGAAGCAGGCGTGTTTCGAGCGGATATTCCGGTCAATTTTGTTGTTGACCCAGGAGCTATCGATGAATTACTTGGCGACTTAGACGCGGCTCTCAAATTCGTTATTGAGATCGAGGAAAAGAAGTCACTGGATGATGTCACGAATTACGACGAAGTTAAGCAGCAAATAGCGGCGCGGTTATTGCAACTCAAGGAAACTCCGAATCGAAATGAGAGACCCCTGATTTATCACTTGGATGTCGCATCTATGTACCCGAATATTATGACGACAAATCGATTACAGCCAGATTCTATGATTCAGGAATCGGACTGCGCTGCCTGTGATTTCAACCGTCCTGGAAAGACATGCGATAGAAGATTACCCTGGGCTTGGAGAGGTGAATACCTACCTGCGAAACGAGATGAATACAATATGATTCGGCATGCACTCGAAAACGAAAAATTACCTAGCAAACGACCCGGCGGCCCGATGCGAACTTTCCAAGACCTACCTGAAGATGAGCAAGCAGGCCTAGTGAGGAAGCGATTGCAGCTATACAGTCAAAAAGTCTACCACAAAATCCGTGATCAAACGACTATTGTCCGAGAGGCCATTATCTGCCAACGAGAGAATCCTTTTTACATTGACACTGTAAGAGATTTTCGAGATCGGCGATATGATTATAAAGGAAAGGCAAAAGTTTGGAAGGGCAAGACCGAGTCCCTAAAATCCTCTGGAGCTTCAGGCACAGAAGTTGACGCTGCGAAGAAAATGATCGTTCTTTACGATTCCCTTCAACTTGCGCATAAGGTCATTCTGAATTCCTTCTACGGATATGTCATGCGAAAAGGATCGAGATGGTATTCTATGGAAATGGCTGGTGTAACGTGTTTGACTGGTGCGACAATCATTCAATTGGCGAGATCGCTGGTTGAGCGACTTGGTCGACCTCTAGAACTGGATACTGATGGTATCTGGTGTATGTTACCTGCAACGTTCCCCGAGAACTTCGCTTTCAAGATGAAGAACGGAAAGAAATGCGCTATTTCGTACCCTTGTGTGATGTTGAATCATCTTGTCCACGCCAAATTCACAAATCACCAATACCAGACATTAGTCGACCAGAAAACATTTAAATACGAAACGCATAGCGACAATTCCATCTTCTTCGAGGTCGATGGCCCCTACAAGGCTATGGTCTTACCTACTTCGAAAGAAGAAGACAAGAACTTGAAGAAGCGATATGCTGTCTTTAACGACGATGGCAGTCTTGCTGAACTCAAGGGATTCGAAGTCAAGCGAAGAGGTGAATTGAAGCTTATCAAGATCTTCCAACAGCAAATTTTCAAATTCTTCTTGGAGGGGACCACTTTAACCGAGTGCTATGCCGCAGTAGCGAAGGTTGCGAATAGGTGGCTGGATGTCCTGACTAGCAAGGGTTCAACGCTCGCTGATGAGGAACTCATTGATCTTATTTGCGAAAACAGAAGTATGTCTAAGACTCTTGAGGAGTACGGTAGTCAGAAGTCTACTTCCATTACGACAGCAAAGCGTCTAGCGGAGTTCTTGGGTGAGCAGATGGTTAAAGATAAAGGTCTCAACTGCAAGTACATTATCTGCGCCAAACCCCGAGGCGCCCCTGTCACTGCGCGCGCTGTACCAGTTGCCATCTTCTCAGCCGCGCCGGAAATCAAGCGGACATATTTAACAAAATGGCTAAAGGAGGAACCATCTGACACTGACCCCAGGGCGTTGCTAGACTGGGACTACTATCTTGAACGTCTTGGTTCAGTCATTCAGAAGCTAATCACCATCCCGGCTGCGCTGCAGAAAGTCCGCAATCCAGTCCCACGAGTGCCTCACCCGGATTGGCTCCAACGACGAATCAATATCAAGGATGATAAGATGAAGCAGAAGAAGTTGACCGATCTCTTCACGAATACTAAGGGGCCCCTGGAAGATATAACGAATCTTACAGGCCCGAGGCTAGATGATCTCGAAGATTTCGGTGCGAAGTTACTTAAGCCAAAGAGTACGACTGCAGCCATTACCGCTTCGCAGCAAATGACGACACCAACGAAGCGCAAATCACCTGAACCAGAAAAGGAGAGCCTTGATCCCTTCGCCGCACTACCAAAGGAGATGCCAAACCCATCAGAAGATTATCCTGCCTTCCTAGAATACCAAAAGAAGAAGTGGAAGATCCAAAAGCAGGCACGAATCCGTCGTCGCCATCTGTTCGGTGATCGTCGTGGAAACATGAATGGCAATATCCAGAACACATTCCGTCAGCAGGCGGCAGTTACCTTCAAGAATACTTGGCAATTGCTTCAGCTTCGAGCGACAGATAACCCTGGTGTAGTGACGGCATTTGTCTTGATTGATGCAAAGGTTCATTCACTTAAGGTCAAAGTCCCGCGACAAGTTTTCCTAAATCTCAAGGGCAAAGACTTACCCGATATTGAAGTCGAAGACTGCGAAGTGGAGCAGGTCTATCATACCTTGCCCAATGGACATCCTTCCACACACTTGTTCAAGATCACTGTGCCTGAGGACGTTTATTTCGCTCAAGCTGAGAAGTTCTCGCTGCTATTCAATCACCCTAGCGTCGAAGGCGTATATGAAAAGCAAGTGCCGTTGAATATGCGAGCAATGCTTCAGCTTGGAAACTTGTGCATCATTGACGAGAGCCAACCTGGTGTACTAGGAAAGGGTCTAGAGCAAGGTTTCGACCTCAACGGTTTAATCAAGCCAATGAAGCCCAAGACATACTTGGATTCCAATCCACTTGCATATCTCTACATATCACATATCACTGCAGGCGAGAGGCAGATCTTTGGTCTATTTTCCTCGACAAGCGATCAGGCCAATATTGTTATTCTCCAAAAGAACAAAGATTCTGGCCAGGACTTGCCTAACGTTACCAAGATTTATACCGAAATGTTTACGAGGCGACGACAAGAAGCAGAAGGTACCAATTGGCAAGACTGCTTCTTATACCAAGAAAAGCTGAACTTCAAGGTTACACAAGTGACAACTCGGAGAAGAGCCCACCTCGAAATTGGAGACCTCGTTAAAAAGATAAAAAAGGACGAGCTGAAACCACTTATGCTTGTAATCCAGTCATCACAACAAAACTTGCTTGTGCATGATGTGCCTATCCTTGCCGAATTCCCCATTCTCCCACTACGCTATGACCAAGCCGATAGCTCACTTCCACCTCTCGGCTGGCAATCTGTTGTCGCAAAACGCCTCGTTTCGCATTATCTTAATCTTGGTTCGTGGATTTTGCATCTTACAGCACTGGCAAGATATGGCGATATACCACTTTGCAATTTGGAACGGGACGACCCTAGATTCCTTATTGATGTCGCATATGCACGCCGTTTACAACTGAATAATGTTGTTTTATGGTGGTCACCAGGGCCAAGGCCAGATCATGCTGGTTATGAACAAGATGATGTGACTGGTCCTCTTGATAACGTATCAATGCCATCAATCAATACTCCCGGCACGTATGCATCGGTTTGCATCGACCTAGAAGTTCGCAACCTCGCCATCAACACCATTCTCACGTCTTCTCTTATCAATGAACTTGAAGGCGCAGATTCCATTTCTTTCAATCCCGCCGCAGACCCTGCACCGTCGGATGGTACTGAAGTCCTTCATTCAGAGAATGCATTCGCCAACGCAGGTGTCTTGGTACTGCGCGAAATGGTTAAGTCTTGGTGGGCGGAAGCATGCAAAGGCAGTCCTATGGCCGACATTCTAGTCCAACACTTGGTGCGATGGGTCGAATCTCCCGATTCATTCATGTACGACCGAGCGCTTCATTACTATGTGCAGATGATGAGTCGCAAAGCTTTACTCCAGCTCATGGCAGACTTCCGACGTGTTGGTTCCCAAGTCATTTTCGCGAACTCGAATCGACTGCTCCTACAAACTACAAAATCCGAAGTAGGCAACGCGTATGCATACAGCCAGTACATCCTCAAGAGTATCAAGAGCAAGCCGCTATTCCACTTCATTGACCTTGATATTAAGGAGTACTGGGATTACCTTGTATGGTATGATGAATTCAATTACGGTGGCAAGGCATGCCAGGAAGTCGTCGAAGCCGAACAACAAAGCCTTCAGACTATCATGAATTGGCAGATGAAGACTTTCCTACCCCTTCGACTACATGATACATTCCAACATTGGGTCGTTGAGTTTATTCAACTCATGCACAGCCTCAAGCGCCCCCTATCCGTGAACGGGGCTCCCGATGCAACGCCGCGTCTTACTCAATTGCCCTTAAGGAACGGTTCCCAAGGCGAAGACAACGATTTACAAGTTATCATTGGCAAGGCCTTCGAAAAGCGACTCAAGAAAGAAATCCGATCTCTCGTGTCAACCCAAGCTCGTGAATTACTGCACCCAGAACTTGCATCCGACTGGTCATTCCCTGTTCTACCAGGTAGCCACATTAAGAACATGCACAATCGCAACGCTGTACTAGAGCTCGTCAAGTCACTCATGCAAGTCTTATGCCTCGACAAGAACATCACGATGGAAGCGCGTCTACTCCGAAAAGAGTTACTAGCATTATTCGAAGTGCGCGAATTCAGTAAAGAAGGTGCATTCATGAACCCAAGTGAAAGCCTCAAACTACCGCAGTGGAGCTGTCCCGAGTGCACGCTCGCGCGCGACTGGGATTTGTGTCGTGATGAAGCCCTACTACCGGATCTAGACGTAGGAGGCGAGGCAGAGATACGTCGTGCGGCTGCGGCTAAGGTATGGCGGTGTCCGTTCTGCGAGGTGGAACTTGAGAGGTTGCGCATTGAGGAGCGCCTACTGGCTGATGTAGAGGCTATGGTTACCGAGTGGGTTACCCAGGATCTCAAGTGTGAGCGATGCGGCAGCGTTCGTTTGAATGATCTCATGGAGCACTGCACCTGCAGTGGTCCGTGGACTGAGAGTGTTCGTAGGGATGAGGTGATTAGGAAGTTAGGCGTATACCAGGGCGTTGCGAAGTGGTATGGTCTCAGGATGCTGGAGAGTCTCGTCGCGGAGGTGCTTGGGGGTTTGTGATGGGCATGTTTATAGTGACAGGAGAAGGATTGGTTATAATAGCTTATGAAGAGCATTTCACGGCGTTGGCATGGAGCTTAAGGTTAAGGGGCATCATACATAACATTTTAATGGCGATTCTTATTGATTGTTGCACGATGACTATATGACTACGACCCCCTATTTTTACCCCTTATACTCTTGAATAGAGATGTAATTCATGAATGTAAATAGACCACCCGCCTATTTAACCCCTCTTAAATTCTATTCAAATGAAACTATCATGATGATCCTAGGCTAAGTCCGAAGTGGACGCCCGGGGTTTATATCCTGGTTATAGCATGCTGCCAAGGCTTATAGAACATTTCCAGGGTTTGGAAGGAAGATCAAATCGGATTCGGATCGTGTTCGTGTTCGCTATTCAGACCCTGCTGAATAATAAGATAATTTGGAGCGCTAGAATAGGTGTAGTCAAAAATACCTAAAGATTTGGGTGATGTTGAATTTGTAGTTGCCATAGTTTCATAACATATATGTTCTTTCAATCGGCGCGTAATAGGAATTCAATCATGGTATCCGTGCCTAGAACAGATCCAACGCGTTGGCGTCTTTTAAGCAAGGATGGAGATCATCGCTGGGTTTACCTCAGTGAGGACGAAAGTGTTAAGCAAGAACAGAGTACGGCGGAGCGGTATCTTTTGGGATTACCTTTGACGGATCAAAATGGCCACCATCCGAAAAGCAAGATATCATCATTCGACGACACAGCACGGCGAGGTTTCGAATTCTATAAGCGCCTTCAACTTCCCGAGGGTCATTGGGCTTGCGAATATGGCGGGCCAAGTTTCCTGCTCCCGGGCTTGATTTTCGCGATGTATATCTCGGAGACCCCGATTCCGGAGGAGTGGAGGATTGAGATGACGCGGTATCTCGCGCATCATGTTAATGAAGACGGGGGCTGGGGATTGCATCTTGAGGGCAAGTCGACGGTGTTTGCGACGGGTTTGTATTATGTTATGTTGAGGATTTTGGGGTTGGATAAGGATCACCCGCTGGCTAGGAAGGCTAGGGGGTGTCTCCTATCTCTTGGTACGTTACTTGGATCCGGGAACGAAATGCATTGTTTCATATGCTAATGATGAATCGCGGATTAGGGGGAGCTATAGGGATACCTCAATGAGGAAAAATATGGCTGGCCTGTTTGAATTTGTTTGACTGGAGTGGTGTCAACTGCATTCCCGCCGATCTATGGCTCTTGCCTAGCTGGCTCCCTTTCCACCCGTCTCGCTGGTGGGTGCAATGTCGTGTGGTCTATCTCCCGACTTCGTACTTATGGTCAAATCGATGTACGATGCCTCTCACACCCCTCCTCGCCGAGATCCGAGAAGAGATCTATACGGAATCGTACGCGTCCATCAATTTTTTGGACTACCGTAACTTTACCGCTCCTACTGACGCTATACGGAAGATCTCACCCGTACTCCTATTTTTCTTCACCCTCATTTCATTTTGGTGTAACTACCTTCGCCCGCAATGGCTCTTCCGCATGGCGAATAGGAGAGTATCAGAGCTGATGAGACGGGAAGAGCGCAATACTAATTATAACTGCCTCGCGCCCGTAAACAAGGCCTTTCACATGACTGCCACGGTATTTGAGGATGGTCTCTCGTCCGAACGACTACGACACCATCGCGAACACGTCGAGACATACTTGTGGCTTGGACCAGATGGTATGACCTGCAATGGCACCAACGGGGTCCAAGTATGGGATACAGCGTTTACCGTGCAAGCCGTCGTGGAATCCGGGCTCGTCGAAAACCGAGATTTCCGATCCAATCTCGAGAAAGCTCACCATTTTCTCGACATGTCTCAATTACGGGATAACCTAGACGATCCATTCCGCCAGCCACGAAAAGGGGGTTGGCCTTTTAGCACCAAGAGTAACGGTTATATCGTATCAGACTGCGCAGCCGAAAGCTTGAAAGCTGTATTGTTACTCCAAAATGCATCGTCATTCCCAAAGCATATCGAGGACTTGCGATTGAAAGACTGTGTGGACACTCTTCTGCTAATGCAAAATCCTGACGGTGGTTTTGCAAGTTATGAGAAGACACGGGGTGGGGATTATCTCGAATTACTTAACCCGGCAGAAGTCTTCGATCAGATTATGGTGGAACACTCGTATCCGGAGTGTACCACGGCGGTCTTAACGGCTCTGTCTTTATTTAGCAGATATTATCCGGATTACCGACGGCGCGAGATCGACAGGACTATCAATGGCGCTGCGAAATTTGTTCGCAGCGCCCAGCGAGCGGACGGAAGTTGGTATGGCGCGTGGGCTATTTGCTTCACGTATGCTACATTCTTCGCCGTGCAGAGCTTAGAGGGTGTCGGTGAGCAGTATCATAATAGCGACGCCGTCCGACGGGCCTGTGACTTTCTTATAAGCAAGCAGGTGGATGATGGGGGCTGGGGAGAGCACTATCTATCGTGTCTTGAGAGACGGTATATCCAACATGAAAAGAGCCAGGTGGTTAATACGGCGTGGGCGGTTTTAGCACTGATGCATGCTGGCTATCCCGATCCGACGCCGATTCAAAGAGGTCTTCAGGTAAATATTGACTCAGATATAGAATGACTCGTTGTGTATTGCTAATATTCATGATAGTTGATTTGCGACCGGCAGCAACCGAACGGCGAGTGGTTACAGGAGGGTGTCGAGGGCGTCTTCAATCAGACATGGTAAGCAAACCTCCATCATGGAAAATCGCAAAGAGATGCATACTAAGTTTGGCCGCCAGCATGATCGGATATCCGAATTATAAGTTTTATTTCCCTATCATGGCTCTTGGGGCGTACTCGCGGATGTATCTTCCCAAGGTCAGATCCGTTTAGGCCGACGCCCGTGGACCATTGTTAAAGATTGAGCAGCACCTAAGTACAGGGCGTAGAGTGCTATAACTAAAGAATGCTATTCACTGAAACCTAGCGCGTTAGGTACCTGCTGTGATCGAATTTACTGATCAAATCAGTGTCAGGATTGCGCATAATCCTCCACTATAATCGTGGGGGCCAGGGAGGGGAAACTTGAATTTAGCGTACCCCCGCCTCTAGCGACCGGAGAATATGCGGGTTAGTCTCTTGAAGATCCGCTATATTTACAAGGAGTGGGCGCTAACTTCCGGTAAAGCTCTAGTGGGATTTAGCGCTCCGTGCTTTGGTACACCAGTATTTACAGGGAGGTAAGCACTAAAACCTCCCCGCATGTTGTACCGACTTTAGCGTCACGCACCCTGTATTTATAGTATTTATCTGGATAGGTGAAGGCTATCAAAATGATGCATCTTAGTAAGACTTCAACGAGCCTCCTGTCATTGCTTGACGTCGTGGGAGTCCTAGAATATTCAACTTCCGAGATATATCGATCGAATGATCTGCTTTTGTCGCTTCCTGCTGGATTCAAAGGAGTGATTTCTCAATGCTTATAACGGAGTGGTCGAGAACAGTCGCTTCAAATCATGCCACGCACCCCTTACACCAGGTTGTAGCTGCATAAAACTTCAATATAGGGCGTGTTGGTAGCATTGAGCCAATACATATACTTAGGTAATGTAAATATGATCGATATCATTTCTGCTTGGGCAATGAGGCTTAATTGATATGCAGATCAGCTTCCAACGACCAGACCTCATTGCTTATCCCTTGCGGATGCACTTAGACATTCTTGAATCACTTTATAGCCTACCTACCGCTCTCGCAAGATGACCCCTCTTTAGGGACTAAACAACTTCCAACAGAAGGATAATCCCTAGAGAACATGCTCAACAGGCTATCACAAGCAAGGAGGAAACATCTAAGCGTGTGATGCTAGGTGATAGCAAGGACAAAGGTGGTCTCCATAGGACATTGTAGATGAGTAATCTACCACTCATGCGCGTTACCAGTATCTAACTCAAACCGTTTCAGATTGGAAAACCAAGCTGTATAAGTTGAGGTCAAACACAAACGGATAGTCCTGTTGGTACCTAGGTGCTCAGGGGTCTGGGCGAGGTTAACCAACCAACACAACCATCACTAACTTGATAGTGGAAATAAGACCCACCGCCCCAACTTGGAATAAATTTCCGTACCAGTCATGTTTTTTCGGCCGAGATTATTGAGTTCCATCCCTTTTATAAAAGCCTACGTAGTACTAGTACCTTGCCTAGGTAGGTAGGTGAGATAACTTAGGCAATTATCACTCACCTATCATATTTGCGGGCTTCTTTATATCTTCGAGGTGCCGGGGTACTATAGTAGCAGCAAGGCAGCAGGAAAAGAAGCGGTAACAGAGTGGGATTGTTCTTTGGCGTTCGGTGTAGTACGCGCCTCCATATACTCCACACATACGTGTAGAACCACCTAAGTATCCATCTTTCGAGTGGGATTATCTGACCACCGATAGCAATTTTTCCATCACGGCAGTTACCCTATTCTGACCAACCAGGATCCTTTCGCTAAAGTCATTGATCGGGAAGTATTGTTCTGTGGCTTTGCGCATTAGCTATATGGTTGGGATCGCAAGTACTTGAAGAAAGCCGGCGGAGAGGGATTTGCAGTGTAAGTGATATATCGCAATAGCATGTGATAACAAGGGTGAAGAATGAATCCGCTCTAAATAGGATACCTGCTACCTGCTAGGTTAATTAAGCTGTGAAAAGTGATTTATACGTAACATTTCCGAAAATATCGATATCATATGCTATGTGGAAAATAGCTACGTAATCGCTGCTGCGCCGTATGATCACGGTGGGTCATATCCGTATTTCGCTTTGACATAGGTAGTTTCTCTTGTAATCTTCAAGGGTGCAAGCAATGATATTGAATTGCCGGTGATTCCTAAAGCCACCTACGATTCTGAGGCGGTAAAGTCCCTTGCAATAGCTGCAGCGAGACTAGAGTCTACGTAGAGAAGCCTACATATGTTAGATGCCAAAAACAAGGAATACCTTGCAAGACACGGGCTTTTTCGTCGGAGTCGTAGACTTGCACCATAGGCTAGGATCTCACGCGAAGCGCCGATTCTAACGCCACAACGCAGCCGGTTGGACGCCAAGCTAGTGCCGATCAACGGGACGGAGAAACATAAAGATATCGGGGGGAGCAATGACCGAAATTGAGCATTACGGCCCCGGGGCAACTCCAAGATATCAATGCGTCGGATGTTTTAACTCGAAACACTTTGATGCCTATGCACCTAGAAGCCCCTTACGCCACCATAGCTCATAGGCGTCCAGTCGCATGCGATTGCGCCCTAGACGATGAAATAAATATTAGTATGAATAACTTCAGCCTGCGTTTGGATCGTTCAGAATTTTGGAGCGACTTTAAGCCTACCGCACGATATTCGGAGCCTGGGCGTAGAGAAGCCCCAGGGACTTCGCCAGAGTATATCGGAGCTTGAAAAGGCTAGGACTCAGATATTTACGACCACACTAGTTATAAAGAATCTGCGTATGTAGATAGCTCTATCTAGAATACTTATAGTCATATATATATACGGTAGAGTACCCAGTAACCCCTACACAATAAAGCCGAAGTTGGACATCGTCATACGAACGCCAGGGGAAACGGTTCATAGTTTTAGACGGTATGTTCGAAACGTATAAAACGTCACTAAACGGTAGAAAACGTTTCTATAAATCCCCCGTCTAGGAGCCCACGTAAGGTTACAATCTACATTCCACGATAGGTTATATCATATGTTAATCGACATGAGTACCGAATTTGGTAGGCTATTCTCAGCCCTACCATAGACTTCTTATATTCGGGACCGGAACGTGAATAGGCGTTAGGTAACACAGTAGAGTGGTTGTGTATCGATACGCAAGGACCTACCTCCCAGGGTTATACCCTTAATAAGAAAGATTCGCATAGGCTTTTCTACCTGCCTAACCCATATATAGGAACCGTCGAACTCACCGCTGATCTAGTTGGGGGATCGGGATCTCTACTGGGTATATATACCACCTCTCTCGGAGCTCTGACGTGATACCTGCGTTAGCGCTTAATGCACTAAATTGAAAATACTACAATCACTTGGATTCATATATTAGGTATGATCTGAGATGAACGCTTTAGGATCCTCTTACCTGGGTTAGCGAGTGGGTACTCATAGGTACCTACCTACCTACCTAGGTAGGTAGTCAACCGTGTGATCTCCTCGGGATAAGTTTACTTACCAAGGTAAATAAATGAGTTACTTGATCCTTAAACATTCTTTAAGTTGCTTAAATGATCAAGCAATATTTATATAATTAGCAGTACCAAGAAACGGCCAATATATCTCCGTAGAGATCCCCTTTGATCAGGATCAGGGATGCCAAAAACCTATGACTATATTCTTAAATCAATTGGTCTTGGTACGCCTTGGATCTGGAACTACCTGATAGTTTATCGGCGTAATTAATATAATCGGGGCCCATTTCCACTATCTCCCATCAAAGACTGCAAAGAAGTAGCCGCTACTACCAACCTTGCATTTTTTCCATACCCAGGTAGGTATACTGAAAAATATATTAGGTATCTAGTAGCGTAATACAGGTATCAATTCTTACTAATAACTATCTCAAGTTACATCAGGAATTGCGGCGTTACGCAGGAGACCCCGGCAAATATGTACATGTACCGGAATGTAACTCTTAGCCCATGCACATTCGCTGGGGCTTGAAGATACATTACTTGGCAACGGTCATATTTCTCTGTACCTCCATCACATCTGCCTTTGGAACAAGTCCTTAATACTAGAACTCGATTTAGATGGGATAAATCAGCCAGCCACTAAGATCTAGAGAATCTCATGGTTGGGACGGGAAATGGGTTGTTGGCTGCAGAGACGGCCGGGTCCCGCGACTCTTACCCAGGTACGCCACACGCCGTCCGGACTCACTGCCGGCGTTGGTGCATCGTGTTATAAACTATTTCATATGCCTTGACTCGGTGTTTAAGCCATAATAAGTTAGTTTAGGGGTAACCGTCATGAAGTCTCGGCTACCTACATATGTTTGTACTCACAGGTAGCTGGTAGGTAGCTACTTTGGTACGTACTATGCTGATCACGTGATACCCATGGGAATCATCGTCTTGAAGATCCAGTGGGATCGCGCTTACCTCAGCTACAACGAAACAAGAAATTTACGCGATAATGGCTATCATCGTTAAGTAGCATTTCTTATATACCTAGGTAGGTACTTATGGAGATACTTAATTCTTACGGCATTCCCGACACGGTAGAAACCCCAACCACGGCATAAGTTTCTGCGCGACAAAGATCTACCCACTTATCGAGTCCGTTCCTTTCAAAGATACCATACCCCCCCAAAATACTATGAATTCCTAAACTCCGTGGGAGAGCTTGAGGTCCGGCGGCTTGGAAGTAAACCTTCGCATCGTAGTCCGGTTAGGTCTATATATTCCCCTTAAAATAACCTCACTTATACATTGTTATGTCAAACTCGCCCAAATTTATATGTTTTTAAATTGGAACTATTAGGTACCTACCTATGCGACTTTAACTAGGTACCTAGTACTTGAATGGAGATCCTCCATTTAGCGCCTATGAACCCAGTAAAAGTGTTATTTTAAGTATATTACCCCGGTAATTGTCAGTCATTGGTCGGTCTCGGCCACTCCGCAAGATATATTCTTGCTCGATCAACGGACATACGTATGTAATCCTTTAACGATCACACTAGAACAGAGTCCACTTTGACGTGAGTCCCCAAACCATCATTATATAATCTCCTAGTTAGCTGTTCTGTAGCGCTATAAGGTCAGGCACTAATGGTTTTATAGAGCTTCCGCTACTGTACTCTCCGCAATGGAGGGAAAGACGCAGACCCGCTCTATGGGGGCCATGGAGTCATATTTTAATATGGCTACACAAATGGGCGCTCCCTCTAACCATAGCAAGCTGCTGGTTATACTTGACCTCCGCGTCCGATTCCCGCCTTCCATCGTTAATGTGGAGCGATACATTTCGAGGGCTTGGTTAGCTGTCGGGCGACAGTATCCAAGTTTGGCTGCGGTAGCCATCCCGCCAGACCCAGCTAAACCCGGAGACAAATCAAAGGTCACAGTCGGCGAGTTTGACGAGGAATCTTGGTCGCAAACCTTCTTCGTGCGCGACGAGTGCTCAAACGTTGACGCACTCTTCTCAAACTACAAACCAGCAAGCACTTCTACGTGCTATTGGCTTCCAACCCCAGAGCAGATCATCATTGCGTCACAACATTGGCTGCTTGACGGGACCGGTCTACTTACACTTGGCAGTAGACTTATGTCTGTTTTGGCAAGGGTCGTTCATCTCGGACTCGACGTTCCACTCGAAGAATACTTCGTGGAACAGCCCCTCAACCCTCCTATTGGAAGAAACCTTGAAGACATAATTCGAAAGCGATTGCAAGATGCACGCGATGATACTGGTGCATTGATCCCGCCGGTGAGCCCGTTCCTTTTACGCAAAGGGGCTGATTATTTCGTGGATGAATTCGCCAAAGGCTTGCCTAGTATCGGTCTTCCTGTTACCCCAGGCGCTGAGACTGCGGCCCCGAGCTCGTGTTCTCGCGTCGCGATCCGCCTAGATACTTCGAGTTCGAAAAGACTGGCCGACGCTTGCCGCTCTATAGAAACATCTGTTACGAGTGCCGTGCATGCTGCTATTATCCGTGTGGCTGCAAGATACCCTCAACATCCTATGGCTAAATCCTACGCCATATTTGCTCCAATTGATCTTCGAGGGACCCTGGGAGAGGCTGGAGTCCAAGAAGCCTTAACACCCATGGGTGTATTGCTTTCTGGACTTCCTATATGTGTCGATGGAGTGACAGACCACCATCTTCGAGGCGAACGAATCCCTGGGAAGGATTTTAAGACCATAGTACGCGAACTGACTGTTAGCTACTCCAGGGATCTCGATAAGGTCTGGGACCCGAATGACGGTAGCGGTAGAACGATAAGCTTCTTTCAGCTCACTGAAGTGGGAATCCAGCGTCTCATGGAATTAATTTCCACGCCGCCGCCTCCAGGGTTCCCACTTACCACAACTCCTGAGTTAAGTAGTCTCGGGAAAGTCGAGAACTACTTCCAGCATGAATACACATATCCAGGCCGCCCTGCCTCGAGCGTAGAAGTGGTTGACTTTTGGGTGGGGGTGAACCTCACGAACCCGATTTTACAATTTCATCTTTGGACTTGGAAGGATGAGATTACCCTTTCCGTTACTTGGAACCAAACCTACTACGAGAAGCGTTTTGTATATTCATTCTTTGATGAAATGATGGAAGAGCTTTGCGTCGGATTGGAGGTGGACGATATGGTATATGAGATGATTCCAAGCTGGGCGCCTTTGAGGAATAAGAAGTATAAGAAGGGGTTTGGTACATGCAGGTCTAAGTCACTGCTGTAGAAGTTATTTTTGGCAAAGCGCACGAGTACGTGTACTAGCGGACCGCCGCCATATTCTTCCTGGCAACACAACTTAGAAGAAACTTAGATACGAATTACGAATAATCAGTTATTATAACCCAACCCAAGGCACGCGGCATCTTCGGGACTATATCTAGTCAGAATCACTAACGCTCCTTTCACATCCTCTATCTAGCAGTGACTATATCTCGGCTCCTTAACGTTGATCGCAGAAGCCTCAGAGCCGCTGAATCCGCAAGTTTTTCGCAAGGGATTGGCTAGATGGAACTCCTCATACACGAAATTGATGCCCATTTAGCGCTGCCCTCTACTTTGCGTTGCCGAACGTGTCCTATACACTTGGCAAATAGGTTATTTTTATTTTGGATGTTTTGTGAGTAGGCGGTTGCATCCATAAACCGCCAGATGCAAATAGTTGTAGACGAATAATCGTTAAACCCGAATGATTGCGTAGTATAGACACAGGGGCATAAGGCTTCGACGTACCTACAATCGGGTAGACGGCAAGTCCATGCCGGTGAAACATATCAAACGGCTGTCTTCCACATTAAGGACGGCTTTAGAAGCCATGGTTTTCAATTTTAGGGAGGTTAAGAGGTTGCTGGCTGGTAAAGCTTACCAAGTAAGAATTTCATAGGCCGAGATGACTCTAAGGGCGTGGTAAGCTGACCAGTCTGTGAATTGAGCACTGTTATAGCGCTAAAAAGGAAATGTTGTGTCCAAATACAGAATAGGACGCCGAAGCTAGACTTCCGGATAGCCCCACCTCGGCCCGCAACGGGGTTAGGTGCCGGCCCTTTTGCTTTGCACTAGCGTAGGGGCAGCAACGGCAAAAGCAGGTCGTTAAGTCTTCCTATTCTGGGAGAGAGGTACGAGCTAATAACCAGCTTTAACAGAAATAAACTCGAGTAAAATTCTACCGGCTTCAAGTACCAGATCCTTATAGATATCACCTTCGAGAAGTGGGAATAAATACTCTACTCTAAAGAGAGTTCATAATTTCTCGCAAATCGTGTTGGTAATACACGTAGAACGGAGGGAAGGGGGGCGATGTGACGTTGTTGGTGCTTGAAATTGCATATGTAGTTCCTCACGTAAGACTCCTTAATTGTTGAGTTTTCATCAAATAGGACAATATTTAACTGATCGTCAGCGTCCAACGCGGTCAAACAAGATGAGTTAATAAGGCTCTGTCCGTCCCATTAGATCAAGTAGTCTGTCTGCATGTATCCTTACTCATATTACAAAGGAAAAAGTCTATCCATTACTATTGTCGCATTTTGAAACTGTCCGTCCCCCAAAAAGCCCCCATGATCCGTCAGCTCGCTTAGTATCATGGGTTAAGATTTGCGAATAAAAACCCCTATTTCTTCCGCAACCTTCCCAGCACTTTCCTCGAACCCAACAATATCGGCGACGTAAAGAGTATCATGACAGGCAGCCTTCTCAATGTGTAATTGAATTATATTGCCTTCCACATCGCTCATTTCATTCGCCCAACGTTTGTTGGCTTCGAAGAAGATCTCTACCGAACCGGTGTTGACAAAAATAGGCACTTTAGTCTTGAATGGGTTTCCTAATGGTGTAACATAGGGGTGTGACGCAGCGTTGGACAAGTGTCCGACATAGGAACGTGCCCCCCACCTCAGGAAAGACGTAGGGAGATAGTCCGAACTTCGACTTGGGTGTCGCGAAATGTCATAGTCGAGGGGTGCTACCCATGGTGATACCACAGCTAGACATCTAGGTATCGGGATACTCAAAGTTTCTCCGAACTCTTCAATATATCGTAGCAGAGCTATCGCGAGATTAGCACCGGCGCTATCACCAGCGATGGTAATATGATGCGCTGGAATCTTGAGGACGTTCAGGACGAATAGGTAACTTGTTAAACCATCTTGGATTGCGGCCGGAAAGGGATTGAGTCCGGAGTAACCGGCAAGGCGATATTGAATAGATAGGACAGCATCCACGCCACCTCGTTCGACTAAGGTTTTCCCAAGAAACCCACATTCTCCGGTCCTACCATCCCCTATAGCGAAAGCACCGCCGTGAAAATAAAGAATGACATGTTTTGAAGTCAAGTCTCCACCTGGTGCTTGAGGAAACCATGTGCCGCCTATCGTGGTAGGCTTAACATCTGATACTAGTGGGCCTCTGTAAAAGTCTGATTCAGACGGCGCAATGACTTGAAATCGGTCTCCTTCTTTCTTTCCTTTAAGTGAAAGGGTTTGGGTGACGCCGACTTTAGATCTTACGTCTAGTACCGCATATACGATCGGCATCATGAGAGTCTGCTTTGGGGTCCAATCGGAACATGGTTTAAGGGGCTGGACTAAAGCTGCAATAATCCAAAATGGTAAGCGAACGACGACAGTTCCGATGTATGCTAAACGGAATAAAAACTTGAACGGCTCATATGCTATGAGTGGATGTGCGTGCTGGTTCGCCATACTTTCGTGAAGTCGTCCAAGTCTATAGGATTTGCCTGTATCGCTTCGGAGTCTTAACGATTTGGGATTAGTGCGCGAAATATTGTATGAACCCCATCTTATACAAATCTAAAATCGGGGGGATGGGAAATATTTTCTACTCGATTTGCAAAAGTTCCGTTGGCTGCGTTACAGTGTGTTAGTCGTCTAGCTGCTCTAGGCGACATGACACGATTATTGTTGATGTTGGAGCAGGGGGAAATCGGCATTTAGAACCCCCTGCGCCCGAAGGAATGAACGGCGATATTGTGTGTTACAATATATGCCAACTTGGTAATACAATTATGAGGGGCTGAGAAAGATAAGTTAGGGGTTCCGCGACAATTGTCTCCTATTTGTTCTTTCTCCCGATAGAACTGCGAGCCTGATGAATGGGCATTCCGATCATTACTTATTAGTGCCAGTAAAACAACATTAAAGTGTTACATTATGTGCGGTTTGTAGATTGGCTTGCGTATACTCAAATTGATGTTGGTGGTTTGAAGGATTCTCTTCAGCGACGTCTCACCAACAACAACCAAGGGTAGCGTGGGGGATTTTAATAATTGGCCATAGACTATTAGATTGAATTATCATTATTTCTTGCATTGATACCCGCCTTAATTATCAAGCTTAACTTGTGGAACTTTACCAACACGCTTTGAATGGTAACGCACGTTCAACAATGTCAACGGAGAATCAAGCTCAACCACCGCTGGACTATTCGAACGATGGACCCGCCGCCCTTATCCCCTCCTACATACTTGGGTTCCTTGCGACTGTGATCGTGGCATTGCGGTTTTGGGCGAGGAGGTTGATTGACCCTGCCTTCAGACTTGACGATTATCTTGTGCTTTCAGCCCTCGTTATCCATGCAGGTCTCTTGGCTGCTAGTACTGTCGCCGTGGTGAGAGGAGGGCTAGGGCGAGACATCAGAATTGTCAGTCAAGAACCTGGGGCTCTTAGGACTAGCTTTGAAGTAGGTTTCTCACGCAACAATCCTTAAGACAGTTAATTTAACAACTATCATCAGATGCTTTTCATGGCGGAAATATTCTACGGATTTAGTTCCACCTTAGTAAAATTAAGCGTACTTGCGTTCTATCGAAGGGTTTTCCCTATTCGAGCCGTCAAAACCTCCAGCGTTATACTCGCTTCGATATGCATTGGATGGTTGATTGCCATCCAGATAGTAAACCTGGTACAATGCCGGCCCCTTGAAGCTTTCTGGCGCCAAGAGCTTCAACTACTCCCAACGACACATTGTTTAGACCCAATTCTCTTCTTCATGGGAAACTCAATAGCCAATTGTGTCATTGACTTTGCCATTTTGATTCTTCCTATTAGGGAGGTATTGAAGCTGAAGATGTCGACGTCGAAAAAAGCTGGAGTTTGTGGTATCTTTCTTTTAGGAGGAATGTGAGTGTGCCCCGATACCCATTATAAGGTAGATTTCTTGGCTAACGTTTTATCCTAGGGCTTCCGCAGCTAGCATGACACGCACAATATTCACAGCAGTGATGTGGAATGAAGGGACAACTAACTTTACTAGTAAGTCACATCAACGATCAAAATCAACGTGTTACATGCTAATTCACCTAGAACAATTTATCCCGGGAAGTGTCGCTTCAGTCGTCGAAATATATGTAGCTATTATAGGTACGGATAAAATATCCTACATTTTCACGACACTGCTATATTTCGTCAAAGACCTCCCCCCAGATACAAAACCACTATCAGCTACCTAATCTTATGTTTGAGAAGTATCAATTTGAAATCCTAGATGGCTAACTAATATGTTTTCGTACACATAGGCGCGTGCCTTCCGACACTCGTACCTGTCTATCGTAAATTGCGTTACGGCGATCCTCATTCTAGGCCATCGAATGCGACAACGATAGGCAGAATAACCACACTTGGCAGGTCGTCGAATAAGAAATTAAATAGTAGAACGGATGGAGAGTTCGAGAGGCTGGACACAGACGAAGAGTTCCCCTTGGCTTCCCGTGGCGTCCATCATGTCAATATCAGCAGCTATGGCGGTCCAAATTCGCTGCCCACGACTTACCCGGATATTCCTCTTGAAGGAATCATGGTACGGCATGATATGACTTGGTCGGACAACGGAAAGCCAATAGTATAAACTGGAATGTGGGATTTTGATGCCTATTCAGATCCGCAGCGATGTAATATTATGTTTACCTAATGAAAATCTTTACGCTATTTTCACATTAGGGTATTGTCTTTTTGAAGTGGTATCCTATATACCCTGCGTACGAGCCGACAAATGCGATAACTCCCTAGCCATGATATTCACAGCCGCATATATCCTCCACAGCGAGTTAATTCGGCCCCCTAGCTTCCCTTCTTTCAACATTATCCATTCGGATCATATCTGCAGCCTTCTCAGCAATAGTATACACTGTAGCTTGAAGATGCCCGCTAATTTGTAGCGGCATTATGCTTGCATCGACCACCCTTAGCCTTTCCACCCCATATACCTGAAGTCGATCATTGACTACCCCTGAGTGAATACCACCACCACCACCCATTGCACAAGTGCCTACTGGATGCCAATCAGTACTTGTGTTATTAACAACCCACTCTCTTAACTCATCATCACTGTTTACAGAAGACGAAGGAGTTCCCTTTGAGAGTACAACGCCCGATAATGGCGCTGTCTTGAATATTTTATCGGTAAAACGCATGGACTGTGTCATAATCTCTAGGTCTATCTCTCCATGAGCACCGGAATAATATCCGGGGTCAATGATTGGTTTGTCTGAAATAGTAGGCCTATCCTTGGCGCTAAGCCGTGATCCTGGGATATGGATGCTTCCTCGTGAAAAGGGGTATTGCAATATTTGGAGTATACTCGCATATTTCTTGCTATTTGATGGTTCTGGAACGAAATTTGAGTTCCAGTTCCCTGGTTCCAAGAGGAACTCGACATGACCAAGCTTTATGCCGCTATCGAATCGACCCTTCAGGATCGCCATTTGTTCTGGTGGATATTTCTCAAGTCTTTCGATCTTCGAAACGATCCGCTCGACTTTATCTTGTGCAGTTATAATTGATAATGGAAGGTAACAGAGTGGATTGCCTGGAGGACCAGGGCTCATTTCTTCTACGGATGGATCAAGCTCGCAGACGGTCACGGTTGCTGGTAGACAATTAGCTTATACTAAGTGGAGGCGACATGTTTACTCACTTAGGTGGTCTTGGAGGTTTTCGCCAACGTTGGGATTGGCTACTTTGACCTCGATTCCCGCCTCCTCGAGAATCTGAGGGTTACCTATCCCGGAGAGCTCAAGAAGTTGTGGCGACTGGATACTTCCTGTGCTAAGAATGATTTCCCTAGATGCTAAGACAGCGAAGGAGTTGCTACTGTGGGTAAAGCGGGCACCGGTAGCGGTCCATTGTCCGCTCTGTTGGTTTATGATGACCTCTTCAACAAGGGCCTCCGTAAGCACGAAGAGGTTTTGCCTCGATAAGTTCGGTTCGAGATATGCGGATGCTGCATAAGACCTTGTGTTGCTTTCGGGATGTACTGAGACCAGATTCTTCCAAACACCAACATTTGACCCGGAAAGGTGTGTCTTATTCTCCGGTATGTTGAGATTATTGAGAGTATTGTGGCAAAGCTCGTGTGTTTCTGAGTACTGTTTAGAGCGTGTTATATGGATTGGCCCCTGAGTGCCCATAGCTTCCCCACCAGAGTAGACTTGGTGATCGTCTTGGTATTCCTCCTTTGATAGGTGGAACCCCTCCGTCCTCTTGAAAAAGGGACTTAAAGATTATTTAGTAAATATACTTAGTCGCTACAAGGAAGACTTACAGTAGACTATCCCAACCCCACTACAAAAACGACTGTCAGCAAACACTCAACCATCTAAGTCCATAAAGGGGGTCGTGAGACATACACCCTTATTCCCCAATTTCTCCCAAGCATCATAGTCCTCTTTACTCGCACGATTCCATGTCATTAAATTCAATGCGCTGCTACCTCCCAGAACCTTCCCTCTTGGCCAGGCAAGACTCCGTCCACCTAGTCCTTGTTGCGGAGTTGTTTCAAACTTCCAATCGTATTTGAGAGCATTGTATTTTCCGGGCTCATCAATAGTATCGTCTCCCAGGCCGTTTGGACCTGCTTCCAAGACCCCAACAATCACATTGGGGTCTTCAGATAGGCGCGCTGCAAGTGCTAGTCCAGCAGTCCCACCACCGAGGATGAGGTAGTCAAAATCGCGAGCGGCGAAGTCTTCTGGGGTTATTGACAGCAGGGGCATTTTCGAGGGAGTACTAATTAGGCGGTAACTAAAAGATGTTAGTAGGTAAGAATTGATGAATATGGAAAGGTGTTCATGAATCCCCTCTCTTGGTGAAACCCACGTGGCCTAGATCTCGAGGAGCAGAAAGTGGTGTAACACACCCGATTAGGAAACCCGATGGAAGTATGCCCACTTGGGGAAATAATCGGCCGCTGACGGGCCATTGCTACTTTACTATAACTCTCAAGCAGGAGCATCTTCCTTCTTGGTAATTATCCATTTTTGATATATACTTTAGTTTAACATCACTCGCTATGTTCGATTACATCACCACATCAAGGTTTCGTTAATCACCGTAAAGCCGTTATTTAGGTACAACCAGACGTAGACTCAGAGCAATTACAACCTAGACCAATTAGCTAGAAGGGATTAATCAGTAATTACCTAACCCTATGAATTGTGTGACGTGAATCAGCGGTACTGAGACCTTTAGGGGCTTGATTATATGATTAATATATAATGTATCTAGGTACTTATAGGGGTATAGCTAAATTATTCCATTCGCACATTACAATGATTAATTATTTATTATATAGATAGTTCTACCTGGGGAATGATGCCTTTATAGAGGTTGCTATGTTGTTAAATGGAAGAGGGCGATGTCATGGCTCACCCATACACTCAAACGCCCAATCCGCCGGCGGAGCGACTCAACGTGACACACGAAAAAGGGACCTGGGGGCTTGAAATCGAAGATTTGGTCATCGCAATAAGTTGTTTGAAATATATGGTAATATCCACATGCAGATCATAATAACAGGCAGAACACATGGTTGTTTACCAGCCACATGGAAATCGCCCCCTTCAAGCCCGGGTAAACTGAAAGAGTTGAACGAAAAGCGACATATTTTGGACGATCCTATTACTCCTTTTTCCGATCCGATATGAACACATTTTCCAGTTACATATGAGAAACTCTAAGGATTTTAAGAATAAGTTTCATCGGGCCATCAGCTATTGAGTCCTGGTAGCCCCGACTACAAACAGCAACCATGCGCGTCGCAGCCTTCTATGGCTACTTCGCACTCTTCGGAGGGACGGCTGAAGCGATTCTCCAATCAGGTACCTGCCCATGGAGCCCATTGCAGATTATCGGGGATCAAATATGTGCTAGTCAAATCCCAGTACGAAGTTCCTTACGAGGCAAACTTGCAGAAGGACAAAAGGGGGCCCATGATTCTATTTCACTACATCCGGATTGGAAAGGCCCAGAACATTGCGTTAATGGGACATGTATATTCTCAAATAAACGCATAGGCGATGGCATTGTCCTTCTCACCACCGAAAGGAATGCACAAATAGCGAGCAACTTCCCGCATAATAACAGCTCTACGACGACTACTCCTCCTTTTCATGTAGCCGAAATACGTGGAAAGGGAGTTGGAGTTATCGCCGATAGAAAGATCCTCAAGGGTGAAACTATCTTAATACGATCGCCTACGATGATGGTGCAAACTGCTCCCCACGTGGGCATGGAACCAGGGACGAGAGAGGTACTCTACGACATCGCTATAGGAAAACTCCCTAGTAAAGGACAAGGGCTCTTCATGGGACAGATGGGCAGAGATGTTCATGACAAGATCGAAACGAATTGTTTTCAACTGTACATTGACGGAGCGAATGATTCTGGGAGCCACCTCGGCTGTTATCCAGAGATATCCCGATTCAACCATGATTGTAGACCAAAGTAAGCTCACGTCTCTAAAGACTATGGGAAATTGGCTAATACGATTCATAAATCTAGTATCCACTATCGCATAAATAACATGACTCATACAACTGTTGCTGCGCGTGACATTGCGCCAGGCGAGGAGCTAAGCATTAGTTATATCGAATTAATGCTCTCGCGAGAAGAGCGCCGCTCCCGCTTACGCCAGTGGGGATTTGAATGTGCCTGTTCACACTGCAGCATGAGTGATGAGGAGGCAGCAGCCTCAGACGCGAGGCTCCAAAAGATCGAGGAATTAGAGACCGCTTTAGAGAACTTCAATGAGACACTTGTCACTGCGGAGACCGGTGCACAACTGGTAAACCTTTATCACAAGGAGAGGCTCGACATTTATCTTGGACAAGTGTATACTCGGGCAGCTTTGAACTTCGCGCTTTTTGGCGAGGAGGAGAAGGCGAAGGAGTATGCATTGGCTGCGGTAGAGGCTGTTGAAAGGGAATCTGGGCCAAAAGCGGGCGACCTTAAGGCAATGCGGATTTTAGCAGAAAATCCAAGAGCGCACTGGACTTGGGGGAAGCGAAGAAAGAGCAAGCCTAGCAATGGAGTATGAGCATGTCCAACTTGTCGTCTCCTAAATTGGAATATGTTGTACAACTACAGGTTACACAGAGGTACCTAGTATTATATTACTCCTAGAAAATACTCCGGTGTAGAGATGTCTGCGCTCTGAAAAGATGAATCTCCCGCTCGCTGCGTCATGAAGTGGTTCCACGTAATAGGGTGAAACCCCTATAACTAATAGCCGCTTACTAAGTACCTTTTAGGCACCTACTTCTTAACGGCCCGAAATCTAAGCTACGGCGCTCAACACTTACGTCGATGCCGTGTAAATAAGTAAGAAAGAATCGAAGGATTCCATAATCCGGACTTCTATTCCCAACAAAAAATCTTAATCCGTAGCATTGGCCCCACTTACCTCGGTTCTCGGAGCGGACTATTATGGTGCTTTTCATGGCGTCCAATGGGGCCGGCAGAGTGACATTACAGCGATCGCTACCGTACTAGTTTACTGATAGAAACGGGGGGCAGGGATCAAATTGATAGGTAGGCTGCGTAGGTATCTTTGAAATAATCAACTTGTCAAATTTATTTAATATGTTACGAGTGTTTGGTATCTAGATATCTATGTTACGTTTCAAATAGAATATTATGCAAAAGTTCAAAAATTCACTATAATTTCAACGCTGTCTCATGCTATAATTATGGTCGCTAAGAGCTCGACATTCCCGGGGTTCACACCTATCTCCGATCGAATCTTTCTCCGCAATGAAGATTCCAACCCCGATTCCGATCCACTCGAGACCACTCAGCAGAACCAACCAACAACGATTGTTGTCTACGGCTGGGGTGATGGTCTCCCTAAACATGTCGCGAAATATGTAGATGGTTACCATAAATTATTCCCGGCGGCTCGGATTTTGATGGTTATTTCGTCGACTTTCGCAGCGTCATATGAATCGCTCGAAAAGCGAACGAAGGTCATGCTGCCCATCATCGACGCCGTATTCTCGGACCCGGATGATGAATCGCAACGAGTCATTCTGCATGCGATGTCCAATACCGGAGGGATATATATGGCCGCGACGTTAAACGCTTTCCAGTATCGCCACGGAAAAGACAAGACGCTTCCACACCACCTGTGTGTGGTTGACTCCACACCTGGAAGCACTGTGTTTTCAACAGAAGTAAGCAAATGGGCTAAGGCGATGGCGTTGGGATCGGCAAAATGGTTTCCATGGCCATTTGCAGTGACACATGGGTTGTGGTGGGCATTCTTGTACGCAATGTTCCTGGTCGAGAAGGCATTTGGAAGGGTACCCTCCGGCGTTTATAGCTGTAGGGTGTTTCTGGACCACACAATAGCGACGACCAAGGCGCCAAGATTGTTCTTGTATTCAAAGACAGATGATATAATCGGATGGGAAGATATTGAGGCCAATGCAGCGCAGGCGCAGTCTAGTGGTTATAAAATAGACCTAGAAATGTTTGAGGACTCCCCACATGTTGGACACATGAGGATGCACCCTGTTCAGTATTGGAGTGCGATAGAAAGATGTTGGAATACCTCGATGGAATTGGAATATGGTGGGAAATCATAAACAAGAATGTCCTTGGTGCGAATGAGGCATGCAGATATATCGATCTGTTAACTTAATAGGAGATGGCCATTTATCTTCGTTTCCTAGTTGGCGATTTAGAGTGGGCGTCGGGGTTAGAGGCCCGTCGATTATAGACCAACAGTTGATTCCGAATGGGGTATACGAATAATTAATTTAATATATCTACCAAAATTCCCAGCTAATTACCTATATTTAATTTGCATCCTAGACGGAAGAGGTTTACCATATAAGTTTTGAAGTATTCTCTAGGAAATGTATCTAGCCACCCCCTGGATGAGGCATTACTGATTCACGGTGGCGGGGTACGGTGGCTGGAAGGTGTACCTATGTATCCCGAATTGGGGTAGATTTTCGCTTTAAAGTTCCGCCAACTCCGATCTCTTTTTAGCGCTTACGGACCGAGCCGTTATCTCCGCTTAGCTCAACATCGTCATGGCACGCTGTTACGTTGTCTCCAAAGACCACCTAGTCCTGCACTCTAGCAGTGACTATCGCGGTCATTTCAAGTCTTTTTAATATCTTTTTTAGTTGATAATTAAGAAATGTCACAAGTATCATCCCACAGCAGAAGACGCGATAAGCCGATTCTAAGCTGCACGTTTTGTAGAGGTCGCAAGTGAGTTAGTCTTACTCGGGGATAACATGAATCCTGCTTAACTCCTTCTAGACTTCGTTGCGACAGACAATCTCCCTGTGGAGCTTGTACGAGGCGTGGGAAGCCTGTGGAATGTGTTTATAGCTGTTCGGAGCAAGAGCGAAAAGATGCTATTGACTATCGGCCTCGTGCCACCAGAAGCCAACAGGCTCGTCAGAGGATAGCTCGCCTTGAAAGCCTCGTCACTGAGATGAGAGATATGGCACAACAGAATTCCCGCCAACGATTAAAAGAGGGGATACAACCCCAAAGTACTCACAATAGCTCGGATCCGTCATTAACTCCCCCGGATAACCACGTTGTGGACAATATGGGCAAACTAAGTCTTACCGAAAACCACACAATCTACACTGGTAGCTCTCATTGGGTTACGATATTGGAGGATGTAGGTTTGTCTTGCGAAATCTTGCGTTAAACCAACAAGCGATTGACATTCTTAGATCCGACGCCTCAAGGATGAGCTGTCCCAAGAGTACCCCGAAAATCCTACAAACCCAGAACCAGACTCCGGACCATCGCCCAGACACCCCGCGACTAAGATTTCCCTCCTCAATAGTGCACATCGCCTCCCAAGAGAACAAATTTTGGCAAGGATGCCTCCCCGCAAAGTGGTTGATAGACATGTTTCCCAATTCTTTAATACTTTCGACATGGGTCGATGTAAGTTATGATCTCAGTACTCCCAATTCCAGTCTGGTATGCCTGTGTGGCGACTTACTTTTTGGGTAGTTATCCTGCCCCGGAACAAGTTCTTCTACGAGGTAAGACTTCACATAGGCGCCCTCGAACTCACCTATTTACTCGCCGATCTAGTATGGAAACTTTTGGGATAACCCCTCTAATGTCCCTATTATGTGGGTCGGGCTGTTGTTCGGTATCATGAGTGTGTCTGCATTTCTCAAGCAGCAAGATGCTAATACCCTTGGCATATATCCTGCGGAGGCGCAAGATACGTTAGAGGCTTACCGCGCTTCCACGATCCACTGCTTAGTTGCTGGGGATTATCTCCGGCCGGGCAAATATACCATAGAAACGTTGATACTACTTTTTACGGTGGATCAAAACGTTAACGTCGATACGTCCATTGGTAACTGGGTACTAATTGGCGTTATCATCCGACTTGCATTGCGCATGGGGCTGCACCGCGACCCATCACATTGGCAAGATATTCGGCCATTGCAGGCAGAGATTCGGCGACGAATATGGATAACCCTCTACCAGATGGACTTCTTCACTAGCACCCAAGTCGCCTTGCCGCGCATTATAAAGGACTCTCAGTGTGATGCACGACCCCCTATACACTTGTTTGATCAAGACCTTGGTTTGGACAATGACGAAATCCCGCCGGAAAGGCCATTGACAGAACATACGCCACTTTTATATATCATCCATAGGCATCCTGTCATCAAAGTGGCGGCGGAGATCTATGACGCAACCGAAGCCGGTCCACCATCATCCGCTACGATAGCTGAACTCAGCGCGAAACTCCGAAATACTGTTGACGCGATACCCCCTTCTCTCAGGTATAAGTCGATCGAAACTTCCGTTGTGGATACACCCGCCACTGTACTACACCAAATGATTTTAAATATCCTTATTAACAAGGCTATTTATCTCCTCCATCGACGAAGCTTCATGAAAGGCCCCACCGGAGAAGAAACCGCCAAGTCTAATGAATTATGTATCGAGGCTGCGTTGGAAATTCTAGAACATCACCGAAGAATGAACGAAGAGATTCAGCCTGGAGGGCTCATGTTTGGTATACGTTGGAAGGTTAGCTCGTCACTTAATCATGAGTTTCTTCAAGCTACGATGATGTTGTGTCTCGCTTTGGGTAGATTCAATGAGGAAAACGCGGAGACGGCAAACTCGCGGACTCTTTATCGGCAAGATGATATTATACAAGCTTTGGAATTCGTGGCTGGCATTTGGGAGAAAAACGCTGAACGGTCTACAGAGGCGCGGAGAGCATTAAAGGCTATTGCGACTGTGCTGCACCGAGATGTAGATACATCAAATCCGCCTGATTCGGCTCCTTCAGATGGTGAGTATCTCTTAAATCCACATTACTTCAAATATCTAATACTGACCACCATGTAGCACTGTTTGATCACATGCCAGGACTATCCGCCCAAAGTTACTTCGAGAGTTTCGATTATGGACAGAACGTTGGTTTGGATCCCTCCTTTTTCACGGTTAATGACAGCGACGTTATGGGATTCGGATGCATGCCAAATGACTTTTCCACCGACCAACAATTAAATTTGTGACGTGGCGAAGAATCGCCCCGCGAGATGAGTGAGTTTTTTATTACATCTATCGTGTGATTATATCTAATATTATTCTGCTTTGTTAAGCTAATATGTTCTATGGATTAAAGGATTGGCGATATTCGAGGTACATAATTATATCCTCGGTGGGCGCACGTTCACCCTCATTGAAGTTCACCTCGGATAGATGAGTCCAAGACGCATCATTCCCTTCTACTCGGTCGAACCCTGCTGAGTCATGCTCTCGCTTGCTTGTCCATCTTCAGCGCTTTGGGTACTATTGGAATTTTTCTGCTTGACGCTACGCCACTCCATGGCTAAGCCGCCAATAATCGAAATGCAGGACATGATGAGAGCAACCTGAAAGCAGACACGCAATGAGTCGTTATAGGCTCCCAAGGCCGCATCGTGCGACTGAGATGGAATGATATCGAGGATACCGGTAACACCAGCATTCTCTATTTGTTGAGGGGTAATGTTCGCGATACCAGCGAGGCGCTTGGCCAATTCACCATCAAGAACGTTCTGACCGATCGAGGAGAAAATAGACCCAAAAAGAACCTGACCGAACAACATGAGCGAAACGCCTATTGAGGACTCCTCTCGTCGCAATACCGTCTGTGCGGCCACATTAGGTGCCTGGACCGAGCTACCGAAACCCCAGCCGTAAAGGATCTGATAACCAATCCATTGACCCACCGTCGTATTGACCTCGAGAGTGGTAATTAGGCCGGTTCCAATTGAAGTGAGGCAAATGCCGAGAATCAAGAATGGCGTATAGTAACCAATGCGACTCGTTAATATGCCCGCGAGAACGGACGATATAACCAGGGCAATCACTTGTGGTAGAAGGTGGACACCACTTTCAACCGCCGAATCACCCTTAATGGCTTGGAACCAAATCGGGAGGTAATAAACTGATGTTCTTGAGTCAGCGCGTAGCCTCACAGGCATTCATCGGGTATGGCAAACTCACGCACTAGCATCTGGTGTGCGCCAGCACAACAGCTGACGAAGAAACCGCTGGCGACGCTACGCTGGACGAAAATGTGCGGGGGTACCGTCGCTCTCTCCGGCTTCCAGATTTGAATTACGACAAATGCGATCAATAGCGCGAAAGCGAGAACAAGTAATGTAATGCTACGGCTATCGCTCCACTATGCTGGGGTTAGCTCTACCAGTCAAATACAATGGAGACGCTACGCCGAGTACTCACACTATAGGTGAAACCACCCCACTGCAAAGCCAAGCACAAGCAAACCACTCCGGGGAAGAGAGCGATTAGGCCTTCGGCGTTGAGTTTAACCAACTTGTGCTTCAAGACATCCTTTTCACTATCTCGATCAGGGAGCTGGAGAAGGAAGAAAATAAATAGTACGACCACAGCTCCTAGAGGAAGGTTGATATAGAAACACCACCTCCAAGTAACATTTGTGGTGAAAGCCCCGCCTACCAGCGGGCCAATGACTGAAGATACCCCATAAACGGCACCGATGAGACCCTGGTAAAAGGGGCGTTTTTCTAGCGGAACGGCGTATACGACGATGGTTATCTATGGTTAAGGTTAAGCAGACTTGATCAGAAAGGAGAAGAAAAGTAATCAAAAGGGAAGACCTACAGCACCTGACTGAATACCTCCGGCTCCCAAGCCAGCGATAGCCCTGCCGATGATGAAAGCGACGGAACTAGGCGCCGCGCCACAGATGGCCGAGCCAATCTCGAACAGGAGGACGGTTATCAAGAAAGTTATTTTGATGTTGAACATGGTGTATACTTTTCCGAATACCAATAGAAACGTGCAGTTCGTGAGCAGGTAGGCCGTGCCATACCAACCGATATCATTGGCGGCGTGAAATTCGTTGGTGATGGCCGGTATGGCGGTTGAGATGATAAGTCGATCCTGTGAATGATGCCCGTTAGCTCGCATTCGCAAGATAGCGGGTACTTGCAAGTGATATTGCTGCTCGTCTACTTACCAATGATACCAAGAAAATGGAAATGTAGATGGAGGTCATGAGAAGCGCGAGTTTAAAACCCGACGGGTAGACGAAGGCAGCGGTATCGGTAGGTTGCGTTTCGCTATTCGATGTAGACTTGTCGGATGCCATCTTGTCGTCCCCTACTTGGCCATTCTCTTGCTGCGGTACTTCCTCCTTTTCTATAGACATGATCACGGATGAGCGTGGTGTCGTAGGTCAAAGACTAGTAAAAATTCTAGATGCTTTACACATATCTATCAGGAATTGGAATGCACGCATAAGCTGCGTCGCTTTTATTACATTTTGACTACCTATCCTCCATCACGGACGGTGCCTGCTACGCTCGCGGACGTGACAAGCCACAGGAGAACTTTCACATAGATCAATTTCGCTCAACGAGGTGCTGAGCCACATCCCTGCTATTTACGCTAACTAGCAGCTCATCCACCGCCAGTAAGGCTCGTGACCGTCCGACTGTCCGCTCTTCCGTAAGTTGAGTCGGACTCGGACCACGGATGCGAAAGAAATTGTCCGGCACGGTCAGTGATAATAATATGGAATTAATAATTGATTCTCCGGATATCCTAGACATTCCAACGTCGACGTGTAGATCTATTCGCGTCATGTATATAATCACGTAAACCCCGCCCGTAGAATTACTGGCCCAGGGGAAGGGATAGCTCCTAACATATCGGACTTCCACGCTCTCAATACACGACCGGGAATTAGCAAAGAAGTTCTTAAGTCCGAATTATTGACCGTCTATGAGCCTACTTCGAGTTATTTTTATCATTGTGACGTTGCGGGACGATCCAGCGACAGCTCTCCCAATCTAAGACCCACTCATTGAACGGAAGCCATCGCCAATACACATTCGTGGTACTACGTAAATAAAGAAACGTAAAGGTAAATTGAAAGTCACGACAGGGAGCGAAAGACCAGGCTTAATGTAAAATGTATGCGTATTACAAATCAGACTGCCAATACACAATAGAGTCGCCAACAACATAGGCTAATCGCTATGAGGATAAGTACATCCGGGCGGGGGCGGATATGATTGGCTGCCCAGGAACTATGTGACAAAGTCGCCGAAGCGGGACGATTGAAAACCCTACGGCTCAGACCGACGTTATATAATATCCTGGTATATAAGTCTTTCTTGTCGGAATTGTATTGTGATATCTATTAAGAGCAGAAATTAGCAGAAGCAATATTATCCCAGAAAAAAAAACCTCTAGTTGATTGAAATTTTGCATCGTCAAAATGAGCGGACAATCTAAATCTCGCGTCCTCGTTGTTGGTGCCGGATCGATGGGAATCATCTCAGGTTACATCCTCAGTCTTGCCGGAGCCGACGTGACATTCCTCATCCGCCCGCATCGCAAGGAGGCCTTAAGCCGACCGCAGATACTCTACTCGTATGACGACAACTCGTTAAAGGAGTACAAGGGCTACGATTTAATCACCAGCCCGTCAGACATCATTGGCAAGAACTTCGACTACATCCTCATCACGCTAGACGGCACCGCATTACAGAACGAGACCGGAACAAATCTAGTAAAAACCATAGGAGAAGCTGCACGCAATACAAACACCAAGGTCATTCTCGGAACCGTGTTCGTCGACTTGCGAACTTGGTTCCTTAAAACCTCGGGTCTTGCGGAGGACCAGGTGGCGAACGCAACCCTCGCGATTCATATCTACGCGACGAAGGACGTGACGCTACCCGCGAATCCTCCCGTTGACCCGGAGTTAGTCGCAAAATCGGATTTCGCATTTACTGATAAATTGGGCGACGGCATCGTACTTACTGATAATGCACCCGCTGCCGCGAAGGGCTTCGCTGAGCTCTGGAATGCGAGCAAACTCTCGAAATGCTCCGTTATCCCGGCGGTAGTCAGCGCAGCGAACATCAATCCATTTTTCGCCGTTCTCGCGGGATGCGATATTTTAGGATGGCCCAGATACAAGGACCTAGATACCAATAATGAAGTGTGGAAATTGAGTATTAGGGCAGTGAAGGAAATCCAGGGTCTGGGTATTCATGGGGAGCCAGGCCAGCAGGCAGCAACAGCGACTACGGAGGAGAACTTCGCGGCGCAGATGAAGGGTTTGGAGAACCAGATGCTGCCGTTTGAGTTGCAGGCGTTTAACCGCTTTCATCATGGTGGGAAGGTTAATGTTCAGGATACGGCGCATTTGCGCACTTGTCTTAGGTATGGTGAGGCGGAGAGGAAGACTATGGATGCGCTTAAGGAGCTTATACAGCGTGTGGAAGAGCATAAAGCTGCTGCATGATAGCGGTGTCTTTTTGCTTCTGATAGGGTCTTTCAGACTGAATTGAATCGAATAAGACCCTGCTTATGTATCGTCAGCAGTTTCGTGTCGGATTGTCGTAGAGTATTGCTAGAGTAGCCTATTAGTGACGCTACCTACGGGTAATACTTGGGGAATCAAGGCCTAGTGTACCAGGGAATTAAAAAAGGCTTGTGTCATAGGAAAACTGGTTTTTATAAAGGCCCTCTCTTGTCGTGGCAGGGGATTATGTAGAAAATGACTCTAAGACCCTTCTACTAGGTATTATGATAGTTCGATAGGATGATGTCAATTTCTTCCTCCTAGTTGAAAGATTTAATCTGTAAGTTAGTAGGTTAGTGAAAGCTAGAGTCTATGAGATAATAGTTCTTTACTCTGTTTATCTTTCTACTAAACTTGCGTGGCGTTGTTCGAGAATGCCTTTAGGATCCACGTACGACGATCCTAAACCAGATTTAGTTTAGATACCCGACAGTCTTGGCAATTTGCTTTTTACGGCGTGGATGGTGGGTAGTCCGTGGGTTCCTTCGATCACGCAATTTTAGAAATAATGGCCTAAATAAATCTCTGAACTGGGAAATCAAGCTTCAATTTTAGGGAATAGAGAAAAAAAATAAAGACTAATAGTATGGGAAATACTTAATATTAGACTTTACCAATGCGATGTTTATCGCTTATAGGTCCTCATTCTAACAGAACCAATATACTTGTATAAATATTATCTTTGTGTTGATGTATCGATTTGAGATCATCATTGGAGAGTTTTTGTTGTTATTGCTTGTTACGTGAGATCACGGCACGGTCTCCCTTACGATGTATAGTCCGAAGGACTCCGATCGGCCAATCGCGCCGCCTGATATAGACACGGATCAGGATGATTTCCGCTCGATTGACCCGGAGTCGGGGGTAAAGCGCGGACTAAAGACGCGACATCTGAGCATGATGGCTCTGGCCGGAATCATAGGTCCGGGGCTTCTCGTCGGAAGCGGTGGTGCTCTATCGAGTGGCGGTCCAGCATCGTTGTTGATTGGATTTGGTGTCATCGGCATAATCGCTTTTAGGTAACATGGCATGACCCCGTAACAACCAACAACATGCATGTATGTCTCAGTAACTAATTTATGAACAGTATTATGCAGAGTCTAGGGGAGCTCACAACTCTTTATCCATCTGGTGGCGCATTCACACAGCTTGCTTCTCGCTTCGTCGACCCCGCCTTCGCTGTCGCTGTTGGATGGAATTACTTCATCATCTGGTTTGCTGTCCTAGCCAACGAGTACAATGCCACGACTAGCATTCTCGTCTTTTGGAGCGACAAGGTTCCCGTTTGGGGGTACTTCTTACTGCTATGGGTTTGTGTTGTCCTTCATTTCTTACCTTGCGCTGTCTCGCTAACTCCGCTCCAGACCGCTTTCCTATTGTTCCAATTCTGTGGCGTAAGCACATTTGGAGAAGCTGAGTTTTGGTTAGCTCTTCTTAAGCTGGTTGGATTGGTTGCATTTTACATATTCTCCATCGTGTAAGTTTAGATATCTATCAACTGCCCAGCCATTTTTCTAACAACCTACAGTTATGTATCCGGTGGGATTAGTGGCACCGGGGCCATAGGCTTCCGATATTGGCATGATCCAGGTCCCTTCGTCCAAGGTTTTCGTGGTGTCGCCAAAGTCTTCGTCTTCTGTTCGACATTCTACGCCGGCTGCGAATCGGTAGCGGTCGCTGCTACCGAGACCAAGAATCCCCGAGTCGCCGTTCCGCTAGCGATTCGCCAAGTATTCTGGCGTATCATATTTATCTACATGGGCGCGGCCTTCTTTTTCGGCATCACTTGCCCAGCCAATGCCGACCAGTTGGTCAACGGCAGTAGCCGTGCACTATTGAGCCCGATGACGGTTGCGATTCAAAACGCGGGGTGGCAAGGTGGTGTGCATCTAATCAATGCTTTCATCTTGATTACTTGCATTTCTGCTATCAACAGTTCCATTTACATCGCGTCGCGGACATTACTATTCATGGCACAACAGAGAATGGCCCCATCATTCCTCGGATGGACAGACAAGAGGGGTGTACCAATCCCTGCCATCACCATGGCAAATGCTTTCGGCGCATTGTCAATGATGAATGTCTCAACTGGTGCCTCGGAAGCTTATAGCTATATCGTGAACTTAAGTGGTGTATCAACCTTCCTTGTCTGGGGTTCAATTTCTCTCACGCACATTCGATTCCGTCAAGCTTGGAAGGCCCAAGGATATCAAATCGAGGATCTACCATTCGTGTCTCTCTGGTATCCATGGAACGCATACTTCGGTTTAGGAGCCAACATATTCTTGGCACTAGTGCAGGGTTGGGCTAACTTCTCTCCATGGGACGCCGGCGGGTTCGTGGATGCCTATATCTTACTACCCCTGTTTTTCGTCATATTCGCCGGATACAAGCTGGTCTTCAAGACCCGATTTTGGCGAAAGGAAGAAATAGACTTACAATCGGGAAGACGGCGTGACCTCGACGAAGTGAAGGAGGTGGCCGCCGGTGAGATAGGGGTGCCTCAACCATGGTGGCGCCAGATACTGAAAAACTTCTAATCTGCCCATGTTGCACTGACCCGTTCTGAATTAGATACCACCCACGATTATTTTAGAACAGATCATAGAATTAAAGTCGCTTGGAATCAATTCGAAGTCTTCACAAATATCCTTCTAGATCGAATTACTCGTAGCCTATCTTTATAATATTAATTACCTACCGGAGGTAGGTACTTTAAAGACTATGAGTCGGCAAAAACTCGAGTGGCTTAGCGACCACGATGTCACCTCAGGCGTTCGATGGCAAAAAATCCCAAACGGAGTCACAATAGCGGTATAGTTATTAAACAATAAATTTCGAGAACGTTTACTTTTTATTTTACTTAACGTAAGTTCAATCAAACATGGCGCATGCTTCTATAGTGCTGACCTTGTATCCTCTATCATATGCTCTGAAATCCATGCCCTTGCGAAATGCGATCCGCTACTCTAGACCTTTCTCTCCCGGCAGCCATGCTAGTGCCGATGTCTAGGTCCTAGTGCTCGATTCTAGGGATTCAAGTTTCTCCGATGTCCACTCTCCTCCTTTTCCATGTTCAATGCTTTGTCTAACCATACCGTAGAAAGTCCCCTGTTGCTTGTAAAGCTCTAGAGGCGGTCCCATCTCCTTAAGCTTCCCGCTTTCCATAACAACGACTCGGTCATAATCCATTATAGTCGAGAGCCTATGTACGATAGCTAGAATCGTGTTTCCGCGGAATGCCGACCGGAGAACTTGTTGTACTGCCGCATCGGATACGTGATCAAGGGATGCTGTTGCCTCATCCAACACTACTACCTTAGATCGACGGACAGTGGCACGTGCAAGACTTAACACCTGTCTTTGTCCAACGGAGAAATTAGAGCCACCCGAAGCGACCGGGGTATCCAAATTCAATGGTGCTGCTGATGATGAGTCGGAGCCAGGTTCTTGCGACCGTACTCTCAGCGACTCTACAGCACTGCAAGCGTCAATAGCCTCTGTTAGATGCTCGTCGGGAGCAATTTGCGCGGGGTCAACGTTGAACCTAACGTCACCCTTAAATAAAACGGGTTCTTGGGGGATAATCGTCAATCGACGACGAAGCACCTCGAGTGGGATCTTATTTATATCAACACCATCCACCAATATAGCACCTTTAGTGACGTTCGTGAAGCCAAGAAGCGATAGCGCGAGCGTTGACTTGCCACTTCCCGTTCGGCCCACCACAGCGACCCTCTCGCCAGGGGAAACGGTTAGCGACAGGTCTTCTAGGATATTTGGTCCATCGAGTGCGTATTTTACAGTAACGCCGCGGAACTCCACGTTGCCCTGAGATGGCCACGACTCAGGCGGGGTAACAACTTCCTCGTCTTCATCGCGCTCATTCTCTAACGGCAATGATGCATACTCGCGGACTCGGTAAAAGCAGTTCAACTCGGCTTCTAACTCGTTCATGTTTCTCACCATAGTAAGAATTGTCTGTCCAAGACCAATGGCACTCGTTAGAGAGAAACCTAATCGACCGGCCGGAGCACTGGATCCCATGGCTATGGCTATAACACCAGTAAATAGTGCAATAACGGCCGCGCATCCATCGGCTCTAACGCAAATCCATCTGTTCAAATTGTACTGTGTCTCAGCGGCGCGAACATACACGCGCATGCGCCTAGCTAGGTCATCCGCAAAGGCTTCTTGCATTCCGGAGCGCGACCGAATAACGGCTTTACCAGCTAGACTTTCCACAAAAAACGAGAAGATCGGAGATTGGGAGGCTGATGTTAACGCTTTAACGGATAATTGCGCGCGGGTGTACATCTCCGCACAGACTAATCCAACACTGCAGATTAGCGCCGCTGGGAGAGCGAAGATAGGCATGATAGACCCAATGGCTGTGAGCCGCAGCATGAAGCGGAATATGTTATCAATGGCGATTCGGAGGTACCCGACAAGGACTGTGTCGAGGGAGTATGTGTCACTAGAAAAACGGTTGATTAATCGACCGGGTGGGTTCTTGTCGTACCAATGAACCGATACCCATAGAGCAGCTCTGACGAGCTTCTTGTGTAGGGTATGGGCTGCTCTGCGAGCGCCCCATTGGAGGTATGCTTGGCTCACGGCGGAGATTGCGGAGAAGGAAAGGAGCCATGCGCCGTATGTGATAACGTAGAATGCGACGGTCTTGGCATCTTCACTCGATGATGCGCCTACCCAGACGGAGAGCCACAGGGGAATAGCGAAGAATGCGAGTTGCGCGAGGAGGCAGAGGAATAGAGCAAGCATTGCCTGTCCGGTTCCGCCGAAGAAAAGCATGTAGTGCCAGAATAGTAACCTTGAATTTCGTCCCTGACCGGCGATTTCTTGGTCTACCTTGGCTTCAATCTTTTCTACATGGGATGGGTTGCGGATTTCGCTCAATTCCGTGATAATCTCCAACGGCCTCTTGGGTCTCAATGGGATTTGCTGAGGCATCGGTGGGAATAGAGGGCCCTCTACAGTCACACCACCGCGACGTGTGGTCGAGACGAGGCGCCCGTGCGATAACTCCATGACCAGATCTGCGCCATCTTTCGCGGCTTGCATTTGCGTCACCAAGATTACTGTACGGCCTTGAAGTACATCCTTGTGGAAACAGTTCTCCCATACGTGCTTTTGAGTTACCGAGTCAAGAGCTGAGAAGACATCGTCTAGTAGGAGAAGCTGAGATCTCGCATATACGGCACGTGCCAAGCAGACCCGCTGTCGCTGTCCACCAGAGAGGTTTGATCCATTAACTCCTACATTCGTGAGATCCTTGTTCTCGAAGTTATCAAGATCCGGGCGTAAACCACAGGCGTTGATAACTCGGTCATAACGCTTCTCATCATAGTCCTCGTGTAGAAGAATATTGGCTCGAATGGTGTCATTAAGAAGCCAAGGAATCTGCGAAGAGTAGGAGATATCTCGTGGACATGTCGCGGTGCCTTCTTCTAGTATGGTTTCGCCAAGGAGCGATAGCAGCAAACTCGATTTTCCGCTTCCGGAAGCGCCGGCAATAACATTGAGACCACCAACGACGAATTTTCCATCGACCTGTAGTTTGAAGCTGTCCGGATGTTGAGCCCGGCGGAACGTCGCACCATTGAAAGCAGGAGCGCCTTCTGGATGTCTGACAGTTTCTTGTTCACCTAGCATGAACTTGTCGATTCTTCCGAATGCGACTTGAGCCTGGGAAATAAATCGCGTGACATTCGCAATCCACACGAATTGCAATCTTAATGTTTCGATAATAGATAGCGCCGTGAATGCTCTTGATGCGGTAAGGGGATGGCCGAGAGCTAGTGTATCTACCGCGAACATAGTGAACAAGGCAAACATTGGCACGAAGTCACCGAGGACTGCAACTGCAACGGCCGTAAGGTTCCTCCACCATGTTAATCCTTCCTCGTGTCGGCGCTCGGTGTTGACGTTGTTTGCCATGATGTCTTCCCATCCTAAGTATTTTATCGTTCGAATGGATGAGAGATACTCCGAAATAAGCGATACGCGACGATCCGTTTTCTTCATTACTTCGCGTTGGAATCCGGACATTTTCCGGGATAGTAATGTCGCGATGGGGAAGGAGAGCAACATGACTGCCAAGGCTATGAGGGAGCATGGACCGAATAGAATGTATAGGAAAACGACACCCATTGTGACTTCGATTGGACTGGCGGTGCAAACCAAGATGAAATCTCGGGAACTCCAGATGGCATCTACATCGTATGCCATCAGATTTGTAATACTCTCGGATTTGCTGTTTCTCTTTGGTTTCGGCTTGCCATTATCGTCCAATGGCTTGGCGGCATCTTCGGAATTCTCTGCTTTCTGTTTGTCGTGTTCGGCGTCGTCGGTATCGAAAATACGCGATGCCTTAGCATAAATCTCTTGTACGAGACAAAGTCGTGTACGTACGACTAAACGAGTACTCGAGAAGATATATTGTTGGTAGGCGACCGATCTCAGCGTCGGCCCAATGAATAATAATGCAACCCACAGCCAAGGACGAATTGTAGCGGCTGACGGGTCCTGGATATAATTGAGGAGTTTGTAAAGCCCAAGAGGCGCAATAAACTCGACGACAGCCGTAAGAGCGGCGAAAAATACCATGATGCCAATGTTATGGCGCAAAGTGTAACCAAGCGTTTTGAGGGTTGTCTTGAATCGTTTTCGTGCATCTAGAATCCGCTCTCTCCAAACAAGAGGCTCGTCGTATTCCGGTACTGGAAGTAGGTCCGCTGATACTAGACGCCTTTTTGCTCCCGTCCAGATGATGTCCGTCAACCAGCCGTAGCTGACGAAGTAAGAGAAATAAGAGCATGTTTGTTCAGGGCTTGGCGCCGGTTGTTCTCGATGGGCCAATTCAAACGATAATCTTGGAGGCGTCCATTCCCGAGGCGTGATGAAAGCGAAGAATATGCTGAGAAGAGATGCGGCGAATTTCAAAGGTAACCAAGGGCTACCATGAGTTTCTCGTGTGCTGATAAATAAAACTCTTGGAGACAGCTGAATAAAAGCAATTACCGCATCAACGAATACAATAAGATTGACATGATGTATAATTGCTGATCTGTTCTCCTTGTTTCGAGTTGCTAAGATACGAATCGCATCTAAGGCCAAGGTATAGCCAATAGCACAAGCCTCAGGCACAGTGGAAGATCTATCTTGCACACAGCCTAAGATGATCAATGATAGTAATAAGACGCGTACGATCTGTTGAAGAATATCATAGACAATGGGGATCCTTGTTCGAACGGCGCCAATGGGTTGGTCCTCTTCAATGGCTTCGGCCTTGGAGCGTTTTGAAATGCGCAACGAAAGGGTGCAGGCTGACAATAGCATCACAACCGGCCATACAATGATAAGTGTTGGCCAGAGTTTTAGCTTAAACCCAGCAGGATTGGTTTGATCGACACCTATTTCCGAAACCATACCTAAACTGCCACCGTCTAGGAGGGAAGATTGAATGTTGAACTCGGCCATGGTGGTGGTCGATTGCTCAGAGCAAAAAGACACGGGTTGAGGCTCAACATTAGAATATGTTCACGATATAATAATCCAGTAGACTTAATTTTTTAAAAGGTATCCAGCGGCCCTAATTAGTATGGTAGCTTTTTTTGTTAGGTAATATTATTATCTGACCTAGCCATGCCTAACCCCTAAGATCCTCACCATTAGAGGTAGCAATAACGCGACGCCTACTAGGCCCATTGCCATCGTAGCGATGGGGCAAATATCGTCGGGTCGGCACAGCTAGTGTTCTTAGCCGAGTTTGGAGTGCGGCCGTTACGACTGAGACTATCTCGGCAATATCAGTTTCCTAATTGGGTAAGTCGTCCTTGGCCGGAGCCGGCGACGGCGAAAGTGGGGATGGAGGTCTTTCCAAATGCTTACAACACCGATTTATTAGGCGACTTAGAACTAAAGCATCATAGAGTAGATAAGAAAGCTCGTGAGCTTCTTCAAGTGACTAAGTCTACGGAAAGGATGCATACAAACAAGCTATCTAGTTGATCAGCCATGCAGACCCAGCCACAGCGCCGTATGGGGGTGGTCGTCCCACTCGCCCCCCAAGCCTCACGAACTTCAGTTTACTATGAGCATATCCGGGTGAGCGGCCTACCTAGGGAGCGCGGGAGGCAATATGGGAAACAGGCAGCGGCCAAGATACGCCAAAACATCAATCACTACCTACAACCCGGCCAATTGCCGCCATGGGAACGAACAGTCAAGTATATCAATGACATATATGTACCTGGGATTAAGGAGCACTTCCCGTCGGCCCTAGAGGAGATGAAGGGAATTGCTGAAGGGGCGGGGGTCACAGTGGAAGAGATCATTATGCTCAACGCTAGGTACGACTTATCACGAGCTCCAGGAGGTTCTCGACACCGTCCGTCCCCCTCGGGGGCAGGCGTTCTCCCCATCGGTGTTTGGAGACACGTTGAAGAGTCCGAAGGATGGGACGACCTTGATAACGAGTGCACGAGCAGCGCTTTCTGGGAAGGGGCTACGGCGGGAGGTGGCGTATACACGGCACAGAACTGGGACATATCATCGCATCTATATAACAATGATCTTGTTATCCTATTGGAGATCCATCCGGATCCCTCTGAAAATGCCCCGAGTTTATTCCTAGTGACTGAAGCTGGCCAAATGGGCCGTTCGGGCATGAACTCAGCTGGCTTGGGATTGACCGCCAATTCCCTTAACTCAACCGCCGACTACTTCCCTGAAGATGGTTCAAATACGCCTAGATTGCCAATTTCCCTCCTCAGACGTCTTTTCCTACAAGAGAAGTCATTCCCAAAGGGATTACAGGCGGTGTACAATGCACCTCGTCATGTTTCTAATAACTTAACCTTATCCACGTCCGAAGGCTTCGCACTCTGTATGGAAATTACGCCCAACGAGGCGTTCGTGCTCACTCCAACAGCCAGAGATAATCACATCATCCACTCGAATCACTTCCTTACCCCGGCCATCCATGCTCGCACCGATATTAAGGATTCTTATGCTGGTGGCAGTAGTTGGTTTCGGCATGTGAGGTTTGAAAAGGGGGTCATCCCATTTTTAGAGGGCCGCGTCGATGCCGAAGTTATTACAAAGGCATTTTCGGACCACCTTGGTTACCCACAAAGTCTCTGCCAGCACGTTGATACCTCCGGCGGAGAAGGTATTCCCGGGTATCCTTTCAAGAAGAGCATGACAGTCGCGTGCGTTGTGTATGACCTTTCACGCAAAGTGGTCACGGTATGTAAAGGCCCACCATGCCAAGGGGTATTTGAGAAATTCCGTTTGGACTAGGCTTTCTTAAGCGTAAATGGATAGATAGGTCCTAGTTCTTGTCGTATAATTGCTCATTGTATGAATCTTTTAATTTGATGAAATCGTTTTCTGCCAGGAGCACGTGTCGTCAAAAAGCCATACTTTGTTCATTAGACGACGAAAGGTCCGCCTAAATCTTCCATTAGTGCTATGATATCAAGGTTCGCTTTGGCCTCTTTCGGAAACTTGATGATCCGCTCTAAAAGGAGCCTTGTTCTACGGAGATTTGGACCCCAGGTTTCTGCTTGCGCGAAAGTGGTTAAAACCCAGGATTGATATATCGGATCGTTTGTCTCTACCCCAGCTTGGAAAAGTGCTTGTGGCCAGATAGCTTGTGGAGAGTCTGGACGTGACAATGTGACGTGTCGTGACAGGCGAATTATTCTCGCCGCACATTTCTCTATACTAGGCCATGGGGGTGGGCCTGCTTCCCGTTCTTGCATTTCCGATACGGTTCGTGGGCAGCGCTGCATGAAGATTATGAGAATTGAATAATATGTGGCGAGAAGCTGTATCCAGTTATACTCGAGTGAACTGATTGCAACGGGAATGTCCATGTCTCCGTTTGATACGCGCATGGCAAGCTTCGAAGCTGGTACGGTGGATTCTTCGACTTCCTTCCAAATAGATTCAAGACTAGAATGGAGTGTAATCCAGGAGGACTCATATTCCGACTCGGCACCATCTCCTTGCCAATTACCCAGCACTATACAAGAGCCCCTAACAATATTTAAGCGCATGGCTAGGCGTAGGCATGCTTTTGATTCTGAGTTCCCAAAATCGATGGGTGCCGTGGTGTGATCGCTTGAGCCTCCGCTTTTGCTTTCAACTATATTGTAAATAGATGGATTCATTCTTAAGCATCGAAGTAGGCGACATGGGTTCCCGATCAGTGCGGCTCGACTATCGTATGCACTTAGCCACATGAGCATTCTGAGTCCTACAGGTCCGAGTTGTTCTCTGACATCGTCGATGTGGTGGTGTTTAAAGATGCCTTCCACAACATCCGCCACATAGTTTAGTAACCGAATAAAACGATCGACACCGCTCGCAGAAAATAGTTCGTATTGGAGCAAAATCCAGACCGTGACTAGAGTTAGGTCGACATGTTCCACTGCCCGTACATCATTGTACAGAAGTTTGGCGGCGCGTTGATACCGGGCCTCCGCATCGCTTGAAGGTAACGACCTCACGTGTGATAAATGTAGAGAAGACCAGGCCATAATGGCCTCATACAGAGGAGCATGTGTAAGCCCCATATTCGTGAAGATATAACAGTATATGTTGTCGGTGGCCGAGCTTCGTAGCTTGGCAAATTGGACCATAGTGCTTAGGTAATGATCAAGAAGTACTCGGTCTTCTGCGTGGATAGTAACTGTTTCTCCCATCTCCGACACTCGTGCCGTCATCGATGTGGATGGTATGTTAGTAGACATTACCTCTTCGTAGGTGGTGGCGTTAGTGATAGGAGCAATGTCGCCACACTCGATCTCAGAATTCCCATACTTTGGCATAGAGTCCCAAGCGAAGCCCATGTCGGGTTGGAAACATATGGAATCCAACATCCTTTCGACAGCTTCGGGATCAAACCCTTCTATGGGAATGTTGCTATTCTGGGTGTAAGAGATATCAAAGTTCGTTATGGGGTCCTTGCTCGGTGACCCTTGAACTATCTCACTCGACCATACCGGAGAGAGCGTCAACCTCGAGAAGCTACCGAAGTCATTCCCCTCATGCATTGCGGACCCCATCGAGGTCATGCCCTGATAGCTTGAGGCTGAGGAGGTAGTTGACATGTCACCCGGTGAGGGTATGGTCGGGAGTGGAGTAGGACCGCTTGGAAGTTCCGCCTCCGGCACCTGGCCTTGGCTCTGGCCTTTGGGTGCGTTGGCGTCAACAAACCGGACCCGGAACTTCGGGGGACGGGCCCGGGCATTCTTGCGGGGACCCGCGGCATCGCCTGGTTCCACGTAACGGCATGTCAGACGCAATCTTGTACACGCGCTGCAAATAGGGCGCTGTTCATCGCAGCGAACTTTACGGCCGCGGCAAGTGACGCATCCTGACCCAGACTGTTAGTTGACGGAGAATGGGACAGGGTGTTGACATTATGGGAGCCCAACCTGTTCTTGATCTCCGTGCCTTTGGAGCGGTCATGGAGCTTTCAATAAGAATATTACTGATACGTTTGTGATACCATCAGCAGAGCCTTCAGCTGAGAAGAAAAATGAACTATTTGCTGACGCACTTAAAGGAGCATGCGGGCTACCGAAGACGCTGAGCTATCTACCTACAACTGTTGTTTTGGGGATCAGTCAACCTCCTCTTTGGATAAGTGGTGGTCGGGGTCTTGTCGAGTCCGATATCTGTCAGATAGCAGGGGTCGATTAAAGTGGACTTTAAACCCTGGTGCTTTGGCATGATCCAATGCGCGAACGGCTTGGATTCCCCAGCTTTCACTAATTCACAGATAGCTTAGGGTGTCGGTGACGCCTCTAGTACACACATTATGCATAATAATGTAGGCGGGCTTGTGGGATACCGTATGATTTTGATGATAAGCTGCCATCATGCGGTAGACCCCTAGCGAATTTCATACGAATTACATTATAAGCCGAGGGCAGTTAAAGCATGTTGGTGTAAAAAGAGTGGCGCGGGGTCCACGACGTGCACTCCTCGCTAATTAATATTACCTCATTGGGTAAGAGTTAGTAGCCGAATGGAACTCAGCTTGGGGTCGATAAGGGGGTCGGGTCGGTGGTAGGATACCCTGGACCCTTTTCCGCAGCCGCCTTCGTTAGTCCGCGTAGACTATCCTCACTAAACGGAAGAGCGGGGAATAGATTGTCATTAGCTCTATCTCTCCGCATCGACGATGATATTCGGTATCAAACTAACGGAGAGTTCCTATTGAATGGTATCAGGGAGTTAAGACTTGTTATAGACGTCTGGCTTAGTAAGTAACTTCACTTCAGAGGTTTGACCCGTCGTCTTTCGTGCTTCTGTGTGTGAGTTGGGACATGTTAAGATTTCATTTCGGGATAACAGGGGTCTAAAATCACAACCCGGTAGATGCGGGAAGGATTCAATTGAAAGAATGGGCTGAATTACCACATCTAGAACCCTAGGTGTGTAGTTCGCGTTCAGTTCGAACTTACCTAGATTCGCGCCTTTCTAACGCTATTTTCTTCTCAACTTGCTAGGAGACAACCCTTATCAAGTCAAGAAATCGCCTAGATGCGGAGGTAGCCAAGCTTCTTAGATGAAGTATACGTTGCGTGTCACGAGATAGGAGTGCCGTGCCGACGGTTCCAAGCAGTCGGGACTATTTATAATTCACCGGGTATCTGCTGTGTCGCCTCAACTGATGCCCCTCCCACAAGCCCGGTTCACCATCTGATTTTCATATTCCCTGTTTCCCTTTCTCCAAACCTTCGCTGGTCAAACAGACGCGGAATACGTCAGTCAGCATGGGCTCTCAAGAAGGCGATGTAATCGAGAAGGGCGCGGAGACAGCCCAAGGTCCAACCAATGTCTCCGTGAGCGAGCAGGAAGTTGAGAAAGTCTATCACCATAAGCTTGATGCCGACGAAGCTTTGGACTTTTTCAGATCCCATGGCATCACGACGGTATCCCCTGAGGATGACAAGCGCATACTCCGCAAGATCGACATGTTCTTAATGCCTCTTATGCTGGTAACAAATACACTCAACTTCTTGGACAAAAACGCGTTATCCAACTCAGTCAATTTCGGTCTCAAAGAAGACAATGTAAATAATATCCAATAAACATTTTCGAAAATTTCGGTTTAACTAACTTATTTCCTAGCACCTTGTTGGAAATCAATACAGCTGGGCTAGTGGTTCGGTATTTTATCTCAGTATGCATAATCCCACTCATTCACTGCCTATCAATGGCCATTTGGTTGGGCAGAAAAACTAACGTCATAACAGCGTACATGGTCTGCCAACCACTTGTATCGCGATCCTTACAATGGTTCCCTGTTGGAAAACTACTGTCCGTGTCAGTCGTAGCTTGGGGAGCGGTCTTGATGCTTACCGCCTGCACCCGCTCATTCGCCGCGTTGATGAGCGTCCGTGCTGTCCTTGGTGCTTTCGAGTCGGTCATCAACCCCACTCTCATGCTCATGACCGCCCAATGGTACAAGCGATCTGAACAACCTGAGCGTGTCGGTTGGTGGTTTATGGGCAATGCTCTCGGCCAGATTTTTGGTGGTATTATCGGATATGGCGTTGGCAACATCAACGCTAATCTCGAGGTCGGAAACTGGATCTGGTATTTCATTATCTTCGGCGGATTCACAATTCTCTATGGAGTCTTCCTTTACTTCATTATCCCTGACAGCCCCATGACTGCTAGGTGGCTCTCTGACCGTGATCGCGCTCTGGCCCTTGCGCGTGTGCGCCAGAACCGAACAGGTATCATGAACCGACACCTCAAGTGGTACCAGGTCAAAGAGGCTCTCCTGGACTTCCAGACATGGATGCTTGTCATCATTCAGTTTCTCACCAATGTACCATCTGGCGGTGTTGCTAGCTTTGGAACGCAAGTTATCAAAGGCTTCGGATTTAGCGCCTTGAACACGACATTGCTCCAAATGCCTCTTGGTCTAATCCAGGGTATTACGATTATCCTAGGTGGTCTCGCTTGCAAGTACTTCAAGAACTGCCGATGGATCGTCATGATTGTCACCCAAATTCCCGCCTTGGTCGGTGCAATCTTATTATACACACTCCCATCTTCGCACAAAAACTCGCGTCTCGCGTCTTACTACGTCATCCAGACTCACAGTATTGTTACTATCATGGAATACTCCATGGTAACAGCAAATATTGCTGGTACGACTAAGAAGATGACTGTTACGGCTTTGCTCTTCATATTCTTCTGTGTCGCACAAGTCGCTGCTCCGCAGTTATTCGTCAGCTCCGAATCGCCTCGGTATCCCACAGCATTTAAGGCGGCGTTCTCTTGCTTCGCTTTATTGATTATCCTGCCAATTGTGCTCATGCTCTACCTCAGGTGGCAGAACCAGAAGCGCGACCGTCAATACGGTAAAGTAGACCATGATGACTCTACAGATATATCGGCGGTGAATGGCGATGACCAACCCGATGAGTTTTTCGACTTAACGGATTTCGAGCAGAAAGAGAAGTTCCGCTACGTCTACTAATTTTTGGGCGGAATATGTATTTTGAAATACGAATTATGTATCTTGGGTAGGCAGCGTTTGAAGGAGTAGGTGGTTGGGGATATATAATCTGAGGATATCGGCGGGCGGTCTTGTTGTTCTGCAAAATTAGGCATTGTATTCCAGTATTACATTCTTGTTCCTCAATACACGTTATCCGGTGCTATTGAATTGGAGTTTTCGCATGAAACGCCTCTTATTGTTCTCCCTTGGCCACGGTGATAAAAAAAAAAGTAGTCCACAAGTGTAGATTCGGAGATGATCCCCGAGGCTTTCGGAACCATCCGACGGATATAATAAAAGTTGTCGGAACGATCCGATAGATTGATAGTATTTTCGGCTGCTCTCCGAGATCATACCTAGGTAATAAATTCTGGCGTTCTCCCGTGTAACCATAACCACTGAAACCATTGTAATTATAGGGGGTTATACGCTGCAAATCCATGCCATTAACCCCGCAATTACAGCTCATGCCTAGGTGATTATTCGTATCGGAAAACCTCCGAAAATGCCAACTGTCGAAATTCCAATTAAGACAAACTCGGAAAACCAACTCCAACCGTCTAATTTCTATTAAATATCATGGCCTATAAAAATAAATCTAACGAAAGTGAAGGTGAGAACTAATTAACTTCAAGGCGTCGGGTGTGAACCCGGGCGATGAATAATAGTAGATACGAAATGACGAGAACCAGCTCAGTCAACCAAATACATAGAAATTTGGTCTAATCCAGTAATACATTTACTGCCTCTTCCACTTCTTAACCTTAGTAAGATAAGTCAATACGATGACAGCAGTGTAGTTAAAGGCGATAAAACCAATGAAGATACCGATATTCCTGTAACGATTGGCGAAGTCATAACCCCATTGGAGATACTATATAGCTAATGTTAGCCGGCAATAAAGCAAAAGAATATTTAGTGTTGCAAAACTCACGTATGATTGACCGTCCTTATAACGGCAGTATTGACAATCAGAGGTCGCGTTCGGATTAAGCAGAAAACCGGTTGCCGTGCGCAGAAATTCGCTAGCATGGTCATCACATGTAATGCCGTCTGCCGGGGGCTGGAAAATCGAGGTTTCGGAAGGATCGCAAGTGATATCGAGACCATATAGTATATCGGAAGTGGTACCTTCGCTCAGGTAAAAGAGTGGCGAGAGCTTATAGTACCAGCGCCAACCAGAAGGGGTAACAGGTTTCGGGGAAAGAGTGCCGGAAAAGAGATTGACGAACATAAAGAAGAATCCATTGGCCATGAATGTTGCGTTGAGGCTAGGCATAAGGGCGGCGCATAGCTGGGCCAGGCTGTGTGCAAATACGGAGAACAATTCGTACATGAGAAAGCTGTAGCCGGCTCGGTCCGAAGTTGTGAAGTATCCCACGGGGAAATACCACAATAACCAATACATTAAACTTGTGATGAAAGCGTATGGCAACTCAATGAGAATCGACGGTATTACGAAGCAAAGCCAACTGTAGGTTTGGCTGGCTTGTTCGCGGAGTGTGAAAATATCGCGTAACGCCACAAAACGCGGTTGGATCTGTAGACCTAGAGGTGGTCCGACAATAAGTGACATAAAGGCGGAGAAGACGCGATTATACGTTCCACGCTCATTATTACCAGAGTTTAGAAATGTTAGGCCATTGAGAAGGGCATTGCCGACATTCATCAACAACTTGGAGACGAAGTAATCCGGGTCTCTCCAGTAGTAGAGCCAGGTTCGGCGCATAGTCTCCACAAACTGTACGTAAAGCGGTACGGCGTGTGTACGTTCGGCAGGCATGAGCGATTGCTCATTATCCGTTGAGGCGGCGGAGACCAATTTTTCCCGTTGCGCGTCACGGGCAGCGCGCTCGGAACTCGATTGCCAGATATTTTGGTATTGAGCCTTTTCATCGGATGCATCCGATGAACCCCTCACCACCTGCACGAAATATTCAGCCGGATTTTCATCCTCTCCGCAAGGGGGCGCGGAACTCGACCGAGCGAAATATTCAAGCGCTGTCGAGCACTTATCACCCAGCGGCCCATCATACGCAAGACGACCTCCTGGAACAAGCAATACTAGATGGTCGAAAAGCTCGATCAATTCGGCGGCAGGTTGATGGATGGTGCACAATACAGTCTGGCCCGAAGCTGCAAGCTTCCGCAAAAGATGACCAATGGTTAAGGCAGATCGTCCGTCGAGGCCAGAGGTGGGTTCATCTAAGAGTAGAATATCCGGCCTAGCAGATAATTCGACACCGATAGTTACCCGTTTTCTTTGCTCTAGATTTAGACCTGCACCAGGTACTCCGATCAATGCATCTGCGATATCCTCCATCTCGAGCAGATGAATGACGGCTTCGACATGGTTATTCTTCTCTTCGTCAGATACACTGAGGGGCCTTCGGAGGCGCGCGACCATTTGAAGGGCCTCTCGTACCGTCTGAGTCGGTAGATGTACATCTTGCTGCTGCACGTAGCCCATGTAACGGCGGAAAGACTTGGGTAGCGGGCCACCATCGAGGAAGATGTCACCGGAAAGTTTTCCGAACTCTATCCGACCCGCGAGAGTATTAAGGAGAGTCGTCTGTAAGTGAACGTCAGTAAATCACATAATACTGGAAGAGTCGCTATATAGCTTACCTTCCCTGCGCCCGATGCGCCCATAAGAGCGGTCAATTGACCGGGCTCCACGAAACCTACAACAGAATATTAGCATATATGTCATGTCAATAAAGCATAGGAGCATACGCCGGTAAACTCACCGCTAAGACCATTTAGAAGACGCTTCGTTTCACCACCAACGTTTACTTCCAGTGTAATATCTTTCCAGGCCAGCGTCCGCCCATTATGACTTGACACCGATCGCGAAGTAGTAGGTGCTATTACCGACCCGGTTGGCGGCACATCTGCATCAAATTTCCCTTTTTCATTATCGGAAGTATCCGATAGTTCCCTTGGTATCGGTTCTTTTGACTTCGACTTGTAGAAAATTGTGGCGAAACGGCCGGCAGGGAGTTTATAGTACTCCATTCCAATTCTACGCAGTAAACATTTGTTAGTATAAATATAACCTGACAAGGGCTCTCTATTAAGAAGTTACTCACCCGGTGCATAGCGCGAAGACTGCGAAAAAGGCGGCATTGATACCGACGTTCCTCCATAAATGCGATACGCGAAAATCGAATTGTTCACGAACATAGGCAGCGCCAGATATAAATGCCTGTCCCGGTTCGGCTCCTTGAACCGCACATACTTGGTTGGCAATCGAGCCGTAGCCGGGCCCGCTGGGCGCTAGATCGGTTGCGCTGCATGTATAATTCAGGTTTCCAAACTCATTCACCATAACAGATTCGTACGCGTAGTAAAGCGGCTATCAATTGAATTGAATATTAGTGTCATACCTTGGAAAACATTTATGCCGGTCAAAGGGGGTTGCTTACGTTACAGTACTTGATCCAGAATAACCACACCTGCATCTGCGGCCCTGGAACGTACAGGCCGGTATACAGAACGAAGACATTGAACATAATACCAACGGGAAGTACCGCACGGCCCATATTCGGCGATACCACAGCGATAGCACGGAAAACCATAGATAAAGCCATGTGCTCGATGTACACGATACAGAACCAGATGAAGAACTTCTCCGGGGTCCGCTGGAAGGCGATGAGGAAGTATTGAGGGATATTGTAAGCAATGGCCACAATCTTCCATAGCGCATCAGTGAGAACAAGCCCCAATGCGTAGGCAAGCGGCCGATAAAAGCGGTACCGCTTTTGGCGAATAACAAGAGGCCGCTCGGCGAAGCTGTTATTAAACTCGCTCATTGACTGGAGAGCTGGTACTAGAACCGAATTAAATAGAGCTGAGCCGAGGATGAAGAATGACTGAGTAACCCGATGTTGATCGCGGAAGAGTGTGCCGATAACAAGACTTTGCACGATGATAGTCAGAGCTTCCGTCACCCACGTCTTTGTGTCTTTGGCGAGTACTTGGAATTGGCGCATAGAGCATTCTAGGATTTGGCGGTATAGAGGCAAGGCATACACATCCCTTTTAGGTCCTACCGCCACGGATACAGCCTCGCGACGCTTCACACCGACGGTTTCGGCGACAGCTTTATAGTATTCACTCCGACGGAACGCCTCTTCAAACTGAGTAGGCGTAGAAGGAACGCGGAACTCCCACCCGTCACGGGGCGTCCGGAGTTCGGGCTCGGCCGTCATCGAATTGAGAAAGTCGGTAATAGTCGTGCGGTCGGGACAGACGAACCCGAGATCTTCGAAGTATGCCTTAGCATCGGTAGCTTTGCCATAGAAGACCTGGCGACCGCCATTGATAACTAAGACTTTGTCGAATAATGGAACCATAGAATTACTTCCTTGGTACACACTCATGGCAATAGAGCATCCATGTTGGCGAGTGAACTCGCGCATCATACGTACGAAGTCAAGAGCAGTAGACGAGTCGAGGCCATTGGTGGGGTTATCGAGGCAAAGTACGCTATGTTGATAGTTAGTACTTATTTATGTACCGCAACATGAGAAATGAGAATATCATACTCTGGGCATGTTGCCATGGCTTCGGCGAGTGAAACCCGCTTTCTTTCCCCACCGCTTACGCCACGGATAGCTTCGTTTCCCACCTTAGTCTTCAATACGTGAGACAAGCCTACGCAACTAGCAATTCTCTCAACTGCGGAATTGATGGTCGCCCGAGACGCCTTAGTATCCCATGTAGCTCGAACAGCAAACCTAGCGTCAGTGTCAGTAGATAAGCATCTGGTAGGAAAAAAAGAGGTGTGTCTAAGTTACCTAAGCGTTTGTGCTACAGTTAGAGCCGGTAGGTGGCTATCTTCCTCAGCTGCCCATTAATTTAGTCAGTAGAATTTCCCGGAACATTTAATTATGTCCACTTACCGCAGAAGATCAACTTGACACGATCCGGATCACGATCATTAGCAGGGCGACCGCCGTATGTGATGTATCCATCTACCCTTTTATACTCCTCGCGCATGTTCGAGATTGCTTTAAGGAACGTGGTGCATCCGCTTCCAGGTTTACCAATAACAAGCAGCATCTCGCCGCTATCCAGCGATCCAGAAAACCCATGAAGTAGTTTACGAGAGGGTTCGGGCTGGCCATAGGTTCGCGGATTGAGGTAGTTCGCACATGACTTGACGGTCGTCCAGACAGTTGGCGCGGCTTGGACCTGGATTTGAGAGCCGGGTTAGCTACAGCGGAAAGGGGGAAGCTTAGAAAGGAGATTCGGGTGTCCTTACTCCTCGACCGCTACCTTCCACAGTCAATTGATCGAATACTACCGATGAGCGAGCGCTGGACGCAGAGGTGTTACTAGCAAGAAATTGGCGGATAGTATCCTCAATGGTCTCGCGTCGTTCGTCCATGGCGGGCGCCTGGGTGTATGGATACGTGCGAGAATAAGCATTGTATCAGAATCGACCGCTTTTAAAAGCAGAAAGATATATAAACCAACCTCCATTAGATAGGCCGAATTATAGTGCACGTATTTCATGCTTATAAATGCGACAAATTTCTAATCTCCGCTGTCGTCGTTCTCTTCGATTCCTATTCAGGAAGTGTGAAGCTCTTGATATCGGAGGCTAGCTAGAAGCGGCAGTGTACCTTGGTATTGGACGGAGTTCCGAATAGGGAATGTGGGGCCTCTACTGACCACTGAAGTGCACGCTATAAGGCTTAGCTTCAGCGCTGGAGCGCCTATACTTAGGCCAACTCCAGATATGAAAAGGAGGTTTCGGAGTCGGCGTTGAGGTGGGATAGTATAATTGCTAAAATCGCGGCGCATTTTAGAGAATAAGTTTATGATTATTGAGCAGCGGGGTTTTATTTTGCCTTTCCTTGTCAAATACCAAGATTGCTAGACCCGCCGCAATGTCGTCGCCTATTGATCACCCCGCTATACCTAAGGGTTCGACGGTGCTCATCACGGGCGTCAATGGGTTTATAGCGTCCAACATTGCAGACCAATTCCTCAAATCCGGTTATAAAGTTCGCGGTACCACACGAAACCCTCAAAAGAATGCGTGGGTTGCCAATCTATTTGACCGCAAGTATGGACCAGGGAAATTCGAGTTTGTAGCAGTTCCGGACATGGAAGCAGAGGGCGCATATAGCCAAGCTGTGAAAGGTACGTCGATATCATATAGTGGTTGCCGCAATTGAAAGGGAAAGCAGGCTGATTATTATATGTGGCAATTAAAAGGTGTCTCTGCTGTAATCCACACGGCAACCAACTATACGATGAACCCGAACCCACACGAAGTCATCCCTGGCACCGGAGCAGGAACAGTGAATGCGCTCGCGGCTGCGGCCGTGGAACCAAGCGTCAAGCGCTTCGTGTTAACGTCGTCGTCTGCGGCGGCGTTGATCCCGAAGCCAAACAACCCCCTTGTGGTGACGACCGACACGTGGAACGACGACATAATCGCGTTTGCGTACCGTGACCCTCCTTACGAGACCGAGCGCGCGTACCCCGTTTATGCCGCTAGTAAGACACTAGCTGAAAAGGAAGCGTGGAAATTCATGCGCGAGAGGAGGCCGGCATTTGTATTGAATACCGTTCTGCCGAACATAAACTTCGGAGCGAGTCTCGACCTAGTCAACCAGGACCATCCGTCCACATCCGGCATGATTGTCGAGTTATTCAGGGGAAACCCAGAGCCGCTAGCCGGCCTGCCAGCTCGTACGTCGGGACTTGTTCTAATTTCCCTCGTGTAGCGTAAGCGGAAGATCAACTGACTGATGAAATCTAGAATACTTCGTCGATGTGCAAGATAATGCGCTCCTCCATGTCGCAGCTGCCATCCATCCAGGTGTCGAGTCCGAACGCATTTTTGCCTTTGCCGAACCCGTTAACGGAGACAAGCTTCTCGCTATACTACGCCAATTATACCCGGATCGGCAATTTCCGGCCAATTTTCAGGGCGAGGAGGATTTGAGTGAAATTGTTCCGCGCAAGCGAGCTGAGGTACTACTGCGAGATATGGGAAAGAGTGGGTGGACCACGCTAGAAGAAAGTGTTAAGATAAACACACAAGATATAGCATAAAAACCGTAAATGTTTCCAAATATGAGTTACAGTATTTTAAAGAGTTTTAGCCTTGTGTTAATCCTTTTAAAGGCGAAGCTAAATTTGCTATGATCTTTAGCTTATAGTGTCTGTGGTTCTCTCTTCTGTATCGCCTGTATCCGGGTTAGATAATAGGAAGTCCATGCCTTCCCAGGTATATGGACTCGCATCCTCTAGCCTCCGTAAGAAGTTGAGGTCAAAAATTTCGTTGTTAGCGGAGGGCGACGCGAGCGTGGAGGCCTGTATTGCTGGTTCTGCTTTGTCTGAAGGGAGAGCGTCGCTAGGTGCGGTGACAGTGCTGGTGATTGACCCTCCAAGAGAGGTAAACAATGGCGGTGGTGATGTGCTGTTTCCAGTACTACAAGCCCTAGTAGTCACGGCGCTCACATCTTCGGCTAAGACACGGGCGACGGCGGCAACTCGTCCGGCCTCAGGTAGAGTATCGCGATATTTATCAATAATGGCAAGGGCAATGTCGACTTTTGAGCGTACTTCTGAGGCTAGGTGGCTAGTGGGAAAACTATAAGCAAAGCCGAGCATAGTGAAGAGTGCTTCCTTCTGCCAGCGGAAGGCGCTGTATATACCACTAAGAGCCTCCGAAGAGATAAGGGCCTGGTGGATCATGCTCGTTAGTTCCATAGCATGATTGAGGGCTGCGGCGGCTTGACTGTCGGAGAGTGGCGTTTGAATTTCGGAATTGGGAGCGAAGCAGATAAATGAGCGATACAACATCATGCAGTACTGATGATATTGTAACTCGAGGAGGAGTCGGTGGCGTTGGCAGTGAATAATGACGTTTGGCCCTGGGTCCAACTCAAGAGGTGATTGATCTGTGGAGTAGGGGTGACCATTCTTGCGTGGTACGAAGTATCCCAAGGGAACTTGCTTAGTCCATGCGTTGAGATCTTTCATCTGTTCGGTAAGCACGCGTGCACACTCTTCCCGGAAAGTGGCGCTGGTAACGAAGTGCATATACCCATTTTCGCCTACGGCGGAGTCGTACTTGGCATAGAAAGCGGATCTAACAGACCTAACCGCGTCGAGAAGGCGTAATGTCTGGGTTTGAAAACCTAGCCAAGTGGGACAGGCTGCATTGTATGGATAGTGAGGAGCAAGCCAGCGAGCAACCTCAGGAGAGTCAGATGGGAGATGGCAGGTCGAATGCGAAGGGCCAATTATTGGAGGTCGACCGACTTCCATGGATAGCTTAGTGTCTAGGATATACAAACTCCACCAGGTGCGACGAGCGACCTCTCGCTGCGGTTCTGGTACGTTTAGTGCGGGTTCGTTAGGCAATCCTAGCATCATGGCCATCATGATGGCCTTCCCTATAGTAACTTGAGCCCTATTTAGGAGCCCCGCTTCATATAAATACACGATGCTGAAAACGCAGCATTGTACAGTAGTGATAGATGGGATTTCAATGGACTGGTCAATAGCCTGTTGACACCGCTGGTAATATTGGTAACCAGCGAGGGAAGGGCAGCTTTGTCTTGGCGAGTCGCTATGGTTAGTGTGAAAGCCGTTCGTGTTACGTGAGGAACTTCCCAATTGAATGGATAATGCCAGTATAATATCTACCAAGGGTGACGCCATGCGAGGTTCGCCAGGCATACTTTCAGCTACTAGTGTCGTGTACTCTGTTCTGAACTGCGCTTCGTGGAGGATAGGATGGCTGAAGTAGTGTGTCTGCCAGAATAAATCGAAAGAATGCATCTCCTCAGCCGGTCGGAGATAATCGGTAATTAAGCCATCCTGAGGTATAATAGCTGGGATATTCGCCGCACCAAAACAACCCGAGATATCTAGGTTGGGTAGGGTCTGTTGTCGTGTGGTCTGTATAAAACCCCCCATATTCTTAACAAAGAACGGCAGCGACCCAACGCCATAGAAAGTCGAGTCAACACGCACTCCATCGCACGACGAGGCAGATGGCTGATCCGCATATGATCTCGAAAGCGATGCAACATGAGATGTGTTGACGTTCGATGACCATGGTTTTTCATTTCCATTACCGCTGTCGTTATCATCGTATTTCACGCTGTTATCGCCATTGGTCTTAAGTTCTTGTAAGTGCTTCACTTGAGCGCGTAGTGTTTCTATCTCTCTATTGAATACTCACCGATCAGCCACGTTGTTGCGATAGTAGGGAGGTTCGATGTGGCTTTACTTTACTGCTGCGGCGATGCTCCGAAACTGGTTCCCGCCGCCCATCCCGCATTCACGCTGGGCATTTTGGCAGTTTGAGCATGGTCTGTGGTTATCACACTTAATGCGCATCAACTTGCACCAATCGCATGCACGGCGTACTTGATTGCGTTTAGGACGGTTCGTCGGAGTGCCATTTTGTTGCGATACGCCGTCGTGAAGATCTAGCGTGGTGAACATTGAACTGCGCTCTGCTTGTCGTCGGATAGATCCGAACACCTTCTCAAAATAACACTCACTCCGGTAAATTCGACCCGATCAGGAATATTTCGTAGTGATGTTATTGAATTTGTTGAATACGGAAAACACGGAATCTATGATGCTTTAAATCCGAGAAATGCATGCTCAGACACTGCGAAATTGGGTCTTTAGACAGCCTTTACTCATGACATGCTCAAAGGAGGGAGAAGCTTAAGAAATAGAAATCGAAGATGATATTAATAAGCGGGCAGATTTGGATGACATAAGGGCTTACATAAGTTTATCATGACACAAAAACGTGCACAATTGTTATGCAGCGCATACCTTAGGTAATCCATTAGAATAACCTTAATGACGTACCTAGGCAAGTTAGGTAATTGTGTAACAATACATATTCTTCCTAAGCTGAAGCCAAAACTAACTAGCGTTTATATCCTCCGTTAACTTTTCTCTATATAGACGCGTCCGCTAGTACACGTACTTTTCTTCTACATCAGGCCAACACTTCTGAATCTCCCCCTCTTCCACGATCAGAGCTATGCTTGAGCCGTACTCAAGCGGGTCGCCTTCATAAACCACAAATTCCTTCTCATCGCGTACTTCCAGTCCATAGATCTCCCGCATATTCTTCGTAACAATATCGACAGCCAACTCCCCCCTCTTCTCAGCCGAGATACCCATACGACCCCGTGTAAGCCAACCCGCCTCCCATAGCGCGTTAGTTACCCACCGATCTCGATGATCCCAAATACCGACACCCAACTTTACACCTGCGTCGAGCAGGATATCAGGCCCCGCTACATCATTCAGAGGAGGACCGGGAAGACAGTTCCGCACTTCCCATGTAAGACGACTGCATCGGAATGGCGCCAAAACCACGGGAATATCCACCGCGGCCAGTTCATGGGCAAGCAGATGAGCCTCACCACCACCATGAATAATAATATTAAGTGACGGGATTTCATGTTTAAGCGCAATCATCTTCGCGATAACATCCTTGTTATCGGTGCGCACAGTGATTGGTAAAGTGCCGTTAGCCGCAAGAGCGTATGTTGGGTGTGGTGGGTTTGGATTCTCAAGTATTTTCCGGAGTTCGTAAATCTGCGATGATATGGACGGGAAGAGAGCGTCTATATCCAAGGCGTTAGTCGCGACCCCGTAAAGATCTGGTTGATTGGACTTACTCTTGGATTCGTGGCCGATTGAGAGGAATAGCGAGACGTCTCTCTTCACCACAGCTCCAGGAGCCAGCCCTGCCGGATATTAGTAAACTGCTGCTGTGTGAGGAATGATTGCGGTATCCTGAACTCACCATGCGCCGCCCCAGGGCGGAATGCCGTGCTGATTCCGTGTAGGAAACCATTGCTCACAGGAGCAGTAACCAGAGTTGTCAGACCTCGTCGATGGGTTATAGCGAGACGGCGATCGCCGAATTGAAGGCCATCCGCAGCGGTAATCACCCGGCTAAGGTCGAATCCCGTTAGCTCTCCATCTTTCGTGGAGCCCTCTCCGACCAATTCGCTTAATCCATGCGAACGAGTCGCCGAAACGATACCCTAAATCCGGTGTTAATAGCACAATTCGTAGATCTTTAGAATTCTCGATTGCTTACCGGCAGGATATATCCATCCTTCAAGTACAATTCAGGGACACCCTGTCCGACGGCCTTCTCTGCAACAGTTTCACACGACGAGCTTCCAATACACTCAAGAACGCCGTCGCGCACGACCGCAGTAATGTTGTCAAAAGTAGACGTTTTCAGTCCAGTGAGATAGCTCTTCTTCACGCCACGTAGCACAACATCTTTCTGTCCCGGGGTGCAGACTTTCTTGTCGCTGGCCTTCTGGGTACGGCTTGGGGGAGATGGAGTAAACACTTGCTCCCTTGTGACGCTCTCTTCCCAAAGCTTTTCCGAGGCATTGACGAGCGTTACACCATCGGCAATAACTTGAAGAGGTGTCGAGCCCAGAGCTAGAGGGTGGGAATCCCAGACCACAAGATCCGCATCATAGCCGGGACGAACCCAACCAATCCTGTCGTCGTGTTAGGAAGGGCGGTTCCTGAAGCGGGGATGAATAAGACTACAACTTACCTATTGTCCAGTCCTAATGCCTTAGCTGGTACAGACATCATCGATGCGATTGCTAGCTTTTCCTCCAATCCGAAATGGTGTCCAATTTGGGCTTCCTGGGCAAAGAATTGGCCGTGCTTCGCGGGATGGTCTGTTGTGAGAGCAATGGGAATACCGGCCTCGGCAGCCTTCTTAAGCATGTACCAACTGCTGTGGTAGTTCTCATTCTTAAAGCCGCCTTCGTCGGAAAATGTGGCTAGCATCGAGCCCCGCTTCTTGATCTCGTCAAGCATTTCATGGGCTTGGGTGATGTGGTGGAGGGCGGAAATGTTGAAACCAAATTCATCGGCGTGGTCGTACTCAGCGAAGACATCTTGAGTCTGATAGCAGTGCAAGTGCACACTCAGATCTCCTCTCAAGACATCTACAAGCGTCTGCCAGTGTAAGGAGGTGGGATAAGGGATATCCAGCCCGACGCCACCGGCGGAAGCACGTTCACACCAAGCATCTTGACGATCGCGCAGGTTTCTTGCCTCTTCGTAGGCGAAGCGGACGTAGCCAGATTCTCCCTGTCGACTTATCGGGCCTGCAGGCGCATTCTGGAAATTTTGCTTAATATTCTCTCCGCAGGCCATCTTCAGATATCGCTGACGTTTAGGGCTTTTTCCATTACTTGTCGAATCTATTTCCAATTCCCAGACGGAATTGCTTTGCTTGTGTTTGACAACCATCCCCTCGCCTGAGATCAAGTTGCTCGCACCAGTTAAGATTAAAGATGTTGTTGTACCTCCACTGGCTACGATCTTGATGCCTTCATCATGGGGTTTAAATCCATCAATTGCTCTCGACCATGGCGTTATGACCTGCGAGCTTTCCGTCACATCCGCGTTCATCCAGATTTGAGGTTCCTGTCTTAGGCCTACATGCGAGTGCATGTCTATTAGGCCAGGAGACAGGAAACGACCAGCAACATTGATGATAGTCGCATCCGCTATAGTCTCGGCGCGTCGGCCCCCGACATAGGTGATAATCCCGTCTTGAACTTCAACGTCGATTTCGGAAAGAATGCGGCCATCACCATCGATAAGTGTAGCGTTTTGAAAGATTTTGATGGGAGCTTCAAGATCCCGTGCCTTTAGTCGATCAGACGCAAGTGAGTAGTCTACGAAAGGACGTTGCTGGTTCCTGGCGCATTGTCGGAGACCTTCCGAAAGTTCGGTTGACGTCAAGATGGGAGTCGGAGCCGGGCAAATTCCCTTCCAGGCAAGCAGCAAAGTTGCCAGGACCGTAACGGGAACTATAGATCTCCATGATGGTCCAATTCTCGATTTTTGAGGCCTGCCGCCCTCAATCGGTTGAAGCAGCCTCATTTTCTCCATTTCTAAATCTCCTGTTTGATCTCACACATACCTATGATTGGGAGTCTCTTAATTAAGAGGTTAATTTCGCATGACGTGCCAGCAAGGTAAGGAGCTTCACGATCGAGCTAGCTAGCTAGCTAGCTATCTCATTTCTCCAAATCGCATTCACCTATCGGTTCACATAGCGTTCGCCGATAAGTGCCTACTCTGTTTGGTGCGATGATACACTCTTGCGGTCGGCTCACCTGTTTTCCTAATTGGGAAGTTGCCCGAAGCGACGATACTACTAGATGCTAAGACTACTACACCCCACAATCATCCCATACTCCACCGGACTACGAACCGATATTTGAACTCATCGGCGAGCAAGTCCGAAATCGTGCCAGGAGAAAGATTCCGGAACACGCGTACCCGGTAATCTTCCATAGCCGAGCCTTTGTCATTGAGCTGAAAGTAAGCGGTTCGTGCGAAGGGACGCCGATCCGGCATAGGAGACGGCAAAGGGCTAGAACCACATGGGTTCTCCACAACAAAACGCGGGGCTTATTCTCTTACGTACGAATCTAGATACCGACTCAAGGGGTCGCGAGAGGGTGTTGGCCGCGCATTTCGAGCGTTAGAAGCAGAGGCCTTTCGTCGAAAGACAGGAAGTCGCGATATTCGGTGTTTAATAAGGGCAGCTCAACGTCGGAATTTTGCCTTGACAACTATTAATTCCGATGCTGCCTATTACCCCGCCAGGGATTCGTATGGCTTTGGTTTGTCGAGCTTCGTGATCTGCAGTCCTGTGCCGTTGGCGCGCCGGAAAAGTTGTAACCTGGGTCTTGGTCAAGGCCTACCACTCGTCAATTTGCGAAAATTTTGTATTTATAGTAAATACGCGCATTCTATAGCAAGTGCTATGAATCTAGGAATGTGGCGTGTTGGTACGTAAAGGTAAAAGCACCTTGCATCCTGTTAAGATCTAGGCTGCAGAATTACAACTGCGAACATGTAATACACTAAAAGCTTCGCGGCGCAGATCCAAGCGTGGCAGTCTCTTCAAGTCCATTGTTCCTGAATATTAATGGGCGGAAGGAAGTAATAAGATTGCTTTACGACCATGCGTCTTTAACCTTTGCTCAGCTACTTGCTTTCGCTCTTAACCATAGTAACGCCCGCCACCACCGGAACAGATAAAATAACGTGGTATTTAGTATTTACGACGGGCTTAATATAATGGAGGCCACATACGATTTTGTTATCGTTGGTGGCGGAACGGCCGGTCTTGTTCTAGCAGCACGACTCTCCGAGAATCCGAATATATCTGTCGCCGTCGTCGAGGCAGGGTCTTATTATCAAATCACGAACCCTTTGATATCGTCCGTTCCGCTTGGCGCGGTTGGATTCACAGGTTCATCTCCGAAAGATGTAAATCCAGGTGTGGATTGGGGCTTTGTGACAGCACCGCAAAGTGCTGCAAACAATAGGGTGGTACACTATCCTCGAGGCAAGTGTCTAGGTGGCAGGTATGATATCGTCATTGTTGGTTTACTTCCTAGGCTAATTGCTTCTTCAGTTCTGGGAGGAATTTAAGTGAGTAGCTCGGCGAAACCATGGCGATGATCGGGGTTGAGGAAATGATTGGGAAATGAACCACGTTTATTTGCACCACTTACTAATTCTATGCCACATTTAGTGATGTATCACCGTCCAGATGAAGGATCCCTTCAGCAATGGGCCGACATAGTCGGAGACGAGTCCTACAACTTCAAAAGCATGTTGCCTTATTATCAGAAAAGCTGCAGGTTCACTGCGCCAGATCCGAAACTAAATCCAGATGCGAATGTGAGGTATAAGTTGGATGCGTTCGTACCAACTGGAGGCCCTCTACATATATCATATCCAAACAATGTGCGCCCCTTTTCGACATACCTCGGATCAGCTTTCGATGAGATCGGAATCCCCCATGCGGAAGATTTCAATAGTGGCACGTTGGTCGGTTCCCAGTTCTGCACCTTAACCGTGGATCCTACCTCCGCAACTCGGTCTTCCTCTCAAACTGCGTTCCTAGATGCATGCCAAGCTCGACCGAACATCAAGGTCTTTAGGCAAACATTGGCCAAGAAGATAATTTTCGATGATAATAAACGGGCCACGGGTATACAGGCCGAGGGTTTGTTGATAAAAGCTAGGAAAGAGGTCATCTTATCCGCTGGTGCCTTCCAGTCGCCGCAGTTACTCATGGTCTCCGGAATAGGTCCGGCGGCGACCCTCAATGAACACGGGATTCCAGTCATCGTTGATAGACCAGGTGTGGGACAGAACATGACGGATCATCTCATGTTCGGCCCTTCTTATCGAGTCGCAGTGCCAACGGTGCCATCAGTGCTTGCGGACTCGGAGAAAGCAATTCCAGCTCTTTTCAACTTCTTCAATTTTGCACAGGGACCTCTCACAAATAATGGCTCAGATTATATAGCTTTCGAGAAGATACCGATAGACTTGCTCTCCAAGGAGGCCAGTGACATTCTGTCGAAATTGCCATCTTCGTGGCCGGATACCGAATACTTCGCTGTGGACGGCTATTTTGGGGACTTCGCCAACCCTTTCATGCGCGGGGCTAGCAACGGTTATCCTACAGATGCGTACGACTACGCCAGTATCATCATAGCACCGACTGCACCTAGATCCCGCGGGAGTGTAACGATAAAGTCGGCGGATGTCAATGACTTGCCAATTATCAACCCCAACTGGTTAACCGATCCTGTCGACATCGAAGTTGCTGTTGCAGCATTTAAGAGAGTGCGCGCGGTATTTGCGACGAAAGCTATGAAGGACGTCCTAGCCGACCCTGTCGAATATTTCCCCGGACCTGCTGTCAAGACCGATGAGCAAATTCTCGATATAATCCGAAAGACCGTAACGACTGAGTTCCATGCATCCACAACTTGCCGTATGGGGAAAACGGACGATTCAACTGCGGTGGTGGATTCGAAGGCTAGGGTCATCGGCGTGTCTGGACTGCGGGTTGTGGATGCTAGCTCTTTCGCATTATTACCCCCAGGACATCCTCAAAGTACGGTTTATGCGTTTGCCGAGAAGATAGCGGATGATATCAAGTTCGGCAGATAAATAACGTCGGCGGGTCATTGAGAACTCAAGTTTTCGTAGGAGGGTGATCGGACTCCATCGCGAAAGGGTGCTTACTGATTATCTAACTCGAAGTTCCAACTTGACAATAAAATCAATCAGACTTGAAATTCCTCCACGTGCCCCTGCGTGTCTGATTGATTCTCCGGGATAGCCAAATATGAGTGAAAATCGGTGCCGTTCAACGTCGTCATTGAAAGTTGAACATGTCATAGATGCTTATAGCACTAGATTTTAGTGAGGCCTAGTGAATGACCTTCTAGAATAATAGCGGGTACTCAGGTAGTTCGTCACTGTTGGTAGCTCCCAGCGATATTACTGGCCGCTAGATATATAATACATACAGGGGAGGGGTCCACCGACAGCCGTTGCGAGCCCTAAAACCAGCTGTTTGCAATCAACTCCGACATGATATAAGCACTATAATTATAGCGAGCTGTCGGGCTGCCCACTGCTGATTTTCTGACGATGTGGAACTCAACAGCTCTAGATCTCACAGATACATACCTATGTAGACCCTTTTTACCGGAGTGCCAATACGATAGCGAATGTAATATCCGAGCTGGAAAATATGTTTACACTCGTTGTAAACATGCCGTTGCACGATTGATGGAATCATGATGCTTAGAGATCTATTGCGGCTATTCTATCCCTGTTTATACCTTGCCTCAGCTCTGGAGCTGTCTGACAGATCTTTTGGCCGAATTAGGAAGTCGAAGATTCCAAAACCAATTACGGGGCCCTAGTACTAGCAATTTGCTCAATGACTTGTAACGTTCTGGTACGTGCTTCATCTATGGATCCTTCACGGGGGATCCAATTCGCTTTGAAACCCGTTTGGCCGGCTATTAAATACACGATGAGGAGGTTAGTGAATCTCAATTGAGACCATTCCAATCTTGGCTTGTGGTTTGATCTGTAATGTCATCTAAGCTTAACCCCAAGTATGATCTGTCACCAGAAATTGGTCAATTTCCGGAGCCGGATCTTACAACGACCATTTCCTAAACTGGTAATCTGGATTCCAAGCTCTATTACGAGAGTAGTGAGATCAACTCCATGTCATCTACAGACGCAAGAGAGATGTAGTCCAAGGTAAAATGTATATAACCACGATGATGGATGTTAGTATTGGAGGATTATCACTAGATCCCATCAGGAGCAAGCTTCTTTGCGAAATATCAATCAACATACTACTCAGTGAAAGTAGTTCCCGCAGGATTCGGGCATTGCCGTATTGTCGAATACTTAAATCATAATTCTTTTTCTGTCGAAATGAAGGCAAATGTTTTCTCCATATTGATGCTGGCCCAAGGGATTGCGGGTCATGCTATCAAACGAGTCCCGGCCGAACAGTCCGACGCCGCATGCAAATCTACCGGCAAGGTCCTCTACTTCATCACCAACGACGCCGTCAACTCGGTCGTCGCATTGCCCATTAACTCCGATGGCACCCTTTCGGCTGGTACCCTCACAGCCTCCGGCGGCAACGGATCCAGTTCCATAGACGGCACCACACAGCAACCTGCAGGGCCAGATGCACTTGCGAGTCAATCTGCGCTCACCATTGCAGGACAAGTAAGTTCTTCAACGTATCAAGCTAACTTATTAACATTGAGCTAATTAAGAACAGTACATATTCGCCGTTAATCCCGGAAGCAACTCACTCAGCATGCTATCAATCTCGAAGCACGACCCCACCAAGTTAACCCTCGTCGGCAAACCCGCCCCGGTCCCAGCAGAATTCCCTACCACCGTAGCAGCATCATCGAAGAACAAGCTAGCATGTGTCGGAGCTACCGGAAAGGTCGCCGGTATCACCTGCGCCTCTTTCTCAAGGAAGGGTCTTGGAGCCATGGACACTCTCCGAAGCATCGATCTCGGGCAAACGACACCACCGGTCGGCCCCACGAACACGGTATCGCACGCTTTCTTCTCCGAGGATGAGTCGACACTCTTTACTATGGTCAAGGGTGACCCTACCGTGAACAAGACTGGCTTCATGTCAACTCTAGCCGTACAGCAGAACACATGTGGAGGCGCTTCCACAGCTTCGGTGGCTCCCGAGGATGCTCGTACTTCTCCCAACGGCACCGCTGTCCTATTCGGTTCCCAAGTAATCCCCGGAACCAACAACCTCTTCGTCACCGACGCCTCATTCGGTGCCGCGGTACTCTCAGTCGACGCAAAGACCGGCCAAGCCTCAGTAGTCCGCAAGCAAGCCATCGACGGCCAAGTAGCAACATGCTGGTCTGCACTAGCACCCGCTACGGGAAGCGTTTTCGTAACCGATGTAGCCGTGCCCCGTGTCGTCGAGATGAGCCCCAAGGACGCGAGTATCATCTCCGAAATCGACCTTTCCGCCGGCGGAGACTCAGGTTTCATCGACTTGAAGGCCGCTGGCGACTTTTTGTACGTGTTATCACCTGGTAATGGAACTGGAAGCGCTGCTGTTGTTGTCATGGATATCTCCGCCGGCCAGGGCAAGTCGAAGACGATCCAAAGATTCACTCTGGATGGTGTGGCTGGAAAGAGCTCCCAGGGATTGGCGATTCTTGAATAGCCGCCTTTAAAAAGTTTCTTATGTTCTTCGTATATAAAATATTGGTAAATTGAATTTAATTAGAATGGTTCTCTGTTACCCTTTCCGTCTCGATATCTAGGGGGTGGCTCACAAGCCGGTCCACCATTTCGTTTGCGCTACCTCGAATTGTCTCTGGAGCGAGATATTCTGACTACTATTTCCAACTAGAACGTGATAAGTCCCTTGTTCCATAACCCATGCATTGGCGCTCTCATCCCAGAAGCTGCAGGCATATTTCTTATCCAGTGTAATTTTAACAGATTTCATTTCACCCTTTGGCAGATGCACCTTTGCGAATGCTTTAAGTTCTTTCGGAGGTCTTTGCACTGTCGCCGTTTGGTGTGCAACGTAGACTTGTACGACTTCGGAACCATCCCGAAGACCCGTGTTCGTCACGTCCACCAGTATCTCCACATCGGAACTATCCGATTGATTGTCCCTTTCTTGGGAATCCGCAATGACGAGATTTTCTAGCTTGAATTGTGTGTAGGAGAGACCGTGGCCGAAAGCGAATAGTGTATCTCGCTTGGTTCTTTCGTACCACTTGTACCCGACATAGATCCCTTCTCCATACAATACCTTTCCACCATCGGGTTTCGTATTAATAAATGCAGGGTTATCCTCCAGCCTAATAGGCCATGATAGAGGTAGTTTTCCACTTGGGTTCGCCGAGCCGAATAACACATCCGCGATCGCATTCCCCGTCTCATTACCACCGTACCATGCCTGCACGATAGCTGGCACCTTGTCCGCCCATGGCATCGTTACCGGAGTGCCCGACTGGCTAACAACAACGACATTAGGATTGACCGCCGCGATAGCTTCGACAAGCGCGTCGGATCCCGGCGGAAGATCCATGTGCGCCCTGTCCCAGCCTTCGGACTCCCATTCGGAGTTTAGGCCGACGCTGAGAATAACCTGGTCAACGCGTTTCGCGACCGCGACGGCTTCTTCTAAAAGACTAGCAGGATCTGTCTTGATGCATCCTCCAATTTGAAGACCGCCAACACCCATTTGCGTCGCACCTCCTTTAGCAATCTTCGATGTCGGAGCCGTGCCGAATTGTACGAGTACGGTGTACTTCCGACCTCCAGCCAGATGTTTTCGCCCAACTTCTTCAGCGGTACCAGAACCGAAAAACGAGTCGCCGGGTCTTTGGGTTGTCTCGTTGTCAACGACCTCTTCACCATCCACATAGAGGCGAGCGGTGCCGTTGACTGTCAGAGAGAAGAGGTATTCTGCATCGGTCTCTGGCGTGATGGTGCCCTCAACCTCCACGTAAAAGAGGTTCGACGAGATATCAGGGTGCTTGTAGTCGCTGAGAAAGCAACTAGAGTTGTCGATGTTGAACCTTTCGACGGGAGTTCGATCCTTCACCGAGTGCGGCTCTGCATAAATGCGCATCTCCATCCCGGGTGATCCGTTGGGAGCATTGGTTATTGATGTTAGCATAGGCAGCTTCTTGTATGCGGTCGCCCCCAGAGCGTATTCCAAAGAATCGATATGAGCCTTGACTCCTTCAAAGGGGGTCACAACATAGTATGGCCTTAGAGTCGCGGAACCACCACCACTGTACGCTGCAAATTTGGCGTTTGGTCCAATTATTGCAGTAGTCTTTCCATTATCTAATGGCAGTATGTTCCGCTCGTTCTTTAGCAGTACAATCCCCGATGATGCGACTCGTAGCAATTTTTGGGCTATCTCTGGCGTGTTGACTGTTCCCTCCGTTGAATTCTCCGAGAGTTTGAGTGGCGCTACATGATCGATCGTCTTTAGAATGTTTCGTACACGTTGGTTCAGAGTGTGATGCGTCACTTTTCTCGAATTGACGGAAAGCTTCGCAAGGCCTGCTCGCCAACGACTTGGTCCCGGCATCTCGATGTCAAGACCAGCATTGATTGACTCCGCAACTGAGTAGGTTCCATACCAATCGCTAATAACAACACCATCGAAGCCCCATTCATCCCGAAGAACGTTTTGGAGGATTCCGGAGTTCTCGCTGACGTGAGTTCCGTTCACCTTGTTGTAGGCAGTCATGTATCCTCTTGGCTTCGCTTCTTTCTCGGCAATTTGATATGGGAGCAAGTATACTTCTCTCAACGCCCGGGGTGGTATAATTGAGTCGGCGCTTTGGCGTTGCTCTTCTTGGTCGTTTCCGACGAAGTGCTTGATAACAGAAACCACGCCTGTGGACTGAATACCTCGGACAGCAGCAGCGGCCATCTTCCCGGCTAGAACAGGGTCTTCGCTGAAACTTTCGAAGCCACGCCCACCAAGCGGTGACCTCTGAATGTTGACAGTTGGACCTAAGAGTAACGAAGCACCTTTTGCGATAGCTTCTTTACCCATTAGTTGCCCAATTTCCTGGATGAGCTCTTCGTCCCATGTCGCAGCTAAGCCGGTACCACAAGGGGTACATGCCGCTGGCACGCCGTTGAATAGTCGTGATCCCCGGACGCCATTCGGGCCATCTGACATGCGGAGTGATGGGATTCCCAAGCGGAGGATGGCCTTAGTATGCCAGAAATCAACACCTATTTGAGTCATTAGCTACTATGAATGAGTACCTAATCGAATCGAGGTATCTTACCCGAAAGAAGGTCGATCTTCTCATCGAGCGTGAGTTTAGAAAGAATATCCTCGATATCCATATTGTGTATGTTAATCTGTGTCACCCGCGTGTTCGTCAAGGATACCTTAGGTAATTATTCTCTGCGTAAAGCGAGCGCCAAATAATATGAAGTCTCCTTGGGCAAACCCAGAGGGGAGAATAAGCGATAATTCATCTTGATATTTCTCAGGGCATTCAAGGCCCATTGAAGTATTGAATCTATCCGAATTCGCACCCAAGATGATGGCCGATACTCCCCGCCCGTGGAATCGAGCGCTAGCATGAGCCTAGGTCTTCTCCACCGTATGGGGAAGTTCTCCAACTGGGTACTGAAGTTCTGGGACTTATAGCGCTGATAGAACTAATGCTATAGCGTGCTTAGGTGCGCATGTCCCCTACGATATAGTGTTTAGATTACACCAAAGTTAGAGTAGTGTCTGCTGTAATTACAACGACTTTAGCGATCAAACCATTTTAAAGGGCGCCGCAAGGAGCGCGGCGGATTTGTTCGTACATATAATAGCTGAGAGGTCGAAAACCCTTATAAAACAGAGGTATATACCTGAGTAGATCTTTATATCAATCCTTACACGAAGAGAATGCTGCTAATAAGCCATCTATAAGAGATAGTACGAGGTGAATTTGATGTTGTATTGGGAAGAATTTAGAATTAGAATGATGGCAGGGGTCGATGCTTTATGTGCTTACCCCTCACAGTACAAGGGAGACTGTGCTCTCCCCCTATTTGATACTGCGTACAGTGATATTGGCACGGTATTTGGGATTATACCTCGGTGCTTGCCTGCTGTAACGTTTTAGATTCAGCAGTGCTGCAATGTAAGCGCTTAGGTACCTAGGTATGCAGTTGAGCACCTACAACTCCATATACCCAGGGAATAATCACAGCATATTGTTCTGAGATTACAGTCGTTGAATTCGCCCGCAGGTACCCAACCGCCCAGGCATGCGCTAAAGTCTTCCGTACTTTAGCGCATTCTAGCGCTTTATGCCCTACACTTACAGCATATCAACACAAGAGTTCTAGCGGCTTTCATGTGTTGTCTTAGGCTGCGTAGTATTCCAATTCGTACAACTTGAATTATGGATCTTTATTTATAATCCGTCTATTACGAGCTGTAGACCTATATCTGCTGCAATATTATCTAGAACAACAGCTGCGCGCTGAAGGTCAGGGGCTTCACTGGACCAATATTGCAGTATATTCCTAGCGACACTCACAGCTTCCTTCCATCGAAGCGGCATGGATATTCTTCCGTTTCGCGCAGCTGCAAGTAATATGAAAGCACGGGCCGTTGAAGTCCGCGCTACAAACCAAGAACCATGATGACGATGGTGGTAGTCGACTTGCAGGAGGAGATCCACGCATAAGTTCAAACAAGTATCTGCGAGCGGCCTAACTCTGGAAGCATACGGATCATCTGGGGGTTGATGAATGAGGTAGTAGACTAAAGGCCTACGGATCCATTCGCGGCTTGATAACATCCTATTCCTAACATAGTGTGCAAGCTCGTTATTTGCGACTTCCCAGTTGTCCATGTCGATAGGGGGCGGAATATGAGAGCACCTAACCTATTATTAACAATTCTGTGGTAACGCAGCACTCCCGCGAAAAGGAAAAGGGTTCTGAATGTAGGAAAACATACCACACTTTAATCTGTTCGTCAAGGTCTTCACAGTGTTGAATTGTCCCCTTTATATCTCCAATCCAGCTCTCCTCTCCATTTCGCCTAAGAATGACGAACGCGCGATTCATCATTCTCCGGTAGGATATCTCGGCAAGGTAGTAAAACCAACTTCGCTCTTCTTCTGGTTCGATGTCCGGCGGAAGTCCGTCAAAACCTTGCGATTCAGCGGCGGGTGAAGCAAGTTCCGAGGGTGGGCTCGGAAATAGATCTGGGTAGTCAAAGCGTGTGATACCACTTGATGGAAGGGGTAGCTCGGATCGGAGCTCTCTGCGGTACCTCGAGGTCAGATTCCATGGCTCCCTCTTCATGTTACCGATACGTCGGGTATTGATGATATACTTACAACTCGGATTTCATACACGACCAATAAAGTCGTTGTTCCAGTCTTTGTTTCTCGAGCATATCCCCCGCCCCCTTTTGTGTGCGCATCCAAACCAGATTTCGGAAGCTAACCGATGCTTGATTGAAATAAGACCAAGCTCGTAACGGTCTAAGTGAGTACATCTCGAAAACACCGAATAGAAACAAGCATTGCACTTGAAGAATAGATGGCTCTAATAGCCCAATGCGTTTCTTGGCAGCGAGGTAATACGAAGATGCCGTGGCTGGATCAACACTTGCGCCGGACAACGACCTGCTGGAATCCGGGGTTCCGTTCGTCATTACGTCTCTCTGGAATGGCGATGACAAGCAGGCGAGTGCGCAAGCGATAAGCTTTGGGATTGGTATAAGTAAGCGGTTGTCCATCGAATCGCAAATGTGTATCATACCACTAAACAAGACTGACCATCCCACCGAAGACCACTCTCCGAGACGTCCTTAACGTATGTCCTAAAGTCTGGAAGGTCCAGTATTGGATTCTTGACATGGACGAAAGCTAAGAACTTCTTCGACAAGGGGATGAAATCATCTTCTTGCACCCCTCTACCGAGTCTTCCCGGCTCTGAGCTTCGAGTCTCACTGAGGGAGTCCTCAAAGTCGAAAATAAAGGAGCGAACGTTTGATGCTATCGCTCCGAATATGGGCCAACGTAAGATGTTCTCGCAACTACAAGTTGCAGCTGCAAACTCTGGATCGTCTAAGCAACTCAAGTCGTCATCTTCACATACTGGTTGTGATGTGCCTATTGTAGAGGCTTCTAAAGGGGCATGAATTGGTAGTGAGGTTGAAGAGGGTCCTGGTAGCCCCGCGTTCCCACTATGGGATCCTGTCTCTAACAGATTCGCAACATAATTGATTCGATCTAGGATGGCTAAACTTGCAGGGTCAAATCTAATCATTCAACGTCAGTCCCATGATCCAACACCATTAAGGGGAACTGACGCAGAGTAATCATTGGGACCTCCGTCCGGGTAGATGCATTGACCCTGGTTCTTTTGGCAGAATCCGCAAACCGGCCGAATATTGTCACATTTCGTCTTTCTGATACGACATTGTTGGCATGCGGCTACGGCCCTTTTCCGACGATACATCCCCGCAGTCCGCTGTCGCTTGTTTGTACTTGGTGGAACGACATCATCATACTGAGGATTGTCCTCGGACATATTGAACAATTATGAATACTCCCCGTTTCAGTAACAATGCAATCGACCGATGAGTGGAGCATCCGAAAATCTTGGAAGCCGAATGTGTCTAACAGTAGGGGGAATGTTGAAAACGGATGAAGCGGGGAGTCGCGGATTTCAGAGATTTCTTCCCTTTTAGGGAGACGAGTCAGTCGCTAAAATGGCACCTAACTATACCCCCCATACTATCCACTCGCCGGCGTGAATCGGCTCCGTTCGATGCTCATTTTTAGCGCTACTAATAAATCATACGACATAGAAGATATTCACACGATAGCTATCAATTAAAGGGGGAAATTTTAGAACGATAGTCGTGGTACCTAGTTGCTCTAATTACGAGGGGCTTTGGGTACCTGGACAGGGGATATGAACGCTGTGGTCGAATGCTTAATAAATCCGATTGGCTAATTTGATCGCTGTTCTTGGAGGAGTAGGTGCTGTAGCACGTTAAAAATACAGTGACACGCAATGCTCAGTCCCCCCGCAATTATAGCGCACCCTCGCTAAAAACGACCCCGATTGGCGTCCTAGGAGGGCATCATGAATCCTAAAGCATCTACGAGGCGGCGACATGATTTATATAGGTTAATAGTTCCAATTATATCTAAAGCTATTAAGCTATCGCATCCTGCGGAAATTTTGCACCTCCCTGCCTCCTGATCTCGTCTAGAATGCCAAGGACCCTGAGAGTCTCAGCCCACGGCATAATGTCGTTCTGCACTCTCCTAGCAGTAATGTCAAGTGCAACCGCATCCGCCTCCCAGTAGAATCCTCTCCCGGGCCTTTCAAATTTGTACTTTTTTGAAGACCCGTCCTTTAGGGAATACACAGTGAAAAATTGGGGTGCCGATGTAAATCCTTCAATGTCCACATACCCCTGACTCCCCTGTATGGTGCAAAACACAGGCTTGGTCTTAACAGAAGACGAACTCGACACAATAGCTTGCTTGCCATCCGAATAGAGTAGCACGGCGGATGTCGCAATATCGACACCTGCATCTAATGTCTGCTTCGCAACAATCTCCGAAGTTTGCGCTTTCTCGCCTATACTCTCATCCAATCCCAACAGTCCCCATGTAAGACTGTAGATGCCTATATCAAGTAGACTCCCCGCGCCGAGCGCTGGATTTTTCAACCGCGATTCTGGCCCCAGAGATGCGATATTTTGATCCATGGCGAAGTCGCAAAATACACGATGAATATTTCCGATCGCCTTGTCTTCGTGCAACAACTTTATGAGAGTTCGTGTGAGGGGAAAGAAGCGCGTCCACATTGCCTCCATGACGAAGACTCCCTTCTTCTCAGCCGCTTCAAAAACCTCCTTCGCCTCCATCGCATTAAGCGTAAAGGCTTTCTCGCATAGAACATGCTTTCCGGCGTTGATTGCGTCCAAACAATTCTGCTTGTGAAATGCATGTGGAGTTCCGATGTAGACAATGTCTACATTCGGGTCCGCATACAGTTCCTCATAATTGCCGTAAATCGTCGGAGTTTTACCCGGGAGATATTTCTCGGCGAAAACCTTTCCTTTCTCGAGAGATGATGACCCTATGGCCTGCACGATATGTTTTGCCTTGGCGTTTTCGCGATCGAGAACGAGGTCTTGAACAAACCAGGACGAAATGAGCCCGGTAGCGACAATACCCCAGCGCAAAGTTGGAAGTTGGTCAGTCATTTTTATTACTAGTAGAACTCTTAGGCGAATTTGAGAAAAATCATTAAGATTCGGATAACCTCGTAGTGCTTTTGAAGTCGGGCAAGTCACGTTGTCTTCGAGTTTCGTTCGAGGGACATGAGATATACACTCCGGGTAAAATGCCTCGCCAATTATGGACCATGCCAAGCTATTCTGAACATGAGGCGAAATGGACCAGCCTTTCGATTGAGACATAGACTAAAGGAGGCCAGCTTCCGATACTCCCCGCGAGGACCCACCGAACACTCGCACGATCCGACGGAATGGATCTGGGGTAAAACTCCGCATCGATCATCATCATGTACAATCACGTCTTCTTGCATCTTGGCGATCGGTTCTTTGATAGGATGATAACTTCATGGTCTAGACTAACTTATGTCGTTTATTTAGTAGACCTTAGATGACGTTGTCGCGGAGCCCCGGGTTCTCTAGGCGTCTCTACGCGTTAGTCTACAATGAATGGAGCTCGCGGCCGTTGGTTGCGATATATATGAAATATTTATTCTAGATTACCCAGTATCATGACACCTTCACCTATATTGCCTCTCTATATCGACCCTAGCAACAGAATAAATACTCATGCCTATGTCGGTACCAACTTCATCTGGCATTCGCTGCTTATATAAGCTATACCAACCCCTTTTCAATGTACCAAAGTACTGATTTTTCTGTGTAACAATACATGTATTCTGTTCCAAGGCATTTCATGCTTAGTGATGTTTTATGAGGTCCTGGGAATTTCTCTTGCTCAATTCAAATAAGTTTTCAATTGTATTAAAATTTCATAACAGGTACTTTATTATGGTAAGATCCAACTCATATACTCCCAATATTCCTTTCATCACCCACAACAACAAAACCTCCCCGCAACACCCTGTTTCCCAAATCTACCTGGACCGGGACCCTTCCCTTTCATTAAGCAAGTTCGATTTGCTTCGTATCCTGCTTATACTTCCCATCCTCCTCATTATGGCTAGCTTCGGATTCACCCGTTTTTTCAATATCGCTATTCTCCAATTTACCTTCGAAGACTTCTCTAATTTCTTCCAAAGTATGCCCCTTAGTCTCAGGGAAGAAGAACCATACTAGTACGAAAAGAACCGCTAGTAAGCAACAGAACACAATATAGTACTTCCATCCAATGCTCTTCATAGCGATCGGGTTGACCTGGTTTCCGACAATGAGGCCCACAAACGATGTTATTAGCGTGAATGATAAACCACGTCCACGGAGCGTGTATGGGTAGATCTCGACGGTGTAAGCTTGGAGCAAGGGCGTCCAAGCAATGTCGTAGAAGAAATAGTATATGAAGATAAACGCGACGACGGCGCGTCCCATGCCCTCTCCTTTACTGGCAACGAATGCGGAGGTTAAACCCGTCCAAGCAATATAGCTGCATAACATTCCGGCAGTTGATATCAAGAACAGCGTTCGTCGACCAATTCTATCAACCATAAGAGCGCCACAGAATGTTGCCGCAAGCCAGTTGAAGATTTGGAGGAGACCGTTGATGAGTGTTTGATCCTTAGCTTCTGTAATTCCAATTGTGTTGAGGACGAGCGTGAGATAGTAGCTGACGACTCCGATACCATTCCACTGACTAAACCAACCGAGGATAAGCACGATAAATGTTCGTTTGCGGTTAGCCGGAGTCCGGATCAGGTCGAGCCAGGATGTTGTAGATAGGACATTGGCTTCTTCGGTGATGGCTCGTTCAATCTCGTCCATTTCGAATTTAACGAGAGCCGAGTCCGCATCGCCACCGGCGTGATATTCGATAAAGAATCGGTGGGCTTCTTCGTGTCGACCTTGAGATACGAGGTATCTGGAAAGTATTTGTTAGCCATTGTTTATATGAAGAAAGGGTAAGCTAACCTGGGGGACTCTGGAAGGAAATATAATCCAAGTAGTTGAAAGGCTGGAACAGCACCTTGAAGGATGGAAGGGATTCTCCAGCTCCAAGTGGAATCAATTTTGAAAGTACCAAAGGTACACCAGGCTGCAAATATAGCGCCGAAATACTATCCGATAGGTTAGTTCCGTATAAGATATGACGTGCTTTTGGGTTCCGGTACAACTTACGAAGAAAGTATTATACAGAGCCGTCACCTTACCTCGCTGGGTTGGGTATGCGAGTTCAGTAATAAGCACAGGACTCGGTTGGCTGATAAAGGAGGTGAAAAAGCCCAACAATGCTCTTGCCGTTACGAAAGTTGCTAAGTTCTGAGATAACCCTTGCATGATTGCAAAGCCAACACAGGTAACCAGGCCGATCAACACTGGAAGCTTCCGACCAAATCGATCCGAGACGTAGGTTACGAGGAATAAGGCGAACACCTTGCCGAGAGGGTAGACGGCGTTCATCAGACCGAGGATGGCTCCTTCTGGGTTGCCGAAGAAATGCTTCCATTGAGGCAAAGTCTGAAGTCCATTCATCATTGAACCTATATACAACTTGAATCAGTACCATTGTAGAAGTCATATCGATTATAGCGGTGGTTTCGCATACCATCGTATCCAAGGGATGCAGATGACAGTAGTGGCACCAGGAGAACAAGGTTGAGTTTGACGATATGCCAAGTTCGGTACCACGGCTTGGAGCTCTCAGGGAGAGTCTATGAAGAGACTACTGTTAGAAATCATAAGTCGCAAAACATGGAGAATGATTCAACGTACTTCCGCAAGGGCAGAACCCGCGGCCAGTTCGGCCTCCTTTTTACCGTTCAGGATGGCCATTGCGATAAGTTAGAAAAGATGAACGAGGAAAGTATGTGAAAGAGTCTTCGACGCGAGGCTGAAATATCTGCCCTTGCTATACCCTGGCGCATGATGTTATTGCTTGTTCCTGAGAAGGGATTTGGTTTAAATATAGGCCAAATGCATGTTTTTTACCCCAGAAACTAGCTCCACCGTGAAGACCAGCTGAGAAACATCCACGCGTACGATCCGGGGAAGTCTAGCTCGGTCTGGAGTCGTATGGGGTTGTGGGGTTCATAATGCTACATGGTAGTTCCATAATTTCGGTTAGCCATCCAGGTGAATGGTGCTAATATCTTGCCGATACTCCCCGGAGAATCACAGCGGGGAGTATCGGCGCTCACAACATAACCCACACTATTGATACCCTAATATTCTGTGAGGTGGGGCAATGACCCCGTGAACTAGGGTAGCTCCAGAAGGAGTAGGGGTGGGTGGAGGACGAGCATTGAGCTTCCCGGGCTTCATTAGGTACCATATATCATTCCCCTCCTTGTGTACCAACTTCGTAGATCGTGGAATCACATATTTCTCAGTATCCTACGCGATTAGAGTTCTGATTAACCGAAATGGCTACTCTCAATGGCGACGCACGACGCGTTCTTCGAGTTGGTATTATCGGTTGCGGCGAGATAGCCCAGGTTGCTCATATCCCAAACATCAATTTCCTATCGCATCTATTCCGAACGACATACCTCTGCGATATCTCGAAGGATGCACTCGCACACTGCTCAAAGAAGGTCAATGGTGCCACTCCGAAAACTACTACAAATCCCGAAGAATTATGTTCCTCCGATGAAGTCGATGTTGTCTTAATTGCCAATGCAGACGCCTACCACGTAGAACACGGGATCCTCGCGCTTAAACACAACAAATACTGTTTGATCGAGAAGCCGGTCGCAGTCACCTTCCGAGATCTCGACAGACTTGTAGAGGCGGAGAAGGCCTCTAACGGTAAAGTCTTCGTCGGCACGATGCGCCGGTTTGCTTCGGCCTTTGTCGACGCCGTGCAAGAAGTCGGTGGCTTCGACAAGATCCTATACGCTCGTGTTAGAGATATAATCGGCCCTAACTCGGTCTTCGTTGACCAATCCGGAACGTTTCCCCAGAAGTTCAGCGACTTTACTGAAGCCGACACCAAGGATCGATTAAGTCGCGAAGATGACATTCATCAGCAAGCGCTAGAAAAGGAATTCGGGGTTCCAATTACCCCTGAATCAAGGAGGATGTTGCGAGTTCTTGGAGGGTACGTCCATCAAATAATATACTGGGAAGCCTAGCTGACCTTGATAGTCTTGGAACGCACGATCTATCGGCTATGCGCGAAATTATCGGCATGCCCAAAGGTGTCTCGGGGGCAATGCTCACTTTTCCCGGTATTTACAGTGTTCTCTTCGACTACGGGAATTTCCCTGTAACCTACGAGTCGGGAATAATTAATGTTCCTGAATTCGACGCTCATATCGAAGTATATTCCTCAGACAAAATCGTTCGGGTTGAATTCGACACGCCTTACATCAAGGGGCTCCCGACACTCATGATCGTGAAAGAGAAAGTTGGCAGCGCAGGTTTTCAAGAACGAAGGGTGAGAAGAACTTATGAAGATGCGTATACGTTGGAACTGCAAGAACTTTACAGCTGTGTCATTGAAGGGAAGTCGACGAAAACCAGTGCTGTTGATGCAAGGAACGACATTGAACTATTTAGAATGATACTGAAAGCCGGTGCAGATAGATATCGTTAGTATACCCTAGGTAGTTAATTTATTGGTGATTATAAGTAATTTTGAACAAATGCGAACTGTCTTTTCTGTTACTATACACAATCATGTAGCTTAACTGACGGAGGGGGGAAACTCTCCTTCGAATCTTCGACCCAGCCTCTTGCGTGGGGGGGGGCGTTTGATATAAATTGGCTCCATCCGCGGGTCGTAAATGCTGATTTAAGCCCCCATTCCCTATATTGCGTCAACCTATCTCATCAAACCCCAACGGTTTCAATTTATTTCTAATATTATATAGCCCTATCCGCCTATATTAACTATTTCTGCCTTCTTAGACAAGGGTTCTCCAGTAGGAGCGAACCTCCGGGTACACGATGACCTCCCCATTGAAAATTGGGCTGAATATATTTGGGTTAATGCAACATCGGACACCGCGAGACGTTTCGAAATGCCCCTTATTGGATAAGGCCCAAAGCCTTTGAGTAACAAAAGGCCGCTATCTGCCCCATCCTGCTCATGCATAGATATAAATACACCCAATAGGGGTCACTCTAGGGGTGATGTATGCACTCGGATACGACGAACAGAATCCTACTGGCGTGCGTAGGTCTGACCTCGCCGGTCATATAAGTTTTACACCGCTTGTGTTACCATGCCATCCATATAGTAGGATACTACCCTCACTATGGAGAAGTCGCGATATCCGTACGAGTATGCGCACCTTTATCCCTTTGGTTGAGTCTAAGCCCCTATTTTTAAGACTGCGACGACGTCTCCAATACCCTCGGAATATGGGAGCTGTACCGCCCCCATCTCTTAGTTAGAAAAATTTTAGCCAGAACATACCTATACATAGGCGGAATGCTTTGCTGCAGTACTACCCACGTCAAATATTAGGAAATTGTGCCGTTAGATTGGAAGGGTTCACGGCCTACCAAGGTATTCATAAACATATCTAGCTTCTAAGATCCATCGCTACTTAGGTAATTATAATAACCCTGTGAAGTTCTCAGATACTAATCCATGAAACCTCACAGTGTTGAAATGCAAGCAAAACCTCACTTAGCCAATTAAATTCGTTTAAAAGGATATCTGCCTGGGTATCCAGGGGAACTGGAATTACAATGAAAACTAAGAAGGGCGGTGCATCTATGTATCAATTCCACAATCTAACTCAGCGGACGTCAAACCCAGAATGCAACAATGTCAACAACAATACTGAATATTACACGGCCATTAATGGCGACGGTGGCGATGTTTACACCTCAAACCGAACGGATGATCAAGTTAGCCAGGGTCACGCCGATCTACCGCAACAAACAAACATTAATTCCCACGGATTTCCGCATCGTCAATTTGCGAATGACAAACCTGCCAGCAGGAGTTCTTACGCGTTATTGGATTCTTCAGCTGAAGAGACGGAACTTTCGGCAAAGCAACGTCAACCATGGCTACCTCTCTACTCGAGGAGGCCTGTGTTCGTCGCCTTCGCGATTTTGTTTGGCGCTATGCTGATATCACTCGAAATTCTCTTTACTCTATCTCGGAAACATCAAGGCCTAACCGAAAGCTCTTCGAATCTTCGCTATTTATGGACATACGGGCCGACTGCGATCCTAACATTGATACACGCCTTCTGGAACCGTGTCGACTACGATGCTAAGATAGCGGCACCGTGGCTACGTGATAGTCCCGGGTGTATCGGCCGAGAATCTCTACTAGTCGATTATCTTGACGACTATCCACCGCAGGTGCTTCACAGGGCATTCAAGCGTCGAGACTGGCCAGTAGCTGCGAGTGCGACTATATCGCTACTACTCACCACTTTGGTCGTATTTTCTACAGGTCTATTCACGCTCTCACAAGTGGAAATAACGGATTACGCAGTACCAATAACATTAACAAGCCAGTTTATCAATAACCCAAGTCGTCTCAAGAGTCCATCGAATCTCCCCGCCTATAGTGTCGAGGGATTGACTCACGGCATTTTATCTTACCCGAACGGCTTTTCGGATCGATTTGCTTATCAGACGTTCGAATTCGTAAAGCCGGGAATCAAGGAGTTGAACGTGACAGTAAATGGCATGTATTTTGGGTTTAATTTCACCCCTGCGACTATTGACACGGTTCAATTGGATGGCATATATTGCGGTACTCCTGAGAATGGGTTTCTCCATCAGAATCAAACCTTATTCGTTAAGCATGGGGATTGCGTCAAGGGAATACCTACCAATCCTATGCCTATCAACATAGCTATGGGATGTAACCCGAATACTACAACCGTTGCAGAGTCTTTGGTGGACTTAGTACCAGTAGATGGACTTACTCCTGGGCATTGTGGTTCCGCGAATTTGGATCATAAGCGTCTTGTTTTTTACTCCGTCAAGATACGTCCCAGAGTTGTAAACGAAACTAAAACGACATATCGGAACCGATCGGGGTTAATTGAAGAGTTTGAGGTCTCCCTAGATCGATCCTCGTCTATAGTATCCGTTTTACGGGATAGAATCGGTCGACGTCTTTCGGGATGGCACGGAGGTAATAAGTGTTTCTCGGCACAGAGGCAGGTCTTCAAGACGTTTCGAAGGTATCCATGCTTGGGATGTAATCCAAGGCCTTTCCAATCCTTTTGACTACGACAAACTCGAAAATATACCGATTAACTTGAGAATCACAACCAATACGACCACAGGACCCAACGCTCTATTTATCCTAGATGCCTATAGAGGCTCGAAATTGAACTTCCCTTCTCTATTGAATACCACGACCCTAGAAACTTTACTAAACAATTACTATCTAAAATACGCGGCGTTTCGTTTCCGGTCACTCATGGAGACAGCCAATATCACATCAACTGCTACCGCTTTAAGAAGTACGGATCGTTTGTTAGTTCAACCAATGGCCTGCCAGATGATGGCTAGTATAATGATGCTTGCCATGTTGATGCTCCTATCATCATTCATGATAACACCAAGGAAAATACCTCGCTCAGTAGAGCCTGGATCTATATTGGCGACCGCCACCCTTGTTGATCGCCCAACGGCATCGGCGTTTCCGTACAGGCTAGGGGCAACAAATAAGAGAGTTCTCGGCTCCAAAGTTAATGGCCGAGAAAATAGCGGTACAGTGCGTTGCAATTCCATTAGAACTAACCGCTCAACGACGACCAACAAGGCTGTAAGAGAAAGTAATGGCCTCGTTGAATCAGCTAGGAATCCCGATTTTACCTACCCACTCGTTCTGAAACCTATTTCGCGAATCTCGGTATACGGCCTGATTATAGGATGTATAGTTACCTTAGAGATTACGCTACAGAAGTCACTCCATTTTCAGGGCTTAGGAGACGTTCAAAGCGATACATATGTTCATTATCTGTGGACGCTTCTCTCTGCCACTATACTTAGTATCATTGCACTATACTTCTTTTCCGTTGACTCCCTGACTCGACTACAGTATCGGCTTCGGCTCTAGGTTGCAACGATACACTCGAAACTGTAGACGTTAACATGTCGTTCATAACGCCTCGACTTCAACTCGACCAAGCGCACCCACCCGCGCCGATCGAATCGACGTCACGACCAGCTCCGGCTGAAATTACGATTTTTAGTACAACTTATGAAATTGGCGTTTTTATGACGAACTATTTATACGCATCGTTGGAATCTATCCCACCGGACAGTAATATCACAGTATTCGATGCATTCTTTGAACAGCTCGTCACTTCCCGATACGCTATTCCCCTCTCCGCGATGAGTGATCCCACACAGGTTGAAGTTGTTAGAGATGCCATCATATTCCAGCACGGAATCATCGCCGCCCAGTGGTACAATGAACATCTCCGTGTTAATGTCTCAAGCGATACGTCGGGGTCGGTTTTCCCATCGTTATCCAATCTCGCTGAAAACAATACTGGATTTTACACGGGCACAGCTACAAACCCATACGGAAGGAACCGACTTATGCAAGACGAAGCGTCCACGCGTGTAATCCAGGCGCTACTACTAATCACGTTGATTCTTCTGTACTGGGCTGGATCCTAGGACCACGGAAAGCCACTACCGCGAAGCCCTATTAGCGTGGCAAGCGTGCTAGCGCTATTAGCGGGTGGGAATGTACTAGAGTATATGTACAAAGACGGGGATAGACAGTGGGAGACTATCGAAGACGCTAAGGCGGTCTTTCCAGAAACTTGCAAGTTCTAGTTTGGATGGGGACCGCCTGGGACTACAAAGGAAGAGGTTGAGCAACGCTTTGGCATTTGGTCTTGGAGGGTAAGGACGAACAGAGTCCGATGCCGAATCACGATACGGAGGATAATGGATTATCCGACGATAACTCCCGGCCAAATGAGCAAACAGACCAAAGCAGAGATTGATGTCTACGGATAACCTAGGGAGTCGTCGTGGGTGCTTATGGTGTGGGGGTTGTTGTCCTAGTAGTACCAATTGGGATCTGCCTGAGCCTTCTAAGAGTTAGTCTATGAGTGGTGAACGTACTTGAGTAAACTAGAGGTCGAGACTTTTCCTTATGTGGAGGATAAGAGTTAATGGGTTTCTAGATTAGAATAATTTGTTTCAATTTCAATTTCAATTTCCTAAATTTTTTCCTAGAATGGAATTTGGGACAGGATTTTCTGTACTAAAGTAAATCATTTCATAGTAGCCCTAAACTCTGATAGGTTTCCTCGATAAAATCGAGGAAGGCTATCTACCTTATTTCGAGTCTACACCCTAAGGCAATTTCGAAGATCCCGTCGTGCATAGACAAGCTACCGTAGTATGTACTAGGTACGCTAGACCACCGGCGAACGGCTTTTGATATGCTACGAAAGGGCAAGGCTTTCCGACTACCTCAGTAGCGCAACTAATGATTTTCCTTCCGAAAAAGGGATCTTCCCGGCGCTACTTCATTTGGGGCTCTAATAGTTCATACAATAGACAGGAGCTTGGAGGTATATAACCACCTATTGGTTTATTCAAATTACCAATCCGTTCGTCCTTTAGACCTATTCGTTCGTCGAATCATAGAAGCTTCATTTTGATATTGCCGCCATTCCAAACATACCGTGGAAATGTCGGCTACCTACAATGGTTCTTGTTTATGTGGCGATATTCGTATGACGATTTCGGCCGAGCCAAAGGCAGTTCTCTCCTGCTTTTGTACCCATTGCAGTAAAGGAGCCGGTGGTACTAACCAGGTGGTAAGTTTATTCGTTATCTCATTAGAGCTAGCTTATCTGATTCGAAGCATAGATCGCCAAGTTCCCTGCCGGGGCTATAGAAATAACTGGAAAGGTGAACTCGATCTCCAGGTACACTCTTACGGACACATCAAGTGGCTCTCCGAAAGAGAAGGCGTTTTGCGCAACTTGCGGATGTCCTCTGTGGACAGTTCCCGAGTCATCAAAAGGAGATTTTCTGTTAATTAGAACTAGTATTCTTGAGAACGGGTGCGTAAATGAGTAATCCAAACCCATCAGGCCTACTAGTATCACTAAATCATCGTGCAGTTTAAATTTGAAGCCAACATCCGAGATTTTCGTTCGAAACCGACCCTCGTGGATACCGCCTCAAGAAGGAATGGCTCAATGGAAGGAAGCAAGAAAGGTATAGATCGGGGTGTTGAACTTACGAAAGCACTTAAATAGGGGGGAACTAGCGGGGTGCGGGGTATCTCGGGTGGCTGCATAAACGTGGCTGCCCACATGCATCTCAAACATCCAATCAGATGTAGTTTAGTGCCGGGATAGGAAAGCGGATATGCGGGGTGTCTCGGATCAGTCTGTGATTGGTTCGGCTCCTGGATAGGAGAATTTCGGTTACGTGCCCGGAGGCATCTTCGGAATGAAATTCCCTTGTCTTCCTATCAATAATATTATTCTTCGGTCTTCCGATGATTTCAGATCCCCATAGTTCTATGTTACTAGTCGTTCCGAAATTCTAATCGCTACCTTACAATATCATGATGGCCCAAGCTCACAGCACTGAACCCAGTTCCATTGACGTAGCCGTCGAACCACCTATTCCACGCCGAAAGCGGCTAAAAATAAGTGTCGCCTGTGATACGTGTCGCGCGAGGAAGGTCAAATGCGATGGAATTCGTCCATGTGAGTAAAGCTTCGGCTGGGCTCTCTCTAATCATTTTGATATGTTGAGAGTCAAGTCTGCCAGGACTGTCTATAGGACAAATAAATTCCGACTATGTTCAACCAAGTCGCTGATAATATGTTATGTAGCATGCGGAAACTGCTTAAAGCGGATCAATTCCATCAGTTTCTGCAATTATAGTTCAAATAATACGCATTCGAGTTCAAGTACGACGCAAGATATTGCTTTGCCCACAAGAGAAGGGGCCTCTAGAAATAGCTGTGATGACTATACGAATGAAAAAGCCATTGGCGTAAGGGCAACTCCTCGCCATGAACATTCACCTGAGGCGCCGTCGGTTCCATCTAGGCCGCTTCATATGCGGGATCCTACCATTTGCGGTTTCTCCCCAAACGTTCCAACTACGTCACCGCCAACTACAATTACTGAAGTTGATTCAATGACTACGGTAATTGAAGATGGCGAAAGCACGCGAGAGTACTTTGGCAGCAGTAGTGCTAGTTCCTTTACGAGCCAGATTCGGGCCGCTATCGATACACGATTAGGCCTAACGACCTCATGTGAAGTGAGTAATACGCTTGGTCGAACATTGATTACGACTGCTCCTACGAGGGGAGATCCGTCACTACCCCTCATGGGAGGAACAGATTATGTTCTACCCCCGCGCAGGCTAGCAGACCATCTTTTAGGTGTATACTGGCGTTATGTCGACCCCCTTTACCCCTTTTTAGATAAGGAAGACTTCGAATCTGCATATCAGAGTGTATTCAATGGTACACTTGAACAGGTTAACGAGCGAACCTTCATGGCCACCCTTAATATTATCCTAGCCCTATCTACACAATTACAAGAGACGTTAGATACAGAACAGAGAGAGCATACATGTAAGACATTCTTCAATAGAGCCCAAGGTCTTCTACGACTTGATATTTGGGACACGGGTTCTATCGAACTAATACAATACCTCTTGATCCTAAGCCAATATCTTCAAAGTACCAACAATCCTCACCAGACTTGGATGGTAGTCGGGACTGCCATTAGAATCGCACAAGGTCTCGGCCTCCATTTACCGGAGACGTCTATAGCGCCTAGGAATCCAAGAACTGGAGGACTGCTTAGAAGGCTATGGCATGGATGTATTCTCATGGATCGGCAAGTCAAGGTTCAGCATGAAATCCTCCTCAAATACAGAATCTAACATATTTCCACGCAGTATGATATCAGTTACCCATGGTAGACCCACGATGATATCCAGTCATCTTGCTTCGGCTGTTCCTCTCCAGGAACAATCAAAGCACTTACCATTTTTCGCAAATTCCCTTGAACTATACGAGATAATCAATCAGATTATCTTAAAGCTTTATTCCACGGATTCAGCAGCCAAGGATAAAACCCCCGCTTTACAAAATTCGTATATTATGACAGATAATCTCATAACCGCTCTAAAACTTGATAGTTCCCTCAACAGGATTGAAAAGAATTTCCCATCTTCAGTTAACCTTGAAGATCCCATAGCACATAGACAAGCCGTCATAATACGTATTAGGTATGCCACTACTCGCAAGTAGTCATTAATATAGGAGAACGATATTAACTTCCTAGACTCTTACATGCCCGCATACTCCTTCTCCGACCAATACTTGCAGAATTCTGCTTGTCTCAAGACAATAGGGAGAAGTCATCTACTGAGGAGACCCTTTCCGATCGAATGATAGAGCAATGCGCCTTGGAATGTGTTGCTGCAGCTCAGAAGTTGATTTTAGTTACTAGCGAGCACCAGAGAGATGATGACAGTATTGGATTGCTCCCTGCATGGTGGTACCGAATCTTCTACGTCTATACTGCCGCTACCGTCCTCCTAGCAGCAAGACTTCGTCGTGAAAGGTTCACATGTTCTAGCATATCGGAACCTTGGAATCGGGCTATCTCAATCCTCCAATCGCACGAAAGATTTGGCGTATCTGCGCGCCGTTGTGTGGCCGCTTTACAAATTTTATCGTCCAAGGTATTTCACGGACCGAGCGACACGACCGTCACTACCGGAGACCACGTCGATAATCAGACATTTTCTCCCGACGAAGCTTTCAACATAAACCCCCAGATATCATTGGATGGTATAGGCTTCGACGCCGACAGCTTTGGATTTGATATCGACAATTATCAATGGCTCAACAGCATGCCAGGCGGGATTATGTATTAACCAACGGAGCCTACCAACACAAATTGAATAATTTAATGAATTGACATGTAAACTTGTTAATGTATTACTCAAATGCCATCTTATTCCTAACGCCACCCAACTGCGATATCCTAACCTCGACAATATCCCCATCGTTCAAGTACTTCGGCTCTTTCATTCCCATCGCAACTCCCGACGGAGTTCCCGTCAGAATAACAGTACCTGCCTCCAGAGTCGTGCCCTGACTGCAAAAGCTAACGATCTTCTCAACACCAAAAAGAAGATCCCCCGTACTGCTATTTTGTCTCTCCTCGCCATTTACAAACGTCTGCAGGAGGAGATCATTTGCCGCACCGACAACGGATGGGGATACAATCATAGGACCCAAGGGTGCGAATTTATCGAAGCCCTTGCTAAAACACCATTGCGGCACACCGCCCGCTTTGGCGGGGTCGCGTTGCCAGCCCCGCGCTGATACGTCGTTGGCGACGGTGTACCCCGCGACATATTCCAGTGCGGATGCTTCGGGGATATTCTTTCCTGTCTTGCCGATTACGATGGCCTATCTCTATCGTAAGAACGAAAATTGTGTTAAATGGTACTTTGGGGAGGATCTTACCAGTTCTCCTTCGTAATCTAGTGTGCCGTCTTGGGCAATTTTAGGGATTGGGATGTCTTCTGTTGACCCAGCGATGGAGGTAGACGGCTTGATAAAGACGGATGGGTAAGGTGGCGGTTTACGACCACCCTCTTGGACTATTTTCGAGTTAGATATATGAGCAATAGAACGAAACTTGGGACGATCTTACTATGTTTGATGTAATTCAATCCGATGCATCGTATGATAGGAACGTATTCCGGTCTGAGGACATCCAGAAGGGCTTTAACTTGAATGCGGTCTTCTCTCGTCGCTTGATTAAAAGGGCGTTCGCCCTTGATAATTGTCGCGTATAAGTCATTTGTTGACAATTTTTCTCGTAGATCAGTATCTTTCTCGATGTCAACATCGCCGTAGTGTTCCTGGCCATCGACGCCAATGAATCGGATGAGACGCGACCACGACATTTTTAGGATAAGCAAGTATAGCAAATAAGAATCTTTATTAGGTCAAGAATATCATTTTCTACTATTTTCAATTGAATATTTATTTGCAGCCCCTATCTAGTGGACTTCAATCGTCAACGCGCCGGTATCCCAATTACAGCCAATCACAATGCGGTCCGAACTCAGCGGGGAGTATCGGAATGGGAATAGAGGCATCTCGGAATCCCCAACACCAACGTCATTCTGGTCCAATTGTGTGGGGAACGTAGGATAGATATGGTGGGGTAAATCCATGGGGCTATTGTATATAGAGAGGAGCCGGATTCAAGGCAGTAATGGCCCTCAGCGAATACGTCTAAGTAGTAGAAAAGTACCGGTAGCTCTATCGCATCAATAGCCTCAACATGGCTCAAAGTAAGACTAATGGAAATGGAATTACCAAGTTGGAGACATACCTCCAAACCTTGCCGGAGCGCAATATGGAGCCTCTATGGACCAAGATGAATGCCATGGTCCCACCAAGGCCAAATCCAAAAGCAGTACCTTATATCTGGAAATATTCAGAAAGTCTGCCTTTGCTATCGCAGGCTGCGGAGATAGTCCCAGCTGAAGAAGCAGAAAGAAGGGTGCTCATGTTGGTGAATCCAACATTAGGTTAGTCAATTCGCAATAGCATCACTAGATGCCAATCGCCAGATAAAGGGGTAATTCTAATCACCCTGTGCAGAATCTCCGTACACCACAGATACTATATATGGTGGGCTCCAGATCGTCAAGCCAGGGGAAATCGCGCCGGCACATCGACATACCGCGTTCGCGGCGCGTTTTATCATTGATGGAGAAGGTTTCACAGCCGTTGAGGGTAAGAAAATGCCCCTGAGACGAGGCGACGTAGTTGTCACACCGTCATGGCACTGGCACGACCATGGGAATGAAAGCGACGGTCCGATCGTATGGCTTGACGCGTTAAACCTCCCTTTGTTCCGATACGCGCCAGTGAATTATGCTGAACATTATCGCGACAGCCGGTATCCTAGCACGTAAGTTAAATTTACTAGCTCGTATTATCAAACCTACGAAAGACGTATTGATGGTTTGGTTGGTAGTCATTGCGAAGAATGCGAATGGCGTCATCCCTGGAAGCAGGTCGAGGCGTCTCTACTCGCCCAGAAAGGACCATACGTGATACACCACTACACTAGCAAAGACCAACCATTATCCACCACAGTCGGCGCACAAGCAGAGCTTATCGACGGGAAGCACAGTACAGAGTGGATAGAGGAAAGTTGTTCATTCATATATCACTGTTTTGAAGGGGAGGGACACACGGAGATAGAAACATCATCTGGGGCAAAGGAGATTATCTATTGGGAAAGTAGAGACACGTTTGTCGTTCCTGCTGGGTCTAAGCTAAAGCATGTCAACGTAGCAGACCGGACGGCATTTCTAGTCGCCTTCACAGATCGCCCCCTCCTACAGAACCTGGGCCTTATGAAGCCCTTTTAAAAGCAAATGGTATCATGAATGAACCTTTTAAAGCAATAGCTCCAACTCCTAGCACCTGGATTCCTTCCTAATCATTCCTATCCGTTCCTTTTCGTTCCATCTCGTAAGGCTTTTCCCGGGATCCACAAGTTTAATGACGGGGGAGAGTTTGAGGGCTTCCATCTCCGCCGTAGAAAATGGTGTTGAACCTGTGTCGACGGAGGAATGTTCGTCCAGGGTACTGCATAAGTTCCTTTCCCATGTCGTACTCGTTCTTGTCGTCGAACCCGAAGAACTGGTAGACATTGCGGATCGTCTCGAGGCCACTGTAGACGTTGATGTCGAAGTTGCGCACGTATTGTCGTTCATCCCAAGGCTTCGCATTGCGACCATAGACTCGGCTAATATCGATACGAATCTCCACTGTAAAGTTCATTGTTAGCAAAATCAATCGTAATGTGATTAGTAGTTGGTCTAGGCAAGGTAGCTTGGGGATTAACGAGGACTTACTGAATCTCTCCATGAGTTCGCACTGCTCGAAATCCAGAGGTGCGGTGAGGCACTTGATGGAATTAGGGGTCAGAGGAGGGTTCTCACGAGGGTAAAACTTCTGACGGTAGAAGATATCGTTGAGGAATATCTCTTGGTCAAACTCGATGTAAAGGTAGCCGCAGAACTCTCCACCAACATCGGGGACTTGGTATTCGAACTCGATGACTTCCTCGTCGGATTCCTCCTCCTCTTCTTCCTCGTCAGCTATCTCAATCCCGCTGTCCTCGCCTTCGTCAGCCTCGTTTGGCATCTCATGGTCGCCAACTTCGGCTGCTTCATCTTCGCCATTCTCGGCAGAAGCCTCAGTGTCGTTACTCTCAACAAGCGTGGTAGAGTCACCATCCGTGCCAATTGCCGTGGAGTTACCACCTTCGCTGGGCGCCTCGTGGTCACTCTTCTCGTTAGGTACCGCAGTGTTAGTCTCGTCGAAGGGCATCACACTGCCATTCTCTTCAACGGGCAACTCATTGGTGGCTTCTCCACTAGGCGCTTCGTGGCCGTTCTCTTCGTCGCGCTCCTCGTCATGCTCCTCATCACGGTCCTCATCCTCGTCCTCCTCTTCATCTTCGTCTTCATCCTCTTTCTCTTCATCGGTGTCTCGACCACCGCCGCGGCCCCAGAAGTCATCGTCATCATCCGAGACGTTCTCATCATCGTTGATGGCATCACCGAGCTCATCATCGGTGTCCTCAAAGTCGGCCTCCTTCTTGATAGGCTTGGTCATGCGGTAGAGAGCGAGCTTGACGGGCTTGAAGACTTCCAAGTAAGTCGAGCGGCTGGCCTTGCATAAGGTAAGGAATGGGCAGACTAGATGAGGGGTGGGGGTCAATTGTCGTGTTTCCGCATTGAAGAGGACGATGCGGTTAGTGAGATTGGGATAATCGAGGAGGACTTGGACCCAGATCATTCTCTGGACCTCCATAGGGAGTCGAGAGACGCTCCAGACGAAAGGCTCCGACATCTTGAATAGGAGATGAATAAAAATATGAAAATGGAGAATTGACTGTGCGGATAGTGTGTGGGTGGTGGGTGGCAGTAGTGGGTGTGAAATAGAGAATTCTAGAAAAATGGATGACGGGTGATATGTGTAGGTGGGATGGAGGAAGACGTCGACAAATCGTCCCCTTCTGGAATAGTATAGTAGTTCAGAGTAGGGTATATGATTCCCTACGTAGAACTGTGGATTGTAGATGGATTTAATAATTGATAATGATGAGTCCAGTGATTGAAATGGTGTACGTTTACCAGATGATGGCACAACGGCTGGGCTCCCGAGTGATGTATGAAAGTAAAATAAGAATCGACGAACTACCTAGGTAGTTATGGTTGTGGGTGAAGGTAATATGAGGATGTGGGTTGAAAGATGGAAGAGGATGGAGGAAGAAAGGATTGGATTTCTGGGGGGGAGGGCAGGGTATTTATATGAAAGCACCCGAGAATAGAGCGGGTCTGACGGAACAGTGTAGAGGGCAAGAGCAGGAAAGAGTCAGTGTCCTTAACGGAGAGGGAGCACTCTGGGGCCCTTCTAGTGGATATAGAACTGTTGTAAAGCACCTTCAAACCCCCCGTAAACTGTACATACGGAGGTACACGCACTAGTATAATATGTTTGTGAGTACGCGTAGAGGGCGAGTACATATGTACGAGAGTGGTTTCCTGGGAAGACCACTCGCAGCTTGACGTATACCTAGGTAGGGAACTGCCATACTTAATTAGGAATAACCCATCCGTACTTCTACTCGAACTGACCAGATGTGTAACAGTTTAAACTTTCGAAGAGCTAGTACATCTATTTCTATGAAAGCACCTACCAACACACCTAGGTATGTACTTCATACCGTCTCGACAACATACGCGTGGGTACCTATCGAGAACGACCTATACCAGGCTGTACCCTACCGTACACTACCCAGGTACAAACGTACATCCTCGCAGGATGTGATTAAACTTTCTGCTGACTTCTACAGTTGTTCCCCTTCGTTTCAAGTACCTAGGTAGCTAAAGGTCAGGTACTAGCATACCAATGGAGTTCTAGTTATGGTACCTATGTGGATGTGTAAAGAGCTCTTGAAATATTTAGCAGTCCCTTACGGTTCTATATGGCCTCCTAGTACCTAGGTAGGAGATACATGGAAAGTATCTAGCTAACACGAAGGCAAAGATACATGTAAGTACGGCTACTTTCACTACCTGCGTAAGGATCAAGGAAATATATAGGAAGGAGCTCGTAGTCTAGGGGCATCTACTGTATATCCCATGACTTATTGCCCCTATATAACTACCTAGGCAGAATAGTAATTACTCCCAGTGCTTCCAATAACAATCTTGTATTTTCTACAAGTCGTATTCCTTCTTACCCGTCTAACATCTGATATGACTGTTACAGCAGTTGAATATTTATAGCAAGCAATGAAAACAGAGAAATAGAAGAGCAAGCCCCCTAGAATAATTAGATTACCCCTAAAAATTTATATTTACTACTAAAAATAATTTCTCTTTCTACACAGAAAGAGTTCATTTTATATTGTAGCGTTGAAGTATTGGGAAGCGATATTTCGTCCCATATTACATGTACCTAGGGGCCTGCAGTAGGTTTGTACCTGCCGAAAGTGCAATGTAAAGTACCTAAGTACTGGGGTTCGGTGAAGAGCACGTACCACCTGCCGTCGGCTTTTAGCGTCTTATTTTAAACCAGGGTAGAAGCTTCATGCAGGCAAGTGCGGGGCGCCGACCCAGGTTACGCTCACTCCATCCCTGCCATTATCCATTTCGTGCACGGACTACTTGTTGAACTTAGGTATGTACCTAAGTATCTAAAAGAACTGAACTTGAGAAGGCACGGCTTAGTAATGAGGGGCACATTTCACCGGAGCTTTTCATGGTCCGTGCGCCGATTCCACTTTGCGAGGCTGCAATAATTTTTTGAAGCTTTCTAAACATTTGAAGCTTGTCCCACTCCATAACAAAGTCAACAAGGTACTTTCTCGTCTTAGCGATCCCCACGGCGAGTAGTTTCTGTTGGCTTTCATTTAACCTAAAATCACTTATACCATACAATATCTCCTATTGTTGTTGTGTTCCGACCGGCAAAATGTCTTTCGGAGGCCAGACGCCCACTATTATCGTCCTGAAAGAGGGTAAGGTCCTAATAGCTACCCCTCGATCTACATATTATACAGCATGTAGGGGTCAAGACTTCTAGTTAACTAATTATAACGTTAGGAACCGATACCTCTCAAGGAAAGGGCCAGATCATATCGAACATAAATGCTTGTCAAGCTGTTCAAGCGACAATCAAGTCGACTCTAGGTCCCTATGGCGGTGATTTATTAATGGTGGACGAGAATGGAAGGCAGACTATTACCAATGATGGTGCGACAGTAATGAAGGTAAGAACAATACCCATTATCCTCTATAATTACCGTACTAGCGCTGACACTTATAAAGCTTCTCGATATTGTACATCCCGCTGCCCGAATCCTCGTCGATATCGCAAGATCACAAGATGCCGAAGTTGGAGATGGTACCACGTCGGTCGTCGTTCTAGCCGGTGAGATATTAAAAGAGATTCGAGAACATGTCGAACAAGGAGTTAGCTCTCAGATTATCATCAAGGGTCTAAGAAAAGCTTCCTCCATGGCAGTAAATAAGATCAAGGAAATCGCGGTGAGAACAGACGAGTCCAATAAGCGAGAAACTCTTTCGAAGCTAGCCGGTACTGCCATGACGAGCAAGCTGATCAAGAAAGACACTCCATTTTTCACAAAGAGTATGTAAAACCCACGTTCATATCTGCCCCGTATTATGATGACTTAACTTACGACTCATAGTGGTTGTGGATGCTGTTCTATCGTTAGACCAAGACGATTTAAATGAGAAGCTTATTGGTATCAAGAAGATCCCCGGCGGTTCCCTTACCGACTCCCTATTTGTCAACGGCGTGGCCTTCAAGAAGACCTTCTCATATGCCGGTTTCGAACAACAACCCAAGTCATTCACCAAACCGAAGATCGTCTGCCTCAACGTCGAGCTAGAATTAAAAGCTGAGAAGGATAACGCCGAAGTTCGAGTAGAGCAGGTTTCCGAATACCAAGCGATAGTTGATGCCGAATGGCAGATTATCTACAAGAAACTTGAGGCAACTTATAAGACAGGTGCTAAGGTGGTACTCTCGAAGTTACCTATTGGAGATCTGGCGACCCAATATTTCGCCGACCGCGACGTTTTCTGTGCTGGACGTGTCTCATCCGAAGATATGGAAAGAGTAGTCCAAGCTACCGGTGCCACTGTACAATCTACCTGTTCTGATATTCAACCTCACCACCTTGGCACTTGTGGCTCTTTCGAGGAGCGACAGATTGGTGGCGAGCGATTCAACTTCTTTGAAGACTGCCCGGAGGCTAAGACTTGCACGCTAGTACTCCGTGGTGGTGCCGAACAGTTCATTGCTGAAGTGGAGCGATCCCTACATGACGCCATCATGATTGTCAAGCGCGCTATCAAGAACCATATGATTGTAGGTGGTGGCGGTGCTTGCGAGATGGAAGTTTCAGCATACCTACACCGCTTCGCCGACAAGGACATCCCACACAAGCAACAAGGCGTTATCAAGTCTTTCGCAAAGGCCCTTGAGGTTATCCCTCGACAACTGTGCGATAACGCGGGCTTCGATGCCACCGACATTCTGAATAGGTTACGTGTCGAGCATCGTAGAGGCCGCGTCTGGGCTGGCGTTGACTTTACTAACGAGGGTGTTGCCGACATGATGGAGCGATTCGTGTGGGAGCCGGCTCTAGTCAAGATTAATGCCATACAGGCAGCCACCGAAGCCAGCTGCTTAATCCTCGGTGTTGATGAGACGATCCAGAACGAAGAGAGCGCGCAACCGCAGGCGCCGGGCCAGCCGCTACCACCTGGAGCAGCACAGAGGGCGTTAAGAGGACGAGGAAGAGGTATGCCACGACGGTAAATATCTAGGTGATTAAGGGCTGGCTACTTTGCGGGGAGTGGGCGCACGGTGATGTACCTATGAATCCTATGATTGATACCTAAAAGGCTACAAAAAGAGCTACCTTGAAGTGGTTGTTACATGACGAGTATAACGTTGCGAGGTTTAGACGATGAAGATGAAAAAAAGGCCGTTTAATGCTATGTTTGTGCCGTTCGTGATGTTGACTTAGTTGTTACTCATACTGTAGATCTGCAGTTGCGTATGCCCAAAACGTGTATCATCTCCCCATAACCAGAGATCCCTACAGCGATGATATGGCTGCTTAAGTAATCACTCATAGATAGGGGTATTATACCGATATTCTACCGACCCTGTACTAAGCGCAAGCACCCGCCCGCGTCGCCTCGTTCCGAAATATTCACCATCTACGAATTTCCCCTCCCGACGCTACGCACAGTTCATCATCGTCATTTCGATACTTTTATATACCTACCCCTGACGAGCCCTCCAATAGGCATCGTGGGGCTCCGGAGTTACTAATCGGCGTGGCGACGGTAACACAGCATTGACTGACTAATGATCTCTGCTATTTAATACTTGGTAAGATTGTTGTGGCTGTCTTCATTTTAATTCATTATGGAAGAGAAGAAATGGAAATGTTCTGGGGAATGTTTTGTGGTGGATTAAGGAGAGAATCAGATACAAAATGACATAATTTCATATATTAAGTACACTATTAATGGGTATCATGTCTAGGCTAGGTGACACTATTCCCAAAGTCCGCGTCGTTGCTCCGGACTTGGAACAAAATGCCCGCAATTATGGATGACCCGTCCAGCCCGACCATTTACCGGGTTGTAGGGCAACATCCGTTTCCGGATCCTAGTAAGCCGGAATTACCACCAAATGTCCTACCTCGCCAAGTGACCCTACGAGATCGCCAGACTATTGCGACTGTGGTGCCTTTCGCTTCTCGGGATCAAGTACCTGCTTCTTTACTGGCCTACCTCTCAGATCAATTCGCAAAAGAAATCGAGGGAGGTGACACCTATCCCATGATAGATCCCATGCCTCTTGAGAAGTTTTCTGCCTATTGGTTTCAGAATTTCGGTGGTATTATGTTGCTTGGCCAAATCGAAAGCGCCGATGAGGTTGTCGAGGGCAAGGATTGGTCGAAAGAATGCCTTGGTAGCTTTTACATCAAGCCTAATTACCCTGGCCGTAGTAGCCACGTCTGTAATGGTGGTTTTTTGGTCACGGATGCTTCCCGTAATCGTGGTGTAGGTCGGCTTATGGGCGAGAGTTATCTCGACTGGGCGCCGAAGCTTGGTTACACATATTCGGTTGGTACGTATAGGCACTCCTTTTTTCCCCGTGAACTTTTACTAATATCTATGTAGTATGTAAAACATCTAAATTCTAGTGGTTATAGATGTATAAGCTTACTAGCTGACATTTGATGATACTATAGTTCAACCTCGTATACGAGACAAACGTCGCTTCGTGCAAGATCTGGGACGCACTCGGTTTTAAGCGCATCGGTCGCGTTAAGGGTTGTGGTAACCTCAAATCGTATCCAGATCGGTTGATCGACGCCATCATTTACGGGCGGGACCTAGGACCCGGCGAAGCTGGCAACGGCGAGCCCCTTCTCGTGAGTGAAGAGCGTTTCGACAAGATCAAATTCTATCTCAAATACGGGCGATATCCAAATGGATCTGACCGTGCCGAGAAAAGCAGGCTCCGGAGCGCGGCAACCCACTATAAGCTACTCGATAACGATGTTCTCATGCTCAAAGACAAGGAAGTCATCAGTGATCCTATACGACAAATGGATATTTCGCGCCGCCTGCACGAAATTGGTAGCCATGCTGGAATCAATAAGACCACAGCCACTATTGCCGAGAAATATCACTGGAGTCGTATCAAGGAGACAGTGTCAGATGTAATTAGGACTTGTGACCAGTGCAAGGAAGCAACCAAGCCACCCTCTGTCCAGAATCCCCCTAATCTCAGGCGGCCTAATGTGAATCCCAACCCCGCTGCGGTCGTTGTAAACCCCATGCCTTCGAGGATGACACCCGATACAGCTCCTATACCCGAAAACATTGATGCGACCGACAGGGTATTCGACCTACAAACACCTACGCATAGTGATCTACCACCTCTAGTCAATCCTGCGAACCCATACGCCCATCCCGGTGATATAACATCCTTATTGAACCCTCCTATGCACACGCCAAGCGACGCTGGTCTACCACCTCATCATCCTCTAATGCAAAGCCAACTACATCACGATTCTGCCGCAACTCTCGCTTCACTACATGAAGCTGTGGATATGTACCATCCTATAGATCCACAGATTATATCACAATCCGCACATCATCACCAATCACTGACCCATCATAGCCACCACCACCCCAATCCATTCAATTCCTTCCATACCAGCGACACAATGCCTCACTCTAGTCCCCATTCGTCCCATACCTCGCTTCCAGGACATGAACCTTATAGCCCTCATACACACTTCCATCCCCAGACTCATCATCCCCATCATCATCCACTACCACCCCACCATGACCCTGATTCCTTCCAAGCTTTACTTAATGATACCGATAGTATCGATGGAGACAGCCACACCTCAATCTCCACCGCCCAACTTCAAAGTCATCATCACCCTCATCATCACCACTTACATATACCAGATAGCCACCACGAAGAACCACCCGATCATGACCAAGAAGCTATGGCCCGCGACTTAGACATGTTAATCGAACAGAGTTCTTCCGAGTCGGAAATGGATATCGACGATGTAATACGTGACGACAATTATGATGACGACCCGAATCCGAATAATGGAGACGCTACTGGCGATAAGACTGTCGAGGGTGATGATATATTAGAAGACTCGGCAGGCGGCAACACGATCAAGCGCAGTAGTATCTATAATGTTGTGTTCAACTCGCCTTGATAACGACTGAATGGCTCTACTTTCACTACGCTCATATACATCATTTCGCTTTTACTCGTTTACCTTGGATACCCATACGGCTGTTTTGCATTCAGGGGATTAGAACTAAAAATGTCGATATTTCAGGAGCCACTTTGGTACATAGAGGACATCAAAATTCTTATATTAGACACAATAATGTCAAATGAGTATAATGTCAACACAATTTAAATCACAGAGAATTGATTCTTCATTTATACACAAATATATTTACTTGATACATCAATTTACACGGAGGCGTCCATAACTATCTACCATCTATTGATTTTATAATTCCAGGTAATAGGACGACGCACTCCTAATGTGAAGCCTGATCCATATCTATTTCTGGAGCTGATCTCATCTTCCCGCTCCCAACTCCAACCTCGTGAGCATCAGCGCCTTTGTCCGAGTCACTAAAATCTTCAGTTTCTGTTGGGCCGCCTCTTTCCGTCAATCGCCTCCTAATCTTCTCTAGCTCCAAGAACCTAACAACTTCAAGTGGCGTCTTCCAGCTCACTTTGCCCTTGCTGGCGTCCTTGAGGCGTCTTTCTTGGCCTGCCTCGCCGGCTCGACCTAGAACGCTGCCGATGACGGCTAGACATCGCAGACTATTTGAAAATGTTAGCACTGTTCCCCCAAAAGATTATCTAGTATAGAAATGAAGGAACATACCTATCATCATTCGCTGGAATAGCATAAGTAACCCAACTAGGTTCCACATCCGTATCAATAATGCCAATCGTCGGCACATTCGCCAACGCACACTCATGCAGCAAAACAAAATTCTCCAGCGGATTCAAACAAACTACTAAATCCGGGACCAGGGGCCGTCGTTCGGTAATATATTTTTCAAAGCCTATTGCCGGTTCGTCGTTCTCATCTAACATCTGCACGGGTAAGCCACCGAGAATAACGTCGCTGTTGGTAATAGACCCGGGCGTCCATTTCGTGAATAAATGACACGCGTGCGCAAGCCGCGCTGCTTGTGTTACGATTTGCGTGTGACCTGGTCTAGTACCAACAAATAATATCAAGCCCCCACGGTATGCGATTTCTTCGACTACACGCGCGGCCCGACGTAAATGGGCTGCGGTCTGTTCGAGGGAGATGATGTGTATGCCCTGCCTAATTCCATAGATATACCGCGCGTTCGCCGGGTTCCAAAGTGCGGCGTTATGTCCCATATGCGCTTGTGACGCCATAAGTAACTCGAGTGTTACATCTTCCGGCCCCGGCGGGTTGCGGAATACGTCCCCTGGTCGGTAGCCACGGTGCACGTGCGAACCTATACGGCTGATTTTTTGCTTGAGTTTGTTGGCTAGTTTGAAATCTTCGACTGTTGTGTCTGGGGTTACGGGTTTCTTCCGGCGGACTGGGGCGCGCGCATTCGTTGTGAAGATGGACGGCGGTTGAGGTTGCGAGTTCGGGGTTTGGAGGGTTGGCGCGGTTAGGTCTGCTACGGCAGTTGGTGCTGAGGTTGAGGTTGAGGGTGGTTGTGTTGAGAGGGTGCGAAGACAGGTTTGTCGGAGGGGTGTTGTTGCCAATGCCTTTCGGGCTGTGATGGTGTTAGTATATTCAATTGGGCTAGTAATTAGGGAAACAATATGAATCTTACCATGGCGAGCACCAAAGTCTCTTATAATCATCTTAACTGTGACAATTGGTGCTGTCTCGTGTTGTGAGACGAAGCTTTATCGTCACTTTTTTTCTGAATATCAATTCAGATCGAGACTAGATGAGACAGGGATCTTTTTCGGGGATAATGTATTTCCTGCTCCGCTTCAACCCTGGTCAATTTGAAGATAAGCTTCTTATCTAGCCCTTGCTTGTACCGCCGTTTGTACCCCTCCAACCCACACCTATCACATGTCGATGATCACTTGCCTCTTAATTATAGCTACACTTTTTTTTTTTTTTTACGAATCATTAGGAAAATAGGAATCTTGAAGGAGACAACACCCTAAATCTGAAGCCATAAAAAACTTCACGTATAAACTTGGAGCGACTTAAATTGGTCATGATAGACAGGTATAAGTTAGTTAACTGGGTAGCTATTAAATCTATGTTCCATTGGCATCAGTCATCAGTGTTGGATTCAGAAATATCTACATCCTCGAATAATCTTTAGTCTCCATAGCTCGATAGTCGCAAGAACTCCAATGGCAATGCTTCAAACTCCAAAACACTTGGACTTGGGTTCTTTTACCGACTGGTCGCTCTCGAGATGGCAAACACGCCCACGATGACAACTGCCAAAGTGACGATAGCACCGGGTAGCAAGAGCTCGTTAGGCACGCCGGCGATAACTTGGTCCGGCTCGGTGAATGTGTTGCTCTTCTTGCGACGTCTGACGGTCGAGAAATCCTCCTCCTCACTTTCTTCCTCTTCTTCCTCGTCGTCGTCAGCTGCGTGTCGTCGGCGACGAACATCCGAGGGAGCGGTGCTTGCAGCTGGCGTGTGACTAGGCTCAGGTAAGAGAGCAGCAACAGTGACCGGGGGTTTCTCGGGGTCATGCACGAATAGGTCAACCTTCTCGCGGTGGTTATGTCTCGCAAGGAGGATTGCCTCGAGTAGATCCTGGTCAGTTGTAATGCTAACCGTATCACCCTCATCATCTAAATAACTTAAGGCAAAACCACCGGAGCTCAAGTTACCGTCTTCTACCACTGGCGCTCCACCAATGGCTTCCACTTCACTGCCAAGCTTGGCAACTACATTCTCAACGAAATGCGCGATACCTTCGCTTGCAATGACTTGCAATCGATGCACACGGCCGCTTGGAGCCTTGAACTTGAATGCGAAGGGAACCTCGGCAGGGGGGTGGTGGGCTACAGCGGAGTGTATCGGCGAAGATTCTATCCCCACATGTGATGCACTATCACCAGGTGCCACCGAATCGTTAATACGTTCACGTGTAGCGTCAGGCGACATCATAGATCGAGACGCCATAGTGCCATGATGGTGGCTACCATCACCCGAGACCATGGACTCGGTTTCGTTGTCTAGCGAAAGCCAAAACTTGTTCCAAGCAGGGCCTTCGCTGTCACCTGACGTACCCATGGTATTGATCTGCTCCAGGGTTGCATAAGTCAGCTTGAGTACATCAACCATGCCAACGATCTCGCCCTGGTCATTCATAACGGGGAGGTTAAGATAGTGGCCATCTGTATAATACGTTAGCTAAAAATTCCATATTTAGGCAATTAGATAGGTTAACTTACCATGCATCTTTCGAAGAGCAGCCTGAATGCTCATATCCATAGGGGCGAAATCAGGGTGTGGCGTCATGACACGGACGACACTGCAGGTGGCGGGGTCAAGACCAGGAGCAATGACGCGCAGGACGACATCCTTGCTCGTGAAGATACCCGTAATCTGACCTTGGTCTTGAACTAACACGGCGGTGGTGTGATTCTCTTTCATCATCATTGCAGCCTCCTTTACCGTTGTCCTGACACTCACGGTCGTAGGTGGCATGCCATTTAGCACACTCTCCAGGGTCGGGCCCGACATCTTGGAACGTAGTGCCTCGACATATTGAATAATCTGTTGAGGCTGGCTAGTTCCTAGTTCCGATTGTACACCTTCCAAAGCGGCATAAAGCTTTGTCGAAGAAGCGTACGCACGTTCTAACTTTTCCATGGCATCGTAAAAGCATTTTGTGATGTCGAGGATACCCGAGATGTCTTGGTTCTCGTCCATAACCGGAAGATGTCTGAAACCCTTGCGAACCATGAGATCCAATGCCTCGGTGGCGCTAGTGTCGGTACGCGCGCATAGCGGGTTCTTGGTCATGATATCGGCGATAGTAACATTGTTGGCTTTCTGGCCGGTACCAACCACTCGAAAGGCCAGATCCTTGGCCGTGAAAATACCAGCAATGCGATCATCTTCGTCTGTTACCAATACACAATCTTCTCTCTTGGCGGCCATGAGTTGGGCGGCTTCGGCAACGGTGGTCCCAGGCTTAATCTGAAGAGCGGGGCTCGGTTTGAGGGCAAGGACGGTTCCAGGAGGAGCTTTGCGCGAGTGTCGGGCTCGGCCGGTGAGGTGCTTCTTCTTGGAGAGATCGCTCTCCAGCTTTCGTCGGATAGCCTAGTGCTAGAAGTTAGCACTCATACTACAGTAGTTGAGGCATAACATCGTACCTCATCTCGCTTGGTCTGCTTCTGTCTACTCGCACTGATACCGGAAGCGGCGTCGCTCGGAGCAGGTTGGTGGGAGTGGTTGTTATGAGTATCGAGGACCGGTCTTGGAATATTGGAATTGGCAGGACTTCCTTGGGCGAAGGGATTGGGTTGACGATTTCCCTGGCGACTAGGGGTTCCTCTCATAGTGCCCGACATGGTGGGCAGAGTTATTCTTTTTTACGATTCTAGCGGAGCTGGAGGTTGAATTTCTGTATTATGGGAATCGTAGGTAATAATGCAGATGATATGCAACCAATAGCAGAGAAATATCGAGTAGCACTCGATAAAAAAAAATCAACTGCGAATGAAGAGAGGGAAAGGCCTGGGGACCAACCCTATCGAGCAAAAAACGGTGCTAGCAACAGTAACAGCAGTTGAGCGATCGAATGATGTTTTATTGCTAGTGATGATAAAATGGGAAAAAAAGATTAAAGTATCGGTCAGTGGAATAATAGAATAGTAGCAGTGGAATAATTAGTGGAATAGCGGAATAGTGCCATACCTAAATGGCGCTTCTCTCTTCTTCGGGAAAGAAATAGTGGGTCCCTCGAGTCGTCTCGGCGACCTAGCAACAGCATCTGCTCTGCTGCTGCTGTCTTAATACCCCGGTCAGACGACAAACACACAGACCAGGATGTTAGACTAAAATTCCCAGCCAAGTTTAAAATCTTAGTCCGATAACAGATAGTGGGGTATTATGTAATCCAGCAGCAACGATTCGAGGGGTAAAAAGGGTTACCTAAGCGAAGATTTACCCACTTAAATTCTAGAAATTCCATCATTCCTTATCTTTCTCTCTCCGACAAACAATCATAAACGACTGTGATGCGAGATATCAACAAGACATATCAAAATGAAATGGCATTCGATCCTGTTGCCTGCTCCATATTTACTGCTAATAACTTAAGACATTTAGGTAATTCTTCCACGTTTAAGAATGTTCGAGTCGTGGACCGTTGTGGTTGTCAACAGCAGCCGTCCGCGACACACAGGAATGGGGAGACTAAGTGTGAATTGGTCTAGTAGGTAGGTATCTAGGTACATGAATAGGCCTATTGTACCTACAAGCAGAAAATAAAGGGGAAGCCATCGTCGCTATTTACAACTCCCTCAACAACTTGCTACATACATCATTCATCGATATAACTTCTCTCCCATTATCAGAGTGGAATATTTCAGCAGTCCGGACTATATTAGTACGAATACGAGCTTCGCCTCATTGTTCCGGTTCCGTAACGATGAAACAGTACAAAACCAACCCACTAAATCCACTACAATTCATATCCTCTGGAGTGCTATTCTGCGACCGTTACACACAGCCCAATTTCAAATTTACATGAATCTTGAGTACGAGATTTCAAAGACAAATAGTACTTCGAATCCCATCCCGCATGCACTGGAAATTCAAAGGTTTGATTTGTATTTCTGCTTTATTCGAATAAAACCCGACAGTACAAAGGTAGCCCCTTACATCCCATCCTTCAACATAGCATCCACCATCTGAACATGACGATCCCCATTCGTTTGACTCCACTCACTCTCATAGTTCAATCCATACGGCCAAAAGTGACCACCACCACAGTTAATCTTTGCACTCTGCCCATCCCATGACCTCAACAGCGGCAGCGCAGTCGGCCAGTCTCCCGCCGCACACCGGCGATCAAACTCCGCTGTCTGGCCCACACCCAGAGTATGCGCAATCTCGTGCATCGCCGTGCGCTCCGTCATGTACGACCTATCAGAACCGAACCGCAGGTCCCCGTTGTAACTCGCCTCCGCTGTGGGAACACCCGGCGCGTAGTACACATGGATGGTCTTACTCGCGTTGGAGAACTTAGCGTAGTGCGCTACCGCCGCTTTCATCGCAGCCTCGATCTTGGTGTACGCTTCGGATTGATCTGCACTTGGGCTCGATGCTTTTTGGAGCGACCATGTTAGCCCTGCCGAGGCAGCGGAGGCGCATGTTAACATGGCGGTGATAATGGAGGCGCGCATCTTAGGTAAGTATCGATCGAAATTTTGTGGTGCGGGTAAGATACAGTGCGTTATGTGATGTTCGGTTTAGAAGAGATCGACGGTTATTTACCAGTCAACGTCGACATAAAGATCTTATATCCCCTTCCCCTTTTGATCTTATTACTACTAATATATATCTACTAATTATTTTATATCCATGGGTTAATCTCATCCGGTGGATATTTAATGAACGCAGAAAGTTTCTCCGGCAGAGATATATCTTGATCTAGCCCGTTTATCTGATATAATCTGTCTTGGCTCCTAATATTCTCGGACGACTCTCCTCCGTTGAGGTAGTAGTATAAAATAACCCCGACCTTGGCAATTCCCGGTCTAACTCGTCGCGAAACCACCTTATTTCGCGCTTCTTTCTATATTGGATATAAATATAGATATATTCAATCCTTAAGGACAACCAACTCACATTTACGCTGGGTTTCAGGAACACGTTTTTTATTCAGGCATCTCGAAACTAGCCTAAGATACTACCGACGACAAGGTATGAAAACGACTCGAGATATCAATATCAAAGTCAAAAATAGTCCCCGCCAATTCCTAGTCACACCATGCTTTAGTCTCGTTAAATTCCGCGTAACGATTTTTGTCCCCAAACACTGGTACCCAGGCCCAAGGGTCGACGCCGTATTCTCCCCCAAGCGCATCCGTAATAGTAGGGTAGATACCCTCTTCTGATCGCGTATTAGCGCGCATTATGTCGGCAACTTCAGGCCAGAAACCATCAACTAGCTCGCATGCATCTAAATGAAGCTCGACCGGTCCTTGGGTTCTCTCATAGAACTTCGCCACATCACCACTATCCAAACAACCCGAGTATTTTAGATAACGAAGATTTGGCCATCCCCATGTTGAGACAAGAGGAAAGCTTCCTTTAAAACATCGCCTTAGCATCAGAGTCATTTCTTGGATTGAGTCGGTATTCATAAAAGCTCGCAAGAAGCTGCAGAGACATTCATTTTCCTGCGGGGCTTCCATGAATTCCCAAAACGAAGGGTAGCCTAGATCGAAGCGAAAGTCCTCGAGCTGTTGCATGGCGGTTGTAATATCATGAAGAACTTTACCACTATCACCATAAAGACCGGATAACCCCTCGAAACATGTAATTTCATAGCCAACTCCCGTTAGCATGATACCCGCTTTGTGGATGGCCAAAGGTATCTCGCTACATAGTTCAATAGGTGGTCCCTCGCATCCCATGGTGTGCGCAGTACTCCAACTCATTGGCAATATCGTACTCTCAATGAGGCTCATAGAGGATTCCATGGTTTCAGTTAATGATGCGCAGTGATCCCATGGGTTCGAATCGGAGATGTAAATAGACCTGGCAAGGGGCATTCTAGCTATCGCATCGGCTATTATGCGGACGAAACTTCCGTCGACTCGAACTCGTTCTTGTGCCTCATGGGCAAGTAAATGGCCCTTGGAAATCCAATCGATGAGCACGAAATTTTCCCGGTCCCAGTCACTAAGGTCGTTGATGTCGCCGCCAAACCCAATCTTACGCAACCTTAACCATGAATGTAGGACTTTGTTCCGTTTGTTTCTCGCTTCTTTGATGCGGGGATCTTCATCAGAGGACCCCTTCGGTTTCTTCGCTGTTTCGAGAGCGTTGCAGCTTACTCGGGTGAGTTCATCTAGGTTTCTCGCTAACATGCCGGAGAAGGTGCTTATATCTATGCCGAGTTTCTTGACTCCTTTCGAGATTAAAGGGTGTTGAGATATGTTGTTGAGGCAGTCTAGAGACTCTTCGCTCATGCGGACGACGAAATATGGACAGAGATGGCGAGAACTTACGTCGCGGAATCTTCGACATACTAAGCGAACACTCGCGATGTTTTTCGTTGGGTGTGGTAGAAGGGCGAATATTTCCGAGAGAAGTTCGTTGGGTAGTTTCAGGATGTAGGAGGGCCATGGGAACCGGCATTGTACGTTGCCCATTTTGTGACGTTTAATGGATTTAGGTAAGGGGTAGTTGACGTTCTGTTGGTGAATCGGATTGTGTCTAGGTATCCAAACTTGGGTGTGATGTTAACAATAAGGTTGGTAGGAGAGGTAGTTGGTAGGTTCTGACAGCTCGCTGGGAATAAGTGATTTATATAGAGGAAATATCGTCTTCTGGCTGCTAAGTGCCTGAGGACTGTCAACTGCCTTACCCCAGGTAATCATTGTCGCTTAGTGGGAGAGTAACTAAGGCATACGCCTGCGCAGGCAGGTTGATACGTTTGATACCTAGGTATCTTAAAAGGAACAGGAACTAGGAATCAATTCTAAAAAAATTTCTCCTATGTTACAATTGTGACTACCATTGACTCATCTGGCCCTCATATTTCTATCTGTTATAAATCCTAGGTACTTATTTCCTTCCTGACATCTGTCCGCCCTATGCCCCAGGAGAACGCAAGGTACATGACCGCAAGCGCGGCTGATAGGTAAAACACAGCACTTAAAGCCTGCGAATATGCTTCTAGTACTTGTGTTAGGTACCTGTCGGGTACTACTGATCGAAAATCCGTAGCTCCGGCACTAATAATTATATCCACTGACACTTGTGGCGCGAGATGAGAAATATTTGCTCTGAGTCTGCTATTAAAGATGGCGTTTGCAACAGTTAGGGTGATAGACCCCGCGAATGTTTGAGCGAAGACGATGAGCGACACACCGACGGGTAAGAGGTCGGGATCTAGGATTGCTTGGACAGCGTTCACGGGCATCTGTAAGCCAACGCGGCGCCCCAAACCTAGTAGGATCTGGTATCCTATCCATTTCGCTGCTGCAGCATCGGGACCAAGAAGCGACAGAATACCGCTACCAATAGGTACCAAGATGCCGCTTAGTATAATAGGGGGGAGGCAGTAGCCGGTTTTGCTAACTAGGAACGATGTGAATATAAGCGGTCGATAGCGTGGAAGGGAGGATATACCATATATGCCAGAGAGTACAGAGCTAAGCAATTGGCTCAGTATGCTGGGAAGAAGATTCATTCCACTGAGGATTGGTGACATATTTTTTACGGCCTGGAAATATATTGGCAGATAGTAGGAGTGGACGAGAAGCGCAGATGTCATAAACCCGGCTACAAGACTGCTACTCCAGACAACGCGGTTCGCCAACAGTAATAAAGGCATCATAGCCTTCTCCTTACGTCGGCGCTCCCAAAATACGAAGGCTATAGTAGTGACACCACAGCCGCAGAATAGTCCGATTACAACGCTGCTGTTCCATTGATATGCGGAACCTCCATAATGCATGACGAGAAGTATCATTATGACTGCCGAAGCCAGTAAGGAAAATCCTAGTAGATCAAGAAGGGAGAGGAGTTCGAGAAAGCCAACGTGCTTAGTCTGGTGCCGAGTGATGGCAGTCAGGAGAATAATAGCACTCGCAATACCGCCGATAGGTAAGTTGATCCAGAAGCCTATCGTAAAAATTCTTCAGCGAGGCTAGAATAGCAAGGAGATCAAGACTGAGAGAACTTACACCATCGCCATGTTGCGTACTGCGTTAGTCCACCTCCGATAAGGGGTCCAGCTACGTTTCCGATGTAAGCAACTAAGGGGATATGTAAGCTGACTAGCCAGAATATCTGGTTAACACGACTTACGCCCAACAACTATTCCTGTAATTACAGGCCTCTTAACTAATGGTACGAAAGTTTGGTGTCGATGATTGTATGTGAAGGATTCCCGTTCTCCAAGTAATCTTGCTGACAAAAGAACCTTGAGTTCTAGATCTATCCGTGTTGGCAACCGTCAGTACCACCTTTCCACGCCCCCCAGGTGTTACAATTGTTATTCTAACAAGCATATTAGGCTGGTTCCATTTCACACGCTGCCGTCTTCTTGCCACAATGTACGTCTAATCCATAATCCCCAATACCCCGAGCCACACCAACACCGCAGAGTATATAGTTCTTGAAGATATGTGGGGTCGTCATCAATGGGATATTCCATTACTATATCTCTATGATAATCTAGAGTTTCTGAAGGCATGTCGGGCAGTGTTGAGGCTTTCCATGGTTATATTCTAACTGGAACCACCTGGCCAGCGTATTGTCATTATAGGGGTTCTATACAATGTCACCGCCATTTTCCTAAAGTTATTGCTTCTCGCTCTCTATTACCGATTATTTCGCCCACTTCCTCGCATTCCATTCCTAGTCTGGTCAGGGGTTACCGTGATACTTATCTTCCATATCATATGTATTGCTTTAGTCTTAGACTTTTGCATTCCCCATCCCAATGACGGAGGATGGGGGTCATCCGTATACAACGCAAGATGTGGGAATCAATATGAACAACTAAATGCTGCGGCGGGCCTCATCAGCACCATCACTGATATTTACATACTTGCAATACCAGTGTCGACGGTGATGAAACTGAATTTGACCATCAAGAAAAAGGTTGGAGTCGCTTGTATATTCTTTGTAGGTCTAATGTAAGTCTTACCCCGTTACCAGTACATTTCGCTGTCTGTCTATTAACTTGACATAGTGCGATATCCCTATCCATTGCCGGGGAGGTCTACCGGTTCATCGACCTTTTCGCCAAGGTGCATGATGATACTTGGTATTCAATGTGGACACAACCACTCGCGTAAGTACTTGTCCTTGTGGTGCCTAAGTAGCTCTCGGAGCTAATCAGAATAACTTCAAGGGTTGCCGAATTAAATGTTGGTGTTATGTGCTCTTGCCTGCCAGTATGTATGACTCTCTTTAGGGGAATCTTAAAGCAGTTTACGTCCACATGGACAACCCTAAGAGAATATCTTGGCTCGCGTTGGAAACAGGACACTCCGTCCAACACTGGTTCAAATTCAGAAGTGTTCAGAGATGTCACCCCTGAGCTGCTACCACAAGTTCATATTCATGGCTTAACGGGAGTGGCGACATTCTTTCGGAAAACGTCTCGTTCGAGATGGGACTAAACGTAGAGTACTGGGAGCCATGGTTATACAAACATTGAACTTCAGTCCATAGACTATGGCTACCATCGGCAGTTACGGGGAGCTTAAGACTATGGCCTGGCGCGTTCCGAGGTTGATTTGGGGGCCTTTGACGATTCAATTAAATATAGACTGTAGTATGGAGGATTGCGTTTTCATATACTACAACTGCCACGCTTGGAAGCTTCAATGTTAAGTTTACACAACCGACACCTTCGACCCGCCGTTGGGAAGTTTGACCTTGAAGAGTGCGAAAGGTCTTACTCTCCTATCAGTGCCGGGGAACGTGGATGAACCGAAGTTAAGCTGGTTAACAGTAAAATACAGGTATCCGTCAGAGGCGACCGACACTATCAACAGGTAGTTAGCAGGGGTCACTACAGCAAATGACGCACGCGCGCGAGAAGGCATGGACACTTACTTGTATCTACCCAATTGATCCTCGGATCGCGTACGAATGTCAATGTAGTCCCGTTGCTCGGGTTAAATAAATTGATAGCATTCCCCTCGTTATTCCCAACGTAAATAATACCGTTGTTGTCCGTTTCAAGGCCATCGCTCACCCCTTTCTGCCCATGATTTGATACAGACTGTTGTGCTAGGAGTTCACTGGCTTGTCCTCGCGCACGAAGTAGGGCAGTCGGGGCGCTGTACATATACCGGGATGATAGCGGGCACCAATACAACGTCTCACCGTCGGCGGATATTGCAATGCCGTCAGATCCGATGGGAAAACTCGTGTACGGTCTTCCTGCGTCGGTATAATACCCGGGCTGTCCCCAAATAAACGGCAAGAATTGCGATTCACCGCGAACGGACTTGGTGAGTCCTAGATGTCTCCAGCTTTCCCCTGAACCGAGATCGACGATGATTAGTGCATTGTGGCCCTCGGCACTACTATCCGTGATGTACGCGAAACCTTCGCCTGATGAATCAGAAAGATTAGAACGAAGATCAAATCGCACATCATTCAGATAAGTATCGCCGTAAGCGACGGTCGGTGGGAAAACGATTGTCTTGAAGACTGAGTTAGTTGTGAGACTAACCCCGACGAGTTTCGGGCCGCCGTATGTCGCTGATACTAATACGCCATCAGGGGTCAAGGCACGGCCAGTATCGAGTATCCATAATCGATCTAATGGATCTATGACCACTGACTGGACGCCTATTAGGTAGTCCTGATAGTTTGCACCGGCTGTTGCCCGTTAGCCTGACACTCGACTATTTATACATGGGTGTCGCTTACTCGGTGGTGAAGTGGAATAGTTGATTGCCCCTCCTGGGGGTTGATTTATTTCCAGGCTCGGGTATGCCTTCTCATCGGTGAGTGAGGTGAGCTCTCCAACAGTGAATACGGAATTGGAACCGTTATAAGTATTGGTAGGATCGAGGCCTAGCATAAATCTCATCAGCGCATATTTAAATTCTCGATTACACAATACCGACCGCCGGGGTAGTTAGAGAACATGCGCCCTGTGCTTGACACCGCGATGCCTGTAGCAGAATTAGCTTACGCCAATTTCTTAAGCAGCGGATTTAAAGACACCCACCAGTCGGCCATTGACCGTAATAAGCATGCACAGTCTCAAGCGCCGGTCCGTAGGTCTTCAATTTCTTAGCATCGTTACAGGTTTCGGGAATCTCGACCTCGGTCTTAACTTACCCCAGGATCAGATATAAAACTGATATTCTGCCCACAACCGTAACCAAACCAACTCGCCGCCATTATCTTGACGCCAATTCTCATCGCGATTAATATCTCCTAACTTAATGCCCTTTAATCTAGCCAACAGAAGTGATACCTGCAAGAATCAAGACGTTTTGAATAATTCTATCTCAATAAAAATACCTAGTGTTCTACCACGTCTCGCATCGCATGTCTAGGACGACGGATCATCGATATATACCCTGTTCATCCAATTCTCTTCCCCGCGATCATGGTTCATGACGCTATTGAGTATCAACAAACAAAATATGCTAATGACGTCTTCATGTTGTAACAATGAACCTAAAATAAACCAATGGAGATTCCATTACAATTGATTCCCCGTATATAAACTCACAAGGTATCCGAAGTGAGTAATTGATGTTTTCGGAGACTAACCGTAAAGTGGCTTGAATGCAACTTTTCCTAGACTTTACCTAATACATGAAGATTATCATGTCTGGTGTCTAGGTACGGAAATAGACTCGGAAATGTGTTCGGCAATGGTAACAAAGGTTTAAATCAGCAACAACAGAAAGAAACGCTTATTGAAGAATATATATCTTAGTTGGATGAAGCCTAAATGCGAGGGCTAATCGAAGGGGTTGTGTGTAATAGTACAGATGACAATCGGGAAATTTCCGTCGCTGCCCACCTCATAAATCATGGGATATCTCAGAACGCCGTAAAGCAGACCATGGTCTTATCATAAAGAAATAAAAAAAAATTAGGAAATTTTGCCGGTATTGGAGAATTAGCGACTCCTTGACGATACTGTAGCCATATTTGTTTTCATTTGGCTGCCGTTGGCCCCGGAGTACGGTTGAGGCGCGCCGAGATAGACCGGATCGCTCCTGGATACCGCTGAGTACTTTCTGCGTTTCTGGCAAAAGCTGGAAGTAAATATTAGCCAACTTGTTACGGCATTCGGCGCGTTCGATTGATGCAGGAGTTAGACGGTAAGACTCACAAAATGCCGACAATAATAGCGGCGATCACTGGGACACCAACACCAACACTGACGCCAATGATGATCCTCTTATCAACACCGTTGACTTCGCCTAATGGGTGCTCGCTAGAAACACCCGCCTCGTTTGAAGCTGTCGGTGGAGGTGGTGTATATGATACGGGAGAACCCGTTGTAGCATCGACGGACTTCATGTTAGTGCCAAATGGGACGAGACTGGCGCTAGTTCCGATGGACTCTGGGAATGAAACATCGGCTCCTGAAGGCACTGCAGTGACGAGTGTCATCGTGCTTGTCACTTTGGTAGTACTCTGAGAGGATACTGGGCAGTTGACTAAGCCAGTAGTCAAGCATCCTGTGCCTGTGAAGGTAACCTTAGTAGTGAGAGTAGTTGTTGAAAGTTCCTCGTCGGCCCTAGCTGTGACCGCCGGAGTAGACGCAGTGGTGGTTTGAGGACGACTCTTAGCACATACATCGGCTATGGTTGTGTAAAAAATGGGTATGTTGGTATTGGGAGCGGGACCCCATGTTTCAACACCGATAGCGAGGGTAGCTCCAGCAGCGGCGCCGAGTCCGAATTGATACGATTGCTCAACCTTCAAAGAACAATCTTGATCATCGCCTTCAGGAGCTGCGGTAACGTTGGTCGCGAACTCGGCAATATCCGCCCACACGCTCACACCAACGCCAGCACTTGCTTTGGTTGAGAAGGTAGTACTCGGAATCGCGACTGGGGGCGTTGATACCTCGAACCCTGCTTTGACAGCGACACGTAGTACGGCCTTTAGAAGACCGCCCGCACTTTCAATCGTTACCGGAAGGAACTCGAAGTTGGCACCGTTGCTATAAGTTAGGAAGCGTTTAGCACTGCTCGAATGGCTTTATGCGTTTATGATGAGTGTTGCTTACAAGGTAATACTTGAGACATTCTGACCAAATAGCGTCATGTCAAGACCGACGCCATCTTCAAGTTTGATATGGATTCCGCTACTGATGTCGATCTCGGCGTCCGCGCTTAGGATCAAGTCAATCGCGAAAACAACACCAAGAAATAGGTCTTTGCCGGCGGAGATTCCGATGGGCGTGTTCGATGAGTAGAGATTCAAGTCGTACGTGGCCCCAGCCGATAAAACGGTGTCGATAAGCATGTACAACTCCAAACCATCGAAATTGAACTGAAGATGGCATTCAGGTATGTCCGGTACATCCACGTTAAATGATGCATTGATGGGAGGGAAGTCGAAGTCGCTTAGATCGAAGCCATCCTCGAGATTATTGACTACGGTTTTGAAATAGTTTTCGACGGAATCGATGACTTCACCCGTGACGTTGGAAATCTCATCGTGAACCTCACTCGTGAAGTTCTGGATTGCCTGGGTAGCATTGAAGTCGCCGTTGACTTCAAACTCTGCTGTCGCAGTACCTTTGATGTAACAAGTAGTACACGTAATGTCCACACCAGCACTCAACGAGACATTATTTTGGGTATTGGCTTGGCCCTCTCTAGATTACCTATTAGATCATGGAGCTGTTAGGGCAGTTGATTTGACAATTGAAATAGCCCTCACATGCTAAGCAGAGTTGCGCCATTCCAGCTTTTATCTAAAGTGGTGCTGTTCTTCAGCACCGTGTCTCTCTTTTGATATTGAAGATTCACGAGGGACCGCCGTAATGCCCGTAGAGTATCTGCGTGTGATACGCCTGGTGTATCTCGCACATCGACTGCGATATTTGGTGAGGAAGTAGAAGCTGAAATAGCGCTAATAGCTGTCGCCCAACCGAAGATGGTAGACGACCTCATTTTGAGGATATGGACTTTTGATGTGTATGACGTTTATGAAGATGAACTCTAGCAAGCAAGAGAATATACAATTCTTTTGCGAAACATCATGCTCATATCTATATTGAACTCCTTGGACCCCACGAAGAGACCCTCGAGGAGCTACGTTACCAGGCCCAGAAGAGGAAACACACTCGTAACTTGCGAAGCTCCCTGCATATGCTCGTGGCGGAGTGGGAGTTCAGTTTTAGATAAAAAAGCAGAAAGAATTTGCATTTGTTTGGGGGCGGAAGCAAGGAACGGGATCCCACCCGATCCCCCCCAAAGCCTCGTGGGGAGTACCACGACTGCAACATGGGTTACCGGATATGGGACGATGAAACCTTGCGAAACCAATAAACCGGGGTGTTCATACCAACGTCCGTTTCCAACGAGAGCTTCAACCAACCCCTCAATCCTATATAAATCAAAATACTACCCTTAGCAGTACAACGAGCGCTTCTATTCGGGAAATTCAAGCTCGGGCCGGTACACTCACGGGAACGAACCGATGTTCCAACCAAAACGTCCCATGTTTATCTTGTGCATGTTCCGAGACAACAGCTTTGAGACCCTAAAGCTCGCCTTGCATACAGGGGTCAGGGGCAAGGGTCGGGGTTCCTTAGCTCCCAGAAATGCAAAAAAATCGTGCTATTGCTTGATAAGAATTAAGACAATAGCTTCAGCCGCACGAGATGCGCATCTATAAAAAGAAATACTGACTTACTATACTATGCTGACATAGCTTGCTGAATAAGCTAGACGCATGACCATCTTGATGTGTTACCTACGGTAACATTCGGGCCATTTTCAAGTAACAGACGTGGGTAACATACCTATCGAATGCCCTTTTCTTGATCCTATCCCCAAATCTATTCCATCATGGCCCCGATGTTGCCTGTCCGCTCTAAGTATAGTGAATTGCTAATCGCTTAGTTATTATCCTATTATGAGAATGGCGACGAGGAGACGTCAGCGCAAGACCCGCTAGCATTAAAGAGGTACCTACCATACACTTTAGGAACTCTTTCCGAGGGCAGGATTCAAATATTATAATGGCTGCTAGACATTAACCACGCTTGATCCACTTGATTCAATAAATCCCCCATTACGGCGCCGTCGGAATACTAGGCGGCTTTTCGGTGAGGGTTTCTTATCTTTTCCCCATTGAATCGTTCGAGGTCGATTCTTTTTCTTTTTCTTTTTTATTGTTTCATCTTCTTCATGAAGGATCTGAATAACTCGCGCAACCCGCCGTAAAATATTCGCGAAAGTAGATGCTATGTTAGATAGTCTCTGAATCCCTGCGAAATTAAAAAAATCACAGCAGTGGGTGTGACGCTACTTACCTCTCTACCTAGGCACCTATCCACCTAAAATAGGTTGTCTAGCAAGTATCTACGTCCACGGAAGCGTCGCACGGCGAATCGCGTCGGTGCTATAGAAAAGCATTAGGCACTGGAGGGTGAAGTTGGCGTTAAACGGTTCTTCGTTATGTTACATAGTAAGTTCTGAGTATGTCGAAGCGAGAGCCGGGACCGCGAACCGGAAAACGGTCGCTCCGACGAGCACAAACTTGATCATGTAGAGGATACGAAGTGGCTGGTAAAGATATACCCCTCACCTGTGGCGTTCTTACGTAGATGCACGGAATATCTACAAGTCCGTGCGGTCTGCTGTAACTTGACCTTACAAGATTCGGACGTTGACGGTACGCTTCTCCTTCGATATTACTCACCCGACTCAACACTCGACATTAACTTAAGGTCACTACACGGTGGAATATCGAAGACAGAGCATATATAGACTTAACTCTCAGCTGTTGCGATGTGGGATATCTTAGGTACCTAGGTATCCAAAGAACTTAGGTACGTTCTGACCATAGAATGCAATCTTTGTCCATCACGGAGCTCCGCATGTTCCGAATTGCGAAAGAAGAATACAGTATGATGCTCGTGATTCTTAAAGATATATCATAAAATCGGTGTTGCATTATCTCCAACGCTTGAGCGAACTGGGGCGATTCCTATTGGGCTAACTGATAATTGGCAGGGTTATTTAGCATATAACAATATGCCGAGATTCCTAGTTCGGTGACCGCTATTACTTGCAGACGCAGCGAACTACCAACTACTGCTTCAACCATTAGCCGTAAACCGTTACCTTACCTGGAGGCGAAAGTTGCCTGCGATGCCGGACCGATAGAAACAGGTTATCAAAGACGCTCAGGTCCACAAAAGACAACAATGAACAAAACAAACATAATGAAAAACGAGCACGTGCAATTGATCTGTAATTGGAATTGCAAAATCAATGTAAGGGGTTGTCAATACGGACGTACCTAGTAATATTGAAAAGATTGGTAATCAACATGGAAGCCATCCGATTGACAGCTTCTATCCAATGGCGAGAGACGCCCTAATGGAGCTCCTCCCTTGCGACGATCGTCTGGAGCCGCTCCGGTCCTTCATCGTCCCCGGATTACTGCACGTCGGCTCCACATTCAAGACATTCGGAGCGGCACTCGGGATAGATTGGTGGGTCAGTATCAAGCCGACGAGCTCCCTATAGGCTATATTATTCACATACTTTGCTAATTATCACCCAACCGTGGCCGAAGACGGAGTCTCGAGCTTAACATATCGCTATGACATGTGTTTTCACTTATAAGATTTTTCGTATAGCTCTACTTAAAATGGCTAACCGCGTTCAGTCACCATTCTGGAATTTTTCCCATTCAAGTTTTTGTTGTGTTGTTTGTGAAGATGGCGATCCAAAGCAAGTTCGAAGAGAAACATTATGTGGCGTCTTCCGATTCACATGAAGAGAGCTCCAGCTCTTCCCCGTGCGAAGGTGACAATGTCATCCACCAACATGGAACGAAAGAGGAATCAGATCCTACGCTAAAAGCCGAGTCCAAAAACAAGTGCGCCAGGGCATCGCAAGATCTTAGGAGAACCACCAGCAATGTACTTTCCCAAGTCGCATCGCGAATAACTACAAGGACTTGGCCAGAACCACCGCCTCCTCCAGATGGAGGTGCCAATGCATGGACTCAAGTTGCAAGTAGGTGGAAATCTAGAATAAAATCCAGCAAGCCTTACTAATCCGAAATAGTGGGATGGCTTGTCATCTTTTCAACTTGGGGATGGGTCAACTCATTCGGGGCTTTCCAGGGTCAGCACCAACTCCCCACTTCTCAATTGATTCCTAACTAATACCCTTGCAGTGCGTAAAGTAATCGTCTTTGTTCCCCTCCTAACATCATACTCGACTAGCTGCCACGCAAGCGTATAGGCACACATTAAATAACTGACAGGCAAACTTCGATTCATTAGACTTACTACACATCAACACTTCCACAGTCCCCATCCACGATATCGTGGATTGGATCAGTCCAAATATGGTTCTGCTTGGTCATTAGCGTCTTCTCTGGTCGTCTTCTAGATGCAGGATTATTCTTGCCGACCTTTTTCGTTGGCGCCGTGATTCAAGTCCTTGGAATGTTCCTAATGAGCATATCAACTCAATACTGGTCTTTGATGCTAACCCAGGGCGTACTCACGGGAATCGGAGCCGGAATCTTCTTTACCCCCTCCCTCGCTCTTGTTGCGACGTACTTCAATAAACGCCGCGGCCTAGCGGTCGGATTAGCGACGACAGGGAACTCCGCTGGCGGTATTGTTTATCCGGTCGTTGTTAGACAGTTACTTCCTAGCCTAGGATTCGCGTGGACGGCAAGGGTGTTGGCTTTCATCAATCTTACCTGCCTTTCCATCGTGTTCGCGTTCATGAGACCACGTTTGCCGCCTAGGAGGTCGGGTCCTGTCATCGATTTCGCTGCGTTCCGCGAGTTGGCCTACAATGGTGTAGTAGCGGGGATATTCACGACATCCATGTCCAATTACTTCTCTTTTTACTACGTAAGCGACTCTTGCATCTACTACATGTCGACGGGAAATACCTTGCTAACCCCATGCTATAGATCGCATCATTTGGAACAGAAGCTCTAGGCATGTCGTACTCAGCTGCTTCCATCATGGTCATCCTTATCAACGGAGCTGGAATCGTATTCCGAGTTATACCGCCCATCATCGCAGATCGGATCGGTCCAATCAATGTCATGTTCCCCGTGACCCTTGCTTGGGCGATCGTCGCGTTTTGCTGGCTCGCCGTCGACAATGTACCAGGCTTATATGTCTTCGCGTGTTTCTATGGTATATGTTCTGGAAGCTTTCAGTGCCTCACTGCCACGGCTGTCGGTAAGTTGAATACCGTCCCACTTTTCCCCTATTACCACATTCAGGGGGGCGATGACCTCTTAGGCGAGCCTATTGAGATTCTACGAACATTTTCAAGCCAATTAATCACTAACTCTTCTATTAGCTAGTATTACGAAAAGACTTGATACAGTTGGTACGCGATTGGGAATGGCGTTCAGCATTGCCTCGTTTGCTTCCCTAACCGGGCCACCCATCGGTGGAGCTATTCAAGCTGCGAATGGCGGTAAATTTACAGGCGCGCAGGCATGGGCAGCAATTATGACCTTTATTGGCTGTGTATGTTTTGCTGTCGTGAGAATAGATAGAGGGGGATTCAATCTTAAGGTAAGATGCTAAGGGTTCAAAGAACCCCCAGGGAGATTGTTTAGATTACCACAATACGTAATAACTAATAGGGTGTCTGTGTGAAAGAATGGGGAATGAAAAAGATATTCCGATTTGTTATTTTAGCATACCTGAGCAGCAATTCTCTGTTGTAGGTACCTAGGTAGGGGTTGGACAGTGATTCCACCAAGCCAAATCAAGTCGAGTAATAAAAGTTATGAATTTTTTAGTACTTTCGCGGATTGGATTGGGTTGGGACGGAGAAACATTCTTCCAAATCGAGCGCGGAATAGTGTGATTCTGTTGGAGTTGAAAGGCTATTATCTACCTAGGGTATATATGAATCTTACTCGAGAGGTACTAGGTAAGCTATGTCTGTCTTTAATCACCTCAAATTGGTATGATGGACATTGATCTCACTCCCAAATCATCCCCAGAACTCAGGAGAACGATAGAAGCTTTCAAGGAGTTAGATGCACAATGGATCGATATCAAGAGTTTGCGTCTGTGGCTTGAAACCTGTGATAAAGAACACGGTTCTCGCTGCCAACGGGTGCTGACTCGAGAAAGTACCATCGAAACACTACCGCAGTATCTTGTCGATATACAACGCAAGTGTCTAAAGCTAGCCAAGGAGGACGACCGATATGCTGCGTTGAGCTATGTATGGGGTGGCGCGACTACAACATTAACAAGCACATCAAACCTAGCTCTGCTTCGTGAACCAGGTTCCCTCTTCTCTTCTCAAGTTACTTTACCAAAAACTATCAAGTACACAATCGGATTACTTGAGCGACTGGACATCCCTTACCTTTGGCTGGATGCTCTTTGCATTGTGCAGGACGACAATGCTACCAAACAAAGGCAGATCCACGCCATGGCCTGGATTTACGCCAATGCTTATATCACCATCATAGCTGCGGACGGAGATAGTGCTGACCATGGCCTCTGGGGTATACGAGGTGTGACTGACCCTCGACATCTAGATGACGACACAGTTTCTGCAATTTATACGTCGCTTAAAAACCATTCCCCAGGGTGGTATAGTAGAGGGTGGACATTTCAAGAACTCACATTTTCTAGACGAAGGACCATGTTCCATAATCAAGTCGCATTGTGGGAATGCCCTTGTGCATCGTGGACCGAGTGCCGACTCGATAGTATATTCAAGATCCTACGTTGGCCAGTTCAACTTCACTACTCGATGTGGCCAAATATGAAGAATTATCTAAATGCGGTGAAGGGCTACAATACCAGACAGTTTACCTTTCCTCAAGACGCACTGGGCGCCGTTGTAGGCTTACACGTTGTCCGCGGGCACGCATTTGATGGTGGCTTTATTACCGGATTGCCCCAAATGTTCTTTCATGAATCTTTACTATGGCAACCGGAAGATACATTGAAGCGACGCGTCTCAACTGTCGGCCCCAGTGATTCTTCACCTCTACCCAGCTGGTCATGGGTTGGTTGGGAGGGAGCTATTGACATTCAAAGATGGACAATGCATCTAAGCCATGTACGTTTCTTCCATCCCTCGGCCGACGTTTACGCCTATCAGGTCACCCCAACTGTGAAATGGTTTTACTCTAACCCAGGTGAGGATATAACACCAATTCATGCCTCTTCTTTGAAATACAGGCCTCAGCCTGGATCCGATAGGAGCCTTCCACCTGGTTCGCAGTTGGCGAATACGAAGCACACGATGTATGAATTTTTCGGCTTAGAAGAAACTAGGGCTGCATACCCACTACCGCTCCTGTGCCCGCCTGGAGATATCGTATCCGCCTCACTGCTGCATAGCGAAACGAAGCGAGGCTTTTTCCAAGCCGACCGTCACGAATGGCCATCTTCTAGGGGGACTTTGTGTGACGAGGTATTTCTTCTCGATAAGGAAGGAGAAAGGATGGGTATGTTAAGGCTCAATTCCAAGTCGGGTTCCAAGATAAGGATAGAACAAGATCTTTGGTTTGAACTTGTTGAGATTGCCGGAGGGGAGATCCAAGACCCAGGCTGGATTTCGACTTAAAAGCTTTTTGATAGATCCTGCGAGGGTGATAATTATCAGCACTGCATACAGCCAATCATATATGTTTTATGGGTGGAATGGATCGAAGGTGTGGCGTATCGGAAGGGTCTCGGCAGAGTACTCGCTTCCTCTTGGAATCGAGACGCCACGGAAAAGATCAAATTAGTGCTAGGATAATACTACGAGCACCATTAACTATACCGTATATGATACGGATTCTCTATGTCTTGATTCACCAGCACCATCCTATTAATAAAATTTGCTTTCGTGGGTTTGAATCTGTTGTGTCCCCATTACGGCATATTTAGCCCCTTTTCCTCCTGCACCCATCCGAAGCCCACTGAAGAAAATGTACCTATCATATGCTATAACTAGCGTGGTTCTGGCGCACGGATCGTTTTCCGGTACCCGTGCAGGCATAACCACCCCTTAACTTCAAAAGGAAGTGGGTACATATTTATCTGTTGTGGCGCTCGGGAACCAACCATATCAGCTTCATGAAAGACAAGATGGCGTCGATGAATTCAGCCCAAGTATATCAACCTCCGTCTTACCATCCTAGACACCAAAAGGATACCTAGATTCTCCGAAATGGTTTGAAAAGCATTGACAAAGATCGAGATCTAGCCGGCTTACAAGTAGGCACCCCAATTCAGATGTGCGTTGCTTTTCACGCGGGCAATTCTATTCTAGGATTTCAGGATCCTTTAGGTGTAACCACACTACCATTGCTTTTAAACCGGTGTGGTAGCACATATTTAATAAATCACCTACCTAGTAGCCTAGGTAATTTGCCGTAGCTGGCTGCCTTCTTACCTTAACACGAAGGCATTCGTCTCTGCTCTCACTTAGTCATACAGCTGAGAATCCCATAGTCTTTATATCAAAACGAGAACAATGGATCGATTATCCCCCAATTCACCCAATTCACCCAATTTTTTCAGCCCTCCTCTGGAATATCGTCTAGACCATGGTTGACGGCAATTCTTTATACTGGGGAGCAGCACATTTCTACCCTCTCGCCTATCAGAGCCGAGGCATCGGGTTTGAAGAATGGATTTCGCTTTTAACATTATGCCTCGCGCCACTAATTGCCCATGTGGCGTCTGGAGCGCCTTGTCCTTCGTACATCTCAAAGGATAGGCCCCGATGGCACGATCAAATATGCCACTTCAATCCTACGTCCATCCTCTTCCGGTGAGTCGAAGCCCCCCACCCAAGGGGCGATGAAGGGTGCGCCGCGAAACTAACAATGCTATCAGGTACGCAGCTATCTCCGATAGGCGTATCCGAGCCTTAAAATGGGACAATTACACTATGGCCGCCACCAATGCTCTGTTTTGGACCGGCAAAGGATGGGACGGCTCAGAAGAAATGCTATCCCGCGGGTTCGCGCACTGCGCTCATATGCCAGAGCATTCCAGAGTCAAACTCCTGTCGTGGGAGATGGCTAAAACAGTGATCATCACTTTACAAGGCGCCCAGCCTTTCTATTGCTTAGTCTGCATCCTGATCGGCAGCATGGATGTGAACACTAATATGGCAATGGACGGCATTTTCCCTTCCCTCGCTATCCTTGGGCTTCTCAGGTTATGCGCTGCTATGTGGCTTACGGGTGATTTCGTATACACAACCTACCCTTCAAGTCAAAGCAGACCGATGACACCAACGCGAAGCGCCACTATTGAGAGAAGCACCGAGTACAAGGGTTCATTTGACAGTCTCCTTGACCCCGAATTCTTCATGCCGGCCCCACCAGAGTACCGATTCCACCCACCGAGCTACTGGCCAAGCCGAGTATTTCGCGCGGCGTTTCTGATCGTCATCCTGGCTCTTGCGGTCCTATGCACCATGTTCCTGGTTCCCTGGTCGAAGGCGACGATGTACACGACGACGTCGCTGATGGTGGGTATGATGAACATCATCTACCTCGCGGCTTCAATCCTTTCATACGGATATTACTCGTTTCGCGGTACGAGCTCGACTATCATCCCGTGCATATCGTCGCTCTGGTATAAAATATACACCATATTCCTCATGACATTCATGATAGCTCTTGTCATCATTTCCGCGATCGAGACTAGGGAAACACCGTGTGGAAAATACACTAGCCTGCCCGGCGAAGTAGGCGATATAGCTACCTGTGTAACACCGACCTCGCACCTCATACCAGTACATCCAGGGTCAGGTCAATGGTTCGGACTCGTCTCCGGGTCTTGGGCAAACGGCCGCCCACAAATATCAACTCAGAACTTCACAGGTTCTTGTATCGGGTCATTAATAGAAGGGGAAGTTTATAACGCCACCGTCAGTCTAGCTTGATGGATACTATAGCTGTCACATAGCTCAATGCCTCGTCTTACGGACTTTGTAGACTTAATTCAAAACTGATATACCGAAACACGCATACTTTTTCTTACCTAAGACAATGGAACTCCGAATGAAAACACCATTGCCCCTCCACCGTAGTATTTTCTTCACATGCCACGTCATGCATGGGCGAAACTTGTATGACTGCAGTGTCCAGATATTTCTTCTCTTATCACAATGCCGTAGAATCATCTACCCTCGCGCTCCGTAGATAGTCAGTCATTACCAAATTTCATTTCGTTCAAAGTACCGAGGTAGGCCCACCGGAAGTTCTATTGGTTACTTCGTAAGACGTTTAATAGACTCGATGCGGCTTTATATGAGAGTAGTCGACCACATCCAATCGGCTTAGCGGCCATAATGTTACATAACCTACCTGGTACTTTATACTCAATTCTTACCCATGGACTCGATCGCGCGAACAGACTTTCAGACCTATTCCATCATCATAGAATAATAGGTAAGATATCTGCAACGTCTCCTCCGCGGAAGATATTTTCTTTTGCCGCTGGTACCGCACCCAGACATTTAATTTCCACCACGGCACATAGACCCTGCTTGTGCTCCCGTAGTTGCTTCTTTGGAGTCCCACGCCACGACACGCCACCAGCTGAGCGACACCGATCCGAATAGGTAGTTACTCGAGAAGTAGTACTAGACATGTCGTGGTCGAAAGCGGGGAAATCGGCGGCTTCATAAGGACCTTCGCCGTCGTCTCTTTTCTCACCATGTCGTGAGTCAGCGAAATCCATGTAAGCGCACTACATACATGACAACTATAACATCGTAATTATATCCGTCTTATATGCTGAAGGGTCCTTTGTGTATTTATTGTCACATAAGGTGTCGATTATTTCCCCTAGTGTTCGCAGTCTCTCGGACATCCAATCGTCTTGTAAGTCGAAAATATGGGCTTATATAAAAAGCTAGCCACGGGTCTCGAGGAAGTGGACATCATTATCGCCGGAGGTAAGCGCATATAATATGAGATTGTCGGGTGTCTGCTAAAAGGAATGTCTTCAAAGGTGGAACGTCGGGATGTATCGTAGCAGGGCGCTTAGCCGAGTCCAACCCAGACCTCTCGATCCTGGTGATCGAGAGTGGCCCGGACAACTACGACAATCCCAAATGCATATATCCAGGACTCTACCTGCAGAATCTTCGGTTGGGATCTGATACTACGATCCTCTATAAAGCGAATAAGTCGGAGAAGCTCGCTGGGAGGGAGTGCTTGGTTCCTTCAGGGGGCACCCTTGGCGGTGCTTCGTCTATTAACTTGATGATGTAAGTTCGAGACAAGATAATTGAAAATTAAGTATTTACTAAAACTTTACCCCAATAGGTACACGCGAGCTCAGCGTGATGACTACGACTCATGGGAGACGCCAGGTTGGACGACCGACAAAGTATGGCCGTATTTGAAAAAGGTACGGTGTACGTCTTCCCAAAGGGGATGCGAGAACTAACCAGATATTTTCTAAGCTCGAGACATACCACGGCCAAGGGAAGCCAGAATATCATGGGTACAATGGCCCAATGCAAGTGACAAATGGTCGGTTCCGTAGTAAGCGTGTAGAAGACGAATGGCTACGCGCTGCAGGGGAGCTCGGGTATCCTGAGATAGTCGACCTGCAAGACTTAGAAAGCAATAACGGGTTTTCGCGCTGGCTCCGATACATCACCCCCGAGGGGAAACGCTCTGATACAGCACATGCGTACCTACACCCCCTGCTACGCGACGGCAAGCATCCAAACTTGCATGTGTTAGTAGAGTCAAACGTCGTGCGCGTGACATTCGACCGGAATAAACAGGCCAATGGAGTAGAGTTCACGCCGAATCCTCGATTCCAAGTTCTGACGGGCTTCACACCACCACAACCAAAGCAGATAATCAGAGCCCGCAAGCTTGTTGTTGTGTCCTGTGGTGCCTGTGGTACACCAGCCGTGTTAGAACGCTCCGGGATCGGTTCTAAAGAGGTGCTAGACCGAGCAGGAGTCCCGCTATTCCACGAGCTCCCAGGCGTGGGGCATCATTATCAGGACCACAACCTCATGGGGTACACGTATCGGACCTCCCTGGAACCTAATGAGACGGGCGACGCCATAGCCAGTGGGCGCCTGTCCGCTGAAGATGCGATAGCAAAGAATCATCCACATCTTGGATGGAATATCATGGACCTCTCGTCTAAACTAAGGCTGACGGAGGCCGAAGTTGATGCCATGGGTCCCGAATTCCGGGCTGTATGGGACAGAGATTTCAAGGATAAGCCAAATAGACCATTCATGCTCATGGCGGTTAGTAGCGGGTAAGTATACCAATGCCAATCAAGCTTCGCGACACCCCCCCTCAAAGGTACAAATGCTAATACGTCACTGCAGAGTACTAGGTGACCAGACAGGCTTTCCACCAGGCCAATACGTTTCGGTTGCACCGTACACTGCATACCCATATTCCCGCGGGCATATGCACATCACTGGACCGGATACCACTGATCCTCTTGACTTTGATATGGGCTTCTTCACCGACGAGAATGATATAGATATAAAGATGCAGATTTGGGCCTACAAGAAAGGCCGAGACATCCTTCGTCGGACAGGCATTTATAGAGGTGAATACACACTCCGCCACCCTCAGTTTCCAGAGGGTTCTGCCGCGGTCTGCAGTGATGAGTGGCATCAGTCAGCCGAAGGATACAAGGTCCAGGATATTGAGTATACACCTGAAGATGATGCGGCAATTGAGCAGTACCTCCGCGAAAACGTTCAAACAACTTGGCACTCCATAGGTACGGCTAAGATGGCGCCGCAAGATGAGATGGGTGTTGTTGACAAGGATCTCAATGTATATGGAGTCAAGGGACTCAAAGTGGTGGATATGAGCATCGCGCCAAAGAATGTTGCTGCAAATACAAGCAATACTGCTATGATGATAGGAGAGAAAGCAGCGGATATTATCGCGAAGGAGTTAGGTTTGGCTATTAAAGAATAGGGGTTAACAGGTATCCACTTTTAAGACCTGCTCTTTCTTTTTCTTCCCCCCAAAACTTAGGAATCGTGCATACGTGATACATGACAACCAACTTTGACAATTTAATGGGATTTGGGAAGCGGCAATCCACATGAAAGGCAAGAATGCCCAATACCTTAGGTAGGTACTAGATGTACTCACCACCTGCCTACATGCAGGTAGAAAGCTTGGAGTATCGATGTTTTACCAAAAGATACAGTCGCCTTGGCAGGCGCGCTTCGCACTCTCCTCCAATTGCCTAAGGAACCATATTTGACAAAAGCAAACGGAAGGAAAAGGGAATACATAAACCTACCTAGACACCTAACATTCTCGCAACCCCAGTTCAACCTTCATCCTCTGAAAATCACCCCGCACTAGTAATCACAACATCCAATTGCGGATATGGCTGATACCAAAGCAACTCAACCTACCATCTTATTGATATCTCTCCTCTTGGAGTTGTGGTTCGACGAAATGTATGCTCCTCTGCTCACCACACTTGGTTCAAAAGCATCAGTGAAGCGCGTCAAGAAAGGTCCCTCCGCCATCCGTCTCCTAACAGAGACCCCACGACCTTCTGCCGTCTTAATCACGGATGCAGCACCGAGCAAGGAAGAACACTCGGATGTCTGGGATGCGATTCTCCAGTATGTACGCCAAGGCGGCACGGCCGTTATCATGGGTCAATTCTCCTCCTTTGTCAAACCCCCCAGCATGGAACCTTTCTTTTCTAAGGCAGGTTTACCCTGGAAAAATGGCCCTTACTATCGGACGACCTTTAAGATCAATCGAGGCGCGACTGGCGACAATATCGCCGCACATCTTCCGGAAAGCTACAGCCAGAAGGCGCTGTTTGTGAAAGACGTCGCACTAGCCGATTCTTGGTACGTGACAGACGATAATTCGGTCATCGAGTCTCACGTTTTCGCTCCGGAAAACGCGCATACCCCGGGAGAGACGCCTGTCGCGTTTGCGAGTGTTGGGGAGGGGAAGCTTGGATATGTTGGCGATGTAAACAGCGAGGTGGGATCGACCCGCGTTGTCTTGGCGATGTGTGGGTTACCCGGAGAGATCTAGTTAAATTGGTGGCGCTATCTATGAAGTCATCGCCATGTTGTGCAACCTAATCTCACTACGGAGCATCGGAACTTAAGATCTAGGCTACATGCCCTACTTCCCCCTTTTCCACTTAGGTAGTAATGAGACGGTCTTTCTGTGAACAAGTCTGGTACTGAAGGAAAGGGGATAGGAGTTGAAGGTACCTAGGTATTTTTTCTATTCTTCATTGCGATGATGAGAGGGTAAGCCAGCTCCATGTTCCCCGCTCGAGTCAGCCTAACACAATCTTGTAGTTTGTTTTAGTAATCATGTTGCTTTTGCTCACACAAGGGAGGACGCGATGTAGGGGCAATTATATTTATCAAATACCTGTAAGTTTCCTAATGTCCGTCGTTCGTATCAGATTTTTTTTGTCATCAATACCTAAGTACCCCCTCTTGTCTTTTCATACAGGAACTGTGAATGCACAATATGGGGTCTTGGGGATATTGATCGCGACATGGTGAACAGCTCGTGCAAGGCTTTCAGTTCTAAAATATTGGGTTGCAGTCGTCGAGGCTGGCTGGTCCAGCTGCACTGCCATGCATACAACACAGCCTTTACTGTCACTTTTGTTCGACAATAAAGCCCACCTTTCCCCTTATATATTCACTTGACATTTTTCGGTTTGCTTGTGTATGAGTATGGTTCCCTCTATATTGAGAAGTTGTCGTGATACTAATGAGTGCTCCAAGAACAACCAAATCATCGGTCTTGGTAACTTCGGAACACGATGGAATTCCAATGGAATCTGACCATATTCAATTGCTTCCTTGGGACGCGAGGGAGGCCGAATCTAACCAACCCATTCAATCTAATGAGGACTTAAGCTCGGCAACATTTAACCTTGACGCGACAACAAACACCACAGCTTTCTATGAGTTACTTCCACTCGCTCCAAGGACCCCAAAAACCCGGGTCCTAGATCTCCGCAAAGTTTCAGAGACAAATGGCGCGCCGATTATCAAAGCCACTATGCGTGTAGTTGACCTCGGGGAGTGACCCGTCTTCACCGCACTGTCGTATGCTTGGGGTGATTATTCGACTCCTAGGGATCGAATAATTTGCAACGGAGTCTTTGTTGAGGTCACCAAAAATTGCTTCTCCGCGTTGCATCACTTGCAAAAAACGGTTGGGACTATAACTATTTGGGTGGACGCAATTTGCATTAACCAGAATGACAAGCAGGAAAAGCATAGGCAGATACGACTAATGGGCAGAATTTATTCTTCCGCTCACACGGTCTATGCCTGGCTAGGAGAAGGGACGAACCAAACGGATGAGGCAATGGAGTATCTAGCTAGGGGCGGACTCCCTTTCAGCAGGTGCATCACCAGTTATATTGGTCATGGAGTCCTATCAGACAAACGGATACCGAGTGGCTATTCCATGTCGATACGTCTACCTCTAGGTAGGTACGTGTATTCCACATCGAAATGAATTATATTGAGGTTATCATAAAGGAATCCAATATGCCCGCCCCCCAATTTTCCAATACTATCTTAACTCGAGCTTGCAAATACTATTTTTACAAGTTTGCTCCCCGTTACGAACATTGACGGCTGTAGTTGTTTGCTACTCGTCTGATAGCCAAATGAATAGGTAGTGCGGGCAGTCTGATTAGGTCTGTTGGCAATGTGAATTTCTTTACCTGAGTCCACAATACTTGGGTGCGTTTACTAATTTGTTGTTTATATACCTAGGTAAAATTATAAATCGTTCTCAAATACCTCCTCTTTTATGACATGGCGAAAGCATAGTGGGTGTATCCTTGTCATAGGTACCCAAAATGGGCATCAAGTCCCTGTAACTTCTTCAGCCCTGTCGAAATCCTCTCGCTTTTAGCACTTTGATAATTACCGGTGGGATGGCAACTTCAGGGATTAATGCCAGGCTACCTATCATATTGCCGCTTGCCGAACCCACGATCCTATTAAAAGGAAGCTTGATTCCTTATTTTAGACTACATCGGATTCAATGTTTGAATGGCACGTTGGTCGAGTTTAAACCATGGATGTCGACATTTTTACGCAGCACCGAAGCGGCGCGAATAGTTGGTTGATCAGCAAGCTGAGATGCCATGCTTCCCGGGACACGAGGTCCTTTCTAATAAGGCCCCTCTACCCCTGCTGCGGCTCCACGACTGCGACTGTAAAAATAAAATGATGGGTCCGTGATAAGTAAGGATCTGCCTGTATGGACGTGCTTTACCGGTAATTTCGCATGATACTCTACGGAACGGGTTTGTTTGACATGGGGCTAATAGGCTATGGGGTTATATGATGGCGCTCTTTGTTTTTTTGCTACCGTGACAAATATGTATGTATATCATGGTATTCTCCCATGATTCGGTTTGGTTTGCGTTTTCCTTAAGCCACGCGTCGAGTTGAAGTCTGCCAAGATGAAGTCCCTCTTCACTTTAACCGCGATCGCCAGCTTAGGTCAAGTTGTGCTCGGTGCACCCCCACGCCCGAGGCAACAGAATTCAACCGAGTGGACAACCCAGAAATGGGATGCGATTGTTATCGGTGCCGGAACTGCTGGAATTATTGTGGCGGATAGGTTGAGTGAGGCCGGCAAGAAGACACTTCTCTTGGAGTTTGGTGGTTCTTCATATGGAATTACGGGAGGTACTGAGAAACCGGAATGGCTTGATGGAACATCTCTTAGCCGGGTTGATGTACCTGGGCTATGTAAGTATATGCGCACGTGAGGCATGACTACCAAACTAACAAGTTGGGTAGACAAGAGCATCTTCGGCGGTAACACGGATCTGCTTTGCCCGGCGGACGTTGTCAACGGCTTCCAGGCGTGCACCATTGGCGGTAACAGTGCCATCAACGCTGGGTTGTATTTCCAGCCTCCAGCTTCCGACTGGGACGACTATCACCCCTCCGGGTGGAAGAGTGCCGATGTTGAAGAGGCAACACAAAGACTTATAGACACACAACCTTCAGTCACTACCTACTCACGCGATGAAAAATTCTATATGCAGAGTGGTTATGATGCTGCCAAGAAATGGCTGGTTGATGGCGCTGGATTTGCTGATGTGTCTTTCAATGAAGACCCGGATAACAAGGAGAAGGTCTTTGGGCGGCCAATCTACAATTATATCAATGGCCAGCGAGGTGGACCGGCACGAACATATCTCCAGAATGCCTTGAAGAGAACCAACTTCCGTCTCCAGGCCGGTGCCCGCGTCAAGCATATCAACCACATTGCCGGTGTCGCTTCTGGTGTCACTGCCATCATCGATGGCTCGACGGTTCGAATTCCCCTATCTTCGGATGGTCGAGTTGTTGTGAGCGCCGGTGCCCTTAGCTCACCGGGTCTTCTCATGCATTCTGGAATTGGCCCGGCTGAGACACTCGTCAACATCACCAAAGCCGGGTCCGCGCCTTTTAACTCCTCAAGCTGGGTCATTAACCCATCCGTTGGTCAAGGTCTCTTTGATAACCCAAATACATATATCGAATTGACCGGACCAACGATTGAATCATACGTCCATGACTATGATAACCCCATCCCAGCAGACAAGAACCTGTATTTGTCTTCTCGCAGTGGTCCTTACGCCTTCGCATCTCAGACTTCTGCGTTCTGGAGCTACGTTCCTAACTCCGATGGCAGCAGGGCCGGTGTCCAAGGCACCATCGATTCATCAGGATACGGCGACTACACGAAGAACAACACCATCACCCTCAACATTTACGGCACATCTGGCCTAGGATCGGCGGGAAGCGTTATCCTATCGAACGATGGAAACTTCACACCCGGTCCTAGTTCCGATGTATACTACAGCGACCCCCGCGACGCTCAGAACATTGCGAAGTTCATCCACTCGATCTTCCAAGCCCTGCCAGCTTCCACACCCGACTCGCCGGCAAAGGAAGGTCTTACGCCGCTCAACCTTCCCCAGAACTCGACAGTGGAAGAAATCCGCAAGTATATCACCACGTGGTCCAAGTATGCCGTAGGCTCGGTCCAACACTGGTCTAGCTCATGCAGAATCGGAAAGTGTGTGGACGTTGACACGAAGGTTGTTGGTACTAAGAATATCCACGTCGTCGATGCTTCTATTGTCTCGCCTTTGACTGTGAACCCGCAATTTGGCGTGATGGTTGCGGGTGAGAAGGGCGCAGAGAGAATTTTGGCAACTTGGAATGATCTATTGGAGATCAGCTTATAAGCACAGAGATGGGATTATTTAATCATATAGACAGCGTTGATTTCGTACCATAAGATGTAATAATAGTATTGCATTTAGAAGCATAACGATATTGGATGTTTAACTTCCTCCCCCTCCGCCTCCCCCATCACCGCCGCCACCATCTCCACCACCGTCTCCTCCATCTCCCCCGCCTCCGTCACCGTCGAATGTGAAATCGACCTATACGCGGTTGATTGTTAGTAATTGATACACTTATTCGTTTACTTGTGCGATAACCCCTAGACATGCCCAGGGTACTCTACTCTTGGGAAATGGTAGATTAAGGGATCTTACTTCAAGTTCGAGCTCCGCTCTCTTCTTATTCCTAGCCCTCGCCCGTTCAAACAAGCTAACAAAGCCCAATAGAACATACACACCTAGCATCCCTCCCTCTCCTTGAAGCTCCCCGCCTCTCATTAGTCTCATCACATCGTTACTCTGCATCATTTCTCCAAGCAACTCTACGCTTGCTCCCCGCTTATCAACTAGCATGCACCGTAACTTCGGCCTCATCTTCGTTTGTCCTTTACTCTTCTTCACACTGTCCATGTCATCTTTGGGCCCTGCAGGCTCCCATCTTATGCGCGCCCCATCCGGCAAAACGCCGACATAACATCCCCGCGATCCGTCTTTTATGCGGTTTCGCCAGAAACTTCTCTCCGGTTTGACTTTTTCGTACGACCGCCCGTAGGCATCGACTTGCACGAAGGAATGTTTAAGTTTGGTGCGATGGCCGGCTAGCTTGATTTCCATCTCCGCGCTGCTGGTTGGGAATTTTGCTGCGGCTATTTCGCTACCGGTGTCGGTTTGTTGATGGCGCAGGGCGAGACGGCCTTTATGAATGTCGGCGTATAGAATGGGAGTTAATTCTAATGAGTAGGATCCCGTTGCATCGGCGGGCGCGACAGGTCGGATTGAGAGTTCATCGGCTCTGAAGGTATGCCGTTGGACATCTAGATGGTAGGTATAAGCCATGATTAAACATCATCGAATTGCAAAAGTCGCGAATCTAAGATTATAATCAACCTAGGTACTTGAAAAAACCTGGATGTTATATACCGTTTCATGATATTCATATTACGTAGGATGCAAGTCATCGCCCCAATCAACCCAAGGCTTAGTAGTATACAACACAGCCATCGTATCAATTGGCAATGAGAATTCGGTGACTAGGTATCTATCTGGCAACCAACCATGCATTGAGAATATTCGGTAGCAGGAAGAGTAATATACGGCGACAACGTAAATTGGTCCTATATATTACGTCTGTTAACAACATCCGATGTCACGGCCCCGCGATGTTGTCCGGCATATCGTTATACGCCAAGACTGCTGTAGAAGATCATCTTGAGGCTATGCTATGTTCTATGGTCGTAATCATTAGGCTGCAGTCAATCTAATTTAGTAGGTGTAACATAATATTATCATCTGAAAGCGTATAGCGTATAGATATTATAGCATCGCGGCGTATCAACTCCTTCCTATACGCCTATTAAGTAATACGCTTATACTCAATTGCACACCAGGAAGAACGAGTCAAAACTTACGGGATTCCAGTTTCAAGAACTAGAGTCATTGGCATTGACAGTGGCAGTGGTAGAGTGGACCTGAATAATAGGTCTAGACCCGCGAAGTGCCGTATTCTGCGTTCAATCGGTCATTTAGCACCACTTTACAAGTCCACCTTGGGATATGATCCTACTCCACACCGGACAAAAGCTCATCATATACTAATTTATCAGGCCGAAGTCATCACCGAACAATCCAGTTCTAAATCGGTCGGATGGTGTAGTTGGTTATCACGTCAGTCTAACACACTGAAGGTCCCCAGTTCGAGCCTGGGTTCGATCATTACTTTTGCTTTTGTATTGTTCTGAGGTTGTGATATTTTTGCGTATGGTATGTAATCTCTGGGGGTCGCACTACTGAGCAGTTACACTGAAGAACCCTGAACTTCATCGTTTCGCTACAAGGTGAAAAAGCCGAAAATAGCACTCATGTACAAGATATTCTCAGTGTTTGAGGAAGAGTGCTGCGGTGTCTTATTACGTCGTATTACTGAGACACTTGAACTCCAGTCTAAGACTTAAGAAACAATTAGTATTGAAAGGCTTTAATACTTCGGAGCTTGGCATGGAAAAGCCCTGCAGGTACGGGATCGATCGCTTTAATAGCGCACTATACATAGGTTGGGTGGTCCACTTCAGAATTCCTCGCGGCTCACATTGGCCGCCACTATTCAGTTAGGCTGCGATCATTCGGAGATAATCGCACACCGAGGTCCGAGAGATGAAATGTACGGAGTTTTGTTTTTCTGTAGGCTCCCGAATCAGCATTCGGTGAAGGAACTATGTGCTTCTCACTATGCTATCAATTATACGCGTATATGATAGACATAGTCGATCCCTGAATCCCCACGGTTCCGTAGTCCGCAGTCCGGGGAACTAGGTACACCGGGGATGATTCAGTTGTACAATGTTTCCCTTTTTCCCTTACAGAATGAAGAGGATGTAACATCAGATACTTACCTAATGTTCAACCTATTTAGGTAGGCAACTAACCAGGTAACATAATCTAGAACCAGAAATGACGACATGCTTGGCCGGCGCCTCACGGTGTGCGGAGCAAAAGCGATGCCGTATCGGGTTTCATGATGGATTTGTAAGCCATCATGTAACGGTTGTCCGTTGTTATATTTCTCCACCTGAACCCGTCCAGTAGCTCTGAATAAAAGATATAAATATTTTTCAATTCTTATTCGTGGTATCGTTAGATCATTGCTATTGGGTCGTCACAACTGCAATATTACACAATGACTAATATCACCGTAAAGATAGTATCGGACACCGTCTGCCCATGGGTGAGTTTCTTTTTAACAACTCGAACCAATAGCTAGGGACTAATGTGTCATTCCAATATAGTGCTACATCGGCAAGAAACGGCTCGACAAAGCCATTGACCTCTACCGCAAGGTATACCCCGGCGGCAAAGACGACACCTTCACCATTACCTGGGCGCCATTCTACCTCGACCCCACCTCCCCCAAAGTCGGTGTTCCGGTTACTGAGCGCATGATAGAGCGCTTTGGTCCGGAGCGACTAGCCGCCCTACAGCAACGTCTGGTATTTATGGGCCGCGAGGAAGGTATTAACTTCGGGTTCAACGGGAAGCTCGGCAACACTCGGGATTCGCACCGGTTGATCCAATTCGGCAAGACCAAAGGCAACGATGTCGAAAACCGTGTTGTACTCGAGCTTTTCAAGAGCTACTTCGAGGGTGATGGTGATATCACGTCGCACAATACGTTGATTGCTGCGGCGGAGAAGGCGGGGTTGGACAGGGCGGAAACGAAAGAATGGCTGGACACAGGCAAAGGTGGAAAGGAGGTCGATGAGGAAGTCCAAGAGGCGTATGCGAAGGATATTCATGGTGTGCCGCATTTCACGATACAGGGCAAGTACGAGGTCGACGGTGCGCAGGATAGCCAGGCGTTTTTGGAGGCATTCGCCAATGCGAAGGAGGGAAAATAAGATCTGGACTCGGTCGATGGCGTTAAGTCGTGTTGTTTAGGGGGTATCATTGGTAGTCTAAATCATTTTCATGTCATTACATGTTCAGCAGTCCCTCTACGTCCTTCTCTATCGCCTTCAGTCTCCCTTGTAATTCTCTCTTCCTCTTATCGAGTTCCGCGATCTGTTCGTCTTCTCTTGCTATGTCTTCCTCGGTCACGATCTCTTGTTGCGCAATGCCTTCTAATGCATCTTCATCTTCGTCCTCGTCCATCCAGTGGTCTTTGTTCATTCTGCCCAGGGCTTCGGCTTGCTCAGCTACCTTTGCTTCGTAGTACGCTAGGGTGTTTCGACTGTGCGCATATTTGGATCGTAGCGCGGCTATTCGTTCTAACGCGCCTGGTAAGGGGTAGACACCGCATAGCTTCTCTGCGCCCTTAAGTAGTATTTCGACATCAACGTCATCCTTGCCGCCTCTTCGCTCACTACGTCGAATTTGTTCGTGCAAGTCGCCGCCTAATACTGCTGCTACAGCGGTGTGTCGTCGCGGCGCGCCCGCGTTTCGTCCCGTGTTGCTACCAGACGTAGTGACCTCGCCGGAAGCGACATTAAACACGGTTTGTCGGCGAGAAGATTGTTTAGGGGGCTCTGGTTCCTTAGGCGCTATTGAAGGTGGAGGTGGTGGTGGGACGGAAAAGAGTGCTCTTTCGTGAGCTTCGGTGTCGCGGATTAAGGAGGTGATATCGTCGTTGGCGAGGAGGGCATTGGTGAATATCTTGGGTGGTGGGAATCTATTGTGATTATGGTAAGTGAGAAGCCCGCAGAAGGATTTCAATATGCGAATACGTACGGAAGGCTGTCAATCCCTTGACACGATATGGCGATTTGCTCGAAATGTGCTGAGAGGAGTGACATGGTGAATTGTTGTTGTAGCTTAAGAAGCTAGGCGATTATGGCGAAGACAGTGAGGTGTAGGTATCGGCTAGTAACTGTAATAATATTTAGAGTTCATTGAATCGCGCGACTCCTTCGTTGTTGATCAATGACGATGGATGGCAGGTACATGTAAATACAAAGTACATAAACATTCACTAGATCAACCCCTCATTTTTGTTATTTTTTCGCCCGTTCAGCTTGCTAGAGAGAAGCCACACATTCAAACCCCCACCTTCTACCAAGACACTTCGTTAGTGGCTCATCTTATCAGCATTGTTATCAGCCCATAAATTAAAATGATAATGCATAATGCAGCTATTTTATTTCGTTTTATTTTATTTCCCTTCTTACCCTCGTTAAGAACTAAATTCTTCCCAAGTTTCGGATTCTTCCCTTTCTGTATCGCCAGTGTCTTAGAAGATACTAGCCTAAATAAGTCTCTTGTCTACGACATGCATCAACTTCAAGTTGTTTCTCAATTGCTTGATCTCGGATGAACTGGCATTAAATCTAAGACGGTCTGTACAGTGCAGATCTGGTCTTCATCTCGCTAGCCCATCTCGATCCTTTCCTCATGCTCGATATGCTTGAGGAGAGAGGTACGTTTGTTGACAAGCAATGGGTCAATGAACATTTATTACTCTCTCACTAGAGAAGGCGGTCAGCGATGAAATATAAGGGGAGAAAATGGGAACACAACAATTTTATTCCTCTTCCTACTACACTAGGTCACCGCCACGCCGGATCGCCACCTGACAGCAGCACCACGCATTGTAAAGAACAGGGGATATAATCATAAAGGGTTACGACACATTAGCATTATATTACTTGCAGAAATGCAGACTCGGGGTATCCCTGACCTCGTCAACAACCCAGCAATACCCAGCCAAGCCGTGAATTTTTCCCTATCTCCACTACACCTGCAGCTCTCGTCTTCTCTTCCTGCTCTTCCTACCCGCAGGATGGACCTTTCTCTCGAATTCATTGGGCACGAGTGGCATGAGTACTGCTACCTGACCCCCTTGTCGACCTTGTCTATTTTTGACCATTTTGCCCTCGTACAACCCTCCCGTGTGCCGTTCTGTCGAAGCCCTGATAGTGTACGTCTTACGGATGCCATCCAGCCTACCTATCTGCCTGCCTACCTTACCTATGTACCCTCTGTACTCTTGTTTTCACTTACCACGTTAAGCAACTTATTAACCAGCGTTAGTGGTCATATGTCATATCACGATGATGGTGATGGGTAGCGGTAGTGGTGGTAGTACATAATACGTAGTTCCAGTCTTGCGAGCGAATGCTTTTTTCGGTCAGCGTCCGGGGTCCAACAGGTCCCGGCTGAACAGCTCAGTAAAGGCTAGATTTTTCTGACTGAGATGCCGTCACTCACAACAGCCACAACCGTCGGTTTGATCCCATCTCCAGATCCGTCACTTTTTTTTTTCCCTTCACACAACGGCACGTTATTATATGCCTCATGCCGCCCACCGACTACATGTCGCATTCTATCTGGACGCGCTATGCCTCCCACGAAAAAAAGTAGCCAGGGACACCTAGGAGCATTGGTGCCCAAGCCGCATTCTCTGCGAGATCCTCCGCCATAGGCTGGTAGACGAGCAACTAGACCCGTTTCTTTACTGTCTGCCCTGCCCGGGAGCCCGCAATCCTAGGCCTGCCCATGTATACCCTTATGGATGCTCACAACCTTATTGTTATATTACATGGATAACTAACTCGACTTCTATATTTGCTTGCCACTATAAGACTGTTGGTAGGCCCGCCCCCAATACGTACACACATATGTTTCCCCCCTTCTTGAATTTCAAGCACATATGAGATTTCTCTTCTCTTATACGCAGTACGCTCGGACGGCAGGAATACAAGCCCATTGACTTTTTTTTTCTTTCGTCTCTCCATCTCCTCATTGGGACTCAACTCCCCAACTTATAAGTTACTGAGGATTTTCTCTTTTTTTTTCTGGGACTTCCGACCCAGGGCAATATCTCGGAGATCCACAAGCCTACATACATCTGGAGGTTATTCTACTTTTTTTTTCTCATGCGCTACACAGATATTCCAACAAATCCCACCCAGTGTTAATAATAATTCATTTTTGTTCACCCGGTTGCGCGCGGGTGGCGGTGGTGCATCATCCATCTATATTGATACCTCATTTTTCCTTCATGATAAGGAACTTCTCTTCTAAGACTACGATTCGACAACTGATTGTCTTTGTGTCTGTCCTGACACGTCTATCCTCGGTCTTGAGAGTTACAACATAAAAGTCATATCTTACCCTCCGCGAGACGGTTCTAACCCCATCGCCTTTGTGGAGGAATTGTAGCGGTGTCTGTCCCCCAACCTACCAGAATTCCCAATAGATTAACATGACAAGTTACCGGAGTCCTATAACTTCTCCGCGTTGGAGGTTTTTGCTCTGGGTGCTGACGCCTTAAAAAGTCCCTCGTTCGCCCTTATTTTTATCTCTCCCCCGCGAATTCTACCCCACACTGTCACATTAAAAAGAAAAAAAAAAAGAGACGATCCATCAATTGAGGTGATAAGATCACGCAAGACAAGGGAAAGACGCAATTATTCTCGGGGCGGGAGTACTCCCACACGAAAAGCCCACGCCATGCGCCCACACACCCCCTCTCTAGATACCACCTACGCTCACGTAGCAGCGGCGGCGATGGCAGGGCCTACATCACCACCAGAGACACCCACCAACGGGTCTCCAAAGATCAATCGCAAATCAGCCTTAAATGGTCGCATTCCGCGGCACACCAAATCTCACAATCAACTAGGCCATCCACCTAATATTCGACCCCTAGGTGGTACCAAATTCAGTTACAGCCGTGCGCCTCGACCCGAGGAAATATCCCCTCGTTCTTCACATTCTTCCGACGAGGAATCCGATTTATCTGACAACCCCCCAAAGTCGCCATTCTCGGATATACCGCATTTTTATCCCGAACACCACATAGAGCACATAGAGCGTATCGCCATTAAAGTCGTCGAAGACCCTGCATTTACCATTGAAGAATTAAGTGATAATTGTTCGCTCGATAGTGACGAATGTCTTCGACCATATGCCGTTGAGTATCCCCATTCAGACCGAAGTCGATCGAGATCTCGACCTCCACCTGATATGGACCCTGCCGTAATGGCAGGTATTGAGAATCTAAATACATTTGAAGATTCGGATGTGGACATTGATGACTCCGACGAGTTCAATCGACAATTGCAAAAACGCCGGGAGGAACGCCGTCTTAGGAGGATGAAGTCCGGAAGTCTCAGCAAGCGAACAGTAAGCGAGCGGGGCAGCGACTCCGATAGGGAGGATGTACTCCCTTATTACGAGGAAAACCAGACGGGCCCGACACGCCGAATGCGGCGAAAGGTCGGCGATCGAATTAGCATACAATTTACCGGCCCTCTCCCCGAACGAATCGAGGAGTTGAAGGAACCGAATAGCGACGATGAAATTATTTTAGATGATGCCGAGGTTTTTGCGCGCGAGCTACCATACTGGACCTTGATGGACGTTGACTCTGAGTGAGATCAACTGAATACGTTATAATAGGAAAATTATCGACAGGAAAAAAACGTCGCATATGCTTGGCGATACGGACGATGGGAGTATGAGTCGTTCTAATTCAACACGCGACACGCAGCTTACGATTATATGACGCTTTACGAATATGACCTTTTCAAGTCTTAAAAAACATTGACATATCCCGCCAGTTTTATAGGGAGTCAATCATTAGGGCGGATTCATAATGAATTGGAAAAAGCATTTTATGTTCAGGTCATTGTAGGGCCGTGGAGCATATAGGAGGGTACAGGGCGCGCATCTTATTTGTCGCAGCCATATGTATTGAAATTTTACTTGCATAGAAGAGCATTGGCTACATGGCCTGGAAGTTGAACTACGGAGGGTAGCACACATTCTTGTCTTATATCGGACGAAAGGGGGGGTTATTTTCATCATTGGTGTTCATTATTTCTCTTTCTTCATCTCGCTTTTAGATACCTCTAGACTCGGAAACTCTCAGCAGATGGGATTGATGGACATTTTGGGTTGATACGATAACGACAATGACGACTCCGAATATGTGGACGACATATGATGATGAACGATGATGATGACGATAATGGTGGACGTGGATAATGTTTGCATGCATGGGAGTAGCTATCACCGTCGCGAGGAGGTGGTTATGCTCTTCTTATAGTTTGTTGATGACATATAGATTTGGGTATTTGGATTCTTGGTGGTGGCTTGAATAGATGCATTGGTCTCGGTTTGAAATATCTAGTCCCTTGTGCGGTGGTTATCTATTGAGTACTTCGAGAAAGACCCAAATTATATTAACTAAACAGTATTATGCTAGGTGGTTAACTACGTCTTTATTCCTAGCACTCAAGGGATTTAGTCGTTGTCGCATGGTCCGCATACTGATGAGGATAGGAGTATAGACTGAGGCACATCACCGATTTTATGTGAATAGCGTTCGAGATAAGAGTACAATAGCGGCCACGACACAAAAAGTGAAGATTATTTGGTCATGAAAATAGTCAATATACCACAAGGATTTCAAGCCAGGCTGCAGGTAACCATTAAATATAGCTAAGCTTAAGCGTGACGGCGAATGATGGATTTCTTAAAAGAGATGTCCTTTATAGATTTTTTTTCAGGTTCGAGCTTCCCTTGTGAGTACCTAAGTACCGTTAATCCTCGGACATAAGAATCACCGCCACAAGCTACTACATAAGTATGTAATGCCACATACGCCACATATTCACTATACAGTGGACCTGATCATTATCGATTAAGCACGGTGGCTAAGCCTTATCACTGGAGATCTATAGCGTAAACTCTAGTGACCAGCCTTCAGCGAAAGGTGATCAAAGCTAAACGTTGATTTCACAAGATTTAACTACTTGTTTGATCAAGCAGTTTCTTTCTTTCTTTCTTCCTTCCTTCCCTCTCAATCTTTCGGGGTGAAAGATTTGGTTCTATCTGAATCGTATTTTCTTCGCCAACTCAATACTCAATCGTACTATTCCATCTCCCTTTATTAATAATCTCCAAATACATCTATCCATCATCACCACCGCCTAATATAGACATTCTGCCATTTACGTTCGTCCAATTCTCGGGATCGCGAACCTATCGAAGCGCGTCGATATGAACCAACAACCCCAGGCCCAGGTTGTCCAAGGACAACCAGGGCAACAGATGCTTCGGCTTCTCCGACCGGAGCAGATGCGCTCCATCAATTACCTAACTCCCGAAGAAAAGCAGAAATATGAGGAGGGATTACGACAGCTATATACGAAGATGGAACAAAACCCTCCCGATTCACAAGAGCATCAGGCAGCTAAGCACAAAGTTGCCGATTTCTCGCGTATGGTCTACGCGAAAATTAAGAATATCCAGGCAGCAAGAAACGCTCAAGCAGGAGGATCTCAGGCTCAGACTCAGTCGCAAGCCCAACCGAATCAACAGGCCCAGTTCAATCAGATGCAGCAACAGAATGCTCAGGGTGATCTTGGACAAAAGCCTGCCGGCGCGCCCCAAGGTCAACAAGGTCCATCGCGTGCTTCTCTTTCAGCAACTCCGAACGTTGCTTCGGGATCTAATACGCAGCCCCAAATCCCAAAAGCCATAATCGAGCACGTCAACCAGGTCCATTGGAATAATATCCGACCACCGGCCCAAGTCCCGCAAGATCAGAGACCAAAATGGCTGAACGACATTCGGCAGAAATACCTTCGATCCCTGATGACAATGGAATCAGTAAAGACCAGAACCCAAAGACTGGATGCTATACTGAAAGAGCGTCAAGAGAAAGGGCAACAATTGTCTCCAGATGATATGAAAAGGTTCCAGGATCAGAAGATGTCTGAACAGAAAAACTATACGGAGGCACAGCGGTTTGTGCAGGAGATTCGCAACCAGCTGAAGCTTGGACAAGGCAACAACGCACAAGGACAGGGTGCTCAACCGGTTGGGCGGCCCCAGCCACAAAACGTGATGACTAGTGGTCCGGCTGCCAACAACCCAATGCAAGCGGCGGCTGCGTCCGTGAATGCGGCGGTGGATGCTGCCAAAAACCAACAGATTGCGGCAGTCCGGGCACCGCAACCTCAGTCACAACCGCAGCAACCAGTACAGCAACCACCCCAGCAACCTCAGCATCCCGGTACTCCTGCTGCCCCGGCCACACCTTCAACCAGCACACAACTTCCCCAGCAACCTCATGTTCAGTCAGTTCCTACTCCGACCAATCAACCACAGATTAAGAACGAGCCTACAAATACTGCACCGCACCCCCCACCGGTCAACACTACTCTTGCCGCTGCAGCTTCTGCGCATGTGCCTTCCGCTGGAACACCCACCCAAACCACTGCTCGTGTCCAAACACCTCAATCCGCAGGACAACAAGCAACGGCATCCCAGGTTCGCCCATTAACCCATGCTGCTGCGGTTAATCGCGCCAATTCGTCAACCAACGTCACCGGCCAGCAAAATAACAACCCTTCCGGCGGTGTTGCATCAACACCCGGATCCAACGGTCTTGTCAGCAACGCGAACCACTCCGCGCACACTCACGCGCACCCACAACCCAGCAATACCCCCGCCTTAAATCCTAAGATGCCAATCAGCAAAAACCTACCTCAAAAGGCAACCGAAACCCCTCAAGCTGTCAGCACCGGAGGCGGCAATACTCCCGGCCGTCCCTCACTAGGCGGAGGAACTGGAGTCGGAGGTGGAGTCATGGGACAACCCGTCATTCCGAAGATGCCCGTCGCCCAATTCGATGCCGAAGGCGAGCATGTGCTCTCCAAGAAGAAACTTGATGAACTTGTTCGCCAAGTTTGCGGCGGCGGTTCTCCTGGTGCCGATGGCAATTACTTGACTCCTGATGTTGAAGAGGTAAGTGATCTTTATTTTATTTGGATCTCATCGTTTTAGCCTTTATTCATATTACCATACTAACACTTATCTTGCAGTCCGTCCTTAGCGTGGCTGATAACTTTGTGGATAACGTCCTACACACAGCTTGCCGTCTTGCCAAGGAACGAGGAAGCAAGATTCTGGAGATTCGTGACATCCAGCTTGTTCTCGAACGCGTCTACAACATCCGCATCCCCGGTTACACGACAGATGAATTGCGAACCGTGCGCAAAGTCCAGCCCTCCTCCAACTGGATTTCTAAGATTCATGCTGTCCAGGCTGCCAAGGTCATGCCTGGTAAGGACGACAAGTAGGAAAAGTCGGACCCTACCCGCGATGATCTTAGCAACACCCTTAAGGCACGACGTGAACCGCTTGATGGCAACTCTGACCAGGCAGCAGCCGGACCTTCTACTTTTACTTCCGTTCCCGCCCAACCTGCCACTTCTGCTTCCACAGCTCATTCACCTGCAGCTGCAGCTTTTGCGGCCCTGCGTCAGAACATGGAAGCTAGCGAGAAGCAAAAGCGACAGTCTGGTACAGGGAACAACTAAGCGAGTTCTGCCTATATTCGATGCCGCGGGCAATTGGTGATTTATAGTTTTCTGATTTCGGGGAGTTCTCGGTTCTCAATTACGGTGCTCATGGCATGAACGATGGCAAAGGAAAGGGAGGGAAGGGATTGATCCACGTTCTGGCTTGGCGTTCTGATGGCTCTTTTTTTTTTTTTTTCGCTTCGTTGCTGTTTACTTATTTTCTTTCTCGATCAATAATTATACTCGACCGTAAGGATGGATACCATAACTGGACAGGAGGGTTGAGCTTGTACTTAAGAAGATAAGAGATCGTGACAACAGACGACGGGCGACTCTATGCAGCCTAGCAATAAAATGCAACCGTACTAAATGTATTCTATGTGCTTTTTTTCGAGATCCTTTAGTGCATGTGGATGACGACATTTTTATCTAATAGGTAATGCAGCGCTATCAATCTAGAATTTGTAGCAAAGATGTATGATATCGCGCTTCTGTATTGGTCCTACTGCATTTGATTCCTTACCATGAAATTACTAATAACATGTAGGCTACGAATAGAAGACATTTAGGTAAGTCACAGTAATGCGCGACATACTCGCTCCAAGAAATATGTAATCACCCATAGCCTATCTAGCATTGGTTATTACTCGCACCGGCGATCGTCCGATTTCGCCCGCAGAAGTTTTTTAACGAAATGTACCTAATGTTTCTTTATTACCTACCTTGTATGTATATATGTATAGATGGGTAGGTAAGGCATCAGAGTGGAATACCGTGGGGAAGTAGAGGTGCATCCTCTTAAGCGTGGACATGTGGCACCTAAGCCAATGGTGCATTCGACGTGTTCGTTTGGGCATATGAATTTTATATACCTAGGTAGTGATAGATAGGTATTTTCTAGATAGAGTGATGGGATATATCGGATGGTTTGAGTGTTTACTCGGTGATATGTGAGAATATTGAATTGGCTCCTATTTATCTTCGTGGATGTTCTTTCATGTCAGGAATTAAGAAGAGGAATAAATGAATCACGAGCAAGAAAGTACAGCTACGTAGGTACTTAGCTAATCCAACTAATGATGCAGGTGTAACACATTAGAAATGCGGCGAACGATTCAATCGTATTAGTCCAATTTGGAGATTCAAAAAGGTACTTGGGTACTTTAGTCAAGGCAGATTACGCAGTTTTTCGGTCGAAGCTCTGGACAGGCAGACAGGCACCAATTCGCAAACGTCACTCACTCAATTCTCGGATGGGTCCCTCGATGGGAAGGACCAATGTGGGTGCCGGCATTAGGTTAGGTCCAGCAATAATAGTACCAAAAATACCTACAAACTTGCAGGGTTGTAAGGCTAATATGCATGTATCCTTGAGGCCCAAGCTTTGTACTTTTTTTTGTCTTGGCACTTTGGCTTTCGGAACGCATCTTCGAGCTTCCTTAGCATTCAGGATCCACTGTTTAGGTGAATAAACAGCTAACGGTGCTAATAGCTATAGGTACTTTAGCTGTTGTTTCAGGGCTCATTTCACTAAATTAGAACTATTAGAACGTTAGTCAGGCGACAAACTCCCCTACCCGTCCATCCCCCCGGGCGTTTTTCTCTCGCTTGCATCACTCTGACCCGTCTCTTTTCCAAGCCTTGTGACTGTACAAACGACCATCGATCACTCCAACCAGTGTCAGTACCTCCAGTACCTCCAGTACATCCCATCCATCAATCCAGCTTCCTCCCTTCTACTACTCTTTTTTCCATCTTTCTCATAATCAAGCCAACTTCATACCGACGTTCCTCCATCCAACGACGAATACATCATTCTTCTCTCCCTCTCTATCTCTTTACATTTGCGTGTGTTTTTTCATATCACACGTAATTATTCTCGTTCTCCTTTGTTTTATTTAGACACCTGGTTCGTGTTTTTTCCCCCGGTAGCTACCAAACCGATTTCCCAAATCAGTCCAATTTCTGCAGGGTCCGAACGAACGTGAGCGCGCTTCGCTTCGCGACATCACCTGTCGATTTCACCATCCTTCCAAGGCATCGTCATCATTCAACCATCAACCAACAAAATCTTTATTCTAACCCGGTTTTAAAAGTCGATACATCACCCGACGTCCATCTATCCGACCGTATCCTTTTTTCTCCCTTCCATCAAATAATCTCAACACCCGTATTTTTCACTCCTTTCTCCATCTCTAATCTCTCCCCTTAGCCGACATGCCGGGGAAAACGCCTCATTCCAACGGCAACGAGCCTGTCGAGAACGGTATCAGAAACAACCAAGATGTCGATATGACGGATGAGAAATCTTCATTGAAGGGCAAGAACAAGAAGGGTGTTAAGGAGGGTGAGGATATGACCGTCGTCGTGCCACCTTCTAAGACCACGAAGCAATCTTCTCAACCACCACCGCCTGATGCTGATGGAGATATCGCCATGGACGTAGATAAGCCCGAAGATCTTGAGGTTAAGGTCGACCCTATTACCCAGACCATCACAGGTATGCTTTATTACATTATCTAACTGATCTCGTGCATCTCATGATTCTAACGCGTTCATCGTCTTTGTTATAGATATCAAGAGTAATTTCGCCCTCCTCGATCGCGCAGTAGCTCTATTCGATGCCAGATTCACATTAAGGGCTCTAAGATCTATCTCGTCCCTCAGGAAACGTCTCAGTTCAGATATCCTCGCCCAAGCCATTTCAGAGACATTTTCTTCCACAAGCCCGTCTGCCAATGTCGCCAAGCAGCTTCTACTTGCTATTGGCAAGCAAGATATACCTCTTGGTCGCCAATCAAGTTCCGAGATGGAGATCGATGGTGAGCCCAAGGCTGCCGCTAAGAATGGTACCAAGAAAGAGATCAAGGAAGTTATTCCTGAAATCGACATCTTCCTAAGCATTCTAGTTCAGGTCTACTTGTTCGATTTGAAACAGTTCCAACTCGGCGCTGATTTCTCCAAATATCTCTCAGAGCGCATCCACTCCCTAAACCGCCGGACTCTTGATTCGCTCTCTGCTAAGGTTTACTTCTACTACTCTCTATTCTGCGAGCAGCTTGCTCCGTTGCCTCCTTCACCTCTGTCTCCGATTGTAGCGATCCGCCCAATCCTATTGACCGCTCTCCGAACAGCCGTACTGCGAAAGGATGTTGACATTCAGGCTTCGGTTATTGTATTACTTCTCCGAAGTTATCTCCTCACGTCCCACATTTCTCAAGCCGACCTCCTTGTATCTCACACGCAGTTCCCCGAGAATGCGGCCAATAACCAGGTCGCACGCTTCCTATACTACCTCGGTCGCATTCGGGCTATTCAGCTACGATACACTGAGGCACACGAACACTTGACGGCGGCTACGCGAAAAGCACCGGCAAGCTCTTGCGCCTTGGGCTTTGCGCAAACTGCGACGAAGCTTCTGCTAGTTGTGGAGTTGTTGATGGGTGATATTCCTGAGCGAGCCACTTTCCGTGCCTCCAATATGGAACAAGCCCTTCACCCATACTTCTTGCTAGTCCAGGCTGTGCGAGTAGGTAACTTGGAGGACTTCGAGCTGACGATTTCGGACCACGCTGAGACCTTCCGTCGCGATGGAACGTATTCCCTTATTCTACGTCTCCGCCAAAATGTCATCAAGACCGGTATTCGCATGATGAGCTTGAGCTACAGCCGTATCTCCCTCCGCGACATCTGCATCCGTCTGCACCTAGGTAGTGAGGAGAGTGCAGAGTATATTGTCGCGAAGGCAATCCGGGATGGCGTCATTGAGGCGACATTAGACCGAGAGCGAGGTTTCATGAAGAGCAAGGAGGTTGGTGATGTATACGCTACTCGAGAACCGGGAGAGGCATTCCACGACCGTATTAGAGCTTGTCTTGCGCTGCACGACGAGAGTGTGAAGGTATGTTTCTACTGTTCTAATTCAACTCTAGGAAAGTCATTTGAGCTTACATGTTTTCTTCCCAGGCCATGCGCTTCCCGATGAACCAGCACCGCTTGGAACTAAAGAATGCTCAAGAAGCACGCGAGCGAGAGCGAGAAATGGCAAAGGAGATACAAGATGGAGATTTGGACGAGGACGACCTCGGTGGTGACTTCGAGGGCATGTAACATAATTCAAACCCGTGTATTCTGAAATTGGAGGATTCTATCGATGCTGATTTTCCCCGCCCGTACCCGTCTATAATGGTGGTGGTAATTGAGGCTGGGAAGGAGAGATTCTTTGCATCGGTGGAAAGTCGCTTTTGTAGCTTGTGCGAAGGAGGAGAGAAGAAGGAAGTTTTTAAGAGAGTGCTGCGAATATGACGCAGCCAATTCTTATACAACGTCATTCAGACTCGTATTGTAATAGATAAGTAACGGTACAGAGAAGAGATACGGGAGAGGAAGACTCTTTTCGGTATCATCATCATCATATTTTAACTGGCTGCTTTCGTGGATGGAAGCGGAACGGGGTCATCGGTTTAAGGCTTCGTGCTTCCTGATGTTGATATTTTTTAAGCGTCAATCAATCGATCCGTGCTGGCTGGAGTCTGCTGGTCTTTTTTTTCCCTTGCAAGCTTGATCTTTGTATGTTGGTGTGGTTGTTAGTAGAGATGAATATGCTTGTTAGTAGTAGGTGTACAATGGAGTTCAATGATGCGCTTTTGTCTTCGTATATGTAGGGTGCTACTTTACACGTAGGTGTCAAGGTAAATACGTGTATGTCTGATACTTTACATGTTTGATTTCTAGACACTGGTTTACATGTGTTTTTACGAGATATCAAATTGCTATTTCGTCTCCAACTTTCACAATACCAAGATATCTAACTAAAGATAGAACCTTGGAATTTACCTAAAGCAACGGACCCCACCATTTAACTCAACCAACCTACCTAGGTAATTTAAAGCTTGGTCGATTAAGCTTAAGGGTGTCACGTGTGATACGCGCGGTGCATCTACCCGCGAACCAGAACAAACTTTCCCCATCGAAACTTCCCATTCAATTGGCATTACGTAATCGTTTTTTCTCCTACAATCGCGACGGAGCGTACCTCTTTTGTCTACTCAATTGAATTGCTTAATTATTTCTGCGATTTTTTTTTTATTTTCAATTTGGGGAAGGGAAGTTACGGGCTGGAATGAAGGAGTAGGAGAAACGATTATTATCGAAAAGAATTGCGATCGAAAGAACGATACCGGAATGGCGCCGATCAAACGCAAGAGCCCGCATGATGAACCGCAGCCCCAGCGTCGCGCGACTAGACGACATCCTGTTGAGGAGCCGGAGAAGAAACAATTGAGGAGCGGGCGTGTGCGTGGTGTCAGCGATGCGGCGGAGAAACCGTACTTGCTCACCGCTACTGTGCCGAAGCAGAGGGATGCTGAGGAGGCGCGGGGCAGACGGGGGAGCGACGCGTCGGGGAAGAAGGCGAGGGTTGGGAGACCGCCGGAGAGGAAGCAGGGTGATGGTGGTAATAATATAGCGGCGAATGCGAATGCGAATGTAGCTGTGAAACGAAATGGTACAAGGAGGTCGTGGAAGGAGAATGTTGATCCGAATGAAAGTCAAGATGAGCTGCAGGAAGACGTCACGGTGGAGGCTCCGGTACGACGCTTGACGCAAGATACGGTTAATGTGAGGGCGTCGACGGATTCGCTGCCGGCGCCGCAGACTAGACTTGTGCCGTCGAAGGCAGCGCAAGGGTTGAGAGCTACGGGGACGAATCATCTTGCCGATACAACTCCTACTACGACGACAACTTCTACGCCGAAGCGTGTAACCGCTTCGCCTGTGGATAAACCACCGAAACCGCCGCCTACCCCGCGCTCCGATCGGAATATTGATATGGTCGTGCTAGGCGATATATGTTTCAAGGCGTGGTACCCCTCGTACTACGGGAAAGAAGTTACGGGCGATGTGTCCAATAATAATAATACGGTAGGCGCGAAAGGTGGTGGGAAGATAGGGGGTAGGATGGGGGGAGGCAAGAGAGCGCCACCGCCTATGCTGGAGAGATTGTATGTCTGTCCGTGCTGCTTTAAGTATAGTCGGGAGTTGGTTATGTGGTGGGAGCATGTTAGGTGTTGCGAGAAGAGTTACGTATTGCCTGGAAGGAGGGTGTATACACATCCGAAGGGCGCGAAGATGGGGGTGAGGGTTCCTGCGGTTGTGGATGGGGCGGCGGGGAGGAAGGGGAAGAGGAAGAGTGATGTTAGTGTTGAGTTGAATGCTGAAGAACAACCCAACAATGAGGGGGAATGGAGTATTTTGGAGGTCGATGGGGATAAAGATAGGGTAAGTCAAGATATTATACGCTTTTCGGTGGATTGGATTGATGCTAACTACTTGGTTATAGCTTTTTTGCCAGAATTTATCCCTGTTCGCGAAGCTCTTCCTAGATAACAAATCGGTCTTCTTCGACGTAACGGGGTTTAACTACTTCCTCCTGGTCTACACGCCTCCGCCCTCGTCCAACACACAACCCCCCTCCGCGCTCGCAACCGCAGACACGAACCACACCGCTCCTACATCTACTACGACAAATTCTACAATTCCCCAACAATCATCGATTGCAGCATGTGAAGCAGGCTCGCGAGTAGTAGGCTTCTTCTCCAAGGAAAAGCTCAGTTGGGATAACAATAATCTGGCTTGTATCCTCGTCTTTCCACCATGGCAGCGGAAAGGTCTTGGCTCGCTGCTCATGGGCGTTTCATACGAGATCTCCCGTCGTGAAGGCGTTCTCGGTGGTCCTGAGAAACCTATCTCTGAGCTAGGTCGTAAGGGGTACAAGCGTTTCTGGGCAGGCGAAATCGCGCGGTGGTTACTAGATTATGATCTACCTACTGCCAGCCCAGACGACGAGAAGGCGACGGAGACATTGATTAGTATCGAGCAGTGCTCCAAGGCTACTTGGATTGTGCCAGAGGACTGTCTGGCTGTGCTTAGAGAGATGGGGATTGTGGAGGATGCGGGGGTGGGTCCTGCTGAGGTCACACCTAGTGAAGCGGAGAACGGTACCACCGCAGCTGATGAGGGAGAGGAGGAAGAGGAGGAAGTGAGGGAAGTTAAGATGGTGCCTCGTGTTAGGCTCGATAAGGAAGCTCTTAGGCGCTGGGTTGAGGCGAATAAGATCGAACTTACGCTGCCGTGTGATCCTGAGGGGTTTGTTGAGGGGTATGCGGTTAGGAAGAGTGAGGGTGAGGAGGTTGATGAGGGATAGTTCTGCAAGGCCAACAAGAGGTTAGTGATATGGAAGATTGAGGGAGAGAACAGTGGTTTTGAAGAACATGTCTATAGTTGAAGTAGTAGGAGGAGAGGATGCATACAGCGAGAGCGAGAGATACCCCCCGTGGCCTTAGGCGATTAGCTTAGGGTACGATAATTGAAATTAACAGCGTTATTTTTTCACATTAGCTTGAGTATCTGATTCTTTCTAAGTATGAGTATGGATGTTACCTACCTAGGTAGTCTAGTCGAATCATGGTAGTTTCGACTCCTATCAGGCCTGACAGATGTTCCAACTTTCCATCAATATAACTTGAGAATACTCAGGGGATATTCACCTAGAGACTAATCCCTAACGTTAGAGAGCCAGACGTTATACCAAGTATGATTGGTACCTATTCGGGCATCGATGGCGGTTTGCTCTCTTAGGTACGTTTCTCCCTATTCCGTTTGCCGTGGAAGTTTTGAGAATAGCTGTATCCAACCCCGAGGTTTTATTCAAGTTTGTTACTAATCCTACTCGATTAGTGTGCATATGTTTTGAAGGTATTTGTAATTATCTCGGTGCCTTGGATGCAGCCATTTGTACTTGGAAATACTTTAAAGCTCAAATACCCATAGAATTAATATTCATTGGGGATGGTAGATTACGGAAAACTATAGCTACTTTTCAATTTTCCGTATCCACTGAGAAAATTATATTTTCTCGTGTCGAAACCTATCTAGTTGGAATCATTGCATGTTTGAGTGAAGTCCTTGATTGGTGGTCTAAGAAATTATGTATATGGTCGGTCACCTTACGTACCTAGGTGTAGATATAGATTTTGATGTCTATTCTGCTAGTATCCAATGTTGTGATGGAAGTAGAAAATTAGACAACTTTCCGGGATGGCGGTAATACACCATGTAGAAAATAAAAGGTACTCATTGGTTTAGGCAAGCACCTCGTCGTCTCGAATTTTGGTGGTCTGGTCTTTCTATGTAAAAGGAAGTTGCCTCATAGGTTGAAATACATGTATCCCCGTACTTACCCCTTGGGTTTATAAGGGTAAATAACCTTTGCTCTTCCAATTCTAGAGAATGATTTCGTTCGGAAGGGTATCCTTTCGTAGGGGTTGGGACCTACTTGCTCAAATGGTCGTGCGGTTATGTTCGCAGTTCAATGCGATAAAATGGTGGCTGCCTGCCCAGGTTCGCTCCCCCGACACGCCATCTGGTAAAGTCAAGTAAAGAGAGCTAGACCTGGAGGACTCTGGTTCGAGCATAGCTCGAAGCTCTTGGAGCTTTCTTTCTGTTAATTATTTTTTTATTCATGAAGGTATTTCCATATTTTATTTTTCCCCTTTTCCAAGCACAATCTCTTCCCTTCCTCTCCCTCTGCCCCCTTTCTCTCCGTCCCTCCCCATGGCCTTCATGTTTAATCTCGTACTCCTGGAAGAACAGGGCAAGTAGGTTCAGATTCAACTTTGAGCAACCAAATAAATCTCACTGGGATTTTTTTTTTATTCTTATAATTTTCCCCTATCCGAATAGGCATACAGCATGCATGACATGCTATTCGGAAAATTTATCTATGACTTTTCTACATTACATGATGTTTCAATTGTGCTACTTTATATCAATTATTACTTATGGGTTATTCCTCATATTTTACTATTTGTACTTGTTGAAATTCATGGCATCATTGCCTTTTACATCATGCAACACGTTCTAAACTGGATGTCATCACTCCCTTCCTACCGAAATTGGTTGCCATGTTGCGATCAGCAAGAACAGTTCGACACATTCACAACTTCACAATCTTAGTACACCATCGATAACTCATCCTGCAGGGAAGGGAAGTGAAGGTATTGTATTGCTCATAAGTCATATAGACATGATGCGATCTCAAAAAGTACCTAAACGAAGAAACAAAACATAAATCCAAGATTCAAAAGTGTTAGGTATATGTAGACGATCCGTTCCGTGCATGCAACCAACCATCCATTTGCTATTATTTCAAAAAAAAGGAAAGAAAAAAATCCTCCGGTCCCCCTATTGTTCGCTTGCTCATTCTCTCGTTAGTCAGAAATGAAGAAAAAAAAAAAGATTTGTTGCCATCCCAAAATGCTAGTGTCCTCCCTCTAGGTATATCCAAAATTTTTATGTAGATGTGTCCGGTCGTGTCCTCCGAGGAAGATGTTCGTGTGCTTGTGTTGTAGTTTTTGATCTTGTCGAATGTTGGTTGCGTAAGCAAGAGGCGTGTGCGGATAGGGTATTGGAACTTAAGAATGCGATGATTCTGACCCACAGCGAGTATAGTATATGCATGACTCGCCTAGTTATATTCCGATCCGTATAAAGGTCTACGCTTCCCATCAAACTCATTAACAACATTGCGATAACGCCCCACTGTCGATCCAGTCGCTCCACCGGCATGCGAACTTCGGCGGTGCGAGCGCCTGCTGTGTCTATCATCACCAATGCAACTAATACTGTCGCTCGGTGCGAGACTTGCCGCATCATCATTGTCATCATCATCCCAATCTTCCCAAGTAGCCCGACTCACGTGGCTGTTAGCGCGGCTGCGGCCGCTGGATCTCTTCTCAACTTGGGGTGCAGGCCGCACCGTACTAGCAGACCGTCTGGTGCGTGCTGATACGTACGTTTCGGCATCGGGTGCTCGGGATGCTCTTGATTTAGAAGCGTCACGACTGCGACCTTCGCCCTTGTGTTTCGATGGCGTCCTGCTGGCTGACGTGTATTTTGATGGTGCATACCTGCTGTAACGGTCGTCTTCGTCGCCTGCCTGACTTCGGTACTCGTGGTCCATGAGTAATTTCTGCGAAGTGCCCGTCCTTGAAGGAGCGGCACTCATGTACTCCGCATCAGCAATCATAAGCGGGTGTCTAGTCGAGCCAGCCTCACTACGACGTCGCGATCGGCTGCCCGAGCCATAATGATTTGAACGACGATCATCAATATCCTCTAATGCTCTACTTCTTGGTGGTGCTTCTAGTTGAGCATAACGAGCGCCATAGCTTTGGGGAGGATATTTCCTAGGTGAATCTTCGATGTAGCGAGTCCGACGATCCGGTTGCGGATCGGGAAAGGATGCGCGCCTCTGGACTGCTGTCGAGGGTGGGTCATATTCTTGGCGCGGGGCACGCTGGCGGTCGTTCCTCATGAAGGCGTAAGTCAGCGCACCGCCAACAGCGACACCGACGGCTGCGGCTCCAAGAACGGTGCCGATGCCGGTGCCAGCACCAAAGCCAGTAGCTGTATTAGTAGCAGCAGTACCTGAATTACCGAATCCTCTTGATGCGGCTTCACTTGGTGGTGGTGGAGCCTCTACGGTAGAAGTTGTGGCGCTCCGCCGCATCATGGTCCGAGGGTCTCGTGGCGCAAGCATACTCCCTGCTGTCGAACCCGCATAGTTGCTAGTTGGGTATCCAGGGGCTGAAGAGCAAACAACTTCTATTTTGTTCCCGTCGAAGTCGATGATTTCTACTCGCCTTTCGCCATCGCCGCTAACTAGTATGTCGGGATCCGCTCGTAGGGCAGCTGCCCGGAAAGCAGACACAACCGATGGTGATTGGGCTGAAAGTAGAACACGCGCTGGCCTTGGCCGTTGACCGGCACCGACTTTTCTCACTTCTAGTACTGGTTCGGGAAAAGGAGCGGTTGTGTCACCAAATACGATGGAAGATGAATTAGCAGAGATGTACCGTAGCTTCAGTGGTTGAGTAATAGCCGAGTAAAATGAAGCTGAAGAGGGTAGATCTCTGACTTGGACAAACGGCAGAGCCTGCTGCATAACTGGAAAAATGTTTGTGGTATAAATTGTAGATCTATAAGGAGGATATAATATCTTTGGTGTTTGGAATAATAAGACTGATAGGAGGAATAATATAAAAATGTCCGAATGATTCAAAAATGGTATTTCTTATGTTATGTAAGTACTTCGTGATGGTTGAGATCATGAGACTACATAGGTACCTGATCCCTAATGTCGATGAAGGGGGAAGAAATAGAAGCATGTGACTCCAGCTACACACCAACACGTGTAACAGAGGGAAACGTAACGGGGGGCTAAGGTTAAATCGAGGGCTGAAAAGGTGGTCTAAGCTTTATTGAGAGTGGAGATTTGAGGGACGCATACGGCATATCTATCCTATCAGCCCTATTTTTTGATAAGATGAGCACGTGACTTAAACCATCATGTCTCAAACCTTGGAAAATCAATTTCCAATTTCACAATTTTGACAACTGGCCGCGGCGAATTATTTGTTCTGCTCAACATGACGGAACCGCATCCGATTCAATATTTATCGTCATAGCTTTCAAATTGAAATTGTTCAATTCAATAAAACATAGGCAAATAAAATAGGCTTTTGAATACTAACAAATAGTAAGTGGCGTCATTTTACGGGCACCGCATGACTATGTAGATAGATATACATGATCAACATACATATATATGTAGCTGAAGATCGGACAATATCTCGGAATATTCTCAGTCCGAAGATAAGAGCAACGTGAAAATCTTGCTCAACCAAACATTAGAATTTCAACATTCAAGGGGTTAAAGTTAATTAACATTTGACGCATGCGTGCAAGTGGAAAACAGACTCATTAGTTCAAACTCTATTATCGTGTACTTCAATCCCATGTGAAAAGTGCATGTATTCGCATCGCATTTGAAGGAAATATTTAGGAAATGACTGGCGTGGGGGTTTACTGAAATCTGGTTTTTAAAAAATGTTGTCCTGAGGCAATGAGGCTTAAAGTCAAATCCCGGTGATGGTTGCATTCTCGTGTACATTTGAATGGTCCGGAAAAGTTTTTCGTGTCGTGGGACCTTTCATTTCCCAGGCTCCTGGGAGCAAAGTACCTTGGTATTCCGGTATTTTTCATGTTCCCAACGGAAATTGGGTAGTAGGATAGCTGCAGGCATGTGCTGATGCGACAATTGATTGGAACAATTGATAAAGAGGTGAGTCAAGCCCCTTTTTCGCGGTCATCGGGAAAATCCTAGTAGCCGTACACGTCTTCCTATTGGTCCATAGCCAAAAATAAAAGGTTACCTTTTCAGATCGAAGCCGAGCTGCAAGCAGGGAAGGTGGTGACTTTCGTGCAGCCGCGGGAGCTTTAATGGTTAAGTCAAAGCTCTTTCCCTACCGCTTCGGGTGTAAGCCAAGATGATATGGATACTTCGGCAGGTACTAGGGTACCTCGAGGGTCTCAAGTTTGAGAAGTGGAAGTTGCGATTTTAAAAATCCCATTTTGAGGGAAATTGTACCAAGCGCTCTGGTACTCTGGAATCCAAGAAGGGACCATCTCGAAAACTCCTTCCCTCCGGAACCCGAGGGTGCTTCGCGCCTTTTATCCTTTCTGTTCCGTCTCCTGCCTACTTCCTATGACTCCCTTGAAGCTCCACCCACGTGTTTCTGAAGGTCTCACAGTGCTGACGTTGATGACACCTAGTCACCTAGTGGGGGCCCATAGTGGGGGGTTGACTTGATTCTCAATTTTATTTTCTTTTTCTTTTTTCTTCCTTCAGCTGTCATGGACCTCAATGGGAAGACATGGATAATTGGCCATTGAGTTGAAGAACCAATTGATATAATGATGGAGATCTTCAACTTCTGAAGAATAAATAGATATGCATATTGTACAATTTTAATCTTCCCTAATGGGTGATTATATATCAGATAAAAATAAAGGTTTGTATGTTGTGAAGTTTGCCAAGACCATCATGAAAAAAAGCCTCACAGGCATTTACACAAGATAAAAGAAAATAAACTCGGGATGCTGGTATGGGAAGACCCGATATCCCCCGATGACTACACTTCCTGATGTACCCAACCATCAAAAATCATCGCCAGCCTTGTCCCTTTTAGGTAGCCTCCACTACTAATCCGTAGTACCTACGCAATAATATTAAAAAAAATTCTCAACTGGAAGCTTTGATCATCCTTGGATCTATTGATCCACTTCATCATCCACCCATCCTGTGGGTTTCGAGTCGTGGTAAGTACCTTCTCTCTGATCTCTCTTACCTAGACTTGTCATTTTTGTTAGGAAACTTCCTAAGGACCGACTCTTCATACCGACAGTTTGTCATTGCACTGTGTACTCCCAGGTAACCGGCTAACCAGCAACCAAGCTCCAGTACCAGCAAGCTAGGAAACGACCGCACTTTCAATCCTCTCTCTCGTTCTTCCGAAGCTTCCCCTTCTTTTTTCTTCCCTTTCCCACACACCAGTCAGCAAGCTCAATTTTCTTCTCGTCTCCCCAGACTTTGATCACAGCTCTTCCATCTATTTTTCTCATCAGCCATCTTTTTTTGTCTTTCCCAACCGACATCCCTCTCCCCTCCATCACATCATCCACATCAATCACAATGGCCTCCGCTCGTGTTGTCGCCTCCAGACTTGCCTCCTCCATGGGCACCAAGGTCGCTCGACCTGCCATGCGAGCTCAATTGACCACCGTTGCTGCTAAGCGAACCATCAGTACGTCTCCGGAACTTTTCAATTTATTCAATTGATGTCCGAAATAAATATCAAGATCATCAATTCATATGCCAATGACCCCATTGCGACGATGAAAAATTTTTATCCTTGCTTTTTACTCATGCTGACCTGTCCTGAACTACAGGCAATGCCACTCCCTTCCAGGCCGTCAAGCGCCAGCAAGTCTCCAAGATCCTGAGCGCCACCACCCGCTCAGCTTTCCAGCAGGCTCCCCGACGAGCATACTCTTCTGAGATCGCCCAGGCTATGGTTGAGGTCTCTAAGAACTTGGGTATGGGTTCCGCCGCCATTGGTCTAACTGGTGCTGGTATCGGTATCGGTCTCGTCTTCGCTGCTCTCCTCAACGGTGTTGCCCGCAACCCCGCCCTACGTGGTCAGCTCTTCTCGTACGCCATTTTGGGTTTCGCCTTCGTCGAAGCCATCGGTCTTTTCGATCTCATGGTTGCCCTTATGGCCAAGTTCGTACGTATATCCCGAATAATAAAAAATCCCGCAAATATTTTTTTTTCGGACATCAGGTCAACTAACCTTATAACCCACAACAGACTTAAGCAAATTAACCTCCATACTTACGGAGGCTGGGGTTCACACTACGATCTGGAATGTGTGAAAGAGCATATCAGGGGGGTGATTGGACCGCACAATGTTGCCGCGTCCTCACCGTGTTCAATAGGAGAACCAGCAAATAGAGTAATTAGAGGTCAATAGAAGACAGCCCTTGTGGATAGGGTGAACGCAAAAAAAACCAAGGAGAGGGGAAAGGCATTTGCATCGCATTCCGACATCATTGTAAAGATGGAAGGAAAAATCCAAAGCCAATCCTCCTCGGATGGCACACTTGTAAAATAAACAAATCCACCATCTTCACCAAAAACAAAGAAACGAGGCCCCTGTGTTCCTTTTGTTGTTGTGATACCTCGTGGAGTTTTCCTATTACCGCCACCCCTTAAGGCAACATGTAATAATAGGCCAATCAGAAGACACAATTCCACTCACCAAAACTGCAATTGTAACGTTCGCTTGTAGCCAATTTTTTGTGCATCGTAAATTTGGACCAGGTACGGCCGGATACATTCACATAGCTTCGGATAGATCACTTTGATCGTCGACCCCGTGACATTATCTCTTTTTGCGCGGTTTTCCCGCTTGGGAAGAGCAATAATTTGCTCCGGTGAACGGGTTAGCCGAACGGAAACTTTTGCACAATTTGTGCAAGCTTGTGCAGCCCACTTGGCGCGCTTCTCTCTCCCTTGTCAGAGGAACCCCCACCCACCGACCCATCCCTCTTGTCGTCGCCAATCATAGCGGATAATTGGGTGCCGTGTGGACTCCCTAGCTGGGGAAAACAAGGAGAAGGGGGTTGACTTGTCCGGTCCGGAGACTGTGTACGTACGGTAGGCACGTAGCATGTAGCGACTGGGGAGCGAGAGATAAAATAGGCCTGGTCTGACTAGCTGCTTTGGGTAGGTAGGGCACATGAGGTCAGCTTGACGGCTTGATAAGAGCCCTGGCCTTGGGTTAGAGTTTGCTTTTGCGTATGCGTACTTCTTGTTGTGGCTCGGACTGGGCACTGTACGTAGGAGGGATGTTCCTATTATAGGCTGCAGGTATATCATGTTAGGTGACCCCCATGTGGTCCTTCGTTTAGTATCCTTTCTTCCAGTTGGCAACAACGATGGCAACAGTAATAGTAACGGCAACGGCGACGACGACAAAAGCGGTGGCAGTAGCAACAACCTCGTAATCTAGAAGTAGTAGTACTTCTATCATCCAGGCTTAGCGGCCACCCACTAGGAACCGCGATGATGCGTTGACTCGAGTGTCTTGAGAGGAAGCCCAACACAGCGCGACATGTTATGGAACGTATTCCACGAGACCAACGCACCAACACCATGGACCAACCGAAAGAATTGGATTGAACTGATGAGACTAGGTGGTCCGACCAGCTGGATTATTGCACGTCCGGCCGACAGCGCCAGTCTTCCTCGACCGCAATCGTTAGCGATGACAGATGCATGCGCTGTTCACTTGTGATATGAAGTAACCTTTGACGCTGGCAGGCGCCACTATCCACGACAAAGCGCCTCAGTTCATCCTTGGTTAGGAATGCTCCCGACGAACAACTTAATTCCATTTGACGAAACGAAGACACGATTTCCATTCGATGTTAATATACCAAAGCAATGAGTCTAGAGGTACGACGGGAGCCATTGCTACACAAGCGAGAGGTTGGCCTATCCGCCCGAGGGTGAGGCCAGACAGCCATAGCCCGATAGACCGCAAATATCCATGAGATATCAGCATTAGACCGTACAACGCCCCAACGAGAACAATTCGATCGTTAGATTTCTGAAAGATAAAATATGCGAATTGGCTTGCTGTGTCTCAAGAACCCCGGTTTCGTCAAAACTTCGCAGTAAATGCAACATCGGCATTGTTGGTATTCTTTGGAGGCCACCACGGGCGGAGCAGTACCAGGAATACAATACGTGCTCAAGTTGTCGGATTCCTCAGCAAAGGGTAATTCATATTTGTGGTATTTCTCGAGGATATACGGTTCGTCGTGGATTGTCGTGGTCCAAGAATGCATTGCTCCAAGTCAAAACCCATGACTCGAGGGCACCGGAAGAACCACTTGGCCCCTCAGCGGTGTTGAACACGCCAAAAAGTCGCCCGACATGGTTCCTCCGATGGGGTGATCAATGAGTCTTTCGCTAGGCTTTCCTAAGTGGTCAAAATGTAGGAACAAAGAACACATCGCTAAGTTCAAGAGAATATTGTCTGTCTTGAAACGAAAATAACGCGTCTCGAGGCAAGTCGTATGGGATGATCTGCTACTTGGAGCCAGGCCTGGGCTTATCAATCATGGATTAAGTACAAAGTTATGTCTGAATAACGACGGTTCGCTGTAGGAAGGATTTCTCGACTTATACATGACGCTGGAATGCAGAAACAAAAGCGAACAAAGAAAGATAACAACTCGACAACATGGATGAGGTCGAAATAAGAGTTACAAGGAAAGGAAACAATTGTGCCTCGTATGTCCTCGACCTTTCGGAATTGCCTGCCGCCCTCCCCTTTCTTCTCTTTCCCCTCACCAATCATGTGACAACCTTCCCTTTCAATGCAGGCCAATACTACCCCAGACTTTTTTTTTCGCCTTCCCCCAGACTAAAACCCCGGACTTTTTATTACTTCCCCGCGTTTCTCATTCGTCCATGCCCTCCTAGACTATGCCTCATTCATCGTCCTCGCAGTGCTGAGGCATATGTTGGCAGCAAGGGACTCGTCAGCTTGAGGACGTGCGCAGATTGGGACCCGTACTTGGAGTTGGAGTAAGTAGGCTGTGCAAGCCGTGCAGGCCGTGTTAGAGCTGATCACTACCCCTCGGATTTACCATTTTATAATCTTATTAATTCCTACGTGGATTCGCCCAGGAATTGCTCGGCAATGTTTGAACACTAATCTCGGTCTTAATAATTGCCATCGAGGTCGAACTGCTCGATGCGATAGCTCGCGGCGCGAATGTCTTCTACTTTATCGATTACTTAGGAATACGACATAGGTATTCACTACGACTAGGGTGTCACATTAAATAAAAAGCGAAAGTTATGGGTACTGTTAAGTGGAATTGGTGTACTATGGACCTAACCAGGCAAAGCGTCCTGGTGAAAATGTTGGATGAGTGTTAGGGAACGCCACCCATGATATTGAGGCCCCAATTCCTTCTATGAAACGCAACGAAACATGATGAAAATGAATGAAAGCCCGAAACCCATATTCCTCTCTCTATTCTCTATGAAGTTGAACTCGATCAGCGTTGTTGGTGGATAATGTTGATTATCTATCACTTCATATTGTTAGCTCGAGTACTACATCTTTCGGAACATCTTATTGATTGACTTACCTGGTGTCTAGCGGATTGTCGCCATAACGCTTGGGATCTAGAGAGATCCAGCAGAGAACAGCAGGGTGATAAATCGAGTAGGCGTTTGCGAGAACCAGGTTCTTGACGGCTTAGTCGGATTGATCGGATTGATCGGTCATGACGACGTCTAGCGGCCCGTACCAGAAGTCATAGAAAGCTTGAGCATAGATGCGGTACCACCAAGGGTAAACCGACATTGAGATCAAGGGACCGGTCGTGGGCGTCAATGCCGGAGGCGTAGGGCTACGTAGAAGGCGATGTTCGACGGTGTACCATAGAGCCTCACGCTCAAGTGTCTCTTCAATGATGCGGGTGACCCTGACACAGGTGGGACAATTGCAAATACCATCGCCGTCGTCCTGGTCGAAGTTGTCTGCCATATCGTACTCTTGAACCATGATGTCGGTTAAATGATATTGTCGTGTGGATATGGAGGATTGATGGTGGTTGTTGGTGATGCTTAGGCTGAGAAGGAAAATATCACTTGAAAGTTTTGGATTATTCTGGGTTTAAATAGGGAGGAAGTGAAAAGCATTCTCGTCACCATTGCTGTCGCCTTTTATAGAACGCGTTTGTCTCCTGCCTTTTGTCGAAACCCGCATTTATGCCTAGTTGCCCTGTTGTTCAGATCAAAACTGGTGCGCTTGCCCACTTACTGTCAAAGTTAGTATTGTTCCCGCCTTTCATGGGACTTCTATACGTTACGCGCAGAGTTAGCTCCTGCTTATCATGAACCCCCTTAGCAACATCACTGCGGGTGCTTTCTACTAAGAATAGTTCTTCAACATCGAAGATCGTGTTAGTAGTTGAACCATACGAAAGGATACATCATGGGAAGTATCGGAGGAACCCCTTATCGCCGATGTGGAGGCAAGGGAGTCTTCAGAACAAAGAAGTCATTCTTGTATGTATACGATAGCTTCCGTAGCAGTTACTTGCGATCTCCTTGCGCAACAACAGAGTTATTAGCCCCTTATATGGTTGGTCTCATGACAGATCGAAGGTCAAAGCATAGGACACAGATCGAATAAACCTGGCAAATACCTAAGTACTGTTCCCTTGTCCATCATACCACGTTCCTGTAGGGGAGTCATCGGTTATGATTAGAATAGTATCATGTGTGCCACTGGGTTAGATCTGTAGGATACTAGACGCTTTCTTTTTTCATATGTGCCTCCCGCATACCCTTAGGGGGGTTTACGAGGGCTAGACTTTCCCCTCACGCCTCGGCGTTAAACTCACTAACTAATCAACTAACTACGTCTCTGTATGTTCAAATGGCTCTCTAGATTTGGGCATGGAATCACGCCGAAATTCTAACCTGAGAATTCATGCCACCGCTTGTTCTTTGTTAACGAGGTCACACGGCGTACTTTAGTGGTAGACTGAGGCTATCAAATAACCTTACCCGCCCCCCTCAATTTATGTACCCAAGTATTCAGCACTAATTTACGGATAACTAAACTCGCATGGTCGAGGATATTACGCAGCTAGTGATTCGTTTCAATGTTTGAAACTAGCTGATACTGTACTTGCCTCCCTGGGAGAATAGGGAAGCGGGTCGTGAGCGGTTGTTGAGTGCTAGCAGTAAGTCCACGCGGTTATGGTGCTCCTTCCCTTTCATAGCTAGGGAAACATGCGCGACTTGGCGCAGATACCCGCCCTGTGCAGCTGCTAGAAATGCGCAAACGGTCGTTCGTGTGACTTCCCTGTTTGGCAGGAACAAGTTCAATCTTTCAGGTATGTGAAAACGGTGGTAGTTCTTGCCATCTGAACCGACATGGGAACCAACACCTGCCAGATTTCTTTGAAGTCATTTATTATCTGACTGGTCGTCGTTGAGATCGGAGACAAGGTCGTCTTTACAACTTCACACGCCGGTCTACACGTCGTTACTTCCCAGGCAGTATATCCTTCAACCATAAAGGTGCTTTCGCTAGAGAATATTGGGTAATATCTTTGGGGTAAGTTAAGAATCTCCCTATGTTATGTATATATAATCATATTAACGTACGCATCGAGTCGTCTTCTGACCGGAACTAAATTCTATACTAGTAGTATAACCACGTAGTTTACCGAGATTCCATCATAATCTAATAATGCATACCCGAAAAAAAAAGAATAAGACGAAAAACAAAGAACCCGATTAAGCATACCCAAGCCTCCAGAACGTCTCGAGGTTGTTCTTAGTATCCTCATCCACATAATCGTGGTGATGTCGGAGTGTAACATTGTCGCTGTGGATCTCGGCCACCATTCCGCTTATAGTACGGTCACCAATCAATTGCGAAACACCCTTAATGAGCGTCGACTTAGGTGTTACGACCATTTCCTCAAATAGAGCCTTCGAGGGAGCAAGCCCGCTTTCTATATTACGCAACTTGGTTAGCGAGGCTTTCGCTATGGCTGAGGAAAAAAGGAATAAGGTGGGGTGTTGGAATAGGGGCCCTCGTACCTAATACCGCGGGCGCCAAAGCATTAATTTGGATATGAACCCTTTGAAGCACTCTATCAAGAGAGCGAACAAGTCCGATAATACCAGCTTTCGAAGCAGCATACACAGGCGCTACTGGGAAGGGATACAATCCCGCATTCGACGCCGTGCAAATGATGCAACCCCGCGATCCCGTTGAGGGATCAGGGTTATTTTTCTTGATGTAATGTGTCGCAAGTTTGACAGCTGTCGCGAACGAATTAGCCAAAGTTCCAAATACTAATTCCCTAACCCAAAGCTTTTAATAAAATAAACTTACTATATATCACACCCGTTAGATTCACATCGAGCACTCTTAACCTAGGCTGCGAAGGCTCCTCCTCATCAACTAGCGTAAGACTGCTAACGCCCTGCTCTGAGATGCCGGCATTGGCCATAACAACGTCGATGGCGCCCCGTTGCTCATATACCTCCCGGAAGGCCGTCGCTTGCCCGTCCCAAGATGTGACATTGCAGAATTTGAAGGATACTTTCGCGGATGGGTTCTGTGCTGCTACTTCCTGTGCTACTCGGTGGCCTGCTTCGGTGTTGACGTCGAATATTGTGACTGTGTACCCCTGCGATGCGAAATACTGGACCATGGATAGCCCAAGCCCGCTGGCGCCACCGGTTACGACGACGCTTAGGGGCCGGGATTGGTGGGTTGTGTTTCCGTTCATTGTGGTTGTTGATAGGGGTTAGGGGTAAGTAAATTTGTGTAAGTATGTTAATAGTTGTCTCAAAGTATCTGGTGAATATTGATTGGATTTTGATATGATAATAACATAGGTTTCTATCAATTCAGTACGACAATAGGAATATATACTAGACATCTTGACCTGCTGCTCCTCATCCGTATGGCCATAGTACATGGATTGTCGCTAGTTGATGGACGGGTGACGGCGAAGGGGTGAAAAGAAGCGGGGAACGTACAGGCCACTATAGCCCGCTATAGCCCGTGGATCAGGTTACTAAAGTCGGCAGTTGGTCGACTGACGGGTGAGGGGATTTCTTTGTAGGGTGCCCTGATTTATACGGGAAAAGGTTGTTTCGGTAGAGATTTCTTTCAATTAAGTGTTAATGATGAATTATTTGCGCAATGAACTATGCTTATGTTGCTGTTTCTTGATGTGTTCTAACTTCACTTGAAGGTTCCCAATGGACGGATTGATTTAGCGGAGAAAGATGGCCCCTGTGAAGCGTGAGCTTCAGCGCTGCGAATAGTGAGTATTGCTCGGAGCTGGGCGAACAAGTTAATTCCGCCACGAGACAGGCTGGCGACAGAATGATCTAGCTGACACAGGATGCTTAGCAATGATTGATGAATTCGTGATTGCGGGAATTCGCTCTGGAGTTTAGCTGTACGGTCGGGCATATGCTATTTCACTTGGCACTGGCTGATGGTCGGGATTGATCTGCATTTAAAAGAAATCGTTAAGGGTATGATCCCCCATCTATTAGGTATGGTACCCTAACTCTTGTGAAACGGGAAATAGAAGCAAGATACCAATCGAAACCCCATCGTCGCATTTGCTATCTAATCTTGGGTATCCTTCTTAGGAACTATCGCCAAGTTAGTTTGGGGATGTTAGGATCGGGATCACAATCGGAATTACAATTCGGCACCTACCTCGATTCTTCTCCCATTGCTTCGGCATGCCCCTGTAGTGGGTAGGCAAATGCTTGGTCGGCTTGAACTGGGAAGTGGTGGAGCCCGCATCGGCTGCGGCGGTATCTTCCGCTTGCTTATTGTCGCCGGAATCCGCTTGTGTTGTGTTGTCCGAAGAGGGATCTGTTTTCTTTGCGTCTACTTCCGAAGTGGAAGGGACCTTTTCTTTGTTGTCGGCCATATTGGTATCGGTGTTGATACTGATACAATAGGAAGGGGTAAAGAAATATGTTGTAGGTTGATGGAGATAAATGCGAAATGTGATGAGTTGAGAAAGAAATAAGTAGGTAAATATCTTGGTTGCCTGAATGATGTGATGATGTACCTAAAACACCACTAAATGCTGCTAAGCCACCTACATAAGTCCCCTACTCAGGTACACGCAGGCGCTGTACACCTACCTAAGTAGGAAGCTAGTTACAGATTGGCTGCGCCCACTCTAGCCACATAGCGCTGGCCCGTGCCAAGTATAGTTCTAATAGAATTGGAACCCTTTTAGCCAATCTACATGATCTGATTGGCTAAAAAGCTATATGTATAATTGAATTTGTGGTCTAAACTCACTGAAATAACCCTTAACATTACGATACCTACCTAGGTAGATACTTTCTCACGGAAGATTTACAATTATGGTGTACAGTACTTGTTGATGTGCCTGCAGCATTTTCGTCCACTGTTGCTCCGTTTCGGTATTGCTATGTATCGTTTTGTTCGATAGTTTTGATCGGCAATGGTAATTCTCTATGGTTATCTAACGCCATTACAATGGCTTGTCGGCGTTTTTTGCCCCATTTATGGATTCTATCGATGGTTTCGCGGAGTTCGTTGATGGATTCCGGAGTATCGTTTAGGTACGATCGCAACCATCTGATTTGTATGGCGTCGGATTCATCCTTCCATCCAACGTAAAGCTTGGCTATGCCCAGGTCAGAGGTTAAACTAAACATGACACCGATCGATGCAAAATCGTGACTCGTGACTGTGACGTTTTCTCCTGTAGCTTCCCCTAAATTATATCCCAACCAAATTCCATATGCCATACTGCCACATAGCTGGTTTTCCGCAAGGTACAATGACTCCTTATGGCCCTTATACACGTGTACGAAATATGGCCAAAGTAAACCGTTGGCAAGGTAAAGCCCGTCTTTCAACAACTTGGCATGAGCAGGGAGTAGAGCAGTTGGCATTTGGCTCTTTTTGTAGCCGAATACACTGTCTGGCTTTGGCGTAGAGATTGGCATTTTGGGAACACGAACTGGTGCTACTTGATGATAATCCTGAATGGTTACTCTGTTGCCAGGGGCTTGGATATTAGATCGTGGGTTGACTTCATCTACTTTAGGAATAAAGGTCTTGCGGAACCAAAGTCTATACTCAGCTTCGACAACGTCTTCAGCGTCCACACCCGAGATTAGCTCCGGGTATTCTCGTCTTCTTCTTTCCATTTTCTTAGGAGGCTTGGTTTCGGTCGATTGAAAAATTTCATCTTTACTCGTAGTGATGTACGCTGGAGGTGGCTTGCCCAAGTACGATAGATAAATCTTATTCATGGCCAAATTGAAGCCTCGATATATTGGGTGGGTGTAGGTTCCCTTGATATACCCAGATGATTTTGACTTGCTGGACATTGTCCGCGATAAAGTCGACTCTGGGTGAGTGGAGCTAACGGCACCCGTCATTGCTCGTAGGGACTCTTTGGTTAGTTTATCAGCGGCAAGTGTAAAAATCGTTGACGGCTCGCTGGGTGGGGGTGTCGAGTTGTTCCTTGAAAACGATATTGGTGTCGTAGGGTTAGGCAAGTTTTGAATCCAGTGGTCAATGAAAATCTAAATAGTTTAAGATTAGTCCTTATATAACCCGTTGGATTTTGAGAGAAATGAGATATCTGCTTTTACTCTTCAAGTAGAAACTTGAGGCGTTGATGTAGACAATGTGAAGGATGAGTATTAAAAGATGGGAAACGTAGGATCCAATTTGAATGAACAGTTCATGGATTTCAAGGTTTATGTTTATAATCCTATTAGGTCGAATTTTTCTCGTGGCTGTCATTAATTGATGAGTCATTTCTTTTTGTTCTTTGTATCACTGCTTCTTTATATTACCGTGCGCCGTTTTCAATTAACCGCCAATGCGCAATAATACAGTGTATGTGTACAGTATGAGAGTAAAGTACACTGTCAGAACTACATTTACAGGGCTATGAGCACTATAGTTATAGGGCGGCTTAGTAGGGTCGCTGTAAATGACCTGTAATTATAGGGATTTTCAGGGCTCTACTCTCTATAAATACAGCGCATTTCAGGACTAAGGTTAATTGAGATGTGCTATAAGGGTGCTATAAGTACGGCGCTCTACAGGGTTTAAGGCACTATACCTAGGTACCTAGTATAGCACACTAGAGGTACCCGCTGTAATGCGCTGTGACTATAGTGGATTATAGGCTAATTATTACCTAGGTAGGTATAGAGCGCTGTATTTATAGGGGTGTAAGCGCTATAAATCTGACCACTAATTCTCTACCTAGTGGGACACGCACTGTAAGGCTCTGTATTTACAAGGGACTTCAGCGCATAGCTTCCTGTAATTACAGGGACACAGTAAGATACCTAGGTACGCCATAAAACTGTAAATTCGCACGGCATTTTGGCGCATTGGCGGTTTTATAACGTCAACAAAACGAACAGAACACTGACGGCATATTGCTATAGAAAATGGATATACAAGATGATTACCTACCTAGGTAGGTATTTATTAATCTAGGACTATCTAGGTCATAGTTGTCTAACTAACTGAAGCTACTGGGGAACATAGCAAACATGACATCGGAAAATACCGCCCATCTCCTTCTTGGGAGTGAACTTCATCTGGGATCCGCACACGAAGCAATCTGGCGCAGATTTGATGCTCGCCAGACCTTTCTTTCTCTCGGCTCGCTCGCGGTCTTTCTTTGTCGGCTTTACCTTACTGATGTCCGTACCAGAATGGTACCAGAGATTGTCAAGACTAACGGAATCGTTCCTCTTCTTTTTCGACGACTTGTCCTCCACCTTATCCTCACCTAGTCCTGCGAAAATATCGTCTTCAACTGGTGGAGGCTTGGTGGTGTATTGCCAATCGACGATTTGGTACTCAGTCGCCGCCCATTCGTTCGACGCATATCCAATGGGGATTGAATCCTGCGTCTTGTTTGGGTTGAAAACGGGGAGAGGTGGCGGGAAGGCAGATGGTGAAAACGGACTCACTAGTGGAGGGTGCACCGTCGGTGTTAGATCCACGTCTGACATCTGTATGTATTGTGGCTGCGTCCATATGGTGTCATCTGTGAAGTCAGAAGACTGATACTCTAACTCCGAGAAGTTGTCTTGGGACCAAGAGTCTGAAGACGACATCTTGTTACTCTGTTTCCTTCTCTGGATTGAATGAAAACCAAGGCAAGATATACCACGAAATTCTGTAGTAGCTTACCGGCGGTTTCCTTGAGCCTGTAGTGAAAGGAAATAAGATATTACAATACTTATTTTTAATCTGCTAGGTACAAGAAGTGAAGGTTGATAACTCGATAGCGTCGATGGATCTGGCATCATGTCCTGGGGATTCGCGATAATATAATCCTGCGCTCTCGCATGCGAAAGTAGGCTATTGTTTGATTGTTCAATAGCCCAGAAATTGTTTGAATCCATTGGTGTCGTTGAAGATTATTGGTTGATGAACAATAGAATTGTTTATGATGATAATAGAGTAGGCAATGTTCCTTTGTTCTGCAATGATAGTCACTGTTACTGGTATTCTCAAAGATGTTGTTCAAGTTCGTTTTATTCTTCGTGATATCTACACCTCATATGCATCATGGCTCATAGGTACTAACTTAGTTGTTACTAGTAAACGCGATAATCGAACTCGGGAATACGTTGACGTTTGCCGCATAGTCCGCGAGCTTAGTCGTATCGCGATACACCATACCATACGCGCCAACGGTGTTCAATCCGTAGATGAAGAAGCCTGTCGTGCTTGCGGAGTCGTACTGAACAATGCCTGTCTGGCATAGCGAACTCGCGCCCTTGGCGGAGCAAGACGTGCTAAAGTTGTTGAAGAACGAATACAATCTGTGCTCGCGTTAGTTGAATGGGGATATTCTTTGTAGAAAATGACGGAAATAGCTTACCCAGCACCGTAGACAAGCACGCTCTTGCTGGCGCTAACACGGAGTCCCCACGCTTCGGAGCAGGTAGTTGGCGACGAGCCTTGCGGGCACAAGATATCGAAGTTGGGGTCATCGATCGTCGTGTTCAGGGGGAACGGCTGCCGAGCGCCAGGGTTGGGCTGGTGGTAGGGGGTTTCAGATTGAATCTGGCCAGCGAAGATATTCTGCGTCTTGCTGAATTGGTATTGGTATCGGACGTGGTGTTCAATGCTGGTACCAACAAGCCAGAGTGTACCAACCGTCGATTCGACCAATAACCCGCGACCCGCGTACACCTTGATCTGCGTGAGGGACTTGTCATCGACGTCGTGGTCCGCAGCCCATAGCCATACATTCTCCATGTACAGCCGCGCCGCCGTCTTAGACACATGCATTGACATGTATCCCGCAATACAGTTACTATTCACCGTCGTAGACGACGGGGTCGACGGGCAATTTGCCAGGGACAAGCTCGACCCCGTGGTCCCTCCAATCCTAGTGTGTACATCCCACATACCACTCGGCGAGCTAGCAGGCGAATTCAAATTCCACCTAATTAAAATTGCACCAGCCTGCGCGCCCTGCGTGGACACAATCATATCACTCCACTCCACCGTACCCGAATCTCCCGCATTTCCAATCTGCACAACAACCTGCGGCGCATTGATATTATTAAAGAACGACCCACTCGACATAATCACCGGGTAACCCTCACCCACGATCTTACTACCCGCCGGGATTAACAGCGTCTTCGTGACTTTGTATGTACCCGCGTCGAAGTATACTACTTTACCCGCGCTAGCGGCGGCGATTATAACGCGTTGCAAGGCCGCGGTGTCGTCGGTTGTGCCGTCACCTTTAGCCCCGCCTGTTCGGACTGAGGTGAATGAGGTCGAGGCTAGGTTGGCGTAGGATGGCTTCGAGCGCTCGTAGTACTTGCCGTTGCTTACGAGGACGGCGGGACGCGTGGGAGGGGTGATAGCACCGGCGGTTGTCTTAGGGCCGGTTGGATTGTATACATTGCCGCTGACCCAGCTGGCGATTGTGGTCGAACCTGTGGTTCCGGCGAGGAGGGTGCTTTTTGTCGGGCCGTATAGGATCGCGGTGGGAACATTCTTTAGGGCGACGTTTTCGATTGCGAGACTACCGCCTGTTGTTGGCGTCGACTTTGTGGAGCGGGAGATGTTGAATGCGATCTTGGTGTTGGTGAAGGAACTGTCGAAGAAGGTAACGGATCCAACGGTTTCGCCGCTCGAATCACGGGTAGCCATGTCGAGACCTACTGTACAATTGTCTGAAAGATGTTAGCTTTTCCGACCGAATTGAGGCGGGTGTTTTTCCCCCAACTCATGGGTGAGGATGGATTTGCCCCCTTGTGTTTTAGGGGCGTGTACGGGCACGGAGCTGGATGGGATCTGGCTACTTACTATTTGCTCGTTAGCATTTTCACGGATAAGGGGATGGCGGGGTATTAAACAGTCTGCACATACCTGACTGATATGCTCTTGTAGGTCCAACCCCAGTCCCAAAGCTGATAAATAGCAGTGACAGCATTGTTGAAGGTGAGGTTTCGGACGGTGAACTGCTGGTTTCCAAACACGGCTCCATACAGACCACCGTTGAAGACAAGGTCGTTCAAAAGACCACCAGAGCCAGATTCAATGAAGACACCTTGGTGTTTAGTGCCTGAGTTGGTAGACATTTTAAACACAATGTTCTGTAAGCTCGTCGCTTGAGCGGTGGGCCAGTGAATACCAGTCGCCTCAGTGGCTGCTGGGATAGCTGTCAGGTCAATGACGAAGTTCTTGACTTGCCGCCAGAAAATGTTCGTCGCTCCATACGGCAGGGAGCCACCGGCTTGGTACACAGCACCATCTATGACACCAAATCCAGAGAAACCGGCGGTGGCTTTCAGAACGGGCATATTGTTCGGGTTACCAATCAGATTGGTGGCATAGTAGTCGATGATGGATGAAGAAACGATATAAGTTCCAGCGGGGAAGTAAACGACAGCGTTTGTTGTGCTTGACGATGAGCAGGATCCTGGAGCACATCTGCTGCCGTCACTGATGGCCTTGTTGATAGCAGCGGTATCATCGGTCTTGCCATCTCTATTTGAATATTAGTACCAACCTTTATAATGAATTTGAGCCACTCGTACCCTTTCGCGCCGTAGTCCTTGACATTACGATAGACCTTGTAAGTCGCCTTGTTGGTGTTGAATGCCGATATACCTTGATGAGAAATTGTCTCGTACCAATAAGTTGTAGTCTGTCGCTCCTCGATTTTCTTCTCTTCGGTGGCTGAGTTCGCGGGCGTGACGTCGTCGTCAGTTACCACCGCCGAGACATAGTCGTTGGTATAACCACTGAATTCTGCTAGCTGAGAACTCACTGCATTTTGAACCTCTGGGATAACTAGCCTTTCTGCCAATATGGCGGGCAGAAATAGAGCGGTCGACAGGAAACGCATATTGAACGCTTGGAACCAAAACACGGGCGTATCACCGGGAGGGACAGCCGGGCATACATTGTGTCGGGTGTAGCGACTATTATCTAGGATTTGAAGGTCTAGTGATTGACGCCACCGGGGTCCGAGGTAGCGCGTGTTGTAATCGCATCGCGAGAGTCATGATTTAATAGCTCATAAAACGAGAGCGATCGAGACCAAGGAACAGGTCGGTTTATGAGGCTCGAATACGTCTTGCTTGCGAATATGATTGCCGGAAAGGTCTTAGATTTTGCTTCAGCTGAGATTGAGCCGATCATCTTGGTCCAAATTGGCTAGACATATTGAATAGCGGCGTTGAATCAAGATTACCTAGAGGTAGGTAGTGGATTAGCGCTGCCCTGAGCTGGAAGCTTCATTGCACTAAGATGGCCTGGGCCCTAGAATTCGGTAATCTTGAGATGTTCGTCTTTTTTCCTCAGGTCGCTAGCAACTAGCTGGGAACATCCCCTTATTTTCATCTTAGGATGGCGGCGCTCACTCAAGGCTAGCAGCGAGTGAGTTCAATATGGAGTATTCCATTGTGACAACAACCGAGGTACCCAGCTGAGCGGAACTAACTATTCATTATTGGTAGGAATTATACTCTTAACTACCTAGGTAGAAATAATATACGATGGGTATATGGAGAGAAAGTAGTTCCACTTCGTGCTAGATTCATAGCGAATCGTGATACTGATGGTTGATTTTCCGGTGCTTTGACCTAGATGAGCTCTATTTCATGGTCGGACTTAGAGAAGAAGACATACGTAAGATGCCCGTATGCCGAGCGTCAAACTCCGAGCTGTAAAAGGAAAGATCTTCGTAACGGATTAACTCCGGGTACGATCAAGATGATCACTCGCTACATGTCACATCTATGGATGTTACGGCTGTTACCGATGCTTTGCTACTGTTACGATCACAGCAAAAAAACTCATTCTAAAGTCTCAAGGTATCTCCCCATCTTTGACAGTGCTTGGAAGCCTTTTTGCATCTATCGTTTCGCTTAGGTACGGTAAATTTCTTGCGTTGAAGATGGATGTCTCCGTATATGCCCAAAGTCCCTTGCATAACACCGACGAGTTAATCCGATCCGTTCGTGAAGGAATGTGCCTAAAAATAGAAGATTATCCCCCAGCCATAAGATCGTAATCTTGGATTGCAATGAGCAAACAACTTCAACATGAATTCATCAAATTCTTGAAAGACCATCGCGCTATTTTATTCGTTATGACCTAATTGACTGTATATCAAATCAACCACGATGGTATACTTAAAAACATGAAATTGCGGGTCAATTAGTTGAGATTGGTTGGATATCATGAAGTCACTCCTAACCCAACTTCGTCCAAGCGCGCGTACACCCCTGGCCTTAGGAAATGCGGGCTCTGACATCGTGAGCCGGCTACCATTTGAACTGCACATCATAATTCTCGCTTATCTTGAGCCGAATGATGTAGACGCTGGTCTTCACGCGTGCCGCGGTTGGCGCGATATCTGGTTGAGTGAGGAGGTATGGCCCAAGCTTGCTCAACGATGGTACCCAGGCCTGGAAGACTACATTCGCAGGCCTGTATTTCATGGGCAAGACTTGGGTGAGATGTTCCGACGGGCTCTACATAAGATCCAGAGGAGGGTAAGCGGAAGGTTCGCCTCTGCCTTGCATTACGAGATGCATCTAGAATCCGAGCAGTTCTTCACATTGAGCAAAGGCGTTCCGGTATCAGAAGGAGGTGTCCATTCTTATGACGAGGTAGATGGCCTTGAGTGTGGTTCCGATACCCGTTATCCGCGGTTCATGATGTACAATGATGGCCGAATAGCATGGTGGCCTGAAGCATATGTTCTCCCTTATTTCGCCGTGGTCGACGATCTACGCACAAGGAAACGGCGAGCATATCTATTCCCTAACCATAAAGGAGAGAAGCAGGGCTATAAGACTGCTATGAGTAATAAACTCATCTTAATGGGGCGGGGAAAGATGCTGCACGCATGGCATCTTGAGTTAGATCAGCTTCGCTCCACTGAAGTCCCGGATGAGTTCGTTCGCTGCATTGCCGAGGGAGAAACTGTTATTATAGTTTCTAAGACCGCGGAGGTCTTTCTATGGCGGTTTGGCGAGAAACCACAACATATAAATACGAATCGGTGTTACGGAAAGGGACCTCTCGGCACATCTCACCCTTACGACTTTGTTTCGGGCCAATTCGCTTCTTCCCATAATGCTGGCTCGCGCCTTGTGCAAAGTGGCACTTTATTGGATTTCATTATTTCTCCTGACGAGGAGAATGTTTTCTTCATTATAGCTTATTTTCCTGCACCGATGAAACTGCTTCGGGTATGCGAAATGCGTAACGGAAAGCTCGCCGGTATTTATCGGCTAGACAGAAATAAGTTGGATGGTCTCATCATGGATCATGTTGAGTTTACGAATATACGTTGGGAGAAGATCGACTCTTATGGTGGATACTGCTTGACGCAGGCTTTATCGCAGACTCCTAACCGTTCCGACCCAGAATCACCTCGCACATCTGCCTCATGCCGCCCATTGAGTAGTAATCTTGTATCGGTATGCTTTAACATTTACACTAAACAATTCACAATCCTCCATTATCATTACAAAGAATGCCACAACCCCCAAACCGCCTGCCAAGTTTGGAATGGACGGATCGTCACAAGCGACATAAAGGGTTCTCAAGGTCTTGTCTTATCTCTTCGCCCGTGTAAAGAGACCACGTGTCCCTATGAGGAATCACGTCCCATCCCTCTATACACAATGGTACCCAACGGACGAGGTACCCTATTGCGAAGACAGCATGCTCCTTATGAGACCCACGGGCTTAGTAGCCTAGAACTGCATGGTACGGATTTTGCACTTGATTCCAACCAGCAATTTGATAGCGGGGCTGGCCCACCTGTACTTCCGGGGGTCAGGAGAGTCGTGGGCGATGACGACTTCCTTCTCCTAGTTGTTAGGGACTCTTGCAGCGCTTGGAGTTTTAATAACGATATATCCGAAAAACCTAATGATAGTAAGCGAAGCCTATGGCGAAGTCTGATCCGCTGAGCCTCTACTCTTCGGCCAATCCGACCGAAGCTGCCACATTCGATTCTCGCTACCCCAGTATCATAAATATTTGTATTTGGAGTAGGAAATTCTCTAAATATGGTGTTTTTGGACTAGAGCTAGGGAAACGCATGAATATTTTATTCGAATCAAAACCAATCCAACGTAATAAATCGTTTTCGATAGGCTCCTCAAGGAAATCTAGAATTTTTCGTGCGATAAAAAGACCTCCCCGCAATAATAACAACTATCGGAACCACAAAACGATGGATGAAGCAACTTTCGCGAAGAAGTGTTCAGCCCAGCACCTTCATTGACTCAGTCCATTTTCTGAGTAATAGCTCTTTGAAGGCCGACCGTATTCGATTCCCAAAGGGAACCTCCAAGTTGGAGATTTAGTCAGATCGTGTGTCCAAGATGGGCTCGAGGAGTGTTTGGAACAACTAATTACACGTTAGTCTCTAAGTGAATCGCATGAATAGGGGGCGGGGTAAGTAAAGGGAGTCCTACCCAAGCCTCGAGATCTCTCTCGTTGTCTCTGAGCTCGCGGAACTTCGAATCCAGTTGCTCTATGGTTTCCTATTAGCGGTTGTCTGAAAACACTTTGATGCCATTGCTACTTACGTGCGGTGATATATACGTTCTCAAGGTTCTCGTCCTTCAGCTTCTGTAAGAAGTTCTTGGAACTTGGGTCACTCCCGATCTGGCTGATCTGGAAAACCACGGCTTCAAAATGGGTTAGCGCGAAAGTCTCGAGAAGGGGTATTTGGTGAATTACCGCGTAAGGGGAGACCATTCTCCAGCAAGTAATTCTGGCATTTCACAATTTCATCCTTCAGCGTGTGCAACTTCTCGGGCGATCCAGATCCCCCGTACGGAACTCCATCAGTGATAATAGAGACGAACAGTGGTCGCTTCATATTCTTCACCGTGTCGTTATACTGGGTATACAGTAGAGGCTGTAAGATACGCTCCCGAAGATGGGTCCCAAGCTCGGTATATCCCGATGGTTTCACTCCTTCAAGGATTCCCTGGATAGCGTCCATGCCCAAATTATCAGCATTGGGAGGCTCAGAGTTGATGAATCGTAAATGTACGCCGAGTTCATCTGGAACTATCTTGGTACAGATCGTGGCAATCCTGCGAACCAAGTCGCGCTGGTCTGCCATGCGATCTTCGCCTTCATAGTTGTTCTTGGGGTTCATTGATCCACTATCATCTATACATTGCATCAGAATACTGTAGATGAATTATGGGGAGTGGACAGGATATTCTTACCGCAGTAAATAACCGGCTGATAAAGAGCAAATTTCACGAGATTATCAGCATTGTCGGGTTCGCCCAAGACGGTAGTCTTGTCATTTTGGAGTTCAACGGCTTTGACAGTGATTTTCTCCAACAGTTCCTGACTGTCTTCCTTAAAGAACTTTCCCAGCTTGTGTTTACTAACGAAGTCGCCCACGCTCTTCTTGAGCTCTTCTCCTGTCTTCGGCTTTGGTATCTCCTATACGAAATATTAGACGACAAGGGTTGCGGAAAGTGGTCAAGGAACGAGCGCAATTACGTACCGCCTTGATCTTCTCGGCCATTTGGCTATCCCGCTCTCCACGAATCTGGAATTTATTGAAGATTTGGTGACCGGTTTCGATAAGATTATTGGCCAAATCCAAGATGAGGAGGATAAATGCCAGAATGAGGCTGACGATCGAATCGCGAGCAAAGCCTCTCTGCTGAGGAGACTTCATGGCTTCGTCGATCTCTGGTCGGCCTAGCCTAGCTGTCGCTTCCACAGCCGCGTCCGTTGAGCCACCATTCTTGACAAGAAGTTGGATGACTTCAGGGTCCTTTCGCTGTGCCAACTCATTCACAAGGGGAGTGGATCCGCTTTGAAGAGATGAATCTGAGTAAAGCACGTTCGCCCCGTGTTTGAGTAAAAGGTCGACTATCTCAACCCGGTTGTCGCCTTTACCCCTGGACGTTACGATCCACAGCGGGGTACGGCGCTGGGTAGAAAATGCATCGACCTCGGCACCCTTATCGAGGAGTAGCCTGACGACCTCAGCGTGTCCATTACGTGCAGCTACAGCGAGAGGCGTCAGTCCAAGGGTACTACTACCTTTCTCTGCGCTAGGCTCATTGATGTTATAAGTTTCGAGGTACTTGTCCAACGCGGCGCTCGTAAGAACGCCGGTGGCTGCATCGCTATAAAGGGACATCTTGAAAAAGAGAAAGTGAAGAATAGATTTAAGAGTGAGGACTTTGAATTGTGATTTTGGTCTGTCGAGCTACGATCATTATCACCTACCTACCTGGTAACTTACCCCTATTTAAATACTCATAAATGAGACTCGAGCCGCATATTCAGTATGTCGTGAAATCCCTTCATTCTGCTTCAATTCTTCGCATTTCCGTATTTCTCTCCTATTTCCTTTTTCGTTATCCAGCCTGCCTCTCGCGATCGCATGGAGGCCAGAGAATTTTGATCGGGTAGGAACGAGGCTAGTATGCCAATGTCCTCTCATGCAGTGACATGACTCAACTGATTGTCGCATATCGACTGTACGCTGACGAGGTGAGACAGTGATGTAACCTATACACTAATATTAAGTGTAGATCTCGGTGTATGATGGACGAAGGAATGAATCGTCGGCGACTCTAGTGAAAGGGAATTGGTATAAAATTCCATTTGCTGCATACGTGGCGGCGATTTTCGCATCAGCTTGAAGAATGTGCCGCTTGAAGCGTCGCATCGAGCCAGTGAAGAGATAAGAGGCGTTTTTTCTCCTTGGAGAAGATTCTTTGATGTTTAGGAATCGAAAAAAGAAAAGCTGTGATTAGAATGGCGTGCGTCATGCCTAATGGGCAAATGCTGCCCGACGACTCCACGTAGCCAGTCCAACTTTGGCGCCTTTATACAATAGGCCACTTTGAGCTCATCCGACTATGGTTGACGATCGGATTGCTTGCCGTATCTGATTTCGATGCCTATAATCATCGCATTTATACCATTCGCACCTAATCACGCCCAAGAGGCTTAAAAGCCTTGCCCTTATGACGGCGACAAGACTTCACGTCGCACGGATGCTACCCTTTTCAGCTTCAACATTTTGATCCTCTTTTACCTAAATGGGAACTGGTGGGGGGAATATCTAGATGCTGACCTCATCAATCGGTAGATCTGTGAATAGATGCACCCCCACAGAGCCTCAGCGGTACCAAGATACAGATGGATGCCCCCCAAGGGACTCATGAAGCTAGGCTTGGAGGTTATCAGATTTTGTTATAAAGGTACATGAAAGCCGTACTGAACTGACGATAATATTGGGAAAGTAACTTCGTGTAAACAATTTCCATTATACCATCTTCATCTTCACCATGAGTCTCCAAGATCTTGCTCGCTCTCTTTCCGCTGTTGGCTCAGCAAAACTTCCATCCAATGAAGGCGAAGGGTTGTATCTCCTCAGTGTGAGAGATGGCAACCTTGTCGAGAAACATTGGATAGGTAGCACTCTTCAGAGTGAGACCGTTATCGCTTCGGATATGAGAGAGGATACTCCAGCTTCATACTTGCTTGGGCTTGAGCAGGATCTTGTATGTGCATCCCACCCTCACAAATCGTTGATTCCGTCGCGATGATACTAATAGGGTCTTCCGTTCTCATTCACAGCGTCTCGTCGTCTTCATCGACCAAGAAAACCTCGTTCAGTGCTACGCATACAGCGACGACATCGAAGAGTGGGAAGAGACCCCACTAGGGAGCGAGTGGAACATCACTGCAAGCCCGGAAAGCAGACTAAGCGCGACTGTCGGCCCGGAAGGAGAGGTAGTAGTCTCTTACCAGGATGAGACTGGTAGTCTGGCTGGCATAATGAGTGCAGCCGAGAAAAAATGGAAGGCATTCGGCCCCCTCGATGGCGACCCTATCTCGGGAACGCCTCAGTATCTTGAAGTCATTGACGATAAGCTTCACCTCTTCTATGTTGAAAAGGATGCAGGGATTGGGTACCTAGTTCTTGATCCTGGCACTGGTAAATGGCAAAGTAAGTGTCTGAACCATATCGCATCACTCCCGTATTAGTTCTATGTTGACGGATGGGAATCTGTTAGCCAACCTGCTTAGTAACACCAAGTTCGACACTGCCATCGATAACTTTAATGTCGTCAAGGACACAGAAACCAGCCCTTTCCAGAGCTATATCCTTACCGATGGCTCATTGTGGAACATCAACGGAGGTAAAGAAAAGGTTTGCCTGGGGAAAGTCGAGAGTAATGGCAAATTAATTCCCTCGGACAATGCTCAAGCTGGATTCAAAATCAAATGGCGTGGGTCTCGTAAGACTAGAGCTCGGAGATGGAAGATTGTACTGAAGTGGGCAAATTCAGAGATTGAAATGCGTCGGGTCTCGTATTATTAGGTAGTTTGGGAAATGAAAGGACGATTGATTGAGCGTTAAGGAGGTGTATTTGTAGTCTGCGAGAAAAAAACAGCGCACGGTACGCATAACGTGTGGGTGCGAGATTTTCACATACCATTGGTGTAACAATACGGGTTACCTATGCAAGTTACTGCACAGTACTATACGCACAGCCAATTGGAATTATATTGAGGGACAGCGCATAGAGGTTTTAATTTCGGGTATGACTTTGCCCGAGTATAAAGCCCAAGCTTCGTGCTACCTTAATCTCTAGCCTATATACCTAAGTACCCTATTCCTCCCTTGTATATCAGTTCCGAGTACTCGATCCTAGAGCTTGCGACAAGCGGGTAACCCATATCTCAGAGACTCGATTATCTATCTAGAGACTTACCGAAGTCATGGGCGACTACGTACAGGGCACCGATGATATAAACCTCGATACCTTCGAAGTTACCAGAGAACACTGGCATACGAGTCAGAAAGGTGACCAGCTACCTGACCCCGAACAATTCGGGATAGACCTCACTACACCACCGAATCGATGGCAAGATTGGATAGTGAAGTTAGTATTTGAAAAGTTGGGGAGTGAGTAGAGCGTTGAGATCAACTTTCACAGTGGCTGTCAGGGCTGATTAAAATGTTGGGCTTACGCGTATAAAAGTTGAAAAAGAGGGCAGCGGTTTTTATATCAATATCCCTAATGCGAAATTTGATGTTATTCTCACGGCTGGACACAACCTTGTTGACAGACGACGACATCACAGCTCCAATATCAGAATTATACACGACCCCCATACGAAAGAAGATATCCACGTAACACCTCAGATGATTCACGTTTGTGATAGATACTTCGATGACCCCGATGAAGACCAAGCCATATATGATTACGCCGTCATTCTCTTAGCGCGGGACAGAAAGGCCCGGCATCGCGGATTTGGTTTCAATCTTATGCTAGGCCTCACACCACCACCAGGAGATACACCAGTTCCCGTAGATGAGGAGGAAAGTGATATACTTCTAGGCAGTTCGGTATATGTTAGCGGATACGTCCCCGATAACTCGCCGCCTAAGAAGCACCCAAGCAGATCAGAGGGCAAATGTATTAGAACTTATACTCAACAACTACATTACAAAGCCAAGACCGAGCCAGGTATGAGTGGTGGCCCTGTGTGGATAGGATTTCGCGGTGTCGAGACGGTGGTAGCCATTCAGTGAGTTTACCCCCTTTCTCTGCCTCCCCTCCTAGAGACCCCTCGATTTTGGGCCTGTAACTGAAACGTTCAAGCAATTATGGAGCAGAAAACGAAAGCCAGGGGAACAAAGGCTCGCGATTGAATCTCAGCATCCTACGTACCATATTTGGATGGGTGAATGTTGGCTGGTACGACAAGGCACTCTATTATCGCGCACCGCGACCTTACACAATGCATCTTCATGTGGCGCGTGCGCACCCACTGGATAATGATACTGCTAACGATGGGCGGGTTCGAGTGGGAAAGCCTGGAATGGTTGAGACAAGGTTCGATATCCTCCCTGTGGCGGCGAATCCAACTATCGCCGAGTTGAATGCTAGCTATGGATTCATTCTTCGCTCCACAAACCCTAGCCCCGGACCCGCGACTTTGGATTGGGTGAGATGGGATCCTAAGAAGAATAGGATATCGCCTGTAAAACGCTTCGACGCATTATGCGAGGTCATGATTCCCCAACTAATCATTCAACCTAACAAACCATTCACGATAAAAGTCCGAAATGGAAATGATATGAAACAAGTGCAAATGAAGATGGAACGCCTAGACGAGGCTGATCTCGAGCAGTTAGATGATAGTCCACATAATTACGAGGATACATGGGAGATTTCGTTCGTGCCAATTAATGCGGCCAAGGTGCGTTGCATTTCACCCCTCTAGATCCTGAAGCGACGGTATTCTGACGAGTTTCTTAGCCCTTCGAATTGAGATAGTTGGGCATCGCTATTAATGAATCAGGAGGATGCCCCTTTTGATAATAGAATTGACTTCGGAATACATACGATCATGATCAATTGTGGAACACATAGCTATTTTTTATCTCAACACCCCAATATCCCATAATTTAGAAAATCCATAAAACACGTATTTATTTACTTGTGTTGAAGCGTGAACGAATTTGATTTTGCATGCTGTGTTAGGAGAACCTAAGGGGCAGAGGAATGAAATGTTGATTGTGTCAATAGCGGGGTTGAGCGCCCGGGGTACCTAAACATGTTACCGAAGACGTCCTAATAACACCCATAAATCTCGGCGAGACGAAATAAGTTAGTGAGCATTTCCAGGGCATCTCTCAGAACCCCTCACAGCCAGCACTCATTAAGTAGCTATTATTCTGGCCGTTTACATCAATTCCAACTTGCAAAAATCGAGAGCATCGAATGATAATCATAATGTCCGATACGAAACCATTTGACCCGTTTCGCTCAAAGCGACTCATATATCGCGCCGTGAACGACACCCTAGCCGACGACAGGTTTGTCCATGATATCCAGCGGGACGCGGAGGCCCAATCTGGTTCTAGCTACGGACTATTGCGGCCCGAGAGTATGAAAGCGAGCAACGCATTCAAACAACATATTGCAGAGAAATGTCTCCTCGGTGCGATTATCTGCTTGCCAGCTACTAGGGGTGATTGGGGTGACGGAGCTGAAGAACCTGTTGGTATTATCTGTCTTAAAGCCAATCCTCCACAACATGCGCACCATAGATGGACGGACATCAGCATTGATATCGCGAGGGACCATCGCGGGAAGGGTTACGGTAGTGAAGCCATCCAGTGGTCCTTGTGGTATGCTATCCAGATGGCCGGCTTGCACCGCGTTCAGATTGTAGCCTTTTCGTTCAATGAGGGTGCGATGAAGCTTTATAAGAAATTGGGGTTTAAAGAAGAAGGGAGGCAACGTGAGGCTATGTGGTTTAATGGTGGTTGGCATGACTATGTCATACACGGCATCCTGGAAGATGAATGGCGGGAGATGCAAAAGGAGATAGAGCCTAGGTGAATTAAGTATCTAGGTACAGTGACGATTGAATAACTGCTTTTCGCAATGGTATGGCGGTTATATGACTATAATTGTCATAACTCTCGTTTGATCTTAGGACTAGTGTCCGCGGTGCTACACATACGTCCGTTGTTATCGACGGTGTATGCCTCGCTACCAACAGCAGCTGTCGCGTACAATATGCTATTGGGATCATATTTCTTCTTGATTTTCAACAATTTGGGATAATCGACACCGAAAAATGCCTCTTGCCAGTTACTCTGTTGGAAATCGGCCTCATTCATGTAAGCTCCCGAACCAGGCGTGGCGGCTTCGAGTACGGGCTGTACGTCGTCAGTCATTTTATATTGTGTCTTAATTTCAACGTCAAACGGAATCTGGCTGTCCCAAGGAAGAGTCGGGGCTGCGTGGACAATTGTGTCGCGCCATTGTGGTAGTACGGCGTTGGCTTTCTCTTGTCCAAACTGAGAAACGTCAAGGCCCACGCCGATAAATATTACTCCCATCTTTGCGATCTTACGAGCCGTTGATGAGAAATGAGGGAGCACTGAGCGAGGTATCAGGCGTCCCCCGATGAGAGTATTGGCAACTTGAATATTGCCATCCGGAAGAGGTCCCCAGTAATTATTGTAGTGATCGAAGTAGCTCGAGAACTCAGTATAGTTAGGTGCTAAATTAACACCTATGGCAGAGAGCGAGTTGACAAGAGGCTTGAGAATTTGCTCGACTTCTTTCCTAGTTTTGTTGTACGCAGTCATAGCCGGAATCAGTAGCATCGAGTTGGTGAAAGTGTATATAATCATGACACCAGAGTTAACAATGTCGGGAAGAGCTGCATGGAACGCATCTATGACTTCGAAGATCTGGTCAGGATTCTCATCTGAGCCATTGACCTGAAATGATGCACCACTGACTCTTGCATCTGGATGTGTTTGCACAGTCATCGAGAGCACAACACCGTAGTTACCCCCGCCCCCTCCACTCAGGGCCCAGTATAGGTCTTGATTCTCAGTTCGCGACGCTGTCAGTACCTGACCGGTTGGTGTAACAACCTCAAAAGAGAGTGTGTTATCGGCAGCCAGACCAAAATTCGTGCTGAGCGCTGAGTGACCCCCACCTTGTGTGTAGCCTCCTGCAATACCAACCGTGGGGCATTCACCGGTCAGTACCACGAGCCCAGCTGAATGCGCCGCGGCCAGCGCCTCGTAGCCTATAACGCCCGCCCCAAGTTTTAGCGCTTTGCCCTTGTAATGAGAGTCATCCCACTCGATGATCTCGGTACTCTTAAGGTGGTGAAGCCACACAGATAAAGCTCCAGCACCCGTAGATCTTCCCAGGTAATCATGGCCAGTATTGCGAATGACGAATCGGATATTTTTCTCTTCGGCGAATTTGAGTGCTGCGACAATATCGCTTGGCTCAGATACGTTCACAGCATAGCTGACATAGTTGCCTAGAGTACAGGGCTTGCTTCGCGGCCGCCAGGGATCACAACTATCATTAGCGAATATGGGTGCCATAACAGACGAAGACGAGCCTAGGCTAGAAGATATGAATAAGCAATCTTAATGTTACGCTGCATGCAAATACATTTACTCACTGGACACCTGGAGAAAACCACTGATTCTTTAAATAAGAACATTCATTTTCATCATATGTTGGATCGTGACAAGGAGACCCGAGGGGAACGGTAGCAACTAAACGGCCGTGTACCGTACCGTTTAGAGCAGCCCATTCACTCTGACTCGGCCAATCATTATCATCCGGCAGGTATTTACACCCCGTGCGTGAAGCAGCTGTCGACAGAAAAAGCAATGGAAGTAGAAGAGCTGGTAACATGGCTAATACGAAAATATGCACCCTCTTAAGCTATATTCTCTAAGACGTTGGGAAACGGCATCGTCTCGCTCACGATTTAAGAGAAAGAACACGGTATTTAACATGGCATTTGCCTACTTTCTTTACCAGTTAGGTTCCAAGGTTAAGAGCTCAAATTTGTGTTGGTATTGGTGATGCTAATATGCATCCCGCCGTCTAAGACCATGCAATGGATCGCGGAGTTCAGTGTTTTTGGCTGTCATGTTTCTTCACCGTATTGTAGTTACAGTGGGTTGATACCCAGGTGGTGGAGTGAATACTAGGGTGTTACGGCGTATTGGATGCCTGTTCTTTGGGACTTGACCACGATTATAGGTGATCATTTCCACTAATATGCTCCCTAAAAGGTGCACTACCCGTGTTGGGCTTGGGCATTGTATGGGCGGATACTTCAACTATCTACCCAAGTATCCAGAGATTCAAAGCAGTGCAATTGTGACGAGAATTCTAATACGACGGGTGTTATAAGTACTTGCTTAACATACAAGCAAAATGACGATATCTCGAGGCATTCGTGCTTAGAACTAGAGAATGCCGCATCTACTACCCACATATACGCAGCTAGAGCGTAGCAATCGACTCCGCTCTTACCCGCTATGGCAAATTCCGAATACAGTGCCCGTGTATACTATTTCTATTTCAGTGGGTGGTTAGGCTATCAAATAGGTATTCGTTTGCGATCTCGCAGTCTCGTTGTAATCGGAATTTTCCAGTGGGTGGGTACATCGACGATACTTAGTTCCCAGGCACCCGGCTGGCTGTCCCATAGGGACGGCACGTCTTACTTGCAGCAATACTACGTTAATTTACCTTATCATAGGCAACTGAAGCTCGGTAATGAATCATTGAATGGACAGCTAACTACCTAGGTAGTGAGTAGTTAGCTTCAGGGGTGCCTATCTAGGTAGCTCTAAGCTCAAGACCATACCCTCCAAATACTCCTGATCATGGGGGTATTCGGCGACTTTTCTTCATTATGAGTGCGCATTATTCTTGGGACTTCTGCTCCAGCCGCACCTGCATTAGACAAGTACCGACGCATCGGATCGGATCGCCCTATATCCGCCTAAAATCTCTGATCCGATGACCTTTTACCATAACCAACACGGCTCAATGTCTCAGATACTTGGATGGTTATAACGCGCCCACCTAGATACGTAACTGCCGGAAGGAATCTGCGAGATACCCTCAAATATCTCAATATCAGATTGGCCCCGGGGGTTTGGACCATGCCCGAAGAACTTTCGGGTATGCCGGTCATTCACATCCAGGTATTCTCGAAGCATTAATATGTCCGGTATATTGGAAGGAGGGTATAAGCCTCGCGAAACTTCTCACTTCAAGAGCCAACTAACATCCCATCCTGCATGGCTACGCGATATGTTCATCATATTGGCACCTACCACCCACCTAGTTGCTCTTGTAACAGTATCTTGCATGCGCCGATGCCCCCGCAGATGCTATGCAAGCACGCCGCCACATTTTCGCTGATCCGCTACTGGGTGGTGGGGAAGTCCAGAATGGAATATTTCCCTAATTATTTCTTTTTCTCACGGTTTGGGACTCCACGGGTCTTCCCGCCCAGAGCAGTTGTCGGCCCCAAATGACATATCACGAACAAGTATGAAAACGCAAGAGCCAACAGGTCCCTGCAATCAATGGGCATGACCTTGAAATACCTCTCTATAAAATATCCTGCCTGAGAATTATCGAAATATCCAGCCCAAATGAACCAATGACGGCGTATCTAATGCATAATCCCATGCGAGTCGCTTCCGATGCTCGACTAAATCGTCGTCTTATCCATCTTAACCCTTTGATCTACTACCCCAAAGAAGAGGCCCCTCGGCCTAATAAATGGCTTCCGTGGGGGCGGACTTAATGTTCCGCGTCATAATACCCGCGACGAGCAACATGAAAGTCACAATAAGCTCCTCTATAACCTCCAACCCAACTCTTAGGCCAAGACTTCCCGTCACTGGATTCAACGCCTGGTTTTCAGTGAAGAAGTAAATAAGTCGCTCGAGTACCCGTATACCTAGAAAAGGTATAGAGAAGGTGACTGCCAGAAGTAGCTTCGTACCCCCACTTCCTCCTACCTTGCTTGCCCTTTGAGCTAGACTCTGGTAGAATGTGTTGAAGACGAGTAACGCGAGAGATATCCAACTGAGAAGTAGCATAACCATGCCTGCTTTCACTAAATTGTGGCTGCGCTTCATCTGGTCCGGTGGTAACGTGGTGTTGTCGAGCTTCGATGCACCGGCGGCAACAAGCGCGATTGCTGTCGTGACGAGGAAGTGAAAGAAGACGAGAAACGTTACGTCGGCGGGTCTTCGAGACTTCGGAATAAGATAGGCACGCCTAGATGGGATATTATAAGCCTTAGGTTAGAAATGAGTAGGATATGTAACTTACGCTTCATGTAGGACGCCGCATACTGAAGCGAGGAGAGGGGATAGACCGATACTGGCAATTAGAGCAGCACCGGTGCTAGTCGAATCCTTTGATTCGATTGCACTAGATATGATTCTGAGTGTGCAAAAGATGAAGAGAAATCCCCAGCCAATGATAGCAGCATGTCTGACTCCGTGCTTGAAGGCGATATAGATTGTTGGTAGGGATACCGTGATGTAAATAATAAGCAAGGCTATGGGTAAACCTGAAGCCATGTTGGACGAATGTAAAAATGAGCCCCTACTATAGACGAGAATATTATAACTTGCTGAGTAGAATGAAGCTGGCCTGAAGAATTCAACTCCCCAGAAGATATTGGAAGGGCCAAGACTACAATCTTATATCATATTTCTTGCCTACCTTGCTTGGATGCGTATTCTCGAAGCGACAAAGTTAATTGCACTGCCTTCAAGATCCATCCTAGTTAAGATGCCGCAAGGACTGGATATTGATCTAGCCGTCGACCTAAAGCGCTACATAATTCTATCCATTGATCAGGATGTACGTCTCAGTGCAACTTACCGCGGTCGATGATTGGTGAATTGGTTGTCCTCGAGGTAGTAGTAATCTTGGAAGCCGGCACAGCTTGAAGCGGCGCAGTTTCAACTATCGGCGTAAGGCATCAGCTTCTTCGCGTCAGGCATCCAGAATCCCAGCCCATAGAATTAATAGAATGTGATTGGTCAAACGGCTCCAAAACATTTTTAATAATAAGCATGGTGGATATGCTAAGCCTAATCCGCTATCTATTTTATGACGGTCGCATTTCCGCCTTCTGAGATTTTGCGAATTATCTGATGCCTTATGCGGATGGCAGAAAGGCCAGGCCGAATGAGAATTACCTTGGCTGCCTCACAGGCGTCGCAAATTCTACTAGAATGAATATCTTCTATGAATGTGCTAATCATTTATCTAGCGGCTCCGCGAGGCTTGTTCGCTTAGAGAAGAGCTAACTCTTGTTTGTCACAGGAAGACATTTCTGTGAGCCATGGTGAGTCCTTAAGTCTTGATCTACCTAGACTCTGAGTTTCTGTGTTACTATTTTAATCAATACCAGGTAGGTACCCATTTATTAAGAGATTACTTATATGTATCCTTTCTTTAGTATTCAAGAAATCCGTGTTACATCAGCTGGTTGTCCAACGTCTAAGCTGAAATTAAGAGGATCGGTTTGCTATTTATTAACTTATCACTACGTAGTCGCATTTCTATCAAACCCATGTTCGACGATATCAAAACACGAAACTTGAATCAAGTATAGGGTTATCAGCAAACAAGTCATCATCGAGTCACTATCCTATCGGATACAGCTTAGTATAGCACTTCCCTTAAATATGCCACCGAATCTTCGGTTATCTAATGCCTCTAATCTACCCGCTCTCTTGGCTCCCGTTAATGAGATCCTAATCCACCGGGCACGCGCAGTTCAGGTTCCACCAACACGTAGTTCTGCAATAAGCCAACAACACCCCTGCGGCTGACTGCCGATTGAGGGGAAGTGCCCAGCCAGTCAGCCCGGATCCCCCCAAGATTTGAAGGGGGTTCTATTTTCTCGAGTCCCGAGGACTTCCGCTACCTGATTCTCCAAGTTATGATTACGTACCAGAAACGACTAAATAATCACAATCCAAGGGTTTCATACCATAGCGATGATTCTCACCCACTATGGCGGGGCGTCTACCACTATCGCAACCCTGTCAGACATGTGGAACGAATGCCGAAAAGACATTTACTTGCATTCAATGCAATAACCTTTCCTTTTGCGACGCGTGCTGGCCAAAATGGGTCTTGCACACTCCCGGCGCCGTCGGTTGGTCAGTATCAAACCTCTAAGTCCTTAACTCCGGAACTACTTAGTCCAATACCAATTACATCAATTCCCGTAGTAGAAATGGCACCTAGAAGCTTAGACTTGAAACTAATTATAATGGGTGATCGACAGGAACGGCAAGCCACACGAAAAGGCGGATCCGCTTGTTGTCCACCGACTGCGTCAGATCTTAGAACCGACTCGCACAGAGGCAGAGCACGAATCCGAGCTTCTTGAAGATCGCGATACAACCTGGTTTGGATTTGGTCGCGATGCCTCCGGTCACCCCCTATTTCACGACTTCGGCCGGTTCGCGGCTATAATGAGCGAAACCGTTACCGATGAGAACGCCGAACGATACCCTCAACTTGCTACTTTTATCGGAGAAACCGGTAGGGTTCATTATTTCATATCTAGAATACTACCTATGCGCACCCCTTACCATACTCATAGCTAACGACACCCATAGGTGTTGGAAAGAGTACCCTCATCAAACTCCTTATCGACCGTCATGACTTGACGGCCCCTGAGGGATCCAATTACTACGCTCCAGTAACATCCTCTAGCCATGATCGCATTTCTACCACAGGTGATGTTCACCTATATGCGGACCCGTCAACTTTATATAGCAGCCATCCGTTGCTTTTAGTTGACTGCGAAGGTCTCAGTGGAGGAGAGGCTATACCGAAACAACTGCGAAATAGCCCACAAGAACCAAGTACAACTGATCCAGGCGTCAACAAACACTGCTTAACCAGAAAAATCGCGTGGGCAGATACACCTCATACCCAGAAGAGGGAATTCGCTGTTAGCCAATTATACCCTCGCATTCTCTATACCTTTTCCGACGTCGTGGTTTTTGTCTTGCGGAATCCAAGGTCATTTGAATCAGTTGTCCTTGATAAACTAATAAGATGGGGTGCAGCTTCAAGTACGTGAGCTGAGTTTTTCTTTGATGCCCCTTTATTATTCTCTCTAGCTAGTTTATTCCAAGCGCATAACTTTGAGGTTCCTAATATCATAGGTACTAACGTGCAATATCATAGTTGATAAATCACTTAATCAACCCGTGCTACCTCATGCCATAATAGTTTTTAATGCGACGGATATCAATGTCGACGAGAAAGAATGGGATATCACTAAGGCTACGCAAATGCTGATGGCAGATATTCATGGCGCAGTCTTCCGCGAGCCAGCTTTACAAGAACATGGTACGTGAGAGAGGCGTATTCCAATTCCATATAGGCGTCGCATCGCCGTAAGCATTTTTCTATCAATTGCTAACATATTTGCAGTACGTCTGATTTTCCTATAACGCTCCATCTACAATGTTGTTTTGCCTAGGCGTCGAGGTCAAAATTTGGACGTATTGCTAATATGAAATAGGTACAAACTTGGAGAAGACGCGGAAAGAGTATATCGAACACCAAAGAGCTTCTTGAGTGTTACTATGCTTCCATAAATGTTGTGCGAATTCCGTACAAAGGATCATACAGTAAGGAACCCCATGGTTATCTCCCCCCTTCGCATCTCCCCCGTGACCTCGTCGACCCACTCCCAATTTTCGATGTCTTTGCAGATTATAATTCCTAATTATATATGCCATAGTGTTGATGCATGAGCAAGCCGGGAAGCTTTGCAGCTTGATTAACGATCGCTGTAAGGCTTCTTACTTGAGAAAGAAACAAGTCCGAATGTTAGCGAACACGGAGAAGCTCCAGTTCTACCTCCAAGCGGCTTATGACCACTTCACAAAAGATCTCAATACGCCTTTCGATTTCGTCAAGGAAACTCTTCGGCATAGCCCCATCTCCCGGAATTTCGAGGGCAACATATTGAATCTAGCATTGGCGATCAAGGACAGGTCGACCGAACCACTTCTTAGTAACGATGTGGAGCAAATTTTTCGAGCTATAGGACCGATGATAGCGTCATGTGTAATGCTTGATGCTGTTCGCCAACATTTACCAGGTAACCTCCCCACTAAACTACTCATGACCTGATCGCTGACGAATTGTGACTGCAGGAAGCGCAAGCCGCCTTCTCGACGATCGATACGCAAAGCTATGCGCTGGTGCATTACAGACTTTCGCTGACTTATACTGCCCGTGCGGCTTCAAGAACTTTTCTTATGGCAGCGAGCTTGGTCAATGTGTTAATGTTAGATCCGGTCACAATCCCAAAGGTCACCAGAATAAGCAAGGGAAAATCATCGGCAATGGAGACTACGAGTCCAACTTCAACGTCTCGGCCTTCCGACCGGTCTGGGAAGAACTCCTCAAAGCGAGCCTCACACAGGTCCAATCCTCTAGCTTCAAGCTAGGTCAGGAGTTTCCAGATAGGAATGAGCTCCAGATTGCTGCGCTTATCCACCAAGAACGGTTGAATGAACTTTATTCGAACGTCCTTGGCGCTGCGACTAATTATATTAGCTATTCCGCATGTCTTTGTTGCCTTAGAGAGCTTCCGGAATGCGCACTACCCTGTGGCCACGTCCTATGTTTCCCGTGTGTGCAGCTGTATGGAACCAGAACATCGAAAACCACCATTGAGATCACTCGCTGTCCTTTACACCCCCGTGATATCATCTCTAACCCTGCTTGGGTTATCACGACGAAGCCGCGTTATGCTGGCGCTCGAGTCTTATGTCTTGACGGGTACGTTGTGCGTCTATGATGATAACTGGGGATGGTACTAATAATCCTAGTGGTGGAATCCGCGGAGTAATACAGCTCCGGGTTCTGATGGAACTAGAAAAGGTCCTCGGACCGGGACTGCCTATCCAGTTATTCTTCGACCTGATCGTTGGTACCAAGTGAGTACTCACAGACGTTTCCTGATGATACACTTTACTAACCAGCTATTAAGCACCGGAGGTATCATAGCAATCGGGCTAGGAGTGAAGAAATGGACCGTCAACGCAGCAATGGAAAAATTCAAAGATCTCTGTAAAGAGGCTTTCGTGCCTCGAGAAATGACTAGTATACCATTGTTCGGCGCACTATCGAGTCTCTATCACGGCAGTACATATAAGACCCAACCACTGGCCAAGGGTTTGAAGAGATATCTGTCCGATCAGCCATTCTTTGGAGTGTCCACCTATCGATCTCAAGTAGTCGCCTCGACCAAGGTTGCCGTTACAGCTTCAACAGGTATAGAGCGACAACCCGTTGTATTTGCTAATTATAATCGTCCGGATACACCTGTGAATAGTAAGCGCACTTTTCCAATACTCTTGAATACCCACATGCGAAGTTTACTAAATGGCATTTCAGGGGTTCCATATAGATTCATTCGATCAGATACACCATCAAAGGAAATTCGCGTATGGGAAGCGTAAGTTAATGTGGCCCCAGGCTGCCAATCGATTTTTGGAACTAATTGAACATGAATCGCGATAGTGCTCGGGCCACGACGGCGACTCCTCCTTTCTTCAAGCCATACCTCAAAGCCGAAACGAGTCAAGAATACGCGAACAACGATGTACGCCTCTCATGCCCGATTGCGATCGCTCACTACGAGACGAAATCAATCTGGAGCGACGTAGCCGATTGTCCACCTGACTTAATGCTTTCCATCGGCGCGGGACGGAACGTCGGCGACCGCAACATAGACGATTCGAGCGCAACCCGATCTTCGCGATCCATGACGAACGAGACTATCACGACGGCTGGTCACAGTGCCAGTGCCGTGGTAAGACAAGGGCGAGGTGGAGCAGGCAACTACAAGCGACAAAATACATCGATGTCGGCATCTTCAGACGATGGCGTCCACGGTAAGGCAACAGGCGGATATGTCGTCCGGGATCCAAAGACGCCAATGCTAGTGTCCTTCAATAATCCCGTCCCTAGTCAATCAGACAGGCACAACGACCAGCGGCAATGCGACCGGGTCTGGAATCGATTCATGGCTAGCAGCGCAATGAAAGACAACGCCACTCGTCAGCGCTACATGCGGATTTGTCCAGAGCTTTTATTGAAGTTGCCGAAGTTTGATGATGTTTCGAGGATGGAGTCCGTGGAGCAGGAGACTGCAGAAGTACTGCGACAGAACCACCAGGATATTGTTGAAGCTGCGCATAGACTAGTCGCGAGCACATTCTTCTTCGAGAGGGATGTGGGTAGCGTAAAGCAAAGCTCGTCGGGATACAGCTGTACAGGTATGCAACATCCCCCCCCCCCCCAAGCCCATTTGGATGTATCAATAACCATTTCACAATAGGCTCTATATTCTGCCGATTCCCACTTTCATCGCGCAAGCTCACATCTTTGGGTTGGTTCCTTATTTCTCAGCTAGACGGCGATTTTGAACCATACTTCTTGGTTGAGGTGCGGGATGAGGACGGAAGCGCGCCGCCTCCGCGACAAATTTTCCTCACGAATTCGGTGTTGCAGGATATGCATCTGCAGGGGAATTTCCACCTCGATCCTGTGAAGGTTAGTGCGACGACGGAAAATGCAGATGTCAAGATCTCGCTCTGCTTACGGACTCGTCCCTATCCCAGCGGAGACATAGTCTTGCCCATCAGTGGCTTCCCACGGAAACTCATGACTGAGGATGGCGGTGGTCTTATCTATCAACCTGGTACGTCCCCATTCAACAACCCCTTAATTCCAGAGCCAATAAGTAGTAGGAGTCGGGAAGCTAATGAAAGATCGCGCATAGGATCTTCTGCTAGAGCACATCCGTCCGTCATCGAGAAACGATCATCGGTCGCGTCGGGTGCTACCGCTGCCATCCCCAGCCCCGCACCTAGTATCAATTCAATGCGAAAACTCTCGCTTAGTAGAGATTCGGATTTCATGGCCGAGTTAGAGGGCTAAGCTGTTGTTATCAGTGTCGAAGTGCTACAAGCTTGGGTAATGAAGTAGCGCTAACATCATCCGTAGAGTGATACCGATGTGATTTTTTTGGGAGGATACCATGGAGGGCGGATAGCCCTACATATTATGTATAACAGTTGCGATGTTTTTATAAAAGCGAATACCTTACATCAAGGCTCCCCCAAAAAGCGCATTTCATCATACCTCGCGACAATTGAAGTCGCGATGTTCACTAATATGACAAAGCACTTGAACTCTATAATTCGTGGATTCGAATCTGGAGGATATTTCATCCTACACACGTAAGCATAGCCCTATTATACTCTTGGTTCAGTTTGGAATCAAAGAAAAGGCTGACCTCATCATATTGACCCGCATCGCCTGAAGAGGGTCCCCGCGATAGTGGATCTCTTATTTTTCATAAGGCATGGCGTGGGTTACATTGAGATCTGTATTGGATAAGCTGACCAGGTATCTTGGTCCACTATGTCCGAATTTGGAAAACGGTGCTTCTCGGGCGACATATCTCATCTCACTAAAATAAGCGCTTGTGCAAGGGGCGTAGGGCATCAAGTGAAGCACCTACCAAAGACATCTATAGAATTACCTAAGATATTAGGTATCTGTATAGTTCCATTATCCTAGTTTGATCGTTACGGGGCGGTAACGAGGAGAAACCTACCATGCTAGAATTGCGATAGTCCGCCGGCGAAATCTCACCCGGCCATTATGTAAGGGTCTTTCACGATGATGACTTTTCTCGTTCCGACATAGTAGATTCGTATGGAATCGAATTCACCAGCGCTAGGATATCTTCAGCTTTCCATGAGGCTTGGTTGTCAGCGACCTGTGGATACTTGTGGATATTCGACTTCATTTTCACCCATGGATGATCAATCATGGAAGCTAGGAAGAACACTCCCTGTTCACACATCGTGAAGTAGTAGAAGATGAATATATAAACATGTCCATCTACCGACGAGAGGTAAGCAACATTCCTCATCTGCACTCTCAATCAAGTCGTCGCCAATTCAGACAAGTCAAGATGTTCGCTTACTCCCTATTAGCTCTCGGCCTTGCTGCCGTAGCCTCAGCTCGACCTTACCCCACACACCAGAGTTGCAAGGAACTCACGATACCTGTCACTGTCAGCGTGCCGCGCTTCATCTTGAACGCGACAGTCAACGACAACTGGGATGCAGTCGCCTTGACGCTAAACCTCACCAGGAGGGACTTCGGTAACCTCACCGACCCGTTACCTATCCTTGGCAAGACCGAAACGCCGGTAGAAAGCACATTCAAGCTCGGCGCTACACTTTGCGGAACAGGTAGCTCGCTATTGATCCCTACTCATGGTATTATCGAGTCTAAGCTGTATGCGCCCTCCATTTTTACTCGTTAAAAGGATGATGACTAACATGAGCGTAGATACTGGAACCCAAACTTTGAGAACTCTGAGCAGTACAACTTCGTCCAAGCCGCTGTCGCTGCTGGATACTCTGTTCTCAACTACGACCGTATCGGGGTGGGCTCATCTTCCAAGTATGTAAACGAAATGATCTTAGTAAAAGAGCGATGATTAACCATCTTTTCAGGGTCGACGCACTATCGGATGCTCAATTCCAGGTAGAAGCCGCTGTGCTAGACTCGCTCGTAGACTATGCGCGAAACACCGTAAACGCCACCAAAGTCGCACTGGTCGGTCATAGTTATGGCTCTTACATAAGTGTCGCGTCCGCGGCTAGCAAGACGACCGCCGTCGATGCCGTCGTGCTCACCGGTTTCGCGGGAAATTTCACTTACTTCGCTCCCTTCCTTGCTGGATCTAGCTTCCGTATCGCGCGACTATCCAACCCCGTTCGCTGGGGTTCCCTAGATCCGGGTTACCTGACTTCTGCCGACTTGTTCTCCGAGACGTACGTGTACTTCGGTGAGGCGCATGACTTCGAGCGCCGTGTCGCCGAATGGTCGCACTACGAAGGCAGTGAGCCGTTCGCTGTCGGTGAACTTCCATCCCTTATCGCAAGCAGCCCTCTTGACTTTGGAGCGATCACTGCACCTGTGCTTGTCCTACAGGGCCAATTTGACCTTTCGGCTTGTGGCGGTAACTGCGTCGGATTGCTAGATCCCTTAAAGAGCGAGTTCGCGGGCGCTAAAGTCGTCGAGACCGTCGATAATCTACCATCTGGGTAAGTCGTGATGCTTCTCGGCCCTATTGAATGCTTTTGCTGACCGCTTACATTATAGTCACAACCTCAACCTGCATAAGGTCGCTCCACAGGCGTTCAGCACGGTTTTTGATTTCCTGAAGCGCCAGGGAGTGTAAAAGGACGCGATACTAGCATTTACACGATATGACTTTATATAATAATTATTTTTAACCTCATGTTCTGTTCGTTAAGATACCATTAATAGATAGAATTAATAAATCGTTATATGAATTGGCAGTGGTGCCACTACAAACGCCAGATAATTGGGCCTCTATGCAAGGGCACTTACTGAATGTCCCTTGATCCTATATTATGACTCTTAACGATAATGGCATCTAGGTGGTAGCATAACTCGATCATATTATTCACAATTATTGGCAGCATATACAGAAGTTGATGGCGGTCAAGCTGTTTGATCCACTTTCAAATTCTCAACACTTTTTCTAACACAATTCTGCACAGGCGCACGGTACAGGCCGCATCGGACAACTTCCTCCTGTGGTACAGCTCAGCGAACTTCAAAATATCCACTATCTTGCGGTGGTAGCGTCCAACTTGCATACATTCGATGTAACCATACGCACAGCTAAGTTAGCTGCGCTCCTGGCGCTTCCCTATGAAATTGTCGAAAATGTCGGTAGTTGGTTCTATCTATCCTCCGCGTGTCTTCTTTTCCTTCACTCCCAGAAGAGTCTCCATTCCCAATTTCCCTGTTCGTGAGGTTTCCCAAGTATTAGGAAATACGAAAAAAATGAAACATGACCCAAATGTTGATAATATCGCCCCTTATAATAGTTACAGTATATATTTCTCCCAATGTCATAATATGCAATTCAAACCCCGGTGTAAACTCCCATATGAATGCTCCCCACGTGAGTGATTTGTGTTGTACAACGGTCGCTGTCCTGGTTCCAAGCGTTCATTTACAGACCTCCTCCAATTGTTCAGAATTCTAGGTATAGTCCCTCTCTTGGGTTCTCGTAGAAACTTCCACCCATTTCTCTGATTAAACGGCATCTTTCCTCCATGGTATGGCAATTATTGATTCTGCCGATACCCCTCGCCGTCGCATCGTCATGTGTTGTTCGTAGAACCCAGACCCCGCCACCGGGCGGCCATCCCACAAAAGTGACGGGGTCATTGGATTTGTCTGGGTCCATCGCATTCCGCCGGTAAGCATCTTCGCTTTCCCACCACGTCGCGCCGAGTCTGCGCATGTTGTTGCAATGTGCATCCTCCTCTTCTTGATCGAGAGATCTCATGGCGATGTGGAAGCGGTCGAGTCCTAAGAAGTCTAGCTCGACCGCAGTACAGTGACGTGCATAGATGCCCCCATAACTAGGATATCCGCGCACGGCCGCACCAGATCGCACTCCAAATTGCGTGCGAAATTGGGGCCTGTCGAGTACTATGAGGAAGTCATCGTCGTTTCCTGGATCGTAGACGAGTTGTCGTGACCCCGATACAGATACAGGGTCCACGTCCTCCTCTTCGGGTTCATCGTCGAGACCTCGCGATCGCGTGCTTTGTGCTAAATCGCGTGTTCGTGGGTGTCTTGAATGGTGGGTTTTTAGTGAGAATAGAAAGCTGCCAGATAATGCTGCGAGGAAGAATATGGTGGGCGTTAGCAAGGACATGATGCCCGGGGAAGAAGACTGTGATCGCATTGTGGAAGGCATTTTGGAGGCTTGCGGATCTACTCACCTACCTATAGGTACCCTAGGTAGCACCCATAATAAATTCCAGGAAATTCTAGGGTTGTTATGCCCACGTCATCTTGCGGATTGACTACGATGGGGGACTTGGGCTCCGACGGTTCCCCGATGCTTGCCCAGTCGTGTTACGTGTTATTCAATCATTTGCATATGAAGATGCATATGAAGAAAGGATATACGATTGGGAGAAAAGCTCACTGGGATTAGGCATTTCTTGGTCGCATAATTAAGAGCTCTAACATAGGGCTGATATGTAGCTGGGCGAATGACCAATGAATTCATCACTCAGCCACTCGCTACAGCGCACCCTTTGCCCTAACTTGCATACACGTGGCCGCGAACACAAAGTGGCGAGCCACTTTTATACCTACACAATTATTGCGGGTCGAAGCTATTCACAAATAATATTCATAGATCTGCAGGTACCAATGTTGTCTTCAAACAGGAGTGATCATGACTTCATCAACACTTGCTTCCTGTATCGTTTAATGGCCACCCTCAGAATGGTAAAGAGGCCTAATGGGTCTCGTGAGCTCGGTCCAGGACAACACGACCGTATAACTCAGGGGTCTGGATTTTCATCTATGTACGTAAACCGCGAATCTCGTCACAACTCATCAATTGCACAGCCCGCCAAGCTTGACGTTCATGTATCATCAGAGTTACAATGATGCGAGACAGCTTCTTCAGTGGATCCAAGAAGCGGAGTGATATCGGCAAACAATGAGGCAACCCAGCTGAATTGGGATCGGTAAACGGAAGAAACCCGAACATTGGCACTTGACAACCGCGAATCGGTAGTTAACGATGCACATCGTCTTCCGACGTTGGACCATACACGGAGGCCGATTCATTCTTCCTAAGACCCCGAAAACGACATAGCCCAGGAACACTCAACTCGCCCCAACCCGACGTGGCTCGAAACAACACAGCGACTCTATCCAAAATAACACTACATCCCATGATAGGCTAGCCAAGAACGAGTCATATGTATTAGAGTAGAATAGGATAATTGGCCATGCTTAAGAGAGAATCGCATGTTGGTAGTGCCAACAACCACAACGAAGGACTTGCGATAATCATACCGACGGACTTAGCGGGCGACGATCAACGAAGATTACCAAACCACCAAGAAGACCCCCAGGACTGATCTTTCAAGTTCCTGAGAGACTTGAAGCGTAAAACTCTTTGGGGTAGGGTAGATCCGCGAAAATAGATATCAATTGGAATCAAGATCCGGGCACGGCGCATTCAGCGAACAGGGTTCACTCAATCGCTAGGACCCTTATATCATTTTCTATTAATTTCGGCAATCTTTATCAGATCAACCCCGAGATCTGATCCAGGCGGGCCGCATCTATGTTAATGACGACGGCGTAGTAGTGGAAATTCTCCATAGGCACCTTTTATGCGAGACACGTGGAGACGTGTGGATTCGTCTCCAAAGCATACCCCCTATATTCAACCCAGACCTTCAATTTCTACACTTCAAAGGCTCAGATATCGCCATATTTCTTTGGTGAGTTGATAGTCAGGTAAATATCGAGAAGATTCTAGCCCAGGTATATAGGTAGAAGTTTCACCATTAGGCATATGGAACTAGACAGGTTTCTAGGTAATAGATTCATTTAAGACGACTCGCGATGATGGGGCTGAAAACTTGTCTGTGCGTACAGGCTCTAGAACCCACCTCTAGAGTCTCGCATTTCAAAATGATCGTAGCGTTTACGGTGTGCGATGCGCGATACCCGATCGTACTCTACTGAGTTCTTTATCTAAAGAGTTTAGTTATTCAAAACTAGAGACGCCCATAATCAAGTGAATCTTCCGTGAACGGCTGTCATGATTCCATTTTTATATTACGTCTCGAGATAACTCTTCTCAGAGTGTCATACTAATATGTCCCATCATCAAGTTCGAGGTGACTGGCTAAGATACTACCAGTTTCCTTCGCAGAGGAGCAACCGAAACATAATGCGGATGATGAAGACTACGCGATTCTGCGAGAGTTGGACTAGGAATGTTTGTGAGTCTACGCTATCCATACGGCACATATATAAAGCCCCTCGACTTTAACCTCATATTCACGATGAAAGAGCCCGCTATCAGTCCCATAGATAGATTCCTTTTCTTCTCTCTTCGCTCTTCAAAAAATCCGACAACATGGACGCGTTACCTACGGTCGCAATAGTCCTATTGGCTATCACCTTGGTTGTGATGGGATTTGGAATACTGAAGACATGCCGGGTAGTGGAAAATCATCCTCGACCCGAACCCCCGAGCTGTTTCCATTTTTTCCCCAAACTTCCTACGGAGCTCCGACTCATGATATGGGCATATTGGTGCGGGAAGCAGCCTGCAGTTCGCCACTATATAAGCTACGACAAAGACCGTTATGATTACCGAAAGTTCGACGTGCAGCTTGAAAAATTCACGGCTAGCTTTACTGTAATAAACCAACGGAGGACGAATTATAGCCGTTATATGGACCCGATGACATCCGAAATATTGGCTGGCGATGTTGTAAGAGGGATCCAAATTTGGGACGAACCACCATGGACAAACTTGAAGGATAGCGTTTTCTTCATCCATTACAAGCATATTGAAGGGTTCAATGACACGGTTTTAAGAGATAATCTCCTGGGCCTCTACCGAACTCCGGTGCGGACAGTGTACGGCAGCTGGCGTTTTCTACACCGGGATTATTGGTGGCGACAGATCCGGCATTTAGCTTTCACAGTACCAGAATCCGGAGAGTTCACTGCCTTACATGAGGAGTTCTTCTCCTGGTTTCGCGATCTAAAATCCGTGTTCTTGTTGCATTTTTGTGGCCCGCCGCGCTTCAGGTGGCGCCGAATGCCAGTGATCCCCGCGAATCCTGGAGATCCTCTGAGATCGAAGGGATTTATGAAGTTTGACGACTTGGCTACTCTTGCGTACCGCCCCAGCAAAGCCATGACCTCCACATACCGACGGCTCGGGTTTAAAATACGAAAGGGCGATCCCTGTTTTAGGCGCATCGCAACTAATTTCGCTGGGGAGCTGGAGGCAACGTGCCGTCTCCGCTATGGCAATATTGATATACAGATCGTAGAAGATATAAGCCAGGGTTTTCCTATTAAGACATGGGGTTTTGAGGGAAATGCGATGCTCCCTAATAGGGAATGAGAAACTTGTGTACTATTGTAATGACTACTTAGTAGGGCGTACGATCATCGTGGCGGAGTAGCACTCATCAACTACTCATCAACTCGATCTAGATTTCATATAACTCATAGAAGCTGAATGAGTTTTGGGTGAGAATCGGTTTGGCTATTATCTCCTATTTCAATCAAGATAGGGGGTGCGTGTAGACATTATTTGGCTTGGCTCGGCGATGGGGTGATTCTTGGTTGTTGTTCATAGATATGTTGCCTTAGACGTGTACGGGATAATATCAATGTAAAAATGTATGAATAAGTGCAAGTGCTTATAAACTACACTATGACTACTAGTCGATATAAAATTTATATCTGTTGACTAGGTAGTGACATACCCTCTTCTCATACTCGGCGTAGGTCTTTAATCGTTACGCTCCAAGATGGGCTGATGTTCTGGCGACGACTCTTCATCGGTACTATCGGTCGTTGCTGGTTGCACAAATAGCGATAAGACCAGCATGACGAGACATATAAACGACACGCCAAGATACGGCAAGCCAATACTCTGCCCACCTAGTCGCATACCGAGCGTAAACAGAGCAGCAAGCGCAGGCGTCGACCAGATATTACTAGCCATCTCCGAGAGACCTATGATAGTAAAGAGCCTCGACCGATGCTCAGTGTCAACATGCGACGCTCCGATGCTCTTAATAAAACTTGCCGATCCCGAACCAAGCGACATAATGAGAAGGCCAGCCACGAAGACGGGTAAGGATGGAGCTATGCTCAAGACAAAAGTGCCGATCATGGAGGCGGCGAAGGACCAGCGAACTAGTACCAGATCCCGGGTCTTCTCGTCGGATACGCGTAGCCACTTAGGTAGCGTTGGTTTTACCACTAGGCTAGAGACGAATGGAACTACCGATAAGACTGCAACTATATGAGCGACGCCGTAGATGGATTGGACGTAGCCGGTCTTGGCTAGAGGGATGTGGTAACGTTTCGAAATGAACTGGATCATGAATTGTAACGTGCACATTATGACCGGGAATGACAATATACAGATACATATCACCAAAGCAACGGACCGCTTCGTAACAATGAATAAGGAGTCTCTTAGTTGGTTGAGGCCTTGGTATGCGCGTGTCTTGAATGAGTTGTGATGGGACTGGGTGTCGTCATCGGCATTATCGTCGGTTAGCTTCCGATGGAATGTCTCTGGAATAAGAGCTACCATGGCGGTAGCTAGAATCCATAGTATGAGAGTAACTAGCATGACCGGCCAGGGACCAGTCGAAGACATCATGAGCGAAGCCAAAGCCGGCGAGACGAGGTTGCCAACCAGGCTTGAAACGTGGATGCGCATAAAGCTGATTGCTCTATTGGGAGTAAGTAAGACGATAGGAATCATTTCATTGTGGTTACACACCTATTAGACTCAGGTATTACATCACTTAAGATGCTGTATATGGTAGCGGTCATAACAGGTGCCCCGCCAAGTAAATGGCCAATGGATGCTGTCCAAAGCAATCGAGGCGATAATGTGTCTGAAAACCAACCAACAATCATAGTAATTAATAAGTGAATTATCATGCCTATCGAACTTGCGGCATATACAGGTTTACGACCAACACTTGGATGAATTAGCGGGAAATGTTCGACAAAGAATCAGGTCGTGCTCACCGATCTGCCACAATACCCCATAATAGGGCTACTAGACAACTCATTCCAGAAGTCAAGGCTTCAAGACCGGCAAGTAGATATGCTAGCCTGGATTGGATAACATCATCTTTGCAGAGTGCTTCATCAATAGGCTCACTTGAGACTGGGGTCTTGCCGTAATACTCATGACATAGTATATCCTCGAAAATTCTAGTCATAGGTATTTGTTTGAAGGCATCGGCAGTAGAACCAGCAAATATTATGAGGCATAGTAAGGCAAGAACGGCGCCTGGTTTGTGCGCTGTTGGTAGGCTAATGGCAGCGCTGGTGACAGATGTTAATGTTGAGGATCTCGAGTGACCGGGCTTCCACGCAGATGTGGAGTTGTCCGCTGCCCACACGAGGGGAGTGTTCTCAGTGACGGCCGCGACCTCATCGTCGTTATCTATTCTTTCGCTCATATTGAAGGAAGGCGGGCGTTTATTGAATGTTGAGTTATATTATATACATTTCAAATTGAATGAGATTTGTTCATGTTTTGGATAAGTATTCTGAACCAACGCGGGATTGAGAAGCCGATAACATCCCTTGAATCATCCCTTGAAAGCTTAGGTAATTCAAATATTACATAAGCAAATAATTTGGTTACTTGGATTATTCTACGCGTTGCCTGATTAAACTGGCTCTTCTCACCATTACATCAACTTTCTACTTCATCAAAATCTACGATAGGTAAGGCATTATGCTCTTCACTTTTGATATACTATTACTTCGAGGCACCGTCTGATGCGGTGCCATATTTATTCTCATACCATGTCTAATTTCTACCATATCTTTGAGGATACGCCCGTCTGCTCAAATAATCGCTTTCCAAAAGCACATGAACGTTCTAGATTCTTTGATTCCCCCTTTCATACTCATATATCTCTTCTAGATCTGCTTCTTAAACGATGAACCGTGCCAATCGAGTAACTAAACGATCGTCTGAGCGAACGCTGGTCTCATCGGGCGCAGCATCCCCGCGCTTGAGAAGGATCCATGCTGCCAAGATAGCCGACTCCGACAAGGAAAATGAGGTCCAGCAAAAAGCTTCAGCAACCCAATCTAAGCGTAAAAGAGCCGATCCGGGTTTACTAGAGAACAACGATGGAAAATTTAAGCGCGCGAAACCATCCTCCGACTCGACTAAAAACACGACTGCTAAGAAACGTCTTGCTCGCGTGAAGGAGGCCCAAAAAGTCGACGGACCGCTCAACAAGGCACCCACTGCACCCTTGGACATCTTCGTCTTCGGCGAGGGTGCTCTCGGGGAGTTGGGTCTTGGAAGCAGGGAAGTTAAAAATCGATTGCCATATGAGGTGTTACAACCGCGTTTAAACCCGTTCCTCTCCGCGAAGGATGTGGGTGTTGTGCAACTCTCCTGCGGCGGCCTACATGGTGTTGCGCTCACCAAAGATAACAAAATATTCACTTGGGGAGTAAATGACCACGGCGCATTGGGAAGAGATACGAAGGTCGAAGAGGAGGACGAGGATTTATTGAACCCGGCCGAGAGTACACCTGCACCTGTTGATCTCTTACACCTCGGCCCTGGTATCACATGGGTCCAAGTCGTTGGCTGCGATAATGCCTCGTTTGCTTTGACTGAGGATGGCAAGGTATATGGTTGGGGAACATTTCGAGTGAGTTGTCTCTACCGTATGATGCGATGTACTCTCGCTAACGTTTCGTTTAGGGAAATGATGGTGTGATGGGCTTTCGAGACGATCCGGAGTCGCCAGAGGTCCAGAAGACTGCGACTCTAATCCCGGAGTTGAAAAATATCATCCAACTAGCCGCTGGAACTAATCATGTACTCGCTCTCGACAGTAAAGGAAAGGTCTACGCATGGGGTTGTGGACAGCAGGCTCAAATAGGTCGACTAGTGCCTTCTCGCCGTCCTAGATCCGCTCTCAGACCTGATCGTGTTATCGCCCTCCCCATCAAGGACGCGAGAGTTGTTAAAATAGCGTGTGGGTCCTACCACAGCTTTGCTATAGACCAAAAGGGTCGTGTTTTTGCTTGGGGCCTTAACAACTACGGCCAGTTGGGCATCTCGGACGAAGCCGGCGAAAACAACGCCCACGAGATGAAGCCCCGCTTCGTTGAAAGTCTTCGTTACCACAATGTAGTTGATATTACTGGCGGACAGCATCATTCCCTCGCTGCAAACGATGACGGCGAGTTACTCGCTTGGGGTCGCATAGATGGATATCGGCTTGGTCTTCAGTCCGAAGCCTTCACGGAAGAGAACACTATCTTCGATGAAAAGGGGAACCCTCGCATCCTAGCGACACCAACTATCGTGCCAGGTAAACCACAACGCTCTCCTATTTTCATGATCCCTTATACTAACTTCTTGGCAGATCTGCCGGCAGTTGGCTCGGTCGCAGCTGGGGCGGATCACAGCTTCACTCGAACTTTAGGAGGAAGGGTTTATTCCTGGGGATTCTCGTACGGCGGTCGAACTGGGCAGAACACCTCCGAGGATGACATCGAAGTTCCGACCTTGATCAACTCCAAGTTTGTTAGAGATAGGAAGTTCGTATACGTCGACGCCGGAGGCCCATTCTCAGTACTAGCTGCCGTTGCTGACATGGAAGACTCGGCTAACAGTAGTACTTTGTGAGTGGTCGCGGGAAATAACTCAACTTGTGAACGCTCCTATCTGTACGGATGGGATATACCAACCATGTATATGGTCATACTTAGATATTGACCTAGTTTGACACCAATTCTTGTTCCGATTCTTCGCCCTCCAATTTGTAGACCCAACTCCCAGAAAGCCAAAATGATACAGGACTAGATATAACAACCTTAAGCACGATGAATTTACATAGATGCCTGGATCATGAATTTATTTTTATTTGGTATTTATTTACTCGATTTTAGTTCCGTCAGCCCGCGAGACTCGTAAAGGTTCTCTCGCCTCGCCGTTCATCTCTGGAGTTTATACCTAAGTCCGCAAGCAATAGTACGCTATATCATAAACATACTGAAAGTTGAGAGCAGATCCGAAAGCATTGGATTGATTATTGAAATGTTCGTGCAACGTATGCGTCGGATACATCCGAAAAGAAAGTGCTTCCTTCGGATACGACTCCGAAATTTTTATATGAAATCGGAATAAGTCCGACACAACAAACCAAATTGTAGGCGTAGGCAGAGAGTGAGGGAACATTCGCATTGAAAGCGCGACCGTAGCTATTACATTAATTGAGCGTTCACGAGCGAGGGGTGGTATAGTTGAGATGGAATGCTTGATCGACGCCCAAGGAACTGATGGCCTAGCAAGGCGGTAATATCTCTCCTTAGACATCTCCAAGGTTTCAAGGAGGGCGTCTAAATCCAATAATTAGTTGATTCAGGTGTCTGGTCAGGTACCTAGGCAAGGGAGTATAGGCCTATAATTGGGGATATGGAAAATGCGACGATGCACAGCCCCCTGGAGAAAGGCAATATGAGAGACCCAACACCCTAAAAGGAACACCCAATTAAGTGCCTAATAAGTACTTAGGTAACTTCTGAGGGAGCCCATTAATCACTAATATGCCTGCCATTACGCCTAATACTACCCCCGCCGCATGAATGCATAGAGAGCTTGTAGGCTGACCATTCTCATCATTTGCACCGAATTATTGGCTATAGATATATTCAAGAAGCTTCAAATACTGGACTAGGCATTTCTACTTCACATAATAAAGTTAAGAGGTAATTATATAAAAACCATAGTAGTACAAGTCCATGCCTATTTTCACGATGTCGGACGTCGCACACCAAGTACAATTTTACTCGCACTCTACCTACCAACAATGGTTTTTCAGTACAGCTCCCTGAACGCCGGTCCCGGCCCGGATCCAGCACCAGGTTGCTATCTTGACAGCGCACTCGCTTTTGAGAAAGGGGAGATCCCACTTGACGAATTCTTCCGACGATGTCTTCAGCACCTTGGGACCTCGGAAAAGCCTTCGCATGAAGTCCACGATGTCCGAGATGGACAATGGTACCTACTCTGGAAGTATTATCACACGTATGGACCGGTCGCTGCTGCGATCAGATTATGCGGATACGATCCGCGAGCTCGCTCTACGGACGGTTCGTTATCATTCTAAATAGCCGCATCGGGCCAATCGCTAACTACGTGCGAAGGCAAGAAATTAGTGCCTATTTTGATGGCTTGCACTTCCAAAGATAGCAACATAGATTCCATCCGCGCCATAAGCGCCAGCAATTTCGAGGCTGATGCTGAAACCGTTCTAGCGACGCCTCTCATCCGCCAGGTTCTGATGGTCACTGCAATTCAAAGCGAGCACTGGTCGTTAGCCGAGGAGCTCATTCAAATCGACTGCCCACCGCCGCCACCAGAAGATAAGTGCGTATTCACCATGCGCGGCTCAGCACTCTGCGAAATGGTCCGCGATACCGACATCCCCGCTCGCGTCTGGACGGCACTTATCAAAGCGCGATGGGTGCCGGGGACATTCTCACTAGCGATCGTCGGGAGTCAATGTCCTAGCACAGAAGAAGGAATCGCATTACTAGAAGCGGCTCAAGCCGCCGGCTTAGACCTGAAGGATCGCAAATCAGGATACGGCGAGCGAATGCACGATTTCGCGCTAGAGCGTGGCCACCCGGACACCGTCAAGTATCTGCGCAAGCTCTGCTCGATCACCAAACCGCTGCAGAATCATATACTCCCGCGGGCCGTGGAAAAACGGGAGTCGGGCGGGGTGGAAATGCTAAAGTGGCTTCTCGATGAGCAGAAGCTATACATCAATTGGATGGGAGCATCAGACCCCAACGGCTACGCCAACTACGACCCACGCGAGCGCGCAGAACAAGAGTGGTATAACGCGAAGTCGGCCCTACACTGGGCTGCTCATAAGGGGAATACGGATGCCGTCCGCTTCCTACTAGAAAGAGGCGCCGACCCTACAGTGCGCGACGCTGTGGCACGGACGCCACGGAAGCTTGCAGAAGGTGCTGGGAATACAGCTGTTGTGGAAATTTTTGATGAATTTGAGCGCCAAAAGGATCCAGGATTCTTGTCGAAGATCTTCGGATAATTCGGAGGAAATTGCGTACTGAAAGCCACAGAGACGCCACCATATTCACATTACCTATCAGAACGCTAATCCCTTGAGATTTGCGCTGAGATTTTCAGTAGTTCATATCAGTAATCACGCCCGAGAACGCCAAACGGCCGTACATATAGCCACGTCATTCGCCAGTGCCGTCGCGGATATGATGTTTACAAGTACATATGCCCTCAGTCTTATCATACAGTTACTTGTAGGGAAGCCATGAAATAAACCCTTGGGCACCAAGACAGAAGCAGAAGTCTTTGTAATAACTCCAGACCGAAATGCATAGCACAAATTTAAATGAAAGTATGTTGGGTTTTTCAGTTGATCCCCGTCTAGATACCCCGGACCACGGGTTATTTTAACCACTATTTCAACCAACAATACCTCGTTCATTTTCGTTTGAATTGTATACAATGTCCATGGAAATTCTGGTTTGATTGGTTATTAAATGCATAGATGATCGACATACCTAGGCATGTAAGTATTTTCACCATTCGTATTCGTAGAAATATCGCGGGATGATACTGGCCGCTTTCAGCGGCTTGATAGCACGGCCGTCTGTTGTAATACACGCCGCCCCTAAAAGTGGGTTGCAAAAGAGACTTATCGTCCCGTGTCGTTCGTCATCAAATCATAGGTACCCAGGTAGATTAAAGGATTGGAAATTTCCCGGTTCAATCCTATAGGTATGAAAATTCCCTTGCTAACTCTGTCCGGCAATATTTTGAATCCACAAAACACATCCGTCCGCTAATATGCTAAGAAGACATGGTGTTCATGGCCCTGTAGTGAGGATATTCGTCAAGCTTGGTATCTGTAACACAAGTACCTAGGGCAACGCCAGTGGAATGCAGGCAACCGTCGCATGCGTTTTTCCCCAATCATCAGGTAGATCGTTAACAGTGACACAGTTTACCCATTTTGAGCGAAAACTCCCTCCTTCCTTTGAGACAAGATAGAAGTCGCTTTCCATGAGGGCTTCATCTCCAATGAGTCAACTAAACACTCTGTGGGGGTTGTTGGCCCCTTGGTCTACGAATACTTAGGTACCTATGGAGGTAAGCATCTGACCATTAAACTGCTTCCTATTGCTCATTGCTTATTGTATTGCGTAGTCTTTCCGTCCGCGTTCCGCTCCGCTCCCTCTCACCTGCGACATCTAGGGCTGAAACCATTCTTGATTTAAGATATTTATCGATGTTTACTTAAAATATCGATTTCCGTATTGTTTTTGCGAGTGATGTCAGATGCGTTGTCAGTGGCTACATATGTACTATGTAACTTGCTTTATATAGGATGAGACATTGACAATAGTTTTACGCCGCAGGTACCTAAACTACCTAGGTAGGCGATATTCGTGACCACTCGTAATTTCAATTGCTATCGAGTTTCCGGCCGTGTTTTGACCTTCCCTCACGAGCTTATGTTGATAACAAGCTTTTCTTCGATTTAAGAAGTGCACAGTCATCATCTATTTTGAATGCTAAGATCGGGTAAAGAAGCAGGACGTTAGGCGGCACTCGGAGCGCGCGTTACCGTCGTGCATAGGTCTGCTCTTTCTTGAGGCACGTGGGAAGAGATGTACCGATCAGCAGAGCCCCTGGGGACCTCCAGGGAACCACACCGGAGAAAATAAAGGGCGCTACCTACCTAGGTACCGAAATACATGGAAACACAACATTGTTACCCGCAGCCTGGTTAGCTATTCAATTCCGATCTCCCTCGGGTCCGATAGTTGCAGCTAGATAATGCCTATAGTACGTAAGTGTCAACTACCTACTTGAAAGGGTCATCGGCCTTTGGAATTCTTACGGAATGAGGCTCACACACTGCTGACCAGATGTTGTACTACACCGATCCCTGGCGAGAATGTCAGGTCGATCACCCATTCCCTACCTAGGTATATAATGACTAGGTGCCTGACACCTCGTCGGTACAACCGCTCGCGCTCGTGGTGTAACCAAAGGAATTTTTCTCTTTTCTACACCTAGGCGGTTGAACTGCCCATGCCGTCTAGTTGGATAGAGCTAGTTCTACCCCAACACAAGCCGAGTCATATACTATAATGCGCCTACTTGAGATTCCAACCCTACTAGGGATATGGATTGTCTTATTGAGCCGGGCGGTAGTAGCTAGGCCCGCACAACGCAGCAACGAGGGTGGCATAACAATGCCTAGTGAGTTTAAGACTCTCCAGGACACATATCAAAAAAACATTAGGGCTTCCTTAGGCTCCAACGGCTGCACAGATAGCAACATATCCGTCCGCAAGTCATGGTAAGGCAGTACAGCTTCTAGCCTCTAATCGAGCCCTTCTCTGCTTAAGGCACTGACACGAATGCTAGGGATGAAACCGATGATGCAACAAGGACTGACTACATCCGCGCCGTACATTGCTTAGCATCAAGACCGCCAAGAACGAATACCAGTCTGGCCGGCGGCATAGTAAACCGTCTCGATGACTTCACCTACATCCATATCAACCAAACCAATATCATACATCAATCAGTATGCAATCTACTCAGATACTATTTTATCGCGACTATGCTAATCAAATTATAGGGTTATCTCCTCCCATGGCATCGCCTCTTCCTTTGGGACATGGAAAACGCTCTACGAAATGAATGCGGGTATAAAGGACATCTCCTCTATTGGGACATCGCCCGCTTTTCGGAGGATCAAACTAAGTCGAGAGTCTTCGACGGATCGATGACATCCTTTGGTGGCAACGGTGTACCCGAACCCCACTCACCTGACAACCTTACCATACCTGGCTTGGCCATAAAAGACTTCCAACTACCCATGCCCGCGGGAACCGGCGGTGGCTGTATCACGGACGGACCCTTCAAGAATTTTACTATCAGCTTAGGTCCCGTGGCCAAACCGGTCATTGACTACTCGAATGAGTTCGGTTACGAACCAAACCACCGATGTTTATCACGAGATTTCTACGATGGCACGAGCAAGGGCGTCCTCACATGGGCCAACGCGACGAAAATCGTGGCTTCCGATACCATACATGAGCTCCGGACCAACATCGAAAATCTATGGCACTTCAATTCACACACGTACATAGGACGTGAGGCGGCGGACCCATTCAGTACACCCAACGACCCCGTCTTCTACCTACTCCACGCACAGATTGATCGCCTCTGGGCGATATGGCAAGGTCAAGATTTACAAAATAGGACGTATGCTATAGACGGCAATCGGACGTTCTTTGGCATCCCACTGGATTATGCGCCAAACGTACCACCTAGCCTAGCCACAATAAACGATACCATGGAACTGGGCCTAGGGTGGAGGCCCTTGACGAAGGAAGGGATGCCGATGACGACAGATGGACGTTGTTATATCTATGAATAGAGTCTGCGATACCAATCTTAATGTTTTTTCTATGTTCCTTTACACTTGGCATAATGTTTATTCAGGTAGATGCACGAGATATGAGAGACGTATGGCATATAGAATTCTACTAGGTAGTCCTTAGTATGTCTGGCTTCATCACGCCACAACAAGAGCACTCAATATTACGAATCGGACCCCGTCGGGGCCTAGAGATAGGCGATTATCCTCGGACATAATCCATTATGTATCTGAGTCACTTCTGCTCATGTGTGATGATTCCGTAGGGTGTCGGGAAGGAGATTTCTGAACCATGTTTCAAACATTTTCAGTTAGTTGAGTTATCTTCTTCTCGATTCGGTTGCGTATATCGGGATCCACTTCCATCTCGGGACCGAGACAATCCATGGATGAGTTCGTCGGTAACCAGTTGGTTTGCTTTGCAGAAATAGATTGCGCTGCGTAGGCGGTGGTTCGTGAAGTTCCGTGATATCGGCTTGGAGTTTGCCGACTTGCCTTCAGGTGCGCCACTTTCGGATGGATCCTATGCGTTTTTTCCGTGTGATTTATAAGTCGTATAAGGCTGACCCTAGATCAGATAGATAATTAGTAAGAATAATTAGCAAGGCGAAAGATAAGAAGACGATTGAAGGATTATGAAGCAAGCAAGCAAGGCGAGAGCTTAGACACCGTTTGCCTGTGTAACCGCCGGTACAGTTCACTACCACAATGTACTACATATCAGAGTCTTATATAGATTAAACACAGTAAAAATCCACAACTCATTAGAAAAATTGATATGATTACCACGGGTGAAAATGAAGTTAGACCTAATTATAGTATGGTAGGTGAAAATGGCTCTTAGGCGGTTAGGGAAAGGACTATACGCTATATTATATATCATCTACTCACATTGATGCTATAGTTCGCCGCATATAGCTACTAATCCCCAAAACTAGATCCTACCCAAAGGTTCCAGTGAATAATATTTAGCCTAATGGATCCATAAGCATGAAAGAGGCCTAGAACGTACCAAAAGAGTCCCTGAATAATCACGCGGGGTTCCATTCTTGGAAGTCACATGTAGGGACTCAATAACAAGAAGGGAAGCTCATTACAACTTTCAAGTGCCGACATATTTAGTATAGAGGCACGGTAAACCACGTTCATGTGTTGGCAGGAGATGGCGTCCGTGTGTATTTGTCGTTGTATAAGTAAGGTTGTTGTTCTTCGAAAAGACATTATCGTGGTCAGCGATAGATAATTGACCCCGGTTCAAATGGAGTCTAACAGTTAGATCCGATCGTAAGGCGCACGACAGCGAGGATCGTTCTTGGCGTCATGGTTTTATATTCATCTATATCCACAATGAGACGCCTGCTGTTATTAAGTAGCATTTTGCTGAAGATCGTCGCAGCTGGGGACCTGTGCGACAGGGAACACAACTCCAGTTTTACAGTAGAAACTCTTACCGGAGTGTATACCGGCCTAGAGGAACCGGATTATCCAGGGGTTAGGACATTTCGCAACATCCCATACGCTGAACCACCCGTGGGAAAGCTCCGATGGAGACCGCCAGTACCTTTACAACCTTCTCGGAAACATCACTATTCGCATAGGTTTCCTCCTTCGTGCCCACAATACTTGTCATCGAAATTGTCATTATGGAACGCCAATATCACCGACTTTTCAATCTACACAGGGGATCAAAGTCACCATGCTGGAGAAATAGCGCAGACAACTGCAGAAGATTGCTTGAGTCTAGCGATTTGGACCCCTATCAATGCTACATCCCAAGACAAGCTTCCGGTTGGCCTATTTATACCTGGTGGAAGTTTTAAGGGTGGTGGATTAGATGCCCCTTACCATTCACCTGCCGGATGGGTCAACCGTAGCCAGAAACACATTATGGTGACAATGAATTACAGAGTCAACATTTTCGGATTCCCTAATGCCGTTGGATTAGATGATCAAAATCTCGGTATATTAGATCAGCGGCTAGCATTGGAGTGGGTATATTCCAACGTCGAGGCCTTCGGAGGTGACTCCGATCGCATCACAGTATGGGGACACTCGGCTGGTGGAGTTTCGGCGGATGTGTTGAACTTTGCATATCATGAAGAGCCATTGGCGGCTGGATTCTTCCTGATGTCCGGAGCGGCTGTGCGTACATTTGCGCAAGAGGATAATGCGTTGCAGACGAACTTCACGTTTGTTGCAGAACAACTTGGATGCGGTTTTCCGGATGATCCCGAGGCGGAAATCGAGTGCATGCGCCAAGTGCCAATCAGTTTAATTTCGAACTTCGTAGGCCGTTATGGAGACGACAAGAAGAAGCCTTCTTTATTCTTTCGGCCCACAGCTGATGAAAAAGTCATATTTAAAAACTACACTGAAAGAGCGGAACGGGGCCTAATATCTAAAGCACCGGCGCTTATAAGCGATACTTCTAACGAACAGTCTAGCCTCATCGCGTACCCGATCGAAAATCTATTGGGTGGTCCGAATAAGACACAGGTTGATAAAGGAACTCTAGAAGACTTCATCTGCCCAGCCTTCAACTCGTCAAATGTTAGGGAACTGAACAACCTTACTACTTACCGCTATCAGTACGCCGGGAACTTTTCAAACCTAACTCCGTTTCCGTGGATGGGGGCCTACCACGGAGCGGATCTACCGATGATTTTCGGAAGTTACAACCTCACCGGCGGAGCGACAGAACTTCAGAGGCAGGTGGCAGAGACAATGCAGGACTACATATTAGCTTTCGTATCCGACCCGGAAAATGGTCTAATGGAACGGGGTTGGCTGCCTAGTAACGCCGCACTGGGTATCGATGGGCCTATGATGCGCTTTGGGGCCGGTAACACTGTAGTCCAGAATATTAGCTCATGGGAAGTAGACAGTGCATGTGCAGGGACTGGGCAATATAATTCACGTCCAAGTGAATAAATATAGAATAAACGTTTGACAAGCCAGTGTAAATGGATGCTAGAAAGAGTGCGTGTTTGCACTGAGTCATCTCATTGTTCATTATATTTCTCAGAGAAGCGAGGTGATTCTATGAAGTATTTTACACGTATGACTCGGCATCCAGCAGAAAGGGTCGGACTCACCAAAGCAAAGGAAACCACCGTTGTCATCGACACTATCCGGAGCGGCCACCACCCACAACGCTTAGTCGCCTTGTTCTAGTAGGTGACTTCCATACGAAACCAACACAACCTAGGCGACAGCAACATTTCATTCACCTATTAAAAACAACATGCAGCACCAATCCCTCGAACCACAAAACCCTTATGATTTATTTTATCCTCTGACCTATGGAGCCCCTTTCGATGGCACCATGGCCTACCCGCAGAATGATCATCCCAATTTAATGGGTGAAGACAACATCGATCTTTTGCAGATGGGTTTGTTCAATGATAACGCTATCGGCCACCCTTCAAGACCGACTGGATCTACAGGAAGCGTTCGTCATTCGTACACACACATCCGCCCGCCGACTTTACCAAGCCTCGGACCGATCCCCACAGGACCCCATCCAGCGGCAACTTCAGGACCCCGAGAACAGAATAGATCCACGCCATACCCCAGACCAGGTTTCCCCGGAGAGTACGTAAATCCAACTGCGACCCATGGAGGAACAGAGCGACCTTCTCCCGTTTACGAACAACAACGAATCCCGCGAGTCTCACAAACATCACGAATCTCGAAGCCCCTGCGAACTCCGCGACCTCCGCGAGGTCCGCAAAGATACACAACAACGTCAATTCCTCCCCAGCAACAACGCCCGATACAAGGCCGCTACACAGATTATCAATTCGCTATCTCTAACCTCCAAAGTTCACCTTCCACCAACCCCCCCACTCCCCAAGCAACCACCCAGACTCCCAGCACCAGTAGACTAAAGCTAGAAGCTGCTGGTCCCGCAGAGACCCACGTACCTATCAAGCAAGAAGAGGAAGTCAAGGAAAGAGCCCCACGCCGCCCTTACGGCCTTGACCAACTCGAGGCAGCTGTACTACGACTAGAAGCTGAAGAGAAGCAACGCAAAGCAGAGGAAGCGGCGAAGAAGGAGGAAGAGGTGCGAATCGAGGCAGAGAGGAAGGAGAACGGATTTCGCGTAAGTGACATTTTGATCTTTTACTACCTTGTTCTTAAATACCCTCGGCGCCTTAAAACATCGCTTAATGCCTAGTTATGATAAAGACTAACAACTTCATGTTATAGTGGCCAGGCGATACATCGGACTTCCCAGCAGAGGCGCTCGCGGACTACAAGATACCCGGCTGCGAATTACGCGCCAAGGCCGTCTGCATCGGCCACCCTCGCGATCCCGAACTTTCACGCCTCCGCGTCAGTGTCTTCGCTATGCGACCCGAGGGTAGCCGCGACGTCTTATTCAAGATAGCTAAAGACGGTTCGTCGATCGACGAGATTCACCAAGGCTACCCCATTAAATGGGAAGACGTTCGAGTCCATGCGTACTTCCAAGGTATGAGCGAGTTTGTAGCTGATCACTGGATTCGACACCTTTTAGCTATGGTCCCGGGCGTCAACGATTCGATTATGAAATGGACTTAGGGTCTCATTCGCGGAGACGGCGGAGGAAGACAGGAATGGTTCTAGTTTGAGATGGATTATACACGTTATAGCTAGCCGCCATGGTTAGCTAAATAAATGCATGCATTTCCTATTGTGAATATCGTCCATCTGAATACTTATTACCTTGAAATGTGACTCCAGACGACTCATGACACAATCCCACCCCCGAATCAACTCCTGAATCGTTATAACACATATTCTTATGCATCTATTCGACTACCAAGTAGATGCGCTTAACCTAGAAGATTAAGATCTTTGGATCTCGACCCTTGCTTCGATCATCAATGCGCAGTCATTATCATATGGAATGCCTTTAAGGTTGTTTTTATACTTCTACTGTCGCTTTCATGGATCATGCACGATCCTAGATCGACTCGCCATAGCCTCATCGAACGGCGCCGATACTGGGCTGCCTCCACCGAGCGCACCCCTGGCCACGCATGACACTGCCCCTATCACCCATCAATGCTACTGGACGACAACGTGGCGGCGCTACAAACATACATACAGAGTGTACAGCCACAGATTGCTACTTCTCACCTGGGTAGCATGTAAGTATTTTGAACATTTTCTTCATAATTCACTTTCATTCTGATTAAACGCTTGAATTCCGTTGGGCAATGTCGCCTAACAGATTTCTAATCGCTCGCAATCAAGACGATGGCTGACCCCCTCACAATAGCCACGGGGATAGGCAGTCTCCTCTCCACAGCCTTGAGCATATCAAAATACACAATCGGAACCATAAGCTCCATCCAAGAAGCGCCGAAGCACATCAAGGCCATTTCGTCCGACACAAAGGCAATATTTGTTGTCCTTGGTACCTTATCAGGATACCTAAGCGAGGAAGACACCGCTACGGGAGTACTCCACCATGTGATCGCCGCCGACCTGAGAAATGTACTAACTAGCAGTATTTCCGTGCTGAAAGAATTGCAGTTTCTTATCAATGAATTTATCGGAGGGGAGCATAGTAATTCGAAGGTTGGCAAGTGGAAAAGTAGCCGATGGCATTTCAAGGAGGACCAGATAAAACAATGGCGCGAACAACTCGCTGCGCATAAAGTGACGCTCAGCGTTACGGTCGCAATGGCAAACCTGTAAGCATTCCGAAACACTATTCCGATCCTCAGCGCCCTTACTCACGAGCGCATCAATTAGCATCAACACAAACACAACTGTTGAAAACACGAGACGAATAGAGGACGAGGTTATTGAGCTTAAAACCATGGTGACCAGTCTGCTTCTTCGGATGGGTTCCGCCGAAGAGGAACACGCAGATCAGGGAGTCATTATGAACAACTATAACTCAACTATGCGCCGACTTACCCGTGATGCGGATTCCATCTTATCGGAAGCGCCATGGGGACGCCCCTCGTCACCAAGTATTGTGATTAGCTCAACTGGAGTGACAATGCGGAACAAGAACAGAAATTCCTATACTTATAGGTGTTCGGCAGACATGAAAAATCCTTCCTCCGCGACCAGCGCGAAAAGCTTTAAAACGGCACGATCCTCCTTAGCACCAGCTTCGATTCATAGTGTGCGACCTGATTCTTGCTGTTCGAGGGCCACCATGGCTTCGGAGCACGACCGAAATATTGTAAAGGCAGTCGGTATTTCGGACGATCATGAATCTACGGGTCCTATTCAGATATTTGTCAAAGGCCCCCTCGGTCGGACACATGTGCTACGCTTTGAAATAAGACCCACAGTCGACGAGATCTGTTCCGAAATACAGCTCCGCGAAAGCATCCCACCGGAACGGATCTCCCTAAGAATACAGGGTCAGGTCATCAAGGGGCACGGACCCCTAGATATTGCGAACGGAGCCACCATATACGCGAACATCAATGCCTACACATGGCAAAGTAAAGAAGCTCCTTCAGTTATAACTTCCGATATTAGCGACGATTTATCAGAGAAGGATCTAGAAGATTTCGAGTTAGAGATGGGCCAAAAGGCAGCGAGAAAACGGAAGCGGACTATAGGGTCGCTATTCAGCCTCCCTCGGCTGTCGAGCGGCAGCAGTACTATATATTCCATCGATTGGTACATACGACAGGAGCTCTTGGTGCAGAAAGAGTATTTTACATTTCTATCGCGTCGCTGGAGGAAATGGACGACGAAAGAAGGCGAGTGAACTAGCATCGCGCAGCGGGTAGATATTTTCTTCCGGATTTATTGGAACGACGGTCAGGTTCTGGGATAATACGGAGTAAGATGGGCTCCATTGCGCTGATATACAGCTTAATAATGCCGTCATCGATTTCTGACTGACGTCCGCTCAAGATCGCACAATGTGCTATCTAGTACGACATAGGTCCATCGAACGTCGTACGTCGCGCGTATAAAGCGAGATGATATGTCTTCGGTGATATTTAGTATCACTTTAAGAGTTCGGTTACGATCTGCCCCCGGATATCGGGATCTTCCATCGTGGAGTTGGTGAAGGAACCTCGGCCGAATTACATCCAGAAACCTTGTATGGAAGCAGTTCAATTTCCTAAACAAGTAGGTAGACTAAGATCGAAACAGGAGTTAGCTGCGCGATCCATAGAAGAGCTGAGAGCAGACGGCGTTTTGAGTTCGGATGAGTTGGATTTGGGATTGGTTGTATCCATTATTTGCTGAGTCAATCCCCTGTTAGAACACCGTATTCCCTGACCACATATGCACTTCGACATTGTGACATCACAACACCATGTCCGCTGCCGGTGGTTTTTTCTTAGTTGGGATTCGGTCTGAACCGTAGATTCTTTATGTAGGCACATAAATAATAGGTTGCTCGTCCTCAACTGTATGTCAGTTACCACATGGCCATATACTTCCAATTCGCCGGTCGCAAATATCGTCAATCGGGGACCACCTTCACGAAGCTGCAATAAGCGATCAACAATACCATGCACGTCCCAAACACCTTTAAAATCATCGCCCTACTTGCCCCGGTTTTCTTCCAATCGACATCGGGATGGTCGTTCACTCTTTACAACGATACGGGTTGCGGTAACTCTACGGCTCCCAATACAAACGGAGATACCGTGCAACGAACTGGCGATGTGGACTGTGATTCAGTTCCCAATGCCGAACAGCAGAAGTCAATCCTCGGTAACATTGCAAATGGTACTGAGTGCAGGATCTCGTTCTACCCACGAGAAGGCTGCGGTGATAAGGTCGCGTTCGGTCTCACTCAGTATACCACATCTTGTCTTTCTATAGATGACTTCACCACACCACTTGCTTATTTCAAAGCTACCGATTGCGCATGATTAATACCGATAATGATGATGAAGTGACTGGGCAGCTGGGTTGCGATAGGGCTTGGTTTTCGTGTTGGTGGTGAGATGGAGGGGTCATTGATTAAGATTGGCGCTGGGCATTGTTTTCGAGATATCCCTGGTGTTATGAAATCTTTATGAACAGTTAGCTTCAGCATAATGCGAAGATCTTCATTATAAAAAAGGTTCACGATAATGATTTTCAGGGGGGTTTACCCCTGGAATATGATGACATAACTAAACATGCTGACATAAACGGGACGACTGACAGCTGACATAAGTCAAATCTGAAGATGCTGGCATAGCAAATCTTGATGACATAATAAAGACGCTTACATGAGCGAAGCAGATGACATAATGAAAGCTTGCTGGTAGAACTGACCGCTGACATAATTAACGGATTCAAAGAATGCTAACATAAGTAGAATCTAGAATGTGCTTCGCCTACCTGAAGTTTAGATGACATTTTCTTCCCTCACAATCATTATTCATAAGAAAGTCGAACACTTGGTGACGAGAACGAGACTCGCTTCGTAAGCGCGGCGATAGGGTCCATTTCGGTTGATTTTAAACTCGCGTATAGTTGGATCTCATGGCTTAAGGAATTATGGAACGCAGGTCCTCGAGAGATATGTTGAAGTAACAAATTCCAATGACATAATAGATATGCTGACATAATACATATATATGGACTGGAGAAACATTTGAACCCTTACATAATTGAAGTCACTTATATAAGCGAGTTATAATGACATAATTAGCTCGCTGACAGAGCAATATGACATAATGCTGACATAACGAAACTCTTGGGGTTCCAAAAACGCGTTTTGACGCGACTTATCTTTTGTAATTCGGTTAATAAGTTGTGAAAAAAGTGAATTATTGATTTTATACTACGAGTTATAGTTTTCTTTCGTCTGGCGAGAAATTATCTTCAACTACTTTGTAGGCTCTTTCGGAGATATTTACATTGTTAGCTATGCCTTCACCAGCCATATCCGACGCTGATTTCTTTGCCGGACTCGGAGCCCAAAAAGCCGCGCGAGAGGTGAGCTTCAACATCACGTTTTATTTCCCCCAAGGCTAACTCAGAGTTCCAGGCTGTAGTTAATGGACAATTAATAGCGAAACTCAAGGACAATGGGGTTTTCTCAGATGACCAGATGGGGCCATTCAAGCGCCATGCTGTCGATTATTACGAGAGGAAAAGAGAAAATCCACAACGACCTCAGCGAAATAGTCGTAGTCACCAACGTGACGTAGAGGCGAAATTCGAAACGATTCCCCAATACGATTTTGTTCCCATGGTCGTAAATTATATAGAGAAGCATGTTTCCAATGATCGTTGCGTTCAGGTGTACGAGGATGTCATATCAGTCATTCCGAGTAGTTGGGAAAGGCAAGCATCGACCCTCGCTAACCCACGACAGAAGGTGGAGACACCGTTTTCCGTAGCTAGAGCAGTATGACCGTCTATAAACCCTTATTTTCATCTACAATCCTAAAACTAACTCGCCAAAGGCGCCTGGTTCTGTCAAATCTAACGCTCAGTTAATTGACATCCTCGCATCCGCAACTGACATGAGCCCAGGGACCGCGATTATGATTCGTGGCCAAATCACATTCTGGGACTCCAAACCACCTGGTAAAGACTCAACGTCGGGCATGTTATGCTGCGGGGAACGGACTGTCAGCGGCGGCCGACTCGGTCGCGATCATATGCTCAGCGACACGCCTAATCACTACGTCCGGGACCGTTTAATGGATTATATCAACACCGTGATTGAGGAAGGCAAGCAAGATAAAGCACGAAAGGCTGTATTTTTCGACCTGAACCCCGCCGAAATCGAAGAGTATGCAGATCTCATCAGGCAGAAGACAGAAAGAGATAAGCCGAGAACAACTGAGGAATCAATCGCTCTAGTCATGGGCGGAAAGCGTCCCAAATCGTATGGGGAGATGAATAATGTGTTAAATCTAGCCGATGCTGTAGAGGAAGTCTACAAATACATCGACATGACCCCCAGGCCCAGGTTCGGACGCCGTGGGTCCGCGGAGCCAATATACCATTCGGTCGTCCAGCTAGGTTTAAAAGAGTATACACCAGAAGAAGGCCTGTGGGTTGGTACAGATATCGACAGAGACTGCGACCAGATCCGCGCCATGATCGCGCAGCTCGCTGACGGAAAGGAGTGGACAGTCGACCAGTTCCGTTTAGCGCTCGGCGACGTTTCGCGGCAACAGCTAACTAACTTCCTCATCAAATGGGGATCTGAACAAGGGCAAAACAGCGTTGTATTCCCGCTTGCGTGGGAGTTCTTCAAGAAGCGTGAAATGCTCGGTTTACCGTTGATGAATACTCCGGATAACAGTCATGTCCTTCAGGAACGTAATAGTAATACACAGAGTAAGCGCCCGAGTGATAGTGGTAAAAGGGGCGAGGGTAGCAGGAAGCGCACAAGAAAAGCATAAACAAGGCCATCTCGGTGAGGTGATTCTGTATATCTAGTAACTGTATTATAACAACTAAACACTTAGGTACCTAGGTAGGCAAGACGGTAGCTGCGAAGCTTGTATCGTATCATTGGTTTCCTTTCGAAGGTATTTCCCGGCCATAGCCATCATACAATATCGATAGATACATCATCCATCATCATCTCTCGGCCCGCACACCACCAGCAACGGCTTTATTTCGTCGAATGCTTCCGACATACATACAGCTGGTAGTCCTTTATCTCTCCTTGCTTGGGGTCTCTCGTCCCATCCCAAATGTCCTCCCAGGTTACTCCATTGACCTTAAATGCGCAGAAAGCGTAATGTGCCTTTCCTCGTTTTCGCTTTCACCAGGATATAGTCGTCAACGCTTATAGGAAGCTCGTAAGCAAAATCTTTGTATTGTTCTCAATCACTCGACCCCGTATCTTGAACTTTCCTCGGTAGAATGAAGTTGAACGGAAGGCGGTTATCGAGAATACCCGGAGCAACGGGAGGGGAACGTAGAGTAGAAGTGTCAATGGAGGCTAACAAGGGGCAATTTGTTGCAAATGAGGCATTCATGCATGGCCATCAAGAGGACCCGCGGGGTGTCGAGATTGCAGGTAGACCAGAAGAACCAGAGTCCTTCTAGAGGTTGTTGAAAACGATATCAGTGCTCGCAGGCGCGCGTGCCGACTAAGTTACAAGCTGCTAACCCGCAGATGATGACAACTTCGAGTCAGGCCGGCGTAAATGCTTTTCGTAGTCACTAGCAAGACGATAACTGTTTCTGCATTCCCATCCGCCCCGTCGAGCGACTGATGCATGGTCAGCATGTTGAAAGCGCCCAGGCATGCCTCGGCGGCTTCGATTTGCTTGATGCCGCGGGAAGGATCCTAGAAGAAATAGAAGGGATACCGTGTAATCAAGGTACCATGCCAAATGGCATTGCCTCGTCTTTGACTTGAGTTGAAAGCCATCGTTCAGGTAAGTGTGCTTAGAAATGAAGAAGGTTGAAAGAAGGTCCGTTGGTTGTTTGAAGTTGTTGAATGGAGAATTGTCAATAAGAATGAAGTTGTTTTGGTTAAGTTCCGGTAATGGTGGCCAACACGATCAATAGCATTATTTATACTTATAAAACTGCTTAGGAAAGGGTTGTGGCCATAGATTAGTACTTTCTATTATTCTAGAGTGTTACTACCCTTGACTACGCAATGACTACGCGTGTGTTACATTAGAAACCATAGCCAAAACTTACCACCTAGCTTGGTGTATGTTTATATCGTCATTCCAACAGTCGTCCTTTCTATGTCCATTTGAAGTCTCAATTCTATCGCAGTTTGCATAGTTAGTGGGGAGTTTAATGGCAGGAGTTAATCGAGAACACAAGCACCTTTACCACAACGACCGCTGAGTCAAAGGAAAGCAAGGCGTACATAACTAGCTTCAGTGTCTAAAACCTACGAACGAATCATCGTACTAAGAGATAAAGAACGTGAGGAAATGAGACTTAACTAGGCTTATTGTTCATCCGATCGATCCTTTGACGTCTGATTTAGACAGGTAAACAATGCAATTCAAGCTCCACATGTCATAATCATTTAAATTCTCTCGTCGCATCGTAGAACATTCCATTCCCATTCGAGTAAGTTGCGACAATTCAAAAGTCTAACTACTAGTTTGATCGAGAGATTCTATTACGAAGTTACAAGCCAAATACTTTGACCAAAATGTCGGACGAAAAGACTTCACGCCCGACGCCTCAGTCACTCCCAAAACTCACTATCCCAACGGAACCCCGTCGATCGGACCCAGAAGAGATAACAATAAGCCGCGTAGATGACTTTCTGGGGTACTGTCAAAAGTACAAAAGAGCCCCTATCACGCATCTCCCTCTGATCCCACCTCCACCAGCCACTCACTCGGGTTCGGAGCCAGAATCAGCGGAAGGCAGCAAGAAAAAAGACGGTGAGACAAAGGAAGATAATCACGCTGACCCCGATGTGCTAGATACACTAGCATTCACCGAACATGAGTCAGACGAGCTCGAAATTAAGCAAGCGCTGCTAGAGGAGGCAAAGAAGCAACACGAGAAATGGTATGCAGAATTCAATGTCGATAAGAAAAGTCGCGAGACGTTGCAAAAATGTAAACACTGGCGCCAAATACGCGAGCAGTTAACTCTAGAGATTTCCATGATTTGGGGTCGTAGGGAGATTCGTAGGAACTTTAGGAGGGACGCGAATCACATTAAGGGGTTAGAGAATTGGTGAGTGGATACATCACTAAGGAGCCGTCGGGTAGTATATCACTGGTAATTAGGTAGGAAAGTTATTTGGTAAGTGAGTAAGTAAAGGTCTGGTAAGTTAATCGTTGGTAATTCACTGGGTCGATGGGCTTTGGTATGATCTACTCACTTCAACCTAAGGGGTTAGACTACTTTTCGGAACGGAATTATGATAGAGTATAAACAAAAATATAAAAAATTCATATTTCTTTTGTAATCTTGACTTTCTCTGTGTACCTTCTACCTAGGTAGTTGTCAGGCGAAACTTCCATACTAGAATATCCTAGTAGTCCCGAACATGACAAGGGATTGTGATTTCGACAATAGTTACCATATGAATTAATAATTCATGAACCATCTTATTGTCTTTTATTGTTCTATAATACGGAAGTTGTAAGAAGTTGTGAATAATTGGTATATATATCAGAGGTAAAATGTTGATTCTCAGCTAACCTCTTTTCCTACGTATCACAGTATTATCTTAATATCAAATTTCGGACCAATACAAACAAAAAATATTTGCAAACACCCAACAGTTAAGTTATCTTAACCTAGTTATCCTTGAAGCTACTTATCTTACTTACCTAGGTAGATATCCGAAATAATTATTCATTTAGAAAAAATGTCTGGAAGTCCATCTAACGAAACCTCCGCTTCCCAGCCCCATCGACAGCCATCTGCAGGGCCCGCAATCCCCCTTAGGCGGTACACATTGATGGACGCTCATGGCTATTTACATCGACCACCCCCAGAGTCCGCCCAGGAATCCTCCATTGGGTCCCCATCCGCCAATCCCGCCAGTCCTAGTAAAGAGGTTAGAGAACCAAGGGATGTCGATAAAGACCGTGTACTGACAGCTTGGAACGTCCGATGGCCTTTGATATCGGGCGACGTCGAGCAAGTTGGCCTCCACCGAAGAAACGCAATTCGTCGGCGCAGAACGACCAACGTAGCTGGGGACATCCAAAATCAGTCCACGCATGAGGGCTCCGGGGATTTCATGGGTGGCCTTTCACCTCCGCCCCGCAGCCACACAATGCCGAATCCCATGCACCCGGAGCAGACCATTGACGCTCTAGCTATAATGACCCCAGTAGCGCCAGCTCAACGCGGTACGTTCCCCCCTAAGCCACAAGACGCCGAAATCGACATCTCACTGGAAAGTCCGTTAGAGATGCTCAGGTCCGACCCGCTAGGCTTTTTACTCCAACGAGGAGTGCTAGAGAGGCGAGATTCGGAGGACTCGGGAGATGAAGTCTCCTTTTTCGTTCGATATTCTCCATCTACGAGAACCCCATAATGCTAATCCGCATCATCTAGTTCCCGCCAAAACTCCCCCTATAGCCAGCCCCACTTCACAACTACGCCCAGGGAGAGATCGAAGCATGACATCCTCGTTCGGTTTTCCGCCCCCTCGTCCAAGACCCCCTGAGCCACCTAGAATGTGTCCGGCCAATGAGTCAGCTCCCCACGACGTCACTAACGAGCTTCGAAACGCGATACAAGGAACATCGAGGCCGGTGAAGGTAACCACGGAGCGTCTGAATCGGCACTTCTAGAGCGGTTATGTGATGTTAGGGATGATAGACTCATCGAGAGATTTCTAATTGGTAGATCGCGTTTAGGTATTAGCGAGGTGCAATGGATTGACAGTCGGCGGCGCCGGTGAGCCCGTCTTTACGGCTTAGATTTATAGTCTGAATGGAAAACTTGATACCCAAAATATAGTACGTTTCGTGTTCCCTATTCGCATGTATATTAACGAAAACAATTGTTTGAGAACAATTACACCATGGCTCTGAGCCACTTCGTGGTAGTCGAGAGCGCAATCTTGGATAGGTAATGTCCGCCCGCATTCTCTCAGCTTCCCTGACGTGGATCCCGATGTCAGGCAACGAATCAAGATGATTACGTTCAATGGCCAATATAAGCCATTATCTCGAACGGTTACTTACCTAGGTAATTACCTAGGCAGTCTTCCTGTCGCTTAGATAAGATCGTTGTCTAAACAATAACAAAGTCTTGAAACATACCTCAAAGAATTGTAATTCCATAATGACCTAATAGTTCGTGAACCATCTCGCTGTTTTCTATTGTTTTGGAACGCGAGAATTGTCCGAAGTCATGGAAAATAAGTATAAATACCTGAGCCAGGTCGCCGATCATGTTTGACTGTTCTCTTCTCTCCACAACATTAGTTTTATACAAACCACCAGGAAAAACAACTAAAGCTTCTTAGCACCAGTATCTTTTAAAACGAATACCGAATTATTTAAATCAAGATATTCATAAGAAATTCATACGGATTAGAACATCATGTCTTACCCTCAACACATCATAGACATGGCACACCGCTGCCTTCGGGAACGAGAGGAGAAAATTAGGCTCCTCTCGCTCAATTCCAGCGGAGAGAAGACTGAGAATAACTCTCCTCAGTCTAATTCTCCTCAGCCTCAGCCTGAGCCCGAGCCCCAGTCCCAAGCCCCCGCCCAGCAGCCTCAACCTCCCAAAGAGGCTCAGCAAGCCGCAGCGCCGAAACGTCAGATTCGTCGCCGACATCTACCTGAAGTGAATCGGGAGATACAGGCTGAGGTGGCCGCCGACCTGGCGAGGTGGCCACTCATAACAAGGGAGCCAAGACAAGGATCGGCTCTCCGCAGGCATGGGGCCATGCACCAGCATTTCAGGGGGGTGCCGAACAACCACGCGTTCCGAGGTGGGTTCCTACACCGCAACACCCGACCTAGTCCCAACCAGGCGGAGACCGAGGATTCGGGCTCCCGGCGAACTAGCAATAGTTCGATCCAGAAAACGCCCCCCTCATACTTCGGAGGGAAGAAGAGCAAAACCCCTTCTCCCATCTTTGGGAAGGGGTCTAACGGTAACACCCCTCGTAGGCTAAGCGCCTGGGGTGAATTTGCCACGGACCCCCTCGGTGTATTGGACCGGCGCCATTACCGGGACTACCGCCACCATCCGTATTAAGCGGGTGGAGGTGGCTTTATTGTTTCTTTTGTGTTACTCTAGAATTCGCCGCCCTCAAAGGGTTCGATCATGCTATAGAATTCTAGTTCCCGCTCCCCTGCCCCAAGCCCCTGATCAGCTTCAAAGGACGTACTATTGACGATCTAGCACCGGACAAAAATGGTGGAAAGGCCCTGGAATGCAGAGCAGGAGACGTGGAAGCTCGTCAAGATCCACAGGATAACCTCTGACTGCATATAGAACCGCGATCAACGAACTCCGAGATCGTATACATATATCGAGGCAAACATTCGCATAGTACAGTATATGGTATTTCGTGGAGGACATTAGGCCCCTTGGTACATAGCGAATGCTTGATTGCGGATGGGATAGGTAAGTCTGCCCCAAATAGAATAGTCAATGGTAGTCAATAGAATGCTTCTACTTGAAGCTGAATATACCCCCAAACCTAGTAAATTTCGAATTCCCTGTCTGTGATTTGTATTTTAGTGAGTTCGACCGTTTGGTGTCCGTGATACTGAAACTTCACACTAGTCTACCGCAGTCTATAATGCAATTATGGTGTCGGAAGCCTAACCATATGAAGCGATACACCATGAAAAGATCAAGTTTTGGAGTTCAGGCCTCCATTCCTCAGAGGCCTCAATGATTGCTAGCAATTCTTTATCGTACATCTCGTAGTTACTCTCGGCTGGGCTGTGTTTTGATGAGAAGAAAGCGATGGGTCGTACTGTTCCTTGCTCGTCGTACTGAGATGGAACTCCACCTGTCGCGCCATCTGAAGCGCTCGTTTCTATGATGGTTCTCTTTAGAGGATTAAAGTGCGTGAGGATAACTATATGAAGCGATACACTAGGTATGAGAGATATTAGGAGACGCCCTTATCATAGTAACGGCCCTTTATTGCCGAGATAAGAACAAAGAGACTAGTCGTGTATGCTTACAACCCCTAGCAGCAGCGCTTTCCTTGAGCAATAATAGAACTATCTACCCTCTTTATGGTTGACCCCACGACAACCTCTAAGAGATAGCTATAAACCCCGACATTAGGTAACGAATCCACACCATAATGTTTAATAGCCAAGGCCTTAGGCAAGCCACTATACCGAACGATTAAATTTGCCGATACTTAGGTGAGAAGAGCTGTCTCAGTGCCTTTCTACGATAGGACGGGGGTGATAAGCCTCAGAGGGGATACCGTTTGAGGGAACGAGCAACGCGCAGGCGACACCATAGTCTGCGCCCGCAGCATGCGAGTAGGGCAGGATGTCTTCGAGTTGCAGTGAACGGGTAACCACGAGATCAACTATCAAAGCTTCAACCCTCTATATCCGCATCCACTAGACAGATACCACCCACCAAGAGCGTGCAGAACCATTGGACAACGTAGACTAACGGGAAGGTGAGATTGAGGAAGAGGGTCGTCGATATATCCGTGGGCGCATCGAAGTTCGCATTCAGTAGACACATTGACAAACGGCCGAATCGGCATAAGGCAAAGGCAACTATCCCCGATCTCTCGGTTTTAGAAGAATATATGGTGGGTGTTTGCCATATCGTATCGTACGGTATATCAGTAAACATTTAATTTGCAAGATATATATAAGCTCCCTTTGGGTGCCGACCCAACGACTCGGTAATGATCTAAACCAGTCGGGGAGTAACAGATCCAAAGTTCCGTAGATCCTCTCCACGACAGTCGCGGAATAGCCTAGTTTATCTCAGGCACCCCATCGACGCCAATATCGTCGGTGGCGTTTTCCATCTCGGGCATCATCGGCAATAGTTGTACCAGCTGATCCCTGCGCGGTATGTACCTACCTAGTACGGTAGGTACAGTAGCTGAACATCAGGAATGTTTGCTTTATCGTGCGAGGCTGATGGTATATGGTCTCCTTTCGGTTAGACCGGTTGACCCAACGCTGGGTCCCCGGAAAGAAAAGGGCTTGATCACATATGGGTTGCGTAACGAATCCCACACATTGAACGTCCGTGTCACAACTGACTGGCGTTGACGTACGTACCACAAGCGCCTCCGGCTGCTGGGACCGAAAATGAAAAGGCAATCAACGAAATGAGTCATGTAAATGAGCCTATTACGTAGTAGGTGATATCCTATTAATGGTCGCCGACTAATTAAAAAATTCCGAGGTGGTAAAACTCGGCAAGGCTTAGTTTATATAGTAGGTGGCAGCTGAATCTGGTCACCCCGATGAAGTATTCCTACAAGGTTAATACAGATCGGCGGACAATGCCAACGCAGAGCTTCTAGAGCTAAAAGAACAGACAAAGAATTTGTAGATATTGCCCCACATGAGCACGTACACAAAGTAGTGTCTATGTGAGCTGGTTAGTTAGACACGTACAAGATTGTCGAGCAATGTAATCTGAAACCGATGTCAAATCAAGACATGCCTCTCCCCGGAATAGCGGTGGAGAGCTAGTTGTACGTAGTAGGCGGGTGTCACGACGCCACAAACTGTCAAACAATGAGCAAGCCAGATCTATTAGGACAACAGGTCTATCATATGCAAGGCTAAGGTTTCCTATCCTCATCACACGAAGTAGGTGCCGTGATGGCAATCCTATGGGAAACTAGGAGGATCTTGGATCGTGTTTCGAAATTCCTGTAGTCATGGAAATCTGAGCACGAGACTAGTAACGCTGGCAAAGCCAACGGCCTCGCCCCGACAAACTGGTATTGGGTAGGCTTCGAGGAATCGATTCGCTGCCCGACGCTGTTCCTGCATTGGTAGGTGTGGCAGCCCGTTATAGTGCATGCAGCGTCAGTCTCCGGATCAATGGGCAGGACTAAGCTGTGTACGGACATAGTCAACGATGGTCAGCAGGATGGTTGCAATTCTAAAATACTCCGAAACCCCAGAAGGCCCCCGGGAGCTGGGGACGCTAAAAAGGTAAGGTATGTTCGGACAGGTTCGCCACCAAGGTGTTATTGTACGAAGCCTATTTGGGTATTTGTAGTGCGAAGTTCGCATGGTGACGGACGATTCTTAGTGTGAGCTTGCTTGACCGACCTGTATTAACGGGCTTGGCTAGAGCAGATTAGGTTGTTAGAGCCGGCTAGAATCAAGATTCCCGTGATAGTTTGATATTGGTATAGATTGCCCTGCCGAGGTAGGTAATCTCTTTTTTTTTTTCTTTAGATATTGTTTGAGTCCGAGATTTGAACGGAAACAAATTCTTTCGAGAAACCAAGAAAGACGGTGTTATGTGCATAAAAATTAATGACGAACGAGGCGTAACTTGCGATTGGTAGCTGCGGCAGCACGGTTACAAAATCCTTGCCGCTTATCTTGAACTTGAACTTGATCGTCCTTCTTTTCGACTGATCGTGGGTCCGGAACCTATTGTAACGCAAGTTTGGGATGAGGCGAACCAACCAACATGTGGTCGAAAATTATCAAGGACTTGTTGACGCCTTGATCAACGTAACGTGCGCGCAGATGCCAGTGGTAGATCGTAGAAACAGATTTCCACGTGTCGAACGACTGCGCCGCACATACAGCGGAATTAGATGCGATCCAAGTACGGCGATACGATATGTCAATCCGACTGTCCGAGAGCCTTGCGACGTTCGTAACCTAGTTGCCATTGTTGCTAATACAAATAGGGAGTAAAATCCAACCCCGCATCACATATATCCATGTTGATGTGGAAGTAGAAGAGTACTAGCCAAGCTTGGCTGAAGGAGGATCTTTAATAGCCCTGGGAGGTACTTATTCAATACTTCCCTGGCGGCCTGGTTACTCAAGTACACATATGAGGTGTGTGTGTACTAAACAAATGCTTCGGAGAAAACAGCCACTGCCGACGAGCAGGATCCGTGCTTACTGCATGTTGATAAGGGTGATTAATGGCGATGACGATGATTATGATTATGATGATGATGGATAACGGTTTTGTTTATGATGGCTGGATGGCTGAAGAAGACCTATCAGGTCCGGGATCCTATTTGGGATTGGCGATGAAGCATTAAGGAATAATAACACGCGTTCCCCTTGATGGTTGATGGCGAGTGTTTCATCTTGTTAGTTCATGTTTCGATAATTGGCATATTACTGGATGATGTGATGCGGTTGAGTCCTCCCGTTCTTCCCAGCGCCATGTATTCAGATTTTGCGGCATCTCTAAGCGCCCGTCTAATAAAAATACGAATATGTTGAAACAAAACAAAATAGCTGCACAGAGCCTTGTTATTTTTCTTTTCTAGACGCAATATAGATTGAAAAATGCAACACTGCCACTCGCTTGGGATGTCGAATTTTTCCTAATGCTTCATGCGCAACACACGCCTTAGGTCGATGTTTGAAGCTGATTCGTACAAGACGGGAAATTTGATGTTGTTTTTTTCAGGAGTCTCGTTGCAAGTACATTTCGAAAATGCATTATCTCGATAGCATGCAGCAGCTAACTGTAATTGTCTGCCCGTGCTGCCATGCGGCCATGGTGCATAATAGAGAAATTTGTGGAGTCGGAGACTTTACACCGCGAACCCTTGAACCTTACTTCTTGATGTACCCAAGTAGTAACTTTTTAAGTCTTGGACCCTTGCCTGTTCTTTTTGCCCCTGGTTACCCCTGTCAGACAAAGCCTTTATTGGTTGCCGAATAAATGCAGGCGTTCCTGGATAACTGGAGAACCATAGAAGGGAATTTATTCCGTTATTAAGTCGTTTTAATTACCCGCTAAAGGTTAGTCGCTTCAACTGCTCGGGTAAACTAGTATAAATATAGTAATTAGATCGTTGGTAGATTTACTTTTTAGTTGCGTTTTTCTTATATTAATTAATTATGTACATCTGCATGGTTTCTGTAGTAAAGTTCTTACGAGAGATTTTACGCGAGAAGAACCTCTCACTTAATAATATGAAGTCATGGTTCATTTATTTTGCTCACCACAGTTCTTCACATCATTGCAAAGTAACAAAAGAGAAAATCCCCTCGGACTGGCCGGTCTGGTACCATACAGTAAGAATTGTATGCTTCTTCTTTTTACCTCTGTTTCATATCAATCCTATGCTTGAAGGTTGTCGATCATCACGAGGTTGTTTCATGAAATAAATGCACTAGCGACCGCACGAGCCGTGACCTCTGCATTCAACCCTGAGGGTACTTCCCCATCCCGTCCGATATAGTATCCATGAACCCTAGCTAGTCTTTCGGTAACAGTTCCTACTGTCGCATATGACGGCAATAGAGGTGGCTGGTTCTCCATAACAGCATGGCTTCGAGAAAAGGTTAGGATCATAACATGACCTTTCGAATAAAAGTTGTAGAATCAAATGGATTAATTATTAACAATCCGAACGTTATTGACAAGGTTAAAGGTGATGCTGTAACGCCTTTGCGGAGGACCTACTTTATACAGTTTAAGTGATACCAATAAGAAGATTAGGTACTAAATTACAACGGAGTTGCCCCCCACCATCCATTACCATTACCACCATTACCACCACCGCACCTGCAGACCTGCACTCTTTTTTCCACACTTCCCACACGCACCTTCCACCTAAATTCAGTCCAATCCATCCACAAAGAAAAAGGGAAAGGTCCACGTAATAAACACATGTACATATACCTCCCGTGGAATTAAGTGCATTGCGTGCGTGCACATCTGAGTTTATATAGGAACATTCGAAGATCTTAGCGATAAATCTTGTTACTGTGACTCGATATAATTATGTGTGACAGACAACATGCTAGACCGCTAGACAGGAAGGGGAAAAAAGTCAAGTGGTACCCCCTGGACAATAGAGTAAGTGGTGCACACCATCATTGATATCATCTATCATCATTCGTCAAAAAGGGAGAGAAGGGAAGAAAAAGAATAAAAAGGAAAAAAAAGCAAAGAGGCAGGTCGAGACCCAAATCACCTGATGTTACTTGCATATCTTGTATCAAATAGGTCAAATTAAATGGAGAGTGGTTGAAGTGCACAAAAAAAAAACTTTTATTGTGAATGGACAATTGGGATTTCTTTTTTGTTCATCACCTGCAGTTAACACATTGTAATTATTGCTTCAACAATTCCATATACACGGGGGGCGAGAGATCCATTGATATCAGAATTTAGAATTTAGAATAATTCCCCATTACGGCGCTAGTCAGCAATTAAGACAAGTACGCCGCTTGGTACCTGCCGCCGTTGTATGTCACCACGTTAAGTACCTGCCTAGGTACTTGCTTAGGTACTGCTATTATTCCAGCTCGCTTCCGTTTTAATCAATAGCGTCGAACTCTCCCTTCTGTTTTTGTACATAGAGCCGACTAACCAACCGAATTGATTTTACCTATCATTTTATCGTCCGCCGGTACCTATTTTGTACCACTACCATTACAACCACTACACCACACCTAGCACTAACTTTACAATACTACCTCACCCTATTCTTCTCTTTCCCCCATCCCGCAAAATATCCAGAGACAGAAACAGAACACAGAGAAATCTTGTCTCCCTCCCCTTTTTTCGTACACCACACCACCCACACATACAGTCCAATCCATCCAATCCATACATACACCCCCGACCGACCGCCTTACGCCCTGTCGCAGCTCAGTCTTCTTGAGCGCCGACCCCTCTCCTCACCCTCTTCGTCCTAGTCTCGTACAATTTCACAATTTCACAATTTCTAGTACGATTTCCAATCAATTTCGTGCAACATCAAGCACGACCTCTTCGGGAGCCTATATGTCTTAACGAAGGTCTATCCGCGTGTTGTGTTGTGTGCGTGCGACTCACATCTTTTACCCAATTCTGCGGCTAGTTTCGTCGCAGCGCAACGCAGCGCAGCCCTTTCAATCGCCTGCCCGGACCGCCCTACGTTGTCAAACCCTCACTTATATACACACCGAACGATCCATTATTGATATAACTCGAGGGGAGAAACATCATTCGAGTTATAATTCTCTTAATTGGCCATAAACAAAACACCCGCATAGTTTCCTAGCATTTCGATTTCGTCGCCGACAGTTCAACCCGAGGCTGTCGGCGTATAATTAAATACATATACACCTAGTTACTCGATTCACACAGCGGCGGATAAGACTCACATATCCCTTGCGGGAATCCGAGTCAACGACCCTGAATACTCAACGGATCGAGGTCCATCTGGTTAAACCACGTTAATATTGGCGCTCACTGGCACGTATCGCCGACTTCGACTCCGATCTCCTGTTCCTCACCCGAGAAAACGAATCGTTACGAAATACACCGATAATAACTTTGGTACCTAGCTACGAAATCACGAAGCGGAAACCGACGGGACGATTTGCACGATCGCTTCAACCAACGTTACATGCGAAATATCCTTAACCATTTGTGACTCGACAGAACCCCTATGATACTCGTTCCATTACAAGTACGAATTTACATAATCTTGATATTCGAATGATTACAATTCGCTATCACGTCCAGTTCAATACCGCAGCGCCGTTATTATTATAATAAGCGGTGACCGGCACAACCGAAAGAGCAGAACGTAATTGCTCGAACATGTCAGTCATGTTACAAACACCTTCTAGGGCATCCACGGCCTCGTCTTCTTCCTTCCAACCTATTTCACGCCAAAACACCATGTCTTCCTACGAGGGCTCGCGCTCAGCGCGACAGTCTAAGCGATATTCTATGTCCGCTTTGTACCTGTCCATGTCGGCGAACGAGTCAGACTTGGAGATTGAAGATGATTTGGCAAAAGGTATGAATTTTATCAATATTCGCAACTTTTAGGATACAATGGGGCTAATATTGGTGGTGCACTACAGCGCAGAAGATATTGCGAGAGTTGAAGTCGAAAATCTCCTCTCAATCCAAGAAGAACTTCGTTCTCGAAAAGGATGTTCGATATCTCGATTCTCGAATCGCGTTACTTATTCAGAACCGAATGGCTCTTGAAGAGGTGTGTTCCGTTCTTTCCCTATCGTTAATCCATAGCTAATTTGGGCCATAGCAAAACGAAGTCGCAAGTCATCTTGAAGATGCGACCGAATTACAGGAGGGCGCATTCCCCAACGACGACAAGACACAGAAATATGGAAACTTATTGTTCCTACTACAGTCTGAACCCAGACACATTGCGCACTTGTGTAGATTGGTATCTATGGCCGAGATTGACTCACTTCTACAGACCGTTATGTTCACCATATACGGAAACCAATACGAAAGTCGAGAAGAGCACCTCCTCTTGACTATGTTTCAAGTACGTTATAATCCATTCTAATACGCCGAGGAAGATTGCTAATTGACCCTCCTTTAGTCCGTCTTAACTTATCAGTTCGACACGACCCCCGAGTATTCCTCTCTTCTCAGAGCGAACACGCCGGTATCTCGTATGATGACTACCTACACTAGGCGTGGTCCTGGGCAGAGCTTCTTGCGAACGGTACTGGCTGATAGAATCAACAGCCTCATCGAGTTGACGGATCTTGACCTCGAAATCAACCCCTTGAAGGTTTACGAGCGCATGTGTCAACAGATTGAGGAGGATACTGGTAGCCTCCCGCCTACTCTCCCTCGGGGCATCACTGGCGAGCAGGCCGCCGAGAACCCCCAAGTCCAGGCTATTATAGAGCCTCGTCTGACGATGCTTACCGAGATAGCTAATGGCTTTCTCACGACGATCATTGACGGATTAGAGGAGGCTCCTTACGGTATTCGATGGATCTGCAAGCAGATTCGAAGTCTAACCAAGCGAAAGTACCCGGATGCGAATGACCAAGTTATTTGCACCTTAATCGGCGGCTTTTTCTTCCTGCGTTTCATCAATCCCGCCATTGTTACACCTAAGTCATATATGCTCATCGACGGAGTCCCCTCCGAACGACCAAGGCGAACGCTTACTCTTGTTGCTAAGATGCTACAGAATCTGGCCAATAAGCCATCGTATGCGAAGGAACCATATATGGCTAAGTTGCAACCGTTTATTCAACAGAATAAGGATCGTGTCAACAAATTCATGTTAGATCTCTGCGAAGTTCAAGACTTCTACGAGAGCCTAGAGATGGATAATTACGTAGCTCTTTCCAAGAAAGACCTAGAGCTCTCTATTACGCTTAACGAAATTTACGCCATGCACGCCTTGATCGAAAAGCATAGCGGAGAATTATGCAAGGACGAAAATTCACACTTGTCGCAAATCATTGCGGAACTCGGTCACGCACCAGCCCAGGTACCTCGAAAGGAGAATAGGGCGATTAACCTTCCCCTATTCAGCCGGTGGGAGACTGCTATTGACGACTTAACGGCTGCTTTGGATATCACTCAAGAAGAGGTTTACTTCATGGAAGCCAAATCCATCTTCGTACAGGTCATGCGCTCTATTCCTTCGAACAGCTCGGTCGCCCGCCGGCCGCTACGGCTCGAAAGAATCGCCGACGCGGCTGCTACATCAAGAAATGATGCGGTTATGGTTAGAAAGGGTATCCGCGCCATGGAATTGTTGAGCCAACTCCAAGAGATGAAAGTCATCGACAAGTCAGACTCATTCGGTCTTCTAAGAGATGAAGTCGAACAGGAGTTGCAGCACTTAGGTTCGTTGAAGGACGGCGTTATTGCCGAGACCGCCAAACTCGAAGAAGTGTACAAGACGATTAGAGATCACAACTCGTACCTCGTCGGTCAATTGGAAACGTACAAGAGCTACCTTCACAATGTCCGAAGTCAGTCAGAGGGCACGAGACGAAAGCAGCAGAAGCAACAAGTTCTCGGACCTTACAAATTCACTCATCAGCAACTAGAGAAAGAAGGTGTCATTCAGAAGAGCAATGTTCCCGATAATCGAAGAGCTAATATCTACTTCAATTTCACCAGTCCTTTGCCTGGCACTTTCGTCATTTCACTGCATTACAAAGGTTGGTCTCAATGAGCAAGTTGCATTTTTCACAATACTAATTCGTGTATAGGCCGCAATCGTGGACTTTTGGAACTCGACCTCAAGCTCGACGACCTTTTAGAAATGCAGAAGGATAACCAAGACGATTTGGACCTCGAATACGTACAGTTCAACGTCACGAAGGTATTGGCCTTGTTAAACAAGCGCTTTGCCAGGAAGAAGGGCTGGTGATTAGGGAACACCAGCATCTAATTGAATACGAGGGTCTCCGGCCCAATCCCACTGAGCACTTGCAACACGTTTATTTCTACGACCTGGCGCGGCGTTCACGGCTCATTACGACTTGATACCATTTTCTTTTGCTGTACCAGAGTTGTTGCACTCATTTCAGATGAGATCTGCCGAATACTGTTTTACCCGCGCATCAATACGCCACAAGCAATGACACGAGCCAACCTATTTCCGACGATTAAAATAAGGATGATTTCACCAGGGCCGATATTTAGAGGCGGATAGGTCAGGTTGGCGGTGTGGAATTTGTCCTAGATGGCGAGATGCGCATGATCATAACCAAGGACTAGTCTCCCTGGCGCTTTTATTTGTTGCTGATGTAATGTATTTCACATCCTACGCGACGTGGATTCCTAGTCAATGGAGTTGAAAATAACAGTCGATTGATTTCTCCCAAGGTGTAGGAAGGGGTGTGATGAAGGTGTTGCGGTCCCAGTGCTAGTGCCTAACTGGATACCGCCTATAAAGGGAGAAGATGGCGGAAGGCGTTTATATCCAGGCTGATAAGTGTTCATGGAACAGAATAGGGGTGTGAAATTGGTGGACTCGGTATAAGATCCCCCGTAAGTCCGTTTACACGGCTGATGCTACTTCGGCTGGTCCGGTGGTTTCACGCCGTACGATTTCTGGAGGCATATTTCCTAAGCTTTTTAGGCAAGGATTTTGGGGGATTATGTAGGACTTGTTTGGAGGGATGAAATACATAAATGAATCGAGAGCTTTGACGATAAAATCGACTCGTTACTGAGATGAGTACAGGAATATCCTATCGACAATATCAACTCGAAATTTCACAAATGGACCTTTTAAATGCTTCAAATAACGTGTTACTTTGAGCTTCCTATTCAACTTATAACATCTTCGTCTCTCTAGGGCGACCTTACTGAACAGGAACTATTAACCGATCGACATCTGGTCCCCATCCATCACCAACACCCTCAATAGCAATTTCATTATCGCTTCCAGCCTTAAGATCCGCGTGTAACGTGCTACTCGACACACTGCTACCAGTAGGCAGGAAAGCAATCTTCTGCGCAGCACCACCATTGACACGCACATTTGCATATCGCGCCGAGCTATCACCGTTTACATACCGAATGCGCACTGTGGTCCGCGCAGCCGCATCGCTATGCACACCCCCAAATGTCACGGTTCCTTTGTCTGGCCCGCCTACGTAACCCGCAGCTGTGCTACCCGAGCAGCTCCCACAGCTCACATCCCGCGTCTTGCCGCCGTATGTCGCGGCTTCGCCTTCGTACGCTGTCTCGGCCGGCTTCGCGGTAGAAGCGGAAGATGATGTGCTGGCGAGGTTAGGAACCCAGGATTCGGCGTTCGCCATGGTTACGGTTGTACCGCTGATGGTGAGGGGAAGCCAGACGTAGGTCGACGCCATGAGGTTCTTGCTTACCCACCGATCGCCGAGGTAAATAGCTGCGTTAGAACCGACGGGGAGTACATAATTAGTCTGCGAAGTATACGTCTTACTCCCCGAATCCGCAAACGTTTTCCATGCGCTCCACCCGCTAGTTAGCGATGTAGACGTGCTAAACACATTATCATTCGGATCCCAACCCGTCAATTTCGAGCCAAACATATAGTACCGACCATTCAATTTCAATAGCGCGGGTGCTTCGATACTATCAGGCCAGAGATACGTACTCGAAGCCACGGATAAGTAATCATCGGATAACTTCATAATGCGCAATCCGTTCTGTCGGTCCTCTGATAACAAATACCCCGTCCCATCATCATCCGCGAATAATCCCATATCCCGACTCTGGTGGCTCAAGGGTTGGAACGAGTTTTTATACGTGTATTTCCCACACACGGTATCACCCGTCGCGACGCCGACTTTGGCTTCGCCGTAATTGGAGGAGTCGATGTGCATATACAGAACGTATTTGTTGGTCTTGGCGTTGAAGAGGACTTTAGGACGCTCGACTACTCGGTTGGGGCCGAGATCGCCAGATGATGTACGTGAGAGGAGCGCGCCTTCGTATGTCCATTGCACCAGGTCGGTTGAGGAGTAGCAGTTCACGTTTTGGAAGGCGCTGCCGCCGGTTTTGTCCTCGCCGACTAGGTAGTATGTTGAGTTTACTTTGATTAGGCCCCCGCCGTGGGCTTGGAGGTGCTCATTGTTTGACTGGGATTATGTTAGTCGCGATAATTTTGGTGGCGTTAATATCGGAATAGGGGGAATAGGGGCTTTGATGACTAAGCGGGGTATCGGAGGTCATACCGTCGTCCATGTACCTCCCGGCACAATTTGTAGACTCGCTTCTGCCAGCGATGATAAAGTCGCAAGAAGCGCCAGACGAGGGAAATGCATCTTTTGGATTTTTAAAATACCAAGAAGGTAGTTAAATGCAACCGACCAAAGTATGCATGCGGGATCTACATGCAAATCGATTGAAAGCAGAAGCTCTTCCCATAACGGCGAGCTGTCGTATTGATATATTACAAGCTTATTGATATGATGCAAGGCAGCCAGGGTTGAAAAGCATCCACCCGCTGTGGGGAAACAATATGGATATCCGGATTTCTGGGGTAAGATCTCCCGCGGGATAGATTTAATACGAAGTTCGAGACCCCGGTTGGAGAAGCGCACCAAAGACGACATTGCCCTCTCCACCCGGTGCTCACATGGCTCAGGTAAGTATTCCTCGTTGAGAAATATTGACCGGTGCTACATTAAGGGCCTTCTTATTTTTATTTTAATATGACTTTCGTGTTGGTTGTTGTATACAATATTATGCGCTAGGTAGGAACCCGGTTTTTCGATGTGTTTTCTTTGCCGTGTCGGTTATAGGGGCGGCTAAAGTTAGACCTAGACCTTACCATTTCTTTTCGGTCTCGGCCGGCTCCTCGCCGATTATATGTAAGATCTATTGAATGTTCTGTATAACGGTTGGTGGATAAAAAGATTAGATTGCTAAGAGGTAGCATTATGAGGGGAGTCGAACTCTTAACTTGCTAGGCAATCCGGGGAATATCGCCGCCACCTCCTCCGCCGCCAACTTCTCCGCCAACTTATGTAAATATTTCTATACCAACGCGAATCGAGGCCTACTTTAACTGATACGAGATTATTCAGTATTGAAATTGTACCACTAGGCCCTATGGCTCAGTACAGCAAACAAATACCCCAGAATACTGTATTTGATAGATAGCCTCGGTTTAATATCGTATTTTTACTTTACCTTCGGTCTTAATAGGTACCTTAGCATGAATATGTGTCACGTAGGTTAGCTGTATATATGTCTAAATGATGCCGAACTTTCCACGCAACTCAAGATGACCATTTGACAAGTAGCTGAGTTGGGAAGCCCTATGTGACACCCAAGTATCAATTCGCTATGTCATCTGAACCCAAAGGTGTGTGACCAAAGACAACACAAGCATGACTTGGATGTGTTTGCTTTGTGTGTCTACACAACTAGCTACATAGCCACGTAGGGAAACTACCTCCGTTATAACATGTTGGAAGCTCTCGGGGTAATATTTGAAATGCATTGGACGAGGAACTTTAATATTCCACGAGACGATTAACTTCATGGCCCCTTTTGACGGACTGTTCGGTCTAATTCGCAAACATGGAATCGACGATCTTCATTACCAGCTGCGTAGTCTGTGCGCTGAGCTTACTTTCGGTTGTCTTGCGAGTTTATTCAAGGATCCTGACGAAAGCAGGCTTGGGCTGGGATGATAAACTTGTTCTAGTCGCCGAAGCTATTGGGATCGCGTTATTCGGTCTCTCTGTATATCGTACGTCATTTACTTCCTAGGTGCCTAGGCAGCCTAGCCGCTCGTCCATATATCGGATCTTGCAGGATAACTTACCAATTCACAGTATGGGGTCCGGGACACGGCCGTCTTCCTTCGAAGGCGCCAGTATCCCAATATGACACTCATAGCATTTTATCTGTAAGTTCTTCTGTACCTATGAAGGAGCAATGGTAAGATTGCTACTGACTATTACTACACTAGCTCCTACTCTTCTTCGAGTCCCTCTACCTATTCTCCATGTGTCTTGCGAAGCTCAGCGCCCTCTGCTTGTACGTGAGAATTTTCGTCCAGAGTACCTTCAGACTTGTATGCAAAGTCATCGGAATAATCACAATACTTGTATACGTAGGATTACTCATCCAAACCTTTACCAGCTCACAGATCGCGCTCGCCCTTTGGGATCATCTCGATGAAAAACAGCTGATGAGTAAGCGGAAGTTCGATATCGTCACCGTTGCGTTGAATGTTTTGGGGGACGTTATTATTATTACTCTACCTGTATACCCTGTTTGGAAGTTGCAGACCCGGATCAAAACCAAGATCAGCTTAACAATACTTTTCAGTCTTGCGACGTGGTAAGGTCATGCCCAGAATTGGTACTCACCTTTGTTTATTGACGTAGTTGGATAGTGTTGCGGTCGTTTCGTGTATTCGTCTGGGCTTCATCGCCTATGCGGACTATGATACATACTCGCTCTTCGCTTACAGCAGTCGTGACTTGTATTTTCATGTCCTCGAACCCGAACTAGCGATTTTCTGCCTCAACCTGCCGGCATTGTTTCCGCTATGGCAAAGGTTACACAAGAAACATAGTACTGCCGAAGGACAGCGATACGAAAACTATCATATGAATAACTTAACCCCTTTCGGTGGAAAGACGGATGGTGAGCGTTCCTTGCGCTGGGAGGAAGTTATCGCCGGGGATAGTGCTAGATATAACGTTGATATCGTCGCAAGAACCCCATCATCGGCGTCGGCGTCGCACTTATCGGCAAAACCCGACGCGCATGCACACGGATCCAAACATGCTCTCGCAGGCTTGAATAGAAGAGATGGAAATCCTCAATCTGCTGATATCAAAGTAAAAAAAACTTGGCAGGTTTCCAGGAACACTTAAGTCCTCTCTACCTACTTCATCATCAGAAATGGCCCCTGAGAAGTAACCCCTATATTCTGCTTACATAATCAAGAGTCGCCTAGTTTTCACCACGACTTTATTATCCAAGGAAATAAGATTCCGAGAAGGATTCAATAGATATTCTTCATTTATGAGGATGAGCTCTAGGGATATAAAATGTCATAACACCAAAGGCATAAATGAATAGTCGGCTCTCTAAAACGTAAGGGCGAGGAGCTTTGAGCCCTCTAAGAGAAGTGGGAAATTATTAATAATTATAAAGAAAAAAGGGAGCTAATTATTGAGCGGAAAATGACGACTTTCTCAAGGTTAGCTGCTCCGTATTCTATGCGGATTTCTCCCTTAGCTTCGGCTTTCCTGTGTGGAGCCTGCCGGTAAATACTCTAGTGTGCTGGATCTACTTAGGCAGGGAGTACCAAAATTCTGCATAATCAACAAGTATTAGGATTGAACAACTGTATATTTTGGAGTTTTAATGTTCAAAAGTTGACTTGCATGCGATATTGGTGACGCGCGAGGAGCATATTGTGCTTACGAAGGCGACGATCTTCTGAAGAAAACATACGATATTCTGAATGTTGGCAGAAAGCTCGACACTGAATTAGGCATGGTACGAATACTTGGCTCATCATAACATCGTGGTATGTTATATACTAATTTAACCCCTGCTGGATATCCGTGCCCGTGCAAACCGTTTGTAAGTGAGCTCATCAGCTCGTAGGCATATGCAATCTGCTAATACAAGGGTTCTCCACTTAAGCCTATGATGCGAAGGCAAGTTAGACGGATATGATCTTGGCAATAGAGATGCTTCGGGTTGGGTGGAGTTGAAGGTTTTCGTCGGGACTAACCGAGTCGACAGGGTTGTCTGTGGATGAAGAACGCGGTCCAGTTCCATGGTACGACCACAAACGGTACTGATACAGTCTCGTCTCCTCATAGGGATTGTATGAACTTTTGCAACAGCGGATTTACGTACAATCGCCGACTATTGCAGATCTCTGGAGCTTACTGTCAGAATTGGCTAAAATAGAAATGGTTCTCGATCCAACGATATCTAAATCTACTCCTCGTTAACACGCTAGGGATAAAGAAATTAGTCGATCAATACGCCGTTTGCGCTCCGCATGATTTCTATGAGACTACTCTATCGGCCCTCCGAAACACATATACGGCTGTCATACAATCTTTGAGCATCACGTGGAAGTTATATTCTGCCCCTGATGCAGGGGTTATCCCGATATAGTCTCATCTTAGTGGCGGACTAACATGGAATGAAACTTGATTCCTTTCGGGGACTGTGCGCGACTAGTTCGTGATTATATATCTAGAAGTGTAGCATCGTCTTAGCCGCTAACCTGGGTACGGACTCTCCTCCTCGTACCTTTATCAGTGTAACCAATAAGAATAATGGAAGCTTTCGTCCAAAAGTTCCACGAACCGTCGATTCTTAAGCTCTTAAGGAACGCTAAGATACGTTCGGTTAAACCGAGTCATGCTGTACCCACCCAGTCAGCAGAGGGGTCTGGAGAACGAACTACCATGTCATAAGTTATAGTGACGGAGCGGCGCTCGCAAGTAAAGCTGAAATTTCGGGGTTCAAGTACCTAGGCAATGATGGTCTTTCCTAAATCCTAGTAAGCTTATAATCGACCGGGTACGCGGAATTGCCTACCGTTTATCTCCTCATCATGCCGCATCATATCTCCCCACCGATGCGGCACTCTTAGCATCTGGTTACTTTCTCCATCCTCCCGGAAGACAGTGTAATACCAATACCTATAACCTCTTATTTGCTGAATACACCACCGAATTAATAGGCTTCATGTTCGAGTGAAGGTTGAGCGACGGCTTAGCAACCCAAACCTTACAAAACGATCAGGACGTCGAAAAGAATTACAATGCGCAGGGCCGCATCATCAGCGACGACAAGTAGCAGCTGGCGGACTAGAGATGATACCTTACCTATAGGCAGTAGGACGATGTCCGCCAGTAGCTGGACTACGACAACCCCGCCTGACACCGCAAATGGCGAAGGACTCTTCTTTTCCTCCCTTAATCCGCTTGCGCCCATCACGGTCGTAATGCTACATGTACTATTGAGTTCACATCTCGAATGGTCCCATTGCTGGCCTCAGCTCTCCGAATATCATCTTCTCATACCCGACTTACCACAACACTCTCGCTCACGGCATGTTGGGCCTTTCTCTTTCGCACTAGCTGCGGATCTTATTGCGAATATGATTCGGGAGCACGCCCATGACGCGCGCGCACATATCGTGGGGTTATCGACTGGGGGTTTCGTCGCGATGGAACTAATAAAAAGGCACCCGGACGTCGTATTGTCCGCTTTCGTTTCGAATGCCGTCCCAGTCAACGAGTTATGGAGAAGCATCAATGCGCGGCCAACGATGGCTTACGTAGGGTTATCGGTGCTCTTATATAGTCCGAAAAGCCTGTTATTCAAGGCGACGGGCTGGGCGCCGGAATTTCAAAACGACGAACTCCTTAAAGAAATAAGGAAAAATAATACGTCAAGGTTATACGAAGCGGGATCGCGCGAGACTGGGAACTGGAGTCCGGAGGATATGGCGGAGGTCGGGAAGAAAGATAAACGGGTCGTGTTGGTTGCTGGGGGCAAACAGGATAACGTCGAGGGCGCACGGGAAATGGGTCATCTACTCAAGTCATTGGGCTTAACCGACGGCAAAGAGTCCCGCGCATTTTTGGTGAAGGACGCTATTCATGCGTGGAATTTACAATATCCATCACTTTTTGCTAGAGGGGTGCGGGCGTGGATCGAAAGGACACCATTACCGCAAGCGTACGAGCCACTGGAGATGATTCCAACGAACGACGCCGAACTTCAGAAAGGTACTTGATGGAAAACGATCTAGCAAACCGGTATACTCGGACTATACGTATTAAGCGATGAGTCGTATATCAACCCTGAAAACCTGACCTCATTAGATGCCACCCACTCCGCCATGAAGCGAATCGAGCGTACCGATATCATCGTCCGTCTGTGTAGCAGATGAATATTAGAAATATTTTATTATAAAGATACCCGCAATTGAACATTATTTCCATTTCCCGTGGCGAATCGTTTTCCGGAGTAGTACTGATTAGAAAATGATTTACGGAATAGGGGAGCCATCAATCACCAATCGTAGGGGGCAGTACAGTCTCTTGACCAACCAGCATAAAACCATCTATAATTACTTTGAAACATGATTCAAAATCATTTTCTAGATACAATAAACATTTTGAAATAAGGACACAAGTTGGTGATTAGTGAATACGTCATATAACGGTTCTAGATCTGATGTCACTCGAGTTCGAGGACAAAGACATAGAGACGGTTCAGATAACCACATCAAGGTACCACGCACAAAAGCCTATCCAGGTATTTAAAAGTCGCGGAGCTCGAGTCCTTGAGCTTAATAGGCTGAGCTTCTACCTACACTTTTCCCGCGGATTTAAGATTCATCAAACTACTACGAGACGACGACATGGTCAGTAAATATACACCAAGAGAAGCGGGTGAGTCTACTGCTCCACGAAAGCAGGCACGGTTGAGTTCTTCTGGAACACCAAATGACGGCGGTGGATGTCCATTGGTTATGTTCGGGAAGGTAGGTCATGTATATATAGAGAATATTCCAATACCCTCCAATTTCCCAATTAACTAACAATTTCCCAACACAGGCCCCAGGCAAGCGTTGCCCAACGTGTCAAAGTAGGGGTCGCGAAGTATGGGTGTTTTCTGGGCGTGATTGTCCGTACTGCGAAACTTACGTCGATTAAATAATCATCCGGAGTTATAGGGAAAGGGGTATAATCGTCAATTACGCTATGTACTCCTATCGTCCTGCCTAAGAAATTCACCACGCAGATCCTCACATTTTCGCATGGGTACTACGAGCCTTGCATCGACTGAGGGGGTTATGGGGGGGTGGCCATGACTGCTCCGGTTGGAGGCCGCCGGTACCTAGATAGTCAATAAATGAACAATTCTTTTCGCAAATGAATTCTTTATAGGACATACTAGCCACGCCGTGAATCTATGAGATGACGACGATGAATTCAGAGGAGGGTTCGAGTGTGGGTAGGCGTGAAGTCATTCAATCTCATGGTATATCGGGGTCCGTTTTGATCGTCTGTACAGTAGGGATGCACCCCCTGGCTGCCTTACCTACTAACACCAATCTGAGCAGTGGAATGCAAAATTCAATGAGTAAGGGTATATACTGTATACTACTCTATACTAGACTAGCACTACGGATATTGATACGGGGTATGGTTCAGTTTTAGAGAATTGTGATAACAGCCATACAGAAACCAACCAGAATGGTTTCAATCCAACATTTCAAAAATGCAAATTTTTCGGTGGAAGGCTTAAGGGGCCTTATCTAGTCCCTGAGCATGTCGGATCTTCTCTTGCTCCGCTTGCGCTGCCTCGACAGCAGCGAAGTCCGCGTCCGTGTTCTGGCTACCCTTGAACAAACTGTCCGGAAGAGCGTTAAGGGCCTCTTCCTCGCGATCGAGCTCGGAAAACATCCACCAGAAGCCGATTCCACCAAGGGCAGAGACGATGGCGATGGTCACATATAGCCATACTAGGAGGGGGTCAGTTGCAAGGGGTACGAAGGCCTGGCCAATAGCAGCGGAGAAAGCCTGCGCGAACCAGAAGACACCTGTGATAAATCCTCGCATGTTCTTCGGCGCTTTCGTGAATGCGTATTCGAGACCAGTGATTGATGCACCGATTTCGGCGAAGGCGACGAGGACATATGCGGGTGTTTGGATCCAGACGCTCAGCGGCGCCTTGTAATCAGTTTCAGCCGCATTGTCTGGAAGATTGCGAACATCTTTGCAGTTTTCGATATATCCATACCCGGAAAGAGATCTGCAGGGTGATTGCACTACGATTGAAGTTAGAAATGTTTATTTGGTTTTCAATGGCGATTTGGTTGAACTTACTGTAGATGTAATGTTGGATGATGGCAGCAACCACCATTGACAAGGTTGCAAGGATGAAGGCACCAGTGATCTTTTTGATGGGAGTGAGGTTGATACCCCGGCGTCTGAGAGCGGGGTACATCAATTTGTCGGCAATTGGAATGAAAATTAGCAATGAGATAGGGTCGAGGTTGTTGACAACGTCGTTCGGTACACCCTTTAATACCATAGACGAAGCTTGGGAGGTGAGATTGCTGCTAATTTGGTTGTAGGATAGCCAGTAGAGGGGATACCACACGAAAACGCTGCAGGCCTTGAATCCACGGCGTACTTCGTCAACCCAGTGATCGTCAAAAGTCATCCATGCGGGGCGCTCAGCCTCGGGGATATTGCTTGGCTTTACCCTCTCGAAGAATCCTGGCGCTCGCATATTCTTGATGGTAGTGATCGGATTTAGAGACCAACGGCCCTTCATCGAAAGGAAGACCAATCCTACAGCTTTGCCGAGGACGGAACCTGTTGGCGGGCGGCGCACGTATTTGTTCTTAAATGAGAGTAGTACTATGGGGCAGAGCATGAATAAACCGGTAGGCAAGGTGTAGGAGAGCCAGAAGCCGACATATTTCTCGGCGTAAACCATTGCAATCGATCCGACAAGGGAACCAACGTTGATGAAGAAATAGTATCGCATGTAAATGACGGAGATAGTGAGGATTGGGTCGACCACGACGCGTTCGCCACTCTTCAAGACCTTAATAATGGCTCTTGGTTGCGTGCTTTCGTATTGTTCGGCGATCATAGGCGAGATGTTGGCCTTGAATAATCCCACACCAATACCGAAGAAAATGAGACCGACTGCGAAACAACCAAGAGCGCCTTTCGGGTTGGAAATGACCGGCGGTAGGGCTGAAACAATGAGAATGATATGGCCGAATAGAGCTACTCCGACGGCCACATGAATTGTCTTATATTTTCCCCAATATGTGTCGGCCACCCATCCACCTACAATGAAACAAAAGAGAGAATTGTTTAATATCAATCGGATTAAATGCTACGGAGGATATAAGGCTGCTTACCGAATAGAGGCAATAGGTAAGACCAGAAGCTGTTGAACAGAACTAAACCGGTTGAAGCTTGTTGACCTTGACCGAGAGCACCGGCTTGCAGGTCTGTGCCACCGGCACCAGTGGTGGAACCGGGAGGAAGAGGCTGCGAAATGAAGTTGACGACTGCACAGAATCAATTAGACTTAGCAAATAATTGGGCGAGCATACTGAACATACAGACGGCAGTTGTTCCATAGTAAGCGAATCGCTCACAGAGCTCGATGAAAGCAATTGTGTCTGCGACGATATAAGTCAGTAATTGCTTCTTCAAAACATGTCTTATGCATCTCAATTCAATTTCAATTGAGCTGCACCCGGTTTATGAGAAACAAATTCCTCAGTGAAACTCACAAATAATCCAATTAATTGGACCCTTAACGCGACGTAAAGACTCAAGCTCTTCTTTAGTGGGATATACTTCGCCGTTAGGACCCCGGATGTGCTCTCCAGTGTCTGATCCAGACCCGGACCCAATGACGGCAACATCCGACTCCTGCGGGATCTTCTCTTCAACGTTCGGAATCTTTTCTTCGACGTGCGGGATCTTGTCTTCAGCATTCGGGATTTTCTCTTCGGTAGTAGGAGGGGTATCGTGAACGGCCTCCACACCGTCGCGATTCGCGTCGGCCGACATGGTGAATATATTACTTTGTGACTCTCTTATTGGAGTATTTATGCGCACATGTGGATGCGATACTATAGCGATCAATTAATTGTTATGTTCGCAAAGCTATTGACATTGACAATGAATGGTCCGGCCCTGACCCGCGATGCCGAATGTTAAAAAGAGTGAAATCAGCACAAAGGATATTTGGCTTGCCGATGACGATTGAACGAGAGGGAACTGATGTAACGCGAAAAAGTCGGGGAGATGCTGTATTGATAAGGACCAGAATTAATCCCGTCCCAGAAATCTACCTACAGCACCTCCCCCCAGCTACATACCTCGTTACTGTTACCTTTTGCCCCTCGGCTTCCTATCAGTAACATTGCGCCCGCCTGTTATGTACTGGGCTTTTACTGGGCATTACGCCACTAAGATGCTTTTGGTATTAAGATCAAGACCCTGTCATTCGTCGCCCAATCCCCCAGCTCTCTGTAAAATATGTGGAATACAGGCAGATACCACCCCAGATCCTGCCCATCCTAAAATCTGACGATCCTACCCCAATTTGTGACTCGCTTGGGCGGACTGAGAGCCTGCCAAGCCAAGGTAATCTAGTCACGCCACTGCATTGCTTTCGAAAAAGAGGCCAACGATTGGTTCTTTTGATATTATCGTGCTGACACGATTGAGGAGTAAGTTGTAAATCGCGTATCGAGAAGGGAAGCTGATAGCTTTATAAGGTAAGCGTCTTGACTTGGCAATGGAAATCCAGACTTGCCCATCAAGCATCCCGATCGTTACGAACGAGTCGGAATCCGATAGACAGAAACTGCGACCATTCTCGAAAAACATGAATGATATCCAACTGCCTCGTCTAACATCGGAGTTAAGTCACATCACATAATATTGTTCGGAATCAAAATTACCAACGCCACAAAAGGTAAGCGGGTGCGAGGTCCCTCGGCGTTGAAAGAGGTTAAGTGCAGAATAACGTCAAGACCCTTGTCGATGACTTGCTGCATTCGCCCGTAGGTGAATTGTTAGGACATCTAACCTCATTCCAGAAGCCTTCCAAGCCCGGTCGCGTGCGATGGCACTGCACCATAGGTCCCCCAACATGACATCCAATCAAATGCCTATCGCAACCATAACAACGCTCAGCTCACATGGGTTGGGTTCTTTTCGGCCCGTCCTGGTTACTTTTCACGAGCTCTGCGGTTCTTCCGATAAGCTCCCGTCCCGTTAGGACCCATTGGTGGCGGTACGGCGCGTGTAATCCGTCTGTTTCTTTGCGTCGCTAGGCACCGACAAAATGACTTATAATGTTTCACAATACGATATACGTATCGCGCCATATGAAGGTTACCTGCTACACAGAATTCTCATACTCGGTATAAAGAATCAACGAGAAGACTTTATTTCAAAAACCCCCGAATGAGAGAGAATTGGGTAGTCAGCCAACAAACGCTCGTGTTTTAATTCTCTTCAATTCCGCCCCTGCGCTTGGCGTAAGATCTAACAGCGGACTTGCAGCCGATCTGGGAATCTAGAATCCGAGCAATTGGGGGTATCGGGAAATTCACCTGGGAATTTGTATTTCGAAAACTGTAATAGGCAAGTGTTCCTATTGATCTCGTGCATTTTGTAATCTTCATCAACTTGCCTAGGTATGTCAGCTTGGGAGGCGATCGGTATCCTCCGAGTTTGATTTTTCGCATCACGCTTCATCCCTAGGAAGATGACTACCTAGATACGAATATTTATGTTCTCTTCTGTTGCGCAGCTTATGGTGACGCGACAGCGCAACGTGATATGAGGATGATTTTTAGTCAAACTGAACATTTATTTACTATGGGTCTTTTAAAGACGATCCCCCGCTAGATTTTATTTTCCGCCTACGCCGTCCAATGCTTTAGCGGTCCTAAACCGAAAGTAACCGCTTGGTTAGGTACATGCTACCGATAATTTCCAGCAATGTGCTTACGATTAAACCTCGCGGGTTCGGCCGTTTTTAGTTCGATTCCCAGCCTGTAGCCTTACGCTAAACACGTCTCTACAGAGCTACCTAGGGATGAACAACGCCACTTATCCCCTTATCACACAGCAATACTCATTAATTTTGACGTTAAGGATACACCTAAGAAAATGTCCCACTTATACCGTGGATCCCAACCAACCCGCTCATAAGTCTCGATTGGTCTAGTGGTCAGGATACTCGCTTGTCACGCGAGTGGCCGGGGTTCGATTCCCCGATCGAGAGCTACTGTTTTATTTTTGTTTTATTTTTGTTTTCTATCTTGATTATTCTTGAAATTGATAATTCTTTGAACTGATGTTGCCTAATTTTTTTTTTCGTACCAGGAAGATGAGAGCATACTTATAATGGGGGTTGCTCTGTTGCATCGATGTCGCCTTTAGCATCATAGGTTTTTATCTCGGGTTTCCATCGACCTTTTTCCGGTCATCGTTAACGAGATTCCGCAGATTCCCTAGGAACGGCCGAGAACTTCCATTTCACCATCAGTAAAGTTGAGATATCCTTGTAACTGAGGTAAATGCCGGGCCAAATAGCCTTTCCACGTCCAGACAATTTCCGGCCGGTACGGAGCATCAAAATGCGTGAAACTAATACGTTCTGGCGGCGATCCTAGGAGGAGTTGCCACGTCGTATCATTAAGTGTCGTTGATGCGATATATAGCGAAGCCCTGCTTTTAAGGAAGTTCTCGTCGCCCGATGGTTTTAACCGTAAGAGAATAGTCTTCCGCGATGGACAACACAAACGAAACAGCCTGTCGTAGTTTGAGGTGTCCATAACGGTAAAATATGCGGCTTTTCCATTATTATCATACCTTAAGTGACAGGGAGGGAAATAATCCGAAAGGTAATAGCCTACGCTGGCAAGCTGACCTATATATATCCTCGCCTGGAAGGGGAACTCGGACGATCCGAACTTCTGAGACGAAGCAAGATATAGAGGGATTGTTGGGATGGTGGGTAATTTTATCGTACTGACTTCGAAGGGCATTATACCTCGAGCTCTTGTTGCAAGAATAGCACTGCCCTCGCGTGATTCCAACTCCAACGGTAAGGCCGAATCTGGACCCGAGATCCCACAGTCAAGAAATGCGAGGCCATATTTTTTACCATTGGCTACAAACTGCCACATCCGCAATTCGATATAGATGCCAAGATTCGTTAGAAGATAATGATTTCCTTTCGCGTAAGTTGAAATTCTGGGATTCCATGAGCGAAATGCGGATGGGGACGTCGAGAGACAACCTTGAGAATCAGGCTCCGAGCCGGAGCATGGGACGCCTGTGACACCCCATAATAGGATAGTATGGTCGTATGTGGTCCTGATTATTTCTTCTTGGAGTCGGATGAAAGCCCGATTGCCTTCGCCATATAAAAGAGGCATATTAACCCCAAGCAACCCGAGTAAACAGTACGCCATATCTTCTTTCCTCGAGGTTCGACGGTTAGATGCCCATGAAATACGTTGTGCGATTGGCGTACTCCGAAGGTTTGCAACTTTGTACGGAAACACGAGAATTTCTTCGGGGATACTAGTAATAGCGCTGATACTCGCGGAAAGGCTGTGCTTGTATCCAATGAACTCCCAATTCCTGTCGTAGAAGCACAAATTCCAGGGTGCTAAAAGCTCCTGTAACGTCCACCCTCTCGTAAACCAACGAGTTATTGTCCAGTCCGGGCCTGGTTTATGCTCATCATCCGGCTTCCACGTCACATCCGATAGGTAAACGAAGCACTCGCGAGACGCCTGATACCATAGAAACATGGAATTAATTGCTGTTCAGCTTAGCATGAAGTGTCTTAGAGTCATTATATATAAAAGAAATGAAGCGTACCCTCGGATAGCTCGGCGCTGCTGCTTTTATCAATACAACACGTGTCTATCCACACCCATTTGTATCCTCTCCCTCTGGCCCTAGCGCAGAAGCCTTGAATCTTTTTGAACCCTCGCTTGCCCTTACGGCGATGTACGTCGTGGAAATCCTGGTACGAAACCTCTTTACCATCCCAGGTATGAGATAGGATGGCATATGGCGGAATATCTTCATCAAAGAACTCCTCCATCACCATAGTTTCGCAATTAAGGAGCCTCATGGTGGTCTTGTGGTGGGTGTGAAACTGTGATGAAAGGCCTAAAGAGGAAAGTAACGGAAAATAGAGGGCTTCGTATGCAAAGAGCCAGTTATAAGTAATAACAATCGTTACCACTTACGCCGTGGTACTAGGTAGCAAGGCTGTGTACACTGCCACATTGTGAGCTTCAAATAAATCCCGAGGCGCATTGTATAGCCACCACCATTTAAATTGCTTACGTTGAAGCGTCGACAAGAGATGTACAAATCAATTCGATGTATATACCCTGTGCGCGAAGGGTAGATAATTGGTACAATATCCCTCTTCAGGAGTGTTACGGCCTGAATAGCATTGCACGATTTCATTATTTATTACCGCTTGTCAAATGGAAAAGTACCGCACCGGAGGGGTGATATGTAAATAATGGTTACCGCCGGCGGTCGCCATTGGGGGGCTTAGGTGCGGGGAAAAGTAAGAAGAGGGATTGAAATAAATTGAAAATAAAAACCTCTCGGACTCTATTAGAAAAGATGAAATAATATGACAATAGCTTCCTTTTTAAGATGGTGATGATAACTCATCCGGTAATAGTAATTTCATAATCGGCTTTTCTCAGGTCGCCACATCGCGTTAAGTAAACGAGTAGCATTGACTCTTTCCGGGCGCGCTTCTTCTAGAGATGTAATACCAAGGAGGCTCATACCTGAAGCCAATTCCTCGGAGAGAACTAAGCAAGATAAATGTTAGCAAAAGGGCATTCGAATCATGGAAAAGGGCCGTAAGGAGAGTCATACTATCAATACATCTCTCTACCCCCTTCGATCCATATACGCCGAGCGCATAAAAGAATGGTCGCCCCACGCCTACAGCTGTAGCGCCCAGACATATCGCCTTTAGAACATCGGCACCATCGCGTAGCCCGCCGTCCACAAAAATGTCAAGCTGGCCCAAAACCTCCGGCGCATACTCGCGGATCTCAAGTAACGTTGATAGCGCATCGGGAGCCGTGTGCGCCTGTCGGCCTCCATGGTTACTAAGCAAAATACCCTGACACCCATACTTCACCGCCAGCCGTGCGTCTTCAGCGCATTGCACGCCCTTCAAAACCACCGGTCCGTCCCACTCCTCCTTAATCCATTCAAGATCAGCCCACGAGAGGCCAGGTCGAAAGACCGAGGGCGTAACATGGCTCCGTCGCCCGAACCCAGCTTGTTCAGCAGCTTGCTCTAGACCTATTTCCAGCGCCTCCGAGACTTGAATCCTCCGGTCCGACGTCCGCTTACCAAGGATAGGCGTGTCGACCGTAACCCACAAGCTCTTATATCCAGCTTCCTTAGCACGTCTAATGCGTTTCCTAGTCACGGCCTGATCCGCGTACACATAAAGCTGGAAATGGAGCTGCGACCCAATGACCCCACTACTCGACAACTTCTCCTGCTCGTCCCTCAGCGCGGACATAATCCCCTCCATAGGCCGCGACGATTCGGTACTAATCAATCCATGTATACCCCTTCGCGCAAGCCCCCTAACCAATTCATCCTCACCATCTGGATGGCACCGCCCGAGCTGTCCCATAGGACACACGAAAAACGGAAACGGCGTGTCATGTCCGAAGATCCGACTCCGGGGTGACACGTGCTCGACCCCGCGGAGCACGCGCGGGCGGAAGGTTATGGATTCCCATGATGATAGGTTGCCCTGCATTGATAGGCCGGAGTTGGCGTTGCTGGAGACGTAGGAGAATACATTGGCGGAGAATATGCCCTTGGCTGCGGTCTCGAAGTCGGATACTCGTACGCAGTGCGCGATGTGCGGGGCGCTTTGTTTGGTGGGGATTGGGGAGGGTGGAGATGAAGATGGGGAGGAGGTTGGTGTTGGTATTGGGGGAGCAGCGGTGGCTGATTCGCTAGTCAGCGTGGCCAGTGCTGCGGGGTCCATCTCCCCGAGATAGCTGCCCTTTGGTAGGTTTTCTAGCACGTCGGGGGAATGTACTGTGCGGAATTGAGGCGTTGCGTCCTGTTTTTCTTATTATTCATATAGAACAGCATATCGTAACTTAGAGATTGGGGTATCTTCGACAATAATCTTCGAATTGATGAATCATACGTACTTTTCCGCTTTGTTTGATTAATATAGCTGCACCACCCGGATGTTGGTCCAAATATGAAGTCACGTCGTATACCTTACGGTTTATCACAATCCAACAAGAGGATGTTGTGTTATGCTTCGCAACCTCAACGGCGTTAAGTAGCATTGCTGGTAGGTGACTTTACATCAGAAATTAAGCAGGCTTATGATTATTGCTCGTATAAGCCCTTCAGTTCACATGATGGCGGGACGGGCCATTAATATATCAAGAACCGAAGGCTCTTGAAGATAAACGGACTTAGACCGGGCGCGGACCCTGAATTCGGCATCGCTCGGCTCCATGAATTTATCTGCAAGAAAGGAGCGGTATAGGGGTGAAATATCAATGCCGTCGTATTTCCCATCCGACCCCGCAATATCACCCCTGAACCGCACTATTTCGCTTCGATTAGTATCCCGGTCCAGGGACTATTACAGCATTAGTTTACGTGAAGCCTCATTGGTGGGATGGGAACTGATTGGAGCCGATGTAGACCATGTAAGCTGTGTCCCTAATATGGCTGGGATAGAATTGTGATATCTTCTTTCGCGGCTCGCGTCTTTCGGGTAGTGCACCTAAGGAAGAGTGTAAAAGGCAACCCAAAAACCACCGAACAAAGAATTCATGATGGCTATTGTGGCTTTCTTAACAATCGTAATTGGGTGTGTCTTTAGTTACTAAAAGACAATAAAATGGCCGTGTCCCTATTGTTACCCCCAACGCCGTGCTTCTCGTGCATTTTTGGTGGCGTTTTTCCATTTGAATATGCGTGGGGGTCAAATAATGAGGCCATGATGCCGCGAAGTGGTAGTGGTCTCAAGTATCGTTGTAGGCCCCATTCTTTAACGACGTCGCTGTATCGTCGTTGCGTTTTGAAATTTTGACATTACTAGAATGGCATTATACGAATGTTCCACGCGATTGCGGCGAGCAACACACATCTTGAGCCCCTCCAACGTAACCATTGTCGCTTGGACCGTTCGGTCTATGACGTGATCAACGAAGACGTCAGCGGCGCACGTCCGTTTTGATGTGTAACTTAACTTCGAAAACTAGGGCATCGAGCAGTCCTCTCCGTAAGTGCCAATATAAGGCGTAGTGATTGATGAAGTTGGCATTGTATTGGCATCTTTTACGAACAACGATTGCAAATATCGTGATAGGTCTGAACCATTTCGCAGAGCTCCATCTCGAAGTGTCTTATGCTGAAGATCGTCAAGTTCTCGGTTAGTTGCGGCAACACAATGACGATGGGGGTATAATATAATGTTATACGGTCTTATAATCGTTTAAATTTTAATGAGACCTGACCGAGTAGTTGGATGATGTCATGGGACCTAAGGTCATAAATATGTATTGACGATGCTTGATGGCCGTCAAAAGCAATGGAACAAGCAAAAAGGACTTCTGTTTCAATTCCCCAGGAATATCCATAAAAGGTACACATGGATGGAATCTAACGAACCACCCCAATTCACGTTGGTCAACAATAAAACTAAGCATTTAAAAAAACAAACGATCATTCCGTATTTGCATTGTAAAGCAAAAGGCCAAGTGTCTATGGGTAATGCCTGGCTATGCTTCACTAAAGTATCTACTTCGTGCTCCTGTCATTAAACAAACCACCGTCCATACCAATGGTGAACTCTCATAACGTCGTAGGGTACGTCATGACTGCAGGCATAAACTCCCCTTTTCATCGTAGGCCACTCGGGTTAAGCGCGGCTAGCAACCGTTCCACGCCTAATGAGCCATGACCTCTTGGGGTTTGGCCGCATCAGCGGGCTTGTCGTCAACCTCCATGGCATCGTCACCGCCGTCGGCAGCTTCGCCCTCAACTTCCTCCTCAAGCTCGTCTTCGCTCTCGTTCTCAAGATCGACGCTGCCTTCGTCGGAAACCTCATCCTCCTCAGCGGGCTCTCCGTTCTCCTCAACACCGGCCATCTCCGCATCTCCATCAGCGGCGGCAGCAGTAGCACTAGCCTCAGCGGTGTTATCAGCTGCGACTTCGGCTCCCTCCTCTTCCTCAGCATCCTCATCAAGCTCATCAGCTCCGTACTCATCCTCGTCGGGCTGGAGATCCGCCTCGGGCTGCTCAGGGGGGAACTCGGGAGGAGCAGATGCCTCGGAATCCCTATGTTGCGAATCAGGTTACGTGTCCTAGCAATCATTCCTATCTATGGGTTATTAAAACATTAACATACCACTTGATGGCGAAACGCGTAACACGGGGCTTGTCGGCCAGAACGTTGCGACGGATCTTCTCAACAATGGGCTTAGCGGGGGGATCGGCGTTCAGCTCGTCGGTCTCATATTCATTGTTGACGTAATATCCAACACGAACAAACTCGCGACCGTCGTAGGAGCAGGTTAGAAGAACCACGGTGACTCCGAGGATGTCGGCATCGGGAATACGGGTGGTCTTAGGAGCATCGGCCTCGAAGATGAACTTGTTGACACCGACGGGGATAGGACCGACAAGAAGGGAGTCAAGCTCCTGGTCGTACTGGTCGCTATAGATTAAGATTAGTAGGCGAAAATAAAGAGGCGCAAATCGCAACTTACGAAGTCGCAGAGCCGACGTAGGTCAACTTCCACTCCAAGTCTAGACAAGTATTAGTAAAATCAAGACTCAACGAAACAAAGAAGTTCTTGATCAGCCTTACCCTTCTCAAGCTGCTCGAGACATTCGAAAGTAATCTCGAAAACGTAGTTGTCGGTGAACTTGGCGGGGTTGTTCAGGATATTGACACCTAGAAGAGATACGACCGACATTTTGACGGTTTTAGCTGTATTTTATTTTGTGGGATACAGTTTAATCTGGATGGCAAAAACTTGGGTGAATATAAAACTAAGGCGGTATTGTTGATTAAGAAGGGAAGAGAGGGACGGAGAGGGTTGTGACAAGAAGAAGTTGGCGATAATTAGGTAGTCGGGGGGGTTGGCGGTGGGCGCTTCCCTAGTGTTTATTTTGCGACAAGAGACAGGTGCAGGTTGAGCAGGGGTCCCTTTTTTTCTGAATGGGGAACGCGCTTTCTGCTGTAAAGCGCGTTCAGTGCTTGCATCAGGTAGCAAGGTACGTACCTAGGTACTAATCGATGTGTGTAAACCACAATCGTCTGTGCTTGCGGTTGAATGTTGCTACCCACAAGCACCTAACCTAAAAAGTTCAGTGCGCTGGCGGCGAGCTTGGGTACCTAAACCTTGCAATAAATGTATCCGCGGATGTATCTCCAGATCACATTGGAGGAAATTGAAGGAGTACATGGGTACTTTGTTTTGAAAAATTATTACGATTGGCCAAGCTTGCTTATCTAATCATTATTCAAAACCCACTTCCTGGATAATCTTCGGCCTTTGACCTTAAAGAGCTGGACCCTAGCGGGTGTACCTTTCGATTTGAGCCGCGCTAGTCCTATATAGGCTAGTAAGCACCGCAAGTACCAGCGATCTTTTCTTATCTTGATAGGTACTACTATTGTTTTGTCAGTGAGAAGAGCTCCAAACTTGTTGAAACCTTTCAACTTTTCCATTGTCCCTCGTTCTTCCGTTGCCATTCGCGCAAAGCATTCGTCCGCCTCTCTCCTTGACAGTACTTTACTATTGGTCATTGCGGATTTGCTCTACTTAATTCGAGCTGCTATTTATATTTCTACCTACCTTTTACTGTGATTCTTCCGCGCGACCTAGGTAGCTTGAAGAAATAATCACATCATTTTGTCCAGTGCTGCAACCTAGATCAATTTTTAAGAGAACCTTCAACCTTCGCATCGTCCCAGAAACGAACAGCATTATATCTAGTAGAGCAACTACAGCGTTGCACGGAAACTGCGATTCAGATCACCCTTTTTCTTCGGTTGCGATCAGCCTCGGCTGTCCGACATCTTCTATTACAGCCCTCCGACCGCGAAGATTGACCAACTGTGCGCGATCATCCTACACCATGGCTTCAGAAGATACAGGAGATGTTATTCCTCAACAGGGCGATGTTCCTGAATGGAGCGCAGATGTTTGGAATGGTGCCGACAATCAGACCTCAGCCGACGATGAAGATGGAGGCGAATATGATCCAGAGTCTGTTACCATTACATCTGTGCCGGCGCCTCCGCCTCAAGTAGAACGACCTATCTCCCAGTCTCCTCGCCCGACTAAGAAACCGAAGACAGCCGGAGGATTCGTCGTTGACGACTCTTCTGATGAAGAAGACGACGTTCCGGCTTCGGCTCCAGCTTCAGCTCCAGCATATTTACCTACCAATCTCAAACCTGCTCCTTCAGATATGCAAGTTCAGATTTCTAGTCATCCACCACCCCAGCAAATTACGGCGTCTCAAGATGTCACAAACGATGCACCCGTCCAGCCGAGCAACATCGAGCCTATTCCCGTGACAGCCGCCCCTGCCGCCGCAGCTACGGCCACAACACGCTCAAGACTTCCCGCCGATATTATCGGTATTCTCGAGGACCGCGTTAAAGAAGATCCTCGTGGAGATATGGAGGCTTGGTTGGCTTTGATCGACGAGCAGAAGAGACGCAGCAAGCTTCAAGATGCACGAGCTGCTTATGAACGCTTTTTGGAAGTGTTTCCCCAAGCTGTAAGTGCTTACATAGACCTAGCATCCCTTAATCTCTTACCAGGTATACTAATTTATTCTATAGGCTGAAGTTTGGGTCGCATACCTCGATATGGAGTTAAGTTACGACAATACTGCCGAAGCCGAATCGATCTTCAACAGGACTCTCCTGGCGATACCCAATGTTCAACTCTGGACGTGGTACCTCAACTACATCCGTCGTCGAAATGACCTCAGCGACCCAACCGGAAAAGCACGACAGATAGTAAACCAGGCTTACGAGTTCGTTCTCAACACAATCGGGCAAGATCGAGACGCTAGCAGCATATGGCAAGACTACATACAATTCATTAAGACAGGTCCTGGCCAGATTGGGGGCACGGGCTGGCAAGACCAGCAGAAGATGGATGTTTTGCGCAAAGCTTATCAACGCGCCATTGCTATTCCCATGGCGAACGTCAACGTTTTGTGGAAAGAGTATGATCAGTTTGAGATGGGGTTGAACAAGATGACGGTAAGTACTAGTTTATATTTCATTCATCGGGACATAGCTAATTCACCACAGGGCCGCAAATTCCTACAAGAACGATCGCCTTCATACATGACTGCAAGGAGCGCAAATACCCATTTAGAGAACATCACGCGTGGCCTCAAGAGGACAACATTGCCCCGCCTACCTCCGGCTCCTGGTTTCGAGGGTGAACACGAGTATCTTGAGCAGGTTCGATTGTGGAAAGCCTGGATTTCCTGGGAGAGAAGTGACCCACTCGTTTTACAGCCCGACGATGCGGATACTTACCGTCAACGAGTTCTCTACGTGTACAAACAAGCATTGATGGCACTACGCTTTTGGCCAGAATTGTGGGTTGAAGCAGCTGAATGGTGTTTCGACAATAATATCAACAAAGATGGCCAAGATACGGGTGTTCAATTCCTTGTTGACGGCCTCGAGGCTAACCCCGAGAGTTTTCTATTGGCCCTTAAGCATGCCGACCGTATTGAATCTACTCAAGCCGCACGCGAGGATGATGACAACAAAGCAGCTCTCGTGCAAGCGATTCGGGCACCTTGCGATAAGGTTCTGAAGACGCTGTATGACATGACGAATAAGATCAAAGACCAACAATCGGCAGCTGTTGCAAAGATCAAAGAAGAAGTTGTTCCCAACGCCGCTACTAGGGGCGAGGATGTAGACGATGAAGATGAAGGGGAAATCAACGAGAAGCCCTCTACAGAAGCTTTGAAAGACGCTAGAATTAAAGCCGTACAGGATGGTTTTGCTGTCCAGATGCAGATGCTCTCGCAGCATATTTCCTACGTCTGGATCGCCCTTGCGCGAATTTACCGAAGATTGCAGGGACAAGGTCATGGTAGGGGTAGCCCGACAGTCGGTCTCCGCGGTTTGCTCATGGAAGCTCGACAAAGAGGTCGTCTAAACAGCGATGTCTACGTTGAAGTAGCAAATATGGAGTGGGATATTTATCAAGATCCGTTTGCCACGAAAATCTTTGAGCGCGGTGCGAAACTCTTTCCGGAGCAAGGCGATTACGTCGTTGAATATTTGAAGCATTATCACGCCAAACGTGATTTCACCAGTAAGTCCAAATTCCTCAGTCCCAGCCACACCATTGAACCCTGCTAACATCATCATAGATGCTCGACTCGTCTTCTCACAAACCGTCAAGCGTTTCAAAGAGAAACCCGAGCTTATTCCGAAATTGAAGCCAATTTTTGCTTACTTCCACGGTCATGAATCACGATATGGCGAACTAGCACAGGTAAAGGAGCTCGAAAAGCAGATGGCCGAGCTTTTCCCCAACGATCCTAGTCTTTCGCATTTCGCAGCTAGGTTTGCAACTTCTAGATTCGATCCCGTTCTGACCCGAGTGATCGTTTCGCCTGCGAGGCAGATGCGTCCCAAAGTTGTCATGCAATCCGTTGAACACCCGTCAATTTCCGCCCGCAGTACTCCTCGCCCCATGCCACAATTAGAACGAAGTCCTCAGCCACAATTTTTACCGGCTATCAATTCACCTAAACGCCCGTTTCAGTCTGACGACCAGGACGAGTACCCGCCGCGTAAATTTGTCCGTGGTGATTCACCTCTCAAAGGAGCAGCCGGTCGGCGATTACGCGCGCAGCAGGGACAGGGCACCACCTCCCATATCAGCGTCTCCACACCCATACCAAGAGACCTTACATTCCTCTTAGGCTTGATCCCACCGGCAGAAGCTTTCCACGGTAATTATTTTAATGCAGATAGCGTGGTACGCTTAGTTCAAAATACTCATGTGCCGAGTTTTGGTGAATGGAAGGCCCAAAAGGATGGAGGTTCGCGCAGCAACTTAACTTCTGCGCATACCCGACAAGCTTCGTCCGAATATCCATCGCATCCCTACTCAAGCCGAGACTCGCCGGGCCCATCTGGTCGACCAGGTAGTCCTTTCAGTGGGATGAATCGCGGAATATCTCAAGCGACCGCAGCTTATCGTAATTCGCCACTTCGACCTGGTTCAAGTGGATCATACGAACCGCCCCCAGCTGTCTACCAAGCCCCCAACGCGGCTCAATTCAACCCCCTAGCACAAGGCCTAAACCCCGCCGCTCTCGCTGGATGGCAAGCAGCCTATCCGGCCTCCGCTCAGTATAACATATCACAGGCTCAGCAACAGGCACAGCAATACGAAAGATACTACCAATAGGCAACGTGGTAATTCTCGGTGATTGCAGTGGTTTCGCTTCGCCGCTACCGCATTGATCCTTTTTCTTATTGAGTTGGACGAACGGTACCAGTCATGGCGTTATTGGAGGTGGTCTGCATACGACGTCTTGTGACTGATTGCATCTTCTGGCGTTTCATTTCTTCCAGATTTGGTTGGGCCTCTAAAAAGGAAGTAGCTTGAGAATAGGCTTATACCAGAATAGCTACCTAGGGATTAAAATCTTGTGCTATAAGTTTTAGTTGCGGAAGACATTGTGAGTACAGTAATCGGCCACCCCCTTTGAAGGCATTTAATAAATCCTATTCTACAACCTATGCGTTCTGAGCATTCCCCGTATGCAGTATCCCAGTGAAACCACGGTACGTGATTGCGTGTTATAGTAAGATTATTATGTAAGGCCTGAAACCTACCTAGGTAGGTACCCTAATCTAGATGCAGCCCCTAAATATAGCGTACCTCGCCACGCCAAATGATGATCTCTGATTGGCTGAACCACTAGGACGTTTTCCATAAACGGCATCTACTAATCAAAAGCTGCGTTCTAATTGGCTCATTTTTACAGTCATATTATATCTGTGTATATTCTCAACTCCTCCCAAAGTCGAACGGCTACTATTCGTACCTACCGAATTTATTATTTTTTTTTTAAAAAAAAAATTTGTATCAATCAATTACGGTTCATTTCAGTGGCATGGGCATTGAATAGGTAGCATTACGTCATGAAAAAAAAATTGGAATATCCTGTTATCAATTAATAGAACGACCAAATTCATTGCTAGTCGTCTCACGGTTGGCAACTACTCTCCTTCACAGTAGAAGGCGAACCATCAGTCAAATGACACTCTAAATAGAGGCAATCCTTTCCTATTCATCGTATGTTGAACTTATAATAATGCCCCATTGTTACACACCAGACACTAGGAAGAATACTATGGATCCTAAAAAAAGTATAATCTTGGAAAACATTCACTTTCGATTTTCTAGTATTGTAGGTAAGGGCATTTTACATACGCAAATAAATTCTCTAACGGTCATATGAAGTTTATAGCTCCACCTTTCATCTGTTGATCCTTGTACATATTTTGGCAGTTGTTCCCTTATATCAGTGTATGCTCAGCTATCATTGGACACGCATATTCAATCTTCTAGGTCAGCAATATCGTAAATAACACAGACCTTAACGTAATACTAGGCCGTTGCAATACCGATTCTAGACGTTGACCAAATTATACCAAGCATCTCACCCATTACGAGCAAGTCTTACGACAAATATATGGTATATTCATTTTAGCCTCCAATCTGATAAACTATAGAACTACATATATACTTGGGTGGGTAACTGTATCAATCCTAACGAGATTTGGGCGTTTGATGTTTCTTTCGTTGAAAAATTACTCGGTCATAGGGCATGCTGTCCATTGTAAGTTGCAGAGATGTAGTCAATGATGAATTAAGATAGCCCATTGACTGGAGTCGTAAATGTGCATTTGTGAGCCCAAGCCTATGGAGACGTTGCTTACATATTATTATACTACATATACATACGAATCTCGGGACTAGACGTGTACGTGCGGATGGTACCAGCAAATAAATATGACTGAATACAGACATCCATATGTGAATTTCTTTATTTAGTTGGCCCAATGTTGTAGAAAAGGTTGCAGAATTGATGCTAAAAGGGCATATGCATAAACGAAAAAATTACTAGATTAACTGTTTCAAGCCATGTCTCCCATACATCACGACAATGGCTGCCTTCCAAGGTTCTTGGTCTATGTGAGCTATGAATGGCAGATGGTAGGCAATGAAACTAATGCAGAGTATCTACATCCTAGTTGTATGGCCAATAACAATTGATACATGTATCGGATGAATCTTTATTTTTCCTGGCAACAATCCTAGCTACTTCCTAAACCTCTGGGGTTCTCTCTGCAAACCTTAATCATAAGATTGAGTTACACACCCCAGGTAGGCATTGAAGCGATTGCCTACATCCTTATGTACCTAAGGTAGGTAGCTTACAGTGAGCACGTAGTTTCCTCTCGAGAGCTGAAGGCGCGTCTTTCCCAGCGGGACTGTTGCCGACTCTTGATTATTCCATCTCTAGACCAAAACACCATCAATCCCTCTTTATTACCCAAACATTCAACATCTCCTTCATCCTCTCATTTTTCAACCTTCTACAAATTTTCCTAGCAGTGCTGCCATCATACAAGTTCGAGGTATGTAAAAGCTTCTCTATTTTGATCTTAAGCATCTACTCTACCTAGGTAGATTACTAAGCAGGTGAATTGGCCTTCCTATTTTTTCCCCTGCGTCTGCTTATTTTTCCCTGTACCCAGCAACATCTTGTTAATATCTTCTCATTCCCTCAATAGTGCCTCATGCCTAGGTACCACAAGCACCTTCCAAGGCAGCCCTCCTACCTAGATAACACCCATTGAGCTAGGCACGTACCTACCGCGCATAATTCTAAACACTCCCTTCTTTCCTCATCCCAAATCAAAATATTACACCTTCAACGCGTCTCCCCCGAACCTACCCTACCATGCAAACAGAAAATCCTAGCGTGGCACTTGCTCATATGAATCATACCACTTGATATAATTTACAAGATTGGCTACAAAGAGTCAGGTACACTCAATCCCAAGTTCATTCCTGTCTTCTCCTTCCCAACCAGTCTTACCAATTCCATACCACCTACAAATACGACCTCTCACACCTTCTTTTCCAACCAATAATTCTTCAACCATACCCTAACAATACAATCCCTCTGATATTTCTACCACCAACTTTCACATACTTAAGCGAGTGCGCATCTACATCTCCAGATTGATACAGCATTAGCACAATACAAATCAGGTAAGCAGCACCATCTTGTGAGGAGCATGTACTGCTCGGAAAGCAGCAATAGAGTCACGACGGTGCGAAATGACTAGGCTCGGATTGTCAAGTGTGATCTGAGACTTGTTGCCATTGCAAACGGCCTATACAATACACGAACACTTGATCACAAGCATCTTGTCTTCCTAAGGATCCCTCTTTTCAGGTTTATTTAATTACCAACCTCCCTCCTCTACGTTCTCTGTTCTACAATAACCACAACACCACTACCTCTCGGACCTGACAGAAGTTCAGTTGATGGGTACCGCCCAGACCTATTCCTATTCTCTTCGCCGCCCGCCTCAATCACATCTCTTTCATTAGAACACTCTTTTCTTTCTACAACCCAATATTTCAATTGCGGGTGATCACGTTCTGACGTCAAGCAGTCCTCTAACCGAGACACCACAAATAGGTAAGTACTATTTTTTTTTGTCCTGCATGTTAATGACTACTCTACTCCTTCCTCATCTTCTACCTCTAGCTGTTCCTGCCCTCTCCACCCAATACACACCCAGGCGGGCGATTTTTATCCTCAAAGCTTAGGGATTTTAGTGTCTTCTGTTTTTTACTCCTACATAAACTCGATTAGGATTTCGTTCTTATTCCCATAATCTTACAAACCCCTAACACTTTTAGCCTTCCAGGAAGACTGAGACGAACCCAATTCACACAATATTCCCACGCCGTCGATCGGGTAGGCTCTTCTCCAAGCACAGCCTAGCCTTCCTCAACTCGCAACGCAGTATCTGCATGGTTACTTCCACATCTGCCACTCATTGCCCTAGTTATAACCGACTAATATTATCAATTGATCTTTCCTTCCCTTTCCAACTTATCAACATCAAGGTCGCAACACTCTATTTCTTATGCCCTATCATTCATGAAACACCCCACCCTTCCCACATACAATCTTCCTCTTAATCATTTATGTACAATTGCAGCTCCACTTTGAGGAACCATTTGTCTCATCTTCACAAACGCCGTACTTGAAGAACAGTAACTGAACTCTTAGTAGCATTGCGATATTCTGAGCCAGTTCCTCGGCTTTGGTATGTTATATCCCCCAATCCTTCCTATATCCCTAAACACTATAATCCCATTGTACCTACCTCTCCAATATCATACTGGCGCAAGCGTGTATATTGATTTCAATGCAACTACATCACATTATCACATTCTGTTTAACACCATTACACGCATACAGCTATCAACTAACCTCCATAGGCGTTCACTGCAGGCAATATGTCTGGCCGACCCTCTGGATCGAGCCACGGCTCTCCAGCTAGGTCTCGATCTGGCTCTCAATCCGGTTCTCGGTCGGGGTCACCTAGCCGACAATCCGGCCAGCCCACTGGATTCAAGGAGGGCACTGGAAAGGACCCCGCAAAGGATCGACCTAAGCTCACTCCGGCTCAGGTCATCGGTAAACGTGTTGACCTACCAGCCGATGCGTACAAGTCGGTATGATCTTTCACTTCCACCTCGAGATTATATGTCCCATACCCTTTTTAATTTTCACTAACAACCCTTCTAGGAGAAGAGTGAGACCCGTTTTACAGCTCGCCCTGGTTACAACACCGAGGGGAGACCTATCAAGGTCCAGCTTAACCTCTTCGCCGTTCTAGGCTGGCAAGATCTCGAGATTTATCAATACGATGTATGTATCATGCGCTTCAACTTTGAGTTAACTCCCTAATAAAGTATGTGATAGGTCTCGGTTTCGCCGAACCTTAAAGAGTCTGCCCCTCTTATGAAGAAGGTCTGGCACTCAAAGACGGCGCAAAAGGAACTCGCGAAGCTTGGTGGTAAGTGGCTTTACGATGGTCACAAGCTGGCATGGTGAGTAAATTGCTTCTCCCTATACTGAGCAGCCTTATCTAACGTAATATTAGGTCTTCCCAGAAGGTTGAACGAGGCGAGCTCAGGGTCACTGTGGATCTTGACTCTCCGGCCGAAAAGCCTCAGGAGCAGCCAAACCCGAACAAGAAGAAGGCAAACAGCCCGTACTACCTCAGTGTTCGACAGACCAAGGCGATACGCCTATCGTATCTCAGGGCCTACCTTCTGGGAAAAATTAGCTGGGATGAGCACGTGTTGGAGTGCATGAGTAAATGAAGACATGTCCCAAATGATTATAGATTCTTTTCTAACATACTTTCAGACTTCTTCGACCATTGTCTCCGCCAATTCCCGTCGGAGAAATGGGTTACGATCAAGAGGAACTTTTACGACCCTAGATTCCCAGTTGGTAAACTCTCCAACGATCTCGTCGTGAACCAGGGTATCTACTGTGCCCCGCGTCTCAGTGAGGTAAGACGATATACCCATGAAAAGTTTTATCCTTTACTGCTAACAATTTCGGTCTATCTTAGTCGATCAAAAAGGGTGGTACCGGCTTAGCCGTCAACGTCGACCGATGCCAGACAGCATTTTGGCCAGTTGATAGCCTAGACCAGCTTGCCTTTCGCCTCGTCAATGGCCACAATGAGGATTGGTCAAGATGTAAGTTATACCATGGTGAAGAATCAAAACATGTCTAACATAACTTTCATAGGGGACGATAACAAAATCTGCCACGAGATGCATCATAGACTCACGATGGATAAAGGAGGGAACCCAAAACTCGTCCCGTCTGAAGCATTCGCGCTACTTCGTCGCTTCGTAAAGATGAAGTTTACTGTGAAGCACAGAGGCAAGATGGCCGATCCCAAAAAGTATACCGTCAAGGCCATCGTGTTCGACAAGGATCATGGGGAAGCTGGCTCCAATGCTTTCAACGTGAGCTTCGACCTGAAACAACCGAACGGTCCGAGCAAAAAGATTACTATCTGGGATTATTACCAGGAGAAATATGGAATTCGTCTCCAATTCCCTAAGCTTCCAATCATCGAGACCAGCAAGGGACAACTGTTCCCGATGGAATTATGCAACAGCGATGAGCACCAGAGGTACTCGTTTAAGCTAAACCCCCGTCAGGTCTGTTCCCCTGAACTCGATATCAAATAGTGTCCTCACTAACCTTTCACATAGACCTCTGACATGATTAAACAAGCTGCTACTCGCCCCCATAAACGCAAAGCAGATATTGTTGAAGGCGTCACCCATTTGAAGTGGAGCCAAGATCCTTACCTAAAGGCGTTTGGGATCAACATCAGTCCCGACATGACAATAACGGATGCCAGGTTACTTCGAAGTCCTGATATCATGTTCGGCAATGTGAAGGAGAACCCTGGTACGAATGGAAGATGGGATCTCCGTGGAAAGACTTTCATAGAAAAGAACGCCAATGAATTGAAGTCTTGGGGTTTCATCTCTTGCGGCGATTCGACTTGCAAGCAAGGGGAATTGGAGTTCTTTGCGAGGCAATTTTCAGACATCTATCGAAAACATGGCGGTAATATTAAAGAGCCTGCATTCTGCAAGGTCCTCGGTTGGATGGACGGCAACTATGGCGCCATTTGCGAGAAGGCGTACTACGAGACTGGAAATGCCCGCAAGGCTGAACCTCAGATTATCTTCTTTGTCTTGCCCACGAAGAATCAGTTGGTTTACGAACGCATCAAAAAGAACATGGACTGCCGGTTCAACATTGTTTCGCAATGCCTCCAGGCCGCCCATGTGAAGAAGGCTCAAGGTCAATATATGAGCAATGTGGCCATGAAGGTAAACAGCAAGCTCGGCGGTGCCACATGCAAGGTTCCGCACCCGCACCCAAAGGGCGGGTCACCATTCTGGTCAATACCTACAATGATGATTGGGCTGGATGTATCGCACGGCGCCGCGGGCAGTCATCAGGCATCTATGGCTGCTTTGACAATGTCTATGGACAAGCATGCGACTCGCTTTGCCGCATCTTGTCAAACCAATGGATACCGCCAGGAGACAGTCTTACCCACCACTATGCATTCGTTGCTACCAAGGCTCGCCAGAGCCTGGTCTAATACCAACAGAGTACAGCCCCAGCACATTTATTTCCTTCGAGATGGTGTTTCGGAGGGGCAATTCCAAGATGTGTTGGATACAGAGGTAGCAGAGATGAAGCGTGTGTTCCGAGAGCAGAGTGGCGGCAGTGTGCCAAAATTCACGGTAATCATTGCGACCAAACGCCATCATGTGCGTTTCTTCCCCAAACCAGGAGACAAGGAGACTGCCGATCGCAACGGGAACCCACTACCTGGTACTCTTGTTGAGCGGGATGTGACGCATCCCCAACACTTTGACTTTTACCTCTGCTCCCATGCAGCAATTCAGGGAACTGCTCGACCGGTTCACTACCAAGTAATTCTTGATGAGGCAGACGTCAAGCCCAACGACCTCATGAAAATGATTTACCAGCAGTGCTACCAGTACTGTCGCTCGACCACCCCGGTCTCCCTACATCCGGCGGTGTATTATTCGCATCTTGCATCGAATAGAGCTCGTTCTCACGAGAATCTGTCATCAGATTCTCTCATTCTAGGATTCGGCAAGCCAGGCTTCCCGTACGGAAAGGATGGTTCTGAGGGCTCCAAAGATGCACAATATCTGCAGGCACCACTTTTGCTGTCTATGGAGAACGAGAAGATGACCCCTGCAACTATTCGATTCATGAATACTACCATGTGGTACGTCTAGAGAAATCTTGACACAATTCGGAATAATACGAACCCTTATGGCATCTATACAATCCTCTCGGTTTCGGCTCACTGGTTAACGGTATCTCGGTTCATGATTGTGCAACAAACTTAGTACAATCCAATCCCAATCCCCTACCGGGGGAATCGGCTCTGTATTAATGCGCTGATCTTCTTTTTATTTTCACTGGCTAGTTTATGGTTCGATGCGCAAGACTTCTCGCGAATTGACATGCAGATATTGACATACCGGCACCAAGTTTTCTCTACCATTGCCCGAGTAGCTACATGGAGATAGTCATGCTCTTATAGCACAAGGGATGAAAATATTGGTCTCGGGTTTAAACCCGGGCTAGTGATAGACTGGTAGCTAAATAGTCATACTTCAATGTTACCTAATGAATGAAACTTGTATTACTGTAAATTGCCTAGCTAATCCTGCGGACATTTTGAGAGTTCCTTTGCTAGCATTTAATAGTTACGGGCACCTACATCGTATCCTACTTAGTACTTAAGTAACTCGTGGGTTCGTTCACCATGAGGCTTTTCGACGAGACCCCTCGGCTATTGTTATTCGCTTACGATGCGGGGAAGTATTAAGGGCTTGGCGATTGTCGTCGTCTCAACCGTGATTCAAATCCCAGTATTTAGTTAATACTGCCCTAGTCACAGCTAGCTATTTCTTTTATCGTATCAGTCTGCATCCTTCGTGCACCGAAACTTGAGCTTTTAATGCGGTATTATTGGATATATCGGGCGATATCCGTGGTAATTGATTTATCGCGTACGTAGATAGGAGTGATACTAGCATGATGTAGTTGTGTTGGGGATTTTATCGTGTGTAGGTTCGGAATGGGGGCTCGCGCGTTTTGTGGGGTAATGAGGACGTGATATATCGGCGTTGGTTAGCCGGCGGCTACTCGTCGGGCACTTTGCACAGGGGATAAGAGAGCGTGGGGTCTTTCGGCGCTTGCGGGTGGTGTTTTGGGGTGATTGATTCGTTTTCATATGTGGTTGGACTTTTGGTAAGGCAAGCTACTTACTATTTCAGTTGCCGCCCATTGGAATCCTCGCGAGATCGGGGTTTTGACGGAGGGGCCCGGTTGTGGCCCGGGCGGCCAGCTCAGGGACCAGAATTGGAGTTAGAGGAATGGATAACTTGTATTCTATCCTGTCCATAGATATGAAGTGTTGGTACAAATGGGATTTATCTCCGATTTGATAAATTGGTTGGTTGGATCATTAAAAGTAACCGCCGGGAGGCCAATCATGGTCTCTCAGGGGTATCACGTGACTATGAGTTGGAGAGCAACGAGGCAACGAGAGCGAAGTGCGTGCGGGGAGGGGTTCGCTTTTCTAAATCATAGCCTTGAGTGTTTTGGTAGATAAGGCTCGTCTTGACAACTGTTATTGCGGCGATATTTTATTTAAGTTTACGGTTGCCCTTTGGAAACTATTCCCAATTCCATGGTCGGTCCGGAGTCCGCTCTCACTTGTTACCGCTGAAACTAGGATTCTTGGCCAGCAAATACGCGCGGGTCGCAAACGACAGAGCCACTTCTAGCAACCAACCCAATTGCCATTGAACTATCAGCTGAATTTATACGATCGTTGGAAGTAGCTGCCTTGATACCTAAGTAATCGCCAGGGGTGACCTTGACCGTTCGGTTTCCTTAGGTGACCTATCGTATTTAGTGTCTCACTTCTGCGTTTGCACCTATAACTCCTAATATCCCACAACCTTCCAGACAACCGATCTCTTTTTACCAAAAACAAAGCGCAACATCAACAACCATCGGGCACAATTGCATAACGGTAAAATGGCGACGTGCGGAACATGCTGGCGCCAGTTTAGAAACACATATGCTCGACAACAGCACATGGACGCGCTAGATCATGACGTCCCGGAGCATGAATGTGACAGGTGCACACTATACTTTATGTCGCGTAGCGCAGTGGTCAACCATAGTACGTAACAGTAGAAGCTATTCTCTTTCGCCATTTCTAAGTTGGGACGCCGATTGATTGAAGAATCCTGGCTTATTGACATATCTACATACTGAACTTTTACCTGAGGGTATTTTTGCTGACCTGCGACTATAGTGAATGCCAAGAATCATTGGTACTATGACTGCGATTTCTGCGACGAAACATGGCCAGATACCGAAGCTTTGGAAGAACACGAGATCGAGGAACACCTCTACTGCGCTGATTGTGACCGTAGTTTCACATCGCGTAACAATATTAGGATGGTAAGTTGGTGTTAACCTATAACCACATTAACTATTAGCGATACATTTTATATTAGAAACCTGTTGCCTCGCGATAGCTAACGGAAGATACTCGTAGCATCGCAACTCGCGCATCCACCGCGGCGCAAACATGGAATGCCCCTTCTGCAGACAATGCTACACATCCGCAACCGGCCTCTCGCATCATCTCGAGAACGGTGCATGCCCGCGCGCTCCGTCTTTGAACCGAGAGGTTGTGTACGAAATCGTTCGCTCCAAAGATCCCGGCGGTCTTATTTCTAAGAACCTGGTCGGTTGGAGGGGTAACGCTCCCTACTATGAGGCCACGGCGCAGGCTTGGAATGGATATGCTTATGAGTGTTACTTGTGCCATCGCCAATTTGGTAGACTTGAGTCTTTGAATCAGCATTTGAGTTCTCCTGCTCGTAAGTACCTGCCATACTTAATAGTAATATCATTGCTGTAACAGTCATTGCTAATTGTTGGTCGGGATGTAGATAAACAGAACCTGTACCATTGTCCCCGACGCATTAGCTGTGGTCGTGAGTTCACTACGCTCGCGGGTCTCATGAATCATCTTGAGAGCGAGAGCTGCGGGTACACCAAGTTTGAGAATGTGCAGCAGAGTGTTAGGGGGATTGTTAGTTCGGATCGCCTTATTGGGTTCCGTTGATACCTATACATGTCTGCCAGCCAGGTAATCGGCTTCCAGGGTCGCTGAAGGATAATTGTTGTCAACGGCAATTGATGGGGCGCTAGCTTTTGACCTCGCGATTGAGGTCGAGATTTAATGTTGTGGGTAGGTAGATTGGTAATGAAGGAGACTTCGGTAGGAGATTTAGGTATCAGGTTCATAACCTTTCCTCGCTACCTAGGTACGCAATAAAGAAATTGTTAGGGGCGCCCAATCAATCCGTTCTGAGTCAGATCACTCTGCCATCTCCCTCGCCCGTGAGAAACCATCGAAGGCCTGATAGATCTGGACGTGAATACAAGGTATGAACGTAGCTAGGTAATTGAACCGGCAATGCGTATCTAAAGTGCGGCTCTACTTTCTGGCAGGTGGAGAAAGCTAGGGCGTTCGCGTGGAGTATCCGGTTCTAGATGCGTGTCAAATTGAGGGTCCGATTTAAAAACTCAAGGCTAGCTTTGACATTTCCTTCTTTTCATTCTACTAAGTATCATGGCAGATTCTGCTAGATAATAATTGCGACCTTGACTTAGTCAAGTGAGGCAATGGGGCCGATCTAAGTACTACCTAGTACCTATCATGTGTCCGTCCCGCCGGAGCCCACTGTAGCGTGCATATGCACGCTCGCCTCGTCGTAGTGAGGAGCCGGTAGAAGGCTGGCTTTTAGAGGGGACGGAGCACGCTATGGGCGCTATGGATATGGGGCGCACCAATCGGTGATGGGTGCCACTTGGCTTTTCATAGCTCATTGTCACGGTATTACAGACGATATGTTACACCTAGATTGCGTACCAAATATCCACAACTGTTGCTAGCAGTAGTACTAACATCGTAAATAGGTCACCTACCTAAAGGAGCAGATATGGCATGTGACTGGATCTAGACCGTTTCAAGTCTGTTCTGGATTAGGTTTCCTACAACAGAGATATGCCGGGATCTGCATGGGAGGTTGATGAGATGTGTGGGATGCAGTGGCAGTAGATGTATGCAGGAGCCTGGGCGATTAATCACTCGATTCCCATAATGTTTCGTGGTGTGTTGGGCATCGATGGTATGACTTGACGGTGAGTGAAGGATTGTAGGTATGTAGAGCATCTACTCGATTAATCTGACGTCAATGACGGTGTGGACCTGTATACCGACTTTATAACTTGTGTTAGTCCTCTATCGTTGACTGCGCCGCCATTTGTCTAGCTTCAATTCCCACAGCGAGTTACTAGATATGGCGGGGTGCAGAGATGACCCAGCGACTCTCAAGACTTGGGTAACAGGAAATCCGGGCGGGATTGTCTGAACTCTGGGTTCTGGATACGCTATGACCGCCTCTCTAAAGATTCTAATCCCTGAAACGCACGTGGGGAGTGTGGGCGGGAAGAATGGGTTCTATTCTGGTTCAGCGCTCAATTTGACGAACGCTAGGCTCGTTTGGTAAAGACACGGCTGGTTCTCCTCACGATAACGGTGAAAGCGTGGAATAAATTAGCGGCACTTATGACCGAAGTATTGCATTTTTGTTGAGGCTTTTGCTGGTTCTACCGTCATCGACTATGCCGTGACGATCCGTCAAAAATTCTCCGAGCTAACCCGTCTTCTCGGTAGTAAGGCGGAGAAAGATACTAGACGCTTGGCGAAGTGTTCCTTTAAACAATAGTGCAAATGGAAGAGACATAATCGCGCCACAATCCATCTTGCGAGGATCCGTTCCTACTGTAACCATCGTAGCGAACTGTGCGCATCGTGAGTTGTAGGTGCTTGATCCGACGGATAGATTTGCTTTCTGTTTGTTGAATCTGGGGAAGGACAGATTCGGTATTGGAAACGGGTAGCCAGATCGTCGTGGGGGGTCATCATGCGGTGGGAATTAGTAGACCTACGGCCGGTGGCGGTGTTGGAACATGCATAGAAACGAATCATCCTGTTTGTAACTCAAGTATTGATAGTTCATCCTATCGGATCATCGAGTTGGCAAGCCCAGATAATGCGACCAGTCAAACCTGACCTGCTACGTCACGAATCTGAGTGGCGTTTCGATAAAGATGTTCTAGACATGCAGACGCCCCGACTTCTTCTCAGCTGGTCTTATCTGCATTTAGTAACATTCTTGACGAATCTTGGATTAGCTCTCGCGGAAACGAATTAGCATACTGTCTACTCCGGAAGTCGATTCATCAACACCGAGAGTTCCATCACTATTTTATGATCTACTTGTCCAAACCTCCTTGGCCTATCAACACGGACGCCCTACGCCCCAAATCCTACGACCTAATTGGTGTATCCGGATCCCACGAGGGGGTACTAGCGCGCTGCATCTTGACCTGCATATGCAGTGTGCGACGGTCTGTCTCCAAGGATTAGGCCGGGCCGGGGAGAGCGTCCGGCAAAGGAAGCCGTACCTATCATAGTGGATAGCAACCCAACATCGCAAAACATCAGCAACTCTAGGGGATGACGTCCGGGCAAACAAGGAAGAGATTCCTTCAATGCTTGCCCTCCTTCTTTTGAAGGGGCTTTCTTTGATTTTCCATTCGACGGTTTATCGTGAAATATGTAAGTGATCAGTATGATGGAGTAGGCTACCGTCCAGTAGAATTACTTGCGCATGCATACATACGCAGGCACACACACATATGCCCGATATAAGCTGAAGGCATTGACGTAGATAAATTTACACCCACTAGGATAATACAATGGATATTTCCTTTTTCTGGTGCAAGTTTGCGAACGACGAATAAGTCGACTGACGAAGGGATATCTATTGTACGTACGAAATGTTACACGTAATATTGTTAGTCGCGAATGAAGCTAATTTTCATGTAATGTAGAATGGGATATTGCCTTGAGAAAAAAGCAAAACATAATTGATGCCCGAGGTCGCTTGTGATGAGTCTTGCGCAGTTACAGCACCTTCATACCCCTTTTTATTATCTTGTCGCAACCGAGTGCTACGGTTTTCCTATTCCACTTTTTGTTTCTGGATTGGTATCACTTTAACTTCCTTCGTCATATATCCCCTTGATCTTAGAGGAGGCTATTATTATCCTCAATTACTGCTCGAGACATTGTAGACACTTAGCTGCTCAGTCGGTGTTACCCCCAAACACCAAGACCACCTACCCACCTACCAAGTTACACAATTCCTACGAACCATTTCCTTCAATAAGGCCCTCTTTAATTGAGACGACAACTTTCTATATATATATTTATATATAGTAAGTAGCTTGATTTGGCGTTTCGTCGATCGGCCATCCGATCTTCTTTTGTTCTGTTACTCCGGAGTTGGCGAGATTTTTTATTTTATTGTTCCCGGTCTTTTCGGCGATTATTTGCAGGTTGATATAAATTGTCGATCATTAAAACACGAGGCTCGAGCGCAAGGGCGAAGCGACACTGAATAAAATAGAGACATGAAAAAAAAGGGGGGACAAGCCTCGGATGGAATAATTGACGAATCGAATCCTTTTTCGTCACACCAAGCTTTACCCCTAAAGAGACCCCTTCACCCCCACTAAAAAAAAGAGAGAGTGTGCCTGGGTAGTGGAGGTAACCCCCCACTACCATCACTACCACCATTGTTACTGGTTCCCAAACAATTGCAAAGTTCCACTCTTCATTACTGTATTGTACATACCCCTACTGCCCGTACCGTCCGTACCTTACCTAAGTGCACTCCTACAGTTACGCGTACAGGGTCACCATACGTTATTTTAGCAGGGGTTATCCCACTATCCCATCACCGCTTGTACCTAATTCCAATCCCCAATTGCCCCAATTGTAGGTAGTAGTAGTACCTAAGTGCCCCCTCCCCAGCCATCCGGGTTATCGCCGGCGGTCAATTCCCAACATTGAACATCATCGTCAGCTTCGTCTCATTTTCTCCTCCATTTGACGTTTCAATCTTCATTTTCACGATAATCACATCACTTACTCACTCACTCATTGTGTCTTTCTGTCTGCCAACACATAAACCTGCTACCTCCTCTTTTGGGACATTCATTACGAATTCCATTCTATTTACATACTTCTACTGTGACTCTTTTTTCTATTCGGTGGCCTAATCAATTAGGACTGATTTAATTGAACGAATTGAATTGGTTTCACGTCCGAGCACATGTTTCGTCGTCCCAATCGCATCGCATAGCATCACATCACATTTGATTCCACATTTCCGACTCATATCCTGTGTCCTCCTTGACCTTGACCTTTATAATACATATATTCATACGCATTAGGCAGTTTGATCCAACCTGGCTTAGACGAAACACATAACGATTCCTCCTTCTCCTCTTTCTTTGCCACCACCATAACAATACATAACATTTAATGACAACGGTTGTCGTTTAAGGTTATTAATCAGCCTAGCTTTCGCCTCAATTCCCCTGTACTAAAAGTTGACCCAAGTTGAAAAAAAAGAACGAGGAAAGAAGGGGGAAAAAAAAAAGAATTAAGGATACCCTGTTCGTCTCACGGTTCTACCCGGTAGACTGGCTCAGTGCCTGCAAGCGCTATAAATCCTGTCTTAATACGTCAATTTTAACGGCGGTTAGCCCAAACGGGGAAGACCCGTTGCACGCTTAAGGGTGGAGTAACGCTAGGTAGAATTGCGAACCCTGTCGCCTGCAGCTTCCTTTTTTTCTTTCTGGTTTAGCTGGTTACTTAGAAAGCGAAGGGGGGTGAAAAAGTAAAAAAGAGGGAAGGAAACAAAAAGGGAAAGAAGACAGGAGCAGAAACGAGAAAATTATTAGTGGACGATTCCGTTCTTTTCATTATTATTTACTTTCACATTGCATTGCACTACTCTGTAACTTACATCACTCGCATACATCCTCCACACTTCGCAACTGCACATTTCGCCGATACATACACACATACACCCACTATCCGTACAAACAACCACTTCGCCGTTACCTCTTTTTCGACACTTACGGTCCCTACCGTGCTAAACGCCGAAATCATCATCAGAACAAACCAAGTTCTCTGCGACATCGTTCACACATATCCGACGACTCGTATTGAATTCCCTACTACGCATTTGCCTAGTTGGGCACGCGGTTGTTCATTTGAAGAGATAAACACCAAACATTTGGCAAGGCAAGGGAGAGATTAGCAAAAGGGGAGGTCGAGAGAAGAAAAATAAGAAGAGAGTCAGGCTCGCAACCCGACGACCACAAAAATGCACAACCAACAGCAACACCCACCTCCTGCACCACAACCTCCCGTACCCATATCTATCACAATCTGCGGCGATGGCGGTTGTGGTAAGTCCTCTATAACACTACGGCTAGTACGATCTCAATGGACGTCCGAATACGACCCGACCATCGAAGATAGTTACAGCATTACACGACGAATCGATGGCACAACCTACCATCTATCCCTCACAGACACAGCCGGTCAAGAAGAATACCGCGGCATGTGGGCATCTTCCAATCTTAGCGCCGATGCCTTCCTTCTCGTTTACGATATCACTTCCCACGACTCCCTTGACGCCCTAAACTACTTCAACGACCTGATAGATATGGAAGCCGAGACGCGTCTAGATAACGCGGCAAGGGCACGGAAGGCTGGTCTTAGTGCGGGTGCTAGAAGAGGTAGCAGTCACGGGCTTGGCGGTGCTGGTAGTGGCGCAAGGACAATACCACCGGTTAAAATCGTAGCTGGTAACAAATGCGACTTACAAGAATCACGGCAAGTTCCGGCGGCACAGGGGTTAGAGTGGGCGCGAAAGCGCGGTTGCGGATTTATGGAAACAAGTGCACGACTCGAGGTCAATATCGAGGAGACGTTCGCGCTCATAGTACGTCGCGTCGTTGAAGGTCGTCGCCTAGCTGAGATGGGTGTTCTTGATAACACTGAGATGGACCGCCGAGGTGTTACGAAACCCCTGACGCCACTTGGAAGTACTGATGACCGCGATACCGATACCGAGAAGCCCGCCCGAGGGGGTCTGATGAGAGGACCTCGACTAGGTGATGGTCAAAGGTTAGGGTTTGGAGGTAGAGGGAAGGATGGATTCTGGAGGAGTTTGAGGTGTTGGTAGAACCGAATTGGAGTTTTACCGTGAACCCTTGCCGGTTAGATGACTGGCCGGCTGCCTTGTCGAATGTTGAGCATGGCAAATGGATTGGAAAATAAAACACGACGGCAAGCCCCGTGAATATCGAGACGACAGACTCCAGCAAGCCAATCAAGAAAAGTTTTTGTTTTTAAGAGAAGGGGAAAAGGTTATGATAGCTAGACGCTAGTAGAGGACATCTCTGGGAACTACGGATACCTCATTAGTGGACGGAAAAGGTTATGACTCCCCGATGCGGATGAGCCGCTTCCTACTCGGCGACCAAGACCGGCGTGTCTTGTTGCTACTCGCATTGAGTTGTTGACCTTTGGTTTTGGTAGCAGTAAGAAACCACAATCAAAACTGAACGGAGTTGTCCTTTTCCCCTACCCCTACTTTGACCCCTCTTTTTACACGTTGCACATTATATCCCGAGAGTACATAGGCGTTGAGAACGGAAATGGAAGATGATTGATTACACATCGAGGGGGGTTTACAAGATACGTTTTGTTGATCTCATTCTTTTGATTGTGGTCGAGGAGATCTTGTGGTTTGGGTTGGGCGGCTTGCATGCATTCATGATAGGGGATGAAGGAAGGGCGGTGGAATGAGAGGACTTGCAAATAAAAGGCTTCCCAGTACACAGTTCTAGTACATACGTTGAGTTGCCTACATGGCTTCGCGTATCATAATATGGAAATTCGTTCTATTTTCATACATCTATATGGCATTGTGCTTTGTAAGGACGTTCAGGGCTGGGCGTGAGGGTAGGTACACGATCTAGGCTTGTCTGAACGTATCCAACCCCACCCCTATGTGCCCAATTTACAATTCGACCCAAGACTTCGAGCTGGACGATAAGTTTTTAACTATTCAAATTCGATTATTATCTATGACCTATCTAACTATTTCTGCTTTCTACTTACTAGCCAGCCAGCTATTCCATCCATTTCATCCTCCAATAACTACTACCTAGGTATCTCAATATCCAATATCAAAAGTAAGAAACAAGAACATAACAAAAGAAACCCAGCAATTCGCTCCCTGCCCGATATTTCCCTTTTCCATACTCTTGTCTTCATACCTTCGTAGATTAATCATTCGGGTCAACCAAAATTAAAGCAAAACAAAATAAACTAGAAAAGGAGGCACTATTATGTGAACGCCACCCACGTCATCACCCCCACCACTACCGTACTCCACAAAAAGACAGCTTCTACTCGGATTCCTATCCTTCCCACTGCGCTAGAAGCAGGTAGTATAAACTCAGTCTGCGACGCAGTCGGTCCCATAGGAACACCCTCTCTCGTCCTCGTCGGCGTGGCGATAGCTCCTATTCCACGACTTGCATCACCGCCCGCAATAGCTACGCCCGCGAGATTAGAGCTGCTGTTGTTGAAACCCCAACTCATACCGCCGTAGTTTACACCTGCGCTCATGCCGTTGGCTATGTTTTGCTGTGGTGGGGATGGGGGTTGGGATTGGGGGTATGGGGAGGGGGTGTAGTATGTGGAGTAGGATATTTGGGGGCCGTCGTAGTGCGCTTGTAGTGGTGATGAGGGGGGAGATGGGTTGGCGTGGATGTGGGGGGTTGGGAAGAGGGTTATTACTTCCGTCGTTGTTGCGCCGATTGTGCAGTCCTCGGCCGAGGGTTCGCAGGATGTTACGGCGTAGATGCGGGTTGAGCAGGTTTCTGTGGCGACGACTTGGTGCTCTTCGGTAGTTATTGTTGCCACGCGGGTTGCTGCTGCGACTGGTTTTGTTGTGGTATGGGCATGTGTCTCCGGCTGTGGATGCGGATGCGGATGCGGTGGAGCAGGGGCTGGAGGGGCAGGAGATGGAGGTATGATATCGCCGGGGCAGAATGTTGCGACGATAGTTTCGTGGCTGGTCGTTACCTTTTGCCCGTCCATCGTGTACACTGCATGTCGGATCATCGTACTCGTGAATGTCTCCGTTGCAGTCGATGTCTCGAAGTGCATTTTCCGAATATTGACATCATCGTCATCATCGCAGTCTTCATCCGGGGTAGCGCTGGCTTGCTTCTGAACAGCGACCGTTGTAGTAGCTGGAGTGGGCGGCGGATCATCCGATGACGGTTTAGTCGGAGATGCGGGGCGCGCTACGGCAGGCGGTTTGCAGGAGCCCGGGATGTCGGCCGCGGCATCGGGACCGGCAGGAACGGCAACGAGATTGGATTCTTCCTTACATCGGATGTAGTTCGCCATGTAAAGGGCATCGTTGCTTTGGTCAAAGGCCACTTTGATGAATGTTAGTGCCATCACTTCTCACTATCTCTTTGTGTAACGTTTTTGGAGAACGAACTTACCATAGGCTCCTCTCAAAAAAGTATCACCCAAGATCCACACCCCAATATCCCCAGTATACCAAGCGCCGAGGAAGCACTGATCATTTCCACCATACCAGATGAAGTCGCTGTACGCGACATTGATCACGACCGGAGCACCGCCTTCGCCCGCGAACTCGAAGTCCAGAGTGCCGCCCGCGGCTTCGTCACGTAGGGAGCATGGTACGGTGTAACCGCCGTTACCGTCAGATTTAGAACCCGAAAACTTGGCTGCCAGTGCGGATACCATAGACTCAGGGAGGAGTGAAAGCGTCGTACCGGAATCAACAACAACAGGAAGAGGCATATTAGAATCGGTGATTGGCTCGCTGGCGACGAGGGAAACGGCATTGTCGGATCCAGAGGCAGGGGCAGAGTCGGGCGTTTGGAGAGTAAGCGAGTTAAGTGTTACAACGTAGTGTCTATGTGAGTTAGCGAACAAAATCCACCGATGCTATTTTTGTTGGAGGCACTCACGGGTCCGAAGGATCGGTAGGTACTTTCGCTAAGTTACCCGAAAACTTGTTTGTGTCGACGCCACCAAAGACCATTTCTCCCGTGACGGCCGCTATATTAACATTTGTCAGCATATACACACATCACAGCCTAGAGCTCGACGATAATTGTACTTACCTGTACCACCAGGCTGATCACCTAGATCCAAGCTGAACAGTTTGCTGTTCGTGTACCCCTGAGCGGCCAACGAATCGACGACAGAAGAATACTCAACAACGCCACCCCCCTTACCACGACCTAGCCCCAAAATACCAAACCAAACATCACTCGACGTGTTCGAGACACCGAATTGCTGGTCTTGAACCCTTGCGCCTTGAAATTAACTTCATTAGCAACTCGCCCTTACATATTGTTAAGGGGTGGGCTTACCCGAGATATACACGTCGTCTGTGTAATAGCTGCCCGACGCACTGCCCTGTCCATATTGAATCCCAAAATTCTTGTTGAGGTTCTTCGCCGATGGGGACCGAGCTGGATCGTAATGCCCGAAAGCATCACAGTAATCCTTCACATTCGTCGAGGAACAGTCCGGATTAACCCATAACTCGAACGAACCCGTATCAATTAACACGCTGACTGATTGAGGGTCATCACCAGTGCCCATCGTCACTACCACCACATTAGCAAAGTCCCAAAGCAGTCCCAAAACCAGAAGAAAATGGCAGAAACATACACTCAGCAAAATACGCCGCGCCATAAACCCCCAAAACCTCCGAATTAAAATACCGTCTAGCCAAACTCGGCGTCCCAACACCCTGATGCTCAACCCGTCTCAACGGAATCGACAGAACCTGGGCCCCTCCCTTATAAAAATTCGTCGCGTTCGCCGGTACATTGCTCGTAACATTACTAAACGCGGGCGCCGCCTGTCCGGTCCAAACCAGCAACCCCGTCGCCGATAACGTGAGAAATTTGGAAAACGACATGCTTCTGCGTGGATTTCGCTTTCCTGGACGCAGTAGCAAGAAGACTTAGTCTCAAAAGAAAGAGAGCGAGAAAGTCAAAGGGAGATATTGTAGGGGCATGGTGGAGGGTATATCAGTCACGCTGGTATGGAATTCGAAAGCGATAACTAGGCGATGCGGCTCACTAGTCCGATCGCTAGTTTCGCGGGAGATTACTTGGTTGAAGAATGTAGGGCACATGCTTATGAGACATTCTATATTCTCCGTTGCTGTGCGTGTGTATAGTGAAAGCGGGTCTAGTCCTGAGACATTTGGGTCGATATGGCAACGAATTGTTCTAGACGAAGGGAAGGTTAATCGGCTTCATGCCAGAGGATGGCTTAAGTGTGCTTCCTTTCCCCCGGGATAGATGTCTGGTATGAGATCCCGGTTATCGGTAAATGATCTCATCGTCGATGAGTAGGTGAGATAGCTATTCACTACGTCGTCATGGCCAACGAGATTGATGAGACGTATAATCGAGATCAAGCTGATGTTTGAGAATGTGTTATATAAGTATATTAAATTAGGTAGACTGCTTTCTTATATCAGCAGTATAGTAGATGAGTACGATCATCCAGCGTCCCAAAGGGATGAGTAAAGGTGTTAATCATGGGAAGGGCGACATTTAAAATTAATGGGAGGGACTTAAGAGAAGGGCGTCAGTCAACTCATGAAAATCATTGTAAAGCAGACAGATAGACCTAAATTATCGAGGGCGGTGCTCAAACATGCACGGCATCACAGAAAAATAAAAGGAAGAAACCGAATCTAACTGTATCATCAAATCACCCACCTAGCAGCCGTCGCCATTGCCGCTGCTGCTCCGAGCGCCGTAATAACCTTAGACTCCCTCCCTGAATGCCAACAAGACGCCCACGCGATCCCATGCAGATGCTATCTGCGCGTATGCTTGCCTGTCTGCTTGTGTGCTCATATGTGTAATGCAGGAGTATGCATGCTCCGGTGATGCTAGTAATGCAATAGTGAAACATCTATGCCTCATCCTCGTCCCTCGAGTTTACCCAATCGCGCCATTGCTTGTATGCGGGGTACTGCAGTGACTTCTTCCTGCCTTGATATCGGACAACCTTAAGGTCAACGCCCTGCCACTTGTCCTTCTTACCGACCCAACCGGCCTTACGCATGAGGCTGACCAGCGTCTCCTCTTTCGTCCAGCCCTGTTCCGCGGCTACGTCTGGTAGGTAGGTAGCACCGTAGCGACGACCTCGTTCCGTGAAGCTGATGCGCAATCCATGTGTTCCGATCTCCCAATCCATAGCATCGGCGCAGTCCTCGAAGTCGGTCAATAATGTTACGGCGACCTCGAGAGATGATATTTCCCGCTTCGAGATTGGGTCGAATCGCATATCGTGAACTGCGGATGTGATAGCATAGGAAGATAGTCCCTCATCTAACTCTTGGGCTTCGAATGTGCCGATGCATCCTCGTAGAGAAGTATGACCCGATCGAGGTGAAACGGTGTTCCACGTTACGAAAAGGGGTGATTCGGTAATAGCGTCTGCTAGGGAATCTGTGGATGTTGCGGCGGTTTCTGTGGTAAGGGATACGGTCGAGTTAGAGGAGGGCGAAGACGAAGTGCTCGCGGAGGAAGTGGAGTCGGCTACTCGTCTGAGCGCTGGGATTCGTTTCTCGAGGCTCTCGGTTTTGGACGCATCTTCAGCGCCGGCTTCTGGATGTTCGTTCCAAGCTTCCTCGATCTCCTTGAGACTTAAGGGCTTGCGACTTTCGAGGTACGCGGCAAGGGTTTCGAAGCAGTACAGACAATGTGCGACGGTAGCCATGTTTGCTTGCTTGTGTGATTATTATCGGCTGACTCGGGCCAAGGAGAGGGGGAGGGGTTCGTGGACGTAATCGGTAGGATCGAGTAAAAGGTGATGAGATGATGGAGAAAAAGCGGACGACCCGAGATTTAAAAGAACAAATGAAAACCGAATCGAGTCGGTTCGAGTCGTCGCATGGACAGGAAAAAGAATATTGGATTTAGTTGTCAAGATGTGATCGTGTGATGATGTTGCGAATAATTAGAAATTAGAAAGTGAATCGGGCTGTAATAGGGAATCAACAGGATGGATAGTGCCTTGTTAGGTTGCCTGCTAGCTAAACTTTACACCCCGCTCTCACTTGCAGTTACTTAACCTTAGTGGAGTGGACATGTCGGGGAGATCCGGGAACCCCTGAATTTATTCATTCACCAGCACACCACTGCACAACTTTCATAAAGCCTTATCTACTACCCGATCTAGCCTAAAAATAATCCTAGTGTAGGTCCTACCCCTGTTCCTGTGTCAGCCTCACTATTTAGCTACCCCTCACTGCCCTCAGTAGGTTAGGTATGTACTCAGCTCTTTCCAGCAGATTCTAGATTTCAATGTTCAATTTTATTGATCGATTGATTCTTTAGCGTCCATTTTCACACAATAATATCAAGAGTTCCGCTGCATCTCTTTTTTTCTAGATGTCATGGGCGAAAATCTCCCTGAATTGGGGAACACCCGACTCGGGATTGGGTACGCCAAGCACGTACTACAGAAGACGGTGCTGCCCACCTGGCCAGAACGCGGGGACAAGTCCCCTAAGACGGCTGTAAGTAAGCCTGTAAATAAAAATTCGGGGCGTCCGTCATTCAAGCTTTAGTACTTTGGGCGCTCATCGGATAGGGTGCGTACTTCAAAATTCAGGTGCTATCCAAATAGGCTTGGTCTAGATCAGGTCGCAGGTCAAATTCGGACGCTCTACCGGATACGTTCACCCACCAGCGATGACTTCTCCTTTCCAAGGTTGGCCATAGAGATTTTCATAATAACTCTTGTCCATCCCAGCCTGCTGTCTAGCTTCGGCGTTGAACGGTCCCTTCACGGCGCCTCTGAAGTGTTTTTGCACATTGCTTCGGAAGACTTGAACCGGGTCGGTGCTTTCCTGTTGGCATATCCAAGTAAGCCATCTGTGTCCAGTGGTTACATGCGTGATTTCGTCATTATGAATGATGGTCAAGACATCGACGCTCTCGTCATCGCGGGCATTCCGGAATTTCTCGATTGTGAGCGGGTTTACGTCAAGACCTCGGGCTTCGTGGACAAGTGCGATGACGCTTATCCTAGCACGTAGATCAAGTGCTGTTCTGATGGCGGATTCCCATAACCCATGATGAACTGGTAATGCGCCGAAATGACTCCCCAACTCTTCTAACCTCGCTCGTAATAACGAGAAATGTTTCGCTTCATCATTGGCGACCTTGAGCCAATCGTAGAAAAACGTCCGTGGTAATTCGTGTGCAGTATCGTCCCCATTTGATGTAATGGTCTGGAAAGAGGCAAAGCGGACCATTATATCAATAGCCAGGTCAATAGCCCATTGCTCAATGTTCGCCAAGGCGTGGAGCATCATAATCCTGCTTTTTTCACTACCTCCCTTGCCAGCTTTAGGCATCTGCCCCGGTTTCACCTGGGTCAGGTTATGCCTTGGCGGTTCTTGGGGAGGTATCACCGTACCAGCCCCGATCCGCATGGGAGAGGGGGATTGTTCACGTGTTGCGAATAGAGAGAAGAGATGGGTAGTAAGTTCGATCTTGTGCTCAGGGTTGGACGTGTTCAAGATGTGAACACACCAACCACATAAGCTTGCATCCTGGCCAAGGTATGTAGGGGAGCCTGAGGGTTCGATTCTTGGGCCATGCTTGAATTTCACCTTCTCGCTGACAGGTTCGATCTTGGCGAGCTGTAAATTCTGGGCCTCTGTGATGTGTATGCTCACTCTTCCTTCTTGTAAGGTAACCGGAAATGTGCAGGCTTTGATGCCATAACTAGACTCACCGGTCTCTACGTTGAAGTCATACGCGTGCCATGGACAAGAGGCAATGTAAGATGAGTCTTCGATGTCAATGTGAGCGTCTGTCATCGGTCCACCGGCATGGGGACACTCTGCCTCCATCGCGTAATAGGTCCATAAATCTGGACTTTCTGCGACCGTGCGCGCTACCGCGTCTGACCTATCAATTTTCGGTAGACGGAAAAGAACAAGGCGCTTGCCATTGGATAGGGTTATAGAATGTCTTGTGTGTTGAAGATCTGCCAGACAACCTATGTCAACATCCGACATATTGCAGATTTCAAGTCTAATATGTATGGAGTAGACTTGAACTTGGCTGTATTGGATTTAAGGAGTCTTCCTGTTGAATTGATAATCACAACTGAAATGAGAATCTTGGATTTCTTGGTCCGATGATTGAGCGTTTGTGAATTGAACCGAATTTGCTTTTTTCGGAGTTTAAGGGTGGAAAATTGGAGCGAGGGGTTGTAATGTGGCGGTGGTAATAGTGTTTAGTGGCTTGACTCGTTTCGGAGTAGGAAGATCAGGGACTCCGTGGAGCTAACCCCATGTAGCCCCGTGGCTGGTGGCTCTAGTTCAATTTGAGGGGTTATTTTGGAGAGAAGCGGTCTCGAATTAAATCCATCCCGGTCTCATCTTTCGCATAGACATTCAAAATCTACAGGACATGAATACGTTGACTTGATGACGAGTTCATCCTGTCACTGCTTTGACAGGAGTCATGCATCCTTCAAAGATTCCAATAACATGGACACAAGCCTTTCCGGATTCATCTTGGAACACGGGTAGCTTGAGTGCCGTCCCTGATCGGCTTTTCGATGCCAAGCTTGTTTCGTTGTTTCTACCCGCAGCGTTGCATTGCAGCGGTCCAGATACCACTACGAGGCTCAATTAAGCATTATAACGCGTTACAGTGCTGTCTCGTACCCTTGCTCGCCCACCGTCTTCCGAGCGCCTCTCCTCCAATTCTCATAGTCCCGTACTCCATAGGATCCGCTCGTTAACCTTCTTTTTTAGAGATCTTGACAGTAGATCTATACCCCAGTAGGCCAGTGTATGTTCCTGTCATCTGGTATTGGGGAGCCTATTGTTTGTTTCTTTAACGGCTCTGCGGGTCTGGACCATGTCAAGGCCAAGTCTCACATTAGCCAATCCTCGAAAGTCCATGCCCAATCGAGAAGAGCTGACGGGAAATGCCATATCCGCCTGTCTCAAGTAGCCTCGTCTATGTCGAAGATCAGTAACGAAAATTATGAGGATTGAAGGCGCTTGCTCTTCCGTAGTGTATGTTGTATTGCGTTCATCCCAGCATGGACAGCCGCATGGGATGGCATGGGATGGGATCATCGTACATAAGAATGTCTAGTTGACTTCTGTCATTTTCGATTTCCCTTCTTTCTTTCCTCATCCTCTGCGAGTTTACAGTCACTCTAGTTGATCAATCTTTCATTTCGATCTTAGCAGCATATTTACACAAGCTCGTCGCCGGCCGACCTTTACCGTTCTTTTAACATCAGTCAAAATGAAGTTCTCAGTCGCTATCTTCGCTATCTTCAGCACCGTCGCCATGGCGGAACTTAGTAAGTTGACTAAAGATTAGTCGCCAGCCGCATTTTCTAACCCAATCACAGCCAAGGTTCCCCGGTCGCAGAAGGCGGTTGCCCGACAGGCCGACGCAGCGGCGCAAGTCCAGACCGCCGTCATGGCTAGTGCTGATGGAGGTATCGTTCCTTTTGATACCGCCGGCGTCTACAAGGCCAGCACCGACAAGGGCTTGTAAAGTGCTTCGGATGGAATGCGAATAATTGAGGGTGAATAAGGATATCAAAGTCGAAATACCAACGACCCACGCATCCGACAAGTCATCCTATGACCAGTTCGAGGGATACATCTACGGATGTACGATTACCGGCGTCAAGGATATAATCATAGAGCACATGGGCGCGCGGATGGGAAATGGAATGGGAATGGGATAAGGGCTCGATATTTCGAGCCGGGCTTGAACTTATACCTAGAGTATTTGTGAATATCTGTTAATATTTATCAATCACCCCATATGAATTGTTCCATCTATGTGTGAGAAGGTATTTGGTGTTGTAGTCAATTTCCACCTTTGGAATCATCGCTCGGGAATATGTGTGACCATGCATAAAACTTCATCTGTTAGATATGTGGAGTGGAGGTTGACGGTTGGGTATAATACGCAAGCAAACGCGAAGCATATAACAAATTGCGAATTTGCGGTGAGTGTCTTGCAACGATGTTTATGTTCGATGCTTTGCATAACCAACGAAGCAAATGTCGTGCATCAACACGATGATGCGAAATGAGCGTGACAACTTCTCGAATTTTCTAATATGCACTAGGCGACGTAAGGGAATAACAATGCAAATCCTCCTTGTTATTATCAGCCTCAACTCGTGGTTCTAAATTCGTCTCATTTTCAAAAATGTCAAAGTTCTTTACGCGCCAACAAAAAATCGAATCATTTGGCAAGGCACAGCCGCAGCTGCGAAGAATCAAACCATTCAAACGAACATTGCGATATTCAGGCCTGGCGTGGGACCATTAGACCGCTGTTAGTTAGTGAGTTCTCTCCAAATTTAGCAGCAAATTATGGGGGCTGAGCGCCTTAGATAATACCAGGGTTTTGTTGTATCCAATTAGAATTAATGTGCAGTAATTATTAACGTCGAATAAAACGTCAAAATAGGTAAATTAGCTTCAAACCGAACAAAGTTAAGCTTAAAGTGGTAGTATCCAATAAGCTCGGAACTCTGACGTATCCAAGTATCTTCAATCAATACATGTATCTAATCTTCACTCCATCAACATTCATCTATGTACAGTACATCGGTAACAAAGGAGGCCGGGGATAATGCTAAGTTAGGTTGGGTTAATTAACTTAATTCCCTAGCCTACGGGGCGTCGATAAATTTCAAGTTTGGAAAAGAAAAAGACCCTGATGGTGGTACAAAGATTACCTAATTAAAATCAAAAGTTCCCGCCCCGCGTCTTTAATGATCCCGATGAGACCGAAACATGCCCCAAAACCCGCGACCCCGGCAGCTCGGCTACGAAATATATCAAGGGCTGGCGTATAATCCGTATTCCGGATTCTAAACCAATCCCGGATACGAATATTGAAGAAACAGAAACAGAGCACAATCGATCGTCTTGCGAATATCTATCGCGTATCGCGAACAGATGACTTCAAATATCGTCATAATCCTCGGGCGTCGTAATGACTGACGAACTGCAAGTAAAGACAGGTTTCCTAACTCGATTCGTCCCGTTGTTGACAATTCATCCCCCAACCCCATCGGGGAACCGACCATGATTGGACCCTTGCAAGTCAGCTATGCTGTTTCCGGGTCTCCGGTCCACAAGGATTATACCGCTTCATACTCAGCCGCAACCTACCACCAAGCCCTACCATTACCCATCTGAGTTTAGCGAGTACCAGGCCTCACTCCACGTTGTGGATTTGACGGATGCTAGCTGTTAGGCGGATCGTCTTACCACCCAATCGCCTGAGCATCTTACCGACGCCGTCGTTGGCGCCAGTACAAGGCGTTTTTTTTCTTTCTTTCTACGGCAATCAATGCAAGACTTTTTAGTCTCGCTGTCTCGTTAACGAGCGCCTCTTTCTGTTACGGTATGCCTAGTCCGAGACTGGCGTCCGGGGCTGAAGAACATACACCTTGGTTGGCGTAATTTCCACCAATTGGTGCATGTTGCGGCTTCCAATAAAAGCCATGTTTTTCATGTAGGACTTGGCGAAGATGGGGGGAAACTGCTGAGGCTATGCTATTCTTTCTAGTGGATCGTCGTTTTCTTTTCCTACCTAATTTCTTTGTAAGAACCTTTATATAGTAGCCACCGCGCCCGCGCGGATTTGCTTCGTAGGGCTGGCTTAGCTCTAGTTACATCATCTCACTCGCCTCTTCAATACGGCGGCAACGACTTCGAATATTAATAATAATACCCGGTGTATATACGATGGAATCGTGAAGATTGTCATATAAGGAAGGGTTGATTAAAAAGAGCTCGGACTAAGCAAAAATACAAGTTGTTCCCGCCCCAGCGAGAGGACCACCAAACTCGTCATTGAAGGCTTTTGCGGGGAACGACAAACGATACAAGGGAAATTGACGATGAGTTATACCCACCGAGACAATGCGCAGTTTGGTCGCGCAAGATGGAGGAAGACGCTACTTCTCCCATGCTGGATAGCCCAAATTGTGCTATTACTGGGGGTAATGGGCTTGTTCTCATACCGACTCTCAGCAACAACCAGAGAATGGAAAGCAGCAGAAGATAAAAGCCAGGCCCCAACAGTGGAATTTGTGTAAGTATCCAGGCATCCGATTCTCAGAGAGGGCTTTTGGATCAGGTAGCTAACTTAGGTCGCTGCAGGTGGGAATCAATCAACATTGGATTTTCCCTCATCTCCCTCATAGTAACATTCGTCTCAATAGCGAGGTTCATCGCAGAAGTGATGACACCGCTGCCGTTACTATTCGGAAACATCCTAAACCTAGTCCTCTCGTCAGCTGTTCTGGCGCTGGATATTGTGGTTTACGTCCAGTACTCCGATAGGCAGTATTCATTAACAGGAATAGCGATGGACTGTGCTCTTATGTAAGCCCCACGCCCAACGAGTAGAAACGCCGGAGCGAAGCGGGGATTGGGTTTGCTGACAGGTGCATCTTAGGTTCTTCACGATCATTCCGACCATTTACGCCGTCATAATCTACCGTCGTCTCCTAAGTTACGACGACTATCATCTTCCTGGCAATGTTAAGCCATACGGTTACAGTACCGCCGACGAACCCGAAGACACGGCGTACCGTTCGTCGTGGCTCCAACCGCCGGTGCCCTACGATCCGACAAACCCCTCCGCGACGGCCACAAGGCCACGGTCGCTTTCCGCTTCCCGTCGCATATCCTTGACCCTTAATAGCCGAGCCGCTTCGCCGCAGCCCACACCACCTCCCGAGCCAGTGTTGGAGCGTCGCGCTAGCTATGACCACAAGCGCGATACACAATTTGACGACTATGTGCGACGGCGGTCGAGCGTATTGTCAAAAGACGACGTGGATAGGGTATTGGGTGTCGAGTTCGGGTGGGAAGATAATCAAAATCAGCGAGAAAGCGTAATTAGCGCAGGAATGGTGTCGTCCGCTGTCCCTAGACCGAGGAGCGACTCGCTTAATACGAGACAAGTGAGCCTGGAAGCAAGCATTAGCCGAAGCGGTAGTAGCAGTACAAATACCACGAATTCGACTTCCACGGTGACGTTGGAAACTCCAGGAAACATGGTTAGAGCGCATAGTCTGAACAGCGTACCTGAGGCGCATGAGGAGGAAGATAGCAATTTGAGTTTGGGGAGAACGAAGGGAGGGGAGGCCCGAGAGGCGTTGTTAGGTGGTGATAGGATATCACGATCGAGTTCTGGTGCTAGTAGAACTAGCGCCCGACGTATCGAGCCGATTGAGGGATTGGAGGAAATTGAGTTGGATATTCGAAAACGGAGGAGGGAGTCGTAGTATGGATGATACCCAAGATAATGCAAAAATGAACGAATGCATATGCCAGGCGTAAGTTCCGGTAGATATAACGCGATATGATATATGTTTCTACTATTCCTTTTTTCTTCATGTTTCCTTCTAAACCTTCCCCGATTATACATAACCCCTCGCAAACGATCAACTCGAGTCAATTCGAATACGACAACGGCATAATGATTGAATTGGCATTACTCTGATATACCATATCACCTCCGGCGGTAATTATTTCGAAAAATCATTTCCGTCTCGGTTCAGCATTGTTTACCCCTTTTAAGGCTAACATGCTCCGTCTCACTAATATGCCGTTGAGGAAAAGCAACCCTCGAAAGCCTTTTATCCCTTGCGACGCGCAATTCTGCGAAAAAGCAGCCCGTACAGTATGCAGTTCTTGCTATCTAGTACAATACTGTTCGGCCAAATGCCGCCGCATGCATTGGAGCACCCATATGAGAGATTGCACACCCGGTCTGATCAAGGCTTGGCGTCCAAACTGGCATCTGGAAAAGCGAAAACCCAAATACTTTGAACAACTCCCTGTGGCACTGAACTTTGGCGCCAGATACCTTTGGGGCAATCATGCGGCGGTCGACATACTACGGCTAGAAGAGAACGAGGGGGTAAAGTACCAAGGAGATCTAGATTTACTATTCATTGGTCTGTCGCCCAATACTCGTTAAACCACGCCATGTTATCATTCCCCCTTAGCTTACCAATACCTAATTAGGCTGTGGAGATCTCAGAGACGTCATGATAACGGTCAACAAAATCCCCCCCAGATACCCCGGGAAAATAAAGATCGAAATCAGAGAGAGAGATTTGGATATTATCAGCCGTATATATATGATTATAAACGCCCTCATCCTCCCCGCTGACTCACCCCCTACCCCAGAGGATATCGTACACCTATGGTACTCAGCGTTTATGCCAGAATCGCTCGACAAATGGATAAGGGGACCTTTTTATAGGCACGTCGAGAAGCTATGTCGGGAGGTGTACCAACGATCTGAAGTACCGAAAAGATTACTAGCAAACTTCATTTATCCTGAGGTAGAACTACCAATCCCATATAGGTCAGACTCAGATACCATGGTGGATCTCACATTAAGTTTCCCGAAATGGTTCCGTTTGATACGCCTCCTGAGAAGAAAACCTGCATGGAAAGAAGCTCGCGAAGCCCGCGAACTGGTAATGGCATGCCCCGAAAGACTCGACAGTAGACAACGTTATCTAGCACGACAACCTTGTGGTGAGCGACCATCTCATGAGAAATTCGCGTACGATGGGATCCTACTGCCATATGGTCGGAATAGGTCTATTTTTACCAAACCCAATTTGTGAGTATTTACTAGTGATACTCTTCGTTCCTCCGTTACCACGTATCCGAGTTTATTACGATAGCTAACCCTTTTGTAAATTATTGCTAGTACCCTATTTGATTGTTTAGATGATGAGTTGAGATGGATCCCAGATGATACAATGTCGCCTGAGCACGGTTGGTCTCGATCCGAATTTCACAAGTTTCATTCGGGTCTAGCAAGAAACGACGTACTCGGGAAGCTATACTACTATCTCGTAGACGTCATCACTACCTTCCGCGACCAAATCCATAGTCTTGACATTAAATTTCATATCACACATAGTGAAACCCGTCATTTAGTAGGCCCTTTGCGCGCTGACCGACCATTCGACCGAATACTGGTACGTATATTATCTCTTTAAACCTAACTCTACATTGATCCCGAACCCGCAGTGGTCGTCATACTAATATGAGTAATATCTGAAGGTCTCCGGTATAGACGAAAACTATATACCGATAGATTTTACCGGATGGCTTGGCACATTTCTCAAGCCCTCGAATCCCCACGCGACTCTTATAGCGCCATACAGGCAGCCACTAAAATGCCCCGATATACTGTGTGGTGGTGGTGATATCTTCTGTTTCCACGAAATATTTAAATGCGACAGAACCAATCTCCCAGGAAAATGCACTGACAAGGACTATAACACTCTACAGGCTCGCGAAGTAGAGTTTCTAGAAGGCGATAACTTTGAGCGGATATTTACTACGTACCTACCCCTTTTTTATCGCCCCACTCGCCTTTGGCGTGGTATTGACTTATTGCTTTCTAGGAACTTGTCGTTGGATGTCTTCGGGGGTGATTGGAGGACCGGCGGCATCGACGTGAAAAAAACCAACACTATCGTCGAACAATGGCCATATCGTTCCGTAAAGAAAGGATCCAGAAGGATCGGTGCTTCGGGAAATATGCAGGCGTATTTGGCAGAGGACAGGTATCCGGCGTTGAGATACATCGAATGGGAGCGTGTGGGAGACCCGGACCCTGACATACTTGACTCGCAGTCAATAGAAGATGGGCTATGCTACAGGCACTGGTGGGGATCTGTCCGTTAGAGGGCTGTGGTTATTTGGTATTGGTATTGGGATAGCGTAGGCCCAGCGTGAGATATTAATATTGAAGTGAGAAAAGGGGTTGACGGCCTCGTTATGGATAGCGGGATTATTAACTCGATACTTTTTTTAATGGTAAAAGCTTTTTCGCAGGCAATGTGTTGCAAAGTGAACCAGAACTACATACCTAGCACCTTTGCAGGTTTAGGAAGCACATGTGTAGAACTGACGCAAATTTTCTTTCCTTTTCTACACCATAACTTCCTATAATGAAGGCCAAACCTATATGGGTTCCAACAAGAATTATCTAAATAACGTATTTTATCACCCGCTCATCGAGGAACTAAGACATTCAAGGAATTATCAGATGCCACGGGGACCCGAATCCACAAGATTATCATTTAAAGTTACGATACCTTGCAAATAAAAGCTTAGTATAATATTATTTGATTGGATTCTAGGGGGTCCTTTCATCGTAACAGGATACAAATAATTAGGTTTGGGTCTAACGATTGTAAAACTTAAATAACACTAAATAATAAACCATATATACTATGATAAGGGTCTAGTTCTACAACGAAACGAGTGGTTGATTAAATGGCACATCTGACGTGGTTAGTCTTAATACTTTGGCGCAGTGGTCACGTAACACACCCTGCCATTCACGTCACCCTTCTTAGCTAAGGGCCGTATGCGTTCAATGTAAATGAAGAATGCGCCTACGACATTGGGGTTCGAACCCCCACCCTCGCAAGTCTCGATTCTTTTTATTTTGTACATATCTATTACTTCTTACTAGTGCAGGCTTTATATCGCCTTTGCGCCTTATGGAGTGCAGCCCTTTAATTTACAAATGGTGTAGTAATTAGCAATTGCCGAGGTACTTCCGACCTTACAGAAATCTCATATCAATATATGTATCTTTCCTAAATCAGAATGTTGATCTAACTACAGCGCCTTGCAGTATATGAGCAGCTATACTAATTGTATGGTATCGGATGTATTTCCGACGCCTTGCGAATCAATGCACCATTTGTAAATTAAAGCGCTGCACTTCATAAGGTGCAGAGGCGATATAAAGCCTGCACTAGTACTGTTTATTTCATTTTTTTCTTCTTATTCGACTAGTGTTCTAATGCCCCTTGGTTCGAGTCTAGCTCGGGGAAGGATCTTTTTTTTTTTTTTTTTACCACTTTAATAATTCAGTCCGAGTCTAGTTCAAGTCGATCCTCGCCTTTGTATTTAATTGTGGATTCCTTCTTATTTAAACATTCACAGATATCTAAATAGCCTGTCCCACCTTCCTAATTTGACATTGAAAAGTGTAATTGACCAATTAAAACGTTATATTTATTATTATATACCTGGGTAAATGTACATGTAGCGTGAAGGGGGAAATGGAAATGTAATTGGGAATAAATGAATCTTCATAATACCTCACTATATTTATGAATATAAGATTTTCCTTAAATTTGTACAATAAAATGATTTCCGTATGAAATCTATTCCGGACGCTTACAGTGACATGAACGCGCTGTATCGCTGAGCTTAGAATTCATTGTCGTCGAATTATGCCTTGGGGCCATGTGGAGAAAACTGGGTTTGGCCAATCAAAACTCGTAAAAGTCCCTACGTAAATTGCTCTGGTGAGTATAAACCTATGTACCTAATGTATTTGATTCCCTCACCCGTCGCTCATAAGCTGCTACGATAAACAAACGGATTTTTTGGTGGATGTATGGATGATTTCAACAAATGAAGAATTGTTTATGAGAAGCTATAAAATATGGCAAATGAGATCGTGGGTAAGTGGCATATTAGATGCAGGATCGTAGGCCCAATGTTTACATCCTGTTATAATGGAAGGGCCACCTAAAATCTATGGATGGGCAACTACCTAGTAACAACTGTTGCGGTTTGGTTATGTACTATGTATAATTTCAGAATTGGAAGGTACTAGGTCATATATACTGTCTTCGATCTTCAATGTTTCCTTTTTTCTCCTACTACTACTTTTTCTACTACTTCTGCTACCACTCTTTTCTCCCATAATTTTTTCCTTCTTTTTCCTGCCGCTTCTGTCAATTCTTTCTTTTTTTTTTTTTTTTTTCGGAAAAATCAAATCTTCTGTGCTAGCACATTACACGCTCTCTAAGATGGCCCCCAAAAAAATTATCACGATTCCGCTAAAGCCCAGCCCGGATGAGCACGACCTAATCCCCCAAAATCCAATCCGTAAGCTTCTGTTCACCGAACTACTTACTTGCAACACGCACTCGATGCCGGCATTTGACCACACCAAGAACCACCCAGACATTGATGATGGCGATAATGATGATCAACCTGAGTCCCAATACGCATTGTCGACCACTGGAACTAGCTCTTTGACCGGGATCCTACAAGCCGCTCAGGTCTTCGATAATACTAAAATCGACGGGGAGGTCAGTGAGAACGCGGATACTATAGATGAAGTAGGCACATCATTCCGTGTAATACTATATCCAGGTATGTTGATAATATTCGCAATGATTAGTTTAACCTCTAACTATCAGCTGCTGATAAATACACAGGAAAACCCCCTTTTGCCCTCCAGACCATCCTTCCCGCGAGTGAGCGTTCGTTTAGAATCTACTTTCATGGAAATAACAAGCCGCTATACGCTTTCGAGGATCTTTGTCGATCGGCAAAGGAAATGGATGTTCTAAACATCTTGAAGGCGGCCTCTTTCGTGTTGGATACGGAAACACTTTCGGGCTTATTCAAGGCTATCTCGGTCCAGCGTGGTAAGGGATATCGTATGCTGTCCAGAAGATACATGGCACTATTTTCATCAAGATGTTGAACGGCCATGTCATCCACGGGAAAAATCGTAAAGAGAGCGGCGCCTACAAGTCTGCGAACGATCATTACAAAGATACTTTGAAACCAGCTTGGTCGATAGGAGCGAGCGAGGGAAATACGCCAACTCAACTCAACGTTTACAAACGCGTAGTTTCGTACGTCTTCGGCAGTACCTCCTTGGTCGTGGAAGACGAAATGCAAGTATCAAGGACGAATAATGCCTGCAAGCTCTTAGAGACGTCCCAACTCAAGCATCAAGATTGTGAAGACCCAGAACAAGACAGAGCCGAGAAGGAAATCCGTGATAGCTAGGAGCGTAGCGGCCATCGAGGCGACGTTAGTAAAGGTTTACCCCCGTACGCAGTTTTTCAGGGTCAAAACCCCCACCATGTTTTTGAGGGGCTAAGACTCTGCGTGAGTCCCGATCTAAACGAGGATAGGAACATTATGATGTCCCAGTTGTGGTTTTCCCACTCAAAACACGCACTTGTCGCAAGGTACAGAAAGCCTTTCAAGGTTGATAGCGGGTTCCCGGTTTCGAACTTTGCTGGCTACCCTACCTATTTCGATGGCGGAGGGATGCAAGAGTCGGATGAGGAGGCCGAAGATGGGGAAATAGAAGATGAAAAGGATGGCAAGGCACAAAATCGAAAGCAGACTGGAGATGATTGGGGGGGAAAGAAGGGGAAGGCAAAGGACACTGGGGGTAATCAAGCCGGGGGTTCACTCGTGGACAGATGGGCGGCCGGCCAAGATGTGAACGATGACCTCAAGGAACTTGAGCAACTACTCCTCCGAATCAAAAGACTTGCTATCACCGAAGCGAAAAAGGGCCACAACAAATTCATCCTGAAGCATCTAAGATGGGAAATGGATTCGCTGGTAGTTAGAATTTCCTTAAGGTGAAGACACTCTCGCAGTCGACCTATTGTCGGCATCTATGGCCGACACTCTCAACAAGGGTGCGGAAGGTTAAGCATTTCTGGTCTCTCCACGTGGCAAGTGATACATGATAAGCCTGCCAATCTTTGCCTCATGGCATTCTGCGCTCGGTGTGGGCTTGGGATTCTATCGGCTCCTTATGTATCTAACTTTAGGTAGCTTCTGGCGCTGCATGCATAGAAACCTTGCGCAATAGAGACACAAAATAAGAGAGATATGAATACTATTGCCGCTTTTACTGAAGATGCCGCTCTTATGTGATGTTAAATTATAACGATTCGTCGTGCCAAGTGAGATCTAATACATTAACGTGGTGTTGTAATCCACCGGGTATGTGGATAGTTACACGATATATCTCAAAGGCGGCAACGACGGGGAGTGTAGCTTTATATAAGAAATGACTCATTTGTAACTTAGGGTGTCTGATCCTCTCCCATAGATCCTTCTCCGTCGCGTAGATTCGAAGCAGGCGATACGATTACTTTTTCGCACCTTTAATCAACCTTACAAGGCGAGTGCAAATGTGGCGATGAATGGAATATGAAAACGGCTAGATATAGGCTGATTATATGCCTAACAAGAGTAGTGATTGTGAAATTCTAAACACTTAGTTTTCAATGTTATTAGTACAGAAACTGACTACGACGTAGTCTTATCTACAGGCATCATCTTCCGTGTTTGGATTTTCCTTGTTCTTCTCTGCCTGCCTCCATGTTGGTCCTTTGGCCATTACCAACCATAGCAAAGGACTCAGGAAAATTACAACGCCGACGATAAAGACGCTTGTCCAGCCTATTCCTATTCGCCCTGTCAAAGGACCGCCTATTGCCGCCGCCGCAGCACCGACGAGGCATCTACATAAATTATTCGCCGCGACCGCCGTAGCTGGCATATTGACGTGCGTATCCACTATCAGCGTATTCAGTCCATTTACAGCAGCTCCGATGAGCAACCCACAGAAGAATAGCGAGATCTCGATGCCTACCAGGGGCGCCTTGGTTTGCATGGTCCAGCCATACGCCACGATGGCTAAGCATGCTAAATAAACAAATGGCAAGGATATTTCAAGGCGGATCTTTTCGATAGGTAGAGCGGCGACGTCCTGCTGGCGGTTGTGGGTGATGACGATACCGGTGGCTCGCGAGTGGCGGCGAAAATTCCAGTCTAGTAAGAAACCACCGGTATGCCGGTATAACAAGCTCCCAACACCGAGGGGGAGATAGCATAACCCGATGATGACGGAGGAAAATCCAAAGCGTGACGAAAGTTCGCTGGATAATGTTGTTAAAAGCATATAGTAGCCACCGTACATAATAGAGCCGAAACCGAGAGTAATGCAACCTTCTTTCTCGGCAAGTATCTTAAGGGATGCAAAAGGATTTGGGCGCTTTCGAGAGGGCTTAATTGTCCCGTTATCGGCCTCGGCCTTCTGGTTTCGTTGGCGACGCTGCTTGATGTACCCTAGGAGAGACATGTTCCACCATGGTGAAGGGACGGAACCATTACCTACGACATTTCGGCAGGTTTCCGGAAGGAAGATGAATAGGATTATAAATAATACACCAGAGAGAATGGCCAAGAACCAAAATATGGATCGCCATCCTAAATATTGATCTATCAACCCGCCAATAACGGGACCTAGTGCCGGACCGAGCGTTATTCCCATAGCGGCGTAGCCGAGATACTTGCCGCGTTCCGCACGAGTGGCTAGGTCGGCGGCTACGGCGCTGCCCAAAGCGACGGTCGCGCTACTTCCGCAGCTCTGGAGACAGCGGAGGGTGATTAGAGCGGCGAATGTATTTTGTGATGCTAGACCTATATTGGCTGCGAGATAGATGATGCAGCAGATCATATAGGCTGGACGGCGTCCGTATACATCGGAGAAATTAGCGATGAATGACGGGGCGACTCCCTGCAGGACCTAGGATTGGTAGATTGTTAGTGACTCAGACGTATGCGTAGAGCTAATAGGTTTGGGCCTTACTAGGTATGTTGTTACTGTAAGGTTAACAAGAGATGTGGAGATACTTAGGTCTCTGGCGATTGACGGTATAGCTGGGAGGTAGATTGCCCCTGACAGGGGCGAGATCACGGCGGTGAAGGACGCGATGAGGATCATAGTAGCCTTTTCTCGATGCGAGAAAACGGAATAAGGGGGTTCATCGCACTGCTGTGTCTGATTTCCTGTCTCGACATCTTCAACGATAGGATCTTCCTTCTCGGAGCTGTGGGCTCCTTGGGAATGGTCTGTCGGTTTTGCTAGAGGTATGACCCCTGAAGGGGCAATTGAGTCCTCCTTTTCCTGATCCTGGGTCATGATGAAAATGTCTATTTACCATGACTTCGAATGAGAAAGGATATGTAGGGCGTAGATGAATAAATACCCTCACGAAAAAGCTCCATCGAGTTCCCTTATACTATTAGTTAATATAACCCGATTCGGCACCGGGATTGGTCTCGGAGCCGAAATCGGGTAGCCGATACGGCCCCACTACGGCGATATAAAAATACACCGGCAATAAAACCTCCCAGGTTCAATTCTCTCAAAAGTATCGTTATCGTCGCTAAATTAAAGGCTCGAGTTGAGGATAGACGGATGAAGGTTTCGGTCATTCACTTTTGATCACATTTCACCGTTAAAGATGGCGACCGACGCATGTGCCCAAATACCTCCAGTCTCATCGGAGTATACACCGAAGGGAAGATATGAAACCATCGCGGGATTGAAAACATGTAAGTAAATACACCTCTGAATACCCTCATTGGGTTAATTTACGCCCGTAAACATTTCAAAACCTCCCGTTGCCTCTCTTTCTTGCTATTTAACCTAGCTACTTATTTCCACCTAGATATTATTAGTCCCAAGTCCCCGCAGAGGGCAATATTTGACGTCTACGATGTTTTTGGCTTATCCCCCCAGGCGCTACAAGGCGCAGATCGTTTATCCGCCAGCCTCAACGCGCTTGTACTAGTTCCGGATTTCTTCGAGGGCGACTACATGCAGGCCGCGTGGATGCCGGCCGACACAGACGAGAAGAAAGCAGCCTTCGCTAAGTTCCAGAATGAAAAGGCCGTGGTATCGAAGAATGTCGAGAAGCTCATAGAATTAAGGGAGCTGGCCGGCGAAATATGGCCGTCGACTGGAGACCGCTGGGGGGTCTTTGGGCTTTGTTGGGGAGGAAAGATCGGCGTGATAGCATGCGGAGAGGGTAACGAAGGGCCGGGGAGGATTTTCAAAGTGGGCGGGACTGCTCACCCGGGGCGCTTGGCTGCTGAAGATGCGGAGGCTTTAACTGCTCCGTTTATATGTCTTGCTTCGCCCAAGGAGCCAGCCGATATCGTGGCGCAGTATAAGGAAATCTTATCCAGGCCAGGCAAAACCGGAGTCGTGGAGACATACGAGACAATGTTCCACGGTTGGATGGGAGCAAGAGCTAATTTGAAAGACGAGAATAACAGGACGGAGTATGAGCGGGGATATAATCAGGTCGCGGAGTTCTTTGCGAAATACCTATGAGGCGTCCAAGTAGCTGACAAAACAAAGTTAATGTCCTTTTTTTATACTCTTATGATAAGTTATCATAGCGGCAGCGTAGTTAATTGGCCGTGCCAAAGGCAGATTGTAAAGGAACCTTTATTTGTAGAGTGATTGCAAAGTAAGTATTACGATCATTACGTCACGTTACATTACATTACTTTACGTTTATTTACGCGTTTTTTTCTTGCGAAAAGCTGTATTACAATTCCGTGCGTCACTTTTCGCCATCAAAGTACCTTCTTTTCCTTGGCGGCTCACGACATCATCGATAAATATGCCTTGGCCAGGTTTCACCTCCAATGATGGCCCAAAGGCAAAAGACCCTGCCCCTTCTAAGCATGACGATTCCGGTCAGAAGGCTGGCGTCCAGGGTAGACTTGCAACCGAGCAAGCATTAAAGGAGACGAGGGCGTCCTCTGAAGAGTCGTGGAGGATGGTACGGCAAGCGTACATAGATGGCTCCTTTCTTTTCTTTTGTGAAAGGGGAGATGTGATGCTTCACATCACATGATGTACTATGACTAAACTCTCTCAGACCTTACTATGTAGCTCATCCTCCACATCATAGCTTTACCTTAGATTCTTGATAATACATCATCAATTCTACACATACATGACCGTCATATTTTTCTGGGGGGCCTTCACTCTACAGTACCTACCTAGGTAGACGCCCAGACAGCTCATACTTTTTTAAGGTATATTGCCCTTTTTATCCTTTCTTTTTTCTTTTGTTTTTCTTTCTAGTCTTTCTCATCCTCTTCTTATTCTTCCTTTTCTTCGTCTTCTTTTCTCAGCTACCTAAATAACTATATAAAATGGTATTACATGGGTCGTCAACAAGCTTGCCAAGATAGTCTAATTAATAACTGGATACTCAGTTTATATCATGTGTGATACTGCATTATAATATTATTCCTTCATTAAAAGAGGGACCTCATAGTCTATCTTCTACGACTCGCTCGGGGTAGTCCTTCTGCCATCCTGCGACTTCACCTGAGGCTTCGCCTCGATCATCGACACCTCGATCGATTGTTATGACGGTAGTCTTGGTGATCTCATTAGGCTTTTGGGTCAGGATGCTCTCCTCGCTGATGTTGTCCGCCAAGCTATTAGGAACGGCCCCGCTTCGAACGATCCCGTTTCCCGTTTGTGACTGTATATATCTCGAGCCCTTTGGATTGGTACCGCGACCATAGGCACGGAGGTCGTATTCGTCTTTCTTGCGCGAAGATCCGTATCGTAGCGAGCTGTCGAAGACTTTCTTAAACATCGGCTTAACACAGGGCAAACTGCCAGAAATGATCCCCACGTTCGTTTCGGTTCTGATATAGGAATACAGTTAATATTTTTTTGAAAACAGCTCCATAGGGGTGGCCTTACGCTATCCAAATTGTCAGGTTGGCGGAGTCCCAAAGAAAATCGCCGGTTTTTCCATAATTAGTGATAAACGCAGCTTTCACAATAGCAGCAGCGCATGCACTGTTAAATGGTTAGATTAGAAAAGAGATAAAACAACAGCTTGGGACATACAATACACCGAGGCCTAAAACGCAGATTAGTGAAGCTTTGGTTCGAGCATTGATCTTAACATTCCAAAGCATCGGGATCGGTAGTAGAGCGAAGAATATGTCGGTTACGATATTGACGGCTTGTACTACGAGTCAGCGACAATGCCCTTGGTAGTAGGAAAAATTATGAATAGACTGACTTGAGTTAGCATAACTTAAGCCTTGAAGCGTTGATTGTGACCAGCATGTTGTCTCGACGCGAGAATCCCATAGTATTGCTAAGTTTTTGCATTGTAACATCAACGTCATGAAGCAGACAAAGGTATAAGCGATAAGGAAGGTCATCACTCCTTGTAAGATACGTTTATAGTAAACCGAAGGGCTGATTCGTATCAAGAAGAACCCCACTGACACCTTGACCATAGGAATAGCCCAAAGGTATATGGGCTGTGAGATGAAATTCAGTTTGAGGCCGAATCGATTCACTTCGGGGTCTAGATACACCGCATGGCGACCAGCTCCATACTGAACCTGAGCGATGACAATTCCCATTCCAGTCAAAGAGAGAAGCTATACGGTGAATTAGTATACTGCTTTGAAGAAAATAAAGTCTCCATACCATAGCTGCAAGCATAACATAGTCCTGGCATTAGTTAGCGCATCAATAATTATCAATAAGTCCAGCATGGCCGCTTACATCAGTGCCGATGCTCCTGGTCATGCGGACACGCACGAATATCCTTGCCAAAACTACAACCAATGCAGCGAGAGTCGTTGATACCACCGCCCCGGCTATTTCGGGGCCTCGATTGTAATCGGGCTGACCGGTGCCAGGAGGAACAATCGTCGACATTGTTGGGGTCGAGACAAAATTTCGTCAAGAAAACTCACAGACAGGGGCATCATAAAGTAGGGGAGGATATATTTCTTAAAGGCACCCATTAGGCCTATATAACTGGGTATCGATGGATCGTATTTAGCTCGCTTGTTCTATACCCCGGCCCCTATACCGACCGATGGGAGCTGCAAGTCATACGATGGATTGAAATGTAATTTTGTTGCAGGGAACATGTCAACCTTTGCTCTAGGAACTTTGGAAGGGTCCTAGCGGCAGGACACTGAATAGTTCATGGAAATTTTCCTCCCTTAGCAAGTAGTGTGCAAACGATGATTCCGGATTGGACTAAACAATAGCGCCGTCCCTGAAAAGACCGGGGCATCTAAACGATGGCGCGGATAGGGGGAGACTAAGGTAAGCTATAGTCCCTGCCAAGAAGTCCATCGCATAGGCATTGTACCTGGATTGCGCTTGCTACTTTACTGGAACTTTTGATCGAACAATGGGTATAGTCTTGCTTCCTAAACCGAGAAGCTTGTGATTGTATTACTACATAGTAGGGTATAGCATCTCAACCCCCAACGCCTTATATACTTGCAAAGAAGCGATTAGTCGCATTTAAAATGCCAAAACTCCAAGGCTGGCCATATATTTAGTTTATCATATACTTCTCGTTATTAACTTTGTCTGTAAACAAATTATTCTTACTGCAAGGGATTGCATTGCGAGTATAAAGGGCCCTAACACGTGGGATCTAAGCTCGCCAAGAAGGTGTCCTGGATCGCCGCCCATAGTCAACTTCCATCGTATCCCTTCGATCAGTCAAGGATAGGGCGATATCCGAGCTTGCCGGGAAATCTAATTGGCGCAAACGCGACTATACTATGCAGTCAGAATTCCATGTATACACTGAGCCAGGTTATCGGGCTAAGTGATGTTACATAGCGTATACTCTATGCATTTTAGATGATTGGTCTCTGAAAAAGATAGACCCATCTTTCTAAAAGAACACAGTCTCCCCTCTAGGGGATAGGAACATAATGCATGGGGCATGAAGATAGAAGGATAGTGGTATATGATCTAGACCATCTTTCGTTAATATAAAATAAGAACTCTACGCGGATTACCTAGCCCAATCAGAAAAGGAAATCCGTTAAGCACGGATTATACGTCCTCTTAAGTTAATATCGAGGTATTTATTGATGGATACACGAGGAGAGGGAAAATGAATTATGAAGCTCCCCACGGGCGTTGATAAGTTTAAAAGGAGCTGAAATCCTCAGATTTCTCCGAAACCGATCGACAACGATTTTTGTCAAGTGTGGACTGATCTTTGCCTGTTGGTCGATCATCTAGAAGCCATCTGTGCGTAAAACGCATTGACGATAAACTAATCCGCCTAGGCTTTATAGTTGTCTCATACATCATGCATATTCGTCGTTTTACTTGTACACTGCTCTTCTCAGCAGCAGTCGCTGCTCCAATCGCTTCTGATGAGACTTCTGACTCGCTCTCCCAGCTAGATGATCTACTTAGCCAAGCTAGGTCAACCCAAGAGGATATCCTGGATGACAGAGCCGCTAGTAACGAGAAGAGATCACAAACATGTACTATCCAGAACCTCACAATACGCCGCGCTTGGTAAGTGGAAAGGGCTCCCCTGAAAATGTAAGACTGACGATGACTTCAGGGGTGCCCTTAGTCAAGATGAACGGAAGGCATACACTTCTGCCGTCCTATGTCTCCAATCTCTTCCCGCAAAAACACCTACCAATTTAGTTCCCGGTGTGAGATCAAGATATGACGATTTCGTCGCCACTCACATAAATCAAACATTAAACATCCACTACTCTGTAAGTACTGCTCATGAAAATCAAAATTTACTACGTACCTTGGCTAACTGAAGGGCAATTGTAAGGGTACTTTCCTCGCGTGGCATCGATGGTTCACCTGGACGTATGAACAGGCCTTGAAAAATGAATGTGGTTATACTGGCTCTCAGCCGTGAGTTCCCTTTGCCTTGCGCATTAAAGCACAATGCTAACTTATGCCAGATACTGGAACTGGGGTCTCTACGCGAAGGATCCGGCATCGTCGCCAATTTTCGACGGTGGCGAGTACAGCATGTCCGGAAATGGTGAATATATCGCCGGAAAAGGACCCCTGACCTTAACCCTTGGCGATTACCCACCTGTATATCTGCCTCCAGGGACCGGGGGTGGGTGTGTGACATCCGGCCCCTTCAAGGATATGCAGGTGAATCTAGGCCCTGTCAGCCTCCCACTAAATGACGGTACCGTCATTACAGGGTCAGGACTCGAATACAATCCTCGATGTCTGAAACGAGATATCTCCGCCGGTGTTAACTCCGCATACGCAAATGCTACCTCCATTGTTGAACTCATCCTAAAACAAAACAACATTGCGGATTTCCAATTAACCATGCAGGGAGTACCGGGCTCCGGCTCGATAGGTGTCCACGGCGGTGGTCATTATACCATTGGAGGTGACCCTGGTAGTGATGTATTTACCTCACCAGGCGATCCGGTATTCTATTTACACCACGGTATGATAGACCTAGTCTGGTGGACGTGGCAAATACTCGATTACAAGAACCGTCGCAATGCCATCGCGGGCACTGGGACATTTTTGAATAGTCCACCATCCCCATCCACGACTTTAGACGACATAATTGATCTCGGATATGCTGGAGGAGGTCCCATTACGATGAGGGAATTGATGAGTGTTAATGATGGTCCATTCTGCTATACCTACATATAAGGGATGGTCAGGACGGTATAAAATCGCGCAAGATGTAAGAAGTACATAGGTTTATGAAATATTCCTGATGACGTAAGTTGGGTTAGTCACCGAGGCTTTCGTGATTAGATAATCAATGAGTACCTCGGTACGTCTCAGCTTCAATTATGTAATGGCTATATGACTGGATTACATCATCAAGTTTCAAGGGCACGTGATACCCCTCCTGAGCAACGACGTCAAGATCTAAGAGTATTGACTCTAGACTGTCTTCGGCTCCTGATCGTTACCTTCGCCATTTGAAGACCTTGCTGAGTTGGCAACGTGCCTTCGTCTTAGACGACCAGCCTCGTCGTGCTCTTCATCCCATCGTTCCAATTCATTCACAGGCACCTTGGTTAACCTATGTGCCGTCGCGCCATCTTCACTCACTACCTCCGGTCGTAACCTGTATCCACCCCATTTCGGTAGTACGTATACCCATGCAGCATAGTAAATGGCGCCTAAGATAACAATACCAATACCCACGACACAGTACGTAGCATACCAGAATGAAACATCGCCAGCATACGGGCCGCCCTTCGGTGGAATCCACGGTGTTGCGATAACGTAAACTTGTAGGAGAATGTAGAATATAAGCGCAATGTGCCACGTCCTGAATTCCGGTGCGGGTCGATTAAGGCGCGCGTGCCGATATCTCACTAGATAGAGGCCTATAGCTAGTGCTAGATGATAAACTTGATAATGTTAGTAGCCGTAAGGAGAATTAGGTAAAGGCATCAACTTACTTCCATCTGGGTATGTTCCTAGCGAGATTACGAACTGGAATGCATCACCAAGGCTAAACATGTTAATAAATGCTACATAGACAGAAAGCGAGCTACTTACGGTGGTGCTACGATCATAATGAATGTCGTCAACCATTTTAACGCGTATGGTACTAGGGGAGTACCAAATGGTTTCGTAGAAACCCAGATCTTGGTAAATGGTAATACACCTTGCCTAGCAGATAGTTAACCCCCGTATAGTCATATAAAGGCATTTCATGGAACGAGACGAACCTTCCCACTTCGCGGATTAGTCTCGATTGACCGATCAATACCGCGAGTAGATTCCCAAAGGCACTTAGCAGTACTAATACACTTAAGGCCTTCTCGGCATGCCCTTTTCCAAACACAGTCACGAAGAAAAGGCCCGCTGCTGTCTCCTTTGACTGGGCAAACTCCTCTTTAGGTACTATAGTAATCTCTGTCAGATTCCAGGTCGCCGAGTATGACCGCAATATTTGTTTTTTTATCTTACCTGCAGCAAAGTACGCAATGTTGCAGAGCATGTAAAGAATGCCAACGATAATAATCGAGAGGTTACCGTTCTTCTTCAGCGTTGGGATCGGATTTTTGATTTCGTTGACCACATTAAAGGCATTTGCGAAGCCTGTATACGTGAATATGATATTGACCAAAGCGACTGATAAATCGTTGCCATTGTTCGTTGTGCCCTCGAAAGCATTACGAAAGTTGGCTCCTGGATCCGGAATATGGGACACATTTCCTCCCAGTACGACGAGACCCGCTGGAAGAAATTAGCGGCTACCACAAAAGCGATAAATAGTAATAGTAGTAAAAGAAGAATATCTGAGTAGTTGGCGTAAGAGAACAGCATTTACATACCGATACTAATACTAGAATCCAATTCCTGTTAGCTGATACCCTTCTAATCTGGCTCAAGAGGTCTGAACATACAAGACGAGAGTCCCGATCTTGAGGACACCGAGAATATTCATTAACCAGAGCGAGTACTTATTGTGGACGATCACACCTAAACCGGTTTGTCAGAAAGAATGAAGCTTCTCAGAGGTTAAAATGACCCACACAAGCTTGCAACAGTATAAGCTGCAATCGCAACACCCTTCAACTGCCAATCCGTCGGTGTAACGCCAGCACTCTGGTATAGATATCGCGATAGGACTAGAGGAAGGAGTAAGTAAGACTTCCACATATTTTGGCTCGACGATTACACACCAATGGCATTACTACTTGAAAAAGAAATGACGACGGTGTAGAAGGCGAAGGTAATTGGGAAGAAATGCTTTGGCCTAGGATACGCTTGCTCAAGGTAAACGACCTCGGACCCACTCCTATTTGGGAAGAAAGAAGCCAGCTCGAGGTATACGCTAAATCCTGCGAGTGCTAATAGAAGGCCAATGGTCCAATAGATGAGAGCGAGTCCAACAGAACCAGTACTCCCCAGAATCGTTCCAGCTATAAAATATTTCTTAGCAATTATCTAAGGAACGCGTGCGAATCTGAGGCCTTACGCGTTGAGAAAACGCCGGTACCGATCATTTGATTGAGATTAAGGAATATGACAGTCAGGAAACCGACATCGTAACCAAGGGGCGACTTAGATTCCACAGGGGCGCCCGCAGCCTCTTGGTATGATGGCTTTGATCCATTTTGAGCTTTTTCGATAGTATAGGCGAGATCGCCATCATGGATAACAGAGACATCCGAGCTAGAAGGATTGACATCGGCTGTTGAGACCTCGGTGCCAGCGGATCGCGACCAAAATTTCGGAATCCCCATAGTCACAGAAGCTCAGTTTTTCCGATCGAAAATATCGTCACTAGCGCTGCATAACTGGAACAGATTGGTACTAATAAAAATCGATAGAACCAAGTCGCGCTTATCGCAGTAGTAGGCTCGAGAGCTTTATGACGAGGGAGCTACCGAGGATACAATCGGGTTTTAAAAGCCAGCTGAGAAAGCTTCTAGACCGAATGCAAGGAAAATGAATTGAACCACCGAATCCGTGTGGTTGGATCCGGATGGTAGGGTAACGATAGATAAACAGTCGAATTGAGTGGTTAATAGACTGTCCAGATAAAATCTCCTTCCCTTTGTGAGAGGGGCGCGATCACGCAAGAATGGCTGATCATGACAACCATGTACGACGGGGCACGATGTTACGGAACTATCCAATGCATACACCACTTAAGAAAAACCGCCCTGGTCCACTCAGATCATTCAGTTAATTCCGATGGAATTGAAATCCGTCATGGCAAAATTATAGATGTTGCCAAGTAACGTTGGTAGATGATGGGAGATAATCTGCTAGACATAGAAAGCTACGCGGCGTGAGACAAGTTAGTCGGATGCGCCGACGATACCGCCACGCACCCCACGTCAAATCCGTGCTTGGCCGACGGATCAAGCCCAGTGGTAACACAGAAACCAACTTGGCATTAAGCAATTAATATCACGGCGGTTGAAATAGAACCGACAGGGCCACTCATAGGTGTAATTTACTTCATTATCAACTATACCTTAAGCAATTGCTCTGGTGAATTTCAACGTACTAATAACTGTTACATTCACCAAGCAGCCGCAATTGAGAAGCTCATTTACTCTTGTTGCTGGCGCTCCGAATGTATGGTTCCAATGGCAGAACTTCATCCTCTGGTCTCAAGTCATCATAAAGACCCACCCATCTAGTCTTCAACGGTTGTGGCGTCTCCCACGCGTTCTCAGGGTCGCGTAACCAGAGTCGCAAGAGATGCCGCCTTTCAGAGTACTTAGTTCCTTATATCTAGTTCATCTGGACAGAGTTAACCTACCGCTTATCTCCTGCATCTGTAAACCCGTCTCTAGCGTGAAATAGTGCCAAGTTGTTCACGTATTGAATATCTCCTTTCTCAAAATATGTGTTAACGGAGTACCTCTCACCCAGGAAGTGCAATGTGTCAAGCGATTCAGCTTGCGCTTCGGTGATGGGAGGGATATTCGGACTTCGGGGTAGGGCGCCGAACCCGACGAACGAACGACGGGCATACTGCAGTACAACGCGTTCTGGGGTCGAATCTGTGGCTGGTTGGTAGTGCATCAGGGGCCTCGATGTGTACTGCTGTTCAGCGAAGCTACAAGTTATTAGTTATGTCGAATTTCAACTTATGTATCAACGCGAAGTGGCTAACTTTTCCACGTCCCAGTTATTTATCAAAGTATGAATCAGGTCGGGGCGGGTACGAGCGATCTCGTTATACACTCTCCATGTGCTGGCAAGCTTACTTGCACCCCCTTCGGCAGCTGTCTCGAGGGCGAATAAAGATACGATATCACCAGAATCGGTATGAAATACCTGTTTGTCCGTGGTATATGCCGGGCTTCCGATTAATTCATTACGTCCAGGTCCACTCAAGTCCTTGATATGAGATAGTGTGACGGCCGCAGGTTTACCATCGAATTTGTTGTCTTGTCGGCCACGTTTAGGTGCGATATGTGCTGACAGACCCGCGTAGATAATAATATTCTCCTCGCGGGAATGTTCGTCAACGCGCAAACCTCGTATAACAAAAAAGCCGTGGCCGTTGTGGAGTTCGTCCGATAATCGTCGAAGCTCAGAATGTAATTCTGGCAGTGGAAAGCTCTCCTGGCTCACATACCCAAGGGGTAGATTGAGCGCTAAAGAACATACCGTCAGCACAGCGCCCTAGGAGCGATACTCCGGCCACTTACATTTAAAGTGTTTCACCGCGCTCTCAATCTCTTCTAGTTGACTGGGTGTCAGAACATAAGTCCAATTGTACGTCTCCGCAAGAGTATCGCCCTCCCAAACCAGCTTGCCCCTAAGCTGTCCCGGAAGCCCCTCGGGAAGCAGCTTCTGCAATCCACCAGCCTTAATGCGTTTCTCTCGCCGGACTTGGTATTTCTCAAAGTCCGGCGCGTAAGAAATGTCGGGCTGTCCAGGTGGAGCTAAAGCCGGGGGAGTTGTGACGTAGGTGGCGGTCGCCATGGCTATCGAATTCAATCCCTCGGTGCCGATTCTTATCTTACTTATTAAACGTGGCTGACGCACGGCATGCCTTTTTGCTTTTTCTGTCTCTTTTATGCCCAGTTATCTAAACTCCAAATGGGGATGCTCCGATTGCGTCATTAAGGGAAGATATCACTCACAACCAGACCAAGGAACCCCTCAGTATATTCGGGCCGAGCCATGGGGGTCGTTTCTCCGCGACATCGTTATTTACGTTGGTAAATTCCTAATAAACTGCGCTGTTGTGCTACCTATAGGTATATCGCATTTAAAGCCGAAGAGCAGACTACGTTCTCTGTTAGAGTATTGACTAAGCTTCTTAGGAAATATTTTCGTGAAAGTGTCCGAACGTTGTCTAGAGAAGTAGGTCGACGACGAATTCGCTGCAAGCTATTGAGACAGCAGGCGTATGATAATAAAAGGGAATAAGGAAATCCGCAAGTGAGCTAAAACTAAGAAGAAGGTAGGCAAGTACTCTAAAGCACCATCACAACATCGGGTCTTCAGTCGAAACTCAACTCCAAAATCATATTAATTACCAAAGTGCTACGATACGTTGAAACAGCCTTCCATAATTCCATCCACTCCACCCCGCGTTTTTCCCTCTTGATATATCCCGTCAGCTACTTTTAGCTAGAAACGACGCTAATGAGTCTCCCCTGTAGAAAAAATAATAATTATCTTCGGCGCCCTATATCGCACAGTATCATTTATGTTGGGTGATCCCAGAATCGTCTGCGAGCTGGAACAATCTGGTCGGCAGTACAAACTCCAGCCCGGACCAACTCCGCACCAACATTAGAGATTGTACGATCCTGCCCCCAGGCATACATGATTACCTTGTGTACATAATCTTTCCTTACGTTAGGAATACCGGTCCAATATAATAGAGTATCCTGCATTCGGTCGAACTCTGCAATTTGTGGATGCCCTGGATCTAGCATCCTAACTCGTAAGTATCGGTTGGTTATGTCCCACAGATAATTTGGATTTGACCAACAATCGGGGCAGAAGTCGGGATCGTACCTTGTGTTGGCTCTCAATATGTCGTGGGGGCAGTTTTGGTGATGAATTACAACCCTTCTGCATAGCCTAGGGTCTTTCTTCGCGTCTTCGCACTGCTGCGAAACATGTATGTGCGTTTCGTGCCCACAGCGGGGCCTATATTTGTTCCATTCGTTACACATCGCCCGAGTGTATGGTTGGGTATTGTAGAAGTATCTGTCGAGGATGTTAGCTAGTATGGCCTCTGGGTAGTGATCTAGTGGTTTCGAGGGACCATTCGTTGTCTCTGAGATAATCGTGGGGTTAAATCGTGTTACTTTTAGGAAAGATACAGATTGAATTGGTTATATAGAAAATTTAGTAGTTTTTGCCTGCCTGGGTACATAGGAGTGTGTCTACATGTAGGTGCGTGAGTTGACTTTGAGCTGGGAAGCACCTGAGTAGATGTTCTACACCTGTGGTAATTGTGATACACGGGGATGAATATCATTCGCCTACTCGCCCGAACACCAAAAAACAGAGAGGCCGAACCAAGTAGGATCAAGGCGTACTCCAAGATCTAATACATAATCGTATACACTATAATTCCTCCTTGACATTCGTGGACCACGTGCTACGGCAAATACAGTGAGTACATCATGTTCGCTTCCTTTCTTTTCACAGCCGGTTCATAGGGACACGTATAGTATTATGCGATGAATGACAAGATAGACACAAATCCCGTGGATAAGGCAGAGGACCTGGATTCATATATGACTAATAGGAAAATCTAATGAATTTGAATTCTGAGGTCAACATAAAACTCATATATCCTTTGCTCTACTTCATAAGGGGGATAGGGGTAATGCACATACTTATAAATGCGTGTTCTTCTATAGAGCAAGGAAATCCTGGATACTACGGTAGATAATGGAGGGTATTCGTATAGCGCAGTAAATGATCTAAGGAGGGGTAGGCATATCAACAATGAGCAACATGTGATCCGTGCAATTCACGTCAGAAACTCGAAATCATAATGGTAAATAAATAAATGGATTTAGAATGGCGCGTCTTCATTACTAGTGCAGTCTTACTTTCGACGCACCCTCACGGGTGCAGCGCTTTAATTTACAAATGGTGCAGTAATTAGCAGTTGCCGAGGTACTTCCGGAACACACTGAAATTTCATACAATTACATGTACCTGACCCAAATTTAAATATTGATTTAACCAGGAATCGCGCCACAGTACATAAGAAACCCATACAAAATGTATGGTGTCGGATGTATTTGCGAATCAATGCACCATTTGTAAATTAAAGCGCTGCACCCTCTAGGAGGGTGCAGGGCGAAAGTGAGCCTGCACTGGTACTTTTATTCATAAACAACAAAATTTCATCTCACAATGCCTCGTCTGACATGCGCCTCGAACACGCGAAACGCGTCGTCTAGCACGAGCAGTAGAAGTAGAAGCTCGCAACCCGCGACGCGAGGTCGCAAGAGAAAATCGACCGAGTCAAACTCTCTTCGCGGCTCTAAGCGAGGGAAGAAGGACGATGGATCGAGTTCTACTTCCACAGAATTGGAATTGACCCCCAATGAGGCGGGTAAACCGCGATTGACCACGCCGGATTTAGAATTCGATTACGATCGCACCCAGCTACGTAACCAGCGACCCACGCCCGGACGCGTCGCGCGGCCTCGATACGAAGAGTACGATCTACCAGAAGGATTCAAGGAGCAATTCTACGTGCCCGCGCCGGTTAAAAAAAAGGGGCGGCTCAATGCCTTCGAAAAAGATGAACTGTATCGGCAAGGATCACTTCTAGATCCTAGCGCAATATTCCACGTTCTAAACGTATGTCACCGCAAAGGTCGCAAGGGTTCGCCGACGTACGACAGCGCGGGGTTCCAGTTGGACTGGGGCTAAGTGAACGAATGGATGCGACCGCGGTCCTATAATAAGTCTCGGATAGTCGGTGGGATGGAGAAGGCGCTTGAGAGACATGCACGCGAGGAACGTGAAATCTTTGGTAAATTCTTCGTCGATGGTGTTACTCCGGCAGCTGAAAGACATATTGTACTGGATTACGTGAAGGACCATGTTTCCAAAGATCTCGGTATTCCGTGGCATCAGATCGTACTCAAGCACTTTGTAGAATGGGAAGAAAAGGGTTTCCCAAAGCAAAAGGCGGACGAGTGGTGGAAGCCACCAAACAAAGAGGAGAAGCGGCGGATGTCAAAAATGCAAAGCGGCAGCACGTTGAGGAAGGACCTTTAAATGTCTCAATCACCGGCTACCACACATCCAGTTTGGACAAGGTCATCCGCAGGACAGATGATGGCTGAGGATCAGATTAACGCTGAAGGAAAAGTATGTACAAAAGTGTATGAGTAATTCGTCCCAAGTAGTTATCCCCATTTCTAAGCAAGAGCCCAATTTGGCGTCCAGTCGACCTGCTTTCACATTAGTCCAAGTCGCATCCCGCAAAGCGCACATTGGAAGGTGGAAACTCACGATATTCGGGTCTATTTTCTTCAAATCCGCAATTCCCGCGTTCGCAGCATCAATCGCGATCTCATGTTTCAAAAGTTCGATCGCACGCTTAACCCCGTCGGTACCGTACACATTAGCATACATAAAGGGGCGACCCAACCCCACAGCGCGAACTCCCAGGGCGAGCAACTTCACAACATCGAAGCCGTAGCGAACACCACCATCGGCAAATACTTCCAGTTGCGAAAATATCTCGGGCGCTTGTTGATGGATGTCGATCGCCACTTCGAGAGGAGAGCGCGCCCCATCGATTTGGCGGCCGCCGTGATTTGACAAGTATATAGCGGGCACACCGTGTTTGATAGCTTCCTGGGCATCTTCTACTGTCTGAATGCCCTTGAGTATGATCGGGAGGTCCGTCAAAGTGGTAAGGTGGTCGTATAAGTCCCACTGTGTCTGCATGTTAGCTGCCTAAATCCATCGCAACTTTACTCGGAACATGGACTTTTAGTGTTGATGAGCTTACAGTAATTAGTGTATATGCGGAGTCACTAGGTGGCATGTTAGACATCTTAACCATATACGAAAGTTGGTTTGTGAACTTACGCAGAACCGACGCCCCAGCGAGCGGCGCGATGGCGGTTTCCATCAGCCGCGGAATCGACGGTGAATACGATGGCTTTGCTGTTTGTTTGCTCGGCGCGGCGGAACAATTCCTTCGTAGCGGTATCGTTTGAATCGAGATATACCTGCTGGAAGGTAACCTGATCGTCCTTCTTGAACGCGGCTATCTCTTCAATTGTTAGACTAGCCAACAGCGCATTCATGTATAGGACATCCCCAGCGGCAGCGCCTTCAACGAGACCTTTCTCTCCATCGATGTTGCCGTAACCACCCCGAGCACACGGACTAATGAAGAACGGGGCAGAAAAGTTGTGGCCTAGAATCGTGGTCCTGTTTCACCGATATGTAAGGATATGCGCCACAAAGTAGTATAGATAGATGGTATCATACGGGAGTGTCGACTCGATATTCGTGATATCCACCATAGTCCGAGGTTTGATCCTATATCTGTTGAAGACCTCAAGGTTATTTCGGTACGACCATTCCCCAGCAGCACCATTGCGATAATAAGTATAGTTCTGGATAGCAAGGTGTCTCCGCGCAGCAGCATCGAAATCCGGCAATCCCACTAATTTTTCTAAGGGCGGTAGCTCTCCGGCGGGTAAATCAGCGAAAACATCATCGAAGCTGATCTATGATTAGCGACTATCCCTATTCCTAGGTTCATACGCGAGCGGTATGGTAGGGCTCACCCGGTATCGGGCTCATTCAGAAATGGCCGTGTCGCTAAAGCTCCCCCGAGTATGTAGAGCGGAAAGAATGCTGCGCGCATCGTGGAGTCCGCGGGATAGATAATTAGAGATAAGACTTAGGTGAGAATGCTAAAGAGCTCGAAGGGCAAAGTTCTAGAAGAGCTTCGGCAGGACAAAATCTTCACGACTTCTTATAATGACCTTCGTTAGCAGAAACCCTGTCTTGTCTCGGTCATGTCTAACATGGAAGGCGGCGTCTCGGTAGCTAGCCCTGTCAGCATGGCTGCATGGTTAATAGACTTTGTAATCATCGCCAAGAGCAACCCATTATTCGACTACTTGGTAACAATGATTGTGTAATGTGAGCATGGTCCCTTCAACATTAAGTCCGTACATGCCACTATGCCGCTTTGCTTGGCTGCATTAGGGTCATCAGGGTAAAAAGTCTAGGTCTTCACTTTTGTCTCTTTCCTGTTTAGATCTGACAAACTGTCGTAAATGTCAAGCATGATGACGTTCATTCCAGGGATTATTTAAGACCTGGACTATGATGATGTATTGGTTTCTGTATGGCGTGAACATTTATAAGACATGTCTCGTCAGCAGCGTTGAAAACCCCAGGGTCTTGTTTGTCTCTGTTACTAGGTCCGGGCCGTCGCCGAATTCTGTATCCCCTCACCTGCTTCAAATCCCACAAATGTATGCAAGGTACCGGTAGTAATCTGATCCGCTGACAAGAGCAGGCGGAGTTGCATTGCTTGAAGATCAGTGGATCAGTGGGGACGACCAAACTTCACGGTCCTCATTCGGAGCTAGTCGCAACCTGTAAGAACGCCAAGGACGTTAGCACAATCTTGCAATCATGAATTCCTAACGGAATCCATTGCCTTATAAGGAAAATCGGACTTTCCGGAGGGGCCTGGCTACCCGGACGGGATGCTGAAGTAGGTGTCTAATTGACATGGCCCTTGGCGCTCTTTAGATACGAATTTCAATTGCTTTTTTGTTGATTCCAAAGACACTATTCAGTAGACGGCTTAGCGAATAATGGCGATGACGAAAGAGGAGTCGCTGGTCAGCTTTATTGATAAATACTGCCAGAATTAGCCAGCCACATAATGTAATGCCGCCTTTCGAAATAGAATGGGATGCAAGTTAAGACTTGGCTATTTCCTCTCATCTTAATAATAGGCCGGGACTATGCCGCTTGGGAGCGATAAAAATTAAAGCGATGACTTCCGGTTCTCGGATTGGAATCCACTTCCATGTTTCTAGATGAATTGTTTAGACGTATGAGGAAGCTGTCAGTAAGGCTATCCCTGCTTAAAGTATTAGGGGAAAACAGGGGAGTTCCACGAAGATTGAAACGGCCATGTGATAGTCGCATACGGCAGAACGTCTCTCAGTTGCCCAGCTTCACCAACTTAATCGGTACGCAAGCGCCAGTAGTTATTAGACTGATTGACTACTGAGCGCGTAGCAAATCGCAGCTGTGAGGGTGCTGATATTTCTATTAGGTTGCCAAGAATGATGAAATTCGGATTACCAAAAAACCACATTCCGCCTCATTTCAAGCCCAACAGATCCTATCCAACTCTTTCATAAGATCTTAGGATAATCACCATGCAAAATTCTCATTATGCCACCAGACATCCCGACCCTTGTGAACCCAGGTACCGACATACGATCTCAATTCGCGAGCCATTTCTTCGGGACCGCACACTAGCACCGCAACTCTATCTTCTACCCCTTGCCTAAAGATGTCGTCGACGATCTTTCGTAGATTGGGTCGCTTGCGAATTTCGCCTCGGTTCGCATACATGCTATCCTCTAGTTCGACCGCTTCGTTATCATCAGTCAAGCCGGTGGTGACATCGCTCGTATTCTCTAAAATATTTCCAGTCAAATATAACTGGATGTTGTCGTCATCTAAGATGCCCTCTGCGGTGCTCCAAGTCGCATCGCCAGCTCCGCGTACAGCCCAGACCATCTGCACCTTAGCTGCTGGATTTTCAGTAGCGATCAAACCTATAAAAAATTAGCCCTCTGCAGCCGCATATGAGTCCAAGCCAGCTATGGAATAGGATCTCCTTGGCGTTCAATATTACTCAGGATTGAACTTCACGTAAGAAGTGATGCTCAAATAAAGTCGTTACTTACTAAGCTCTAGTTAGCAAGACCATAAAGACTTAAGTCAGATCCGGATATAAACCGGGGAATGATACATACCGGTAAAGAGGTAAGATGAATGTAGAGCCGACTCCACCAGCTACTAAGAGAACTCGTTGAAATTCCGACCCCCCTAGATTTGGGAACCACGTTGCACACCCATAAGGTCCGTCAATACTAAGCGGTATCTTAGTCGCAGCCAGCGAATCTGCGGCGCATCGGACTAGGGCTTTAGTCATGGGGCCCTTCTGGCGCTTAGCTACTAGGGTGAGATCTCCCGACTCTTCGTCGACGGATGCGATGGTAAATGGGTTGAAAGTCGCCTCAAACAAGAGATAAGTGGCCGCAGAAATACCAGCACTACGGCGACTGCCAGGCGGAATACTTAAATACACGTGCATTCCGGGATACTTGCGAAAGCGGCTGATCTTTTGAGATGGGATGCTAAACACGATCTTGATGAGACTCGTACCAGGAATGAGCTCCAAAACAGCTGGCGCTGTGACGGTGTCGATCTTGCGCTTAGCAATGTCGATGAGGAAAAATAAGAGTGCTTCCACGACATACTGGCGGCCTCCATGGTGAGAGTGGAAAAAGATGGCTGGCGGAAGTAGCAATGCGACCGTGAGGTGCGTGAGGAAGAAGACGCGATAGGAATATTGGCGAATGGTTTTGAGAGCTGTGGTATTCATCAAGCTCATCCCAATGAAACCGGCAACACCAAGGGCCGGAATAAGACGGACGAGTCGTTCAGCGAGGATACCCTCTTGTATGTAGAAGTTGAGATATAAACATGCGTGCGCGAAAAGTAGGAGGTAGACGACCCAGCCCAAAACACGATGCCATCGATTGACCTGCTCATGCGATGATCCGAAGGCAAGCGCGACGGGGTTTATTACCCTGAGCGCTAGCAGATATTGGAGTGGGAGTTGAGACAGAGCGACAATGCCAAATCGCTTCGTCAGATGAAGGTAGTCTGAGTCAAATTAGCCAATCGACTCGGCATATTCAGTCACAATCATAGCATTACAAGGCTATTATGGCCATCGAAGTAAGTCATCATGGCTATTAATGGGGGAGCTTACCATTCCCAGTGCCAATCACAGACAAGAACACAAGCCACACAGCCCATACAATCCCAACGACGATCTGAGCCCTCTGCCCCCAGTTCATTCCCAGAAACACGACTTCATCGCCGAGCCACCATACGACGCGTCTTTTAATGCTAGCAAAGTGCCCGACTAGTGTCCGGCGTCTCTGCTTTAATGCGGGCGAGTCCGGAACGGCCGAGTAAGCTCCGCGTTGAGACGAGAACTTTTTCGTCAACCATGATCCGAACCGAAAGAGTAAGACAACGACGATGGGAATCAACGCCGAAAGTTGCGCGTACGCCGCATACAGATCGAGCGACTGTCTCCTAGCCTGTTTTTGATCCGAATCAAGGGCGATGAATTGATATGGCCAACCCATGTTTTTGCGGAAAGCCGCCGGAGTTAAGGCGGTCTTTCGAGTGAGGCTGCTGCCTCTGTCGGACTTCAAATTTAGCCTAATCAATCTTCTTCAAAGATGGACAATTAGTATTAGCGATGCGGATTTTCGCGGTTTGGACTAGTTCCTGCACGTAAGTCTAGGAATGGTTTTGATAATGATTCCTTTAGGCATCCGTGAGAAATTGTCATCGGGATCGTGTTTCATGACGAGGCGCCACGATAGATAAATAATGTGAGAGATTAGGAAGCCACAGTTACACACCAACAAGCCACATACCGAATACCCCACTCTGACCGAGTCCGACTATCCCCACTGAAGGATCCGGTGTACAACCAAAAAGAAAGAGGTACTCGAAAAGAATAATGCACAAGTGGATAGATGATAGATGAAATATTATTAGTAATATTTCTAGGCTAACTCACCTCGGAAATTAGCCAGTGACTTAATAGTCCAGGCTATTTTAGGTTCGGACCCTTAGACTCATACCGATGTATTGAACCCACCCTCGTCGAACGAACGGTATAACATCTCTATTAGCAGCCCCAGCTTCCATCCCAATCATCAGATCGTCACGGTTGTTGGTTTGTAGGGTTTCGTGGTCTAGTGGTAGGATACTCGCTTAGGGAGAACCTTTGCAATGATATGCGAGTGGTCCCGGGTTCGATCCCCGGCGAAACCCTTCTTTTTGTTCGTCTCGTTGATTCTTTTTGCTCTCGTGATAGTTGGACAAATTTGTGCGCTGATGAGTGAAAGATAAAGGCCTAAACAAAATAAGTGGGTCTTATTCAAGACACATAAAACATACCCTCGCTCTCTAGTCCACTTCGATAGAAAGAAAAAAAAGATAATGCAAACGAATGCTCCCTTCGCGGAAAAAAAGATCGTAGTCCCGGAAATATCCCTGCTAATATATCTTGGCACTTAATTAAAGCAAAAAAATCGGACGATTAAAATCGAAAAATAAAAATTAAGACTGAAAAAGATATGCATCAGCCGCGAATCGAACGCGGGGCCCATCGATGGCAACGATGGATTTTACCACTAAACCACTGATGCTTAGGGATTTTCTACCTCATACCATAGCTCTAAATTATTGGTCTTATATAGCATGTCTATTGAATAACCGAATCTATTAGATATCATCGGGTCTACTTTTATCCTCCCGTATCCAACAGCCCACATTTAGGAATTGAAGATTGACAGAATGAATTCTACCTAATAATACATTTGTCCAACTGCGATTCTTTAATTATAATGCCATCCATCATACCCTCCCAGCCAAACCAACTCAAGGCCCACGCAAGCATTGCCAACCCACCAGTCCATATGATGGGTTTTACGTTTGACTTCAATAGCTGGGAAACCACTTTCTTTGCGTATTCATCGGCCTCCATAGTAGCCGCGGTCTTCACCACTATACGGCTTTCAATATATTCCTTTGCTGGTAAGTAGAGGCTATTTTCCGGTAGCTTCGTCGGTGGAGCGTTATTAAACAGCTCGCTCTTGATGCTACCTGTCTTAACGGTCACAACGCGCACCCCAAATGGCGCCAGTTCCGTCCGGATACTAGCACCGAGCACCTCAATCGCTGCTTTCGACGCATTATAAATGCTAAAGAAGGGTGGTCGTATCTCAGTATTAATGCTTCCAATATTTGCGACGAGTGCATCCCCATGCTTTTTCGCAGCAGCCAGCAACAGCGGTAAAAATGCTTGTGTTACGGAAATCACGCCTAATACATTGACCTCGAGTACCTTGCGCGCGGCAGCGACATCGGTATCGGTGAATGGCATGTTATGCATAATGCCAGCGTTATTGATGAGGATATCCAGCGAACCATGGGTCAATTTTGAGACGTGCGCCATTGCCTGGTCTATAGATTCTCGCGAAGTGACGTCCAGGATAACTGTCTCAATGCCGCGCTCCCGCATGTGTGTCAGTAGCGATTCCGAGAGTCCCGTCGCAATTACTCTATGGCCTCTCAAATGAAACTCCATCGCGAGGGCGGACCCTATGCCGCCTGGGCCGCAGCCTGTGATTAGGACAGTTTTTAGAGGCATTCGGTTTCTTTTTTTGATGATTCTTGTAGAATGATAATTGAATTTACAGGATAGTAACAAGTTTGGTTTCGCACAGAATTCAGGACATACAAACCTCGTAAATATAAAAGATCTCCGCGCCGCAATTAGTCCCATGATACCGAGCGCCGACTACACCAAATCCAATTAAAGCAAACAGTTCAAGATGAACTAAACTCATTAAGTATCCAACTAGGCAAATCTAGGAAGCACCCTAGCTAAATGTGAGGGAGTTTGGAGTAAGTTTATGTTGGAGGTTGTGTCAAGCAAGCTTAACTTTTGTTCGGTCCAACATTTCCCAATTGCGATCTATTATCCCCGTATATATAATAATCCTCCCTGCTTTCATGTAAGGAAATTCAATCTAATATGAGGACTGTTCATGGGAAGTGCAGCTCAATTACGAGGTCCGCGGCGCCGTAACGCCACCAATTGACGAAAATGGTTTATTCGAGAGAAATGAGATATCTTGCAGCTTGTGAACCCTTCGTACGGACCCAGGTCTACGTTTTTTCTAGCCGCCTCTATGTGGAGTTACCAACGCGACCCATGCATCTGTCTCTTTAAATCAACAAACGTAGGATATGTGTACTATTAGGAATAAAAATGTTCACCGAACGAAATAGGTTTCAAATTCCGAACATATGTACTATACGCCATCTAAATTATACTATCAACAACGTTATGTATTGAAAGTTACACAAGTCTTTACTCTCAGGGGGAATTAATCCAAAATATGACAACCAAATAGCCTTCACGGTCTGATTCTCGCCACGACCGGAAAGCCAGAGTTTGAACACCCCGAAACTTTTTCAGATAAAATAATAATAAATTGTAAATTATTCACCATGATGAAGACTATAGAACGTGTCTCGCCGCCATACACATTTTTCTGTATTAGTGTTTGTCTTACTAACGCTATGAACACGCTGTACCGCCCCCTGTGTTGAAGAAATTACTGATTTCAGCCTAGACATAGCCACAAATTTGTGATATCACTTAGAACCAACACTTCAGAGGTTCCACTGATAGGTAGTTCCTGTACTATACATTTTACTGGCTACAAATTCAGGTGTTGTTGTTATAACTACTAACCCGCTCCGCTGAAATCAGGAGTCAGATGTACGTTTTAGGCAATAAGTTGACAATTCAGCCAATAGGAGTTGGGGAGCTGGAGATAACGTCTAATTCCGTCTGGTACCACTGCTGCTTCTATTAACCCGTCCTGCAGTCATCCGAACTGCACTCGGTTACTGCAGTTTCGACCGGTGACTTCAACGGAGATATTTACTTAACTCAAGTTGAATGTTAGATAAAAGATGGCTATTCTCTATGATTTTAACAGTCTTTACTTGAACAAGACACTTTTAACCATTCAACTTCATTGATTCATTTTTTCTATTCTGTTACTACCGAAAATTCGGTTACAACATAGACTACGATGTCGTCGGAGACTCCCCAGAAGAAACAGTTAATATGGCTGATCACGGGCTGTTCATCTGAAAAAGGCTTCGGCCTAGCATTGAGTCGTCTTGCACAAGCAAACGGTCATCACGTTATCGCATCATCCCGCGACCCTAGCCGCACCCCAGAACTTGTTGAAGAGATTACTAGCAAAGGAGGAGAATGGGTGAAACTCGACTTGGATGACCCGGATTGTGGCAAAGTCATCGAGGACATTGAAGCGCGAGGAACTGCAATTGACGTCCTGGTCAACATTGCCGGTTTTGGCCTTACATACCCGGCCGACTCTTGCAGCGAAGAAGATGCCCGCCGGTTGATGGAGACTAACTACTTTGGCCCGTATCGCTTAATACGCGCTGCAGTGCCCCACATGCGAAAAAGACGCTCTGGTATTGTCGTGACTTTTAGCAGCGGCGCCGGCCTTGAAGCAAATCACACGTTGGGGGCTTATGGTGCTTCTAAGGCAGCTCTGGATGGTGAGTGGCTCTTAATTTTTTGTTATTTGTTACTCGGAGCTAACTTCGAGAAGGTGTAACACGAGTACTTCATAAGGAAATGCAGGCGTTCAATGTCCGAGTCTTGTTGGTTTATCTTGGCACTTTCAACACAGCCATGTCCCAGGCCACGGCAAAAAAACCGCGGCCAATTGATCCTGACTACGACGGAACTACCACAAAGCAGATCTATGATATCCTTAGTACTGGCAATTATACCTCTCTCGGAGACTACCACAAAGCGACTCGGGCCATTTACGAAGTAATTGTTGGCGAGGGTGTCGGAAAAGGCCGTGAGGGAGAGATGATTCTTCCTCTGGGTATAGATATGGCAGCGAGATGTGACGAAGTAAATGAGCGCCTTGCTCATGCGATGGAGGTATTCGGAGATATCTGTAACAATGTCAAGGCAGAGGATGCTCCACCTGAATTTAATAGGTCCGCGTTTACGCGTGGCTAAGCTTTGGGGGAAGTTTGGAATAGTCTTGTTCAATAGAACATTGTGTCATGTGTATTCGTTTGTGCTTTAAAGAGAGGGCATGCTTTCAACGGACCGGGAGGTAGATGCGTAAAACATTCGTGCAGGCGTATGCTGTAACTTCAAGAAGAAAAAAAAAGAGAAAGAAAAGGAATAGGAAAAATGAGAAGAGGAAAAAGAAGTTGGGTACGTATAGATTTGGGGGAGGCAGACAATCGTTTAATTACTTCCTGTTAGGGTTAGTCAAGTTTTACGCCAGCATATATGCGGTGCGCGCTCTAGTGTGGCCTGGCCTTAGGGATCTTTCAGGGCTTGTGTAGTAAACCAGAATTTCAAATTTTTAGCAAGTCGGCAGTGAAGGATTGGCATTCAATTTATATGTACTTACCGTACGATGGCTTAGTAAACGACCTACAAGTATTGAACGCCCAGACTTATTTAATTATATAATATTACTGTATCTTATCGGATTCATTGCACGGTATGATGAATGAGGCATCTGCCGTCCAACACCAACTAGCTCGATGTGACGTCAAGTCCGGCGCGTCCCGTAAGACCCCTCCGGGTAATTTAAGGGACGTATGTTCATCGTTAAGTTTTAATCGCGAGAATCCCCAAATCTTCAAATTTCCTTTTCAGACGACGGGAATGGTTCTGTAATAGCTCATTCACGCTACGTTAGGGTCAGACGATGGCCACCTCTTCGACTCAAGAGCCGGTGAACGGCCAAAGGTTAAAGAAGCTACATTTCGTAATTGTATGTAGAATACCAAATCTCGATATGACGTCTTCCGCTAACCATCTTACAGGTTGGGGGCTCTCTTGGTGGTCTTGCTACCGGATTGGCATTGAAAGCTCTAGGACATGACACAACAATACTTGAGCGCAACCCAGTTCCGCTGCTGCAGGATCAAGGGGCTGGAATAGTGGCAGGAGGCGACACCCTTGAGCTTTTGAAACGATATATCCGATCCGACCGACCATTTGCTGTGAGATCAGATCGAAGACAATACCTTGATAAAGATGGTAACGTCGTGCATAAGGAAGAAATGGAGCAGAATATGACATCTTGGGATTTGACTTATAACCTTATGCGCGCTAATTATGACGGTGTCGAGAGTCCATATTGCACTGTCCCGGATCCTATTCCAGAACATGGGAAAGCGACGCACTTCCACGACCGCCAAGTTACGAGTTTCGAAGAGGAAGGGGATGGAATACGCGTCCACTGGAAAACGAGCACAGGGGAAGAAGGAAGCACGTTTGGTGACATTCTTATCGGAGCCGATGGACCCAGCTCGACAGTGCGAAAGATTTTAGAACCGGGCGTCGAGCGAAAATACGTGGGCTATTGCGCTTTAAGAGGAACTCTTATCGAAAGCGAAGCTAGCGAGGCTGCGAAGGAGGCGTTCAGTCACAGATTTACGTTCTTTCACTGTCCAGGCATACAAATTCTTGCCTACCTCATACCAGGCAAGGATGGCACAGTTGAAAAGGGAAAAAGACTTATCAATTTTGTCTATTATACTAATTTCCCAGAAGGATCTGCCGAGCTGGAGGAGATATTGACAGATAGGGACGGAAGACGCAGGCAGATAACCGTACCACCGGGCGCTATCAACCCAGATGCTTGGGAGAAGCAAAGGAAGCTTGCCCGTGAACGACTTCCACCACAATTCGCCGAGATCGTTTGCGGGACCAATAAACCATTCGTGCAAGCAGTAACCGATGTATTAACCCCGAATAACGAGTACCTGAACGGAAAGGTTGTACTCATTGGCGACGCTCTTGCTGGATTCCGACCCCATACCGTCGCTTCGACTTCCCAGGCTGCATTCGACGCTATGATCTATGCAGAGTATATTGCTGGAAATATCACTAGAGATGAATGGAAGAAACAGACAATAGGTTTCGCAAGATACATATCCAAGAGAGGTGTAAATATGGGGGAACGGAGTCAGCACCAATCTCTTCCATTAAGTGATCATATACACGATCGCAACGTCGCATCAACGCCACGAGAGTTGGAAGTCTATCCAGAATGGGCAACGGTTATATAAATGCATCTTCAATTTGGATTACGTATATGAAGTTACTGTGGATTTATTATTAAATGCATTATTCTTTCGACTTTTACAATTTTCACGCAGCAATCATACGGACGAAATCGTAATTCTATTACAACACTTTCATACTAGTGCGAAAACCGCTTACACACTATGATGTGCATATTGAAGGTACATAAACTCTTCTATTAATGGTATACCCAACGCCTCTGTTAATAATTGCCATCATCCTTATACTCGAAGTTCAGCTCTTGGATAGAAGTATCTGCCATATTTACTGGTTTTGCGCAGCTATCTACCACTTGACAGTCGGCTCTCCTTGTGATGGATCCGTCGGACCTATGCGGGAACAGGTCTCGTAGTCACCCATGCGAAATTGTCCCCAAGCATTACGTTCCGCGGGATCGCATTTTTCCCAAAGTAATTTGAAGTTGGCGGTCAGAGCTGGGTTGATGGGTCGACCGAAGACACCCGCTCCTGTTTTCGAGTAACCCTCCTTCGTCAAATACGCTTGGAACTGGAACTGGACTTGCATCTTGTCGTCGTAGGAGTATTCTTGTCCGGTAAAGCACGGCGACCAAAGCAAGTTGTCATTCCGAATGTTAACACTGAATTCCTTGTCATAGACCCCGGTTAGGCCAAAATCAACAATCTTCTCAGGGACATCCATCTAGCGAACGAGATTAGTACTGTGGTCGAAGTCATAGGCACATATCGAGTGCAATTATTCTCACCAGATACGACCCAGACGCATTCTTAATCGTCGGTTCATTGATCGGGTCATTATTCTTAAGATGTTCCCATTGAAAATAAGCGTTGGCTGCAAAACTATGCAATCGTGCACCACCGCTTAGCTTCGCATGTCCGGTATACGTGACATCTGATAAAGCGAAACGCCATCCTAATGGAAATGCTCCGAGTTCAATAGACATAACACATATCGCAGCTTCGGAATCGTATGGGTCGGTCGGGGTGACACTAGCGCGCATGTCGGCGAAATCAACCCTCAAACTATCGGGCTTTAGCGCCAGATTTAGACTCGTAGCGGAGAAGCAACCCGCTGAATTAGCTCCACGGATCCCGAGGATCGTCGGGACCGTCTCGGGGGCGGATTGCGCCAGCGCGATGCCGGGCGCAGCCAAGTAAGGGAGAATCGACGTCAATTTCATGGTGTTTTAGTGCATGGGGAGTTGAGTTATCGTGAGTACAAGCACCTAGTTGCACACTAGTGCGCCGTGGAGTCGTGGGCTGGCTCGTGGAAGACACATGTCAGAATGGTGTAGAATTCGAATAACGGTGCTGAATGTACGTCTACGGATGTCATGCACGTAATAGCTGGGCATCCGATCTTACTAGGCTGTAACCGGATAATCGTAAACAGAGAATAGGAGTGGATTGGATAATGACCGGTAGAATAGAAATAGACAGAAATGATAGTATAAATATGCCTCCGATATGCCTTCATATCATGTGCTAGCAGCTCCGGGTAAAATCAGCTAAGTCACCTACGACTACGTGATAAAATAGATAGATGCCCAAATCTTCTACATCCTTACATAAGTCACAGTTTAAATACACGGTGATTCTAGGTAAATTAATGTTTTATTCTACCTACAAGGACCATTGTCTAACTAAGACGTCTAAGTATTATTGTCTAGATAAGACACTACTTTTCGTAAATCCACTCACAAATTGTTTGTGATCAACGCCTACCAGATGTGCTACGAGATATCAATCTATTCGAAGCTCAGATGAAGATTTGACCATTGAATGTGGTGTGACCCGTTGGCGGAGGCGGTGTAGCCTCCTCAAGTAATTTCACAATCTCAAGTAAGCCGGCCAAACCTTGAGAGCTTCACGAACTATGGCTTTCGCCCTGTCTAGATGGCCATGCCTGGCTGCTCAATGGAGGGCAGTGTACTCCTCTCGAATAAACTTTCGTGCGAATATTTGAGTAGTCTCATCCGTAGGCCTGACAAGTTCAAGCCAGTCTTCAAAACTTACCTGAAGGAAGTCGGGTCCTTGAGAGAGGAAGGTTGAGTACTCCAAAATTCGCATTCTACGTATGCGGCAGCGATAAAGGGGCCCTTCTAGAATCTCGAAATACCTACGACAGGTCAGTAAGAGTCGGGAGAGATTAAGCGACCGTTCTCCAGTCTCATTGGAAATGCGGAATATGATGTCGTCTGAAAAATGAGAATGTGACTAATTTCTATATCTAACCATCACGATCATCCGTTGTAAGGCTATATCTATATGTGGGATCACGACTACCTGAGCTACCAGGGGTGCGTAGGGGCCGTCTCTCTACCTCTGTGGTATATGGATACCTAGGTATAGAAGTAGAGGGCGAAATCGAATGCTCTATATGTTCGAGGGGAATGAATGTCGTCGCTAACGGGATAACGGCCTTTAAAGGCACTCTATTATCTGAAAGAATATGTATACTTCCCCAAAAGACTTGTGATGCCTAAGTCACCTACCTACCTGGGTATACGGGTGTGTATCAATTGTGCTGTGTGTCTCTATAATTACAGCGGGTTATCCGCCTACCCAGTACCTAAGGTTGGTGCCTAAAAATATGGCGAGCGGGGTATTCGCCTATAAAGTAGGCACCTCCCTAAATTGCGGCGTTGGGATTGGGGTACTGTAGCGTGTTATACCCCGCAGTTAGGGACCAATTGCGCGGCAAACTGTACCAGGTAGGTAATTTGATTGATTATCTCAAGCAAGAACCACGCTTCGCTCGACTTCGTGTCTTAACCTTATTGCAACATTTTCGGATCGCAATAATAGTGAAGGGTTCATAATAATTAAGTGCCCTGCTATTTTACCACCCATTGCTATTCTAAATTTCTACCTCCTAAGAGTTATGATCGCCTGGCGGGGTTCAGCTTTAGGAATCGAAATTACCATCGTTCCTGCTTTTTGAGATAATTACCTGCCTGGTAAAAGCGAGGGTACACCCGCGCAACAGCTACCCTCCAGTACCCAGTCGCCATTTCTCGAAGGTATTAGAAGGTGCACGGCATTACCACCTAGCAGCCTAGGTAGGCGGGGCAGGTACCATTGTCTGGTGAAACAACCCCAGGAAACCACAACCTCCTAAGCATCTTACCTAGGTAACAACTATTTCTCCCACCCTAGAATCTCTCGCAACGCCCTCCAAACTTACATACCTAAACTACACACCACGCATACCTATAGGTAGGTAGATATCCAACCTCACAGGTGGCTTTCAAAGGAGATTTTTAATAGCATGTATACATTCGAAATATTTGTTGTTAGAAATTCTGGATTGACCGCTTTGCGCACATACGAGGTAAGCCACACGATCATCCTACTACTTAACTTTACATCGCTAATCATCTTAGGTCTTTATGTATCTCGAGTACAAATTAATATATTCGCCTTCAATCACTTGTATTGGTTTTGACTTTCCAATATTATTTCAACTAACATATAGGTCTATTCAAATATTCCTGGATCATGAGCCAGACTGGTCTTCCTCCACCATGAGGTTAAACTGGATTGTCCTAGGCATGACATAAAACTGCTAGGTCCCGGGGCCGAGGTATCGTCGAGATGTGGTCTCCGATATTAACTAACTAATCGACTATTCAGTCACGTAAGTAATTCATCCTACCTACCTCGCCTTTTTCTTCTCCCATTCTTTCTTTTATTTCTGTATTTCGCATTATTGAATGGATAACTAACATCGTTGATTTTAGAACGAATAAAATAAGAAAACACTTGTACACATTGCTAACCGTTACCTCCACCCTTCAATTACTCCCCAATTCACAATAGCACTACTACAACAACTACTACTACCACTACTTGGACCCTTTATACCCTCTACCTTTCTCATTTCTCCCTCCCCACAACTTAGGATTGCGTAAAGCATCCACAAAGAAGACCGGCGCATTATCAGACTTCGACTAGGCAAATTCACCGCACTTTCTCCGAATAGGAAAGCCGGTCGTCAAAACGGCCCTTCTGTCTACTGGTCATAGAAGTTCGGGTCAAAATCACGCGCTGAAATGCAAGGTTGTGCCGGCAATGGTCGCGGGTATAAAAAGGTCTTAGGATTGGCTCCCGCGCGGTTTGAGTAACATCGTTTCGTCCCCAGCCCTAGCTCTGCTGCGATGGCACGGCTCGCTGACCACCCCCGACTCCAAGACCATCCAGTAAAAAATTATCTAAAGGACATATTTTTCCGATAAGGACGCATCATGTATGGTCAGATACGTGGATCGAGGTCTGTGGCGAAACGACAACCTGGTAACGCCCGGACTAGAGACTACAAAGTCATAAGAATCGGCCGGCAACTTGATTACTACGTCGCACTCGGTGGCCTATAAATCGCCGGTAATGATCCACTCGCGGCCAGCTTCCGCATGCTCTATAAAATGAGGCTGCCTTGGCATGTCACGTCGACTTTATAATCCATGCCCAACATCAAAGCACGCACAGCTTACCTAGTTGCGATTAACGTCCCCTGCGCTTGTATAAAGATATGATCATCCCACTCACTCTATAGGCTCGTTAGGTCTTTCTTCAGCCTAACCTGGTGTCAAATCGGCACAATGCGTATCTCCTCACTCGCTGCCTCTTTCTTAGGCACGGTTCCTACCCAGGTTACCGCTATGTTCTACTATCCAAATCCGTCAACCTCTGCCCTTGAGCATATCCTCGTAGACAACTGGGGTGCCTATGCTTCGAATTTCTCGTCGGCCATTACACCATGCGACAATTATGTTACGGAAGTTGGTGAACCCGCCATCAATTCACATCGGACGACATCGGCGCAATGGATTCGTGTGGCATTCCACGATTTCGCAACGGCAGACGTGTTGAAAGGGACCGGAGGTATAGACGCGAGTATTGGATTCGAGACTGCCCGCGATGAAAATAAGGGTTCCGCCTTCAACGACAGCTTCACGTTCTGGCAGCCCTTCGTTAACGAGTTCGTTTCTAGTAAGCTAACATTACCTATCCTGGTGCGGTACTCATTGAATTCGTGTGAATGGGTATACTGAACAGGGTCTCTCATGAAGTGGCCGACCTGGTCGCCGTTGGAACAGTGATGTCGGTACATCTCTGCGGAGGAAAATACATACCCTATCAGCCTGGGAGAATAGACGCGGAGGCAGCTGATCCGGCTGTCGGTGTGCCAGAGCCAGGCACTAGCATTGAGGAGACGCTCGCGCAGTTCAAGCAAACCGGTTTCAACCAATCGGATGCTATCGCCTTGACAGCTTGCGGCCACACAATTGGTTCAGTAAGTAGAATCTTCATAGCGAATGCCCTTGAAAGCGAACACTGACTAACATTACTTAGACGCATAGCGGTGGTTTCCCCGAAGTAGTCGAGCCGAACAACACTACCCCTAACAACACCAACGGTGGGGTCGATTTTGACAGCAGCCGAGCAGTGTTTGATCAAGCAGTAGTTCACGAATACATCGACAACACGGGAGCACGTGGTGGAGCGTTGGTGACCAGTTTTAACGAAAGTAGCAGATCAGATCTTCGGCTCTATGAGAGTGACGGTAACAAGACAATGCTAGAGCTATACGCGCAGGGAGACACATTCCAAGATACCTGCGTCGGCGTATTGCAGCGTATGCTTCATACCGTTCCTTCAGCTGTGCAACTCCAACCTGCGATTACACCAGCCCTTATCAAGCCAATTAATGTGACTTGGGATGTCACAAACGGCAATCAATTAGTTCTTTCTGGAAGAATCAGGGTACGTCACTTCCTCATCCGAAACCCGCTATGGTGCGTGACTAAAATCCGATTAGATGTTATATGCTGGCGAAGTATCAAAGGACCCGGTCTCAATTACTTTTTCGAATGGTTACACAGAGACATTGACCCCCGAGGAAGAGTTGGGCATTTCGGCATTCAAACTAGCAGGCAGTCAAATCAATGCCACATCCGGATATTTCCCTTTCTCTGTATCGAGCGCCAGCGTATCGGGGGCATCTTCTTTCACCGTCACAGCAAAAGGCTTCGAAGCTCAAAACTTCCAAATCCAAGATGCAGCATTCGTTGTTCCAAATCTAACACGAGTTGCCGATGGCGCCGCTTCCATTACGGTCGCGGCAAGGACAAACCGAACCGATTTAGATCCATCACAGCTATCCATCAAGATTACGACACCGGTATTGCAGCCACTTACGCTCGCGCCTAAGATTGTGCGGACAGATGTGTCCCTCGAGAAAGGAGAGAGTCCACTAAGCGATATAAGTTACTTGACTGGGTCTGCTGCTATTGGAGGAGATCCTACCGGGGCCATAAGCGTGACATTACTTTCCGGCGAAGATGTCATCGATACCCTACTGCTTGACGTTGGAGTTGCGGGCTGGTAAAACTTGTCAACATCTTAAGTAGTGCGTTAGGATCGATATATCTTCTTACCATGTTGCGGTGCGGGTCCCGGTTCGCGGCACAGCCTATGGCGATCGTTCGGAAGTTAGAGTCGTTGTTACAATACGGGATACCCTTCTATGGCTGCGAGAGCAATACTCTTTATAGTAAGGCCAACCGTCGCCCAATGGTCGTTTTAGGTCCATTCTAGTGCGAACTTCAACGCCTTCCCTAGAAAGCATTCATAGTTGCGCGTAGTCAGAAGATAATGAATATTTTATAACCATCGAATATGACTCGCCGTGAAAAATGCCTGCGGAAATAGCAAGCCTGTTAGAGCTCACGATAGCAGACCGCCAAGTCATCTCGAAGAAGCAGCTTCCTAATGTGTCTGCAAGGGCGGTGAGTGGATGCGACACAGCTGATTCAAAAAGAACACAATTGGCTAGGCATCTATGCAACGAGTTCCTTGCTGCATTAGGATATGCCGGCCGCATTTTGGGCTCGTCTTGTAGATTGAATATGTATGAGTTTGTTGGCTTCGGAGTGAACTTGCTGGTGGTGGTTGGTAGTTAGCGCTGACGATATCTTCTAGCCCCGACCTACCGCTCGAATTATATTTATACCCCTTCTAGGCGCGCCTTTCCTCTCAAACCTCAAAAAAATTATTATTGTTGATGATTACTGAACACGGCCTGTTAACGACGATGGACGACGATGGACCGGGCGCCCTAGTACGCGACACTCATGGAGTCGCTCTTCCGTCAAGATATGAAATACGGCTGATAACGCCCGACCTTGCCAACAAAATACTAGCACTGATTTATTTTAACAATTTTTTCGAGTCGTCCGTCTGGAGTGGCATATATGAAGGGCAACTAGTGAAGAAGGCATTGGAGACATATCATGCCAGCAAGGCTTTCTACCAAATGCCGGAGTTGGTGCCTAACAATGGCCTCTCGTACTGCATATGGGATAAGGAATTCGTCTTCAAGAAGCCGGAGTCTGCTGCGGTCGGAGGCGCTTGTTACTGGGATGACTTCGACTTGAATGATCCGGATCTCGAGGTCAATGGGAAACAGAAATTACTCGATGCGTTGGATTTCCCGATCGTTAGTTTCGGGTTGTCGATTGATAAATTCGCGCCTGGTGATATGAGGGAATGGGAGGCGTTGATGAAAGTCTTACCTTTAAATAAGGGTCTTAAGGATTATTATGCAGCTCATGATCCACGCCCTAAAGGCTCGTGGGAGCCGACGGCAACGGGCCAGGTTATTGACCGGGTCGGTACGGGTACGAGGGAGGCTTACCAAGGCCAAGGGATTATGAAGGCGTTGGCGAAGTTTATCATGCTTGAGATGAAGGCTAGGGGATATCGCGCGATTCAAATCAGTTGTGGTGATGCACGGGTTCATCATGTTTGGACTAATCCTCCGCCACCGTTTCGTAGCTCGACTCTGGTATCGCTTCCGATGTGGTTCTATGAGATTGAGGAGGATGGTAAGAAAATTCGGCCTTATGAGAAGTCGAAGGTTGCGAATTTTTATCATGTCTTCACGGAGTTGTTAGATTAGACGCTTAGGTGTGAGGCGTTTATGGTGGGGATATAGGTGTGTAATTAATAACGAAGTTGTTCTTAGTGCTAAGGTAGTCACTACAAGCAATGAATATGTGAATAGGGCCAGCATCGCATCGTTTTCTTTTCTCTCTCTCCTCTTCCTTTTTCTCCCCTTTTCTTTCTCTTCTTTTTTTCTCCCTTTGAAACGACTGTGTTGGTTGTACTCTAACGAAATGAAATCAACAAGAAATCAGGACTCATACAGGTGTTCTACAAAGAATAGGAAGGTTGTATATGATTAACTTGCAATAGTGTGATGACTAATGAACAAACAGAGAAAGTATGTTGTCACAAGAATCGTTTCGTCGTGACATTGTGTAAGACTCAGATCACCGGTATTAGAAATAAAGAGTTGAAAAAGGATAAGTCCATCCAAATGCGTCCAACATCTGTAGCTAATATTTAAGCGTATAAAGCTTGTACTACGTCGCATCAGGGCAAGCTATTGAAGCCACAGCTAAGCTAAATAATTTAGTGTGCTTTTTGCTCCGGGACATTAGATGAAGTGTATCAAAGCTATCAAAGCTACGCTATGTACACATACACATATGTTGGGAATGTGTAAGATTTTATTGTCCTAGTCTTAATATATCACATATCACATATCATACAGGAAAGTCAACACCAAATAACAACTTAGCCGCTTACCACCATTCATTATTGGTGAATGTTGGGGGTTATCCGCGTAAGACGAACAGCTGAATCATGCCTACCATGATGGATACATCCAGTGCAGATACTTAGATAGGTACTAGCCCCCACACATCATAAATACACCTATGCAAATACATTTGTTCAACTTGACAAGTATCAAGTATGAGGCTCGTATGATGTATATAATTAAGTCAACGCATAATCTGACATCTGCGTCAAAAATAGACATGAATGGGGGTAGAATCAAATGTTTGGGAGTTGTAAGCTGTAAACTATGATGATTGTAGAGGTCTAGGCGTCTAAGCCGCTATGGTTGGCCCTAAATCAACCTTACTTGGTGGGGTAGGTACCGAGGTACCTCATGTATTTGAGGCAATTGGGGCTGAATTGTGGCTAGTGACCAACTAGTTCCTGGTTCTGAAAGGCAAAAAATTTCCAGGGCTCTGGGAAACAACCTTAGCAAGCATGACTCGCTTCCTTAATATTTTTCTTCTTCTTTCACCTCTCGTCCCTTTCTTTCTTTCTAGCCCATCCCCAAGCATCCGCTTCCTCACGGTCACGTCCACCCACCGCCTTTCGTCAATTCTCTCACTCTGGGTGACCCCGTAAAATTCCCTTCAATTCTTCTTGCCGTGTTTATTATCCTCAATTTGGTTCTGCGCCCCCGCCTGCGCATTCTGCATTGCCATCCGCTTGGCCCTCTTTTTTTTCCCCGACAAATATCTGGTAGTCAGCAACGGCCAGCCAAAGAAAAAATAGACGAGCCGACAGAAAAGATAGCCGAATAGACCATTAAGATCACCAGAATTACCGCGGCGCAACATAAATTATTCTCGCCCAGTCGATTGTGACCCTCTTGCGAGCTCTTCTACAACCGTCCTGTGTAGAAAGCTAAACTACTGGATACAAGTTTACCGAAAAATCAATATCGCACCACTAGTATCCTTTAGCGATTTCAAGATTCCAAGAATACCTGATCGTCTTCAAAGCTTCGACTAGGCCGACTGAGGAATATTTTTGATAAATCTACTCAGTTACCTTGTAAGCCCTCCGCTATCGAGCTTCGGGTGAGAATCTTACATACGAACGACAAGAACAATACTTCAATCAAATCATATTGCAATTTTCTTCTGTGACTTTGACTAGTCATGGCGAGCCCATTGCAGTTTGCTTACCGAACCCAGAAGGTTATCGGTGTCACCGACGCCGCGCCTGTCTACGAGCCTCTCCCTGGATTCGTTAAACCCGAAGGGAATTTACGGTGCTGTGTTTACTCGCCCTGCGGTCGATACCTCGCCTGGGCGTCCAGCGATCGTGTCTGTATTGTCGACGCATCCGTTGGCCATGTTTTAACTAACATAGCCATCGCTAATGTATTCGAAGTCGCTTTTTCCCCTAAGGGATCATTTCTGAGCACCTGGGAGCGACCGGCAAAGGACGAGGCTGGCGATGCAACAAAGAACTTCAAGATCTGGCGAACGGTCGAAAACCTCCCCGAAGGAGTTGAGAAGCAACCCATAGGACGGTTTGTTCAGAAGTCCCAGACAGGTTGGAATCTTCAGTACACCTTCGATGAGAAGTTTTGCGCTCGTCTTGTTACCAACGAGGTACAATTCTACAATAGTGATGATCTAAGCACTGTTTGGAATAAGCTCCGAGTCGAAGGCGTGATCGATTTTGCAATCGCGCCCGGTCAGAGCCACAACGTTGCAGTTTTTGTACCTGAACGAAAGGTTAGTTTATTAGCTGATCATTGCCTGATTAAAAATGAAAACTAACATTTTTCTTATAGGGCCAACCTGCTGCCGTCAAGGTCTACAACGTCCCACAGTTTACGACCCCGATTTCCCAGAAGACTTTTTTCAAGGGCGATAAGGTTCAGCTCAAGTGGAACAGCTTGGGAACTAGCTTAATTGTGCTGGCACAAACAGAAGTTGATAAGACGAATAAGAGTTACTATGGCGAAACCACCCTCTATCTCCTTAGCGCCAATGGTTCTCTTGATGCCCGCATCACCTTAGACAAAGATGGACCGATCCACGACGTTGCTTGGTCACCGAACGGCAAAGAATTTGGTGTTATTTATGGTTATATGCCAGCCAAGACTACCATTTTCAGTCACCGTGCGACCGCAACTCATTCTTTTCCTATTGCTCCGCGAAACACCATCATCTTTTCACCAACTGGCCGCTTTGCATTAGTTGCAGGGTTTGGTAACTTGGCTGGTCAGATTGATGTTTATGACTTGGAGAAGGATTATCGCAAGGTTTGCACTATCGAAAGTGGCAACCCCAGCGTGTGTCAGTGGAGTCCTGACAGTCGGTATATCATGACTGCTACTACGTCCCCTCGCCTTCGCGTCGATAACGGCGTGAAGCTTTGGCATGTTGGTGGAGGGATTATGTACCATGAAGACATGGTGGAGCTCTATAACGTAACTTGGAGGCCGGTTCCCCTTGAGGATCTCCCTCGTGGCGATCCTCTACATCCTGTCCCTACTCCACATGCTTCGGCCGTTGCTTATCTGGGAACGGTTAAGACCCCATCGAAGCCTGTCGGTGCTTATCGTCCTCCAGGAGCTCGAGGAATGTCTACGCCACTTCATTTCAGGCGTGAAGATGAAGGTGGCGCTGCCCATGTTATGAGCAACGGCACCCAGAATGTGGGACCTAATGGGTTTGGGAGATCACGTCGCCAAATTCCGGGTGCTGAATTTCTCGAATCCGGTTCGCGCACTGTGCCTGGCGCCGGTCCAGCTGACGGATCTGGTGCTAACGGCGATGAGAACTTGTCGAAGGCAGCGTTGAAGAACAAAAAGAAGAGGAACAATAAGAAGGCCAAGGATGGCGAGGGAAGTGGTGCTAATAGCTTGGCTCCCCCGACTCAGGATAGAGGTCCTGGCTCTGGAAATGAGGGACGCAGCCCCGAGCGACGTGGATACCAGTATAACCAGCAGAGACACAACCGGAGCCGCTCGCGACACAACTTCCAAGGGGGTAACAACCCCGGACGTAACCGCAGCAACACCCACCAGAACGGCCAGAACGGTCATGGAGCTCCCGCTGCGCCGCAGATTCAGACATCCCAGGCACCCACACCCGATTCGTTGCTTTCCCCCGGCAGCCAGAATCCCGCGTCCAAGAAGCTGCGCAGCTTGCAGAAAAAGATTCGCGCAATCGAAGATCTCGAGATGCGACATGCCGGCGGCGAGAAGCTAGAAGATACGCAGATGAAGAAGATTGCGACCAAGGCCACGGTTGTCAAGGAGTTGGAGGCATTAGAGAAGGAGGCCCATTGATTACATCCGGAGCGGACAGGCTGGAAAGTTCATTAGCCAGGCCCTTATACGCCAGGATCGTTTTTGGTTAGTCCAATGGAGGGGATGCCCAGCGATGGGGGGCTTGGACTAGGAGGTGCTGGTATGTGTGGCTTTGTTGTCACTGGCGTTCAGGGGAAGAAAAGGCTACTTCGTTAGCCACTTTACTCAACTCCCGGAGAGGGGAGAGGGGGCTGATTGTGCATCCGCTCGCGTTTTGCGGGGCGGAGCGATAGATGATATAGCATGAAAAAGAATATAGTGCCGTTGCGCCTTCGACGTTGTCTATTTATATTAAGGCCTGGATTAACTACGTGAGCACCTCTTAGATCACCAATGGTGAGTCAGTGTTGTAATGGATGAGTTGTAGCCCTCTCATAACCTACCTCACCCTGATTCCACAATGATTCTCGACCACGTTATACAGGAGTTTCTTCTCCAAGCCGGTGACATGATACCCGACTACTTTGCGCTAACAATAGTCATTCAACTACTAAAGGCTCAAATACGATACTTGGTATTTCCTCGCTACGCAGAGGCGTCTTGAAGCATGCACTTATATGTACACCAATAGTTTCTTGAATATCTAATCCCCTATGTCTGTCTCACTCCCCCTCGCGACTTAACTCCGCCAAGAAAATAACAAACTCCATCTCCGCGCCCTCATCCTCGACAAACGCCCCTCGGAACCAAGCCGCTACATCGGATAACCGACACATACATACGGGTATGCGTTCTTCGCCTTTACCCCAATACGGTATCCCGATACCGCGTTGTTTCCAGCGTTCTAGGGCGGGGTCGTTATCGCAGAGGGTGAAGAGGTCGATGGGGTCGTCTTCTTTTTCTTTGTCTTTTTCTCTATCAGCCTCGGTTTGGGGATTCGTGGAGGCGGCGCAGGGGCTGATGTTAGTAGTGGTAGAAGTGTTGGCGTTGTTTTGTTTGTTCTTGGCGGCTAGTTGTGGACAACATGGTGATGCATTCGCTTTATGTTCCGCTTCTTCGGCGGCGCGCCGACAGTTTGCGCAACTGCGGGTGTAGCGTGCGTAGGAACATGCTACGACGGCGCTCATTAGGACGCCTGGGGTTAGGAGAGGGTTTAGGCGGAGACGTGCGCGGGATTTGAGGATTGATATTGGATCGGCGGTGGTATCCGGACGCATGGATTCGATGGCGAAGATTCGGCAGATTTTGGCTGCGTTCCAGAGAGCTGTACGTGGGGCGCCAGATTTGATCCATGTTTGGAGGTGGGCTTGGGGTTTGCGCGTTGGGATTGCGGCGCCGGGACGGGATTTGTAGTAATGTCCTCTTGCGCGCAGGACGTTTAAAGGTGCGTTTAGTTTTAGGGTGGATACGTGCATGAGGGTGAAGGTTAGTGGTGCGAGTTGGTGTTCGCCGTATTCTACTGGTAGGCAACCAGTGAAATACCGTTCTTGCGCATCGCAGCCTTGTTTGCGCTTATCCCAGCGCGCTAGGTGCGGGTGTGCGAATTGGACGAATTGGAGGGGGTCGATGTCTTTAACGAGTTCGTCGGACATGGAGGAATGCGCTTCTCGTGCTGCTTCCCAGACGTGGGTTTGTGTTGCGCAGGCGTTTAGGTGGTGGTCGATGTCTGTGAGGAAGTAGGGTAGGGTGTTGACACGGGTGGGGTCGAGAGAGTCGCGCATGAAGAATGAGAAGAGCGCTTTCTCGCGGCCTGCGGGCTCATTCCATTGGAGTTTGCGACGTTCTTCTTCGGTGGCGGCGGCCCAGAGTTGTTCAGACTTCGGGAGGGGGATGCAGAGTTCCTGATAACGCAGAGAAGGCGGATGATCCAGGAGCACGGAGAGGTAAGCATCAACGCGAAGGACAGAAAATGCAAGCCTACAGAAGTGCCGGGATGTTAGAGGGAGTCAGGTCATACGGGGAAATGGCGTACGCAATACCTGTTTAATTGCTCTTGTACACGCCACGCAATGAACGGGCATGTAAATTCATTGACATCGCCTGTCTTATCTCTGCATGTGTATTGACCATTAAAAACACCAAGATACCGACATGTTGAAATGAGCAATCCGGTAAGATTTAATGCTTTTGCTACCATTCCCTCCGAAGTCTAGGAGCATTGACGTTAGTTGTGCCCCATGGGCTACCCTAATTGGAGGCCTCCGGGTAGACATACTAGAGTGCATGTTGCATATACAACATATAATAAGACGGCCTGCAGGAAATACAATCTCGGATGGAGGTCCTAGCCGGCTGGTATTAGTCATGTTGAAACGAAATACTAAGTAGGATCGATCTTCCACACCATTCGGATCCGATTGACTTCGTCAAAAACTAACGGCGCAAGTTTCTGATGTTCAGGTCCATTCTCGAGCCAACTCGCTAATATGAGAATGGTGGCCGTCAAGATTGTCGGGCATTTATCGATATCAAATGTAGGTTCGTGTAAGATAGGCCAATATGGATGAATCACGGTGAGGAACGTTTGGATTAACCTCTTAGTAGTTGGCGAATCTCTGTCAAGGCTGGCCTCTAAAGTAACCAATCCAGGAGGCATGGGTGACGCGGAATTGGTCTGTGGTCGCGACCCAAGAACCGACGCGGATTGAGGGGATATTTGCGAGTTGCTCGATGTATCGTAGGTTATAGGTTCGACTATATGGGCACCTATACTCGATACTGGTGTAGTAAAGCTGACTGGTTCCGTAATGTCCTGCATTGGTTGGTCACCACTCAAGTCACTCGGGATGGTTGGGTATAGAGGCGTGACTTGAAACTGTCGTGAGTTCCAGGAATCCACAGTAGGAGAAAGCCACGGGGCTTGACCGGAGCTACCAGGTAGCATGGCGGTCATCTGCCCAGCATTGGCTTCATGATTATTGGCATTATTGCCTGTCCCAATCCAACGACACTCGGTCCAACTCGCTACACAAGCCCCGCATGGTGAGTTACCATCACAATGTGTATTGCGCTGACCACAAGGTAGACATATTCGTATGCTAAAAGTTGAATCATTATTAAATGTGTATATGTGATGCTGGGTTACAGACAGACACTTACCTTCGACCGTCTGACCGATTATCCGACGTCTGAGAAATTTCAGGATTATGTTGCTTTACATGCCTCTTAAATACATCACTAGGAAGCAAGTACATATTAGCAACACGGCACTATTTCGTGTAACATCTAAGTGACGCACGTACCTTCGTGCGTAGCGCCGCCCACATATTTGGCACTTATACTGATGTTCGGGATTGTGAACAAGAGCATGTCTGTTTAAATGCTCTTTTCGGGAAAATCTTTTACCGCAGCCAGGAAACACACATTCCCAACTCCTTGTTGATGAAGACATATCGAGACATTCCCCTTGTAATCATTACCACTTACCCCAGCAAACGATGTGGACGTAATCGACCCCTCAACGGGTACCGAGAAAGTGACAAACTAATTTAGCCTCCTCACAGAATGGGAAATCAAGGGATGACCTATGAGATCTCGCTAGTAAGGGCATTTCGTAAGTATTGAGATGGGATGATCAGGTTAGATTGAAGAAAGTGGAAGTGGGATAAGTTGTTGTCTCGGGATGTCGAGGTTAAGTGCGGTAAGCCAGTAACCTCGACTCTTACAGGGAACATTAGTCATTACGGGATTAGGCATGTGGGATGTGGGATGTGGGATAACCATGTGGGATAGGTGGGGCATCTGATAATCATGGTGAAGCCCCACCATAATATCCACCTAAAGATTTAGGTAAGCAATCCCCCATAACAAATTACTAACAAACCCAAAGTTTACCAAAAGAACAATTTGACTCTATTCACCCTGAACTTACAATTAACCTTATTTTAAGCAAGGGGAACTAGTCAGGATCAAGTAAGGGACTTCCCTTTGATTGGCTCATTAGTAAACAAGCCGTCCTGACTAAGGTATCCACCCCGACTCGGTAGATGTAAGATGGATAGTGTTTGTTACACGAGATGTATGAACGCCTTCCATCCGCGGACCGTCCGTAGTACATACACTGGTTCCGAAAGAATAACCAAAAATGACGTTATTATTCATCTGCTTAACAGTAACGATTAATAATTGAGCAAACTGATAGAACTTACAAAACATTACGTGAGAAAGGTGAGGAATAATTAAGATATAAAGGGTATGTCTTCTCTTTTAGATATCCAAGAATCTTTTCTCATTCACAATACACATTCTCATCAAGACTATATATCTTAAACGAAAGACAGGACTGATCATTTCAATATGACTACTATCACTAAAGTCGCTTTGGCAGGTGTAAGTAGGCACGATGGCCCACGACAGCATTCTTAGTCGCATGCCGTTAAATTTCCCTCATTGTCCAATTAACATCTTGCTGACAATTTTCAGGCCAAGGGAAACCTCGGAGAGGTAGTGTTAGATCAGCTACTGAAGGCTGGCTTCCAGGTGACTGCACTTACTCGCCAGGGAAGCTCCCAAACCTTCCCGTCCAATGTTAGCGTCAAAGCTGTCGATTACAGCTCTCTTGATTCCCTAGTAAATGCTCTCAGGGGCCAGGATGCCGTGGTTGCGACTATTGCGTCGGCGGCGCTAGGCCAGCAACTTTTATTGATCGAAGCAGCAGCCAAAGCCGGAGTTAAGCATTTCATCCCCTCGGAGTTCGGCTGTGACACCCTCCACGAACGGACTTCGACATTACCCGGGTATAAGACAAAGGTCGACGTGCTCGAATACTTGAAGAAAACTGCTGCCGAGACTGGCTTGACTTGGACCGCTGTTTTCAACGGACCGTTTTTGGACTGGGGTCTTAAGGTCGGATTTTTGCTGAATGTAAAGGAGCGCACTGTCGAATATCCCGACGGAGGTAACAACAAGTTCTCGACAACGACTCTCGAGTCCATCGGAAAAGCTGTGGCAGGTGTGTTGAAGAATCCCGAGCAGACCAAAAACCGTGGCGTCTACGTGCAGGACGCCGCCGTCAGCCAAAGACAGCTTGCGGAAGCAGTCAAGAAGGTTGTTGGCGCGGATGGATGGAAGGAGACTATCACTTCGACCCAAGAGATTTATCAGCAAGGTCTAGAGGAAGCCAAGAAGGCCAATCCAAACCCCGGTATTGTTTTCGTCACGACTCTTAAGCCAGCGATTTGGGGTGAAGGATGGGGAAGTCAATTCGAGAAGCTCGATAATGACCTTTTCGGAATTAAGCAGCTTAGCGATGAAGAGTTCCAGGCTGCTGTCGCTAGTTATGTGCCCAAATAGGGTTGGGACGCCACTAATCACCCAAGTTGGACCCTGAATCCATGGCCAGAACTTGTTAACTTCCGATAACAGATTATTATTGTACTCATGAAATCCCATGCGCGTTTTTCGCAATAACTCTGATAAGGAGATTTAATAATAGATATACCTGTGTTTCCGTAGCTAATATTTTCCGTAACTATGATTTTCATACCAAGGCTAACCATCTATATCGCAGATCCGCTCCACAGATCGACCACAGGAGCTACGCTCCATAATTAGCTAAACCCCCAGCTGACGGTGAGGCTATTGCATGAAAGACTACCCCGCGGATTGAATTACGCCGATCCGGGACACGATACCGACTCCCACAATTAGGGACTGCTAGCATCGCGCCGTGATCCCGGCTCGGTCGGACTTGGCAACATTCATTGAGATTTAGGTGCGCGAAACGAAAAACTGAGCTAAACAATAAAGGAAACCAGAATTCATGCTTAGACGGAATTGTTTAATTTATTTCCGAGTTCCTGGGCTGCCAGCAGGGTTTATCCCCACGTGAACGCGATATTGCTGCTTCTCGTGTAGTCATGCAGCCCCTGCTAATTGACTCTCGGCCTTCCGAAAATAGACCCGGATGCGCAACCTCCGCCGATGGTTCGGGGCATCGCATTGTTTCCCAACCCACCACAAAATATCGAAACGCTAGGATTCTTATGGAATGATGGCTGTTCCGCTTCTGTGAGCAACCTCCGCGTCGCTAGCCATTGAACAAGCTAGACAGCCAACCATGGTTCTCCCCTTGGTCCTGACAGCCTCCTTTATCGTGTGATGCGGTGTTGGATTCCGGGATTGGCCCCATGCGGAGGGGGCACGGATACAACATTCATGATTATTTATAGGGGCATGGAGCCCGGCTCCCATGATGTAGTTTTATGCGGATCAACAAGAGCATTCATCCTAATCGGCTCCTAGGCACTTGTGGTCCATTCGCACAATGAGATACTCTTCGCTAGCAGCCACAATCGCCGGCGCCAGCCTGGCAACCGGTCACACAATCTTCTTGCAGCTTGAATCCAATGGCGTGACGAACCCCGTCTCATACGGAATCCGAACCCCGTCCTATGATGGACCTATCACGGACGTAACGTCCAATGACGTCGCATGCAACGGTGGTCCTAACCCGACTACACCGTCTGACAAGATCATCGATGTTAAGGCTGGATCCACCGTTACCGCCATCTGGCGACACACGTTAACTTCAGGTCCTGACGATATCATGGATGCCAGCCATTTGGGACCCACCCTAGCATATCTCAAGAAAGTCGATGATGCGACAACAGATAAGGGCTATGGTAGTGGTTGGTTCAAGATCCAGCACGATGGATACAATAATGGTGTCTGGGGAACTTCAAACGTCATTAATAACCAGGGCAAGCAGCCGATTAAGATTCCTGACTGTCTGCCTGATGGCCAGTACCTCCTCCGTGCCGAGATGATCGCGCTGCACGGTGCTAGTTCCAACCAGGGAGCGCAACTCTATGTACGTGACCCTTCGTTATTATAAAATTACACGCAGTCAGAATTAACGGAAGCTCTAGATGGAATGCGCTCAGATTAAGGTCTCCGGCGGCTCGGCAGCTAAGAGTCCCACGACTTACAGTCTTCCGGGCATCTACAAACAGAATGACCCGGGTATCCTTATTAACATCTACTCCATGAACAAAGACAGCAAATACACAATTCCTGGTATGTACCCAGGCGCAGAGATGATTTCCAAACGTTTACTAACGAGCGTGCCAGGTCCTGATCCTTTTACCTGCTCGGCCAGTGCTAGTGGTTCGCAAGACACGGTGAAGCCGTCATCCCCCGCCACGCTGATAACTTCTACTAAGACCTCTGCCGCGCCTTCAACTCCTACTGCTCCCACATCTTGCAGTGTAGCGCAGTGGGCGCAGTGCGGTGGCTCTGGCTTCACGGGATGCACTGCTTGTGCTAGTGGATTCACTTGCAAGAAACAGGTACGTTCACATACCCGCAAACACGTAGAAACTGACATCGCTAACCCGACACTTGACAGAATGAATACTATTCCTAGTGCGCATGAAGCAAGGCAGGCGATGAATAAACAAGGAAGCAATTAGAAGTAGTAACATCATAATATTCATTTCTCACTTCATACTCGTGCGACTTCTCTAGACGATATCACAGTCATCGTCATCACCAAAGGGGGATGAGAACTACTAGAGTAATCTTCAATTACCGCCAGGTTAGCCAGTCTACCTAGATACTAACGGAATGGTTCGGTTTCAATATACTTACGATAGTTCCAATTGCGATTCCCGTCGATATGAAGAAACTCCGCCCCGGGAAGCGCCAAGGGATCCAACCTGAGGTCTGTCCAGGGCGCTGGGGCTCGGGGCTCGGAGCACCTGGTTGACGGATCCTTAATATCAGACTGTGGGCAACTCTGCTAGCGCTGCGGCCGTTGGATGGCTGGTTGACGGTTGATGTACCCCCACTGGTATCGTAGCCGCTGCGGCTGCCGTCGCCTCCGGGTTCTTGATTGTTTGCTGGGACATTGCCACCGTCGTTCTTTTCCTTGTCTCTGGACGGCATATTTTATAGGTTCAGAGTCTCCGGTAGTTGGTTATCGGTAGAGATGGGAAATGAGCCATACAATCGTTGGCGCTGTAGCTAGGCTTGTGTATGCGAAGCCAGCGGTTATCCTACATCTTATACAGGATTAAACACCAAAGCCCGTCTACCTTCCTACCGATTGAATTATGGCAAGTTGGATTGAAGTCATATTGATATGTTACGATATCATGGACTGTTAATAAGGGATAGAATGGATCATCTAGGCTCACAAAGAACCAAACTCGTGATCACCCCACAACCACACGTAAATAGTATCCCTTTCTTTGTGTCTTAGAGCAGTTGAGTGTGATAGCTTCAATACATGGAAATTATTCGTAATCCTCATGTCACGGCGATGATCTTGGGGCTAAAAGTACAGAAAATGAATTATCGAGATTGGACAGATCATATAATACTATAGTAGAAGCGTGTGAGGTGGCACAAGCTGGCTAGTCAATTATCAATCGCCTTAATATCGGTTCTATCAAGCATCTATGGGTTGTAATACAGTCTTTCTTCCCTTATCGCTTAGTTTCCTACTTCAAAACCCATTTAGATGAGTTTTACAACGAGAAGGGGTTGAGCGGCCCACAGACATATCGTAATAATGTCGGTGGTTATGGGGCGCACAATATTCAAGCAAGAGCTAGGTGACCGAATGACTCAATTACTCTGTCAATTAAAACAATCGGAACATATAAGTATAGTAAATTAGGCTATCTCAGGCATCTAGATACACCTCATTGGATCAAAGTAAGAGGATGCTACAAGGATTGTTCTTGAGAATGTTTCGCCCACCAGCCCGCTCGTATTCAAAGCCACTGCTTATTGCCAAATTGCGAGACGAAAGTCCCCCCATATCCATTTTCGACGGTTGCCCTGTTGATAATATCCAACATGAGCCTGACGGATTCCTCCGGCGTAATGGCACCCTTGAAGTGTGGCGCGTAGTTTGCGAACTGCTGGCCTACCTTGCCGAGATTTTCAAGTTCCCTTTCGCTTACTTTACGAGTAGAATGCGTTAGTACATTGCTTATTGCATGAAAGAGGTGGGGAAAAGGAGACTTACGGCCTTCTGGGTCGTTATGCCCTGAAGTCTCCACGACACCGGGAGAAATGCTCATGAACAAAATTCCCTCGTTTTTGAATTCGCCGTGATACTTGGCGATAGCGAAGTTCAGCGCTGTCTTACTCAGAGTATACGGTCCAGCAATGACTATCCCGAAGTCGCGGATCAGGTCGTAATCGGCGTGGCCTGACGAAAGCGCAACGATCTTCTTTGCTTCGCCTTTTTTGATCAGCGGTAGAAATAGATTGAAAAGATGGATCTGGCCGATGGTATTGATCTTGTAAGATGTGAGTAAATCTTCTTCTAGAGCCTTAGGGTCATCTGCCCTATAGTGTTCATATAGATTAGTCGTAAACCCTAGTAACTCTAAAGTCCTTCAATGGACGGCAAAGGGGAATTAAGGTACTCACAAGTCGTAAAGGGTTTTGAAGGCCGAGTACCTAGACACGATGCCGCCGTTGGCAATGAGGTAATCAAGACTGCCGCCAGTGATCTTGGCGGTGTCTTCTGCTGCTTTCTATATGTCCGATTAGTAAGTAGTTCGGTCTCATAAGTTGTAGTGATCATCAGACCTTGAGCGATTCATAATCTGTAAGTTCTCCATGGACGACGTGAACGTTGGGGCGCCCAATCTCAGCGGACACCTTCTTCTCAGTAGCAGCCTTATCTCGAGCAAGCCCAATAACAACGGCTCCCGGGACCGCTGATAGTTGACGAAGAAACTCGAACTATTTTCTGCGATTTAGCAACTCTTAATGTTCATTTATGTGTGAGGCGAGTACTTACTCCGAGTCCTCGGGAAGCACCAGTAACTAGATACGAAGGCATATTTTCCCAATCAATAGTATCTTATCGGCTTATGATGTTTGCTACTGGAAAGTGGTTGTTTAAGTGTTATTCTGTTTGTATGCCGATGGAGTGTAGGTCGACGTATAAATATTAACAATAATTCGGGCACTTTTCAACACATAATCGGAAACGAGGTTATAAATCCTCGTATTAGACCTCTAAAAGTACCCGATGAGAAGGTAGGCAGGTTTCGTCCGTTCGGTGTCCTATGGCTGATTGCAAATCATAGATTATTAAGCTACGTAAGCTTCCTGGTTGGTTGACTGACCATTGGCGCCATTCGTGATGCTAAGCAAGGACTCACCCAGGGTGACCAAATTGGCCGGGCTCCCGAAAAAGGTTACCATATTTAGCAATTACCAATGCTAGTTGTCCAATCCCATAACGGGATAATTGAGTCTAATTTGACTTCGTTCGCATACTTGGATTTATTTTGAACCAAAAATATATGAGCCATATGATTGCGAGATTTTGCCGTCTCGAGGAATCGCACTCTCGTTGTCATCTTATATAATCATAAGAACATCGTGGTTATTGAGTAGTGTCACCCATAATTGAATGGATTCAGAATACCCTACGTGCTAGATGTATAGATTTTAATTGAATTGATTACGGTATGTAGATGACTGTTTCTGGTGGTTTCTATATCATTCTCAGAATTGTACCGTGGGGTTCAAACCCCGCTCTTGGACTTTTGCGGCAATACCAACTTAATAAAAGTCCATGACGTATCCTTTTTGAAAAAGAAGGAAAAATTAATTATAAAAGACGAAATATCGACGAGCCAAAGGCCACAAAAGTTGAAAATTCTCCTCTCGATCGGGGAATCGAACCCCGGCCACTCGCGTGACAAGCGAGTATCCTGACCACTAGACCAATCGAGACTTCTCAAATGACAAACGATAGCAAACTGACTATGGCAAATCCCTGCTAATCATTATCTTAAATATGTAAAATACTTTTGACACATCCCCGCGATCTCCTTATCAGACAACCAATTATAGCGGGTTTTAGCGGTCAATGTAGTACAGACTCGCGCTAAAATGGGTTAAAAGTAGCGGTGATAAGTGAATCATGGGGCGCCACCTGGCATGTGGCTAGTCGTCGGGCTGACGAGAACGGTATTTTTTTTTTAAGGTTTCACCGGTTTTCTTCCTATGAGTTCATCAAGTGGAATTTTAGGAACCTTTTCTCCTCTAAGTACCGCCACCGTCATTACTTCCTACCTTTTTGGAACGGTAACTCAATTCGTGCAGCATTTCACATTTTCAGTTTGGATTTTTATTTTTATTTTATCTCCTCTTCTCCTCCCTCCCCTCTTATTATCCAGTACAGAAACACGGATACAGTTACACACCACAAATACCTAGATCTTGGTTTGCAGATCTAATCCATCTTAAGGATGCATAGGTAATCTTAAGACTTAGAGCGATCGTATACTCATTCTTCATTTGCTTCCGATAGAGCATTCCATGTACTGTTACATTTATATGCATTCCTAGACCCTGTTATTGCTTTCATCACCATATCGTCATTATGGCGGACGCTCCAATTTCGGACCGCTCCGAACACGAGGCTCAAGTCGTCTCGGAACATCTGCCGCCTGGATACTCGGCTGCATTCGACGGAGCACCCGCCGATTCCGCTGCTGCGTCATCTTCTAGCCAGGACCAGGTAGATCCGGAGCCCGCCGAATCCTCATTGAAGCTCCAAGGTGGTGACATGCACCGAGACCTCTTCAAAGCCGCCACTCGGGCCAAGATGCATAAGCGAGCAGCAACCTTCCACCACCCCCAAGACCTCACAGGCGATAATGAGTCCGGAATTTTAACCGTTGGTGATCAACTAGCTCCGGGAGGGTTCCGAAGAGCTTTCATACAGCAAAGGCAAGAGCGCGAAACATGGGCTGCGCGGATGCCTGTAACGAGGAATTTTGTTGAGTTCTTGGAATTGTATGGGAGCTTTGCCGGAGAAGATCTGGCTGACTCGGACGATGAAGCGGTGATATCCGAAGAAGAAGGCGGGGGTGAAGAAGGAGAGGAACAGCCGCCGAGCGAGACGAGACCACTTCTCGGGCGACGTAAGAGTAAGACTGCGCGTGCATCTCGTTCGGCCACTGCTAGCACCAAGCAGACTTTCTTCACACTGCTAAAGGCTTTCATTGGAACTGGAATCATGTTTCTTCCCAAAGCTTTTAACAATGGCGGCATCTTATTCTCGTCATTGACGATGTTGGTTGTCTCCACAGTCACCATGTTGGCATTCCATCTGCTGCTTGCCTGTAAAACCAAGTACGGCGGTGGTTATGGCGATATTGGCGAGGCGATAGCCGGCAAAAAGATGCGTGCATTGATTCTAGGTTCGGTTACTCTATCGCAATTGGGGTTCGTCTGTGCTGGTATAGTATTTGTTGCGGAGAATATGACATCGTTTCTTCAAGCTGTCAACCAAGGGGATAGTCCATTGTCATCTACCGCTCTAATCCTTATGCAGCTTATCGTTCTTATACCTCTCGCGTTCATCCGCAATGTCGCTAAGCTCGGACCCGTCGCGGTACTCGCGGACGTCTGTATCTTGCTTGGTGTTGGGTACATCTATTACTACGATATTGCTCATCTCGCTGCTGACGGCATGCACGAGAGCGTTGTTCTCTTCAACCCATCCAAATATACATTAACAATCGGAGCGGCTATCTTCACATTCGAAGGAATCGGGCTCATTCTTCCAATTCAATCTTCCATGTCGAAGCCGGAACGGTTTGAATGGCTCCTTGGTGCCGTTATGCTAATTATCACGGTCATATTCACCGCGGTCGGTGCCCTTTGCTATGCTACATTTGGCGAGAATACGTCGATCGAAATTATCAACAATTATCCCCAGGATAGCAAATTTGTCAATGCGGTCCAATTCCTTTATTCATTAGCAGTCCTTGTCGGAACCCCTGTTCAGCTATTCCCCGCCATTCGAATCATTGAGAACAGAATTTTCGGTTCGCATTCTGGCAAGAAGAACGCCCGTACGAAATGGGTCAAAAATGCGTTTAGGTCGATCATAGTGCTACTTTGCGGCGCGATTTCAATTGTAGGCGCCTCAAACCTCGACCGATTTGTCGCATTGATCGGGTCTTTCGCCTGTGTTCCCTTGGTCTACATCTACCCGGCTTTCTTGCATTACAAAGGCGTTGCAACTTCGTGGCCCGCCAAAGCAGGGGATCTCTTTTTCATGACTGTTGGTACGATCGCGATGGTCTACACGACCGTCATCACTCTCGTCAACAGCTTTATGAGCTAAACATTTACTTATCGGCATACCGCATTGGGCATATCCGGCTATAGGCGAAACGGAAAAAAGATTGAATTGGTCACGGAGTTTATGATTGCGAAATTGGTGTTGTTATTCTAGCAGCGGATTGATTTTTTACATTCTTATCATCCATACCTTTTCATTGTATCTTGTTACTAGGGATCCTCAACATTGGAAGCGTGGGAAAAAAGTAACTAACGCTCAGCATTTACCTTCCAGGAAAACGATAATACAACTGACTCAGTTTATCGTAATGACTAATTGTATTCCTTCTAGTCAGTCCCTTTAAGTGTGTTCCCTCTGCTAACGTCAGGTTTATCGAAAAGGCTGTCGGTTATTCGGCCGTTTCCTCCACGGCCCACATCTTACTCTAAGACCCACGGCAACAAATACGTTGCCAGCATCGTCGGAGTTACGTCGCACTCGCTAAAAAAAATCCGGTTTAGAAGTTTAGAGATTATTCCATAGTCACCAGAAGATCCCAATTGCGTACTGTTATCTGCATCACCTTAAGAACGTATATAAATATGTAGATGACATAGAATTTATCCCTCAATTGATACAACACTGGTTATAACTCTTCGATTTTCCCTAAATTCACATATCGCCTTCCCATTTTGTATTCTCGTACTTATCCCCGTCGCCGAGACGTTTTAATCCGGAAACCCCAGAAATCTCCGGATGACCTGCTTTTCCGCGTTAAGACCTACGATGTAAGGGAGCCGGACCATCTGATTCTAATTATCATAAACAAGTGGCGTAACTCTAGCCCGTTCCGTAGTTACGGCTCCGTGTAATTGGTCTATTTCTACTTGGGAAGGTAAGACAAAAAAAGATAAAGGACCCAATAGAATACCCTAGTTGCACTGCAGCTCATCGTAGGAATCGATGGGATTAAGCGAGGACCGCAGGATTGCTGGGGTAAATATGGCTAAGCAGGGCGAACCCGATCCTACGGGACGTGTATCATGTATTCGGTCCATGGATTGCTGATCTAGCGCTTATGCGCCTGAAACTGTTTTTGATTGTATGCAATCGGGATGTGTGGTGTTCTTTTGTTATGGCTGGGAATTTAGCATTGGTGAATATCACAGCAGTAGAGATGGAATCGCAATTGGTATACAAAAAAATCAAAATATACTGCCAACTTATGTACTCGACGTTCTATGGTAGCAGGGATTTCCTGACTAGTAAAAAGAGGTAGACTTCTACCCAGTCCTCTTGCGTTCAAAATGTATTTCAATCCAAGAATCGTTTCCGAAATTTCTAGAATTGTGTAGTCTTGAACCTCACGTGTATAAATCCGTCTCTTAATTCGGATCCTCTCCCATATAATTCTCCTTCTTCCTCTTCCCCATGAACATAGACATTATTTCGTCGCGGAATCGAGTCGGGGGTTCGTTGTGGGAAGCCTCGTATGCATCGACGGCTGGCTTGTCCCATACGAGATCTGCTTCCGCAGGGGAGACGTATCGGGTGCGCCTGAAGATCTTCCAGCCGAAAAAGGTACAGAAAGCGACCAAAGCCATCGTGTAGTTGGAGAAAAAGGTGCCGATGTCCCATTTATCCTTGTAGAATACCGAATAACCAAAGATAGCCTCGATAATGATCATCCACGTTAAGGCAATGTAGCCACAGTACGGCTGGAAGTAACCGTAGTAAGGTAGCGTTCGTCGGTCGATACCCTGCGCCTTAGTAGCATAGTAGAAGAATATGTAGGTTAAACTCATGACGATGTAGTTAATCATCTGAGCACCCTGGGTAAGACTTTGTAGCCACGTAACGACCTTCGCCGAGTTATTCGATATCGTAAGAAGTGATAAGAATGGGAAGATCATCACGACTGCGAAGGCATAGATAGGGATACCGTTCTTCAGTGTCTTCTGGAAGATACGGGGTGCCTGTCCTTCGCAAGCAAGACCGTACAGAGATCGCATGGCGCAGTAGGTATAGGCGTTACCGGCGCTGAAAATACTCGTGATCAAGAGAGCATTAACAAGGTGTGGTAGTGCTCCAATACCTAGATTCTGCATCGCAATGACATAGGGCGAGCCGTCCGCAGTACCGTTGCCCGCATTCGCCAATTTAGGATCGGTGTATGGGAGGACAATTCCGACACAAAGGGCACCGCCAATAAAGAATATGCCGAATCGCCAATACACAGTCTTGAATCCATTTTTTAGGTAAGTCCGCGGGCGTTTCGACTCTCCAGCAACCATGGCAAGGTATTCGGGTCCGACAACAGTGAAACCGGCGGAGAAGATGGCACCAAGAAAACCCTCGAAACGGCCTAGAGAACCATCGTGGATATACGTAGCAAAGGCTCCTGGAGTCGACCAATATCGGAAACCGAAGGCATCATGCTGAGGGTTGCCTCCGCACATGGTAACTAGAGTGAACATGTACAGGATGCAGATAAGCAAGATCTTACCGCTCGAGAGCCAGAATTCAGCTTCACTAGAGTAGAAATTAGCAAAAAACAACATAAACTACTACCCACAGGCCTAGGCAGCCGTGGGCGTATACAATTTCGATCTACGGCGGTTCTAAGGTCGCCAGAGTCTAGATACTTACCCGAAATACTGTACAGCTAGAATATTAATAGCACTATCAAATATTAGCAAATTAGACAGTGGGGGTTCGAATGAAGGGTGTACATACGCATAAAGCACAATACATGCTACACATACAGCTACCACTGGAATATCATCCCGCCAAAATCCAAGGATAAGATTGATAGCGGAGATCTCGAAGGGGATAAGACAGGCTTCATAGAAGAAGAAATTCCATCCGGCCATAAATCCTAGCGACTCGTCTACCCATCTACCAGCCATTCGGATAAAGGAACCGGACACAGGCATATAAGTGACCATCTCGGCGAGGCAGTTGTTCACGAGGGCGACCATAATAGCGTAGATAGTATAACCGATAAGAAGACCCGCAGGACCACCCTTAGCAAGACCAGTACCAATACTAACAAAAAGTCCGGTACCAATACTGCCTCCTACGGCGATCAATTGGATTTGGCGATTTCCCAAGTGACGGAGCAGCTGATTCTGGGTCGATACCTCGACCAAGGTCTCGCGCATATCGCCGCTGGAGCCATCGCCTTTTTCGTCTTCTCTCTGGTTGATAGGCGCTGACATGGGCGCGGATTTATCGTGTGCTACCGCCATATTGAGAGCACGAGAGCGAACTCCGCTGGGATAGCGGAATGTCGGATATTGTGTAAGATGATTGCTGGAAATGGAGTGGCCCCGATCTCATTATATTGTACGCACGCGATGGCGTTTTTGCTTTTCTTTCCACAATCGGAAATATCAATCAATTGGGTGTGGTTGTAGGTGGGAAGGAATCGAGATGGCTTAGAGAGAAAGTCAAGTCTTAGGTTATGTTACGAGTTGTCTTGAAGGGAAATAGATAAGCATAAATAATAAAAAAAGAAAATTTTTAGAATAAAATAAAATGGGATTTGAGTTCAATAGGCGGCAGGTACTACTCCAGCTACGTAGGTAGGCGAGTAAGTACAAGTAGAACAAGCCCAAAGAATGAAAGGGTAATCGTCCGGGTTGGGAACTGTGTACTGCCGCCAGGTACCGCCTGTGACCGCGAAAATAGGTACCGTCAACCGTACGCCGGGGCAACTATGTCATCATTGGTGACAGGGGTACGGCATTAAGGTGGGGAAGCCAGCCGCTATCGCCCCCCTCCGACAAGGCCCTAACCGTCCATTCAGTGGGGGCTACACCGCTGTTCGCGTGATGTTGAACTGGGGCCGGTCAAGTCGGCGGGGATCAACAATTACAATAAGTACAATAATAATATTCTTAGTCTTTACAATATTGTAAAGTATATAACAATTGAAGAGTCGATCAGATTGTTTTTCTGTCACAAGGATTGTAACCTTGCTTCCAAACTCATCGAATGTTGACCGAGAGCCTTGAATGGGGTTTAAAAGTCGATAAGAGTTATATAGTGTCGTAACTATGAAAGTCACACCGAGAGCTGCCAAGAATTACACAACATTAGAAGGAATTGAAAAAAAGTGAATAATGCGAGGGATCCTTACTATCGCGCCGTGATTTTACACTAGGCTAAAAGCCAAGGCGCTGCCAAGCCCACTTATACAAGTATATAACGTACCTATGTACGCTGATACGGGTACGGGATACCCATTAAAGGTATGCCTACGTACTCTAAGTATTTCATGTACTTTTTCCATGTAATTTACAAATGCCTGTACTTATAGCCTCCGGTGGACTTTCCCAGGGTTCAGCTCCACCAGGTTTTCCCCTCTAATGACCCTGCAGGCTAGGACGCACGATGCCGTAATTGTGCCTAGTCAGCTCTGTACAAAAGCATTTTCAGCGACTAAGAAGACCTGCCTTTCTAAGTTTTTTCTTTGGGGGCGTGGTACTTTGGGTAGGTATAATATGTAGGATGTCAGGCGGATTAAGCTAGCCACGGACCGTGGTCAAGGGAAATATCCGGCGAAGGGGAGTAAACATGGTACCTAATCATAACTTGGTTCCTTCGTTCTATCGCGTATCTAAATACGTATGCATACAAGATACACGATTAGATAGTAGGGTAGCAAATAGCAAGTAGGAATAAATAGAATGATACTTATCTTAACAAGTGTCGCATTCGATGGTATCCAATGCCTGTCGAGCCTCATTTACTACTTTTTCTTATTACTACCCCAATTCCCCAGGCCTCATTTACTTAGGATAGGACAAAAATACGATCGCAAAAGTGGCACGTGTGCATATTGCTTCGCCCGCAGATCTGTACCGATCCGAAGTCTGACTGGCGCATTTTGCTTGAAACACCGAGGCCTGAAATAGTGCTCGGTGCTAGATACGGCGAACGCCTCAAACCTCATGTTTTAGGACGTCGATGGAATGATAAAAATGCGCAGTCGCAGCTTGATTCTTGATTTCCCAATAGATTTGGAGAAAATAAGCCACCACATCCCGTCTTTTGATATAGGATTGCATTATATCCTGGTCGACAACCGTCATCGGATTCACGATCATGCATAAGAGAAGAAAAAAAAGAGAGAGGAAAGCGAGATAAGAGAAAAAGATAACCAACCGATGACAATTCAGGAAATAGAATCGAACTATGGGAATCTTGGACAAGACGGCTGGGACGGCAACTTGATTGACTGCATGATCGGAGAAACTTGTCTATTATGGCGAAGTTGCATGCAGAAGAAAAGGTTCAATGTCTTTTAATTTTTTAGGGCTGAGAAGCGCTAGAAACATTGGAGTTTAAGATTGTCGATTGTCGTACAAGTGAGGAGCCGTCCATCTGCCCGATGCACGCTATACGCTATACCTACATGGGGCATAAGTTAAATTCTCCAATCAACAATCCAGCAATCAACGTCCTTTTGAAAGTTTGCTAGACGCTAAAGGAAATTAGTATGGCTTGGAATATACTTCAATACTTGGTAATGACGCGGCATACTGCTGTATCTGCGCTATCTGTACTACAACGTACGCCTGCACTACTTTCACTACTGTACCCAAGTATGTAAGTATCTTTCGATCTTTTGGCCTCTGAAAACCCCGAAAGATTCCACTAAAAAATAAGTAACATTCGCCTATTTGCGGTGCACATGTACAACAAATATTTCATACGTTTTCATTCTTACGTGGAGTATGTTCTGTGCTTACCTCACCAATATGAATTGGCACTCTGTCATTTAGAGCTGAATAAGGTAAGACATTTTAGCGAACAGCCTACCGCATTGTCTACCACGATTGAATGCTGACATTTCAGCGGCAAACATGAAGTAGCACCCAACGAAACATCTACATCATTCATGGTTGTATGAAAGCGAGCCACCTAAGTCCCAAATTAATGGCAACCGATCCCACCTAACCTCGGCCCGCCAAATCATTGGCTCCAATAGATTGTACTACAAATCTTTGCCATTTCGCCTTACCGCAGCCAGCTAGGCAAAGTGCGTCTTTAAAAATGCCCGTGCTGATTGCATTGCTGCTAAGCCTAAAACGGCCCTCTTACGGTCCGACTTGGCTTCGTTGACAAAAAAAAATTTAAGAATCATGGCACCTACTATAGAGACCGAAGCCTACGCGCTATATACGAGATAAACGAACTAGTACAGAGGGGGCTATCAAGACCGGTGAACCAACTATGCCTCACATATTACGAACGAATATGAATGTGCGCCCCCATTCATAGTCAAGAGGGGAATATTGAGAATATGATGGGAAATTATCTTCAACGTTACCCAGGTAAGTTATAGGCTTGCGCAAATACTTAGTTTGGTTTCCAACGTAAGGGAAAATAGAGGGAGATAGGTAGACCATTGATATTAGACCTCGATAGCCACGACGGGGAAAAACCTTGACATTAATGATTCAGTCCCTAATATCAACTCGCAAGCTACATTTATTAAAGAGTGTATACAACTTGTTATAATTGATATAATCCTTCAACTTGTATTGTCTTAGGATCAAACAATGATCATCCTATCTGTGCTAGGAAGGATCAGTTTATTGCACATGTAGTCGGAGTAGCCGATAAACGCCCTTGCGCAACTATAACTCAATCAAATCCCATGGATGCCACAACATCTTATCTCTTTAGTAGCTTTTCTTTTCTTTTTTTAGGGTCCATGATGCGAGGCACAGCAGTTCCTAGTTTGTAAGGGTATATCGTGGGCATACAGGCCATGTACTGTAAATGCGTGACTTCCGCTACACATCCGATCTCTAGCAAATGCGCTCCATCTGCCTTTGCAAACCAGAATTGCAACATTTTTGGATGTTACATTGACCACTAAATAACCCAACAATAACTGTTACAAAACTATAGTATCACGTAAGAAAATCAATTGAATCCTCAAGACTATACAAAATAATTGATTTAGTCGAAACGCATCTCTCGTCCTTAAGAAGGCTTTGGGATGGAAAGTGCAATTGAGAACCCGGACGGCGCGTCATCTTGAACTCCGCGATTACTCCGCATTTTGCATCTTGTACGCCACAAAAGGAAGCACCGACCGATATCGCCTGGCCTAGAATAGTATTTCAACTTCATCAATTATCTATTGCTAGCATATATGTTAGAGACTAATAAAACAGATTTCATTAATAGAAAATCTGACCTTTCTTTACTTTTTTTTTTTTTTTTGTTCGTTGCAATCTAAAGACAGCCTCAATTTTAAGCTTATCCGCAATGCTATCAGCCAGAGGAGAAAAATGGGCAAAAATGCCCTTCAACCATGGAGCACAAAACGCCTATCACCCCTTGACTAATCCAAATGGAGTTGTGAGCTTCTCAAATGCCGAGAACGTAAGTTAATAATTTAAATGCAATATAAGTCACAGACTCCAATCCGCTAATGACACCCCAGTGGCTCGTCCATGAAGAATTCACTCATTTCGTCAACGCACATGTAAGACAAACCACCATGAGCTTCTACCATAGGGAGTTAAACGCCTGTATAGAACCAATTCGACAAATATAGTTGTGCGTACGGCGAGGGTTACACCGGTACCAGGCGTTTACGAAACGCCACGGCGAAGCACTTAAACAATCATTTCAACCCCGCTCAAGAAATAGATCCCGAAGATATAACCTACGCAGCTGGCGTTACTGATATCAATGAAGTCTGTGCCTTGGTTACCTGTAACCCTGATAATAATGAGTCTATTCTGTTAGGCAAGCCCGTATACGGAGCCTTCGCTCGGGACCTCGTAATGAGGACTGGGTGCGTAGTTCCCGAAACCATCCAACTCGAGATACTGACGGTTTCTATCGGGGAAGTGTGGTCTTAGAGTATGTAGATGTCGGAGATACGGATCAGTTCTCGCCCGACTGCGTGGCTGGATACGAGGCGGGTTTTGAAGCTGCCAAGGCTCGTGGTGTTACCATCCGAGCCTTGATAATATGCAACCCGCACAATCCACTAGGTATGTGAGACTCGACGACTTTTCAGGTATTATGTGGTTAATTATTATTTCAGGGCAATGTTACCCTCGTGAAACTCTTATTGCGCTCATGCGTCTATGTGCGGCCAAAGGAATACACCTCATCAGTGACGAAATCTACGCCTTATCTACCTACGAATACGATGATCGCCCGTCGGAGAAATTCGTTTCAGCACTATCAATTGATCTTACTGGTATTATTAGCCCGGATCAGGTTCATGTGCTATACGGCATGGCTAAAGTAAGGAATAGTCTAGATGTCGTACGGGTAACGTTTTGACGTTGAAACTAGGACTTCGGCGCAGCCGGATTACGATTAGGCTGCGTGATATCGCGGAATAAGGAATTTACGAAAGCAACACGCGCAATATGGTAAGTCTCTGTGCTTCTAACTTTTTGTCTAGCTCTCGCTTATACCCTTCAACTAGTCGTTTTTCTTCGCCGTCTCAATATGCAATGGAACTTGCGGCCAAGTTCCTGGAAGATCAAAAATACGTCGCTGAGTTCCTAAAGAAATCCCAGAGTCTGTTACTTCGGAATCGCTTGCTAGCGGAAGATCTCCTTTCGCAGGCGGGTATCAATTTTCACCGAAAAGGGTTTGTTCCCCACGATCCCTGAGACTAGGGCTCAACGCCCTATTCCTAGCCAATGTGACTCGTCTAATTATCGCTTAGAAACGCGGGACTCTTTATCTGGCTTGACCTGACCCCCTTTCTGCCTCTGAAGGAAACTGATGGGGATGGTTGGGCGGCTGAAAGGCTACTGTCGAAGCGCCTGAATGAAGCGGGGGTCATAATGGCAACCGGAGAAGCTTATCACGCGCCGGGTCCGGGCAGATTTCGACTCGTATTCTGTTTCGAGGATGCTATTCTCAAAGAAGGGATTAGAAGGTTGGTACTCTTCCCCTATGTATGCGCGTTTGACTCGTCAATGACGCTAATACTGATAATATAGGATATCGCAAGTCTTGAAACATTAACATTGTGCTCTATTATTCGACAAAGCAAATTGTACCACCAGAGTACTGTCCGGAAGTCAGCCGGAGTCACCAAGTATATTAAGCACCACCAGCGAGATAAAGACCGGAGATTATGCCTTCATTCCTAGAGACTTTATTATCGCCTACTAGCACTTCAGGGGAACAAGAACTAGATACGTTTCTCAACACTCCCATAGAGTTTTGCTAACGATAATGAAAAAAGTGTTTTCTTACCCAAGCGTTAACACATACCTAGGTAGCCATTGCCCCGGTTTCTCTATCTGTTTCCGGACCCAGCAGTTTACAATGAAGTGGTTCGAGGCACCAAACTGAAATTTCAAAGATCCTTTATAGGTCTTTGATAGTATAGTGCCCCTAATGGGACGACGTGGTGTTATTAAGAAGTCCCTTCGGACAAGGCCAGGAATCAATTGTAGAAAATAATTTGAACATGTTAAAGCTAACTACCCTAGACCGACAATATTTCTATCTGATGCACGCACTCGCAATCGACTCGGCGATTGTGTCCTCACTGAAGCTACAAGCATGAAATACTCGAATAAAATTCAGTTCATAAACACACCTTATACGTATTCTTTACGTACTAGCTAACGTACGGTATTTTAATCCCTAATACCCGCCCCCAATCATGTCGAAAATGATGGAGAGCAGCCTTAAGGCTATAAAAGACCTGGGCCTTAACTGGACGCCAGCTCAGAAGGAAGCCTACCTATCCAAGATCAAAGTAGTATATCTCCCGAGATTGAAAGACCCATATCCAGAAAACGACTTTTACGTAGCTGGCACCCCGAAAGCGAAAGAACAATGGGACGATTATTGGGCCGATAAATTTCCTCCTACCGTAAGGAAACCCTATACGATACGAAGGGAAACTTTAGATATGGATATTTCGCGCTTTAAGTATATCGTAAAGCAGGATGAGAGTATTATAGTCCGCGATGCTGATACTAAAGAGCTTGTCTTCGTCGCTATCCGTGACCTCATACCCGACGACGAGGTGAAGCATACTATGACTACTTTATGTAAGGAGATTACTAGGTTTCGCCAGAATGATAAGCGCAACGACGCGGGACAACTTGTCCATTTCGGATACACGTGTGGTTCGCGCGATCATCCCTGCGTTAGGTTGGCTGCGCCGTTAGCGGCGATAGATACAATGGATAAGGTGAAAAAGGAGGTAGATATAAATATGAGAACGCAAGGAATGGCGGGAATTATTTGGAATTTAATGAAGTGTAAACTCCCGGCCGAAATCATCGACGACTATAACAATACGATCAAGAAGTATGATTACCCCCGAATGGATATGCAAAGGAAGGATAACGACTTTCATTTCAAAGTTGGAGACGAAGTGGTAACATTCGAGACGGGTAAAAATGGTTTGCGGTTACCGCCTCCTTCGGGGATGTCTGCTATCAACTATGCGCGATACACCCACAACGAATCTAACGGCAATGCTTGGATTGTCGCTTGTACGTGCAAAGCCCCCCAAGACTGGACTAAGGGCGGTAATTTCTACCTAGCGTCTTATGGGATCATGTTACAGCCTCGGGATAACACCGCGACCGCCTGGAGGCCAGGCGATTATCATGATGCCATTTTGTACGAGATGAAGCAAGGGCCGGAACGTCGAACAGGATTCGAGCGCCGTGCTGACGGAGCCATACACACCGGGATGATATTTGAGATTTCGGCCTTCTTTAAAACGGCTCGCAGGAGAACACCGTGGCTCGACGCTTGGAAAAAGGAGAAGGTAGCGTATGAGACTCCGTCTGTAGAAGCACAAACGCCTCCGACAGAGGCAAAAACAGAAGACGATGCAGCAAATAACTCAAAGAACAAGAACACCAAAAAGCCCGTCAAAAGAGCGATGTCGTCTTTGGAGGGGCAAAGTAGTGAGCCAAACAAGAATAAGCGTAGCCGATATGAACTGTATGAGGGAAAAGATGACAGAGGATAGCGAAGACAATGAAGAGGGCAGAGGTAGCACAAGCATCAACACTACTGATGATACTGAGGATCCTGACGATTCCTATAGTTCCTACGACTCTAGTGATTCTAGCGACTCCGAGCATTAGAACGAAGCTTTAGGATAGGCAGATGCGTTTGGGCTTTAACTAGAGCAGTGTTGATAGAACTCAATTGAAATACCCGTCATATTTATGGTAGTTTGTCGAAGAATCTGCTCCGATACCTTTGTCCGTAAGAGAATATCTCGGAAGCATCTAGTTGGCATAGCGTGATGGCTGTTGATCACATTAGGCAGAGAATGTTATAAAATTGATGCGTCGCTACGATAGAGTCGACTTAATCGTTATTCTATCAGCTAGGAGCAAACGCCAAACTGATATTTTTCTCACTCCACACCAATAACAAATCCTCAATCAATTATTACCCAAGTATGTCCTCAGAAATGTCACCTTGGGCCTCTCTGGGAATGTCGACAATTGGTCCCCAGGAAACCGAGGGGATCGAGCTAGAATGCAGGATCCTGGGAAGTATTGTGGAAGACTTTCCGATATACGTCGGTCTTATTGAGCACTATCTAGAAAGCAGCATGGTCCGTGTTGTACCTCGTATTTTTGTCAATATGCTCTTGGAATGTCTTGCAACTCTTATAGAGAAGAATAACCTAAGGGCGTACGCATTACTGGATTTGGCGAAAAACGTCAGATCTAGTACAGCTTTTCCAGTGAGATACGACACAGGGGGCGTGAGCGACAGCTACTTTGGCTGTTATTTAGGGGACAACCTACGTTGGGAAGCCTTGGGAATATACTTCACGCTGGTAGCGTCGTCTATGATCATGTATATCCCTCCAAGCCCTCTGCGCGATATTCAGAGGAATCTCAAGGATCGCATTCCTAAGTTGATTGAGGCGTCCTCCTCTTGCATAGAACTTTGGCGTAAAAGTGCTTCGATAAACGATATGGCGGTATTACTGATATATCAAAATCTCATCGTTACCTCGCTACACTACGGCGATAGACGCAAGTTTGACCTACCACTTAGATCGTATGCTGCGCTGCTAACATATCTAAATAGACTTCCAAACATGGAGACGACTTGTTGAACTTAGCGGCGTTTTCTTCGAATCTAAGGTGCACCAACCTACCCGATATGACAATGGAGTCCTCCGTTATATCTACGAAATGCACCGCCGCCTAGTTTCGGCCATTTATATCATCGATAAGTCGGTATGTACTGTTATGCATCGCCCACCTCTAATCGGTCGTTTCTTTTGCGAATACGGCTTTCCGTTGGATCTTGACGATGCTGTACTATTTTGCCTGCCAGATCAAGGTCGTGTGGACCCTCCACAGCTTGATATACACGGTTGGTCGATTAACGAAGGGTATTGTGCAGCAACATGGCTTCGACTACGAAACTTCTTCAGCACCTTCCGTGAAGATCTATTGAAGCTCTCACAGTGTAACCAGAACGAGACCAACCGTTGGTTCGATGCTGCGATTAAAGGACTTCCCCAGAAATTGTCACTAGTATGGCAAAATCTTCCCCAGCATGTGAAATACTCAACCGCCGACCTAGAAAAATGTACCGAGAGCCAACGCTTCTTCTTGGCAGTAACCTCCCTAGAATTCCTTCTCATCAAACTCCAGACCGAGTTCTATCTCTGCTCGTACACCAATCGCGAACGTAATCTTCTGATTTCTGAAGCGCAGAATCTCGTCGCGACTGTTCTCGGGATGATTGAATCGTCGCAACGTCTGCGGCCATTCCCTGAAGAACATCCCCGGGCGGTAAGGCGACCAAAACATGTTGATTGTCCCGTAACTAATTGGTGACTTTAGATACTTCAGTATGCCATGCCGGCTGCGCATATCCTTATTTATCAAGTATCCCGGGAAACATCGCCTACGGTGGCTGGCGATACCCTCGAGGACTTTTCGGCTTTTCACACGATGACGTACTTGACCGAGTTCATGTCGCATCTGGGCGCAAATTCCGATCCGCTTTGTCCTGCGTATAAGAGACTCTCAGATAAGTTTAAAGCCGCTTCAGCCAGATTTGAGGGTTCGGCCAGTGGTAACGCCGTCGCGATGGATGGGGAGAGCTCGTGGGCATCCTGGGCTCAGAGAACTATTGGTACAACTGAGTTCTTTACGATTCTTGATGATTCTTACGTGCGCTTGTAGGGTGTGGTAACCTCATGGTGAGAGTCTAGTTTTCGATTCTAGGAGGATGGGTCGCTCTTCTTGGATGGCAGTGAGCTATGTGAGCAGAAGTGGGTTGAGTAGGATGATACACCAGGAAATAACAAAATGTATTCTGGTATGAATGGTGCTATTTTTGCCTTGTTGACGATATCCTAAGTAGATAGGCAAACAATGAAGGGCATACCCCGCGATGATTATGTACACTGAAGTGGGTAGGCATGTGTGAAACAATGAAACCCGGTCGAGATAGCGCCATTGCCGGTAGAAATAAGGTCGAAGATGGAGTAAGTTGCATTCGATATAACCAATAAAGCTGTCTTGCTCACATAATCCAAGAGCTTCTATACCTATGGAATTCGACCGTAGGCCGCCGGAGTTCTGAATCCCGTCAATGCCGGCAAGTTCCGGTGACTCAAGGCAAAAGGACCTGGCTGAGAATACGGAGGTAGGATTTGACAAGCATTTGAAAGTGGAATAACACGGAGCTCATTAGGTCCGTTTCGCCGTTCTCATTAGTATCTCGAGATCTCAAGAGTGGTCGAGTCTGATGGTGAGGTTAACTTTTGGCTCAAATAGGAAATTCCGTTAAGCGGGCATAGCATGGAGCTTACCAATACTATTGCCGATATCGCCGAAAAACTACGTCAGCTCCGATTTGACAGCCAATCATATACGCTTGCCTCAGCCTCACGTTGCACAAAAAGTTCTCTAATAGTTAAAGTGTCGTGCTGGGACCGACCCGGCATCCTTCTACCCGTTTCAGTTAGAGGCTACAGAGTACCCAAATACCTAGGTATGTACCTGTTCAGCTTTGAATATTCCATCCGGACATTAAGATGAAGTAAAGTCCGTATATATACATTTCTATGCGAGGGAGTACTTTCGAAGTAGATAGAGATGAATTGTGTGTTACCTAGTTCATCTTCAGATCGACAGATTTATGCGGGGATAAGAGAACGGACCATTCATTAAGTCCCTTATGTAACAACCTGACTACTACATGACCACCATATGTTGAAGTAAACGTCTATACCATTATCTATATAAAGTCTGGCGATTTCCTCTAATTTCGTTTTTAAAGAACTATAGAATTCATCATACAGATCCACTCATCAATTCACTTATACAAGAAAGCACAATGGCAGACACCACCAAGAAAGAGCGCATCTTCATGACCGGCGCCAGCGGTTATATAGGTTCGCGCATCACCGAATTCGCAATCGCCCAAGGCTATGAAGTCTACGGTCTGTCCCGTTCCGAAGCCAGCGACGAGATTCTGAAGAAATTGGGCGCTGTACCCGTCCGCGGCGACCTAACCACCCTCGATGTAATCCGTCGTGAGAGCGCTGCAGCGGACATCGTCATGCACTTAGCAGACCCATTCCGCGGAAAACAGGGCGTCGACTACCAAGAAGTCATTGATGACCAGAAAGCTATTTCTGATGCGATTGCCGACGGAATCCAAGGTACTAACAAGCCGCTGGTGATGACTTCCGGCACCCTGATGGCTGAGGCGGACCCCAATGGCGGAATAACCGACGAGACTGCACCGTACCCTGAGAACCCCGTCGTTCGTCGTCACATCGTCGAGCAATATGACCTAAGCCTCGCGAAGAAGGGAATCAGAGTCTCAACCATTCGTCTTTCGCCATATGTCTACGGGCGCGGTGGTAGCGGTCTTTTCCACTTCCGTAAGAACTTCCCCATGTTATCTTGCTGCCCTATACTAGCCCCTCTGAGATATGAATGATCTAATTGCTTCCAATGAAGTGATAACTAACCTTTAACTTCAGTGCACATTGCTGCGAAGAACAGCCAAGTTCTCGCCGTCAATGAGGGCAAACAGCACACCTCGGCCGTACATGTAGACGACGCCGCCCGTCTATACATCCTAGCCGCGCAGAAGGCGAAAGCCGGTTCCATCTTCAACGCCACCGAATCGACCGACCTGACTGCACGCCAAGTATTCGATGCCATGGCCGAAGCGTTGCAGGTCCCTGTACAATCTTTCACGCTCGAGGAGGCTAAGGGAAAGGTCGGTCCGTTCTTCGCGGCCTTCTTGGCTGCTGCAAGCCGTGCTTCTAGCGAGAAGGCCCATAAAGAGTTGGGTTGGGAGATCCAAGAGAAGGCTGGCATCGTGGAAGATATCAAGACTGGTTCTTACAAGGCGCTTGCGGACCAGATCCGAAACAAGACCGCCACCCCGTATGCGGGGTTTTGAGCGTGTAGGCGTTCTCGCCTGAGGGGCTGGTCCGCCAAGGGTTATCGTATGTGTGTATATCGCGGGGTCCATATTAGTTAGTCGTAAGCTTTTCGCACAATTAACATCGTCATTTCCCGTCGAAATCGGTCCTGAATAAGAATAAGACTACCGTCTCTAAAGACTTTCTTGGTCAACTGATGATTGGTTGGGTGATTCTTCGGAGCCACTGTGGAGCCTCCCGTGAATTAATGCGTTGTGTCTGGTCGTCTATACAATCAAACAATCGATTTTGAAACCCTTGAGCTGCACGAGCCAATTGTTCCTGTCCCTTTCGTGTAGCGACACCATTGATTCTCCAGTGAGGCCACTTTCACCCATATTATGTTCTTCCGTCGTCGCGATATTGTCCCTCATTTGCCATATCTCTACTAATGTCTCCATCGTTGATGTTACCATCCCCCAGGGACAGAGGTATCTCATATCGCGTAATCGATCCAGCAACCACGCCCTACGCGACGAATCTGCCGTCGCAACACCAGTAAGAAATATTGGCCATGTAGCAAATTTGAATAGTGGACTATCGGTCGGAATGAGGGATAAGTGATGTAAAATCGTAGCGACGAGCTCTTCTGCGCTGGGGAGGACGGGCAGATTATCCTCACCTATCCCATTTGATGATGCGAGTTGGGAGAGTTGGTTTGGTAGTTCCGGCGCAACCAAGAGAACGTAGAGGCATACAGCAGCGCGGAATGTGGCGGCGATATGTTTTCGGTATTGAACTTCGACATCATCCATGTAACCAACAGCTGCTGTAATTCTAGTGCAAACTTCGGTCGCCCATGCATCGCCGTCAAATGTTTGGATTTCCCTTAGAAGCTCGAGACAAGATTGCATCTGCTGCTCAGTCAATACGCCAGCCTCACTTGCGCCGATATCCCTTGCTAGTCGCGAAGTCCTAAAAACAGTGTGCAGTAAACGAGAAGGGCAGCTGTGGTAACTGTTCGCCTCGGTACGAATGAGGATATGAAGAATCTCATCGTCGTCTCCGTCGAATGTCAACGGTGGCGGGGTAGTCTTACTCAAAGATGAGACTAATGAGTCGAGTGCGTTGCTCCAGATATAATAAGCCACCGAATCCGAAGCGATGTAGTCGCGAATGCCCGGTGACGTGGAAGACGAAATATGTTGGCCAGCCGGAGGTAAAGCAATAAGAGACTCAACCGCTGCGAAATCCAGAAGGGGACTTTGATCAGACCATAACTCCGGCGCCGATGTTGGTGAGTTTCGTAGGCTCGAAGAAGTAGTTGTCCGCAAGCTTAAAAGTTTGCCAACGAAATTCATGTGAGCTCGCCATCCACCTTTACCCGAATCAAGCAGCACAAAGTTGACGAAGAAGAGTACCGCGGCGAGCAATGCATCCCTCTCGCCGTCGTTGGCTGGCTCATTTCTCAGAGCTTCCTGGCGTTCAACCACATCCTGGAGCGACTTAATAGCTCTATGCCGCGCACCTAGAGCGTCAACGAGGGCGTTAACTACAGGTTGAGGGTTTTTATTCCAGCGCATAGAGTTAGAAAAATGTAAAGCCGATGCCGCGACGATTATCTCTCGGAGAAAAGGATATTCGAGGGACATAGGGACCAAGTCCCTGAATGGATTAGCACTACATTGCGGTGAATCATATAAAACAAGGTCTTGGCAGAAGCGAATAGCATCTGAATAATATTAGTATGATAGGGAATGAAACGTAGTGGATAAGAAGCAGACTCACAATAGTTAAGATAATATCGTGCCGAATGCCCTAAGCCTTGTAGCAATGGATCAAGTAGAGGGATAATCGGATTCTGGTAATTGGGTTCAATTTTCATTAGACTTGACTTATCATAAGCCACGGCACTTGATTTCGGCCTTAAAGGGGTTTTGAGCTTCGGAGCTTGCGACGTCGCATTGCCCATCCATTTGTAAAGTTTGCCATACCCAAGACATTCTTGACCAGTAGTTAGACACTTATTACACCCAGGAATAGATCGATCGCATCTCAGGCGACGAGTCCGGCAGTTGTGACAAGCTTTTAGCGCGACCATCAGACGTATGAACGACCATCAAGGCCATAAAATAGATGGAGATGTGATGTTGTTTTGGACAGAACTGCTTCCGTGCCGCAGCTGGATTAACCGGAATAGATCGTGTCAGTGACAGGGGTAAGCACGCGAGTACTGCGCCGTTACATTTACTGCTACCATCAAGTCAACCAGCAACTGATTTTGAGGGCAAAGTACGGTCCGGATCGGAGCTAAAGAAAGCTTGACCAGACAACAATACGGATCATACGTTGACTTCACACACCAACAGATATGTAAGTCCCCAGCATCCGAAACCTTTCTCTTGATATTAGTAATGATAACCATCTAGTATAAAGAAAGCTAGACATTTCTTCATGTCAATATTTGGTGGTTCTATACCTGTAAGTCATTGACGTACGTAATAGATAATGATGGTGAAAGAAGACGTTTCCGTTTTACAGCATGATTCTGTAAAAAGTTCTCGATCAGGTGGAGTTGAAAAGGTGGCGCACATATAGTTCCCAGTTGGTCAGACTAAGCCGAAACAGGTAGCCAAGACTCAAGTTGTGCATGATGACGGAACCAATAGGAGTTTTCCAATTCGTTACAAACTGATCTCGGCCAATGGGAATAGACATAGAAATGGGGTGGTTGGGGTTACCCAGGTTATTGTGAAGGTATAACTATAAGTACCTTGCACTAACATCCTCCGTCCACAGTTTCGATTGCATAATCCATTAGAACTTCCCAATGTGGTGGCCAAGATACACTTCTCGCAGCTTGCAAGTAAGTAGCAAGCAGCTCTTAATGGCACTAATACGACTAAGATTCTAGTCGGTGTATCACTCTTTCCTCCGGTGCCCTCTTTATAAGGTCTCAAGATGTCTCTGGCAACTTCTACCTACAGGCTTCGTTGGGATATGTTGCTCCATGGGTCCTCAATAAAATTTGTAACTCCACCATTTACTTAGACTTTCGTGATTGAGTGTCGTCCCAAATCCATAGATCGTGATGACAGAACCAGCAGAGATCGATAATGGCATATTCGATCCGAACCCCGAAAACATTGAAAGCGGCAACGAGGATGGCTTAGGCAAAGCCGATATCGAGCGACTCGGTCGCCAACGGCCCGAAACCCTTGCTAACTTGGCGGCCGAGGTCGGATTCGTTTTTGCGGTGATCGCCTCACTATCCATGAGCGAGTATTTCATCAGTGGTTTCAACATCGTGCTACCCGCTATCGCCGAAGCACTGGAAATCCCGGAAGCGCAACGCACATGGCCAGCCGGAGTGATCAATCTAACCACTGCCGCTTTACTCCTTCCGTTCGCTCGGCTCTGCGCGCAGTATGGAGGTCGCATCGTGTTTCTGATCGGCCACATCTGGCTCCTGATCTGGTCTATCGTCTGCGGGTTTAGCAAGAACCCCACAATGTTAATAGTGAGCCGAGCTATGCAAGGTATAGGAGCCGCCGCCTTCCTCCCCGCCGGCCTCGCGCTCCTAGGACAGACATATCGGCCCGGTCCCCGAAAGAACCTCGTCTTCTGTCTGTATGGCGCGGCAGCTTGTATAGGGTTCTATTTTGGTATTATCATGGGTGCTCTCACAGGCCAGCTCGCGAATTGGACCGTGTACTTTTGGGTTGGATCGGCGTTCGCCTTCCTCGTTGTCGTTACCGGTTTCTTCACTATTCCCCGACATCTCCATCATGACTCAACGGATATACGTATGGATTGGTGGGGCGTATGCACAATTGTGCCTGGGCTGACATTAGTCGTCTTCGCACTCACGGATGGCGGTAGCGCTCCGGATGGCTGGCGTACGCCTTATATCTATATCACTTTTGTGGTCGGCGCGCTCTTGCTCTGTGCTGCGGTGTACGTACAGGGTTGGGTGTCAGCTCAACCGTTACTACCAGCCGACCTGTTCCGCCCGAAATATATGAAACGCGTTTCTACTTTCATATTCTGTGGATTTGGCGTGTTCGCGATCTTTTTATTCTATTCGAGTTTTTAGTGAGTTAATCAATCTGGCCTATCTCGTGGACTCGTGCTAATTTTGGGCGTAGTATCGAAGAGGTTCTACACGCTACCCCCTTACAAACCGCTGCATGGTTCATTCCCCTTGCCGCGGGAGGCTTCATCATCGCAATGACAGGAGGATTCGTGTTACACATATTCTCGGGGCAAATCTTGCTGATTATCTCGGGCTTGGGCTACGTCATCTGCGTACTGCTCTTCCCCTTAATACCAGCACAAGACGGACCGGACAAATTATCGAGCAGTCACATCTACTGGGCATACATATTCCCATCCATGATATGCGGTACTATTGGAATCGATATCACGTACAATGTGACGAACGTATTTGCCACGACAGCCATGCCTCGACGTCTCCAAGCGACCGCTGCCGGGTGGATTATCAGTCTCGGATACCTCGGTATGGCATTCTGGCTTGGTGTCGCCGAGCTAGCTATATCATCATGGTCTCGTTCTCATGCAGATGAGAACCCCACTCTCCGCGAACGATACCAAATCGGATTCTGGACTGGTCTCGGACTTGCCGGAGTTACCTTAGCTTGCGCTGTGACGGCGCGTATCGGTCAAGCAGCAGCTGAATTGACAGCGGATGAAAAGGATGAAATGAAACATAACGAGGCCGAATCATAGATTTTAATGACGGAGCTGCGATAGAAAATTAGTCGGAGGGCGATGAATGACGGTTAGACAAAAGTAGAGCGGGTTGCATGCATTTCAAATGGCATAGATATAATGAGTTACACTGATAATGACTTAATGATTTTAATTTACGAGAAGACAAATTTTATTCTACGTATTCATTCAAAAGGCGGCTACAAATGGCCGTGCGCATAACAGGTGACTGGATATTGTCACATCTTTTCGTAGTCCCCTCTAACTCCGAAAGGCCTTGCTCTTGCGCGAGGGTTTCCTTTCATTCACGATAGGACCACTTATCAAAATATGCGGGAATTAATCGCAGTTATACGCAAGGAGAAAGCACTGCATGCATAAAGACCCGGTGAAAGACTGCGCATTACTATTGAGAGCTCTTATAGAATAGACCGCGAAAACTAGCGAATAGGGGCAGCGATACCCACTTATTTCTTAGTTATAGGGTGAAACTCATCGCCATGAAATCTCAGGGGTATCTTTCCCTTAAGCAAATGCCAAAGCCGTACGACCCTTATAAGGAAACTACCAGAAGCAACTGGTCGAATCCAGCGCCCTACTCCCTTAATACGTGACCCTGAACTCCGTGTTTTCCGTACCGCTACCGGGGAAGTGGAGCACGTACGCATCATCCTCCCAGTGAAAAAGGCATGAGCCGCAGGCTGACCGAGTACCGAACGTATCGAGTTCAATGAGCTGGAACACATCCCTCTCTTCATCAAACAGGACGTCGAAAGTAAAGCCTTGACTGAGCATACCCTTGTCCATCCAATTATTCAGATTAAGCTCCCCAACAATCATCTCGCGGAGCTTGTCACACTCGCGGGTAATCTTTTCCGCAGCTCTAGCCATATCCAGACCATTATTGCTCGCGAGGAACCACGGTCGACGCCAGTCGTATTGACTAATAGCCGATATGTAGGATTGCGACGCAAACCGGGCTGGGGGACAGAAGACGCGGTATCGACGTGAGAGACTTGCGCGATGGTCAAAAGGCACAAATATTAACTCGATGTCTTCTCTGCCGTTTCGGACAAGCTCGAATGATTCTAGGCTGAGTCCGGATGGGTCGTAGACGTCGAGTCTTTCCTTATGGGGCTCTAGTGAGTTGGAAAGGGTGCGGTGTGTCCATTCTAAGGAAATTAGATGATCAATAACCCCCTTAGCTGTGAATAACGGGAACGCGTGGGCTTCATCTTTCGGTGGATATGCGAGTACGCGCATGAAGATTCCTTCGGGAGGAAATCGGAGGTGGGCGAAAGAGGTCATGACGTCCTTGTCGATATTATTTCCGGTTAAATGGGAAGAAGGAAGTGACCTGGCATGTCCTAGCAGCAAGTGCTGTTGCAAATAGGAAAGGGTGACAGTCTGAACAACCGATGAGGAAAGTCCACGGGTACGTAGGATTAAGGGGGACCATCTTTTGAAGGAGCATGGGATCCCAGAAGGTACTATTGCGTGAGGTTCTTCAGCGGGGTAGTCGAAAAACGAATTGAACCTTTGAGATGGATTGCGGTCGGAGGGTCTCGGCGAGTCTTCCGGCGTGAAGACATCTCCAGTGACCGTCTTGTAGTCGATGTGAACTAGTTTCATGTTGTCTTCCTCTCAACTAATGGCTTTTAGATATTAATTGATTAGCTTTCAATAGATAAGCGATGCAAATAATGTGAGATTTCCGAACACTGATATCTAGGCCGCTCTCGGAGGAGTGTCAACTTACTGAGCAGATAGAGTTGATGGTGTCGTGTCACCGCGTGGCGTCTGAGAAAATCCTTGAAGAATCTAGGTTCTACCTAGTAACATATTTTAAGTAGACGCTGAAGAAAAGCAAAAGGAAAGGAAAGAGCCACTCAATAGTTCAACTGCTTCGTGGTTTCCTCCCAAGGGGACAATCTTACCTAAGGTACTCGGTAATCCTTTGAATATGTTTATATGAATAGTATGGTTTAAAGATGCAGCTAAACGCAATGGGAGATGTAGTTAAAGTGGGGTTCCATAAAACAAAGCTTCTTATCTGCCCCACTCTTTGCTGCATCACCTGCATCGCCTGGCATTTTGTTGTCACCATCTTCTTCTCATCGTCAAACAATAATGCGATATGGAAGATTCTCATGGCGATGGGGACGCCCCGACTGTAGGTATACGTCGTCGCACGAGCCCGAAACTAGCGATAGTAGCACTATTACTCCTACTACTATTAGTGAACCTATCGACAAGTCTCTATCAGCTACCACTGAACCGGGTAATCGAAAGGCGCCTCTGTCGAGAATACTATTCCACACACGATCCACCCGCCATCGACCGCAATGGAAGTATTGACGAGAAGCTCTGTAAGATAGATCCCGTCCAGAAGAGCCTGGCTTGGATGACCGGAATCATGGATACTCTATGGATTGTTGGTGGTGAGTTAGATGTTAGGCTGCATTGAGGTCTGGATCTTGTAGAAATACTCATCTGAGGGCTAATGCACACACAGACTTCGTCATGACTATCCCTATAGGATTCATAGCTGAGAAGTATGGCCGGAAGACTGTACTATGGCTTAACCTCACTCCGAGGCTGTTCATGCTTGCTTGGACTATCGTAGTAGGGTATTTCGAAGAGAGCCTACCCTTGAAAGCTATCGTCGCTGCACCAAGTCTTTCCATTTTAGGTGGCGAGTGTGTCTTCAACTCAATCATCTACGCTCTCGCAGCAAGCTTGACGGACGACAACGTCGTAAGGTATGGCTTCTATTCTCATTCCGCTTTCCTCAGTGACTAACTGAGAATCGTAGGGCAACTTATTTCAGTTGGACAAATGCTGTTTCGTATGTGGTAACCTTTGTCGGTCCCGGACTTGCTGGCGCGACCATGACTGCACATTTGCTTCTTCCGTTCTGGATTGGAATATGTCTTCTGGTGTTAGCTATTCCCACCATATCATTGCTCACGGACCCTGCGCATACATCAACGATGTCAGAGGACGAGCAACGACAGCCTCTCATATCATCACCAACCTTGAAAGCACAGACCTCCAGGACCTCCATACTTGGACCTGTTATCGAGCGCATCCGTACTCTTCATTCTATCGTTAGGAGTCATCCTAGAAATCTAACCCTTCTGCTCATTAGTTTCTTCCTCACTTCTCTTGCGAGTTCTGATACTAAACTCCTAGCGCAATTCATATCGAAGAGATACCACTGGGAATTCGCCTCGGCGGGGTATCTTCTATCCGCAAAAGCTATTGTGAACTTCACGCTTCTTACTCTCGTGATCCCCACTATCCTTCGGTCTAGGGGTACACATAACGAGACACAATCCCCATCGCTTTCTGATAGAGACAATATTCGCTACGCTCGAATTTGTTTGGTGTTCTCTGTCTTAGGCGCATTAGCCATCGCTGCCGCAATTACTGTCTGGCTCTTATTCCCATCACTTTTATTATACTCGCTCGGAGCCGCTCTGCCCGTATTCACATTAGGTCTTCTAAAATCGCCATCCGTGTCACCAAAGGATACCGACCCAACAACGAATTCAAAGGATCCAGAAGCCCATATCTTCTCTATCGTAATGATGGTAAAGACTTTGGGTTCTTTAGTAGGCGCTCCATTGATGGCGACATTATGGGTTCGAGGTATCGCGACAAGTACTCTTGGCGTACCGTATTTAGTGAGTGCGGCACTATACCTAACAGCTATTATTGTTTTTGCTGGAATTAAAGTGCGATGAAGCAGTAATTCGGTAATGCGGCATCTTGCATGAGTACCTGGTTTTTTGGTTTAGTTTTGGATTAGCGCGCTGGTGAGATCTCACGATCTCCAAGAAATTGACATTGTGTGAGACAATCTAGATTTAAAAATGAAACTGTTTATTTTTTCGGGTAACTCTAGTAGCATTCACAAGTTACGACTGAGAAATTGTTATGTAATACGAGATATGAGCACAGATCCGCTTGGTCATTTCGCATGCCCGCATACTGATATGTTGTGGGACGACGGTGACGCCATTGATTCTTGGAGCCTTCTCAGAGGCTGCCACTACCCGACTCTATTGGAAAAGAAAACGGACACGCCCAGATCTTTATCGTTTTTTAGATCGTTACACACTCACCAATTTAAGGGTCTAAGCTAGCCGTTCTAACCGTCCTACCGTCTTAGTACCTTGGTATCTTCCAAAATGAGCTTCACAAGCTTCTGCTAGTGCGCCCAACCGCCCGCCATGATGTCAATCCTGCCTTTAGGGGTAAAAATAACATTACATTAGCGTATTTTACTATTGACATTGAATCTTGATTGATAACCTCGCGGACCGGAGTTTTTCATTCCAGAGCAAACCGTGTTGTTTCTTTGTTTGATCCTTTTCGTTGTGTCGCTAGCAACGGCAGTACCTCCAACTTCTCTATTGGTGAACATTCCATCCATGTTGATCAATTGATCAACACATAGAATACTGTACTTCCATCGGATCACAACCGCCAAGAGTGAGGAGAAAAGCCGGAAGTGTATTTCGAAATGGCGGGCAATCAAGGTGAAGCTGCCTCTTATTACGCCACGCAGCAACAAGGTCCTAACCAATACGGACAACCTCAATACGGACAGTCTCAATATGGTCAACAGCAGTATGGACAGCCTCAACAATATGCGCAGCCTCCTCCTTCTGGACCGCCCCCAAATAATGGATATGGGAACGAGAAGCCTATGTTTGACCAGACATTCAAGTTAGAACGTCCGAAATACAATGACCTTTGGGCTGGTATTCTCGTAGGTCTCGCATCTTTGACTATGTAATTGAGATGCTAATAATCCCGATTAGTTCCTTCTTGTCGTCGCGGGTTTTGTTGCTGTTTCTGGTATCTCAATCAACGGCTATGGTTAGTCAAATCTTTAAGTAAACTGCGTGCTGTTTCACAAGACTAATTAGATGCAGCCTCCACGAAACACTTCCAAGGAGGTGGAATCTATGATTCCGGATCGCAAGTCGGGCTCAATACTAACACTCTCATTCTATTCGTATTCTGTCTTTGTGTCGCTGTTGTATTTAGCTATGTTTACGTACTGCTGGCTCGTCAGTTTCCAAAACAGTTCATCTGGATAACGTGAGTAATGAGCTTGCGCGCCTTCATTGGGAAAAGGGTGATACTAACACAAGCTACTATAGCGGTATCTTGAACATCGTCTTTGGCTTAGTGACAGCCATTTACATGCTCTCACGCCACTACTATTCCGGCGGTATCGTTTACTTGATATTTGTCGCCTTCTTGATCTTTGCTTTTATTGTGAGTTTCCCCATTGCTTTTTATTTGTGGCTTTACTCACCATTCTCCCTAGAGCTGGATACCCCGCATCCCATTCAGCGCCCTCATGCTTAAGACTGCCGTTGATGTCTCTAAGTCATATGGACACGTCTATCTTGTCAGTGCGCTCGGTGGACTCTGCGCGACTGCTTTCGCCGCTTGGTATTCAGTTACATTTGTAGCTGTATATGCCAAGTTCTCACCAGGTCAAAATCCAGCGTGTGCAGAGGGCGCGGGTGGCTGCAGTACCGCCAAGGTTACGGGCTTGCTGGTTTTCATTACCTTCGCCATGTATTGGATCTCGGAGTGGCTGAAAAACACAATCCACACGACGATCTCCGGTGTATATGGTTCCTGGTACTTCCACCCGCATAACCTACCCCGGGGTGCCACTAGAGGCAGTCTGAGGAGGGCACTCACCTACAGTTTCGGATCGATATCGCTTGGATCATTGATTGTCGCTATCATCAACTTCCTACGACAATTATGTTCCGTCGCGCGGCAAAATGAAGCTGCCCAGGGGAATATCGTCGGAACCATTATGTTTTGTATTCTCGGATGCATTATTGGAATCTTGGATTGGGCGGTACAATTCCTCAATCGTTACGCTTTCTCGTACATTGCTTTGTACGGAAAGCCCTATATCGCTGCTGCCAAGGATACTTGGAATATGATTAAGGACCGCGGTATTGATGCTCTGGTCAACGAATGCCTCATCGGACCGGTCCTCTCGATGGGAGCTACGTTTGTCGGCTATGCGACAAGTTTGTTGGCTTATTTGTACTTGGTAAGAACTTCTTGGTGGCGTTGGATAGAGGGGTTGCTAATCTTGTGGCGTAGGTGTTCACGAAACCGGCGTATAACTCCGACGGCTCATATACTCCCGGTGAGTTTTTTTTCTCTGCTTGCCTCTCGAAATCTGTCTTTCCTTGTTAAAGCTTCATGCATGATAGCTAATATCAGATGTTCATAGTTGTTGTGGCGTTTGCATTTCTTATTGGACTGCAGATTTGTAATATCTTCACGACGCCAATAAGCAGCGGTATTGACACAATATTCGTAGCGACTGCGTGGGAACCCCAGGCTTTAATGCAAAACCATCCCGATCTGTACGACGCCATGGTTCGAGTCTATCCGCATGTTCAGGTGGCCATCCATGCTTAAAAGTTCGTTGGAGAGGATGCGAAATGGGGGTGAGTGATTGGCTGTAATGTTTTAAAAAGTTGAATACTGTGATCTCACGTAGGATTCACAGAGCTGTGTTCTAATTCGACAGCCCATCGGCGTTTTGATAAGTTACAAGGCTTGGATAAAATATTCACATATCTCTCTAATGATAGTACTGTAATGCTTTATAAAATCCATAATAGAATAAAATTCATATGTCGCCGCATTCAGGATTGCTCTAGAACTGACCTCTCGGTTGAAAAATAGGGGTCTATTCTGTGTACATTTTTAGCATTTACCTGCCTGGGAGGGTTAGCTGATGCAACTAGCTCGCATTAGCTAGCTAAATCGGGTTACCGTCGGCTGCCCACCGTATCGCCAGGGTACCTAATGTTCGGGTCCGCCCAAGCGAGATTTGGGCTCTTCTCTATGGTGGATCTAGAACTTCCAAGGCTCTCTCTCTCTCTTCTAGGCTACGAGCCCACCGACGGCGTAGTTTGCTTGGATTTAAGAACATCCAACGCCCCCCTTTGGATGCCTACCTGCCTAGATAATACGAGTGAATCATTGCGAATGGGATCGTTTCTGCCAAGTAGTCAACACCAGGCAACGATGCCTATTATTCTGAGACGTTGTCATAATCCAAAGGGTATATTATGAGGGATTTCGTCTTAGCGTTAAATACGATATTGGTGAAAAACAAACAAACAAAAAAAAAAAAAAACGGTGCACGACTCGTGCTTATTTTTTGTATCACCAGCACTAATTATCCCACCCTCTTGAGCCGGGCTTTCCGAGGATATTCTCACGATGGCTGAGAGCACCAACAGCGATAGTGATGAAAATCCATTCACTACGCTGTTAAGTCAGCCCAACCTAACTGCGAAGTTGGCTGTCCTGCAGCCGGCTAAAGAGTGGGATGCACTTATCGAACTCACCCTCACAGAAGTGCTCTTGAAGGATACGTCGTACGAATGCATTTCGTACGACCGTTCCTCAAAGACGGCTTCCGCTGCTAATAATATCGTGGCTATTAAACTCGACGGCGAGGATTATGATATCCCCAAACAACTCGAAAGCGCACTTCGCGCGTTCCGGCGTAAAGAGCGGACGCGCATCTTATGGGCCGATGTTCTAGCAGGGCGTACACCCGAAGAACGCAATGCACAAACCGACGTCCAGCGGCAAATCCTCGAGAAAGCAGATCGCACGCTATGTTGGCTGGGTCCCGAAAAAAGCGACTCGATGGCTCTAGCCTTCGAGACTATTACTGAGATGGGGCGGCGTTTTACTGATGCATGTCGGCAAGTCGGACTAGGTCCGAATGATCGGATCACGCGGGCGACTATGCAGCAAATGGCCGGTATACGCGATCGGTTGGTTAATTGTGCGTTTGATGATTTGCATTCTTTCAACTTTAAGCTGTGGCGTGAGATCGGCAATGTCTTCGGCGCGCCGTATTGGGGGTCTGTACAGGCTGTTTCAGATATTGTGCTCGCGCGGTGTCCGATCGTGGTCCAGGGCCGTGGGAGCATCCATTGGCATACGTATATCGCGGCTGGGCGGGCGATGCCTTTGTTCAATACTAAGTTCTTCGGCGTCCCGCTGCTACCGCATGTGCATAAGGGTCTGGAAGTTGCGAATGAACTTGAGATCGCGGAGTTTAGGAGACGGGTGGGTGAGTCGGTGGAACTTATGCCTATGGTACAGACGGCAAGGATGTGCGAGCCTTTGGATTCTAGAGAGACGGTTTTTTCGATGTTGTTGATTGCGACGCCCTCTGCGAGGATCAGGTATCATAAAATGGGCCCGCGACCTTTGCCGACGGTAGATCATACGATGACCCCGGAGCAGATATTTATTGAAGTTGCGCGGTACTCGATTTTGGAACGACAGGATTTAATGCTTTGGTTCGCTGACCGTCCACCTTGCGCCAAGCGGTTGAAGGGATTGCCGAGTTGGGTTCCTGATTATAGCGCCATCCCGCCGAAAGTTGGTACTTTGTTTAATCCGAATGCTGGCATGCGAGCTTGGTGGGGTCCGGGAGGTCCTGAGAGACCGATAGCTATATCGGAGGACAACAAGCTGCATCTTCAGGCACGGCCTCTCGACCGTATCGTACATGTCTCACATGTCTTTAACGCGGGTAACGCTCGACGACTGTGTCTCTCTGAATTTCAAAAACTTCCTCCCGACCTGTCTCCATCCGAAAGCCCTGCTCAAGTAGCTGAACGATTCTGGCGTACACTCATTTTAAATGCAGGTGGCACCAAACCTGGCACTGCATCGTTCCGGGAAACCGCCGTGCCCGCGGTCTCATTCGGTGTGCATTTCGATAGTTTACTTGCGGAGGAAGCTATGTTTAAAGCCCTAGATTGCACCATGACCGATCTTCAAACACCTGAAAATGCAGAACGCATTCGGAGTTCACCGGAACTACTAGCGCTTGTCCCACGATGCGGAAAGGCGCAGCCATACGAAGACATCCTAGTCAAGCACGCAGCAGGACGACGGTTTTTCCGCACCGCGACAGGTAGATTTGGTATGACCGCTATCGAAGACGTGGTGGCCGCTGATAACGATATCAAAGATGAAGACTCAGGGTTGGAGCTGCCGGGGGATTCCGCGTCAATGGTAGCGAATGCCAGAGGCGCGGATTTGGGGCGGAGAATGCGTGATCCGCTAGGCCGAATGATGATGCAGGATTTCCAGCGATATCTAAATGAGCGCGATCCGGAGAGGGCGCGCGCGGCAGCGAAAGCTATGCGAGGTATAATTCCGGGGATCAATGAAGATGAGCAGGTGCGTACTGATAGCGGCGTGCGGGAGGGTGATATTGTAGTAGCTTGTGTTGGCGGGTTCTTCCCGTATGTTTTTCGACCACATGCAAGACCGGAAGAAGAAACGAGAGAAGAACCCGAGGAAGACTCGTCGGAGTACGAGTTTGTAGGCGAGTGTTATTTGCACAAGGCTATGGACGGTGAAGATTTCCAAAGCAGGAATATCTTCGGGCAGAAATACTTGCGTATTGATCCATCGCAGATTGTTGATATTACGATTGTATGAATAATAGGAAGAGAGAAGAGAAGAGGTTGGCGTTGGTGCTAGTAATTGTGTTCATGGCGCAAAAAGTCGGTGCACAAACTCAAAGGGGAGGGAACTTTGGACTCGAGTACCTACATAAAGCAAACTTACAACATGATTTATCGTAGCCCGCGTAGCTCAATGGTTAGAGCGTGTGACTTTTATTAGCTTTCAGTTAATGAAAGGCCATCCCAAGGTTGTGAGTTCGAGTCTCACCGTGGGCGATTATTTTTTGTCTTTGTTCTCCCCAGCTTCCCCGACCGCAACTATCCCAATTCAAGTATTCTATATTGCATTATACAAGCCTTCAACGTTCAAACGGATCTTATAAAACAGCACGATAATGGATCTTTTTCTTTTTAAAAACCAACAAGACTAGCTAGCGTCTAACCATATTTATACAGATATCCACTATAGCTCTATCGATTGTTAAATTGTCCTCCTTGGACTGTCTCCCCTATTCTAAATTCCTTGATAATGAATGTAAGTACTCGGGAGAGGAACTTCGGCGTCGAGCATCGCGAACTACTGTATCTTGGAGTTGACAAATCCCCAATGATCCCAAGACCAAAACTTGCTAAGAACAATCGTGGCATGACAGAATACCGTAAACCTTCATAAACATAGCGCACAAAGCGGCCGAAATCATATTAAGAAGCAAGCCCAGGTTGGCTGACCGTATTGTATGCAAACCACATGCGCAATGAGTACTCAAATCCATACCATACAAGTTGGGTTACCCTACCCTAATCAAAACAACCCTTAACCTCAAGTCTCAAAAGACCTTACACACGACCAAGCGCGAATGTCCGAGAGTATGTGTCTTCCCCCACCAGCTGGCGAAGAGATAGATACGTGGGACAAAAAAACTACTGCCATCCACTGCTTCATTCATCCAGTGGTTTTTAATCCGCATACGCCAATAGAACTCCTAAACTACCAACCAACAAACCAGGGCGGTGGGGGAAGAACAACTCCCTGTAAGCCCTTATCCTGCTCGTTACGTGCCCTGAGGCTTTACTTCTTCTCTTCAAAGTAGAACTTTCCGAGCTTGTCACCATCCTTGGAGTTTCCTAGAACAGGTGCTCGTCCACCTTCACCACCATCAAGACGCTCTCGTACGATGCGTTCGGCAGCTTCTCGCGTCGCCGGCCCGCCTACACCTTCTCTAAGGGCGCTAGTTCGTGGCTGACCAGGTTGAACGGGAACGGGTCCTCGCGTTGTGGTGTCAACGAATACGTCGTCATCAGAGGTACCAACATGGCCGCCACCATCTACAGCAACACCATCGACATACTTGGCCTGACGCGTCTCTGCCGCAGCCGACGCACTGATCGGAGTGTCGTTACCAACATCACGCATCTCACGAGTACGCATAGAAGCCTCCTGGCTCAGCCCGGAACTACTTCTCTCCAAGCCCCATACGCCCGTAGCACCGGCCGTACCAGGCAGGGGTCGACGGTGGTAAATCGGACCACTAACAGTAGAATTGGCACCCTCTCCAAACCCAACAAGACTCGCCGTCCCATCATCACTCATGCGATCCTCAAAACCACCCACAGAGCGGCTCGCCAAGTCTTCGTCCATAGGATCGATAGCGCCGGAGGTAGAATCGACGTCCATGGCGCGGTAGTTAGTATCCATGCTCATGCTTCCGTCTTCTTCCTCGTCGACTTCGGTTAGATCGGCGTCCATCTCGTAGGTTTCTCCACCTTCAGTTTCTGTTGTTGCTGTCGTGCGCGCGCCGACACTACCCGTCGCGGACGCTGTGCCTACCGTGCTCACCTTAGTCACTGCTACCGGCTGTCCGTTCGAGTCGAAGTAGGCCGGTGTCAGTGCGGCGCTGTTTGCTGGTTGGCCTGTTGCCGATGTGGGGGTTGTCTGCGGCGAGTATGCGTTACCCGGGCTGTGGCTTTGATGGTTCTGGTTCGGGGCGCGGAGAGTGGATACACGTTCTAGTCCGGCCAGTCGGCTGATGCGGTCCGCGCGCTCGGCTTCGAGGCTGTTGGTTGATTGGTGGTGTTGGTGCCCGCGGGGACCTCCGAGACCGTGGAAGGCGTTGCCGCGGTGGCCGTCCTTGATGGCGGTTGTGGAGAGGGCGGATAGGGAGGTTGTGGTGCTGGTTGGAGTGCCACTGTGGATAGAATTTGTTAGTGTTTGCCGTTGGAGAGGTCATACGAGGCTAGGGTTGAAAGAAACGTACGGCATATCGCTAGGCGTCTCCGGATTAGACGGTGGGGGAGGGATGTTGATGAGCATCGGAGCTGTCTGTTGTTGCGACATCTTTGCTATTTTAGCTTGTCAAATGAGGTAATACGCGATTGATGGTGATTTTATAGAAATCTTTATTTCGCGTGATTCGCGTGGTTCGGCGAAGGCTGAAAAGAAAAAAAAAGTCGCGGGTGGGAGATGGTAAAGGATGGATGGGAAAGTGACGGATGGGCTGATGGTGGTGGAAAAAAGATGGTGGGGGTAAACAGGGGATACGAATGGTATATCGAAATACCAGCGCAAAAAGGAGACGTCTCCTAATTATTGCGTAGGTTAATCACAGATGTATCAATTGGCGAGGGATTGATGGATGATTCCTTTGTTGACTAAAAAACAACATTCATCGGCGTGTTGGGTGAAAGGAAAAAGAAATATGGCCTTTTAGGTGAGGAAATGGTGAAATGGTTGTTGCGTGTTTGGATTGGCACCCCAGGCAGCTCAGCCAGGCAATCAATCTACCTGGGTACCCTACGCCGTCCCTAAAAGTAAAAGACCCAATGCTATTAGGTGCAGCCAGGTAGGTGGGGGATGACGTAGGGCTACAATCAATCTTAATTGGTTCTAGCTCCGATTCGTCCCACTTCTTAGCGATTTACTTGAGTGTCCACGGGTACTTAAGTACCTACAGAGGTACCCCATCCCGTCCTAATATTCTATAGTGACAAGTAAATAATAAGTCAGAAATTAGTCACATGTTCACTTCTACTACTTATAGACCGAAGATCTTTTAATTATTTTCATTATGGGTTGTGTTGTATTGGATTAAGATAGTTCTTGTTTGGAATATCACAAGCAACGTATCTATACCTAATTCTGTTATCAAGCGACGTCATTATGTCTTCCCCCATCTTCCCCAACCCTCAATTTGGAAAGGGTGAAAACGGATGTACCCAAATGAACAGTGAGTACTTTTTAAAATACGTCAGGGGTAAAGTCGACAACCTGAATCTTTTCGAGGAGATCTTTGACACTGGCGATATACTCAAAGTGAGCGGGGTCCTTTTCGGCATAGTACTTTCGATCTTCCTCATTGTCAAACTGTGTAATGAACGCGTGCGTCATTCCGTTCTATCAATTAACTCGTCAGCTTAACATATACTATTTCGTTTCATAATAGACAATTCAGTAATAGCTGACCTGTCTACCACCTGGGCTGTTATCTTTTCCTCCACCAATCACTTTCACGTACGGTTTCTGGGTTGTAGGGTGAATGCAGTTGTTCCCCAAGGCGAGCATGCGTTCACACGCCTGAATACAAAACCAGTCAGTTTGAGGATAAGTTGTTAATCATGTAGGTGAAGCATCTTACAGCCTTAGCCTCTTCAGGGGTAACAAGGTCCTTGAATTTCAAGAGAATAATATGGAAGATTGCCATGATGCCAACGGGTCGGAATGTGTGTACCTACATGTTACCTCGCAGTTTTGTGTCATGTAGAATTGGGTGCAGTTCTTATAGAACTAGAACCGATTGCTGTAGTCAAATGATCGTAGGTCTGCTGACCAGATTGAATTACTCCGCATCTAGAACTTCATTCTATTCGAGAATTAATTCCTATCAATAAATAAATCAGCTAATCCCATGTGAAAAGTAGATATCCACAAGCGATCCTACAAAAAGCTACATATGTATAAGTTGAAGGATGCATCAAAGCAGCTTAGAGTGCGTGTTACATGCAAATATATTCATTAACATAAGCATTTACCTATCTACCACGATTACTCACTTAGCAGCTACACTTTCAGCCGGATTTCCACCGTCGGTGGCGATAAGACAGTAATTCCGACTCAATGTTGCCTAGAACTTCAACGGTAGAAGATCAAACTTTCGCGGTCAGAACTAGATGCCCTATAGTTTGAAAAATGCTGTGCCTGATAAACTCTATCTTAAATTGAAATATCTAACCCTTTTCCGACGCTTTATGAGCTTCTCCACCTCTTTACACATCAACCCCCGCTCGTCCAATTGGATCCTGACTCCTCCCAAAAGAATTCGGCTTTCTTCCATGTTAATGTCTTCTCAAAATGCGCAAAGGTGACATATCGGAAGACGAAGAGTTGGGGGTGTTAGAGGATAAAACCGAAGCTCTTACTCTCCGTTCAAAACGCACTGAGAGAACCCGGAAAAAGCAAGCAAAGAAGACCAAGAAGACCAAGAGCCAGCCATTAGATATCCTAAGCTTACCATACGAACTTGTCTTGGGGATTTTCTCTTGGCTGCGACCCAGCGACGTCTTTAATCTTCAGCGGGTTAATAAAGCTTTTTATGGCTTCATCGCGCAAGCGGAGCGGCGGATAACGAGAGTCATTACAAGATGGCGCTACGTCTGTCTGGAGAAATGTTTTAGACTACCTATCCTTCTGCAGCAAGTCGGCCCCAGCATCCACGCCTTGCTACAAGATCCCGATCGGCAAGAAATACTTACCATCCACAAGAAGCCTTATCAGCATGTTCAAAGTCCGGATCCCGCAGAAATTTGTACCTGTCTAACCTGTCTATTGCGATGGTCATCCCTCTGCTTGATTGTCGACTTTGCACATTGGCAGGAAAATCTGGACATAGGTGAGCCAATCCCTATGATCCCGCGAGGCAAACACCCAGAATGGAACCAGGCTCTTTTAGCTTCAAATGCGGCTATCGTTCGAAAGGCTCTACACAGTCCACTTTGGCATGCTCGGCTACTTGAAACGCATTTAGACTCCATTACAAGGTCTATACGCCGACAAGCCGCCAATAAAGGCAACAAGAGAAAACGTTTCCGTATGTTGAAGGAGGATGTAGACTCTGGCTCCGATCTGTTTCTTGAGAGGAGCGGTCCACCAAGCCTCGACTTCCCATTCCATAGGGATAATTATTACATGTTAGAGGCATACCTCCCAAACAGAAGTTGGAATGCGGACCAACGGAGGTGGATGTACGTACCAGCCGATCAGCATAACACAGATATTCAGTTTATCGTCAAGTGGGCCGAATTTAGACGTCGGAAAGCAGCCGCTGAATTGGAAGATGTTGCAAAATCTTCGTCCTAGGAAGAGAGGGTATATAATACTTCAGGTACGGCCAGTGCAAGGGAAGGGTATAACTCGCCTCCCCCGCGACATGCATGACCTATCGATGTGGAAAGGGAGGGCAGGATCATCCCAGTCTTACATGAACAATCTCGCCAACGCCATCCAATATGGGAACAAATACGGTGAAAGATTTCAGAGGATTGCAATATCTATGGAATTATGCTAGAATGTACAATGGTGCTCGCACACATATACACAGCTTGCACTACTATAACACCCCTAACGACAACACCCCTTCCAGTCTTTATTCCTTCGGAGCTCCAACCGACAAACCCAAGGAAATCCCTAAGCAGGCAGCAACGCAACACTCATGTGTACTTCTCCTCGGGGTCACCGCCCTTTAATCTTTTGGTGGCCCCACTAAAGTGTTTGTCGGGTATCTTATCGCAGAATGGCCCCTGAGGTTCCGGCGGCGAAGGAAATCGGTCTAATAATGAGGATGAAGTGTCACTCAAAGCCTCGCGATCGGCCTCAGTTGTAGTCTGTCGACTCATTGATTGTGTTCGCAACTGCTCCAATGGGTGTTCTTCAAAAATGCCCCTCGACGACGATGCTGTTGCAGACGGCAGTCCCGTCTTAAGGTTGTGGTGCGACACGCTCCGCCTCACGCTATGTATCTTGCGCCGAAGGTCCACGAGTCGTGGCTTGATCGGGTATCGCCTACTCGTCCACGCTGTGCCTTTTACGATGGTATCCTCGAAGCTTGCGTTAGACGGGTACCTTACACTGTCCCGGATCGGCGCACTATCTTGGCGCACCCGCTTAGGGAAGCAGCAACATCCGAAAACCCATCTTCGTGAGACCGGGCTACGCTCCCGTTTTTTAGTAGGGGTGGAACTAGGTGTGGAAGGGTTGTTATAGGATCGATTGGCAGAATGTGTTTGAGAATTGTCGTGGATTCTAGCGCCGTCGGAGTTAACGATATTGCCGCCCGAGTTATCCATGGTGTTGCGCCAAATATCTAGAGCAATTTTCGCTTTTATTTCAGTCTCTAGGTTCGCCAGGCGGTAGGAGCGACGGTTCAACCAATCGCAATCAGTTTTAGAAGGGCGAATAGATATTTATCTTTGCATTCCCACTCGGACCTACGTGCAGTTTCGGTTGTTTAAAAATTAACCCCATTGGCAGGTTGAAGAAAGCAACGAATCATTGTCACTACCTTTCTGACTTGTTGTCACTTACGTGGCATGGCTAACTCTTATTGTTCTTTAGTTCACACATGATTCACTGCTTCATCGAAATGCGAATCGTGCCTATCGAATGGCCCGATGTTGTTCACGACGCACGAAATAGTAGGAGCTCAAGGATATCATTAAAAGGGAATCAAATTACTACCAGCCAATAGCAATCCATCGCCGCCGCCATGCAAAAAGGCCCTTCTTAGCTAACTCATTTCCGTGTGATGCTATGCTGAGTATTATCGGACCAGGTGATTTACCATGCCGAGCAATCTATTCCTCCTCATCACTTATCAACCTCACAGCTGAGTAACTAAGACTCTACCCCCATTAACCATCCATTCTTCACGGCACCATTGGGTGTCAGAAAGCGGTTGCCTCGGACTTTGGCTCTCGTGTTCATAGCTTTCCACTTTCCCTCGAAGGGCGAGCGACAATCTCCTATGTTATGGTACGTCTTGATCGTGTACACCCATCCCACAGGGGAGCCAATCCATTCGAGTGTGATTTCCCAGTCGGTTAAACAGAACATGCACGAGCCTGAAGCGTGGTATCCTCTGTCCTTGGTCAATTGGTTGTCGACGTCGCGTATGCCAATGCCGTAATTACGGTTCCATGCGCCGACAATTTCGTATGTTCTATCGTTAAGAACGCGTTGGTCGATACGAGGTACTCTAATGCCGTAGTAGCGGTCCGGGGTCGGCACACCGGGGACGCGTGTGTGCATGCAGATGAAGAATTTGTCTGATGCGAAGGAGTCCTCTAGGGATCGACAGTCTCCCTTTGAATGGAGTCGGGTGTGCGTCGCGGAGAGGTAGAGTTCACCGTTGAAGAGTCTGGCCTTCCAGGATTCTCTGTGGCAAACTGAAGGGCCCCATTGGCTTCCGGTGAATTTTCGAAAGCGTTGTAACTCGTTCTGGTGCCAGACGGTTGGGTATCGAATGTTTAGAAATCCAGGATCTGGGAACCGGTAGGATAGGCAAGAAGGGGGAAAGCCGTGCTGGGGACTGTGGATTTGGTAGTTGGTGATGAGTCTTGCTTTGTGATAGTTCAGGACGAATGTGGTTGAGGGGAAGTTGATGAATACTTCCTGTCTACCCGTCGCTTTGGGGTTATTGCGAATGGTAGTGAAGCGGCCATTACGCTTATCGAATCGATTGCCGATTGGTGTGAGGATGTTGCGAAAAGGGCAGTAGATGAGTCCGGGGAGTACTCCTTCCATGCGGGATAGAAAAATTTCCTTTGAGTTGGGATCGAGTTTTAATCCGAACGCGCCCGTGATTACAGTGAAGTACCCCTTGCAGGTGAGGGCGAAGCAGATCATGTCAGCTTCAGGGAGAAACTTCGCGATGACTAGGATCATCTCGGTGGGACATTTTGCTAGGCCTGTTTCGTTCTCTTCTGGTTGTTCGACTTCGATTTTAATTTGCTTGCGGGATAGCTTCGATCGAAGACGCATTAGAAGTTTTGAAAGGTTAGGCATCTTGGGCGATGCAGATCGTGGCATTTTCGCTCAGGAACTGAGGAAAATGTGACGAAGAAAGTTGAATTGGACGAAGAAAAATCGTTGATAACTTCCCACAAGAAATAGGAAATCATGGTATTGATTCTAGGGACGTCTACGTACCTACGTACCTACCTAACGTAGGCACATATTGACTCGAGCTTCAGTTCAGATGTTGATTGTGTTTTTTTACGATTTTACTGCCAATAGCTGTACAGCCTGTAGAAATACTGTAGAAACTTTAAATATTTAGCGAAACTTTCGTGCCATATTAGGTCAAGCGCCCAGTGTGAATGTGTGATTCTATCGAGATAGGTAAAGCCTCTTGATTTTGCACAATTAATTACATAAGCATGGTGTTGACAGACACCTAGGTGGTCTGCGTTCTATCTCATACTGTGAATTTCTTTGATCCATCCAGTCTTCCTTTCTATAGAAGGTATATGGCAATTAGTATGTTTGCTGTGATAATTAGTAAAATACCTACCGTATCAATAGCCCCTTAAATTCCACACTAGGTATGCCCCTTAGCTACTACGTTCTTAAGAAACCATAACACAACTATTGCAGAACACTGAGAGCTTGCTCATAATAATACATTTTATTTGCCTAGCTGTTTTTTTTTGTTTTTTTATTTTTTGGAGGGGCGTGTATTTCTTATTAATGGAGGTGGTGGCCTGGTAGAGGAGGCTTAAAACCTAGCTACATGAGAAGAAATGGCGAATAACTAAAGGTACTAGGGAGACGAGGCTACTTCATGCTATATTTTTTGCGTAAAATGGTTCAGCAAAATTTAATACAGGAGCATGGGGCTACTTTGGGATCCTGTAGGATAGCGTGCTAAGGCTTCCATCTCATCTGGTCTGGGAAGCAGTTGAAAGATGGCTAGAGACGAAGATAGGCTCACGCGAACAGCTTCTAGGGAAGTGACCAGACACGGGGGAACTTGCCCTCACCTTATCTGTGAGGTCTATGATTAATGTCTTTCCTAATTTAGGCGATTTATTGAGAGGTGAGTGGTGTCGTTCAGACCACCTGGATGTGGAGGCATAGCTAGAGCGCCGCCACACAGCCATTTACGTCTGAGGCAAGCATGCACACCCCACACGAGATCTATGCTAGGTGGTTTCATTAGATCGAATCGGATCAGTCTAGATCTCGTTAATGTCTATATTTCTCTTCCAATGAAAGCATGGGTTGACATCATCGAAAGTACATATGTATATTATAGGTTCTTAATTTGTAAGAAGAGGGTAATGAATTGTTTTATTTTATGTGATCTACACTGTTCGGCGACGCCGTGAGGGTGATGGCTCTCGACCATTGGGTAGCTGATGAAGTTGGACTTACCTCTACATTCCATATCCCGTCAAACCACGAAATCTCCTCTTTTCCATTATTGTATGATGTGTTGACATGATTGAGCTGAGGAAACGAGAGCCTAGATCACGGTAGTCGACAAATATTTGGCCAACAAAACCCCTCTCTCATTCTACCTACGGTTAACGAAAATCTGGATAGCTTCAAACCCTGGTCTGGCTAAGGTACGATGCCCCCACGGCCGGCTGAAAAAAAAAACATGAACTAGAACTCCGTTACAGCATAGTTGGTTCTGCTGGTGACGAGTTTCCAACAATATGTTCTCTTTCTATGAACCTGCCCTAGAAAGTCTAGAATGTGCTATGCTCTATATCTGGTTTAATACGGCGTGATTGTTACGGGTAGTATCGGGGGCAAATGCTTTGCTAACGCTCGTGATCCGACCAAACCGGATGTCTACTTAGCTTTAGCAACGATAGGTGCCGCGAGCGGACAGACGACAAACCATGTAATATTCTCATGAACGCCGAAAAAAAGTCCGACTCAAGGCCCACACCTCAGGATGGGAACCAAGAGCCCGGAGTCTTGGTAGATGCAAGCTGCGATGCGAGCCATACCCTGCCTTCGCTTAACTGTGAGTGGGTGGACGATGCGATATCCCGGTACGATGTGAACTACTGGATAAGACATTATTGCATGGGATTCTATACAAGGTAGCAAGTTGCCACGGGGAATTTTCTTTTCTTTCAGGGCTGGCTGGTATATGGCCCACGCCAGCTACTCCTGGTGAGCCAATCAGAGTGGAGCAATTATTGATGTTCGGGATGGGGCCGATGGCGACACATCGCGACATCCAACCTCCAATTGGCATCATCATGCCTTCAGAAGCGAATTCTCATCAACCCTCGAAACTTTCAATCTACTAAATACCAGTTTTCTGGGTCGCAGAGGGACTTTGGTTGCTATTAGTTGATATTAAATGGGTTAGAATAAACTCATCAATCTGTAGATTTCAAACGCCATCGTTTTAGGGACCTGAAAACTAATAGGAATCAAGGTGTAGGCGCATGCACTTAACACGCGTCCGTCCTCAACCCTGTCGCTGATTTGCACTTGGGGGTCCAAAAATCGGATCTTAATTGGCGGTCATAGTGCCAGATATGGCGAGCTATCTCCGATGTCTTGATACGTTCTACAACGTCCTGGGCTGCATGAAGAATATCATCATCTCACATATGGAGAGGGGCAAGAATCCATACTCGTGGGTATCTTTCCACAACCATGTGTGAATCCTCCATTGCTATAGCTTCGATGGACGGAGGCAACACTGCTTCTAGATTAGCACAATCCGAGGCACACCAGCTACCACATCATACTATTATTCAGCTTCGTTCTGATGTTTAGCAATTCGACAATACCAAGAATTTCATCCTTGTTCCAGACCCTCAACCCCCACGCGCAACAAGCCTGGGAGTAGCCGGCGGCGTTGGGCCGGTGCATATAGCTAATTATCGTTATTAATGATACCATATAACCGGGATTATAGTATTTCTCCTCCCACTCCAATTCTATATATAAAGTGATGGTCCCGAGATCCTGGGAACACATGGTTCAGCAAGGTTGACTTCATTCAATCCCCAAGCGGACGTAACGTCAAGATGGCGACTGTACTTGTCAAGAACATTGGCGACAAGAACACGGCCACGGAGTCGACTATCTCACTTGATAGCAATGAGATACCGCCACTAGGAGCTCCAAAAGAGAATAAACAATTCTGGTTCCAGCGGGAAAAGGACTTTGACATCAATGGAATCGCAACACAGGTGGGACCTCCGCGACTCCGGCGTCGCGCTGCGGACATTGCTAACAGGAGAAATACAGCCTAGCGTATTCGATGACCCTCAGACGGCAGAGAAATATCATCCTCGACCTGACTGGTACGTAACTATATAACGAGAGCTGAATGAATAGTAGGACTTACATATGTCAACAGGGAGAATACGCACCGGTTTGACCCCAAAGCGAGATGGACGTGGGCAGAAGAATATGCGATAGTACGGAAGATCGATTGGAGAATCACGCTTTGGGCGTGTATAATGTTCATGGCGTTGGAGTTGGACAGGGCGAATTTGACGCAAGCTCTCACCGATAACTTCTTGACTGACCTCAACTTGACCACCAACGGTAAGCTCTCTCGATACACCAGGGAAGGTGTGGTGGTACTAACTGTGAGATAGATTATAACCTCGGAAACACCGTCTTCAAGCTTACCTTTCTGATTGCCGAGCTTCCATCCCAACTCGTTTCGAAATGGATGGGACCCGATCGATGGATTCCCAGTCAGATGATCCTTTGGAGTATTGTAGCGGGTGGTCAATTTTGGCTCTCAGGCCGAACCTCGTTTTTGGCGACGCGAGCTCTGTTGGCCATTCTGCAAGGAGGCTTCATCCCCGACGTAAGTAAATAATCCAACCCGACAGCGGGGTAGAAGAATGCTAAACAGGATCGCCCTAGGTCATCCTCTACCTGTCATATTTCTACAAGCACCACGAACTCTCCATCCGTCTCGGATTCTTTTGGACGATGATGAGTTTGGCCGATATCATCTGTGCGCTCCTAGCCGCTGGTTTCTTGAAGATGCGAGGAGTGTTAGGCTATGCTGGTTGGCGATGGCTCTTCCTTCTAGAGGCTATAATCACCCTGATTGTGGGAATATTCTCGTTCCTCCTCATGCCGGCCGGTCCCTGTCAAACAGCGAGTTGGTTTAGAGGGAAAGACGGATGGTTTACGCCTCGAGAACAGACTATCATGGTCAATCGGGTCCTGCGTGAAGACCCAAGCAAGAGCGACATGCACAACCGCCAGCCTATTACACCAAGACTGTTATGGAAGTGTCTGAAGGACTATGATCTATGGCCTTTGTACATCCTTGGGCTTACCTTCCAAATCCCCTCGACACCGGAACAGCAGTACTTGACGCTCTCGCTCCGACAGATGAAGTTTGACACCTTCACGTCTAACTTGCTTTCCATTCCGTACACGGTTATTCACAGTAAGAGAAGCCCGAAAGACCGACGTTGATTTAGACTTACTAATTATTTGGTGTAGTGATCACGATGCTCCTAACAGTGTATGCAGCCGAAATTTTCAAGAACCTTACCTTCGTTGCTTTAATCGGACAGGTCTGGGTTTTACCGTTCCTAGTTTACCTCAATGTAGCCGATACAGCAAATGCTAGCAGATGGGTGATCTGGCTCGTCACGACCCTATTGTTGGGATACCCGAATGGTACGTGTTTATTCCCTTTCTCGTCTTGTTTTCTCCAAGGATGCTAACAAATCGATTTTTAGCTCATCCCGTCCAAGTCGGTTGGAACTCTCGTAACTCTAATGCGGTCCGAGCTCGTACCGTTTCCGCGGCGTGCTACAATATGTTCTGTCAAGCCGGCGGCATCATATCGTCCAATATTTATCGCGCAGACGATGCTCCGTTATATCGTAGGGGTAATCGACAATTAATCGCTATCCTTGGTATGAATTTCGGCCTGTATTTTCTCACCAAAGCATATTACGTCCTCAGGAATAGGTGGAAGGATCGTAAATGGAACGCGATGACACCCGAGGAGCGTTTGACGTATCTGGCGACAACTACCGACGAAGGGAATAAACGGTTAGATTTCCGATTCGAACACTGAAGAATGAAGAAAAGTTATTGGGGAATTAGAGGGAAGAAACAGGGGGCGTACGGGGGGTCATGGGTTTACTTTCGAGGGGGATCGACGGTGTGGCGCCTCTAAATCTTACATACCTACATTTATGTCTGGTATTGGCCTAGTTGTATATTCCTCCATAGATCACCAAATTCCTCTAAATATCGTGTTCAACCCCAATTTTTTCAATCTCCAACCTATTCTTCATTTCGTTTCATTTCATCTTATCTCATTCTTCGTTCCAAATAGGTGCGATGTGTGGCATTTTCGCCCACTCCGAAATAACAGGACAAGGGCTATTCGTAACACGACATTTATCGCGACATAAGTAAATTGGCCGATTGGCAGTACAAAGGACCGATGCACGGGCCATTTGGTAATCTTTCCGTGATGCCTCAGGCAGAAAAGTGCACGGTCGGCTGGCTGTTTCTTGGCTTCTTGGTGCTGAAAGAAAAAGAGCGGTGCTGAAAATCAGCTTACGTCCAAATTTCACAAAATAATCACCAAAGCAAGTAAGCAAATGAGTTCATCTAATCTTGTCATTCGATTTTTTCTTTCTCTAGGTGAAGTCATCAGGCATGTTGGTATTGCCTAGTCCTGATTGCGCTTTAGCGCTTGTATTTCCATCCATTTACTCCGTATGATATCCCAAGTCCGAGTGTTCCTCTCTATTGGACCCGGTAGATACCTAGACCACTCAAGGTATCCGCCCGTCTATATTTATTATTCCCATACCCGTTTCCCCGTACTCCGAGTAAAGACCCATCCCAGCCCCAAGCCGACCCGGCTTTACCTAATCCCCGTCCATTCCAATCCCAATTCAATCCGATTACTAAAAATAAAAATAAAACACGCCAATACCCATGTATCCCGTTCTAGCCTCTATAACATTGATTCAGGGAAATGCGAACCACGCTTCAATGCCCCGGTAAGTTTCGCGACGTCAATGATCTGGTCGACCAGCGGCTTGACATCAGATCCCTTGATCGGAACTCTGTGTCCACCACTCCACTCGACTAATCTCGTCGTCATCGGGTCGCAGTACTCCTCAAGCAGTTCTCTGTGTAGGTTCAAGCCCGGGTCGTTCAACCCGTGAACGTGGATAGTCGGGATCCTCAAAATGTGGTTTCCGCTCACAAGCTCCATCAAGTCGGGGCTGCGCGATAACCCAACTTGACCCGCGCCAACTAGCATAGACGATTGGAAGACGCCAGGGTCCAAGTTCACTATGGGAGCTCGTCCAGCGAGAATTACCCCGAATTTGAAGTCTGAACCTGCATGTGCGCGGCCGAGCCTCGAAGCACGGATTTGTTGTCTGAAAAGTATGCTTGCTGCCATCTTGGCTCCCTGGCTGAAACCTAGTATCCCGACGAATGGACCCGTGGCGCCTGCGAGGTCGTCCGCGTCTATAGCGGCGTCTAGCATGGCGTCAATGTCTGCGATTGCGGTGTAGTCGTCTGTTTCTGGCTGATCCGGCAACCAGCGTAACCACCGCTTAAAGGGACCGTGCTCTGCGTACACGGACATGACATCTGGACCCGCTGTGGATGAGTATGGAGCTTCCGCATATACGAATCGGAAGTATGGTGCTAGGACTCGTGATATTATGCGGCATTGTGCTTTAAAGATGCGAGCGTTGGTGCCGCCGCCGTGCAAGCAGAGTATGCGCGGCAGGTGCAGTGTCGGGTCCGTTGTGTTAACAGTCATGTTAACGGGGAATTAAATTAGCCGAGAGATGTTATTACTGCTTTGGGTGTGAAGTAGTAAGGCTGGAATGGGCCGACAAGCTGCTCAGCGTCTTGGGGGAGCAAGCAAAGGGTGTATGAGGAGTGTTGAACTTGAAGTTTAAACGATGGTATAACTCGAAAAAGATAAGAAGGGAAAAACCGAGAGATTTAAAGAAATGATCCGGTCTGTTTCAAAGTGTATATCGAAAATCCAACGTGGGATAATATCTACGGGTTGTTTAGGTACTTCCAGGTAGGTCTCATAGTAAAAAACTCCGGACCCGGTTGTCGATGACACTAAGCGAGGGATGGAAGGATTTCTAAGAAGAGCCAATCAGCTTGTTAGGATAGCACGAATTAGTACAAATACTTCGGACTTCACCAACTCGAAGTTAACTTAGTAAGCTAGCGTCAGCCCATGTTCCCGGTTCCACTCTATGCAAGTCCTAATTAAGTCGCCTCGGTCAATTTTCTTATTCTTCTTCTTTACCTTTTTGTCTTTTATCGTTTTATCTTACCCGATCGTCTTACATCTACCTAGGTATGCTTCGGCAGAGCAGCGTGGCTCAGAGTTTATCTCATATCTACCCATCATACATTCATTCATAACCAATCATATCCATTCACATGTGCATTCGTGCCTGTTCTTGGTAAGTAAAGAATGTAAGCTAAGACTCATTCGGTATACACGTACCTATCTTGGGTACATATCCGTCCCATCTAGGATACCCGGGATACCCCCCGGGAATTTATTAAAATCCAATTGAGACAAAGAGCCCTGGAGCCCCAAAGATACCTGCAACGGTCCCCGTTGGATTAAAAATACCCGAGTATTGGATTCACATTCTTGTCGGACCACCTAGAACCGCCGTATTTGGTAGGTGATAGGAAGATAAAATACCATCATCCCCACCTGAATTGCATCAGTGCTATCTATTCTTCTGTTTTCTCTCCGACAAAATATACATATGCATAGTTGACAACTGTTTCGAGGGTTTCGAGAAATACATGACTTAGGCACCAAATCTTACGGATTAGGTATCTACTTACATGTGCATGTAGATAAGATGTATACATCTTAGGACAGGTAGATAGGCGTTTACATGTGCAAGTAAGCAGCTGAAGCAGGCGAGGAAGGTGAGTACCACGGAGAAACGTTGTAAGCCTTCCACATTTCCAATCTACCTGATGCTGCAGGGAGTTGCAAGCCTCTAGGTCATCGTTTCGGAGTAGAAATTGCAACTAATTCCTGTCGTTATTTGCCAATTTAAGCCACCATGAAGTCATCACTAACGGCCGCCTCCCTCAGAGGCGTATAAAATATCCAATGATGCTCGTCGTGCGACATTACTTACAACATCATTGACAGCCTCTTTTATCGGGGGCTGAAATCCATGAAACAACTTCCAATAACATTATCGACTACATGGGAGAAAATAAAGGAGTCATCATGGATTACTATATACCCACTGATGTATTGCATATGATATTCAAAGATATAGATTTGTCACGAGATGACTTAAAATCGTTGAGACTCGTCTGCCGCCATTGGGGAAGCACCACTACGGAGCTGCTGTTCCGCTGAACCTGCGTCTCTCGACTCAATATGGACCGCGATGCATTCTTCAACATCGTGGCACGGCCTCACTTAGCGGGCGCGGTTCGGGAACTTGTCTGGTACGAACTCGCCAATGACATACCATCTTGGTCCACCCCTTCTACTCCGATCGAAGACGACTCCGACTCCTCCAATTATTACGAAGGCCTAGATGAAGACGCAGATTTCTACTCCGAACTCAAGTTGCAGATACTGGATCTCTTCTGGTTTTCTCTACAGATCGCCCACTCTGGAGAGAAGCCTGGCATGTCGATCGTAGACGAGATGCCAAAGCTAGACGAGTTTATGACGCAGTTCTAGGACGCACTGGACGCTATGCCCAAACTCCGTACCTTGATCAATCAGCCGATGAATTCATCTCGACTTCTTACCAAGGATCCTAAATTCTACCCAATTACAACTCAGAATCTGCAGGGTGGATTGAATACTATAGGCTCCCAAATGACCCAGGCTACTCACCTTCTATTGCATCTTGGGCTGAGTGCTGGCCACGATCGAGCTCCAGGTCAATTAACTCGCTTTTACTATGTCGATACGTATGACTATAGCCTGTTTCCCAATTTACGTTTCGAGTATCTTCCGTCACTCTTTACTTCGTTAACACACCTAGATATGTGTATTAGCAACGTACACATGGCGGTCCACCTTCAAGACCTAAGCAACTATATTATGGCCTCGAAGGACCTTATTTATCTTCGGCTATGTTTTGAAAGGGGAAGGCAAATTTACGAGGAACCCGATGGGCAAAAAACTGCCTTCGAAATTCTTCTAGATCACCCAGATCTCTACCTACCCAAATTACGCTCCTTGTATATTCATGACATGGGTACTCCAAAGGAGCCCTTCATGGGCTTCATCAAGAAGCGCATGCAAACGCTGAAGTCGCTTATAGTTGAAGATGACCTACCATCTGACACCATCTTCGATCTCGTTGAGATTATCTCATCGCATGAACTCGAATTAGAAGAGTTTGCTATCATACCATCGGACTGGGACAGTCATTGGCCTCTAAATTTGATCAATAAACTCCACCCAGATCCACCACCGAGGGAATATCCAGATCTCAGAAGATTTGAGAGCTTTGATGCCGACACGCGAACAGATGGGGTGGACAAATAAACAGGTTTGGACAAGAAACGCTCTCGGTCATGTCAGTCCATGCGCCTATATAACTATACATACACCATTCTACGACATTGATGACTGGAGAACCGCGGCGGTCATGGATTCGAGGCATAAATTTTATCGGTTTAATACTCATTATCCCTTGGAACAGGTCCTACGATTAGACGCAGACAATGGCGAAATGAGAATGCTGAAAGGAACGGGATATCGTTACGAATTTTTAGAAGAGATTCCCTCCTACGATGATATCGAGGGACTAGACCCGAACGACGAAAGGGCAAAGTATGCTCGTGAACATGCCTCGCACTTGAAGCGTTTACGCGAAGCCCCGCAGTGGATATGGGATATCCTGGATAAGCCGTCTTACATGATGGTGGAACATGACAAGCCAGTATACTACGGGTCATTCGGCACCAACGTAACCAAAGAATGGCATTGCGTCCATCCTATTGGATCAACGTATGAGAACGGAACGCATGTATGGAGGTTCAAACATCGGAACGGCCAGATAGCCTTCGGGGATGATCCTCTTGAATTCTAGGAGGACTGAGAGGGCAGCGAAGCGGGAGACACCGCGGAACCCACGCCGTTCGGGTGGAGAGAACCATTCCTGAATGAACTCATGGAGCACGTTACTACTCTTGGTCAATTCAATGTGGAAAACAATGGCGATGTAAAGTGGACAAAACCTGCCCATGGCGCGATTATCAAGTACGACCCGTCCAACGATCCCATGACGCGGGAATGTTGGCGCAACAGCATACCTTTGAATCTGAACATGGTGTGGAAGCTCTTGATGGGCAGGGTGGACGTAGATGAGGACTTTCTAGGGAGGTTCATAGCCTGATTGGGTTCATTGAAACGCCACCCCGATTTATATGAGGGGGGAGATATCGTGGTTTGTAAGTAAGCTTCATGGAATAAAAATAAAACAACATAACTGTCTCTATAGATTTAGTACGAAATGCAGCGACGACTCCGATAACAACGACTACAGAGCCTCCTGTTAGCCAAGCCCTTATGTTAGATTAATTACCTACGCCACCTTTGAAGTTATAACCCCGGTTTTAATTACGCTGTCCCCTACTTTCATCGTATCCGACACCCTGCGCAACGAGAAGGATACCTACATTTGAAACGGAATTATGTTTTCCCCGCCGGACATTCGGATATAATTCAATGTTGGTGACATCTCGTTTGTTATCCCGTTTAAAATCGAGGCGTCCTCTTGTTTGTTCCTACTAACAGGCTCCACGGCATGTTGACTAGTGCGGGAAGACCTGCAAGGAGACAACAAATATTCAACCAACCTATCGCCTGCGCCTTCTTAAGCACCATCCCTAGGATATGATTATCATTTAACGTGAAACATATCACATGTGGTAATATACGAATTATACAATCCCAGATATTGTGCACCCGTGGACTTTTATTTGAGACGACGATCTTCCGTCACACCACAGAAGGGATCATCATTTCTATATTAAGAACTGGGGCTTGTCCGACCAGGTCCCGGAACTTCCTGTCGCCTATTGGATAGAATCCACAAAGTCCGGGTCCCCCGCGTCTGCCACGAGACATCTAGATAACGCCCATGATATATACAAAGCCCGTAATTGGCGTACCCATCACTCTAAAATTCAGCCGCGCCCACCCCACCATCCTCCTCCTAGCCAATCACTACCCCCTCAATGCCCGGTGCGACAATCCTTCGGGATTGTCGAGATGTTCGAGTTACTCCGTTCCGTGTCGTTTGATCCTAGATACTTCCGAATAGTCCGTGCTGTTGTCTGCGCACCAGTGGCGTCTTTAATAACGGTCTAGACCCCCTTTGTTGTGAATTTCGTATTTTTGCTAGTTGACAATGAAAAACACCCCCTCTCCTTTTCTTAACCTCCGGTATATTGGAATATGTCCAGCCTGGAGGGCTACGAGGGACGATTGTGCTGCGCGATCTGCGGCGATGCTATCTTGTCGCTAACGTCCAAACTTGACGAGGAGACAAGGTGGCAGGCGGATGCTGTACTTATTAGTGATCCGACAAGGGGGTTTGAACAATTGGAGGAGCATTACCGAGGTGGGAAGAGACAGGACGCGCCACAACTAAATCTCCGAACCGCCCAAGACATACGAAAAGACCGAGCTCGTCTCACTGAAGGGGACTGTCTCCGAATCGTCGATGCTGAAGACAATCTCGATCCAGGGGATGAAGTGCGAGCTAATTATTCATACGGCCGCGAGGAAAATGGTGAATGGGCTTCGACGCCGTACTCTATCGCAACGCATGCAGCCTGCCTTGAGGTAGCTGAAAGTGCGATGCGTCGCTCGCCTCACGATATCGTCGTGCGGGATCTGCGCACGCTATGGAAGGTCCTGCGCATGCGGTTTGAAGTCGATGATAGCTATTATATGAGCACGGTGTCAGGCACCGTATCACGACCTCAGCGAATTCGGTTACCCCATAGTTACTACATCGCGTTTCGACCCTCGGATATGATAGCCGGGTATTCCCCCAATGATGCTGCCGATTTAAGTTCTGGACCGGGGAGTAAGATTAGTAGATGGGTATGCTAAGTACACGCTATCTGTCAGTATTGTGAACAAGTTAGCTAACTCGAGGAATAGGAAGCCGCCTACCCCCTGCACGTACCCAACGCAACCTCCGCAATTCTCGAGAATCTGAATACCTTACCTCCAGCGTCAACAGCAATCCCAGAAGCCGTGTCATTCCAGAAGAAATTCCTTGGATTGCCGCGGGAGCTACAAGACCACATATGCTCGTTCCTGGTGTCGCGGAATGGCATGCCAAATGTGTGTAACGGGTTACTACCCCAATGGGTATGGCGCGAAGTACTGCTCGGTGGGAAGTGTCTCCCATTCATGCAGGATATCGATGTGACTATTGTCGACGAATTTTGTGCCCAGTGGGGCAGGAATCGCAAGGACCAAGAGCCTAATTGGGAGTTGCTCGTGCGCAAGCTCAGTCAGGAGGCCTGGGGTATCTGGGATGCGGAGAATAGCATACTGAAGGTACCCAATGGTCTGCGAAATCGTAGGCGGATATGGAAGCTGGTTGAGGAGATGTATGTCGGTGATTTGGTACCTGTGAAGCGAGTGACTGGGATGAATAGCGATGCTGTGGCGGTGCCAAGATATTGGGATGAAAGGGGCGAGTTGGTGCATCCTGTTGCGCGAGTCAGCGTGGGTTCAAGAGGAAAATAAATGCAATCGGCGACTTCTGGTTACATTTTTGTCAGACTATGGGTGTGGAGGAAATAATTTCTAATATCATCTGGTGTTGGGTGGTTGTCAATGGAAATACCTCGTTTCGTGTTCGCATTTATCGTTTCTCAATCAATTCTACCATCATCGGGCGGTCGTCTGTGCGGGAATACCTAATGCGAACATCCAATTGACAAGCAACGTCTAACCGTCTTCGCCGTTGCCATAATTCCTGAGATGAAGTCAGATCCTGACGAGACAAGCCGAACACTGAAGCTATTCACAGTAAATAGAAAGCGGGGCTAGGTACGTACCATAAGAATACAATTCGACGTTAACATTGATCAGATCCATAGATTTTAGTTGTCGATAGGGAGTCAAAAGTAGTGTCATACGATTCTTAATAATTAAAATTAGCATAAAACCCTTCTAAGTCACTTCAGCCAGCGGCAAACTTACTCCAGCTAGCCTTCAACATGCTACACATATTATCCACACGTGAATACGAGAGATGCTTCGGTCACTTGCAAACGAATTAGCTTAATGGATGATCAAGGTGAATCTCAAAGTATGAACGAGCAATCAATCATTTAATTTCAATGCTGTAACTGATTAACCAGGTGTCTACCCACCAATAATGGTAGTCTGGACTTGGGTGTTTAGCCCGCCCAATTGAACAAACATATTAATTAAAATATGTATTGGATGAAAAGATGTCGGGTATAATCCCATCGCGTCCGAAACATAGAGGAACTTCTACGCAATGAGGATTGACCCATTTTGTTGCGACCCTTCTTAAGAAGGAGACGTGTATGAAGGCATATGGACATTGAAAAGTACATCGCCTAAAATGATTCCTGTGAAAGTATGTAGGTCAGCAGAAACTCCAAAGTGAACAAAGGAAATAGGGGAGGGGGAGTCGTCCGGTCGATGAGGCGAAGCAGGCCTCGTCGTCGGCGGCACTGGGCGGTCTCGCGCCGATGGCTGGAGGGTTGTGTCCAGGTCGCGGGTCGGGAGGCGAAACTAAATCTCGTCGTCGGCGACTTGGCCAGTCTCAATCGGGGCAGAGGATAGTATCTGGTTCTCGGGTCGGGAGGCGGACTAGGCTTCGCCGTCGGCAGCACTAGGCAGTCTCGTTCGTCGCCAGAGCGGTGTCTGGGTCGCGGATCGGGAGGCGAAACTAGGTCTCGTCGTCGGCGACCTAGTCGGTCTCGGTCGGGGCAGAGGATCGTGTCTGGTTCGCGGGTCGAGAGGCAGTAATCCAAGCCTCGTCGTCGGCGGCGTTGGGCAGTCTCATTCGCCGGTGGCCGGAGGATCGTGTCCGGGTCGCGGGTCGGGAGGCGAGCCAGGTCTCGTCGTCGGCGACACTGGGTGGTCTCAATCGTCCGCCGGAGGATCGTGTCCGGGGTAAAGGAAAAGAGGAAGGAGGTGAATGGGATGAGGGTAGGATGAGTATGGATGAGAAGGGCAAAAAAAGGATAAGATAAGGATGGTGGCGAGCACCTTGGTAATGCTGTTAGAAATGTTGACCATGTCAAAGTATTTATGGATGGTAGGTAATGAGTGAAGATGAAGAAAAAAATAGGAAGTGATGAGTGATGGTGGGTAATGAAAGATTTAATGATAATAGTAATGGATAATATTGGTGGCGAAGGATAATGGTGATAGGTGGTAATAGTAATGGATAATGGTAGTAATGGATGATAGATGATGGCAGTGATGAATAAGAATAATTAGAAATGAATGATGGTGATGATTTTGATGGAAGGGGGTAGTGATGGATAATAAACAATAATAAAAAGAGAGATGAATGATGAAGAGTGCCGATGGATGTTGGTGTTGGTAGGTAATAATAAATAATGGGAGTGATGGTGCGCAATCGTGAGTTATGGTACTAGTTGTGGATGAAGAAGGGTAATGATGGATGTGTGATGGTTGCAATAAGATGGAAGTTTTGGATGGGGAAGACTGAAGGAGATTTTGCATGACTTACTTGCTAAGAGATGGGAGAGTTGTTTGGTGAGAGGATGATGATGGGAAGAAAAGAAGCAGGAGTTTTGGGTGAGGGAAGTCAGGTATAAATATTAAAGCAGAGTGGTCTGGCTGATTAGAACTTGACCGCCTAGTATTCTGCCCGATTTATAAAAATTGTAGGATCACACAATTTGATTTTAAAATCAATGGAATTAATTCCATTTGCGAATTAAATCAGCGCGTATTTCTAGTGATCTTGTTGCCTAGGGGTTGATAGTTTTGATATTGAGGCTCTTTAGTGGGCCACTCAGTTTCCCCAGACTCCCCCACCACGAACTGTTATTAATTATTGGCCAATCAGAGGCACCCCTCATTCCTAAAACGGAATTAGGTCGATCATTTTTAGCACCCCACGTTCTATTTTTATTCCCTGATCAAATCTTCACAAGCAAAATACTTAAGTACATACGCGGTACAGAACCTTAAAATTGAATTCAAATCTGTTACCTGTTGGTTTCCTACTTTCTAATTGGCCTGATCTTGATTTGCGTTGATCTGATCTTGGATTTTATTGGCCTAAACCTTTGCACATTTTAAATCAACAACATCTCAAGTACCTAGGTACCCAACCATGTAGTTTTATTATCAGCTACCACGTACCTCGGTACTTACCTAAGTAACCAGACCGAAATCACCCGTGGTGCTCGTCTCTTGAGCTACATAGGTACAATAAATTCGTTGATCTGCGCCACCTACAGCCCACTCTCCGCGTTATGGTGAACCTGTGAGTACCTAGGTATTTAGATAACACGCTGCGATAATGGGAGGATTTTTTCAAGGTTATGTTGATATTGTTTCTCATAGGTAGTACATCTAACTTGAAACGACAACATGTCCGATATCCAAAGAAGCTATGCATCATTCTTTACAATGAGATCCTGTTCCCCTGTCCATGCTTCCGTCCCCATAATCGTGCTGTTTAGTATGGTTAACATGCTTCATGGCGCGAAATACGGAATATGCCGGACTTACAACTTCGCATTGAACTGTTGATGAAACCCGGCCCTTACTCTAATATTGGTCATCGTGAGACGGCAGTATCTAGTTTGTTTCCCTTATTATAAGACATGCGAGGGTTTTACTGAATCGGACTTGATAGCCAGGTAGCGGCTTCGATTCCACAATTCATCAACGTGTATATTACGGCGGACAAGTAAAGAAGCTTGAGATTGAAGTCGAGAAATTTTACGCGCTAAGATAGAATATTCAAGCATCGAGTAGAGAATCGAAATAGATAGTATTGTGTATGTAGACGTGCCGCATTGAATATATGTGTTCTTCTTAGCTTAGAGTTTGGATGTCTTCGCATGTTTGTTTTGGAAACTCGAGTATATTTGATGAGATAAACAGTTACGTGATCGAATTCTATGTTAAGATTACGAAATTTCATGGGACACGAACCTAGAGATGGCATAATATTTTAATCAGGATTGTATTGACGTGCTTCTATACGTTTACGATGACGATTCGAGTATGTAGGACGGTACGAATCACCGGCCCACCGTTTTGATCTGTCGGAACTCCCGCTTCCTACTCGTCTTGGATGCGTGGAACTTTCCTGTTCGACTTCCTCCTCCTCATTGATCGGTCGTTTCTTTGTTGTGGGGTACTGGACCTTACGATCCCAAGCTTCTAATGACCAAGGACTACGGAGGAAGTTTTTAAGCTCATGAAGGAGCAACTTGGTATTATCGCGACCTAGAAAATCTTTAAGCATTTCCTCCGCTTGACCCTGACTTCCTTGAATATCCACCGTTTTCAAAATCGCAACTATATACTCGAGTAGAAACTCTGCATTATTCGCACGTCTTCTCGTCATCGCGTTATCGCTCGATTGTGCCGTGGGCGGCGTGCGCAAGAATTCGAAGACTTGGAGTTCCCTTCTTAGCCACGTCCGCGCCCTTGATACCATTTCGGGATCGGATTCGAAAAGCTGCGGGGTCAAGTCGCGAAAACCCGACCTTTGGCTCGATCCTACGTGTAGTGAGTATAATTGGTTGCGGTAAACATGTTGGCGACGGACGATTGCCTCGTCAACAGTTACTCGTCGGGGAGGCGCATTTTCGGCTCGACGATGATTCGGTCGCGGGATGGTGTCTCGTGGTCGGTATAATTGAGCGCGCGACTGGGCCTCTTGTTGTGATGGCTCTTTCTGGTGGGGAACCAGATATACTCTACTCTTCGCGTCTGGCTTATCGCTCTCGAAGTCGCATAAGACCTCATCGATATTGCTTTTGCAAAGGGGGCATTTCGTCTGCTGCTCGAGCCAGCTAAGGAGGCAAAGATAATCGAAATTCCGATGGCTGCAAGGCCGGGCCTCGCAAACCTCGGTTATATTATCGAGGCAAATGACGCAACATGTTTCTTTTGAACTGTCGGTTTCTGTTTGATTCCGCGAGGATGCTACTTCCACAAGAGTATTCTGGAGGACTTTTGATCTTATTTCATCGACATCTGTATCTGCGTCCATATATGCTTCAAATGGAAAAATGCGACACGGGAGACGATGAAAGATGAGCAAGATTGAAATTGATGATTCGTGGCTTCAAAGTGAAAAAGAAGGCGATTACATAATGTTAAGACAATGACGGGGATGTAAGGGTGCGGAGTTCGGAGTTACGGGGTTACCTGCGTACATGTGTAGGGAAACGTTACGCCACTGATGTAATAAATTGATTGGACTAAGCAGGTACTTAGTGAGTACAGTAAAAGTGGGACGATCCACCTAGACTGCCAGTGTGCTCCACCGGTTAGTCCCGCGTTCGCGTACAGTGAATGTACTCACTAAAGTTTGTCGCGTTTTCATCGCGACTAGAATAATTAAAATTCCCAAGTCATATGCAAATACCATCTGCATTAAACTTCGACGCCGAACAACTTTCTTCGATAATTCAACATCAACAACCACCCAGACACATTGGCACTATCTAGTACAAAATGGACGCCGAAGAAAGACAACAATATGAAGAGACATCTAAGCAATTGCGCGCTGAGCTTAAGCGCTTCGAATCCGACTGGGCACGTCACAATGACGGTAGAAAACCACGTCGCGAGAACATTAAAGAAAACCCAGAGATAGGTAAGTCTACCTGTATATTTTCACCTGATCCCATTGATAAAAAGCTAATAAATCCGCGATTTAGCTGGCAAATACAAAGAATACAATCGGATTCGAGACATCCTTGCTGGAAAGCTACCTCCCAAGTCCAAAGACTCCTCGCGCGATCATGATCGGAAGCGCCAGCTGGAGGAAATCCAAGTGCAGACACCTTCTAAACGCCCCAGGCAAGCCGAGACCCCTATACACTTACGAGAGCGAATTATTCCCCCGGAGATGTTCGAGACGCCCTCTTCACGCAAACTCTTCAGCCCTCCCATGCCTACTTCAATTGGACCCACACCACACAGGGATGGGCGGGTCCTAGGCCTTTTCGATTTATTATCAGAGAACGATGAGAACTCGCCTTTGAAGTCGAGACATACCGAGTCTACGAAAGACAGCAACATCCAGGCAACCCCTAGCAAGAGGAGCACCGAGGAAGTGGGTGACGGCGAAGACGTAAAACTGGGTAGGACCCCAACATCTACAACCAAGCGTGGGAATCTTTTCATGACACCTTCTAAACGGCGAGATGGAAATGCTGCTCTAGGCAGAACTCCAACTTCAGCCAGCAAATCGCACCTATCCACACCGTCTTTCCTAAGGAGAGCCCCCCTGGCAACCGTAGATGAGAACGGGGATTACATATCACCTGCCCCTTTGCGACTGCCACGTAAGCCTCTGGGTCGAAGTTTGAGCAGCGTAGTAGCTAGTTTACGGAAGCTAGAGGAGGAGGCCCTGGACGATGATCTTGAAGCCTTGCACGAGATGGAGGACGAATCAAACCCTTCAAAACCTGCTGGCCCCGTAAAACCAAAGGAAGATATCCTTGAACCAGACAGCCAAGCACAACAACTTCTCGGTGGGTTCGACGACGAGGCTTTCTACGATAGCGAACCGCAAGACGAATTGGGCCGTAACGGTCAACCGTTGAGGGTGTACAAGAAGAAGGGTCAAAAACGTACTACACGTCGGGCGAACTTGAAGCCGACTCGGAGCAAACGGCCCCAGGATGCTACGGAGCAACAGTCGGAACTGGACATTGAAGGCGATAGCGTCCCCGAGACGCAGCTCGGCGTTACGAAGGGTGATAATGTTTCACAGCTAGATCTGCTGTCCGGTTCTGACTTAGAGCTTCCCGAAGAGAAGAACCAGAGCAAGAAAGCGAAGAAGGCAGATAGGACAGAAGGCAAGGCTCACAAAGCGGCAAGGAAAGTCAATGAATTGGCCCATGCCAACTTCAAGAGGCTGAAGTTGAGGAATAACGGATCAAAAGGCTCGGGAGCTAAGGGTAGATTTCGGCGAAGAGGTTAAAAGCCGTAACATTGTGCCTTAATAGCCTATAGTGATAAACAATGGTCATTATTTTGATCTACATGATATCGTAATGCAGTTACCAATCGGACATATCAACACCAGTGTTTCGCGCTGTAGTCGACTTACCTAGGTATAGAATTAGGTATAGTTCCAACAAGGTCCCAACGGATTTTTTCTCTCCAGTTGGACCAGGTACTATTGGGGCGTTGGCGGCTGAAAATCCCAGTGCCTAGGTATTACAAGGTAAGCATGTGGTATGTCGTGCATATCCGCGACGCAGTTCCCCTTTCAAGGAAGCGAGTCGACCAACATCATCTACTAATCGCTGAAACTAACTCTGCAAAGTAAAGCTTGCGCTTAACAGGATGCAGTAAGAAAATCCAGCTGACATAAATCCACTATGACTTTAACATTGGTTCTCAAAATATTATGATCTGACGCTGGCACCGGTTAAGGCTGTGGCTTACATATTATACCTCGTTATGCAGGTACCTATCTAAGTAGGTCGATAGTAATAACGAACCCGAGATTAATTCGGGCATATTTTGTAAGGCTGCTCATAAAACTTTATATTCCATTTGTTTCATAACTTCCGTACCCCGAGAATCGGCACTCCTTCCCATCTTTGACAGAACTATGGTACGTTATTTTTTACCAAAAAAACCTTCAAGAAAAGGTCTAGCTTACTAGAATACCCTTTATGGATTGAGTGGCAGCGCATATATACGAGCACCGATAAAGCTACCTAGGTAATAGTTATTCAACAAGGTGACATGTAATACAAATAATAATAAATAATAGGAGCTGGTATTATAATCGTTGATATTGATTATGATCAACTCCTATGAGTTACTGATAGATTAAAATGAATGTGTTTGTGTTGAGCTAATACATAATAAATCATGCCAAGTCATAAGGCGTTACTACCAAACAGTAGTTGAAGTCAAGAATAATTAACACAGTGAATACTGAATACGTAATACCATCCCATCATATCCCATGTAGCCTCGTTCATAATTTATTATCCGGAAATCGGTGTTGATATAATATCCGAAGTTGTCGACGGCACTAACCGACGTACTTATCTGTCTAGGTAAGCACCTCTAAAGTGACTGATGTACTTTGGATATCATGCCGCCGCCAAGTTACTTCTTGTTGTTGAACTGAGCACCGAACCCGAGTAGATCTTGAGCAATGTCATGGTCTGTGTGAGGTCCAGCCGATCCGTCTTTAGGTTCGGACACGTCCGGGTCGGGGGAGCCGCGGTGGGTCTTAGTACTATCGTCGCTCTTCTTAGACTCGCTTCGGTCACTGTTATTACCAACACATTAGAGATAGTCTTTCTTAAGAAAGATGCCTCAGGTATAGGTCCAAGCTTACGACTTAGTCGTTTGACTAGGATTTGATGAGTAGTCGGGCATTTTAGAGTGACAGCAGTATGAGATAGTGGTGTATAAAACTCGGTAGGTCCGGATTGGAGCTTAGGGCGAGAGTATATAAATAAGAGCAACTTTATCTTGCCGGCCAAGGAGGTCTGAATGCTTTTAACAGGATAATAAATGCGTATCTGGGCGAAAGTCTTGCCAACAGCCGACAAAAGAGCAATACCGAGACGTATACTCCCTATAGAATTATGTATCAAGGAAGAAGAAGAGAAAGGGGAGGAAGTGAGAATAGAGAGAACCCTCCAGTATTTATCTCCGTCCAAGCATTCCAGTTCCTCTGCCATCCACGAGCCTTTGACCACATAAATGCCTACCGGTTTGGCTCTGCCTACTTCCAGGAGATCGACTTAGCAGCAGTGAACATGGGTACGGACACGCGAGGATACATACTATTCCCATATCAATCTTTTATGCCATTGGTTTTTCTCTTTTTGTTCAAAGTCATGATTCGTCATCCTCCTTTTGCGTGGTGGGTGGGTCTTGCTAGAGTGATTTCCAACAAAATCCCGATTAATATCATACTTGCTTTCCAAGGATCACAATGTATATCGATGCCGCCCTCAAGAACTTCTGATTGGGTTGTGTCGTTTTGTGACTACTTAGGTACCTAGGTATCCAGGTATCTAGTAGCTTCGGTGTGCCGACCAAAATGCTGTGTAACAACGAAAACTGCACGAAGCCGAAGGTATCGTGATCATCCCAGCAGCCATGCAGATGAACCTACCCACACACCCTTACTATTCAGATACTCATTGGCCAGTGTCGATTTGTTCAATTTAGACTGGGGTTCTGATTTGCTGGCTCCTATTGTCCCTATCGGATGCGGCTGATCTACGTATACCTGGGCAAGGGCGGTATTTAGGTACAAAATCTCGCCGCCTACTATGGGCCGCATAGACGTACAGCGAACCACAAAGTGGTTGCTTACATACAAGTTGCCTGGCTCCCGAGGGACCAATGGTACCTACCCAGGTATATAAGATGAGGCTGCCACTTTAAAACGCAAATTACCCCTCTTCTTCATTCTCTTGTACCTTTCTTTATCTTCGTTACCGTCTTTATATGATCATCAATAACTCTAGTTGAAAACGAATACATCGTGTCGAGATGGAAGCCCCGATAAACGATGGTTCCGAGAAGTTTTTGGATGTTCCCTACGACCAAAGATGGGAATTACTTAAACCAACTATTGTACGGATTTATATGGAAGAAAATAACAAGATCGCTCGCGTCGCGGAACGAATGAAGGGCGAATATAGTTTCGATGCCCAGTCAGTTAATACGCGCCTATAAACCCCGTGGATTAACGTCAGCTAACATACTGGGATACCGAGCAGAGTCCATCAATATCGATATCAATTCAAAAAGTGGGAAATTAAGAAGAGGATTACCACAGAAGAGAAGGGCGCCGTCATCACTACCCTTGGGAAACGACGTCGGGAAGATGGGGCAAGTACATCCAATGTGACAATAAACCAAGGCGGGTACCAGAAAGAGGTAGACAAAAAACAATTGAAAAGATATATCAATCAGAGTACCCGACAATCCCAGCTGTTGACTTGGAGTCCAGGACTGTAAGTTGGGGATGTAGTGCTTCGAAATACTATGGAAGCAATTGTATTAACTGACACCCCAGGTTCCTTCGACGCGATCTCCCATACGCAGCGTTAGTTGGAAAGATTTCTGGACAGAACCAACTATCGCCTCCCAGTGGTGGTCCTATCACTCCAGACTACTTAACCGTCGTTAGCCCACAAGCGGGTGGTTCCCCTTCGGAACCACAAAATGTCTTGTCACCAACTATGCAATTGATTAGAAAGAAAGTATTATTGGATAGAGCAAGACTGTTCCTTGATGGCAGAGAACAGGAACTGATGGCAGGGATGAGCCGAGATGAAAAGAAGTAAGTCACCCCCTCTAAATATTGACCCTGAACACGCTGACAGAGTTCAATGTAATAGGTCTGCCGCGACATGGCTTCATGATTTATGGATGTATTCATTCATAACTGCTAAATACTGGGGTAGGGGCCCGAAGGCTTGGACCCTGCCTCTAATTAATTTCAAATCATTCGGTTGCCATCCTGTTCCGTCCACTCCGGACAATATTAACCTGGATTCTATGTCTGGCTCTTCACCGACAACTATCAACATCGGGTTACAATCCCGGGAACCAACGCAGCTCTGTCGATGGACCATTCATTATAAAGAAGAGGTAAAATACGAACGCACCCCGTCCCCTCCTCTGGCCATGGATGACGAGTTTGAAGAGAAATTTGATGTCGATGATGAGTCCACGTGGAGTGTATGGCGTGCGACAGGGCCCCTTCACGACCTCTCGGGTGCGATTACCCAAGCGCTCCAGCAGAATACGTTCTCTGCGATCCAACCTGAGGATCTGCCTCTAGCTGCGGACTCACTTACAAAAGCGATAGAAAGATCTCCCGACGAATTGCGTGCCGAGACCTTTGGTTTCGCCATCATGTCGCGTAATATGCCTGTTCTTGATGAAATATTCGAATACTATAAGGGAGACGTTCCGGAATGTTTCTCAACAATATTTCCCTTCCATCTAGCCGCAAGGTTCTTAGATGGGGGGAAATCTTGCTGTTTAGTGATGAGCGATCTAGTGAATGGTTTGGGAGGTTCAAACTCAATTGCAGTTAACTACGTCGATAACCTCGGTTTAACTGTGCTGGACGCTTTATTTGTTTCCATTCTCCGATCGCATAGCAAAACTACCCTCACGTCATTGGGCGACGCATTCATTGGCCAAACTCGATACCATGGAGAGGAGGTCGACCCTTGCGGTAGATGGGATGCGGACTCTCCGTGTGTGCGGCGCCTGTATGCTTTGGGGAAAGCAGCAATTCCGTCTCAGTGGAAGCACATGTTCTGCCATACGTCCGTTCAAGCTGTTTGTCATAATTTATCTGCGATATTCATGACTCCAATGAGACCGAACATCAATACACCTAGCGGGTTATTTGCGAGACGTTGTGGCCATTGTGGATTGGAATTAAAACCCGGTCCGCTTCATGCATTAGTACTGACAGCATTCCATTTAGCTAGTAGTGGCATGCCAGGCGAAAATTTATTCGGCATGGTATCTTGTCTTGTCTGCTTATTAACACTCCGTGCAGATCCATGCGTCACAGCGGAAGTCTCATTTTTTGCACTACTAGGTCAAGATGCAGATGAATGTCAACATCCGCCTATGAATGCAACTGAGTTAGCATCACAAGTCCCCTCGCAAATCTTGGAGTCGTGGAGTGTGGAAGCAAGACTGGGTTGGGAGGTTTTAAATACTATCATGCGGCACGACATAGATAAACGCCGGAGAGGGTCTGATATAACTAAAGAATACGAATGGCGCCGGGGGGTTATGGACCGCACACACTTTCTAGAGGTTGTGTCACACCCAAAAATAATATATTATGGGAATCGAAAGCTTGGGCTAATCTGGGCGGCAATGCAAGCCGAGCTATTGACATACCGTCGTCTAGAAGTACAGGACTCCTGGCTATCCCCTCGTTTTGATATGATGCTTCTTCTTAGAGGACTAACAAGTGATGACGATGAATATCTCGTTGCGTTAGGCCGGGGTGATGCAGACGCCGGCGAAGATCGGTTACAACGATATTCGCTTTGCGGACTTTTCTACGATACGGATAATCCAGGATGTGCTAGGAGGGAAGAGGTTTGTAAGTCATACTATGCCAACCTCGATGATTGGAAGCGTAGTGCATTTATTAGGGCGCAGGAATTCGATTATGGATTCGATTATAGATTCGATTATAGATTCGATTATTAGATACTAGTTATTATCGCTAGTCTTGTCTGGGAGGAGGCTACATCGTGAAGAGTCTGCGTTAGGTCAGGCACCGCAAGGGCTACGACAAAAATAGACATAGAGGACTGATAATATGTGCATGGCTGGGAATGAATAGTAATATTGATGATATTAACTCTTCCTTGCATCACACATGCAGCCCTCTAGCTACTACCTGCTCTAGTGCCTGCACCAGCCTCCTGACATCCTCGAATGAATTAAAAAATCCAAATGAGACACGAATACCTAGGCGATTAACCGTGAAGACTGCGCCTTCATGCCCCTTTACATACGGCGCCCATTCCCACTGATCCAATTTCAATATGCAGATATGCGGCGCGCGATTATCCCTATCACGTGGGCTTAGGATTTTAATCCCTAAGCGATCACACTCGATACCGAGGAAATCCGTAAGGTTGTACAAATGGGCCTCGACGTCCGCGGGTCCCAGCACATCAAGGTAGAAGCGTGTGAAAGCAGCTGCGGCTACAACGCCTGCCAGGCTCATGTTGGCATGTTCGAAGCGTCGCGCATCCGGGAACATGTCAACCGGCTCATCGGCTCGCACGATTAAATTTTCGTTCATGTTCCTCACGGCGGCCATATTAACAATTGGTGGTATAGGGTCTCCTATCTCGGCGAATGCTGCAGGGGAGACGTATAATGCGCCGATGCCCGTTGGGCAATTGAGTCCCTTGTGCACTGTTAGGGATGAGTTAGCAAGTGCTGCTCAAAATAGGGGCTTGGGTTGGAGTCTCAATCAAAGCTCGAGAACAATCAGCGAACCCGATCCCGACCAACGACTTGCCGGTCCCGCTATAAACCAAAAAGGGGTCACATACAACTAAACGCCGCGGCCGAAATCCTCAACTCCTGGGCATCAATCCTCGCAATCCCCACATGCTGCGAGACATCCGCAAGCACATGAATCCCCCGATGTCTAAACGCAGCACAAATCCCCTTCACATCATTAAACTGCCCCCCATCAAACGAAATCGAACTAATCCCAATCGCGCGCGTCCTCTCATCAACAAACGGCCTCAAAGTCTCCGCAGTAACAGCCTCAACCCTCCCCGTTCGCTCCGCCCCGGCTATCGTCGGCACCTGTCTAACCTCCACCCCAGCATCCCGAAGCACTAAAAACCCATACGCGAGATTCGGATGCTCGTTATCAACAACCACAACATTATCACCAGCCCTAAACGTCGCAGCCGCGGCACGGATAAAGCTTCCCAGACCCTCCGTCGTATCGCGCGTGAACGCGATAGTTTCGGGGGCTTCGGCGTTGAGAACCCGCGCGAGGAGGCGTCGCGCGTCTTCTTTTGTTTCGCGCCATTTAGGGTGTGGATGTGGACCGTATAGCGCGTCTGCTGAGTACTTCGTGATAGCCTCGTGGACAATCAAGTTTGAAGGTGGCGCTGATGCCGCATTGAGGAAGAGGACATCTTCGTTCTGGGAGACTAGCGGGACTAGACGCCTGTGTATGAGGAACTTCTCCGCGAGTCGCTTTTCCTCATCTGCGCTGGTTTCCCCGGTGGCCGGAGCACTATTGGCATTGTCGGGTTGGTACGAGGCTTTTCTTATGACGGGGCGGGATACCATGGTCGCAGTAATGGGATATGAATTGGTGACGAAGTTAGTAATTCCCAACCAACTGAAAGACATGTCCAGAGTAGAATGAAGAAACCGTTCGAATACCTCCAAATATGTATGCTGAGATACGTCAAGATACCTTCCTATACCAGTAATGGCGATCGATACGAAGTATGATTGCACCATATGCTCTTCTATACACGCCTATTAACCCCGCTTCTTTCCCTAACGAAGCCAATCAGAGTGACACGATAGAAGCGTTCGGGCATAGGAGATATTTTGCGCAGGAGGACACTCGATTCAATGAGTAATGCATGTCCCCTCGATGCGCCAAGAAATTTATCAAGCATTTCACACTGGCAAGATAGCAGTCGGTAATTAACTCTATGTTATTAAAATAATGTAAGTTTAAAATATCTATGAGTAAGAAGGGCATGAATATTTCCAACATTTTATAATAAACCATCTGAGAACAAGATAAATGCCAACCTACCCCAAACTCCCCGCTAAATCATTACACAAGAAGGCATTACGCAGCGTGTGAGTTCAATACCTGCGTACCGCTAAGCCCGTACTGTAGCAGTTGTGGTAGTCGTTACTGTCTCCTTTTCTGTCACGGTTACCGTGACCGGGGCTGTGAACCCAACACGATTTGCGCTTGTAAAAAAGGGCACACCCGAATCGTCATCGCCAAAGCCAGGAATAATATTACCGATGTCCGTCTCAATGGGAATAACGTGAAGGCCTGAATCAGTGGATGTAGATTGCTCCACGGAAGATGCGCTCGTAGGCGGCAATTGAGGTGGCGAAGTCGACGTATCCGCCGAACCTCCTGCGCTTGACGGCGTCACAGTGACGGTCTCTGTAACTATTGTAGGAAGCGAGCTCGTAGATCGGGTCTTGGTGCTAAAGGTGGAAGGTATGTAGGTAACAGTTACTGTTTTTGGAGGGGCTTCTGTTGGGATTGGGGCCGTGGTCGCGGATTCTGTAGACGAGCCAACAGTTAGAGTAGTTTGGGCTGTCTCGGTGAAGGTTGGCGTGATAGTCACAGTGATTAGACTGCCGGGAGATCTCGTGGATGAACTGGCCGATGTTGAGCTACCTGCAGGCGGTACATCGCCGCCCAAAGCCTTTGCAACAGTAGCATCATCCCAGCAACCAATCTGAACGCCAACAATTGTATTCATAGGTAGGGCATAGCATGTTAAATTGTCGGCGCAAGGGATGATCTCGAACGAGCCAGCACTTGTACACCTGCCAATATTCCCATTCACACAGGCAACCTGTCCTTCCGTGCAAGCCGAGTCTTCTGTTAACCCCGCAAAGATTTGGTTGTACTGTTTCGCATCGGCTAGGTTGCTGGCTAGAACTTTGGGTGACACCGTCGTTGTTGAGGTCGGGGTAGAACTAATAATAGTAGGAATGTCGTTATTGACCGTGCCTGTCGCTGATACTGAATGAGACACGTATGATGACTTCACGACTGATGCGAACGAAGCTAATGGCGTGGATGTGGCGACTAATGAGGCAGAAGAGCTAGCCGAATCACTAGCACTCATGGTACTCAGAGGTGTAGATGGATTGGCGACCTCGGTATTTGAAGGTATGGTGGTGGCTCGAGTGGAACTAGAAGATATAGCGGAGCTGCTTGGAGTCGGTTGGCTAACCTCACTCTGTTTGGTACTGGATTCGGCGTCTGAGAGAGTTGAGGATGACGGGGTGAGTGGAAGTGATAGCGAAGTCGACATGGAGAGTTGAGTAGAATCCACCGTGGGGGTTTCGTTAGAGCTGGGCGACGATGCAGCCGCACTTGAGCTTGAGACGGCCAAATTTGTACCAGAAGGTGACCCCACTAGTACAGTGGAGGATGGAAAGATACTGATAGTCGGTATGGTATTGCTCTCTATGAGAGTAAATGATCGGGATATAGAGGTAGAGCTTGGGCCGGCCACGGATGAGACATCACTATTACTCGATAGAGTAGCAGTCGATGACGAAAGCGAAGCACTGTCTGTCGTTAAGAATGTAGTTAAATGTTGAGATGAGGATGCTGATGCTGATGTTTCGCTAACTACTGACGTTGGAATGGATGCGCTAGTAGTGTTGGCGAACTTATACACATTTGAAGACCCTCCAACATCTCGCCATCTTAGTCTATATCGTATTAGTTGGCCGTTATTAACTCGTTCTATCCCTTCAAGGACGTACCTTTCCCCTCGCCTCAGCGGACCGGCCGCCGAGGCCTCGGAGAATAGAAGGAGGTGTGAGAATAAAACTAATATGAACATTTGGATGTTGTTGAATTCTACCCCCGATAGAAAATAATAAAAGGAAAGATCTATTTTGAAAAGATTGGAATCCGAAAAACGAGCGAAAGTAGGTCAAATCTTCGCGGGTAAGGTGTACCAGGGGTTCATATTACTGAATTGATGGAATAAAGAATGAAGCAATCCCAAAGACGTGAAAAATACCATTCAAACTTGAACAAGAGTACAGCCGCAGGAGCACAATAGGAAACAAGAGAATAGTCAAAACAAGGAAATAGGCATATGACAAAGCAAAACAACGGAGAATAAAGAGCCGCACATTCAAGAAGACGACCGGCGAAATCTAAAAGTACGATCACCAGACTCCGAAGATCGTCGTTTACAAGAGAGGGGGAAAGCTCACATCTTGTACGAAAGTAGTAGACATGCTGATTGTGCACATCTAGCCATTTTTACCTACCGTTCGATGCGCGCCTGGGACGTCAGAGAGAGACCAGGTTTCGCGGTAGTTTCGGCCAAGATGGGAAGTTGAAAGCTCGTAAGATAAAATTGAGGCCCATCGAGAGGACCAGACGAGCTGGGACAAATTGACCAATTAGGGTGTATTGGACTGGATGACTCCGGCCCCTTGGATAGAGGTTGATTTGCATTATCTGCTAGTTGTTCATTGTATCGTGTGCAGATTGGGCTTAAAGAAAGGTTGGATAAGCGCTTCTAGGGTCTACTCAGTCCCATCATTTCGTGTTTCGGTACTCAAAGTTGGTGACGCGCGCTTGCGTATTATTGGTGGTGAGTCGGTAGAGTTGTCTAGCGGGTCCTATTGCTGGCTGGCGGCTACGAGACTTCTGAACCAATCGCTGATGTCCCTATACAACCACCTGCGGCCACCAAAAGCAGTGACTAGTTTCATTGAGACTTTGCTTGATTGGGCATCGCTAAACTATGCCGTGAAGAAGAATAAGATCGAGACGAGGCTAGACTCGAGAAGATATTTTAAATCTCCTGGTTCCATTATCGAGTCTTTTAGTTGTAAAGGAAGAAAGAAATTGATGCGCAAGAGGTGCGGGGTCCAAGAAGAAATTCCAAGATTTTGCTTTTCTTAACCACGTGACCATTTACGCTTGTGTTCTGATAACCGCTAATCTTTCCCATTTTAAGCCAAGTTTCGGGTAGAATGAAGCTACTTAGAAATCTTAAGGTTACGGAGCGATCCGCTTTACACAGTTCTCTGTGAAACTCAAAATGAAGAGATACTTTGAGATGTAATTTTTAGTTCCTAATAACCGGCAAAACTTACAAGTCCTTTCACTTATATACGTGTACTTATATATGTAGGTATCTGTATTGGTTGTCACATTTTCAGTATCTCAAATACGACCAAAGAAACTTATCTTCGCCGGCTATTGGGCTACATACACTCTACTTCCGACAAATCTTTTACAGAAGTGTTCTGTCGTGCCAGATTGCCTGGGTTGGAAGCCCAAGACGGCTTTAGCGTTGGAAAATGGGCGCTGGCGGCTTGATATCCCGCTAACCACCAACTAATGGTGCCCTGTAATTTAGGCATCTACAGGTACAGCAGGTAATGAAATAGTTCCATCAAGCTCTCTGAAACCACTCCCAAAAAGAAGATGATTTCACAATATTTTCATAAATATTCAAGAATGTCGTTATAATACACACAAATTATCAAGATATAATTTCTCTTATTTTCTTTTATACTTTAAGTGTTGCAACGAGGCACTCCGAACAAGTTCAAATGACGGTTGGGTACACGTGGTACCTATAGGAGCCTATAATCCTAGCTCTACGCCGCCCTTGAGCTAGCCTATGAATTATATAAACTTGGGCGCTCCCCCGCCTAAATCTCAACCTCAAGTCCTCAGCCAACTTCATTATGACCGCTGCGCGGGATCCAGTTCCGCCATGCTGGATTGATGAACCATTTCGTAAACCGCGGGGTCCCGGATCATGGGTCGTTTACGTTGTGGCAAAAATCGACGCTCATCATCGTCCCCTGGCCGTTTTATCTCTTCGAGAATCCGATATCTTTTCAATCGATAATGATCGAGTTATTGACTTGTGCCGGCGCGGCGTCGCTGCTTTTTCGGATCCGACAAACCGGACTCCTTTAATGTCGGAACTAAGTCTCGCAGCCGGTTTCTACAATGATCCACAAACGGCGGATCTGCCCGTCCACGAGCTTCCGGATGTTAACCACATAGACTTTATTAACCGGCGTAAAATCGCACCCCTCTATCATAACATTCCCGAATTCCCTTTTATTTCAACATGTCTTCTTCTAGCCTCTGGTAGGCCGTTCACGACTCATCCGCAACCGCTCGGAGCTGTCTTTCGCGATGAAAGTCCGTTCTATGGTATGGTAGTGTTTGATATCAGTCGCCTTGATGAAGTACGTTATGGAATCGTAGCCTTTAGCGCGCAACCCATCGTATTCATCGAAACGCGGGAGGAGTGGCGTAACTACATTGAGTTAGGCCATGAGTTAAGGGGAAAGAGAGAATTGAGAGTTGAGGATGAGCGGCCGCGCGTAGCGCTCTCCGTAAAGTCGTTTGCCGATAAATTTGGGTGTAAAAATGCGAGTAGCGGTGCAAGGCTCGAGAAAGTGCCCCTTATTGAAACGGCCGCTTTTGATCGTGGGTCTTTCTCAGCTCTACCAAACCGCATTATTAGCGCTGGATGCTGATGAATATTCACTTCGTAGTTGTCTGGCCGCTTCGTTCTTCAGATTCCGATGCTAATCGGCCTCTCAAACGTCAATTTACCAGATCCTTGCGTGATAGAGCAATCATAACACTAATCGAAAGCACTCTAGAGACAGACGCCTTTGACATGTCGCTATTTGACGAGCCGCGTAAACTGCCCTCCTTCCAAGACTCGCTGCGGCGATTGATACAGGCGAAGCCTGAACTCCTTGGTCAATCTCAATCTACAGCGCAACTTATAGCGCTAGCTTTTGAGGGCAAAAAGCACCTAGACCTAGCACGCCAGAAAGGACTTACGGCGGGCATTATCAGGACCGTGCTCGAAATGGATGAGTTGAAGCAGATTGAGTCAATTTGTATTTGCATCGATCGTATCTCAAGCCCACTATCCCAACTCGTTGAGGTATTGTCCTCATTCCCAACGCTACGCGATGTATGCCTCCTTCAATCACCAACTCGCGAAACGGACCTACCAAGCGCCGAGATGTTCCTCGAATTGCACAAGAACTCGAAGAACCCACTCCAAAGAGTAGTCATCGCGGGCATCTACTCAACCTCACTCCGGAGGCAACCATGGCTCCCAGAAACAGGCTTCACCCCACCCATCTCGAAATTCCCCGTTCACTACGTGTTTCATAGGGAACAACACCGAACGCGGCGAAACTGGTGGAACTCGAAACGATACTTCGTCGGAGACGGCCTTCTCGCCCCGCACCACTTCGCCGCCGGCTTTCTACACTGGCTCGAAAGCCCCGACTTCGCACTCTTTGCATTCGCTAGAGGTCCACCGAATCTTGAAGAAATATCTAGGATTGAAGTGACTCCGGTACCCGCCGAAAATTTCCATGCCCAGCGCAAGCGGTCATCTCACGCTAGTACCCGCGGCCTCGTTCGTGGGAGTTGGTGCGCTGTGGCTAGCGTGGAGAAGTATTTTGATAACGAGGCACAGCAGCGGAATATAGCTACGGGCGGATGGGAGGCGACTGACGCGCGGCACATTAAGTTTGCATTGGTGCAACTGTTGATCGATGTTGAGGCTAAGGATATGCCTGTTGTGCTCAACCCGGAGGATGTAAGAGTGTGTGGGCTCAAGGAATTCCTGAACGATACGACTGAAGAGGGCGTGGATGCGCCACTGGTTGAGAGGAGGATAGCGGAGGTAGGTGAGAAGATCGCAGATTGGCCTAATCAGGGGAGACTTGGGGTCGATCTGGAATGGGTTGGTGTGATGAATAATCAGGAAGGTCTTGAAGCTCTTAATCAGCTATTGAAGAGTACTTTCCTATAGGTAGTTATGGGGGGTCCAAGACCGCTTAGTATCATCTATAGGTACTAGGTACCTAGGTACGCCAGGCGTTTCATCGGAGTAAGTCCGAAGCTCGACAGTTTCGGCCGCCCGGTACCTAATTAAATAGTTTTATAGGGAGTATGCCGCTAGAGTTCGCTGGAGTTCTACTGCGCCTTAGCGACCTTTCCGTGCAAATTTAACGACATCGAAGCACCTTTCAGCACACTTACCACTATCAAAATTACTATAACCTACCATATCTATCTCATCGGATCGATCCGACAGGAGCACTAACGCCTGTTAGCACACACTATTCTAACAACACGACCATTGCAATGACAGCTACCAAGGCAGATATTATAATTTCAGGTACCGATAGCTTAGTAGCTAAACAGCATAGTGGCCTGTCTAAGTACATGCAATAATTTCCCTATTAACCCTACGGCTTATTAGGTGCCCAGCCGAGTTGCTGAGGTATAAACGTGCTAAATCGTCTGTAGATTTCTTATAAAGCGCTAAAATGATAGGGAGTTTTCGGGTGATTCGGCACTTCTAAATGTACGCCGTAGCGCACTATAGTTGAAAATCAGCACTATAACTCTTGTAATTATAGCGTACTGTAGGTCTGCAGCTGTATGCACTATCGGAACTAGCCGAATTATCTCCGATCGTCTCCCCCCGCCATTAACAAACAGTCCAAAAATTAGTATACCTCATGGCTAAGTCATCCATCTAGATTTATCTAGCTACCTTGATGTAATTTGACATTTTCCACGATTGTTCCCGGAACATCAGTCTTGAACACTTCCTCCTTATTTTCACTTCTCTTCCTCAATATCGGTAGTCGCCATGGGTCACCTAATCACCGTCGCAACTTGCAATCTCAACCAGTGGGCGTTGGATTTTGAGGGCAATACCAGACGCATCATAGAAAGCATTCACAAGGCGAAGGAAGCCGGTGCAAGGCAAGCAGGGACACCCCCTAGGTGAACGACAGACGCTAACTTCTTTTCAAGTCTTCGTGTTGGACCAGAGGTATCATCCAATCATCATTTCTCATTCTTCCTCGTTTCGGAAGTCGTCCGAACGTATATACTCCGTTTGGGGTCTGGATCTTCGGCTTCCTAAACACACCTAAGACCTCTGTTCTTCTATGCAGTGATTGCTGACTGTAGTAAACATAGTTGGAAATATGCGGCTACGGATGTGTACGTTCTACTAAATCCTATTATCAATTCGGCTGCGATTTCATAACTTCCTATCTAATGATTCGATTCGTGATAACCCACCAAATGTTTGAGGCATATATAAGTGAATAAGCGCTAATCAGCCGTGAAGCTCGACCATCTTCTTGAACAGGATCTCTACCTACACTCTTTGCAATGCCTCAAGACTATTCTAGAGGATAAGTCATGCCATGATATCCTCTTGGATGTCGGCATGCCAATCTTGCATAGAAACGTTCGGTATAATTGTCGCATTGTAAGTCTAGTCTCCTATGCGTCGAGAATTCCAGAATTATTCGTATAGATTACTGATTCGTCGTAGATCTGTTTCAACGGCAAGATCTTGTTGATCCGACCAAAGCTTTACCTGGCTGGTGACGGGAATTAGTACGTTCTATCCCCTATCCTACAGGACTATCATCCCGCTCTCGAATACCCCGCAGAAGGTTTTTAGGTGCCTTCTCACTAGAAACGCAACTAACCATGTTCGCTACAGTCGTGAACACCGTTTCTTTACCCCCTGGCTTCGACCCCAATACTGCGAAGACTACTATCTACCGCGCATGCTATGGAAGCTCCAGGGGTCTAACAAAGTGAGAATTGGAGATGCAGTGATCAGTACGGTAAGCATCCCCAAACTCTAGTGACGACAGCCCACGCTAATAACGTGTTATAGCCCGACACAACCATCGGCTGCGAAACTTGCGAGGAACTTTTTACATCAGACCCAGTACGATGCCCCCACTGTCTTTTAACCATTCAAACTAACAAACAAAACAAGCCGCATAACCACATGTCGCTAAATGGCGTGGAAGTTATCACTAACTCCAGCGGCTCTCATTTCACGCTGCGAAAATTGAACACTCGCATGCAACTTATTCAAGAAGGTATAGTTATAATATCATATCATTTCAACTATATCCAAGTGACTAACACTTAATCCAGCGACACGTAAGAATGGAGGAATATACATCTATTCAAACCAACAGTATGTAATCCCCTGCCATTCGTTCGCGAATACCGATATCAGACTTCAACGAATTACGGTCTACATTTTATCAATTTCCGCGTTGTATATTACTTATTAACAATATCCTAGGGGTTGCGACGGTGATCGTCTCTACTGTGAGTAAATGCATTCAAGCGATAATAGTGCCATGCTAACAAAATGTAGACGATGGTATTTAATATCCTTATCGTTGAAATTTTGTGATCTATTGACCCATGTCTAGGTTGTGCGATGATCATATGTAATGGCAAACTTCTAGCTCAGGGATCTCAGTTCAGCCTCACGGATGTCGAGGTTGTTACCGCCACTGTCGACCTTGAAGAAGTCCGAGCTTTTAGGTGCGCACCTTCACGTGGATTGCAGGCTGTAAAGGCGCCAGTGTATGAGCGGGTTGAGACTCCCTTTGAACTGAGCTCGGAAGAAGGTGATCTTGACTTGCATCGCGTCCCGTCATTGGAAATCGAGCCTAGATATCACTCGCCCGAAGAGGAAATTGCGCTGTGCACCGGAGCGTTCCTATGGGACTACCTGCGGAGATGTGGTGTAGCGGGTTACCTAGTGCCTCTGTCAGGCGGTATGTACCTAAGGGTTTTGATGGAATGATTTGGCGTTAACTATTCCTTTAGGTATTGATTCATGTGCGGTACGAGGACTAACCTATGGTCACAATTGGGCATAGTCGTCTATTACTAACAAATTAACAGACCGCAGTCATCGTCTTCTCCATGTGCCGAATGGTCATTGAAGCTTGTAAAGCTGGTAACGAGCAAGTAATTTCTGATGTAAAGAGAATTGCGAAATTTGGGGGTGATAAGGTCCCTAAGACACCTGAAGCTCTATGCAACCAATTATTCCATACGGTGTACATGGTAAGCGAGCATCACCGTTTTCTATATGTAAAAGCAATAATAGAAACTAATTTACGTAGGGCATGTCAAAGCAGAGCTCAAAGGAAACTCGCCAGAGAGCTAAGGACTTGGCAGAGGCAATTGGCGCCTATCGTAAGTCTTTACCCCACTGCATCTTCAGGGCATATGAAACTAAATACAGTACAGACGTTAACCTTGACATCGACGACGTATACAATGGTGAGTGATCTCTACGGTTTAATCCGCCTTTTCAAGTCCTTCGAAATTCTCGTTTGTCGCTGTGAAATTGCAAAGCGGTCACTCTGCATCACTCTACATGCCGTTTCTAGTGGTATTTTAAATCTTGTTGAACGTACACTTACTGGATCAAATCTCAGCCCAGCGTAACCTGATAGTCAACACTCTCAACTTCGAACCTAAGTTCAAAGTCGAGGGCGGATCTATTGCCGAAAACCTGACGCTTCAGAATATCCAAGCTGTAAGTAATAACGGACTTTATAAAGGGGTTATCATAAAGCTCATACTAATGTTATTGAAGCGTTCCCGTATGGTTACCGCGTACGAGTTTGCGCAAATTCTTCCTACAACTCGCCAACGACCGGGTGGTGGTTCGCTTTTGGTATTGGGCAGCGCTAACGTTGGGTGAGCACTGCACTATCTTAATTATTTACAGGGAAGCTAATTAGGCCAGCGAATCTCTTCGTGGTTATTTCACAAAGGTAAGCTAGCGTTATAACCCCGCCCCCGCATTAAATACGTTTACTTACCCCTATGTAGTATGATTGCTCGTCGGCCGACATCAACCCTATTGGATCAATTGACAAGAGCGACCTAAAGAGATTCATTGCTTGGGCTGAGGTCAACTTTAAATTACCCTGTCTTCATGGCTTCTTGACTGCAGTTCCAACTGCGGAGGTAAGTTAACTGGGTCCTCGAGCCAAACTATGCTAATGTTTTGCAGCTGGAACCTATCACCGAAACCTAGTAAGCGAGCACAACGCCCCGTTTCCACGATAATTGCGATCATGCCTAACATATCAATAGCGTCCAATCTGATGAAGCCGACATGGGAATGACGTGAGTTAATATTTTTGCCTTCGTTCCCTTTCAGAAGTTGCATCGAATTGGGAATATCAAGGCTTTACCTATTTAATTCGAAAATAGGGGGCTAACATAAACAACCTAGGTACGATGAGTTGACAGTATTTGGTCGTTTGAGAAAAGTGGATAAATTGGGACCATACGGAGTAAGTTCTCAGTCTATTCTTGATGTTGCTTTGACTGACATATTTTAGATGGTGAGTGTCGACGATTGCTCTTTTCTCATTGAGCGCGACTTTATATCGCTCGGCAATTCTCTTGCTTTCACCCAAAAATATTTCTAGCTAACAAACCTTACCAAGTTCCAACGCCTCGTGCACGAATGGGGACCTAGTCGGCCTAGAATAGGAGATGACCAGACTCCGGTGTACACCCCGAAGCAAGTCGCGGAGAAAGTGAAGGTAAGGCCCCTAATGCATATTCTTTTAATCGAATAATCACTTACATATTACAGCGGTTTTTCCATTTTTATGCAATTGTAAGTACTTTCTTGTAGTCCAATCGACCATAGTTCGAACACCTTCCCTACAATATTATCTACCTCTTCATCGGGGAGGATCAAATCATTTGCTGTTGTTATGCTACTTAGGCACCATACAACTTTACTAACTTGAAGAAACAGAACCGACACAAGCTCACTACCATCACGCCGGCTCTTCACTGGTAAGAATTCCTATCATGACTTAGTCATCAAGTTTCGATTAGTCATGAGTACTGATATCTTGCGTAGTAATGATTACTCACCAGATGACAACCGCTTCGATGTTAGTAATCCGTCGTTAGTCAGGAGGAGAAGCTTACTAACATATTACTAACCTCTTCTTAGCTACGACCATTCCTGTACCCACCATTCTTCCAAAGTCTCGGATTCAGATGCATTGATAAGGATCTAGAGAAGATTGAGGCTAAGGAGAAGAGTAGTGGTGTCGAAGGAGATACGGTTGATTGATCAATCAGTATGCGAGCAGCGTGCGTACTAGATCTAGTCGGTGGGAAAGAATATGTATGATCCTGCCGGAATTCTAGCCCAGTACTTTACGAAGAGATCGCGTAGATCAGATAGAAAAATAAATCTACCAGTTTTATCTGAAGGATATCTTTTACGTATTTATTATCTGCTATCTGACCTTGGTCAATATGGCCCTTGCGAGGGGCGCCAAGGCAAACCCCCTCATAGTACTCCTAAATGTACCAAGTGGGTCAATCTACCCTTTCTAGAGGATCAAATATGATATCTCGCATCCCAACTCCCATCCTTCTTATCAAAAATAACATCTTTCAAACCCTTATGAGCTCCCTCATTTCGACTCTTCAAGAAGTAACTGCTGCAACGCCTTAAACTTCACTGGCTTCGTCAAGAACTGCGACATACCAGCCTCCATAGCCTCTTGTCGAGTAGCCTCGTTACCTACGCCCGTTATAGCGATGATAGTCGATGGCTTGAAGAAACCTTCTTCATGTTCATGTTCTTCTCCTTGTTCCTCCGCCAATGCCGCCTTTTCCTGTAGTAACTGCTGTTCGAACTCGCGGATTTGGCGTGTCGCTTCGAGTCCGTCCATGACCGGCATTTGTAGGTCCATCAGCACGAAATCGAACGGTCGGTCGGAAGCTCCCTTGTACTTATTTACAGCCTCAAGGCCATTCGTCGCTTCCGCGTAAGGTAGCTTGATCTTCGTCATGAACGTTACGAGAAGCTTGAGGTTGATAGCATTATCATCGACGAGGAGGACGCGGGGTGGTTTCTTAGTCGTATCCCCGGAACGGGCGCGGATATGTTGCGATAGGACCGCTGCATTGAGGCTTGATTGCCCGCTGATCCGCGAAAGCGGTAGGGGTCTAGTGAGACTAGTATCTACCGGAATGTTTAATCGGGGCTGCTCCGATTTCCATTTCAATGCTTCTATCGAGGGCCGATATCGAGATTCTGTTTGGTCGTAGACGACAGCCGAAGAATTCCAACCGCTTTGTGGAAAGTATCCTATAGCCTGGTTGCTTGATAGCGACGGAGAAGGTGTTTTAGAAAATAAACCCCTCTTCATATTCTGCCCGCTAGATTCCACGCGTTGGAGGCATTGAAGGAGTACCTTACCCAGTTTTCGCACTCCTACGGGCTGACTGATAACTTCAATAATCCGACCCAAGGAGACTAATTCTTTTATCCCAGCTGCACGCAGAGCCGCGGCTTCAAAAGCATTCGTACAAATTATCAGTAGTGCAGCTTCTTTGCCTGAACCTGCCATCTCCTTGCGGTCAAGATGTTGTCGAACTAGATGTTCAATAGGCGGCGGCTCAGCATATATATAGATTGCCGTGTCCGAATCGGCGTCGATAGTCTCGCTTTCGATTACGGTCATATCGAACCATTCCTGGCAAAAAGTAGCGATAGACGACTCGAGTTTCGAAAGTTCCGCACCGGTCCCGTCATTGCTGAGTAGTGGATCCAAAATGCAGATTTTCTTCCCCGCGGTGATCTTCATGGCCTCTCGTAAGACGTCTTCTTGAGGACCGCCACTAGATCCAGGAGCGGCGATCTTCATTGGGATCATGATATTCACGTGCGTTCCGACACCTTTCTCGCTATCGACTTTGATCTTGCCGTCCATATTTCGAACAATTTGAGACGTGATAGAAAGTCCAAGTCCTGTACCTGGTGTAAAAGAGTCCTCTTGCGAAAAAGCTTTAAATAGATGGTTAGCAAGGAAATTCTGCGACATGCCGATGCCGGTATCTTTTACGGAAAACTCGACATTGACATCAGACGATGTGGTCGGTTCTGCTTTCAGTGAAACGTCAATGCATCCCGTTTTGCAATATTTAATGGCATTGCCGACAACATTCATGATAACTCGTCGGAGACCTCCCGTCTGACTTCCTTGTAGGCACCAAGAGGCAAGCTTCTGGATATGGAGTATCAAGAAGACCTTCCCAGAGAATTTGACACTTCCAGTATGTATTTGCTCTTCGGTCGTTGTCGAGTCATCAATACCAATTGACTTTATCTGCGCGGTCGCATCGTCCACAGGATCATGATGTCGGAGATTGATTTTGCGGAAAGTCTGCCCGGCAAAGACCGCTTCAACAACTTCTTCCAGGAGGATAGCAAGATTGAATGTGGTCGATAGAGGTTCCGCGACATCGCGGGTATCTCTCCAAGTTTTCTTTTCTCCTGAAGAGCTTAGGTATGAGCTTGCCCTATTTAAGTTGTTGATCTTCGCGTAGTCCAAGAGATGGTCGATAGTATCCAACAGCGTCTTCCCACACGTTTCAATTGCTCCAATTAGACTCGTCTGGTATGCTGAAGTCATGGTATCTTCCAAAAACTCAAGACTTCCCAGCATTCCATGTAATGGGGAGCGAAGATCGTGAGATATAGATGCGATGAACGTTGATTTGGCAATATTCGTGTTAAGAACTTCCATGCTTGCAACCTCACTCATCATGCAAGATCCGAAAGTCTTGAAATAAGGTAAAGCATCGTCGGGGTCACCCATCTTGAAGTCATCGCCCCAGATAAAGCCAGATGCGAACCATTGACCTTGGGCATAATTGAAAAGTGGAAGGAATATCAGCCATTTAGCTTCCGAGAGGCAAGTAAGAAGTTCTCGCGGTAGGAGCATGTGGGGTTGATCCTCGACGTCTTCGACTGATGCATTAAGGAGTGAGTGATTCCCTCCACCACCGACGATCACCTCGTCAAGGATTAGACTTTGATCGGAGACGATACGTCCCTTATTCAAGTAAAAGCACTTTCCAAAGGGATAACGTAAGATGAATTTCTTCAGATTCTTGCGCTTGATCACACCATGACGATATTCATCACCATCGCCATCTGCCATAGAAATACTCAGAACGTCGGCCATTTCATCCAACCTATCACCAAAGGATGCCTGCGGTAAATTAGATCCGTATCCCGGAGAAGGCGCAGGGTCTTTTCCAGCCTTTTCGGATTCCGTTTCTTCATCTTCTGTCGATTCGAAATTCACATCCATGGCTGCAGCGGGGTCCGTACTGGTAGGTGGGGAAATAACACTCTCAGATTGACCGGAGAACAGTCCGGACGCAGCGTCGGTAAATATGCATCCCGTAGCTCTCGCTTGTTGACAGAGCAGTTGTGAAGCTTGCGTGAAAATCCTGCGGATATTGTCCGACGAAGAGTCCGGCTGTTCCTTGGCGCGGGAGTCGCTATCTCTGGAGAATCGAGGTACTTTACGTGTGTCCGTTTCATCATTTGCACTACTATCTCTTACCGGAGAAGGGGAGCTCGATCCCGACAAGGACGTTGATCCCGGCTGACTAGAGCGCCCCCTTAAAGGCTCGGAACGAGGGTCGGTGGCCTGTACGTCGGGCGCCTGTTTCGTACTTGGCGCTTGCACGGAACGATCTGTATTGCTTAGTTGATATTTATACTCGGAAAGATCTTCCAGGAAATATGAGATGCCTCTCATAAAATCCCTCTCCGAGACACGACCGACCGTGTCCACTGTGAAACGATATGTTAGTGTAAGTTATTTTGAACAAAACTGTACAGAAATTCTTATGAATAGCTCTACACCAAGGCTGAATATGAAATGACGTTGGTCGCTACTTACTAACCCTCTCGAGATGGTCAGCAACAATCTGAGCTACATCTTCCATAAATTGTGCCTCGTCGAGGGTGAGGCCTTGTGGTCGCGGCCGAATATCCGAAACGGCGTAGACGCCAATGGCATGGCCCTGTTTAGTAATGATCGGCACACCCGCATAGAACCTGACACTAGCCCCAGAGGTAACATAAGCCCGATATTTAAAACGGTCGTCTTTTAGAGTATCTTTGACAATGAAAGATGGTATATCGATATCGCTACCATCAGCGTCCTTCCAGGTATTAATGGATCCGAATGTGTGTTCGTCCATACAATCCCGGCGTGGAAGTGAGACATTGCCGAGCCATATGTGATCGCCAGAGGCATGCCGCCTCTCATCGACGAGCGATAAAGTCTGAGTAGCTTCGGCGAGAATGATCTGAGTATTCGCGTCTATCAAGGAGACCATGCCGCGCTTGACATTCAGTCTCAAGGTTGCCAACTGAGCGAGAGCAGTGAGCGTAGTGTCGTGAGAACATGTTACTGGTCTGTTTTCGTCGGGCCCCGTATCCGCAGGCACGCCCTTCAGCCTCTTGGAATCAAGCCATGGTTGGTAATACTTATTGAGATCACGTTGTCTGGCGAGCTCTGTAGTACTGACGCTGGAGGCACGCCTCGTCGGGGCACCGGGCGCAGGCGCAGACATTGTTTACGGAACATCTAACATATGATGTGTACTATCTCTTGACACGCGAATGACTTCTGTCTTGGATTTTCTTGTAGCGCCTTTCTTAGCGCAGAGCGGAGATGCCGAAGGTCGAGACCAATCGCCGACGGACCTAGATCCGGGTCTAAGAACTAGCCTCTTCATGCGATTGGGATTAACCATTTTTAAGAGGTAACAAAGTCAGAAATTCTAGAATTGCGGAGGAAATATTCAAAAACCTTCAAGTTGTGCGCTTCTTGATGACATCAGGATTTAATATGGGTTAGGTGATGTAGATGGTAAGATATAGGCTGTAGATCCATGCTAGAAGAAATCAGATTCGATCTTCGGTAATCTCACTATAACCTAACAAGGTAATGATTATCAATAACTCGAGATAACGATTACCTTCTTGATAGAAAGGTTTTTGTCAATACGGATATGGCAGTATCATGCTGATAAAGCCTATTCTTACCTAATAATACTGTTATATCAAGAGTTATCTTCCCGCTTACTGAATAATCTTGATCTATCTATCGGGGTTGACCTTTTATCGAGGAAAATTAGATAATCCACATTGTGAGCGTAGATCTACTTTTACCCCTATTTACCCTCTCCCCCTTTATTTTAAATGAACAATCCGGAAAATATCAGATGTTGTCTGCGAAAACACGTCGCAAATTCGATGAAACAATTATTAGACGACAAGTTGGTTTTTATTACAGTAAGTTGCAAGAAAACTATGGTTCAGCTCATCCTGTCATTCACCCTATGCATTCCAACTCCCCTAAAGCTCGTCGCCGTTTTGAGCTAAATTCTCACCTCATTTTCGCCCTTCCAAGTACTCTATCGAAATCGTCTGCCGCCATCTCATCAACGAGCATGAGCGGGTGCCCCACACTCTGGGCACTCGATTCCCTCCGCCGATAATTCTTCCGTCGCGGTAAACGCGTGACTTTGGTCGCAGACATACCACTGACCTTCAGTAAACTCCTTAGCCATCGTGGACCAAATACCACGCTTTTCTTCCACCGATACCTCGCCATGAACAATGCTGTGGTCAAGCATTCTTCTAACCACATCAAGTTCCGATCGTAGATATGCTGCCGATCGGTATTTTGCAACGAGGCCTTTCGCCAGGGAGAAGTGCTCCTCAGCCTTTTCCATTGCGCGACTACCGCTACTACTATCGGGCGCGTTGCGGCATATGTGACGTACTGTTACCACAAGCCTTGCATAGAAAATATGACCTTCAGCCTCGTGGCGGGCATATTTAGTCTCGCGAGCCATTTCAATCAGGCTCTTACACTCCTCAATAGCCTTGCCAGCGTCAAAGTGCACAGCAGTGAGCCGCGTTGCATCATTTAACCGCAAGAAGTCACCTAAAACTACGAGATAGCAGCGTATTAACGTAGCCCGCATTGACAATTCGCCGCGCGTTCGGATAGTTGACTGCCCCTCCATACTTCCAGTATCTCGAATACGACTGAATGTCTGCTTGTATGGCTTTTCTTCGTCCTTGAATTTCAAGAGATATAGATACACATCTATGTAGAGGTGGTATGCTGGCAGATACCGGTCACGTCCAACCCGTTCATGGATGGTAGCTATTTGATCAACAAGGCTCCCCATGATGCGAAGCTGACTGCTTCTTCCAATTGGTTGGGTATGAAGAGGTATGTCGGTATGATCCAATCGTCCCTGCTCATCGATGATGTATTGTTCCCACCGCACTGATAATGAATGCCATCGACTAATGAATCTTTTGGTAGATTCATCCAAATAACCCTGGCGAACCAATGCTCCATAACGCGAAATTTTTCGCAAACTACCTCTACAAAGCGGGCAGGCCTTGATATTGGAACTTGAGGGAGACTGAGAAGAAGTTTTCGTTTTGGCGGCTGTAATCGCGCCGTTATCCGCAAACTGATAATGGTCAAGCATACCCAACTGAGCATCCATACTTGACATTTTCATGACATGTCCACAATCTGGGAATATGCATGGATCTTTATCTAAATTGACCTCCTGGTATTCTTGGAGCTTCAATAGGTCCACCATAGCGGCTTTGACTTCCGCATCGGCACAGGTCTGACAGTACTTCGTATCAGGGCAGATTTCTCCACAAACAGACGGGCCTAGACATAAAATTAGCATCCAAGTTCTTATTGTGATTGGCGAGAAGTTCTTACATCGATGACCACAAGATAACGGTTTATTGCACCTTTGAGAGCAGGGAAGCCAATTGCATGGAGCCGCGCAGCTGGGAGAGGTTAGCCACATATATCACAATTTAACCCCGAATTCGATAAACTTACGGCATAGTGCATTGTCTATGTGGGCAGATAGACGAGCAAGTTTCCACTAAACAAGGAGTACACGCCTCGGAGCATATTTTGAGGCACCTTGAGTGTGAGCATTGAACTGGACAAGGCATGCTGCATGGAGGGCAATCCTCTCCCGGATGGCACCCTCGACCACAAGCGTGTTTGCACGCCTTATAATCGCGCCCGCAGATTGATGTACAAATTTGGTGCTTTTCCTTTTCAACTTCTCCATCAAAACGGGTTCTGCAGTTTTTGCACGTATCCTTACAAGCATGTCCGCATGGGAGAAGCTGGCCGCACTTTGCCTGGCAAACAAAACTGTTCTGAGTCACATCCTCGGAACAGAACACCTTCACTTGGTGATTACAACCTGGTACTGTCTTCTCCACGAGTTCGCAGCATTTAACATCCTCTGGCTTTTGAGCTTGCCAACACCTAGGTGAAGTCAAAATATGCCCGCAAGACAAATGTAGCTCCTCCCCTAGGAGTACCGTTGAGCATACGTCTTCACAAGGCATGCCACATGTCCTAGGACAACCGTGACTACAACTCGCCTTCAGTCTAGAACAGGGTTCTAAGCACTTTACGGCCTTATGTAAAGTTGCTGCATGGCATTTGCTTCGACAAGTATGCCCGCAATCAAGTTTCTTAGCGCATTGGACATCGCACCCTGCCTCCGGAGATAGTCTTGTAAAATCATCAGGATTCGATACCTCAATATGTGTATCCTTGTGTCTCTGGCACTGTAGTTGTAGCTTTGTGCCGAAATTGCCTTCCGCCTTCATCATGCCAATGACGTTGGACCACATCTCGACTGCACCATATGTTTCGGAGTTCCCCAATATATACATCCCGTGCTTCGCTCGTGATAGTAAAACGTTAATCCGGTTTGGGCTTTTCAAGAAACCACATTGGCGGTCTTGGTTACTACGCACCAGCGAGACTACAACGACCTTCGCTTCTTCGCCTTGGAAGTTATCGACCGTTGCGAGCCGTAAACAACTCCCCAGGGCCTGTTTGAATACCGATGGGCCCGTATCCAACCCTTCTTGACGTAAGGCTTCCATATCCCTATCCTCGACGTCGACCATGAAAGAACTTTGAAGATTCCTCTTTAATTTGTGTAGTTGGCCAAGGTACGGCGTGAGAACCACAATATCATTGCGTTCGTATACGCCTTGCCGCACGATATGAGAGAGTAGTGCGCACGCCATATCAACCTCAAAATCATTGGACCTAGATGTGCTCGTAGGGTTGTTGGGGTTTGATCGTGCCTCCGGCTTATCGTGGTCGAACCAGTATAGCCGTTTCTTCATACCAATAACCCCAGGGTAGTCTCTAACTTGTGTGCCGTCCTTAAGAGTAGGATACATCGTGTCTCGAATTAATTTAGAGATAGACGGATGCATTCTTCTCTGTATTTCCAACGTGTCCAAAGGAACTTTCAGGTTGGTCATTCGAGCAGGTCGCACAAGCCTTTCGAAGAGTGACACATCTAGAGAATATTGCTTACCACGAGGATTCTCAACAGAGAGTTCATAGTTCGCTACCTGTGGTCGTAGTTGTAGATGATCTCCTATCAGGATAGCATGTTGAACTGACGGGAGCAGAGCTGTCAGGATGTGACTCTCTAATACCTCTCCTGCTTCTTCGCAAACGAGGATCTTACTACTAAGCCTTCGAAGCATATCTAGGTTCTTGGCAAGGCCTGTCGACGTAACGCCAATGATATCGGCTTCTTCGAGTGCCCGGAGGTCCACCTAGAAGAGAAATTAGGTTAACATCCAGGCAGTGACTTCATGCAATTGTGTGCTAAGTAGACTTACTTCCCGAGACACATTCTCATACTCCTCCTTGGCCCCCATGTAGTCATCATGAAGGGAGACAAACTCATCTTCTAAATTGGCGGCTACAACTGAGCCCCACATCGAACAGACCAAAACTCTTTCTTGCTGGCTCAATGTGGTTGGATCTTGTTCCTTCAACGTATCGGTGGCTCGTGGTTGGTCCTCCGACGATAGCCCCGCGTCAATCCAGCCCTGGAATATCGCATTGTGGTCCTTGTAAGTGACAGTAGTCCATCCATCTTCGTCGTTGCCGAATATGGAGCGATAAAACAGCGTTGCGTGGTCCTTAATATAGTCTTTGACTTTCTGGGCCATCGCGTAGGCCTTCAGCCCCGTGAGATAATCTTTCATCTCTTCTTCAGCATCACTTAGCATTTTGATAGACTTCCACGACGCGTGCTTCTCGGACTTTGTGCGTTCTATATTTTGACTGATGTTACGAAGATTCAGGCACCCCAAAATTGATGACTTGGAGCCCGAGCCGATACGAATAATCTGCCCCATCCCATTGTGCCAGAGATGCTCTAGAAGCTGGTCTAAAGCATGGTTGGTGTAGCAAACACAGAGGATAGGACCTGTCTTGGCCTTTTCCTTATTCGCGAGGATTACCTTGATAATTGCCTAGAGTTGAAGTCAGCGATTGATTAATCGTACATGCTCCATACTATGAGAAAAGAACCAAAATTCCTCTGCAACAATAACATCTTGCTTACCTCGCCCGTGTAGCTTTTTCCGGTGCCAGGAGGGCCTTGAATAAGGGCAAGATTTCTTTCAAGTGCATTGAGAAGAGCTTTTGCTTGGCCTTCATCTAGACTTGATCGATGACAAAGCTCTTCTGGATCTAATGCATTATGAGAAGAAAAGAATAAGTCGCGGTCGTCTGAAGTAATGCACCTCAAGTTGAACCTGAATCCGGGCTGTGTCGAGTACAAGGGCTGTGAGATTGTAGCTTGGGTTAAGTTTTCAGCCGTTGGCGCAAGAATATCGGAGAATGGTAGGTCGAGCGTCTTGAATATATGCTGGAGTGCTGATAGAGTTGGCTTGAAAGACGGCAAGAGAACCCCCGGGAATTCCACCAAGGATCTCCGGGTAGATTGATCAGACTGAAAGGCTCGCAAGATAATTCGGAGATCGGATTCGTTAGGCTCGGCAAGATTTAAGTTAACATATGCGAAGTCCTCATTGCTGTATAAGTCACGCTCTTTACCATCCTTGTTCGTTTTTCTCGTCGTTTTGGTGGTTGAACCCGGTCTTACCGTGGACTCAGAGACGACGCAGAATACAGCTGTGCCTTTCTCTAGTAAGCATACCAGAGCGCCTATCTCTAGACGCCTCGATAGATTCCACCAGTCCTCTCGTGCTTCCTTTGTTGATAGGCTTACAGCAGGTGGTTGTTTGACCTTCAGGTGGACCTCGAGGCCAATTCTGCGGGTACACCCAATATCTACGATACCCGCCACATCATATGAGTACTTTCGGATCATACTCTGTGCCTTAGTAACAACTTCGCTCTCAGGATGCTCGATGGTATGTAATTCCTCGCTTATGGCCAGTTTTAATTGGCCGATCGTGTCCTCCCGAAGTAGTCGGAAGTGGCGGTCAATCAGACCCTTGATTCCCGGCAAATGGAGTTGAGACGGGTCTTGGGAGGGTCGGTACTCCTCCCTGGTTGCCAATAGTTCCGACATCGTCGGTAAGATCTGGATATTCCTAATATCCTCGAAATCATTGTCGTGTCGGGGCCCCTCAGCCGACAGTTCTCCTGGAAGGTCACGACGTAGGATGAATGTACCATGGCTGGGTAACTGTGTGGTTGGAGAATTCAATTCAAAGATGCCTAGACGTCTCCGGATATGGTCGATATGATTCATCGCCTGTACACCCCAGAAGCTACGAGTATCTCGATCAAGTATATTGAGAGCATCCCGTAGCTGGTTAGTAATCGAGGGAATAATCTCGTTGGGGAGAGATTTCATGTTGTAATCGACGACCTTGGCGAGGATTGCAGTGCAAAGCTCTAGAAATTGCCCTTTTGGGCCATCATCATCGTTGATAAACGGTGATTCCCACTTCTTGGAGAGGTCAACCAAGAAGTTGAAGAGAACCTCAAGCCTAGATGCGTTATGTCCGAAGGTAACACTGTAGAGGGTTCCAGTATGTACTTCTAGAATTGTCGAGCGGACCACTCGCGGCTCCGTAAGGACTAGGAACAACGGGCGAACACAACTGCGCCAAAGAGAAAGGCGCTCGTGATCGTTGTAACAAAACAATATACGTTCGTCAATCATTTCGCGGATAGCCAAAACGCCTTGCTCTGTGGCAAGCTCGGTAATGGTCTTCTGAAGCATACCCAAGTCGCCTTGGACTAGAGTCTGCGCAATTTGGAAGAATTGTGGGAGCTTAGAACCGAAAGATGGAGGTCGTGTCGCCGATGGTCTTGGGATGAGTCGGCGCCATTTATAGAAAGTATCGTCGATGCTTGAGTCTTTTAGGGTTGTTTTGGGAATTGATGGAGGCGACATAGTGGCCTTCGTTTCGCTGGAAGTACTCTGCCCAGCTACAGCGGGTGGTTGAGGCGTAGGGTGCGCGAAATTGCATGATGCGCCACGCTTACAACCACCGGGAGTATTCAAGAAGCGACAAGGCCTCTTACTGTCTCTGTCCAAAGTAAGCATGGTACATTAATAAGAGGGAAGAATATAAGTCGAACTAAGGGCAATAAAAATGAGGGGGAATATTGGAATTAACTTACCCATTGAAGGGCGCCATAATGAATTAAGTGTGTACTTAATTATCGTCGTGATATGGATTATTTTTCAGGGAAAGGTGAAAGAATATTGAGGAGTACGCCACTGGTTCTATCGAGGAAATTTATAGACAGTAAGGCGAAGGATGGAGAAAGGAAGAAAAAATTAAGAAAGTTGTTGTGAAAATGAAATGGATCTTTCTAAGTAGGAGCAGCGCAAGAAAGTATCCTCCGTAAAGTATAAATCGTGCATCACTCATAGGCAGGAGATGGAAAGAAGCAGTCTACCTTGTTGCGCGAAGGGTAATGACCTCTATGCCGGAAGGCACTCCTTAACGACCCTAAAGCCCCCCGTACTTTTTATGTACCTAGGTAACTATCTTGGTACAGAAACATGACCGAGGGTAGGTGCAACCACATACATACGTATAGGCACCTGGGTACCCGGTAGGTAACGCGTCTTGTACGTGTCTGAAAACGCAAGCAATTGCATTCGACGTTTGCGAGGCATTTGTTGACGCGTAGTAATATTTCTCCCCTTATACGCGGAGACACGAAATATGTACAATCTATCCAGTCCATATATTTACGACGCGGTTACATGTGTCCATCTTAAAGAACTTCCATTAAATACGAAAACAATGACTGAGCTCAGCCGAGATGAGTTATGTTACATAAATGTATAACTTGGGTTTCTGGCACGTTGTTTCTTAGCAACTCGAATATTGTTTAACATGGAAGTATATTAGAATATTACAGCTAGAAGTTACAGCTAGAAGAAAAACCTCAGATGGTAGATATCCATACCTATGGCCTCATAAAACGAGTTCCGAAACTTATACGCCTAGTTTTTACCGTGGATATAGGACTATATGTACGGACATGTTAATATGTATTTCCGCCAACCTAACATGGAGGAGGCCTTGCATGATAACTTAGGTACCTAGGTAGCGAAAGACGAAAATAAAAATGAATAGAAAAATAAAAGACCACGACTCTTTTCTACTAGGCATGAATTAAATTTACGCCAAGCACATATCAAGGTATATAGGTTCCCTCCTTGACTTTATGACTCTGAAATAAACGATCGTTTTTTCTGGCCTATCTAGGCAGGTGCGGGCAGAACATCGTTGGGGAATATACCTATCAAATTGTGGCTGTAACTTGGGCAATATAGTCCTGTACGGGAATCCATGGGCTTGGAGTAGCAGCCTCAATCTATTTCGATCTATAAGTTCAGGTTACTCACCTATGCATTAAAAGAAGCTCAACATTATGCGGACAATATCTAGACTAAGCTTAATGGATTACAAGAAGATCAATAAGATAATGCTGGTGCCTGATGTTATTCGCGTGATAATAGGTGGTAAGATCCGACAGGTGGGCGGTTAGAGTATCCGCTATACTTATAGTTTATCCCGATCTAGCAAATGCGCACAGGTCGTACTTGATTTTCATCAAGGAGAAGACAAACCGATGAATTGGTGTCGTCTCGATTTTATCTCCGTGGTGGTCCGGGGTGGGGCGACCAAGCTTTTCTGAGATACGGGTTGTGGCTGTTTTCGACCGGGATGCCGAATCTCAGTTCCCAATTCGGCTCCATATAGTTAATAGTGATGCCTATTCAGATCCCAAGTAACCTTTGAAACCCCCAAATCCTACTAGCCCACTAGGGCCGGTTCCCGCACTGCGGCTGCGTTCACCGATATAGCTTCTGATTGGCTCCTGCTTACGAGCTGCGTTGTAGCGTCTTATCGTGATTGGCCAACCCCGGGGTGGAGCTGATACCTATTCCGGGAACATAGGTAATCAACGACGAAGAACTATTACCGGCTTTCTGGAAAACGGCTGCCGAGCATGTGTGAAATAAGTCGTGGTCTCGGGTTTCAACATCGGCCGCAAAGTCCTAGAATGTTGAAAACGATATGGCGTAGTCAAGTTCATTCCTTCTCCTATTCTTCCTCCCCTCTCCTATACTTTAGAAGACTGGACGAGACATACGCCCAAGACCAGGCCTACCCCGTACAACGTATATCGAATCAATCGCCTGTCTGTCTACGGCGCTGTCCTACGGTCAACACGAGGCAAGGCAATGGTGGAGACCTCCATCCGAGTTACCACAATAGAACCTTATAAGTCGATCCGGCATACCCCGTCACCATGGCGCCCAAGAGTATTAAGCCAGAGGGGGAGCCCGCACAAGATAGTCCAAATCAAGACAGTTCACAAGATAAATCCACTACGAAGAACAACTACTTGAGAGATACTATAGATCCTCAGCGTAACCCATTCAGTATGACTTCGGGCAGCCAGCCTTGTACCTTCGCGGACATAGCGATCTCCTACCGCGTTTACATCCTCGACGACCTCCTCGCAGAACCCCAGGAAATCGTCCACGATTGGAGTCGAAACCTCCTGTACATCTGCCAACGTCACCGACAAGGCAATAACTTCGCGCCCATCGAACAATCCCACGACATCTGTGTATTTGACATCTCTATCGGAGAAATCATTGCCTCGATCGATATTAGTCCCTATAGTGGACCACATTGTATGGAACTGGATCCATCGTGCGCTTACCTCCACGTCCACGTAGATGGAGGGGTCATCTGGATCGATCCGGAATCGAGAGTCGTTACCAACTTCGAGCCGGCACAAAAGAGGAGGCGTCAGGAGAGAACAACCGAAGATATAATTGCCGAAATCGACCTAAGATCTGGAAAGATGCGTCAGAGAGTCAATGTCCCTGAAGGTGATAGACACTCCAGCGACGGACGGCATGTGACCTTTTCTGCCCCTGCGATTCGATTCGCAAGCCGATCGTCAAGCGGCGGACTGCCGGTGGTTGATGTCGGAAACGATCTAGTCGTGGAAGCGATCAAAGCCAAATTCTCGGTTAGGACGATCTATGCCACCTCTAGAACTGTCATGCTAGTTTGAAGGGCCTTGTCGCTTTCGCGGTGGTAATAAAAATAATGATTATGGGCCGAAAAGGAGGTCGGAATTAAGGCGCGGAATTACATCAAGAGCCACGCTGGCATGGCTACAATTGGCACAGAACGGGGATATTTCAATATGGTCATCTATAAATTAATCATACAACGATGTAACTTTCCTTAATGATTATTTTAATAAAACTTCTCGAATCACATTTCTCAGCGAACCGGACTATCAGGTGCCTTGATACTTGTTTGCATACCATATACTTAGGTAGGTGGTGATGCCTCTCCAGAACTATTGCAGCATGAGTATAGCGTATATCCTTCACTCTTTCATCTTCTACAACTACCCGTAATCAAAACAACAGACATGGCACAATTCAAGGAAGAGTGGATTGAACAGCGGGTATTATTCCAGGGTAGTATTCGTATCCACACTTTTTGATTACCTTGCATACATCGGATCCGAAGCTTAGGGCTTACTCTCTTGACATCCAACAAGATCGATTTCGATCTAACAAGAATGTAAGAGTATGGAACTACCTCACTACTCAGATGGGGCGGTACCGTGAGCCTTATCTATAAGTGGACCCGTTTCAGCCCTACGAGCCCTGGAGCTGATGAGCCCCATCCTATGGATCCTAGGGTCTGTTCACCTAAGAACGTCACCCCCTGGTTGATTTAAATGACGCACGTGGCATTCCATTCCCATCCCTTACACATTTTAACCAAATGTCTGCATGTCGGTGATCGGTCCGCTCCCGGTGAAAATGTAAGTAAGCCTTTAGAGGTTATCCCTATCGGGTCCATTGTACGGATAGACCACCTGGGGTTTCCGTAGGTGGATCATCATACCTCCATGCGCAGAAGTACGGTACCGACATGTAAGTAGAGCCTCAGCGCATGACAAACAATCGAAGCTTACGTATTACTCGTAAAGCTAAGAATTTCGACCATGCTCATTACGGCACAGATTATGTAGCGCACATAGACAAGGTCTTTTTGAGACACCGCCGCACGCCACGCAACGGAATTATTTAATTTTCCTTGATTGACATTTGAGTTACGCCTGCTATCGCAATGTCGTCATATTTTCACGTGTCGTCGGCCCGTAAGACTGGGGACCATGCTTAAGCACAGAAGTCCCGGGGGACCCGCATGCATAAATAGAATACGGCAATGCCTACCTAGGTAGACAACCTAGACACGCCCCAAAATTGTTGAGCGAAAACCGCTGCCTTAAATTGCTGCGCCGCTGATACAACAATCGATAAACAACACCATCTCTTTTACTTGGGATTCCTTCGTATTCTTGAACCTAAGAATGCCGAGAACGAGTCTTGGCATTTTGCGACAACTTTTTATGTGTTAATGTCTAAGTAGAGATTAAAAATAATATTGGCGAAGTTTCGGAACAGCCTCCGCCTATAGTTTTTGATTTAAACGGTGACCACTGACGTCATTTTACAAGATATCGCCCACCTACAAGTTAACGTTTCATATAGAGTTCGTATTTGCCTAAGTTCTTATATAAATATTTATACTCCCATCATATCCCTTGTTGCTATCCTACGTTACTTCTACACTACTAACTCCTATTTAGGATACGGCGCATTCATATCCTTATACTATCAACTACATACCTATCTATAGGTCCCATATACTATTATATCGCAAAGCGCCAAGGAAGAAAGAACGACCAAATCGACAGGGACAAATTACTGGTGGATTATGTAACCAATGCAACCACTTGCGGCCTGGAATTGGAATGGGAGATTACATAATATTTGTGGCATTCTTCTATCCGCTTTTATTGCGACAGACAGCCCTGGAGCGTTTAAGGGTGGTATTATGGCTGCTAACCCTCGTAGGATACCCGGGTAGGTAGGCGCCTAGGTAGAAGGTCCCTTCTTTAATAGATATATCCATGGATATGATGGCACCAAGGTATAAGACCTAGGTATGAAATTTAACAAGTTAGTTTAGACCAAAAAGCAGAAAGGAAAAGGAAAAGCCAAGAATCGGGAGGAGAGAGTTATAGGATCCATGGTACTGAATTATTTCAGTTACACATGCATATATACATGAATATAATGTGCTTCGAGATACGTATACATATATGTACATTATGTGTTTGCGAAGTACATACTACTTCAAATATTCTATACACGTATGTCGGCACGCGCCGCCACACATATGTACATGCATGCAAGCAGATACCCAATATCTGATAGGTCATTTTTTAGCAGGTCGAGGCCTACATATGTACCTCTTCTTCCCCGACGGATCGGCTATGGCCATGGAACGGTCCGACACGGCGCGTTTGTGAAAAAAGCAATAACGCGGGAGGTGCACCCCAGTTGCCTGCCTACCTAGGTACATAAATGTAGGGACCAGGGTGCGAAAATTGTATGCGGTGAAGGTAGGCACGATGTTGATGCATTAGGTACTTGGTTTAGGCGCTTTAAATGTTCGAAGTCACCTACTTACATGTAGGTAGTTACCTAGATAGTTACTGCATTATTGAGTGGGAAGTCGCGTTCTGGTTGCCTCAAAACTGTACTGGTCGCTGTTTCGGCCCAAACAAAACTCTCAAACAAATTGGTTCGTTCTGATCAAATTTGTCAACCGCCATGTGGTCCCAGTAAACGGCCATAGGACTAACGCAAATCCAACTTAGGAAGTCTCGACCTAGCTGCAATAAACCGCGTTGGTTGCTGGAAAGTACTTCTTTCACCTACTAGATGTGCAATCCCCGTGGCTAACCACCCACAACACTTCTTGCAGTAAACAACTTCAACATTGTGTCATCCACGAATATTTTCTCTTTCAATCCTACCTACTCGATTATTACTCTTCGCACATGGAGTGAACTATTCGATGAGGACACAATATAGATAGTTTCTTCAATCACTGCTTTCAGGACGCTTTGGAACCCTTGGTCCTAATCATCCTCGCGTTTTCTCCTTGCTCGTTGTTATTAGCAAATACCCTTTATTTCCTCAAATCAATTGTACCCTGTCGAGAAACTCCTTTCCGTTCCCTTCATCTTCACCCCCTACTTCATTCCGCATAAGTGATATTGATACCCACATCACACCCTTCGTCTTCGCCCACTCAATTCATCGGCTTCGATGGAGTTTGAAGAAATTCAAGCCCCACCTGGGGTTTTAAGGAGTTTGTTCCATCATGTTGCATTGCCCTCAAAGCTTCCAGGGGGAGCTGAATCTAACATCACCGACATTGAACGCGGACTTCTAGATCGATTGATCGCTGCGACTAAGATCCTGGAAAACATACAGCAAGACGATGTCTGCCGGCGTGCTTGGAGCTCTATTAGGCGGTCTCTCTTATTCGGCAAGGCCCTAAACATTGGTGGCAAGATAGAACGAAGCCAGCTGGCTTCGCATCTGAGACAGCTTCACAATTCTGACCTTGTCATCCTCCACGTAGCTGCCCAGAATGCTGGAGTAGTCATCCACAAACCCGTTGAGTAAGTCTATCCATATAATACTGCTGGAACCCAAAGGTAACTAATGTTTCCTAGCCCCGAACTTCGTGGAAATATCCTCTTTGAGGCTTTCGAAGCTTCGCCCAAGCGAGAGCCAGTGCTTGCCTCACAGACACTTTCATGGACTTTCCCCGGAACTGCTGTTTTAGTGCCCTCGGAAGTATTCTACAAGGACTCGTTTCTGGAAAGCCTGACTGCCTTCTTCGAGCAAGTTTCGGTCGAATCAACCCAGAAGTTCTCTGAGTATGCTATAAAAGCAGGAAAGGCCATTGCGGAGGATAGAGAAAATCCCGATCCCGCCTTAATCACATCCTTCCTAACCGCAATACTTGAAGCCAATGGTAAGCGCATTTCGCCCAAGACCCTCCGAAAAAGAGTCAGAGACGAAGTATGCTGGTTTGATAGTGGGTCGCCGTGGCGAAGGTTGCCCTATTGGCTTGTCCTTCGGGTCAGCATCGCTCGATATTTGGCAATGATGCTTGGCGGAGCACATGGCAGAATACAGTACAAATTCCTTATGTGTATTATACACGGAATGGTACTTAATGATATCAGAAATATTGCTACCCTAGAGGATCAAGATTTCCTTAAGAGAAAACTCTGCCGTCGACTTTATAAACTTGATCGAGATCACCTGGAACAACCACAGGAAACCCAAAGGTCTTATGATGCATTGATCAATCACTTGGCCCCTCGGTTTACTAGAGTGATTCGAGCTACTGCTACTAGGATCGAAAAGGCTTGGGAGCAAGAAAAACAGCAAACAACCAAGGTCATACCTCAGCTTCCTAGACAATCAGAGCCGAAGGATCAAAAGTTGAGTCTTAACTTAAGTCGCGAGTACCTAGCCCAGGCTCAGGAGAGACATCAGAATAATTTGCGTTTATGGAAGCCCCCTAAACGTCGCAGGGCTCCTCAGCCATCTAAACAACACATTCAGGCTTTTGGGAACAAGTTACTTTCTCTATTCGATAAAGAGAATCAGATGTGCATGTCTGCGACCAATCTTCCTTGCAATTCCGTCGACGCCTCCGCTCAAATCCTAGAACTTCACCAGGCTATTCTAGACTACATTGGTCAAATTAACGGCGACTACGACGGCAATGCGGAACAGAAGGGCATAATGCTCCTAGCATTGATGGAGACATGGACTGCTCTTGATAAAGCCGCATGTGATATGTTTCCTCTTTTGTATGACTTCCACCCTGTATTCACTCCACGGCTGGTCGAGGTACTCCACCTGTCACTCTTTTCGGACGTCGTACGAGCCCGAAAAGTCGAGTCCTATATTAGGTGTCGAGTATCTAGGTCTAAGGGAACCCCTAATACGCTATTCGATAATCCATGTAAGGGCTGCTTCGCAGAAAGGTTTTTTGACGCATCGGATGACGGATTCAACGATACTACTTCGCTGAAAGAGCTCCTAAGGAATATACAATCGATGGCAGATCAACAGCGCGAAAAGAAAGAAAGGGAGTGGCAGGAAATGAGTTCTGAATACGATAGACTAACTCGAGAATACGATTCTTCAACCTGCATCTACTATGAGTCAGTAAATGCCTCACACCCGATACATTACGCCTCTGTATGCCCGAAATGCCAATTTGATCGAGAAAGATCTCAAATGAAAATCACTACGTTCGAATCGCCGCTCCCGGAGAATACCGTAATGGCAAAGGCTGTCGTATTCGAACTCAGGTGCCCTGAGGAGCTCGCTGCATATCGCGATGCTACATGGGCAATACTGAGTCGTGTTGCAAAACAAATTCAGGAGCCAGGGGTTAAGCCGAAAGTGTGCCTAGAAGACTATTCGAGGTTACAAATGTATTCTCAAGCCACTGGAGATATATCTCTCGCCTCGACAACCAAGTCATGTAAGCTCTTGCACGCCTGCCGCTTACTCATTTAACTAACCCGTCGCAGTCCTCATGACTCATTATAGGGATAGCAAATTCCCAGTCGACCTTAACCAAGTTATTCTCCCGAATGGGCTTAAATTCGCATATTTTGATAAAGCATCCCAATGTTGGCCTGGAAACAAAGATGCCCGCCCTACTTTTGAACATCACTGCAAGTTAACGCTTCCAGCAAACTCGCCGTTCTTGGCGCTCCTCGACTCCAGAAGTTTCAACGTCTACGGTAATGGGCCATCCTCGTATGAAGTTTCGGCATCTCATCCAAGCTGTCCCTCTAGCCTCAATGCACATGAATATGCCGCATTTCAATATCTCCTCTCAGGCAAGCGTCGCCGATGGTTGACGATCCTCACGGAGCTCGGTTCATCTAATCTGAACTTATCTACTGAAACAACTGTGTTGTTGTTTGACCACTTGGTACATCAAATTGGCCCGTCGGAAGAACACGACGAAATATTTGGAACAGTTCACTATGTCTTTCGGGATGCTCCATTTTGCAACGCCCTACTGAAGCAGCTTACTGCGAAGCTTGAGGCAATTGCATCTAACTGGCGTGAGACACATTTGATGGAGATTATTATCATGCTAACTTTACGATTGATAACATTCACCACATCCCTATCGGACATGAGCAGCTTCGCGAAAACAGCGCTAGGCCTCCTTTTAGAAGCGAGACAGGTTACCCTCCAATGGGCAAGGATGTTACGAAAAGAGATGGACCACGGCGACGGATCAGATGACCAAAGAAATTACCAATCGTATTTGCTATGGGCAGCTCTCCTTTGTAAAAGGACCTTCGCCTCATATCAGATGCCAATCGACCAAGATCTAGAGCCAAACGAACTCTCTATATTCGTTGAATGTAGCGCCACCGTCTATGACAACATGCCAGATAACGTTGGTTCCTTGGGGAGGATATTGAAAAACACGTTTGTTCGAGATTTAAGGATGACATACGATCTTAAGGATCAATTGCAGGCGCTAATCGAACAATGCGGAAAACATGCCATACTTATTGCATTGAAATCCTTGTGGCCACCGGCCGAATCAAAATCAATATCTGGCATCACGTTCGGATCCAATGGTTGGCTTAAGATTGAACTTGAGGGCTACCATGAGGAAGTTGAATTTTTAGAGTACAACTACGTTTTCGGTATCTTACTAGTAGATGGAGAACCACTTAGTGTGAGTGACTATTAACACACATAGAGAAATCAAAATTATGCTGACTAGATTTTACCTAGAAACTTACGGCCGATTCTAAGATTACCATCATTCTCGAGGAACTATTTGGAGGACCAATTAGCCTCAGAAAATGGCCCTCGAAAAGCCCGGGAATGACATATGGTGAGAATCCCCATGACCTTGTTGTGCCATACACAAATTTAATTGGTGGTATCATTTAGTGCTGGCAGTATCCCCTAAAGGCTATCAAATTCATGTTGGATACGCTGATAGGGGGACAATTATTCACGCTACCAAAGGTACAGGAATGAATAGGCAAACTTTGGAGATCATCCCGAGAGAAATTTTCTACCAAAAGAGCCAGTTCGACATTCCGGCAGCTCTCATTGAGAATTGTATCCATTGGCTGTGGGTTAATAAATCACTTCACGAAACGTCCCTTTAGTACTAACGAGAGCAGTGATCTCACAACCGGAATTCTTGAAATCCGGTCTAAATCGAGAAACATTTGGAAGCCGCATCACCACAACTGGAAATTGGACACCTACACGTCTACCTGCTCACGATTCACCCTCAATGGGAAGTTCAAAGAAACGCTAATTGACCCCTACTCTCCACTGTTCAACCGAGTGTCAAATATTTTCTTGTACTTTGAGTTGGCAAAGTACCTAACTATTTATCAGCAAGGGGGCAAATATTCACTTGCTGTTGAAATGCCTCGTCTGCAATTGAAGTGGCATGTAAATAAGAACCGGATGTTAGAATCATCGCATCTACGGGCTGAGATCGATCCTTGTCAAGATATCGACACTTGGCACGGCTTTGACAGCAAACTCGTCTGTCGCAATTTGAGAATCTCTCAGGAACGCTTCGTCCTAGTGCCGTTAGGCCCTCTCGCGGTCACGAAGCGAGGGTGCCATGTCCAGGTATATGTCGAGACTAATCGAGATCCATCAAGGGTATACATTCGCTTCATGGTCAACAAAACCCTTGGTCGACTTGATTGCGCTGCCGAGCCCGTCTTGGTGTATAAGAAGGCAGAAATACATGCATTTACTTCATTTGTATTGCCAGATACATTGACAGGTTTAACTGGAATTGAGTCTTCGTTGGCCATCTTGAGTTCGGGAATGTCCCAACCGTGGTCCCCTCTATCACTTCTGCCCACCACTATACTTCGCGATATTGCCCAACTCTCACCAAGACGTGAGTACTATCCAGTGGATCTCAAAGTCATGAAGAAGGAATACTGGGACCGACGGATACCTGCAACGTTTCAGCGCGAGGAGTTCCGTATTCTGGTTGGCCGAATTATCTCACGGTCGAATGAGCTCGCTATGTTCTCTTCTCGGGAAACAGAAAAACCGGAGTTGCCCCCATCAGGCGACGCCCATCTAAGTCTCCGCTCTCTGCGCCGGCATCGACTCTATGAAAGATGTTATAACTCGGATTTAAAATTTGACAATCCGGATGATACGGTATATGAAGCCAGGCACACCCCACCGGCTTCCAGTCTGCGATATTCGAACGTTCTAGAGAGCACCAGCATTCTGCGAGATAGACCTATGTTTATGTCTACGGTGGAAGATATTGCATTGAATCTCTCGCAATCTCTACATATTAGCGGATACAGCCAGACGTTCGATAAAGTAACACTGCACGATCGACTTGACGTCGACGTACGTCACGAATGGGGCCCCTTGGTCAACTTCGTCAGAGACGTACGATGCCAATATAGGCTCATGTTCTTCATCGGCATGATATCATTCCGATATGATGCTAATATGCCTTTAATTCGAACTCTCATAGCATTTGCACATTGGGACGATCTTCGTTCCTTGACTCTCCCTAACTATGCGGACTATTCTAGATTCCGACCACGCCAAACGCCCCAACTAGATACCCTAGTCGAAATTATCGAGCCGCATAAAGCGCCCGTTCCAGATATCTCTGGGCCGCTCGCAGAATTTGCGAGTAGTAAGGAACAGCGAAAAGTTTCAAATGCCAGAAATGCTCATATTCGGAAAGCCAGTGCCGATTGCAGGGAGTTGGCAGAAGCACTGATATTGGAATGGCCTTCTCCAAACCTAGTAGGAAAAAATCTTGAAGACTCGTATCTGATAGACGTCCCAGCTGCTCTAAATCAAGTACGCCCTGAGTGGGAGCGATTATACTACAACCACGAATTTTTTATTCATCTGCAGGAAGTTCAAAGTATATTGAACCAAAGACGCTCTGATGTCGCATTCAAAAGACCAGATTTTGTCCGCTCCGAATTCGCGTTCCCTATCCAACAACCCGGATATGAGCTGCCGACGCTTGGCAACGATATGATGAAGATGTCCCTCAGGAAAATAGGGGTGAACGGTGCCGCAAATCGTCGCAATTCTCAAAGAAAGTATACTCAACTCTCGCATCCACGTTTTGTGTCCAAGAGTAATGTATCACAAGAGCTGGCACAAATTATTGGAATTTTCTCATCATCAACGTCAATAATCAAGAGAAAGTACGCTGAAGATCTGAGAGAAAGTCTGGCCGCCTTTGATGCCCGCAATTTGCAAGATTCGCGTAACTATAAAAACTCAAACTCACAACCTATCGCGGAGCGCACGGTAGCCCAACTCCAAGAGATCGTCAAGACGTGCATTGCAGAGATCGTATCAGCAGTAGAGCAACCGAACAGCGAATTCTCGAAAAGGCAGATAAGCTGGCTGCAGCAGGGACAACTATGGCCTGCTATTACACTGACGACCCTCCTAGAGCAACTTCGTTCCTCCGCAAAGCGCTCATTTGGGGGTGGGATGAAAGAAGGGCTCCTCTATTTCGCATTGTCAATTACAAACCTACAACGACAAATACGAATGCAATCGTATCTGAGTGTCGGCGAAAACGCTCGTTATGATGATGAAAAGAAGAACGTGGGTCACAGCAATTGGAGAATAGAGGATTACACAGACTGGATACTTCTGGAGATTGAATCAAATTTGCTCATTCGCGAAACTCAAGTCGACGTCGCGTTAGCGATTATTGCGCCAGAGTCCAAGGCCAACAGCGTCCTCCAGCTTAATATGGGCCAAGGTAAAACATCGTGCATCATTCCAATGGCTGCGGTAGTACTTGCGGACAACAAAAACCTCGTAAGAGTTTCCGTGCCTAAAGCCTTGCTTCAGCAGACTGCTCAGTTGCTACATGGACGCCTCGGTGGCCTAGTCGGAAGAGAGATTAGCCACATACCATTCTCTCGAAGGACCCCAACGAAAGAGAACCAAATAAAGTTATTCCACAGAATTCATCGCGAAATCCAGAGGAAGCAAGGTGTTATGCTTTGCCTCCCGGAACATCAAATGTCATTTATGCTAAGTGGTCTTCAGCGTGTTCTAGATCAGCAAATCCCCGAAGCAAGCATGATGATTCGCGTACAAAAATGGCTTCAATCGTGCGCTCGAGATGTGCTCGATGAAAGCGACCATACTTTAGCGGTAAAGACGCAACTCATCTATCCTTCCGGGTCACAGATGGCAGTCGATGGACACCCACATCGTTGGTTGGTAGTTGAGCAAATTCTTGGCTTAGTGGATATGCATCTACATGATCTCTCTGCCAGTTTCCCTCATTCTATTGAGGTTGTAAGGCGCCCACGAGGAGGCTTTCCGTTCGTCTTTTTCCTCCGACCAGACGTAGAAGAGGAGATGGTCAAGCGTCTCAGATATGACGTTTGCCAAGGCGTCAGGGGTATAGTACCAATTGACTCCGTTGAACAGGCAGACCGTTTGGCGATCAAAGAATTCCTTTCTAGCGGCAAGGTCCGCCAATCTAGCCTAGATCGCATAAGTTACCTGTGTCCCGATCGACCTCATGTCAAACAGACTATTTATTTACTTCGAGGGCTGTTCGTCCATCGAATACTAATCATGGCCCTCAAGAAAAGGTACGGGGTCCAATACGGACTCCATCCCGATAGAGACCCAGTTGCCGTGCCTTTTCATGCCAAAGGCGTTCCGAGTGAGCAGTCCGAATTTGGACACGTCGATGTAAGTTATATGGCATTCTTATTTTTGATCTGATTGGATTAGGAGAAAAACAGCCATGAAATCATTCATTTACTAACTGGAGCAAGGTCGCTATATTGTTGACAGCACTAGCCTTTTATTATTGTGGAATCAATATGCAGCAGACACGCCAGGCTTTAGAAGCCGTACTGAAATCCGACGATCCCGCCTCTGAGTACGACAAGTGGACTGAGGACGAAAATTTCCCAGACTATTTACGTGATTGGCATTCTATTAACGTTGACGACTCACAGCAAATGAGCCAAATATGGGGCAGTGTACGGTTCAAGGTCCCTGTCATTGACTATTTTATGAACAATTTCGTCTTTCCGCCGCATGCAAAGCAGTTCAAGGTTCGTTTGCAATCTAACGGCTGGGATATCCCACTCCCCGTGACACAATCAGATAAAACCACCAAGCATACAACTTTGAATAAGTCAAGAGGACTTACAACGGGATTCTCTGGTAAGTATCCTGAATGTGAGAGCTTTAGTACCGGCGCTAACCTCGTGTAGGCACGAATGATATCAAGCCTCTATTACCATTGACTATCGCACAGGATGACCTAGCCTCGCTATCTCATACGAATGCAGAGGTTCTCACATATCTCCTCCAACCCAGATCTAGGAAGTATGTGGTGATGGCCGATCACAACCAGAAGCGTCTTAACGAGATCGCTTTCTTACATATGCTAAAAAGACATAATATTCGCGTTTTGATCGATTCAGGTGCACAGATCCTTGAACAATCAAATAAGGAACTAGCCGAAAATTGGCTCAATGTAGATGGACGGGCGACAGTTGTCCTATACTTCGAAGGAGACACTCCATACATTCTCTCCAAGCAAGGCACGAAGGTTCCGCTACTCGCCTCGCCTTATGCAGATAATCTTAACGAGGTCTTAGTATATCTTGACGAAGTATGCCCCCAGCACAACCGAACACTATTTGAAAACGTGAAACTAATTCTTCATAGGCACATACTCGGGGGACTGACTTGAAGTTCGGCATCCGCACTATAGCTGCCCTAACACTAGGGTTAGGTCAGACCAAAGATCACACTGTTCAAGGTATTGAACACATCCTGGTATCCATTACGAAGCTAACTTAATTGCAGCTGCGATGCGTTTACGCCAACTCGGAACGACACAGTCTGTAGTATTCTTTGCTCCACCAGAAGTGAATCAGAGCATCCGAGATTTATGCAACAAGAAGGATAGTGATATAGTAGACTCCCATGATGTGTAAGTTCGGCCTATATTTATTCTGTATCAGGAGCGTGACTTACATAATCACAGAATATATTGGCTTATTAACAATACCTGCGATGGGATTGAACAACTGCAACCGCTTTACTATTCCCAGGGCACAGATTTCTGTAACCGAATGCAGGCCGCTGAGGACTATCCAGACTTCCTGGTTGATGAAGAACACAGGTCAGCATTTACAGATGCTATCAAACACAAGGAACGTCAGAGCCTTCAACAGCTATACGGACCCCAAATGAAATCAAAAACAAACACATCTACAAAGTCCAATCCCAGGATTGCCGATTTCGTCAAAGAGCTTGAGATACGCAGAAAAGGCTTCCAGGATACCGGTCAGGCGGTCCATGCTTCAGCCCTCCAAGAAGTGGAGCAGGAGCGAGAGACCGAGATTGAAGTTGAAGCCGTCCGACAAGTTAAGAAGCCCTTATCCTATATACCCCATAAGTTCCCCGGCCTTCACAAAGACCTGGAGACATTTGCTAGGACGGGCAGAATTCCAGCCGGATCGGATAATTTCATTCATATCTTGAGGGCTCTTGCAAGAACTTCCCTCGGGCGAAAGTACAAGGTCAACCATGCTGTTAGCTCTTCCATGCTATTCGTATCAAGCGAATTTGAACGAACTGTGAAGTTAGTCATTGAGTCGACCAATGACAATTTTATGGTAATGTTTTAACCCATCCTTGAAACTTATCGGCGTACTAATTGTCGTGAAACAGCGTCCCGTGCAGTGGATACTTTACTCGCATTCCCCTGAAGCGGCCGTCGTCGTGACCCCTGAGGAAGCCGAGCTCATAATCGAAATCCTCCAGGAAACCGTAAGAAAAAACCGAGCCAGCGCGACACGACTCCTGACATACGCAGCACCTGTCACACGACGAATGTTGCATTTCAACAATCTGAGGTTTTATAGCATGCCTCCTCTTCCCGATGAGTGGCAACCTGCTGAGTGGTTTACTACTGAGTTGGGCCTCTTCGCGGGAAGGCTATATTTCGAGTGGTCCGAGTATGACAGCATCTGCAGAATTCTCGGTATCGATTCATCCGCATTAGGGGTAGAGGAATTTGATAGTTCTGAGGCTGAAACTAATGAACAATACACGGAATCTGTCACTGGCGGACGCGCGGATGCGACTCTCGATCGGGCAAATGGAGTACAGGATGCCCATAACAATCGCGTGGGGGGCGCGCGACGTCCTAGCCAGAAATTTTGCGGCCTCACACCAAAGCCATACACGTTCGTACAGGAGTACTTGGCAGTTCGCAGACGCGGCCAGGACTTTACTCATACCCCTATGGGATTTATATGCAGTGGAAAGCCATTGAGCCAAGACAGCGCCTTCTTCCGACGTATCGAAGCATCCCGACGGGTCCAGGGCCTTATGCCTACTGGTGCTGTTCATACCGATAACGTCGAAGACGAAGCACCCGAGGAGATGATGGATCTAGGAAACTATGATCCTTCGGCGGAAGTTGGGGATGACGAGGATCATGTCTCCATTGAGTATGACGAATCCGAAATGCACCGAGCATCCGAGGAGTCCATCGATTCTGACGACGAGGCTCAGTCTACCGAAGCCCACTCCTCAGGCGTCGGTCGTAGACGACAGGCCGGTAGGGGAATTAGAGTTGGTAGGGGAACCAGAGGTGGTAGAGGGAGGTAAAGGCGATATGCGCCTATGTTGGAGTAACTCCTATAGGATCTTGCTCACTTCTCGTTTGCTCTTCTTTTCTTTTTTCCTTTCTTTTACGTATCTCGATCAGGTGTAAGGAAGTTTCGGCTCCATGTAAAAAGCTATAAATAAATTGTTTCTTTTTTGATATTTGCAAAGCCACTTCAGCTGGCTGGCTGTGTTTGGGACCTGTGACCAAGATCATTAAGCTTACATAATTGCTAAAGCCAACAAGGAGGCCTCTACGGTCAGATATTTAAGGAGTATGAGATGACCATTATTTATTAATACCGAGTATTTCGCTATTTATTTTGGGTGCACGTGTATTAATCTCATAAAAATCGGATGTAATGATTGTGCATCCGGGTTCTAATCGTCTAAAAAACGAGTCCCACCACCCCTGTTGGTACTTGGGTCCATCCTAGCGCTTCGGCTTTTGATTGGCCAAAAGTGGCTCCTTTTTCCAGAAGGGGTAAGTAGCACGTAAAGCTACGGCGTAGCTCCGAATAGCTTCAGAAAGTTGGACACCATGTTAAACCGTGGAATTTATCTCGATAACATCAAGTAAATCCACTACACGTTATAGCCAAGCTATCACGAAGGGAAATTCAACAATACCCTCTGATGTCTAAACATGGTATTAGACTAAACTCATTGATTGTCAAAGGAAATGATCTCATGCGTTCTTTAGTAATAGACAGAATGCATTGGAATGGGTTAGGGTTAGGGGTAGCTTAGGGTTATAGGAAAACAACCCCTTTCTTTGATGACATAATCATATTTAATGATGAACAATGCTGCTGATGTAATCACAAAAGGGAGCTCACTGATGACTAAGGCAACTGTGTGACATTCATCCCCCTTTTTACAAAGAAACTCATAACAATTTTGATAACATCCAACAAGGCCATTATAAGCGATGTTGGCGAATAAAACAACTCTTTTCCCTATTCAAGGACGAAATCTCTGATAGAAAACTATATAAACCGGGCGAGCCACCTCATCATGATCAACATCTCCAAGCATTGCACCACAAGTTAAACAAACAACAAGCTAAAGACAAGTTTTCCGAATCCTAAAAAATCAAAAATTATCCACAATGGCTACCTCCAAGTTTTGCTCCCGCGCGATGCTGGTCTCCATCATCATCATCCTTTTCATTTCGGCGGTGGTATTCAGCCATCCGGTCCATGCGGAACCTGCCAGTCAGACGCACGCATTAGACTGCAACTTTCATCGCAACGATCGTAGTTGCAACTGTACTACTAACAGTCCTATTGACGGTTAAAGTAGTACGACTCCCACTGAGTTCATTAGTCAGGAACGCAATGTAACCATTTCTGGTTTCTCCACCCCTTAGGTCGTTAAGGGCGACGAGACTGACGCAGTCAAGACTAGTGAGAGTAGTAGTTCGCCTAAGAGCGCGCTTAATTGGATATTCTCGCTTGCCGCAGTGAGCTGGACCGTGGTCGTCCTGGTGATGGCCATTCTCGGGTAAGTGTCTGGGGGTAAACTTAGGTAAGTTGTCGTGTGGTATAAGCTTGCTTAAAATGCTAGCACCGTAGAAGACGATGTCTCTTTCCATAGCCCCCTAAAGAACAATATACTAGTTACGCGTAAAACTTCCAGATAGTGCCACTGTGATATAATACGTGTATACAATGTTACTCACCACGCTTCACAAAGCATTGTGTTAGCGATGAAATTGATATTTCACCCCTGAGTCACTTGTGTAACAGATTCCAACTCACCGTGCCACCTAACGTGTCCGTGATTTTATATTTTTTGGTGAATTCGCCTATGTTCTGTAGTGAGCATTTAAATGCGAACTATCGTTTCGCCCATATGAATATTGTCGTATGATGGAAACCCCTTGACCAAATGTCCTAAATGATTCGACACAATCCACTTATCGATACGCAGCATGATGGATAGGAGATTCTCGGAACTTCAGTCTAATAGGCCTTCTAGGTCAATCGATTCTAAAGACTCATACCCAGTCAATATGGAAGACCTAGAAGTGGTCGATGCCCTCATCATCGGCGCCGGTGCGGCCGGCCTCGCAGTCGTATTGTCTCTCATAGAACGACCCGAAATTCATAGCATCGTTATTGTTGAAAAAGAATGGATGGAATGGGACCTAGGCGGTGGACTTGCGTATTCTCCGATCGCGGATGGAGGGACGACGAACCGTCGTGACGGCGCAATGTCCATGATCCACGAAAACCCTAGCCACTTTGAGGATTGGCGTAAAGAACGTTATGAAGACAAAGAGGCAGGAAACGATTATAGCGATCGGGAAACTTATGGTCGTTACCTGCAGAGTTTATTCCGCGAGCTAGATGTGAAGGCCGCCAGATTTTCCGTAAACTTGACGATCATTCGTAGCGACGCCGTTGATCTAGACTCCCCCACGAATGGAGGTTTCTATCCGTATAGGGCGACGCTCCGAAATGGATGCTTCGTGTATGCGAAAGGCGTGGTGCTCGCTCTTGGCAACTTTCTGTCCATGAAGCAAGCGCATCTCAGCACGGCCTTAGGATACTTCATGACTCCGTGGCCACTAAAAAAGCTCGAGGAATTACCCAAAGATGCATATATCGGAATCATCGGTACCAACTCATCGGCTATCGACGCTGTGACTAGATTGTACGAGAGACATCACCGGGGATTGATTTGCATGATGAGCAGGAGTGGGAGTGTACCACGTTTCGAAGGGCAATCGCGATATTTCCCGCAAGCCTATGTCTTGCACGCCATGGTACGAGAACTTGAGAGCGGCAGGATATCTTTAGAACAATTTCTTAGCCGTCTTGAGGATATTCTTCTACGCCACGATAGCGTGAATACTGACGACCCAGATACGGATGCCCCCACGGACCGCAACGACATTGTGCACCGAACTATTATCAAGGATATGAACGACTCGATCGAGGGTGGTGTGCGAATGCAACACATCTTAAACGCATTTAAACCTATCGCCGAAAGGGTGTGGAATTCAGCAAAGTTGACCGGCAAGACTGATGTCCTAGAAGATCATCCTGCTTGGAAAACCGTATGCCAAGAAACGATGTCGGCATACCATGCGATGGTCCTCCTAGACCTCACTAAGAAGGAGAACTTCAAGATCATTCAAGACAGCAGTGTCGGCTTGAAAGGAGACAATCATTTCTTGATGGGAAGAAGAGAAAGAGTGCGTGTTGATTACGTAATCGAAGCCACTGGACTGGAACACAACGTCGGGGTGTTGTCGTATGAAATCCCTATCCTGATGAAAATGCTCCAGAAAGGGTTAGTTGAACGCGACAACTTCGGCGGCGTCAAGGTTGGGTTTAGAGACCATCAAGCTAGTCCCGGTTTATATGTAATCGGATCACTTACTAAGGGAACACATTACTTCGTGGAAGATATCGAACGAATTGTAACCCACGCTTCACATATTTCGAAAGGTTGGCTTGGACCGCCCAGCGAGCCAAAGCATGTGGCTCTATTCGTCGACAGGGACCTCTTCTCGATAATGATAATGATGGATATTGTACCTAAACTGCTTGCGGAAGGCCATATGCCGTTTATCTTTCTTCTTGGAGATCCGGATGGGTCTATGTACGCCGGAGGGGAAGAGCGCGAATACTACTTCTTCGAATCTCTATTAATCTCCCAAGTTATAATACCGGGGTACAGGTCGTATGGCGGAAAGCCACGAATAGCACTGGCAACGGATTCCGTCGACAATGAGTACGGGGTTCTCGTCCAAGAAATTGAGGATGCCAACGATCCTATCTTCTCGACAATTCTGGAACAATACGATATCGATATCGGCTTTTTGATTGGTTCGAGAGTAGATGCGGTTGAGGGGATCAAGGATTTGTGCATACTGTCTCAACCAAAACCGAGCACATCAACCTCCTACGAAGATATTAAACGAGGCCTAGAAGAGGGCGTGGACCTTTTTGGCTATAATCTATATTTCCTAAGCCAAAGGGATAGATACGAAAACCTCCTTGGGTCAAGAGAACGAAGTATCCGAGGAGCTCCTTGTGTTCTTAGCGCGATGTTAGATAGCATCGATCTAGGTGTTGAACTCGTGGTTAATGCAGTCGACAGCGTCTCTCGAAGGAAACCGATGACGACCACCCCTCAAATTCTTCATAATGATCGGGATGATTCTGATATGCTGCCTTCTAGGATCGTGGATATACCTTCAGTGATCGACAAGGTCGCTAACTACTTCGCTACTCCCGAGACCAGAGAACGCTTGCTGAGGGATATCCGTGAAGGTCTGGTGTGTTGGGGGGTTGAAAACTATGATATGCGGGAGTCGCGCGCCATGGAAAAATATATCGGTAGCTTTAGCCCGGTTGTGTAGTTACGTTATGAATTTTATATTATTTGAATCCTTAGTATATCACCGATAAATAATATCTTAACCAAATCCGAGTATGGGGTCTGAAAAGTCAGCGAGACGCGCGCTAATAGCAATTGAATTATAGTGGGAGCCCTCTGTAATTATAGGTGAGCATGCCGCTAAGCTGTAGCGGTAGCGAATAATTATAACCTTGGAACACACCTGTAGAGGGCTTCCTTAAAAGGTCTGCGCAAGCCTCATAATCCCCTAAAAAGCCGCTAAGATATAGCATATCAATTGCCTCTCCAGTGACGTGTATACCACTACAATAGCGCAGCACTCCCCGCATTTACAGTGAGCGAACAGACCATAGGTATAGTTGTCCACTGTAATTGTAGTGAGGCTCCCACTAAATACAGTCCACATTTATAGAGCTTCAGGCATTTATTTAGCGAGATTTACAGCACAAAGGCGTCGCAAACGTTTCATTTATTCAACAGAATGAAAGAGATCTAACTTTTTACCAATTTAAACCCCCTATTTCGGAATTTCCAATTCGGTGTGTAATCTTAAATCTCTTGAACTCGCTGCGACATATACTGTCTTCGGAAATTCTGTAATGCGCCAGTCTTCGGCCTCGGCGTCCCAGTTGCTGAGGTCGCGATACGTCACGTCAAACGCGACCGTCTTCGTCTCGCCTGGCTCTAGATAAATTTCATCAAACCCGCGCAACACGACTTTCGGCTCCGTCGGACCACCATGAGAGATGTACTATCAAATATGTTAGATAAAGCGATATTATGCGAACTACATAGTTGATGAATAGCTTACCAATTGAGGAATATCAGCACCAGCTACCTCTCCTGTATTCGTGATGTTCGCGCTAACAACATACAGTACCTTATACTGTGCTGGATTACCACCTGATGGGCCTCCCGCGGGCAAGATTGGCTGCGCTGACGCGTTCTGGCTGTTAGGTGGGATATCATATGTTGTATTCGGCAGCGTGGTGCTATTGATATACGGATAAATGAATCTCGGTATCCTCTCAAAGCCCTCTGGCGCAACCGCGTTCTTCGGGTCTAAATCCAGTTCTCCGTACGTCGGCGCGGCCGGCGTCTCCCCTCCAGCTGGCTCGTATTTCCCAGCGTCTTCCTGTAGAGCTACAGTGAGGTCCGAGTACGTGAAGTTGGTGTAGCTGAGCCCGAAGCCAAATTCGTAGCTCGGCTCAATTTCTTCCCGGTCGAAATATCGGTAGTCGATGAATACTCCCTCGGCGAAGTCTTGCTGCGGTTGGAATGAACTGGAGTTTACTAATGTCGTTACGCCCCAGTCCTGAGGCGCTTTGCCTAACGTGTATGGTAACCGACCTTGCGGGTTGACGCGCCCGTAGAGAACGTCGGCTAGTGAGTTACCCGATTCCTGGCCTGGCAGACCCGCCCATAAAATGGCGGTGACGTTGGGGTTGTTCTTAATGTGGTCGATCAGGACGGGCCCGACGCTGTGAATTACAACAATAGTGTTCGGATTGTCAGATGCGACGGCGTTGATCAACTCATCGCCACCTTTCCATAACGTCAAGTTGTTTCTGTCACCGAAGTTACCATCAAGAGTAGTGTATCCCTCTCCTGAATCCGCGTTAGCGAAAACGATCGCGACGGAAGCGTTCCTCGCAGCAGCTCGGGCTGTTTCAAGGTCGAAGTTCCCTTTAACATTTATGAAAGCTGTTCCCTCTTGCAGCGCTTCTTTCTCGAGAGCTGCGGCCGGTGAAATCAGATAAGGGTACTCGGCCGTGGCCGAACCCCAGCCCATTGCCAATGTTCCATTGTTACACACTCTGTCCACGCAGCCGTTAGGTCCATCAGGGTTATCCTGCGCATCCTCGCCAATTACTGCGACAATTCTAGGCCGAACCAAAGGCAGAGCATGGTTAACATTCTTCAGAAGAACCGTCGCCTTTGCGCCAATCTCCCGAATTAATTCGCCATGATCGGCCTGTACGTCGACATGTTTGTTCACAGTCGTATTTCCCATCTTGGCAGCCCAGTATCGCGGACCTTCGGTTTCATACGTCCAAGATGAGTAGTTGATGTCGATCTGCTTGGTATCGCGTCCAACCTTATAGAAGGCTGCCATAATGCGGATAACCATGTCATCAAGTCGCCATTGCGGTATCGCGCCGCTGAGAACCGCTTCGGTTAGTGCTCCACCCCAGTATGTTCCATATCCGCCCGCGCCGAAACCTTCACCGGGCATCGTCATATCCAAACCCGCCAGCGCGCTAGGAACACCGCTATGCTGAGCGCCCCAGTCGGAAACCACTGAACCAAAACACCATAAGCTCATATCCCCTGTCAAAAATCGAAGAGGGACAACTCACCGAACCCCTGGAACCCAAGCTCATTCTTCAACAACTTATTCAAAACATACGAGTTCTCACACGCGAAACTATTATTAATCTGATTGTACGAGCACATCACACTTCCAACACCCGCGCGCACAGCGTCGGCAAACGGCCATAAGTAGACTTCGTGCATGGCCTTGTCGTCGATATTCGTGCTAATACCACTGCGGAAGTGTTCTTGCTCATTTAGTACGTAGTGCTTGACACTAGCTACCACGCCTGCGGATTGTGAACCAATAATGGTTTCGGCGACTGCGACACCGCTTAGGTACGGGTCCGGTCCGAAAGCTTCGAAGTTGCGACCACCAGCTGGGTCACGTCCGAGAGGTCCGACGACGGGGCCTAGGTGCACATCTGGGCGGGTCAGTGCGATTAGTACCTATTGATATTATACGAAGGTAGCAATGAAGCACTCACCAATACCCTTCCCTCCAAATTCCGCTCCAATCGCCTCTCCCCTCTTTCGGAGAAGAGATCGCGACCAAGTCGCCGCAGCAGTAATTCCCGCGGGGAACACCGAGTTCAAATCCGCTGCAGACGTAGATCATACTCAGTACATATTCCTCAACCAATAATCCAAATTCTACTTCTCATTCTTGTAAGGGTTCAACTTACTATATCGTACTCCCACAGGTCCATCCTGCAAACACAAATGTCTAAAATTCAATCGGGGAATTGAACCCGTGTTCCCTGTGCACAAGTCCGCTTGGTTACCCGTTCCCGTCGTCAAATTGACCTTCTCAAGCAACGTGAGTCCAGCGACGAACTCGCGCGCCTTCGCATACGCCTCATCCCATCCAGGCCCCCCAGTACCCCACGGCGAGGGGTACGATAGCTCAAAAGTAGCGCGCTGGGCACTACCCGCCGTCGCGAGAGCGAGAAATGCTGCTGCTATGCGCATTTTATTTATCGCTATCCTACGGCCACGATGAAAGTCAATTCGAAAGATTCAAAATGACTAGAACAAGCTCCTAGGCAAGTGAGGGGAGGTAATTATCTCACATCCAAGACAACGGCGATCGCGTCATCTAGATCCCCAATCGGAACCAATTACTGCATGTGTATGCCAGAGCTCCAGGGGAGCAATATAAAGGCAATTAGATCTCACATCGGTTCACTCGAACCGAGTGATGAATTGCCTGATTGAGTTGGTTCATTTGCGGCAGAATGCGGAAGATCTACGCGGGAGGATAAAGTCAGCGAAATGTTGAGATGCCTAGAATCGCATCTCCAATCTAGAGCTTTTCCGTATCTTGAGATATGAGCTATCAGTTTCAAAACAATCACAGTGTGATATAAGTGGTAGTAAAGAAGTAGACTATCAATCGCAATACCTAATTCATCGCCGGCGTCGGTGGGAATCCCTTTACCAGTCCAGTCTGTAACTCCCAATGTCTACTCGAGCATAGAAAATAAAAACCCTAGAAATCATAAAACGACGTACATCCTATGAGAACTTGCTCGTGAAAGCGCCTAGTACCATCTTCCTCTTCTGCTGGCCGACGAACTTGCTCATGTCATCAGCCCACCTCTGACTGCTATCAGCAGCGGAGTCTAAGCTGTCGTTCATAATATTTAGCTTCTCCGTCCGTTCATTTAGTTGTCTAGTAAGGTATTCGCCCCAACCTTCCTGGCCACCGGATTGCGCACTAGGTCCCGCTCGGGCATTCCGTTCCATAGCCGCCGCTGCAGAGATCATTCGCTTACTAGGGGGCCGATCGGGACCACCGATCAAAAGATCCAAGTCCGTCGGGGAGACATACTGTGTTCCCGATATCCACTGCACATTCGAGATGGTCGGCCTCGGCGGGATTTCGAGTTCGGGGTTGATGAGCTTGTCGGCTGTGTTCTCAAGTTCTTTGCCAGTACCCCATACTTGGAGGACCGCCAGTTCGGAGGGTCCCGTCCAGCAGAACACATCACCATCCTCCGTAACCAGGGAGCTGCTACACCGGCTACCATCCATCATAGGTAGAGGATAACTTCCAAGCTCCTTGAGGCCTGGCAGACTAAAAGCTCGTGTTGTCAGATCCCCGAACACACCAACCAAAGCCATACCGTGCAATTCGAATTCGGTCACCGCAGCGGCGTCGCAGAGATAATTATCGAATGATTTCGAGGCACCCTTAGATGAAGCTGGTTTGAAAATACGAGCTTCGCTTTGTGTAACTGTAGCATGATTAGCACTAGCGTAAGATATTTTCCCTTCCACGAGGTAACTTACCGACAACAAGCAAGCCATTGACATGCTTACCCTCCCGAAGACCCGCGACGGCCTGTCCCGTAGCGAGAGCGGGCTTACCGCTATCGGCGACAATAGGGCAGATCGATACTACTTTGTCATTCAGGTGGGCAATTCCCGCTAAAGAAGCCGTATATCCATTCCCTAAAGGTAGAATCTTGAATGTGATGACCTTTCCAAGATTTGTTCCAACGAAACAGCATATGCTGGAATATTTATCCTCGTCAAGTGTCATAACACCAAACTCAATTTCCACCGGCCACTCTTTACCCGCTGACACGCTAGAGCGATGCTTTAGAAATGATGATCGCTTTTCTTGCTTGACGAACTCAGTCATAGAGGCCTGGAACATGACCGAGGGTCCTCGAAGGTCGATAATACTAAAGAATCCACCCTCAGATCCGACACCAAGGAAACCCGCATCCGATGCTTTAATGGCACTAATAGGGCCCTGCATCATTTCGTAAAGAGCATGAGGTTGGAGTCCACTCTTAAGTGACGGCTCAGACCTCGTGCTAATGTTAGAGATACCTCCGGGATTAGGATCGATCTTTTGATTTTGGGGTTTGCCGAAGTACTGGTTGCCACCCCACCGGTATATGACAACCTCACCTTGTCTGGTACCAACGGCAAATTCACCAGTACCAGAAGCCAAAGTCATCGCCGTTATGTCAACATCCTCATAGCGGTCAAGAGCACGGGCGACATCGACCTGTAATTGAGAGGGATTCTCGATCTCGTCGCCATGACCAACGTCCCAAATCCGGACGGTACTATCCGCGTGGGCAACTTGGATGACAGTCCTTCCCTCGAATCGTCGGCGCGGTCGTGGTGCCTCGGCGCCTCCCTTCAACAACGGCTCACCTTGGCTCCGGTTCTCGACCATTCCAAGCCACCTACCACGATCGAGGTTGGTAACGGCGAATTTCGTCGCGAATGGATGAGCAAAGGATACGGAGGGGTGAAGTTGGTTTGTTGGTGAAATTGGGTAGCCACTCGGGAAGCTTAGGGTTAGAATCTCTCCTGATGTGAGTAGGGTCATTATGGCGATCGGGTCTTGGGCACCGGCAAAGTGGGGTGAAAGGCGTGGGATGAGGAAATAGTCCGCAATTCCGACTCCGATAGGTGTCTCTATTGTGTTTTGTTGTTTACCCTTTAGGTAGTCTGACAGAATTTGCCATGATGAAGTGGCATAATTGGGCGTAACACCGAGATCGATGAAAGTAAGTCCATTTGAAGGTTCTTCCAGCTTCTTACCACCAGCAATAAGGAGCCCGCTATCCTCTGGGTTCTGTTTACAGCACCAGGAAATGCGCACGAAAGGATGCTTTGCATTCGTGGATCCCGGATTCGGCACAGGTTGGTCAATGTTGGAATCGTAGAGCGTTCGTGCTAAGACCACTCGACCATCTCTTGCATCCCAAAATACCAAGCTTCCATCATCATGAGCTGTCAGTATGAAAGTTCCAGTAGGATGCCATAATGCGTGGGTAAGTTTGGGCCTTCGCATAGATTCGACGGCTTGACTGGAGCCTCCCGGAGCACCTGGCGGAACTTGATATTCGAAGAATTTGTTAGGCGTGTTCTGCTTGAATGAATAGACAACTACGCCATGATTATAGGCAATAAGTAGTTTTCCTACATCACGGGGATGCAAGCGCAGTGAGACAACAGTGACAGCTCTAGCTTTAGGATCCTTCTCTAACCAGAAGTTAGGAAGTTTGAAAGGGGACATGCGTTCCCGATCAAGGTCGTATGCGAATACTTCGCCGGATTGCATGCCGAGGAAGCACCAATCTAGCATAGGGTCGGTAAGCATGCAATAGACTACACCGGGGGCGCGAAAGCCGGTGATTCGTTTGCCGGTATCGAGATCCCATAGCACAACCTCATTCTTGGTATCAAGACTAACCAATCGGTTCGCACAGAATTGTATATCGGAGAATGAACATGATCTACTAGGGACGAGCAGCTTCTGAACGCGACTTTGGCCGAAGACATATATCCTTCCGCTACCGAATTTGGATTCATTTGTACCAATAGCTAGGAGAGATTGTACGGGTTCATAGGCGATACAGCTATATGATAGATATCCAATGTTAGTCTCGGGGAATTGTAAGAGATACACATACAGCTAATGATATGATCCAAATGGGTTCATCATGATGATAGCGCGATGCGCGTAGTAAGTTCGCATACCTAATTTGGGAATTAATGCCGTAGCGGGCTCGGTCATCTGGAATAAAGGAACCGGGAAGAATATTGGCTGACAGGTCATTTGACATACCTGCCTGCCTTCCTCGAAGAAAGCTCGCCATGATTTATGAAGTTGTTTGATATTATGGAACCAGTCCACAGTTGTCTCCTTTTGTTGTTGTTCCTATTCCGAATGGGTGTCTAGTCTTTTAGTCGTTCAAGTTCCAGGAGGTTGCCTGATGTTTGAAAGATGCGCATACGTCATTCCTATTTTAAGCTATTTTCATAAGCCACTTTCCGGACCCCGCAGTCACAATGCTCTGTAGCCGTGTAGCCGTGAAGAGTGGGGCTGAGATGATCAACTAAAGAAAAGGGGTTGGGGACGGATTAGGTAATGTATGGCTGCTGACTAAGAGGGAGGACCGAGATGACATAAGCCAGCATAAGTTACACAACCCCTCACCTCTTTTCATCTTCACGCATCGCTCAACCATTCCTCACTCACTCACACACCCATTCCAACTATCACATCCCCAGGTATCAATCAAAACTTACCATCAAGCTTTACATATATTTCCCTAGTGGTAAATAAACCACTCTATCATAACCAGCAACATTCCTGCAAGCTACATCTTCCCCAGCTCAGTCGCGAAATTAGTACCAAGTATATTAGGAGCGGTTACACCATCGTTACCAACTGGCGTAACTTCACCGTAGTCGGTCACAAACAAATCCCATGACAGTACCATCTAACATCGTTCATAACTTAGTCCGAATGAGTGGGACGAATGAGGAGATTGAAGTTTAAATTAAAAACCCAGCAAGGCAGGGCGCTTGGCCTTATGCAGGAGGTAGCCTGGCTACCACACTACCTACATACGATCCACTACATGTGACTGCTTGAATACGTCCACTGGACTATAGTAATGAGAAATCGTTACGGATAGGTTTAAGCAAGTAATAATAAGTTCTTCATCGTATAGGGGTATATCTAGAAGTACATTGTGGTTCTCCCACCTCCCTCTTTTTCATTGGTGATACAAGAGTTCCTTCAAAATAATGTATACAAGAGTTGCCAGTACCATATGTACGTCCTCCTTTTGATGTAACCCAGTCGCAAGCAGTTAATAGAGAGGTCAGATTAATTGTGGACTATAGTCACCCTCGAAACGAAAGAGAGTCATATCATGAGAGAATTGGAACATCGACACGATCTGATTCACCAAAGCGAAAACCCAGGTATCATCGGTATAGCATCGTGGGGTGGCCACATGAATCAGTGTACAAATTCCATATCAAACGCGACCAGAGCTTTTACGCTTTGATAGGTCGAAGTTACGGGCCTTGCCGGCATTTAAGATAGCGAAGGAACCAGAGAGTTCCGCGGAACCTTCAGCTCCCTGGCCGGTCTCAACCTCCTACTGTGCATACGGTACATCTCACTGCATGCATAGCTCGCCTCGCCTCGCTACAAAGAGATGACTCCTAATGGCCTGGCTGGTAATGGGACCAGCGATGGCGGTGTGTTACAGCCGAGTTTATCATAGTGTGTAAGTAAGAAACACATCTATGATCCAGGCCTGGATGAGACTCCGCGAGTATGGAGTCCACAGCCATTTACGTAGGTCATAACTAGTGAGCATAAGTCTTCATACTATGTTAGTCATTACGGTATGCAGGAATTTCAGCACAAAGTCCAGGCTTGAATAAGTGGTCACTGTACTTTGATAAAGTCTTATTAGGTCACATCGTCTGTTTGGGCATTGCATATAGCCTTATGAACGATAGGGGGGTGGACGGTGGTGCATAGACCTTTTCGAACGCCACGTTCCAAAGTATCCAGACACCTCCTGCACCTTCACGCCAAATTCGGTATTCACAACAACTACGCTAATATACAGTATAGAGAAGTGAATTCTTTAATAGTATCAATGTGCAGAATATCCTGGTTCTGTAATGTAGCAGGGTATCTATTGTGATAGTGGCTTGGAGATCCACTAATTAAGTAAGAGTACGACAATTTGGTACGGATTTCCTTAACACGATATATCATATAGGCAATAGGCAGCAATACCTACGTAGTTAACTTGTTGAGTCTTATGGTAAATAGTTTTAATAAAACTACAGAGTTGTTCATTTCTATTTCTTCCTCTCGCACATATCCACTTCAAACTTCTAGTTGTCCTCAGGTTGCAATATTGTTCGCTAAAATGCCACGATTAACACCACCAGAAGAGCCGAGTAAGTAGCTTTATATTGCCTTGAGATTTGGCGAAACATCTTTAACATCTCAAACTAATAATGACAGATTCGGAAAGTAGCGGTACCCTCAAGCAGGTTACTCCAAAGAAACGACAAGCAAATGTGAAGGATTTTGACTGGGTAAGACCTCCATTCCGTCTCGCAGGAGTTTTCCTAGGAAACTATTAGCAAGGCTTGAATTAATGTACTAACCTGTAGCAGTCCTCCGGTGACGACAGTGGAATTCACCCTATGAAGATCTTGAAGACGAATAATCGTGACGAGATAGGATCTGGGCTTCAGAAACAACTTGAATCAACGGCCGCGAAACTTACAGGCCAAATAGGGGAAATCACAGATCAAATCGAAACCGCCGCTCTTGATGCCACAATCCGGCTTGAGGACGCGGCAGTACGAATCAAGACTGCGATGGATAGGCTTGAAAAGGCCAAAAGGGACATTGAAGAACTTGTCAACAAGCTCTAACCTATCGGTGTTGTCGTTTTCCAGGCCCCTTAGAATTCTCACACCAAGAAAATCACTGCCATATATGCGAAAGACTCTTGGCCGCGGGTTTGTGTCATGAATTCGGAAGTCGAATAAATAAGGGTTGGTGGAGTATACTTCCAAGCTATATGACTTGGAAGTATGGTGGGCGATGTGGCATTCGAGCATACATAATAATGAATATTCGGAATTTTGGGTTAGGGAGGTAAAATTGGGCTGGGGAGTACACGGGTTCCAGTCATATTCGGCATCACAACACTTTGTGGTTGGCAAGGGCGGCATAATTGCTATCATTCGTTCCTTATACCCCAAAAAGTAACAGATATCCCTATTATAGTCGTCGGGTTTTCATCTCTCAAGATCAATACACTCGTTTCATCCGCGGCATAGTATAGTTCGTTGACCTCGAGGTTGATCCTTAGGAATGGAACAAACACCTGCCCATCCTAGATGGGTTCCGCCTTCGCATGTCTCCCTTGGCCAAGCTCAAGCATAATCCATTCGTAAACAGCCCATTGCACAGCATTGACGATGAAAGCTCTTACGCTACATACGGTCAGTCCCCGAAAGAACACCCGCGTACCGCCCTCTCTATATGCTTCTCTAGCGGTCTCGATTGCTTCAAGGCGCTTCTGCGAGGACGAGGAGGAGCCCAGTAATGGCGCCGTCGCCGGATCAAAAGTCTGCGCCTGAACCCTAGTTTTGATCACATCGAGCGGAAATATACTGGCCCAAGTAACAACACCGGCAAGACCTCCACAGAGTAAGACTTTAGCTGCGTCCTGAGAGAAGGCAGAGCCATTCTGTCGGTTCGATTCGACCCATTTGCTACTTAATTCGTATGACCAAAAATAAAATCCGTAACCGATACTATCCCTCAACGCTGTGACCACACCACCAAAGTACAGGCCTCTGATTCCCTCGGTTTTAAAGACCTGCTTTGCAATACTCCAGCTTGAAGCCGGCGGTGATGATAACTGCGCCCGGCACTTAATAAGCTCGGTAGGTGTGCTTACTACCCATGTCGCCAAACCACCAATTGCCCCAGCGAACCATGTCGTCCAAAGGCTCGACTTAACATCGAGCGCATTATTGAGAGCAGCTTCGCTACGATTGTATGAGACGAAAAGTAAAGCGTTCAAGGCACCATATCCGAGCACAGGTGCTGCTGTCCCAGCTACCAACGCAGATTTGCTTTTGAATTGTTGAGCATATGACGCAGCCGTTTGTGTGGCTATGGCATCGCGCGCTTGTAATCGTACTTTGATGAGATCCAGGGGATTGCCGATCAAAATGCCAACGGCCCCGCTGATATAACCAGCCCAGAAGTCGGCGGACATATCCCTTAAATTCAATCGTATGAGGTCACCTTCGATATCTCTAAGCAATTGGATGGCAGGTAACCTATACCGTGTAGATTATACCTACGCCTTTTCCATCACAGCCTTCTTCTCACCTCCAAGTCATATGCAAATAGCCGAACGTGAGTACCATCATAAAAGTAGAAAAGTACAAGATCATTCAGAGTAAACACATGGTATAATACGAATTATAAATATCTCATATCAGTCTAGATGATAGGGACTGAAGTAGACGGATGTGAATTGGAAGATACAAAGTTCGACGGTACCCCGCGATGATGACCGCGGGGCAATGTACGGTGCGCGAACTGTGAATGGTGGAGTTGGTGTAGCTTGCTTATTAATTACCCACGTGACTTGGTGTTATTTCCCCGCTAGATCCGATGAAGCGCGTCGCGCTTTCCCAAAGTCAACAAAGTTGCTTAATTGATTTCCACGCCGGCGCGATTAAAGTGGCAAATCCATCCAACCTACAACTTTCTTTCTATCTTGCTGAAGTTCGCATTAATTAGACCGTCATCCGCTCGGCCAGACGAAGGGGGAGGAAATTTAGGCCCACGGAAAATGTAATCAAGCATCCCCTTTACCAGTACTAGTTTATATTTACTAACGAACATTGTACAGGGCGAGTACTCCATCTACTCCGTCGGTGAAGCCATATAATACCCCAGGAAAACGCCTCCATTCTCAAAAGTCCGTAGATCAGCTATACAAGCCATTCAAATGCCCAGGTTCCGCCGCTCGAACACCTGCGACCGACCGACCCGCCCGAAAACGAAAGAAGGTAGATTATAAAGGTGCTGGTGGTGACGGTGGCGAAGATAAACCCTACACAAATGCCGATAGGTTGGCTTTAGCAAATCGAGATGTCAATCAATTCCCCGTATTCCAAGCGAAAGACAAGGATAAGGTGTTTAAGAAGGCATTTTGTGTGCCCTTAATCAACAAGGAGAGCGCGGCGTACAATCCCAACCGTCCCCCTCCAACCCTCGGATTAAGGCAAGGAGCTGTTTTCGTGGCTAAACCTCTGCATGATCCAAGTGGGGAGTTCTCTATTGTGCTCCATGATCCTACCGTTGACGATCGACCGAAAGAGACCCTCACACCAAAAGAAGACGCACCCAAAGATGATCCCGCAGAGAAGCTAGATGCACCTCTAGTACATAAGAGTTTAGCTGAGATCCTAGGTATCAAAAAGAAGGTTGACAATGAACATCCCAGAGTTCCAGTCGTCATCGATCCGAAACTCGCTAAAGTTCTACGACCACATCAGATCGAAGGTGTCAAGTTTATGTACAGGTGTGTCACTGGAATGATAGATGAGAAGGCCAACGGTTGTATTATGGCCGATGAAATGGGTCTGGGAAAGACCCTTCAATGTATCACACTTCTTTGGACACTTCTCAAGCAGTCTCCCGATGCCGGCAAGACAACAATTCAGAAAGCCATTGTTGCCTGCCCCTCTAGTTTAGTCCGAAACTGGGCCAATGAACTCACCAAATGGCTTGGTGCAGATGCCATTACCCCCTTTGCGATCGATGGAAAAGCATCTAAGGAGGAATTGACAAGACAGTTGCGCCAATGGGCAATATCAACTGGTCGCGCTGTCACTCGACCAGTCATTATAGTCTCGTACGAGACATTACGACTGAATGTTGAGGAGCTTAAGAACACTCAGATCGGTCTAATGTTATGTGATGAGGGTCATAGATTGAAAAATGGCGACAGCCGAACGTTTACCGCTCTAAATAATCTCAGGGTTACACGAAGGGTTATTCTTTCTGGTACACCCATTCAGAATGACCTTTCGGAATATTTCTCCTTGATCAGCTTCGCAAACCCCGGCTTGCTTGGTAACCGACTCGAATTCCGAAAACGATTCGAACTTCCCATCCTTCGAGGTCGAGATGCCGTCGCTAGTGAAGACGAGCGCACGAAGGGCGACGAACGTTTGAACGAATTACTTGGCATCGTTAACAAATTCATCATCCGACGCACTAACGATATTTTATCCAAGTATCTTCCCGTCAAGTACGAGCATGTCGTATTTTGCAATCTGGCTCCATTCCAGCTAGACTTATATAACTACTTCATCAAAAGTCCCGACATTCAAGCTCTCCTGCGTGGTAAAGGAAGCCAACCCCTTAAGGCCATCACTCTACTCAAGAAGTTATGCAATCATCCAGATCTGCTCAACCTAGCAGAGGATCTACCAGGCTGTGAACAATATTGGCCGGAAGATTACACGCCAAAGGACGCACGTGGCCGTGATCGAGACGTCAAACCATGGTATTCCGGGAAGATGCAAGTGCTCGACCGTATGCTCGCGCGCATTCGCCAAGACACGAATGACAAGATCGTCCTAATCAGTAATTATACTTCAACCCTTGACCTCTTTGCTCAGCTTTGCCGCCACCGTCAATATGGCCATCTACGTCTCGACGGTACTATGAACGTGAGCAAGCGCCAGAAGCTTGTTGACAAGTTCAACGACCCGGAGGGTGGTGAGTTTGTGTTTTTGCTTTCTAGCAAGGCCGGTGGATGTGGTCTCAATCTTATCGGTGCTAATCGTCTCGTCCTCTTCGATCCCGACTGGAATCCAGCTGCCGATCAGCAAGCTCTTGCCCGTGTGTGGCGTGATGGACAGAAGAAGGATTGTTTCGTCTATCGCTTCATCGCAACCGGTACGATCGAAGAGAAGATCTTCCAGCGTCAGAGTCATAAGCAGTCGCTTTCATCTTGTGTGGTTGACTCGGCCGAGGACGTAGAACGCCATTTCTCTCTCGACAGTTTACGAGAACTATTCCAGTATAGACCTGATACCCTCAGCGACACGCACGATACCTTCAAGTGTAAGCGTTGCAAACCCGATGGTAGACAGTATATTAAGGCACAGGCTATGCTCTATGGTGATACCAGCACTTGGAATCACTTTGTCAACAAGGACTTGATGCCTATTCAAGATCTATTGCTACGTCAAGAATGCGGGGAGAACGAGGTTTCCGCTGTGTTCCAGTACATATCTCATTAAACTGTCCTCGAGGGTTACGAAAGTGATGGCTTTGGCTTTGGCATGTTAGACACGGCGTATTCAACTAATGAGTTATAGGACGGTTTCATGGCATTTGCGAATGGTGTTGGAGGCGATGGCGTCCTTGTTGCTTCTTGCTCCTTGCTGGGTATATTGAGGGCTTGGCATTAGATCTAGATACTTGCTACTCGCAATGAGAATCGGAAAGAAATTTTCATGAAAATCTGAATATTTCTGTCGTTAATGTTTTAAAGGGGTAATATAGTATACTTAATCACCCATTGCTTTTCCAGAGTAGCTATTGTAGAACGCTAAATCTCATTAAATTCATTCAGCCCAAATTCATTCTTGGCCAGGATTTACTTCATTTATGCTCAAGCGTCCCAGGGTTGTGCGCGACATCATGGCCATGTTGGTCTTTAAATAGCACCTTTAACGACATATGTCAACTCAGAATCTGTTCCTGTTTGACCTATATTCCCGTATAGAACCAAGTAAACTCACCTTAGGCGGATTCTTCACTCCCGCCTCCTTAGCCTCGTCGGCGGTCTTGACTACTTGATCAACTTCACCCTATTGGACCAAGCTACTGTTAGATACAGCCTTATATAATTCCTCTTTCGAATTTCGGAGTTTAAAGGGAGTACTTACTTCACGTCGCCCCCCTCGAATTTTCGTCCACACTGTATCGCCTTCCTTATCTTTAACTTGTAATGAAGGCATTGCAAATAGTTTCTCTCGTGATGAGTTAGTTTAGTATTTTAATATTAGTAGTGATAATGTTATGAGCAACTGAACTTGGACGCTTCAATTTCAATGCAGAAAGCCCTCTTAATTTTCAGATCTTAAAACATCTCGGGTGGTTGGTGTTGTACAATCTTGACGTCATGACGCCGTCACTTTTACAGCCTTCTGTGCAAATCCATTCCCCTCTATGAAGGGGAGCTATATAGATGATTCTATTCATATTGTCGTAAATCAGGGATATCTGGTCACATTTGATGATATGTTGGTTGAGTTTTGTCGATGACGACGATTCAAGTCCGAAACACTCCCAAGTTCAAACTTATATCATACTGTTATCACATGTAGTACTCTTCTCATTTGAGGAATGTAATTAAAGATCAATGCATTGGGTCTATTCATGAATCGACAAGGAGATCCAAGCCTCATCAACCAATTACTCGTATTGGGTACGCCGATATATCGTCTCCACCCCTATGCTATTGGGACTCATGCTATAACCTACGTGCTTAAATAATCCATAGGTCCGTACCATGGCTAACGCCCAAATCTATCATGAAAGAAAAATCTTCCAAGGCGTGAAAAGTATCTGGCATCTCTAATGGCCTGCTATATGTAGGGCGGTCTTGGCCTAATCATACCATGCCGTCCGGCTTTCTTTTCTTTTAGGATACGGGGAGGATGTTTCGTTTGACTCATGGGCGCTTTAGCAAAAGTGGTATCATGAAAAGAAATAAAAAAGCCGCAGCCAGTCTATGCCAAACATAATGTGTTCAATTGATTACATGACGACCTATAGAGAATTAGTATGCAAATTATGTAGACATTGGCGCAGGAGAAAAACTTACACAATCACCTTCTTGCTTGCCCTGAGGTATGCCCATTGCCTCGAAGGTAGCAGGGCCTTGGCTAGGTTTAGCCGTAGGTTTCGCGGGAGCGGATGCTGTCGAGCCAGGGGTACCGGCCGTCGGGGGCGGACTTGACATCGGGGGTCTTGCTTGTTGAGGCGGTGCGCTTGACCGACCACCGTCACCTGGGCCAGGGCGCGGTTTCAATGGCGCATTCGGTTGACTCGCTATTCGCTGACCACCGGGACCTCCTTGGGGTAAACCACCCATTGGAATAGAGCTTGTGCGGGGCCCCAGCCCACCACTCATAGTCGGAGAGGCAGCAGCAGGCGGTCGGCCACCGTGATCGTAAGCACCGGTAGAAATTCGTGGACCAGGAGCATGAGATGTTGGTAAAGATGATTCTCTCTGACCATACCCAGCCGATGGTGGGTACGCCCCTTGGGGTGGCGGGCCTTGTTTTGTGAGTCGGTTCGGTCCAGGGTTATGAGTAGGGCCAGGTCCGTATCCGGACGGCGGTGGTCTTTGATCGAATTGTCCGGTAACAGGACGACCTCCGCGACCTCCGGGACCGGGACTAGCCTGTCGGTAACCACCGGGAAATTGTGGTTGCCAACCAGCAGAGACTGGACGGCCTCGGCCCGGATCCGTACCAGCCGGTGGAATAGGTAGTTGACCTGCGGAATGAGATGGACGAATACCACCATTGCCGGGCGGTTGGGTGCGTATACCGAACGAACTTCCTGGACGGTCCGCAATTGGACCTGTCGATGGCCGAATACCGGGATTGTAATGAGGCGATAATTGTGGCTTCATGCCTGCCGTATCGTCCTCGGGATATGGAGCAACAGACTTCGGCCGTAGAGATAAGCCTGGCGGCCTATCATCCTCGGGGTAGGGAATTGCCGGTGCTCCCTGGCCGGCAACATTAACGGCAAAAGCTGGGGGCCGGTTGCCGCCACTTACGTTAAGCCGCGAAACATCCGGCATGTCAGCGTGTTCGAAATCTTGATGCCTAGGAGACGGGTGAGGCGAAACCCTAGGCGAACCTTCCGACACCGTCGGCATTGACTTCGTCAATTGCTTTAACCGTTCCGGCCTCTGGCCTCTTTGAGAGCCATGCTTTGACTTGATTCTCGCGAACGCCGTCGTTTCATGGTCCTGCTTCGACAGAGTCTTAGATTGCGATAGATTATCCAACCTGTCTTTAGCGTCCTTATTACCATGCTCCGCAGCTAATTCGTACCATCTTCGAGCCTCTCGCAGATCCTTCTCGACTGATATTCCAATTTCGTAGTAATAACCTATGGCGAACTCTCCAGTTGGTAGCTTTGTCCGGGCAGCTAGCTGGGCGTACTTGAAAGCAAGAGCCTCGTTCTTCGCGAAGGTGTTTTCGTATCCAAACAAGAACCATCTACTGACACCTAGGCACGCCTCGGGTTGGCCCTGTTTGGCGGCAAGTCCGTAGTAATGTAGCGAAAGTGCCGGATTGAAATCACAACCGAGCTGGCACAACTCATAAGCCTGCCCCATCTTCAACTGGGCCTTAGCAAATCCAAGATAAGCAGCCTTTTCGATATACTGCCGAGCAACGGCGACGTCGTACGGTACAACTTCCTCGGGTACAGTGACGTCAGGAAGGTCTCTTGCGATTAGCATACCATAAACGAAAGCACCCTGGGGTGCGTCTTCGTCGGCCGTATCCGCGGCAGAATGTATTAAGTCCAATCCTCTTGCGATGTCCTTCGATTGACCTCGCTGACCTAACAGGTTGATCATACCTAGTCGGTATGAGGCTGCTGAATCTTTCGAGGACAAACCCATTTGGTAATGCCTCATGGCTTTTTCCATATCATTTGAATTTTCGTAGAGCATGCCAATCCGGTAGTCGGCGCGACCCCACCCTGACTGCGCAGCGCTCGAGTAACATGTGTAGGCTTCCTTCTTGTCCTGTCTCTTACCAAACTTGCCAAACTCTAGCCACTTTCCTCGAATAAAGAGGGCTTCGGGATGGCCCTGATCTGCGAGGTAGGTAACAATATTAACAGCGTCGATGCGCAACTCGTGTTCAATCTTAGGTGTCGCCGCTCGTACTGGGGGGTCTCGGTCGTTAAGGCCGCGCGTAGCCTCTTCTTCCCGAATGGCGGCTTCGGCGGCTATCTCGACATATGATAGGACGTCGCGAGCCCAGCAAATTTGCATGTTGGGGTCATTGGAATGGAGGACATGTTGCCTGCTCTCGGCCAAGACCGCTTCTTTCTCCTCGTCACTAGGTGGTATGTGCTCTCCTTGGACCTTCGGGAAGGGTGAGAAGGAAGGTAAATCGCGCATATCTTGGAGGTTTCTTTCGAATTGGGGAACTCGCTCCGAGGTCTCCTGGAATGGGCTGAAGTTGGATGCGGGACTATAATCAGATGCGGAGTTCTGGCCTTGTTGGTATTGCTGCCCAAAACTGGCGACTCGAGTATTTAGAAAAGTAGATAAGGAAGGTTCGCGAGAGTGTTGTGAGGCGGAACCGGGATGTTGCGATGTTGAATTTCGCGGCTCGATTGATCGGGCTTCTAATTCCATGCGTTGAAGACCTTGCTGCATGTTTTCGGGAACTTCTGGCATTACCCTGTGATGTTATGAAAGGTCAGGTACATATTCAAATTCAAGGTCATGTGTTAACAATCAGTCGCAACAAGGGAACAATAGTATATCAAAGATATTGTATAGAGTATTTTTCTTTTTTTTTCTTTAATGTGAAAAAGTACGCACCTTTGTGGTGATGGTGCCACTACTTCAGGTGGCATATAGTAGTCATCCGCACCTCCAGGATAGAAGGTCGCTCCAAAATTAGGCATGTCGAAATCGTCTTCTTCTTCTTTCTGCGGCTGGTGAAGACCTGCATAAAATTGAAAAAAAAGCACTTGTCAGCCCGCCAATTCTCGAACCAATGATCAACCCCAGCTAACCAAGCTTCTAGACTCTTAGACGTAATATGGTAGTATGTTATGTAGGTAAGGAGGAATTATGCTGTGGTGGGGTCCTCTTTTTTCTCCCCCTTTCCCTTTTCCTTTCCTTTTCCAAAGTGGAGGCCAAAACGTGCTGTGTGTTGTCTCAATGTTATGTGTGTTTTAATGCTGTAATCTCCAAGATCCAAGGGGTCCGTTTTCTTAAGTCTTTCCCTGTCAGATGTTGGCTTTTTTGGCTTGACCTAGGTAGAGCTGGAAACAAGGATGTGCGACGTGCGTTATAAGTATGTAAGACTTCAGTCCTAGGGATCCAGTAAATCCAGTAACTCGACAAGGTCTTACAGCTTATTTCCTAGTGTCACAAGCTGTATATTTGAGTCTTTGAATTCCCCGGGGTATGGCAAAAAGGGGAAATAAAGGAACAATGTGATTATGTTGTGAACAAACCCTCGACTTGTCTCAGGCTGGTGTTTCCTTAAAGAAGTTGAAGAGAGTTGATGGTGTAAATAGGTTATATGGTTTAGTTATTCTCCAGTCTGCCAGTCCAAATTCAAAAAAAAGCCAAGAAAACTGCCCGCCATGTGCTGAGGGAGGGGCAGAAGAATGATCGGTATGTGCCTGCCAGAATGACAGGATCTACCGCCACTTCCCCATATAGGTTAGCCGGTTTGGGCTAAGCCACTTGGGCCTATGCGACGAGGCTACCTCCTTAGGTACATGTACCTAGCTATTTTAGCTTCAGATGAGAAGATTTAGGCCAATAATCCACTATAAATGAGCTTCTCCAGAAGGGATCCTAGGTACCGTAATCAAAACGTCCAGGTACTTCCAGGCAGTATTTAGATGTAAGCATTCGGATCGCGAACATGGCGCATTTACTTCCTAGTCCGGTACCACACCAATGCATTATCCCAGAATATCTGGAGGGATTATTGCAATTCTCCGAGGTCGTGTTCTCCATAGGTTATTTCCAGAGCTGTAAATATTCTGACATCACAGCCTCAAAAGCAGGCTGGCAAGCTGGTTACCTTTCAGGCAACAGGTTTTCTCCTTTTCCCAAAGGTAGCATTCGTCCCTGCATGATCGACTCGGGTAAGGGGGGAGATCGTACACGTACACAATATACGCACGTCGTTGAGAGCTCGGTCCCGGATATTGGATTTCCAGGGTCCAACACGGGAATATCCATTGGCATCCACCAGGTCGGGAAATCTTAAAGGTTGGAAGGGAAATAGGGGTAAGGTGATGAGGTATGTATGTAGGTATCTGAAGAATAGTAATATCAAATCTCTGCTTACTTACCTGCACTCTTTTTGGTATCCATTTCTGGAGCTACAACTTCAGGTGGCACGTAACCCGATGGATGCTGCGTCATCATTATTCGCGCCGTGCGCAGTCCGGTTCTTTGATTTAATTAACGACTTCGTAATCCTAGTTATCTGGTAGATATATGGCATTAAATACGGCAATGCCTGTTCATTTTGCGAAAATAAAAAGTCATATTCCGTATGTAATAGAAATGACCAGAAGGTGTCAAATACATAGTTGATGTTTGTAGAACCCACTTGAAGTCGCACAAACTCGAGTCGAGGGTCCTTGATTGTCTTTTATTTACAACTACCTAGGTATGAAACCACCTGATTCTCCTTTCTACCCTAGAAACTGCCCGGGTGCCTAGGTAGCTATCACCGATCCATCGGATGCAACTAGAAATACCTAGTAGGAGTCGAGGACAAAGCGGCGTTGTCTGGTACAAAATGAAGGGAATCATGGTATCTAGTGGGCACAGCCAGCGTGACAGCTACCTACCTGGGCAAGTTAGCTGTCGGATAAAATGAAGTGCCTGCATCCTTCAGGGGGATTAATGTGGAAATGGTAATAGAGAGACAGCGACAACGGCATTAGCTTAATTAGTACGGAAATATTCCTCTTTTTTTTCACCTGCATAGTATGATGATGATCCGTCCCGACTTGATGGTAAACTATAGCGTCTATGCCATAGCCTCATTTTGTTTCTATTTCTAGAAATACTCGTTCGGCGCTTAGTATCGCCGCAGCTAGGTAAGAAGTCTTAGCCTCAAAACTACCACTAGCAAGATATTAACAATCGTAATTTCTTTTCTTGAGTCTTTATTTGGCATTTATTATTATGTATGGATACGCGAATACGTGTATCTAATCAAAAGTAACGTAACTGGTGAAGATCGGGTCAGGAGAAAACTATATAGTTACCGAATGGTATCTTCCACTCCTGAAGGATTCGGTTTAATTCCCGATATTCCAGAGCATAACAGGTCGCTTATATCAAATTTAAAGGAATTCGGATACGTGACACAAGGGTCGGTATACGGCATGAAAATGATACAAAAGATGCTGCTGCTTGCTATACTAATTCTTGAAATGTTGAGAACTGATAAAACTATATATGGAGTAAATAGAGGAACCATTTACTAAAGCTGGCGGGATGCAGTGATACGTGGGTTCATCCGGGGGTGTCATGTGTGTCTTGGCTTGTCTAATCCAGGTAGACGGTGTTGATGGTATCCCAATACGTAGCCGCAGAGGACGAATAACACCTGACCAGGGCTGCTGCCAGCACCTCGTGGGCATCCGATAATCGCTAAAAAACTATCAACTGACAACTCATAGTAAGAAGCGAATGGTCCATTAAGATAAGGTCTTCATCAGCTTGCTGGATACCTAGAGAATGGGTAATATCCTTTAATAGGAAAAGAGTGCAAACTCATAGAATGGAGTAAACCATACGTGAGAACCGAGAATCTGCAACTTGTGAACCTTTTTCGTATGTAATTCGATCGAAAATGTCTTGAAGGTAAAAGAAGTAGATGTTTTTGGAAAGATACATGTATCTTTTTTAATGTATTTGGAAAATGGAAACAACAGCGGGAACAGCGGGAATAACCCCGGACTCACCAGCCACAACACCAACACCAACACCACTTTCCCGATTCTGGAGCTCAAGCCACCTGTGGCACCGAGCTCGGAAATCCAATTGCATCAACTTGAAGGAAAGTGGGTCCAGACTGTTCTCGTTCGTCAGCCTTTCAGCCTGCTTGCCTTGCCTTACTACCAAACCATCGAGAAATTCATCAACATCACCAATTCCCCAAGAAGAAACGTCATTTCCTACTCGTCCAGTAGAGATTCTTCCATTTAGAGATCCGCAAGGAGGATCAATTCCCACTCCCGAGCTAGTAAAAGCTCCCCACAAATCTCCTCCGCTACCGTTGAAACCAGAAACGGTCGACGACAATAACGATAACGAAGCTATCATCACTATATCATCCTCTACTACCACTACCACTTCCACACCAACACCAACTATCACCGTAACTCCTACCGCCACCGCGCCCCTCCAATCTTCCTCTTCATCGTCTATATCTCCACCCTCGTCCGAATCATCAACCCCCAAACCCACAACCATGGCAGACCGCACTCTCCAGCAAATCCTCAGCCAACTGCGCTCGAACCCCAACGCTCCCTACGGCGAAGCATCATCCCTCCTCTCGAGAGCCAAAATCGCGCTCCTCCAACTCGGCGCCGCGACCCCAGGACCCAACAGCACGGCGTCGCCACAACACCTCTCCCTCGCGCGCGACGTATACGAGCAGGGCGCACTCTTCAGCATCCGGGCACGGAATCCTGACGCCTTCACGCGGTACGTAGCGCAGCTACAGCCATTCTACGAGCTCCCCTCCACCTCCGGCAACGAAGAGCAGCGGAACAAAGTCACTGGTTTATATCTATTGCTTCTTTTGACCCAAGGTCGATATGCCGAGTTCCATTCCGAGCTCGAGACTCTGGGAACCCGGGCTAAGGAGAACGGTTCTGGGGAGATCGAGGGCGATCGCTTTTTAGGATACCCGATTAAGTTGGAGCGCTGGCTCATGGAGGGGAGTTATGATCGGGTCTGGAAGTCTATGAAGAGTCGTGAGGTGCCTAGTGAGGAGTACGGTGTCTTCTCTGAGGTGAGTTTTGCTTTTTCTCCTAACATTCATATACAACTTGCATACGCACCTCACCCTACTTTCCTTCGTCATCCGCCAGATAAGTACAAATACCGAACTAACAAAACATAGATCCTAACATCCCAAATCCGCTCCGAAATCGCCTCAAGCAGCGAGCGCGCATACCCTTCCCTACCATTAAGTAGCACCAAATCCCTCCTCTTCCTCGACTCCGAGGGCGCCGTCATCGAATTCGCCCACCAGCGCGGCTGGCTCGTTCGCGACGGCAAAATTTACTTCCCTATCTCAGCTGCCACCACCGATGGCGAAGATGTCATCGTCGACGATGCAGAACAGGGAGAAGGTGAGAACGAGAAGGAGTTCAGCCGTATGGTTATCGAGAATGCGCTTGGGTACGCTCGCGAACTTGAGACGATTGTCTAAGCTATTATCGTGTTGTTATGGGTGCAAAGGTCGATCGGGGATCCCAAGACCGAACGTGCCGGCCTGGACTGGCGACTTTAGGTGATAGGCGGGTGAGAGTAGAATTAAGCAGCGAGTAGCAACCAGTATGGAAATATCTGGACTTCGCTACGGACTGTGCGGGAGTATATTCCAACGAAATTAATACCACACGACATGAGATAGACTAGGCCAAGTTGTCTAGACCATCTACGAAGGAATCAGAAAGCTTCACGAGCCTGCGTGTATGAATAAACAAAAATGAGCATTAATAGACGCAACGGCGCAAAGGGGGTTATAAATTCAAACCTTTACTTATATCGAGGCATTCCTATTTGCATCCACTACTAGCGACTACTTTATATATCGCGAATAGTTAGAGTTGTATAGACTCATTGTGTTCCAGACGTAAATACTATTTATTTTGGCATCAACAACATGAAACATATCTGATTCAGACAACTCCATCCCAGGCTTCTCTAAGGTAATCTTTTAGCTCCTGCCCCGGCCCAGCAGTCATAACTTTTCTCTCAACTATGTAATAACTGGCCGAACCCACCAATTATCATTACTTCATAACTCGCCTCCTAGAGATCATATCCATTTACGCGAATAGCTTAAGCCCGCTACCATGTTTTCCAATCTCGCACACCTCGCAGACGGCGCAGACAGTGCCCTTGTACTTGGTATGGTACTTAGATCCGTCAAATGCGCACTCCTCGTATGCAGTGCCACTGTAGATGGGAGTATGGCTGGCTGCGCAAATCTCAAACTCGGCGAATTGATCGTATTCGATTTCAACCGTGTCGTGAGGGTTGCGCTCGCATTGCGCTTTTATCCTTCGTGCCTATCCAATTCAGTCAGCTATATAGTCGAGTAGTATCTATGAATATGGAAAACTTACGCTTTCAAGTATTCTGTTAGCACCTCCGTTGGCCAAGATACGGTTGGCAAAGCTTAAGGCGGAGCTATAGTTCTTGCTCCTTGACGCCAAGTTCATGGCGTTCAAGAGAGCCAATTGTCGGTGGGGGACTTCGATCTTAGGAATTGTGAAGTAAGCTGAAAGTTCGAGACTTCGCTTCAGAAGCGCGGGGTTTCCGTTAACAGCATCGGGAGGGCCTAGCTTCCTTCGTGCAAGCTCAATTGACATGGCGACAGTGTATTCACTTGCTGAGGTGATTAGCTTCTTGGCTTCCGCTACTTCGCTCTCACTTGAAACAGTATTCGCGAGCATAGCATGAAGGATACCCTTGAAGATCTGGACTCCATCTTCAAGTTTGTTTGCCTTCATCGTATCATAACCTCTGTGAAGATCACTGGTAGCGAGATGTTCGATATCTCGAGGAATGATGGGGAGGACTTTTCTGGGATCTGTCTCGTCCAATGTTCGGCGGACGTAGTTCACCAGGGGTGGTAAGCCAGCAGATGCGGGTAGGAAAGTTCTTGACGCGGAGTAAATTTCCAAGAAACGAGGCTTGAGCGGCGCAAAGTTGACAGCCCCAACTTGTCGATTTAGGAGATTCATGGCCGACTCGAATGAGCCTGCGGCGATGTGATCCGCGGCCAATGGCGAATTGCGAGCCCACAGATCTGCCTCACTACTGCCAGCACCTCCGGCATCCGTGCTTTCAACGTTCACGAAATCGCTGTCGGCTTCGGGGGCAATATCATCACCCATATCCCAGCCAGCAGCGTCTTCATCGTCTTCAGCTTCCAAAGCACCATTTCGTTTAGCTGCGACATCCTCATCTGCAGCCTCATCTGCACCAAACCCATTAGCAGCTGCTGAAGGCTCATCCTCAAGTGTGATGCCTTCTAGCTGGCTAGCAAGGGCTTTCTCAAAGAAAGATTGGGAGGTAGCCTTTGTAGGCCAATTGGCCTTGTAAGTCGGTACAACCGGCTTCGTGGGGTTAAGTCCCTCGCCAAAGGTAGGTAATGTTAATTGGTCTTCAGTAACACCAGTAGCCTCCAAGATGGACTGGCATTCTTCTTCGAGACCATTGGCCTTAGCAGTCGTGTATGCCAAAGGGTCTATAAACTCATTAGTACATATAGATCATCGGGACGTGAGAAGAGCGACTCACATAAATCGATCTCCTTCAATAGCTGTATCCTATCTTCGACTTCACCCAAGTATAGTGCGTTCTGGAATCTTGCGGTGAAATCACCTCGGTGTTCTGCAATCTTGGCCATTCTTGCAAGCTTCGAATGGTCGCCAGTGGCAAGATATAAAAATGAAAGCTTGTCGAATTGCTTGAGTTTTTGGTAAGCCATCTCCACGACTTGGTGATTTCCGTGTGCCAAAGCCTCAGTTCCCAATCGAGTCCAGAGCTTAGGTCGGTCCAGTTCCTTAGCCATTTCTACAGCTACATCGAGGTTACCGCATTCTATGGCGAGTTCAAAACGAGTAGTAGGATCCTGTACGAATTGTAGCGCAATTTCGGGGTATCCCTTCTTCTGGAGGTATGAGATAATAGATTGACCGACTAAGCTAGACGTGCGGATGATGTGAAGCATTTCCTCATAGTTGCGTTTGACCAGGGATAACTTAAAGCGATACTCGGTTGGGTCGATGTGTAGAATCTTAGGCTTGGCGGCGCGGTCAAGACAGTAAACATTTCGTCCCTTGACCCGAACAAGATATACCGTCTGGTCGAGAGTCCTAACAATACCGTTGTCACCATTCATAAGGGTGTACTTGACGTGGTTTAGGGTAGAGTACAGCAAAACTCCGGCATCATCCCAAGTAGCGCTCTTGATTCGAATCGTCTCATGCAGGGTGCTGACTTGCTCGAGAGTCTTCGTCACAATGGTGACATTGTGCTTGCTCAAGAGCGCTGCATGGAGACCATCATTAGACCAGACAACATACTTGACACCATTTACGGATAACTCAGCGATGCTCTTCTTCTGTTGGATATCGTACAGGTGGACGGCGGTAGGGGTGATGATAAGCAAGTTTCCAGTGCCACCAAAGTAGATGTCGGTAGTTCCGATAGGGGGTTTAAAGGATCGCGCTGTGTTGTTAGAAAGATCCTTGATGTCAACGGTCTGTGTGGATGTGTTGAGCACAGCAAAACGGTTTCGAGCAACAAATATTGCCGAGTTGCCCTGTCCACGCTTCGAATCTGTCGCTTCCAGCGCACCAGAACCATCTCGAGGAAGATTAATTAGTTCATACGAACCACCTTCAGCAGGTGATGTGACTAGAACCGAGCGTTCAGCCGGGTTGTAAGATAACGTCCGTGGAGGAACCCAAGCACTGCCGAGTCGCTTAAGGGACAATAGCGTTGGGCTCTCAGCGTTCTTCTGGAAGTCGTATGAACGAACATGCTTCTCCTTCGTAATGAAGAATAGCGTGTTCTGGTGAACAGTCGAAGCTGGGCGTTCTCGTTCCAGCTTGAATACCATAACACCATTATCGTGACCAGCAGCAAATAGGTTGATTTCAGGGTGAGCAGCGATAACCCAGAACCGATCGTTTTCCCTCTTGAAAGATTGAACCGCCGTACGTTTCTGCGAATCCCATACTCGGATTGTTTTATCCTCGCCACATGACAAGATCAGGTCTTGGTGAGGGTGGAACAAGCAGCCAGAGGCGTTCTGGAAATGGCCACGGCAAGTATCGACTTCCCAAGCCTTGGTCTCGCTAAACCGCCATAGCTTGATGAGACGGTCATCGCCTGCCGAAACAATATGTGGAGCTGTCGGGTGGAAAGCAACCCAGTTAACGCCGCGATCATGACCCTCCAGTACGAATTTTACCATAGCATCGGTGTTACCAAACATGTCCGTCTGTTGGGCGTTCGATCGAGCGACTTGGTCTTCGAATGACATCGAGGTAGGGGCCGAGTGCTTCTTTCGCAAGCCGGAAATATCCCAGACACGGACGGATTGATCGAGGGATGCGGATACTACGAGATCGTCCTTGGGGTGGAATTGGGCGCACATAACATAGTGATTATGGCCAGTCATTGTGCAAACTAGATGAACTATTAGCGTTCACTATCCTCAAGTTTTTGCCCACGATAACCCATACTCAGCGATCGATTTTGCCAATTCCATATCCGAATCGTCTGGTCATCAGAGGCTGATATGATCCATGGTAGTTCATGGTGGAAGAAAACGGTTCGAACATAGTCTAGATGCCCGTTCAAGGTGAATAGGCATCGTCTTGTCTGGTAGGACCAGACCTTGATCTTGTAGTCGTCGCCTCCGGAAACGAAGAGAGGTTGTGTTTTATGGAAATCGATGCCTCGAACGGGCCCGTCATGTTCTTCGAAACGGTCAATGAGAGTACCCATGCGGTAGTCCCATAGTTGTATGGTTGAGGAATGTAGTGATACGAGGATCCATGGTCTAATTGCTTCAAAGTCAGCAACGAACAACAGCGGTGACGATAGGCAGAGAGATATCGAAGGGATTCTAGGAGTCTTTACCTTTTTGGGTGAAAGGCGATACCTTTCGCTCTCGAAGACTTGGACTCGAACTACAGCGACATAGGTCAGGAGCTGTTTAGAATATACGCGACCGGGTTTCTTGTTGTATCAATGGGTATATACCTTTGTTAACATTCCCGAAGAGGCCTGCATTGTGAAGGCGGCGATAGAGGCAGCAGGAAGCCCCTAAGCTTGTGTCATGAATCGTACGAAAGGCTACGTGCGCCAAGGGTCGGTGAAGATTATAGGAGATGGTGAATGAAGAATTGGATATATGTGGTGACGGAAGGTGAGCTGTGACGCTCGGTAGAGTGTTGTCTTGACACCAAACTTGTCGTCGTTCCTTAGGCGATTCGTAAAGTCGTAAAGTGCATAGACAAGTCAATTCGTGGCCCCAAAAAGTGACGGTGGATTATTTCTTAGACTTGGGCTCGGCGTTGCAGCCAGTGCTTTACTTGGCTAGGATTGAGAATGTGGCTTGTGCTTCTACCAGCTGTCCTGATTTGATTGTGCGTGTCGGAATAATTCTCATCCCGATATGTTAGTATAGGTACTTCAATTGATAGGCTAATTCGCACTAGATATTGAGTGTTATGGTGTAGAATTACTTCATGGAGGGGCAGTTCGCCTAGCATACATACAGGTAGCTTCGACCTGTAAGGTCAGCTACTAACGGCGATGCAAGTACCTAACTTAAAACCCCTGACAGCTTTTAATTCATCGTATTCTTTATTCCTATTGGTGATAGCTTAATCCATTTACAATATTTAGCTAAATCTTATTGGTTGATGTGCGTTAATTCGTCTAGGTGTTCAATTGCTTTACCTCATCAATTAATTCATTCACTTACATCTACGCCGGAGCTTGAATCCGTACAAGTCCAGACTTGACAAAAAGCCACTTTGCATTTACAAAAGACTTATTATAACATTCCTCCTCATGACCTAACTGTGCATTACTTGCTATGATTTATGATCGATTTATGTTTTCGCAAAGTCGGTTAGTTTAAAGCTCTGTCGTGTGCTAAGAGCTTGCGACAGAGCTATTCGTTTCTTTAGTTGCCCGGCGCATTTACACCGTTTACGATATTGACATCATGATACGGCTGTTTCAACTGCCATGTGGCCTTGCTGCCACACTTTTGGCAGCACTATGCTTAAACTCCGGTTATGTCGCAGCTGGTCCATCTGTCAATGTTGCTATGAAAGCAGCATTTCCTACTCCTCCCTATCTCGTTGAGCTCTTGTAAGTTGTATGCTGGAACCTATTGAACTGAATCGGAACTGAACATAGCCTAGAGAGACAGCAGCCGGAGAGAATGCGACATCCTACTTCCCGCTCCTTGATCGAATCGCCGACGGCACATTTACAAATGCGAAGACGGATCAAGAGTTATACGAAAAGTTCCTCCAGATTTTGAAACAAGATGGCCATATGGAAAGTCCCGAGGCATTGTCTACCTTTAAGCTTGCTCTATCTATGCGGTCAGCAGCTCCGAGAATAGAGGCGCATTATCAATACTATGATACAGCCGTTGCACCCTCCCTAAACGATGCGAGAGATGATTGTGCCGAGTGGATACTCTTAAACGAAAGGCAGTATTGCTCGGCTTCATTGTCGCATGTCGAAGGCCAAGTTGTAGGAGAATCGTGCGTACCATGTCCCTACATATATATAGCTTTATCTTACATAACTCTAGGCAATTGCGCTCACTCCCCTTCGATCGCGCCTTGGGCATTGGCCCCGAAGCGATACTGTACGCGGACATTACTAAGCCCGAATTCGGGTCTTTTCACAAATCATTGGCGGAGATGGCTCGGAAAGGAGAAATATCATATCGATTACGATATCGAGTTGACCAAACTCAAGAACGAGAGCCGCTGCCGGTCAGTGGATATGGAATAGAGCTCCAGTTGAAACGAACAGATTATATCGTAATTGATGATCGTGATGCTGAGGCCGAGACAAGCTCAGCTGCTAAACCCGTTCCTACTGAGGTAGTGCTTGACGGCGACGAGGAGGTCACAGATTTAAAGCCACTATCAAGCTCCGAGTTATCGTCTTTGGGACTCAGGGCGGGCTCTGTTATTATGCAGAGTGACAATCCTTTTCAAACATTGATCAAATTAACTCAAGATTTCCCTAAATTCTCCGCTTCAGTCGCGGCTCACAATGCTTCCGAAGAATTTATCAAGGAACACCGCCAGAACAGAGCTTTAGGAGTTCCATCCGGAATGAATGTTCTCTGGATGAACGGTGTCCAACAAATCGAACGACAAATTGACCCCTTTACCCTTGTTGACAGCATTCGAAGAGAAAGAAAATTCATTGAAGGTGTCACGGAATTAGGTCTCACTGGGAAAGAAGCCATCTCCTTGCTTGGTAACCGTGAGATTACCTTGGCCAAGGCTGATGATGAGCCTCGAAGATTTGACTGGCGTGACGAGATCGAGGACGGCCGTGTTATCATTTGGTTGAACAACATTGAGAAAGACAAACGATACGCCGATTACCCCTCGAATCTCATGTCTGTAAGTATTCACTCCTCAGCCCAAGTAGGTGATGTTATCGAGCTGACCAATTGTCCTTTAGCTTATGCAACGAACCTACCCTGGGCAGATCCCTCCGATCCGGAAAGATATCTTTAACTTGGTCCTTCCAGTTGACCTAAGCAAGCCTGACGATTTGACCCTAATCGTTCAACAACTTCAAGGTTTTATTAAGAGACTCTTGCCTATCCGTTTTGGATTGGTCCCTTTGACACCAACGGAGAAGTCCGAAGAGCGAGCCAAATTGACCTACCACTTATTAGAGCACTATGGACTATCAGCACTCATGTCATATCTAGAGGCTTGCAGCGCGGGGAGCCAGTCTGAGCAAACGAATTTTGACAAGGCAATCAAAAACCGAACACCAAAGGCCGAGGCAACTCCCCTATCCTTCAAGGAAGTTCTCGAGTCTGAAGATTACGCAAAACACATTGAACATGCAAAGCACTGGGTAGACCGACTTAACGCTGACACTGAAGTACCCCCATTATTCATGAATGGCCTGCCCATTCCACGAGAGGAAAGATGGCTTCAAGCCATAACTATGAGAATGAGCGCCGACCTGCAAGTGGTTCAACAAGGAATATTTATGGGTACCGTTGACGACGAGACATGGATTCCAGGACTTTTCTTGGAGGGTGCCCCAACCCGACGCAATCTTTACATTTTCGACCCCGCGCTCAGTGTTGTAGATGTCAATAAACTCTACTCGGAACATAATGATCTATTCGGCCAGATCCCTGCCATTGAAGCGAGTGAAGACACCAGTAAAAAGACGTGGGCGACATTAACTGTCGTCGCTGATTTCAAATCTCAACAGGGTCTTGGTCTTCTATTATCTGCATTATCATTCCGGCGCAATAATCCCGGCATCCGCCTCGACTTTGTCCATAATCCCTCGACGCCTGATAAGGGATACGGAATCAACACATTACTCAAGAAAGATCTTACCAAGCTTTTGGAAATCGAGAATATAGAGACCCTCGAGATTCTTTTGGCCGGACCGATTGACGAAAGAAATGACGAATATAAGCTTGCGTTGTTACGGTTCTTGACAGAAGCCGCCATAGAGCCTGGCTCCCAACTACTTCTCCTTAATGGTCGTGTTGTTGGCCCATTCGCTCCTAATTCCGTATTCAAGGAAAGTGACTTCGAGCTATTACTTGAATTCGAGCAGGCGGCCCGAATACTTCCAGTATATAAGGCAGTAGATTCATTAGGTCTAACGGATAAAATATCGAGTCCTCTAGCTGCCGCAAAGCTTACGTCGGTAACGGCCATATCCACCGTATCAGAACTACCCGAAGGAATATTCGAGTCTGCCCCGACCCTGCGAACCTCCATGTTCGACGAGTGGAACTCGACCCATACGATGATCGAGATTGGCGATGCATCTAAAGCGAATATACACTTCGTTGCCTTGCTTAACCCTGCTAGTGAGGTAGGACAGAAATGGGCTTCTATTCTTAATGTTCTTTCTCAATTGGACGGTGTCTATCTTCGAATATTCTTAAATCCGAAAGAAAAATTAGAAGAGCTTCCAATCAAGAGATTCTACCGTTACGTGTTGGATTCCGCGCCATCTTTCGATGAAACAGGAAAGGTTACCTCTCGAGACGCTACCTTCAAGGGACTTCCCTCTGAAGCGCTTCTTAATCTTGGCATGGATGTACCACCTGCCTGGCTAGTGGCGGCGAAGCAGTCCATTCATGATCTGGATAACTTGAAACTAAGCTCAATCAAAGCAGATGTGGACGCCATATATGAGCTTGAACACATCCTCATTGAAGGTCATTCAAGGGAGACCACCGGTGGTCCACCACGAGGTGTGCAACTGCTGCTTGGTACAGAACGCGATTCTCACTTTGACGATACAATTATCATGGCCAATCTTGGTTATTTCCAATTCAAGGCCAACCCTGGATATTATAATATTCACCTCAAGGAAGGAAGAAGCTCAGATTTGTTCAATATCGTCAGTGTAGGAGCAAAAGGATACAACCCTGTTCCGGGTGATGAAGGTACCGAAGTTGCCCTCATGGGCTTCCAAGGCACGACATTATACCCACGTCTTGAAAGGAAGCCAGGAATGGAGACGGAAGACGTGCTTGAAGAGAGCTCATCGGATACTGGCGGAGATCTCATCTCCCGCGGCCTTAAGTTTGCCGAAGGGATACTCGGTGGATCAAAATCCAAGCCGAAGTCTGTTTCAGCTGAAGAACATGCTGAGATCAACATCTTCTCTGTGGCAAGCGGTCATCTTTATGAGCGCATGCTTAATATCATGATGGTCTCGGTCATGAAGAATACGAACCACACAGTCAAGTTCTGGTTTATCGAGCAGTTCCTCTCCCCTTCCTTCAAGGATTTCATACCGCATCTAGCCAAGGAATACGGTTTCAAGTATGAGATGGTTACATACAAATGGCCCCATTGGCTACGCCAGCAAAAAGAGAAGCAGCGCGAGATTTGGGGTTACAAGATTCTATTCCTTGACGTCCTTTTCCCTCTATCCCTTGATAAGGTTATTTTCGTAGATGCGGATCAAATCGTTAGAACAGACATGATTGATCTTGTCAACCTTGACCTAGAGGGTGCGCCATATGGTTTTACTCCTATGTGTGACTCTCGAACCGAGATGGAGGGATTCCGATTCTGGAAACAGGGATACTGGAAAAACTACCTTCGTGGAAACCCGTACCACATTTCAGCCTTATACGTAGTCGATCTCCGTCGTTTCAGGCAGATTGCTGCTGGTGATAGACTCAGACAACACTACCACCAACTATCGGCTGACCCAGCCTCTCTTTCTAACCTCGATCAGGACTTACCGAATCACATGCAGTTTGTACTTCCGATCCACAGTCTTCCACAAGAGTGGTTGTGGTGCGAAACATGGTGTAGTGATGAAAGCCAAAAGGAAGCACGGACCATTGACCTGTGTAACAATCCGCAGACTAAAGAGCCGAAACTCGACCGGGCTCGAAGACAGGTTCCGGAGTGGACAGTATACGACGATGAGATTGCGGCAGTTGATCGACGCCGGAGAGGATCGGTCGTAGATGATAATACTCAGAAGATACTCACAGGCAGCGCCGAGGAGAAGAATACCAAGAGCCGAACTTTAGAAGAAAATACCGAGCCAAAGACGAGGAAGAAGGATGAGTTGTAAGCATTAGACATTTACAAACAAGATATAGATCTAATTCAGTCTATTTGGCCAAGCCACTCGAGTCAAGACAATCATTACAATGCTCCCAGATGCCCCTTTTTATATACCACTATAAATTCCCTCGTAGTTGAGGATATTTCTCGTACACGTTAGCTCCGTTAAGTCCCGGCCAGTTAATAGACCCAAGAGCGATGACCTCAGAGCTGGCTTATCATCATTTCCACCCAATCATGTTTACCGCTAAATTATATGTACCATTTTACTATGCCTACATGAGATAAGTAACATGGTAAAGCATTTCTAGATGTACATTTACGTTCTCGTTTACATTTAACAACTACGCCCTTTACGTCCTCCGTCGACTTCCGTGCTTGGCAACGCACAAGGGCCGAATAAGCGAAACCCATTCCATTCTGCATTTCCCAAAGACGATATCCATCGATATCCGTCGGCGTCCATCTCCACAAAAAAAAAGACATCCATCATCACCGCTCTACTCTACACGCTACGGCTACGCTACAACTCCATAGTAATAGCTTATACTTCTCCATTTTCGCGATTGAGGCAGGTTGAGCAATGCCAAATTCTTCTCGCCTCGTCTAATTCCGACCGTGTCCGTTATTACTGCATTATTGTTATTGTGATTTACTTGCTACTTGTCCATTCTTCGTCTTCGCCACCGCCGTTCGCTACCCACTTTACTGTACCTACTACGGTACCTACCTAACATACAGACATAAAATATCCCGTAACATAAAAACATCAACACACAATACATAATAATTAAATATGGAACTCGGCTGCTCAGTAGTCACGCCGCTCTCCCCGCACCCGCACACGCATACCGTCGTGTTCCTGCACGGGCGCGGCGATACCTCGCAGAACATGGCCGACGCGCTATTACGCTGGACCCGGGACTCGCGCGGTCGCCCCCTCGTCGATGCGTTCCCGTCGGTGCGATGGGTGTTTCCGCAGGCGGAACCTAGGCTTGCGGAGACGCTGGGCGAGGTCTGGCCGCAATGGTTCGATATCTGGAATACCCTGGATATGACGGATCGCGAGGATTTGCAGGCTTTTGGGTTGAGGGGGAGTGTTGCTAGTATTGCGAAGATTGTTCGGAGGGAGGCTAGGTCCGTGGGCGGGATGCATAGGGTTGTGCTTGCGGGCGTTAGTCAGGGGGGTGCTACGGCTGTGCATACGTTGTTGCATTTGGATGGGAAGCCGGAGGGGGGCGAGGTTGAGGAGATTGAGGATGAGACGGCGGCGCCTCCGCCGAAGAAGTTGTGCGCGTTGATGGTATTTTCGAGTTGGTTGCCGTTTCCTGGTGGGTCGTTGGATGAGACGAGGGAAGTGCTGGGGTTGGAGTTGTTGGCGCCGAGGAGGGAACCGAGTGAAGGTGCTGAAGAGGGTGAGGTTGATAACCAAGATGAGGTGGTGAAGAACACACCGGCTTTCTTAGGGCATAACTCCGATGATCCCTTAGTGTTTGTCGAGTTCGGGCGTCAGCTAAGAGATGGGTTGAAGAGCTTCGGTATGGATGTTCAATGGCGCGAGTATAACAAAGGCGGCCATTGGATTAACGTCCCCGACGGCGTGAATGATGCTATCGAGTTTCTTATAGCGCAAGGTGTACCTGTTGCGAAGTGATGCATCCTTTTTCTTTTGATGAGTTGGGCAAAGCATTATACGGCATTAGTATTGCTACGAGAACATTGAACTTGGGAGACTGGGTTAGGAATTTTGTTGCATCTGCATGCTCGCTCGTTTACCCATTGGGTCTTTATCACGAGCCTGGATACCGCATTACCATGAGTTATGATACCTCTAGTCGAATGCATTTATAGAATAGCTAACAAGCTACTTTGGTATGGGATGTATGAAATATAGATCGAGGTCCGTCTCGAAAACACCATTTTGTACGTTAGGGAAACGTTTATTGAAGCTTCTATGAGCCTCGTCAGTGCTCAATTATGATTCTTACTATTTTGCCATACGCAGCCACCAGATATATTTATGATTCTTTTCTCTTCCTCTTCTCTTTTTCTTTTCCTCTCCTGTTTATTTATACCAATTAAAAGAAGTCCAATTGAATAAAAATTCTTGGGGCTAATCTCCTTTTTACTTGATGGTGATGCCTTCATACCAGCAAGTTGGCCCTAGGCGACAACTAGAAGAGAAATATGTGCACTAGAAGATGTTTAGGGTTCTTGCCACTATTCTAGGAATATGTGGGAAGTCTTCGGTAGGATGTTCGTGATCCACCAAGAATTGTTTGCTCCTATTGGTCCATGCGCAAAGACATATAAGCAGCAATAAAGCAAAGGAATTCTTAGGAGCGGGATTGTATAAAAGTACTTGACTCATGCCTTTTACCTGACTCAACCTTGTGCAACCCAAAAAGCTCCTTTACACTAATCTTTGGAAACATTTCTCTGGAAGTCCCAGATTCAATTTTGCTGTTTCTTTTTTTTTTTCTTTTTTTTTTTTAACAATCCTGCCATCTCTAGCCGACCGTCCTCGTGAATGTCTCACATTTATTCCTGTTATACCATTGCCTTTTCTTTTTTCGCAGCGTATTTTTCTTTTTCTTCTCGAAGATTGACATCATTTCATCACACCACACCACAACCCTCAACAATATCCCTCATCTTCACCAATTCAGAATAGGATCTCTCAGGAATTATAATTGATTGTTTTAATGATCATGTAGCTGCCTTTTCCTATCAAACATAGCACCTGGGCAGTATCCTAAAATATTTTCACATTAATGATAGATAATGACCTTACTAACTAAACTCTTGCCTTGCCGGTGATACTTGCATCTTTGTTACATGGCAATAGCATCTAACTTACCGAGAATTTACCGAGTTGCAGCGGGGTAGCTTCAAGCCCCTCCAGTGGTTGTGACGTCCTTTGCCAGTAGCTGAAGTATGAGCTGTTTGGTGAATCTCGTAAGACGGAAATAATATCTGCGGATCCTATTTTCCACGCATTTGTTTATATCTAGATCTAAGAAGAGCCATCAAGGTCCACGTCTCCATTCAATCCAACCTTATTAAATATTTACCTGCTAGTCAATTGACATTAAAATGGCCGCCTGCATCTTCTGTAGGATTATTAAGGGTATGTGTTCTAAGCCCCGTAGCATCAGTATTTCGGAGTATCTCGGACTTCATACTCATTGACCTGGAGTCACTCGCGATTACATATAATTAATCTCACAAAAATGACACGAATATTCACGAGCATGCGATGAAATGATTGATCAACTAACACTTAAAATATAGGAGAGATCCCTTGCTTCAAGCTCTTCGAGAGTGACAAGACACTCGCCTTCCTCGACATTAACCCTCTAAGCCAGGGCCATGCTGTACGATCTTGTTGAAATCACAACCAATTATTCAATTACAACTAACCACGCATAGCTCGTCATCCCCAAGTTCCACGGTGCTAAGCTAACCGACATCCCCGATGACGCTCTGGGTGAGATCCTACCCGTAGCCAAGCGTCTTGCTACTGCAACTGGCGCCGTAAACTACAACATTCTACAAAACAACGGCCGTCTAGCCCACCAGGAGGTCGACCATGTGAGTTGATTTTTCATTTCTTATTTCACTTTATGATGTGGGTGGAGAAGATGAGAGCTCGGATGTGAAATAATTGACTACGTAAATTGAGTGGTTGATTGGTTGACCACAATTGTCTCAAATAACAGGTTCACTTCCACATGGTAAGATTTCCCTTTCCTAATTCTGTCTACTGATGCTCTACTAATACATCCACTAGATCCCCAAGCCGAACGAAGCGCAAGGCCTTGGAATAGGTTGGCCGCAGCAGAAGACGGATATGGATGCGTTGAAGGCTCTTTTCGAGGATATCAAGTCCAAGATGTGAACGAAATGCTAGAAACCTTTACCTCAAGAACTAAGGTGATAGATACTTAAGTTTCACAATGAGACCATTATCCAATATGAAGAAAATATGAGATCCCGGTCATCGCTTTCCGTGATATTTCTACCTAGTCTATCCGGATTACTCTCCCATACCCGTGTCTCCATGTCTTCATTTACCCCATTGCATAACCCGATGTCTATATCAGTCAACATCATCGGCTGCTGTCTCTCCTGCTGCCAATGCCGCGGCGGTCCCATTAGTGGTAGCTGGAGCGATCTTGGGTGGATAATAATCCACTTTTCCATCCAACTTTATAACGCCTACCCTATCGTAGAAAGATCTTGATCGGATATAGGGGTCTAGCCGCCAGTACTGATCCCTTAGGTTCTTCGCGATGGAGTCCCGCTCCGAGTGAAGAGTCGCCCTCTTTGTGGCATTTGTTTCGTTGATCCACTCGATCGTCTTGCTCTCATACTCTTCATATAGCCCCTCGCGTTCTTGGAGGAGCTTCTCCTTGGTTTCAATATCCTTCATCTTGGCGTTCTCCCCTGGTATCGGCTCCTTATATGTGTATGAGTAACCCGATGTGCCCTCTAAATCTTCGGGTATTCTCTCCTTAGCAACGAACTCTTCTAAATCCCTGATGTTATTCGTGAAGTGCACTTTGCTTGCTACTACAGGGTCAAGCCAACCCTTGACGATCTTCCAGATGCCTATGAAAATTGTTAGGGTATGATACCGACATCAATGAACATATAGACGAACCTTGGAATACCCAAGGAGCTTTGTGGACAAGAACCACACCAAGACTTTCGGGGTAATTGGCCTCGAAACATTTTATCATGAATTTGACTGGCGTGTAGTCCTTCGATAAGTTAGCTTCACTCTTATTTAATCTCAATATTTCTTAACCTTACCATATTGGCCAATGAAAATCCCGTCAAGTCAAAAAGGACACACTATTGGAATTAGTTATAACATACTCTCGAGAGTCATATAGAATACTTACAGCGGTGTCAACAGGGGGTGTCAACATGAATCGGGTCGTCTCTATCAAATAAACCGTAAATCGCTCGAGACCCTCTTCGTCCTGTTCGCCAGCCTTATGCAAGCGGGCCCGTACAATGCAGATGGGCCGTCCCGCTTTATCAGTACCATAGCAATGACTCTTTCCCATTCGTAGTTGGCCCAAAAAGTCTTCTGCTAATTTCTTTTCCTTCCCACTGGCACTCTTTTCGTTAATTGCAGCGAATTCCTCGCCATTTGCCATTATTTCCTCATCGACACGTGCCTCCGAACATCTCCAATTCATTGTCGACATCAACATGACAAGGGCCCTTTGCAAGTTCCATTTCCGAGCCCTTAAGAATCGTAGGAGAAGAGCATCGGGATTATCGTGCTTCACCATAGACCAAATTGTGGCTCTTATCTGTTCTGGAGAGTGCGTCGCCAAAGTATCAAGGTAAGCCTTGTTTTCGCCCCATTTATCTTCCGGGTCGTTTTCCTTGATGCTCTCCATAGCAGCGACTTTAGCAGCCGTCGAATTCTCCTTGTCTTTCTTTTTCTTAAAAAGGGACATCCGTTTCTTCTTAGGCTTTTCGGATCCTGCAGCGCCTGCCTTCCCTTGAGATTCAGAAGCTGTGTCAGCATCACCGGCTGCCTCTTCGCCAAGCACGCCGCATACTTGCAAGAACATCTCCCAGAACTTGCGCAGCTTCTCGTCCTCTTCAGGGGTCAAGTTCCCCGGTCTACCGGGGAGTGGCTCCATGACTACTCCGACAACTTCACTGAAGAATTCTTCAGCGCTTACTTCGGCGGTTAACGACTTATTTGAGTCCGAAGATGTCGCGCTGTAGTATACCAAAGCTCCAAATATAAGCAAAGGTACAAAATATAGCGCAGAAGAGAACTGGCTCTTTAAGCGCCGATCGTCTTTATGACTGTATCCTGAGAATTCTTGCCTCCTACAATGAGTTTTTCCTGTTCGCGACGGGCGCGGCGACCAGTGAAAATTGCGCTTGCTATTAGCGCTCCTAAGGATAAAATACTGTGCGAGAAAATCGTGGGGCAGTGCAAGCTCTGATGACGGACGAGTCAGAGGGAGAGCGGGGCTATAGCATGCGCGCAAAGCTTTGGAAGAGCAAAAGGATGACGAATAGTGGTGGGAATTGGAAATTGAACGACTTGCAAGATGATTAATAACAAAATCAAGTCTCGGAGTTGTGGAGAAGAGAAATGGCTGCAGCACCCGAGACGCTGAAGTTTTCATAAGGTCCAAGACAATTCCAAGAGCTGGCGCAAATGTCCGGCGGACCCGAACTACCGTATTCGTCTTGTAAGCGCAATTTCCTCCCTCTGGGAAAAGCCAAATAAAAATGAGAGGTTGAAGTCTAGGGGATGGGATAACCCCCTTTGCGAAATCCGACTTGCTGACAAGATGCAAGACAGTAGCAAATAGCTACCTCAAACAATGAAATGTAAGGGGAGGGGACCCGAGAGAGGTTGGATGCTGCTGGGTGGTTGACGTATACGGAAATATCTAACTGCTGTATCTCCGTTACTAAACCAATCGTATTCGGTCCTGTCCTGTCTGTGTGGAGATTGGGAATCCCTTGAGAGATCCGGGGTAGGTGTGTGATAAACAATTTTCAATTCCAATTCCAATTTCCCTCTGTTCCTATTTAGGTACTCTAAGCTAGAACTTTGAAGTCATTTGAGGTTATAGGAACACGAAGCAAAGTAGCGAATGAGAATTATATATAGCGAGACGATCGTGAATGAATCTTTTTGGTATTGAATTTTTTAAAAAGTCAAAAGAAATCGAGAATAATGGAAGTGGAATAGTTAAGGTACACACTATGTACTTAGACGATCAGCTAGGCCATTATGCGAGGGGTTATGTTGCGCTCCAGGGCTGCTACGAGCCGTCGCGCTCCCGTACCTTCTTTCTAACCAAGTTTACGTCATCTTGGAGTTTTTGCAGCACTGAAATATTGCGAAAGCTGATCCAAATAGTAGCATGGCACGTGCCTAATACATAAGGTTGTAACCTTGTTTACCCCACTAACTTAGGCCCTGTATAGGTGGAATACTGCCAAGAGCTCGATTTAAGAAATCACAATCGCGAAGTCTATTGATTTCAACAATACTTAATCAACCCATACTTTCGCTCAACAACTGTTCGATCGATATTCAATCAATTATTAAAAGAAGAGGGCATCGCCAATACTATCAACAGACCTTCAACCATGTCGGGGAACGACGGCCACGATAGCGGCAGACGACCGCGCTCTACATCGCGATCGCGTCCGACAACACCCCTCCGCCCCTCATCCCGCTCCTCGTTCCGCGAATCTGCTCGGCGTAGTGTTGAAGGTAGCGAACCCTTTCCGTTGAATACATTCGAGCCCGCTTTCGCCGAACTTTCTGATGCCGTTGCCGATCTCGAGGCGAATATGATGCATTTCCAATTGATGCACGAAAGTCTTGCCCGCTTCAGTGAAAGCTTCGCAAGCTTTCTCTACGGTCTAAATATGAATGCTTTTTGCGTTGATTTCCCAGAAGTAAGAAGCGCAATATCTATTGAGCTTCACGATATCTAACATGTCACGACAATAGGGCCCAATTCCGGAATCTTTCCGTAGGGCGAAGCTCAACGAAGAGCAAACACCCTCAGTTCCCGTTAGATCAAGAAGTACAGAACGAGGCGGTGAATTGGATGGAGAGACAACATTTATGTATGTGCACTTCATTTATGGCCCTTGGAGCAGGGTTTTAATTATCTCTCTAGGACTACGGACACATCTTTCGTAGAACATCCGCCGACCGTCTCTAAACCCACCCCGAAGAAGTTTGCGACACCAGATACTCGCCAATCCCGCATGCCTGGTCCTTCGAGAGGTGGTACACAATCGCGAGGTAGAGGTGGAACAGGGACGGGAAGAGGTCGTACAAGTGGCCTCGTTAGACCTAGAGCTCGCGGTTTGAGATGAACTAAATCAGAAAACCCAACGCCCTGAAAACGCCTGCTGATTCAATCCGGCTAAGGAATTCCTTTCGTGATGTTGCGATATCTTGACGCATTTTTATTATGTGTTCGACAATTGGGTCGATTTGACGCTGGGGACTATATCTCTATCCCGAGAAACATCGCGAGAGCGTAATTATACGAGAAACGGGCTTGAGGAAAATTGCACTCGTTCAAGTGGCCATTGCGATTTCGGTACTGACTGCCTTCTCGGATCGATAGGGACCTTCGTTGTCGGTTTGTAGGCCAATGGCTGCTTCGGCTTCCTTCTGGGTGTATGGTTCTTCACGAAGTTGCTTTACTCTATTTGACTGTTGTTAGACTAGATACCCAATATGATACTCCTTGCCCTGAGACTATAATGCGTACCTTCTCTTGTGCGGCTTGCCTTTTCTGTGGACGACAAGGCTGACTTCGGTTTCGTACCATTTTGCGCATTCTGTGCAATACCATTTACCCAAACCTGGTAAATCTTCTGATGCTTTCGTGTTCTTGTACTGAGCGAGATGTTTGGGTGATCGGAGGTCGGCTTTGATCTGGTCGAGATCTCTCGTCTTCCGACGAGTCTTGCTCATCGTGCGCTTGTTGCCAACTCCCATTTTGGATGATGTTCGGACCGATAATCAAGTCGACGATAAATGCGATCGATATTTCTCGTATTGAAACGTAGTATTGGGCGTTTGCTTGAATAATTGCGATTAGATGTATTAGGTAAGGAAATTTCAATATTTCTTCCTTGTAGAAATTTTGGTGGGGTCGAACTTTTTTAGTGGAGGTTAGTTAGTAAGGATATGGAAAGTTACAATAGGTGGTCCAAGCTCATTGGTACATATGTACTGCGCTCTTTACGGTTCACATGTTCCGCGCCTCCGAATTTGACCCGGCTCCATCCGTTTTTGCGCAGACCCGGGCGAGCGGCAATTGTTAGAGGTCTCAGTAACGCAACCATACAAAAATATTCCTACCACTAAGAAAATGCCGTGGCTATTAATTGAGGTCTGCTATTCGGATCAAAATTTTTACTGAATTACGTGTATAAGGGAGCGATATGCTTGCATTTATATTGCAACGATTATCAATCCCCTCGTACCGATGCGTCAAGTTACAAAAAAAAGAATTCGAACGACTGACTCGGTGACGAACTTACACCGAGGCATGTCTCCGTGGGGGTTTTATCCTTGTCTTTGGCGGTTCGGCCGATTGGTCAATTCAGTCCCACCCACATGGTCTCCAGACTCAGCAAAATTTGTCTCGGCCTGTCGAATTTGACCTGCAGACCTCGAAAATGTGGACCTGCGTGCATTCGTGAAGCGATTCAGGGCCACCGCACTACGGCGATACTTTGCATGCGACGAGGAGGTACATACGGTTATTTCCTAGGTACTTTGAGTAGAGGGAGACGTGGCATAATTATAATGGGAAATTACCGATCCTAAAATGTCCTAGAAATCGTTTACAATTATACCTCACCACGGTAACGTATTATTTAGTATTTCCGAGTATGTTGCCGCGAAGCTTACATTGTACATACGTCCAATATGTATGTAGCTATGTTATTGAAGGAGATGATTTGCGGCGCTTACTACCTTACAGGTTTCAGAGGCAGAAGGAGACAAGGATCGCGTGGGAGCTAGGTCATAGATAATTCAGCTCCCAATGAGGCTTAAGTTATGTATGTATTGTGTGTGTGTGCTTGGCTAGGGAACTGCCTATGAGAAAACAAGAAAATGTTGCATGAACTCATCGTTAGCAAACTTCACATGATTTACTGATAACAATATCACCAACGATATATACTAATTGTGGCTTGAAAGAAAGAAAGAGAAAAAATAACGTCGAATTAAGTTTATACCATAATTCTATAAAATAATCTAAATAATCTGTCATTACCAATGCTAACGATATGATTGAATGGTATTGTGTACCTGAATAAGAATAATCAATTGTAAGGATGGGACGTAATCCTAAAAAAACCCGACTAACCTGCTAACATGCTTCTAGCTAACCAAACACATGCCCAAGTCCGGCCATACCCCTACTAAGCTTTAGGGGCCGTGAGTATCAACCGCTTTCATCCATTCGCATTCCGCACGTTCTAAGAAATTCAATTTATTAGGGTCTAATACCTAGTGTAGACTATTTTCTCTTAATTGAGGGGTCTTTTTTTCATATGATTCCATGCTTATCGTAAGTGAATTAGGTAGCGATAATCTAGTGCGAATAATAGGAATGTATTGCCTAGGTAAAGATTCTTAAAACTTGAGTAACAATGACGACCCTCTTATCCAATACCCAAATAATAAATATAGATCCATATTGATGGTTACACAAGGAACGAAAAGAAAGAAATGTGAATGCAAGCTGTGAATGGTCAGACCAATTGATGTAATTGTTTATCGAAGTTTGGGCGATGATGGTGGCTGATCTCCAAAAAAGGTGGAAAGCAATGTGAGGTCACATATTCGACCTATAAGTAATTGGGTGAACTCTGATTCGTCCATTCAGCCGGGTGACACCATAGTACGGCGAAGGTACCTATTCGTCTTAACCGAAGTACCCTTTTACTCCCTAATACCTGACCCACATAGCCACCCAAACGGCGATTTGAACCAGTAGGCATTAGCAGCTTCCCTTTACCGTAGTACCGGGGTACCGGCGACCTAGGTACATGTTCGCCCAAACCGCAGTACCTAGCATCTTCAATCGCAATCCAGAAAACCACACAAAACTCTCCACCTTTTCTCTTCTCTTCCATTAAAACATCTTTTTTTCTTCTTCACTTCCCTAGAAGATCCAATTCCCTTTTAAACTTTCTGTTCCTAGAGGCATTTTGCGACCCTCTTGAAAACCTCCCTTCCCACTTCTATCCTAAAATTTAAGATTGAACCAGTTTGTTTTCCCTGGTTTTGAACCCCTCACAGCTACCCTCGGGACCGCGGTTGTCACGATGTTGGCCACTCGACAGGTCCTGGGCAATGTTGCCCGCTCGCGGGTCATGACCAACATGAACCTGCGCAGGTGCATGGCTACTGTTACAGATTCCCCTCTGGACAGAAAGGTAAGCATTGTCTTTGTCGCAAGTCTCTCAGAATCCAAAATGGAGACTAATATTTCCCGCAAATCATAGGTCAAGCAAAATAACTGGGAAGAAGGCAACTTCATCAACTACAAGAAGATGTCTGAGAACCTAGCGATTGTCCGCAGCCGTCTCAACCGCCCCCTAACCTACGCCGAGAAGATCCTATACTCTCACCTTGACGACCCGCATGGACAGGAAATCGAGCGAGGTGTCTCCTACCTAAGGCTGCGACCCGATCGAGTCGCCTGCCAGGATGCTACCGCTCAGATGGCCATCCTGCAGTTCATGTCTGCCGGTATGCCTTCCGTGGCCAACCCGACGACAGTACACTGTGATCACTTGATTGAGGCTCAAATCGGTGGGGCTAAGGATCTCGAGCGAGCTATCAACATCAACAAAGAGGTTTACGACTTCCTATCTTCCGCTTGCGCCAAATACAACATTGGTTTCTGGCGGCCCGGCTCCGGTATCATCCACCAAATCCTTCTCGAGAATTACGCTTTCCCTGGTGGTCTGCTGATCGGTACTGACTCCCACACGCCCAACGCGGGTGGTCTCGGCATGTGCGCTATCGGTGTCGGTGGTGCTGATGCCGTCGATGTCATGGCTAACCTCCCCTGGGAATTGAAGGCGCCAAAGGTCATTGGTGTCAAGCTTACTGGTGAATTGAGCGGCTGGACGGCACCCAAAGGTGAGTTTTTCCATTTCGCCCATATCTGTATCCGGAGGGAAGGAGCGTTATATGAACCCCACAGGAAAGTGCTATCTAAGCCTGGGGAAGCAGCCCCTTCCTATGGAATGTACCACCTAGCAAACTTAGGGCAGGCGCTACCTAGTCTCCGAGAAGGTTTTTAAGGGAAAATTTTAAGGAAGGAGGTATGAGCAATGCTAACAAAGTGGGTCTAGATATCATCTTGAAGGTCGCCGGCATCCTGACCGTGAAAGGCGGTACGGGCGCCATCGTCGAGTACCACGGCCCAGGCCTAAACGGCATCTCAGCTACAGGCCTTGGGAGCATTAGCAATATGGGGCATGGCTTCCCTGTTTTGATTTCAATTCTTTGGGAAACAACTGGCTAACTCGTTGCTATAACAGAGCTGAGATCGGTGCGACGACATCTGTTTTCCCCTTCAACGACCGCATGTACGACTACCTGAAGGCTACTAAGCGACAAGATATTGGTGAATTTGCACGCGAGTACGCCAAAGAACTTCAACCAGACGAGGGCGCCGAGTACGATCAACTCATCGAGCTTAACCTCTCTGAGCTCGAACCCCATATTAACGGCCCCTTCACTCCCGATCTAGCCACTCCCATCTCCAAATTCAAGGAGGCTGTGGAAGCTAATAAGTGGCCTGAAGAGTTAAAGGTGGGCTTGATTGGATCCTGCACAAATTCCTCATATGAGGATATGTCCCGAGCCGCTTCAATTGCCCGGGACGCTCTTGACCACGGCTTGAAGGCTAAGTCTGCGTTCGTTGTTACTCCCGGTTCCGAGCAGATTCGTGCTACCATCGCACGTGATGGCCAGCTCCAGACATTTGAGGAATTTGGTGGTGTAGTGTTGGCTAATGCTTGTGGCCCCTGCATTGGACAATGGGACCGACAAGACGTCAAGAAGGGCGAGGCCAACTCTATTCTCTCCTCCTACAACCGTAATTTCACTGGCCGAAACGACGGTAACCCTGCGACCCACTCCTTCGTCACTTCCCCCGATCTAGTCGTTGCCTTGTCTATCGCCGGTACCCTACGCTTCAACCCCTTAACCGACACACTCAAGGACAAGGATGGTAATGATTTCAAGCTCGCTCCTCCTACCGGCGATGGTCTCCCTTCTAGGGGCTACGACCCTGGCAACAACACCTACCAGGCTCCTCCTGCCGACCGTGCCTCGGTCAACGTCCAGGTTTCGCCTTCCTCTGACCGTCTCCAAGTTCTGCAGCCATTCCAGCCCTGGGATGGTAAAGATGCTTTGGACATGCCCATCCTGATTAAGGCGCAAGGAAAGACTACCACTGACCACATTTCTATGGCTGGCCCGTGGCTTAAATACCGTGGTCACTTGGACAACATCTCTAACAACATGTTGATTGGTGCCATCAACGAGGCCAACGGTGAGGCTAACAAGGTCAAGAACTCGACCAATGACGAGTGGGACGCTGTCCCAGCTGTCGCCCGTGACTACAAGGCTAAGGGAATTAAGTGGGTTGTCATTGGTGACTGGAACTACGGAGAGGGTAGCTCTCGAGAGCACGCTGCTCTAGAGCCCCGTCATCTTGGTGGTCTTGCCATCATTACCCGAAGTTTCGCCCGTATCCACGAGACCAACTTGAAGAAGCAGGGTATGCTTCCTCTGACATTTGCAGACCCTGCCGACTATGACAAGATTAAGCCTGATGACAGGGTAAGTTTTTTTCTTTTTCCTTCGTAATTACTTTAATGGTGGTTTGTATTTGGAAACAGTTGACTAATCAGATGTACAGATTGATCTTCTCTGCACAGAATTGGCTGTCGGCAAGCCTTTGACAATGCGGGTACACCCCAAGGACGGCAAGACATTTGATGTCAAGCTCAACCAAACATTCAACGAAGCACAAATTGAGTGGTTTAAGAACGGAAGCGCGCTTAACACGATGGCTAAGGCACACGCGAAATGAAATACCCTCGAGATGAAACAGTAGACGAGACAAATACTATAGGGGAGAAGCACGCAGGCGCATTGTGGGGAGGCATGCTAGAATTAAGGAACATGAGGTGTATAAGGTCTTGGGTTACGGCTGTCATGTTTTATGGGACGATTATACTTCTTACCCGCCGTGACGATAAGTTAGCCGTTTCTAGAACCTTTTTCTACTTTGTACAAAATGAACCAATACGAATACTTCAAAACTAAAACCACGAAGTGCCTATGTATACATGTTATGCTCCATATCATATAGACATGGGGACTATGAAGGGGCATATTCGACGATGCCGGGCGAAGGGTATACACTATGCTATGGCATTTATACGTTGTACTTTGGCATTCCAGCGATGCTCCAAAACTATACTATATTGTTCCAATACCATAATGCCCCAATACTATAATGCTCCAAAATGCTTCAACACTATTTTATATTGTCCCAATACTATAATGCCTCAACAATACTTCTATACTATATCATCTTGCTCCCATATTATATAATCCATGTTTTTTTTTCTTCTTGATCTTCCTCCTCCTCTTCTTCATCCTATTCTTTTTTCATGTTTTCGTTTTTCTTTTCTTTCTACCCTTCTCTTTCGCAATATTACTCCTATTATTAACCGCATAGGACACTATGAGAATTCAAAGTACTATATTTAAAATTCTATACAAGTTTTTAACCCGATTAAAGCTATCTTGCCAACTTCATTTGATACAAGATTGGATTCAATGAGAAAAGCGGTAAAATTATGGGATTTCGCACTGCTCCTAGTATCTAGTGTATGAACAGAGCATAAATGTAGCAGCTTCTTGGTTATTTGGGTTACATGAACCAGGTTCTGTATTCATTCTAAGGGCCGCGTAACTGGTCTAGATTATAGGGCAGTACTATAGCAGCTCAGTTACACAAGTTAAATCATTTAAGCCTACCGTTCACCAAGAATACCACATAACTCAATCTTATTGTCCAAATTCTCAATCAATTGATTAAGTTGTTTGATCTGCTTACCTAAGTTTCTTACCACCCTGATGCGCATCATGAAGTCACGGCTTTTTTGTCGGGATGCATGAGCTGGTTGTCTCGCTGTCGCTGTCAATTCAAGGTTATATTTGCCTTAGATGACGGCTTAATTGAAGACATCCTTGAATACCTAGGTAATTGATGTCGCTTTGCTTGGGTTACTATATTGGTAGTTGGTGATGGGCTGCTTTTGCTAGGTTATTTGTAGTAGCTGTAACGGTACAGTACATGAAGATGTATCATTCTTATATAATTGGTTGTTGCCGAGGTATGGTTACACAATGACTATTATCGATAAGATGCCGAAGATCAGTTTCCTCTAGCGTGTTATCTTCAGAAGCTTAATATCCCTGTACGTTACCTGTGCTTTCCCTGTATTTTTCCCTTTGTAGGCTACAGAGGTAGTTGCGACTTTTGGGTGTAAAGCACACGACTCACTCAATTTCTCGAGTCACTGCAAGTTTCTCCAACTTACCAACTTTCTCTTTTTTCAATGGCGATCCGGGTCGGCGGCAAACAATTTATATAAGCTCAACAGGACGTATCCTGCGTCCTCTTTTGCTTTGTCTATTCCATTTTGCGCTTTTACTTCCGAGGCGAGTTAAACTACAACCAGAATCGAGCGCCGCCTCGGAGCAAGTGGCAAGGGGCACGCACCATCTAATCCGCAACCACGACCGTAAATTTGATCGAGCATCTCAACGAACAATGCCTACCATACGAGGATTCAATACACTGCGGGCGCGCTCGTACGTGTTCCGGTTACCACTATTCACTCGGGCGATTATCGCCATTATGATAGCATTCTGGATCGCTGGCCTTCAAACCGTATGGGATGTGCGACAATGGGGCGCTTTGATCCCGGATGAATTGAGCATACCTACTAGTTAGTTCCTCTTGTTGCCGAGACCCTTCTACGTACCACATGGAAACCGTCCTTTTGCTAACTCGTGCGACCGCGACACAGTGTACCGAGTTAACTCGTTTCCGTTGATCCACCTTAACTTCTTCCACGCCTTGTTTAACATACTCTCTTTAACACCGTTGCTGGAGAGATTCGAAACCGAGTTCGGCACCTTAACTTCGCTCGCTCTATTCTTTGGCCGTAAGTGCGCCCACTTACGCCGCGTCGCTCGCCTCATTGGAGGATGTTATAGATTGACATTTGGCATAGCTTTAACTACGATACCTGCGGTCTTTTACATCATCATAGAAAAGTTCATATTAAGAGGGAATACTGCCGTTATGGGTGCTAGGTACATACATCTAAATGCTCTTGGATTGAGGAGTTTATACTGATATTGGAATTTGATGTAGTATCTGGGTGTTTCTCTTATTAGCCGTGGAGGCCATGCGAACTTACAAGACAAATCCCTATCTCGTCATAGGAACACACCACGTCCCGACATGGACGACCCCCCTCGTATTAGTGTGTGTCGTCGAAGCTCTTATTCCTAACACTAGCTTTCTCGGTCACCTCTGTGGTGTGGGTACGGGTTATTTGTGTGAGTTTTAGTCTTGCATGCTCACCTCCGTCTTGTTATTATTGCTAATAAAAGCTTTTGAAGTTGGTCTGGGCTATCTCAAGTTCCTATCGCCGCCAGAGTGGGCCTTACGATGGATTGAAGGTCGTTTAAATCTATTAGGACGCCTACCACACTATGTTAGCGTAGATCAGAAGACATACGGAAGGTTCGGTGTTCTGCCGACGAGCAACTCGACTAGTTCAACAACTCCTTTAGGATTAATAGGTTCTACGCAGAGATTAGGACCGTAGGAAGGTTTTCGCAATATACCGGTTAGGACAATGAGGGGCAGGCATTCCGAATGAAGGGTTACCTTGTATATAGCATGGGTTCTCGTTTGTTATACAGGCATTTGCATGATACCGGAGTTACTGGGCGGGAAAACTATCAGCGTTACGGGGCCGTATACTCACTTGCCTCTTGCGATCGTATGAAGGATAAAGGTGGGTTTGGTCATTTGTATCGCTAATAAATACCGTGAGCATTTGACGAATTGTGTTGACTCCGTAGGCATAGTATTTAACTTCACAGCCATTTAAGAGCTATAACATGAATGGTCAATAGTATAAAGACTTGCTCGAGTAACAATACTTATTATAAAGGAGTACATCCTATGTACCTATGTAACTAGCAGTTAATTGGGTCGTAAGGCTGATTACGTAAATGATACCAGGTAGTTTAATTGGCCCCTGAAGTTACGGTTCGGGGTGTGTGGTTCGTGTTACACGCGATCTTCAATTTCAATAACTCAATTTAACAATTAATTCAACGTTTCAATGTAGCCACTTACTAGTTACAACCATAATTCTTCACGCTCGAACGCAAAGTTCAAGACTCGAGTTACGAGAGGAGCTCCATCAAGCTAGCTATGCCGCGTCTACTCTGTAAGTCTTACACAATTCCTACTCACAAATTGGGATATAAGCCAGGTAGCTAATTCATAAAATGTTATAGCTGCGGCGTTGGTCCTGCGCCGCGACCCACGACTCCTCAAACTCCCGCCGTATATCTCCCTCCTCTGTATCATCGTCGGTGTCGCATGGCTTCTTATGCTACCACTCGATCAATATTCGCGCCGAACTTATATAAGCGAGAACGCACTCCTACCCGGTCAAGTTCACACGTATTTCGGCGGTAGCGACCAGCATGTCTTCCGCGCTTACAGACACGAAGTCGATGCTTTAGAAAACAAGACCAATATCGAAGTTAACGACGAGCTAGAAAGCATATTCAGGGGTGTTGGGCTTAAGGTCGGCCGTCAAAATTACACGTATAGCTCTTCGGGTAAGACCCACCACGGCGAAAACGTATACGCTATCCTACAAGCTCCCCGCGGTGATGCTACGGAGGCCATTGTACTTGTCGCTGCGTGGAAGAACGTCAATAATGAATACAATCGCAATGGACTTGCATTGGCACTTGCCTTGACTCGCTACTTCAAGCGCTGGTCCCTGTGGTCCAAGGACATTATCCTCGTCGTGCCGCCCGATAGCTACGCCGGACCCCAGGCCTGGGTCGACGCTTACCATGATGCGCACGATGCTTCGCAGGTCTCCCCACTGCCTATAAAATCCGGTGCGCTTCAGGGTGCGCTATGTCTCGATTACGCGCAAGAAAACCGGTTCGATTCCGTGCATATAATATACGACGGCGTCAATGGACAATTGCCGAATCTGGATCTGATCAACTCTGTTGTTAATATCGCGAGTGGCCAGATGGGTATGGGGTCCGCGCTACAGGGAATGTTGAGACATTCGCAACAATACGGTGATAACCTCGAGACGGTGGTGCGCGGGATGTTAAACCAGGCATTGGGCCATGCTACGGGTCCGCATTCAAGTTTTATCCCGTACCACGTCGATGCGATTACGTTGCAGCCGGCGGGTAATGGATGGCATGATGAGATGGGCTTGGGTCGCCTGGTCGAGGGATTATTCAGGAGTTTGAATAATCTGCTGGAGAAATTGCACCAGAGTTTCTTCTTTTATCTCCTCATTCATAAGCATCGGTTTGTTAGCATTGGTACGTATTTGCCGAGTGCTATGCTTATCGCGGTGAATTTCACTGTTATGGCGATTGCGTTGTGGGTTAAGAGCGGGTATAAGGAGGTTGATTCGGCGGATGAGTCGGCGAAGGATAAGCCTAAGGTGGAAGGAAATGGCGTTAAGGAGGCCGAGAAGTCAAAAGAGGTAGTGGCACCAGCTTCGGTGGCGGCTGAGCGAGAGGTACTTCTCCCGCTCGTTCTGGTCGTGAGTTGCCACTTCATGGGTGTTATTCCACTCTTCATATTCAACCACACACCCTCTGGTGTAAGTTTCCCTTCTCTCTTTTTCACCCCATATTATAACTAATGGAAAACTAGCTTCTCACCCCTATCTTCACCATTTTTACCCTCCTCAACGCTGCCTTACCGCCTATGGTCTCCTACTTCCTTACCAATAATACGCGCAAACCGCCTACGACACAACAATACCAGCTCATCAAGTCCTTCTCACTCTTACTCCTCGGCATGTTCCTCTCCTCCCTAGCCACCCTCAACTTCTCCCTCGCCTTCCTCATCGGTCTCCTAGCGACTCCGTTATCATTCTCGCAACCGTGGCCCAATCTCCCCGTGGCGAGATACGCGCAGGTATTACTCTTGCATATACTAAGCCCACCCGCGGTATTACTCGTAGGTAGCTTAGTAGCAGGAGTCGAAATCAGAAGCGTACTCGAGGAGGCCGCATTCGGGTGGCATGCTTGGGGCATGTACACACCGCTTCTAGTATGGTGTGTCTGGTGGCCAGCATGGTTGGCAGGGCAGTTGATCGTGCTAGGACAACCCGGGGTGGGAAAGGTTAAGAAGGCTTGATAATTCGTTGTATCATGTTATTTGGGATGGATCGATTTGATTTAAACTCATGGAGGGAAAAGGAGGAGGGTCATTAAGCATGGTTCAGCGTATGCATATCTACTTGTCAAACATTAGCTAGGTTTGGAGCCGGGGGCATTACCGCCTCTTGCTGATGAGCGAAACAGAATTGAGATACCATTAATATCGTACTCTATACGTACTTCGCGCTTGCGTTTATGACAGTAGATATCGAAATATTCGGTATCGGGAAAGTATATTTAGTACCCGGGAAGGCGAGCAAGTAACCCCCTTGGTGGACTCGGAAGAATAACTACTATAGCAGATGGATTTTCATTTCGGTCCTCTTGTAGGGACCGCCATGGCGTCTATTAGTAGGTATCTATCATACAAGGCTCTAGACCCTCTCGTATTTGGATAGAAGGCAGCTTAGCTATCGACTACCTCTTATTTTCCTTCCTTCTCCGAGTCCTTGCCTATCATAAAGCATTCGTAACTCCATTTCTTCTCCTATTAGGAGACGCCATTGCAGATAATCACGAATAAACACCTAGACAAGATTAAGGAGCCCAAATATCTTGGCCCGTAGCCTCGATCCAGTTACCCAATTTGTTCACATTCTCGCCCCATTCACCAAGTCGCTGGCTCATGCTAGCAATTTGAGCCATATCGAGAATACGAGGTTGGACCCAGGTGAAGTTGACCAATTCGTCCACCTCATCAATAGTGCCACGTACCAATCCCAAACTCAAAGCCTTCATTACTAGGTGCTCAATTTCATCCTTTCGGACCTTGGTATCGGCGGAGATGGTGTTGAAGCTCATGGCACGTTGGTGTGGTGGTCGGCGGAAGACGCTTTCCGTCAAGGCGGCAAGGTAGATCTTTTGGCGGATATCATCGACGTGCTCCTTGAGCAAGGGGTTACCAGCGATGTGGCCGGACAGCACATCGAATGCAGTCAGATCACCCCGGTTGAAGGCCAGTAGTAGATCGCGCAACCATGAGACCTCACCGGTCAGGGCGGCGAGAATAGGGTGTTGTAATAGTTCGCCAAAGTTATAAATGGAGTCAGAGACTAGTGCGGCAATGCCCAGGTCGTAGGCGCGGGCCTTGCGCTCGTCAGGGGAAAGGGATGATAGATCGATGCAAGCGAGGTATAAGAGGGCGTTGCGATAGTAAGAGGCAAAGTCAGCCTTGGCTTGGTAGTAATCAGCGTTTACTTGGTAGAAGGCGGCGTGGACCTTCGTTTCTACGCTGTCGAAAGAGTCGAGGATGCGCTCGGCCTTGTCGAGATCTCGTCGTGAGGAATCTAGGTCTCGCAGGTCTAGTTCGACTCGGGCGACCGCGGCGGTGGCGTAGACGAAAGCATCCTGGGAGTTTTCGTTGTCGACCTTCTTAGCGAGGTCCGTTAGGAAGCTAAGGCGCTCGTCGTTATCTATCCGTCACCTGGTCAGTACCACATACACATATGTATCATATAGCATACCTTTGCACTGAGTAGCGGCTTTCAGTCCTAGGTCGACAAGCTTAAGTTGGTTGATTTTATCAGCGAACTTTAATATGAAGACCTTGTAGAACTTGAGTCGCTGCGACTCGCTCTTAGGGTTGGCGAAAAACTCGATTAAGGCATCTGTAAGCTGGTGCCATAGCTTGCGCTCCCAGTAGTTTTCGAACTGGATGATGAGGTATTGTAGCTCGTCCGGGGTTTCATCCCGCTGATCGGCTAAGAAGTCGGCGATAGTGTCGACGTTCATGGTATTTTCTTTTCTTCGGGGTTCTCCTTTTTGTAGTTTGTTGGTGGTATGTATGGGAGAAGAGGATTCAGTGGGTATTAATTCGGAATTGGTGTTGTTTTTACGTTTGGGTCGTCGTTAGTTGTAAATGTTAAAAGTTGAAGATGTAAGTTAAAGCTTCCTCAAGCTTCAGTCAATCGATCAACTAATACGCGGCTGGTGTGCAGCCTATCCCGGGAAGGTACCTACAGACCCATGTTGTACCCATGTATTCCCACGCTAAGGTGAGTTTAGCTTACCAGCCATTATGATATCAGATTACTTAATTAATGTGGCTTGATCTTTCGGCTTTCAACCAATCTTACCAGCCGCATTAACTTTGACCAATACTGTAATTGTGGCTTGACTCCCCGGGAATCTTTAGAGCTTCAATCCCACCAAAGACGATCCAAGCCATTCTCAAAGCTACACTATTACCAACTTTCTTACTATTGCAATTGGAAAGGCTGCTTCATTCTTGCACCCTCGGACATTAAGCAAGAATGGCTTCCTTTCCGACCGCAGTGCGGTCCAGTCGAAAGTTGGCCTTTAATGTTGTCCAGGCTCGTCACATTTCCGACCTTACCATCACTCGGACCGGCAAACCCATCCTCCGCGTACAAGGTGGAAGGTCAGTTGTCGCATATTTATATATGTCAATTGCTAGTATACTAACTTATTTCTGTTTGTAGATCATCCCTTGGAGGTATATAACGAAACCGAATTCATTCTAGCCCTTCCGATCCTGACGAGATATATAGGTCATACGGCGACGGTATTTGGCGCAACAGGACAACTCGGAAGATACATCGTCAACCGATTAGGTATGAGGAACATAAAGACCATACGAAGAGAACACTACGATTAATAATATGTTATAGCGCGACAAGGATGCCAAGTCGTTATTCCATACCGAGAGGAGATGGCGAAGCGACATCTCAAGGTTACGGGTGATCTAGGTCGTGTCGCATTTATCGAGTACGATTTACACAACACCGAGTCGATCGAAGCCAGCGTTAGGCACTCCGACGTTGTATACAACCTTATCGGCCGAAATTACCCTACCAAGAACTTTAGTCTTGAGGATGTTCACGTCGAGGGTACCGAGCGCATCGTCGAAGCTGTTGCTAAATACGATGTCGACCGATATATCCACGTCTCATCATACAACGCCGACCCTAACTCTCCTGCCGACTTCTTTGCTACCAAGGGACGAGGAGAACAGGTCGCCCGTAGCATCTTCTCCGAGACCACCATCGTACGACCCGCTCCTATCTTCGGATTCGAAGACAACCTCCTTCTCCGATTAGCCAGCGTTACCAACCTATTCACATCAAACAACATGCAAGAGAGATATTGGCCTGTACACGTACGTTTTTCAATAATACTAAGTGTATATTCAGAGCAATTTACTAATTAGAATAGTCAATCGATGTCGGCCAAGCTTTAGAAACCATGCTATACGACGACACAACGGCCGGTCAGACGTTCGAACTATACGGTCCTAAGAACTACTCAACGGCGGAAATTGCTGAGATGGTAGACCGAGAAATCTACAAGAAGCGAAGGCATATTAACGTGCCCAAGGCTATCCTCAAGCCTGTCGCTGGTTTACTAAACAAGGTATTATGGTGGCCGATACTTTCGGCGGAAGACGTAGACAAGGAATTCATCGACCAGAAGATCGATGAGACCGCAAAAACATTTGCCGACCTAGGTATCAAACCAGGCGACATTAGCAACTTCACATACCATTACCTAGTAAGTACATTTCGTTTCCAATGAACATTCCAATGAATAGTATTAACAACCCAACAGCAAGGATTCCGTAGCTCGGCATACTATGATCTACCGCCAGCGACGGAGAAGGAGAAGAGAGAAGACAGGAAGTACTTACACGTGATGGATGAACAATAGAGAATTACTTCGCAAGAGCAATATTTTCTGTAATATTTAACCAGAAAAGAGACTCATTTTGCGCTGTACATATATACATACTAGACCAAGTAGTTTTTCTTGATCCAAAAGTCACGAACGGTACTATAAGAGCATTTTATTATTTTTTCTAGATGGTTACAAGTATCGTAGTAATTTTGTTGTAGTGTGAGTTTCCGATGTGCCTTTCTATAGTTACGAAATCTGCCTCTAAAGAATTTTGGTGCTCCAAGAAAAATCAACTTATACCTAAGCCAAAACCCAACGAAAATAAATCAACCATAATCATACTGCCGACCTAATTTCTATATCAATAGAAATAAATCATCAAAATCGACATAGTATACGTAAATTCCGAAATGGCAGACAGCGACGAGGAACCAGTGTAAGTCCGTTGAAAAAGTCCGAGATCGACCGATTACTCACTAAAAGCCCGCATACTCTTGTGTTTCCCCAATATCCTGGATACCTATCCTTCCATCTTTTTACCCAATTTATATCAAAATGGATATTGACATTATTTAGAACCCTCTCTTCCCATGCGCTCGCCGCGCTTCAGGAGTTCTACGGCGAACGGGATGCCCATGCCGATAAGTTCGAGAAGCTAAAGGCTGCAGCTGAGGAACAGCATGACGGCAACGCGCAACCGTTGTCTATGGAGGCTTTTACAGAGGATTGGAATGAGTCGCAATTCTGGGTATGTCTTTTTTCCTGAGCTACTACGATAACCATTGAAGAATGGGAAAACGATCAGTAAACAAGCAGGACGAGGTGAGAAGGCTAATGAGAGGTAATATAGTATGCAGACGAAACAGCGACGCTACTTGCAAAGCAATTAATAGAGGGCGTACGGGAGGACGAGGTCGTTGCGGTAGTATCGGCGCCGAGCGTGTTTATCGCCTTGAAAAATCTACAGGTAAGTACTTACCTTTTATTCCATTTGAAGACTGCTAACATCACCCGCAGAACACAGCAGACTTCAAGGCCAAACCAAAGCCGAAGGTCTACCTTCTTGAGCACGACCAGCGCTTCGCCGTCTTTCCTGAATTCGTCTTCTACGACTTCCAACAACCCATTAAGCTGCCGGGAGAACTGAAAGGCACCGTTGATCGCATAATCTGCGATCCCCCTTTCCTTAGCGAAGACTGTCAGACCAAAGGTATGTTTCAACCTCTTAGTACTCCATATATCACGAAGCTTTACACGCCGCTAATATATCTATAGCCGCTCTAACGGTCCGTTGGATGTCGCGCGCACCCTCCAAAGCAAATAACCAAACACAACCGCATCCTCGTGTCATAGTTTGCACGGGTGAGCGCATGGAATCACTTGTCACGAAACTGTACCGATCTTTCGGGGCACACACGACGACATATGAGCCGCGCCACGCTCGCGGGTTAAGTAACGAATTTTATTGCTACGCCAACTTTGAATGTGATGCTTGGACGTTCCAGGGTGAGAAGGAAAAGGGGACATCAGGAGTTGTGAAGAGTTAGCTATACCAAACAATGGTCACAGTAGACGAATAGATGCATCTGCGGAATAAAATGGTACCAAGTATTCGTGAATTTGATTACTAGACCTTCCTACTTCGGAGGGGAAGCACGCCAGTTCCCGCCGTCCTGTGTATACCCAAATATTCGCATTTAGACAGCCCAAGCCTATGTTTGTGTTCATTTTGACCGAGTACGAGGTCGCAAAACTCTCCTTGTCCAAACCCAAGGCCAACCCCCTACGTCACTATGCTTCATTCAACCCAGGCACCCTACGGACGTCTTGGGAGGGTTATTCTAGACGACTCTCGAACCAATACCTCTTCGTTCTCAGTCTAGGGGGTAGATCTCCTAGTATTACGAAGCATAGCCCACGCTCAACGGGGTTTTCCGTTTCTCATGTCCGGTATTGCAGTGGTGTCGGATTTTTCTTTCTGCTCTAACGACATCCTGCAGTGGCCACATGTGTAGCTTGAGTATCTCAGGATGGAGGCTCGCAAGGACCCATGGAGATATTCGTGGACCTGGCTGGTAACTCGCTGCTGACCCGTTTATCGGTTCGTGATTCCGAGTCGGACATGTGCGTCTTTTATGTCTTCTACAGGTAAGGACGCTGGCATTGGTAATTTCGAGAGCTATTTACACGGTTAATATGGAACACTAGGGGACGAAGCAAGCCATGACTTAACGTACGTGTATCCTCCAGACCATAGAGAGGTGTTGTTACCATGAGAACAAGAGTTAGTTCGTATGGATGTATTATTCATAAATTGGGGTTTCCATCAGCTCTAAGACTTTTTCTGTCGTTATGTGCTATTAGGTAGAAGCCTCTATGCCGATGTTCTTGCTCCAATGTCTTATACGGGAGGTGTTGCCCGGGCGACATGGTCTCCTAAACCCGCACAATAATTGTGAGTTTCTCTTGTATTCAATAATAAAAAGTTCAGTAGAGGCCAAGATCAGGAAACATAATAATAATGTATATATATAATCAATGTCATAAGCCTCAATAGTGAAATGTTGACTTAGTGGTCGCAGGGTTGGAAAATAGCAGAAAAGCGGAAGACTAGGTGTGATTCTAGCTTTGGGCGACGAGGTAAACACGCGCTTGCCATTGATGGGAGCGCCTGATTGGCCTTATATACACGTCAGTACGGATTTAAACGAATAATATGAGGCGTATCGGGATACCTCAGTATTAGAAGTTTGTGGGATCGATAGGTCAGAGTGGTTTGATACAAACACAATCAACGCGGTAAATAGCAAAGTTTATAATGATGGAAATTCAATCGTAGTCGTAGAATTGCTCTATGTGATGATGCCTCTATTCAAAGGTAGTGTGCAACGTAATAAGTCATTGCGTCCCGAGCCATGTAAATGCTTCAAAAACACCGCCGTCCAGCCTAATGCTCCCCTGATTGAAAACCACTTTTACGCCAATGATCGGATAATGTAGAATAGTAAGTAAGCTTGGCTTCCGAGTACATCGGATTTCTTGGCTAGTTCGACTCTGTGATCGTTGAAGGAAAACCACTAAGGTAACAAACATTAGTATTGTTAGAAAATGCTTCGCGGTTGTGTAACTTACTTGATCGCCAACACGAGAGTACGTCACGTAGTGTCCTAATTCGGTCAGCCTTGAGCATATTTATGTAGGGGACGGAGACTTACCCGTATCGATCTCACCAACATGCTCCACAACACTCAATAGGTCGTATGTACATGATCTCTTAAGCTCCTGACTATCTCGAGCATCTGATGCTCTACCACGAGTAGTGTATGGAAGCATGTTTAGTTGCAACGGAAACTGTACTTTTGTACTAATTTTTGAAGCAACACGATCCCGGTTGCCCTGCTTGAACTCGAACCGCTAGATGATTTTGTCAGCGTTGGTATGTTAATGGCTAGGATAGTAGCACCCACCTTAAGTTGTATAGACAGCACATTTGGTAAAAGTTTTATGCTATGGTCTCTTCGTGCTTGTTGTGATGAATGACAGTTCCTACACCGATATTCACACTTGTCGGACTTGATGTACTCTTCGTCGAGACACTCCTGCAAAGATAGAGAGGCGTTCTTTGCAGCCTTCTTACTCTTCTTATGAGATAAGTTCTCTAGACCTAGACTCAAGTCGAGAAACGACTCCACTGCATTCGTAACGCCGCCGCAAGATTGGCAGGTGGTCTGACTTTGCTGTTTTCCGTAGAACGTTTGGTGAATGATGCAATTGCAGCTGTGCTCGCTGCCTGTCTCCGGCTTCTTACCATCTCCGTTCCTCTCATGAAGCTCCTCAGCCAGAAACTGGAAAAATTCATGTGCATCTTGCTCCTTGGTTGTGACTAGATTCTCAAAAGCCTTCTTCTCAGATATCCAAAAGCCAGAAAGGATATTGGCCGCCGTATAGCCATTAGTATTCTCGAGAGCGTAGAAATCCTGGAACATATCGTCCATCGCGCAGCTTAGACAATGGGGTACTTGACAATCAGAGCTCTGATGGCCGTCGCTTAGGTAGAAGTTCCTGAGAAGAGGATTGTGAAGAAAACTTTGCAAGACCACGTTTTGATAACATGTTGCTCCGGCGTTGTAGATACCTCGGAGGCCGTCTGCCCTACATGACGCGATGGTAGTGTTGGTGGAGATATACCTTGGATCATCTTTTAGAGGGTCCTTAACGGCGTCTGAAAACATCTCTTCGTGCTTTCTCTTACGGCCTATACAAATTAGTTAGAATTTGAAGATTACATGGCTAAATTATCATTTTGGATGGATTGTCATTCGCCGTAGGGTTGAAGTGCATGTGAACATACTCGAAAATGATCCAGTACCTATCTTTCTCACTCTGAGTTCGTCTAGAGTTGGGTCCCATACAAAATCCTCACAGAATTGACAGAATAGTGCACCACTTCGGGAGTCAACATCTGGCGTCTTGTCAGTTCAGATACTGATATTATATATACAGCTACTAAAACTTACAAAATCGGTGACTTTTCTTATTGCCGTGCTTCGAACGCTCTTCCTCCGGCACGATAGTAGAACACTGAAGGCAAAGGTAGTTCGAAGTTAAGGACGTGATGATCTGTCCGTCGGGAGTCTTGCAAGTTTGTGGCACCAAGGGGTTACCGTCGAAGATGACTCGTAGTAACATCTTGTAGTACTGGATGGAGCTGTTCATGACATCGGGGCTATTCGATAATAGGAGCTGAACATGCTCTAAGAGTACATTAGTATATGTTTACTAAGAGCAAGACAGTATAAGACCAAAAGTGCAAGACTAACCACAGCCAAACAAGGGTGTCCCCGGGGTAGGGGAGTTGATTTTGACATTCTTAGGCGACGCCGGTGTGGTAGGTCGCGCAGCCATGGCTTTTGCCAGGAAGTCAAGTTATTATATAACCAGACTGATATTTATTTTGGTAATATCTAATTACGACGGGATAGATATTCGACCCGAGGATATGGTAGGGTCGGGCGGCGATTAACACGAGGGAAAGGAGGAAATGACGGCGAATCGATTTCGTTGAGGGAAGGATTGAGCAATCGAGAGATTGTTCGCCGTATTGGGGGTTTTGGTATGTAGTATACGGTAGGTATAGTAGAGATTAAGTTGGAAGAATGTACGAGCGAGGCTCTGACGTAAAGGTACGTAAGGTCTGTAAGGTAGGTAAGGTAAGGCGAAGGTACAATCTCTTAGAGTGGTGATAATGCTGTAAGCTTCAATATTCTAAGGAGATAAATTGCGACTCGACAGCCCGGGTATCTATTCTCGCCTGCCTCTGCTTCTACTTGTACAGCTTTGAAACTTCTTAAGTTAGTAGCGGCATTAATTTATTCACATCTCAATTGGAAACTTACGAGATTATTTCATTGATAATTAGATAGATCGGATGGAGAAAAACGAAGCTGCAAGATATCAGATCTACAACTAGGTACTCCCGAGCATTACGGCGTCATTTCAGGAAATTCGGGAAAGATTACAAGATTACAGTTGAAGCAACACGCTGGAATTTCTTATCGGCACCTGATCCACCCTTTCTTTACGCTGTCCAAGCAGCCAAGGTTGCTTATCGAAGCACGCTAACGGGAAGATCCAGGGGTACGGCTAGTTCTAAGTTGGGGTTTATTGGGGGTTTACTTACCAAAATACGGCGCCCCAAATGGGAATCATCAAACTTACACTAAGCCGCTAATGTTGTATACCGACCACCGGTCCGCCTCTACTTTCCCTTTAGTAGCCATTGTGTAGGCCTTTCAGGTAAGGTTCGATATGTAATCTGCATTGTCTAAACCTTATAGCTATGATATAATAGGTCAGGTACCCGAATACACCTAGATACAGTAGGTATACTATACATTTTGGACCTTATCGTTATTGACCTCGGTACTTTATTTTAGGTATATACAATTGCACATCTTCTTATTTGCTACTACTACCACTACTACTATATACATATAATTTTTGCATATGACACCATTGCACCTTATCCTGTCCTCATCACTAATAACTTGCGTGTGTTGTTAATGTAGTACCATTATCTGACTACCGGCACGAACTACACCTGACCTCCGCATGATAAGAAAGACGTTGATCTCTCAAATAACTTCAACTCCTAACATTTGGTCATTTTCATCAGTCCGTGTGGCTTCGCTCGGACGTTATCTATCAAATCATATAACATATCCCCCTCGTGGTATGAGAGCTTTTCGAATAGTTTCGAAAGCCGCGATGACTACTGAACTTGTTCATATACCGGAGATCGAGCGGGTTAGCCCCGCTTGCATCCGCATCCTCGCCGGTAATCCTGGCAAATTCGCCCTTCAGGGTACCAACACATATATCCTGGGAACTGGTCCGAAAAGGTTACTAGTCGATACCGGCGAGGGAAAGCCTTCATGGATTGCGGCTTTGAAGAAAACTCTAGAGGAAGAGAAGATCTCAATTCAGAGTGCCGTTATTACCCATTGGCATCATGATCACCAAGGTGGCATTGGCCACCTCCGAGAACACTCCCCGGAAACTAAGTTCTACAAAAATCAACCCGAAGAAGGCCAACTAGATATTGCGGATGGTCAGAAATTTGAGGTTGAAGGGGCCACTTTGACGGCCTTCCATACACCAGGCCACGCTGTAGATCATATGGTCTTCGTCTTTCAAGAAGAGGATGCGCTGTTCACGGGCGATAATGTCTTGGGTCAGGGCACGACTGTTTTCGAAGATCTCGGGACCTATCTAAAAAGTTTAGCGAAGATGGAAAAGCTGGTATCAGGTCGAGGGTACCCAGGACACGGACCAATTTTACCACAAGTGGGCGCCACAATCACCGAGTACATATCGCACAGACACGAGAGAGAAAAGCAAGTGTTACAAACCTTGGCCGCCGAGAAAGACGGTGGTCTTTGGACTCCTGTTGAGTTAGTAAAAATCATATATCGTGACTACCCCGAGAGTCTCCACGTTCCAGCGGCGAATGGCGTGATCCAAATTCTACGGAAGCTCCGGGACGAGGATAAAGTCGCACTAGAGGATGGAGACAAATGGCGTCTCACGGACCGGTCCAGTTTGTGAAGAGGAGGAAAAGTCATGAGGACGTCAATTACGTCTCATGGGGAGACAGCCTGTCCCCACGCGAAATACGGCAGTTTGAGCGGTAGGATTCCTTTCTCTCGGCTGAGCTGGTATTTTAAGCTATCAACTAGCATAAAAAGAAACAGATGCGGAGTCCGCCTCATATAAATTGTTTCCGTTTATGTTTACGTCCGAGCGTCTTCCCATGGTATTCGTCACGATCGGCGAAACAGCTATGGCGATGATTTGTAGGCGATACGATCAAGCATTTAACAACTGCCTTACCTCAACCTGAACTTCCTTTAGATTTAATTCTTTCGCAATCTTTGGTTCATAGATCTGTTTACGGAAGATATAATAAATGGGGGTTGGTACCAGTGTGTCGGTAGAGCCGCATCACTTATTTCAACATCTTAGTTACGTGGAAGTCGTCATAGGTTTTTGTTTCTTCGGGTACAGACAGTACATCTGTATCTCGCGGGCCAATGAAGACTGCGTGGCTCATCCATCAGTATTATAACGAACTTAACGAACTTTGCAAAAATAGAATGCAAGGAGTTTCCCTTTATTGAAACTACCTATATTATAATTCCGATTACCGATTCTGACTCGATCAAAAGGATGCTAGTGTGGCGCCAACGAGTTCCGGATGTTCGGAGCCAAGAAATAGTTGTGCGCATATGACATTTTTAATAATAACATAGGTAAGCAAAAGGTCTCTTCGGCGAACGTTAGTTTGAGCAAATTCTGAATCAGAAAATTTGAATCCCCCCCGAAGGATATCTCGGCTTTCCTCGAGTTAGACGATTCCTGGTGGGTGGGTAACAGAAATTCTTGGCTGGTGTTTTGTACTACGTATACTCATCCTTCGGCCTTCCCTCAGCCCATTGCATCCATTTCAAATTTAGAAGCTCTCGTCGTTTGTCGGCGTGGCTTAGTCACTGTATGCGTAGTTCACTATACATGAAGCCGCGTAGTAGCGAGGAGTGGATTCATCAATGCAGTAGTAGTAACGCTCTTCGACGTTGTGACTTGTGTCGTGTAAGTGACGGGATTCCCACCTATCCGTGTCTCTAATCCCATGTTGCCCATGCAGGTTTAAGAGGCACAATACATAACCGAAAGTCGAGTCAAGTCCAGCCCTACAGCAAAACAGGAAATGGAAAATTACCGTACATTGCTTTGGTCGCACACTGTGTAAAGTACCGTATCATCAAATTTCCATTTTCAATCAGTTACATCGGCCTTTCGGTCGGAGTCCGACTCGATCGCTCGTTCGACCAACCTCCTTGTCCGACGCGATGTTCGATATTTGGACGTACGCCGTAAAATTCCCGTATAGGTACAAGGGGCCAATGAATTAGAAAGAAAGTGTGATTTGTCAGGATTAAACGGGGGAAGTATGCCTTCCTATCATATTCGTTTCATTTCTCATATTCTTAGACTTATAGACTGGTCAATCCTAAGTTCTTGGCGGGGCTTATTGAACATCAATCTTATTGATCTACGATGGCTGATGGAGTAGACCCATTGGCCAAGTAGGTAATCGACATTAGTTTCCAGAAACTACAGTAATTCTAGTACTAGCTGACATACGGACCATTGTAATCATGGATATTTACTAATGAATTTTGGTCTTGGTTATACAGAATCGGTGGCTCGTGAATTATTACTAGTAAAGTAATAAGATGGTAAGGTAGTAAGGAAGTTTAAGCCCAAGCCCAAGCCCAAGCCTCGTACTCGTTACCGCATTTCCATACATGTGCTTCGATGAGGAGAAACAACCACACCGATACCGAAGTTAGCTTTTGACGCCCATGTTGCCATGCAACTAACGCCGCCTCGAATGTTACCCTCCATCTTCTTCCAAAGGGGCAGAAGGAAAAGAGAAGAGATTCCATCTGACATCTTACCACTTACACATCCTTATCTGGCTTTCCCCAGACTATATCTGTCACAGATAACATCTGAGGGGTTCGTCACCCTTCTTAGCCACCTTCGCATAGTATGACTTCGTTGTCAGTGCACGTCACCGTCGGGCGAAGGATCTTCTCGACCGGCAATTGGTGTGTTACAACGCTACTGCCGCCGCTTTGCATGCCTCTCCGCAGGAGGGAGCGCCCGGGTAGGCTGTTCGTCCCCGGTCGGTTAAGATGTAAGGTATTATTTCGTATGTATGTAGCCCGTACGTAGTCCGTCAGGATAGGTCGAGGGTTTCTGTGGATACTGTGATAATACTGTGATTATGCGGTAGAACATCCTCCCGGAGTTAAACGGATTCGGTATCTATGAAATGTCCATCATGTTGATGTATCTTACGCCCTATTAGAGTGAGATATAAGAAGAGTCTTGGCATCTTCCAAGAGCTGCGCCGTGTTACGCGTAATGGTTTTAATATGTATAGAGGTAGTAGTAGGTGTGATAATGATGAGCCGGTAAGAGTCATTCGGGGTTGTACATATTAATGGTATCAACGCCGGCACATTTAGACTTCCCGTACTGTGTGTAACAAAAGGACAAGCTAAGACCCCTGCTAGCGCGGCTCATCAAGGGAAACTGGAAAGGCAGAAAAGGCTGAGAAATGGGAAAGTCACCTGCGAGCTTGTGCAAGCAACCTCTCCAGGTAAGCAGTGTCCCGCACATGATCATCCTAAGAAACAACGGTTGGTTCGTTTATGCATACACTTTTAGACATATGAAAGCCACAAGAATGTAAGTAAGTACTTATCTATCCTATAGAATTGAGTAAAGAGAGGGGAGGGTGTGAGTATATACATGTAGAATAGCAAAAGAGAAGCAAAAACGGATGCGGATTCAAAAGAGTCAAGAGTTAGGATTTTGATATAACTAACATACAGCATATTCCGATTGCGGACGGCGGGGTTGTCGGAGTTTATTACACTGCCTTATGAAAATTTTGGGTTTCTTTCACGGTTGGAAATGGGAATTGGGAATTTAGGATTTCCATCCTTTCGCAACTTCTGGTCAGGTCGTAAGACTCGGCCGACAGCACCGATCCAATTATTCATCGTTGGTTAACCAAAGTAGGGAAGGTTAAGAAGCTTCTAGTATTTCACAAAGTAGGTGCGTTCTACGTACACCAGACACATGTATATGTAATCTATGTTAGCTCGTCACGTCGCAGATGCCAAGCCAAGGTACATCCGGGATTACCAACCCTGCCGAAACAAAAATGTACCGATGAGCTGTATAGGTACTTGACGATAAGTGAAACTATATATGTTAAATATGATTATTCTTATGTATCTACCCTAGACGGAAATACAAAAAGTGACATGGATATTAGTTAAGGAAGACCCCCTCCATCCCCCCCAATTCCTCCTGCCACCATGTAATCCGATGTAATCCACCGCGCGATTGTGAGCATCTTTTTTATTTTATTTTTTCCAAGCAGCTAAAGCTAGCTAACCCTTGCCCAGCCCTTGACAGCTTCAACATCCACTTTCTACCATACCAACCCATACCCATCCATAACACCCATACCTTACCGCCGTTTGAAATACCTAGTTTGGTGTACGAAGTTGGTATTTTCGGATACCTCGGATGGTCCATCGTTGTCCCATCGTGCTATTTTTTCCACGCTATCGCTCGACGACCCATTAAGAAACAGATGGCGCGAGCGGATGTAAGTCAAGTGCGAAATGCGCACGGGTGGGCCCGGCCTTTTATTTTGTTTTATTTTTTTTTTCTATTCCTTAAGAGTCATCCATCATAGAGGAGCTTGTAGTTCAAGGTACCTTTGTTATACAGTATTCTATCTTTCCCTTCCATACATTATGATGTACTATACCTTCTTTCACCTTAGTACCTTGAACATATCCCCATATCCGTACCCACATGCCCAACTGCGGCGGCTTCATGGGCACAAAAGTAACTGAACAACGAGAGCCGTCCCGGGTACATACCATAAAAATAAATATATCCCAGGCCATGCACCTTTCTGGTCCCTTCTTCCACCATGATGCTATTTTATGAAAGCTTCCCCTCCCCCTTCCGTGGTCGACTACCCTCCATACATATATACACGAGGTAGCAGTGCTTTTCCATTGGATACCATCTCTACTTGCTTCTCGCCCGGTCTTTTATAGCCATATGTCATAGCTACACACAAAGCTACTACCCTACTATTTCGCTCGGGACGGACAAAGCTTGAAAGCCGCCGCCACAAGGCTAGCTTAACTTACAAACTCCGGTGTTTTATAAGTAAACTGCGCCGAAGATTGCTTCCTCCCACCTATTTCGTCCCAGGTTACCAACCCCACGGACGAAGTGGTCGACAGACAAGCACGTAGATATTCTATCCTACCCAGTCGACTAGCGCAATCTTAGAGCCGCAAACTCCGAACAACCCGCAGCGACATGAGGTCGACTGCCCAGTCTGCGCTGAAGCTGTTGGCGCTTGTCGCCATAGCTGGAGCTCTTCCTGCAGTTCTGGCCCATGGTCACGATGACGAAGGCGCCATGAATATGGATGGCGACGGAGGGATGGATATGAGCAAAGAGGACCCGAAACCGGATGTGGATTCCTATCCGCCTACGTACTTTGCGCATACAGAGCACGTAACCGAAATATATGCGCACATCGCATTAATGGTCATAAGCTGGGTATTCATGTTACCATTAGGTATAAGAGCTTCCCCAACAGTAATAGTAATCAAGCAAGTAGCAATTCTAACTAGTATTCATAGCTGTTATGTTCTCCATCGCGCGATCGAAATACACACTCGCGATCCAGTTCCTTTTCCTCTTTACGAATGCGATTGGCGTCCTATTAGGCATTACGTATAACGCGAATACCCCTGATCTATATCCGAATAATGCGCATCACAAGTTAGGGTGGATAGTTACGTGGGTAATCAGCGCGCAAGTGGTTATCAGCCTCGTAGGCCGTGTAGCGGGCGTGATGGCCAAGAACAATACACAAGAATTCACCAAGGAGGAGGAGCAAGCATTCATTCCTGTTTCGACGGAAGCTATGGCCGAACACCAGCGCAGAAACGCAACAATGTTTTCAAGCCCATATCGTCACTCTAACGACAGTGGACAGGGCACAGAGCCGAATACCGAGTCGTTGCGAAGCAACTCTGTATCAACTGCTGTGGGTCAGGAGTCGCCTACCGAAATGAACGATCGACGATTGCACTACGAGGATGACCTTGAAGACCTCCACTTCAAACCCGCGGAATTACTCTCTTCGAAACCAGCCAATTCGTTTATTGCCAAGGTTGCCGGGAAGATCTCTAACAGGGCATGGAAAGTTCTGATGTTTGCATACAATTTCATTGACCGGACTATCCTCATTCTGGGTTACGTAGCTCTGTGCACAGGCATTATTACCTTTGCCCGATTCTTTGTAAGTTCGCTACGGCGCAAAATAATAAAGGCATCAGATAATAGACTAACTTAAAATCTCAGGAGGGACATGGCATTTTCAGTGGTTTGGCTCATTGGATTAAAGGAGGTATCTTTTTCTGGTACGGCATTTTGACTCTCGGGAGGTGGACCGGGAGTTTCGGTGAACTGGGATGGGTGAGTTGGAGCATACTCCGTTGGTTCCACATTGATGATGTCCTGCTGACTGGAGGATTTACAGGCTTGGAACGTCCGTCCGAAGCAAAGCTCGCAGAAATGGAGACCCACTGCGGAGTTCGTGGAGGGTGCGCTCATCTTCACTTACGGATCGACTAACATTTTCCTGGAGCATCTTGGCAACGCTGGCAAGGAATTCAGTCCTCAGGACCTTGAGCACATTTCCATCACCGTTCTTTTCATTGGTGGTGGTTTGGTAAGCATTTCGATTCCTCGTTAGTCGAAGAATTAAAACTAATGGAACTATATAGCTTGCGATGCTAATTGAGTCCACACGAATACGTGAACTCCTAAACACCACTGTGTACGATGCAGCTCTTGCTCATCCGAGCCATGCGTACAGCGAGGAGGAACGTGAAGCCCTCGAAGTGCCAAGACAGTATGAATTCTCCGTCAACCCCATTCCAGCGCTCGTCATTTTGCTTCTTGGCATCATGATGAGTTCGCATACCCAGCAGACAATGATTTCAAGCATGGTTCACAAGCAATGGGGTAACCTCCTGACGGGCGCTTCATTCGCTCGAGGCTTTACATATGTGCTCCTCTACCTTAAGCCCCCGCGCTCTATCCTGCCATCTCGACCTCCCACTGAGCTCTTGACCGCGTTTGGTCTCATTGCGGGAGGCACCATCTTTATGGCAAGCGTAAGTTGTGTCCTGGCCGTACCCACAAGTAATTAATTATTGATGGTTTTTATAGGCTGGCGATACGGTAGATGGAATGATCCATTATGACTTAGATGCCATGTTCTTCTACACCGTTACTATGGGCTTTGTCGGGCTGCTCATGGCGTGGGTTGTGGTCGTCCTAGCTCTTAAGGGCTGGGTCGTCCGCAGAGAGTCCGGTCGGTCACCGAAATCTTGGACCCTAGCTTCCCGGGTCTAAGAATTTGTTTGCGAAAATCCATCATGCATTGCATCAGAAACGACTTGGGTATTCTCCAGCAACGAACTGGGGCGGTCCTTGTTAGATCATTTAATTTTTCTTTTTTAGATTAACGGCGTATCGGGGTGGGGCGCTCGATTTGCGATATACCCTAAGATACTCCCTTCACTTGTTCTGAACATATTTTTTGCATTCTGGACTTTCATTACAACCATCATCAATGATACCCATAGGGAAAGCGGTTTATGATTTTTGTGGACGACCTGGTTGGAGGTTGAAGGTTGGATAGGACGTAGGCACTGGAGGAAGGGAGGGCATGAGTGTGTTAGGTCCTCTACCGTTGAGAGTCCATGGGAATGAATCGGATGATTAGACTTGACTCAGTACCTACTTAATAATCTGAGACTCACAGAGAAAATCATAAAATGAAATGAAAGGAATAAGAGTTCATATGCGCTTATCGTATAATGTGTAGCCACTTGTAATCATGAAATCTTGACCAGTGCTAAATAGATTGTCTCGTTAGGTTTAGTACCTAGGAGGTACCCGACCATAAATACTAATTGCTTAAGAAACCCCACCACAATTGCTTCATCCCCAATCACAAGCACCTCGGTATAATTCAATTTACCAATAACCAACGTAAAACACGGAATATTGAAACACGATTGATTTTATGATAGCATACCCACAAATATAAGGCATAAATTGAGTTTGCTGTTGCAGGTAACAGGTCCAAATTACTGGGGATAGTTCGAACCAAGAGCCTATCGAAAAAGGGACGTACCCCGCGGTTGCCAGGCAACCAAAGTCAATTGTGGCCTATCAATCTGAACAGAGCTTAACCCCGATAACGAATTTCAGCATTCAGCATCCATTTGATTTCAAATTCAGCATACGTTTGCCCAACATCTCCAGAATTTTGTTAGCAATCCCCGTGAATTGGTTTCTAATTAGGAAGAAGAATTATCGCAAACATATTAGACAACATGGACAGTGACAGCGACGATGATTTCCCAGACGTTGACGTGATTATCCAACGATACCGAAGAGCGGTGGAGATGCACGACGAGAGGCATGATAAGAAGAAACATGATGACAACGAGGAGGATGCATCAGCTGCGAAAAGCTCCACGTCACGTACTGAGCAGGTTGTGAAGACTGAACCAACCAAGTCAAATGCTGCGATAAAAGCAACTCCTCTCCGGCGTCGGAAATTGGGCCAGGGTCAGACTATCGACGGTTCCCTTTTAAAACCATTAGGCAACACGGCAATTGGTAGGGAAAAGGAAAGTCGAGCTTCGAAAGTTAAGACTTCTCAAGCTCGCATTAGAGAAGAAAGCGCCGAGGCCAGTATCCCTCCTAAGGCTTCATCAGAGCCCCCGCAACCATCAAAAGCCCGGCAAAGAGGTTCTCGTACCATCTCGTCCAGTATAGTCCCAAGCCTCTTACCAAAGGAGAAGGTAAAGCTCGAGCAAGACGACACGGCGAAGGATAGGAATGTGAAGAGCGGGAAGGTTTTCAAAAAGCCCACGAACCCAACGTTTTCAGATGAGTCCGATGAAGAAGAGCTAGATATATTAGATGATATCCCACAATCTAACGAGGGCGATGATTCCGAGTTCATATCTGTATCAGAATCGGAGTCGGAGTCAGAACCAGACACCTTCAACTCAGATTCAGAACCCTCATTTACACCACCAATACGACGTTCCAGGAGTCCAAGCATCCAATGGGCAAATCCTCAAAAGTTATTATTTAAGGATCCAGTGAAGAAGACAGTATCCAACAACAAACAACCACAGCAACCAATCACTAATGACTTAACTAAACGTGCGTCTAAGCAACATAAAGACAAAGGTCCCACCCTTACTTCTTTAAAACCTTCTCAACCAGGTAATCTGGAGGATGCTTTCCAAAAACTTCAGATGTAAGCCTTTTCCTGTCACATCATGCTCCTTTGATAGCCACTGTCGAGAATATGATAGTCAATGCTAACTTACGCGCCAGCTTCAACGAGGATTCGGAGCTTGATGAACCCTCGGTGAAGGGGAACAAAAAGCCTTTACTGGAACCTACGACGCCCAGGAAGACGCTTCCCGCGTCTCCCCTAAAGACACCCAGAATCCCAGTCTCCCCTTGGAAGCCTGAACATAAGGAATTCTGGGATTCCGAGACACACTTTGCTTGGATTGACAAGCACTCGCCAGACAAGAAACTAGAGAGTCCCAAGAAGGGAATGGAACAGACTGCCAAAGATGCTACTACGGCAGGCGGGAAACTTCTTAGTAAGCGTGCTGGTCCCAGCCCCGAGAAGCAAAAGAAAGATGCGCGCAAGGCCTTCGATGCTGTCAAAGAAGAAATCGCGCGGAATTTTCTGAAAGATCTTGATGAGCGCATCACGGAAGGGAGACTGGCGAAGATGACGGAGGATACCGGGGGTCTGAAAATTAAATGGTCCAATAGCTTGCTGACGACGGCCGGTCGCGCGAGTTGGAAGTGTAAGGCACAGACAACTGTAACGACGAGCCGGAATCCCGATGGTACTGTGAATACCACTGTTGCGAAGAAGGAGGAGACGCAGCGGAGACACTATGCACAGATCGAACTCGCGACCAGGGTACTGACCAATGAGTCGGATCTTTTGAATACGGTGGCACATGAGTTTTGCCATTTAGCTGTGTTCATGTTAAATGGTGGGAAACCGAAAACAGCTCATGGACCGGAGTTCCGTGCTTGGGGAAAGAGGTGTAGTGAGGTTTATGGCGTCTCGAAGGGCATTAATGTGACGACACGACATAATTACGAGATCGAGTATAAGTATGTCTGGCGCTGCGAGGGATGCGCTGAGGAGGTTAAGAGACATACGAAGAGCGTATCTACGGAGAAACATCGCTGTGGCAGATGTCGCGGGAAGCTAATTCAGATTAAACCCACCCCCAGAAATGGTGGTGGAGGGTCTACGGCTACTAACGGTGCTGAGCCCCAATCGACGAAGAAGAAACCCAACGCGTGGCAGGAGTTCCTCGGAAAGGAGATGAAGGCTTTGACTCAGAGTAACCCTGGTATGCCCTGGAAAGAGCGTATGGGTATTGTGTCGGCCAAGTGGGAACAGGTCAAGCAGCAGTCCCCTCAGAAGAAGGATGATATGAAGGGCAAGACGATGAGGGACCTACGGACTACGATAGAGGTTTTGACTCTTGATGAAGAGGGTGAGAGTGAAGCAGAAAAGCCTACACCTACGACCCCGAAGCGGGAGGGTTACGATATTTTCTCCTAGACCGTAGGCTTCAGTTCTGGATGATGGGATGGCATGCTGAGAATGGATAGGATACTCGAGGACGAGTGTACATGTGGGTTCACGGACATGGGAAAATTGTTATTCACTGCGTGAGCGGCTGCGGTATGGTTTGGTGACACAGTTAGGAGCTGGAGACCTCACTTCTACATGATGAGTCGTTTAGGCAATCGTCCCAGTCTACCAGACGAAATAGATACCTCATATCAATAAGAATATGATATTTTAAGGACATCCCACCCCAAGTTATTCCAACCTAATTGTTATTTTCTACTTAGATAGTCCAGGGAATGGGAATAGGCCATCCCTTTTGGGTTTGCTGTAGCTAACTCGCTAGTTTGAAGCCCTCCGTGGTGCAAGATGTCGATTCATAATTCATACCAAAAGCCCAATTGGGACTCTCCAAAGCAAGACAAAAGACGCGCAAATAGTTTCTCGAAGTATTCCCATGTTGGATCCCTCACTTTAATCCTTCGTTCCCACCTCCGCCCTCCTATTTGCCCCGTTGCCAATCCAGATGCCTTCGTAGTGTGTCGCCAACCCAATTCTAAGGAGCATTGTTCCCGCCATTATCTTCATCTTCCCATTTTCTCTTCTTTAATATCCTTAGACCTCGTTGAATAGGCCCCAATCTTTCACTTTGAAGGTCTCCCAGATCTTGGCAGCATAATCGACGGCGTCGCCGATAAGTTTACCCTGCTTTCCGAGCTGAAGGTCGACGTCTTCCTCGTCATATTCGCCGCGTATATGGGGAACATTGATAGTAATTAATAGGTCGGTCTTCTCACGTTCGAGGCGAACTAGAGTCAAAATGATGGCTGTGAAGTCCGTCTTCGTGCTCGATCGCTCGTCGGCGTCCGAGGCAGATGCGGAGTCGGATTTTCGGGGTGACACGGTCGCGATCAGAGTATAAGCTGGTATATCCTCACTGCAGGTTTGCGATTGCGCGCGCATTAGTTTCCAAGATAGTTAAAAATGCGCAAGTTTATAAATAGTTGTGATACATGATATAATATGGGATATTAAATATAATACGTACTCTAGTCGCGAGAAGAGGGTAGGCGTCGTATTCCAGACCTTAACGCGATCGATATCATCGGCGACGAGGTCCTCGAGGTGTGTAGTCAAGGCGCGACCGTCGATCTCGGCGCCGCTTCCTGGACCACCGACTCGCTCGGCGATATCGAAGATGATGCTTGTGAAGCCATCTTTATCGATGTAAACTTCTTGGTTGTCGGGGACCTGCCTTATGTTGCTGTTATACGGGGAAACAGGTCGCAAATGTTAGTCGTATTCTATATATAATATTTCTTTTGATTCTTTAGATAGGAATGATGATTTAATTGTATATGTGACAGGAATGGAAAGGTGGATTGATGTAGGTTGATAGACATACCTCACGTCGGCGAAATTGGCTGGAAGGTCGCAAATGAGTGCCCCTCCATATAGCGGGGTGGACTTGTAGGTGGTCATGGTAGAAACGGAAGAGTCGTGGAAGTATGAATGTAAAAGTAAATTTAAATTAGAATATGATGCGAATCGTATGGTTTCCTCTTAAAGTTGTTAATGGAAAGTTCCATCCGTATATCAAAGTGATCATCAATATTCAGTTCAAGTTCGGGCGGTTGCCTTGTACCTTAAGCTCTGCGACTTTCCATCTTTGGTGGGGCAGCCGATGATGTAACTTCCCTGTTTGCCTCAGAATCATTCCATCCAAGCAGCCTTAGCACTTCCACCTACTATCCTAGCCCCTAACTACCCCTAACTCGAATAGGTAGTATACCTACCTAGGTAAATTCTATATCTCGGCTAGTGAGTACCAGTATTACCACCAATATTATACGAAATAGAACCATCTTTTAACATTATTTCTTGTCCCTACACAAGACGAACATCTCGACTGTACGAAACCCTATGTCTTGGATACCCGTCGTTCCAGTACGATTATTTATTTACGATACGATATGTTTCTCTAGACTTCACAAGCCAACCTTTATACATACAACCATGAAATCCTTCCCCCAAAATACGTTCCCATGGTCGTAACAACAACCCTTCATGTCGTTTCTCGTCTCCTCGGTTTCGATTACGATCGTTTCGACCAACCTTTAAATTTCTCAAAGGGCAGCCTACCATATACCCGGATTGACTAACGCGATAAACACCGAGGTGTTACTGTGTCACAGATCATCGCCGTACGTCGTCGTAACGCACCAAGATCTGGGTAATCGCCCCAATAGCAAATGGCCGGATACGTGTTAGAATAATTACGGACGAAACCTTTTGCCGTCCCACGGTTTCAATATAATAAGGATGGATCTTATACGTCTCTATCAACTCCCTACGTCATATATTTCTCACCAGAGGCCGTTCTATCCTTTGATATAATCGAACGGGAAATAAGGACGAGAGCATTATGTGTGATTGGGCCACTGAGAAATTCTCGCGATTTGAATTAGTAGAACCACCACTGCGACCAAAGACCATCGAAGAGCCACATATCCTATTTTACAATTTACATAACGAAGCCGCGAACCTATATAAAACCCATTGATGTTCTGGTTGGAATGTACGATTCTCTTAAGACTTTAGTTTTCGCCGATTCGGGGGTTGAATATCGAAGACTGAGCACCTTCAAAAGAAATAAACGGTAGGGAAGCACAATTTTGCTATAAGATCTTTCGCGATCGCTTTATTTCTGTGAAGGAGTAAATCTGTCCCCCGAAGCTTGTTGAGCAATCACAAAGCTATTATATCCATTATAGCCAGTAACTCCTAACTCCTAACCCCCGCTGAAAGAAGCAACACACCTACCCCTTAGGCCTCCTCAACCCACCCAGCAGGTACCCGGGTAGCCCCGGATACTTTCTATGATTCCAGTGCCTGTTTTTCGACCCATTCTTTGGTCCTCTCCTGAGGATCTGTTGGGCCTACCTTCTGAGGATAGAAGGCTACCGGGATTGTTAATGGCGGCATCTTATCATCGATTCTGAATTTCTTGCGGAGGTCCTTGGGTATGAAATTCGCAGCCAATCTACGTAGCTCGGCATCGGTCTTCTCGTAAGTAGGTTGCTCAGCAGTTCCAGTAATGTCTTTTCCACTATAGATCGACTATGGTTAGAGTTGTTACAAACGAAACGGGAGATAAGATAGAGGAGGTGTGTACTTTTTTAGGTCCTCGGTCATCTGGGCAGTCTTCCTAGCTTTGGCGAGGAGATATGTTGAGTTGTATTCATTGAGGATGGCAAGCTCATAGAACCCTATTGTATCTCCATCCTTCAGTGCCAGCTTGAAAAGGGTCACGGTCTCTTGGGCCTCCCTAAAGTCAGTGGTTAGAATGGCCCATAATTGAGATGATCGGGGAAAGATACGAATTGAAACCTACTTCTTTTCTTCTTTTCCGGCCATCTTTAGACTTAGTTGTTCGTAAAGGGCGTATATGCCTCTCGAGATGATAATTAGATGTGGACGGTCGTGTATGTGTCCGAATATGCTTTAATATAGAAATGTCGGATGAGAATATTGCGGCCTTATGTACCTAGGTAGGCGTTGGACGAGTGGTGAATTGTTTCCTACGTGTATGAAGCGACTCGAAATTTGTACGGTACAAGGTATATAACCAGTGCAAACTCGCAACTTCGATTTGAATGAGTCAATCCCTTTCTCACCTTCCACCACCCTACGTACCTGCCTTAAATACATATATTCTTCAGCACAGATGAACATCATAAGGGGAAGCAACGATAGTCGCACGTCTTATGAAAGAACTTATCAAACCTGATTCGTCAGTGAAGCCACTACTGAGAAACGTAAACTGTGCTACTTCCTTCCATGAACTTAAACGCTATACGCAGTTTATTCTTCGTCCAAGCACACTCATATAACGTCTAGCCCTTTCCCTAGAACAGACAATTGTCCTTGCTTGGTAATATGACCACCTAGATGCTTATCACTGGTGCCAGGCCGTCCCAACTACTAGTCGTTGGCACGGATAGAGCAAGTCCTAGAGAAACCACGGCAATGGTTACGTCCGATGATTGCTCGCCCATCGCTTTATCGCAAATGCTTCAAGGCATCCACCCTCACATCGGTGATTGGGGGGGGGGGGGGGGGAGTCTATTGGGAGTTTAGACTGATATATAATATCGATGGCAAGGCAGTGATTATCATAGAAAATCGCTGAGTAATATACTGGTCCTGCTCGGTATGTCTCCCCTTCACCGAAGACCATGGCAAGTTCAGGTACGCTTCAAGACTATCATAGACTCATATTATAGGGCTAGCCTTCAATCCTCGTACACTTCCGGGGATATCTTGACGGATGTGATAATATATCGGATTTTAGGTAGGCTTATTTGAAGCGCGAGGTATGAAAGGTGAAAAATACCAGATATTGCCTGATGGTGATTTGAAGTCGGTTGACTCTAGGGGTTCAATTATGATAGTGACATTATGTCAACATCCAGATTTTCATCGTCTCTTTATTCATGGTGCTAGGAGTATATACGGTCTGTTCATGTAAAATATATATAGAAATAGGGGTATATGTTCCGGACCATCTGTTGGTTGGATCTGTATTACAATAAGCATGCGTATGGATTCCTGATTAGTCTTTATTGATGTCTTAGCCGCATCGTAAGCTACATAAGCACTATATAGAAGAAAGGGGTAAAAAAGGAGAAAGAGTAAACTAATTGGACAATGCTACCTTCAAAGTCGATGGACATATAAAAGCTTGTAATAACCTCGAGTCGTCTTTTGAGATAGCTTCATAGACTATATCGAATCCTAATTCATGCAGGCCAACGATTGAACCTTACGACCCTGATGGTCTTTCCGGTCTGCCGGTACTCACCTTAGTATACTGGATACAAATATGGAAGGTCTACTGTTAGTGTAGGTGTAGGTCCGTCTGGTCCGTGTGCTAAGAAATAGTGAATCTCGCAGATTTTTAAGCAACAATAGGGGAGGTAACCAATCAGATAAATCACTGTATTAGTATGCCCCTGAAATTTTGTAAGGTGAATCCTACTATCCATCGACGGATCTTAAGATTAACCTATGCTTGAAAAAAGTAGCCTAGAATAGATTGGTCATTCGAGAAGCACATATGTGGGCAAGTGGGTTGAATTCAATCTTGCTAGCTCTGCCTTGCGAAGATACATGTCCTACTGTACGTATAATCGTCACTGTTCACCAACAAAAACCCCCCCCAATCTTACCAGGATCTCCTGGCTGGACTCTAACCATCGGACAACGAGCTACGGCAAAGTCCGATTGTCTTTGATCCACTCAACCGATTTTTAAGCTGATGGGAATAGGGAATGTAAGAAAGAAAAATTCTATTCATATTCAAACTGATGTTATTAATATTTTGAGTTGGTGTAAGTAATTAAAAAAAATATATATATATATATATAAAAATATTAGTAAGTCTTTGTCTTGTCCTGCTCATTAAGTCTCAGCCCACCTAGTACATTTTACGAAGTACATAAGAGAAACAATGGATGAGGAACTTATGTTCCCAGCCACTGCAAACTAGACGCGTGGATGGTTTCTCATCATGCATACATAATAACATGTAATTTTTTCCTTCTCCTGCATAGTAAATTACACTACGTGTATAACACTGTATGTACACGTATATAATTTGGACATTCCGTCATCGAAAACCACAAGAAGAAAAAACGGCCGGTACCTGCATATAACGGGGCTCATCTATTCGCTAGCTGTTCAGTAGGAGCTGTTCTAACGGGATCCTTACCCTTCATTGGGCGCCACCGAAAATACATACCAAGGTAGGTAATGGTACTATCTAGTTCGGTTGATGGGATGGGCTGGATTGGCTGGATGGCTGGATAGCGGGATGGAGTAAGGGCAGGGCTTGTTCGCATTCTCCGCACCCGACTCTTCCGGTTCAGATTTTCAATTCTCGACAGGGGCGGGCGCGTTCAAATGCTTATACCCGCGTATAGACGTATGGAGGAGAGGGTTGCCGGGATTGGTTTAAGGCGTCAGACATTCGTCAAGTCCTACATGTGAAAGTTGTTGAAATGCATCATTCAAAAGTTGATGTTGGCACGTGTCCTGCATGCTACGCCGCGGTAGCAATTATATGTATACCTAAGTATGTAGCAGCTTACATACTTAAGTACCTAGCCGCTATTCGTTCGTACTGGCTGCATTTGATCGTATTCAGGGGGAAAACGAGTGGCGAGAGGCTAGTTCGGGTGCTTTGGTGGGTTACATGCTTCCCTAGAAGCACTTATCACCACCACAACTGCGAAGTAATACGAACCCAATACGATGTTGGGTTGGCAAGTCGATACGATGTCATCATTCTGTTCTTCTCGTATATAAATGAAAGTAATGTTGTGCTTTTAGTATAGATTTAGTATATCGTGACCGATGGTTCGAGTTGGATTATATCTATCGATTCCAATACTCGTCGACCTATGCCTCATTTATAAGTCGCATCTTTATACCTATAGGTTTAGGTATAGTTTAAGCGGCCGCGTCGAATTAGTTGCTAGCTATAGATCCCTCTTAGCGCATACAGGTGTGAAAATTATGATAAACGGTCGCTTCATTATAATAGTTTGAGGATTAAAACTGGCGATGGCATTACTTGCGATAGGTTGGACTCGATTTTATTTTGGTGCTAGAACTAAAGATAAAATGCGGACTCAATTTCAAGGGAGAGAACAGCATTAGCGTCGGATATACTTCAATGTCTGTCTATGATGTACCTAAAGATGTACCTAAACTGTGTGGGTTCGAATAGCTGAACCAATAAAGAAGAGGAGAACGGAGAGACCGGTAAAAGTATAGAAAATACCTTCCCCCCCCCCAAAAAAGATGATGTAAACTCAAACATGCATACTTCAATTGATGAACCTATTGAGTTATGTACACCACCTACACATACACCTACCTACGGCCGGGCAAACGGATACTAAAAAATTGAAGAGTAAAAAAGATCAGATGACAACTGTAACTTTGACCTTAATGCGTAACTAAGATATTCTGTCAAGATGTCAAGAATTTGACAGGTTGTTATATATCGAAAAAGTAAAGACTTTAAACTCCAGTCAATACTATAATAGATATTGGGTACATGCGTACCTAGGTAGGTACATTTGCCATGTACATACCTGTAGAAGTAGAAACCACAGTTTCATCCGTACTGTACTACCTAACATACGTGTACTTTACGCCAGGCAGAAGAGGTTGGGACAAATCTACCCCTGTCTAAACGGACCTTATCAACCAATTGGACCTTGCTCCCGTCACTGGTGAATCAAGGACAGCTCGTTTTGGTAATCGGAAACCCCACCCAGCCATTTCCCTCCCTGAGTTGGTCTTTAACATTTTATAAAGGAATACTCTCACGCGATAGATAGTGGAATACTTTACCAGTCGAAATCAGGAAACTCGATTGCACTTCATTCGGCTCCACCCTCGCCTCCAGGTTACCAACTCCGTACACAGCCACATCCCATATTCACTTCATTTTTCCTGCGAGCTTGCGTGGGTTGATAGGTGAAGCCCCGGTTTCAATCTCGATCTTGCCATCTATATGCACTGTGACAGGAAGAAGAGGTTCACTGCCATGCAATCTTTGAATGCATACTATGTATATAATATTTAATCTTGATATATACAATGATAATAATTATTTTGTACTCTTTTTCTATCTAACATGAAGTTTATTTCTAGTTGGGCTATTTTATGTAGTATTGGACCTATTTATACATATAAGTATCTGATATCAATACAATAGTTGATGTAAGTGACGAAAGAGAGTTACATACATATACATATCTATACGCATATTGATGCCCCACTGTCGCTTTTCGGAGCACTGTATACTTGAGTACTTATTTACATCGGTAGCGTCTGTACTTGTAGCATACCCTGGCTAGGGGCGATACTGGACCATAGATGCTGGATTGGCTAGGCTGGTACTAAGCTTTGCCCCGATTCTTCCCCCCCTAGTTCCTCTTTCTCCTTTCTGACATTTTTCTTGATTCTCGATCCCAAGTTCCATGTCTCAATCCCTTTTCCCCCCTCTTGCCCTTGACAAAACTTGTTTTACACTCGCTTTCATCCCGTCAACTTTTTAATTTTTCGTTTTTTTTCTCCTACTCTCTTTCTTCCATTCTTCTTTCTGTGTCATCTCACAGCTTCATCTCTGGTGCGTGGAAACCGTCAGGGGAAAAAGGTGTGAGGATTTACAGAGGAAAAAAAAAAAGAAAGCCGAGAACGAGAAGGAGTTCTACCTAGCTAGGCTTGAAAAGAGCTGCGTCCCTTCGTTACTTTCAGGTACCATCGCTTGGTTGCCCCCTTTTTTTGCCTTTCGCTCCCGTCGTCTGTTGAATCATCAACCTACGCTCGTTTGTACGGTTTGCGAAATCCGAAAATTTCAAGGAAGGACCACGAGAAAATACCTGCTATTCTATCACCCATCGCTCATCCAACGGATTATTCCAATCCGTCGTCAATCGTTCATCACAACCAGCTTAAGAGGTGTCGGGGACATCGGAAGTCACCGAACCAACGCAGGGAAAGGGAAAAAGGGAGACGAGAGAGAATTTAGAAGTGGAACTAAAATCAGATTCGCCAATCAACGCGTCGTTAGGCCAAGCCTTGAGTTACCTACACCTGCCTTTCAGGGGCTCGCCGCGCTAAAAATTGCACTAATTGGTTCTACAATTAGTACAAGTGCCCACCGACCGTGTCGCCAGGAACCATCAAACCTTGGAAAGTCAACATTCACTTTTTCCTGCACTTGCGACTTCTGACACCTGCGCTATCCCGTCCTAGGGGCCAGGCACCACAAATAGACCAATAACTCATCCCTCCTTCCCAAGTCAACAAACAAAGTCCATTCGCAGCCACAACTGCAATTGGCACTCTACCTACCAACACCAACCCTGTCACAAAGACAACTGCTGTTTGTGGCCGGCCACATCAACTTCCCCAAAATATTACAAGTTTGTTAATAATATTAATCACAACAACCACTCACGATCGTTGGTCTTGATCCAAATCACAATCTTTCCACCTCGATCAAGTACCTGATGTGTTTCTGATCTGTAAGTTACAACCCGAGAGGTCCAGACTCCAAATTTTTCGAAACATCGAATGCTCCTTTGGAAATCTTGCGTCGTTATTATTCGAAATACTAATTGTAGCGATTGTCGCAGATCGCGTCTTGTACCTAGCCTCGAGTTGCCAAAATGTCGGGCTATCCAGGAGGTGGTCATCACGACTACAACGACGCCTACGGGCAGAATCACGACTCGTATTACCAAGACGACCAAAATGGTCACTACTATGACAATAACGGCTACGACAACCACGGCCAACAACACCACGGAAACGACGGCTACTACGACGAATCGTAAGTTGGCGCATCACGTTGGTTTCCTTGCATCGGAACTTCTCACTAACATATTTCGCAGTGGTTATTACAATGCCGATGCGAACAACCCCTACGCCGCAGACGGCGGTTACTACGACCACCACGATCAATACCAAGGCGGAGGAGGGGGAGGAGATTACTACGACGACGGCAACGGCGGCTACTACGATCACTATGGTCAGGGTGGCAATGGCGGACGTCGAGGAGACTCCGAAGAAGATTCTGAAACATTTAGCGATTTTACCATGAGATCCGACATGGCTCGTGCTACCGACATGGACTACTACGGTCGTGGTGACGAAAGATACAGCGGTTACAACGACCACGGTAGAGGCTACAGACCCCCGTCTTCTCAGGTATCATATGGCGGAAACCGTTCTTCTGGAGCTTCCACTCCCAACTATGGGATGGATTATGGCAACGTTCCGGGTGTGCAAAGATCTCGGGAACCATACCCTGCATGGACGTCCGATGCGCAAATCCCTCTGTCCAAGGAGGAAGTAGAGGACATTTTCATAGATCTAGCCAACAAGTTTGGTTTCCAACGCGACAGTATGCGAAACATGTACGATCATCTGATGGTTCTCTTGGATTCGAGAGCGTCTCGAATGACACCGAACCAAGCGCTTCTATCTCTGCATGCCGATTACATCGGTGGTGACAACGCGAACTATCGGAAATGGTATTTCGCTGCTCATCTCGATTTAGATGATGCAGTTGGATTCGCAAACATAAGCAAGAAGACTCGCAAGTCTAAGAAGTCCAAGAAGAAGAAGGGTGAGGAGCAAACCGAAGATGAAGTCCTCCAGGATCTCGAAGGAGACGATAGTTTAGAGGCTGCTGAGTACCGATGGAAAACTCGAATGAATCGCATGTCGCAACATGACCGTGTTCGCCAAATTGCCCTATATCTCCTTTGCTGGGGTGAAGCGAACCAGGTTCGTTTCATGCCAGAATGTCTTTGCTTTGTTTTCAAGTGCGCAGATGACTACCTAAACTCTCCAGCCTGCCAGAATCTCGTCGAGCCTGTCGAGGAAGGTCTTTTCTTGAGGAACGTTATTACGCCTCTGTACCAATACTGCAGAGACCAAGGTTACGAAATTTTCAACGGTGTCTACGTTCGTCGGGAACGTGATCACAACCAAATCATCGGTTATGACGACTGCAATCAACTTTTCTGGTATCCAGAAGGTATCGAGCGTATTGTTCTTGAGGACAAGAGCAAGTTGGTCGATGTCCCTCCCCAAGAACGTTACCTGAAGCTCAAAGATGTAAACTGGAAGAAGTGTTTCTTCAAAACTTACAAGGAGACACGGTCTTGGTTCCATATGATTGTTAATTTCAATCGTATATGGGTTATCCATTTGACCATGTTCTGGTTCTACACAGCGTACAATGTTCCTTCTCTCCTCGTTCAAGGGTATGAGCAGCAAGTCAACCAACAACCCCCGGCGTCTGCTCAATGGTCGATTGTTGGTGCTGGTGGTGGTATCGCCGCACTGGTTCAGATAGTGGCTACTTGTGCGGAATGGGCATTCGTCCCGCGACGATGGGCGGGTGCTCAACACCTGACAAAGAAACTTTTATTCTTCATCGTTGTATTCGCTGTCAACGTCGGACCCAGTGTTTACGTCTTCTTCGTCAAGGACACGCAGGAAACTAAGGTCGCGTTAATTCTGGGTATTGTACAGTTCTTTATCGCGGTGATTACCTTCTTCTTCTTCGCCATAATGCCCCTTGGTGGTCTCTTCGGTAGCTACCTCACCAAGAACTCTCGTCGTTATGTCGCCAGCCAGACGTTTACCGCTAGTTGGCCTCATCTCAAAGGCAACGACAGGGCATTGTCGTATTTCCTGTGGTTGGCTGTCTTCGGTGCCAAGTTCGGAGAGTCTTACGTCTATCTGACACGTTCTCTCCGTGATCCTATCCGTTATCTTCAGATTATGGATGTCTCTTCCTGCTTGGGAGACCAACTCTTTGGTCCTATTCTGTGCTCCAAGCAGCCGACGGTTATCATGATTCTGATGATTCTCACTGACCTGGTTCTCTTTTTCTTGGATACCTTTATGTGGTATGTCTTGCTCAACACTCTTTTCTCGATTGCAAGGTCGTTCTACCTTGGTTCGTCTATCTGGACTCCTTGGCGAAATATCTTCTCCCGACTTCCCAAGCGAATCTATTCCAAGATCCTGGCCACGACCGATATGGAAATCAAGTACAAGCCCAAGGTCCTTATCTCGCAAATTTGGAATGCCGTTGTGATTTCGATGTATCGAGAGCACTTGCTCGCCATTGACCACGTCCAGAAGCTTCTCTACCATCAAGTTCCGTCAGAACAAGAAGGCAAGCGTACTCTCCGTGCACCGACCTTCTTCGTTTCCCAGGAAGACCACTCTTTCAAGACGGAGTTCTTCCCCAACCACAGCGAAGCTGAGCGTCGTATTTCCTTCTTTGCGCAGTCGCTGTCTACGCCTATCCCAGAACCCCTACCCGTGGATAATATGCCTACCTTCACTGTTTTGATTCCTCACTACGGTGAGAAGATCCTCTTGACGCTGCGAGAAATCATTCGTGAGGATGAGCCTTACTCACGAGTCACTCAACTTGAATATCTCAAACAGCTACATCCTCATGAATGGGACTGCTTTGTCAAGGACACCAAAATTCTGGCTGATGAAACATCTCAATTCAACGGAGATGACGAGAAGGGTGAGAAGGACACGGCGAAGAGCAAGATTGACGATCTGCCTTTCTACTGCATTGGATTCAAGTCCTCCGCTCCTGAATACACTCTTCGAACCCGTATCTGGGCATCACTTCGTTCGCAGACACTGTACCGTACAATCTCTGGCTTCATGAACTATAGCCGCGCTATCAAGCTACTCTACCGTGTTGAGAACCCCGAAGTCGTCCAGATGTTCGGCGGCAGCTCCGAGAAGTTGGAACGCGAATTGGAGAGAATGGCTCGACGCAAGTTTAAGCTTGTGGTTTCGATGCAGCGTTACGCTAAGTTCAAGAAGGAAGAGATGGAGAACGCCGAATTCCTCCTTAGAGCCTACCCCGACCTACAGATTGCCTACCTCGACGAAGAGCCCCCGCTAGTTGAAGGTGAAGAGCCACGTATCTACTCCGCCTTGGTTGATGGACACTCTGAACTCATGGAAAATGGCATGCGACGACCCAAGTTCAGGATTCAGCTCTCTGGTAACCCCGTGCTAGGTGATGGAAAGTCAGACAACCAGAACCATTCTATCATTTTCTACCGTGGAGAGTATATCCAGCTCATCGACGCCAACCAGGACAACTATTTAGAAGAATGCTTGAAGATCCGATCAGTTTTGGCTGAGTTCGAGGAGATGAAGGTCGAAAACGTCTCGCCCTACACCCCTGGTGTGAAGAACGAGTCTGATGCTCCTGTCGCTATCCTGGGTGCTCGTGAATACATTTTCTCGGAGAACATCGGTATTCTCGGTGACGTTGCTGCTGGTAAGGAACAAACATTCGGTACGCTTTTCGCGAGAACCTTGGCCCAGATCGGAGGCAAGCTCCATTATGGTCACCCTGATTTCCTCAACGGTATTTTCATGACTACTCGTGGTGGTGTCTCGAAAGCCCAGAAAGGTCTACACTTGAACGAAGATATTTACGCCGGTATGAATGCTCTTCTCCGTGGTGGACGTATCAAGCACTGCGAATACTACCAGTGCGGTAAAGGTCGTGATCTTGGTTTCGGTTCGATTCTTAACTTCACTACGAAGATCGGTACTGGTATGGGTGAGCAGATGCTTTCTCGAGAATACTACTATCTTGGTACTCAACTTCCTATCGACCGCTTCCTGTCCTTCTACTACGCCCATCCTGGTTTCCATTTGAACAACATTTTCATCATGTTGTCTGTCGAGCTGTTCATGATCGTCTTGATCAACGTTGGTGCACTTCGAAACCAGACGGTACCTTGTGAATACAATCGGAATGTCCCTATTACGGACCCGCTATACCCCACGAGATGCTCGAATACTGATGCTCTTATGGACTGGATTTACCGCTGCGTTATCTCTATCTTCGTTGTGTTCTTCTTGGCGTTCGTACCTTTAATTGTTCAGGAACTTACAGAGCGTGGTGTTCTGCGAGCAGCGACGCGTTTGGCCAAACAATTCTGCTCTTTCTCGCCCTTCTTCGAAGTGTTTGTCTGTCAAATTTACGCCAACTCGGTTACTCAGGATCTCTCATTTGGTGGTGCCCGATACATCGGAACCGGTCGTGGTTTTGCTACTGCTCGTATTCCTTTCGGTGTTCTCTACTCGCGTTTCGCTGGGCCTTCCATCTACTTCGGTGCGCGTATGTTGATGATGCTGCTATTCGCGACTTTGACGGTTTGGCAGGCTGCCCTGGTGTACTTCTGGGTCTCACTTCTTGCTTTGGTCATCTCGCCATTCCTTTACAACCCTCACCAGTTCGCGTGGAACGATTTCTTCATCGACTACCGTGATTATCTTCGTTGGTTGTCCCGTGGCAACTCTCTTAGTCACGCATCGTCGTGGATCTCTTATTGCCGTCTTTCCCGTACAAGAATCACCGGTTACAAGCGCAAGGTCCTGGGTGACCCATCTGGCAAGCTATCTTCGGACGTACCTCGTGCGGCTATTACCAACGTTGTGTTCGGCGAGATCATTGCACCCCTACTTTTCGTGGCCTGCACCTTGATTCCGTACCTCTTTATCAATGCTCAAACTGGTGTATCGGCACACGACAAGGACGCCGAATCCACCTCCGCACTTGTCCGTGTTGCCGTTGTTGCTTTTGCGCCTATTGCTATCAACGCTGGTGTGCTTGGTGGATTCTTCGGTATGGCCTGCTGTATGGGACCGGTGCTTAGCATGTGCTGCAAGAAATTCGGTAGCGTTCTGGCCGCAATTGCTCATGCTATCGCCGTCATCATGTTACTCGTGTTTTTCGAGGTCATGTTTTTCCTCGAAGGCTTCGATTTCACCAAGACACTGCTAGGAATGATTACAGTCGTTGCCCTACAACGGTTCATCTTGAAGCTCATCATCTCACTAGCACTTACCCGTGAATTCAAGACGGACCAATCCAACATCGCGTTCTGGACAGGCAAGTGGTACTCTATGGGTTGGCACTCGATCTCCCAGCCGGCACGTGAATACCTCTGCAAGATTACCGAGTTGAGCATGTTCGCGGCTGATTTTGTTCTTGGCCACTTCCTATTGTTCTTTATGCTTCCCGTCATCCTCATTCCTCAAGTTGACAAGCTTCATTCTATGATGCTTTTCTGGCTTCGTCCTAGGTATGTTTTATCTCTCACCTTCCGTCTTGATTCCTGGTTACTAATGACTTTACAGCCGTCAAATCCGCCCACCCATCTATTCTATGAAACAGTCCAAGCTCCGGAGGAGACGTGTTATTCGTTACGCCATTCTCTACTTCACTCTGCTTGTTGTTTTCCTTGCCTTGATTGTTGCACCAGCTGTAGCGGGCAAGCAGATCGGACCGACGCTCTCCGACAAATTGACCAACCTCCCAATCAAGGGCCTAGTTCAACCTGCTGCACAGGTTACCGATAACACAGAGAATCGTACGGAGACAGGAACTGGTATGCCAGGATACTCGGGCCCTGGTACAGCGTCCATGACAAAGACGGCCGCCTCCTCAACCCCGACATCAGACGACAGCGACTCGGGTGACTCCCGTAAGTTCCGCTTCGTCTAAAATGGACATTATTTTTTCAAAAGAGGGGGCACCTGTACCATAAAGAATAAAAAGCTCCCCGATTTTGCCCTTGACCAATTTGGAATCGAGGCGGGTTAGTAGCGCGTGGTATTTCGAAGTTCACACGGAGTGCTATGTATTGATTAAGGAGGGCGGCATGGCACATGGTATTTTTTTTCATTCTTAGAGTCACGGGCATAAATATTTGCAGGTTTTTTTCTCTTGTTTTTCTGTCTCTGAAATGGAAACGAGATGGTGTTCAATAATGATATTGGGTTTTCCATTGCAACGCATTTACTACGACCGAGAGTACCTAGTGCACAGAGTGCTGCTAATGGAATGAAAGTAATCACATATATCATATCCGTAGAAAATAAAGTGATGAGTGTTAAGAATCAAGAATTAAGAATTATATCAGCACAGCGTCCCGACGGACGTTACTCTTGTGATGACGGAAAGTTTTTGTTGTGTTGTGCATCTGAATACCCTTGAATACCGGCATGTAACGATGCGATGGTAGGGTAGCATATATCCGCAATTGATTAAGTGCTTACATACATTGGTTATAGTAGGCGTATAAGACGGGAACGTGCTATCAAATAGCGGCTAGTATTTCGTTATGTATGCCTTAAGCAACTAAGAATTATGTTCCATCCGGGGCTTACTTTATATTATCATCGTGGAACTGGACTACAAGGACAGCATTGTTGAGGCAATTTTTACGAAAAAAGACTCAACAATTAGGATGACAGGATGAATAGAATAATACAAATAGCTCTGTATAAAAAATAAGGACACGAATAAGAGAATGAGAAATAATGGAAGGATTCAAGGAAACACGATAAGGATGTGCAATACCCAAACATAATGGCTCAAGGCTGCATCGCTGCATAAGTGCATGTCCTATATGTTTGGGTCAGGTCATTCGGGAACGCGGAATGCATGATTTACATACATACAAACTCCATAGAAAACCCATACTATCCATACAAAGCATACAAACCACCCCTCCCCTCTTCCGATGTACGAAGTAAGCCGTTCCTAGTTTTCCTTTACTAAGGTTCGGTTTACTTTCTATGTCAAATGGTATTGGTAATTGGGCTTGGCTTTCTGACTTTCTGAGAAGATCGGCATCGACTTCACCGCTCAGGGACCGAGGAGAGGCGAAGCATGGGCTTAAGCGGCAAGAATTACGAGGGACCGGTTCACGCAGACTTTTTATTTTATTTTATTTTTTTTATTCTTAAGATGTTGTTCCCTTCCATAACTGACGTAGGGATAGAAAAATACAAAACAAGCTAGTAGCAAAGTTGGACTAGCTTGGCTTATTTAGTTAAACTTTTTTTTTTTATTCTCGGCGCTTGGGATGCGGATGCGGCTATTTTTTTTTTTTTTTCTATTTTGTTTGCCGCCGCCATCTGACCAACCCCTGGAATTCATACACTAACTGTACACTAACCATACATCACTATACCAACTATAACAAATACCACAACACCACAAGACACTACCAAACCGGATTCGGCCGCCACCAACAACCGCAAACATCTCAAGGCCGACGCTACCAATTTTCATCCCGTCAGCTCAATGGGTCCCCCCCTCTACTTACACTACCTGACTGCTTCCCTACTTCCCTACTTCCCTACTTCTCTTCTTCCCTACACTTAAACTTAAGGTCCCTTTTCTGGGTTATGGCTCGAGGTGTGGACCAGTCCGGTGGGTATATGACGAAACTCGGATGACGATCTTCAACAAAGACCCCCATAATAAAAAGGAACAAATTTTGCCATCTGCCACAAGTCACATCTTTGTCACATTTCACTTCCCTCATGTGAGACTCGGACCCTACATTTCTTACTACTCACTACTTTGTTCCTCTTGTCACCCCCGCGGCCCCGTAACGTAATTCACGAGAGCCCCGTACGTAAGTTCTTTCGTGTTGGTCCCGGCTTTTTTGTCCCTACACCTGCCTGACATGCCTTGCCTTTACTCTCGGGTGTGGACACCCAATCTTGGGATTTTTATGGGTTTTAATGGGTTCGACCCGTTGAAAATGTCTGAAGCACTATGATGACATCTCCTCGGCCCTTGCTCGGGGCATCCACCTGCGACGTCGAAGCACAGCAGGTTGACGAAAGAGAATAGTGCGTATAGGGGAACCCCGGCGGAGAGAAAGCGAGAGGACCCTTTTTTATCATTATCTGGAAATACGTACGCGATGTAAGAGGACGTGTAAGCAGATGTTGGTAGCTCAGCATAAAACATATATAAATCCAAATTCCTGTGGACCTCCTCCACGGTATCCAAGCTTTTGTTCGTTATCTTATATCTCCTTTCCCCCCTTCAACGGCCTGGACCTTGTTCAATTTCTCCTATTCAACCCGCGCGGCCCTTTTACCCCCTTCTCCTCCCCCAGTTTCTTCTTTTTCCCCCATATCCTCCTCAGATCGAGCCTCCCTTCCCCAAGATCCGGTTTCTTACCTGAGCGTGAAGGTTAATCTAAGATAGCTGGTCTGGTCTGGTCTACGACAATGGGGCACAAGGACAACGCCAGCGGCGTGCCCACGTACTGGGGCACGTCCGGTTCGACTCTTCAGAAACTCATCACCCTCGTAGCCACGACGGATTTCCTACTCTTCGGTTACGATCAGGGTGTTATGTCTGGTATTATTTCCGCACCAGCCTTCACATCTGACTTTCCTGAGGTAGATGGAGATAGCACATACGAAGGCTTTGTTGTATCTATCTACGCTGTCGGTTGCTTCCTCGGCGCTTGCTTCATTCTTACGTTCGGTGATCACCTCGGTCGCCGCAAGTCTATCTTCCTCGGTGCTACTGTTATGATTATCGGTGTCATTATTCAAATTTGTGCCATGCCTAACGGTTCAGGGGGAGGAGCAACCGCACAGTTCATCATAGGACGATGTATAACGGGTATAGGTAACGGTATCAACACCTCGACAGTGCCGACATATCAAGCCGAGTAAGAAGCCCCAGACTTTTTCAGTGAAGAAACTAGAACGCCGATTTTTACTAACACTTCTCGATTTATAGATGCAGTCACTCGCATAACCGTGGAAAACTCATCTGCATCGAAGGCGGTAACGTAGCCATCGGAACTTTAATCGCCTACTGGATCGACTACGGATGTACCTATGGACCTCACGCCTTCGTCTGGCGATTCCCTATCGCCTTCCAGTGTGTCTTCGCCTTGATTGTATTAATTCTCACGACTCAGCTACCCGAGTCCCCTCGATGGCTGTTAACAAAAGACCGTAACGAAGAAGCCGCCACAGTAATAGCAGCACTCAACGGCGAGCGTCGTGACGACCCGGCTGTTCAAACTCAGCTTGCAGTCATCGTTGACGCCATTCGTGCTTCCGGCCATGCAGGTGGTGTTACCCCGATGTCTGACTTGTTCACCAACGGACCTACCCAGCACTTCCGCCGTCTATTGCTCGGAGCCTCATCCCAGATGATGCAGCAGCTTTCCGGCTGCAATGCTGTGATCTACTACTTCCCCATTTTATTCCAGACCTCTATCGGTACCTCGCACAACTTGGCTCTACTTTTAGGAGGTGTCAACATGGTTGTTTACGCTATTTTTGCTACAACTTCGTGGTTCGCCGTCGAGCGTATCGGCCGAAGAAAGCTGTATCTCATTGGTACTGTCGGTCAGTGCTTGTCCATGGTTCTCACGTTTGGTGCTTTAATTCCTGGAACTCCGGAAGCAGCTAAGGGCGCTGGTGTTGGACTCTTCGTAAGTTATTTACCTTTTCCCCCGACATATTATAAACATCAACTAATCCCGACCAGACTTACATCGGTTTCTTCGGTGCCACCTGGCTCCCGCTACCTTGGCTATATCCCGCCGAGATCAACCCTCTCAAGACCCGAGCAAAGGCCAACGCGACTTCGACAGTGTCCAACTGGCTATGGAACTTCTTCATCGTCATGATTACTCCTGTGCTGCTGAGCAACACCGGTAACTACGGCTGGGGTACCTACCTATTCTTCGCTATCCTCAACGCTATGTTCTTCCCCGTCATCTACTTCTTATACCCCGAAACAGCTGGACGTACCCTTGAGGAGATCGATGTCATCTTTGCCAAGGGTCACGCCGAGAAGATTAGTTATGTCAAGGCCGCTGAAGAATTGCCTCGCCTTACTGAGGAAGAAGTCCAACAGAAGGCTCGCGAGTACGGCTTCAACTTCTCCGACGAGGAGGCAACCGTCAGCACCTACGAGAAGGCCGAAGGTGTCTTATCAACCCCGCCTTCCGATTAAGGTGTTATGTGGTACTAGGAATGATTGGGTTAGGTTAGATCGTGCTTACAGGTCGCGATCACCATTGCGTTATGAACGTTCAACATAGTTCGTCTTTTGATGACTGAGCTTTACGACAATTGCTATGATTGTGGTTTTTGTTGTAACTGAAAGTTGGCGACCGAAACACTGCCACGTTCAGCATGATTATGAGGAGTCAGTTCATTTAGCAGAAATGATCATCTCTCGAGTTATGTCGGAGCTATGGGAGGTACTATTCCTACATGAATAGTACCATATTTTCTTAGGGGAGTCTTAGATGGGCTCTTTTTTTTTCTCCTAGATTTCCTCGGACGTTTCGGACGTCGGTAAGAAGGATTTTACTTTACCTTTTTAAAGTCTTTCTTTGTTTATTCCCCCCCAGATACCACAGGTCCATCTATATATATACCCTCGAGCCGGCAAAGGACTCGAACAAGCTGCTGCTTCTGGATAGAAGAATGGTTAGATCTCTACGGTCGCATAGAGATAAACAGAGAAACTGGGTGATAAGAGTATTTCATGAGCATTTTTAATAGAGATCATGATTACCAAATTCTGTCGCCGTGAGTGACTGATGGTTCCATGTGAGCTTGTGATTCGGGGTGGTAGCTCGTGTACTATATTACATTATATCCTCTTTTAAGTCTGTAATCTTAAGTTTCATACCAAGTACTTTGTAATTCATTTACTATTCTTCTAAGTCACAGCCTCTGTCTTCATTTCTTTTCATTAAAGATATGCTTGGGGGTCAATGAGTTGGCTCAGCTACATGGGTGGTTGAGACGCCTCTACTGCACGCAAGAACGCCATTCGCGTACAATTCCCCTATCCGGCAGTTCTCAAATCTTAAATATGTACATCTCTGATCTTCGGGGGCTTAGCCCAGCCCCCTAATTTACGTAAGTATATCTTCCCAAATTCCATACGACGTTGAGGAAGAACCATTGGTAATAATGAAGAGTCACTTAGTAGCAAGAGGTTCAAACCAAGTGGAATCTATTCTTACGGATGAATCCTAGCCTTGGAACACATTTCGTTAGCGAACTATGCTCATCACGATTGGTAATAGAACACCCTTGCTTCTGACGATGTTAAGCCTTAACTCCGAGAGACGCGGACAATGTTCCTATTGGTTGTTCTTCTCAATACATTGGTTGTGTGAGATTGCTTTTTTGCTACCGACGATCTTATGTCGAGTGACGCTGAGCCTCGTGCTGCATGACGTGTCTCTACTACTGAGTTATTTGTTTATTGAGCGCGAGGAATGATGATCCTGCTCTATAACTCTTTCCTATCTCTTGTATCTTTGCAGCTGACTTGCATCCCGGACTACCCAATCTAGCAACCCATTAATCGAGACGATTCTATTACCAAGTTATGTTGTGGTCAATATTCACAACATGATCTCCGTGGTGGCATCTCCGAACCAGATAAGCTTGGATAACGTTACCTATTTCGCTGCATGTCTCAGTGTCTTGGGTACCTTTTTTTTTAGACTGGCCAACCAAGATTTAGCTACCTGTCATCATCGTGAGTGAGTCGGGTATGGGTCATTAGAAGCCAATAGGTATGCTATCGTGGGCATGTTCGAATCCAGCGCTCAACGAATTCACCAATAGAACCAATATCAAATATATCAAATAGTTGATCCCCTTGCAATGCGATTGTCCTAAGGAGCCTAACTAATGCAAGGAAGGATTCGATCCCGCTAAGCTATATTCAACTCCTTTGGCGAATGCAACCTCAAATGCCGTCCGACCACTCCAATTCGTCAACATGTCCAGGGGTTTATTTATTCTACGCGACTCAATCTTGGATAGGCCGAGGCAGCCTCTTATCGGCGTATAGGCAAATTCAAATTCGTACTACAAAGTGACGACGTTGATATCGTTAGTGGCGTGTCTCTCGGTGCCGATTTCATTGTTCAGACCTTAGGCCGATAGAGGCCTACAGCAGATACTGTCGAAATCGTGAATATTCCCCGCGTTTAACCATCTGGGGGAATGAACTAGTTGTCTGCTTCATTACGTCAACATCAATAGGAAACTAGGCTTCAGACGTACAAGCTTGTTTCATTTCAAATACCTCAAAGCGCATGGACACGCAAACATATCACCAACACATGACGGTGCACGATCGAGATCACTATGGCCTTTACCGCTACTAGTTTTCCCCATGTTCCCCGGATGTGGCTGGCGCTATCGCTGCTGCTCCAACTGTCGATCTTCACGCACCTCATCCGAGCCCAAGACCCCCAAGACCCGATTACGACTCCGGCTCCGACTGTCTCCGTCTTCCTACCCCCCTATCACGAAGCCCAATGGTCACATTTGGAAGGGAGTATAGTCTCCAGCGTATGTCTTAACCCCGGAAATTTGAATTTTATTATTTCCTTACTAGCTCTCACTTTCACTTACTCGCCGGCTCACTTACTCATCCAATCCTAACCACCCATCCAAGCGTATCCTTACTAACACGTGCAAACATGTAGGACAATGACGAGACCTTATACACCATCTTCTGCAAGCCATCAACATCGAACGCCTGCCACATCGGGACCGGAAGTTTCAGCGAATTTACTTTCTACGAAGGACCTTCGACCTTGCATTACAACTACGTCGTCGGGTCTACAATGTAAGTCCTGTTACCTACATGTTACCCGCCCCCATCCCCCATTCCCCATTCTCACTCCCCCCCCACCAACTAACAATTCCCTCTAGCTCCCTCACCCTAACCTGTGCCTTAACCGGCACAACAGCCGCGTCCTGCCAAGCATCGACCTCGATCGCGCCTTCGGTCACGTTTGGCCCGTTCTTGACCGGTCCTCTGGAGACTAGCGAGACATTTTCTTTCACCGGCACTGATGTTGAGTGGGGCGCGCTCACCCTCGGTGAACCGCCTCTAACTAGTACTGGCGGTTCCCACGTCTTTACTTATTACCCCTCTGAAACCGGTGCGCCGTCGGATCCATCGGTCACGGTAAGTGCGAGTGCGAGTGAGACTGCTAGTGCGAGTGGTAGTGCTAGTGCGAGTGGTAGTGCTAGTACTACGTCCTCGTCGGTGGCGCCTAATTCTACGAATGCTGCTGGGAGTTTGGTTAGGAGAGCATGGAGTTTAGGCGAGGGTAGAAGTGTGAGTAGCGCGCTTGTTGCGAGCGTTTTGTTGGTCGTCTTGGTTTCGATCATGTTGTAATGAATTACGGGAGACAGGCGGGCCGTAGCCAGCTAATGACCTACAGTGGCTAGGAAAGGGTCTAATAATGGATTTATACATAGGAAATTGACGTCCGTAAGTACGTATGATAGATGAATGTATATATTGAATTGGATGATTCACTTCGGCCCCTCGCTGAGAACAATCAAGTCTTTCAAACGTCATGGCGAGTAGCTTGGACTAATGACAGCAGTCAAGCACCTCGGGTATCATGATCAAACCTGGAAAATACAGTGTCCAAATTGATTTACAGGGAATAGGATACAGATCAAAATCGTACACATCTTTCAGCTACTTGTTTCCCATCATCCAAATTCTCAGCCAACTGTTCCCATGCATATCTCCGACCTCGTTACTTCGTATCCGACCTGTCTAAAAAGCCCCCCATAGTACAATCATCCCCATTCACTCTATTCATCACTGGGTGAATACCGTCCTCCCATACCCCAGAACTGTTCAGCCATAAAAGTGCCCGCCTCGGGTTTCTTCCACATATCGTTGAAGGCCGTAAATAGGATTACGTCGCTAGCGTTATCGGAATAGGCATCTTTGATAGATGAGATGGCGAGAGACTGCTCGTCCATTCCAGGGATGGCTATTCCATTCGATTCTCCCTGCCAGGGCCAACCTGTCTCGGTAACAACAATGCGCTGGTCCGGATCCGCAAGTCTACTACGGATCCTAGTGACGGTAGAAGTAATAAACGAGCCTGCTTCTTCGGCTTGTGTGTTCGGGTCAAAGAAGGGGTGGATATTGACAGCGCAATAATCCGACTCGTCGCAGAGCTCAGGGTGAGCGAGCATGGCTACAAAAGTATCCACGATGACGACAGGACCATCGTATCCAGCAGCCCGCAATGCGGATCGTGCCTGGCTTAATGCGGCCAGGGACTGGCTCACAGTTGCTCCACCATTGTTGACCAACTCATTGCCCACCGAAACGGTATCTACCATACTCCAGTCATAATTCACGCCATCAGCCATAGTTGCGACAGACTCTTCTACAGAGCTAATATCGAAGATCCCTAGGAACAGTGTATTGCCGTGTTTCTTAGCCGCCGCATACGCTGTTGCAACCTGGTCGCAATCAACACCATACAGGCGGATGACACCGTAATCTTCGGCCATGAGTTCGAAATCTGCATCGACATCATCTGCAGATTTACAACCTCCCCTACCCTTGTAGGGTGAGTAAGTCACGCCGTGACGGGTACTGCCGTCATCCGAAGATTGCGGGGTTGGTGTATAGGAAGCTGATGGCTCCGGACTTGATAGTAACGATTTAAGAGATACGCTCGGCTCAGGAGGAGGACTGTATTCGGGAGATGGCGAGGCCAGTGGAGGTGGCGCGGGTGGCGCGAATGGTAATGACTCTCCCGTTGGCACAGCTTTAGTAGACACAGCGGAAAGCCGGACAGTTGATGTTGTGACAGCTGATGTACTATTTGTCTCTATCGACATGGGCACATAAACAATCGTTTCGGTGGTAGTACGGATAGGGTTGTTATGTTGGTCTACGTAGATAACAACTTCCGGGGCTTCTGTTGTTGTGGTTTGTGTGGAGTCGGTGACTGTAATTCTATCTCTTTTCGAGATCGAGGCCCTATTTGCCTTATGCTGATGGGCATGGTTATGATGATGTCCTAGTATCGTGTTAACTCGTGTCAAAAGAAGTGAATTCGTATCAAAACTGGGACTCACTTGGCTGTGCAACCGATATATGAAATAGGGAAAGAAGAGTAAGGGAAACTGTGGTGGACCTCATGATGACGTTGCGTCAACGCGACGGATGAAGGCGTACAGAATCGGCGAGTCGCGAAACTTCGAAACGGTGGAAGATAAATGAATGGACGGCCTGGGTTATTAGTGAGGCGACGATTTACTAGAACGAGCGAATGAACAAGTTTGAGAGCGAGAGACAAGAATAGAATCAGAAAAGGGACATGAACGCGGCACAAAAAGGTAGGCAAGGGTCGTCAACTGGTGACCAGCAGTTCTACAAGGGCTTCAGGATAAACAGAAAGAGGCAAAATGAGGGAGCTCTGTTGTCGAGTAAAGGTATATCAAGGAAGAATATTGGGGGCTCGAGACGGGAGGATCAACATCTAATCCAGAAAATAGTGTCAACACCATTGGATTTCTTGAGACGGAAGTTACCCGGGCATCGAGAGGGAAAGGGAGGTAAACAAATGACACGGTGGAATGTGCGTCCGCGGAGGACATTTAGCGATCGTAGCGAAGGAATGATGGCGTTAGAAGGGAGGAAAGATATCTTCTAGTATCGAAAAAGGGAGGACCTCCTTGGCAAGATGGAATTCATAATACGCCTACTTGTTGTCAATACCCAGAATAGTATATATTTTCAGGCTTCACTCTTGCCCCTAGAAGATTCTGTAATAAATGTTCATATGATGGGCTATATAAGTCATGGAAAGTGAGCTGGCCAACTTTGAGCCGTCGTACTCATCAACCATAAATCGAGTGTAAACCCACCCATATTTATGAAGTTTGGGGTGTATGAAGAATAGCCATGACTATCACATCTTTATTAGAGGTAGAATATATTTCCTAGGGTAAGTTGAGAGAATGTTGAATTGTTTAGAGTACCTAGGCAATTACATAATTACACGATAGACAGAAGTGTAAAGAAAGAACGCCAGAGATACGCGAATCATACCTTCCAATATATAGATAGTCCATAAGGCATGAACATGTCTCAGACTTCCCTCGATAGCTTGATAGGTACGGGAAGGCATACTCATATTAGTGGTGTTATGTGGGTAAATAACTACCTACCTAGGTAGGCATCTATTTTGGACTTAATGTAAAGGGATAGTCCAAATCAAGGATATTAAAATGATGAAGCCTATTAAAAAACCCCCCTAAAAGACGTGGGTAGATAATAGTATACTTGGAGTCAATTAGCAATTAGTATTCGGGTCTATAATCTGATTTCAAGGTCCGTCCTTTTCCTTTTTATCCCTGTATACATTCACGAGCAGCCCCAAACCAAACGGATTTCCTGACATTGATCCGCATCCGCATCGGGTCATACCCTAGTCATAGAATAATTCGCAATCGTATATGAAAGAGCCCCTTCCGTGCGATGTCATCTCAAATCATGCCATGACGACGTGATACGGTAAGCAAATAAAATCATGAAAAGCCGAACGTCTCCTAAGCAGCTAACGATGATTGCCGGTTGGGCTTCCGGGTCATGATCTTGGTGATGGCGTGTCGGATCGTTACTCCAGCCTTCTCGATTTCCTTCTTGGAAAGGCCTGACGTGATACAAATCTTAAGCGCTGGCCTGATAGTGATGTCTTTGGTTCCAATACTACCAATCAGGGGCATGGTCTTCAACCGTGTGATGAGCACTCCGTTGGTAAGTGCCTAGTTCTCTGTAAGCAAGCAACTTTGATAAAGGGGTCACATTCTTTTGATAACTTACCTCATCTGCGACCTCGAAGAAAAGTCGCTCTTGGTCCTCGTTGCTAAGCCGTCTCGATTGGACAACCTCAGGCTTGAATACCAACAACATAACTGGATTCTCCGGATCGCTGGTACATTGGACCCAGTCGCTTCGAGGGTCTAGTTGTGCCCTCATAGCTCGGATATTCTCTCGGCATTGGAGTAGAATATCTGGGTTACATTGTAGAACATTGAGAGTCTCACTAGCAGTGACAGCAGCCATGGCAGGTAGAGCAGCAGAGTAGGTGTACGATGCGGCATTGATACGCTGATGTCTTACGACGTCGTTTGTACCGGCACAGAAACCACCAGCAGCGCAGAGGGGGCCTGCTAGAGAACCAATGATCATATCCACAGCCTCAGAATCTACATTCTGTGCCTCAGTGAGACCTCGTCCGTTGTGACCAAGTACGCCAAACGATAATGTCTCATCGAGAGCAATACGGAACTTGTATTTCTCCTTCAGTTCAACCTGGATTCATATATGATTAGCCAAGTGACGCGATACAGAGTCATCCTTAAGAGAACCGCTTACAAGCTTGGGAAGATTAGAGCAGTCGCCAACCATCTCGAAAAGGCCTTCAGTCACGATGAATCGCCTAGTCAGAATCTTTTTCTTGGCTTGCTCCTCGACGACCTTCTTCATGACCCGTTCCAGGTCTTCCATGTCATTGTGTTCGTACCATCGAATGTTGCTTCGGGAGGCCTCTAGCCCTTTGCGGATCGAGTAGTTGACCATCTTATCGGCTACAATAACGTCTCCTCGTTTGCAGAATGTTGGGATAACACTGGATATGGTCGAGAAGGCATGGGCGTAAACGATACTGCTCTGAGTACCAAGGAAACTAGCGATATCGTGTTCGGTGTGCATGTGGACATCTTGGGTACCGTAGAACTGCGGCGGGCCACAGGGACCAACGCCGTACGTGCGGAGTGTCTGGATAGCTTTTTCTTTGATAGAATCGCTAGCATTCAAGTTATAGAAGTTGTACGAGGCCAAGTTCATAACAGTCTTGCCATTGGATAGTTTCACCTTCGGACCGGTCGGTCTGTAAACGTTCTATAAGTGACTTGCCTTCTAACGTATCTATGTGAGCCAAATCTTACCCGACAATCATAGGCTGTTTCTCGGCCTCGGCTTCTTCGAAAGGGGTTTGGGCAGCGACGAGGGGCTCGGGCTCCCAATCCTTAATCAACTCGTCGATCTCATCTTCACGAAGCTTCACGTAATTGGGATCGTGGGTAGCATAGGATGGCGAGAGTAGGTATCGAACGAAGAATATAACGAGGATGAGTTCTATGGCGGATCGGACGGGATCGTTCTGGTAACTGGACTGGATGTATCGGATCAATACGGCACTCCCGGGGACCTTTTGAAAGGTATGGGAGATTTCGTGAAGCGAGGCCTGTAGGTAGACCTGAGCCTCGTGCAGGTCCATCTTTAAATCAATTCGGGATCAATTCGTGGGAAAGTGTTAAATGAAAGGCATTGATTGTTGAATCTCTAAAATCTCGCCGTCAAACAATACAACCAACAAGCAATCTAAGTGTAGAATCCGTAGGGGGAAAAAGGTTGTTAAAGAGTCTGGGCGTGAGATAACATTGTAGGTAGGGGAATTGTCGGCAAGAATCCCAAATTGGTAAATTAGAAGACGGGACCATTAATTCTATTTCTAATCCTCTCACTCGTCGCCCTAACACGCTAGCGTCACTAACACTAACCTTACAGGTAACCTTACTTTAGGTAGTGACACGGTCTAGATACAGGGGGTTTTATTATAGTTTAGTATGCTTTAGCGGCGCGTCAAGTTGAGGCCGCCCTTTGGTCCCCTGCCTTTTTTTAAAGTTAGATGATACCATCGTACCCTTTACATATTCATTTGCATAAAATATATATTCATGCATAAATTCATTTAACTTTTGTTTTGTTTTGCTATAAGATATCTGAGGATCTGAGTACAAACGAACTCGTAGGCTTTATTTTGTTCTTCACGCCTCGAGGGCCCTGAAAAATACGGGACTCTCATTACCCTCAACAACTTTTGAAATCGGACTCAAATACACCTGATTATCATCAGACCCTTCTCCAAGTTGTCGAATATACATCTCAGCTGCTTTAATCCACATGGCCTTCTCAGCTCTACTTGCTCCAGAACCCTGCCAAACCCAGATAGTGATACCGCTGTCGAAAATAAAGACATCATTACTATCTAGGTCCGAACCGGAAATCGCGGCCCCTTCCTTCACTTGATCGAATCTTAGTTGACCGGAAGCGTCAGAAAGACGGAATAGCCTGCGAGGACGATGACCAGCATCTTGATTCTTGCGAGACGAAGCAATTGGTCGGGGGGCTCGTAGCGGTTCCCCAGTATCTTCACCACCCAACATGCCAACTACGGTTCGCGATCTTGACTCCGTCTGGGATAATACTTCGACATCGATATGTTTCGCAATGGTCATGTCGTGAACAACTTGAGCGGCCTTGGTTTTCTCCATAGGGCTACAATTCTTACCCTGCCAAACCCATATTTTATCGTTGCGCTCCAACACGAAGACATCGTTTTCATCGAGACTTTTCCAGGTAGGTTCCACTTCGTAAACCATAATAGAGTCAGCCCGTTTAGCAGACGGGTGCTTGAAGATCCTAAGCAGCATGGGAGTCTCTTTCGGCTCTTCTTCAGTCTCAACGTGCGTAAATCCGGAGCGCACGCCACCGGAGAGAATCCTGATGCGAGAGAACAAAGCGACAAAATCGTCCGAAGGCTCCTTCTGGAGCTCGCGGTGTTGGGTAGCTACGCCATGTAGGAACTCGTCTAGCTCAACTGTCTTGTAAGCGGCAGTACCGGCCTCGTCTTGCGTTGTCTTGCTTCCGAGCCAGAAGAAGATATCATGAGCGAGTTTTTCTTCTCCATCTTTGCTTCCGATCGTGTACGAATGCAAGACAATATAGCTGTCTCCCTCGTGGAAATCGCCATACCGTTCTTTTGGCCAAGATATCACCTCAAAATTCTCTATCCGCCAAATATGAAGACCAGGAGCTCGACCGACATCTCGCCAAGCGGGTTCGGTGACCGCGGAATTATATTTGACCTTGTGATCAAGGTCTGTTCCGATATTTTCGACGTTGCTGTCTCTCCAGTCGTACTCTTTCATATGTACCAGTCCTTCGTGTGGTGCCATCTTGGTGGTATGGTAATTATAATAATTGTAATATTATACGCCTATCCTCGAAAAGGATATACAATTATATAGTGCGTACGTTGTGTTGCGATATTCCGCAGACGTGTGTATACGCAGTTGTATATGTTTATGTTAAGGAGGATCCCATTGACGTAATGGAGCTGACAATGGGTAGAAGTAGCTACTACTAGATGTACTCTGAAACGCACAAACAAGGAGGCGGGGGCTGAGACAGTTGGATGCCTTCTACCAACCTGGCTAGGGATGTTCGGCGGGATATTAAAAGAAAACGTATGTAATTGAATACAGTTTTGAATTAATATGTACACAGGTAAATTTATTCTAAATCAATAATAATTCCCTTTGCATTTTCTATTTCTCTATCATGATCAACTGTAAATTGGTGCTACATATGTAGTTTATTGGCCTAGGTCAGTTGTGGGGTGTACCTATACGTACCTACGTAGTTACATACTATATGTACGTGTAGCAATTCTAATCGGGATTTTATCAAAATAATTCCACCATTTTTTGCATACACCAGCAACGATTCTACCTCTACCTTCCTCTCATAAGCTACGACCCACCGATATCAACATACAACTATTGCGATCAAGAAAACGGGAAATAGGGACACCAAGACAGAAGAAAATATGCCTAGCAAAGATACAACGTCCAAGGAATTCACTTCCTACTACCTCCAACAAAGTACAAAGGAATTTGCGGAGGACCTAGACAAAGTTCGCAGCGCCGACGATTTCAAAGGTGATGCGGTGGCCATGCTCGTGAAATCACTACAGCAAGGTACAAGTCTGTTCTCTGCTGCCGACCAAAAAAGAGTGATCGAGGCGAGAAAGGCAGAGGACTCGGAAGGGAAATGAGAAATACCTACAGAATCATTTCACTCCTAACTTATCACCCTCGGAGCAATAATTATATACAGTATAAAAATGGCCGACACGGTGATTTAGGTCGACAGGAATTGAACATTGTTCGAGGAAGGAGAAAAGATACTAGGGCGAATGAGGGAGTGGAATAAAAATATGATTTAATGAATTAATATATTACTACTTCGACACTCCTGTAGCTGAGCACTGAGACATCGAGGAAAATAATCATTTGCTAAAAGATAAAGCAAAAGGATTGATTAATTATTTGACAGATAAATCAAAAGTAAACCGACACGAGCAGGATTCGAACCTGCGCGTCCTAAGACATGAGATAACATTGAAAGAAGGATTCAAGTCTCACCCGTTAGACCACTCCGGCATCGTGCCTTGAAGATTGGATTCTTTAGCTGTTATTGGGTACTATATCGCCTACTAAAGGCGACTAGAGGGTGGGAACACCCAGGTAGTGCTGTGGGTATATACGGAATCTCTCGGCAAATCCGCGGGCGCGCAGATATGCAAATTTGTGGATCAATCTCTACCTATATTGTACAAATCGTCACCGAGGGCAAATAATCAACACTCACTCAGAAATATATTTTCTAATTATATGCATATTAATATCAAAATTCTGCGTCACTGTTAATAAATACGGGATAGCACAGAGCAAGAATCATTCAGATTCATTCATAACGACTCTGACTATGATTTCTTGCAAGGAGAGAGCCGGAAATAACGCCGCCGACTCCTTATAACATATCTCATAAGTATCATAGCGCCGTGAAATAAACGGGGGGCGCGGTTGAAACACTAGAACCCGCCCTCTCTACTGCTACCTAATGTGAGATCAGATAGAAAACCCGGCCTTCATTGGGAAAAGCAACTTCGGTAACACATATACCGTTACCATAATCCGAGCAATATCTTCATTTGGCCAACGCGGTTTCAGCCCCCCCTCCCCCCCAATTCGCGAACTCCAACCCCTGCTCTTTTAACGTCGAATATCTAGACTGACGCGGGATGATTCGATTGACGGGCGGATAGAACTGCTTGAGCTTCTTCGCCGTCTCGCTCTTTGCTCGTTTGGATCTGATGGATTAAGCCCTGTTGACCTTGCAAATAGATTAAGGATATCTGTCAAGGTAACGACACCAATCAATCGTCCTGACAAGTGAGAACCAGGAAGAGTCGAGGCCGGAGGAACCGAAGGAAAATGGCTGCCAGTAAGAGACGTCTGTGACGAAGATGGAGTCGGAACGAATACGGTGGGTCCTAGCGAAGGTGTTCCAGGTGTAGAAGGAGATGGAGAAGCTGATTCGACTATCCACATTCTATGAGAATGGGTAGCTACTAGTTTCGCTACAGCATGTGCAAGTGTCGAGTAAGGATTAACGTAGAAGACCGGGAATGAGTCCTTGCCTTTCTCAACGCCTTGCTCAGTCAATATTACTGATATGAAGTGCATGCACGAATTCTGGAGGAGCGGGAGGCTCGTGGCGTTTGTAAGGTGCCTAACATCTGTAGTAGAGATGTTGCCAACCACATTCAAAGCGTTATCAACAACAGCTACGCTTGAAAGCCCCTCTTGGCTCATAAGGTTGAGAGCCTCAGTTAGAGGGCTATCTGCACTGTGCGATTATTAGCGATGTGCTTATTACAGGGCGATCAATATGATTAATGTCGCACGTACTTGACTGCTATTATTTGCTGCGATCCGACGCCGACATCGCGCAAGATCCTGGGGTAAAGGTCGTCGATGACGCGGAAATTGACGCCTTCGTTCCAGAAAAATTCTATCAGCTTCAACTGGCTAAGGATACCGATAACTTCCGAGTTATGATTGGTGATAAGTATTCGATGTACACCGCTACCGAAAACCTCGATAGCTTTAGCAAGATCCTCATCCCCCTGCAAGGTGACGAGTGATTCTTTTCGGAAAATCGGTTGTATGTCACGGATCGGTACGCTAACTCGGGTTTGGGCCTTCTTTGCTATTGTATCGTATAGCTCAACCAAATCCTCACTCGGATGCGCCAGTCCGACGACGACTAAGATATAGGCATTAAGATCGTTATAATCAAAGGTCGAAACTGGGACGGAGGTAGCAGTGTTCTCTCGGATAATAACAACGTTACTCGAGGTATTCTTAAGGAGTGCCTGTAAAGATTGATGAGAAATGGAATACACAAATTGGCGTCAGCGGACGGGTGTGGGGTGCGGTACCATCGTAGCGTCTTCGACGCTGGTGTCCATTTCGACCCATGATACGTCATCTTTAGACACGAGCTCACCGATTGCAATATCGCGCCAATCCCTCCCGGCGAAGCGAGGGTTATGTTGTCTCGGAGCGGGGGGATGGTTGAGTAACTCTTGGATGGCAGCCTGTGTGAAAGATGGATGTCGCTGATTTCGTGGTGACGGTGGTAGACCCCTCAAATTCTCGGCGAAGCTCGAGCGATGGCCATGGGCGATAACATGGCCGGCCTTGTGTAAGCTTGAAGAAGAACCGGTTCGTTGAGGGGGTGGCGGTGAGATACTAGCTTCCTTCGAGTCTCTACCTCTGAAATAGAATGCGCCGGGATCCATGATGAATGATAAATCAGATGAGACAATTTCGAGTCGAGGCGGTGTTATTTAGACCTTCGTTGTTCACTTTTCCATAGAATTAAGCCGGAAACCGAGGTGAGCCGTAGCTTTAAAGCTGTTCCGAAGCTATAGCTAGGTGCTAGGTGGAGGCCCGTAGACCTAGTTTATAGTCTTGTCTACCTCTTAACTCATGCGGCCTGTGTTGGTTTTGAGTAGAAGAAGGATTTCGGGACAATAAATACCATGGTGTTTTTTTTTTTTTTTTTTTTTTTTTTGGTATTGTATTCTTATGTCGGTAAAGGCACGGGGTCAGATCAGGGCACCCTTTTTGTAAAGGTAAAGAATATGGAATCGACTTTCAATTGGTGTTGAGGGGGGGTCTAGGTACATGTATGGATGCATGATGCTACGAAAGGAGGTAGGTACGCTGGTGAAACTAATCCTAAGACTTGCGCGGACTGTACGAGTAAGACATTTCCGATTGTGGACAGTGCAACCCGATCAACCTAGCACGGAGACCCCTCCTTCACCTTTTCCACACCGTCACTCATCTGTCATTTACGTCAACCTACCATACAAATTAACTTTCATAAAGCCACAGTTTGGAGGGGTCAAACGAGCATCACCAGATGCGCCAACCTTTTTTATTTATTTATTTCTATAATCCACCTACTAACTTTGGATCCTTCATCTAATGTACCTGCATACTACGTACACAAGTATGAACGTTGAATTGAAAGCTTCCAAATTCTTCAGGATCTAAGATTATATGAGTACAAGATAGTACCTAGTGTTATATCATGTATGCTATTCGCAGGAGGAGGCAAATATGGTTGCAAATCTCTACCAAGTATAGAAATGAAATATACCATATACTTACATGTGAGTAGACCAGAACGGAACAATTTAATATGAGCTGTGTTAATGCAGATTACATCGCCCTTATCTCTCTCCTTCTTCTAATATACCCATTTTAAATGTTAGCTGCCTCGTTTCTTGAGGATGTAGTTTCTGTTTGGCTTATAAAATCAATGCATCGCATTAGTTAAAGAGAAGCAAGATCAACTCAGAAGGCTCAATACGTGGCAACGGGAAGAGGTAGCGCATGTTACAAGATATGGAACATTACAACCAATCAATTCGCAGCGGGCAGCAAGATGCCTAGGCATACCTCCATTCCGGAAGCTGCCTGCCATGTTACATGTATTATCTGATGTCCTGTATCGTACCTACATGTATCTATATGATGTACTTATAGGTTAGTTAGATACATGTAGGTCATATATTAAACTTCATGCAAATTACCTTTGCTTGCATCTTTTGGTAAGTACATTGCCGATGTTGAAACAGATCAAAATCTTAAAAGTCGTACATGCTCTAGCTTGGAAGTCAAAACGAACCTTGGAAATATTTACTTCCTATCGATATCGCTAATATTAGTTAAAAAGGTGGCGCACATCAAGGTTCCTGGCGTTAGTCAAAGTCAACCGAATTATTTTAGCGAACTACACCGCATTAGGTAGCTTTCAGTCTCTATTTTAGGTTAGAACCATACCAGGCCATTGGCATCTGGATCTTTTATTTATTATTTGTTATTAAAAAGTTAATAGCGAAGAAAAAAAATCTCCCCTCTTTCGCGACCCCTCGTTGCCCTTGATTGATGCCAAAGAGAAGAAAAAAAAAACACATACACGACGATACATCACAACAGCCCAAAATCACACGTCCACTTTTTACTGTGTACCTGAGTTGGGATTCCTCTCAAACCACTTGTTGCGACTTCAAATTCATTTAGCTCTCAACCATACAAGGTCATTATTTATCACAAGTCTATTGTCGTTCTAAGATCGACTTCCTTTGTTTTTTTGTTATTATATTAATCGCAATCAGACAGTTCCTCTCGCCGCGTCTTGTTAGCCCTGCGGGGCACAACACTACCTACACATACACATTACACCACTACACCACTACACCAATACATACACCAGTACACCTGGGCACTGCAACACCACGAACCCATATCGATACCATTCGATTTTCTGACAACTTTTCTTCACTGCCTAATAATACCCTCTTCTTCTTCTTCTATTTCCCACTAGCACTCCTTTTCAAAAAGAATCGTCCATCGCCGACTTCGATTTACCAGTAATCATGTCGGTGCTTCCGGCAGAAACACATGCAGAGCTCACACAGCTCTTGCAAGCTCTACAATCGCCAGATAACTCTATACGGTCTCAGGCCGAAGGTCATCTACAAAACAACTGGACTAATACCCGACCTGAGATCCTGTTAATGGGCCTGGCCGAACAGGTGGCCGCCTCGAACGAAACAACGGTACGTACATCGCTCGCCCTCTCTTTATGTATTGCGTATTGTGTAATGCGCAATTCTCTATACGTTGAACTTACAACAGGACTAACATGTTTCTTCGTCATTCTTATAGCTTCGTTCATTCGCCGCCGTCATATTCCGTCGAATAGCGTCAAAGACGCGCAAGTCTGAGAAGGGCGATTCTACCGAGATTTTTATATCCTTGCCTGCTGAACAGGCATCCGTTATCCGCCAGAAACTCCTTGAGGCCTTAGCCAACGAGCGGGACCGCCTGGTCAGGAATAAAATTAGTGATGCCATTGCTGATGTTGCGAGGCAATATTCAGAAAGTAGTGAGTAGCCCGAATTACTGCCCTCCTATTCCTCTTCACTTCCCCTTACGAGCCCTCTGTATATCATAAACACTACTCTCTCTTTTGGGACCGAATAGAAAGAACCGCCGACCCTACACTCCATCTCCTTACAAAAATGGCTGCTGATATCCTCCTAGACGAACAATGGCCTGAAATCTTAGCCGTCCTTTTTAACCTCAGCGTGGCCCCCGATGCAGGACAACGAGAGAACGCTTACCGCGTCTTTGCGACAACGCCCGGTATCATAGAGAAACAACACGAGAGCGCGGTATTAGAGGCCTTTAACAGAGGATTCAAAGATGATTCCGTAGCCGTTCGCTTGGCTGCCATGGACGCTTTTGCTTCCTTCTTCCGAAGTCTATCGAAGAAAGCCCAACCCAAGTATTTCTCTTTACTGCCCGATGTGCTCAACATTCTACCGCCTATTAAGGATTCGCATGATTCTGATGACTTGAGCAAGGCCCTCGTTGCACTTATAGATCTAGCCGAGACGTCACCTAAGATGTTCCGACCCTTATTCCACAATCTCGTTATGTTCAGCGTCGGTGTTATTCAGGATAAGGAGTTGAACGATCTTTGTCGGCAAAATGCCCTCGAACTTATGGCTACTTTCGCCGACTACGCCCCGTCCATGTGTCGCAAAGATCCTTCGTATACAAATGACATGATTACTCAATGTCTAAGCTTGATGACGGATCTCGGTGAGGACGACGATGATGCCGCCGAATGGTTAGCATCTGACGACTTTGATCAAGAGGAAAGCGATCTAAACCATGTTGCTGGAGAACAGTGCATGGACCGATTGGCTAACAAACTTGGCGGTGAAACAATTCTAGCGCCAACGTTTCACTGGCTTCCTCGGATGATGACCTCTATGGCATGGAAGGACCGCCACGCGGCTCTTATGGCCATCTCAGCCATTTCCGAGGGCTGTCGTGATCTCATGGTCAAGGAACTGAATCAGGTCCTTGAGCTTGTCGTTCCCGCTTTGAAGGATCCTCATCCTCGAGTTCGCTGGGCCGGTTGCCAGGCACTTGGCCAGATGAGCACAGATTTTGCGCCGACGATGCAGAAGGAATATTACGATACGATATTGAAGACTATCATTCCTGTACTTGACTCCCCGGAAGGCCGTGTTAAAGCCCACGCTGCTGCCGCCTTAGTCAACTTTTGCGAGGAGGCTGAGAAGAGTATCCTTGAGCCGTATCTCGACGACCTTCTAAATCATCTATTCGAACTCCTCCAGTACGAGAAGCGCTACGTCCAAGAGCAAGCACTGTCTACGATAGCGACTATTGCCGACGCTGCCGAGGCCGCATTTTCTAGGTATTACGGCACGCTCATGCCTTTACTTTTCAGTGTCTTGCAGATGGAGCGTGGGAAGGAGTACCGGTTACTTCGTGCGAAAGCTATGGAATGTGCTACTCTGATAGCACTGGCGGTTGGCAAGGAACGTCTCGGGAACGATGCTATGACATTGGTCGAACTCCTTGCCAACATCCAGACCAACATCACTGATGCTGACGATCCGCAGTCTCAATATCTCATGCATTGCTGGGGACGTATGTGTAGAGTAATGGGTGCTGACTTTTTGCGTTTCTTGCCCAACGTTATGCCACCCCTAGTCGAACTAGCCAGTGCCAAGGCTGACATCCAACTACTGGACACCGATGATGAGATCGAACAATTCCAACAGGAGGATGGGTGGGAGCTAGTGCCACTCAAGGGTAAGATGATTGGGATCAAAACTTCCACGATGGATGATAAGCATATGGCGATTGAGCTACTTGTCGTCTATGCGCAGACTCTGGAAGCACATTTCGCCCCATACGTCGCTGATACAATGGAGAAAATTGCACTTCCGGGTTTGGCATTCTTTTTCCACGACCCAGTTCGGTTCATCTCGGCGAAACTTGTACCACAGCTCCTCAGCTCATACAAGAAAGCGTATGGTCCCGAGTCCAATGAACTTCGGGGCTTGTGGGCTGGAACTGTGGACAAATTATTGGAAGTCCTAACTGCGGAGCCAGCTATCGATGCATTGGCCGAAATGTACCAATGCTTCTACGAGTCGGTCGAAGTGGTGGGCAAGAACTGTCTTACTCAACAACACATGGTCAAATTCATCGACGGGGTCCATTCAGCTATTGAAGACTACAAGGATCGCGTCGCGCGGCGTGAAGAAGACAAGGAGGGTGTTGCTGCTGAAGAGGCTGAGGATGAAGCTGAGGAGCTTATGCTTGCTATTGAAGATGACCAAACTCTGTTATCTGACATGAACAAGGCCTTCCATTCGATTTTCAAGAACCACGGTGCCGTTTTCCTCCAGCCGTGGGAGCGCCTTATGGGCACCTACGAAAGTTTTCTCAGCTCATCAGATCCGACGCAGCGCCAATGGGGTCTCTGTATTATGGATGACGTCCTGGAGTACTGTGGGCCGGAGAGCGTTCGCTATGCCCAAGCTATCGGCACGTCTCTACTAGAAGGGTGCAAAGACCCGTCTGCCGCTATTCGCCAAGCTGCTGCGTAAGTGAAATTTCGTGACGTACCTCTTTTTAATGGCAACTAACGTGTTTTGATAGGTATGGTATTGGTGTGGCCGCTCATCGTGGTGGAGCTCCTTGGTCTCAATTTTTGGCCACTTCGATTCCCTACTTGTTCCAAGCAACCCAGATACCAGATGCCCGTGGTGAAGAAGCAGTTTATGCTACCGGTGAGTCATATCGTGAAATATAACATTATTTGGATAGTCACTAACGCTAGTACAGAGAATGCTTGCGCAGCAATCGCTAAGATTCTGCACTTTAACAAACAAAATCTTCAAGATCCGCAAGCGATTGCGACTCAATGGTATGTGGCTGAAATAATTGCATATTGAATATCGTTGCTAACCACTCAATCCTACAGGGTCAATACTCTACCAGTAACGAATGATGAGGAGGCGGCTCCATATGCCTATGGGTATCTCGTCGAATTAATGGAACAGTAAGTCGAAGCCCCGATTTTCATATCATAGTGCTAACCACTCGTGTAGGCAAAATCCCGCTGTGACCAGCCAAGTGGACAAAGTCTTTGTATACATAGGACAAGCTCTCGAGGCTGAGATGCTTCAAGGAGCACTTGGCGCACGTGTTGCCAGGACAATTCAGGTTCTACTTCAGGCGGCAAACATTGACCCGACGCCTTTGTTGCAACAGCATTTCACGCCAGAGGGCCAACAGATTATTAGACGATACTTCTCTTAGGCGCTCAGGGTGTGGCACCTGGCTTGTTGAACTAGTTACTGATGGAGGCCGCACATGGTTGGTCCGCGCAGGCCTTCTCATGGAAATTATGGCTGCGATAAATGGCAGTGCAAAGAATGAGAAGAAACATTTTGACTCGGACATGATACCTCGATCCAACCGTGGGTTGATTCACCTTACATGACGTCGTTTTACCTTTATGCTCTCCAACGGGACGGATGAGTTGGGGAGGGCAAGTGATTCAAGGATGAAGCGATATAGAGTGAGGAGTGATCTCGAGCAAATGTGCTGGGGCGAAATCAAGATCGTGAATCTCGCGCGTAATATGGCGCAACTAGGACGGGAGGGACATTGTACCTCTTCCAGGACTTAGCAGTATAGAGCAAAAAGAGAGATTACCAATGAAAGGGCCGTCTTGCCTAGTAATTGAGCGCTTATTTCCCAATCGTTTTCCCTTACCGGTTGATTGTTTGAGCCATATGATCGATTCCTTTAAATCCAATATTAGTAACCCTATAACTAGAAAGCTATACTATTAGCTACAATAAGTAATTAAAACTATCAAGTTCTCTGATTAGTAGGTAGCGCCTATCCATAAATAGAAGAAATTAAGACATCGACAAATATCATAGGATACGCCAATGGATATTTTTAGCATTAGCAAGTCTCGTAGATTTCTTCTCTCTTGTTGACACAGCACAACATGGGGAAAATGAAAACACTACAAAGTATAAGTCGGATAGCTTCAAATATTTCTTTATTAGCGGCGGCAAATCTCGATGCTACATATTCGTACAAGATGATAAGATCTGAGCATATTGTACAGTTCCTTTTGTTCTAGTAAGCAAGCAAATAACTGTTGCTGAGACCCTGGCCGGTGGTATGGTATCTTTGACTTCTAGTTGAAGCCAGCCTATCGGGCCCTTCAAAAACGCCAGCAAACACACGAGTAAAATCCGGATAGAACCATCGAGTACACCTCGCACCTAGAAGTCTAGCTCTTGATGCGCAGCTTTTTGTTGTTGATTAAAGCCCACCTAGAGCGTCCTTAATCCTCGTCAATATCCATGCTCTGACTCCCATTCCGAGCAGCTTCCTTATTTTGAAGTGTCCTTGTTCTGATTAGCCCCCTAAGCCACAGACAATGACTTTTCCACAGCATCGATATCCTTATCACGAACACTCCAACCATCGTAGGCCGTCATTAGCCTTTCGTTTTCCTTTTTCATGGAGTCCACCCAACCCGCAAATAGGTTGCCGGCGAAATCGATTAATTCCTTCCTCGTCTGATCAGCGGCGAGACTTTCCGTCTCCTGGCGCTTCCTTTCTTCCTCCTGACGTAGCTCGTCCCTTGCCTTACGCTTGGCTCGACGATCCTCGATCTCACGTGCTCGATCAGCTAAGTAGCGGACGCTGTGGCCAAGGCTGGCGCTTTCGTTCGATATACCACGGTGCGGCCGATCTAGAGGGGGTTGGGTGAAGAACAGCACGCGGCCGGCTTCGTCGTGCTGGAACTGATCTCGAACCTCCTGAGGAATCTTGGCGTTTAATGCGTCATCCAAATGGTATGCCTCAGGGGGGCGAGGTGGGTTATAGGCGTTGGCCTGGGGATGTGCACTAGGGCTTGGCGCAGCGGCGATAGAACCACGAGCAGGCGATGGCGCAAGACGATGCGACGGATCGTATACGGGCATAGCATTGCCCATAGGATGAGGTGGAGGGTGGTGGGGCTGATGGGGTTGGTGAGGTACAGGAACGGGTGTAGTACTATATTGTGGAGGATATCCGTTATAGCCAGGGTGTTGCGGCGGCGGTTGGTGAGGCTGGAAGTGTGGAGTTTGGGGCATCTGAGGCGCGGGATGATGATGGGCGCCTTGGACACCCCCAATGGGAAATCCGGGGTGAGCAGGGGGGTGATTACCGTATTGAGGAAGGGGAACGGGCGTAGGACTAGGACGTGGTGCGAAGGGATGGGGAGAAGCATACGCGCCAGCATGTCCAGGCGTCGGTGTCGGCGCCGCCGGAATGGTGGAAAAATGAGGTGTATTTCCCATGACGATATCGCCCTGGTTATCGATAGGACGCGTTGTCTGCATTAATGAAGGACGCCGCACTGCATCAATAATGGGGAGCGGCGGAGGAGTAGGTGTTGGCTCCGGTGGAGGAGATTCCTGTAAAAAGAGAAAAGGGTTGTGTCAGTTTTTTTTTCCTTGAGTAAGAAATTAAATTAATTTTATGTGACGCGCTCCAGTGAGACAATGGAAGAGTATGAGGAAAGGAAGGATTATCATCCATCCATTTAACACCAATTATTTTTTTCCTCTTCCCTTTACTGTCTTTAATGCGAAAACTTGCGACGCAATCGATAAGAAGGGGGTAAGAGAAAAGGGAAATGGAAATGGAAGAAAAAAAAATAGATAGATAGGAACAGAGAAAAAGGATAAGTAGAGGGGCACCGTCAGACCAAGTATTCCTTTCTTCTTATTTTTGCCTTTTTGGCCGTTTTTTTATTTTATTTTTGCCCCTTCTCTTCACTACTCATTAGAAGGTCTGAGAGTATGGAAGGTTATAAATGTGAAAAACTCCTCGGTTTTCCAGATTTGGTAGAATAGTAAATCGAAGAAATAAGAATAAAAAAATAAGAATAAAATGGAAGGGAGCCGAAAAAAAAAAATTTGGGAGGGAAAATGAAGATTAATCTGACTTACATTGGGCTCTCTCTCGCGACAATGCACAGCTCCAATTAGAGGTGGCGCATTCGGTGCTCCCCAGGTCGGCTTCGGTAGAGGATCTGTCGGTTTCGCATCGTCGCGAAGAAGATGCTTAATGGGACTCGGTACCTTTCTCAACTTGCGCTGCACATCAAACAAATCCATCTCATAATCCTTCTCGCGAACCTCGTCAGGTACACAGCTCGCCCAAGTCTTGATCTTGTTGAGCTTATGCTTCTCTTCGTTGTATCGCGCCTCACACACATATACCTCTTTATCCTTGGGAAATCCCCGTGGCCGACCTTTATGGTAGCGCGTCACAAACATAACAAAGCAACGATCTACTACTTCGTCGATGCGATGATCTCGATATTGGCCCGTTTTGACCACCTCATTCTCCAGGAAATGTTTTTCGAACCGATGAACCGTCTGCTCTGGGCGGTAGTACCAGCACGCATTTACCCACTTCTGGCCTAACCTATCTTGCCAGGTTCGATAGATCTGCGCCACAATGGGTTTCGTCAGATCGTTCGGATTAGTGATATGGACCCAATCGCCTAAGTATATAATGTCAGTATTCCTAACCCAGTAACACTGTCTAAGGGGGTTCGTGATTACTTACCAACTCTCCACACCTCCCCATTGTGGAGGATTTCCAGCAATGGCCGCCGACCGTCTTCATCTTCAAAGTCGTTATCGGGTTTGGCCTTCTCCTGCTCGGCAAGCATGTGGGCCTGGCGCTGTAACTCAACCGCATCATTGTACAACTGACTATCTTCTTCGTTGTACTGCTTTGCATTCTCAAACATCAAGTCCAGATCCCTAAGCACTTGGTCCACATTCTGGTACTTCTTCCTCTTTGCTTTTCTCTTAATTAAATCCAAAGCTATGGGGTTCTTGATAGCAGCAAAGTAATCGGGCGTAGCCTGTTTGTCCGGAAGCCTCTCAAATGGGACGATTAGCAGCTCTCCATTCGGATTTTTAAATTTTCTAAGACCCTTCAGCAATGCGTGGATACGAGCTTCTAGAGGGGTGAAAACCTTGGGAGGTCGCCCTCGCCTTTTGTGTGAATCATCATCTCTTGCATCGGATTTTCGACCGGAAGCACGACCACGTCTCCCTCGTCGTCGAACGCCATCATCATCGGAGTCGTCGTCATCCTCATCATCCTCGTCATCTTCGTCCTCCTCTTCTACTTCTTCATCGTCCGGATCCGGGGGCGGGGAGTCTTCAGCATCTGGGATCTCTCCAAGGTCTGGGAGAACGGCTTCTTCGGGCTTAATGACTCCATCGTCGACCAGCTTCTGGAGTTCCTCCTTAAAGACCTCTCGCAGGCGGACGGCATCTTGGAAGAATTCCGAGGATGGGCGGTTATAAACCATAGCGTTGTGTGATATTAAAGCGACATCTCTGACGAATTCGGTGAAGTTCGTGTATTGCTTCTTGAGTTTCTTGGTCTGATGTAGAGAAATTAGTATGACATGAGAGGTGGTCCGCCAAGACACAAGATACTTACTCGGATTGTACTAAACGCGATAGGTTCCTTGATAACTTCATGGTAATCGGGAATTAATCGTCGGTTCGGAATGCGCTGGAAATGGGAAGCGATGTGGTAACCACTGTAGTATCCATATTAGCTCCGTGCGCGGGTAGTGTAGCCTAACCTATAGGGCCAGATCTTACTCAGCGTCTTTATAACTAGACAAGTAGTTCGCCGTGTTTTCAATTATAGTCATCATATCGTGGTCGAGGCGACCTAGTGCTCGTTCTTCATCTGGTTCGCCTTCGGCATCGACATCACCGTCTGCGTCTGCGTCCGCGTCAGGGTTGACACCCGAGCCTACGGGCGTGTCCTCTCCACTATTACTAGTATTGACAGTATTTCCGATGCTTCCGGATGTGCCTCTAGCATCTGGGTTTCCTTTATTATCAGAGCCATTGTCGTCGCCAGTTGCCTTAGCCTCGATAGACTCGTGGACTTCGATCGCGCTCCGAGGCGGTTGTTCGGCTTCGTCAGCCATGGTTGGAGCTTCCAAACCAAGCTAAAAAGGGGGAATTCGATAGATTTACGGAAGATAGAAGCTTTAAAACCGATATTGAAGTTTGCAATGGAGGTCAAGGTAAAAAATGGGGACCAAGTTGCGACTTTGTAGGTCGAGCAAGATTAAGTTCGAAGGTTTACAAGTTCCCGTTTGGTCGAGTTGTTTGCATTTGCGACCAAGACGCTACTACCACTAACTATAGAAAGAATTAGAGAGGACAGGGAAGGTAAAGCCGACATACACCCGCCACCTACCCGATACGCTAGTCGCTATATGGTTAGTGTAAATATGCACGTCCCCCCTCCTGTTTCCCCAATCAAATGCAAGTACATGTATATTGTCCAGCGAATTAATTACATACAGTACAATTCAAAAGCTTTACTTCGAGTCTTGGACAAGGACTTCCTAGGTTCCTTCTTCACAATCTATAGAAGACGATATATTCATGGAATGTCGCATAAACTGGACTCGCATATTATATTATTGAATATATTATCAGAGTCTTTTAACTATTATAATATCGCATCAAGAGATCGATCAGTATTCAGCTTCATTGGGAACCCATTTTAAGGAACGGCTTCCACTGTTTTTCCTAGTCCAACGTTCTCAGACCCCTCTTCCGGCTCGGATGACAGCGCTGTCTGTTGGCTTTTACGATCTCTGTGACTCAAGAATAAAATAGCAAGGATGGTACCGAATTGTCCTACTGTCGTGACGAGGACACTAATGAATCCACCGCGGAAGTTGGGTGCGCGGCTGGCCGGATACTGGACAACTTGCGTTCCCGCTGTGATGGCTTGACCGATAGCATTCATGCTAGCCGTCACTACCGCACGTTCTTCCGCATCCCCAGCCATAACCACAGATGCCCAGCCCATTGTGAGGGGTGAGCAAGCTACAAACTTGTTAGCATTTTTTTTTTTTAGGGCGTCGTAGTCGCGGAGCTATTGACTAACCTGCCTCAAAACCAGTGAGGATGAACCCGGCTAGCCGACCACTCTCGCCAACCTCCCAAGCAACAAGCAGTATCATACCCGCGAGAACAGGGAAAGTGACGGCTATGGCGGGAAGCCAGAACCGACCTGTCCTATCTGCAAATACACCACAGAACAAAGCCACGACAATGCTCACTGCCGTGACGATAGTAGGTATTGTGTTTATCTGGACAACCGAGTATATGTTACTTTTTGCCTTCAGATATAACGAGAATGGCTGGGCGCCAGGTAGGAAGTTTTGATCCATCAATGACCACTGGAGTACGAAAAGGTACCAATGCCACCGAGAAAATACCCGTTTGAATATGTCACGAGATAGTTTCAATTGCGGAGGTGCCACTAGTCCTTCGATGCGCTTACGAGCAAGAGCAAGCTCTTCCTTTGTGATAAACCGTGGCTTCTTCCTAGTTGGCACATCGGGGAATACAAAGAAGCCGCTAGAGGAAGAGGGTGAATTGTCAGCAAAGTGCGAAACCACTAGTACGGATGTCACTTACAATGCTGCTATTGCAAGTGTAATTATTGCATCGACAATGAAGAGCCACCTATCGCGACGGTTAGCAAATTGATATGGGCGATATCATCATGAAAGGCATACCTCCAGCCTGCTAAGCCGTGAACTTGGTTCAGGTTTGTATAAGCAGCTGCTTGCAGATAGCCAGAAAACATAGTCCCCAAAGGACTCGCGATAAAAAATAGAGCAACACGACGCCCGATCTCTCCTGGCTTGTACCAAGAACCGATGATGTATATAGTTCCGGTGAATGAACAGCATTCAAAAATACCGGTGAAGAAGCGCATGGCATATAACGTTTCAACATTCTTAGCCCAGGCAAGGCCAAAGGTAGACAACCCCCATCCTATTTCTAGAGCTGGCAGAACTCGATTGGCGGGATAGTGTGTTAGAAAATAGCAGGCCGGGATCATGAAGGTACAATATGATGCCCAGAAGGTGGCCGTGATATAATTTAATTGGTCACCGTACATACCCAGCTCCTCTTTCATGCCACTGATAGCTCTAATATTAGCGATCCAGCGGCACAGGCAGATCAGTCGAACACGTACCTGACATATGCATTGGTGATAGACTGTTGATCGAGATATTTGGTAAAGAAAGATAGACAACCAAATATCAAAATGCTGAGGTCAAGTTTCAAGATCAGCCGTTTCTCTTCCTCTGGCATACTCTTAGGGTACCACCCGACAGAAGTCATAAGCCGAATCCAAAAGTTCGCAATACGCGAAGCAATTCTAATATTCGCTCCATGCCGGCCTGGTATTTCATGAAGTACGGAACGTGCCGTGGTTTTCGGGTTTTGCTCACTTGTCGACATTATGATGCTCAGGTTTGGAACTGTCCCTCTGCAAGAATGAGGATATCCTTTTCATTCTAGACATGAAAATTGACAAGTGGGTAGAATGTTTTTATATGCCCATATAAGTCAAGTTAAGTATTGTATGTGAAATTACGTACTCGCCATTAGTATATGTAACTACCAAGTCTCGACGGCGTTATTCCAATGTCGTGATTGACCTTGTCTATGGTGGCACACAACCACGGCGACGCCCACGTGTGGATAGACCCGGATATATCGCATGCTTCGAGATAGGAAGGGTTCCATTAGTTTTGACTACCTAGGTACAAAGACAAACCATTATTATTTCTAGATAGATAATAGATAGTTAGCTTTCTTCGGGAAGATTATCTTTCGGTTCCCCTCTCTTGGGTCTGCTCCGTTGGTTACGTCAACGACACCCTGTATGGCGTGACGAGAACACGTCCTCGTTGAACCTGTGGCGTTTCTTAGAATTTAACCCCATTGTCAATCAGTATAGAAGAGATAGGTACTAATTTCCAAGGTGGTTACTTAGCTCTCATGGCAATATAACATACGCGCACCTCGACGTGTATATAGTCGTATCGGCTCGTACAACACATACCTAGGTATCACAAATCAACTACAGCTGTTCCCCGTTAAATATTTTAATTCAGTGATTCTTTAAAGAAATACACCTACTTCACCATGGTGAATGAAGTAAGGAAGCTTGTGATGACGTACTAGGTGCCTACCTAGGTAGCACATGTGCACCTGAGTTTCATTTATAGGGGTATAATTATTCTTTAAAATCACATAAGGAATGTATATATACGAGGTTTTCACTTACATGGATAAAACTATCACCTGATTCTTGAATATGTCGGTCTAATTGAAGTAGGTATCGCCGATGGAGAGATGGAGATGGAGGGGTAGAGAGAAGAGTTCTTTATTTTAATTCATTTAAAAATCGCAAACTGAGACCATACATACCTAGGTACCTAACAAATACATAACATACATGTACATAGCGTTGTCGACAGGTCAATGTACCTAGAAAACGGCCTCCTCTTTAGAATGATTAGGCCGCCGATCTATCATTTAGTTTAATACAATTCATATTTGTGTACATATTCTTCAAGATACTAATACCTTCCTTTGTCTTCTTTTGCCCCGATTTCCTGTGCATGGTGCGCGCTGCGCGTTGTACCGTACCACCGAAGAGCACCTGTGTCTTTCTTATCTAGCTACTACCATCACTCACCTTTTCTATTCTCATTCTCATTTCCATTCACCCCGTCGAAAAGGTTGACATTGTGAGCTTGTTCCTTTCGTTCATCCAGCCATGAAGATCCGCTACAAGGCACCCAAAGGTGGTGGCACCTTGGAGTTTGATGACGATGCCACTGTAAACCAACTTTTCGCGACCCTCAAGTCCACCACTGGCTACGCTGACGTCACTATCAAATATTCCTGGCCGCCCAAAGCCTTGGATTCCGATCAAGGTGACACTACCTTACAGTCTTTAGGCTTACAGCGAGAGAGCCTTACCATTGTGCCTGCCGAAGATGCTTCCGCCACAGCCGCAGAGCCACCCCAAGCAGCCCAGCAGCCTACTACATCACCCGATGCGCTTCCCAGTCTCCAGTCATTCGAGGGTCAAGGCAAGACCAAGTCCAAGAGCATCATAGATCAAAACATCAGTGTTCCCATGCCTGAGACTGGCTCAAACCTAGGTAAGCCGCGCGACATGCCGACCGAAAGGAACAGTTTTGGACTGACCTTAGAAACTTCATCTTAGTTCTCCGAGTCATGCCTGACGACAATAGTTGCCTCTTTACAGCCGTCGGCGGCGCCCTCCGCGGCTTGCGCACTGCTCCCGACGAGTTCTACAGCGCCGACTCCCTGCGCCGTCTTATCGTAGATCACATCCGCAACAACCCTGAAAAATTCAGCGCGGCGATCCTAGGCAAGAGTCCCGAAGCGTATTGTCGCAACATGCTGCGCCCAGACGTATGGGGCGGTGAGATTGAGCTGGCCGTCATCTCGGACGTGTTTGCCATCGAGATCGTCGTCGTCAATGTCAAGGACGGCCACGTCTACCGCATCGGCGAGAATAACGGTTACAACATGCGCTGTGTCCTTGTGTACTCCAACGTCCACTACGACCGCATCGCCGAGATTTTCGTCGAAGGCCAGGCGGCCATGGAGTTCGATATCACTCGTTGGGCTGTCGATGGTAGCGACCACGTCATTCAGCACACCATCCAGATGTGCAAGAAACTCAAGGAAGAGTACCACTACTACACCGATACTTCCGACTTTGTCATCACCTGCAACCAATGCGGTTGGGTTGGCCAGGGCCAAAAGGCTCTCGCGGAGCATTCGTTAAGTACTGGCCATACAGACATTAGCGAGATTAAAGATCAATGATCGACCGACAATTAAGGAGCGTTCACACCGACCTTATATAGAGTTTCACGTGGAAGTAGTATACCCAAAGATCATTTTCGAACGATCTCTAGTCAATACCCGAGGGTTGAGGGAGGCAATTGTCCATCTGTCAAGACGAAGAGGAATGTGGCAAATAGTAGCATAGGAAAATATTTCGTGGTCCGGCTTTTATCAACGATACCCCCACAGTTAGTTTTGTTCAATGGTCCTTGAGTTTTTTTGCGACTTGGGTGTTGATGAAATTTTATTATTATTTTTATTTTTTTTTTTTCGAAAGAAAAGGTAGAACGAGGCCTTTGTTACACTCGAGGACGCAGGGACGCGGAATACGCAATTGTCCATCGATATTGACCTAAAGAGGGGTATTACAATGTAGAAACTCGCCTAATCTTGATCCAAAGACGTCAATATCGTGCTACAAGGATCAAGGAAGGGATGGAAAACTAGGCAGCAGCCTCCTTAATGGCTAGATGGCCAAAAAAACAAAGAAAAAAAAAAGATCAAAATATTTGGGTGTAAGCCAGCTACTTTATTAATTTGTAGTATCTGTCTTTAGGTTCCCCTGCCCAAAGCCAACGACTTCTTATGGGTTTAAATAACATTAGCCATGAACATCATAAGTTCATGAAATTCTTTTTAGAACCCAAAGACAGATGCTATCTTCTTCCGAGCGGGGATATCTTCTCACTTCCATCCATCCGTCCTGTATTCCCGTTCCAAATCTGCACTAGGCATCTCGTAAAACATCAACGTTAACTCCGTCCTATCCTGAACTCCATACTCTGCTATGCGGTACATCATGCAAACCCATAGTGCTTCATTAAAACCAATGCCGTCATATCTTACAATTCTCCCCTTGGGTGGTGGTTATGTTCAATCAACCTCCCAATCCCTATGCTGTCTACGGCTAACCGTCTTCGAGATGTTGTTAGTGCTACTGCTGTTGCTCTGTAACGCCGTGGTGTATTCTTCATCGTCGGTCCAATCGCTAAATTCGCCATCTGAATAGTCCCATTGGACCGGGATCTTTTCACCACTTTCGCCAAAGCCGAAGATTAAGCCTCGCCACTCACCGGCCGCAATTCTGGCAGCAACCCTCAGCATGAGATTTACGAGGTAAGTTGGTGGTCTCAAGAATACCTCCACTGTCTTTTGTATGATTGCACCTGGTATGCGACGAACGGCGGCCATACGGCTTTGCTGGGTTTGTCTAGGTGGTGGTGAGAAGAAGTTGGCGGCAGATGGTAGTGGAGATAGAGCTCGCCGACTCATAGACAAGCTATTAGGTCGTGGTCGCGGCCGCGGTCGCTCCCTCTCTTCTATAGCAGTTGATTGCGACGCCTTCGAAGACTCATTGACAGGAACTGGGTTCGCATTATGCTCTAAAATGCCCGCGGAAGGACGAGATAATGGGGAAACTGCTTCATCGGTATGATCCTGAGCACTTGCAGAACCGCCAAATGTCCTGTCGGTATCTGGTGTGGTTGTATACGCCGGGTTGCCTTTTTCACGCGATGACTGAGGAGGAACAGTGACGGCTTCATGGGGATGAGGAAACTGGGGCCCAGATGGCGTAACGGGGCGTGATGATGGCGGTGAGGGGGGTAAAGGGTTAATGGGTGGATGCCAAGACTGCACACTATGAAACGAGTCGGTCGAACCACCGGAATTATCACCCGATGTTTGAGGTTGGGAAGGGGGTGGAGGGTTAGATTGCGTAGGACCAGGCAATTGCTTCGACTTTGACGGGGGTGAGTTCACTACAGTCAAGTGTGGAGGAGCGGTAAAGGCGCGCCCAGCCAACATCCGAGTCATTCGTTTCCTCGAGAGATTCATAGGACCGACGCGGCCAGATCCTTCGAACAAAGGAGGCTCATCGCCAATCTCGCTGTGTACATATTCTTCTTCCTTCCTAGCATCCCGACTACCTGTGCTCACATCATCCGGAAACGCCTCCTTCGTAGTCTGCCACCCTATTCGGAGGACAATCCGTGCTGCCTGGACTAGTGTCGGGTCAACGCCACGGTTCTCCAAACCAAGAAGACGTTTGGCTTCTTCTACCGACATGTGCTTCGCATTCGCTTGAGCGCATATGACACACATAGTACCTTGCTCATGCCCAGTAATTGTTAACGAGTTATCTCCGACATTATGACGATGAGTGGATGTCGACTCCGACCCACCAGCGGAATTTGAACCAGAAGATGACGCTAGACCATTATTCCAACGGCTGTCGACCCTCGATAACCCAGCCGGATACTGGACAATATCTGGCGAGTCTTGTGCCATTTCAATTGCTCTTCGATAGCGAGCGTGATAATCTATCGCCTCAAACTCCGTTGGTTGTTCGGATCCAGCCTCCTGATGCGTCTCATCGTGCCAAGCTCTCTGTATATGGTGGCATTCGTGGACTTCAAAGTCGAATTGGGGGATAGCCCCATCACCTAACAGGCTACCTCGCCTATCTTGATGATAAAGACTTTTAGGCGTCGGTGATGATATAGGGGAGAAGGGTGTTGCTATTAAGTTTTTGCCTTCGGGCGTCCAAGCTTTCTTCTTAATCGGCGTATCTGGTTCTTCGGGTAATTCGACGATGAAACTCCTCTGAAAGGGACAATGGGTCTTTTCGAATAATAGGATTCTATCGAAGACGTCCCTTAGCAAGAGGGCGCGTTCTTTATCATCGGGCTCGGACACTGGGAGTTCGATTCTCCAATACTGTGGACGCCGTATTTGTAAGACGAATCTACTGTTGTCTTCATCGATACACCAGCATTGGCTTTTCGGTAAAATAGGCTGGAGGGCCGAGCCGCAACTAAGAAAAGCTACAGATCCCGGAGCGCGGTAGATGCGGAACGGGCCTAGTATTTTAGAGTTAGTTTAGGGGATAATAGAGTTTGAACGGCTCTTGCTAATATCAGAACGTACCGACGGCGAGGGTTCTCTCGATTTGCGACGAAGCTGGCAAAGTACCTGGGCGATCCTCGTCGACGGAAGAGAGTCGCGGAGTAAAGGGGTTTCGTTGGGTAGAAGTAAAAGCGATTATTCGGACGGAAGGATGGCTATAAAGAGTTTCGACTAGTTCTTCGTTGCCTTTAGATGTAGCTGAAGATAAAGTCGATGCTGATGGTGGACCAGTACTGGATGCGGTACTGACCCGGCGAGGCATTGGCATGTCTGCTTCGCCGGGTGCAATCTTTGGGGTATCCGGCATGATTTGTACATCCCTAGCTGGAAGCTAACCAACCGAGTTCTTGTTATTTATTCTGCAGACGAAGTAAACTCCCGGTAGGGTAAACAATATAACGGGATATCTAAATCATGGCGGAATATGGCGGGGTCGCAGGATGAAAAGACGGTGAGCTGGTGAAACGAAGGATACAAAAAAAAAAAAAGAGATCTCCAACTGAATTAGAAGAGTAATATTGGATAAAGTTCAAAGTTAGTGAGATCAATCTCCTATGTCTCCCGTCGAAGTGATTATGGATGTTAAAAAAAAAAAAGCAATACAAACGCGAATCGACCGTTAGATACAAAGTACAATTCGCGACAGGTTCATGACATGGGGAGATAGCGAAGAGACTAAGGTATGTCAGAGCTGCAGTAAGGTTTGCCGGGAAGCTTGGACGAACATCGAAGGTTTAACCAAAATGCGCGGAAGAAAGTCAAATCACAGCGGTCCGAATCCTACGCGCCACAACTATGGTTCCACAACTTAGTGGACTTAGTGGGGGGCTTCTAGGTAAGTACGTGTTTTTATGGGTACAATATGTACAATATCTATCCACCTATGTTAAACCGCGTCGGGGAGGCTGGTACGTGGTCTCGAATTATGCACATCCGACATAAACCTTTTTAATACAGCGAACGTACCTGGATACCTACGCACCGATTTGAATTTATTCGCCAAATCTTCACCATTACAATTTTGACATTTCTCATCTTTTATTCGATACATTCGCAAACTGTTTATTTTCCCAAGGAGGGTTCCAAGCGACCTCGGCTCCCTTTTATGAGGGGCTTCTGCATGGAACCTCATGCATACACCAAAACAAACACTCAATAAACGCCCAGCATTGTCTCAACTTGCAGCACCCATATCCCCATCCGGACTAGCCAACAGGAGGGAATCTGCCATGTATGGATGTACGCTGCACCCGCCGAGCGGGGAATGCATGATTTAGGTACGACTTAAGTACGATCCCTTCTACCTACATAAGCGTCTGACCTAGATACGTCAATCCTTATCTCCTAATTTGTCGTAGTCTGGGTTGGGTTTCTTATTATCCAACTCGATGATTGGTATAAGCAATCCAGAAGCTGGTCTGGATATGGCTATCTCTCCACCAACGTTTCGGCCTAGCCAAAGCGACAGAGATCGAACAGAAGTCATTAGGTAACGCACAATACTAATAATCTAGGGAATAGTCACTAATTCATGACCACCAATTGAGTCACGATATTCGAATTGTCGCATATCCAGCAAGACTAGACATGTTCTCAAGATCCCGATACCGCCTCCTTCACTCTCTCAGCTACAGACGTTTTATAAGTCAGACCCCCACCGTAACTATGCTCGCTATTCTTACCCCCAGCTGTAACCTTGCCCTCCGTCACACCACTTTCAAAGGCGCACGTACCCATATCCAACTTCTTGGCTGGTCCAGACGGCATGATGTCAAAGTCGAAAATATCGGCGGGCAAGCCAAGAGTCGTACACGCATTCGGTATGTCGACGATACCCGCCACGTGCCCCTGAATAGGCGCAGAAGATAGCAGAAGGTAAATCTGGTAATCGCTGTATCCGAAGCGGCGTAAATACTCGATGCAGCCTATCTGCTGTCAGCTAACCGGTCTAAATAAGGATCATTCATGGGCGTGAGGCCTATTAATGATTCTTTTGGCACTTACGCAAGGTAGTCTGTCTATAAGCAACGGCCACGTCCATGTAATGTTGCTTGCCGTGCTCATCGACGGAGAAGCCCTCGAAATAGATACATCGACCCGGACCAAACTGCGGTTCCACCGGCCCGGGTATATAGATGGGGGACTTAAGGCCTAGATCCGCCACCCCGTTTTTAATGACCTTGAAGTTGATCGTGATTATGCCCGCCATCTCGATTGCCCCGCAAAACGAAATCTCGCCGTCGCCCTCTGTTTCAATTCAGTATCCACCGTATATTCCAAGAATTAAGGTAGATGGGACTAGGACTTACGCGAAAAGTGTAGATCCCCAACGCTGAATTTCGCACCTGGGACATGGACAGGGACTAAAGCAATACACAATTAGTAATGGCCAATACTGATGGAAACATCTAGGCGGTCAAAGACAATGGCTAATGGCAGCAGATATTACTCACGATACACCTTCGAACCTCTGCTCAAGTTCTTGATATCACAGTTCCCACCATGTTCCGGGCGACCTGGAATAGTTCTAGCACCCTCCTTGCCTACCCTCTCTTTTAGAGTGGCATCAGATGCGCCAGCGTGAACGCTTCTCTGCTCGGGCGGTAGTGCGACCTGTCTCTCAAGCTTATTGGCTGATATCAACTCGGCTTCACGTTTGTTCCAAGTTGCTAGAACCTCGGCCGATGGAGCACACCCCAAAATTCCTGGATGGATCAGCCCTGCAAACTTGACATGAGGAATATGACGGGAGGTAGCAAAGATGCCCTCGAAATCCCAGATAGCTTTGGCAGCAGATGGGTAGATTTCATCGAGGAAACCGCCTCCATTTGCTTTGTCAAAAACTCCGGTGAAACCCCAAGGCTGACCCTGAAGCGGCTGGACATCCATGATTTCTACTAGGAGAATGTCTCCTGGCTGGGCGCCCTCAATTTCGAAGGGACCTGTCAAATAATGAACACTAGTCAGGTCGACATTACGAATGTCGTCTGCACTGTCACTGTTCCCGATTTGACCACCCGTCCTATGGATGACATTAGCTTTCGCATTCATCTGAGCATAGAACGTAAATCAACTTACCAATCGAGACATTGGATCTTAACCGTTTCTCCATCCTTGATGGTATCAGTGACAGGAACTATAACCGCGTTAGTAGGTTGGTTTTCGGGATCTTCAGTATCGTTATGTCGAGAACGTACTATCGGGGTGCCATCTATTCTTGGTACGAGATGTTAATTCGACAACGCTCCTTCGTTATTTTGACTATTTTGGCTGTTAAGAGGGCTTACATGGATACCCGTCTGCTCTGTGGCTGGTTTGTTAAAGTCGACGTAGCCAGCAGCGCGAATCTCCTTTTGCCCCATGATGACTTATTATGAGACTTATAATGGGATCTTTTCTCCGTAAAACTAATTCTTCACTGAATTATATCCGATTTTGGACTACTCAATAACCAACATATATATTCATATAAGACCCGTACACTGCTTAGCAAGGCTTTCTTTCATTCTTTAAGCTTTATATACTTCCAACTAACAATGATAACTGTGTATATACCCCGCATCCCAGTATGCGGAGAGGCGCCAATGATAATACGCAAAGCATCGTGATATCACAGACGCCCGGGTAGCAGCCTGCGTCATGACCTGTGACAGCAGCAGGGAGATAACAGTCTACATAAAAGATTACTTTAGTCATTATTAGCGTACTTCCATACCCCCGCAGCCTTCACCTTATCGTACTACCCAAGCATAGAGCTGCCGAGTACATACATATGTATGTAGATGCAGCCGACTGATAAGAGGAAACCCTAGCCCGCTAAAGTTGTCAATCAAGGGAGATTTTTTCCGAGTAACGTAATACATGATCGGATAAGGGGGGCTTTGCATCGGTACATGTACGTTAGCTTATCTGTCTTATAACCCGCCCCACGTTCAAGTACAAAGTATCTAGGCTCTTAAGTATTTAATGCTTTTTTTATCATCTGGGCTTCGCTGTCCTTGACGGATTATCCTATTTCATTACAGGTTTTTTCTGCCTTTCTGACTTGCCGGTCCATTATCTGACGATAGTTGGTTGCTATGGATAGAATCAAGCTTTTCCAACGGGAGATTGAGGAATTCGTGCTTATTCCTCCAAACCAGTTGGTTTGTCATAAACCCTTCTGTTTCGGAGCGGGGCGCCTTCGGCGACGGAGGAGGATCCGTGATCTTCGTGATCAAATACGCGGTTGACGCCTCAGCAATACCGTATATCAGCACGCCGAGTAATGGGACTCTTAGTAGTATGTAGAACCCGATACCGAATCCGAATAGAAGGCCCTCACGACTGCGAAACCAATCCCGTTTCTGCTCCTTAGAGAAGTGAATGCGTGCGAAGTACGGCTCGAGTAAAGCTCGCATCAAGCTACGCGACGCAAAATAGGTTTGGAGGAATATGACAAGATAACGTTTGGGGAGAAATATCCCAGTCCCAAATATGAGCGCTGCTGGACCCAAACCCACCGCCTTGTTGAACGTGTAGAAACTGACTGCTGGAAGTACCAAGCGACCAATGTATGGGACGTACGACAATGCGAATATGGCTAGTGAAGTGGCCGCCTTGAGAGCAAAACGATATAAGAAGATGCCGATCTTATCACTGGTACTCGACGAGTGTGTACTTCCGTCCTTCTGCTTGTATTTGCTGAGGTTTGGATAATACATATCCCTTAGCGAATCGGGGTCCTCGTTCTTATGTTTTTGGACGTAAGTCATATCAACCCATCGCAAAGAATCCATAAACCTATTACTAGCATGTTAAAGAGGGTAAAGGGGAATATCACAAGGAAAGGGGTGACATACATATCATCCAATGCCGGCGTCATGTACCTCATGAGGGTCATAAGAAACAAGGGTATTTGGAGGACATGGTTGGCGATTAGATCTAGTCCATTCACCAAAGTGTCATCCCACGTCGCCTTATCGAGGTCAAATATCATAGATAGGAAGCCAAGGAGTAGTTTAATAGCAATGATCTAGAGATTAGAACGTTCACATGTGAGCTGACCTGAACGGGGAATCAGGGGCATTGGACCTCTTACAGGAATAGCAATGGTCAAGCGGATTGCAATACCGGCGGCTACGGCTCTGACAGCTTGTTTGTAGTGCTTATTTGTGAATACGGCAGGATTTTGTAAGGCTCGATGAGCTAAAGGGGCAGAAGGCTAGGTTAGCCACCTAAAAGATATATCAATGGCAATGTTTACGGACATACCGCCGACTAGTGTCAATTGAGCGCCACGTAAAATGGCATTCAAGTCGAAATGAGATATATCGAAGGCTTTCTTCAGTTGTTCCGTATTCAGCTCATTTAGCTGAGGTGGGTTGTACTCAGCCATGGCTTAAATTAATTCAATACGAACTGGAACTTGAGAAAAAAAAGAAGACGAAGTGTACTTTCATGAATAGAAGAAGAGCTCCTTAATTGAATTTCTTGTTTTTTTCTTTCTCTTTCTTGTACCCCACGTCAGAAATAGAATACCTAATGTAGGTAGGCATCCAAGTTGTGGATGACAGGAACGAAGAACAAAGGGAGGCTGAGCTCCTTCGAAGTTTACTGCCAAACGGAGCAAGCTGATGACGACACCGACGACTTACATAACTTGTACCCAGCACACACGCTTTATCGATAAGAAACGAAACGTGACTGAAAATGGTTTACCTAATCACCAGGCGAAACTCAGCCACGATCAAAACCAGCCGCTATCTTTTTAGAGGGCGATACTAACAGAGAGAATACGGAATACGGTCAATACGTTTCCAGCAGCCAAGCTAAACAAGAACTCGCGTATTTCGCAAACGGTTTTAATTCGTCGGCTTGAGCTACCGATGATGCAGAATGTAACATCCATTTTTACCTAATTCGGTCAAGTCATGTCTATAAGTCGGAAGGGGAATTGCACTGACGAGATTGAAGAATATTAGAACAGAAAAGGGTAAGCGACATTGTCATCAAAGAATGTAGGACAATCTAAACTGTTAGATCTCTGGGGAAAGGTAAGAAATAAGATTGCCAATGGCTCAGCTCTACTTTTCGTGCTACGTAAATGGCAATTTCTACAATACGCCGTATTTATTCGTGCAATGCGATTGGCGAATGCCCCCTCATAAGGCTACTAGGCTACTCAGCCACAACACCATTGGTTGGAATACCTTTAGGCGGACTAGAAGGCGGATTAAGAATATAGAATGAGTATCTAAGGCGTCTTATATGTCATGAGGTATCTACCTAGGTAGTTCAAGTAAATATATATATATTCATCAAGATTCACAACTACCTACCTTCATAACTTCTGCTTTCCTAATCCAATCCTGTTCCAAACACACCCATATGCCAAACCAAGAATTGATCAATCTTCTCATTCCATATCTATTGTATCTTGGATTCTTGAATACCACGTAAACACCATGGAAGACGGTCGTTTCGTCAAGGATAGTTATTGGTTTTACGCCCCGAATAAGGGAGCCCCGATATTCTTTGCCATCGCCTATCTTGCTACAGGCCTGGTCCATTTTTGGCAAGCAGCGTAGGTATTTTCCGATGCGATGTTCAATAGCCCGGTACTTACCATACGTCTAGGCATTACAAAAGTTGGAGGCTCACCGGCCTATATGCTTTCTGCTCGCTTCTGTTCGTAGCCGGCTTCATTGTCAGAGAGCTTGCGGCATTCGACTATTCGAACCTCACCTACTATATCGCCTCCGTGTGTCTCGTCTACGCTGCGCCGTAAGTCCATCTACCTGATACTCTTTAGTGGTTATTAACCAGACGATTAGCCCTCTTTATGAGCTAGGTAATTACCATGTACTCGGTCGTATACTTTACTTCGTTCCTTACTATTCGCCGATCCACCCCGGCCGAGTCTTGACAACCTTCGCTGCCATTTCCATGGTTGTCGAGGCACTCAGTGGGGTAGGAGCGGCTTATATATCTAACCAGACGTTGCCAAAGGACATGCAGCATGCGGGCCAGAAGTTGCTTCAAGCTGCTTTGATACTGCAACTTGTCGTTGTGTCCCTCTTCGTGTTGCTTGCGGGAACCTTCCACATGAAGTGCCGGAAGAACGGCATCAACCATCCCAAGGTTAACCAGCCGCTCATGACTCTCTATATTAGCAGTGCTATTGTCATGGTCAGATGTATCTATCGAACAGTTGAGTTTTTCGACTCGACCACGTTAAGCACATTGAAGCCCGGATTCGACCCCGAGACCGTCAGCCCTATCATTCGCTACGAATGGTTCTTTTACGTCTTCGAAGCGACACTCATGCTATGCAACAGCGTGCTGTTGAATGTCCGCCATCCCCGCCGCTGGTTACCGAAGTCCACCAAAGTCTACCTTGCCAAAGACGGCGTGTCGGAAATCACAGGGCCGGGATACAAGGAGGAGAGAAACATCGTTGCTACGCTCCTTGACCCTTTCGACATATACGGTATGATCAAGGGCAGAGATCAAGCGACGCGATTCTGGGAGACGAGCAACAACCACGGAGAGCCGAAGGCCGAGATTGATCGTATGTTGCCGATGAATCCGGGACATGCTCATACCGCTGTCTGATGACGACAAGAGTTAAAACCAAAGACTCGAGGCATACCTACCCAGCTACAAGTTTAGGCGCCACGTCTGGATTGCACGGATGGTGGAGATAACGATGATTGTGACGTTGTTGGAGAGACGGTCCCGACGTGGTGAGATTTATGATCGTCATCCTCATAAATGGGAACGTAATAAACGCCGCGCGAAGGATCCATGCGGCGTTTAGTATATAGATGTTTGAAATTGGCTATAGAGTAAGGATTCGGAGTAAATGAGTTTTCATTTTTCCTCCCTCGGAATCGGGAAGGGAGCCGCACGGTGTGGGATCCCGAATTATTGGCTTTTATAGATACCTGGATACCTATGATTTATGGCGAATTGATTCGAAACGCGCGAAACATTTGAATAGTTCCATCCTGTCAGAATTAAACCAGTTCTTTGAAACAAGCCACATAGGCACACGTAGGTACTAATGACAATTCCTATAATCTGACAGTCTGATTATTATCTGAGCCTAGGTTGATGGGTCTAGAATCAGCTCCTTGAGCGGAATCTTATCGTCTGAGGCACCGCTGAAAGCGCCACTGACGTAAACTGCTAGAGGAATCCGCGCCTCAAAGTGTTTCGATGATGGCATTAATATACTTGTAATTGCTTGATCGAGTATTTGATAGCTACCTAACTGCCTAGGTAGGCAAGCTGAGAACTAATAATTAACGATGTGGGGTTAACAGTAGCTAATATTCAAGGCAATCGGCAAGAAGTTTCATCTTCTTGTTTGCAAGTAGTAGGCCGATTCAAAGTTGGAAACTATTACCTAGACTACTAGATAGTACATACATACATACATACATATGTAGTAGATAGCGCTGAGCAGGCTCCGAGAGAATGGCCCCACTGTCGGCGACAGCGCAATTGACGCTGGGTAGCTAGTGAATATAACTATAGGGAGTGTCGCTGAGGCCGGAGGAATTTTAAGATTACTCGGGTTATATGGTCTTAAGGGAGTAAACGATGCGAACTACGTGTACACGTAAGCTTGGGGTGATGAATATAGAAATATGTACTCAGAGTAAATACCTAGGTAGGTATGATGATAAGGTTGATGATGGCGAAGAACAAGAACAAGATGATGATTCTGTTTGGGTTATGGATGGCTGACATGTATTTTCTTTTTTCCTTTTCATAAGGATTGTACATGCATAATTTACATACCGATACATATGTAGTACATACATAGTATGGAGGGGCTTAGCTGTAGACGGTGCAGGTTCAAAATTTCAATATTCTATTTCTAGACATGTGCATGTACCTAAGCAGGTTACATATGCAGACCCTTAGAGTCTACTATTCAACGTAAATTAGCTATTAACCTACCTGTACTCTCCCCACATGTATGTACCTAGGTATAGGTATCTAATATAGGTCTCTAAGCACTAACACCAACACTACAGAGCCACTACCTAATTACCTAGGTACCTACTTAGGTACATCTAGCACCTAACGCTTAACACTGAACACTTGACTTTTACATCGTTGGACGAGCACTCGAACGGATCATCACCAACAATTAAATCCATCATGCTTATTTCCATAATAAAATTACTCCTTCGTACGATATCCATCTCCATCAATGAAATAATTCAATAAATCATTAGTCGAATGCTGGTCACGGATGCGCTGAAACGAGGCTATCCTTGCAATCGACGATTTTGGCAGATGACAGATGGCAGATCTAAAGCTGAAGAAGTTGCTTTCGAATTAGAAGCATTTCAAAAGTTCTAGATCCTATTTCATCACAGCCATCATAGTCTCGAGACTTCGGACGAGTTTTAGCAGTAAGAAGCGAGACGAAAGCAACGTCATCATACCAGTATGCGCTACCTCTCTCTCCGCATAACCATAACCGCATCCTATCACGTCGTACCCGGATAGCATTTAAATCCCGATGCGGTGTGGCTCGGTTGTAGAAAATAACAGTCCGCCAGTTCACTTTCGCTTTGTTCCCTGTTCGTGGGTCAGGGACCCCGCTAAGGGTAAGTACATCAGTCTGATCAGTCTATCAGTATGGGTTGTTCAATATTATATACGAATTTCCAACCATATCATGTCTTTAGCTGTTTTGTTGGATCGCCCTTATATATATTGGCTACCTAAGTAGATTGTTCATTTTATATATTTCATTTATATATACGCAAATTATATGTAAACATGAACCAGTCTTAATATACCTGTCCCTCGGACCGGCGTTCGACGAGTTACAATTAACACAGCCCCAGGGATCGTCATCCTCCCAAGCTTGTACATAATAGTCGTTTTCCGCACCAAGGGGAACCTGTCCAAGGGTTAAAACCAGGGGTTATCTAGGCGGATCTTTTAGTGTTTTCCCTTTCGTTTGGTGTTTGGACGAGGCGAAGCTGTAAAAGAAGAACAAAAAGAAAAAGAAGAAAAGAGCTTGGGACCGCACTGATGCATGTTACTTTTGATGAAGGAATGGGGCACATCTGGGGATCGCTTCGCCCAGTGCGTGCCACACAACTACCTCAGGTACAAATATGTCTGTACGTATTCAGTACGCAAAATGTTGTACCCATGTATGTTGTGTTCGTATGGTACTCGAAACAGCGGTACCGGACACAACAAGCAGACAGGGTGGTAATATTAAGTATTAGTATTGGGTATTAGTATCGTCAAGTAAGTAGGTATGTAGGCAGGTGTATGTATATCATGTATATTCCCTCTTAATACATAGACGATATGCGCTGATACCACTGTCAGTTTCGTCGTAGTATCGTCTGTTGGGGCCAAATTCACCTATCAAGGTATGAAATGAGCGAATCATCTTGCCATCCCGCCCCTCTTCACGAACTAATATTTCTCCATTCTCCTAATTCTACCCGTCGTATTCATCTTTAAACATTGACGATTCGCTTCTTCTATGACCCTCCTTGCCTTTCTGCGACAAGCCTCTCACGGAATCTGTCGTTTAGTTAACTAGTGAGAGAGCGTCATCAACCGCGATTTGTCTTTTCTCTTGAACCTCGCCTGACACCATCCTTCCCACTCGCCTCCGAATTACTTGATCCATACCTTTTGGAGGCTTAGTCGGAACCGCATTTATCTCCTGAGGCTTATTTATCTTATTTGTTGCATTACTTACTCCGCTAAAAGCCTACTCAGATCATCTTAGCTCCTTTTGTATATCTGTACCAGAGATCATTGCATGACAGAGGAATCCCCACAGCGAGTGGGAAAAAAAATCAAAGCCATCTAGTATTTTTGGTTGGCCGCGCGCCGAGCTGCCCTTTTCGACCGTCTCGCGTCAACCGCTTGGCACGGTATTAGCGGCTCACCCACCTTGCCCTACTGACGACGGTGTAGCCGCGGTCGTCTCCTAGTTCTCTCCTCTTTATCAAGTCCCAGTCATCCTGTTGACCCGACTTGGTAATTCCCATACTGCTCTCTATCTGTCACCTTTGCACTCTTGAAGAAGAAGAAGAATGTGGAGGACGGAACCTATCAACATGGGTCAAGATCAAAACAATTCAACGCAAAATGAACGCAGTAACATCAGCAAGCCGCAAATTTTTGTACAACTCGCCTTTGGTGTATCATGGACTCAACGGCGCCCACCTCAGACCCACACAGTGACTTATATGTCACGTAACTTGAAGAATGCGAGGGATTCAGGAAACTTTCCTCGCCAAGTACCGCCCGCAAATACCAATTTCTTATCTGCCCCCGATTCGCGCCACCATCACGCAAGCCGGCAGCAGCAACAGCGACAGCAAAGTCGCCAACACCATGCTCAGCATTCACATACGTCGGCTCACACACGCGACTCTGGACGTTCCCGTGGCCAAAGTACCGACCAACCCAGCGAACAACTAAGGGCTCGGCCGAGGGTCGGGTCAAGAGCTGAGGGTCGAGGGATGTTGCATGAACGAGGGAGATCGGCTCCACCGCCATTTAATGACAGCCCATGGGATGTTCAGAATACATCTTCTTCTGCCCTACTCCAACACCGTTCACAGGCCAGTGGGGATTCATCAAATACATGGAAAGCATTGCCGGCACCACCTAGTCAATTCCGATTAGGCGAAGACGGATTACCATGGTCTGCGTGGGCATGGCCGGGAGATATTCAAGGTGATGACGAGGAGGATGATATTCACTACATGGACGAACCGACGACAGTTTCAGTATCCGCGGAGGGGCCTCGCAACGAAGACCCGGAAAGAGTTCGAGAGCTCGAGTCACTATCCACGGCTATGATGACGGTGGACAACGGGTTTGAAAATCAATGGTGGTATCAGGGTTCACGAGAGTCCGTAGAGCAGTGGTGGCCACAAGAGGAGGGCGAAGAGGGTGACGATGGACGACCATTGACAATGACCGAGGCCATGTTGTTATCAGGTTCCGAACCGCCTTTGGCCTTGGCGTCTAGTGAAGAGCCGTTGCCTAACTTCCATGGTATTGTGTCGCCCATGTCGCGCACGTCGAGCCCAGCCCAGAGTTTTAGCCGGCCTTTGCAGAGATCGTTAACAACAAGATCGGAAGAGTTATGGTTGGAAAGATGACACATGGGAGTACGCTAGAACCGCATCATACGGGGTACGACGCTACCCGAAGCAGGGTGCGTGAATTGGGCCGTGTTCGACTTCAAGCCAAAGGGAAAGAGAAACATCGCATATAGCGTTTTGGCACCAGTAGTGCTACGTGCGGAGGGCGACTGAGTTGAAGCATTTGCATAACATTGGGCGTTTAGGATAAGGGTTTGTTTTAGCGGTGTCGGTAGAGAACACTGCGGAGGATATTCCCACGGAAGGTAATGGGTCTCGGACGGCATAAGATCGCCATTCCCCATAGGTCGAATGAGACCAATATGTTTAAGTACCAATGTCAATCATGGTTCTTGTTAGACCATGACCATTTATATTTGATTGTTTGCTCTATGTTACACACCCTTCTCGTAGTTCTACTAAGTACGACAACGACTTATCTTAAAACCCCGTGGAGCTAGGAATTTTAGATTCTCTAATTCTCTAAGAACGGGTGTAATATTTTGCTCTTGTTCCATTGATCGTCATATAGTATAGTTATAATGTATCATATTACATTCCGCCGGTTATCTCCTTACAGGAGGGACTCTAATTACTCAAGCACAAGTAAGCGAGATGGCTTCACCATGATATAATGTATTGCCCACAGTAGCAAGAAGAGGTTTTAGTAGATGCCGTGGCATGCTCATTGGAGTTTCTAGACGAACTACATTTCCTCTATGTGGACGTGTGAATGTAAGCAGGCCATGTACCCTTGAATCATTGTATAGTCGTATCGGTACGTTTCCTCTCCTAAACCACTATCATGCTTTTCCTTAGCATTTAAGCCAATAGTAAACTAACCACAAACTCAAGATCCTAACAGTTATAGAGAAAGACATCATGATGGTAAGATGAGTTCCGTATGATCATCAAAAAGCCTTGGCCTCGCTGATGCTGCTAATAACAAGATGATGATCGCGTAAGCATGCGGGGGTTAACTTTCCAATGGCCTCGCCTCTGATATTCTCGTTGTGTCCACTTATGATTTCTTGCCCCTGAATGGACGGCAGTGCAACGCTGGACCCAGTTTTACCTGGAACGACCCCCACACGTCTGGGGCGTAGATGATCGCTATGTACGTACTGTAGCTAGAGAAATGATCTACTCTAAATCAACAACTCTTCTAAATTTAGTATTTCTACTTCCGCGGCAGTCATACGTGTATGTAAAGGCTAGAATATTAACTATTTGGGTGTGGCTGTCACCATCTGCGTAGCTACCCTAGGCAGCCTAGGTTGGCAAGTAGGTATGAAACGTGTATTGTCACTGCAACCTCGAGCTTACATCTGGTCATCGAATAAATGAAACAGATAGCTTTCCAAACATAAAATCAAGATCTACAATGTCACAGGTAAGCCATATATGGCGTCTCGCCCCGAAAAGGCGCCGACAACGCAGCCGATTCGATGATGGACACTAGCATCCCATGCGGAGCCTACAAGGGTGATCTCTCCAGGAGGACCAAACTCTTACAGGGCTCTCTAGCCGATCAATACCCCAGAAGACTTCGAGAACATCGACCCGAATCCGAGATTTATACCATCTATATTCGCCGAAATTAATATATCCATCATATTATAGTTCCCATTCATAACGTTTCATAATGTTACTATGCTTGATGAATTTCTCACCGGTGATGGGGAGCATGATCTGGACCATATGTTAGTATAGTAGTTTCGATCAAAACCAATGCTGTGCCGCACGAAAACATTCGGATACCCTGAAAATCCTACGGTAGAGCCCGGAAATGGACGAATAGTGTTACATCTTCAGGAGCTGGAGATTATTATACCTTAGACCCTCTTGCTATAAGTGCAGACCGAGGAACGACGAGATGATTCAAGCATAAAATGATCGAACTACCTCACTACAACAGCAAGGGGTAGCTTTAAATTGTCATGTCTTGTTACGGCGCAGCATTCATCATGCAGCAACGGCAGCAACAACAGCGGCAGTGACCTGCACGAATGATATCTTCAAGGCGCGGTCAAGTTAAGAGGGTCGAAGCAGAAGAGGCTATGTATTATCTTGTTAGCACATTTAACTTATTCTGCCCTAGGCGTCCTGTTACCGCATCTTGATCCTTGGACGCTATCTGAATGCAAGAATATCAACCTTTGAGTTACCAATCCTACGATAATCTACCATCGAATGCTACCTGGATCAGGTAAGCTTAAATGGTATGCGTAGAATCGAAGTCCCGTTCATCCATCATAAAATATCGCCCTGTTAGTATATCACACCAACCATCTATACGTCTGCCCTCTCGCCAATTAAAATTTCAAATCCGCCTATCGGCTCTTTTTATCTCATGTCTCGCCACAGCCCACAGCTCCGATACGTAGGTGCTAGTGCAGAATGCTCATATTCCCTTAACCATTTGGTGTCACGTCCCGTATTAGCGAGCTGACGCACGCAACGGATGAAGAGGCTGTGTGCATAATGCAGTCATTTCCCCGTCAGGCAAGGTAGAGCAACGATGGACTTGTTAGGACTGTCTCCTAGTGCAACAACCACGCCCGCTGGCTGTATTTTAGAGGGGAGAACAGGAACGGGATTCGATTGAGAACGAGAACCGGCCCTAGGCAGCCGCAACGAAGCTAGCAGCTGTACCAAAGATACGACGATAGCGATACTCCTCTGAGTTGACACAAGCGCCAATATTAACACGTTTTCATATCTCAAGTGGTTGGGTGTAGCTAACAAAATCGTTACTATATTAGCCAACTCACCTATAGGTGCCATCAATGCACACGTACCCCCTTTTCTCTTCTCAAAACCTGTACCTAGACATATATGGCTGCGGCGTCAACGTTTGGTACCCGCGATAATGCAAGAGTTGCGGTCTTATTCATCTACACTTGTGAATCGACCCAATGAGTATTGGGGTCCTGGTAAGTCTTGATACCAGAAATACACACCGAATTCGAATTCATTCGTTGCAACATAGAAACAGTTGCTAAAAAGCCGCCTAAACTACGCAGAGCTTACGACGGACACACATTCTAATTAGTTAGGTCCAAAAATGACCAAAGGCGAATTTTATTTGTTTTCTAGATAGGAAGGTAGCATTCATATTCGTGTACGTCGTCTCAACATAGCAAAGTGCGTGGCCAACCAAAACAACCCATCATACGACGAGGGCATCACAGAGTACAAGCTCCTAGTCGCCGCTCCACCAATGCAGCCTCGGATTCCCAGCCAGACCCAGCAACACTTAAATCATGCCGAATTTCCCAAAACGTACCAATGCATATCCCATCGGCGATGCGAGCTCTCGAGGCTGGTGCCTCGGCCAGCCATAGTCCCATTCCAGCCTATACCATTTACCCTTCCGTGTACCATCCGCAAACGAAGCAATCTTGCAAAGCTAGATAATTTTTGATAGCACGTAGCAATCCATCAGGGTAAGAAATAACAGAAAGAAACAACGAAAAAAGCAAAGAAACGCCTAACTACAAGGCACTCGACGCCACGTATATGCATCCAGTCTCCTCGGCAATGGCCCATTGAGGGGAGGTATCTCGTGTAGAAGTCTTCATATCCGTCTATCGAACACTCATATCAAGTTTTGCCGCTGCGGAAACAAAGTGAGAGAAAGAGAAAACAGAGTGAAGAAACGGGTTTTGGGTGGTATCTCTGCACAATCATAAATAGAATCGTATAAAAGGGTAAGAATCAGAATCGGATAGAACGGAAAGAAGACATCGCAGGAGGCTTTTTCTTTTACATGCTTACCTCCCGTTCTTCTTGGATGGCGGTCATTTCACTACCGATGACACCACTCCCAAGAAGAGGTTGGCTCGGGGGAGGCATTGTAAAGGCCCTGGAACCTGTTGGCGTTGTATTGACGCTGCTGGGCGTAGGAACCGCACTAGATCCAGAAGATCTATTCACCGTTGTGCTGGTATCCGTCTCGGAAGGCTGCTCAGTGATCTCGACCGTGGGAAGTTCTCGTTGCAATGGGGATGAGTGCACAGGCGAGTTGGATTTCTTACTTGCCGCGTCGCCGTTGCCCCCACGAGAAGAATTTCGTGGAGAGACCCTGCCCGTCTGTTATGTGTGGTTAGTTTAAGATACTATCCATTGGAAATGAGGAAAACTACCAACCTGCTTTGCCCACCTAAGGCCGCAGCTGTTACATAGGTCCCTCTGGCCACTCGGACCTCTTCGCCACTCGGGCGTGTTGCGAGTGTGGCAATTGGCACAATCCCGTACAAAATTTCCAACCCCCTTTCTACGCTTGCGCTTCTTCTTGTTAGACAAAAGCCCATGCAACTCTTCAGCCAGCACACGATTCACTTTCTCCATTTGCCGTAATTCATACTGCCAACTAGTACATCTTGTTGTCTTGAGTTCGTCGAAAATGTTGTCGTCGGAGGCCAGTGCCCTATCTTGATTACCAGGGGCCATGCTTCCGCCCGCAGCTGCGGATAGAACACCAGTACGCTGCTCATCGGGCATATGACCGCCTTGCAGCACGGCGAAACCAGTCATCGTCTTCGGATCGTTAGACGAATGAGCTGCGGAACCTTGCCTGCCTGATAAGGTAGACACGGCCGGTCCGGTTGCTCGTGAAGAGGCCTTGACTAGCTTGGTCTGAGCAAGTAAAAATGTCGGCTTCTGACCCTCTGAAGCATCGCCTGGATACATTATAGTATGGGCTTGGAGAACCTGGCCTCGGCGGTTTTGTACCTCGTGTTTGCAAGTCACTATGCGCCCTCTCCTTGCTTTTTCAATGGAACGCCCAAACTCGGCTCGAGATTCTTTACGCATTAGCTCCTGAATGCTGGTTCCCACTAGGCTTTCTGGTTGCAGATCCAATAAGGATCGGACATTAGCCGAGACGAATAAAAACATGCCGGAGGTGGAGAGTTTTGTCCATAATTCACTGTCGCCGATGCCACCATTCGATTCCAGCTCACGTCGACTGAGTGCAAAGACTGGACGTTTTCGGCCGACGAGAATTATGCATTTTCGACCCTTCCCTTGCTCAACAAATAGAGAACCATGGCTTTCAAACCAAGTATAGCCATTTTGTTTTCTTCGTATGCGGAACACTATGTTCACTGAGCTTCCATTGGTGGCATCTTTGAGTTCTCGGGTAACAGGGACGATATCCGAAGGGTGAGATATCGACGAGATGGAACTTCCCACCAGCTCAGTAGCATCGTATTCAAGTATCCGCTTGCAAGATGGCGACAGGTATAGGAACAACCCTTTCAAAGATAATACGTGAACAACATCATCAACATTCTCCAATATCATCTTATCCCATGATTGTCGATGCCAATCGGACACAGATCCTTTCGGATTGAATTGTTGCAGCAGGGTAGACACGTCGTCCACTCCAAGTGTTTGCCCATTCTCTGGTTCCCATTGACTTGATGCCGGCGGGGTCCAAATGTACTGACCGATATCACTGTGTTTATAATTTACCTTCATAGTACCGGGGCCCTGGTGTGAGGCGATGGCGTCAGGACATTCAACAAGGTCGATCTGGAACCCAATGATGTATCTGATTTCGGAAGTATCCCACGGGATAGGTATCATGGTTAGTAGATTCAAGAATGGCTTTCCCCCCTTTCGGTAGTTGATCAAGCTTTGCTGGACTTCCTTGCCCTCTGCAATCTTTTGCTTGAGGTTGTAGACCGCTCCATTGTCAACGAACTCACGTTTCGTACCCGCTTCGACCTTACCATCTGGCGCTTGGAGGAAACGACAATTCTGACCAACGATCTCGTGTTGATTGTAACCAGTCAGATTCTGAAAATTGTCCGAAACGTATATGATAGGGCAATCATTCATCGTGACATCACAGACAACAAAGGCACAGGACATATCCACGGCGCCAAGGTTTACTTGCGGGCTCTTCCGCGTAGCCACGAGCCAAAGAGCCCTTAGCATATCAAAGCCACTTTTAGAATAAATGGTTTTCTCCTTAGTGGGCTGAGAGTTCATCCCGGGATTGGCCGAGGTAACTGGTTGAGAGGGAGCAGCACTCTCTGGGGTTGTTTCCGTCGTAGTTGCCATGGGGGATTCATACGAAGGCGTAGATGATACAAGGGTCTGGGGCGGCACCTGCGCAGAGGACTGCGGCGAGATACTAGGTTGAAACCCATTCATAGTAGTATCAATACCAAGGCTTGCCTGTTGGTGGTTGTGCTGGGTAGGTGGGGAGAATTGTGGAGAAGTACTCATGATGCTATCGTCTCCAGTATCAACGGGCATGCCGGTCGCAGAGTTGGCGGCCACAGCACCCAAGGCGTCGCCCTCGCTAGATATGTCCATGTTGAATTCAGTCGACAATCCTTCCATGGAATTTGAGGGGAATGTGTTAGGCATTGTGGTGGCTGACGTAAACATATTCATAGAAGGATCAGCGCCTATTTGACCCATGTTCATGTTAGAGAAGGCAATCATGTTGCCCACCATATCTGGCGAGAGCGTTGAGAAATCATCGGCGAGCATGGTTGGAGAAGAGAAACTGGCTGAGGTCCCTGGTAGGGTTATATTGGTATTGAGATTGGGAAAGCCGGTGTTCATAGCGTCAGCAGATGAGTTGGACATAACTCCAAAGGGATAATCCCTGAAAGAATTATCGCCGTTACCAAACTCCATCATCGACATCCTACGATCAGGCTCTGTTTGTGACATTTGGCCTGGAAATTGCTGAGGCAGGCTTCGCCGTCTATGCAACTCCTGAGAGTTGCTACGAATGATATCGTCGAGCGAGTCGGCACCTACTAAGGGGGGTTCCGGGTTTGCGCCCGTGACGGAACAGTACTGGGGCTGCTGGCTTTGTTGGTTCATCGCGGTAGCCTGGCGCCTTTGGCTACGTTGCTGTGCATGGCGGCGCTGCAGCTCCTCTTGAGAGAGCTGATTGCCGAAGAAGTTGTCCATCTCAACCACATCTATTATACGAAAAACCGGCGTGCTTCGGGTCGCGAGGTCTTTGCACTTTAGTCGTCTTAACAGTCGCACTGCCTAGATGTAGCAACGAGCTTCGAATCGGACGGAGAATGGTAAGTCACGAGGGAAGAGTCGAGTGATATAGTCAGTGATAAATAGCTATCATAAGCGAAGACGTTGGTAGGTAATAAGAGTGGCAACACTCGAGGTTGTACTAGGGTTCGACTCGAATAATGTGTGATACATAGATGGTAAATAGCTCGAAGGAGATGTTGGCTAAGACAACCAGGGAAGATAACGCTGGGACTCGTGCGCTGTAGACGGCTTCCAAGGAAAAACCGGACCTCATTCGGACAAGAAGCCCAAGGTAAAACCCATGGGGTCTATGAATGACGAGAGGTTAGATAGACGACTTTTAGTTCAACGGGCGACTGCATTTGGACCTGATGTCGGCCCTCGAAATGGTGTGGTGCAAGAATAGATACTAGTGATGACCGACAACGAGCGAACATCCGAGCGGACAGGCGTGCAAGGTGGTGGTGATTTCGCCTTTCCGTCTCAATAACGGAAATGGGTGGTCACCCCGCGCGAAGTTCAATTTCGAATAAAGGTTCGGCTGGCTACGGCGGCGATAAGGGCGATCGTTACGATGATGGTGATGGTGATGGTGAGGCCAACAAGTGATCTAGGTCACCCTGCTTTGTCCAAGTCTCGTCTCGAAGGTGATGGGGAGAGTTGAGGGTTGAGAGTAAATTTGACCGACCGGGGTAAAAGTTGAAGTAGGAGAGAGGTATGCGGTTGTATTCCGTACTAGACTACTAAACTACGATCAAATCAATTGATCGAGCTAGCGCGGGTCTTCCCTCTGTCTTGGGTCTCATGGCCCCCCGTATTGGACGGTAGATTTAGCTGGTAGTGGTTACCTGCATCTAGATAATAGCGGGGATACCGTTGCATGATACCCACATCTATCCATAGATCCCTTCCTAACAGGCGGATCAAGGTCAGGTGGAGTGAAACGGAATGTTACCCGGCTGCACAGATATTTACGGTAGGGTGTTCCGTTTACACAAAGTAATTTGCGGGGCTGCTGCTGGGTCTTGTTCCCCCTGGCCAGTTGATACGCAGATGCCCCGCCCCTCCTTCTGGAAAATGGCATTTGTAGGAAAATTCCATTCAGAAATGACAAGGGCAGTCAGCAGGTGGCCAATTTTTTTTTCCTTTCCTTTCGGCAACCTTTTTTATTAGTCGTCCAACATATGTGATTCATCCCTTCGAACTCTTTGTCGCATTTTAACTTGACGTTTAGGCGAGTTGTATTTGATTTTGATATATGTTATGAAGTACAGATTAATCTTGGTATTACAGTAATGATATGTACAGCATCTACATTAAGTCATATCGGGCGATAATCTAGAAGATATGGAAGTCCCTACCTAACTTCAAGTTTTTTAACTAATCAGAAATTAGTGGCCAAGTACTAGGATAAAGTTGCTACCAACTAGGTACCTAAGTAAGACATAATAAAATCAACAAGATCAGATTACCCATAATTTTGAATCAAGATCTACTACAATAAATAAACCCTCGGACATACGCGCTCTACTTGCCATCCCCTCCCAAAGGCAAAAGTGCTATATACATATGTCGTAAGTGATAGCCCAAATAGGTATGGTATAGAAAAGTATGGGGACAAATCCAGTCCGGAACGCTGGAAATCTATGGAGAAATGAGGCTGACCCCACTGCGTAGGCATTGGGTTGGATTGACTCTTCTAAAACTACGTTACCGCATTCGCATAGGTTCAAATGTTATCAATATCTTTTGTCGTCATCAACCATCAACCATCAAAATCAGCAACGCAAATAATCCTAATCCCCATTCAATATTATTTAAAAATTTCTATTCCTTCTGTACTCATCAGTTTCCTATTTCATTGGACTTTTTTTTTTTCCTTAAGCAGAATGGGAGTTCTCGGAGATTCTTCCACAGACATTAACCAACGCCACCGCATATATTCATCTACTCTATAATCTCGTAAGTCCTTTTTTTCAACTACAACTTATCGGGTTCTCCAAAATACACATCGCTACCAGTTAATCCAATATTTATCTCGCTAAAAACCTCACGTCTGCCTGCCAAATGTCGGATGCGATGAATGTTGAACGATGGGATTTTCTGCTAGTTTCGCTGCGCGTCCCGCATGCACACATCGTTATCACACAACTAACCGTCTTTCCACTTCAAATATCCTTTTTTTTTTATATCTGGAATCTCAAGCTAACACCTAGCAAGTCTAATTCGACAATACATACGCCTTCAAGTTTACTGTTTTACTTTCATTTTCTTATTGTACCACTTTCCAAGCATGTTGCTTCAGAGTACACATAGCAGAGATGTCAGAGTCATGCCGTCAACTCCGAAAGCGAAGCAATTTACAACGAGGCCAAACCCTAGTTGCTCTCGAGGCGCGGGGTTTTCATCTCCTTTTGGACTTGGAGATGGTCTATGTGACATATTCAGCCCACGCAGCTCATCTTCGACTCCCGCTAGTCTCCCTTCTTTAGTATCTGAACGGACTCTAGATACCTCCGTAACAACATCACCCATTCTAAGCGCCGAGCATCGAGATGCTACCCGTCACGGTAGCGCTCACGAGCACATTAGGAGACGCCGCTTTGACGACAGTGAGCAAGAAGAAGTTGCTACGATCAAACGACAACCTCTAACACACACGACGTCCTCTTTAGGGACTGGTGCCAGCCTACGAACCGGCAGCCGTTGTAAGTACCTCCTACTTGTACCTTAGCGAGCGGCATCCGCATCGCGTCTAACACGTACCTCGTTAGTGCCGACCACCGCCGATTCCTCGGCGAATCCCGTGACGCCTAGCGATATTCTCATATTAGTACGCGGTGGAAAGTTGTCATTATCAACTGCAATTGATATAAGTGAGAAATATCAGTACTGGGACTTGCTAGCAGCCCTTAAAGCCAGCGACAAAACCCAAGATCCAGAGTTTGTTCAGGCTAATATCAACCAACCACGACGTCACGAGATCCCCAAACCCAACGCCCAATCTACCGGGCGTACTGCAGAGTGCTCACCTACCGACGCCATTCGCGAACGTTTCTTGCAAAAAATCACATATCATGCTAATATGGACCTAGTCTTTCATTCGGGAATTGAGACTAACCTCCACATCTTTATCGATATGTCCAACATTTTCATCGGCTTCTGTGATTCCTATAGGATCTCGAAGGGCATCCCACAAAGTCAACGCATAACTTTCCCTCACTTCTCATTCAAGGCGTTGTCGACTATTATGGTGCGTGGAAGATATGTACTAAGGAAAGTTCTTGCGGGATCTACTGGCGGTGGTATTTCGAAAGACCCACGAGCACAATGGCCCTACTACTTTCTGGAGGCGGAAAGTTTGGGCTACGATATGAACATATTTACCCGAGTCCCAAAGCGGAGGCGCTCCCGGAACAAAATAAAGCGCCGTGAGAGAACACCGCCGGATGGCCACTCAGATGACTCTATCAACCTTAGTATGGAGGGGAGCCATGGATCTTGCGCATCCGGCCTACGTAATAGCGAGCAGGGAGTAGATGAGAATATTCACCTGAATATGATGACGAGCATGTATGACTACATGGAGACGCCTGGGACAATTGTGCTAGCCACGGGTGACGCAGCCGAAGCCGAATTCTCGGATGGCTTCCTCGAGTACGTGATCCGGGCGCTCAACAAAGGATGGAAGGTTGAACTAATCGCCTGGAAATGTTCCCTCTCCTCATCATGGACGAATGCTAGCTTCCTTCACCACTACGGCCATCAGTTCAGAGTCATTCTTTTGGACGATTTCCTTGGGGAAATACAAAATGGGGATGATATTTTCCAGGGTTAGCTCTGTTCTAAGAATCATTTTCACCAAATCAGCAAACCGTCGCGCTACAACTCTCTCATTTCCCGGATCTTGCGCGTTTGATCTGCCTATTTCGACTATCACGATCAGCATACTTATTTTCACTGCATCTCCCAATTTGAAGTTTTTCGTACTTTTCGATTTATGGAGTCCCGTGGGCTTTGCCTTAGAAGATGTACTAGAATTATCTCGACATACAATACACGAGCCTGCCAATTCTCAAGTTGATTGCGTTTCAACAGATATATGGATACTTCATGGTTAGGATGATATTACGACCGGATTAAATGACGACCAGGTAACGATTGCATCAAGGCGGGTGGTCCGGGATACATATTGGTCACGGAAAGATAGGATGGTCTTTACAGGATTGACTGGCGTTATGGCCACTATGTAATATACATATCTTTTGTTGGTGAATTTCGGAAATGGGCGGAGGGCGAGTTGGGATGATTTCACGGAAATGAGATACCCCTTGATGTACACTGCGGGAAGTCGTACACTATAGACGCATAGGTGCTTAGGAGCTAAGCTGCTGATAGATTCTTGAAATGACCATACTTCTACCTCATACACATGCAAAAGTTTTGGCCCGTGAATACCGGTTAATAAGTCTATCTCTACCTACCTAAGTAGGTATTGATAATCCAGCTTGGAGGCCTCCATCCCATACTGCAGTAGGGTTTGTTAGACGACAAGATTGTTGATACCTGAATAATTAATAATCTATATGGATGGCTTTTCCGTTTCTATTTCATATGCATGTAGGAAATAAACACTGCAAGTACATAATAAATTCAATATTATAGCAAACATTCATCATGAAATGGTACTCACTGATGAATGATGAAAAAAAGAAAGGGGGAGGGGAGCACCCATGAAGATAGTGGGGTGACAAGACTAGAGGTACATATGTACCTACCTAACAGGGTAAAATTAGAACGGTTCGCATTTAGGGATTTGCTAGTGCTTCAAGTATATTAGCGCATTCGCTACAGTATATAAGCATCTAGTGTACCTTCCCACCTTATAATGTCTGTATTCTACATGAGATTGATTACCTAAGTAGATCGGCGAAGGGAAAGAAATAATCCTTGTAAAGTACCAAAGTAGGCATGCTGGTTGGATGATTCTTCTCTTCCGACTTTACATGTTAAGTTAGATACATAATAAAACCCCTTCGCCTTTGGTCCAGTAGTAGTAGTTCGGAGGGCGCTCATCGCGAAGAGAAAAAAAAAAAAAATAATAATCATAATACAAAATCATGATTTCCTGATTATTACTATTATTATTTTTTTGGTTGCTTCCTCACTTCCTAAATGTATTTTCCCTTTTATGTGTCATGATACCCTTATCCTCATTTTTGTTAATTACTCCTTAAAAATTATCGCTACTTATATACCTAGGTAGGTAACCCGTCTGACGGCGCATTCGTTACGTTTAATATACTTGGCTTTTTTCAAAAATGGCAGCCCTCCACCAACCGCCAAGACACATTGTAATTGGCATCGCTGCCTTTTTCCTCGTCCTCTGCTTCGTCCTCTTCACCCCACGATCTACGCACATCGATCTCCACTCTACCGGTCGCAGCGCTTCCCAATCTCCTCTAGTTAAGACTTCCCTGAGGAAGGCCGATCGATTCTATGGCAAAGACTATAAAGGCCACGCATCCCCCGCTGACATCAATCGTGTCGGCAACGAGACCCTAGGTTTCGAGAAAGTATTCGTCGTCGGCCTCCCAGAGCGAAGCGACAAGCGCGATGCCATCGCACTTACAAGTGCCTTGACGGGATTCAATGTAGAATGGATTGATGGCGTTAGAGGGGAAGCAGTACCAGACAAGGCTGTACCTTTTGGCGCTGACAGAAAAAAGCTATGGGAAACAAACCTGGGAAGCTGGAGAGGACATATGAATGCAGTTCGCAGGTATGTGGAATAAGGGTCTCACAATCCCTACGTTTTCTTAAACCTATTAAACTACGAAGGCGAACCTTGGGCACGCGCAAGCGTCTTGACTAACTAGTTACGTATAGGATCATCGAAGAAGATCTTGGCTCGGCTCTCATCATGGAAGATGACATGGATTGGGATGTACGATTGAAACCTCAATTAGAAAGAGTTGCGCAAGGTGCCCGAGCTCTCCTTTCCTCGGCCTCGAAGCCCGACTCACCGTACGGCAACGACTGGGACCTCATGTGGCTTGGGCACTGCGGCGAAGTGTTTCCTGAGACACTTGATGAAAACAAAGAAAAGCCTACTAACGATCCCGGCATCCGATACATGTCTCGCAAGTTCGTTATTGAAAAAGATGCCACAGTACCCCCCAAAAATAGAGTCACCGGACTTGTCGATTTCAAAAATAGCCCCGAATTTACACGCTGGGTCCATATCACTGGCGCTCCTATCTGTACCTTTGCATATGCTCTTTCTCAGAGAGGGGCTCGTAAAGTCCTATTCGACCTGTCAGTAGATCACCTTACAGGCCCTTTCGACAATGCTCTTGCTGGGCTCTGCAGACGAGCTGTCTCAACATGGGGTGTGGAAGATCTTTCCGTAGCCGGTGACCGTGGACTCGATGCCAAATGTATTAGCGTAACACCCCCAATCTTCTTCCACCACAAAGCCAAAGGTCTTGTTAATGGAGATAGCGATATCCAAACTGTTTCCGACGGGCAAGTTCGCGAGAAAGGCAGCACGGAGAATATTGTGTGGAGCGCAAGGAATAACATTAAGAACATGATTACGGGAAGTAGAATGGAGAGTCAGTTTAAATAAGGGGACCACTTAAACTGAATGAGTGGACCAATGCAAGACACGAATCCCAACACTAACGGAACAGACGAATCATGACATTACATTCTACTAGACGGGGGATTATACGCGTTCTAGAAAGCTAAGAGCGCGATGCCCGAAGTTGATCAGATTCGGTGCTCGAGGAAGGAGTGGGCGCGAAGTCGAGTGAGAATCGGATTCGCGGATGATGTCAAGTACACCACCAAATTTACCATGCTCGACTATCTTGCTACTGTTTTATATGCAACGTGGCCACAAGAGGTGAGGGCATCCCGGTCCGCAAGATGAGGAGGACTATCTGCTGGAGCGACGACAAACCAAACGACTAGCCAGGTACTTTTGTCCAAAAGCCGTGAGATTGATCACTTTTCCTACCAATATACAAGCACCTACATGTTTATAATTCATCCAGGGAGAGTAAAGGTATTATACGTCTTAATTTTTTTTTTCTTTTTGGTATATAATGTTCGTTGGGCCTATACAACTACATATGATCTGGATTCGAAAGTTAGGGACTGTTTCTTGGGTCTATATTTAGCAAATTTATTGTGTATAGATGCACACATTTGACAAGCCCTCATACAGTCTTAACGCTCGATATCTTACCTAGTTAGTATTGGCGGAGGAGTCGCCTAAAAAAGAAACATGAGAAAAACTAATAGCTTTTGTTCGTGGCCTTTTATCTACCCCGAGCTATCTAACACCCAGGTACCTTTTCCCTTAAGAACTATCCGTATAAAGCAGGCAAAACCCCGACCACAGAACCCTTTTAGATTAAGGAGCACCACCGCGACCTCCTGTCCCTCCTATGGCTTGCGCTTGGACTATATCCGCTCTGATACCAGGCAACTGTCTTCCCTTCTCTGTCGGCTGGCCAATAAACTTGATCTCAGCCAGATACCTCAAATACCTCCCAACATCCCCTCTATTAATCCCGTAACCGGAACTCTCGTCTATTCCTGTCCATCTCTCCGCGTCGGCTTTCAAAACCGAGACCGCATTGCGGTCATCCAACTCGGGAGCGCGGGTGGTCGCCGGAAGATCATTCATACAGAAATGCGCCAATGGCATAAGTGCATGCTGTTCTTGATCCTTCTCAAGCGCACCAGCAGACACGAACTTCTCCAATTCCTGTTTCCAGGAGTCGTAACTGACTTCTGGCGTCTTATAGCCATAGTATTCTAGTATCGAAAGGTACTCATTCATCCGAAGACGTGGATGGGCGGTTACGTGAATTACGTGAACACCCCCTTCGAGTGGGTTCAAAGCGGCGGCAACAACCACTCGAGCAACGTGGTTTACGGGGACGGCGTTGACGGTATTGATGATACGAGGACGTGCTACCAGCTGTATGCACCCCTTTAACATCCGGATCAGAAAGTCGTCAACGTTGCAGACACCAGTCTGAGAGTCACCAAGTACATATCCAGGCCGGACAACGGAACCCTGAAGGCCTCGTCTTCCAGCCTCTCGTACAAGTTGTTCTGATGCCCACTTGGTCTGTCCATATCCTGTGCCCAGTCCAATGCGGCTTCCGTTCATATCATCACTCTCCATTACTGCACCCTGTCCGGTTCTGGTCTGCTCTTCCGACAATCTTATGTAGTAATCGGTATCGAGGACGCTAGTCGAGCTTACGAAACAAAAGGTCTTAGCCTTACCCTCATTGCAGAGTTTCATCGCATCGATAGTAGACAGCACGTTAGAAGCCATCATATCCTGGTACTTTCGAATCCAATGAACCGTGGCTCCATTGTGTATCACCACATCGACTCCCTGTGCTAATTCCTGCCAGGTTAGATCGTCGAGACCAAGCCGGGGTTTCGATAAGTCGCCGACTACCGCGCTCAATCTCCCCACCCAGTTTTCGCTCCACAGGCCGTAGCCTTGGAGAGAACGACGAAGTCGCTGAAGTGCCGCTGCTGAATCCTTAACCCCCCGTACATGTGCAACTAACTTGACATCGCGGGATGTTCGGTCAAGGATATCCTTGACGAGGTATGATCCTAGAAAACCAGTTGCTCCCGTGAGGAAAATTGTCAGATGCGTAGATTTTTCGATATCCTCGAGGTTGGCAGACTGATATGTTCCGGCAAGTTGATTCGTCAAATCGTCAAATGACTGTGCATATACTGGATCGCCTTTTTGAGCATCGTCAAGTTTTGTTTCGACCCCACTAGCATTGTTGATTCTCTTCTCGACGTGAGAACTGAAGCCAGCTAGGTCCGGATGCTCGTAGAAAGTATTGATAGAGACGTCCGTACCCAGAGCCTTTCGAATCTCCAGAAGGAATTGCTGGGCCAAAAGACTATGTCCACCTAGGTCAAAGAAGTTATTCTCTCGTCTAACCGTCTTCGGGTTCAAACCTCGAATGAGGTCCGCCCATCTCCGAGCCACCATTTGCTCTGTCATCGTCATCGATTGCCATGATTTTAGATCTTCCTCCGAGGCATCCTCGACGCGCTCGGCGACGTCTGGGAACGGAAGGTTGGGCTTGTCAACCTTGCCATTGGGGTTTAAGGGGAGCTTTTCGAGAACGATATAAATGCTCGGCACAGAATAAGCCGGTAGTCGAGACTTCAAATGATCTCGTACCTCGGTTTGCATGCTCCGGTACTTCCTCAAAAAGACACGTGTAGGTCCCATCTCAACACCATCATCCTCCACCTCCTCTAATTCTCGGGTCGAAAGCCAACGACGCCATTCAGCTGCTTCGGGAACAAGATAGCTTACCAATATCGGCTCCTCGTTACGGTCCCTTCGCACAAGAGTCTTGCAATCCCGGATCAACGGGTTCTGGCTGAGATTACTGTCGATATCGTTGAGCTCGATGCGGAAGCCACGAATTTTGACTTGATCATCAGCACGGCCAGTACATTCGACGTCTCCGGATTCAAGGTAACGCCCTAGATCACCCGTACGATAGAGACGATCCCTTGGTCCCTTGTAATATCGCTGCCAAGACTCATCCTTGCTCGTCTTCTTATCTATCTCGACCCATTTCTCATTTTCAACAAACCAGTTCATCAAAAACTTCTGCTCGTTCAAAGCAGCGTCTCCTAGGTAACCCCTGCAAACAATAAAATCAGCAAATAATAAATAATGAGATAATATCCGACTCACTCAGCAAGGCCGGCGGCCCTAACAAAGATCTCTCCGACTTCTCCAACCTGGCAGAGCCGGGTTCGGTTTTCTCTGTCGACAACTAGGAGTTGAACATTCTGCATTCCTTGGCCAGCTGGAACAGTGTCCTTTAGTTTCCCTAGAAAGTCGGGGTCTCTAGCTCGGCTTGGAACTTCGAAGTAGCTTACGGACCTCTGAGTCTCCGTAGTACCGTACATGTTAATGATGTTAGCATTAACAGCAAGTTTTCTGAGGGATCGACATTGTCTTGTTGTTAGGACGTCACCGACGAAGAAAACGTGTTCAAGACTAGGAAATTCGGCAGTGGCACCACCCACCAAAATTTGACCCATGGCTGGCGTGAGATGTGTAACGGTGGGCTTCATTTCACGCATCCATTCGGCAAGTTTCTCGTGCTGGATATCTTCCTTGGCTGGGACCAGAAGTTGGGCACCGAGGAAGAGTGGTGTGAAGATATCCCTCTGTACCGGATCGTGGGCGAGGCCGGAGAGTAGGGTGAATTTGCTCTCAGATGATAGGTGGAAACGCTCAGCCATCCAAGGGAAATATTTGGTTAAGCTAAAATGGCGACCGAGTACTCCTTTTGGCCGTCCTTCACTGCCTGAGGTAAAGGACAGGGTCGGGTTTGAATCGGGCCCAACTACCACATCGGGGGGTGATGATGCACGACTTCTGATGTCATAGAAGATGTCTTGGCCTTCGACGTGTCCTCCAAACAGGGTGCCATCGTCGAGAACACGCAAGTCGGGGACTTGGGCCTTCAGGTGAAGCTCTTGGTCAATATAGTCTTGCACTAAGCCAGCCAGAGGGCCGTTTTCATCTGTGGCACGACCAATTTTAACTAGAGCACGCGGCTGAGATACCTCAAGGTAAATCTTCTGCCTAGCCGGGGGGTATGCCGGGTCCAAGACGGTCATGGTGGCACCAGATGCCTTGATGTAAAGAGGTATATGTTAGCTAGGAAATCCCACCAATGGGGTCGGATAGTTTAGTTTATGACATACCAAAGTACCCATTAAAGCAACGACTAGATCCACGGATCGATGGGCCCAGATCATGACTACGTCTCCGTTGGTGATGCCAGCATTGTGAAGGTACCAGGCAAGAGTGTTGGCTGCTTCATAGATTTGGCGATATGTAAAGCGTCTCTCGGGTGTAGTTGAGGATCTTGTCTCGAGAACGCATGTTCTATCAGGGTGATTCTCAGCCGAAGCCTGGAAGCGTTCGTGGATGGAACCGACGTAACCAGACCAGTCAAGGTCGGTAGTCGGGTCGGGTAAGGAGCCCATTGGGTTGGAATTAATACGCGGAATTTCACATATATGGATATGATTCCACCGTCGTCTCTAGTTGTCTTTTTGCTGGTATGATCTTCAATAGCGTGGGAAAAGAGGCAGCTTAACTCATATATAAGTGAAATAAATGAACGCGGGATGAGTCGTAAAAAAATTAATCGGTGGGGTTAATTGAAAGTAGGTACCAGTCATCAGGCTCTACCTACGCCTACCTAAAATTATTGTACCTCTTCCGAGAGCGGAGTACCCAATACCGCATTGCTTAAATAGTTGTATTAACCTCCAATTTAGGTACAATTCTTCGGCTTAGGTACTTTCTATATGATTAAATATTTTTCTAGAGGAAGGGAACAACCCACCCTACATATTGTTATTTAATATGTTATGTAGCTTTGCGCATAAAGGATTGATATCGATATCGATATCGATAAGCAAAAGATTCTCTGACGTCATATTTCATAATAGGTAGAAAATGCTTACTTGGGTAAATACCCCCTTGCCCCCTCTCCATTGCTTTTATTATTCCAACATCTTGCTCTAAATGGAATTGTAACCCATTTCTGAATTCGCGGTTCAGAGCTGAAAATTGGTGAGAGTAGTTTGATAATAATTTTGTTGTCGCTATTGAGAACTGCTGATTCGACCCCGATTATCGCCTAGCATAGGATTTCGGGGCGTGCGGACTTCCTCTTAGAGGAAGAGGATGCGATGGTCTCACAACGGCCAGTCCTAGTGTCTTAGTGTCTTAGTGGCTTTCTCACACATCATTTTGTACTGGCATATGATGCATCCATGTCTCGCTGAGATTTTCATAACCAAGATATCTGTCTCTGTCAGTTCCCGCGCCTTGATCAGCCAGCAGCAAGCTGAGAATTCATTAGTATGCCCGCGTTTCTGAGTATCGATAACTACTCAATTTCGTCGCCGCATACGAATACATGAGCAACTAGGAGCTTGACAACTTAGGCCATTCATCCAAGTCCCCTCCTACATGCCAACACTAAACGCTACAGACCGTCATGTCTTCGGAAATAGTGACAAAATATTTCGTATGAGTAATTATATATAAAATAAACTTAGGTATTATGTATGAATACAGGGGCCTGCCTCATTGGGAAGGTGTAATTAAAAGAGGCACATGTGCCCCCGGGAAGGCAACGCACGAGCTAAGTGCGTAGTCCCCTATTGGCTCGTACGGCGCAGCAGGTTTACTTATTTTACTTGTGAAAAAGCCATTGACGGATTTTAAAAAGCCGTTCGAGGTCGGAATTACTGTTTAACAAGGTCCTATCGATCTCTTCATCGGAAATAAAGATCTTATTTTCAAGATGGGGCTTACTTCATTGGCGGTTGCCGTCGCTGGATTCATGGTTAGATCATCAAAAGCTTCGTTTGGAATCCCCGCTAATGACAACATAGTATATCTCATTTGGCCACTGTAAAGCGTCAAGCTCGCAGACTACGGATGACATATCGAGTTGTGGAAGCGTGTGGATGCCCAGGGAAGATGTCACAATCGCTCAGGGATCCGATTCGCGCAGAGGATTTAGCACTGCAGTGGAAACATTCTGCAATGCAGCAAATGGCCAGATTGTGAAGCCCAGCGGATATCTTTCATTGGCAACAGAAGTATTCTTAAATGGCGGCAAGGATCCCGCAACCTATGGCATCTTAGGATTCGTATATTGTAAGTCTACTCTCCTCGGAAGCTTGCTTTTCTAACGCCCATTTCAGTTGAGGTTCACAATAAAGAGACGACGGACCATACTATTTCAGGTCAGTACAGTATCCTTACCAGGCAGCTATCAGCTGAGACTAGTCACTGACACCTGTCCAGCTGAGGACTGCGCAAAGTACCTCCTTGCACTGAGTGTGGATGGCGGCCAGTGTTCTGGACAGACTAATCACGACACTAAAGGAGGCACTTGGCAAGTAGGTACCAATGGCATATCATATCATGCTCTTGGGAATGAAGTGCCACCGAAACAAGATGCGATTAACAAACTGTTCTCCGGTACCGCTTTGGAGGCTCAGAGTGTGAATAAAGGTTCTGGCGCACCTCTAAACCCTTGGCCTTTGGATTCTTTAAACAGCGTCAAACCTACAGCTTGCCACAGCCATAACGACTACACTCGCAATATTCCGATATATTCCGCGATGAGTGCGGGCTGTATTGGTATAGAAGCCGATGTTTTCTACTCGAATGGGGATGTCATCATCGGACACACCATTCCCACACCGGGAAGGACATTGACAATTCAGTACATCGAGCCGTTACGAGCGGTTCTTGATCACAACAACGGGGGTTCACCCGGTACTACTGGCCTATACAAGGCTAAGCCCCAGCAGAGCATCACGTTGCTTGTCGATTTCAAGACTTCTGATACCGAAACACTGGATGCCGTCGTGAAGGCGCTCCAGCCATTGCGAGATGGCGGTTATCTCAGCCACCTTGAGGAGGGCAAGTTTGTCGAGAAGCAAATCACGGTGGTAGCAAGCGGAAGCGCACCATTTGATCGAATTGATTCAGGCGATGGTGTTCCAAACCGAGATGTATTCTATGATGCCAAAGTGGACCAGTGGGATGCCAAATACACCAGTTCGAACTCCTATTACGCCTCAGCAGATTTCGAATCGGCGATAGGTAGCCCGGGGAGCGCAGACGATTTCAATGAGGACGAGAAAAGTAAAGTGCAATCTCAGGTGGAAAATGCGCATTCCGCCGGCCTTAAAGTCCGATATTGTAAGTACAAGGAACCTGACATCCTTCGGCCAAATAGAAGACATATGGAGAGAGAAACTAACATATGACATTACCTAGACAATTTGCCAGGGGATTATATGTGGGAGCCGTTAGCCAGCCTCGGGGTTGATAGGTTAAACGCGGATGACATGTATGACACAGCTAAACTTATTCGAATAAACTAAGATTTAATATGTTTATAAAAATGAAAGAAATCATAATATCTGAGATTTTTTAAATTATTATATTATTTTTTATATATGTTATAATAATAATATTAAATATATAATTTTAAATTAAATATTAATGATTTTTATAATAATATTATTATATAATTAAAATTAATTTTATTAAAATTTATATATGTAACGAACTTATGCCTTAAAAAGGTATAATCATTATTAAATTAATTAATTTAAAATGTTTTAATTTAAAAGTAATAAGATAATATAATTCTAAAAAAAAAAATATAATTTAAAATTAATAATCTAAGAATTAATTAGGTATATAATTAATTTTATGAAGATAAATTAAAAGAAAATTCAGTCTCTAAATATTAAAAAAAGGTTGATTTAAATAAATCAAAATAATAATTATAAAAGAATATTTTATATTTTTATATCTTATAATATAATAAATTAATTAAAAAAAATTAAATAATTAAAAATAAGTTAAAATTAAAAAATAATATATAAAAATATTTCTTAAATTATTTTAGGATAATCTAAATATTAAAATATAATTAATATAATTATAAAATTATATTAAAAAAAAGAAAGTATTTAAGATTACATTAAGTCTACTAATTAAATTAAGATAAATCAAAAATCCTATATATTATATTCTAAAATAAAAAAATAAGAGGATTTATATAAAAATTAAAATTATTAATAAGATATCTAATTTTCTTAATATTTAAGAAAAATAAAGATAGGATACCTAAACTAAAAAAAAAAGAAATGATATAAAAAAATATTTATAATTATTAATAATTAAATAAAATTATAATTAAAAATAAATATCTTTCATTATATATTAAAAATCTAAAAAAAAAAATAAATAATAATAAATAATTTATATTATTAGATTTAAAATTTATTTTTAATTTTATATAAATTATTAAAAAATAAATAAATAAAAAATAATTATTAAAATATTTAAAACCTTAAAAAAAACCAAGTTTTTTATGGACCTAAATAAGAATAGTTTTTTTATCTAAAAATTTAATTATTTTAAATATATAATTTCTTTAAAAAAATTAAAATATAAAAATTTAAAATATTTATAATTAAAAAATAATTAATTTTAAAAATTATTATAGAAATATAAGTTTTTTATGATTTTTATAATCATAATAAAGTTTTAATTAAGGATTTTAAAAAAATTATAGAATTAATAATAATTATAATATATATTAAAAATTTAAAAGATTTTAAATAAATATAAGAAATAAAAAAAAAATTATTAAAAATGAAGAAAATTATAATAAAGGGTTTAATAATAAAATTATTTAATTTAAATAAAAAAATAATTATATATTAATGTTTCAAATAAAATAATAAGAATAATATTAGAATAATTAAAGGATGATGGAAAATAATATTTGATTATTTATTTTTTTACTATTTTTAAGGGATTAAAATTAAGATATAAAATATATGATTAAGAATTTATAATTATTTATTAAATATTAAGAAAATGAAAATTATAAATATTAGGAATTATTAAATCTTTAGAAATATATTTAAATTATTATAATCTTAAATTTTTAATAATAAATAATTATAATAGATAAATAATCTTATATATTTTAATTTCAAGATTTATTAGATTAAAAAAAAGAGAATATTTAGATAGATATTTTTAAAAAATTGGAAGGTTTTAATATTAAAGAAATTAAAAAAAAAATATTTTAAAAGATATTTAATAAATTTTTAATATTATTAATGGTTTATTTGATTAAATTATAGTATAAATTGGAATAAAGGATTAAAAAAGAACTTTTATGAATTAAAGATATTTTATTAATATAAGATTTTATTATTAAAGATATGGTATTATATAATGGGAAAAATTATATATTATAAATATTATAAAAGAAATTTATATAAAAGGTATATAAACATTTTTTATATAGATATTTAAGAATATTTAAAATTATTATATAATTATAAAAAAAATATAATATATAAATTACTATTAATAAATTTATAAAATATAGATATTTTATATTATTTAAAAAAATCTATATATTTAAAGATCTAACTTTTAAATTTATTAAAAAGGTTTTTAATAAGTATAGGTTATTAAAGAAGATTATTTTAAAATTTTAAATTAAATAGAAATTCTTTATAATAACTTATTTTTAAATTAATAGGTAAATGAAATGATTAAATCAAACATTAAAACAATATCTGCAAAATTATATTAATTATAAATAAAATAATTAAATAAAAAATTTATCACTTATTATATCTTTATATAATATTTTAATAAATAATATTATTAGGATATTATTATAGGAAATATTATATAGATAATAAATACATATAAAATATAAATCTTTAGGAAATATAATAATCCTAGAATTAAAAATAATATTATCTAAGATAAAAACATTTATTATTAGAACCTTAATATTGTAAACTAAGTTTAAATAACATTTTAAAATTTTATAGAAATAAATGGTAATATATTATAATAAAAAAAGAATTAAAAGATCAATTCTATAAAAAAGAAATAAAATTTAATCTTGAAGATATCATAGATTTAGACCAAAAAATTAAATAAAAAATTACACTTTAGGAAATTAAGACTTTTTTTAATTAAGAAAGTCTTTTTAAAAATAAATTATTATTTATAATTATTAATAAATATAAAATTAAGAATTAATATATTTTATATTATTATATTTAAATTAATATTTAAAAATATTAAATTTAAAAGAAATGTTAAATTAAAAGAAAATTTAGAATATAATATTAAAATTATTTAAGATTTTAGGATCATTAATAATTAAATTGAATATTTTATTAAATAATTTGATTATTCAGAAGAAAATAATACCTGAGAATTATAAGAATATCTTATAAATAAAAAGATTTAAGAATTATTTAAAGATTTTTATCACTAAAATCCTAATCAATTAAAACCTATATAACTATAATTAATAATAATATTAAACCAAGATTAAAATTTATTTCCAAAAAGGAAACAGGGGAGATTAAAAAAATTAATAAGAGATTATTAGGTTTTGGATTTTTTTTAAACCTTTTCCTTTTCTTTTTCTTCTTTATTTAGTTATTTTTTATATTAAAGAATTTTTATTACCTTCTTTTTAATAATTTTTTTTATTAATAGAGATGATACATCTAATTAAAGAATTTATAGGTTCTTTTGTATTGCTGATCTAATAGATATTGGATCTTTTTTTATTACTTTATTATGGTTGTTTGTTAAGTGTATAGAAAAGCCTCTAGGGTTTTCTCAATATCATAATACTTTTTTGGAATCTATTATTAAGGAAATTTATTATTATTATGTTATAGTTGGGTTTTTATTTGTGGGTATAATGATTGTATATGTTATTCTTAAAGAGATAATAATAAAATAATTTATTAAAATGGGAATAATGGGAATATAGGGAATCATGAATATTGAATTTATTAATATAATTAGTTTTATGATTATAAGATTTATATTATTTTATATATTTTAAAGAAATTAAATCTTTTTAAATCTAATTAGATATGATTAATATAGTGAATAAAGTATATAATATTTAAAAAAAAGAAACTATTCATTTATTTTTTATTTTTAAAAGATAAAAATCTTGGAGGTAGGATATAATGTTATAAACTAATAGTATCAGGTAATAATTAAGGAATTAAAAATGGAAATATCCTAGATTAATCATGAAGGAAGTATAGGGGATATAATTCTATTTATTTATTTATATAATCTAAATAATTTAGAACTAAATTAATTAAATTATAATAGTAATAGATTTTAAAGAAAAAAAAAGGAATAACTATATAATTATAGATTTTTCCTATATATTTAATTATTTTTTCCATAATTATTAATTTAAGATTTTTTTTTAAATACAATAAAAAAATTCTAAACCTTTTTGATAAATAGAACTTATTTAATTGTTTAATCTATTATTAATATTATTACTTTTAAATTAAGATATCCAGATTAATCAATCCAATAATAGCTATATCTCTTTGAGGCATAGGTTCGTCACATAGGGTTTTATTATAATTAACTTTTCTTCATTTATTATCATATAAAGGTTGGTTATAAGTTATTAAATTATAACATTATATTTCCCTTTTATAATCTTTATTTTTAAAGATTTCTAATAAGTTTATTCTTTTTTCTTATATTTTTTTAAAATGTTATTTAATAAATGGAAATATAAGAGTTCTCTATTATTATTATTTATTACATATTATAAATATTTAATATTTAAAATAAAAACATTTGATTTTAAAATAATATTTTATATTAGATATTTTAAAAGGGATTTTATATATAAGATAATTAATAGTATTTATTATTGTTGTAAATATTAAATTATTAATATATTTTATAATGGTAAAAAAGTTTCTATTAATTTTTTAATAAAGATTAAAAAAGAAAAATTTTATTTTCAAAATATGTTAAAATAGTAGAAAAAAATTAATAATAAGATTTTATTATTTATGAAGAATGTATTATCTTTTATATAAAAAAGATTTAAAAATAATCTAAAAAATTTTTGTTAATATTAAAAAATTGAAAAAGATTAAATATATAGAAAAATATAATAGATAATAATCACTTTTTTTATTAATAATATTCCTAAGGTCTCTTATACCTTTAATTAATCTAGATTTAATTCCAATCTATTATTTTTATTAATTTTAAATAATTTTTAATTTTTATTTATTTATAAGATATTCTTATAATTCTTAAATATTATTTTCTTTTAAATAATTAAATTATTTAATAAAATTTCCATCTAATTATTAATAATTTTAAAATCCTAAATAATCTTGACATTATATTCTTTTAAGTTTTTTTTTAATTTGATATTTCCTTTAAATTTGGTATTTTTAAATATTAATTTGAATATAATAATATAAAATATATTGGTTTTTACTTTTATATTTATTAATAATTATAGATAATAATTTAT